GGTCCACCCGCTCGTGGTCTTCTGATAACAACTGGAATCCCTCCGTGTTGTTCTCGCCCCGAAAACCCCACCATTCAAGGTCGGAGGTTTGTCGTCCGGCGCGCACGATGTGCTGATGTCGCGTCCAGTATTCTTCCCAGCTCTGCTGTTTTCTTCCTTTCGCCGCATTCTGTTCCTGTGCGTAGTCGAAAAGTTGCTCGGGGTATCGTACTCCGTTTTCGTATCCTTCCGCCTCTTCGGTGGGTCCATCCCACGGTGTGTGGTGCGGAAGTGCCTGGCGGATGTCGTCCTGCAAGGCCTGTGCCTCTCTTAATGTCTTTTCGACGTGATCCCCGGCCCTGTTGTTGGCCTCGGTGATCTCTTGGACTCGTTCCCTGGCGAAATCGAGTTCCGCGCAAAGTCGTCCGTACTGGTCGTTCCTTCTCTGGAGAAGTTGCTCGAGTTCTTCTTTCTCTCTTGACAACTCCTCGATCCTTTGCCGTTGGCTTAGGACCTTCTGTTGCAGAAAAATGAGGTTCGGGCTGACTCCTCCTTCACCCTCGTGGGTTCGCCATTGCCCGTCCTCTTGCTGAACCAGGGTGATGCCCCAGTCCTCAGCGACTTGTCGGATGTGCCGCGGGGGAGCCAGTTCTCCCTCGTCATCCGTTTCGATGAAAGCGTGATGGGCGGTGTCATTTCCCTCCTGGTGGTTGCTGCTCATCAAGTCTTCTTGATCCGAGTCGGTGAGTTCATCGTCCTGCTCGATGACTCGGTCAATGTCGATTTTGAGGTCGTCCTGCGTGTAGCTGGCGGCTGCGACCTCCAGAAACCGGGTTCTTCTTCCGACCGTGTTTTGGTCGATGGTGGCAGCTTCCTTCCCTGGAACCGGTCTCCACTCTTTCTTGCTGCGGCAGTCTCGTTTGAAGTGCCCCTTCTTGCCGCAATTGTAACAAGTGATGCCTGATTTGTCCTTGGCACCATCTCTCTTTCCTGCCCATTGTGCCTGGGCAGCGCTGACGTCCATGGGTCCCGAGTGCGTGCCGTATGACGTGCTCTGGTGCTGGCGTTTCTTTTTGTCGTTGGGCTTGTGGTAGCCTGCGGATCGCTGAATCTCGCTGCCCTTCTTCTGTTGTTTGCGGGCGAACTGTCGGTCGTCAATTTTGACAGCCATGGCGATGTACTCGTCGAGCGTGTCAGGTCGGCTCTCCTTGTAGAGCTCGTCCTTGACCTCCTCCTTCAGTCCTCCGTAGAACAGGTGCATCAGCCCCTCGTCGTCTATTTCTGCCTTCATGGAGTCTTGTCGGAAAATCGTGGCGTAGGCGGTGGCTGACCTAGTCTGCTTCAGCCGTCCTAGCCGTTCCTGGGCGTGTAACTTCTCGTCCTTGTCACCGAACACCTTCTGAATCTCACTCTCGAACTCGGAGTAGTTCTCGAAGACCTTTTTGGTGAAGGGTTTGTGGATTGCTCCGCCGAGGAAATCACTCAGTGTTCCCGTGAACCACTTGAGGGCCTTGTCCTTGAGTCGGGTGGCGGCGTATCTGGTCTTGGATTCCTCAGTGGCGAACTGGTGCGAGTTGTGGTCGAGATAGTTCCGCATCTCCGTGATCCAACCTGGCAAGGCTTCCTGGTCGCCCCCGTACTTCTCGGGTTGCTCCAATTTGACCTTCGTCTTGGCCGGGTCCTTGGTGTGGACCTCGGTCGCCGCAAGTCGGGCTGCCAATGCCGCGTTGCTGGCCTTGGTCTTCGCAAGCTCTTCTTCAGTTTCGTCGAGTCGTTCGGTGACTCTCTGAAGCGCGGCCGTGATCTGGCCCGGCGTCGGTTGAGTTGCCATGTCGTTTTACCTTCGAGCCTGAACTGTAACAGATCAAAGGGAGTTAGCAACGTGTGACGAACCTGTCTCTGGACCCGTCCTGTTAGGGTTCAGTATCGGTCGAAGGTATTCTCTCAAGGGTGCTTAGGTTCGGTGCAGCCAAAGGGTGCACAACAAAGACTTGTCTCAACAGTAGGCTCTCGAGCTTGTAGCGAACTGTAGTTGTGATTGCTAACTGGAGAACTCCCAGAGCTCTCCAGAACGAGTGACTATATACTATCTAGGTCCGTAGGTACCTTCGTACCTATGCCTCCTGGATCGTCTTATCTATTCCACGATCCCATGGATCGTGAATTCTCCCACACGATCCGCTTCTTATTGGCTGACGCTCCCATCCTTGACGATTGGCTCGGGGCGTCCCGCGCCCCGCTTCCGTGCGTCTGGCACAGTGATCATGACACTATTAATTTAATAAATGTTAAAAGAATATATTTAAATAGCTTCTTAACTATAATTAAAGTTTAGAAGAGAACCTTCTCGGTAACCCTTTATTACTACTTCAGCCAAGAATCAGTAGTATCTCATTTAGTAAGGTAAGAAGCATCGGAACTTATTATAGAACTCTAGCTAAGAACTAAACTCTATAAAGAACTATTAAATAAGATACTAATATATATATAGACTATATAACTAAGGTAAATTATAACCGAAGACAGATTGAATTCCTAGCTAAAGACTCTTATTCAGACCTTATATTAGGTCTGGAGGATAACTGAAACTAATCCTTGGGGAGCTTCCCCAGGATTGGGCTCGCCTACGTTTAAGAACCTTCTTGCCGAGCCTTGTAACATTATCACTTTGAAGTCTGCAGCTCTGGGGCCCTATTCTGTAACAAAGACCATCTATATATATAAGTTTAGATAACTATCATTATATTGCTTAGTATAGGTAATTTAATAGCTATTTAAAAATAGTTATTTTATTTTATTTACCTTACTTATATATATAAGTATTATATTCTATACCTATATTCAAATAACTTATATAACTTTACCGGCCGCAACATAGTTTATTATGATATTCTAACAGCTTACATCGTTGTATAGTCTATGAGTGTGGTGTATGAGGGCCCGCTGCTGCTCTTGTTAGGCCTTGATGCCTGTAATCTCGGCCCTTATATGGGCCTCGCGCTCCCCTTGTTGCTCCCTCGGCCACGCAGTCTCTGACCTTAGCAGGGTCTCGCGCTGCTGCTACTAGGGTCTCGCACTTTCCACCAACCCCTTAGGCCATTGATCTGCTTCTTCGGATTCTCTTTAGTATTAGCCTAGCGGTCCTCGTATCGGCAGTGCTCATTTCTTTGCTAGTACTGGTAAGAGGGTGTTCCACTGGCACACTGTTACACTGTTAGGGGGGTGCGTACGCTATCAAAGGTAGTCCAGACCATTTCAAGGTTGGCGGGGGGGGGGGGGGGGGGGGGGGGGGAGGACAGGATGTGGCTGCGCCCTGCAGGGCGGAAGCGATGCTTTATCACACCAGTTTCTAACTATTGATTAAGACTTAGTGATAGGGCGTAGGTATGCACCGATAATCAGCGGAACGGCGAGTAATTTGGCCGAGTTCTGCTCGTTGAGGATGTTGCGCGTCCCTATTCTTTTGGCTAGGCCCACGACGCACACTTTCGAGGCGCATTTCCCGCCGTTCTAACGAGACCTGGTGGTACTGCGGATGTCTTAAGTTTGCAAGGTAAGCCTAATGCTCTGAACCCGGACTGGAGCCTAGGGATGTCCGGGTGATAGGTAACTGGTCGACTAAGCAAATCGTGCAGCTGATTTTGCAACGTCCGCACTCGACCGAATGGCCGGTGTGGTGTGTGTGTGTATCACAAATGCCCGGAGAGGCGTCTACAGTATAACCTGTGCTCAGAGGTGAGTACCGCTGGGCGATGCGCAGAGGTGCGTCAACGGTGACCTGGTGCCAACACGAACCTCGGCGAGGGTTGATTCCTTATGAAACATGTGATATATAGTTCTGATAAGAGCAAGCTAGACTGAGTATGGTAGCTGCGCTGTTCTTCCTCGGGGCAAGCCGAGTGCTACTAGTGAGCGGCGACAAATGGCACCCACAGCGTGTTAGGGATATTTCATATCCTGTAGGTTTCACGTAGATGGTCCGGCCTACACGCCGAACAATTCCAAGCGTCCACACTGCTAGGTACGGTAGCTGAGTGGTCCCCGTGCGCCTATAAGTCCCCGCTTGGGCGTATGTGCGTGTGTGTGTGATTGACAATTGTCGACTGGGTTTGGACCTCTCAAGGGTTACGGACACCCGTGGTCAGATACCCCAAGAGGCCAAGAACCGTATGACATGGAGGCGTGGGTTGTGTATTATATTCCCGAGAGACCGGGAACAGAGGGTTTGCAGGCTTCAATGGATCCGACTGGTACCTCATCGTCGCGGGCTTGGAAGCAGGAAAGGACCTAGTTAAGGTATCCGTACCGAGGGTACTTTCGTACATGGTACTCGGGGTGTGCAGCCCGCTTCGCGGGCTGGTTGATTGGATTTGTTGTTTTTTATAGCGTTTTATAGCGTTTTGAGAGTTTTTGCGCGCAACGTAATTAAGCGATTTTAAGCGATCGCTAACCATCCCACAATTCAATTCCACAACCACGATCGCCCACATCTTGGAGTCGTGTTTTCTCCCGCAACCAAGCCCGCAGAACCCATAAAAATCCAGGGTACATCCGGTAAGTATTGCTGAGATCGGTTTAATTTTTTTTTTAATTTTTTTTTTTGGCGGCGTTCTGACGACTGCGCGTGCAGCGTGTAGATGCCATTCTTCGATACCGAATACGACCTGCAGAACCTCCAAGCCGATATCGCTGAATCGGCTGCTGCAGACCACCAAGCCGGAGACCCCCAAGCCGCAGGCCCCCGAGCCGCAGACCAAGCCGCAGGCCCCCGAGCCGCAGACCAAGCCGCAGACCCCTAGGCCGCACTCTCCCAAACAAAGACAGCAGGCGTCGATACGACGAAGGAGCGAGGGTCGGCATCAACGGCTTCCACGCCTGCGATCATCCACATAAATATCTCACGTGATAGCAGCCCCACACCACTTTGTCGCGACCTGCGATTTTCGCCAGCTCGTCAAGACTGCCGCGCTTCAGCACGACTTTGCGGCATCAATAACGATTGTACCGTTGATTTGCCCATCATGCAGCCGACACGGTGTCTGCTCAAGCGGTCGGTCTGGAAAGGTAATGTGTCTTAATCCTCTTCCTTGTTTCGTTCCCCACTGCTCGGGTCGGATGGCCCTCCGTTCTAGTTACTGCTGGCTTCGCAACTAACCCCATTGTCTCCAGGGCCGCACATCGTTCCGTAAGAGCCCCCTTCCATCCTGGCCCGAATTGTGCTCCCGACCTCGCCCCTTTCTCCTTCCCAGCCCCGTACCGTCCGGCCACCCGACTACCGAAGCGCTCTGACCATTTCCCGCGTTTAGACTCCCAATTGTACGGCCCGAACCGGGAAAGAGGATTGCGCCCATTCGGACGCAGGCGAGGTCGGCAACCATTTTGCCGAACTTCGTCGGCCTCAAGTTCCAGGTGCACAACGGAAAGGTCTACCATGACGTAACAATTACCGAGGAGATGGTGGGCCACAAGCTGGGCGAGTTCTCTCCGTACGCTATATCCGTCGCACCGCCCAGAAGCTTTAAAGTACATACCAACTGACACGGTGGATCATAGGACACGGAAGACGTTCATTTGGGATAGGAAATAAACCGATCCGTAGGGATAAAAATCGGGATGTCCCGATCATGGGGGTACTCGCGGCGCCATGTACAACAGTATAAGGATCTGAGACGAGGGTGTGACCATTTGCGCTGAGAGCGTAACGCCCGGTGTCCGCTGCCAAAATAGGCAGAGGGATAGATACTGCTAGCGGCCAGCAAGGATAGCCCTGAAATTGACGGCTAGGAAGTTCTCCGGCTGGAGATATAAATATAGATCAAGATAATGGGGATAGTATCCGATAAGTAAGAATTCGGATCCAAAATGAATTATAAGTCTACGGAGAGCTCTGCTTACGTTCTCTGGAACCCGGACCCCGAATGAGACCAACCAACGCCATTGTTGTTGTTGTTGTTATTGACCATGCGAGGCCTTTCCATGTGACCAACCAGCCCAAGAGAGAAGGAAAACAAGAACAATACTATCTTGTCATGGGCAACCAAGTACCTAACCACCCAGTAACGCCAATAGGGCCGCCCCTCCTAACGGGCGCGGTGCCAGCCCTCCTAGTAGAGGAAATGAAGATTGTCCACCTTGTGACAGACACCATCTTGCGAAAGGGAGTCCCGTTCCGCCCCCCATCCCTCGCTTTAGCGGTAGAATTCGCTCCGCTTTACGTTGACGCCAAACTCGCCCACGGCCATGCCCAGATCCTCCATGGTCAGCACCGTACGATTCTGACTGCCGCCTTGTCCGCCACCGCCATAGCCAGGCCGTTGGATACCCAATGGTCCACCGCGGCCTTGGTCTTTGTTACCGGGCTGGTTGGTTGGTTGTCCGGGGATGGGAAACCCGGCCGCAGCGCCTAGGTTGCCCATTGGGTTGTTGGCATTAGTGTTGCTCGCGCGGATCCGACTATATTGGTAGGCGTCGGCGGCAATGTCGGCGATGAACTTTTGCGTTGCTAGGGCCAGCAGCCGTGCGAGGCGCTGGTCGGTCTGCGGCGGCGGTGGGAGGCCGGCGCGTGTCATATAGTAGTTGGTAACTGCGTCGGGGATCTGTGGGTCGCCTTTATGTTAGCATACAACCGGATGATGCGAGAAATGTGGCATACTATCGGCGCATAGTCGTCCATCTTGTTCAAGAATTCCTTTAGCGACGCATCTTTGCGCGTCGGCAATCTGGGTTCCGTAATGGGCGGCGGCGCCGTGTCGTCGTCTGCATTTGCTCCCGTTGTCTCGTTCGGCTGCGCGCCGTTTGGATTTGCGACTGGAGCCGTCATTTGCTCTGCGTTTTCCGCCGCGAGATTAGCTGCCATTGTTATGGATGGGGTGGGGTGATGTTTGCGATTTCCTCGCCTAGCAGGATGGTGATGCAGGAAGTCGGTCGGAGGTTCGAGGTGAGGGCGGGTTGCGAGAAGAGGTAGTCACGTGATATTGAAGCAGGTTGTGGACTGGCGGTCTTTAATGGTCATTCCTGGCTTTCACGGCGATTCCGCTCGATCCTCTCTCTGATACTGCTGTTTACTGGTTATAGGTAAACCGGGAAAACCGTATACTACGTGTTCGAGTACGTAGTCAAGGCCAGCCGCCGTTGTCAGGCCACGGGGTTTATTCACATTATCTGCTATATGGGAACAGACAACCTTAATAATGGCCGGGATGCATTCAGAAACCGCAAATCAGTAGATTTTAACAAATCAAGAATCCATTATCATCTACAATGGTCATTTGCTCCTAGTGTGTAAAACCCTTTCTGCCACAAAGCTCATGAATGAGTTGCTACCAACGTGCTACTTAACCACGACGATGCCCAATTCCCAGACGGTCGTTCACCGTCGCCGGCTTCGTGTAGCTGGCATCGACTCGAAGGCGTCATCCTCAGAGATCTCGTCATCGCTAATCTCAACGGGCTTCTGTGACGCCTTGGGCTTCTGAGACTGAGAAAAGTTGATGGTCGTTTGCCGCGCTTTGGTAGCACCACCACGGCTCCGAGTAGATCTTGCCGGTGCCCTTGCGGGCGGGTCTGGTTCCACGTCGTCTTCCATAATGACATCTTCCTCCTCTTCCCCTTCCTCCTCCTCGCTGTCTTGGAACGGATTCGCTTTCTTCCGGCCCCGTGCCGGAGCTCTCTTCGGAGCGGCCGCCTTCTTGGCTGGGGCTGCCTTCTTAGCTGGGACCGTCTTTTTTGTGGGCTTTGTTACTTTTGCGGCCACTCGCTTGGCTGGTGCTTCGTCATCCGGTAGCTCTTCGTCGCCGTCGCTAAATAGGGCTCCTGGGTTCGGTCGTGTGCGCCCCCGTCCCTTAACAGGCTCCGGGGATGCCGGGACTTCCTCGATAGCACCGGGCTGCGCTGTCCAGTGGCCGTCCAAGTCGGAGTCCCAGCCGTCAGGCTTCTCCTTAAACCGCTTCTTACGTTGGGCCTGTTTCCGCTGCCCCGAAACAAAGCTTTTCTCCATAACCTTTCGGAAATCGTCGATGTGGGCGTCGAGGCCTTCTGTGATCCTGTCGTCATCGAGCTGCAGCAAGCCCTTGACTTGGGAAGAGAGGGAATCTATCACAAACATCTCGACCGCGTGTTTGTCGTCCTTGCTGACGAACTGGTTGACGGCATCTCCAAATGGCGCCTGCGGGAGGATCTTGAGCGATTGTTGCGCGAAGAACTCTTGCACTAGCGTGTCGACCTTGACGGTGTCTACGGATTCAAGGGTTTCTGCCACGCCACTCGGGAGTGTATTTCCATCCTTGGCTTTCCCTGCAGGTCAGTGATGTCAGCGTTGTTGTCCCAATGTCGCAAGCGGAGACATGTGCCTACTTGAAGTTCCCGTTTTCTTCCGGTAGAAATACACAACGTCGTTTTGGTTTGCTACTTTCCCCGCGAACCTGTTAGAGAAACGCTGCGGATTCTCGACCTCGTATTTTGACCCTTCCGGGGCCGTATACTCCACCTTGAGCCGGATCAAGGGCAGTGGCTGCCCCTCGTCTTCGTCCTCGTATGCCTCGCCTTCGCTGTGGATGGACCGCCATTTCGCGTTAGCCTCCTCGATCATATCGTCCACAATTAGCATGAGCCGTTTCGTAATATCTTGACGGTTGTCTTGTTTCTTTTCGAGTCCCTTGAAACGCTTGTCGTTGGCCAGCGTGATTTCCTGGGTGACGAATGGTCGGACCGTCTTCAACGGGATCTTGTCCACCTCAAAAGACTTGCCCGTAATGCTGAGAACCGCAACCTGTTTGGTTACAGCCTCGCCAGGTACGAGGGATGTCGCCACCGACGAGCCAGGTTGCATGACGTGAAAACCCGTCTCTGAATTCCGCTGGGGGTCAATCAGACATTCGTGTTCGTGCCCCCATAGCACGAGGTCCAGGAAATCCGGCAGCATGTTCTCAGGAAGGTAACTGGTCGGCGTGTGTGCATAATGGTTCTGGTGCACCGCCAAGAGGTTGAAGAAATCGGCCTTCTGCTGGCCCGGTCGGTAAAACCTGACCTTGTTATCCCTGAATGTGCGGTGCATACGCTCGTCGCGGACATTGCTTAGCCCGTAGAGGGCCAGTTTCGTTTTCCCCTTCTGGAGGAGGATGGGTTTGACCTGAATATTGTCCGCCTCGGGAACGCGGCCAAAGTAGTTGACTAATCCCGCTACCTGGAGCAGGTCGAGTGAACAATAATGGCCATCGCCGCTTGGGTCGTCATGGTTCCCATGAATGGAGAAAACAGGTGTGGATATGTTGATGTCGGGGTCCTGGTAGTTGACATGGGGAAACGCGCCCTCGAAGACTTCTGCCGCGTCGCTTAGGAACTCGAGCTCACAGGGCTTCATGCCGAGGCAATTCTTCCGAAGTGAACGCATAACTTGATACATGGACTTGCGCGACGGCTTGTTGTCGTGGAATAGGTCCCCACCGAGGAGGACCATATCGACATCGCGGGTGCGGGCGAGCTGCATGATCTCATCGAAGGTGCGCCAGCTGTCATCCTTCCGGATAGGGTCTCGCTCCTCAAATCCGACATGGTTATCGGTTGAAATCAGAATACGGATAGTATCGGAGTCTACAGACATGACGTTAGAGTCAGGGCAAGCTCCGCCGTTGGTTTGGATCGTCGTGCAAAGCGGTGGCTAGCAAGGCAAAAACGAAGGCACCTACCAGAATCTTGCGGCATCTTGCGGAACCCCAAACTCGACCAAACAATCAGGGTTGTGCTTTGTAGGTGGGGATACTGGAGCTTGCTACCTGATGTACAAACTTGTCGGCGGGGTGGTGGTATCTTGGAGTGTGGAGCTGCAACGCGTTGGTTGCGTCGCGAACGAAGCACGCGGTCACATGGGTGCCGTTGATGAGGAGAGCGGTCAAGCGTGGCGGAAATGAGCTGGTGGGCGTGATGCGGGCAGGGCTTTCTTGGCGTTCTGGACGGCTGTTGCCCTGCACGAATATCAGCTCCAGCTTTGTTGCATGCCCAGTCAGCAACCCTGGGAATCCCAGAAACACAACCATATCCGATCTTCACATGTGAGGGCTAAGTCAAAGCTCCTGGAATTCAGAGATCGCACCCTCCAGGTGTGGAAACGATTTTCATCGTCGTTTTTGTCTGGCTCACCCTGAAGGCGACCTTCAACCAAGGGTCCAGTCCAGAGACCGGATCGACCCTGTGCTTCGCCATGCCCCGTTGTAAGTCATGACCTCAACCCCAACGATCTCAACGAACTCCTAGGTCCGTTACATGTCTCTTACTCTGATGTCGGACTACCTGCATCGTGGTTTCATTTTCCGTTATTTATCTAGCCACCTGCGAGCTGATTTCAACGAATTCCTTATGTTCGTCGCAATTCCGAACTATCTTACTTCAGGTCACCTCTCTTCTTCCCTGCTTAAGCTTTTGCTTTCGGGGGACTCGATTACAGGCTATGTTTCTGTGACCAAATTTACTCTTCTGGCGGTCTTCAGTTCACAATACCGCCTCCCCCGCCCAAATGTTTCCTGTGTCGAGGATCCCGTTGGATCCTACAGGGGTTTAATCCTTTGGGAAGGGTTAAAACACCCCTCGTGGATCGCGCAAGCGGGATCCCAGGGTGTCTAACACCAGGAAACTAAAGCCTCTGCCCTTACGCCTAGCTACATGCATGACTTAAACGAGGTGAAGGCACTAACTAACTTTCGTTTTCTCCCCCCTGCAGCGGCTATGACAGACCACGACTTCTCAAATGACGATGACGGCCATTTTGCGAGTGGTGCATACGAGCACGGCGAAATAAGCGACGAGGAGCTGATGGAAGGCCTGGGGGAAGTCGACGATGAGCTGCTTGGGGATGCCATAACCGAAGACCTGGGCGACGAGATGAGTGATGGCAATGATGAGGATCCCCATTCCGAAGACGAACTGGACGGCGATCCCTTCAATCCTATGGACCTAGGCCTAAAGGAGATCAACAACCTCGCCCACTTCGGCGTCAGCAGCCATCGCCCCGGAAATGGGGTAGCCGAGTTGCTCAGCGACGACCTTGATAAGTACTGGCAGTATGTAACACCCCACCTACCGTAGCTTCTCGAGCTGCTTGTTTACCAGAAGTCGATAGGTCGGATGGTCAGCAGCCGCACCTGCTCACCATTCACTTTTTACGCCGCGTCGAGATCCGGGCAATCCGCTTTTACGTCGACTATAACCAGGACGAGTCCTACACCCCGACCCATATTGTCTTCTACGCCGGCACTGGCCACCATGACTTGATCCAGTTTGCGGAAGCCCCCCTCACCAACCCGGCTGGATGGCAGGATGTCCCCATCGCAGACAGCGGCGGAGGTGCCGACGGCCACTCACTGTGCTGCTGGATGGTGCAAATGCACATCAAAGAGAATCACCAGAACGGGAAGGATACTCACATTCGCGGCATCAAGGTTTATGCCATGGACGATCACTCGCTGGGCGGCACCGCACATGAGTCGGCTCGCGGCCCGAGGACCGATCTCGACGACGACCACGCCCGCGCGCGGACAGCACAGGGCCTAGACGATCAGTCTCTGCAAGAGCTTTTAGATGCGTTTGAACGTCACCCTATCACCCCGTCTAACTTTGATACAGTACGGGAGCCGACCATCCGCTAAAGGAATGCCCCGAGGAGGGGATCATAAGCTAGGGGGGGTTGTGGCAGGTATGGAGCCTAGCAGCGGCAGTTGGCGACGGAAACGGTGGGGAATGGCGTTGTTCTATTGAAATGGACATAACGCCATCATGATTAGGAAAGGGTGGGGGGTGCTACGTGATTAATCGTGCATGGTCGTCCGGGCGTTAGGGAATGTACTCGTGTGGTGGATTGGTTGACGGGTTTGAGAGAGACTTGATACCCATTCTTATTCGGCATTTACTGGTAGGTAGTTGAGGTAGCGTTTCTGACCCATGGCAGGCGCGGAATCTACTCCAGCATCCAAACCAGGAACCTCATGTCTCTCCAGGTCTGGAGGGGGCGGGGGGTCGGAAAACTGCCTTGAAACAGGACAGCGAGGGCGAAGTGCTTGTTATCGGTACATCTTTCACCACCTAACCAAAAGCTACCTTACATTGTAGGTACCTAGTGTACGAGACGGATCGTTTTCGGAAAGTGGTCTCAAGAACCGGACCGAGCCGTGCTCGGACCATCGTTGGGGAAAGGGGTTGGGGACCACGTGGGGGCGTTGGGTGAAACCCCGCCCCCTCTTTCTTTGCGCCCACTCAGCCATTCCCGTCCGCTCGTTGATACCGGAGCCGCATGCCGACACGACAAATAGGAGAAGACCCGACATGTGATCTGATAATGCAATCCAACGAATCGCCCGTACCCAAGCACTCGATGCCTCCCAATCCATCATTTTCAGCTCGCCCCGCTGCTGCCTTCTTCAGCCGAGCCCTCTCGTCATTCCAGAGCTCCGGGTCCACGATCCAAGTCATCTGCACTGCCGCTCCGGCACTGCACCACAAAAACCACGATCATGGCCATCCAACACCGCTCCCTCCCCGTTTCCCACCACAGAGCTTGGTTGTGCTCGATTCTTCCTTCAACCCGCCGACGCGCGCGCACCTGCGCATGGCGACATCCGCGATACAGGAACTCATGCACAAGCAAAGCCAGAGGCCCGGCGCATTGCGACTGTTGCTGTTGCTCTCGATCAATAACGCCGATAAGGACGCCAAACCCGCCGCTTTCGATAAACGGTTAGCCATGATGTGGGCGTTCGCAGGAGACGTGCAGCGCAGTTTGCAAGCGGACCCTGGGGAGGAGCAGGCGAGTTCGGAAGTAGAGCCACTGAGCGTCGACCTGGGCCTCTCCACGGCGCCTTATTTTTACGAGAAGAGTGCCGCGTTGGCCGAGGGCGGTTTCTATAATGGGGAACGGGGCATGGGCGGTAGCACCGAGACAGAGCAGGTCTTCCTCGTCGGGTATGACGCCCTGGTTCGCATATTCGACCCGAAGTATTACGGATCTTTCGATCCAGAAGACCAAGTCTCCACGGCCGGGACTCCGCCGATACGGAAGGCGCTCGACCCGTTCTTCAACCGTGCCAAGCTGCGCGTGACAATGCGGACAGGTGATGAATGGGGCGAGGCCGACGAACAGGCAGCGTACGTCGATGACTTGCTGCATGCGGGAGGTTTGAGTGATATAGGCGGCAGCACGAACTGGGGTAGTAGGATACACATGACCGAGGGACGCAAGCCCGGGGAGGATGTTATTAGTAGTACTTACGTGAGGGCCGCGGTAAAGGCTGGGGACTCCGAACAACTTAACCTAATGGTTACCCCAGAAGTGAGATGGTGGATAGAGCAAGAAAGCTTGTATACAGAGTGAGATAGACATGTTACGGCCAGAGTCACCCGCGTCTGTAAACTCCGGTCGACCTTCATCCGCGGCCATGGTTTAGGTTCGCCGGCGATATTCGGTATCTAGGGTCTCAAATATCAGATTCGGTTCCTAGAAGCAACTGAAACGGGCCATTCCACAGCTCGTTCGGGCAAATGCACACTGCTCCGCGGTGAGGCACGAGTTATGCTTGAGTTTCCCGGCGATCTATGTGGTGGCATCGGGGTAGTTCATGAGGCATCGTCGTTCGACAATCAATGCCGGTTCTACAGACGTTTACTCCAACTTGCAGAGTTTCGAATCGAAGCAGTAACCAAATAATACTGCTATCACCCACTCTCTCCTTCACACCCCGTGTGTTGCTTGGGGGCAGAGGCTGGCCCTCGCAAGAAATTTTGGCGGTCTTGTGCGGCAGTACTGTGCCCCACGTTTCCTGCCAAATCTCAGCAGAAAATGTTGCAGAGCGGGATCGGGGTCCAGGTGGGGCCTTGCAGAATGGCGTCGTGCACAGACCCCTGACCAGTGCCTATATATTGAGCGCGCTCCTCCCACCATTTCGATTTTCTTTTCTTTTTTTCTTCATGTCGACAATACTTCAGAGAATCATTTCTATAGTATTCGTCCTCTTTTGTGTTCCCTAAAGGAGCCACAGATCCCACCCGGGTTGATGAACGATATCCTCGGCACCCTACAGTGAGAATCCTTTTTACTCTCGTCCTGCCTGCAAAGGCGGCGGTCGCTGCTTCGTGCTGCGGCTGTATAGAGAGTGGCGATGATCTGTACCCCGGCTTTCCTGAGGACTTGCCCTCGGGCGCTCAGGCGGGGTGGGTGTCGATGGAAGTCTGACCGGCCTTTTCTTTTTTTCATTACGATCTTGGGGCTAGCTCCCGGGACGTGAAGAAGAAATTTCTTGACAGAAGAGGCATCTTTGCTCGTGACACAGTAACAGCAGTGAATCACTAGTGGCTTGTCTTAAATTAAGCTGTAACTAGATGCCGCATATTTCAGTGTGGCTTTGCTGTGTTGACATGCGCTGTCGTGAGACATCCCAGTACAAGGACGCCGACACCAACGTCACCGGTTTGCTTCGTCGGGTAGCCAGCAATGCATGCATTGGAATGGCGGGTCGTTCTGGAGAATCTGGCACTCAACCCGCCCCCCCCCCCCCCGGGCCCCGCCCGTGGTACTGAAATATGGTCCGATTCCAGTTCCCCTTGAATCACTCAACAACGTTGCCGTTCGGAAGACAAGGCCCTCTTCGACATGACACCCCGGTCACGGCATCCGGACAAGCCGAATTGCGAGCTCTTCTCCGCCGTGGTCCAGTCGGAGATATTCGGCATCTTAGATTGCCACCAACCCCGTCCATGGGGCAGCAGCGAACTTTTCACGAGTGGTATTGAGCACGCAGTTAGCTGAGCAGTACGAAAGGTTAAGCAGGAGAGACAAGGTGAGAGAGTCATTCGCTTCGTTGAATCAGCTAAATAACTATCTCGTTACAATTAACACATGCCACCACACCACCTCGCTTCTTCATCCCCCCCTCCCTCTCTCCACCTCGTGTCAGAGGGCTGCTAAGAAAACTCGAAACGCCGAACTCCATACGCGATCCCATCACTTCATAGTCAATCCCCTTACTGTTTCGGTGACATCATCATTTCCTCGTTTTCTGCGATCGGTGCCGGCCTGTTGATGCTCTTGTTGAACTGGTTCTCGCCAACGACGTTGCGGGTACCTTCCAATTCCAGGTGGTAGTCCGTATCCGGCTTGTTCGTGGTTACGACATACTCCTCGTTGTCGATGTGCCGGAAGGTAACGTAGAAAACGATGGTCATGATGCCGCCTGCAATGGCGGTGCCACCAAAGTCCCACAACAAATACGGGTCTGTGATGACGGACGAACAGGCCAGGCCAATAGCGTATGCAATGGCCGTGTTGAACAGGTTGAGGGCTGATACAAGACCACGCATGTTGACGGGGGCACGGGAGTAAGCCAAGCCGTATGCTGGGACGTTAACGAACAGTTCCGAGATGCCGCCGATGGCGTAAGGAATGGCCATCCACCAGATGCTGATGGGGGCAACGCCACTGCCCTTCTTGCAGTCGCTCGAACCGTACTCTCCGCACGGAGATTGTTGGTACGCGTAATAATTTATAAGGGTGTAACCGACGCCTCCGAGGCTAGACATGGCCAGGCCGGTAGTGATGCGCGCGACGGGGCCATAATGGAAATTGAACTTCCGCAGAAACGGGTACAGGCCATAGTTCAGAATGGGCGCGAATGCGATGATACTGAGCGAGTTGAAGTTGGAAATGACGTCGTTGGGCACACCGTTGGTCTCCAGCATGGTTGTCAGGAAGCTGGCCGCGGCACCAATACCATTATCGTTGAGATACTGGATCGGGAAGAAGCAGAAGATGCCCGTTGCTTGGAAGGTCCGGCGGACATCCTCGACGAATTCGTCGTTCCACGGTGTCGGGTAGGTGCTGGTAAGTCCCGCAGCAGCAATGTCGGAGGGCTTAGCAAGGTCCCAGAAACCATGGCGGCCGACCCTCTTGATGCCTCCACGGCGAAAGCATATGCCGAGGATCTTGAAGACGTTGGGCAGATCACTACCGCCAGGAGGGTGGAGGACGATGCGCTTGTGCAGGAACCAGAGCAGGAGCGGAAGGGGAAGGTATAGGATGAGGGGGATCACGAAAGCGAGCCACCACTACACGCCGTCAGTATCTAGTCTGGGGACCGCGTCGGTATGCAGCGAGAAGCACTTACGCCGACATATTTCTCCGAGTACGCCGTAGCCACACCCATGAAACCGCCGATGTTAATCATGAGGTAGAACCAGAGCATGACGCGCTCCGTGGTGGACTCGGGGTCTTCAATGACCCGCTCGCCAGTTTTGAGCGTGATCACCTTGGGCACGGTGGTTGTGACCTGGTCGAGTAGCAGGGGCGAGACGTTTGGCTTGAACATGGCTGGCGAGCTGATCAGAACGTGGCTACCGTGCGCGGATGTGGAACGGAATCGGGGGCGGGGTGGGGGCACTTACCGGCACCGATGGAGAGGACGTAGACCGAGATGAAGTAGGGAGCCTTGGCCGTTCCGTTGGCCAAAAGGTCCTTGGAACCGGCGGCGACCATGAGAACATGGGCAATGCCGAAGACACCAACGCCCCAGCAAATGAGCTTGAAGCGGCCCGTCTTTGCGTCGGCCATCCAGCCGAACAGTAGAGGCAGGGCGTAAGCAAGCATGCTGAAGGACTGCGTCACAGCATTGGCAACAACAGTTCCCATACCGAGGGCACCAGCGGTGTCTTGGCTGCCGGCGCGCGGGGCACCCCAGCCGTTTCCGTCCGTAGGAAACGGCCGGTTGACGTAGTTGCTAATTAGAGGTTGTACGCCGTAGTACGATGCTCGCTCGCAGAACTCGACTACGCAAATGAGGTAGGCGAGAACGGGAATCGAGCCAGGCACACGACGCAAAACGCTCAATTCCTCCTCGGTCGGCTTGCCCTCGTAGTCTTCTTCCATCACGGAAGGGTCGAGGTATGGCGCATGGCTATCGCCGGGAGGGGTGTGTGGCTGCTTCTCCAAGTCGCCCATCGTAACGGAAGGGGAGGCGATCGAGTCCGCACCGGACGAGGGCGGTTTCTCCGCTGTCAAACCATCGAGTGTAAGCCACAGACTCATGGATGTGCCCGGTCTTCACGAGCACTTACTCATTTATATTTTAACCAGTCGGTTACTTTCGCGTTGGCGATGTCGGTGACGGAGTGTAAACTCGGAGGCTCCTTCAGAGTTGTGCGCAGATCGGGAAAGGGGAATGAGAGCGAGCGGCTGAAGCAGCGGATTCACGATTCGGGCCCTAGTTTTATGGGGGAGGGGGGGATTTAGTGCGGGCTACTAGTGAGAGATACAACCAAGTATATGCCCGTGTGCAGGTGGCCTTCCGTGGCTTTCCGTGGCTCGATGCATGATCCATTTTGTCCAAAGAATGGCGTTTTGTGGAGTGCATACTTCGCATGCGCTTCCAGGGACCGGAGCTGCAGCCAACCCGGCTACGGGCCCGGGGTCTTGCTCCCTCTCGAGGCTCCCGTACCTTACTATCCTGTCTTAGTGGCCGTCATGGCCGATGGTGCCTTCCCTCCTCGGTGCCCCTGGCCACACATCCACAGCGCAATCGCGCAACAGGAATCCTTTCGGTACGCGAGTAAGGAGCCTCCATTTTGTCAGCTCAATTCGGAGGAGGTGGGGCCAACTGTAACTGTCTTTTTTCTCATCCTCCCCATCCTCCCCGCTCTTCTCATTTGCCTAGGCATCTTTTTACTCGCAGCGATGCGCTGAGTGGTGCCGACTGTTCCGCGGCTCCGTTCCGCGGTGCCTTTCGCCTGTCTCGGTTCGACCGAACCGTCGCTTTCGATCTAGTGAACCCGGAGCGCGCCGAAACGCCTCTCCATCGACGGCGAGACTGGGTGGCTGGTCAAGGATGTTGCCTGCTTCGGGAATATTCACCACAGGAAGAGCGATACCGTGTGCGCGCGATAATGCTGGTATCCCCGGGAAGACTCGAGGAACTTTCGATAAGGGACGAACTCCCCGCACATGGCGTACTGCGACACTCACAGGGACACTACCCAGCGGGCCTGGCTGCCACGGCGATCTCTGCCCCTACCCGAGAATTCTCGTATACAGATTACAATGCATCGCATCGCCCGCCGCTTATCCCGCGTATCGCGGTCCCGTTTACCCGCCGGGGAATCGACCCTCGGGGGGCTGTTGAGGCTCCCTCGCGCATACCGACGACCCGGACGGCAAATGTGGACAAATCGGACGGATGCCCAAGTAGGAAGGTCGCAACAACCCCGACTCCTGGAGCTTTCGTTTGTGGGGGGTCGACATACGCCCTCGACCAGTTTGCCATGAGTTTTATAGAACACCTGTGAGGTTTGTTCATTCGTTGTTGAGACATCACAGCCTTGCCAAGTAAGAGACGTTCGACCGAGCCCATGCTTGACGTCGCGAGTTGGGCGGGAAAAGGCTTGTCTCCCTGCGCCAAGTCGTGCCGCGACCTTGGCCGCCGCCACCGTTTATCTTGGCGCCTTCCCCTTCGGGTAACTTACACGGATTCACATTTTGGCCGTATTGGTCCAAGCGTCGGCCCCAACTCGGGCAAGCACGCGCCTGATTCCTGAGAGCATCCAAGTACCTTCCATTCTCTCATCAAATCAACTCCCTACCTGGCAAACCCGAAAATCCCCGCTGCCGGATTCCCGGTCCCCGCATTCTTATCATTGACGCCGTTTTTGTCACGTGCATTTCAGGTTTTGATCAATGATCTGCTCTTGCTGATTATCTTCTGGAACTTTGGCACGTTGCGATGATAGGGGGAACCTCCTCCGCCCAGCCAGGCAGGTCGTCCCGTTTGGGTTTCGACCACAAGGGGCGGCGAACTCGCCGATGTTACCCCCAGACACCGCCAAGCAGGAAGAGCGTTGATATCCCACGCCGGGGACATCAAAACGTGATGTGCCACTGTGGACTGTGGAGATGGGATTCAGGCATGAAGTATGTACCTACCCAGTCACCCAACCATCATAGAAAACCCAGCGAGGTTCAGCTTCCATCTCATCTCATCTTGTTCCTCGCATCGGTGTTTTACGGGCCTGTTCATTTAGTTCTCTCAAACGGAGCGGAGACCAGAATCACGAATGGGTCTCTCAGGTGTTCAACTCAGTTAACATGCTCAAACTATGGTACTTAAATAAAGCGGAAATGGCCATTAGCTGCTAATATACTCGAGAACGCAAGCCGTTGAAGCAACCTTTGTGATCTCACGCACTGCATAGGTAGGTAGGTAAGCAACGTCCGTGTTTCCGGCCAGCGCAGACCTCCCCAAAACCTATACGCCCTGTCACGTCATCGACCTTGAACCCTAAGCAGGAACACCTACCCCACTCATCACACCATTCTGGGATGCACGCCCATCGCTGCGCTCATCGTTATCAGGCACATCACTCTTCCAGAGGCTTGTTCGCCCACCCAATGGTCGGCGGCTCCTCGCCGTTGAACACGACAAACGCGGCCTTTAGGGCGACATCACCCCAGATATTGATACCGATCCCACTGCTGCTCTGGAGCCCGCCGAAGCATGTGGGCGACCCGTCGGTCACGGCCGCATAGCTCATGTACGACGGGGGGATTGTGAACTTGGCTTCACCGATGCCGAAGACGAAGGGCGGCAGCGTCGAGTTGCAGGGGAACACATACCCGCCGTAGCTCCGGCTGTTGGTCGCCCCCTCCACCTGGCGGTAGTAGGCTGTGACAATGGCCGTCGGCAAGTACACGAGCGAGGTGCCCGTGTCGGCGATGCCCGTGATCGGGGACGAGCTGAAGGTTCCCGACCCCACGCCATAGCCGGACGATGTGAAGGTCCAGTAGCCTGGGTCTGTGTCGACGGGCACGTAGGTGATCTCGCCCGTGTACTTGCTCTCGTCGATAAACCCAAAATCGTACGTGCCCTCTGCGTGAAAGGAAGCACGTTAGTACTGACCATCGGCCGACGAACCGAACTGATCGGCACGCTATCACCTACCTTTCATGTACTTCAGATCGGCCGTGAACACCGGGGCATCCAGCTTCGGCTTGGCGTTGTCGAAGAAGGTCAATTGACCCTCGGGACTGACCGTGTTCAGGGTGCTGAATCCAAGTCCCACGAGCCCATCAATGTTGTCCTCAGTGGTGAAGCTCGACGACACTTCCTCGGCAGTCTCGACCGCCTGGGTTTCCACCATGATGCCGCCAATAGCGAAGTTATCGGTATACACGTTGCCGCGGGACCCGGACCCGTCGCCGTATCTGATGCTCCACGTGTGCCCGTCGAGCAGCTTGGATGTCGTGGACTTGTCTGGCGAATATATCTGCTGACCACGGACCTGGGAGGCCGGCGTGTGGCTCGAAAAAACCCAAAGGTCGGATGAACCAGTGTCAAGGTCGAGCTGGAGCGTCTGAGGAGGGGTTCCAATGGTGACGGGGGTCACGTATGCAATGTCAAACCTCGGGTCGATCGGCGTTGCTGCGGCGCTGCCAGTGTCGCGTTTCACCGCGGCAGCATTAAGCGCATCAGTGTGGGCTACGGCCCTGACGAGGTCGTCGGGCGCCGGGACACCGTATTTCAGATACGTTCTGTACACTTGTCGGGCGCCATTGAAGCGGTAGTTCGGGCGGGGAACTTGGTTAAGAGTGGCTCTGCCGTTCCCATGGCCGATATTGGTGGCGCCGATTTTCGGGGGTAGGGCCGAGCCAAGGCCTAGTCCGGCGAGGATGCTGGTCAGTACGAGGTTCGTGATGGTCACCATCCTGGCGGTGTTGGGGGTCGGGCTGGGGTAAGACGCCGAAGGTTCGAAGGGGATTTGTCCGGGGGCCTTGTGTTTGCTGCTCGGCAGGAGAGGGGGTAGGCGGCAGAACCAAAAGGCGGGCGACTTTGATCTCCCTGGTCGGCGGCAGGGGAGGTGTTGCTGGGCGAGGACGAGCTTATCTACCCTCTTGCCGTCTCCGCTCGCTGGGCAATATCTATCGACATGGCGATAGTCGACCCTAAGAGCACGAATGGCGGGCCATGTCTTGAACGTTGGACCGGAAAACCGACCCGAAAGGCGGGTCTGCTAGTTCCCGAGGCCTTCAACACCCGAAGGGGTAATGCTCCAGGCCTCGTCGACTGGGCCGGTGGGGCAGGGAGTGTGACGCGAGCCAGATCCGGGCTATGTGAGATCGCTAGACGTTGTATTCGCCCCGGCAAAAGGTTGCAGTGTCGCTTTCGAGTCCCTTCCCCAGTTTGCCGCTTACGACAACGGGCCCCAGCGCTGCCGCCGGATCCAGTACATACTGTGTACATATACCGCCGCCTTGACTTGGGAATCCACGCGCAGCGTGGGCGATAGAAATGAGGTGCTCCGTGGGATGACCTGGGAGGCGAATTAGACGCCGCTGTTGTTTATTGCAGGCTTGCAACTCCCGTAACACGGCCTCGGCAGTTTAGCCAGATCCCACCCACCAGACCGGTAGTAGCCTATCACATGAAGTGGGAGCTTCCCCAGCTTGCTGATCATAGCTGCCGTGAAGGGAATACCACAGTCAATATCTACATTTCCTGGCTCCCAACGGCGTTGGTCGTGCCGTGCCCAACTGTTGGTGGTCTGGCCGTGTCTTGCATAAAGAGCCAAGACGCGCTTTGCGGCATTTGCAACCCCTCTCCCGCTCTCACATCTTGATACTGACGATGCCGTAGGTGGAATCGTCTTCACTTTGTTCGGTTGATATGAGGGGATAAGCGCTGTTATCTACACAGTAAGCGAAACAATGGCGATTGTTCTGGGTCCGTTCCCGCCATATTGTTGGGAGACCCAGGCGGAGGAGTGGCCGGGACGTTCAACCGGTCGAGCCGTATAATCTCAGAGGATTGTGCAGGGCCTCGATCGGTGTTAGGAGGAAACTCACTCCAACAATATGTCCGTGACACGGCCGAGTCGTCTGTGGCACAAGACGAATACGCTCTCTTATCCATCCAAGCCATTTGCTGCCGTGCGCCCAGTGATACGGCACATCCTTGCGGTAATGCTTCATCTCGAAAAGGGCCAGATTCAAGGCGGGGGTACCAAGTCTTCATTGACATAGAAACTAAACACGAATTAGTATGTGGTCCTCCGCTTTGAACCACAAACCGAAGCCAACACCGGACATAACCTAGGATGGCCAGATTCTAGGTTTATACACAATACTTTGCCAATCGTACATTCCGTTACACTGAAGTCCTGTCGATCGTGTCATTGGGCCCCCCTCCCCGGTTGACCTTTCGCCGGGCCCATCTCCCGAGAACCTTGTTGGCGGCGGCAGGTGAGACAAACGGCGTCCCCGCACCGATCATCCTCTAGCGCAGCCGCGCTGCTGATACGAGCTCTCGTGTAACCCGACCCCTCCCCCCTCCCTCCTTCTTAGCGGTATCAGCCCCCAACTCCGTTATTCATCCTCGACAAGCGGATGCGCGACACGGGTGCATCCCAACCCCCGCCCCATGAGCGATTCTCCGCAGAGCGTGACGTACGCGAAAACAGCACGGTAACCAGCTCCTCTTCCTCCTCGTAGCGGGGTGGTTGCGGAAACTATCGCGCAAAGACCTTGACCACTCCGTCGCCGCCGCCGCTCACCACCCATTTGCCGTCCTGACTCCAGACGACGGTGCAGACGCCCTCGCCACGCATGACACGGTGGTTGGTGATTTCCTGGGTGCAGGATCGCTTCTCCAACGACCAGAACCGCAGGGAAGCATCATGACCCGCGCTGACTAGCTCCCGACCGTCGGGGCTGAGCGACAGGCTGGAGATGGAGGCTGGGTGAGCGACCATGTTGTACGTGCATTGGCCTATTCAGGTGGGGTTAGTTTAGTCTCAGTGCGAGTCGGGGCGGGGATGCCACCGGGACAACTTACCGCTGTTGGCATCAAAGAACCGCACGTAACAGTCCTCGTGGCCGGAGATGATGACACCTTCGACCCCGGATCCGGCCATAGCTCGACCACCGCCGGTTGGCCCACCGCCAGCTGTGTCCTCCTCGCTCAAACCTTGATGGGGTTGATGATCCAGTCCGGCGGTCGTCGCAACGACTGCGTTCACGCTGGTCGACACTGTGCCGTCGTATGTTTCTAGGCTTGCCATGGTGCCGATTTCCTCACCGGAGCGTGTGTCATAGACAATAATGGCAGCATCTGAGTAGCTAACCACAAAGGTTTCACCGTTCAGGCTTAGCGGCGTGATGCATGTCGGGCTTGCTTTCGAGTTTTGGCGCGAGATGGTGTGGATCAGCGTATGATGGCACGGCGAATTCGAGGCTGTTGTGGGTTGCGGCGAGTTGGGGAAGGCCGAACCAGAGCTCATTGAGTTGCCCCTGACACGACCGCCTTGTGCGCGGCGTCCACCAGTAGGCTGCGGCGAGGTAAGCTGCGGAGGCGAGCTGACTGCCCACACCTTCACGCAGCCATCCGCCGCCCCGGACACGAGCAAGATGCGGTCTGGTGTCCCGTATGCGTTCGACTGGCCGAAGATGGCCCCCAAGTTTGCCGGGAGAACGCAGAGCCCCCAGACAGCGTCGGTGTGGCCGTCCAAAGTCGACTTGGGATCTACCCTCCCGCGCTCCCAGATCCGGATCGTTGCATCTTGCCCGCCGGAAAAGATCCAGCCGTCGCCCTGCGCGCGGCCTCCTGTTGCGAAGTTCGGGGACGGCGACCAGGATGTCAGTGAGAGGACTGCTCCGGCATGGCCACGATGTGTAAAGTCTGCAACGACGTCAAGGTCGGAGCCGCTAGCACCCATGTGCCCGGGATGCCGATCGGGAATGTGGAACCGCTTGATCGTCCCGTCATCCCCGGCAGTGCAGATCTCGGGTTCGCCGGGGCTTCCGCCGCCGGAGAAGATCACGGTCCGGACCGTGTCTAGATGACCGCGCAGACCAAACTTGAGCTTGAAGTTGGAGCTTTCAGCCTTCGGGCCTAGGGCGTTGAGGGATAGCTCGTGGTCTGCGCTCCTCCTACGGGCCATTGAACTTGAGCTCTTCCTCCGGTGTGCGAGCGGTGCGCGGTTTGGCGATCGCGGAATGTTCTCCGCCGTCGGAAATACATCGGTATCTGGGCGGGTGGTTGAGGCCTGTTGGGGCTGATTGGGCGCAGCAGTGTCTGGGAAGTTGCCATCATTAAAATCCCAGCTATCCGCCTCATCCACGGTGCGTTTCTCGGCGCCGTCTCCCTTCTCTTCGGTTTCGTTTATATGTTGGGGTTGGTTGACCAGCTCGGTCCCCTGCTCTGTCGTCGGCCTCACAGGCGCGGGCCCCTGCGCTGGCCACTCGGCGGAGTTTCCGTACCCTGCGGGAGGATGTTCGGTGTTCGAATTGCGGCCCAGTGGTGCGGGCTGGGTATCGAGCGGTTTGACCGGGAAGTTTCCGGACGCTGGAGGTGCGGGCGCCTGGCTGTTCGGGACTGGGGCTGGGCGCGACTGCGCTTGTGCCGTGACGTACTCGCGGACGTTGTTCTGTTGTTGCTGCTGTTGCTGTCGTAAGCCCTGCTGGTAGGACTGGTCCAAGAGCGGCTGGCCGAATGCGTCCCCCTCTCGTAGATCTTCGATTATCGGGAGCGGCGGAGACTCTCTAGGGGCTATCGGGTTCGCAGGAGTGATCATTAGGTAGGTAAATTCGGCTTGACACTGGTCGAGGAATGATTTCAGCTCGTTGCGCGAGGCCTCTTCGTCAGCGAGACCGGCTTCGAGCGAGCCGCCCTCCATCGAAGGCGCGCTGGGTTTCTCCAACGACGCTGCGTGTCCATGCATCTATTAGCTTCGCGATCATTGGCCGAGGCGCAGAGAGCGTGGCTTCAAACGGGACTTACGCCGTAGTTTCTCCTGGAGCAGCGAAGCGCGATCCAGCTTAGGATCCGCTTCGGTCGGCTTATCAGATTTCAACAAGGCCGACTGGTCCTTGACCTTCTTTTCGAGGATTGTGACATATTTTTTTAGCGCCTTTTGTGTCGCGTCGGCTCTCCGTGTCTGACCCTCGAGGCTGGCTATCCTGCTCTTCATTTCCTGCTTCTCGATTTCCCAGGCGTTGCGGTCGCGTTCGTGGCGGTGCCATTCTGTTTGGAGAAAGCGCATGACACCTGTGTGCCCCAGGTTAGCTCTTGACGCCCTCTCTCTGGCCTTGAACGCTGCACCGACCTTGTAGGGTGTACTCGGTGGTTGGCGGTTGGTTGGCGTTGTTCCCCATCATGCCGCCCGTCTCGCCCAGCCCGCTGCCTCCGTTTGTGCCCATGGCGGCGACCGGGGCCTAGTTTAAACGTCGCAAGCGTCCAAGTCGATCACTCTGGCCATGGACAGGCCGGCGTGGGATAAGAGTGTTGTTGGAGGCTGGGTAGAGAGCTCTGGGCGGGAGCTCCGACCTAGGTGGGTAGTGTTGTCGCTCAGGGGAATGAACGAATGTTCCTGTAGCTGAAGCAAATCCGGCGGGTGCGCTCGAGAAGCACAGCGCGCCGATGTCGTGGGACGATGGGCTCGAGGATCGGGACGTTGAAAGGGGGTCATGCGCGCGCGTAGGAATAAATTTTCGGGTCTGCCAAATCAGTCTGCAGCAGGGCGGCAACGCTCGCCTGTGCCTGGTGATGCTGGCCAAAAGTGGCAGGCCCGCAGGCCAGGAGCTTGTTGGGGCCCACAGATTGCTGGCACGGCTGGCGAATTACAGTTCTTTGTGCGCCATGAGGCTGCAAGGCACGCTAACCTGAAATTTCCGTTATCGGGTTTTTAAACCCTTGCTGAGAGTGATTCTCGAGTGTTCCTCTTTGGAAATTACAAGAGGAACACTTGAGGATTTGAGTCTGGTTACAAGTGCAAGTGCACCTGAAAGAACAACTTGGGAGTTCATTATCATGGGGTGCAAAGACAAAATGATAGTTCCCTTTCCAGGCCATTCATAACCTGCACCGTCCTGTCTTCCAAAAGGGGCAGTATATTGATTGCCATGGAACTTTGGCGCGTTGGTCTGTTGGCTTGATCTTAACTCAGCTTGACGTTCACTCGAGACATCAATTTACCAGACGGGCCACGCTACATTGGATAAAGATTGCCCAGGTGCGATTGCTGAAAGTTGGGTGGTTCGAAACAATGAGTTGTCGATGGATAACAACCAGAATCAGGAATCAGATTTCCAAGCGGCAACAGACGAGGAACTCGCGCGATGATTAAAATGTTATCCCTCAATAATTCTCCCTCAAGACGCTCCGAGGTGGCGTGATGTCTTCACAGCTCTAGCTCTTCGACTTCCATATCACAGGTCAAGCATGTCTTCACCGTCATTCCATCCTCGTTTTCGACGGTCCGCCCCCATTCATGCACATGTTTCCCGCCGCCGCCGATGGTATCCCCGAATTTAGTCGCCTTGCCTATCCCACCTCCCCCGGCGCTGCTCCCAGCCTTTGCATTGTTTCGGCGAAATGCATCTGTCCTAGTTTTTCGCTTCAGGTCCAGGAGTTTCTCTTTGAACTTCGCCTCCTTGCGCCTCTTCTTATCTGCCTCGCGCTTCTCGAACTCGGCATCCAGCGCTTCGGTCGAACCCCACTTCTGGTTGAATGCGTAGTCCTCGACCTGGTAGCGGAGGAAGAGCATCATGTCATGCCAGTGAGACTTGTGTGGATTCGGCTTAGATAGGTGCGGGAGGAGTTCATCGTCTTTAAGTTCGGCTGGAGGACGGTGGTTAGCGCTGCGGTGCATGTCAAGGCCTCCCGTTGCCAGATTCACTTACGCTCCGTCAACAAATAATCCTCCTTGCACTCTGTCTTGGTGAGCAAACTATATTTCTCCGGATACTTTTCCTTGCAAGTGTTGCACACGGCGCAGCCAAAAACCTCCTCCCAGACAAAGTCGATCTCCACGGTGCGACACTCGCGGCATCGTTTCTTGGTCTTCTCGTCGGCGAGGACGCTCAACGAGGGCTCAAACGGCCCTGACTTGTTGCGTTGCAACTTTCTGAGCAGCTGCATCCGCTCCCACTCAGCCGCCGACATATGCGCCGGCTTCTGCTCGGCACCCGGCGGGCCGGATGCGGAGACACCTGTAGACATGCTCTTGTTCCAAGGATCATCCTCTGTGCTTAGAAAGCCGCCCTTGGTGTCGGTCATGGCACTGAAGTTGTAATCGACATATTTGCTAAACTTGCGCGACATGGGCGGCAGCTCGGAGCCCCCTGTGCCGGCCCCATCTTTGGAGGCAGTTGTGCGCGCATCGCGCTTCGTTGTCGGCACCTCAGTTCGTGAGATGGATGTGTACGGCCGCTTCTTCCCGGCGGGGCCGGCGAGCCGAATATCGTCTGTCGCGACAAAGCCGGAGGCTGTTCGGGGTTCGGGCTGGACTCCAGCGGATCTTTGCTCTTTGTCGCGCTGGTCGCGAATGGCTTTGGCGCGCAGTCGCGACTCTTCCTACGATTCAAAATGTCAGCGTAAATCGACGGAAAGGGGAGACGAGGGACTCACTATCCGGCGGGTGACATCGGGTGTTGGCGGGGATGGTGGCCGTCTCGAGGCTGGTGCTCCTTGAGGTTGCGGTGGGGTGCCAGGGCGGTCCATGTCGAGGCGGGGATTTCTAGGTTGTTAGCCGATGCGCGCGAGGTGGTGACATGTCCTGTGTATATATAATGGACCCCAAAAAGAACCCAGGACACTGGGCCCAACTTTACTTGTCTGAATGCGCGAGAAGAATGAGTTGGCAAGATGGCTGGAGGTTGTTGAAATGCTAAAGTTCTGAACAGCCCGGACCCCAACCCGGCAGGCAACAATGTTGGGGAACTTAAAACTCGGCACGAACAAGTATCTCACGCACGACATATGTTGGGATTGAGGCGCACTGCACGTACATCAAAGAAAACCACTTTAGAGCGCAGTTTGGTTTCATCTTTCGTCGTGGTGGGCCATTGGGGTGCCCGAATTAGCTCGCCGTGGATAACCTTGACCGTTTCGCAGGTTCCTTGATCGTTCCGTGGGTTGTTATCGTCTAGTCACGTCTTCATCTATTAATTACCACTACCATCATGTCCGTAATCATGCGTTGTATTGTACAAAACTGGTTCAGGTTGTTGACCCGGCCCGTCGCCGCCAGTCTCGTTCTGATTACTCCTCCTTGGCACCGCCACGGCCAGCGCGCTCGGCCGCCTCAACCGCCTTCTTGTCAGCCTGGGCGGGGCCGCCCTGGAGTCCGCTCATCAAGCCGGCAGCCTGCTTAAACGGCCTCTTGAGATCACCAGAAGCCGGCTTGCCCCAGATGTGGATCTTGGTCAAGTTCGCCTCGAGGGCGCCCTTGAGAGGGATGATGCTCTGGATGAGGAGAGGGTTGGTGTACTTGAAGTAGATGTGCATGACGCCCATCATGAGAACACCCATACCCTGCGAGCGCAGGAGGGTCTTGAGCTGGCCAATGTCGTAGGCGTGGACGGTCGTGGTGACGAGCTTGCCCTCCTCGCTTGAGCCCATCGGCGCCGGCTCGACGTACTTGAGCGTGGTCATATCTAGGAGACACGACGGTTAGCATCACCGGATCGGTAGGAGCATGGTGGTTGTGCGCTGTTCGGGCCTGGACCTAAACATACCCTTCTTCTTGTCGATGACGACCTTGATGTAGATGTTGATGCTCAGGATGATCAGGTTGCTAGCGATGTAGATGGCGCGGCAGATGTTGAGCACGTTCGGATCCTCAAACGGGATCCTCTTCGCGACCTGCATCATCCCCAGGATGATGATCAGGTTCGTTCTGCGCGACGTCCACGTTAGCCATTCCGTCGCTGTCCACCTGTATTCTTCCGGCTGAGCTCGCGTGTCCTTACATCTGGGGGCTGAGACCGGCCATTGTGACTAATTGTGTCGAGCGTCGCGAAGAAGAAGCGGGTTTGTGTCTTCGCGATTTGGGCGCGACTGTTTTGCGGATGCCAGCGTGGAAGGTTGAGTAGGGGGCAACGCCGCGAGTTTTTTTGGATCTGGAAATGTCCCCACAAATGGGCTGCCGCAATCTGATTTCGAAGGAGGCAATTGACAGTTGAACTGACCGAACCAGCTCCACTTCTCTCCGTGTCCCCCGGTCCCTGTTGGCTTCAGCTTCAGGCCCAGTGCTGGGCACCGGCGTTGCGGTTCTTCCGTGGCTGATCCCCCCCGGAGACAAAGAACCCGGCCGCCTTACTGGCTCCAGCGCTGGCCCAGGCCCACCACGCACGCCCCAACAGCACGAAAAGGCCACGTTCGCGTTTGGTTGAGGGCTTCTTCCATCTTCCACGATCAGGGAACCCATCGTGGACCCAGCGCGTTCCCACGTGAGAACCACCCCATTGGTTTCTTTCGAACGGACGTTTGTCAAAAGGGTGACGAAGTACGAAGCACCTACTATGTACATACGAAGTAACATTAGACGAACTGCCTTCACGTTAGCAAGCGGCTTGAGCTGCCGAGGCTGCTCCCGTAGTTGCTCGACCAGATGTTTGGGAGGAAGTGCCGGAACTCTCGAGAAATACGGTACCACCGGTTTCTGGTGAGGTCCATTCCCGGGCTGTATTCGAGCTAAAATTCTGCTGAAAGGAAGGTACCTAAAGCCGAGCTTGGGGAAGGAGCAATAAGCATCAAGGCACCTAACGAGTAGCCTCCCGCACTAATGCATCCAAGCTCGAATGCCCACCGAGTCCATGGCAACCACATCCATCTGACTCTACTGGGTGCTAGTAGTTGGGTACCTGCCTAGGTGTATGCCACCCTACCTATCTCGTCGCCCTCTAGGTAAAAAAAGCCGAACTCCAAAAAGGAAAATAAGAAACTAAGCATTGAGTGAAAGAAATCGGGAAAACAAATCAAACAAATTGGGGGCATTTGGATGGCTTTCGTTTCGTTCCGACAGTCGACGGTTTGTCGACGGCTGCGCTTGGGAAGTGCTCGCGACCAAGACACCTCTCGAATCTTTCGTTACCGCTAATTAGTTCTTGTCTCAGTAAAGGGTAGACCTGCGGTTCCTCTTACACAGGGGGATGCGGCACTGAACCAAAGGACCTGGTCATTTCGTACCGTGATGCTCCATCGGTTGTGTGGTTTTCGAGAAGAATTTAGTAACGGGGCCAACATGAGGATACAACACTCCATAGACGAAGTAGCGGATTCCAGTTATAAGGGAGGCGCGCTACGGGTGCCCAGTCGACATCTAAACAGTATGTACATACATCGCCAAGGTGATGGTCTCGTTTTTCCTGGAGCCCATGGTGCTGCACCTGAATCACGGTTACACCATGATAGACCCTGAGTACCTAGACAGGGCGAACGGCTCCCCTGACCATCACTCTGATTAGATCTGCAAGCAGCCCGTGCCTGCACGGCTCGCTGCATCCCCGAGACGGGTTGCGGGGTCTTGACATCCCAGCGCTGAGGATCTGCCGTGATGTCGGTTCCCGCGTTCTTTTTCAGCCGGGAAGAGCCCGAGGAACAGACGACGAACCAGGAGATAGTTTATTCAGCCCGTACTCCACCCTCCACGAGCCACGGCATTAGATATAGATCCAGCCCGGGGCTCGACTTAATTCTCCGTAGGGTTGATGCCCAGGTACGCTAGGTTGTCATTCTAGACTCAGCTTCCTTCACGGCGCCTGGACAAGGTGAAATGTGCCGGACTGGTCTGAGATTCAGCCTATGATCCTCGGGATAAACTCAGAGGACAAATGAAAAAAGGGGCGCTCTCAAAGAGGCAACCACCCCCGACTTGGCTCCTCGCTGGTGGCTGCCATGTGCTATCACCCCTCTCGACCCCAGTTCCATCGTAGGAGCAATTGACCAGTGAATGTAATCCTGTTCCTGGGCCGGGGTCGCTGCTCGCCAATAGGAGAGATCGGAGGGGGGAAAGACGGACAGGCCGACATGAGAGAGTTCCTCGGTGGAACTTGGCATCACGAGCAAGGAGGGAGGAAGCTTGGTAAGAGATGTGGAATACCAGCATTAATATATACCCCAGCTACTTGGGAGGGTTCCCCGCTCGAATAGATTGAAAGGATGCACCCCGGACATGCTCGTTGGAGCGAGCCGCGCATGCTGACTGCCACGTTCTGCTCTCCCGCACTCTCGGCTAATAGAGTACCCCAAACTTGACCGAAGACTTTGAGGAAATCTCCGCACTCAACTCTGGGGAAAATGTGGGGGTCTTGACCCCGACGGCGAGCCCCTGGATCGGTCGGCCTTTGGGGAAGCCGGCTCGGGCTGGGGTTTAAGAAGTCCTGGTTCCTCTTGGATGGTCGGGGAAAGATCTGGTACTCTGTACTCGACCATCCACCAAGCCCCTTGCCGAGCCGAGTCCTCTTCCATCCATCCGCGTATTCCGACTTGAGTCGATATGCACGCCGTTTCCAAGTTGGTGGCGGCCGGGGGCGCTCTGGCGCTCTGTAAGTGAAACCCGCACCGTCAAGCCCCGGCCGCTTCGTCTAATGACATTTCCTAGGGCTGCAGCCGGCGGCCGCGCAGGCACAATGTGCCAACGTCTCTTCGACCGAGACGTACGACTACATTATTGTAGGATCCGGTGCGGGCGGCATTCCCATCGCGGACCGCCTGAGCGAGGCCGGCCACAAGGTGCTTCTGATCGAAAAGGGGCCGCCGTCGACCGGCCAATGGGGCGGAATAATGAAGCCGGACTGGCTGATCGACACGAGTCTGACTCGCTTTGATGTCCCCGGTCTGTGCAATCAGATCTGGGCCGACCCGACCGGCGCGATATGTACCGACGTCGATCAGATGGCCGGTTGCATGCTCGGCGGCGGAACCGCGGTCAACGCGGGACTGTGGTGGAAGCCGCACCCTGACGATTGGGACGTCAACTTCCCCGAGGGTTGGCACAGCGGTGATCTAGAGGCCGCCACGGAACGGGTCTTCTCTCGAATTCCCGGCACCATCGCGCCTTCAATGGACGGCGAGCGATACTTGTCGCAGGGCTTCGACATGCTGGGCAACAGCCTCGAGACAGCGGGCTGGGAGTACCTAGTCCCGAACGACCACCCGGATAAGAAGAACCGCACCTACGGGCACAGCACCTTCATGTATTCCGGTGGCGAGAGAGGCGGGCCGTTGGCCACCTATCTTGTGTCGGCATTCGAGCGCGAGAGCTTCACTCTCTGGATGAACACAACCGTGAAGCGGGTGATTCGGGAGGGCGGACATGCTACCGGCGTCGAGGTAGAGTGCAGCCGCGGCGGAGTAGGCCATGCTGGGACCGTCGCGCTCACCCCCAACACGGGTCGCGTGATTATTGCGGCGGGAGCATTCGGCTCCGCGAAGCTGCTTTTCAGGAGTAAGCTTTTCCATTTCGACTGCCACTAGACGACGTGTTGGACTGACCAAAAGTACCTAATCAGGCGGTATTGGGCCGACGGACCAGCTGAACGTTGTCAAGAACTCGACCGATGGCCCAACCATGATTGATTCGGAGCAGTGGATCAACTTGCCGGTCGGCCACAACCTGAACGACCATGTCGGGGTAAGCTCTTTCCTTCTCAGTCGTTGCGCGGTGACATGCAAAACAAGACAAAGAGGAAGCCGGACACCGCTGACTGACCGGGGTTGATCACCCCTTAATAGACGGATATCGAGATTGCGCACCCGGACGTGGTTTTCTACGACTACTATGGCGCCTGGGACGAGCCGATCATTCCCGACACCGAGTCTTACTTGGGTAGGTTGCTTGACGAATCCCGAGCCGTGACTAGGGGGCCGAGGAAGCTGACGATACGCAGCCAACAGGACTGGTCCGTTGGCCCAGGCCGCCCCTAATATTGGACCGATTGTAAGTCAAAGTCCTGTCGGAAAGGGGCCGCTATCTCTTCTGTTTACTAACCGCGTGACATAGTTCTGGGAGATCATCACAGGAAGCGACGGTATCTCTCGCCACCTCCAATGGCAGGCTCGCGTCGAAGGAACACTCAACAGTGAGTCCCAATGATGGCGCCGAGCGAGCGGGCAGCAAGGGCATACTAACTGGCATAGCGTCCATGACGGTCACCCAGTACTTGGGCACAGGCACTCTGTCCAGAGGCCGGATGACCATCACGAGACAGTTGAACACCATCGTCTCTACCCCCCCTTACCTCCGTGACGAATTCGACAGGGAGGCAGTTATCCAGGGAATCACCAACCTCCGAGAGTCGCTAAAGGGTGTGGCCAACCTGACGTGGATTACCCCTCCCTCGAACGTCACGGTCGAGGCTTTTGTAGACTCGGTGAGCAAGAGTCCAAGCCTGCCTCTGGCCTTCGGGCGGCTGGGATATATGCTGATACGGGTGCTCTATAACAGATACCGGCTACCCCTGCGAAACGTTGCGCAAACCACTGGATTGGTAAGACCTTCTCACCGGCTGCCGTTGTTGTAGATATAAACTGACAGTTTTTGGTGTCAGGTACGGCCAAGCTGGGCACCGACGACGGACGGACCGGTGGCACCTCGGTGGTGGACCTCGACACCAAGGTGTACGGGACTGACAACATCTTTGTCGTCGACGCCTCCATCTTCCCTGGCCACATCACAGGCAACCCATCGGCTGCCATCGTCATTGCGGCCGAGCACGCAGCGGCCAAGATTATGGCGTTACCGGCACCGGAACCCGCGGAATCTTCGTAGTCTTTTCTACTTGCTGTTGGCTAAGAGCCCAAGACTCAGCTCGGGCACCGGGGGGTAGCTTTATTATCTGAATCGTCAGTCGGAAACATGTATTCAGGTCGGATTTCCAGATAGCTGTATCCAAGGTACCGGTTTGTCGCGGGCTACCTACATGTATCTGGCTCTAGGTGAATATTATTCGTCTTCGCACTCCGCGCCACGCTTAAGTGGTGTTACTCCTCGTCGTATGTCGGAGAGCAGCATCGTAATGAGTGATGACCAGATCGGGATTACTGGTCGGTCGTAAGTTAGCAACGGCCGGCAAGACAGTATCAGCTCAGGACGAACCGTCTCCTGTGGGTGCCGGAATACGCCTTCGACAAAAGAAAAGGGATAAACAGGGTTTCAATAAGGACTGGGGGATTTGTTTTCATACCTTCCTCGAACTCGGTGCTGTAACGTGGCACTCGGGGGGAGGTATGCCAGTGTTCCTCGCCGTCCACCTAAGAAGGACAAGCGTGGAGTACCAATCTGGCTGGAGTATTATGGTCCCGGAGTCGAAGCACAGTGCCAGACCACAGAGTAACTTCTGTCCCCAAGTGACGCGTAATTCGTTGTTTGCGTTAATAATGGCAAATATTGCGCAACCAACCTGGATGGAGGTTTGAAAACAGGAAACCGGCACACTTCACACCCGCTCGCTATCACCTGGGGCCTTCGAATTAATCAATATACCACCTCATCTTGGGCTGCCTATCAAGGCCATTGGCTATTGGTCAAACCCGCCCTGTCGCGCAGAGCGCCTCCTTAATCGGGGAGAAAAGTACCTCACCAGACTCGAACCGCGCCAATTGCCAGCGTATACCCGCGGGGATGGCAGCTTGTGCCCAACAACGAGGCCGTGAAGCGGACGGTTGGTTTGACACCATCTCAGGATAAGTTCCCGGGAGCTCCGAGCCTGGCAAGGGAACGTTCTAAATCGAGCGAGAATATTCGTACCCATGCCCATTTTTATTTCATGGCCGGGGCATCAACGTGGGGGACAAGGGGGGGTATGACCGTGAACTTGACATCTCGAAGCCTCGGGGTGGGCACAATACATGTACATACACACGCCGGCAGAAAGATACCGAACGCTGGAGCCCCTTGTTGCGCCCTGGCGCCGATCACCAACAATGCTAAAGATAGCAATGTGCATACAGCGCGTCATGGCGGTCTAGCTGATCATGGAAGGGCGGAAGGACGGTCACGGAGACGTCTGGTATTCGGACCGTTTGGCAGTGATTCCGCGCCGCAGTGAAGAGGAAGGGGCTGGCTTTGTGGAGCGTCTATGCATCACCACGCCGCCAGCGGTCTGCCCAAGCTCTGGGCGGAGGTGCTCTTAGCCTGCCCGGGGAGTGCTGGGCCACCCATGCATCGGGGCGCACGCAAAGGTCTCGGCCCAAAAGCCAAGAGGTGACGCGAGCCCCCAGACTACTCGGTTCGAATCTTTTGGTTTCCAGGACCAGCAACCCCATGTCGCTTTGTGCGGGATTCATGCACTCCACAACGCACCCGCAGGGGCCGTGTTAGTGGACCGTGGGACAGGTGGACGCGGAGCGAAGTGCCGTTGTTCTGTTTTAGAAAGTCAACAATATCAGCACCTCTTGTAAGTGGCCGGAGCTGCACTTTAGCCGGCCGGGCCAAGGCGGCAGACGGCAACCGGGACCCAGGACGGGCAGCTCTGGATAGAATCCGGGAATTCCAGCTTTGCCAAGGAGAGAAATTCAGTCCATCGACGGAGCCAACCCGATCTGGGGAGGATGTGCAATACCGACGATGGCGGTCGGGGGTGGGGGGAGGGCGGCAAGGGTGGCAGCTGTGAGGCCTGGCAGTATTAGTATAAAACAGAGTCCTCATACCGATAACCCGGGAGAGAAGACCAGCCACTGACGTCGTGTTCCACCGCCAGACACTCTTCTTATTGTGAAACCCCAACACAAGGAGAACAGCGCAGTCTTCACCATGTTGACCACCACCTTCGCTCTCCTGGGGGCTGCCCTCGGCGCTAGCGCCCACTACACCCTCCCCAAGGTTGGAAGCGGCTCCGACTGGCAGCACGTCCGCCGGGCCGACAACTGGCAGAACAACGGCTTCGTCGGCGATGTCAACTCGGCTCAGATTCGCTGCTTCCAGTCGAGCCCTTCCGCCGCCCAGGAGGTCTACAGTGTCGCGGCTGGCTCCTCGGTGTCCTACTCCGCTAGCCCTAACATCTACCACCCGGGCCCCATGCAGTTTTACCTCGCCCGCGTCCCTGACGGACAGGACATCAAGTCGTGGAACGGCGATGGCGCCGTGTGGTTCAAGGTGTCCCACGAGCAGCCCAACTTCGGCTCCCAGCTCACGTGGCCCAGCAACGGTATGTCCCTCCCCTCCACCGAGTGGCCTGCAAGACTGCAAGCCCTGCGACTCGGTGACACGGCGCCACTGACAATTCTCCCTTTATAGGCAAGAGCTCGTTCGACGTCCCCATCCCGAGCTGCATCAAGGCCGGCAAGTACCTCCTCCGCGCTGAGCACATCGGACTGCACGTCGCCCAGAGCGCAGGTGGCGCTCAGTTTTACATCAGCTGCGCCCAGCTCGATGTCACCGGTGGCGGCAGCACTGAGCCGTCCAACAAGGTCGCCTTCCCCGGCGCGTACAAGGCTTCGGACCCCGGCATCCAGATCAACGTCAACTGGCCGATCCCGACCTCGTACCAGAACCCCGGCCCCCCGGTCTTCAAGTGCTAAGCTGCTATGCTGCTAAGCTGCTAGAGAGAATGAACTGGCAGGAAGAAGTTGGTGGGTGGTGGGTGGGCCTTGTCCACTCGCTGAGAGTGAAATAAGCCTTGGTTTTATTCCTAGGCGACGACACCCACTCGACGGGTGATCAGCTAGGTCGCCAACCCAATCTGTATATAGATATCTTCAACCTTGAACATACATCGTAGCATTGGCTCAAACACATTCAAAAATGACAGCGACCCAGTGACACCAAACCCAACCCCTGAATATTGCTCGGAACATGCGGGGCCTTGGTTATTGAACGCGTTATACACATTCTTACCATCCGCAGGACTAATAAAACTGGCTTACAGATACTGAAAACGTGTAAGAATGACACAAGCCCAAGAGCAGCTGGAACAAACTCTGAAAAACAAAGCAGGTTTGGCATCACGGCTACAGCGAAGTGTGATCTGAGCTCCGAGAAGAACTCTGAAGAGAGGCCCATGGTGGTGGTTAGGTATAGTCGGAGCCATGGGCCCCAGAGGCGTTGTTAGTGACTGTCTTCTGTGGTGACTGTCTCCTGTGGGATAAATGACCTGCGGCCATCTCGGGGGCACTCCTTGGGGGGTTGGGATACACCCTCCGGAAACCCTCGCGTGTGCCGAAGTGTTAATATAAGTTAATATCTGACTCCCTTGTGACCCGTGTTCCAAGCACCCAGATTTGACGTACCCCAGGATTCGGCAGTTGCACCCCGGGATTGGGTAAACTCACTTGGTTCGGTGGTCCAACACCCAGGGCACGGCATCCCGATGCAGTAATGTTGCAATGTTCAATGACACCAAATACACTCTATTTGGGGATCAACGCAGGGGACATGCTAGCATGGATTTGACCTGCCGATCAATGGAGCCACTGCCCTGCGAGCCCGCCAAAGGCTATAAGAGACGTCGATCTTGACCCTCCCCCCGACCTAGGTCTCATGTGTTTGTACCACTCGCGCCCATAGTCATCCAAAAAGCCTCCAACCCCCCGAGAACACCAAAAACAACTCCCAGGATGCAGCTTATCACTGGGTTGTTGCTCGCAGCTACGGCTGTCCAAGCACACTGTATGCCCCCTTCCCCCTTGGCCAGACACCTGGTTCAGGGCATACGGTTAATGCCTCTAAATAGACACCTTCCCAAGGCTGGTGGTTAATGGAAAGTCCGAGGACAAGGACTGGTCCGCCACCCGCATGACCAAGAACGCGCAAAGCAAACAGGGAGTCGAGAACCCAACTAGCGGTGACATCCGCTGCTACTCGTCGCAGACGGCGTCTAACGTGGTGACGGTGCCGGCCGGGGCCACTGTCAACTACGTCTCGACGCAGCAGATCAACCACCCGGGGCCGACACAGTACTATCTCGCCAAGGTCCCTGCCGGGTCGTCGGCCAAGACGTTCGACGGTTCGGGGGCTGTCTGGTTCAAGATCGCGACCACGATGCCGACCACCGAAAACAATCAGCTGGTTTGGCCGGGGCAGAGTATGGCGCGCCGCTTCCAATTCCTGTTTGGAACAAGCAGTTGCTGACCCCGATCACAGACACCTACGAGACCACCAAGGCTACCATTCCCGCCGACACCCCCGACGGCGAGTACCTCCTCCGGGTTGAGCAGATCGCGCTGCACATGGCGTCGCAGCCCAACAAGGCCCAGTTCTACCTTGCCTGCTCGCAAATCCAGATCACCGGGGGCGGCAGCGGCACGCCAGGCCCGCTGGTTTCGCTGCCGGGGGCTTACTCGAGCAGCGACCCGGGCATTCTAGTCAACATCTATTCCATCCAGCCGGATTCGTACACGCCCCCAGGCCCCGCCGTGTGGAGCAGCTGAGCGAGTATACAGTGTGGAGGGGAGTCAATGACCTGTGGCCGTGGGCAGTTGGACTCGGTGGGAGCAGGATGGTTATAAAATATGGCGGTGGATGAACGAATGAATCAATATCATCGGAAACCTGTTAAATAGCAACGAAGTGTGTATCTAACGTGGCTCGCTCAGCTTTTGATAGTCATCCGCCTGGTCGGGCTGGACGCCCCTGAATCCCTTTTGTTTTCCATTTTCTTTCCACTTCTCATAAGATGCACCAATGGTCAGCACTTCTCACCACATTCACCGGATCCCCCCTCACTATTTTGCTTCCCCGTCTCTGCCTCCGCTTCAATTAACACGTGGAGGTGGCGGCGGCACCGGGGCTGCCCTGGGAGGTGGTGGATAGCCCGTGGCGCCCCCCGAGCTGACCGGAGGTGGAAAGGGCGGTACAACCGGCGGAGGCGGCCCAAAGGAAAACGAGACAGGCGGCGGAACAGGAGGCAGCGGACTTGTGGTCGGTTCTAGCCCAGCGGTTGATGCACTAGACCCACTGCTCTCGTAAGTCGCGGACGAGCTCGGTGAAGAGTTCGATTTTGAGTGCCCTGACGAGCTTGTCGCGTAGCCGTGTAGCCGGCGGCGCATGGCGATGGCGAAACGGACGATGCAGAAGCAGACTACAAAGCCGAGAGCTGTATAAGCGAGTATAATCAGCGCGAGGGCGTCGTTGCTTTTCATCTTTGTGGCGGTTGGTTAGGTGCTTGGAGTTGGTGGTGTTTGTTGGCGACCTAAGTGTTGCCCATCATGATCATCTAGAAACAGAAAAGAAACGTAGGTCATTTGAACGGCAAATGGGCTAACCACGGAGAAAATAAACATCTAAAGCCACCCCCGTGACATATGGGTTCTGCAACGCATATGGCCTTGTCTCCTGGGGTAACGATGTGATGTGTACATCGCGCCACAGCAGTTCCACGGCGTCTACACAATTCCGATAAGGGAGCCGAAGTCGAGGCCACGCTGAGGTCGAATGCCAAGTGATCACGCGTCCAGAACGCGCACCAAATGCGCACAGGATACGTTTCTCTTTTTGTTTTGGTATCACGGCTTCGGGAGCATACATGAGCTACTTGGGTCGGAAGGAGAACCGCATAGCGTTGATGCTGTGCCACTTGAGGTTTGAAGACGCGAGAAACGAAGTGAGCATAGTAGCGTCGGACTACAATGTATTGCTCGAACCTCAGCTTCACCCAGTTTGTTTGGGTCCGCAGCTATCTGACCAAGGAAGTGCAGACCGGGAACGCCGAATGCAGGTCTCAGCTGGTAGCATGCGTGCGCTGCTGCGGGGGCGAGGGATTTAGATCTTTGGGGGCTTTAGAGGTTTGGGGGCGACATCCGCCGCTCGGTGCCTTGCCTCGTCACACAAACGTCTCATGTGTTGGCAAAGCGGTGCGGCGCCTGTACATGCATGTACGTACCAGGATAGGGGTGATATCGGCCATTCCGTCAGGAAAGGGTGTGTGGACGTGCCAGAACCAGCGCAGGACACCGACCGGTAAGCTACTATGTTTGACGAGCAAGGCCCCGTTCACCCAAGTCTGTGGCTCGAAAAACGGCCTTTGTCCTCCTATCAATTTAAGATCTTGGAAACATGGCTGGAGATGGTATGAAAGCGGATGGTAACTGCCTATACAGGACCTCATAATTTCCAATGCAATCAAAAAAGCATGACGCAATGACACCCCGAAAAAACCGGCCCCCAAATGCGTTGGAGGAAGGGGGGGGGGGATGGTTTTAGGAGAACTTGGTACTCAAACCGACTTTTTGACAATCGCGGCTTCCCACAGCGTCGCGCTCCTCAGCAGATCCTTGCCGAACTGCCGCTGCAAGCTCGTCATCTTGTCAATCAGATGACTGGTAGCAATCGATTTTGGCCCCCAAACAACTAGTGCTATCGATGCCGCGCGCTCCAGCCAGGTGATGCATTGCTCCAGGTCCCCGCGTCGCTGGTGAATCTCGGCAATATCCTCCATAGTGTGCGCAGCAATACCGTCCTGGTAGAAGGTGGGCTCATCCTGCGACGCTGCGGCTGAGGTTGGTGGTCTCGTAATCACGGACATACAGTGGCTGAGTGCCAAATCGGGCTCGCCGCTTAGCATGTAAAAGTGGGCGAGTTCGTTCTCGACTGAGCGCACTTGGTCCGAATTTGGCCCGAATACTGGGCGGGATGAGTTGAGCAGCTCCGTAATGATCTCCAGGCCCGCGTGATATTCGCCACTTCGGCGGAGAAGGGTAGCGAGCGAGTCGAGGAGTTTGAAAGTGATAGCCCTCGATCGTCCAAGCCGGGTGTTGAAGATGTCGAGCATGCACTGCAGGCTGCGTTGCGAGATCTCCTGGCAGCCTTCATCCTGCTGCAGCTCCTTGCAAATCTGGGTGATTGGGTGGTTGGAGGAGAGGCTGCTCTGGGCCTCGCTGCTGAGGAACCGGAGTAGGATGCCTCGGAGTTCTGGGCGGGCGCTGGTGTTGACTGGGGAGAGCGTAGCAAAGAGGTTCCGCAGGAAGTCGAACGGTTGGGTGGCCATGGCCCCCGCCGCGAGACAGCCTGCCTCAGAAAAGGCAGACCACGCTCGTCGGTCGGGGCGATCGTCGAGGTCTTCGATAGAACCGGAAGCCGAACCGGCCGAGATTTTAACGAGATAGATAGCGTCCTTGATGGTATTCCAATAGCGCGTGGATTCATCAGGGGATCTGCGCCCCAGATACTCATCAGGGAGGACACCTTCCGGGATGTTATTAAGTTGCCAGTCATAATACTCCCGAAGCTTCAAGGTAATGATGCCCATAGTTCGTGTTTGCGAGTCTGGGGAAATGGACTGGGGAGGGGCGTTGAACAGATGCTGGAGCTGCTCCTTGTAAGCGGCGATGCCGGGGCCTGGCGAGTCGGATACGACGAGGGCAGTCCGGTCGTCTTGCCCTTGGTCGCTCTCGGCCGAAGATCTGGGACTTGAACCAGTGGTAATGCTTGGGGTACTGGGTGGTGAGAATGGCGTGCGTGAGGATCCTCCTTGACGAGGCAAGCTGGAGGCGGCGCCCCCCTGCGGGTCATCTTCAGGCTTGATCAAGTCCGAGATGCTGATGCTCCGTCGCGGCGGCCTGTACTGTGGTGGTGGAGTTGCGGCCCGGGCGTCGACAGGGGTGGGGGGTGTGCTTGTTGATGCCATCGGCCTTCCCCCCTGCTGAATCGTCCTGGCGCATCGGAGGGTTCTGCGCAAGTCTTCCTTGCTAAAGTTCTCGCCGTCTTCCTGTCTCGGGGGCGACAAAGGTGCAGAGCCCGGAGCCCGCCGCGCAGCCCGCGCTCTCTCGTCGCTGTTGACGTTCTTAAAGACATGCCATTCCCGGAATCGCTTGTCATACATGCGCTTGCTGTCGTGGGAATCAGCGAGGCGGATCAGTGTCATGGTGGAGAGGTGAAGTGAAGTTTTTGGGGGCGAAACTGCGGGACAGCGTCTACACAGGAGAGCTAGGGAGCAGGACGAAGACCCAAGAAAGAGGAAGCCGACAAGTGGGTGGTATCCCCCTCCCCCCCCTCCTTCCCCTGGGAAGTCTGATTATAAGAAGAGATCATCGAAGAGATCATCAGGCGGCTGGGCCTACTAAAGCGGCCACCTTGGCCGGCAACGGCAACGAGGAAAAGAAGACGTCCATTGGCGGCCGACACGAGTCCACTAGGACCCTCGGTTGACTGAGTAAGGTGCAGCGTGGTACTTTGTGTGTGCAGGTGCAGGCCGCGATGACGGGGGAATGCGCCGAGCATCCCACAGACAACCACTAGGTTGTGTTGTGCTGTTGTGCTTCGGCCCACACTAGCCCGTGCCCTGCGGCGGGGAATCGGGGACTTCCAAGACTTGGTCAAAGAAGAAGAGCAAGAAGGAGATGAGGGAAAAAAAGGCCGACCATAACAGCGACCAGACGGGCATACCTTGCCGAGAAGCCATAATGTTTCCTCATGATCTCGCTAACCCGCTTCAACGGGTACTGCCTGTATAGGCCGACGATGGTCTCGCGGTGCCTTGCCCAGTCAGCGGCCGACGGGCCCTGGAGCGTGCGGGATTTCCCCTCCAGGCCCGCGGTGTCCGGCATGGTGGCTTGCGCTGTTGGCGTCGAGCTTGTCGGGTTCGGGGTCGGTCTCGGGGGCGTCGCCCCAAGATGGGGAAGCACAGTGTTTGCCGGGCCCGACGAGACGGGCGCTACTGCACGGTTCTCGGGCACGATCATGGTCGAGCGGTGGAAAACCCGTGGTTTTGTCTCATTTTGGAAGCCCCTGGGAGTAAGAAACGCACACATGTCAGATGTAAATGCTTATAGGACAAATCAATTGAAACGACTCGAAGCGCAGCGGAGCGGGGTGGCTCGTTGCAGATGGCAGTTTCGGGCGAAGCTGAGGGATTGCGGCACAGCAGGATGCGAACCAAGAAGAACCTTGCAGGCGCGTCATGGCACCCTGCCAGGCTGCCATCATCCGGCTGATCACTGATTGGCGTGCTGTGGTTACGGCAGGCCTGACCGACGCGATTCTGGGGCAGGTCCCATCCATCACCCGGCTTGGGTTCCTTCCCTGCAATGTGCGACATGAACCCTGCATCGACCTCCGAGTCGCCAGACCGCAACTTGGTCGGTGAGCGGGAGCTCGGGACGTTGGGGAACGGGTAAAAAGGAGAGAGTCCCATGTAGAGATCTGTAGATACGGGAAGCTGCCATCTGGCCTGCCTTTGTGGGCACACACCGAACGTGAGCTCGGATTCTCTGATTTCGGTAGTTAGAAATCACGGATATTCGTTAGGGCAACGGTCCCTGCATGGAGTCAAAGGGAGGCAGGGCGAGAGCGAGAGTCCACCGCACGTTGAGAGTAAAAAAAGGTCCCGGGCAACTTGAACGCAACCGACTTCAAGTCGTTGTTGTATGAATGGGGTCCACGGTCTCGTTCTGGGAAAGAAAAAAAGGAATCCCACCTCGGTGCGACCCTGTGCCTATGTAGGACCCGGTCCTGCGAGACCTGCCGGGCTTGCATCAATGAGATGCAGGTTCCGTGCATCCCCTCTGATCTTTGGTAGGAGAGCCCGTTGTAACCTCTTTAACTTTTATGACGAGTACCATGCGTACCCTAACCTTAGTTATCACGCTCCAACGTTCCTAATACGGCCTTGTAGAGACAAGAGTATCTAATATTGTGTTATTTCAAACCACTAGTACGCAAACCGACAGTTTGAACTGTCATCCGAGGTATATCGTATCAACCGGAAACGCCAAATCCCGCGAGGATCAATGTCTAACCTTCCGGCGCCACGAGACTCGGTGCTCTGTTGCTCCTCTGTATAGCGCCGGAAAAAAAAGAAAAAAAGAAACCCCAATAAAAATACTACGCCCACGAAATGAATTCAAATGATTAACGCCGCCTAAACATCATACCCCTCACGTTTAGTCAAGAAGGTCTTTGCCCTCTCTATAGTTCTTAACCGCATCGCAGACGGCTATTGAGAACACTAGCGGCCTGTAACTGGTCAGTTCTGGAACCTCTAAACGACTAAGATTCGCGGGGATCGGAAGCTGGGGAGTCAGGGACTAAACTTACGCCTGGACGTAGGTGCATAGTAGTGGAGCAAGCAATGCCTTAGAATCCGTCGCCTTGATGCCCAAACTGGCAGCCAGGCATACTCCTCCGCCTGCCAAAAGCAGATTGAGCAAGCAGCCGAAAAGCGTGACGATCTGCCTACGCCAATGCTGCTCGCCCTCGGTCAAGCTGATCCTGTTCGGCTCAACGACAAGGAGTAAGGCAAGGAGGATGATGTTGATCGTGAACCCGAGGGATCCCTGAGTGACGGAAGAGACCGATAACATCAGTAAGCCTTTTCTCCAATGGATTTTGTGGACAATGCCAGGCGAGCTTACCACGACGAGGCAAGCCTTGAGCAACGCTTGAGTAGACCGGTCAAACGTGAACCCGTTGTTCGAACCGGCCGATAGAGCAAGCCTACACGGCCCGGGGTTCATCTCGGCGGCTGTTGAATGGACCCAGGGTATTGACCTTGCGGTTTTGTCTAGATCGTAGATATAGCTAATGGCAACCGCGACGACGAGCCCTAGGTGGGCCAGGATACCCCAAAGGTGCATCATCTTCCATCTAAAGTTTTTGGTCCGGTACATGCTGGCGGGTTTAGACGCGGAGGATGATGGATCTTCGAAGGCTCGAGTCAGACGGGAAGGCGGATAAGGATTGCCAAACGAGCGGCCCGAAGGATGTGAGATGGTGGGCAGCGGGCCTTGTGGCCCTGGTCGACGTGGGAGGATTTGTAGGAGGGCGGCTTTGCGACAGAAGAGAGCAGAGGTGGTGAAGTTATCCTCGCTTGGGATGGATTAGAGACCACGGCGCAATGGTATGGCCGAGTGACTCTCCAGTTTCGGGGATAATTTGTATTTTCAATCCACCTTGGATATTTACGGATTGTCGCAGGATCTTACAACGCAGCTGTACATACATCGTTCGGTGACGCCCGGGACTGGCGTCAAGAAATACCACCCGCAAAGGGCGTCTTCAAGGGAGAATCCTTTGGCACTATACGGCTGGGTCCTGGAGGGCGAGGGCCCAGCAACTTAGGCTGCCACTTTTTTCCCATCGCGATACCACCGCCAGCCCCCTCCTTGTGTTCTGGCCGCCACTTGCTCTGCCATAACTGCTCGCTCGCCGCAGGACAAGCCACCCACGTCGTTCGCTTAGGCTGTTCCCCACTCACGTCTTGGGGGCAAAGAACACCGGAGGATCCGTGCCGGATCGCAGTTGGGCACGTGATACGGCTTGGGTCCTGCTGTTGGCTTCGGGTCTGGCCCCGAAGGACACGCTAAATGCTACCTTAGCCATGCCCAGTGAGGAGGATGGGCGTTTCGTGCTCCTCTGTCTAGCATCATCTGTGCCGGCGCGATCCGGCGCCATGGCAGCATCGCCCCCCGGAGACCCGTGTTCGGCTCATGCGATCGCCCAATCAGAATTTCTTGGGCCCAAATCGGTTGCTGATTGGTCGGTGAGCAATGAGATGAGATTCAGTCATCTCAGTCACTCGATCGACTTCGCATTCGTGCCTGTGTTGATTGCTCCAATCATGTTCAATAAAGTGTCGAAAGAGGAGACATTGTAACGAAACTTGTGGTTGCACACCGGAACTCGGTAAGCCTTTGCCTCGGTGCCTGCTTTGAGCCGAAATAGTCGAATTGGTGGATGCCCCAGGGCGTTGCTGGTGCAGGAGGGACGGAGAACAGAAAAAGCCCGAACAGGGAGTGCCGAGTAGAGTGTGACTGGAGGCACAGACTAAAATCGTTGGTTGAGAGCTGGGTGAGTGCGTGGTGGGGGCGAGGTGGACATAGGGCTGAGACCCCCGCGCCTAATTTAGCGCCATTAGCGCAACCATGCCACATCTGTCCAGATGCTGCCACAACCCTTTCACCTGTCCCTTCCATCCAAATTCAACCTGCCCACTTCCAAATCTGCCTGCTCTGTGCAACTGTCCGTGCCCAGCACAGGTTCCGGCTGAGAGTTTGCGACTGGGATAGTGACATCCCGGTTCCATGCCCGATCCGCTTCCCAACCTGGGGCGGTTTCAGGTTACCAGTACCCATAATACGGGCTAATTCGTCAAGCCGCAGTCAAGCTGCGACCGGTACACGCAACCGCGGTCACGGACTCTCCGGATACCGCTTCGGTTGGCGGTTCCCCACCACCGCCCGCGCGGCGACCGTGCCCGAGCCACACGGTTTTCATTTGGAGATAATTGTTTCGGAAATTTCATGAAACAGCATTGGCAACTTTTCTCCCTAGGGGCGGATAGGCGTAACGGTATGGAAGGTTCAAAATTGCCTACTGCCGCCCGCCGAGTCGGATCAACCCGCAGGCCCTGGAGGCGGAAGCAGGTGCCCGCAATGCACGAAATTGGGAAACGTTTCATCGTCGGGATTTTGGATGCTCAGGGGCCGATGGTAAAAAGGCAACCTTCCTTGGTTTGGCCCTTCCATCGGCGCCGAGCCGACGCCGGGTGGCCCTGAATAGCGCCTTGGGGTTTGGCAAAAACTGCCATCCGAACAAAAAGATCAGCTCGTGCCTATCACATTCCACAGCCTCACTCCCACTGGTGGGTCCCGCACCGTGCCGTTGCATAGCCGCCGCGGCCCGGACGATGGTGCCTCGGATCTGGATTCTCAGCCAGGGCCCGTTCCCGGGACCTCCTGATCGATCGTAATCTCAGCATTGTTTTCCGGGACGTTGTCACGTCACCCGAGTTGGGGTACCAAAACACGGCATCCTTCCCGTCGGAACAGGGCCCCTTGGTGTACCCGTTGGCTCAAGTTCGCTCACCTGCGGCTGCCGACGTTTAGATTCGCGCGCCTCGGCGAGTGACGCTACGGAGAATCCAAGCCCCCAAAGGGACTGGCTACGCCTGACTCCTACATCACAACCCGGCATGCCCTGAAGTTCTCTTGCACACTTAATAGGGCCGGGATGCCTTCTCCCCAGGGGCCCCTTGCACCAAGCTCTCATCCTTCCCACTTCTCGGGTAGCCCCTATATCCCTAGACGTTTGTGATTATGTTGACTCAATCAATGCCCGAACGCCATACGCGGCGTGCGATGGATTCGATGTGGGATTTGTTCCGAGCATCGATTCCAAGTTCTGGTCTTCTGTGGGCCATATCGGATGGAGATCCCCAACGCCAGTGCAGAGGATGTCGCGAGATATGCCAGCTCATCCGCTGGGGCGAGGTGCAGCGGAGACGGAACAGCGCTTTCCAAGGCACCTCGTCTTCTCGTATCCTTCACAGCAGCTATTCCGAACTCGACGTTTCCGCCGGCCGGTCAGGCTGCGAGTCCTGCCGTCTTATACGACGGGCTTTTCTCCTGGAGCATATCACTCGTCGAGACGCAGACCGACTGGCACATTCCAGCAATCAATGGCCCATCCATGCGGTGCTGAATCTCAGTTCATCCGGCGATAGTGTCTTGGAACTGGCCGTCAAGTCTCCCAAAGCCGTCCTGTTCTCTGCAACCGTCCACCTGAGCAACGATCCCCGATCATTACCCCGGAATCAGTCAAAAGGGGTTACCGGGGTGCGCTCCGATCTCAGTGCGCTGCGGCGGGTCATCGACGACTGCCACCTAAACCACGAATGCTCCTCGAGGTATCGCTGGTCACGCCGGAACCCCACCTGGCTCCTCAGAATCCTTCCTGATAACTTTGTTCAACTCGTGGAAGGCCCATCAAACCCCGTCGACTACGTTGTCCTTAGTTACACATGGGGCGATCCCGCGACTATGCCCACCGCCGAATGGGCGAGGATCAAGGGAGCAGGCACTAAAACAATCAACGGACGGCCTGTCCCTGAGCGATTGAGCCCTTTTCGGGTGTGGGAGCTACCAGAAACGATGCAAGACGCCATCACGATATCCGCGTCCCTTGGGGTTTTCTACATCTGGATCGACAACGTCTGTATCCCCAAGGGCACCAACTGGGACACGGAAGCCTCGTTGATGCACGAGGTATACGGCAATTCCGCCTTCACGCTTGTTGCGTCTTCGAGCGCCAAGGCCACCGACCGCTTGCTGCACGACCGGGTAGCATGGACGCACCCCAGCAAGGCATGCCAGCTGCGCGAAATGTGGTGGCTTCAGAACACCCAAACGCCTTTAGACCGAGTGCGGTTCGAAGCACCGGTATCGATGCGAGCCTGGACGCTACAGGAAGAGCGGCTCTCGCCGAGGATTGTGTACTGGGCAGGTCAGCGGTGGTATTGGTCCTGTCCCGAGTGTCAGGTTGTCGAGACCGGTGAGCTTGAATGGGCCCCTTCCGCAGCCGACGAAACACCCCGGAGCTGTCCTCAGCGGTTTTTGGAGCTTTGCCGGACGGGGGACGAACACCTGCTCCACGGGGAGTGGCTTGATATTGTTGAGGCTTACACTCGTCGGGACCTGGTCGCCCCCAGAGACCGGTTTCTAGCCATTGCTGGCCTCGCAGTTCGCTTTTACAATGCCAAAGCAGGAACCGGCGGGGCGGTTGTCACTGAGGATTATCTGGCGGGCCTCTGGAAGGACAACTTTGCCAGGCACCTTGCCTGGTCCGTAGCAGGCGCCGTCGATTCTCAGCATAACCTGCAGCACATTGCGCCATCGTGGTCCTGGGCATCGCTGCCACTCCGAGTACACACCGATACAAAGGCTCTATTCAAGACGTCGGAGCACTTTAAATTCATTGCGGTCAAGCACATTGACCCAGCTAGCGCCAGCACAACGTTCACCCGGCCAGAAACGGGGGACCGCTCTACAGACTACATTAACCGTGGCCGAGCCGTTGAAGAGCGAGGCAGAGGTGTCAAAGTGGTCGAAGTGCAAGGCCGCTTCCGCCGTTTTATTTCTCAGGACGCCATGGATGTTTCGTGGGACGACATCGAGTGGAAACGTGGTGAAAAGTCCAGCTTCAACTTTGGCGCTTTTCCGGGACAGGGAATTTACGCGCGTAATAGGGCCAGCGGGAAAATTATATCCAAGGACGCTCACATCGGTGAAGTTGTTGGACAGCTGGATTATCTCGTGCCGCCGGATGGCAAACCGAGAGATGGGCCCACGCCCTATATCCGGCCAGGCGGCGAAAAGGAGATTGTGTGTCTTGAACTCGGCGAGCTGGCTATGCTCTTGCTGGTACCCATTGAGAAATGCGGTCAGCCCGAGTCGTATCAGCGTGTTGGGGTTGCTATTGGGTACACCAACCGGAAAGGCTTTTTTTACGGCAGCGAGACGAGAAGGATCCTCTTAGCTTGAAGTGATTACGGCTCTCCTTGTGCTAACACGACGACGTATGTCTTGATTCTGTTTTTTCTCCTCTTTTTCTTTTTTTTCTGGAATAGGGGGATTAATAAGGCCAAACTTCCCCCTTTTTGTCTTGATAGAAAGAGGGCGAGAGCGATTACTTTTCTTGTAACACCGTGTTTGTATCAGTGTCGCCAATTAGGTATGCAATATGCACAGTCTTTCGATCAAGAGGCCACGGGCTATGAATCTCCGAGATGCGTGGAGAAGGACTTATTTTTACAATTCAAGCTTATCTCTTCTAATTATTGTTATTTCCGGAATTTAAATCCCAAGGTTTTCCGCAAACGCCTGATCGCATCATGGATCGATGGTACTGTACACTGTACTATGAATAATTGTACAATTGACACAGTTAAACGAGTTGGGGGCTGAAAAACAAGTTTCAGGTCCTATACTTATCTTTCTCGTATCTCGTCATCCTTCTGCCCTGAAACACTGCGCCGTAGGGTCCTGCGCGCGCGAAGGATACATGGAATCGACACTTTACCACAGCTTACGACCTCCCGAGGCGCATTGCATGGGTGTATCCGAGTCACCTGTGCCCTGCATAAACAGAGGCCTGTGGCGAAGCACGCACATAGGTACACAGCCCGCCGTCTGTCTTAACATCTTACAGGTAGCTAAATGGGTAACTCGGGGCTCCGGCAAATAAATGAATGCAAGGAAGACGAGAGGAAGTCAAGCACAATGAATGAGCCACAGCATACAACACCGGATTCGCTGGTCGTCGGGGCTCCAAGTACTGGCTCGGACCGAGTTTTTAAGGGGTGGCCGAAATTGTTGATTGCCTCCCTGACCAAGCAAACGAGCATTTACGAACATATCAGGATAGCAGCCGTTCTCCAGTACTCATTTTCACCGTCCCCGTCTCTGCGCCCTCGAGCCCGGTCCTCAACCACCTTTCACCGCCCGACCTTGAACGTACACTTGGACAATGTTCCTGTCATCCCCCGTCATGATGAATTTCTCAAATACAGTTTTGAGGTTGTCGTCTTCTTCGACGACGGTCATGACACCTTGGTCGGCTCCCCGAGTCCCAACGACAATCGCATCGAAGGCTTTGCCCACCTCGAAATTGCCAATCTTTTCGTTCAGACCGCAGACCTGAGCGCCGCCCAAAGTGGCCAAGTAGAATACCTCATCGATGGATAACCCTTTGTCCTCACCCTTGGACGTGACCTCGCGTGCGTGGCTTGCAATCATGGCCTGGCGCATCGCATCAAGGATGCTGCTGGAGAAGCCGCCTCCGCTGTCGGTCCCCAGCCCAACCTTGATCCCCCGCCGCATGAAATCGCGTATGGGGGCGGCCATGAACCCGCCGCCCACGGTCATGTTGGAGATGGGACAGTGCGCGACGCCGCAGTCGAGCGTCTTGAGTCGCTCCATCTCGTACTCGGTCATGTAGCAACAGTGTGCCAGGATGGACCGCTTGCCTAGCAGGCCGTAGTGTTCGTATAAGTCCGCCTCGTTGGTGAACTGCGGAAAGAGCTCCATGGTAGCTTTCATCTCCTGCTCGGCCTCGTTGAAGTGCGTCTGGATAGGCAGATCGGGGTTGTTGCGGGCAATGGCCCCCAGGCCCTGCAGCACCTCGGCATCGCAGGAAATGGCGAAGCGCGGAGTGAGGACGTGTTGGACGAGCTTCCCCGCGGGATCGATCGACCTGATGTGGGCAATACAATCCTCGGTCACCCGCAAACTCTCCTCAACCGACGCATCCAGATAATAATCCGGTGCGTTGCGCGTCATGTTACACTTGCCCACCAGCGCGCGCTGGCCCTTCTCGAGACAGAGGTCGGCCAGGATCTTGGTGGCCTCGCCGTGGATGGAGCCATAGTATGAGGCAGTGGTAATTCCCTGGCGCAGGAAGCCGTCGACGCAGCTCGCGTAGATGCGGCGGGCGTAGTCTGGGTCACGAAACCGGGCTTCGTTAGGGAAGGTGATGGCATCGAGCCAGTCGAGGATGTGCATGCCCTGGCCCAGGCCGCGCTGCGCCCATTGTGGAGCGTGGTTGTGTGTGTCAACGAAGCCTGGAATGAGGATCTGACCCGGGGTGAGGTGGTGAATCGTGACGAGGTCGGGAGAGAAGTTTAGGCCATCGAGTGTCTCTTTGATTTGTTGAGGATCGACATTTCGGACGAAGGCTGCAATCTCCCCGGAGTTGTTGACCGTGAGAAGAGCAGACGGAAGTATTTCGAGTTCGGAGGCCGAAAGAGAATGGATCATGGGACCAACAAATGCTCTTCCAGTTTGGGCCATGATGAGACGTAATTGGCAATACCCGACTATTACTCGTCCATTCGAAGTGTTGATGTTGTTAATTCGAAAGTTAGGTGAGGAAACGCAACGAGGTGACACCAAGTAGCAGCCCAACGCGGGGTACTGGGCTTGCCATGTCTCTCCTCTGAGTACCTTGCCTAGGTGGTAGGTACCTAACCTAAGGTATTTCGTCCTACCTAACCTTGAAAGATACCGCGGGTAATCCCTGGGGACCAATTCGCGAAGTCGCCCTTGACCACCAATTGGCTTTGCGACTAATAGGTAGAAAGCTTTGTGTTGCAGCCCTCACCCTAACCAAGAATTCAGACCCACTGGACTTCGTAGATTTTCTAGTTTCCGACTCGCTCAAGTCCAAGCGGGATGTTGGACACGCAAGATGTCTTGGAGGCATGAAAATAAACGACGCCTTTGTTCAGTGATGCTTGCGAATGCCATTATTTAACCTACCTAGGTATTGAGGTACGGGTACTAATGATTGACGTTGTGAATTCGAGACTGGCGAGCTGGTGCTGGTAGGATATCACGTGACCTTTCCCAACCCGCCATCGAAGATCGAGTTCAGTTCAGTTTCTGTTCTTCACCAATTCAAAGCTCGACTTACAGAAAGAACAACCGTATAACCAAAAAGCCCCAACAAAGCCGCAACCACCGCCAAACATACGGGATCAATCACCCGTACACGCGATCTCTTTACACTTTTATGAAACAGATGACTCATGAAAGCTTCCTCGCTGCTACCGTCCTGACGGAGGATGGGCCCACGGCTCGGGCGATTCTCTGCGGCGTCACCGAATCCCGTGAGCGGCATTACTACACCCGTGTCCAGCATTACAAACCCCAGAACTCGGCCACGCAAGGACTTTCCACCATCAAACAGCTACAGAAAGAGCGGAGGCCGACGGCCGCTCAATGGCACGAGTTGCATCAGATCCTCGCCAAGCAGCCATCTGTTGTGCAGGTGCGCACCGACATCACAGAGGAGGCCGAGAATGTCATGAATGCCGCCGCCATGGAAGGGTAAGTCCCAGATTCTAGCTCATTTTGGTGCGCGTGTTCCCTTTGTGTCCTTGCTTGTCGTCGCTGACATGTGTCTGCGATTAGGGGGGAAGCTGCATCAGCCAGCAGCATCCTTGCCAGTAAACCTTGTGCTCTCAGGTGGGTCGACATGCCCGATCCGCCGAGTCCGCAACGGCCCCCTTCAATCACCCAGCGCAGGGTTGTCGACATCGATGACCCCAGGGCCGCATCGATCCTGGTTGACAACGGTTTCGGGTTCGTCGGCCAAAATAATATCTCCTGTCTTGCCTTGCTTAACCGTTCCCGCCTAGGCTCCAATCGGACTTGATCGAGGAGTCATACTGCTGGTGGCTCGAGGGCATTGAATATTCCTTGACTCGGATGTTCGTGGCATCGTTGAATCCAGACCCGATGGTACCACAGCAGGTTCCCAACCCGGGGACACTCCAACCCGTTGGCAATTTTTGGATCCTCTATGTCCGTGCCAAGGTCGATTCTTTCCCGGCGGCCACGATGCCGGATCGCGTCAAACAAGCTCAGGCACAGCTGCGCCGAGTCCAGGAGCAATTCAGGGGTGTTTTCGACTTTCCCGTCTTTGACCGGCGTTGTCACGACACCCGGGCTCCTCCTTGAAGGGCGGTTGAGGAGCCTAGAAGCCGTGACAATATTACTCCGAAGCCCTGCCAACTAACTAATTGTTCACTCAGAACGTGAAAGTTGTCAAGACGTTGACGAAGGATGTGGATGAGGCACAGGGGTGACAAGACGCCAGGGGAAAATAATAATGGCCGCATTGGCTTCGGGCTAACTTTGCCGACCGTTATCACAACCCCCGCCACTGCAATGCTCCGGTCGTTGGCGGGAAGTTTACCAAACGGGAGAGCGATACGTTTGAACCTTTTTTATGGCTTCCACGATCCTCAGGAGTCGAACTCAACGGTCTGACCGTTATATCTGTGTTCTCTGTCCCATGATCTCTCCCGAGTCCCATGTCAACCCTTGTTTGCTGATCGACGCATCGACCGTGCTTGATTCCACTCTCTGGAAAGCCGGAGCCGCTAGCGGTAGGCGAGCGAGCCGATTGGTTTCCCAATTGAACCCCTGAACCGTGGTGGGGCTTGTTCCATTTCAGGATCGCGACGTCTCAGCCCGCGCGAATGTGTGACGAGTCCGCATCGCAACTCGACAGGTCATGAGACGACCCCGCAAGCCCAAGAAGGAGGATTAGAATTGCGCTCAAGCTGGCCGTTGGCGTCGGCAAACAACCGGCAGAGAAGTTGTAGTGTTCGCTACATATGCCCGCCCGAGATGGTCTACGGTGGGAAGCCCTCCCGGGGCTGTCGGACCTGCCGCGCACGCCGCATCAAAGTGGGTTCAGTTCCAATCTCTTGTCCTTGTGCTTTTTTTTGGCGGGTATGGCTACGGCGAGGTTACAAGTACAGCACTGGGGCAGTGCGAGGGCAGGTTTATCGCCATCAACTCATTCTGACCACACTCGACTAGTGCGACGAGGGCAAACCGACCTGCAAACGGTGTGAAAAATCGAGGAGAGAATGCGGTGGGTACCGGCCCGAGTTTGAGATTGTTCACCGTGACCAGACCGGGTCGACAGTGCGGCGGTTGCGCAAGGCCGGCGATGCCCAGCAGCAACAGCCCACGACTCCTCGCCCCTTTGTTTTCATTCAGGAAGAACCGCAGCCATGGCGACGGCGGCAGAGCCCAAGCCCGTCCCCAGTATCGGCACTGACTATTCCCCTCGCTCACCGGGCTTCATGTTACTTCGCCTCCAACTTCATCCTCGTGCCTGTCGGCGTCGCCCCGCACGGCTTCATGGAATACCTAGTTCCGCTGATGGACACAGAACCTTCAGAGAGCGCACTTCGTTACGCCTTCAACGCCTGTGCCTTTGCGCTGCTGGGCAACCGCGCTAGGGCCGACAGCATCAACCTCGCCCAGCTGTCCCTGAAAGAGCATACCCTGGCTCTGGCCCAAACGCACAAGGCACTCGGCCATCCCGCCGCTGCCAGTACTGATTCAACACTGGCAGCGGTTCTGCTGCTATGTTTGTACGAGGTAAGTCCTTTGGCTCTCCTAATACCCGGGAAATAAAGCGTGTGGTTGACGTCCATCCTCTCAGAGCATAACGGCCATTAAGGAGAGTAGGATGTTGGCGTGGCGCACACATATTGATGGCGCTGTTCACATTGTCCAGACCCGCGGCCGTGAAGATATGTGCCGGACCCGGCTAGGCACGCTTTTGTTCACGGCTGTGCGGCATCACCTAGTAAGTCCTGCCCTAACGTTTATCACTCTTCGGGCGAAGGTGGAACGTTTGTATCTAGACATACCTGGCCAGCACCCTGACCCACACCTATCAGGTCTCCCGCGTCTTATCTTCCGGCTTACAGCTGCCCTTCGGTGCCGACTGGTGGATGTCAGGAGGCGATACTGAGTCGCTCTTCGCAAATTGTCAGCGTTTCAACCTCAAGTTCAGTGAACTCAGAGCCGAGGCAAACCAGCTCCTAGCCAACGCTTCGAGGTCACCCGAGTCACTTGCGCAAATGCACGAGACGGCAAAGCGAATCCAAGGTTTAGACCAGGAGGTCGCCAGTTGGCTCGCATCCATTCCAGGCGAGTTTCGGTTCCGGACTGTGTGCTTGGTGCCTGCAGACGGCCCCGAGACGCCGAGCGGGAACTTTGGCGAGAAAGAGGCATTCCCAGGGCGCGTCGATGTCTATCCTGATTTCGTCTCCGCCATGGCGTGGAACATGGCGCGAGTCTCTCGCTTGCTCATTGCCTCGCTCAACATCCGGATCGCTGCTCGGGTCTGCGCGCCAGCAGACTACCGCACCACTCCCGAGTACAAAACCTCAAAACGTATCTGCGAAGGCACTATCACAGACATCATTGCCTCCGTGCCATATCATTTAGGCTGGCGCATGCATGGCAAGGGGTTAGGCGGGCCAGGGTTGTCAACCTTCGCCTGCGGTGAGGAGGGGACCTGCAAAGCTCTACCGGGTTTGTTTTTGATATGGACCCTGACATGCGTCAAAAATCACGATATGTCAACCGAGAAACAGCGTGAATGGGCGAAGGGCCGCCTTAAATTCATCGCCGAAGAAGTTGGTTTGAAATACGCCCATATCGTCAACGAGGTGAGCCTCTCCTTCGTTGTGTATAAGGTAGCCGGCGGTATCACTAACAACTCCTAGGCCAACCTCCGCTTTCCGTCCATGATGATTCGCAGGGACGGTATGTTAGCGACGGGTCTGGACCCGTTGCAAGTAATAAACGAGGCGAGGATGGCCAAGGCTGTCCCTCACACGCCAGAGAGCATGACTTCTCCATCACCAAGACCTTCTGGCTGAGAGCGGTCTAAGATCGATATTTTCTAAACGGAACTGTTGGTTGGCCCATCAAGACCGACACAATGCTGCGCTTCAACGTGCTAGCTCAGTTTGGAAGGGCTCGTATCGTGTCCGGCTGTTCAAGAACACAACGTGAAGCACCGCGTTTAGGTTATATCATGCGTCTCTCACAGCGGCCGGACTAACCTACCCACGCCACCTTTCGACTGGCTGCGGTGGTTAGGAAACCTTCCATCATATTCAAATCAACCAACACATGGCATCGGCGCAAGTCCCTCGCCTAAACGAGCGAGCCTCGAGAATTCATACCCACAGGGAGTCGATAGATGTCGAATACTTGAATAACATCACATACCTAATTGTTCGATCATGCCTCATCATTTGTTGTTGGCGTGTGGCATGACACTACATTTCGTGACAAGAACAGCCCCTAGCGTACACCCCCCAGATCCGTCTCGTCGCTCTAGTCAGAGGCGTCCCCATACTTTGAAATCAACTTCTGCATGATGGACATGGCGCCACTCCGATACCCCCCGCCAAATAACGCGTAGTGGTTGAGGTGATGGTATCTACAAAACTGTCAGCACATATTACCCTAGTGATCTCCCACGCCCCGGGAGACAAACAGGCACGGAGGAAACTCACAGTTCATACAACGCAATCCGGTCGTCCCACTCCTCCTTCGGCTCGGCCTTTGGAACCAAGCTCTCATACTCCCTCCAGAACGCGCTCCCAAACCCCCCAAACATGCGCATAATCCCCAGCTCATACTCAGAATGCCCATACACACAGGCCGGGTCAAACACGACCTCCTCAACCCCTCCCTTGCCGGCAATCCTCGCCCGCCCATGATTCCCACTCCACAAGTCCCCATGCACCAGCACGGGCCTCGCCCCCTTCAGATGGCCATCCCCAAGCAACCGCGGCACCACCACGCCCGCCACCTTGCCCACCGCATCGGCCAGCTCCCGGTCCCGACCGTTCCTGCGCGCCCCCTCGGCCAGCACGGCGCGCAGCCGGCGCTCGGCGTAGAAGTCGGCCCACGACTCGGTCCAGGCGTTGTCCTGGCGCGTCGCGCCGCAGCACGTCGGCACGGGGAAGCCGTACGCCGGCCGCGCGAAGCCCTCCGGCACCGGTGCCGCCGCCGTCGTGGTGTGCAGCCGCGCCAGCTTGGCTGCGAGCGAGAGGCCGGTGCCGCCTGATGCGGTCGATCGCATGTCCAGGAAGTCGGTCGCCAGGAAGAACTTGCCCGGTGAGCTGTGTAGGGCGCCGTGCGCGTGGGAGCGCGGGGCGAGGTGTAGGGAGGGGTCGGCCGCGTGGAGGGCGTTGAGGGAGGCGTGCTCGCCTGGTGGGTAGGGGGGACGGCGGGTGTTAGTTGGTGGGGATGAAACTTAGGCTGGGGGGGAGGAGGGCACGGGGAAAAAGGAAAAAGAAGTAAAAGGGGAAATAGGGGGGTTTTACCTCGAAACATGAGCTCGGCGTTGGGGCCGGTGCCGGTCTTGATGAAGAAAGTGAGCTCTTGGCCGTCTTTGGTGGCCATTAGCTTGTATGTGGAAGAGAAACCTGAGCCTCCGTGAGATACTAGCTTTGAGCTAGTTGCTTCGAGGCCTAGGGCCTCGAGGATGGCCGCATCAATGTTGGGGAGCATCGTTGGGAGTGAAATGGCGTGTGAACCTATCAGAGACCCCAAGGTTTGAAGTGACGTCAGTCGCGTTCGCATTCTGACATTTGTGACTTGAAAATGTTCAAGGGGAGCTCGCCAAACCTTACAGAATGTTCAGGGGGGTTCCGGATTCACAAAGAAGACCATGAATGACTCGAGGATATGGAGTGCTTGTTGTTTGTGCTTGGAAGTGAGTGAGGATCAGGGTGTGAGATGGGAGAATCTATGATGGGATGGATGCTCGGAAGTGGAGAGTGGGAACATGCAATCATTGGTGAACGGCCATAGACGAGCAATTCACACGGTGTATCATCTTTGGCTTTCGAAATGTTATTCCTTTAATTTCACACTGTGTTGTGATTCTATAGAAATTATCCTGATTTGAGATACTATCCATCATGGGAGCAATGAGGCTGCTGAGAAACGGAATGCAATTCGTAGGGTAAAGACTACACACCTATAAGTTAGGTTATAGTTTTTTTTCTTTTTCTCTCTTTCCTTCTTTTTCTCTCTTTCCTTCTTTTTCTCTCTTTCCTTCTTTTTCTCTCTTTCCTTCTTTTTCTCTCTTTGCTTCTTTTTCCTTTTTCTTTTTCTTCTTCTTTTTCTTATTTTTTGGTGACCTTAAGCTTTTTTTTAGAAAAGATAAACAAGTGACAAATGATTTAGTATTAAATAGTCAGCTTTATTAAGCTCGTGTCAGCAATGTCGTTGACTCTAAGCTCCGCCCTAGAAGGCGCCGGACCAAATTACACTGAAAGCTGGAAGCTGCTGAAGGGTGCTGCACGAGCCCGGAGTCCTCAGCACAAGGATCCAGAGGGGGACCAGAAGTCGGCGGAAGAAAGACGTGATCGCGGACTGTCTCGATGTGAGTCTGAACGAAGGTTACCCTCTTGACAGAGATGGACATCTCGGAGCTCACCCTCGGAATTCCCTATAATAATATCTTGTCTGAAAGCCATCTAATACCCTCCGCGTATCCCACTCTAGTGGTTACTGAGCACATGAATACCTTGATTGTTCGGTTTTCAATCTCGTGCACCCGAAGTCGATCCCAAATGTCCTGCGCTGACGTGACTATTCGATGCCATTAGGACATAAAGCGGCAATTAATTCAACAAGCGTTGGGGGATTATCACGTACTTGCGCCAGGGCGGTCAATTTTGTTTCCTAGCACTAAGAAGGGGACCCCGTCGAGTCCCTCAGCAGCAGATAGAGCATGGAGTTCTGCTGCGGCCTCGTCAAATCGCTCAACATCCTGGGCGTCGACCATATAGATGATAGCCGACGCCCCACAGATGCTCTTTGTCCATAGCTCCCGGTTTCGGTGGTGACCGCCGACGTCGAGAGCGGTGAATAAAACAATGCCCTTGGTTAGCGTCTCTGTGCCGGTGTTCGATGTGGCTACAGCGAAGCCTGGCAGATTGTCTGCACAGTTTTGAAGCAGGCTCGATTTCCCGGCGTTGTTGAGCCCAACGAAAACGAACTTCGCTGGCCGGTAAAGTCCAAGATATGAGAGGAAGGCGTAAAACCAGTCTGATACGCCCATTATGCGTGAGGAGGTCATTGCCTCGACACCCTTTGACCCAAAAATAGCGGAATTCGAAAAGAGCTCAAGAAATCAAGCAAAAAAGAAACGAATAAAAGGAATCGAGTGAAATTAATGCAAATAGAGTAAATACCGTTTGTTCTTTGGGATTCCTGATGTCTTTCGGATGGCTTCCGTTTTCAAAACGTTGCGAGGTTTGGTCGTCATCCAACCAGACATTACTTCGCGGCCATTGGCTGCAACGCAATGGAAACAGCTGTCGTTGCCGTATGACGTCTTCCACGGGTCACCCGCTCTAGCCTCCTGCGAGCACTCAGACCAAATCGCCCTCAGCCGACCGCAGCCACGTGGGAGTTCACTTTAGTGCAACACCATGAATTAGTCACCTCCGTCCGTTACTCATGTAACCATGAGTAACGTTCACGGGTGGCATGCGTCCTCGGGATATTGTCAACAAATTCCAAAGCTAAGGAGGAATTCTAACCAGGTAGGTTGGTATTAGGGAGGATCTAACTATCAAGCCACAACTTTATGAATTCGGCCGTTGTTTTAATGAGGTAGGATAGTTTCATAGCTGAGGATTCCAATAGTTCATTTCACGAATTCGGTAGTATAATACTCAGCCAAGTCTTGGGTCTATTCTTGAACATCAAGTTCTACGCTGAGCCCATCGGGTTAGATTTAAGGCAGCTCTAGGTCAAGAAGTCTGTTACCTATGCTGTTAGTGTTTAGACATTCAATCCATCAAGCACGCAGCTTTGTTTGGGTCGCAATTCGCCTGACCTTGGTACCCTCGGTTGCCAGCCGCATGGAACGAACTAAAGTGCTTGTCCACGGGTACCGGTACCCTCTGGCTAAAAAAGCCGAACTCGAAAGGAAACCAAAGGCAAAAATAAAAAAGAAAATAAAAAGAAATCAAGTAGAAGAAATGAGGTAAAAGAAAAGTAAATGGAGTAAACCTGGTTTCTTTGGACTCCAAGACGGCTTCCGTTTCGTTTCGACAGCCGAGGATTTGGGGTTTCCATGGTCGACCGACCCATGGCTGTTTTGGGCTGGCGGTGACGGGCACGACGGGGCACCAGGAACGAACAAAATTTAGGTGGGTACGCTGAGCTATGATTGGCGGGCGCTTTGGCCAGGCCAAGCGCGGCCGACCAGTCAGAAAACGGAAGCCTCGACGGCAGCGCATGGCTTTTGATTACGGCGCCCCCTGGCTGCATTCGGTTACTGCATCATGGCACGTTTCGCCGCGCCGGACTTAGTTAAGAACACCTGCAGCTACCAAGCTCTTTACTCTCCCTTTCCCCATCGCATAGCACCACTCAGACTACCGCCGCCGCGATGAATGGCCACTTTGCGGCAGTCGGCGACGGGCCGACAGCTCAACAATACGAGCACGGCATCCAGGTCATCGACGAGGAGAAAGCATTCAAGTTCGTGAAATATCCGCCACGCTGTCCGCTCGCTCCGGGAAGGAAGGAAGGGACGCAACGCAGCTAACCAAGCCCTCGCTTTGCAGCACGAATCTCAATGACTACCTCGGCGAGACCCGCGTCGCCGAGGCCGGCTTCAATTACCACCTGATCTCCGTCTTCGGCTCGCAGTCGACGGGCAAGTCGACCCTTCTCAACCACCTGTTCAAGACCGAGTTCAGCGTCATGTCCGAGTCGGCGCGCCGCCAAACAACCAAGGGAATATGGATGTCCAAGAACAAGCGCGCCGATACAAACGGGGATGCTGCCACCATGGCTGACAATATCCTCGTCATGGATGTCGAGGGTACCGATGGCCGTGAGCGCGGCGAAGACCAAGACTTTGAGCGCAAGAGCGCGCTCTTTGCCCTGGCGACGAGTGAGGTTTTGATCGTCAACATCTGGGAACATCAGATTGGTTTGTACCAGGGCGCAAACATGGGTCTGCTCAAGACCGTGTTTGAGGTCAACCTGCAACTTTTCTTAAAGGACAGGCAGTAAGTGTTTTCTTCCCTATTCCTTCGTCCCCATAGCTCGAAAATATTAACACCAACTCCAAGGTCGCAGACAAGGTCCCTCCTCTTCTTCGTCATTCGCGACCACGTTGGAAACACTCCCCTGGCCAACCTGCGCGACACCCTGGTTCAGGACTTGACCAAGATCTGGTCGACCCTTTCCAAGCCCCAAGGGCTCGAGAACTCTAGCATCGAGGACTACTTCGACTTTGCCTTCGCCGCGCTCCCGCACAAGATCCTTCAGCCCGAAAAGTTCTTGGAGGAGGCCAACAAGCTCAGCACCCGCTTCACGACCGGCCACCGCTCCGCCAAGGACCAGGAATTTGTCGGAGGCGTCTTTCTGCCCGAGTACCACAGGAGAATCCCGGCCGACGGCCTGTCCGTGTACGCCGAAGGCGTCTGGGACCAGATTGTCAACAACAAGGACCTCGACCTCCCGACCCAGCAGGAACTCCTCGCCCAGTTCCGCTGCGACGAGATCTCGCGCGAAGTCCTCGTCGGATTCGACACCGTCGTCGTCCCCCTCGAGGAGCAGCAAGCCGAAGCTACCCGCCTTGGCAAAGCCACCGTCCTGCCCGATCTCGGCGCCACCGGCGCCGGCACCCGAGAGAAGTGCGTCAAGGCGTTCGAGACGCAGGCTAGCAGGTACCACAAGGGTGTGTACACAATGAAGCGCGGCGAGCTCGAGAGCAAGATCGACGCGCGCCTCAAGGCGCTGTATCAAACACAGTTGTCGGCAGCGCACAAGGCCGGCGTAGCGGCTTTCAGCGACGCCGTCACGAACGCGGTGAAGGCGGGTCAAAAGGCCGGCGGTGTGTATGAGTTTGCCGAGATTGTCGACAACCAGAAGAAGAAGACGCTCGAGTTTTTCAAAAAGGAGGCACAGAGCCTGCTCATTCAGGGCGTCGCGTGGACCAACTTTAAGCCGCAGTACCGGCTGTTCGAGAAGGAGCTGGACGAGGTCAGTGCGCGCCTGCGCAAGGAGGAGATGAGGCGGCTGGCCAACCGCGTCGAGAGATGGGTCAAGTCTCGGCTTGGCGATGCTATCGGTGTTGAGTTCAACAAGATCGGTTCTGGCAGGGGTGGGTCCGGAGCGCCTGAGGATGGCGAGAAGCCGGCGACGGAGAAGGATCTCTGGGACCGTATCTGGAATGGCTTCAGTGGCATCGTCAGGGAGGCCGAGACAAGGTTTGCCGACAGGGCTAAGAGTTTCGAGGCGAGTTCCGAGGAGGTCGAGGTCGGCCTTTGGCGGCTCAGGCGCAAGAGCTGGGTCGCGCTCAGGGAGAAGATTGAGGAGGAGATGATGGAGAGCAATATCCTTATGAAGCTCCGCGAGAACTTTGAGGACAAGTTCCGGTACGATGAAGAGGGCGTCCCCCGCATTTGGCGCCCGACCGACGATATTGAGGGCATCTACACCCGGGCCCGCGAATCCACGCTGGGCTTGATTCCGCTGCTAGCGAGGTTCAGGTTAGCCGAGACATACGCCCCGCCGGACTTGCCAGCTTTCGTTGGCCCTCAACCTGCCGGCGCCGAGCCCGAGGACGAGGAGGACCTGGCCCCTATTGGCGGCGTGGATGAGGAAGAGGGTAAGAGCCTCGAGGAGGAGATGACGGTGCTGAGCGAAAGCAAGCGCCAGGACCTCGTCGTTCGGTTCAAAAAGATGGCCGATGGGGTTTACGTCGAGGCCAAGCGGAGCGCCATCGGGGGCATCACCCAGGTGCCGTTCTATTTCTATGTCGTCCTTTTGATCTTCGGGTGGAACGAGATCATCATGGGTAAGTCCTCCGTTATTGTTGACCTAAGAGCAGTCCACTAACATTTCCTAGTCCTGCGCAATCCCATGCTCTTCATGCTCCTCCTCGTCATGGGAGGTGGCACATACGTGGCTTACACTCTCAACCTTCTCGGCCCGATGATGCAGATGGCCAACGCGGCGTCTAACCAGGCCGTCGAGATTGGCAAGGAGAAGCTCCGCGACTTTGTTGAGAGCAACCAGACGATTAGACAAGCTATCGCGATGCCGCCGAGAGAGCAGCACAGAGGGGTCGGTATGGATAGGCTGGATAGCCGCGGCAAGAAGGTGCAGGAGGCCGAAGAGTACGATGATATTTAGATACGGTTAGGAATGGCGTAACGCCGGTGTTTACATAGCTGATTTGTTTGTTATTCTTGTTGTATAAGAGGCAGTGGTCAACTGCCACACAGGATATCTTTATTATTACTCCCGAACTCCAACGCCGGTCCCGATTATCCAACATGATTGCAAGTACAATTTGTTTACCCATGTTCAAAATGCTTCCAACCCGGCCGGTGTGCCAAACCATGTCCCCAGTTCGTCCCCGTCCTTCTCCTGGCCCGCGGAGGCAAAATAGTCGGTCAACCGTTGGGTGTCGGCGTCCTCGTCGACCGGCCACTCCACGTTGACGCCACCCCCTTTCGCCGGGGTCGCTTCCAGCATGTCTTTCGCCGTCCCCCAACTAAACCTGCACTCGGGCCCCCAGCCCCAGACAGGATGCATGTTACCCTTCAGCCATGTGACACATCTCCCGTCCGACGGGTAACCCGACCCCCAACCCATAGTTTCCTCCGCTCCCTCTCCCTCCTCCCCGCTGCCGCCCCTAGCCTTCCAGAGCGTCTCCAGGGCGACATCCCTCGTCACCTTGGCGCACACACTGGCGGCGCTGACGCTCGGGTACAGGCTGTCGGCCTTCTTGGCCACGGTGACCTTGGCGGCGGGGAAGATGCGGGCCAGCTTGGCCTGGTAGGCGGCCGGCTGGCCGATGGTGTCGACGTAGATCTCGCGCACGTTGACCCCGCGCGCGTACACGCCCTTGATCAGCTCCACCGTCGCGTCCATGGCCTGCGCGTTGAGGTTGTACGCCGCCAGCCCGCTCCGCAGCATGCCCGCGCCGATGTCCCGCGCCGAGAGCGCGTCCACCGCCCACCCGCACGACTCGTACAGGTCGCTGGTCGGCGTGCACAGCGTCTGCATCAGCGACGCGCGCACCGCCGGGGTGAGGACCTTGCTGTCGTCGAAGTGGTGCGTCGTGCGCAGGAGCGGGTCGGAGAGCGGGATCGGCAGGTAGAAGACGCCGTAGACCATCGGGCCGAGGACGGGACCGCGGCCGGCTTCGTCGACGCCGAGCGCGCACGGGGGCCCGGTGGCGGAGGGCGGGGAGTCGGGTGGTGGTAGGAGAGAGGGTGGGACGGGGGAGTAGTAGGAATAGGAGTCTCCGGCGAGGAGGGCGGTTTCGTTGATTGAGGGTGGGATGAAGACGGATGGGGGAGGGGTTTCGAGGGTAACATCCTCGGTTTGTTCTGAATTGTCCATGTTGCCGAAATGTTTTGTCTACCGACTCAATCCTGAGTGTCGATAACTCCAGTCCAAGTTCCTGTCAGTGTCAAAAAGTTGAAAAGTGCCTTGGACGGGTTTTGCGGCGAACATGCATGTGCAGCACCCACACCCCCTGTCATGTCTCCCTGGAGGGGCCGAGCTTGACGCGTGCCCGCCGTCGAAACGCGTCACGGGTTAAGCCAATCAGCGAGGCATTTCAGCGGCCATTTACACACAGTGCCGACAAAATCCATGGCAGTACAACACTGCAGCGACATCGCGCGCGACACCCACTCTCCATTCCCTTGGGCGAAGTAAACAACCACACCACGATATCCCACTTTTTCCGCTTATCGTCGACCCCTCGGCCGCCTGAATCTGCGCTGCTCGCATTTCCCTACGCGACGCGCCCGAGAACCATTCGAATTGCTGCCAACTTTAAGCTCTAACGCGTCTCGGCCCCGAAACTCGTCGCCGACGTCGCCGACATGGCGCCCCGACCGTCCCTGGCGCGCCGCACGCTCGCGCCACAGGGCGAACATATTTACGAACTCGGTGTGGTGGGGAGGTACGTCAGAGGCGCATAACGAGGGGAGGAAATGGATTCAGGTTGGCTAACACCGGGGCACAGGAAAACCGGCGTCACGGTTCCCGACTCGGGGGTACGCGATGAACATGGCATGGAGCCGATTGAGACCCTTTTTTCGTCGCCCGGCAAGTCGGACCACGAGGACCAGCAGGATGAAGGATCCGACGATTACGGAAGCGGCGAGGAGATGGATATCACTACAAGTACGGTCCCAGGACAACGCAGCCAAACAAAGAAAGGTCGCTAACCTTGGTTCTAGCATCTGGAATTGGCCCGGCGGCGCTGCTCAACGGCCAGGGGAGTAGGTTACCCGTGCCCTTGTCGCGCGTCCGGTCACCAGCCAAGCCGCTGCTCAACTCACCCGCCCAACGAAACCGATTCCTCGCGCGGAACTCCTCATCGCCAGCCCGTGGTGCCGTCATTAGAAATGACGGTCCCCGATCCAGTAGCCAGCCGACGGGCGATCAAACCGCAACCAAGCGCCGATTAGACTTCCGCAGTGTCGCAAACGGGGGTCCACACTCGTTATCGCAGCCCCAGGCTCACGGCAATCGCCTGCAGCCATTGCAACACGATTCCGAAGAGGAGGAGGAGGCGCAAAGCGAAGGTGGTCATGCAGCAGATGAAGACGAGGTTAACGACTTCGTCGAAGAATCCATGGCCATGCTGAACGAAGGGGAAGACTACGACCTTGCCGAACAAGAACCGGGACCAGCGCAAAGCGAGGCCGAAGAGGAGCAGGCGTCAGTAATAGAGGACGAGGACCCGCCAGCTCCTGCTGCCAAAAGGAGGCCGGGCCGACCACCGAAACAGAAGGCAGCCGCACCAGCTAAGGCGGCGAAACCTCAGAAGAAGCCTGTCCAGCAAGTCGTGGAAGAAGAGGAGGAAGAGGAGGACCCAGAAGAGGACGGCGGGCACTCGGAGGAGGAACAAGAGCCGACGCCTAAACCACAAAAACCAACACCTGGGAAACGCGGTCGGCCCCCCAAGGCCGGCAAGGCCTCAGCTGCAGCAGCGCAACCCCCTGCCCGCGGCTCTAAGAAGCGCCGCTCGTTAGACGAAGAGTCCGCAGCGGCCGAGGAGCCCTCACCAGAGCCACAGCCAAAACGCCAGCGCACATCCCCCGCCGCCAACGCGAAGAAACCCGGCCCTAAGAAGGCCGCCGCTCCAGGCAAGAAGGCGCCCCAACCGGCGGCGGCCACGGCCCCAGCCCCGAAACCCCGCGGCCGAAAGCGCAAGTCCTCCATCGACGCGGGCGACGTGTCCCAAGTAGCCATGGCGCGGGGCCCGCCGCTGCCCAAGTCGCGCGGCCTGCTGATCAACCGGCGCGAGGTGCCGGGCGACCCGGGCTCGTCCATGAGCCGCACGCGGTCCGGGCGCACCTCGTTCAAGCCGCTCGCCTACTGGCGCAACGAGCGCGTCGAGTTCGACAAGGACGAGGCCGAGGACGCTTTCGTCGGCCGCAAGCGCACCTCCCGCTTCGTCCTCTCCAGCGTCAACGCCGTCCACCGCGTCGACGAGCCTGAGCCCGAGGTCCGCGCCAAGTCCCGCCGCGGTGGTGGTGGTGGTGGTGGTGGGGTTGGGAAGAGGGGAGGTCCCGCGAAGCGCGGGCGGCGGAGGCGGAGTGGTGGGTTTGAGGAGGCTGATGATGGGGAGGATGATGGGCCCGCCGAGGTGTGGGAGCTCGACCCGGGGACGGTCACGGGCGAGGTGGTGGTGTGGCAGCCCGAGTACGAATTCAACCCCCCCGCGCCGAACGACCTCGTCAGCGTCATGGACAAGCAGCTCGCCATCAGCGGGCCGGCCATCAAGACGACCGAAGTGGTGGGCGGCGAGTTCCGCTACGCCAAGGTGTTCAGCGAGGGCTTCATCGGCGCCGGCGTGGTCGACCTGCCGCCGGGGGCCATCAAGCGGCTCAAGAACTCGCGCAAGGTTTTCATGATCTTTTTTGTGCATGCCGGCCGGGTGCTGGTAACCGTTCAGGAGACGAGTTTCCGCATCAGCAAGGGCGGGATATTCATCGTGCCTAGGTGTATGTTTACCTTCAACCTCCCTTTCCCATTCCCGCTTGGCTACTGATTGTTTGCTTACTGACTTGCGCTTCTTCCCAGACAACGAATACACAATAAACAATGACTACGACCAGCCAGCCCGCATCTTCTTCGCGCAAGGGCAAGAAATGCCTGTAAACGCGCCGCCCGAAGAAGATGTCGCCGAGGATGATGACGTGGACGAAGAGGTGGAGGTGAGCGAAGGCGAGGAGATGGAGAGCGAAGAGGAGTAAGAAGCGGCATGCAGCTGTCGGACTGTTGAATGGAAGAGTGTATGGGTCGGGAGTAAAGGGCAAATTTGCTGGGAGGAGCGTTTGCTTCACTCTTGTTAGTCTACAGGTAACTGGCCACATGGCCCGGGGACGGAACGGGGTGTCCAATAATGACACCACAGTCGCTCACCGCTTCAAAATATACCAGTGCTTGCTTGTATAATACAGCTTTCTTTCTAACTGAGGGGCTCCGGCTACAAATCGAAGTTGAGAAGGGTATCCAACGCCACCGCTATTGCTCGCGCGCTAAACACTTGGATAAGAAGCCCTCAAGCCTCCTCGGACAACACCTTTTTCAACCCAGCCATCTCCTTCTCATACGCCACGATCTTCTGCTGGCTCTTCTGCAGCTTCGCTAAAAGGTAGTTGATCCGGTCGGTAGTCTCGTACGGTTGCGAGGGCAAACTTCCAAGCACGCTGAGCTCCCCTTCGGCCTTGTCGATAATCTTCGCCTCGATCTTGGCCAGCTCAGTCAGCAACGCCAGGTCCATCCGCGCGTTAACGACTGCGTCGTTGAGCAGCCTATTGAAGGCTGCCTGGTACACAGGCTTCCCGGCACGAATGGTGGCGGGTCGGCCGTTGCGCGACTTGACCGTGATCAGCTCGGCAGTGGCGAGACTCTCGAGGGCAGCCTCGGCGTTGCCAGCGCCGGCGGTGGTGGACGAGGCAAAGGTGTTGGAGAGCAGAACTTCGTTGTAGCGTAGGTTTTCCTTGGAGGCAATCTCCTTGATCAGATACCAGGCCTGCTCGGTCGACCACTTCTTGTCGTCGGAGCCGGCAGCACCTTTGTTGGCGAGGAGAAACATGCGCAGGATCTCGGACGCGCTCTGCTCGATGATGTCTGAAACGGCCTTCTTCGGGCTCTGGCCAACTTTAAGTCTGCGGGCCAGGACTTGTAGGTCGGTTAGGCGGCCGCCCAGGGCGTCAATACACTCGTCCAGCTCCTGGAGGTCCCTCCGGAGTTGCTTCTCGCTGATGGAAGGAGAGGCATGGTTCACCTTCTTGTCGGAATCGTCGTCGGTTTCGAGTTGCGACACCACGAAGTGCTTTGCGACTTCGGGAGTGAGGTCACCTAGGGTAATCTGGTGGAAAACACGATCCGGAAGTGCCTTCGAAAGGGGCTTCGAAAACGATGTATCGGTAGTTAGGAAGATGACGTGGGCGATATTGGCCTGCACAAGGGCAGAAGCCCATTCCGAGATCTTGTCGTATACGATAGCCTTCTCCTCGCTCTTGTGTAAGAAGTTGTCTATCACGATGACGGGCCGCCTCTCCGGGTGGGCCTCTAAATAGGCATCGTCTGTGAGGCTCGCATCCCTATCGCTCTTCCTGCGAGCGAGCGAAACATCCTTGAGGGCTTCGGCGGTGGTCTGGAGGATCTTGGTGACTTGTGATTCGAGAGTCTCGGAAAACCCAGTTTTGACTCCCGTGGTGCCTTGGATGGCGAGGTCGACCATGCTGCTGAGGTTGTTGGCCCAGGAGAATACAGGGCGGTAGCCGACCTGATTAGCCAGCTTCCTGATGGTTCCCGCCTCGCCCCGTGCTTCCACCACCTGCCTGCAGTCTACCACCAACACATCGCGCCGCCCCTCAAGCACTTGGTCCATAACAAGTTCCCGGCCTCCAGAACCACGTGGTCCTTGAACGACGATGAATGTCCCCACGGTTTCAAGTAGGTTATTTTGTATTGAGTCGATCAGGTCCCTTCGGTGGGTAAATAGGGCACTGAGGCCCGCGTCGTCGTCTCCCCGCTTGTGGAAGGTGAGGATGTCGGAGGTTTGCCGTTTCAACCATTTGTACAGTTTACTATCGGTGAACTCGAAAGACCTTTGTACATGCACCTAAATATAGTTAGGTTTCGTGCTTCAACAATTAGCAATCCTTGGGGAGGAGCAGACGCACCTTGACGAAAAACTCGCGGATCGGGTCGAAGACGGCAACGGTAAAGGCGGCCAAAAAGGCAGCAATTATGGGGATGACGATCCGCGGGTGGTTCGTGACCCAGTTCCAAATTTGGTGAGCCTTTACTCGTTGTTCGTACGACAAGCGCAGGCGGGTTAGGCTCTTGCTCCCTTCCTCTTGGAGGACAAACCCATGGATGCAGTTCCGGGCTAGAATGGCGTCCCGGACCAAGACAAAGTCCACATATGCAAACTTGGGCAGAACCTTGGAGTCGGGGGGTTGAGAGGTAATGTCAGAGATCTTCCCATATCGGCGAAACAGGCTGTACAGGGACTCCTGTGATAATTCGGTTGGCGGTTCGGAGTTCCTGGCGGGCACAAACTCGATCCTGAGGCGGTTCTTCGGGAGGCGGTAGAGGTCTTCTAGCCACGGCCGGCCAAGGACAAGGCGCGACTTGATATGGCGGAAGGGGTTGAACCACGGCTTGATGGGTGTTTTGTCGAGAGATTTGACCAGTTGATCTGATGGTTTGTGTAAGCGTCCTGCCAACGGGGGTAAGAGCAGTAGGGTATATGTCCTGAGGGTGAATGAATACCTTCTATGTCCGCGGGCGATATGTTGTCAGGATAGGTAAACTTGACGTAAGCCCCGCCTTCTTTGAGCCGCGGGATGATCTCGGTGACCTTGATCGGGGCGCTTTCGGGGATTGCCCGCTTGACGAGGCCAATGGGGTCAAGGAAACTCAAGGACGCGCTGTTGAATCGCCTGAGCAGTTCATTCGTCTCCCAAGCTCTCCAGAGCAGTACTGAGCTGAGCTTGAGGGGGAAGATATCTAGAGAAGGTCAGAAGCTGGCGATGTTGTGAGATTGTTGCTTGTTTCTTTCTTGGAGCTTACTGTCAAAAAAGAGGATTGCCTCGTTGGGTTGTGTGTCGATATGTCCCGAGTTGTCGCTCCCAACAGTTCCCGATGTGCTCTCCCATCTCCGAATCAGACGCCTCGGCTGGCCCAGTCTTGTAGTTACCGGCGATCGGTGTCGAAGAGCGCAGGTTGTTGTAACCAGGCATGGCGGGGGCCTGAGCCCGTGCCCGCCGACCGGCCGAAACAAGACTCGTCCTGGTATCATTGCTTCATGGCAACACAAATGTCGTGAAATCAAAGGCCCCGGTGACTACGCGTGAAAAATGTCGTCCGATGAGAATTTAGATATTCCCGGGTTGGTGGTTGTTTAACAAGTCCCCCACGTCGGGTGCGACGACGAAGCGGGAGGTGGTGGCCCTGGTTCAATGAGGTCATTGGGCCCTGGTTTCGACTGACAAGACTAACGAACCGTGTTCTGGTTCATAGTAACTGCGACTTTCCGGTCTTGACAAATTTAAACCTCTCATTTGAATATCATATTTATGTAGGTATACACTGATTCAATCCATCCCTTTTCTCAAGACTCTGTTTTCTGTCCTCTGCGTCTTGTTTTCTCGGGAAGCACCGTCGACTTCAGGCCCTAGCTGGCTGGCCGCCAAGTATGGTGCCAAGCTACCCCACCACTGTCTTCGGACGGCGCGCCAATCACTGCCGGCCGGATGCAAGAGAATCTTTAACTGGCTGCAAGCCCTTTGACATCCAGACCACCCGGCGCGCTGGGACACCCTCCCGCGGAAGACCGACCTGCCCCTCACTTCCCCTCTCCTATCCGGTACATTGAGCAATTGAACATTGTTGCAACCAGGATTTCAAGCAGCAACGTGCATCTCCACCAAACATCCACCGACGTCGAAGCGATCATCACCATGGGCTGGTTCTGGCAGACCTCCTCGTCGCCGAAGCCCGAGGGCTCACGCGACAGTGCATCCCCAGCATCGACCACTCCCACACCACCAACACCGACTGCACCAACCCAAGCACCACCTGCCGAGGCCTCGTCTAACTCAGCCGACCGCGAGATGGCTATGTTTATGGACATGCTCCTGAAGGACACCCAATCGTCCTCTCAACCCAAGACCCAACAACCACCACAACCACCACCATCCAATTCCTCCTCCTCCTGGCTCCCCTGGTCATCCACAAAACCCGACGACACCCCCACCGCCGAACAACTTGCCCCCCCAAAAGAGACGCGCACCCCCCAATCCCTCGCCATGTCCGAGCACCTCCTCCCGACCAGCATGTCCTGCCGCGACGCATTCGACTACGCGTGGCACTGCCACACGCCCGGATCGCAATGGAACGCGGTGTACCGGTACGGGTCCGTGCGGGCGTGCTCGGAGCTGTGGGACGACTTCTGGTTCTGCATGCGGACCAAGTCGTACTCGCCCGAGCTGAAGGCGGCGGCGGTGCGCGAGCACTACCGGCTCAAGGAGGAGGCCAAGTACGGCGGCGGCCGGCCCAGCAGCGAGGACGTGTGGGCGAGCCGCGAGGAGCGCGTCGCGCCGGGGACCGCCTTCCAGCAGCGCTTCGAGGCGCCCGCGATAGACGATGCCGAGCTGCAGAGGATGGATGCCGAGCGGCGGAGGCAGATTCGGGAGATGACGGAAGGGGCAGAGGGGAATAATAGATAGTGATCATAGGAAGAAGGAGTGACATGGACTCGGCTTTGATAGTTTATTAGCGACCTAATTCCATCTCTACTACTGATACCCAACCGCACAATGATTCATGATCGGACACCAAGCGTCCATGTAGCTAGGGTGCGATGAATGGAAAGAACTACGGACTATGAACAAACTCAGCGTATGCATAAGGAAAGGAAACCCTCGCCGTTCTTACTACGCCCTATGAGAAAAGCGGACGGCTCCGCCAATACCAACTTAGACTCCGGCGCCCCAGCTCAGTTCACACGGAAGGAGAGGAACTCTCGACATGTCACAAGCACACATTATAGCAACTTGTGTAAGTATGAAATTTCCTTTGTTCATTGCAAGGAAACGGGAATCGTAACTAAAGTACAGTCCATGCAGCCTCCCACCTGCTTTTCCCCTGTATCATGATCATCAAAGAGAAACCAGATCTAGGTGTTACCCCATACCCCATATCCGCATCCCAAGAGAGCGCAATTCCGCAGCTCGTTGACGCGGATCCAATCTACTAGCGCATAGAAAAGCAGAAACGCCGGCCCAAATGTCAACCACCCGTTTAGTCGACCTCCTCGACGGTGGGGCCATCGTTGTCGTGGCCGGCACCGCCGGGAGCACCACCGGGGAAGCCACCAGGGGCGCCACCGGGCATGCCGCCGGGCATACCGCCAGGCATGCCACCAGGAGCACCACCAGCACCGTAGAACTTCATCATGATGGGGTTGGCGACACCCTCAAGCTCCTTCTGGTGCTCCTCGTACTCCTCGCGGGTAGCCTGCTGGCTCTCGTCGAGCCAGGTGACGATCTTGTCGATCTCGGTGCGGAGGGTCTCCTTGTCAGCCGCGTCGAGCTTCTCGTCGACCTTGGGGTCGCTGAGTGTGTTGCGAAGCGAGTAGGCGTACGACTCGAGGCCGTTCTTGGCCGAGACACGGCTGGCCTCGGCCTCATCCTCCTCCTTGAACTTCTCGGCCTCCGCAAGCATGCGCTCGATATCCTCCTTGGACAGACGACCCTTGTCATTGGTAATGACAATCTGGTTCGTCTTACCAGTGCCCTTCTCGAGAGCCGAGACGTTCATGATGCCGTTGGCATCCAGGTCGAAGGTGACCTCAATCTGGGGCACACCGCGAGGGGCGGGCGGGATACCAGTGAGCTCGAACTTGCCGAGCAGGTTGTTGTCCTTGGTGCGCTGGCGCTCACCCTCGTAGACCTGGATAAGCACACCAGGCTGGTTGTCAGAGAAGGTCGAGAAGACCTCGGACTTCTTGGTCGGGATGGTGGTGTTGCGGGGAATGAGCTTGGTCATCATGCCACCGGCAGTCTCGATACCGAGCGAAAGAGGGGCAACGTCGAGCAGGAGGATCTCGTTGGTCGACTTGGACGAAGTGTCGCCGGACAGAATGGCAGCCTGGACGGCGGCACCGTAGGCAACGGCCTCATCGGGGTTGATCGACTTGTTGGGTTCCTTGCCGTTGAAGTAGTCGCTGATGAGCTTCTGGATACGGGGGATACGAGTGGAGCCACCGACGAGGACGATCTCGTGGACCTGGGCCTTGTCGATCTTAGCATCCGTCAGGACACGGTCCACGGGCTGGAGGGTCGAGCGGAAAAGATCCTGGCACAGCTCCTCGAAGCGGGCACGAGTGATGGAGGTGTAGAAATCGATACCCTCGAAGAGAGAGTCGATCTCGATCGAGGTCTGAGCCGACGACGAAAGAGTGCGCTTGGCACGCTCGCAAGCAGTGCGCAGGCGGCGGAGCGCACGGGCGTTGGTGGAAAGGTCTGAGCAGAGGGATGTCAGTATCAGAACTTGAACTGCCGGCCATATGCCGTGGGAAAGGGGGGGGGAAATAACTTACCCTTCTTGAACTTGCGCTTGAACTCCATGACGAAGTGGTTGACAAGACGGTTGTCGAAGTCCTCACCACCCAAGTGGGTGTCACCAGCAGTCGACTTGACCTCGAAGATACCCTCCTCAATGGTAAGGAGGGACACATCGAAGGTACCACCACCGAGATCGAAGATGAGGACGTTGCGCTCGCCCTCGACCTTCTTGTCGAGACCATAGGCAATGGCGGCAGCAGTGGGCTCGTTGATGATACGCAGGACGTTGAGACCGGCGATGAGACCGGCGTCCTTGGTGGCCTGACGCTGGGAGTCGTTGAAGTAGGCAGGAACGGTGACAACAGCGTTGTTGACAGTGCCACCGAGGTAAGACTCAGCGGTCTCGCGCATCTTGGTCAGGACCATGGAGGAGACCTCCTCCGGGGTGAAGGTCTTCTGCTCGCCCTTGAACTCGACCTCGATGATGGGCTTGCCAGCACGGTCGATGATCTTGAAGGGGAAGTGCTTCATATCAGCCTGAACCTCGCCATCGGCGAACTTGCGACCAATGAGGCGCTTGGCGTCGAAGACGGTGTTGTGAGGGTTCATGGCGACCTGGTTCTTGGCGGCATCTCCAATAAGACGCTCGGTGTCCGTGAAGGCAACGAACGATGGGGTGGTCCGGTTACCCTGGTCATTGGCAATGATTTCGCAACTGCGGAGAGTTGGTTAGCATACTGTCCTTATTGCCATAGGGGGCCGCCCAAAGACAAAACCAGCTCGAGGGGCCGGACTCGACAACCCGGGGGCCAACTCATGGGATCGGTCGGTTGATGTCAACCAGCCAACCTATAAAGTGGCCCACCAAGCTGCGAGGCATGCCGATCACGAGCGATCCGTCTTCGAGAATCACTGTTGAACTTACCGATCCTCACGGAACACGCCCACACACGAGTAGGTCGTGCCCAAGTCGATACCGACGGCGGGAGCCATCTTGTCTGTGTGCTCGATCGACAAATCAAATGGGAATTAAGTAGTGTAGAGAGTTAGAACGTTCGTTGAAGATTCCCGGAAATGTGGTGGGAATTCGTGAATGGGTTGCAAGAAGAATTGGTGGGATGGGGAGTGTGGGAGTGGAAGGAGGGGCAGAAGAGCTTTTAGAATTTAAGCGCAGCTTGAACTTTGGTCGCTGTTTCCACGGCCTTCGGTGGGTTTCTCCAACCCCACCAACCAAAGGTACCGCCAGCTACTTCTCGATTGACCTGGCAACCTGGCGCAGCCTCTCGACCACTCCACACAGCACTGGAATGTTCTACCGGGCTCTTGCAGCATCAGCAGCCTTGCGTCCAGTCTCTTTGTGTTTCTCTCGTACCTCGACCGGTACTGTCCCTGCAGCTCTTTGACAGGCAAGGGGGGTTACCTTCTTGAAGTAAATACCTAGGTATTCATACGGAAATTCCACCGGCATGCTTCCTAGCAGGGGCGCCAATCTAGAGGCAAAGCACCTCCCCGGTGGCGGATGATTCTTGCAGGCACGCAGGATCGGAAATCATGGACGGGCAGTTCCATGTCCGTGGTCAGGCAGAAAGTCAGTGCCCGAGTTGGGAGCATCCATCATGATTGATGGGCGAAGCTGACCATACACACACATCTCACCCTACCTTTCGAGCTACCCAGCTTCCAACCATTTGAGGGCCGTTTTCATCAGAAGCGGTACCACAAACTGCACGCTCTGAGACGGGTTGAGGCGCGGCAGCCGCAAACCACCCCCTTTGGTGGCACTGCTGCATGAAATTTCACCCCTTTGAGTGTGGCCATGTACCCCAAAGTACCCCGCAGGACCCACTCGCGATCTTGCAGGGTCTTGGCTCAGCGTTCCAGGTTGCGGTCTGGGTGCCTGAAGCACCGCCATCGGCAAACCTCTTTGTCCACCAAGCCCCTCCCTGCCTTGAAGTGCCCAATGGGCCAGACTCGTGGACGCGTTTCTTTCTTTTGTTAAACGGTATCAAGCTGACTTTCCAACTGTACCTAGGTATTTTCAACGGTTTCAGAACGGCAATTTGTTCTTGCCCCCTAGGGTCCTCTATAGCGTCATTTCAGGGTTCCCCGCCACCGCCATCCGGTAATGAAGTCATGAGGCGATAAGATAATGCTCGGCTGCCCCGCAATCAGCTTTCCCCTCCAGATGCCAGAGAGCGGGGCATGGCTCAGTGATGCACTGGCGTGACTGGCAGAGCAGAGCTATTTTCAGGGGCAGGAACAACATCACCAAAAAAAAGTCCGTTTTGCTTGAGCCCTATAGACTCTTTTGTCGTCCATTTGAGAATAGCTTAACACAATTGCATGCAGTTTGGAAAAAAATTCACCTCTCCAACCAAATAACTTTTGCCCGCCATGTTGATTAAGGAGAGCTTTGCTGATGTGGAAACATTGGTCGATGGCAAGGAAGGCTCGATGAGTGAGTTCCCACCAACTTGGGCTCAAACTCAGCATTCAACTTGGCATTATCAAACTGACATGGTCAACTGCCAGGAATCTTCCTGTTCCATCCCACCATCGCCGGTTATCCCAACGCGTGAGTTAGGCCACGCCATTCAGAGCCTCACTCGCTTCCATGTACTTGACAGCTTACAAGCTCCATCCCCTAGCCGCTTCCCCGGAGTTGTGCTTTTCAGCGAGATCTACCAGGGTGAGATGTAATTCTCTCTTGCCAGTGACCAACAACTCATCATGAGCGGCGGGTTTGCGAGATAGTTACTGGTCCAGTTGCTCGGTTCGCAAGACAGATTGCCGGTCAGGGCTACATCGTGGCCGCTCCTAGCAGCTACCATGACTTTACCGGCCCCGAGCCTCTGGCATACGACGTGCCGGGAACCGACAAGGGGAACGAGTGGAAGATAACCAAGGTGGGGGAGCTCCAAGCCTTGCCTCTTTGTAGACCCCCAATTAATGAGAAACATTCAGACCCTCGAGTCCTACGATGAAGACTCGAACCGATCAGTCGACCACCTCCTCTCGCTGCCCACCTGCACCGGCCGTATCGGTGCAACAGGCATGTGTCTAGGTGGACATCTAGCCCTGCGTGCAAGCGTATGCCTTCTCTATTTCCCAGGTCTCTTAACCCCAAACTAACCCTCCACCCCCCCTGCTTTCCAGCTCGACCCCCGCATAACCGCCTCGGTCTGCTATTTCCCCACGGACATCCACACGCGCACGCTCGGCCCCTACACGGAAGCCAACTCGTCCGCCACGGCGCCCTCCCCCGACAGCCTGCACACGCTGGACCAACTCGCACGGATCCACGGCGAGGTCTCGCTGATCTTCGGGGTCAAGGACACGCACGTGCCCGACGCCGGGCGCGACCTGATCCGGCTCAAGATGCGCGAGGCCGGGGTCACGGCCAGCTTCCACGAGTTCGCGTGGGCGCAGCACGCCTTCATCCGCGACGAGCTCAGCAAGGGCCGCTACGACCCCGCCGTCAGCCGGGCCTGCTTCGAGGTGCTGCTCGAGGTGTTTGGCCGCGTGCTGCGGACCGAGCTGGGCGCGCCCGAGGGCGGCGTGCCCGCCGTGGTGCATGCCTGCTGAGCTACCGATGGGCGGCTCGCGCGCCGCGTTGGTAGTGGCGGGGTGGGGGTGGTACTGCTGCCAGTTGGCGGAGAGACGTTACTGATGATGGCTTGTCTCCTATCATAACTGTTGAACGCTGCGAAAGGGCATGGAGACCCGGGCAACCAATTCGGTCAGTTCAAAATGTCAAGTTGGCTCTCTAAAGTTTATGTTTATGTCTATACACACAAAAACAAGACCTGTTGTTGGCCATGCAACATGCAGATGCAACGTAATGTGAGCGCAATGTTTGTTCCCCAAACCCCCAAACCTCTTCACCAAAATCTGTAACAGAATCTCCAAACTTCTAAGCACCCAACTCCATTAGTTGTCTTTTAGAAACCCAAACGATCACTCCATAAACCGCGCACTAAATTCAGTTCGGATGTTCCCATTCTCATTCCCATCATTAATAAGATCGGCACCTGGCCCTAACTGGCCTCTCAATCATCCTTTTGGGTAGATGCTTTCCGTCTCTTCAATATACCTTCAGATCCTACCCGGGGGTCCTGAAGGCCCAGGCTGCCCTTGGGGCTGGCTCACACTCGACCCTCTTGGCCTCGCGCCAACCAGTGTCCTCCCGGACGTCGTGCCTTGGGGCTGCGCTCCCGGCTGTTGGACAGCCAGATGCGTGGGGGCTCCGGTAGGTGGGGGAGGGCTCCCGTATACGCCCTGCGGATGGGGGGCACCGGCGTCACTGGGCATTGGGCTGGGCGCCTGCGCGTTGTACGCGGACCAGGTGTTGTACGGCGACCCCGCCGGGGGTGGGATGCCCGCCTGTCTCTCGACGTCAAACGACTGGTTGTCTGGGCGGGTGGATGTGGACGTCCGCGTCAGATGGACAGCCGGCATGTTGGGATCATCACCCATTGAATGCGGAGGGAGCGTGTCGCCGGCCCTGCGGCGCCCGCGCTGGGATTCGCGAGCGCTCACACCGCCGACAGTATCGGAGCGGGATACGGTGGCCGCCGCACCGGCGTTCGCGGGGCGGTCGGCTGAGGGATCACGGCTGGCGAGCGTGTTTTCGTACCCCCAGTCGTCGAGCGCTTCGACCACGGGGTTGGATGTGTTAATGTTATCAGCTGCTCGTTTCTCGGTCGGATCAGCATTGGCATTGGCAGCCTCCTCGGCCGTCTGGTTCGCTAGCTTCTTAGCCTCCTTGTCCTTCTCGGACTTGGCACGGGCATCGGTGGCGAAGGTATCCGTGACGGCGACGCTGTATGTTGGGTTGGCAGGTCCGCCGAGGGCATCACCACCACCTCCCGGACCGTTGATTGGCACGCGCCTGAGGGCCATAGTGAGAGCACACATGAATTTGGAGCGGCGCGTGGCTCGGACGGCGTCGTTGTGCCAGTTGGACTTGTGCTTGATGGCGATCTTGAGTGTGAGTTTGTCGCAGTCGCCAACGCCGCCGACACCAATGGCGATGTCGGGCTGGAAGTCCCGGCTGTTGTCTGGTGACTGCACAAACTGCTCCAATTCGACGCGCAGCAGCTCAATATCCTCGAACGACGTGTCAAAGGCAACATTGACATCAATGACCTCCTTCATGGCTTTGCTTCGTGTCACGTTCTCGACCCAAGCGTTATTCAGCACGATGTTGGGAACCTAACTGGTTAGCTACCAATGTTGGGAGAAGGGGCATCAGGGGAGGCCTACCTGGACGACCTGCATCTTGTCGATACGGGTAAATACGGTGTAGAGGAGAGAGATCCTCTCAACGATCAACTGCTCCTTCTCCGGGCCGGTGATATCCACACGGTCGCCGACATCATACGGATGCTTGACAAAGAGGAAGATGCAGGAACCCAAGAACTCTTGCGTCGTGACGGCGAAGACGAAGGACAGTGAGAGAAGCGTGGTGCCAGCCGTAGCAAGGGTGGTAACGAAGCTGCTCTGGAAGACGATCACTGGGGATAGTTAGCGGGTGAACGTGGCCGAAAACAGAATTGAACGTACGGAAAATGATAATGACGATGATCAACACGACGAAGAGAAGGACCCTGTCGAAAACGGCGAGCGCCTGGCCAATATCCTTCATGCTGTGCCCAATGGCCTTCCGCTCCTTCCCGATCTCGACAATCTTGCGGATCATCTCGTCCAGACTGATATCACCATTCTGGTCGGCATCAATGGCGTTGAAACACTCTGTAGCTTCTTCGCGGTGGGCGGGGCCCATGACCTCGATAATGTCGTCCAGTGAGAGCGCGTCTTGACCTTCGACGACAAATGACATCCAGAGACGACGAGCCATAGCCTCAGAACTGCGGACCCTCTCCAGTGCTTCGAGCACGACGGAGTGGGCGGAATTAGGGTTGAAGACTTGCTTTCCCGTAATCTCAGAGGCGATGTTGCCGAACACAGACGTGATCTTGCCACCAAAACGGCCGACATCGCCAACGATCCTCATTGCAGCAGGGCCCTGCTTGCCGTTGCCCTTGGCACGGGCAAGCATGACCTCGATGCTGTCGGCGATGATGAGGTCCTCGTCGGCGAACTCGGGGCAGTACATGGGGAAGAGGGTCCGGGAAGCTTCGTACATGAGACCCAGGAGGAAGATGTCGCGCTTGGAGTCCTGGATGCGGTTCGCAAAAGATCGCTGGTGGTAACTGATACTAATGAGCTGCACCAGAAACTTTTCTCCTAGGAGGACCGCGGACGAGATGAAGAGCGACAGCAGGATGCGCACAATGACGGTTGACCACTGTCTGTCGGCGCCATCCCACATAAACTTGAAGGAGAGCCATGACGCGAGACCCCAGAAGAAGAGCGAAAGCGGGATTTCGAGGGCGCGTATCACGGTGGCATACTTTTTCGTGCCTGAACTGACGACACCGCTCAGGAACATGAAGACGTACGGCAGGGTGTGGGCGACCAGCTTCCCCGCCCAGAGGGTGAGCCATGAGATCTCAATCCATAGAAACAGCAGGAACAGGCTGTGGCGCTGTCCGCTACCCAGTCTGATGCGGTCCTTGTCTCCTGTAAGTGGGAGGACGATGATGGGGACGGCAAGCAGAAGGGCGACGGGGATGATGTAGACGAGATAGCGCATGATGGCGGAGAAGCCGACGACCTTCTGGTAGAAACGGCCCAAGGCGTTAAGTGAGGCATCCTCAGACGAGCCAGACGAGCCGGAGCGCTGCAGGTCGTTCCGGATGCGCCTCCTGCCCGCTGGACCACCGACGGCCTTGTCGAAGAGGGCATGTTTCTCATCCATGCGCTCGGTGTTGACTCTTCGGGAGCCGGTTGAGCTTGCATTGGACTTGATGGTGCGGAGGGGGATATCCTGCATCTCGGTCGCCGTCGACTCGCCTGTGATGGGGAGGAAGCCCCTGTTATGGGGCGACCTCGGCGACCTTAACGACATTGGTTAAAGTCCCGAGGGGGTACAACTTTGCGGACGTTGTCTTAGACGCAAACTTCAAGGGATGGGCTGAAAAATGTGGTTGGTGGCGAGTGCTCTCGTGGTCCGGTTACCTGGAATGGCGCCGCCGGACGTGACTAGTTATCCCCGTGGAACCGACGAGGGTCTCAGAGATCGAAGCAAGAAAGCTTAAGCAGGTTTCGAGGCCCTCGAACAAGGTGACGAGATGGGATGGGTGTCGACTCGCAAGTAACAATCAGGGCACCCAGGTGAGATCGAACAAAAAGCGGAACGAGTGAAGAAAGGGCCTTGTCTCTAAGAAGCCAACTAAGGACCGAACCGAGTTCTCTGTCGATGGCATCAGCCGGGGAGTTCGACGAGAAGGTAGGTCAACAACGAAAGGCAATGTAAAGGGACCGAAAGAGGGGCTCAAGATATCACATCAAGAAACGAGAGGGGGATGGTGACAAAGAGGGTGGGGGTGCAGAATGCAGAGCGCAAAGTTCTTTTTCTCGATCACTTCTCGAACATTTTGTTGGATCGCGTCGGGTCCATCCAACATGCCCGTCACGGAATGGGGGCTTGAAATTTCCCTGGGCCAAGCCACCTCGAAGCCCGGCGGCCTGGGGAAAGGGGAAAGTCGTCCTGTCGTCCACCGTGCCTGCCAATTGGGACCCCTTCCCTCCTGCCGCTCCCGGAAGGCGCTCTCACGAAACACCAAGCCACGGCTGGACCAGTCAAGTCAGCAGCCCCAAGAATTACCCCCCTGGATCATCACGGCGCAGGATCGAGGCGAGCGAGGGTTTGCAAAGCGAAAACTGCCCAAGCTGCGTTTCCCTGTTTCACATTGAGGACCCCTTGTTGGCGGGTCGCTTTCGAGCCCGGCCGATTGGCCAATGGACGGCGCAGGGTCCACACGCTTGGCTACAAATGCCTATCGTGGGGTCGTGGAGCTCTCAAGGAAAAAATGTGATGATGGCCAGAACACAGTATCGATCGATCCGTTCACCAGCGACGGTTTTGTCAGATCTCGTAACCGGAACTTGGCGAGTCAAGGGTCGAGAACTCTGGCAATGAACGACATTCCACACTGGAGAATAAGCACGGAATCGATGGCAAATCCGTCCTGCTAAGCTTGTTGTACCTGGCGAGTTTAGTTCATCCGATGTCAGTGACAACTTGTTCGGATGTCGCATTCTTTGTCCTGGCGGTTTACTTGTGTCCAATGAGCCAATGTCCATGGGGGTTCACGACACGAATTAACCGATCTGCCAGGCCTTCTGTGGGGTTGGAAAGCAAGCAGCACGTCATGGTCTGTGTCGGTCTCTTTAACTTGGATGAGATCTGCGTACAATGGCTGAAACCCCCTCTCGATCGCCTCGTACGACCCCCGCTGGAGGAATCACGGACCCAATCATGACAACTCCTGCTGTGCCCCAAGGAGCAGAAGTTGGCTGGCTGGCATGAAATATCAAGAGGTCTAGATTCCGTAGTAGAGCACAAACAAGGCCAGCGAAAGGGTCGTCTGATGATCAGGAAGAGTACACAGTGATTTTGGCACAAGTGCTTGAAACCAACCGGTCACGCCGCTCGCTGGTGCAATGGCCTTCTTTGTGTCTTGCTGTTGCATATCACAACCGTAAATGGTGGTGGGGGATGACAAAAAGTATTGAGGCCTCTGCATCATGACCACCGAGCCACCAGATACGAATAACTAACTATGGACGGTCACACACACAGTCTGGGACTCTGGGGAGGGTCTCATCGGTGGTCTCGGCAGGTTGTGGTTCCGGCATGCTGGATCGGCCGACTTGGCGACGGGCCGGGCCAGGCGAATGAACCGGTGCTAAATGAGAATCTCCACGAGAAGTCGAGGCAGGATCCATTCCGAACAAGGAAAAGCATTGCACGTTCGAGAGCGTGCTCCCAAGGAAAAAAAAAGAAAAAGGAAAAGTAGGGAAATGCGAATGCCAGCGACAACAGTCCCCGGGCGCAATATCCGCCGATGGTGGCTTTTGCCAAGCCTGTTTTGGTCCAAGCTCCCGCAAATCTTGGGCTTGGCGACGCTGAAGCTCCAGCTGCCCGTGGCCCCACCATCATCATCAAATTGAAGATGCACCACGGCAGTTTGATCATGACTTTTTCGACCTCCCTGGTCAAGGTCACCACTAGCCCGCATATAAAATACAATTGCGCGAAATGAGGCCGCCTGTCTTTGGCGCCAGGAGGCCGTCAAATTGGCTACGATGCCTCGGACGAGCCCCCGCTCGACGCCCTACCATCCTCTCGCTCCCCCGCCTGCAGACGCCGCAAACAACAATACCATTAGCCCTCTACCATAACACGCGGACCCTCCTACAAGATTCGATCATCTCCCCCGAACATCAGCAGCCGCCCGCGGCCCGACAAACGACCACAGGCCCCAAAGCTGCCCCCGACCTCAAACACATCCGCCAGAACATCGAGCTCTACGCCCAAAACTGCCGCGACCGCAATTACCACGCCGCCGCCGCCTACCCGTCCCGAATCAACGACCTCTTTTCCCAATGGCAAGCTAAGCAGCAGGAGGGCCGAAGCCTGCGCGAGCGCCGCAACCTCCTGCGCCGCCAGCTCGCCGACCCAGGGACAACCCGCGACGACGCCGACGAAGATGCCGCCGGGTTCCGCTCGCTGTCGCGCGAGCAGCTGCTCGAAGAAGCCCGCAAGGTCAAGACGGACCTGAGCGCAATCGAAGAAGCCGAGTCCACCCTCTCCGCCGAGATGCACCGCCTCGCCCTCGCCATCCCCAACCTCACCAGCGACGCCACCCCGCGCGGCAACCAACCGACGGTACTAAGCTACATCAACGACCACCCCGAACCCGGTCCGGCGCCGTCCGACCGCGTGTGGCGCTCCCACGTCCACATCGGCGCGGAGCTGGGCATCCTGGACTTTGCGGGCGCAGCCACCACCTCCGGATGGGGGTGGTACCACCTACTCGACGAAGCCGCGCAGCTGGAGCACGCGCTGGTCAGCTACGCGCTGACGGCGGCGACGCGGGCCGGGTGGCGGCAGGTGAGCCCGCCGAGCATGGTGTACTCGCACATCGCGGGGGCGTGCGGGTTCCAGCCGCGCGACGCGCACGGCGAGACGCAGATCTACGCCGTCGCGCAGTCGGCCGAGGACGCGGCGCGCGGCAGGCCCGAGCTCAGCCTGGCGGGCACGGCCGAGATCCCGCTGGCGGGCATGAAGGCCGACACGGTGCTGGACGAGCGCGAGCTGCCCGCCAAGCGGGTGGCGGCGTCGCGCTGCTACCGGGCCGAGGCCGGCGCGCGCGGGTCCGAGACCAAGGGCCTGTACCGGGTGCACGAGTTCACAAAGGTGGAGCTGTTCGCGTGGGCGGCGCCCGAGGCCGACGTGGCGCAGGAGCTGCTGGACGAGATGGTCGACCTGCAGACGGAGCTGCTCGGGTCGCTGGGCCTGCACTGCCGCGTGCTCGAGATGCCGACGGCCGACCTCGGCGCGTCCGCCACGCGCAAGTGCGACATCGAGGCCTTCTTCCCCTCGCGCCGCGACCGCAACGACGGCTGGGGCGAGGTGACGAGCGCGAGCATCTGCACCGACTACCAGACGCGCCGGCTGGCCACCAGGGTCAAGCTGGCGAGCGGGAAGCTGGTGTACCCGTGGACAGTGAACGGCACGGCGATGGCGGTGCCGCGTGTGCTAGCCGCCATTCTGGAGAACGGGTGGGACGAGACCGAAAAGACGGTGACGATCCCCGAGGTGTTGAGGCCGTGGATGGAGGAGAGAGAGAAGATCGGGCCGCGGCATCGTTAGGACACCCTGCGGCTCTTACAAAAAAAAAAAAAAGAAACATGTATCATATGTGTGTCACTGATTGCAATGTACGAAAGGCGTAGCCAAAGTCAACTTCATGTTCATCATCTGAGCTATCCATACAAAACAAAAATTACCAACCGCCACCAGCATGGCCTGCCAAAGCAACCCACGACGCCCTGCCGCAAACTATACTCAAACAACAAGGCCTCATGATCATCAACAACATAAGAAAAAGGAAACAAAAGAGAGTATACCCCGCCCACAGCAACCCTAGTCATTTCCCCGTGTCTCGTCCAACCATATCACACACCCATTCCATACCGAGTCCATCAATCATCGATCAACTCGCCGCCGCAACAGGCACGCTTCCTTCTGTCTCTCGCTCCATACCAACATCGCTCTCCCTACCAACCACACTCTCGGTCCAATCACTCGCCGCATCGTCAATGTCATCTCCATTCCCCTGACCAGCCTCGTTCTCGGACCAATCATCGTGGAGCCCCTGCTCGTCCGCAGGGGTGATCACCGTCGTACCGTGGCTCGACCGCCTGAGACTCCTTGCATCCTCCTCCTCCTCCTCCTCCTCCCTGTCATCATCCACATCGTCGCCGAGGTCACTGAACCGGTCCTCCTCGTCGGCAAGGTCTTCGCCGAGAGGTTCCCCGTCATACTCCTCCGTCGAGGGCGTCACGTTGACATCAACAATCTCAGGTTCCGTGGCGGTCGGCTCGGAAATCACGATCTCTGGCTGCGACACCTCCCTCTCGCGCTGGTTCTCATTGTACGCGTCCTCGTCCCCCTCCCTCAAATCCATCCCCTCCATTCCCCCATTCTCCTTATCCTCCCCGGCACCCAGGTCACCATACCCCTTCGACGCGGGAGCGGCAGCGGCAGCAGCAGGTGATGTCCAGCTGCTCTTGCGCAATCCCCTCGCCGCCGCAGCCCCACCAGCGGTCCTAACACTCTGGCTACGCTTCATGCCACCAGAAGGTACATTGTTGGTAATTTGGCTGAGCGATAAGATCCGGCGGTTAGAGGAAGACGAAGGAGCTCCGTTGGGGGCGTTGGCCTTGCTGCGCGCCGACATGGCCATGTTGATGGCGCTCCGTGGTTTGGTGGTATTAGCTTCGGACGCCGCTGGCGCGGGATCGGCCGGCCTCTGAGTGGAAGACACGCGCTTGCGGCTCATCGAGTCACGACCGCTATTGGCGGCGGCCCGGTTGGTCTTGGCCATGAGCAGGACCCGGGAATGGTCCATGACGCCTTCCAGGATGCGGCGCTCGAGGCTTTCTGCGCGCGCTTCCATGTCGTGGAGTTCCTCGCGGCGGAGGCGGAGGGCTGTGTCAAGGGAGGAGAGGTCCGCGGTGAGACGCGTCTTTTGGCGACCGAGGTTCTCTTGCTCGGAGCGTAGAGAGACAAGGCTGTCCTTCACCCGCGATTCGTCCTCCTTGAGCGTAGCAAGGAATTCGACGCGGAGTTGTTCCTGCTCTTCGCGGAGCGCAGCATTCGCGTCCTTGAGGCGGGCCTCCTCTTCCATTAGGTTGGCAAGCAGGTCGATCTTGAAGCGCTCTTGCTCCTCCTTAAGGGTAACCTTGATTTGCTCTTGCTCTTTCCTCAAGGCATCGTTAGCCTCGCGCAACCGCTCTTCCTCCGCCTTAAAGTTGGCCAGGAAAGCTTCCTTCATGTGTTCCTGTTCCTCTCGGAGGCCGGCATTCACCTCCTTCAGAAGCGACTCTTCTTCACGGAGGTTGGCAATGAAAGTGTCCTTGAGGCCTTGCTGCTCCTCGCGTAGGGTATCGTTCATCTCCTTGAGCCGAGATTCCTCGTCGCGGAGGTTGCTGAGGAACGTTTCTTTCAGCTTCTCTTGTTCCTCCTTCAAGGCGAGATTCGTCTCCATCAGGCGCGCCTGCTCCTCCTTCAGATTGTTGAGGAAAGCCTCCTTCATCTGGTCCTGCTCCTCCTTCAGGGCGACATTCGTCTCCATCAAACGGGCCTGCTCCTCCTTGAGGGTGGTAAGGAAGGTCTCCTTCAGGTGGGCCTGTTCCTCGATAAGAGCAGTAGTTGCCTCCTTGATCCGGGACTCCTCCGCCATCATATTCGCAAGGAACTGGTCATTGACCTTGCTCTGCTCCTCCGGAAGGGTGACGGTGATCGACTCCTTCAAGCGGGCTTCCTCTTCCCTTAGGCTGGCAATGAGAGCGTCGACCTGTTCCTTCTCCTCGCGGCGCCGTTCAAGAGCAATGGTGGCCTCCTGCAGCGTCTTCTCGCGATCCTCGTGCTCATCGGCAATCCGCTGAGTTTGAGCGGCAAGGAAGGCGGCGAGCTCTGCTGCCGTTGCCTTGACCTGGGAATGGACCTGGTTGAGGGTCTCGAGTTGCTCGAACGCCTTGTCGGCCACTTGAGTATGGCCAACGAGTGTGTCCAGCTTCTCGATTACTGCCGTGTCGTCATACTTCTCAGGTGGCGGCGGGAGCAGTGGGTGCTCGACCCGTTCCTGGATTGCCAAGGTAGACGTCCTGAGGTGGTCGTAATGCTGGGCCAGAACCAGCATGACCTCCTGGACGCTCTCGAGAATCTTGGGCTGGTACTCGGACACTTGACCCTGAAGCCCCTCCACCTTGCCAATGGCTTCCTGGACTTGCTCCCGGGTAAGCTGATGCTCGGCCTTGCCCTCGGTGTGGTTCTCGTCCGATTTGGTGACAAGGTCTTCGACGCGCTCAAAGACGGTCTTCGAAGCCTCCTCCATCTTCTCCATGGAATCGGTGACGGCAGTGCCGAGGGTGTCAACTAGCGACTTGAGCTCCTCGGCAATGACCTTTGTGCCACTAACGGCAGCCTCCATTTCGAGGTCCCTTTCTTCCGTTTTTGTAGCCCGGTCATCCTGGATAAGCTGGAGCTCCTCGTACTTGGTCATCAGCTCGGTCATCCGCTCGTTGAACTTGGAAAGCAGTGTATCGGCATTGGTCTGCAGCTTCTCGTCCAGCTCGATCTTGACACCGATAAGGCCGGTCTTCGAGTCCTCGAACTCGAGCTTCACGGTATCCAGCACCTCCTTAACATCCTCACTGATGTTGTCGTTCTTGCGGATGCTGTCGGTCAAGGTGTCGAGAATAGTATGAAGGGAGTCAATGCCGCGGGCGCCGTCTTCAAGCTTGGACCTCATAAGGGTCTGAAACTCTTCCAAGATAGTCTTCACCTCGGTCACGTTGACGCTTACGCCAACAATCTCGGCTTGGCGGTCTTCGAAACCCTTGGTGTTGGCATCTGCGTGGGTATCGAGTCGCTCCTTGACATCACCCAGGCGAATCTCGAGAGCCTCAAGATCCTCCTTTGATGGGAGGTTGACAAGGTCGACCTTCTGGATATGTTCGATGAGCGACTTGGTATCTAAGCACACTGCCTCAACCGCCTCGACATCCGTCTTGGTGATCTTTTCGGGGTCCTCGAGAGCCTTCTCGTGGCGCTCCTTCATATCGTCAAAGGAAGCGACGATCTGGTTGACGAGTGACTCAACCATGGCCACATCCTCCTTGCGAGAAAGAGTATCCATCTGCGTAGCCAAGCCGCCTAGACTCTGACGGGTGTCATCAATGAGAGTTTCCAGGGCATCGATGTGTTCCTTGCGCGAGATGGTATCAAACTGCGTGGATAGGCCGTTGACGCTCTCGCGTGCTTCGAGAATCAGAGTCTCCAAGGTGTCGATGTGGTCCTTGCGGACAGCCTGCTCCCCGTCCATGAGGTCGTCCAGGCGGGATTTCGTGTTCCGAAGAATTGTCTCAATCGCCTCGACGTCCTCCCTTGAAGCTGCATCAGTGCTGGACCGAGCGGGTCGGGGGGCTTCTGCTTCCTTGGTCGCCAAGTCATTCACAGTCTCTTGAATCTTGCGAATACTCTCCTCTAGAGCCTCGAATGGCTGCCGGTTTGGCATCCCGGAAACCGACTCGGCAACATCTTGAAGGGTCTTCTCCATGCCAGCCAGGTCCTCCTTCGAAAGAGAAGTGACGACGGGCTTTGGAGCCGATTCCATGGCCTCAACTTTGATGCCAAGCTGGGTGATCAACATCTCGAGGTTCTTGATGTCGTCGTGCTTCAGCGTCTGCTCAGTCGGCACCACGGCCTTTGAGTCATCGTCGACAGTCGTCAAAGCCCGATCGTTCTTGGATTCCTCACGGAGGGTGTCGATGTCAGTCCGCACGCTGTCCAAACCCTCTTTGAGTGCCTCGAGGATCTCGTCATTGGCTGTCAGATCTGCTGGCTTGTCGCGAAGGTTGTTGAGACTCGTGCGGATATCACCAAGACCTTCTTGCAACGCATCCAGGATTTCGGTGAGGCCGGCAATTGGCCGGGTGCTGATCTCTGACCGAAGGCTGTGGAGGCCGTCGTGGAGAGCCTCGATGACTTCCTTGCTGTTACCTTGTTGAGGGAGGGCAGGCACCATTGACGAGTTGACGATGTCGCGAAGGGAATCGACCTCTTCCTTGAGCATCGCGCGAGAGCTGTCGGAAGACCGCGTGACAAGTTCGGATAATTCCTTGCGGAAACCGTCGAGGGTAAGGAGAAGCTGATCCGTGACCTCCTGGGAGTCGGATTCACCCTTTGCGCGGTCAACATATTCTTCAATGTCTTGACGCAGCTTTTCGAATCCATCTTTGGTTGCGTCGAGGACCTGCTCCGTGCCCAGAGCGTTGGCGGCAATATTCTCCTTCGCTTCCTGAGACGCGGCCTTGATCTCGGTTTGCAAGAGTTCCTTGATTTCGTGGAGACGTTGCATGACCTCTTCATTGTTGCCTCCTTGGGCAACCAAGGCGGTAGATTGCACCGAGGAAAAGTCGAAGGCGTCGAGCTCCTTCTTCAGGATGCCTCCGATGTCAGCAGAAAGTTCCAGCGACTCGAGGCCCTCCTTGACGGCATCAACCACATCGACACGAGACAGGTCCGGGGCTGAAGAAGAGGTGGGGAAATCGAAGACTTCCAGAATCTGCTTCACTGCATCGGCGACATCTTGAGAGAGATCGGCGGTGTCAAGGCCCTCTTTAACGGCGCCAACGACATCGGCACGAGACAGCTCGGGCCGGGCCACCAGCGCGGAAGAAAAGGTGGAAAAGTCAAAGCCCTCCAGCGCCTTTTTGACCGCGTCGGTAACATCCTTGGTGATGTCGAGGGACTTGAGCCCCTCCTTCACAGCATCAGTCACGTTCCCACCGGGGACGTCTGCCGGGGGGACGTCTCCACGAGGCACCAACGCAGAGGAATGAGCGGACGAGAAGTCAAAGCCCTGCAGCGCCTGCTTGACGGCAAGCGTGACGGTGTTGTTGAAGTCGAGACCCTCGATCCCTTCCTTGACGGCGTCCGCTACATCGACCCTCGAGAGGTCCGGCCGGGGAATGGTGGCGGAGAAATCAAATGATTGAAGGCCTTGCATGACCGATTTTAGCACATTCGCCGGAAGATCGGATGTGTCGAGGCCCTCCTTAACCGCATCCAAAATATCAGAGGAGAGGTCGAGGGACTTGAGCCCTGACTTCACTGCATCCGACACGTCTCCCTTGGTTGCCGACTGGGGCACCAAGGCATTGGATTGGACGACGGAGAAGTCGAAGGACTGTAGGCCCTCGGTAACGGCGTCAAGAACATCATCCCTGGTAAGATCGGAGGGAGGCGGCGGCGCCTGGGGTGTAGGGAAATCGAAAGTGTGGAGGCCCTCCTTAACGGCATCCAACATGTCCTCTCGAGTAATATCGGTACCCATGCCGGGGGCGACGGGAAACTCGAATTCTTCCAGACACTCCCTTACGGCCTCGAGGATCTCGTCTCTCGACAGCGTCGCCGGGGTTTCGACCTTGGGAGGGACGTAGTGCTTGAGGCCCTCCATAACGGCCTGGAACACTTCGTCCCGGGTGGCACCGGGAGGCCGGTCGTCCCGGGGAGCATATGCGCGGAGGCCCTCCTGCAGACAGGCAAGGACCTCGTCCCGCTCTAGGCCGATCTGCTGGATCTCGATCTCGGGCTTGTACTTCTCCCAGGCATCCTTGACCGCTTGAACGACATCTTCCCTCCGGAGCTCGGGTGTACGAGGCTTGGATGCCTGCGTGTCCTTGAGAGCAGCTCGCACACTATTGTAAATCTCCTTGTAGTCAATCGAGGACTCGCGGGAGCCGACGGTGGCGGCCGACTGGTGGCGATGTTCGCGGAGAAGGCTGTTCATCTGCTGGCTCATCTCGGACAAGCCCTCCTCGACGACCTTGGTCATCTCGGCCTTGGTGAATGCCTCCGGGCTGCCCACGTTCTTTTCGGCGACCTCATCCAGTCGGCGGCCAATCTCGCGCCCCATACCCAGCACTTCGCCGCGGAGCTCCCTCACGAGCGCCTTGGTCTCGGCGGTGAGGCCACCTCCTTGGGCGACGCTGTCCTTAACGCTGCGGATGGCTTGCACGAGATCGTCATTGAGAACGTCAGCGCTCCGGGCATTGCGGCCTTCTTGACCTGGGAGCATGCGTGAAGCTTGCGAAGCAGAAGCAGCGGCATGGAGGAAGTCCAGAGCTCCCCGGCGTGACATGTCATCGTCGTCATCAAAACTCCAGTTCCTGTCTCGACCACCACCATCGCTGCCGCCTCCCCGGCCTCCACCGGCAGCTGGGATGACGGCTTGTTGCTGGTTGGACTTGACAAGCCGAGCAAGTTCCTCAACCTTCCCGGCCGTAGCCATACCGGATAGCCTCTCGGCAAGCTCGGTGAGGCGGTTGAGGAGCGTATCCTGGCCGTCTTTGGTGCCCATTTCTCGCATGATTTTCTCGAGCAGGGCAACTGTAGCGGACGACGGCGCTGGCGCGTCGGAGACGAGGGAAGGAGTGCTGAGCATGGACTCTCTGTCAAAAGACGCGGCGAAGCTGTTGGGAGACGGTATTCGCGGTAGCGAAAACGGCCGGGCTGACTTGGAGAGCGTCGGTGACGAGGGCGGGTGTCTCCCTTCCAAAAGCAGAGGCCCTCCATAGGGGTCTCGGGTGGTAGAGGGCCGCGTCTTGGCGTCCGTGATTAGTTCACGAAGGCTCTTGCGGATATCCTCGTCCCGCGCATTGGTGGCTTCCTTGAGGCTGAGCAGGTCTGTGGCATTGTCCCTGCTGCGTCTGCTCAACAGTGACATCTCTTTCTGAAGGGTGGTGGCAATATCGGTAAGGCTGAGGATCTGGCTGGAGAGTGAATCAAGCTGCCCCGGTGGCTTGCCCAGCGGCTTGGAGTTATTTGTGATATTGGCCAGGGGGGCCTCGGGCTCCCTTGGTGCGGGTGTGGTGTTGTTGCTCTGGGCGTTGCTCTGGGTGTTGCTCTGGGTAATGCTCTGGATATTGCTCTGAGTAGTCATGTTTTGCAGAGCAAGCATGGTGGCGGATTGGGGAGGAGTGTTCTCGCCCAGAATGCTGTGATTGGGGCGGCGGACAATCGGGCGGATGATGGGGGTCAGGCTAGGCCCTGGGGTTGGAGTACTAGTGGCCGACCGGTCTTGCCTGTCGTCCCGTGGCTCCATAAAGGGGTCCCGGGTGTCCTTCCTCTGGGGCGTACTTGGCCGCTCCATCTTCTCGGGCGATCTCGGTGCGGACTGGGGCGACTCCCGGCCACCTGACTCCAGCATAAGGCTCATGTCCTTGACCGAGGCAGGCTGGAGAGACTGCATGCGGCGGTGGGAGGATGGCCGCAGAGCTGACCGTTCTGGCGAAGCGTCGACGCGCTTGGGCACATGCGGCACCAAGGCGGCACTCTCACGGGCCTTCTCGGCCATGGCGGCATGAGCCGACTGAATGGCACTCGAAGTTCCCGCGCGGGAGACGCTGGGAGACTGCGGGTTGAGCGGGAGCGGAGGAGGTGCCCGCTCGGGGTCAGAGCTGTCCCACCTGTTCTTCATTAGCGTGCGCCAGAGGAGCGACATGGCATGGTCATCGCGACTTGCGAGAGTGGAGGTCTGAAGGAGGAGAATCAAGGAGTCTTACATGGGGACCAACGCGCGGTGATCGATGGAACCGGAATGCTGGTGTCTCATGGGCCTGTCCTGGTCACGAGGGGCATCCCTCTCTATGGGCGGCATTGTGGTGGAAATGGTGGCGGCGGTGGTGGTGGTGGTGGCGTGTGTTGAGGCGTGTGTTTGTGCGTGATGGTGCGCGCAAAGGTCGCAAAGTTAGGTAGGGCGGAATGCGACGAGGGGATCGCTGGAATGCGATGATGATGCGATTCTGCGGTGCTGCGATGCGGGTATCTCTCAAGTTCAAGTAGCAAAAATGCAGGCAGCCACTCTCGCTTCACCTCGAGTTCCAGACTCCCAAAGTACAGCAAAAACAAAAAAACTGAAGTTCAAGTCAAAGCAATGCTGGCATATGCTCCTCCTGCAGGGTATAATGAGGGTCTCGTTAAGACTGTCAAAAGAGGGGAGAAGGGATGTGGGATGTCAGCTCGATTTGACCTTGATTTGAGCCCTGCGTTGGCGCCCTGCGGGCCAATTGCCTGCGATTACCCTGTCGCATTGTTGATTTGTTCAGGTTCCCTGAGCAACGGGGTAGTTGCGACCGGGGTTTACCCTGCTGCCCCTCGATTGGCAAGCACAGACTGCGGGCGCTCCCGTAATCGATAAGCAAATGGGTCCAGTTTTTGTGATGGTTTCCAAGTTCATCACATCACATCTCAACTCCCTCCCTCCCACCCACTCACCTGCTGTTACATTATCGAATCCGTCCGAAAGCCGGAGGCGTGGTGTCTCACCGCCCCTTAACAACGTGAAAAAAAAGAAACCAGGGCGACGTTGGGGTGCAAAATCCCTTCTTACTTCGGCGGTTAAGCAAGCACACAAACAACCATAAATCAGCCAATTTGTACGAGTAATGTACATTAATCATTCAACAAGAGCTCCAGATTACGCTGCTCGCCAGTGGGTGTGCTTCTTCTTACTCTCAATATCCTAAAGCGAATCCCGTCGCCAAATTTATGCTAGAATCTTGGCCTCCGACTTGGCCGGCCGCTGCCCGAAGATGGTACTCCCGACGCGCACTTCCCCGCTGCCCATGGTAATGGCCCCCTCAAAGTCCTCGCTCATCCCCATGCTCAGCTCCAGCTCCCTGTTCAAGCCCAGTTCTTTAACAACCAAATCCCTCTGCTCCACCAACAACTTGAAATCCTCGTTCTCGTTTTCTGTCGTGGTAGCCACACTCCGGGCAATGGCACCAATGGTCATGAGACCGAGGAGGTGCAGGTTGGGGCAGTCGTTGACGATGGACCGGCAGAGTGACACGAGCTCTTCTCCCGGCGCGCATCCGGATTTAGACTCCTCGCCAGACGTGTTCACCTGGACATGGATATTGAGTTTTTGCGTCTCGGGCTCGTCCTTGATTTTCTCGCCCCTGTACTTATCGAGCAGCTGTGCCTTCTTGAGGTTGTCGACGCTAGACACGCACCAGAGGTTTGGGATCTTGGTAAGTTCTTTGCAGCGGCCTGGTCACATTTTAGCATGTATCTGATGTGTAGATCTTGGACCTCAAACGCATACCCGACTGGAGACCACCGATAAAGTGCCATTGGATGGTCCTGGGCAGCAACTCGGCTTTTTGGCTTAGCTCCTGCGAGTAATTCTCGCCAAAATGCAATTGGCGGACCGGCGACTCATGGAGGGCGAGGATGTCGTTGGCGGGCTTGAGTTTCGAGACAGCCACGAGCCGGACCTTGAGCCTCGGTTAGACATGATGACTGAAACTCTCAGACTCGAAGAATAACGATAAGGTAAAACTTACTGGACGGTCCTTGGCCACCGCGGCTACCCTCTCACTGACGCCCTTTAGTTGTGAGATGAGAGCAGAAGCTCGTGCTGGGTCAACCTTCATCTCTGTCGCGCTCATGATAAATTTGCCAAAATGGTGGTGATTTTTCGGTCCAGCGAGCAACTGTCCATCCACACTGGGCTGAGTCTGTGTCATACCCTGTTTGTTGACCAGTCACTGCCAGTCCAAAGCCACAGTCCCCAGCTTTTGGTAAGTGGAGCAAATGGACTCCCAAGACTCAGGTCCGAAGGCACAGTAAGATTTTAGAATACCAGTCAATTATCGTACTGTGCCACAGGCCTCTCTGAATCCCAGACCTTCAATCATCCACTTTCATTCTGCCCGCGACAGAACAAATCCGCTCTGTGGTCCAAGACCCAAGTTTCCAACATTCCAACACCGGGACATCGGGCGCTGGTCCCAGGTCCGCCGTCGCGAGAGAAAACTGGGATCCCACCACTCATGAATCTTCCCAACCGTGGGGCGCGTGCTAGCTGAGGCTCGGCCTGGAAGGACAGTGCCCTGGAGTGCCCTGGGGAGGCCGAGATTGGCTCGCCAGGATCCGAAACCTCGACCACGATTGGCACAGTCCTTGCCTGCCTGCCATTCTTCCTGAGCTGCTGGCTGTGCAGTCCATTGGTTTGGGACCAATCCAAGACCGTATCGGGGCACTCCGTCTCCTTTATTTCCCGGCAGCTTGATCAGCAGCCCAGCCCGGTACGGAGTACAGACATCCCTCTCAGCCTCATGTGATGCAACCTACTGAGGTACTCGCGCTCTTAATCTGTATTCGTATGTAGTTGCAGACTTTCCTCTCTCACGCACACTCACACACTCGTTTGTGACCACCTCATGCCAACCCCACTTCCACCGCAACTACAGTCCCTCAAGCAGCCCGCCGTCATGGATCCTGTCCCCATCCCGCACCTCCCCTCCGAGGTCTGGCTCATGATCCTCGAGAGCCTGCCTCCGTCCTTCTTCCAGCAAGATATGCGCCGCCTAGCCCTGTCCAAGCGCTGGTACAACCTCGCCTTCCCTACCTTCTACACGCGTATCGAGTTCACCCCGCGCGTCATCAGCCGCCTAGTGCACCGCAAGTCCAGGTCCCTCGACAAATCGCGCGCCCAGCTACGCAAGTCCCTGCGCTGCGTCAACATCGTCCTGGACGGGCTCCCGGGCGCCAATGGCAGCAAACGCAGCAGCGGCAAGGCGGACATCGCGTGCTTCGACACGCCCGCCAACCTGGCCCACTTCAGCCAGATGCTGCTCGAGTTCCGCGAGCTCAAGGAGGTGCGCTTCGCCGCGCGGTGGCCGAACCGCGCCTGGCTCGCCGACCCGCTGCAGGACGACTACCTGTGCATCCGCAGCGTGGAACCCTACCTCAGCCTGCTGACCAACGTCACCTCGCTGGACCTGGACCTGTGCGGCACCGACGTCGCCGGCCCCCGGGCCATGCACTTCTGCGAGTACGTCCAGCCGCTGCTCTCGCGCCTGACCACGCTCCGCCTGCGCATGCGCAGCATCTGCCACATGGCCGTGTGGCCGCTCGAGGACCGGCCCGTCACCCTCGGCGAGCTGAGCCTGAGCCTCTACCTCGGCCGCGTCTCCGAGAACAACCCCAAGCTCAACTCCAGCCGGACGTGCCCCTACTGGGGCCTGCGCGAGCGCACCGTGCCCATGGACGAGCTGCGCTCGCGGATGAGGTCGTTGGTCAAGCAGATGGTCGAGCCCAGGCGCGCCGAGATGCTGCACCTGGCCCCGAGCGGGGACGTGCACGTGTGGGATGCCGCCACCGACGTCTGCGTCAAGGACGAGTCCCAGAAGCCGATGCAGTTTCACCCCTATTTTGGGGGGAAACGCTCGCGGCGGTGTTTTTCCAAGCATGCGGATGATTGGGAGTTTGATAATGAGGTCGGGATCGGTGGTATATTTACTACGTACCCGGACGAAGAATCGAGTGAGGATGAAACATCATAAATCCGCGAGCTAGATGAGTTGGGTGGGGTTTGTAGGATGCGGACGGGGTGATCGTGGCTGGCATGGGGCGTTGCCGAGGATGGAGTTTCCTCGTGTTGTTTTCAAGGTCGTGTTTGTTTATATGGCCATTCCTGTTTGTTTTAGGTTCTGATACCCTCGGCCGGTGGCCTTCACCAAGAAGAAAGGGGACTCTCATCTCTGTGAGACTGAGAAGCCCTTAATCCATAGAGAGGCGTTGATCGTTTCAACATGTAGTTCAACATGGAGCTTCACAGGGAATCCGCCTCGTCGTTAAGTAGTTGCAAGAGTGATGGCCTGGGGAAAATCCGCAGAGGCACGCATACGAATGTTCCCAAAAGGTTTGTCCTTATTTACTCTCTTCCAGCTCATGCCATGTCAGCGCATTGAGAGATTATCGGTTAGCCATTGCAGTACATTGCTAAACTTCGATCCAAACCATTTTAAGCCCTTTCCCAGGCTGTTTTCGTTCCTTCCAGGGAACTCACAACCACCGAGGTAGACCTCGCCAGCATTACTTGATAAACCCTCAACATTTTCCAAACTCAAGTTCCCCAGCCCATATTTATTTTTGAAAGATCGTGGGCTTTCAACAAACTGTCAATGCGCGGGCTTTACTTTTCCCCTCTTGCTTCTTCGACAGCTACCGATCCTGAAAACTATCTCGCTTCTCTTTAGTAGCCTCAAGAAGACCTAGTCTCGAAAGGAAACGTTGGGAGCTTTCAAATAACCCGGAATGAGTACGATCTTTTCAGATGTCTTCCAGGAAGAAAACACAAGTCGCCAGTAAAGCGCCTCCTCGTCCTCGGAGACAGTCCATAAAACAAATGTCGCCAGCCAAGCAAGTCACACCAAAGTACCACGCCCGAGCGGTCGTTGGTCGCCGGGCGAACACGCTGCGATCCGTGTTGAGAAAGCTATGCGGTGATATCAAAGATGGAGAACAGCCGTCGAACCAGTCCAACCAAAGACAAGCCCAACCACCGCCTGCCGCAGAGACAGCCCCGGGGAATGTTGTCCCAGCCCCGAAGTGCCCCAAACAGCCATTACGTCGAAGACCGAGCGGGAGATTGAACAAACCCAAGACGCGCTTTAGGGGCTTTTTGGAAGACTCCTGTCCTGGCCCTTCTCGAGTTCGTCTCCTCAGCACACGCGAAAAAGCCCCGAACCGTTTCAAGGGCAGTTTTCTCAACTCGCCCTTCAACAACACTACCCACGGCACCCCAGACCAGCCTAGCGAACATGAGCATCCCGGTTCCGGCGGCAACCAAGGAGTCCAAGGGACCCAAGGGGCCGTCCTCGACCAAACCCACGCTCAATACCCACAAGCAAGCCCCGGACCATCTCCGCCTTCCACTCCGTTTGTCCTCGAGGAACTCAACACCATCTATACCCCACCCGGCAACATCATCGACTTCACGGACCAGTACTTTTCCGCCAACAGCCGCTTCACACCAACCCTGACCACCACCGCCGCCACCGACGTCCCAACACAAACCCAAACCAGCTACTACGGAACCCACCCCCCCGCAACCGCGACCGCATCCCCCCCTCATCCCACCACCTCCATCAACCGTGACCACAACAACCACGAACACAACAACTTCAACAACCCCAACCACAGCCACAACGGCCCCAATCACACCAACCACAACCACGTCAACCACGACTCAATCATTCACGACCACAACAACCCCAGCAACCACAGCCTCCCCCGTCCATTCACAAACCTACAATACACATCCATGCGCCTGGCCGTCATCACCGAGACCGTGCAGCTCACGCCCTGCGGCACCAGCGTGAGCGTCAACAACCATCGGGAGGCGCTTCTGCGGTCGCCCGAGGCATTGGTTCCTACTACCGGGGGAGGGGGGGTTTAGGTAGCCGAGGGGCGTGGTTGGGGTGGCGGTGCTCAGGGATGAGAGGGGATATATGGTGGCGCTGGGACGAGTGAATGGGGGGGGGGGGAGTTAGGGGTTGGGAATGGCGTTGTCTTCTTGTCTTTGAGAAAGGGAGGTTCGAGAAAGGGTTGATGGTGTGGGATGGTTTATGCTGAGATTTCTTCGTTGAGTAGCGGTGCGCTGTGGCAGTGAGCCTCGCTCTCTGGGATCTCCTCGGTTGGTGTTTTGGCGCGTTCATTTTACCCTCCTTAGATATCTCTCACATGTTTCTTTCGCGGCAGAGAATCTATCTCCATTAAGCGTAACGATGAGTTTCAGGTTTTCTGGCCTTGAATCGGCGGGAAGTCTTGCAGGAACTTCGATCGGCCATGGTGAGGGCGGCTTCGCAAACGGGGGATAAAAAGCCCTGCCATCCTCAATGGGGTTGCTGGAAGATTTCACCCGATAGACCCTGAAAGACATTTATATAGTAAGCAGCAGCTGTATACCTATCCCTCGCAATGCCCATGTCATGAATTACCGTGCCATACGCCCGGCTTCTGTTACCTACGCCCCAACGCCGTTTACCCCCACACAGCACCCCCAAAACACCACTACCGGCGGCCCTACCGTTGCGGGGGCGGCACGGGTGCGGGCGGTAGATTCCGAATCTGCTTGATCAGGAACTCGCGCTCGTCGATGAATTGCTCGTCCTCGGTGCGGTCCTCCAGAAAGTGGGACAGGAACTGCAGCAGCTTGTCCCGGTTCATGATCAGGATCTTCTGCACGGGCACCGACTTGTGCGGGTTGGCCACAAACACCTTGAAGACGTGGAAACCCTCGTACTGCACCATCTTGCGGTCGTCGCGCAGCAGGTTCATGCAGATCTTGAGATGCTCGCCGCGGTCGACGTAGGCCGTCATAATGTTGTAATTGGCGCGATCGAGCAAGATCTCGCCCAGCAGCTTGATCGACTGGCGCTTCGTGACGTAGCTGTTGGACTGGACTAGTATGTTATTGTACCGGTCGAAGAATAAGTCGAAGTTGACGGCCAGGTAGCGAGGGACCAGATCTTTGTGCTTGGTGATGAGTTCCTGAAAACGTCAGCTACGCGATATCTACGGGGCCTGGCGCTGGGTTGGCTCACCCTAAAGGTCGTGAACGCGTCCGCGCTGACCTCGAACGAGCTCTTGTCGATCCAGTCAAAGAAATTCCAGAATACCCCCCTCCCACTCTGTGTTCGATCCGGGTTGATTCCCCCGACCCCCCTCACGCTCGACCCCTGTTCCTCGCCGTCATCGTACAATATTATCGCGGCGGCCGCCTCGTTCTTCAGCACCTCCCTCAGCACAGTGCCCGCTGGCGTAGCGCTCTCCTTGTGATCGTACCCCTTGCACAGTTCCACTAGTACTTGCGGCCGCTTCTCGACGACGTAGGCTAGTGCAAGCGGCTCGGGCTTTTGGGGTCCTGTTGGCGGGCGGAAGCGGAAGATGTAGGAGAAGATGACCTGCGTATCCTTTCGTGACTCAAACGGCAGGCGGTGCAGGTGGACGGCGAGGAGGTAGAGGAGGTCTTCTTCGATCATGCTCGTCACCAATTGGTAGATCTGCTCCGTGTTCGGTTCGGCCTCTGCTGGGCGGTCAGCGGGGGGGTTGCCGTCGGCGTCGGGTTCCCCGGGGATCGGACGCACCGTGTGTGCCCTGTAGGACCTGCTTCATCTGCGCGAGCACCTTTGCGAGCTCCTCGGCCTGGGCTAGGAGTCAGTGGGACGGATCGAGGCGCACGCCCGGCGGGGTATCGTATTGTTGATGTTTACCTTTGCGGGCCCCTGCGGCCCGTCCAGTAGTTTCGTGACATGGTCCCTTGCCTGTTTGGCGAGATCGGTGGTGTTTGTCCTTGCGCGGGTTCTCCCAAAGAAAAACGACATCTTGTCGGGTACCGACGTCGCAGCGGGGTCGAGGGGGGGGTTGGCGATCGATGCAGCCCCAGTTTGGAAGTCACTCGAGTGGGATGGTGCGAGTTTAAGGCCGGAGGATGCAAAAGCCAGCCGCCCTTGGCAGGGAAGCCCGGGTACCCAAACAAATCGCGAATGCCAGCCCGGATTCCTCGAATCCAGCAAATAACAACACAGCGGCGCGTATCAAGCGTTTTGGTAGGTGGATGCTGTCGTCAAGCCCCAAGTTGCAGGATGGAACTTGGTCAAAGGGAGCGGTTGCCGCCCCAGGAAGGTACATGCAGGCGCCCCTGGCAACCACATTTACCCTGCGACACCCAAACAACCAACTTGGAAGACCTCTTGACGGCCTCGATGATATCAATCGGGAGCGCAGAATTGGTATGGAAAATCTCATTACGTTCGATACCTGCTGCGATGTATAAAAGCGCCCAAGTCAAGCAGACAAAAACAACCAAGGGCCACAAGATCGCCAAGGGCCTGGCGTGGTTCCTCTCGTTCTGTAACAGCACGCATTCTCTCAAACACGCTATTCGGACTCATTGGTTGCGGAATCCAGTTCATTGATTTCATTCCCCTGCCTCCGAGGGCTTGTCTTGGGCGCTAAAACCGGCGATTCATCTGCCGGGCCTCACCTTGCCACATGGCGCCTGACTGGTGCCGTCTACATTGACATTGCGAGGACGCTCGCTGTCATGTCCCTCGACATCAAACCTCCATTCTCATCGAAAAATCTCCGTGGAAGTCTGCAGCCGAGAGCAACGGGGAACTGGTGATCCCCCATTGCTGGGCTTGCTCTTCGCCAGTCGTATACCTCGAAAACCATCGGTCTAGTGGTCAACGCGGAGATATCCTAGCGGTTGTTGTCCCTACCTTTTTCAGGCATTAAGGGATGGAAAACGGCCAATGCCGAGCTTCATGGTCACTCTGACGACCGAATGCTCATGTGGCTATTGATCCCGACGTCCCTGTGGTTGTTAGTACGCAAACACATGGTCACCAAGTCAACGGCAATCTAAAGCCTCTGCGGAACCTGCGAGAGGCGTGGGCTTCGGGAAAACCTCCCATGGAACATTTCACAGCGCGCGCGAAGCGACTGGCATTGTGAAATGGCCATTGAGAACAATGTCTCGATTCGTTGACTCTGCATCTAGATCCCGGGGTCCGTCCCGTGGAGTCGTGTCATGTCAAGTGGCAGACAGACAGCCGCCCAAAGTATGCACCCGTAAACCGAAGCCGCAAAGACGCCAGGTGCCGACCGGGTAACCCTTCGACGAAAAGCAATGCTGGGTATTTCTCCTCGTCGCAACCGAACCGAGTTGTTCCTTTTTGTTGTCCTTTGTCATTCCTCCAACGCCGGCTCAAGTAGTTCAAGCCTTGTTCTTGCCCTGGGACCGGGCGACCTGGTCGCGGCCGGCCTTGATGCGGGCCAGGATGTCCTCGCGGTCCTTGTCGAGCTTGAGCTTGGTGATGACAACGTTGCTGGGGTGGATGCCCAGGGGGACGCTCTGGCCGCTGGCCTTGTCGCGGGTAACACGCTCAATGTGGATGACGTATTTGAGGCGGTAGACCGAGGTGACCTTGCCCTCCTTGTCCTTGTTCAGGCCACGGACAATCTGGACCTCGTCGTCCTTGCGAACGGGCATGCTCCGGACCTATGCGCGAATGCGTTAATTAAATTGTGCACTTTGACGCGCGATGTGTAGACTGGCAACATACGTTGTACTTCTCACGGAGCTCCTTGCTGAGGGGAGCGCTCATGATGTTCCGGCGGATGCTGGAAGGCGCACTGAAGTGAGCCTTGCGAGACTTGCGCCTCGAGGCGGAAATGTCTGCGGGTGGCGTGTTAATTATCAAATTGTCCGAATAGTAGATAAGAGTATTTTGGTACTTACTTGCGCTGACCTTGGCCATTGTGATTGATCGTGCCGACAGAGGACAAGGAGTTGACTGTTGGATCGCCGTGATCTTGAGGAGGGAAAGCGAAAATAAATTGCGGTTCTGTGGGTTTGTGGAAAATCAGTGCGCCCTGGCAGAATCTGATCCACCGCCTTCCCGTTTTGCGCAAAGCTTCCCGACCGAAAGATAAAGTGGGTCCGTGGCTGGGCGAGGCGTGATGGCCTCTGGTTCCAAACTTACTGGTACATACATACCTTAGGTAGTATTACTGTCTGTTCTTGGGCAGACGTAGAGTCACCAGCTTTGAGCCACCGTTTGATTCAGACTTTCGTCTTATTCCTGTCATAAACCACGCCACATAGGCCGGGCCTATCGCACCCCAGAACACCAACCCCAATAATACAAACCGGGACCTCAGCCCCAAGAATCCAAACGCCTATTAATGCTTGATGCACGTCTTGGGTATATCCAACGACCCTAATGAAAACAACCGATGCAGCCCATTTTCCAATCCCAATGCAAACGCCAGCAGATATGCTTAAATCCAACGTCTTCCCCATGCAGTGTTTGAGCCTGTTCCTCTTCCGTTTCAACCAAACTCCCTATGACCAAACCCCTCCCAAAAGGGGGGGAGAGAAAAAGAATCATCATCCGTACAAGTCCTCTGCTGACTCTTCATTAATATCGGCGAACTCCACTCTGGGCCTCAAACCCCCAGTACCATACTGCCGCCTCAGCTCTCGTTCATGTGGTGAAGGTAAAATGGCCGATGGCGTCGAAGTCGGACGGTAGGCTAGCGTCCGCGTGCTGCCTGTCCACCTCGTCGGTGTGCTCATAAAACCGGGGTCATCCATATCAGGTATTAAAGGATCTTCGTCGAATTCGGGCATGGGGCCGAGAGCAGGAACCGAATCGCGTGGGCGGAGAGTAGCCAGCTGACTGGCCGTGTAGAAGCCTGTTGCAGCTGTGGATGACCGGGCAAGTTGCTGCCGGACGCTGCGTCGAGCAGAGAGAGTGCTGAGGTGGGGGTTGTTGCGTGCCGCTGCCTCGGGGACGGCTTTCTGTTGCCATTCGCCGAGGATCCGACGGCGAACGCGTCTTTCGTTTTTGTCTTTTAGCGTGCTGGCCATATGGCGCTTGCTTTCGTTCTGGAGGTTCTGGAATTCCCATTTCTCCCAGCAGCGCTTTCGAGTCTGCTCTGTGTCGTATTCGACGGCGTCCTGCATGTTCTCCTGCGCTTCGTGGAGCTGCGCATGCCATTTCTCGCAGTAGATCTCGACTTCGGCATCTGCGGCGATCTGCCGAATGTTTTCTGACTTCTTTGCCGCGCGATTCCAGAGGTCGAGGCAGTCGTTGAGGTCCTCCCGCTTGTAGTGGAGATTTGTCTGGCGCGCATCGTGGTGCGCATCAAATGCCTCTGCGGTGGCATCCAACCACCTCCCGAGACATTCTTGGGCCAGCTCAACTTTGTAATTTCGCCGAAATTGACGAAGTGAATTCATCATCCGCTCCCTCCGCGTAGTCTCGGCGACAGCTGGCCATTTGTCAAGCACATTGAGCACGATGGATCTGGCCCTCTGTTTGTCCGCTTTTCTCCGATAAAACCCGTCGCGCGCCTGGCTCTGCTGGCATCGCTCTCGCCAGTGGTCGACACATGGTCGGGCTGTGCGGTAGAGATTCACGAGGTTGGCGTTTTGTCGTTGTTTCCACATTTCATCGGTTTCTTCAAGCCAAATGTCGACCACCTCGGTTTGAGTGTAATATGTGTCAACGTAATCCGCCTCCTCCTCATGCCGTTCGCGCTTGCCCCGTGCTTGCCTGGAAGCGGTGAAGAGTGTCTCAAGGGTTTGTCGTTTGGTTCTGGTTTCCAAATGTCCTCTGTACCAGACAAGTTTCTCTTCGAGAGCCCAGTACCCGAGAACAGCAGCCTTCGTCTCGTATTCATCGCGCTCAATGAAGAGTTTGAGCTTCATCTCGCGTTCCCAGTGACCGATGGGCTCCTTGAGCAGGAAGGCGTCGGCAACAGCGGTTTCGCGTTTTGTCTCGCCGAAGACGTTACTCCACGTTTCTAGGGCTCGGAGCTTCGTGTCTCGTTCCTGTTCGGCGTTGTACTGCTTCAACAAAGCCGAAAGTCTGGCTTGCTCCCGCCAGTAATCCAAGTCTCGACGACAACCCAGGACCAGCCACTGCCGCGTGCACTCGTAGGCATTGTACTGCTGCACGTCCACCTCTTCGAGCCAGATGTTAACTACCTCGTCGAGTACGAGTCTCTCGTCTAGTGCAACCGCCACCTGGTACTCGTCCCGAGTATCGCGTGCCTTGTCAGCCCAAACGTCTAGGCATTGTCCGGCCAAGCCGGCAGCGTAGAACTCGTCTGCGAGGCGCTCCTTGGATTCTTCCAACATCACGTGGAGGCTTTTCTTGCAAAGTTCTTGCTGGTGCCACTGCGCGGCGACTTCACGGCGAACTTCGTGGTGCAGGGCGACTTGGCTCCATTTTTGGAGGGTGTTGCTCAGAATGAAGTTCTTGACCTTGGTCTCGTCTTCGACGTGTTGCGCGTGCCAGCCCTCGAAGGTTCGCTTCCGCACGAGATGCCTGCGTGCCACCGCCGTCCGCTCGCGTTCTTCTTGGGCCCGCCCCTGCCACTCCGCAAAAACGTTGTGAATGGTGACGATTTCGTACACTCTGCTGGCACGTTTCTCCATCGTTGCAACGTATGCGTCGTATTTGGCCGCATCTTCGGCCTTGAGCCTCAGTTCTTCCGCCGCGGCAGCCTCCTCGCTCCAGATGTCGAGCACCTCGCCAAGGAGATCGTTGTTATCGTACTCGGCGGCGATTGAGTTGAGCTCATCGTTGTTCCGTTTTGTTTGGCAGGCGTTCGCATGCCACATGCCGAAAACTTCCTTTGCGAGTTCATGGTCCTCCTGCGATCGCAAATCCTGCAGTTTTCGTTCCAGTAATTCCATATCCACATCCACCACGGGTGCGAATCCTGCATCAAGGTGTGGGGGTTCTTGAGCAGCTCGAGGTCGAGGTTTTGACTCAAGGCCGAGTGGGACTGGGGTTTGAACGGGAGAAGGGGTCCGCCCGGTATCTCCTCGATCAGAATCGCTTCCACCATCGGCGCGATCCCTAGTGATCTCCCGTGGAGGTTCAAAGGCTCGTTGCGGGTTGAGGCGTGTGTCGTCGGTGTTTGTGTAGCTGGGCGCGAGTGAGGAGCGGGAGTCGGGTCTTGCTGATGGGCTGCTTGGGATGAATTCAAGTTGAATACCAAGTCCTCCTAGGACAGATCTGAACTTGTCGCTGAGTGTGTTCCCAGTTCGCTGCCCTCCAATCTTAAAGATGAGCCGGGCGATATGGGACGGCGTGTTTTCCGGGTCGATGCCATGGCGGGGGAGAATTTCTTCGGCGGCGAGAAACAAAGAGTTGGTGGGGAGGCGCTCGCGCTCCGGGAGATTTGGATAAAGGGCTTCGGCGAGTGTGACAATCTCGTGAACCAGCTCAATGTCTGGAGGCATACAGGTCAGCTTGTGGCTAGCAGATAAAGTGGAGTGGTGGGCAACTCGGGTAGAGTGACAAAGGAAGTGGCGAGGGATGCTAGGGCGTAACTCACCTTCGTCAGAGTACGCCTCATTGCGACCACTGATGTAGTGAAAAACAGAAGAGGTAGTAGAATCGGCGCGAGGAGGAGGAGAATCGCCACGAGACGAAGCAACATCATTGGGATCGCCATGATGGAAAGCAGACGATTGGTGTTGCATAACGTATCGGGAAGGTAGCTCCGGGGCATGATACCTCTGGGAGCAAAAGCCGAAAAACTAGGTTGGGATTGAATTGGTTTGGGGTTGCGAATCTACGCAGGCGCAAGTCGAATCTAGAGCTTCCAGTGTTTTGAATTTGAAAGCAAGTGCGATTGTACGCGTCACAGTGTTCGAGACAAAAGTCGCGAGAGTTAGGAAAGAGCTTTGATGAAGTAGTAAGCTTATTTGTGAGCAAATGAATCGTTTTGCAATTCGCAAACTGGTGGTTGCCCGCGAGGTGAGGAAGCTGGGAGCGTGCGACGCGTCTCGCAGCGCGTAGAGGGAGCTCGAGCTCGCGGGGCATGTGAAATTTGGGGGAGCCCGATCGCTTCGGGGATGTCGGTCGGTGGCTGGGAGCTGTTGTGGGGCATCCATTTGCGCTGTACTGTGTACTTATCTCCAATAACACTGTTCGCTCACACAGTGTCTTCCCAACTGAAGGTCAAAGTCGAAAAGCCACTGCAATCGGTGATCGATTCAAGCCAACAACTTCGAGGTTTGTTGTTGTAGGCTCCAAGCGGCTTCCCGTCTCAACAAAGACCGCCGCTTCATTTTAAAATCCCGAATATACCGTCTCCCAACAGGAGAGTCGAGTTCCTTCCCGCGACCCGTACAATGCAACCAAATTTGAAAACCCGTCCGATTCAGCGGTTTGCCCAAGCTGTCTCAAAATGCAGTGCTGAGGTGGGTTGAGACCACTGTTGGGTCAAGCCTTGGTGTTTGCCTTGTACCCTAACATAACTATAGGCCGCCGTCTATGGCAAGTGCGTCTTTGCGGACTACAACTCCGTGCACAAAGATCAGTGCGCGAAGGAGTTTATGAAACTCAAGAACTGCTACCTGGTATGACCTTGATCTCTGCGTCTCTTCTTTGTGCTCAAAACCTTGAGGGTATATACACCGTCTTACTCATCCAAGCAGGCCGCAGCAAAGGGTGGAAGGTGACATGTATAATTTCAGCTTCTCGAGATAATCCTCACACTCATCAACGTCTATTTTCTTTGCTTGGTCTACGTCTACGTAAGGACCAGCCAGACAGCGACATCGACCTCTTGCTCCACCCAACGCGCTACAGCTTCAGCAGCCGCAACAAGAAGGTGGCCTTGCTCACCTCTTGCTCCTCTTCAGCGATGATGCCCTCCTCCTTCTCCGCTGCGATCTGGCCCTCTACATGTGTCACGTCGTGCTTATCCAGCGGCCTCCTCAGTGCCTTGGCAATGGTTGGCTGGTGCGTCTCAAACACCATCCCAATACCGGTCTCCTCCGGATCAGTCAGTACCTTGTACTCCATCTTGACATCGTCTGTCGGCTGCAGGCCGGCCTTCTTGCGTAGGCGCTGTACCCGGTTGATAATCTCGCGGGCAAGGCCCTCCTCGGCGAGGCCGGGGTAGATCTCCGTGTCGAGGATGGTGAGGACATCGTTGTCCGTGTTTGTCTCAAGGTTCTTGAACGCCTCGCCCCCCTTAAGCCCACGTTTGACGACTAGGTCACCTTCCAAAAGCGTGATGCCGTCAACAACAATCTTGCCGTTGGTGGCGTACTCATGAGCTTCATCGCTAGTGACATTTGGGAGGGCCTTCTTGACGCGGGCCATGTCCTTCTTCAACTTCTTGCCGAGCACTGGCCAATCAGCGGTGACACTGTATTGGACCCCATATTTGGCCTCGTCCGACGTCAGCACCAGGTCGCGAACGTTGAGCTCCTCGGTGATGTATCCCTGAAGCGACTCCACATCTTGCAGGTATTGGGGGTCATGGTGGATAACAATAAGCGTCTTCAAAGGCTGCTTGAGGCCAATGGTACGCCTCTCGCGGGAGTATCTCGCGAGCTCAATGACTTTCTGCATCCGTTGGACCCGGCGCTCGATGTCGACGTTGAAAAGCTCCTGTCGCACTTCGGGGAAGGGCAGGAAGTGGATGCTGCGAACATCTTGCCCCTTCTTCTCGGGGATGTGGGGTAGGAGCCGCAGGTAAATGGTATCCGTCAGGAAAGGCGTAAATGGCGCGAGACCGCGGCACAGCGTGAACAATACCTCGAACAGAGTGTTCAGGGCGTGGAGGGTATCATCGAGCCCGTTCTCGCCCTTGAGACGCTTTCGGTTGAAACGGATGTACCAGTTTGTCGTGTTGTCAATCAGTTCGAGTAGCTTGGGTACGACCGTGTACAGACGGTAAGCTATGATTGCGGTCAGCGCCATAAGGCCATTGTCAACATCCGGGGGGGCTATGACTCACCTGCCATCTCCTCGTTCACAAACTTGAGCAAGCTCTGGCAGCTGGCCAGGATCCACTTGTCCATCACGTTGGTGTTCGAGGCCTCCATGCTCGGGTCGAACAGGTAGTCAATGTTCTCCACCTTCTTCAGCAGGGTGACCTGCCCCTCGAAGAACTTGTAACTGTTCCAGAGCGGGAGGAGCACCTTCGCGACGACCTCCTTCACACCGGTCTCCTTGAACCGGAGAGGCTCGGCGCGTACCACGGGCGAGTTGATGAGGTACAGACGAAGAGCATCAGATCCGTATTTGGCCATCACGATGTTCGGGTCGGGGTAGTTCTTCAGACGCTTTGACATCTTCTTGCCGTCTTCCGCGAGGACAATGCCGTTGACGACACAGTTCTTGAAGGGAGAGACACCAAACAAGTGTGTGCCAAGAACCAGAAGAGTGTAAAACCATCCTCTCGTTTGGTCGAGGCCTTCGGCGATGAAGTCGCCAGGGAAGGACTTCTCGAATTCCTCGCGGTTCTCGAAAGGATAATGTTTGCTAGCATAAGGCATGCTTCCGGATTCGAACCAGCAGTCAAAGACCTCCTCAATTCTCCTCAGGGTGCCCTTGCCTTTCTTGCTGGGGATGGTGATGTGGTCGATTTTGTCGCGGTGGATATCGGTGATCTCGCCCTCGTAGCCACTCAACTCCTTGAGCTCGGCGATACTGCCAATGCATACTCGTTCCTCCAAGTCGTCGCTCACCCATAGGGGGATGGGAGTGCCCCAGTACCGGTTCCGCGATACGTTCCAGTCGCGGGCATTGGAAATCCAACTAGCGAAGCGCTTCTCTTTCACAAAAGAGGGGACCCAGTGGGACCCCTCAATGTTCTCCAGCATCTGAGGGATGATTTCAGGGATGCGTACGAACCAGGAGGGCACCGCCTTGTAGATCAGGGGGGTGTCGGAGCGGTAGCACATGGGGTACGAGTGCTTGAGTTGCGACTCCACCACCAATCTCCCGGAGTTCTTTAGGTGCTTGATGATGTGTTTGTCGGCCTCCTTGACGCCCATTCCGGCGAAGTCGGACACCTTGCTGGTAAAGCGGCCAGTGTCATCTACCGGATCGGGAGGCGGGCGCTGCTCGGTGACAATACCGTGCTGGATAGCGACGTTGTAATCGTCTTCACCGAATGCCGGGGCTTGGTGGACAATACCAGTACCGCTGTCATCGGTAACATATGTCGCGTTGAGGACTCTGAACGCAACGTCCTTGTACTCCTCGTAGAAGTAGTTGAACGGCGGCTGATACTTCCACCCAAGCATCTCCTTGCCCTTGAGCTTCTGGACCACCTTAAACTTGGCCTTCTTGGGATCCTTGTACAAAGTCCCAAGGAGCTTCTCCAATAGGATATAGTTCTTCCCGGACTTCTCGTCGTGGATCTTGATGTATTCGAACTCTGGGTGGGCTGCTAGGCCCAGATGGGAGGGCATCGTCCATGGTGTTGTCGTCCAGGCGAGAAGGCTGGTCTCGGGGTCGTCATCGAGAGGGAACGAGACAACGATGGCGGGATCGGTAACGTCTTGGTAGTTTTGATTCGCCTCGAAATTGCTGAGGGCAGTCGTGAGGGAAGTCGAATATGGCATCACCCGGTACCCCTGGTACACTTGCCCCTTGTCGAACAGCTGCTTAAACACCCACCACTCGGACTCCATAAACGTGGGGTCCATGGTCTGTTACTGTCAGTGTCTTGTTTAGATGTTTTGACCCCCCTCCAACCGGGACGACCCACCTTGTAGTCATTGTCGAAGTCAATCCAGCGGCCTAGCCTTTCGACCGTATGCCTCCATTCCTCGCTGTACCTCATCACAATGGCTCGGCACTCGGCATTGTACTTCTCCAGGCCCATCTCCATGACAGCGGCTTTGCCCGAGATGCCCAGCTTCTTGTCGATCTCATGCTCAATGGGGAGGCCGTGGGTATCCCAACCGAACCGGCGCTCGACGTGGAAGCCCTTCATGGACCAATACCTCGGGATGATGTCTTTGATGGTAGAGGCGAGAAGATGGCCATAGTGGGGGAGACCAGTCGCGAACGGTGGCCCATCGTAAAAGGTATAGTTGGGGTTCCCTTGAGAGAGCTCGACCTGATTTCACCATCAGCACGGGGGCATGCGACCAACTGAGGTTATGTAACTGGCGCGTACCTGCCGCTCAAATGCCTTGATCTCGCGCCATCTGGCGATGATGGCCTCTTCCTCCTTCGGAAAGTCGATCGACATGCTGGGCAATTCGTTCCGGAAAGGACTTGATGAAGAAGCTGAGGTGAAGCCGTCGAGGGCCGGGATTCTCGACAATTATATAGTCCCGGCGTGTGTTATTTACTCGGCAGGAGTTGGGCTGACCTTTGACTCAACCTTGACAAATTTCTTGACTCAACGGGGGATACGCTCGCGTGGAGGGGTAGCGGGGTTGCGGGCTGTAATATTACCATCTGCCGGCTGAAACAATGACTCGAACTCACCGCCTTGCGAACAGCCTTGGCGTGGCGCACCTGGAAGTACCATTGTATTGGTACCAACCGTATTACGTTCGCCGCGCGTACCGCCGTACGAGCGTTGTACTGTAAGATTGGAAGTGCACAGACCCGAAAGATTGGGCAAGTACCGCGTAATGATACCAAACAATTTACGTGTATTTCTGCGTACTGTGTATTTGAGTCTTCGAGCCCACTCGTTGAACTGATACAACACGACCCTGGCCTGTTAGTTCCCCGATGCTCGTCCGCAAGACATGGCGGCGCAGCTGAGGATGAAGCACAACACAACTCGACAAAACGCCAACCTTTGCCAATTTTGGCACGGCACTCTCCCACCACGCCGATCAACATGGCAGAAACATCCATGAGCTTTTTAACCAGCTAGCGGATATTTTGAGCGAAAATATAGCAGTCATCCCGTACTAGGCCAAGGGGTTGAGGAGGACCTACGATGATCCTGTACCGCTGCGATGAGAGTGACTGTCAAGGTCAATCCCACAATCTGAAAAAGCACTATTCACCTCGCGACTTCTGGTTATAACCCATAGTAAGGGATTTGCATACAGGGTTCTGATGACCGTCTTATAAGTAGCAATCCAAGAGACATCAACCCCCCCACCCACCCCACCAGACTTGTCAGAACAAAAGCCAGCATAAATTGCATCCTATCCATCAACGGGTATCCTCAGACCATGCTTATCCGTTCGTTACATCAGTCATCATATATATCGTAAGGAAAACACGCCGCACGTCGGTGGCATCAACCACGGCTCGGCCCCAAAAGCAAGATACCGTTCCCGGGACACCAGGTCCCCGAAACCTCGTCTGGCACTGCCGCCCCCCCCCGACCTCCAGTCCCACGCGCCAAAAACAACAACCCGTGTAGGCCACCCAAGCACCACGACACGGCCCCTATTAATCAAACCCCCACGGCAAGTCCCGATCCCTCACCTCGGTGCACGTCAGGTACGCGATCCCCGCGGCCCCGGCGCCATGGATCAGCTCGAGCTCGAGACCGCTGCCCATCAGGGGCCGCACGACCTCGCGGGCCATGGCCTTGAGCTCGTCGACGCGCTTCTCGAACTTGCGCAGGTTGTCGCGCGTGTACAGCTCCGGCGTGAGCTTGAGGAACCGCTTGCACTCGTCGTGCCCGAGGTAGCCCTTCTCCGGCCCGCCGCCGCCGCCGCCCGGCCCGGCCCCGAGTAATCGGTAGGTGCGCCCTAGCGATGCGAGGGTTGGTATCGGGGGTGGGAGCGCGACTTGGAGGTTGCTATTGGTGTTGTTGTTGTTGTTGTTGTTGCCGTGCCCGCCGCCGCTGCCGCTGTGGTGGCTGTGGCTCCCCGACCGGCCGTTTGTCGCGCTGCCGCCGCTTCCGCTGCTGTTGCTCCCTAACCTGGCCCTTGGCGCGGCCGCGTTGCGGGCATTGCCGTTGACGTTGCCATTACCGCGCTCGGGAACGGCCGGCATTGGTGGGGAGGTATTATCCGCTAGCCACTGGCGGAAGAGGCTCACGGCTAGCCACTCGAGGTAGCCGGTCGCCGGGCTGATACGCTCGCCGGTGCGGGTTGTGAGCGTGAGGCGGAAGAGGCGGGCCTCGATGCGGCTGACCGTCTCCTCGAGCTCGTCGACCTTGTCCTCGATGATGTCGACGACTGTCTCGGGGAGGGCGGCGCGGATGGAACGCTCGCCCGCCGGCCACTGGCCGACGACGTGGATGAGAGCTTCTTGGAAGATGACTTTGGACCGCGCGAGGTAGCCGAGGCGGAGGTAGCTGATGGGGTATTTGGCGATTTGCTTCCACAGGCGCGACTGGAATTGCAGCATGTGGTGGTCGACGCGGGGGCCGACGACCGCGAGGGCATCGTACTGGTCTGCGAGGTGGAGCAATGACTTGCATTGGACGTAGCCGTCGGCAATGTTGACTGCGTCGAGCAAGGGGGGGTAGTTGTACATGATGCGGAACAAGTTGTCGTAATCTCGTAACAAGTCCTGCTCTTCTAGTGTGGGAGGCGGGAGTGACGGAGTGTGCGTTGAGGAAAGGCTGAGGTTGGCGACGGATCGGAAGAAGGAGTGCGACGTTGACTTGCGGTTGGACTGGCGATTCGAAGAGTGGCTGTTGGAAGACCCACCGAATATTGAGTTGTTGGTTACCGGCGGCGGGTTGCTGTTTTCCTCCTTTTGCACGAGCATCGGTACGTCGTTGTCGTCAGACCCATGGTCTAACTCATACCGCCACCTCCTCCTAGTTTGCGCCAACGGCGTCGAGCCAGGTTTGCCGCCCTCATCCCCGCTTGCCCCTCGGTCATCTATCCGCGCCAGCTCTCCCCCATTTGCGCCGACCCCTTCTATCGCGCCAGCTGGCACGGATGCCACAGGGCCCGACACTATTTGTGCGCGCGACCATTCGTTACTTGTGCTGGCCTCGAAGAAGCCGGAGCAGCGGGTGAGGATGTGTCGATGGAGGAGATAGCGGTTCTCGTGCCCGGTGGCTACGCGCACGACGATCTCGACGTCGCCACTGTGGCTGAATATCGGGAATTCATTCTGCGGTATGAAGGAGGCGCCGCCAGCGTGGGAACGGTTGTACCGTCGCGATCGCGACGAGCTGTGTAACCCGGTCCCCCGGCCGCTGGAGCTGGTTCCCACTACCGACGACGATCCCCGCACCATCAACGAGGTGACCCCGTCGCTGTGATGCGACACCATGAGTGCGCTGGTTCGATCGTCGCGCCCGCCCAAAATTGGTGTCTTCTTTGTGTTCGGTTCCCCTTTCGATTTCTCCTCGCCGCGATCTGGTGTCGCGCCCGGGCTGCCTCCTGCTTGACGGTTCCTAGCTCCTGGCACGCGCACGTTTGGCAGCTGGCGGCTGATTGGCAAAGGCGGTTGTCGCACGAAGAGGGGTCAGCACATCCACATCCCCGAACGGCTCGTCGTCCAGGATTGGGTCCAAATATTATGGTTGAATATCAACAAAGCCGCTCGTCAAAAATATGAGGTAGTCGTAGGGAAGAATCCGTTTCCGGCCCAAAAAAGAAGAAAGTCGAGGCTGAGAGTCGGGCGAGGCTGTGTCCCGGCTGTCGACGGCGAACAAGATACAACTGCTCTGTTTTCGCCACTCAACAGGAGCTCGGCAGACCAGGGCATTTGTCCGCTCCCCTGCTGACAACGATTGGCGACGAAGGTCCGGGTTTGTGTTGCAGGAAACAGGAACAGAGGAACCACCATAGGCGGCAGCGACGAAATAGCGGGGAGTCCGAAGGTGAAACGGAAGGGAAAGCGAACAGGCCTCGAGTTTCTCGGCAAACAAAGAAAACAGGGCCATGTTCACCAAAATGCATACTGCACGTTACCTCCTAGCGCAAGGCCTCGGTGCAAGCTCCGACGCGTCTTCGCGTCTTGTCCACAGATCCGGTTTTTCTTTGTGCCATGTGTAACGGGTGCCGGATTTCTCGATGCGATTTGAATCGATTGGCTTTCCCCGCTCGAGCTGTGTCGCTTCCGGCAGAACTTAGCAAAGGGCAACGCCCGCAGACTGAGCTCACCGACACTCTGGCCGTCCTACCCTACGAGCTTGTGCTTTGCTCGGAATGAGACTTCTTTGGATAAAACAAAGACAAGGCCGAGGGTCTTTTGGCAGCACCAACTCCATGACCAACCCGGCAGACCAGCTGCGAACGCTGCATGGTGGCTGAGACCCCACGCCGAAGCGAGAGAGCCGCTGCTGTGGTTGGCTCGACCCAAATTAAGAATCGCACCACAGCTTTCAGGACGAGTCTTTGTGTTCCTGAGAATGGCCATTACTGTTGTTTTTTCCCTTGCACGCTGGACTTGAGATTTAAAAATGCAACAGGGCGTTGATTGTTTCTACCTATTCGTACACCTATCATGGAGAGCAAGACTGCCCTCCCGTTTCTGCAAATCCCGAAGAGCAAGGTTACCTTTTGCCCAGACTGAAAGACCTTTGCCCGAAAAACCGAATGAAGTCCAATCGTGTCGACGCTGCCAATTCAACGCCATACCGACCACTGGCTGCTCAAAAAAACTGCGCCCAAAAAACAAGCACCTTCCCGCAAACGCCTAGTCCAAATCCCAAAAAGCCGATCAGCTCATGTCCATGTCAGCTGAGGTGATAGGCCCGATCGAGTCCAGAGGCTTGGCTGACTCGGACGCATCCATGGTGTTGAGTCCATCAAAAACGGGTGGTGAAATTTTGAGGTTGTTGAGGGTGCCTTCCGGAGTTGCGCTGACGAGCCGGCCTTGACGGAGATTCTCGGCGAAGAGGAAAAACCCTTCGGTTGCTTCAACCAAGTACGACTGGAGGCCGCGGCTTTCCAAGAGGATCTTGACGTTGCTAACGGGGTAGTGATTCTCGATGTACCGGGCCCAACCACGGGCGGCGGCTTGGATGTGGCCGTCGTCGCTGATTCGGCTCCAGCCGATGCCAAGATGAAGCGTGAAGTCGTCCACGATTGGTTGCGCAAGTGAATCCGAAGACGATGTCATTGGGTTGGTCGCCTCACGGGTGGGGCTGGAACGGCGGCTTGGAAACCTCTCTTCTGAATGCGTGGGTGGCGTCGTCATGTCTAACCGTTGAGATTTATGGCTCCTGAGAGAAGGCCGCGACTGGGCCAATTGGTCCCGTGCGAGAAGGGCCTCTTCCATTTTGCGCGCGTCTTCTTCAGCGGCTCGTTCTTCAACCCAGGTTCCGGACTGGTTGGCGGCATCGGTGATATAGCCAGTAGACTTCTTGATGAGCGTCATGCCGGGGCCATAGATCCATTCATCATCCGGTTCCGACTTGACGGGAGTCTCGGCCAGTTTCTCGGGGGCGTCGAGATTGACTGCGGCCTCGTCTCTGGACCGCTTGCGACCGGCGGCCGTGCAGGTGCGCGCCAGTTGCGATCGCCATGAGGCTGGTGGACTAAAGGGGTGGATTTGGTGTTGCGGGAAGGGCTTGCCGAGCGAGACCTGATGAGCTGCCTGTGGCGGCATGGCGAGAACCGGCGACGAGGCATAGACACGGTCAAACGACGGCATCTTGAAGACCTGTTGAGTACTAGATGAGAGGAAGAAAGGGTTGTTAGAGGTGCAGGAGGTTAGTTCAGGATGTGTCAAGGGCTTGTAAGTGCAGTGGAGTGTAGATGACGTTGAGGGTCGGGGAAAACAAGGCTGGGCAGTGAGTATGGCCGGGAACGGGAAAGAGTTGGCCAAAAGAGGGTGACGGCAGAGTATCGCGACTCAGTGCGCTTGATAATTGAGGATGGCAAAGGTCTGAGGGTTCGAAGGGCGGAAAGGTGGCGCGTTGATTTGGCGAGAGGTCACGACTTGGCGCGCAACGAGAACGGGCGTCGTCGTCTCGTCGTGTAAGCGGAGGGGATGGGGGTGAGGTGATGGGCAACACCAGTTGTGAATTCGAAGGAGTAAGGTAGGTGAAGGCTCGCTTGAGGTGGGCGAGAGTGAGGTGAAAGGAGGGAAAAGTGGAAGAAGAAGGGGGGAGGAGCAGGGAGGGCAATGAGAGACAGTGAGGCAGAGGCTGAGGGAGGACCGGCATGCGAGGACCTGCGCGATCTGGGCGAGGCAGTCAAAAAGGCGACGGAGAGCTGGAGCTGTGGGTGCCGGCATGGGAACCTGGAAGTGTCTCGCTGCCATCCCATTGGCTGCGGCAGAAGGTGGGGTTTGGGTCCACAAGCTTTCGTCTGACTGGCCAACGGGTCCTGCAGCAGTTTGAGGGAGGCGCACAGGCGGCGGAACATGCCAGGGCCCTGCAAAAGGTTAGATCGGCTGTTCTTGTCCCCTGGCACCCTGGCGTGCCTGGTTCGAGCCTTGGTTGTCAGCATCCGCCCCCGCTCCGTGCTTCTTCCTCCGATCTGGGGTCCGTGTCGTGCCGCTCGGGCGGCCGGCAAATCCATGAATCCGTCCCTGCCGCCCTGGTGCAACCCTGGAGCTGCAAGAAAATCCGTTCCTGTCCAATCGGTCTCAGCGCAGCCAGCCTTCGGTTCCGTCACCACGACGCCTCCCTCACGTGCGCAAACAGACGCCTGCGAAACGGGACCGGCTGGGGTCTGCTCCAGTCTCACTCTCGCCCTCGGCCGGTTTTTTCCCCCTTCCATCCTCCAGAAGCAGCGAGATGTTCGAGGGGGTTGAACTTGGATTCGTATCACTACCTATGTTGCGAGCAGGTCGACGGTGCGTCTAACGATATTTGGACCTTTGGAGTTGACACATCTTCCAATTTCCATTCTTTCGTCCACACTCCGTCATCAGTAGGGCCACCTCCCCGCCTGTCATGGTCCTCCCTTTAAAGCTATTCTGCTGAGTTGCGGGGCTGGGATGGACTTGCCCAGCTTCGCGCCATGTCCTCAGCCAATGCCACGTCGTCCAAGTTCTCCGTATCGCCATACAAGCCCTCAAGTCCCGGCGTTCGTAGCTCCAGCGGGCTAGGCTCCCTCCTCCCTCGCCAGACTCGCCGCAAACGAATTGTCGTCCGGCTCCGGGTCGGTTGCGGCGACGTACGCCGGGCCGGTGCCGTGTATGAACCCTGCAGAAGACTTCGACGGCGGGCCTCAGGTAGATTTCGTGGTGTCTGCGGTTGGGACCAAGCTGGCAGGAAGTCGTTGTAGATCCGGAGCCGCCCCGGGCTCATAAACGCAGGAGACGGCGACGAACCTTCGGACGAGCTCCCCTACGTACCGAAGTCAGTTACGCCAACCCCACGGAGCCGTCTCGGAACCTACGTCGTCTTGACAAGTATCAGAGGCATCAAGTGACAGCCGCGAAATCTGATACCAAGTCAGCAATTGTTGCCTCTGGGTCCGGCACCTCTGGCTAAAACGTACTCGATTGGAAACATTCGGAGCGGTCGGGGGGCTGCCGGGCGAAGTTGAAGGCAACGCGCGCCGGGGGGTGGAGGGGCCTGCACCACTCTGCAGCCTCACATCTGTGCTATCTTCTGAGAGGCCGCCCTGGTCACTGCGATTAACCAGGGATCGTATAATTCTTGGGGCTTATGATGGCTACAAACTTGGCGAGTAGGCGTTGCCTCGTTTGTCTCTCCTCCTCTCATACTCGGCGAGTCCACATCCGACAAGCATGGCGGTGATAGTCCCGGCTTGTGAATCATCGTAACACCGCTTTGTTTCGTTTTCTGACTGTTATCAAGCGATTCCCCCGCCCCCGTCAGATCCTCGCGCAAGTCTTGCAAACCTGTTGAGCCATCATCTACAACGGGAGCCGTAGCGACATGCGGACTACGCTTGGGCCGCAGGCACAGCTGCAGTGTCCAGTCGGGGCCTTGCTGCGGTCTGCCTCGTGTTCTCGAGTGTCGCACTTGGCTGCCGGATACTTCAGGCGGCGGAGACATGTCTTTCCCAACCTCCTTGTCCGAGAGCAGTAGTAGTGGCAGATCCGTTACCCAATGACAGATCTCGCTGCGCATAGTAGGAGAGCTGCTCTGGGTGCTATCGTACGCCGTTGGTACGGTTTTGCTCTGGGCGGTACGCGACGGCGAAGTCTCGGGTCGGTCTAGCTTGTATGTAATATTTGTCTCGGCCGGGGCCAAGTCAACACAGATATTGTCCTTCTCGCATTCAAGATATCTGCGGAACCGACGGCGGTGAACAACCTCGGTAACGTCTGCGCGGGTCAAGGAAATCACTGACGGCCTGGGACGTAGCATCTTGTGAGCACTTTGATGTTGGTGTTGTGATATTGGTGCTGGGCAGATGGGAACACCAACAGGCTAGAAGTCTAGGCCACCAAAACGGGTGGGACAGGATCTCTATATCAGGCATTTGGCTTGTTGGGTTCAGAGAAGGAACGAGGCAAAGTCAACCTAGGTAAAAAGGCAATGGCGAGGGAACATTCTCGGGATGGCAACCGCAAGACCAGCTTGTGTAGGGGCTTGGAAGGCTTGATGAACAATAAAAAAAACCTGGAACTTGCATTGCGCCCCCGATGTTCAAATGTAAGGCTTGAGTCTTCTATGCTACGATATAGAATGGATAATGGTGCGAAGAACCCCTGTCAACAAGGTCTTATTCTGTTTAACTTTAGACATCCTAAATCTGTGAATCGCCGGATCGGCTCTTTATAAATCGTCCGATATGTAGAGGTGAAAGCCTCGCATCTTTCGGCCCGGGCTTTTTGAACAGCAGTTTGAAGGAAGGAGGTACATAGTTTGTGTTTGTCGTGACCTTGCAGTTTCCTCGGCAGAAATGTAGGCGACTCTTAGAAACAGAAAAAAAAGGGTTCAACAGTCTAGTTGTCCGTGTGCCGCAAACAAAATAAACAAATAACCCCCAATTACTGAATGCAAAGCTTTCGTCGGTTTATCAAGTATAGGCTATGGCAGCACACAAAGCAGGATTGAAACTTGCACACAGTAGCCAGGTCGTGAGTTCCAACCGAAATGAAGACTGTCTGTCGGGTTGTGTCAATCTCGGGGGCTGTCCGTGTGTCGCCACAGTGTATGCATACAAGCGCACGGTTCCTGAGACCTTTCGGGTCCTCTCCTCCACGCAACACAAGCCATCAACTGGTAGTTGAATGTTCGACGAGATCACGTCCCAGTCCCCAACATCCCTTCGTCATCAACATCGCTCGTGTCTGTCCGGTTACCACGCCGTTTCTCAATCATTTGATATTGTTTAGGGGGGCAAGCGGACCACGAACCCTTGCATCTCTGATGTTTTTGAGTAGGAGACGGTGAGCTGTGGTACCTCCTCGATGCCCGACACTCGGTAAATTCACGGGCCGGGTCTGCCACGAACAAGAGGCGTCCACCCGTTGCACCTCGACACGAAACCGTTTCCCAGAACCCGGCGGTACGGCGACCTCCACAGCCACGCCGATACCCATCGTCTGCTCATTCGACGCCTCCTGTCCCTGGCTCGACCCCTGGCCGCGCGTTCAGCCACAGACGGCACGTCCACTGTCGATAGCTTGCGTCACTCGCTGTTCTCGACCGTTACCCGCCGCCGTACCCCTTACTGACGCCTGCCGAACATACCGTACCCATCATGAACGGCGACATCAGTCTCTCCCAGGCTCTTGGCGGCCTGCGCATTGCCAATCCCGACGACTCCCCAAATCTCTCACAGGGCACCTCGACGAGTCACGACGACAGTCACACGACTCAAGCGGGCGTCAGGGCGGAATCTGAAGAGAGTAGCGATTCCAAGGCCCTTCAAAATGCCGAGCCTGGATTAGGGGCTCGAGATACCCCTCCCCGACAGCCCCACACATACGAATCGGCCGCGGCTATCCTCAAGAACGCACAAAACAGCTTGAACGCCACACGTGGAATCACCGGCTCAACAGGTTCCAGCGACCCCCATCTAGCAGCACAACATGGCGCCTACCCGCCTGCAAACGAGGTGCACCCACCGGCGTCAGCGCCCTTACCCGGTCAGGGTCGGGCAATGGAACACGAGGCGCAAGGGGATCCGTATGTGGGCCCTAGGAATGAGCAGTCTCGATCTTCCGTCTACGGGATAAGGAGCGATCCTCGGTTTGACCAGCCCAATCCCTCACAGATTCCGTCGCGTGAGGGGAGCCGGTCGCACCATGTTGGCCGGCCAGGCCCGCCCCCGCCAGGAGCCGGTCCCAACGGCATGCCACCACCGAGGAGAAGCTCAAAGGCAGTGGGAGGAGGAATTGCCGCAATCCCGGGCATTCCGCAAGCCCCGACCGGGAGTTATGGACCAGAGATGCCAATACCCGCAAGCAGCGAGGAGTGGAAAGACAGGGGCGCGGCTGTGAGTTTGAAAAGAGAGGTTGATGCCGAAGGGAAGACAATCGTCAGGTCTGTCAAGAAGGGGGTTCGGGACTTTTCGTTTGGGCGGACGCTAGGGGAGGGCTCCTACAGCACCGTCTTCCTCGCCACTGACCGCCAGACCTTACGAGAGTACGCTGTCAAGGTGCTCGAGAAGAAGCACATCATCAAGGAAAAGAAGATCAAATACGTCAACATCGAGAAAAACACGCTGAACCGACTTACCGACCACCCCGGAATTGTCCGGCTCTACTATACTTTCCAAGACGAGGCGTCGCTTTACTATGTTTTGGATCTTTGCAACGGTGGGGAGCTTCTGGGCGTTTTGAAGAAGACGGGGACCTTTGACGTCGAATGCACGAGATTCTATGGCGCCCAGATCCTGGACGCCATTGCCTACATGCACTCCCGAGGTGTCATTCACCGCGACCTCAAACCCGAAAACGTGCTCATGGACGACCAAATGCACATCAAGATCACTGATTTTGGCACGGCCAAGCTATTGCCGGACCCTCGAGACCCGAGACCACCAGAAAACCCGTCGACGCTCGCCGCCTCGCCAGACGAAAAGAGGAATGCTTCTTTTGTGGGCACCGCAGAGTACGTGAGCCCCGAGCTCTTGACAGACAAGGCCGTGGGGAAGCCAAGTGACCTTTGGGCTTTCGGCTGCATTATCTACCAACTCCTCGTCGGCAGGCCGCCTTTCAAGGCTGGGACAGAGTACTTGACCTTCCAAAAGATCGTCGGTCTTGAGTACGAGTTCCCCCCGGGTTTCCCCCCTGCGGCGCGGGATCTTGTCGAGCGGTGCTTGGTACTGGACCCGGCCCGGCGTCTTACTGTGGAGCACATCAAAAACCACGAATTTTTCGATGGGCAGCAGTTTGGTAAGGAGTTGTGGCGGACGAAGGCACCGCGCCTACGGCCCTATGTACCTCCAGCACAGGAGCCCCACATCATCCAGCTTAACGGGGGCGGCGGATCGAGTCCGCCAAAGCCACCTAATTCTCGAGGAACCCACGGCCCGCCCAACGGCTCAAGACCGGCCAGGATCATCACGGAACTCCCACCACCAACGCAATTGGACATCGAATGGTCGCCGGTTCTGACGAGAAACAACGAGCGGATATTGAAGCTTGGCGACCTGATGGTAATATCTTCCCCAATCCCAAACAGCCCGCATGGACGCGGCGACGGTGACGGCCACAAGAAGCTATCGCGCTTCTTTGGTGGCAGCACCACTAAAAAGAGGCAACGGCTCGTCATGATTACCTCTGGCGGGCGCATTGTGCTCGCTCCGGCCGGTGGAGAGGAGAAGAGAGCGAAGCAAGAGATCTCGCTGCTGGGATCTGATTGTGTGTGGAAGACTCAATTAGACGCCAAGGGACAGGCAGTGTGGTGTGTCGACACGGTAAGTTCTCATGCCTCTCGTCATGCCTCCCAACATAATACTCGACACCCTTCGGAGAGAAGACAGCCACTGACATGGCCCCAGAACGGTGTGCACTACACGTTTGAAGAACCCAAGTCGTCGCAAAATAGCGAGGCCAAGTTCTCGGTTGACGACTGGATCGAGTCGCTGGAACGAGCAAAGGACTTGGCCATCTCCCAAACCTTGGTTGGCCCCTACAGCAGCGACAACGGATTTGGCGACATGTCATCGTCCATGTCGAGCCCGGAAAGCACCATGGGGGGGAGGACGAACTTTGCCGAGGGATACAGTGTCAGCGACAGGTCGGGCCGCAATCAGCTCAGCAAGAGCCAGGCGAGCCTGCCAGAGGAGGTAAATGTTAAGCGCAACCGCTTCAGCAAACGGCAATCCAAGAACGGATTGGGCGCGGCATTTTGAATTGGATAGGCGCTTCGAGATGCCGGTTTGACGCATCCCCCCGTAGTATACCAGACGGGGGGTGGCAGTCGGGCAATTGGAGGACTTGGACATGGAGCATGGAATGCATGGGGCGGTCCGAGGGCCGTCTCGGGAGGTTTTTGGGGGGATGGCATAGCATTTCAACTGCAACTACTACTACCTTTAATGGGCATTTCTGGGAGCGTGGCGTAAGCTCTACCCGCATCATCTAGCCAGCCACCCATCTCGCTTTTGGGCTTTTTTTTTTTTTTTTTTTTTTTTTTTTGCGTTTTTGTAAATGATTTTCCTGGGATGTGTGGGAAATACAGGCTGCGCTGTTCCTGTGTCTACTCCAGTGTATACTAGTTTGTTTCAGTTCCAAACCGCCATGTTGACGACGCGCCACCCGCTTGCTTTCTTGAGTATGGCTGGTGATCACTATGGGTATCACATGACGCGAGTGCTTGCGACACAAAAATAGGCTGGTTGGCAGGAGGTGACTTCCAGATCAATGATATGAGATGGATCTGTTAAGTAAAATTATAGACCGTAAATATTGTACACCTTAAAAATGCCCAACTGATACTTCGCCATTGAGATGTTCTCCCCCCGGATTGCCAGGCAATATTGTTGGTGGGGGTTGAATGAGATGTGCAAGATGGGTTGTTTTTTGTAGCCCCAACTTCGCTCTCAACTTTTTGCCAAGAGTGAGGACCTACCTGTGTGGGGCCCTGCATGTGCGATTGCTTTGCCAACTTAACTCCACCAATTTGGAAACCACGACGCGATCGACGCGCTTGTTCAGCGAAACCCGGACCGCCGGACCTGATCGCATCACGAAAAAAAAGAATATCCATCCAGTGTTCTTCCACTTTTATCCGTCCAATCACTGCAGGAGCGAGCCAGCCGATTGAGACAATATGCAGCCGCAGTACCGTGGCTACGCACAACAACATGCGCCCCCGCGGGCAGGAGGGGGAGGACAGCATGTCCCACAACGCCGAGGCGGCATCGGTATGTGAATCACTTGGCTTCGTCCGATTCTCTTCTGGAACCCCGGCTTGCCTGGCCCCGACGCGCTCCGCTTTTCCTCGCCCCCGGCACCTTCCCGGGCTTTGCGTTAGGTGGAGCTAGCTCTGCGCTTGGGATCTCAGACCGCTGCGCGCTCCGGACTCCAGTCTCTGAACCTTAGCGCATCGCGAACCACAAACCGCAACATACAGCCCCAAGCCGCCCCAGTGCAGCCGCGCCCGCATCCATCCGGAGAGAGAGAGCCGCAGCCCCTAACGCTTACCGTCGCAGGCCCCATGATGTCCGCCGGCCCTCACCACTCGGTGCCCATGACGCAGGCGCAGATCAACCAGCAGCACCACCAGCAGCAGCAGGCCAACCACCTAGCGAAGTTGAGGAGCGGCAAGCCGACAGACAAGAACCTGCCCGATGGTGTCGAGGAAGGGTTATCCGCAGGGAGCGATGTGGCCGCCTGCTACACGCAGCTCCGCGACTTGGAGCGCCGGCTCGATGCCACCATGACGCGCAAGAGGCTGGACATCGTCGATTCGTTGAACCGAAACACGAAGGTATGGATATCATATTAGGAAATGCGGGGTTGGGGGGCGGGGGGGGTGTGTGAAATGTCTCTCGATGGCTGACGTTGGTTGGTGTAGCGGTACAAGACGTTGCGCATCTGGGTCAGCAACACCGTCGAAGACCAGTTCTGGCAGGGTAACGGCCTCAACGTCGACACATTCGACTTTTCGTCCAACCTTGAATCCTCATACCGCGTCAAGATTGAAGGTCGGCTACTCGACGACGAAGACGAGGTGGAAGCGGACGAAGACCAGCGCAAGGGTGATGACAACGAGGCAGAGGCCGACAAGATGGAAACGGATAGCCCGAGCAAGACCAAGGCCAAACCCGCGCCTGCCGCCAAGCGACCGCGGCTGTCGCACTTTTTCAAAGCCCTCACGGTGGACTTTGACCGTCAAAAGCCCGGCCGCCAGGGTGCGGACACCAGCGTGGAATGGAAGAAGCCGGATAGGACACCCGCTGGCGCCGGCAACCTGCCCGCCATGGCTGACTTTGACGAGTTCACCTTCAAACGCAACGGCGACGAGAACATGAACATCACTATCAACCTGTTCCGGCACGAAGACCCCGAGCGCTTCGAGCTGACGCCTGCGCTCGCCGACATCATCGACATGCGCGAGGCAACGCGCCAGGAGGCAGTCATGGCGCTGTGGGAGTACATCAAATTGATGAACCTACAAGAAGACGAGGAGAAGCGCAACTTCCGGTGTGACGATCTCCTGCGAAGGGTCTGTACCCCGCTCCCTGTCCCCCCACTGTTATACCACACCACATCCGTCCCCCTACTGACATGGCCCCCCCCGGCTAGGTAATCCCCCGCGAGACGGGTTACATTCCCCACCTGAACGACTACCTCACGCCGCACCTGCGGGCGCTCCCGCCCGTGAAGCTGGCCTACACGATCCGCGTGGACGAGGCCTTCCACAAGGACGCCCAGCCGACCGTGTACGACGTGCGCGTGCCGGTCGACGACCCGCTGCGCTCGCGCCTCTCGCCCTTCGTCCACAACCCGCAGTACGCCGCCATGCTGAAGGAGGTCGCCGGGCTCGACGACCAGCTCGCCGTCCTCATCCAGGCCGTCGCCCAGTCCAAGGCCAAGCACACCTTCCTCGCCTCCATGGCCCGCGACCCCGTCGGGTTTGTCAAGGGCTGGCTGAGCTCCCAGAAGAGGGACCTCGAGGTCATCATGGGCGAGGCCACCCGCGGCGGCGGCGAGGATGCTACCGGGGACGAGTGGCGTCGCGGTGGTCGGGATAGTGTCTGGGCTACCACCAACGCCCGCGAGAGTGTGAATGTCTTGTTGGCGAAGCAGCCTGCAAGGGCATGAGAGGGTTGAAGGAGCTTGGGGAGGACTGAGGAAGGTTGGTGGGATGGGGTGTGCTATAAAAGGCGGCGTTGTTAGGTAGGACAGGGAGGCGGCGTTACCCTTCTTTTTTTACCCCCTTTTTGGTTGGTTATGTACTTTTACTTTCCATACCTGCCTTACGTCGTGGCGACCGGTGGTCAGCCAACTATACCATCCGTACTGGATCCAGTGCAGGATAATGGAGCAGTATCACTGTGCGCGAGTAGAACGAAGAGTGTCCCGTTGGAAACCGTGACTAAATTAGATCTAAGGGTATCATCATCTCATCACCCGGTCGTTTCTATCCCCCACCCATCTGTATATCGTTCATGTCTATAATATCCCCAAACCCGGTTAGGTATGCAATGCTCAGTCCTCTCCTGTAAGATCTAAAACCGGAATCTCACTCCGTCGCCATGCCCGTCTGCTTGGTGCCTTGCCCTGTCGAGGGGCGTTGTGAGCAGCTTGCACCCGGTCTGCTTCGTCACGGTCGACCTCCAGGGTGCCGATGTAGGCTTTGCCCTTGAGGCTCGTGTCAAGGATGTAGAGTTCTGTTGATGCACCCTTTGTCGTGGAAATGGTAGCGGTGCCAGTTGTGTGATCATTGGCCGCATTCGTACCCTTCATATCGGGTCGGGGGTCCGGTCCCGGCTTGCGCTGGGCTGACGAAGCCGGCGCATCGGCGTGGATCGGAAGGGAACATGGCGACATTGCGCGGCGAGGTGCCGGTGGTGAGGCGAATGGGTCGTCGTCACTGACAAACCCAAAGACACTATCGATACAAGGGGCATTCTGGCTTATTATGCTCGTAGCTGGCGGTCTCGTCAGTGGTGGCAGCGGGACATCGTCATCGTCGGACAGGATTTCGATCGGCTGTGCGTCGGAGGTGTCGGGCTTTGAACCAGCTTGCGAAGAGTCTACGTTCTTCAGCACCCGACCAAAGGCCTTGATCGACTTCTGCGTTGAGGTGTTTGTGGAGCCGTCTGCGCCACTCTTGACCTTCTTGAACGATCTCGCTTTCCTCGTCGGTTGTGTCGCCGCAGCAGGTTGCTGGTTTTCAGCTGGCTCTTCGAAAACCGGGAACTGCGGTTGTCTCGGGCTTGGAGACGGACCGAATAGCGACGCCGGTGAGGAGGCCTCTCCTCCCGGAGAACTTAGACGCTTTACCCTCGTTGGCGTCGTCTGGGTGTGCCTCACACTCGCGCTAGAGGTCTCAGGCGACGCAGGGGCGACCGGGCTAGATGAGATAAGAATTGCCTCCCGTACAGAGCTGGGCTTGGGTTGAGCCTGTGAGGCGGTAGTTGAAAGAGACTTGGTAACCCTAGGACTAAGTTGTGAGTTTGCGAGCGTCCAAGGGTTGATGTCGGCGAATGGTTTGGCCTGGGAAGAGGTAGAGGTCTTCTTAGACTGCTTACTTCTTCCCTTCGGCGGGGGGGGATTGCGCTGGCTGCTGGTCCTCAGAGGCGATGATGCGGGTTCCAAACATGGCACGTCTTTCGCCGTGCTGCTAACCACGTTCTTGGTCACCTTGACATATTTATCCAAGGCCCCATCTGGCATGCCCGCCTTTTTGGTCCTCGGCTGCCTAGTACCCTTGGCGGCTACTCGTTGCTCCTTCAATCGTTGCTTCCCTTCCCAGTCCTCAACTGTCAAAGGAATTCCCAACTTTGCAAGTGTCGCTGGGATCCAGACCAAGTCTGGCTGCAGCGGGTCGAACGGCTTCTTGGCGCTCGATTTCGGCTGCTCACTGCCCAGTTCCTCCCCAGCATCTTCGTCGAACTCGTCGTCGCTGTTTAACGCGATGCCACTACGGCCGAAGGCCTCGACCTCCTCTTCCGGTTCCTGGCCCAAGTCCAGTTTGACAATATTAGCTGGAACAAAGGAGACTCGTACCTCGAGCGTAGCATCTGTGCTAAAATGCGCGCGCTTGCTTGAGATTGCTTTAACGAGCGCTGACTCCTCTTTTTGCTTCAGATCGAGGTTGTCGTCATGTGTATCCGCGGACATGGACCTGTCGAGAAACTGCTGAACCATAAGACTCGGGGCCAAGACGCGAATAAGCTTGACGGCGCCGATCTTGAATGCCCAGTCGAACGTTTCGCGGGTAAACTCTCTCAGCCCCACGACATCCACGCCGCTCGCCGGAGGAAACCCGCTCTTGAGTCGTTGGACGGTAGCCTTCTGCGACACAACCGGGTGCGTATAGTACCGCAGGATTTCCATGTTCGGAAAGCTCTCCGGTATATCCAAGGCCTTGTGCCTCGTTCGAAAAATTCCACTCTCATTTGTCCGCAGCTCATGCAAAAGCCTCGCCTTCCATGCCGCCAGGCCGTCCCCGTCCGCTTTCTTAATCCGGCACAGGTCCCGCCCAAATCCACCCCTCGCCGCCTCGCAGGCAACCTTGACGCCGCACCCGGGCACGCCCTCGGGAAGGTAATCCCCCCCACTCATCAACGCAACGAGCACCATCCCCTCCCTATCCAGTTTGCTCGTCCCCGCAGCCACAGCGGCGGCGTCATACATGGACACGTGCGTCGGCGTCTTGGAGCCCTTTGTGCCCTCAGCAGACCAGTTCCGTAGCGTCTTTCGACAGCCAAACATGATTGTGTCCACGTCCTCGCTGAGAACGGCGTCGACAACGCCCTGCTGCTCGAGGAGCGCGCACTCGGCCTCCGCTTCACCGGGGGCGTCGTGCATCGCAAAACCGAAGAGTCGAATGAGGCGTTTGGCCATGGCTCTGGCTACGGCATCACCCCGGCCGGATGAGCGCTTGTTTCGTTTGAAAGCGGGTTTGTTCGGGCCGTCGAAGACAAAAATCGGGTGGATGGCATGGCCGAGGAGGCGGACGAGGCGGTAGAATAGTGTGCGGATTGCGGGATTGGCGCCACCTGGGTGATTAAATGTTAGACTCTACCTCGGTGACAGAAGGAAAGACGCACCCCGAGCTGCTTGCACCTGATATTGCCATATTGAGAAGTCGATGGCTAACCGGAGCGGTCGGCCGGTTTGTTCGAGGGTATCGATGGCGAGCTTGCAAAGGGAAATGCGGTTTCCAGGGCCAATTTCCTTGTAGATTCTGCCATTCTAGTAATTAGTAACTCGATAGTCGATTTGAACCACGCAACTGGCTGCCCGCACCCTTTAATGCCCATCGTGGCGGTTTTCGTGCTCTTGCTGCTCCAAAACCCAAAAAGACTGGCTACTACCGAAGCATGGTAAGCAAGGTAATTGAACAATTCGAAACCAAATTTCCGAAAATTCAACGGGGAAAAGTAATGTGGCGGTAGAAGGCGCTCAAGATCAAAATTCGAACGCACTTCGCCGTTGTTTAACGTAATGTTGACGTTCTTCCGTTTTGGGCGGGATTGAAGGTTGTCACAGGCACCGACGTCAAAATTCCTTTTAGTTGAATGGTGTTGTCAATACCATATATGCACCTAACGGGTACCGGGCCTGGCCTGTCAAATGCGAAGAATGATGGTGCGCTAACACGAGCTTAAGTGCTGATGTTGATTGAGATACCAAACACGGGAGCAAACAGCACAAAGAGCAAGCATTTTTCTTACCTCCTGATAAAAACTTAATTTGCAAGTATTGCAGATCATGGAATCCTAAAATTTTGTTCCCCAAAAATGACAACACCCGCGGGTTCAGCACCGCTTCCGCACCGGTCGGTCGCTAACATCCGATCACCAACCGGAGCCGGTCATCACCAGAGCGGGCCGTCCACACCACTGCGGTCCATCTCCTCCCTTCCATCCAACTTTGGGTCCCCATCTAGCCTTCGCGCCGACGAGGAGATTATTATCATCGAGTTTGGTACCCGGAAATTGCAGGTTGGCTTTTCCGGCGATTCAGTTCCCAGAGGATGCGTTTGGTTTGGGCCCGACCAACAACGTAGGGCTGGCGACTTCAGGGCCTGGCAGACGGACTACCGCTACGATTGGAAGGCAGCAGCCGCCGGTGGATCATGGGGGAAGGACCACGAGTTGTGGCAGTATGACGTCCGGGGTGCTGATCTCGGCCTGGTCGGGGACAAGATCGAGCGGGCACTGAGAGAGGCGTTTACCAAGTAAGCAGACGGCCTTCAGCCATCATGCGCCATAATTCTTACCGTGTCTTAGGTATCTCCTCATCGACTCACGCCCGCGGAGGTTGGTCTGGGTTGTTCCCTCCACCCTACCGATTCCCTTGCTGTCAGCCGCTTTGGACAGCGTCTTCAGCCGCTTCATGCCGCCTACCGTCTCACTACTCTCATCTCAGCTTACCCTAACTGTTGGCGCCGGGGTACGCTCAGCACTCGTTGTCGATCTCGGCTGGAGTGAGACCATTGTCACCAGTGTCTGCGAGTACCGCGAGGTAGCCTCCAAGCGAAGCATCCGCGGTGGTAGGATGCTTGTTGAGCAGACGCACAACCTGCTCGCCAAGCATCTCCCCGAAAATCAAACTGGCTCTGGTGATGATGGCCGGGAGCGTGTCATTACTTTTGAAGAATGTAGCGACATCACCACTCGCATGGTCTGGTGTAAGCCTCGCCAGACCTCGGCCCCCGCCCAACAGTCGTCCGATGATGCCCTGGCCACCGTTCAGGAGCAGGACGAAAGTGAGCCCGGGGAACCCATAACACCTAGGGAGCCCGGCTTGGTTACGATACCCGTAAAGACTTGCCGGTCGCCAACGACGCTAGAGCTCCCCTTCGACGCGCTCGCGGAGCCGTGCGAGAACGCGTTTTTCGACTCTCAATATTCACAAAGCAGCTTCGACGACCACGAACTACCTCTACATTTATTGGTATACCAGAGCCTCCTCCACCTACCCGTGGATGTACGGGCACTTTGCATGTCTCGCATCATTTTCACCGGTGGATGTGCCAACGTCCTCGGCCTCCGAGGCCGAATCTTCGATGAAGTATCCCACCTCGCCCAGGAGAGAGGGTGGGACCCAGTCCAAGGCAAGGCTGTGGACCAGCTGCGCACCAACCCCAAGTTGAAAGGGAGGGAGGCGGGCCAGGCTGGAAATGGTTCACCTGACAACGCGCCACAGGCCCATGAGGGCGAGGAAAAAGACGGCGTTTGGCACGACGCAGCCAACACCATACCCGAGGTAGACACCGTCGAGGAGCAGTTGAAGAGAGGGACCGACAGGAGACCACGAGTGCAGGGCGAGATGAGAGCCATTGAGTCACTCGGCGCCTGGAGCGGGGCGAGCTTGGTTACCCACCTCAAGGCCCCAGCTATTGCCACCATTGATCGAGAGCTTTGGTTGCAACACGGTGCTTCCGGAGCGAGTAAGGCCAGCGAGGTCGATTACAAAACGCAGAGGCAGAGCTTGGGAGCAGGCGGCTTAATTAGGGGGTCTGCGGCTGGGTCGGCCTGGACCTTGGGTGTCTGGGGAACTAGCTGAAGGGGGGGTTAATCAGGGTGGACGGGGTCAAGACGACGCTGGGGAAGTGAACACAATCCAGCAGTATAGATACCCTTTGCAGTAACATGAAGTAAGTTTTTACGCCTCGTTGTTGTAATTCTGGTCTCGGCTAGTGTTATGACCATAGAAGTGGTACCGACTTTTCATTCCCAACCTCAGCTCAGGTAAGACACCTGATGGCATGGTGGCATATTTGAAGGAGCATCGTATGTTTACACCCCTGAATCGCATGGGCTAAAAACTCACTGGCAACAACAAAAGAAAATGATATATTTCTAGCCGAGGTTGGAACAAAAAGGCCCGGTACGATAGCTACATGTACCTCTAATATTCGTCTGACACTTCCGTCTGAATATTTGCTGACTTCCTCATTTCACCCCCTAGTGTGGGCGTGCCTTCCTTCCATCGTCACATTCGTGTTGAGTCTTCTTTCTGACCGCGTTCCTTCCCTCGCCATAGCCCAGGCATTACTCGCTCCTTCCAGCTTCAATCACAAACTCCCTACAAGCAGCCTTGTCAAAGCTTGCATTCTCCCGCCGGTTTCTGCCCGGCCCGCCTCTCTTCTTCCCTCCGCCACCATCGCCGTGTCATTTTGCATCGTCCCTCTCTTGTTCTCTGTCCAGGTCTCTATTCAGGGACACAGCAACACGACGTGCCGTTTTGCTGCATCCTCTTCCTGTCCTTTTGGCAAATTTTGCTTTTTGGGCGCGACCACCTTGCCTCACTCTTCTTTCTCGTTCTTCTTGTTCTTCTTGTTCTCCGCTTCAACGCTCCTCTGGAGCTATTCTACCATTGAACCTTAGTCTTGCCGCGGTGTGCACCAGGCGATTCCCGGGTCGCCCATCTTTCACCTCGCCCTCAAGTCCAACCCAGTCTCGTAGCCCCATCTGTTGGCACTTGGTAAGTGATTCTCTCTCGAATTTCCCATTCACTCTTAGCCTGCCCCAAACACGTCAAAGTACAACATTCTCCATCACCAACCGACCTATATATCGCAATCCCATAAGCTCGCTGCCTTTTTCCCTCCAACGCAATGAGGCAACCATCCATCCGCAAGCGCGCTCGTCGCCTTCTTCAGCACCTAAAAGACCTTCAGCACGAAGACTACACAATCACTCCCTCGACAATATTTGCGATCAAGCATCTCCTGCAGTTACACAGCCGCTGCCGGTTTATCGAGGTCAAAATCGATTCTCTGACAGCAAACGCTCCTTTTGAATCTCACCGCTCTCTTCTACCACGATTTATCGTGTCACAGCTCGAAGAGCAGAGACTAACAGACCGGAATAGTGAGAAGGTTCTAGTGCCACCCATTGCCGCCCTCGTCATTCAGTCACTGCCGTCAGCATCCGGCTACAACAAGCTTTATCCTACCTTGTTACGCTGGCACTACGCACCCCGGCATCGAACGTACTACATCTTTGCCCATATCGACCACAGCATGGCTCGCCGGACCTACACTCTCACTGAGCTACTGGGCCTCCGTACAAATCAGATTCCGGATGAGATCTTGCCTATGGCTCGGAACCCCGAGATAGGTACGTCTTGCGGTTGTCTTGCCTTAATGGGGTGTAGCTAACAGAAGGACACCAGCCGATATCATTCGCCGTCCCGGAAGAGAGTCATCCTCTGCTTCCAGTGTCAGCTGCAAACCGTCAATCATCAGACACAAGGATGATTCCTCCGTGACCTCAGATGAGCTCATATTCAAGGGCACCGTGAGCCGGCGTATGGGTCGTGAGCTGGCCCGAGAAGCTTCTCATAATTCAGTGCGCGCCTCTGCCCGGGAAACTCCCAGAGACACTGCCCGGGATATCGTCCAGGATCCTTCTTACGACCCTTCGCTCCCGATGGAGTGGAAATACCGTGGACGGAGCGAAACCGAGGCTGCAACAACGGAGCCTATTCCTGCTCCCACGGGTGCCCCAGCTCAGCGAGACGAAGGTTTCCAGCGTTTCTATAAGGCCGTTGTTTCCCCCACTCATGTTCGTGTCACCGCTGGTGGCCGAATCGTCCCCAATACCCGTGGTCCGCCGTCGCCTACCGCCAAGCGAGCGAGTGATAATTCTGTGATGGATGGTCAAGGTACCACTGACAAGGCAGCGTTGAGCAAGCCACCGGTTGTCCCCGTCAGTCTCAGTCAACCGGCCCCGGCTTTGCCCCAGATTATGACTGGATACCCGCCCGGATTCCAGCCGCTTCAGGCCCCGGTCTCTTTCGTACCTATGGCATTAGGAACTCATCTTCCTCCGGGGTTCTCTTTCCCTCAAGGTGCCACGGCGCCGCTTGAACCCGGCAATGGCCTGAAAGACATGCACAACACAAAAATGGCGGACGACGACAAGCAAGGCAAGGCCAAGTCTTCACTGCCCGAGCCATTCTACTACAACGGCCAGATCATATACCCTGTTGGGGCATTCCCAGCCTCCATGGGCAATCCGATGGTCCCTGTCCACGTGGTTGGCATCCCACACGGCGTTTCTCCCCAGGTTCCCGGGCAGTACATGCAACCACAGCTAGCCCAACCCAGCGCGGCCGCCACAGGGTCGTCTTATGCTCCCTCCAACCAAAGTCTCTCCGGAATTCCACCCGTTGCCCACCACATTGTCCCAGCTAATGCCAACTTCAATGCGGCCGCGGCGCCGCCGATCTCGTCAATCAGACCCAGCGACATCACCAAGAAACAGATTGCTTCATTCAAGCAAAACCTCAAGTACCATGAGGACCAGCTGCAGTACAATCGGCACCAGATTGACGAAAAGGACATGGAGCAGAAGATTCAGATCATCAAAGGTCACATCCATAAATTTGAGACGACCCTGAGGACCCAACTTGAGTACGAGGACGCGCATTTCAAGACAACTCAGGGGAAGGAGGATAAGAAACTGTCCCAATCCTCGACTGTTGCCGAGGAAACGAGACCCTCATCGCAGTCGCCTGGACAGCCTGGACAGCCTGCGCCGCTTGGATACGGAGCCCCGGTCACCAGAAAGGAGATGGACGAAGCAATTAATCGGCGGCTTGCTCTTGCCACCTATGGCCTCAACACTAACATCGGCGAAGGTGCCAAGGCCATGTTTAGGAGTCCCATGGAATCGGCATTTCAGGGGATGAACGGCTTTCCCAACGCCGCAGGTCTTCCAAGCGATGCAGCCCTAGCTCCCGTCTTCCAGCCCCGTGGCTATGCCTCTACCTGGACAGGTAGTCAGTATGCCAGAGAGATGAAGGTTTATGAAGAGGCAGAGAAGAGGCTCCACGCAGCAGAATCCAAGAGCTTGGAGCACCTCCGTGTTGGCGAGCAGCGGTCGGTGTCCCAGCCCTTCGCCGCACACATGGCCCTCGCCGTGCAAGCTGAGAACAACGCCCATGTTTCTGATGAGTCGGGCCGCTCCATCAGGAACGGCACCAAGCCGGCATTCAATCTTGGAGTGCCGTACTTGCTTGGCACGCTTCCCAAGGGCGTCAATCCCCGTACCGCTAGAGACCAGGACTACTGCTACAAACGCCCGCTGACGGAAGAGGAGCGTCGTGCCCGGTTTTTGTATTGGGGGAAGGCGCCCAAGTCTGCCGTCAAGGGTTTGCCCAAGTATGACGGGAAGCACTTCTACCCACCGTCCCCCGTCAAGGAGCGTTCCGTTGAACCTTCCCAGGAGTCTGACTACCGCGGGACGGACTCAGATTGCGACCCATTTCGCCCCATGACGCCGATGCAGCGGGCCGACACCAAAGGGGTGTCGGCTAGTGAGGATAACTGCACTGCAAGTCGCCTTACCAGGACTATCTCCTTTGAAACTCAGGTCAATGGCGGTTCCGAGGACTTCATTGCAGGCGGAGGACCCCTCAAGTTTGAGGACAGTGCGGGTCACAACTCAGTTGGGCCGGCCGATCGGCGCCTGGAGAACACAGGGTATGATCCTACGCCTACGGATGCCATGCAGGATACTGACGATGCTTCGCAGCGCGAAACTTTGGCAGACGATGCTGAAGAAGGGACCGACCAGCAGCGCCTTGTCTTCGACCACAGCTCAAGGCCTTTTGCCGCACTACACAGGCAATGCTGCAGCATCTTTGACTCCTTCGCTTGCCACGAATCAGCAGCCGTCTGCCAGGGCTGTGTCTACGGGCAAGCTCCCCGACATTCACGACCTGAACGAGAATGGAGGCGTCGTCCTCTCCAATGTCCCAGAGAAGCGTGGTGAGAACTGCCCACCGGGTGGGGTGAGCTCCCTCGAGGACCAGTTCAAACACCTGGCCGTTGATGTTGCCGCCCGACGTGATTTAACTACTGCTTTCGGAATGTGAGGTGCTAGACGGTATTGATGAGTTGTTGGCAGGTGTCGGCATCATGACACAATTACTGGCGGGCAAGGATGTATAGTGTTAGGGTCTTTCTCACATCGATATGTTGTTACATTCAGGCGCTCCGCCGGCTTAATGATAGATGATGGCTGTTGAAGGGATCTGACGAGGTCCGGGAACATGTTATACCGAGGGCAGCTTACTACTAGATGATGTAGAATAGGGCTTTCATAAAACAGAAGAAGTATACGGGTTAGATGCAGTACCATTGTGCTTTGAGGTGGCTGTGATCTCTTGTTTACCTCGCGGCAATGTCCCAAGCTCTTACGATTAAATGCTTATCCATGCCTAGCAGGCTGTTCGGGATCAAGCTAAATATCACAGAACTCGATGTCATTTGCAACACGCTTTTGCCTCGTCGGAGCTCCGCGAGATTCCGAGAGAACTTGGGATAGCAACTGTCAGCCGTCGCCCCCGGTCAAGGTCACTTAGCACGAAGACACGCAAATTGCTTCTGAAAGGTGGTATAAAGATGACCGCTCCCATTGAAGAAAATCGGCTAGATGGCAAACCCATTGCCGAAACCCAATAACGCCGTCCATGCACATGCATGGGAAAACCTAACAGAACTCCAGGCACTGACTACTAGAACAGTACAACTTTGAACGCCTTTCCGCTTTTCCCCGCTCCACAAAACAAGGCAACACCACATGTCACATCCCAACCCTCATCTTCCAAACCCGTAAGTACACCCTCCCACCAAATGTCAACATCGAAACGCATGTCATGTCATGCCATGCCATGCCATGCCACGCCACGCGGTATACACTCACCCACCCACCACTCACCCACGCACCCAAGCGGAGCAAGAAGGCCCCCAACCCCCCCAAAAAAAGGAAAAGAAAAAGGAAAGACAAAAAATCAATCCCGATCCAACCACCGATCCCAAACCTTCCCCCCACCCTTTTTCTTCCCACCAGCCCCCTTCTTCCCACCCTCCCCCCCGTCCCCCCCAGCCTCTGGGCGGTGCGACTTCTCGGCCCCGACCCCGCCGGCGTAGCGGGCCTCCTCGTCCTCCCACTTGGCGCGCTCGACCGACTTGCGGGCGAGGTAGGCGCGGGCGAAGCGCCAGGCCTCGGTGTCGGCGAGGTTCCAGGCCTCGACGGCGTTGCGGAGGGCGAGGTCCTCGGCGCTGGCCTTGGCCTTGAGGGTGAGGCGGGAGGAGCTGGAGAGCACGACGGCCTGGGCGCGCGTGAAGAGCGCGGGCTCGAGGGCCAGCTCGTCGGCCGTGGGGACGGGGCCGTCTTTGGGGGTGTGCAGTGGGACGACGGTGCTGGGGGGGTCATTGGTGGTGTCGCTGGCGGTGTCGGTGGAGTCGGGAGTGGAGTCCGGAGTGGATTGGTCCGCGGCGTAGGTGGCTCGGTCGGGGAGGGCGAAGCCAAAATGCCAGTCGAGGTCGTCGGGGAGGGTCTGCTCGGCGGGGAGCCAGAGGGAGCGGTAGGCGCCGCCTTTGGTTCCTCTTACCGTTCCTTTGGTTTCGGTGGTGTCGTCCTCGTCTGAGGCGACGGCTTCTTTGAAGCTGATGAGTCGCGGGGTGGTGGAAACGGAATCGGTGAACAGGGACGAGGTCAAGGAGGTTACCCAGGCGTCGCGTGGCGAGTCGCGGCGGATCCAGGGGATGGAGAGTTGGGTCTTGAGGTAGTTGAGGGTGGATGAGGTGTAGGGGTGCGGGACGGTGCCGATGGTGTAGAGCGTGTCGACGCCCGAGTAGGAAGACGGAGTACCAATCTTCATCGGCTTGGAGTCGTCACAGGGGCGGCATTTGGGGCGGTTGGGTGGGCAGGTGTTGGGGAGTGGGCTTTCCGGGCAGTGAGCTAGTCGCTGAGCCAGCTCGTAGGCGGGGGTGATGAGGTGGGTGGTATGGTGCGGCAGTGGCTTGACCACGGCGATCCCGCTGGTGAAAATGTTTTGCCAGGTGAGGTGTAGGTGAGCGCTGATGAGCTGTGTAAGGCTTTTTAGCCCCGCCGCGTGGGATGCCGCGATGTCGTCGCCGAGCTCGGGGTACAGAGTCTCGACCTGGTGCGCCGAGTAATAAGCCAGGGCTTTGGGTGCGTTATCGACGGAAAATGGGTTCTCTTTCTCGCCTGACTCCAAGAGCGCCACGATACCCTCGGCCTGCTTACTTTCCGGGCTATTCATAACGGTCTTGATAACGTCGGTCACGTCAGTCATGGACCCAACGAATAAGCCGTCATCTAGATCCTTGAACCGTGTCAACTTGGGGAATTCGCCGCGGCGGAGGTAGGCAAACAAGGGGTCGTCGTGTGGCCCCATGGGGAAGACCAGGTGGTGGGCAAGCACGCCGTCGCCCATGTTCTCCCAGGCCAGCCAGCGCATCAGGTCCTCTTTGAGCTTCGGCGTCATGCCATCCAGCTTCTGTAGCTCCTCGTATAGCGGGTTATTCATGGCCTCGGCGGGACTGAGAATGACGGGCTTAAACCCCTGAGCCCACCAGGCACGGCGCCAGGTCAGCAGCAGGGCGCTCTCAGCGTCGCTGCTCGAGCGGTCTTTCTCGACCGTGTTGTCGTAGTAGCAGTAGATCGGTGTGCGGTCCTTGAGCATGGGGAGCAGGGCGCGGTTCTCGTCGAGGGTGATAGAGCTGCTGAAGGGCATCAACAGCCAGTTCCAGTCGGCGTGCCATACCGAGTCGCCGTCTGTGTCGGTCTTCTGGACGCGGGGCGGGCGCGTGGGTTGCTTGAACGGGTTGAGCTTGTTCATCCAGGGGCTCTTGAACGATTTCGGGATGGAGAACCTATTGCCGGCGGCTCGCAGCTTCGGGCTCGCTTGGATGGAGCCGGGGAGGGTAAAGAGTAGACTGAATACGGCAAAGATAGCGAAGAAGACGAGGAGCAGCGAGATGCGGCGGGTCCCGAACCGAGGCAGCGGCCGGCCGCAGAGGACGTACTGCTTCGGCATGGCGTAGGAGTTCGATCGAGGGTTTAATGGGATACGGATTGTATCGGGTATCGTACTCGAGTCAAAAAGACGAAACTAGGAGGAGCGTCGAGTGGCAAGACATCGAGGTCGAGGAAGGAACGGACAATGCGGGACGGAACGAGCGAAAGGCTGATGAAGCAGTCGGATGAAGGTAGCTAAGTACCTGTAATTAAATCATTCTAGCTAGAATCAGAGAAACTTGACTACCGTTTGGGGGCCGGCTGTCTCGTTTGTTTCTGACCAAGAAGGCCAGGATAAGTCGAAGGGGGAAGAAGGAATTGGGGAGTTTGCTTGGGACAAAGTGTCCCGCGTCCTAATCGAGAAAAGAGAGACGCGCCATTGTTAAGTGCCCCACCAATAGTTATTCAGGAATTATCTCAATTCGGGGTTAGGGGTGAGATGGCACGAGACGCCAACCAAGACAGGAACAAGAGATAATGGGCAGCGGCGAAAAGTTTGTTTGTTAACTATGTACGATATGTAAGGTAAGGCAAGGCGCAAAAATAAGAATTGTATGTTTTAGTAGATCAGTTCTACATGGGTATCTAACTACGTTTTACAGTCCTCAACTCCTCGCCAAACAGGAGCTTGGCTCAGCTCTTCCTCGCCGACTCGACAATCCTCACTTTGAGTCGCACCACCTCCTCATCGCGCCGCTGTAACGTGGCCGCCATCTCCGTGTACATCCTCTTCCAATTCTCCGCTTGTGAACCGCCGGCCCCGGTGGGAGTCGCCGACCCTGACAAGGGCGCCGCCCCGTCGTCCTTTTTCGGCTTCTTCCACTTCTCGTGCAGAACTGTCTCCTCCATGTTCCAGTCCCCCACAATGCCTCCATACTGCAGCTGCCAGATGACCGAATACCGCGTCCGGTCGGCGAGTTCCTCGACGCGAGTGACGCGCAAGCTGCCCTTGCGCATCAAGGCCTGGCCGCCCGCCAGTCCGGACAGGTTGATCAGGAAGGTTTCGTGTGTGGGCGCCGCGTTGCGCAGTGTCTCGACGACCGTTTGCGAGAAAGCCAACGCTTCTTCGACGCTGCAGGGAGCGATCGGCTGTTGATTGGCGTCGTACCAGTTGGCATCTAACAAACTGGACACGAACAAGGCATCGACCTCGGCCACGTTGGTGCGGTCTGTCGGGTCCTGTGTAAAGGCGTTTAGTCCTCCTGAGATAGCGGCTTCCAGTGGTAGAGAACCATTTGCATTAACCCCTGGTATCTGAGCATGCATGGGTCCAACTTGGTCGACACCGAGCGCTCCGGGCATCGGCTGGCCGTGGGGTTCGGCTGTTTGCCCGTTTATCATTACAACCGGCGCCGTTGCCGGCTCTGGAAGCGGAGGCGTCGCCAGCCGAACCTCTCCTCCCTTTCTTTCGGGGACCTGCAGCGACAACATTCTCCGCTTGGCTGGCCGAGCGGGCGCTGACTCCTGAATTGGGGAGAAGTGGTTGAGCGTCTGTGTAGGCTGGGGTGCGGGATCCTGAGGAGGGGGTGGCGCGAGCGGCGCGGGAGGAGCCGCATTGCCAATGGGGACGGGGGTCGCCGTCCCTGCAATGGGGTTGCTTGTAGGAGCGGCGGTAGAGCTGTTGGGTAGATTGTTCTTGCCAGGGGTGGGGGATGGGAATCTGAAAACAGGCCCGTCCGATGTTGGAAATGCGGAAAACGGCCCTTCGGCGTTGGCTCCGCGGTTGATAGGCGGTCTGCCTCTTGTCTTGCCAGTTGCGCCGATGCCACCGCTTCGCCAAGCAGATGAGACCACCTTGGCGCCATGTCGTCTGCTCGCGGATCTGGGTTTTGAGGGAGTCAGGGCCGACCTTGGCTCGTCCGCCCAGAACGCATTCCTGGTAGAGGGCGTGATCGCAGACTGCGGTATTGGATATGCTGTCATCGGCGTCTGCACAATTTCGTTTGTCCAGGAAGGCGCGGATGGGTTTAACCTCGATGGGTCGGGGACCGGGGGAAACAGGAAGACGCTCCCTCTCCCATCCGGTTGCGCCGTCCACGGCTCTGCCGTGTTGGCCGGCCCGCCGGTCCCGTCCTCCTCTGCCTGCGGCGATGGACGCTGGGAAGGCGACTTGCCGGTTTCGTCATCCTCGGGTTTCCTTTTACCCCTTCGGGGCTTGATCTGGGGTAAGAGTGCCCGCAAGGCCATGTCGTCCTCTGCCGCGACGCCATCCCGCTCCAACTCAGCGACTGGGACGTGCTCGGGCGGTATTTCCGTCCAGTACGGAGACTGGCGGCCAATTAGATACTCAAAAAAAGCATCGACATGCATAGAATGCATCCACCTCTTGGTTTGATGTCAGCAAAACATGACCCAGCACGCGGAATGGGATAGATAGATAGATGCATACCTTGAGGCGAACAGCATACTGCTGGATTTTTTGTGAGCTCTGGCCCTTTTCCTGATCCGGCGGCTCGACGCCCAGCTTCAAGGCCAGCTCGGCCCATGTCTTGAGCTCTTTGGTCTCGAGTTTCTTGATCAGCTCAAACAGGGTGTAGGTGCTAAAGCTCTTGCCTCCACTCTTGGGTGGAGTGCGGAAGGCCTCACGCAAGGCTGTCGAGTCCGTATCGATGGGGACGCCAGGGTTACAGTAAAGGACGAAGGCGGCATAGGCATCCTCTATCGAGGTGCTGCTCACGCTCCTGTCCGGTAGCGCCCTTTGTGCTGATGATGGCTGGGTGGGAGGTTGAATAGGGATTGGCGAGGCCGTGAACACGGGTTGAGGTGGGTGCTGCATCGTGGCCATGGAATCTCAGTCGTCCGAACTGCACCGGTGCTGAGAGAAGGAATCGACAGTCGATGGACCGAGCGGCATGCCCATTGCCAGCCAGTCAATTGCCTTGCTTCTTCCACCTTTTCGCCTTCCGCCTTCCTCCTTCCACTACGCCGGCGGTACCGTTCGGGCGGAGAAATGGAGATGGTGTGTTCCCAAAGGTAGGAAGGAAGCGATGTTGAATTTAGGGCATCGGATGAGATGAATTGACGAGTTCAGACGAGAAGGCAGAAAGTTCAAAATCGCCAATTCCAGAAATGTCTCGCGGAAATCTGGAGATCAAGGCCACTTATCTCGCTTCTTCACCAATAACCTCGACAATCGCGTCTGATGATGGACCAGGCTGGATCGGTGAGATGGAGCGGGCGAGACTTCAGCCATGCTGTCCATGCTTTTTCCTGGACCTGAGCACGCTCATCGTCTGGGCCGCGTCCAGGCATCTGCAGCGTGGTCTGGGGGTTGGGGAAGCTGGCCAAAAATAGACTGCCAAGCATCGGGGGGAGACTGTGCTGGAAACTGTGGTATGCACTGTAACTTGCCCCGCGACGGTCACATGCGGTCCCGTCTCGGCCAGTTGGAACCGTTTCAAATTTCCCCAGCTGCTCTGCCCTTTGCCCGCCAGTCTCAGCCAGTGCCCGCCAACCGGTACCGAATTCCATCGAGGACAGCCTCGAGGCACTCGAGGAAGCACCCGATTCCCACTTACGGCTTTGGTAAAATATCTCGAGAAACCTGCGTTTCGACTGACTTGACCGGTTAAGAAAGGGCACAAATACATCTCGAGACAAAATACACTGCCAGGTATGTTAGGACGTACCTCGTACACATCTCAATCTGTTACGCACAGGGTGCACTTCCATCCTGCTGAGCTACGTGGGACGAGAAGAATGTTGAAGCTTTCGATGCTCGCTAGACTTCGAAATCAAATGCGCATTGCTTCCGCACTTTGAATGCACCTAGATCCCTGACTACACGTGTATTATCTTGGCCGGTTGCGACAGTCGGGCATCTCGCAATCTTCGAAACGCTTTCACATGATTCCAACTGCCGCAACAACCCGCCCGGCGTGCGGCAGTGAGCGAGTGACGTCGCCGGCCCGCCGGGGCCATACCCTGCCATTTCCTGGGGGTCCCGCAGTGATCGGACCTCGGCAGCGGCACTATCATCGCAAGAGCAACTGCACCGAGATCCAGGAGAAGCGCAAATGAACGGAATGGAGCGAGCATATACCCTAGGCATTGCATCTCCATAGCTTGATGTCGGAACCTCTTCTATACATATACATAATTGTTCATTCCAGCTGTTGCTAGTGGCGGAATTCCTTAGCCATTCTGATTCAACCTTCCCCAGACTCTTTGACCTCGGCGCATTCGAACCCCGCCGGCGCCGTCATTGAATAGCGCCCGCCTGTCACTCCATTCAACCTGAACTGCTTTCAGTTCACATACACACCAGAATCGCCCAGAATGTCCCACTCCAAGCCTGTGCTCCCGCAAAACGACAATGTCGCCCACGCCCTCGCCGGTGCAGGCGGCGGCGTCCTGTCCATGGCCCTGACGTGTGTTATTGCTTTCCTTCTCCCGCTGTGCTCTTCAGCTCCCATCGCCTCCCCTTGGCTAACACGCGGTGCTCCAGCTACCCGCTCATAACCCTCTCGACCCGCGCCCAAGTCGAATCCAAGCGCGCCGAGACGGCCTTCCTCGCCGCAGTCCAGAACATCATCGCGCGCGAGGGCGTGGCGGGCCTCTACTCGGGTCTGTCGTCGGCCCTCTTCGGCATCAGCGTGACCAATTTCGTGTACTACTACTGGTACGAATGGACGCGCGCCTTCTTCGAGTCGGCCGCTGTCAAGGCGGGGCGAGCCTCCAAGAAGCTGACCACCGTCGAGAGCATGATCGCCGGCGCCATCGCCGGCTCCGCCACCGTCATCCTCACCAACCCGATCTGGGTCGTCAACACGCGCATGACGGCCCGCAAGCACACGACCGAGGCCGAGGAGGGGGACAAGGACTCCCTGCCCGGCGGCGCGCCGCCCAAGCGGGAGAAGAAGCCGAGCACCATCGGCACCCTGCTCAGCCTGCTGCGCACCGAGGGCCCGCAGGCGCTGTTCGCGGGCGTCGTACCCGCGCTGGTGCTGGTCATCAACCCGATCCTGCAGTACACCCTGTTTGAGCAGATGAAGAACACGGTCGAGAAGAAGCGCCGCGTCACCCCTACCGTGGCCTTCTTCCTCGGCGCCGTCGGCAAGCTGTTCGCCACCAGCGTGACCTACCCGTACATCACCGTCAAGAGCCAGATGCACGTCGCAGCCGCGGGCGAGAGGAAGGAGGGCGTCATGGAGGCCATCAACCGCGTCATCAAGGAGGAGGGGTATGCTGGACTGTACAAGGGTATGTCTCCCGCGCTGGTTACCGTCTAGGTTTTGGGTTATTCACTGACATGCTGCCCTAGGTATTGCCCCCAAGGTCACGCAGAGCGTGCTTACGGCCGCTTTCCTCTTCGCCTTCAAGGACGTGCTCTACGAGCACTCGGTCCGACTTCGGGGTTCTATGGCCAAGAAGGCCCTCGCTGCTTAAACCAACGCAGCGGATATGGATAGACCGCGGGTGATGAGATACTCACCCCCATCCAGGACACCCGAAAGCCGATCAGGGTTATAGGAGAAAGGCATGCAGCTATAGCACCCAGTCATCGCTATATTGGGGTCAAACGTAACGCGCCGATAAAATCTCGACACGGGGTAGGGAGAGAAGGAACCGAGGGGGAGAGTTGACGGGGAACCGACGTGCACCGAGGGGACCATGAATAACACAACATTGTATATTAAACGTCAAACTGTGTAAAGTTAACCGGCGGAGGGAGGCGCATAGATTGGTCGGGGGGGCAATATCATTTTCTTTTTCATTCAGAAACAGATCTCATTGTTCTGATACCCTTCCCGCGTACCCCCCTCCTCGACGACACCACCATCCCATTCCTGCCTCAGACCTTCTCCCTCTCCACCACCTTCGGCACAATCCACCACTCATGATACCCCTCCTCGGGTTTCGGCACCAGCACACTCAACCGCTCCTTGACCCCCTTGACCCCCTTCCCACCCTCACCACCCTCACCACCCCCACTCGCACCACCACCGTCCCCAACCTCCTCCACCACCCGCCTCACCACCGCCACCGCCAACCCCACCGCAATCGCCGCCCGATTCCACTCCCTCACCCCGCCCCTCCAGCGCTCAAAACAGCCCACCGCAAACGCCTCGTCCGCGCCCAACCTTGCCAAGCCCTCCAGCGCGGCCCGCACCCGCCCCGCCGCGCGCCCCGCGCCCTCCAGCAGCTGCAGCGCCGTCGGCACGTCCGGCCTGTCGACGGCGCGCGCGAACTCCTCGAAGGAAGGGAGGGTGGGCAGGCCGATGGGCGCGAAGGGCTTCATGCGCACCTCGTAGCGCAGCGCGTCGGTGGAGTAAGGGCGGGGCGGGGGGGTTATGAGGTCGAGGCGGCGGAGCGCGGTGTAGAGTTGGCTGAGGGCGTCGGCGAGGTCGGAGGTGGCGGCGGCTTCGCGGGTGGCGAGGTGGAGGTAGGACTTGGAGCGGGTGAGTTGTGGGGAGGGGGCCGGGGGGCGGGTTTTGCTGCTGCTGGCGGCGCCTGGGGGTTCGAGGCGCTGGGCGGTGAAGAAGTTGATGCGTTCGAGGTGCAGGACCCGCGTGTGGGAGAGGTGGCTGAGGTACCAGTACATGCCGGCGAGTTCGTCCGGTTGGTAGATCTCGAGCTCGAAGCCGAGCTGGACGGTCCATTCCATGAGGCGGAGCTTGTAGTGGTACGCCCAGGAGGAGAGGGGGAGGGAGTGGCTGGGCACGCCGCCCAGGGGTGGGTAGGTGACGGGCTTTTCTTCGGTTTGCAGCTGGAGTAGCTGGTCGATCTCTTCGGCGTCGACCTGGACCATCTCCCAGTCCTGGAGGGAGTGGAAGAGGGTCCGGCGGACGCGGCAGCGGTTTTGGCAGAAGGCGCGGAAGATGTCCAGGTAGGACTGGGCTGCTCGTTGGCGGAAGAGCTCCATCTGGTGGGCTATCGCGTAGCGCGGGTGATGGGGTGCTTCGACCGAGTCGTTGTCCCGGTCGAGGAGGAGGCTGCTTGGCAGAACGACGATGGACAGGTCGTCGTCAAGTACTTGGCGGATGCTGAGGTGGCCGAGAATGATCATGTCGTGGAAGAGGAAGTTCTGGAGGATCGCCCGGATATACACCAGCGGCTGGGGCTTTTGAGCCTGGAATGTCAAGACGAAGTTCTGTTACAGCGTTAGGGCTGACTAGCTTCGTATCACCAGATGAGAGTTTGAAACCCACCAAGAGACTTTGTGAGTCGGAGTAGTGAAGAACGTTGAGCACGTTGATGCCGTCCGCTATCAGCTTTTTGAAGTGCTCGTGCGTCTCCTCCGCGCTCGGCTGCACGATGGGGCGTGGGGGCATGGTACTGGCGAGCCTGCGTTGTATCTTTGTGCTGAATGCCTCCGGGACGGGTTTCCCGAGGTGGCGAGTCTTGTTGACAACCTCCCATACCCCCTGCATCTGTGACCATGGCAGGCTCAGCGACTCTGGGTCACTGCGCAGCTCGGATAGCTCGATTGCCCGCAAGAAAGCCGACCTTAGCTCAAGACGGAAGCCTAGCGCATGCGCTAGCTCATCTGTTAGTGTATGGCTGACGTCGTGAATAATCTTCCGAGCCACCATGATCTCATCCCGAATCTCATATCGGTCGATAGTCTCTAGCAGCGAACGATTGTATGGATTTGTCACGAAATCCTCCTCCTTTTCGGGGACCTGTCAGTATTGCTTGCTATTCGGGACGTCATCTGGGAGCTATTCACCTCATAAGAGTGTTCGAACTTAATACGCTCGTTAACATAGTAGCATGACTTTAGCAAGCCGAGACAGTAGGCTCTGAGAACGGCATGCATGGGATCTCGCGGAGAATCAGCGGTGCGGTCTCTGATGAAGTCGGCGCCCTCAAGTGTTTTAGGGGCCGGGTGTAGCATCTTTTCAACGTAGACGCTTGTAAAGAGCGTCTGGGAAAGCGGATAACCGAGATGCCATGCCATCTGTCACACCTTGTTAGAATTACCCTTGCTCGACCTTGCGAACACATGGCAGGAGAGACGACGGACCTCTAGTGATAGCAGCTGGTCGATAATTCCCACCACCTCGGCTGGCAGAAGTGGCCGTGTCACGTCATAGTCGTCATCAAGGGACTCGCCAGGGGCTAGACAGCCGCTGTCCATCTTGGGATCCATGATCTGAGGGCAAGTCAGTGAGAAGCCTAGACAATAGAGTCGGGGAAGACGAACCTCGAGAGCCCCGACGGACTCGAAAAGAGTAAAAAAGTCATCTTTAACGAGCTCACCGGGCTTCAAGGCTATGAACCATTAGACGTGGTGACGTGGTGGTGAGCAAAAGTCGACTTCAAGAACGAGTTGTGGTCCTTGGCTGAACTTACCGGTAGTGGCGGATAGGAATTTCTGGGTAATATCCGTAGTCACAACGCCCTCACTCGTTATCATGGGCGGCGGCGGAGGTTCTTCGAAGGCATCGAAGTGCGGTCCGGGGTTGGGGTTGCTGATGCCGAAATCCATGAGCTCTGAAGCATTTCATTAGTTAGCGGGCTTTCTTCGCAGGTCGGGTTTGAGCCCCCGCCAAAATGGAATACCTCACATACCCCGAGACAAGGTCGCTTCGGCGTCATGAAGCGGATTCATCGTTGGGTTGGATGAGGTGATTTTTATTTCTTGGTTTTATTTGCGAGTTGTTTGGTGCAGCCCGGCAGCGGAGCAAACCTGGAACGTCCGATGTGTCGTTGCCTTACTGAGCTCTAATGACCAAGCGCCGGCAAAGAGCTCGAACCTGGAGTGGATAAGCCGGGTCGTTGATGTTTCTCTCCAACACGGGGGGTCGCATTGCAACCTACTGTAGCGCATGGATTAAGTTTTGTAAGTTTTGAATATTGGCAGATTCTGGGTTATATTTTAAGACGAAGCTGCATTAAAGAAGTCAAGCAAGGCTGGGGCGGGACACTCCTCGGTACGATGCTCCAAGCAATTTTCAGTTTGGCAGCAGGCCGGGCCTTGTCAAAGTCCTCTATTGAGTCAACCCCCCAATATGATACAGTCCCAACGCTCGCAGACGCCAGAAACGAGATTCTGTTGTGCTTGTCCGCCTCACTTTTACACTCCGTTTCTGCCCATCCTCCTCTGCCCCCCCCTCAACCCATCATCATCTCGTAGCTTAGGCGGTGCCACCGGTCGCAGCGCTCTCGACGGATGCCTGGGCGTTGGCCTCGGCCAGGTTCTTGAGCTCACCCTGCTTGCCGTTCTATGTCCAGAAATCAGCCCGGGGTGTTCCATTCGTCTGCCGTCCCCATTTCCACCAGGGTCGATTTCCACTCACCGTCCACTTCGCGAATCTCAGCTCCTGCTGGCCCCGGCGCTCGGCCACAAGTCTCTTCTCCTCCTTCAGGCTGCGGCGCACGACGCGCGCGGCGACCGCGAGGTAGCGGTTGTAGCTGTGGGATTCGAAGAAGGGCTGCGTTAGTTCTCGTTTCGCTATCGCTCGTGCGTCTTCCAATTGTTCCTCCGCTTCTTCGTAATATCGTAAAACCCGTCGAGAGGAGGTAAGAGGAGCAATTGACTCACGTAAGGCCAGCGGCTTTCCACGCGAACGTCATTTTGGCGGTTTGGCAGGACGATGATGGTTGCTGTATCTGCTTGAATATGGACCCGTTCCTGGCGAGAAAAGGCTCGCCCAGCCGAGAAGCTCCGCGCAGCTCCGCGTCACGTGACTTGACAGCACGACCAATATCAGCTTCCCGCTCTCTCCCGAAGCCCAGTGTGGGAAGGTGACCGGCATTTATGTAGAACAAGGGGTGGGGTGCTACGGTGGATGTACACAGTAATTATTTCACTTGGTATTTAACGGCAATTCAGGGGCTTGGTGATAAGCAGGCAAAATGCTTTCCATGATGCAGTTCCACAACCACTACCCATGCTTCAGACATACCAACAACCCCTTCCCCCTTTTAAGCTCCTCGCTTGGTCACGAACATAGGAAAGTGAGTTAGGTCTAGAATCACTATATGCACAATGTGGTGGGCGAGCCGCGAGTCTATGACGGCGGAGGACTGTTGGTACATTTTCCTCTTTCCCATTCCCCCGTTCCCCCATTCCCCTTTCTACAACTCCCCGTTTATACCTTGAGTCCAAGCTCCTCGGCGAACGGCAATACGTGCAGGTCACCAACCGACGCCACTGATGCCTTGCCCTCTAATAGTGTCTTGGCCGCCTGTTGAATTTTGTCAGTCGTTATTCGTTCCACTGTTTGTAAATGGCCACCTACAGCCTTGAGCTTGTCCGCGTTCACGCCCTCCAGAGCCTTGATCGTCTCGGCGATCTGTAGCGGCTGGCCGCCGTGGATCAGGTTGGCACCAGCGTGCACGAGGCCAGTGCCGCTGACCTCGGTACCCGAGAGCAGGTTGAACTTGGCCTTGGCAATGGCCTTGACTAGGTTCTCCTGCGACACGCCGCCCTCAACGACGCTCCTGAGCGCCTTGACCGACTCCTCGGCGGCCTTGCGGACCGCAGTGGCCGAGCCGTTGATCTGGATGGTCAGAAGGCCGGCATCAGAGTAAGCGAAGTTGGTGGCGTTGGCAGTTGCGCCGGGGGCGGCAGTAACGGCGTTGGACAGAAGTGAGAAGCCGGGCGACCACTTGATGGTGGACTCGCCGCCGAGCAGACCGACGAGGACGGCCGTCTCGGGCTGGTTGGCGCCAAGGGCAGCGCCGGGGAAGGCAAGGACCATCGAGTTGCCGCTGGTCTTGGCGATACGCTGCTCACCACCGTAGTACTTGGAGGCAGCAGCGGGCAGAGCGGACGAGGGCTGGGCGGGGACGGCCTTGAAGAAGGGTTCGATCCACTTCGAGAGACCGGTGTCGCTGGCGCCGTCGGCCACCACGGCGATGGTGCCCTTGGTCAAGGTAGCGTCGGCAAAGGCAGCGACGGAGTTCTCGTCTAGGTAGGAGGCGATGGGCGTGCTGGGGGTCGGGTAGAGCGGGGCGCCGAGCCCGTTGTGGAAGGCAACCGAGTGCGCGGCATCGAGGGCGATGGCGGGGGCGTCCAGCTTGGCCTGCTTCTGGTGGATGACGTTGACGACCTCCTCGTGGTACTCATGGGCTAATCATAACGATGAGCACGGCCTATCCTCCACAAACCCCAGACACACACAAAGGAGAGCTTTTTAACGCACTGGTATACCGCGTCTGCGACAGCACCTCGGCAAGGAGCTCGGTGAAGTAGGGGAGGTCCTCGCGGAGGAAGTTGGCCTGGAGGACGAGGGCTTCCCGGGTGTGGTACGCGTTCAATTGACCGCCGAGGAGCTCGGTCTCACGGTTGATGCGGAGAGCGGAGCGTTTTTGGGTGTTCTGAAGACGAAAAGCAAATTAGCTCATCCGTTGTCGATGCGCCGCAACGGGACCTCCTCCGCCAACACCCGAATAACAACATAATAGCCGGAGAAGACCTGCCTTGAAGGCGAACGCCTCCAAACCGACCGTCAGGCCTGGGAGGGGCTCGTAGCGGGTGCCGGCTTTGGCGACGATGGCGAGGCGGGTGGTCGGGCCATTATCGTCTCGGGAGGCGACCTTGACGCCGGCGATGGTCGTCGGTTCGTATGATGCCTTAGGCGATGCAACAGCCGCATATCCGCGCTGCGCAAGCTTCGCAGCTCCCTGGCGACGGAGAGCCAGCTGGCTGCCCCTCGACAGAGCCGGTCTGCAGATCATGGTTGGGAGGGGCCGTTTGTCGTCAATTGACACTTCTGTAGGTGGCAGCACACTGCGTGAGGGAGCTCTTCCTCGCTTCGACCTTAGCACTGGTTCCGAAAATTCCCTGGGGGGTTCCCGGTATGGCGGAAAAATTGGCTCTGCCGAGACCGTGCTTCCGGCTCCAAGGCTCGCTCAGTGGCTCAGTGACTCGAACGCACCGGGGCAGGTGTCAGCACTGAACGGCGAGTGGCGATTGGTCCGCTCCCCTTTTGGAGCTGCCCCGCGCCGACCGCCCAAATTTGCCTTTCCGATTGTGACTCTCCGGCCGCCTGCGACTCAAAAATTATCGCCCGTTCTCCAGTCCCCCACCAGAGAATCATTTCCTTCCGGCGCTGCACCGTGCATCACCGTCGGTATTTTTCAATGAGTCTTCGGTAGCAATTGTGACGGCTCTAGAGATAGTGAGAGAATCTCTAGACGCTAAATTCCATCAAACGCATCGCCTTTCCAGCACCGTCATCATGTTGGTGGTAAGTCGCATTATCCCCTTGCACTGCTGTCGCATGCTTCCTTTTGGCTGCCGCGCACGACCGGCCATTCGATCGTGACTCGACGGGGCTAATGTGATACCCAGACAAAACCAGCCGCAGAACTATGCGCTTTGCTAATTGACGAACTCCATGGCGAACTTCCTTCCGTATGTATTCTGCTGCCCCCGCGATGAGGCTGCACGCCTTGCATTGTTGCTGGCGCTCCCCGGCACTAACCGAACCACAGCGGATCTTCGCGATCCTCCTCAGCAAAGGCCGTTCGACCGTCCCCCAGCTCGCCCAGTACACATCAATGACCCCGCGGCAGGTGCGCCATGGTCTCGCTGTTCTTCAGCAGCACAACCTGTTGTTTTACCATACCGATCCCGGCGCCGAATTTGCCTCCTACGAGGCCAACCCCGACAATGCCTACAACCTAGTCCGCACGGGCAAAATCCTCGAGATGATTGATACGTCATTTGGAGCGCCGGCAAAGGATGTCATGCAGAGCCTCCTGCTGTCGGGCCAAACGAGGGTATCGGATTTGGTCGCTGCATACAAAGAGAAGCTTGGGCATGGGAACCAAACAGAGAGTGCCGTTGGGGATGACCCCGATTTTGGGGTCGAGGCGAACGGCGTCAACGGAGATTCAAAGCCCGACAAGAAGGCCGGGCCATTGGTTAAGAGCACCGCCCATTTGAACACCATCATATGTCGGCTGGTGGAAGCCGAATTGATCGATGTGGTTCATGCCAAAACCTTTGAGAGCTCGGAAGATGTTCTGAAGACCGTTGAGAGAGAAGTCATGCACAAGTATTTCCCTACCGGGGTCAAGGGAAACAAAGCCAAGCAGGAGCTGCAGGAGAGGATCGCCGAGGGCCTCCGTAAAGTTCGCGGCGAGTCCAAGTCGCTCAAGCGCAAGCTGGAGCAGAATGGCTCGGCGGCAAAGCGACGGAAGCTTCTTGCCGGGATTGGCATGGCGAATGGCATCCAGGACGAGGATATGGACCCTGCTCTAGACGTGAGTGGGGTTTTCTTTTTCCCCTTGAACTTTAGGATCGTGATGCTAACCCTCATTAGCCAAGACAAGTCATCAGGATAAACTACGAGAAGTGCCTGGTCGATCTGCGCAACCGTCGGCTTGTCCAGTACGCAACCGACATGATTGGAGAGACCACGGCATATGTGTACGGCGTCCTGCTAAAGCTTCTTACCAAGGACCTGCCCCGCTGCCGTGCGGATCCTGTGATGGATGCCGTGGCAGAGAAGGACGAAGAAGACGAAAAGGGCCCGGGGTCTGTGACTACCGAACAGATTCTCGACAGTCTCAAGACATCCGTCGACCTCTCGCTAGGGATAGGAAAAGCAGAGAGACGGCAGGTGTCTTCGACGGCCGCGGAGAAGATCGAGCTATACCCACCAAAGAAGAGGGTATTGATCGAGGAGGCGGAAGTGGATGGCGAGGCTAGCGCGGACGAGGATGAGGGAGATGATGAGTCCAGCGAGGAATCAGACTATGACTCGGATTACAAAGCTCCGACTACAAACGGAACCAACGGTATCAATGGCACCAACGGCACGAACGGTACGAAGGTCAAATTCGACGAGTCGGCAGCGCCCAAGGAGCGCCGGATGGATCGACCAACCCAGTTGCGGCAGCATCTACTTATGCTAGCCGAAAGCACCCAGCATTTCGTGCGACACTGCGGGCCGAACGAGTGGACAGTTGATTTCGTCCCCGTGATGAAATCGCTTCGCGAGGTCGAGCTCGACTCGGTAATTGAGCGCACATGCGGCCGGCAAGGCCTCCGGCTAGTGCGTATCCTCCGCGCCAAAGGAAAGCTCGACGAGAAAGCACTCCCCAACGTGGCACTCATGCGCAAGCCGGAACTACAGCAGAAGATGCTCGAGATGCAGACGGCCGGCTTCGTCTCAGTGCAGGAAGTGCCGCGCGACCTAAAGGCCGACGTCAAGAAGTCCTTCTTCCTCTGGTTCTGCGACGTCGACCGCTCGCTCAGTCGCCTCCTAGACACCGGCTACGTCACTATGGTGCACTGCCTCCAGGTGCTGGAGGCGCTGCGACGGAAGGAACAGGACGTCCTCGAAACGACCAAGCGCACCGATGTCCGGGGCCGTGAGAAGGACACGATGCGCAAGTCATACTATGAGCGGTATTCCAGGTTCCTGGAGTGCGAGCGGAAGCTGTTCGCGCAGGTTATGCGCGTGGATGATCTCGTTTCGGTGCTGCGAGACTTTTAAAGGGGTCGAGATGGGGAGGCATCTCTCCGTCCGTGAATCCGATGGAGGCGATTTCGTCTCTGTCCGATAATTTCTAGGTGCCCGGTTCATGGACACAAGATCATCACATTGCATTGGCGGCGTAGCTGGCTTGAATGGGGAACAAAATGTAGGAATCTTGATTGCATTTGGCAGGCGTTTCATGGAGGGTGCTTAAACCACTTCCTGAGGCAATGTCCCAGGGCTCAACATGTCCTTTCGAGGTGGGAGAGAGAAATGGACCACTTTCCGAGGAAGCCGGTTGTTTTGCTATGTTGTATCATTGTACCGGATAGAAATTGGATGATGAATCTAGCTGTTCATCCCATCAACATCCAGCCCAATGTGTGCTTGTATTCGGTTGTTGGGGTTCATCCATTAACCCCACGCACCCCTGCCAAAACCCCCACCATCCGATAAACGATAGTTAACCGCCAGGGCCCTGTCGCGCGACTCGCGCCGGCCCCCGCTGTCGGAGACAGGGCGAGCGGGCTCTCGAATTTTTTTGCCGGCCCGGGCGGTGACTGACCGAGAATAAGTCGGACGGACTTCCTTGCTCGACTTCACTACCTACCCATCCTTCATTCCACCCCCGTCGGTTCTGCTCGCTGCGTCAATTCGAGAGTCTCGGTTTTCTTTTTCGGAGTTCCGTTCCGTTTCGACCTTTTTCCATACACCATAAAAAAAAACGCACACGATGTCTCCTCCGATGGCTGCCGCGCGGGAGAAGGAGTCTAACCTTGCAAGGTTGTTGGGGTCCGGTATGTGGCATTAGAGGATTTTTGAGTGCTCAATGGACCAGTTGTTGACTTTATGTGTGTCTACAGGTTCTGCCGGTATCGCCGAGCTGGCTATCTTCCATCCCGTGCGTTCTCCTACCGATTGCGACTCCGGAACTCCGATGGCTGCGTCACTTATGGTGGAAGAAACAGAGCATGGGGCTGACGGGGCTGCGGCGGACAGGTCGATACTATTGCGAAGCGCCTCATGAGCAACGAGGGGAAGGTACGCGGGCTCCACTCCCATCCTCGAGGAAGCAACTGCTTCGGGGACCCCAGGAACTGACAAGATTCGCGCTGGGATTAGGTTGGCAGCATGTCGAACCTCAACTCGATCATCTTCAAGGACAAGGCGGGCGCCTCGTTCGGGAGGAAATTCGTCTCGCTGTTCCCCGGCCTCGGGTACGCCGCCGGCTACAAGGTGCTGCAGCGCGTGTACAAGTACGGCGGCCAGCCGGTGGCCCGCGACTACCTCACCACCCACTACGGCAAGGACTTTGAGGGCGCGTTCGGCAAGAAGACGGGCAAGGCGATCATGCACTCGACTGCGGGAAGGTGAGATTCGGTCCTGGGCGGGTGCAAGAGCGGCTTGAAGAAGAGGGGCTGACAAGTGGTGATATTTTTAGTCTCATCGGCATTGGTGAGATCGTTCTCCTGCCGCTCGACGTGCTCAAGATCAAGCGCCAGACCAACCCGGAGGCCTTCCGTGGCCGTGGCGTCCTGGCGATCGTCAGGGATGAGGGGTTCGGCTTGTACAGGGGGTGGGGGTGGACAGCGGCGAGGAACGCCCCTGGATCGTTCGCGGTATGTTTATTTTCACCCGGTCTCTTGACCGGCTCATAATATGCGTACTAACCCGGCACAGCTCTTCGGTGGTTCGGCTTTCGCCAAGGAATTCCTTTTCGGGCTGCAGGACTACAACAAGGCGACGTGGTTCCAGAACTTCATCGCCTCCATCGCGGGTGCGTCGGCCTCGCTGGTCGTATCGGCCCCTCTCGACGTCATCAAGACGCGCATCCAGAACCGCAACTTCGAGAATCCCGAGAGCGGCTTCCGTATCCTGAGCAACATGGCCAAGAACGAGGGCGCGTCGGCTTTCTTCAAGGGCCTGGTCCCCAAGGTTAGTCGTCCCTGTCCGAAAATAAGCCGGGGAAACGAGCACTCTGACATTCGCATCTAGCTCCTCATGACCGGCCCCAAGCTCGTCTTCTCCTTCTGGCTGGCGCAGACATTGATCCCTGCGTTTGACACGGCCTTCAAGAAGTGAACGAGAAGGACGGAGCTCGGGCGGTAGTGATAAAAAAATACGGAGGGGCGAGGGTACGCGAAGGCGGCCCGTGTACAGTATATGCACGATATCAAGCGTATGGTCGGAACGGAATCTTGCTTTTGGCGTTGTGGGAAAACCGACGACGACTCTCAATGCAGCGACGGCCGGCGGGTGGATGGATAGAGCGCTTGTCCGGTTGCTGCTCGGGACGCTTTGTGGCTCGGGCAGACGGGCGCATTTGCCTTTGATATCGGCGGGCGACGATTTCCTGTCGATCGGCTTGTTTATGGGAGGGAGCTAGATCATTTTTAGTAGATAGAGTATTATATCCCTTCTCTCTTCAAGCAGTTGAGTCAGCTAAGTTGCCGGCAGGTCACCCCTCACTCTGTGTTATAGCGTATTCCGGGGACCGAGTAAGGGGTGGAAATAGGAGCAACGGGTGATCGGTTCGTGTTCTGTGCTCTAAATGGGTATTTGATAGCTATCAGTCCAACAGAACAATCACACCATGGCTGAGGTATGTGATTTCTATATATTCAATCCCCGACCTAAACTGCCCTCCTCCACGGTAGAATGACTGACATATTAACAGAGATAGTGAATACCCCCCTCCCCCCCATCGGGCATGACACCAACCCACAGGAATATCAACAATAAAAAGATCCTACCGCCAATACCTCGACTGATGAACCGCCCCCGCCCCATCCACCTCCACCTCCAGCCTCCCACCCCAATGAAAATGCGGCCCCCCCAGCTTCACCTCCCTCCCACCTCCCCCCCGCGCCGCAGCCTCCCTCTTCACCCCCTCCCACGCCCGCCTCGTCCCCACCCGATACGCCTTAATCGCCTCCACCACATCCCTCATCCCCCTAACCTGCGCGCGCGTCGGGAGCGTGGGCTTGGCCGCGAACGACAAAGCCTCCCCCCCACCCCTTCCGAACCTCTCGTTATTATTGCCTAGAGTAGGCGGGCAAAGCAAACACTCCCACGCAGCCGAGAACACCAACCGCAGCGGCGTACCCTCCCCCTCTCCCGCAGCAGCAGCAGCAGCAGCAGACGATGGCACGCCGGCGGCCACGTGGCAGGGGGAGGCCGGGACGGGGTCGGTCTTGAGGCGGGGGTGGGCGCGGACGAGGCGGGTGTACTCGCGCACGGCGGCCGGCGCGGAGTCAAGGTTAGGGGTAGGGATGGGGACAAGTGGTTGTTGTTGTTGTCGTTGTTGTTCCCGGGGAGATGGGCTGGCGGCGGGGCCTGTCCAGACGTGGGCGGAGTGGGCGGTGCCATTCCAGAGCCAGGTGTGGGGTTCGCTGTCTGGCTGTGGCCGGTCTGGGCGTGTCTCGGGGGAGGCGGGTGTTTCAGGGGAGGGGGTGGTGGTGCTGGCGGCGTGGGAGTAGGAAGGGGGGTGTGGTGGTGGTCGTGGTTGTGGTTGTGGTCGGGCCGACTGGGGCTCGGGCTGTCGCCTTGGTTCTGGCTCTGGATCGGGATCGGGGGTGATGTGAACGGTAGGGACGGGAGGTTGTCTCTGTACAGCTGGCGTCGCTGACGAGGGTGGCTTGGGCTGTGGCGAGGGTGACCAGGCGGACTCGCCAAAGAAGCTGAATTCATTCGTGGCATCATCCATCACGGCGGCCGCGTCAAAGTCGAATTCAGGATCAGAGTCATCCCCGAGTTCGTCCCGCGGGTCGGGCTCGAACTCGAGGCGGATATGCCGCAGACCGAGCAGGGTCACCGGGCCATGCCGGTCGGCAATCTTGATATCCTGGATCGCGCGCTCCTGAATAGACGCGAGCCTCAAGAAATTGATCAGCTTGTCAATCAGCGGCCCCGCCGAGTACCGAGGAATCCGGGTCAGGACGAGCGACTGCAGGCGGGGGTTCATGTCCGGGACAAATGCCTCGGGATATGCGAGCTCGGCCCGCGGGAGCAGCTGTGTCTCAGCCACCCACAGGTTCGCCAGGGGCGACAGGCCGTCCAGCTCGAGGGACAGCAGCTGTGTGACTAGGGAGTGGTGGATGCGTAGCACCTGCAGGTTGGCTGAGAACACGGGACGGAACACGTGGGCCCAGCCGAGGGTGCCTGACAGCTTTGCCCTGGAGAGCCAGGAGGGAGGGGCGGCTTCGGGAAGTTTGAAGGTCATGGAGTCGCACTCGAGGCGCTGCAGCTGCCCCGGGGACGATCTAACCATACCGGCAAGCCCTGCGGCAGATATGTTGTTCCCGTTTAAATACAGGTGAGTAACACCCTGATGCCCACGACATGTGTCTAGGGCATGTACGGATTCTGTTGAGGGGGGATGAGAGCCCGAATTCCCAGAGAATAGGGTCTTCATCGCATCTGGCGAGTCAGGACGGATCTTCACTCGGCCGTTCAAGCGGGGGGTAGAGCTCGGCTGATACCCGTCCTCGGCATTAAGGGCGTAATTCGGAGCATCGGCAACATGTCTGTGAGGATGGCTGAAAGTTGCGCTCCAGCTCGACTCGCGGATGGCGCAGAACTTTCCAAACGACACGGTTCCTGTCGGATGCTCCAAGAGTCGGCCTTCGACAGCAAAATGGTCTGATCTTGAAGTCTGCGAAGGGAATGAAAACTGATGCATGACATCAAGAATATCATCGGTAAGCTTGTTTCGGCTCAGGTCAACGCTCCACAACTGCTCCCAGAACGCCTTGAATAGCAGGGTCGCCGTGGCATTATCCATTTCCCTCCCTTGAGCCTTCAGTATACGCAGGCTCGGCAGGTTGGCTGCACTTAGGGTCCGCTGGGCCAAGGGGGACTTCAGAGAACCAGGCATATCAGACGCGTCCAAATACACGAGGCTTCTGAGATATGGAGTTGCAAGAAAAGACGAGGGCAAATCGACTCGACACCGCGCAATACTTAAGAGTAACGGCGGCTCCAAGAGCGGTACCCGATCAGAAGCCAGCGAGTTTACTGGAGGTTCAGGCTCCAAGTCGGGGTGGTCATCCAGGAAAATGCACCGCAGCCGGTGAAATCGGGTGGCTATTCTGGAGAGCACAACGGAGAGAGGGGTGGTACCGCCAGCACCGGCGTGGTGGGAAACGGCATCATCGGCGCCAGCAAAGAAACGGCGCGTATCGCAGGAACGGACGAAGCTGCTCAGCGTGGCTGTTCGAACGTTTACGGCATGCTTTATAAACCGGAGGAGCCACTTGGGATCTACACAGTATACGGCGGTCAGACTGCGGGCGTATGCACGATGGAAATGAGATAAAGTAAAGTCGGGGAAACTAGCCGCAATCAGGGTGAAGCAGGCATATAATGGCGAACGGGTCATTCCAGAGACGCGGGGCGAACTGGTGGTAGAAGCGCCTCGAGACAAGGCAGAGACGTGAGTATTCCCTCGGGGGAATGTACGGCGCCACAAGATCGAGCCAGTCTGGCCGCGTTATGGCATCTTGGTAAGATGGCAGGTCGGCGATAAGGCCGTTGGTGCCGGTGTGCTCCATAGTGTAGATGCAGCAACGCCAGGTACACCAGATAAGGCTAGATGTGGTTCATGCGGGCTTGATCAAGCATGGGCTGAATGAAGCACAGGATGCTGCTATTGCTGCTATTGCTGCACCACTGCTTGCACCGCTTCCGTATCGGTTCAGTGGCTGCTGCTGCTGCTGCTGCACTATCGGCGGAATCAGACAGAATCCAATGTTCGGGCCGGCGACGTATCGGGCCAGACCCATCGTGTGCGACTCGGACGTGGTGTCGAGTCAGCTGAGGTGACACCCGGGATGGCTGCCGTTGACCGGATGCATGAATGCATCCACAGTATTCGTAAGTTCCAGGTGGTTGTTGACATGTCTCTGACTTCCATCTGAGGTGGGAAAGTGGAGGAGTGGGGAAGTGGAGGGGGCTTGTCGATCTGAGCCTTGGCAATCGCTTCTGAACCCCAGCACCCAGTTTTGGGAATTCATCCCCCGATACATGCAAGCATCAGGGGTGAAAGAAGCCAACGCCCCGATTGAGCGACACCGTGGTGACTGGGGTCAACCGACCGTAACCGGCATCCCGGAGAACCACTGTGTGAGTTGCCCAATCACCATCTTCCATCACATTTCACATTTCAAATCCATCACTTCCCAAAAATTCCACCGTTGATAATGAGAATTATCTTTGCCTGACGTAGGGTCGATACATACTGTGTTTGTAAACGAGGGGTGCGGGGTTGGCAGCCCCTCGCTCTCTACTTTCTGGAGCGTTTCCTCCGCGGAAAGTTTCCTCCACCATGTCGACACAATGTCTCATTGTCTGCAGTTTCCATACTCCCGGGGTAGGGTATCTGTCTGCTGCAGGCTGGCTGTAGGCGAACGCCTGCGTCTTCTGGCTCGCGGATGTTTTCCCCGAGTCACGGCATTGGCCAACGAGGAGAGGAGGGGCGAGGCCGCCTTCTTGACGCGGGGTCGACCGGACTCCCTCCACACTCGGTCAAGCGCTGAGTGCCGGTTTCCGGGTCGGAAACTACCTCGCACTTCCAGTTTCGTCCATCGAGACCGAGAGGGTGTGTGGTATTTACCAGGTTCAGGGGATTAAAGACGGCCGCTCTATTTCCAGATACCCAAAGTCCGGTTATCATCGCCAGCGCTTTCATCGCCGGCGCCATGAGCTAACACGCTAAGCCTTGGGCTAAGCATGTGCCTGGCTGGAACCGGCCTGGGCCAGGAGACATGCATGCCGGTGTAAAAGGATGTACATGTACATGGCCCACGCTTCTGACACACTACCGCCCGAACCCCTCTTCTCGTACTCTACTTTCCATCTTTTTACACACCCTCACAACACCATCACATCATTGGCAGAGGGTACGATTCCCGGGGCTTGACTGGCTCCCGAGAGACATAATCTTGGCACGCTATGAGGTCTCGTCGAAACCGAGATATGACCATCATTGGTTCGGCATATCCCCCGAGGATCGTAGAAGCCCAAGGCAGATATTTGTGTAACGTAACCAGAATAAAGGCTTCCTCCTATGAGAGAGTATATCCCGCTCGTTTTTCCCATCACGGACAACACTATCGACAAGATGGAAGGAAGATCCTGGAAAAACGAGGGCATGGATGATGGCGTAAGCTGGCTCGAACGTGGGCGGGGCTGGGAAAAAGCACCAGGCAACCCCCAGCTGCAAGATCTCGGCGGCTTGTCTCGCTCAAAAACGCCCGCGACATGCTCGGGCTGAGACATCCGGCCAAGACAAAGAAACGAACTCGGTACTATCACACTAACACCGGCATGCCGGCTGTGATTGCATCGAGATCTCTTCAGGCCCGGGCTTTTTGGGGAGAAACAACACGGACTAAATGATATGGAAAGCCTCGGTGATGATAATACCTTGGTGTAAACTATGGTTGCTATTTCCCTGTGCAGCTTTAGAAGCCGATAGATCATACATTACCGTGTTAGCCAAATCCTTCCCCTTGCTTTCACTCAGACGAGCCCATAGATCTTACATGCCCAATCGCCTGCCATCCAAATACATCAAACGCGTCCCAGTGACTCCCAATCCCATCCCCCAGCCCAGACCATATCCAAAACCCTTCCTTCCATTTCCGGTAACGTACATTAGCATTATCCGTCCAGTATCGTACTCATCGAAACATCCACATCGTATTTTCGGGCCCCTCTCCCACCAATCTCACTTGGCCGAGTTGGAGCGTGTTTTGGGCTTCGCGCCTCCGCCCCCCCTTCGTTGATTCTGGACCATCTTCTCCCACTGCAGCCTCGCCGCGGGGCAGTACTTCACCCTCGGCTTGGATCCCGGGTGTTCCCTGGGAGCCCAGTGCAACTTGATATGGGCAGTCAAGTTATCCAACCTGTTGGATGTATGGGGGCACCAATCGCAACGGAACAGTTTCTCCACCGACATCTCATGCACGCTGTATCGACGTCAGTCTTAATCTTGAGATCGCAGACTTTGGAGCTAAACTTACCTCTGAATGTGCCGTTTCATGTGCTCAGACCTCCGGTACCGCTTGTCGCACCCCTCAACAGGGCATTTGCATTTGGTAGCCGGCTCGACAGCGTCCATGGAAAAGTTGTCGTCGCCCGCCGCCCCTGTGCGACGCTTTTTTGCTCTCTTGGCCCGCGTTCGTGATTTCGATGGCGAGCATTGCTGCATTTGCTGTTGGAGCGCCATCGCCCTATGCCGCGTCTCGTCCATCAGAACTCGCTTTTTCGTTGCGACCGAGGGCGTCATTGGTGTCATCATGTCCTCGTCGAACTCCTGCTTGATTGACTGTACTGACTGAGCGGCCCCAGCTGGAGAGTGCTGGTCGAAGCTGATGGGGCTGTCCGGGTATGTCCAATGAGACACTCCGTTAGGCAGGTGGTCGTACTGCCCCAAGGCGGACGAGGCTGCCAAGTATGAATGAGAATCAACATGGTTCATGGGGAAGCTGCAGTCCATGTTTTGCGAGGGAGTCAGTTGAGCCGTGTAACTGCTGAGTGGGTCACAAGAGAAAACGAGCTGCCCCCGGGAGGGCGTGGCAGGGAAAACGGGATAAACGAAGTTGGAGACGTTGCTGCTCTTGGGCGTCATTGGAAAGTAGGTCGATGTAGCGGAAGAAGGTGGGCTGGGATCGAAGGGGACTACGCCGGTGGAGGACGCGAACGAGGAGCTGAAATCGAAGGAGGCCGAGTAGTGCGGAGTCGAACGACCAGAGGTTGGCGTATGAGGGCCGAAGCTTGACGAGGCACACGAGGAGCCGCTGACGCTGCCTGATGGCCATCCAGCCCCGAGACTGTTAAAGTCGAAATCGGCATCGTTCCCGAAGTCGAGAGATAGGTTCAACACGGGCGCTTCAGTGAGTTCCATCGTTTCTTCGGCCGCGTGGCTGGTTGTGCGGAGGTGACGAAGTGTAAACCGAGATGTGAAGACGAACCTCGCCCTGGGGAAGAAGGAATGGAGGTGGATAAGTACACAAGAGTTCAAGAAGATCGTCAGATGTGCGGCGTCCCTCCTCAGACAAGAAAGACAGGGCGATTCTCGAACGGGCAATAGGGTCGCCAATATAAGGGACACTGAGGAATGGCGCGGCTCAACTCGCCGAGAAGGAGGACAACCAAGGTGGGTTCCATCTGGGACAAGCCCCACCACACCGTCGCTCACGAAATAAGGCCGTCTCGGGATCTCCAGGGCAGCAAGTCAAACGGCCGTGCGGAGGTGCCACGGCTGCGGTGGGTGCGTCTCAACCCTGTCCCCGACTGCAGCAGCAGCGCCGCCCACGCAGGAACCAACAGGGAGCCACACCGGTGGTCTCCACGCAGGATAGCCAGCCCACTCAGGGTGCCAAACATGAGGGCTGAGATGGTGTGCCCGTCCAGAAGGCCCCCAATCGGTCGACCAAGCACACCAAAGCGGCTACCGTTGGAGCAAACTGGGGAAGCTGGATGGCGACAGGGGGCTCCGACACACGTCAGTCGGCGTCCCACCCCGTCTGCTTTGCAGCATCGGAGAAAAGCAACAACGTAGGTAGATCAGCCGAGCCCAGAGTTTGGGACCGTTCTCCTCATCTCAGCGCTAGCGTGAGATTTGGCCGAATACCTGGAATGGTGAGAACACACAGTAGGAATGGAGTTGTGTTGCCCCTCGCTCGTATGCGCCGCTGAGACCGCGCAGCGTGCATTCTGGACACTTTTTGCGGTGCCCTTTCAATGCGTAAATTGAACCGAGACTCGGATTGGCAGGGGAGTTCCGTTCTCGGGTCTCCATAGTGGCCCATCCATGTGTGAGGAAAGTACCAGGTTGTTGTGCTCCCTGTGCCGAACCCGAGAAAGATAGGCCGACCGTCCTGGGCCGGATGGGAGAGAGAGAAAGGGCGAAAAACCGGTTATCCGGGCACTGCGTCAACACAGGCCGGGCCGGTCGAGTCGGAGACAGAAATGGAAAGGCTCGGCACTGGCAAGGGACGCCACTCCCAGGGCTGCCAATGCAAAATCCAGCTCGTCGGGGCAGGAACTTGCCAGGCGTCCCGCCAGGGTAGGAGGTACCTGAGGTTCCTGGCCGTTCGGGGAGAGGGCGCTTCCCGGGGGGGGAAGGCGTCGTTGGGTGGTCCGGTGACTTCCATTGACAGGGACCCACTTGCGATCATGGATCTCGGCGTGTGCGCCAGGGTTGGAAGGACCCCCATGGTTGCCGCTAACACAAAGTGGGCACCTGGTGCGACGTTTGTGGTACGGGTGGACTTCGTACTCAACCTTATCTTAACGTCGAGTGGACTTGACACTGTCCGAGATGCCCGTTCATTGCACCAGTGGGTCGTTGTTTCCAAGGAGGCCACGCCCGGACATGCCCCTTCCTCCGTTCGGTCGCAATTGCCCTGGCGTCCATCCATGACAGTCAACGTGCCTTAGAGAACCAGGAAGGGACAGCCCAGACGTCAGGATTATGGTGCATTGACCGAGCAAACAAACCGAGATTTCTTTCAATCTGGCACTGCACCCAGCCTGCATCCGTTGCCGCTGCGGGTGAGATCCAGCAGCCGACTGCCACGCTCGCCCCGCCGGCCTAAGTTTTTCTGATCCCCGTTTGAACGTGTCCCGCCTTATGATATCGCCGCCATCCGGGCCCACGCCTGTTGCTGGGGTAAGAAGTAGGAAGGCATCTTTCTAAAGTAACGAAGCAGTAATTTAACGACCCTATCGTATCATTTTATCTCTCCCTCGTCTGTCTCAAAGTCATCAAAAGTTGAAACTGTCTGTCTGTGCGCTCCCCCTCAGGCTGCACCTCGGGCTAACTCAGGTGATTCAGCAGCAGGCTGGCTTCTGCGATGAAAGGGGCACTCGATTTCTTCGTTCTCCCACATCCAGGCAATTCAATTCCCCGCACTTGAACAGCGTCTCACCGTGCTCATCACCGTGCTTCCTCGAGATGCCCTCATCGGAACGCCACCGAAGGACTAGCGCAACAGGTTCGACTGTCAACTGGGTTCCTGGCAGTCTCCGGGTGCATCTGACCCAGCTCATGATTCGACATCACATCACACCTCAGGCCTCCGCCTTGGGCCACCGGTGTAAAGAGAATGTCTAGGCCCCCCTGGGAAAATCAAAAACGAACGATCAGTGGACGACCCCGCAAGTGTGTCGCAAACACTTTCTGGGCGGTCAGACTTTGTGCTCCACCCCTCCAGGAAGGCTCGTTATCACCCCACAGAAATTCGAAAGGCAAGAAGCAGGTGCAGCCCAACTTCCCTACGGTCTGGCTTCAGACCCTCTCGGCGACCTTCCGGCGACTCTCCGGAGTCGAAATCCCCAGGGTGATTGTGCCCTTTCAAGGAGCCATATTTACCAACGCAGTTGCATAGAGCCCACTCTTCCAAATTTGGGCACACAATGGCCTTGACAAACTCCTCGCGCTCTAGGAGGCACAACAAGGTTGCTGGGAGAAATCACTATGCTTTCTATTACTGGAGGCTTCGCCCGCATACCCTTGAGCCGCAGCTGATTCACGCCGTGTTTGGCTGCTTCAGCCCAGCGCTCGCTTCCCTGGACCCGACTACTGGGGGCAAACATGGGATGACGGTGCCAAGGTGACTTGGGCGTCCCTGTGCATCCTGTGTAGCGAATGTCCCCTGGCACGATGCCAGTGTTTTAGGTTTGGTCGGCCAAACAGAGAAACCTGTTCCCGATGCTTACCTCGCGACATATCCCTCGATACCAAGAGCTTCTATATCGGAACTGGCCGATCATCGCCATTCAGCTGCTCCCCCCCACGAAACGGTATGCTTTGCCTCCTTACAGGTACTGGGCGGCACGGAGAGGCGCGGTAAGCGCAAAAAAGCCACGATCCGAAATCGGCGCGCTCGTTTACGTGTTGGCGCCAACGGCCAGGCCCTGGGTAGATTTGCGGGCCAGTCTCGGGACCGGGATGCTTCACTCGCCGACGGAAGTGATTTGAGCTACTACGTTCTGTTACGCGGCGAGATGTTGGTGGTTGCGGCGAACTCGTACGATACGGCAGGGCCTAGCGACGGGAAGGGGAGCCTTTGCGCGCACGCCGCGCCTTGAGCGCCTTGGAGGGTAGAACACAACGCGCCGTTCCCGACGTCATGCAAGCCACAAACTGCTGCCTCTGGCATATCTCGACGCCGTAGGCCCCGCGCATCGCTGACCGCTTATTGCCGGGCTTGCGTGGACCGCCGTAACCGCCAGAGATTCGTTACCCATGCAAACCACCTGCTTGTCGTATGGAAACAAGTCGCCACTCGGCTGGAGGGGGTGGGGGAGTCAGACGAGAAACAGGGACAAGGGGAACTTTGAGCCTCGCCGTTAAACCGTGGTGGGGACCCACACTTGTCCAGTGCCGACAGACAAGATGGGTGGCATGGGTTGTCAGGTGTGATACCAGTGGTGAGGTCCCCTGCTGCTTTCGTCCTCTCGCCTGTGTATTCCAAGTCCGGCGCGGAAGCTACATCACTTGATGGGGGCCACGCATACCCTCCTCACACGACAAGTACAGTACATGGCAAACCGCTAGATTGCTACGTAGTATGCGAGTGACGTCCCGCCGGTTTCTTTTACGGCGGGCGTCGCAACCGCACTCTGCAGAGCGGCAGGGTCCTATTTTGGGCGTGGGACTGACACCGTACCCGTCATCCACCAGGGGTCGTTGCATAGGTACCTATCCATACAGGTACAGCCTCAGGAGCGGGCCGCTCTGAAACTGCTAGACATCAAACATCCCCACCATGCAATGCCGTGGCAGACGGAACTGACTTGTTTACCCGACGATGATGGGGGCTATATGTTCAGCTCGTCTAACAATAGATAGACTGGGTTCTACCAAGCTCAGTCTACTCGTCGGAATCCTCGTCGTCTTCGTCCTCGTCGTCTCCCCCGTCCTCGTCCCCAAAGGCATCGAGCTCCTGCTGGGTTGCTTCGAGGCCTGAAGAGGACATGAACTTTTCGTCTTTTGCTTCGGCTGTAACACACGCGGGTAGGTTAGCTTATGTCCTTGGCGAATACGTTCCATAACCATCTCAGCCAAAGTAGGGAGGTAGTCAAATGAGGAAAGAGCGTGGGACGAAAAAGGGGACCAGTGAGTAAATGGCAGAGACTCACTCTTAGCTTCGACCAGCAAATTCTCCTGCACCTCGCACTCGGTCAGCACGCAGCCGTCGCCGAGCTCGCTGCGCTTGCCCAGGATGCACTTGGTCAGCTTGCAGTTCTTGCCGACGACGACGCCGTCCATGAGCAGGCACTGCGACAGCTTGGCGCCCTCGCCGATCTGGCAGTTGGCGCCCACCACGCACTCCTTGATGGACGTCTTCTCCTGCACCGTCACGTTGTCCGCCACCAGGCTGTCCTGCTTGGTGATGGTCGTGCGCGACTTGACCCCCTCCGGGTACGCCACCTTGCGCGCGTGCGCGAAGGGCGACGCGGGGCCGTCCGGCCCCGTCTCCTCGAGCGAGGGGAGCTTGGCCAGCTGCAGCGATATCTGCAGCAGCAGCTGGGCCGTGTCGACGCGCCGGATCAGAGGGTCCGACGGGCCCGTCGGGTGGATGTAGGCGAGCATTGGCGGGATGGGGGCCTCGGTTTCGGCACGGGCGCGGTTGTTGTCGTCGCTGTTGTCCGAGTGGCTGTCGCTGCCATCGGAGTCGTTGGCCGAGACGACTGTGTTGGGCGCGTCGGCGGCGCGGGAGTCGACGCCGAGTTTGCGCGTGCTGGTGGGTTTGTGTTCGCCCGGGCTGGCGTGCCCGTCAGCACTGCCGCTGTCGGGCCGCTGGAGGATACTGTCGAGGCCGAGCTTGGTGGAGAGACCCTTTTGCCAGCCGGCCTTGACCCACCATCCGATGACGTCCTCGCCGATAGTCTCGAGCCGCTCGTTCTCCTTGATAAATTGCATGACCCAATGCGGGAAGATGTAGATGTGGGCGTCGCGGTGGGTGGTCAGTATTTTTACACGGGCGTGTTGTCGGAGTAGCCCGTGCCGTACAGGGAAGCCCTTCTTTTCTTCCACAACGTCCTTGAGAGAATCTGTTGGCATCGAGTAGACCACCTTCGCCATGTCGGGGAACAGAGAGCCCTTTGGGGGGAGGACCGAGGTCGGTGGTAGTGGGATAGTCGCCACAAAGTCCGTTTCTTCGCCCTTAATGGGCGTGGCTGTTTTGGTTTGGTAATACACACCCAGCCCGCCACTTCGCGCGCCGCGAGATGGCGAATCCCCGACGAGGTCCTCGAGGCTAGCTGATTTGACCATCCATGCCTGTAGTAGCTTGTCTGCGCCTAGCTCGCAGACAAGATCGCAGGGGAGCACTACGAAGTCAGACGTAACGGCGGTCTGTAGTTCGGGAAGGCGGAGTATTTCGGCTGTTCCTGTGTTCTGGTCTAGGTCTTTTGGCGCCAGGAGGTCGGGCCGGGGGAATGGCAGGCTAGTCAGAAAAGGGTTCGTCTTCAGAGCAGTGGTGATAGCCTCTGCAGCCGAAGGTGGGCAGACCAGTGTTATATCTACGGCATGTCAGACTAGAATAGTTAAAGGTATTAAACAAGGTAGCATGAAGATAATATTCAGGCCCAGTTGGTATATGACATCCCAACTGGATACCTCGGCCACTCACTTGTTATCCCTGCCCGATAGCAAAACTCAAGGGGATACCAGACCATGGGCCTATTGGCAATAGGGAGAAGAGCCTTGGGGTTCTCATCGGGATTTGATGTGAAAGTTGGGAATGAGCTGCCCGGGCCGCAAAGAATCAGGGCCTGGAGCCCCGGGGTCGCGATACTGACTGCGTGGGGCATCTTGAAGCCGGATTCTGCCCCGCAATCGAGGAATTGACTGCGGTTTTGGTGGATTTGTGACTCGGAGGAGGATAGATTTTTGAGAATCTAGCTGTGTATTGTATCACTAGTGACGTTGAAGCCGTAAATTGGCGTAATTGGTGTCACCCGTTAAGGCGGTTGCTCTGTGAAGCCGTGGTTTTCGATGACTGACTCACTGAAAGTGTTTCTCAAGAAACCCACATCCCACTTTCGAAGGGTTGAATGGCCCGTGCGTCACATGCATCTCAAAGAAACTCGAACGTGCCAAGTTGCGCGAGACTGCTGAGCACGCTCTGTTCCAGGTTTAAAGCGGGGCGCGTAAAAACGGGGCGTGCTAACCTTGTTCCCTGTTACGGTCTGTCTTGGCATCAGCTCCTGCTGTTGTTTTCCTCGCCCGGCCAACCACCTGCCTCGGTTTTGGCCCGGAAATGGAGCTCGGCTTGTGGAAGGCTGGGGGGGTGTGCATCAACAATCGGATCCCCAGCCATCCAGCCATCAGAACCCCCCGACACCAGCCACATGATTCCGAGTTCCTGTCGCTTTGCCGAAGGATTGAACTTTTTCGATTCTGGCCGGCGAAGACTGACTGACGATAACACTTGCACCTGTTTAATACCCGGCCGACGAAAAGACCCCCACACAGACAGGCACAGACAAAACATAGGTACACGCCTACACACGCAAACCAGGTACACACGCACGCACGCACGCACCAGGTAGCTACCTCCCTCCTACGCTTCTTCCATCCTATTGCCGGCAACGCAATGATCGATTGCTGCGCCGTCAATGTCGCCGCCCTATGAGTCGTCCCGCCGTCGCGGGGTATGGAGCCACTGGGTGCCCCTCGCCGTGACCGTCACGGTTGCGACGGCCGGGGTCGCCGCCTGGATCTGGAGCCTGCGCAAGGATGACGACCACGAAGACACCGAGCAGCCCGCCGATGTTCAAGACCTCGATTACGACAACGCCGACTACGGCGACAATCCCGCCTACGGTGCATCCCGAGACGGCGCCGTCGGCCCCAAGACCCCCACCTTCGGCGGCGCGCAGCCGCAGGCCGAGTCGTCGAGCTCTGGCTGGGCGGCACTGCGCCGGAGTCCTAGCCCTCAGCAATTCTTCGACAACGCCAGGAGGACGGTTGCTGCCGGCGTGACTGCTGCCGGCGCAGCTGTGGGAAGCGCGCTGGCGGCCATTAGAGAGGAGGACAAATCTGCGTACGCCGACCACGAGACTTGGTCGGAGGAGGCAGATGCCAAGCAGGACAGGGCTGCCGGGCCGTCTCAGAGCAAGGACGTCAACAAGCGCCGGAAAAAGGTTGCCATCGTCATTTCGGCCGACAGCCGCTTGGACGATATCGATGCCGACGGGTTCCATGAGCATGCTGTAAGTGCCGACAAGCCAACATGTTATGTTGACGCGTATGCTAATAATTCTCGACAACAGTCCATCCTGTCCCACATCCCCCGCCAACTGGACTTCTCCAAGATCAAGCTTTATGTGCTCATCTACGCACCGAACTTGAAGGATGCCAACCTGGAAGCAACCACCACGCTGCCGCCCCCGTCGCTGAGCTCGTCCTTTTCAAACATTGATCATGCTCAAGCGCAGGCGTCCGAGGAAGCCCGGAGCCCCTTGTCAGTCTCACCTGCTCTCGCATATTCTCTTTTTCTTGCTAACCAAATTTACAGAGTCGGCGCGTCGTCATCAGACCCTGCGTACAACGCCATCTACTCGCAGGCGCAGGCACTCGTCGAGAAGGACAGCATGATTCTGACCTTCACGTCGCCCAACGGTCACTCGCACATCCTGCGCCACATTCAGCCCGAGATCATCTACCTCCAGGAGTCGCTCTCGGGTGACAATGGCAGTGCCGTCACCAACCTCCAGACTTGGCTGCGACATGACGTGATCTTGGTTGTGGGCGCCGAGAGCGGCCATGGCGGGCTCGCGGACAGCGAGTCGGAGGCCGAGAAGCCGGGCAAGGAGAAGGAGGTGTGGTGGCATAAGGAGGAGCGTGTCGGGAGAGGCCGCGGAGTGGTGGTCGTGGACGGCACGAGGGTCCAGGATGATTGGGCACGGAGGGTGCTGGGCAAGGAGTAAGGCAGCCAGCGATGGCGGATATGATGTGAAGATTATGAGTATGTGTTGGTGATGATTGATTCCCCCACGGTGGTTGGTTTTCCTTGGTTCCATATCTTGCTATATAGTATCCGTAGGACAAAGACACCGCCGAGCCCAACCAAGGGGGTTGAGACGGCGTTTCTTTCTATATCCATATCTTTTTGTATTGTGGAATCTGTAAATACAGACCTGTGGACATACGTCATGTCGTCAAGTCGGGCTCATCGATTTGTTTACCTGTTCGCCTCGCAGGCCCAGCACCCAACACGTGATGCGGCTCCCCAGCCAAGACCTTTATAACCCCCACTCGTGTCACTTGACAGGGGTAAGATCGCCGAAAAACGCACCCCACACAAAGACGGGAGCCGACCTCATCAAGCGACCGACCAGGACAACAAGAAGTCATCGCGTCGACAACAGCGCTCCAACAAATGTGATCCAATATCATGCGGAGGTGACTGGGGAATTGATTGCGCTGCACCCGCAGTGTATTTTATCGCCCCGCGTCGCACCGATCAATCGACAATAGCATCCCGGCGCAAAACAGCGCCAGTTTGCCTCTGGGCTGTCCATTCCACTGCTCGACTTGGCGCAACACGCTCTCGGCAACCCCGAACCATCTGCTCTTGGTGGCCCTACCTACCTCACTACCTACCTACATACCTACCTAATCTCTACCGTCACGGCAGTTGCCTCAGTCGGACCCAATACTGCTTGGAGTGGCGCCTGGATCGAGACAAAACACGGCGAAAACACCCCAATTTGGTGGCAACAGCGATCGGTCCCGAGCATCCTGAACCATCCCTCCCAAGTCGCTGCCGTCGGCGGCAGCCGGCCCATCAACAATGGCGCCCTCTGCCGTCACCTCCCCACCGGTTACGGTCTCTACCAAGATTAAACGCCCTATCCCCCCTGGCATCCAGACCAATGGCGCCGCCCTCTCGCGCTCATCACCGTCGCCCTCCATGTCGGCCAAGCGCGCTCCCCCTTCGGCCGCCGGTCAGCCCTCCAATCCGCCAACCGCGAGCGGGAATACGCCGACATCCGCCCGCACACTTAACCGCCAGCGTAGGGATACTTCGGGGCACGTACTTGGTCGAGGTCAAAGAAGCGCCGGCCTGAGGTCCGCCAGCATTGCCCCGGATCCTGCATCGTCTCCCGCGACCGAACCGCGACCTTATGGTGTGTATAAACCATCGCCGCGCATAGGCTTCATTAATTGCTAACACCAAAGTCAATAGTGGTCACCGATAAATACATCCTTAGCAAGTTCGTCGGGAACCCGCCATCCCTAATCATCCACCTACACAAGACATACTTCCGTTTCGACAAGCAGGAGGGCATGTTTCCCTATCATTCACCCATGAGGATATTCCTGGAGCATGTGAGGAGTCGGACGGTACCCCATGAGATGCTCGACTATCTCACCCAGGCCGAGGTCCCCTTCTACGAGGGTTGCTTGATCGTTCAGGTCCACGACCATAAATCCGTTGCACAAGCCCGAGATGTTGCCCGGCCCACATCGGCTTCGAGCAAAACGGTCCCCTTTTCTGTCCACAACTACAACCAATACATCACTCCCTCGTCTCACGTCCCCTATCCCAAGGAGAACCTTCCGGCTGCTGGCACCCCTGGCCCGGCTGCAGAGAAGACAGCCGAGGAGAAGGATAAGGAAAACATGCCGGCCCCCAGCGCGCCCGCAGATGGGCAGAAGGGGAAGGGCACCCCCAAACCCAGGATATTCACCATAGTGCTCCATCCTACACAACAGAGCCTGCAAATGGATCTCTCCATCAAGTCTACTACGCCCCGTGGAGCGTCCGATGCCCGTACGGATGGGACTGTTCCGCCCCCGACACCCCATGCTGCTGTACCGCCCACGCCGACTGCCGCGAGCATGCCGCCGCCCGCCAAGAAAATAAAACAGGAACGGATGGAGCTTGACGCCAGCAACATCTACGAGGCGGAAGCGCAAATCTTGCTGGCCACAACAGCACCGCTGGACTTGGAACCTACCAAGAATGCCGAAGAAACAATAGCTCTGCTCGAGAAGCAAGCGCATCCGGATCACTCGCAGAAGCCACCCGAACCCAAGATGCGGAAGAGAACAGTAGCCGAAATGGAGGCTGCCGAGGCGCAAGCTGCCGAACAGGAGCGGTATATGCTTAGTCTGGATGAGCGGCTGTTCTCCAAGCTGGCTGGCGCACAGGCCTCCGGCAATGGCGCAGATGGGGACGGCCAGTCCGGGGCATCGACTTGGGAGCCGAGGTTTGAGCGGTTTAAGGTTATCGCCGAAATCATGCGAGAACGCGAGGAAAAGAGAGAACTGGAGAAGGCCAAGCAGGCCGAGAACGAGCGGAAGCTGCAGCTCCAAAAGCAGCAGCAGCAACAACAACAGCAGCAGCAGCAGCAACAGCAACAGCAGCAGGAGGCTGCCATGCTCGCCGCCAAGCAGGCCGAAATGGAGCGCCAGCGGAAGGAACAGGCACTTCGCGACCAGCAACGGCAGGATCAGCAACGACGGATGCAGGCTGCTCAAGCCCAGGCTCACCAGGCACAACAAGCGCAAGTCCAGGCTCACCAGGCACAGCAAGCGCAAGTCCAGGCTCACCAGGCACAACAAGCGCAAGCCCAGGCTCAGGCGCAAGCCCAGGCACAAGCGCAAGCACAAGCGCAACAAAATGCGAACGCCTCGGGCATGGGCACTCCCCACGCACACCCGGTACACCAAAGCCCTCTACCGGTGAGCATGCCTGTCAACATGCCTCAAAACCAAGCACGATTCCCTCAGGTCTCGCAACCACAGGCATCATCACCAATCGTCCGGCAGAACACGCCACAGACGGCGTCGTCCCCCATGGGCATGGCGGGGGTGGCTATGCAGCACTCCAACTCGAACATGGGGGCGGCAGGGAGCCCGGCAAGGCCGTCTTCGGTGGTTCAGAGCCACCCTATGGCCGCGCCAATGGCACCCAACATGTCGGCTCGCGGAAGCCAGCAGAGCCACGCTGGCGGGACACCGAGGATGCCCAGCGCGACTCCGAATATGGCACACGCCACGCCTATCTCGCGGCCCCAAGGGGTGCCGACCCCACGCATGACACAAGCCAGCCCGCCTCCGGGTATGATGTCGGGCGCTCAGATGGGGCATTCGATGATGATGACGCCGCAAGGGATGATGCAAGTGCCAAACGTTGGGCTCACGGCGCAGCAGATCGCCCAGCAACAACGTATGATGCAACAACACCAGCAAATGCTGCAAATGCAGCAGAACGGTATGATGAACGGCGGGGCAGGCGTTCAGCATCAACTCGCCCAGCAGCGCATGATGCAGCAGCAGTTGTTACTGCAGCAACAGCAACGAGGGGGCCAAATGGGGAGCCAGCCGACACAAGCCCAGCTAGCCGCGCAATATTCGCAGCATATCAACAACATGCAACAGCAGGTACAAATGGGGCAAATGACTCCTATGCAACAACAAGTTGCCCAAAGACAATTTCTAGCTGCTCAGCAAGCTGCTCGAGGCCAAAACATGATGGCGATGAGCGGCATGACGCCTGCCCAGATGGCAGCCATGCAACAACTGCAGCTGGCCCAGCAGCAACAACAGCAACAAGCCGCTGCCGCTGCCGCTCAACAACAACAGCAGCAGCAGCAACAACAGCAAGGCCACCCGCACCATGCACAGCAACAGCAGCAGCAAGCACAGCAACAACAACAAGCCCAGCAAGCAGGAAGCCACATCGGTTTCGCCCATCCCGCAGTACAGACACAGGTACGCAACCTCACAAACGCGTTCATCACCAAGAACCTGCCGCGGTTTTCGGCACAGTTCAACGGCATGCCGATTCCCGAGGACCAGTTGGCCGAATTCAAGCGCAACTGCAACGCGCAAGCGCGTAACCATGTGTTCACCCTCATGCAGCAAGGCCGCTTGGGCCTGCCGGCCCAGGGCCAGGGCCAAACGCAAGCTCAATCGCAGGCGCAGCACATGGCGGCTATGCAGCAGCAGCAACAAGCCCAGCAGATGGGGGGACAGGGAATGTAGGGTCTTCCCGGCTGTGGAAGTGCACGGCGGGCCGCTTGGGTTTGCGGTCCGCTGGATGGGCTGGAGTCGAGCAGGGGTAGTCGGTCGTGGTTCAGCGATTCGTACTCGTCGCTATCGAGCGCCACTACCCGAATCGCTGAGCGTGAGCGCGGAACACGGTTTCAAAGGCATGCTTGGCACTCTGTGAGGAGTGACTGGGTTGGGCTAAGCATGTGGGAGCGAGGTGTACCGGCTGCTAAAGGGGGGAAGAAACTAAATTTGGGGAAAGATTTGGTGTCCGGGGGTGCATGGGAAGATTTCTTTATTTTTCAACGGCCACTGCGGCGCCAGGGCCTGGCGTTCAGGGGGGTAATTAGGATCACGGTGACGAAACGAAACGGGAATGGTTGACGTTTTGGGTTTGGCAGCTGTTCCCATGGGACAGTTCACCGGTATTCGAGGGCGTGGTTTCTCTTTTTCTTTTTTCCTTCTTTTTCTCTCGTCCACCTATATATACCCTGGGTGCCTGGGTTCGAGGTGGGGTTCAGCGGTTGTTTGGGTTTGTTTTTGGGTTTCTTCCTCCGTGGTCTTGAACCACGGATATATTTCTGGCGTCCCGGGCCATGTCCGTTGTATTTGTATGATCTAGCGTAACGTGAACAATTTTCCTTTACAAACGGTCCCAGTTGTGAGTGTGTGAAGATGGGTATGTCCAGATTATGGGAGAGTGGTGAAGCTCAGGGTCCCACGTGACCAGTGCCTGGATCTTGCATGCCTGAAATGCACGGACCCCAATGTGCCCTGGCAACTTCGGAAGCTGATGACGGAACCGGCCAAGCCTGAACGAAGCCAGGCCAGACAGTGGCAGAGCTCGTTCCAACAAGTCTGTCTCCTTCTGGAACTTCCCGAGCATCGAGCGCCCATCTTTCCATTCTTCGACACTGCGCCAGAACATCCCGATAACCGCCTACTCTGTGCACCTTCTCGCTGTCGTTAATAACTAGATTGTTTCCTTCTCTTCCGGTCCTCGCATTTTCCTTTTTTTGCCGCACCCGTCCCGTCCGATCCCGACACGCGACAGCCAGAAGCAACCCCTTAATAATCCCAACCGACGGGCTGTCTTTTCTTGCGCACCCATCCCCAACCCGACACCACCGCCCAAGCCGCAACCGAAAAATCACACACCACCATGAAGACACCATCAACCTGGTGGCCCGCCATCCTCCTCCTCTCCCCTACCGCATCCGCAATCACAACCACCCCCTCCGCACCAGCCGCAGCCGCAGCAGCAGCGGCGCCCGCCCCCCTAACATGCGACAACATCCTCGTCCCCGCAGCCAACAACAACGCCAACAGCAAGGGAGAGGGGGAAGAAAAGGAGCAACATAAGTATGACCTGCGCGCGCTGGCGGGGCCGCACGCCGTCGTCACCCACGAGTTCACGCGCCCGACGTACCACAATACGACGTACGCGATCGATTTGTGCGCGCCGCTAAAGAGGAAGGGCGAGGTGGAGCCGGGGGAGGCGTGTCCTGATGGGACGAGAGGTGCGTGTTTTCTTTTCTTTTTTCTTTTTCCTTTTTTTTTGGGTCTCCTTTTCTGGTTCTCGGTGGGGTTGAAGAGGAGTGGGAAAGGAGTGAGATTTAGGAGAGTGCGGCGATACTGACTGACTGACCATCACAGTGTGCGCGATCAAACACCGCTGGGACCACAAGGAGGATAAATCCGCGGGCATCGACCAGGTCATCCCCATCGTGGTCGGCGACGAGGACAAGGCGATAACGTGGAGCGCGAAGCAACTGCCGAAGACAGGGGCGCAAAAGGGCGGCAAGAAGGAGGGCCTGCGGCTGACGCTGCAGGGGCACACGTCGTACCAGGAGCGGGCGCAGCGTACCGTCGTCGAGTTCAGGTGTAACCCCGACCTGGAGGGGACCGAGAACGAGTGGGAGAGCGTGGATGTGTACGAGCCGGGTGAGGAGAAGAAGAGTGCGCGGCGGGCGGAGGAGGGAGAGAAGAAGGACGGTGATAAGGAGGGGGACAAGAAGGGTGATGGCGAGGGCGATAAGAAAGACGACAAGGGGGACGACAAGGGGGATGATGACGAGGAGAAGAGCACGCCCGAGAAGCAGCTCAAGAAGGACGGTGCGGCGCTCGTGTGGGAGGGCTACAAGCGGGAGAGCGAGGACGGCGTGGAAGTGGACACGCTGTATCTGACGTGGTACACCAAGCATGTGTGCGATTCGGCGGTGGATGAGCCGGAGCCCGCCAAAGAGAGCTCGCATTGGGGGTTCTTTACCTGGCTGGTCATCCTGTGAGTCTTTCTATCTCCATCCTCTCCCGGGTCAAGCGCACTAACAAGCCCAGGGTCTTCCTCGCGACTGCATCCTACCTCATCTTCGGCTCGTGGCTCAACTACAACCGGTACGGCGCACGCGGCTGGGATCTGCTCCCGCACGGCGACACGCTCCGCGACGCCCCCTACCTGATGAGGGACCTTATTCGCAAGGCGCTCAACACACTGCAGAGCACGGGTAGTCGCGGTGGGTACTCGGCTGTCTAGGCGGGCAGTCGGCTTCTAAGAGTGGATGGTCTACCGAAGCTAGGATCACGCTGAAACATTTCGTTGCCGGGTACAGATTAGACATGCTCGTATAGTTTTGCGGTTGTTATTGAGTTGGATGATAGCGCTGGGTTTGTGCTAGGTTCCATTGGGGGGGTCGGACATGGCATGGTCACGTCATAGTTGGCACTCGAGGCGTTGGGGTTTGTCTGTTGGTGCGTCGCTGACCCGGTAGTTGTATCATTAAGTGTAGCTTGTAAGGATACAGCGTTCTCACCCCTTGGGTGCCAGGGTGCCTCGCTGGTCCTCGGTTCTGCTGTGTATGTACATACACAGTAAGTGGTGGAGAAGAATCCGGGGGTGGGGCCGTTCAATCACCGAGGGGCTCGGACTTGGCTGTCACATGGCCTTGAATGTGCACACTGATTACTACTATGCCAAATCAAGCCGTGCGCCGGACAGTTCGGGAGGCTGATGCGAACGCAGGAACCGGGAACCTAGGAATGTGGATACGAAGTTGGGAGGAAGTGGCTCCTGGTTGCAGCCGAGGTAAACCTGGAACACGGCATCCATGTTCGCCATGTTCTTTGAGCCGGAGGGGCGCCGTTTGGGCTTACACAATCCACGCGCATACTTCATACACCAAACTCATTCTTGTCATCTTGGTTGACGACAATTCACTCCTATTCGACCTAGGAATCAAATCAAATAAAATAAAATAAAACCAAATCCAACAATACACATAAAAGACGAACGATATGAGTACCAAAACCCTCTTTCAACTCCCCATCCCCCCGCTGGGCGACCATGTCGGCGGTTCCATTGTGGTCACTGAGCCCGAGCCGGCTGTCTACCTGCTCACCATCAACTCGCCGCCCGACAACCGGTTGACGACGGCATCATGCACTGCCATACTCGACGCCCTCGACCTGATTGAGTTCGGCGGGTACAAGCCCGGCGTGGTCATCACCACCAGCGCCCTCCCCAAATTCTACTCGAACGGCCTCGACCTAGAACACGCCCTTTCCAACCAGAACTTCATTCCGGGGGTGCTATACAAGCTCTTCAACCGATTCCTGACGTACGTTCACCCATCCTCCCCATCCCCCCACCCCACCCCCACCACTAAACCCCCACATACAAACCTACCGTGATACACACACCAAACTAACCCCCCTCCCCCCAAAAGCTACCCCATGCCCACAATCGCCCTCCTCCCCGGCCACGCCTTCGCCGGCGGCCTCATGCTGGCCATGCACCACGACTACCGCATCATGAACCCCACGCGCGGCTTCGCCTGCGTCAACGAGCTGGACTTCGGCGTGCCCCTGAAAGCCGCCATGAGCAGCATCTTCCGCCTCAAGCTCCCCGCCACCACGTACCGCGACCTGGTGCTCGAGGCGCGGCGGTTCAGCGGGCCCGCGGCGGTCGCGGCGGGGTTGGTGGATGGCGTGGGGGATCTGCAGGCGGCGTTGGGGCTGGTGAGGGAGAGGGGCCTGGAGAGGAAGGCGGGGACGGGGATTTATGGGCTGATGAAGGCGGAGATGTATAGGGAGAGTGTGGCGTTGTTGGGGAGGGAGGGGTGGGAGGAGGGGGAGGAGAGGGATCGGGCGCTGGCGGAGGGTGAGGGGAGCAGACGGGAGGAGGGGGAGAGGAGGGTGGGGGAGTTGAAGGGGGAGATGAAGGCGAGGTTGTAAGTTTATGTTTGTATTTTTGGGAGGGTGTGTGTATTTAGTGGATGTGTGTATGTATGTATCTACGGATCAGGAGGGTCTTGTGTAGTTCGCCCTTTAACGATGCGACATGTAGAATCCAAGTTATAACGCAATGCAACTCAGTTCGAAGACCTTGACCTGATTTTGTCTAGCTAGTGTCTATGTACATACATCACCCGTGCATACCCATACCATACCCATCTAGTCCCTCCCATAGACACGCTAAGCCCGACTAGCCCCAGCAACCGAACCAACCCTCCCAAGAAATCCCATGCGCTCTCTCATACGAAACAATCTCTGCGCTGAGGAAGAGGCGAAAGCCAGGAAACGAATACGCCGCTCAATAGGCTATGCAGGGTATGTCTGACCTACTCGACCTCGAACACTAATAAAACAACACACCCAACCCAACCCCAACCAACGCCCCTCATACACCGCCACCCCGGCATCCCCCAAGCCCTAAGAAAGTAGCAAAGCAGCAAGCTTCAAGGTTGAAGAAGCCAGCCCAAAAGAGGAGAATAATACACCATCATCACCCATCAGAAGAAGAACCCCCCACCCAAACTCACTTCACACACTCGTGAACCCCTCATCCTCCTCGTCCACCTCCGCCTCAAACCCACCCACCCCATTGCCATTATTCCGCGCCTGGCACGCCAGCCCCATCTCGGCTCTCGTATCCCTCTGGATCTGCAAGAAATACCTGCGCAGGCTCCTCAGGCCCCTCAAGAACCCGCGGTCCGGCTCGTCCGGATGGCGCGGCGGGCACGGCCTGTCGCGGGCGGACAGGTCACCCGCCGTGACACAGTTGGCGAAGTCGGCCATCTTGAAATCGATCTCGCGGGGGTTCTTCCTCGACCGCCGCGGGGCCTCCTCGGTGTCGGTGGCGAAGTCGGTGGTGGAGTCGTCGATGTAGTTACCATTATTACCATTACTGTTGTTGGTGCTGCTGTTGTTGTTGTTGTTGTTGTTGTCGGACGAGGTGTCGCCGTCGTAGAACATGAGCAGGCTGGCGGCGTAGAAGCGGTACCCGCGCAGCCGCTTGATGATGACCTCGAGCTCGTCGAGCTTCTGCAGGACGGTGGGGATGTGCGCGAGGATGCTGGCGCGGTCGACGCCGTTGTACAGGAAGCGGGTCAGCGCCGCTTGGAATTCGGCGCCCTTCTTCAGCTCGCGGCCGTAGTACTTGTCCTTGAAGACGTAGCTCTGCGCCTGCGCGTCCCACACCTGCAGGCCGCAGACGCGCACGCCGAGCTCGCGCGACGTCGTCTTGGCGCACTTGCCCTGCTGGGACTTCTGCTTCTTCGCGTTGGCATCGACACCGTACTGGCGCGTGCCCATCTTGAGGTCCATGATGCAGGGTCGCTTCATCCCGGCCGTGAGGTCTTCGAGGAGGAGGAAGTACTCGACGCGGGAGTCGCGCTGGGTCTGAGCTTCCTTGGGGTTGATGGGGCGGGGGATCTTGCCAAACTCGAGCGGACCGACGGGCGGCCCGAGGGCTTGCTCTTCGACCGCTTCTCCCTCGCGGATTGGTTCACGCTCGGGCGACGCCTGGAACACTTCCATTGGCGCATGGCTCTCGCGGTCGCCTTTGTAAGTCGCGTCGTCGGCCTCCTCAAAGTACTGCAGGTCGCCACGACCCTCCCGGACATCCGTCGGCTTCCTACGCAGACCGGTGCCGGAGTAGCGGCGCTTCTTCTTTTGGGCCGGTGACGCTCCCAAGATCTCGGGCTCGGGGGCACTAGTCCCGGTCACGTCCTTGGGGTCAGCCTCGTCCTCACAGAACCCGGACACCTGACCAAGGTCGCTCTGGGTGTGCGCGTGGGAACCGCCGTTCAAGGGGGGTGGCGGGTCGCGGGCGGGCCCGGCTGATTGGGACCGCTTCTCGCGTGATTCTATCAAACTCGGGTCCGACCCGGACGATCGGAGTGATTGATGGAGCGCCCGGCGGGCCACGCGTTGGTGTCCCTTGCGGTGGCGGTGGATGGCTACCGGCTGCTTTAGGAACGCGTCATTGAAGACCTCGTTCCTCAGCTTCTTGTTCACCGTGGTGGCACCCCAGCTGTTGGCGTGACGGTCCTGCAGGCTCGGGCGCGATGGATCGACCCGACTGTTCACAGGGCGCCCCTCCTGCCTGGCGCATAGCACCCCCTGCATGGACCCGGACGCGCTCCTAAAGCGCCCAAGGATGCTAGGGGAGTTGGTGGTCGGCTGGAGAAGGCTTCGCGGCAAGATGTGCTGATTATCGGCGAAGGTTACAGTCGGAATCTGGCCTGAAGACTGCTTAATCGACTGGCTGATGACTCGAGGTGCTCCCGGGGTCTGCGGTGCCGAAGACTGCTGGCTTGCCTCGCCTTGGTTCGCCGCATTTTTCAGGTCTGCAGACGGCCCGTTCAATACTGCACGGGAACGTTCCACAGCGGCGTCGTCCCGCTTCATGGTAGACTTGCGCCGAGGTTGTTTTTGGAAAGTGACATTGAGCACTCCGATATATCTAGACAACTTCCGTTAGCACATTGCCAGCCTCGGGGACGAATCAACGGGGGCCCTTACCTGGGCAAGAAAGCCAGCAAATCGCGATGGTACTTCTCGATCTTTTCGTAGAATTCGTTTTCACGGTTGTTCAACTGCTTGCAGACAGCACGGCGGGAAAACCTCCACAAAGTGGTGTGGCCCCCAACTTGATGCTTATAAGGGATCAGCTCAATGGCGTCCAACGGCTGCTTCGGTGACAATTGATGTTCGTGGATGGCATCCTCATGATACTGCGAGACCGGACGAGACAGGCGGGAGGAGAGAACAGCAGGTTCACGTTGGGCAACAGGGGAGGATTCTTCAACCTGCCTGGAGGCTACCTCGGGAGCTACACTGGGATACTCGGTAGCTTCTGGCCCCATCTTACTCTCAAAATCACGGCTTTCCCGCTCGCGATCGGTCTCGGGCTCGTCAGCTTTGACAAGCCAGGGGTGGAAATCACCATGTCGCGATTGCCTCCTCGAGGGCACAATTCTCTGCGGAATTCCAGGCATCGGCGAATGTTCCGGGGACTCATCAGGGGCCTGATGTGGCAAGAACACGGCTGACGAGATCTTCTCTTCCCCGGACTCCTCGCCCTCCTCGGTACTCTCTCCAGTCCCGATGCTGAGGTCGGAAACCCGCCGCGGCTTGACCTGACGGCTCTCGTCCATCGGATCGGGCTCCTGTGGCTCTTCTTCGTCCAACTTGCCCTCAGACGCCTCTGGTTCGGCTTCAACGTGCCGAACGTGCTCAACGGGTTTCACGGCAAAATAGTCTTCGGGCGAACCTTGGACAGTCTTCACCTCGGGGGTTCGCGTCGGAAGGGAACGGGGCCAGTCTTGCCGGTCAGTCGTCAATGCGACGTCCCCAATTGCCTGAGCCTCCGCCGCCTCACCGCCCAATTGCTCTTCAATGTCAGCAAGCTTCTCCCCGCCGGAGGGTGACCTCTCTCGCGAGGGTTGTGGTGGGCGCTGATCCTTGCGCTTCCCTTTCTCCTCTGGGAGGCCCTCCTTGAAGAAGCGTAGGCTGTGGCTAGCCTTTCGGCTGCGATTGTTGTGCTCGACCCCCGCGAGAACCTCCGAGATGGATTTCTCGACCAGTCCGTCTTTGCCGTCTCCAGAATCACCCGAACCAATTGACCACGCTTTCTCAGGTGCCATGGACACGCGGTGATCTGTCTTCCACGTTCTGGGTTGGGGGCGGCCGTCCGTCAAGCTATGGTCGCCGTCGGCTCCATCGTGTAGGGCAGCGGGAGAATCGGCAAGACGTGGCGAGGCGAGAGAAGTGGTGCTGGTCTTGTCACCCGAGTAGGTATTCCATCGCCCCGTTCGCTCCCTCTCAGGAGTCTCGGCTGGTCCGGTTCTGCCCTTGGCCTTGGTCAGGAATTCGCGATGGCCGCTGAGCATCGAGTTGACTTCGCCGAGGTCGAGCCTGCCGTAGACAGGGGGGGCCACGGTGGTGGAAGTGGCGGTAGAAGAAGACATGGCCGTCTTTCGAGGAGAGAGTGGTGCTGTCAGGGAATCGCCATCGCCTTGGGACCGAGAGCCATGGTGGTGATGGGAGTCTCGCCTTTCGGGGTCTTGGTTGGGGGATTCTGGGAGCTCAGACGAATGCTGGGCGGGGTGGGAAGAATGTGTGTTATGAAGGTGCGTCGGGTCGGAGTGATTGTGTCTCGGGATACCGCGAGCTGTTGCAAGAGCCTGGGTCAGCAAGGAAGGGCCGTGGGGCCTTTGTAGGGCGGCAGGGCCCCGGGCATATTTAACGGGATCAGCATGGGCCGCGGCAGAGATTCCCGTGGCTTGAGCGGTCAGGGGAACCGAGCCGGGCGTGCCTTGCTGGGCGGCAGGGGGTGATTGTGGTAGTGGTGGTGGTGGTACCGACGAGACGGACCCTTCTTCTTCTACCGCCGTCGCCAGAGGACGAGGCGGCGGTGGCGTTTGCGTCTGGGCTTTTGGAGGAGAGGGCACAGCGTCGCCAGTATCGGCAGCCCGAACGGGACTCACCGCTACAGCATCATCTGCGGCTGCGGCATTTTCGGGGATACGGGACGGGTTAGACATGAGTAAAACATCTGGCGGCGCATAAAGGTATGCGCTGCTGGAAGTGGTGTGGTGGTGTCGGGGGTGGTTTTCTTGGATGGAGGGGACCGGGAAAGAGGGAGGATTGACAGGATGTTTTTTCGGGAAAACCGTGCCCAGTAAATTGACTAACACAGTACTGCGTCCCGCTGGTACGCCACACGATGCAATCCCTTGGTCCTGCTGAAATATACTGTGTGGTGTGAGATTCGGTTGCCACACTGGTGTTCCTCGATCAACTGCATTCAACGAGCGTGGATGGTTGATTGGGTTTTGCGGGGTTCTGAGAGTGTTCGCAAACCCAGGCAGGCACAGTCCAGGAGGAAAGTTAAATCAACAAGATAAGGAAGCGAATGGAAGCGGCGAAAGCAGGCAAGGTGCGCGCTGGCTTGTGGGGACTTGGCAAGCTCTGACGCAAGGGACCGGAAGTGTGGCCATTTGTTTGTGTGGTGGATACCCGACCCGGCGATTGGAGAATGCCTCCTTGGCAGCCTGGGGAAAAACCCACAACAGAGACAAAGTGGAAGGTCCAGCCTCTGGGTCGTGAACACTAACACTGGACCGGGTGCAACAAAGCGCAAATCATGAGCTTCTTGTCAGCTGAGAGAGCGGCCATGGGCTAGCGCACCTTGATGGCCTCTCGGCCTGAAACCGAGCTGAATTCTCTGCGGAGTCCGGTCAAATTTTCTCTTCCTCTCGATGGCTTTTGGCGTGCTTTTGGGTTTATCAACCGGCAACGTTATTGCAGATCGTCTGCAAATTCGTCGGCTGAAAAACTGTCAAAACAGGACAGGCGCCATGATAAGAACGGTTTAGGTTTATGCAAGCCCACCACCCATCTTCGAGCGGTAAGCTAAGCCTTGCAGTCGGAGTGTGTCGCCTGTCCTACATTGCACAGAATATCTAATGAGAGCCCAGCTATCTTTCCTGCAGCCCGAACCGTTCCAATGCCTGCGTGCGTGCGTGCGTGCTTCGCAAGAGAGCTCGCAACGGCAGCTCCGATATTGAGGGATCCACTGCGCAGTCCGAGGCCCCATCGATTGGTGGCTGTTACGCAACGGAATCTGCCATCGAGATCACGTTGCGCTGCTTCGGAAGATGACAGGCTTCTCTGGGCAGGAGGAAGCTCCCCCATTGGATGCCGCGGCTCGCACACACAGACGGACCTCAACCGACAAGAGATATCGCCAGAGATGCCGTCGCGCCGAGCTTCTGCCAAGCGATCAGTGGCACAAAACAGTCGGACCGGCCGATCTGGAAGTCTGGACAATTAATCGCAACCTCCGCCAGAGGAATGTGGACAGATTATACGGTCTACGACATCGTTATCTTCACAGTATCTTGGGCCTCTTTTGCACGGTAAACTAACGTTATCATCTTGTCAACTCGACCGATGGCGGAGTCTGCCCCCAGTTTGACGGCACGGCACGTTGCAGCGCGCTAATGGTCCGATCACGATGGACTTCCCTTCCGCCCGCCTATCAACCGCAACGGTGCTCTGACGAGGTACGGGATCATCTTGTCATCTTGTCATCGTGAGGTCGTCTCATGCCGAAATGCGGAGGCCCTAGGACCCGGAAGCTGCTTCCCTGCATCATCATCATGGAGCCGAGCCTTCAAAACCAATCAGCCGAGAACGTGCTCTCTCGGACCCTTGACCGTTTGGTCCCTCTCTGCCCTGGCATCGCTCCTGTGTTGCAGTCCTCCATCGATCACCGTTGGGAACATGTCATGGCGGTACAGATTCCAGTGCCCGCTTGGCTCGTCAGCGGCTTCGCTTGTGCTTTCCCCTCTCTCTCTCCGGGGCTCGTGGAGAAGTTAAACCCAAGTCTGGGTCGAAAACAAGGGGCATACATGACACGGCCATGGCATTTTTGGAAGCATGCCTGGACCATGAATATGTCATTTTCCGGCACACGCCGGTCGTTCGAAGTGACAGACATGTTGGGCTGCAGGCGCCACGGTCTCGGAAGTTCGGAATTGTCCCAAGCTGGTGGGTATCATCACACCCCTTCAAGTTGAAGCCCCTTTCCCCGCTGTCCTTCTACTCTTATTAGCGAAAAGAGCAATCGCCTTACTCAAAGGTCGAGACACGCCGAGATACCCTCAGCGTCGCCGATGAGGCTCTGTGCAACAATGCAACAACGCCTCCCGCCCCCTTTTCCCCGGCAATCTAATGTGGACGGCGACGAAAGCAACCGCACCGCACGACTCGGCGCTGGGACGGTCTTGGCGCTCTTCCTCGCAGAGACAAAACACAACCTTTAGACACGCTCGAGTTTGCCTTCTTACCGCGGTATCCTAGCGAAACACCAGGGGTTACACCGCATGCTGCGTCTTGCTCGCAGCGCTGGGTCCTCGGGCTCGTCTTTCCACCCAGGCATCGTCTCGAAAAGGATCCAGCCCCTGGAGAGCCAATGGCCAGCCCATGTGTGCCATTTTCCCTGCTGTGAGACGTCGACCGGGCCCTTAACTTTCACCTTTCCAACCGCATGCTTTGATCGCCCCGGGGGATTGGGCTGTCACTCTGTGTCCGGGACTTTCCCTCGTCGTTCATACGACGAGGGAACCCAATCTCACCTTGGAGGCCTCTTTTTGCTCTTGACGGCAACAGAACACGTGTCGACCTACCGGGTTAAAGGGACAGTGTTGTCGTGGTTGATGTCTTGCATCTCATAGGTGAGGAACCGTCAGTGCAAGAGCTCCTAGACAGACATCTTGGTACGCAAACGATGAATCCGGGGCTTCAGCGGACGACCGGTACACCATGCTATTAGTCAGAAAACAACATACCGAGTGTCCTTAGCTAGGCTCTGATGGTGTCATCCGGAAAATCGCTCTCCTCGAGCGGTTCAGGACCCCGTACGTAACAAAACTATCGGCCATGCAGGACCAAACGACGATCCACCAGCGCAAGCCGGCGGGGGAAATATACCAGAAACATCACCCGCCTGTTAGCGGTGCGGCTTCACTTGTTGATGTTCGTACGTGCAGGTGGAGGGCCTACGGTCTATCAATATCCGGAAAATGTTCTCGGATTCTAACAAATGAGGTGTGACCGAGGGATATATGACGCGTAGGAACCGGCTAGACGAACCAAATTGAGCTAAGGATACTACATCCTCTAGAGGCGTTCTTTATGTGACCCATATTTCCAGCTAAGCCGTTCCGCACTTCTAATCGCCGGTTTGAGAAACAGGGAGGAGTATGGTGCTTCGAAGATATCGAGCTGGTTGGAATAAAAAAATAACTCGACCCTCCTCGATGATCACTTCACATTGACTATATCGATGTCATTCGGTCAACTTCACATTCGCCGTCCATTGAAGTGACTTGGCCGTCATTGTAGCTAGGTGAATGCGGATGAAGTATCGTCTTCTTGTTAAGCAAGCAAACCCAACCAGCCCAAAGAATGTACGAGTGCGGTGCCCTTATGTAGAAAATATCAACTCGGCATAAGAACCAGTTCACCATCAAGTCTGAGTCTCGGCTTGATTTTGATATGGTTATTCGCTTGCCACATGTGAATACAGGGTCTCACTTTAGGATAAACTGAACGTATTGTTGAAACAACTCAACCTTTCAACGCCCTCTCATATATGCTTCGACTCGCCGACCTTCCAGGGTATAATAACAATAAACACCAGCTCCAAACCAAACCACCCAGCAAACATAGAGAGAGCCATGCCTGGAGAACTCTCAGTCCCAAACACCAACATCCATCAACCCTGACAGCCTAGGCCCGTCACTGTCCATACTAACATGTTCCCGACTCTCCCTTGCTTGTTCTGTCCTCGCTTTGGCAAGGTCAGCATCGAGATCCCAGGTCCCCCCGAGAAAATCATCCAAGTTCTCCATCACCGCACTGACTTCATCAACCACCATCTCCTCTTGCGTCTCCTCTTTTACTTCCTCCTGAGTTTCCATCTCTGCCTCTTCCTCCATCTCCCCTCCTTCAACTTCCTCACTCTCGCCCGCTGCAGCACCCTTTTCCACACTCGCCCCTTCCAACTCAACCTCACCCACCCCCTTTTCAAACACCACCCCAGACTCTCCATCTCCATCCCCATCGCCACCACCACCACTACCACCACCACTACCACCACCACTAACATCACCACCACCACCCTCCACAACCCCCTCCGCCCTCAAAAACGCCTCCGCCATCGCCTCCACCCCAGGGCTCTCACAAACCTGCTGCGACGCGCTCGGCAACAACCGCACCATCGGCCCGCCACAACCCGCCCGCTTCCCACCACCACCAGTACGGGGAGTAGCAGCACCGCCCGCAGTAAGCGCAGTAACAGTAGCAGCGGCAGTAAGCCGTTGAAGAAGCGGCGTGGCGCCGACCCGCCTGCCGGCGACGGCGGCAAAGTGGCGGCCGAACTTTTGGTTGGCGGCGGGGAGGCTGGCGGTGGAGAGGATGCTGGGCGGGGGGGAGGTTGCGCGCGGGCGGTGGGTGGGGTTGTTGTTGCGCTTGGGTTGGGGGTTGGTTTGCTGCGAGGATGAGGATGGGGGGAGGGGGTTGTTGGTGCTGGGGGTGGAGGGTGTGGTGGTGGTGGTGGTGGTTGTTGGCATGTCTGGGTCGAGGAAGGGTGAGGGTTCTGCTTCGTTCGGGAGGGGGGCCCAAGAAACGTGTTTTGTTGCGCAGTGTTGTCGTGATTGTTTTAGTGTTGGCTTGTATTTTGTTGCCTTTACCGTGGGCGGCCGGGTCCATGGGTTGGAGATGGTTGCGTCGACGAGCGCTTGGGTGCTGGGTAGGTAGCCGTCGGTCGCGGTCGAAATGCGGCGCCGTTTTGCAGCGGGTTGTGGGGAGGGAGTCATGAAGTTCTTGAACGACTTGACGGAGAGGGTGAAATCAGGTGTTGGGAGGCTGGATTGCTTTGTCTCAGGGGTCGATGGGGGGTGAGGATATGGTTGGGAATCGCACATGTCGATGTCCTCGCCGTGGGTTACTTGGGGGTGAGGTACAGGATCCGCGGTGGGTAGTACGTGACTGTTGGCGGGTGAGGACAGATGGTTGAACAGCCGGACCTCCGGCAGCTGCATCTGCGAATCGCCTCGTGCCCAGGGACTTTGTGTTGCCTTTTGCTCAATTGTCTGGCTTGCCATGAAGGATAGTCTTGTCTTCGCGTGGTGGGGGTGAGGGAGTGGTGTGGGGATGTCTAAGGCGCCAGGTACGTCATCAACTGTCTTAGTCCACGGACTCTGGGTGGACTTGAGCAAGTTCGGTTGGGTGTCCACTGTTCCTGTGTCCTCGGTATTTTGTGGCAGGGAGTTGTGTGATCTCGGACGGAGCGGTGCGTCGTCGGTTGCCCACGGGCTTTGAATTTCTGGAGGTGGACAAGAGGAGGCGGGTTGCATGTGTTCGTCTCTGTTTCCCCTGGGATCAGAATCAGCGGGTGATTCAATTTGCAGCTCCTCCGTCCCAGGTGTATCCTCGTCTTCGGCCTCGCTTGCTGTTTCGCTATCTGTCTTCATTTCCACAGCAACGCCTCCCACTTCCACAACCACTTTATCAACCACGGAGGAGTTCTCTTGAATGCGATTATTAATCTCGTCTGTTGACTCTTGGGGGACCTCGGCTTCTTCGAATGGGTGTATGCATTCCTTAGTTTGAATCGAACGATTCGACAACACCGAGTGGGAACGCCCAGACCTAGAGTCCGACTGAGCCGGCGCTGGAGTATGGATCGATTCCCGTTTAACGACGGGGAGGAAGTCGCCCCTTCCAGCATTCCGCCGCTGGTTGGGCCAAAGTAACCTTCGGGGCATTCCAACAGCTTCTGAGATGATGTCCTGCGAGAGCTTCTCTGCTGAAAAGTGTCCGAAGCTGGGCATGCTGGGGTGCTCTGAGCTGGACGGGGATGCCGAAGGAACCAGCGTGGGTCCGTCAATTTGCGAGGCAGTCTCTGTCATATCCTCGTCCTTGATCTGACTCTGACTTTGACTCCGATCAGCTGCCTCTTCGGCCTGTTGCAGAAATTGTTGGGAAGTTTCAGTTTGAGGCGCGTCTTCATGTATGCCTTGCTCTTGAACTTCCTCAAGCTTTACAACGGTATCCGGACTGATGGTTGCAGCATCGACTGAAGGCGCCCTGGCAAAACCCGGCCCCGGTGCTTCTTTATCTGCCGCCGTACTTGTTGTCCGGGATGATCGGTCGCTAGGGTTTTGGCGCTCTGCCGTATCGCTCGGCGCTGATAGGGGATGCGCCAGCTTACTCCTGCCCGAGGACAACTTTTCCCCCCTGGCGTCCTTGCGCCTGTATCGAAAGCTCCCATCCGTCCGGGCGCTCGCCTGCGTCTTTATCTGGGCAGAAGACGCGGTTGCGTGCAAGAGGGTACCGTTGGGTGTGGCGTTACCGTCCCCCAATCCATTAGCGGCTGGTGGCTTCGATGAGGAAGACCGCTCCGTTGACGGATATAAATATGTTCTCGCGGGCGGGTTTAAATGCTGGTGAGTCCTGACAGGGCGCAAAGAAGGACTTGACGGCTCCAGTAGGCTTATTGGTGGCGATGAGAGACTGGAACTAGGGCTGCCTTGGTTGATTTGGGCGTAGTTTGGAGCAACAACAGGCCCGGTCTTAACCCATAAGGGCGGCCCAGAGCTCGCAGGCGCATCCTTTGGAGTGTCCATCGTCATGTCGGATTGTCTCCTATAGGTTTGTTGTGTTGCTCTCCTCGAGTCGGCCGAAGCAGGCTCCGACTGCGACACCTGCCGGATGGAGCTCGTAGGGGCATCGCTTTCAGCAACCACATTGTCCCGCCATGTCCGTACCCTGTAGAAAGCATCGCCATCCATATACCGCGGGAGTGTGTAGGTAATTTCAGGGGGCGCGGGCCTACGCTCTGGGGTGGGTTGTCGAAAGCTGCTTGAGTCGAAGAGGCCGCTTGGATCGATTTGCGGTGCGCCTCCCCTCGATGCTGCCAGTCTTTTCCTCCGAGCTGTCTTTTCCCGGGAAGCTGATTTAGAACGCCATGGATTCACCCAGCCGGATTCCCTGTTGAACGGTCCACGCAAGGAGGCCGACAGTAAAAATACCGGCTTTCCCTCGAGGAAGCGCTCTGCCTGAGTTTCGCAGCGAAGACGGCGCTCGGTGGGGCTGCTGTATTCCTCATCGTCTGAGCCATGGTAGAGGATTTCGTCGGGATTCTGAGGGGGTTCGCAGTAAATCGGCTCGTCGCAGAAGTTGTCGGGGTGCAGCCATTCCAGGTCTGCAGTTCCAAAACGGCGCTTCATGGTTGTAATATTGGATTCGTTACATTGGCATTTCGATCGGCGTATATTCGGAGTTGTCGATTTGGGATAGTGTTGAGGTGTTGTTGATATTAGGTTGGTCAATCAATGGTTTGTGGCACTGCACAGCATGTCTCTGTTTGTTCGTCTGTTCCCTCTCTCCCACATCTGTTAGCGTTGTGGAATGGCCGGGGTGGCTGCAGGTTGCCCCGGGCCCCCCAACAAGTGGAGCAAGACGCGTTTGAGACGCGCTGCTTCAATTAAAATGGCCTCGCGCAGTCAGCTGAGATCATCTGCAAGCTCTTTCGGCTGGCGGGGTCAATGCTCGGCCGGTTGCCTGGGGAATGAGACCATGGAAAAACATCCGCCAATCAACAGAGTCGCTCGTGTTTACCCCCAAAACGCGGATTGGATGCACCCAAATTCGAATGGACTGAGATTGACCAATCTTGACTGACAGTGTCGAAAACTAACCCAAACCCGCATTCCTTTCGGGTAGTGTCTTGACTGGTCCAGTATCATCTCTTTTCTTATTCATTGTCGCATTCGAGTGGCTTTGCGACAGCAATCAGGGGTACACTTATCTTTTGCGGCCCTGCCATTTCCAGCTCCGCAGAATGCCGTGACAGCCCCAAGAACCTGACAAACCGACAACCCGACAACCCCGCCAAACAGTGCAATCGATCATAATTCGCCAAACAACAGCAACCCCTTCCATCCGCCCCAGGATCCCACGCCTTCATGACGGCCTAATACCAGCATCTTCGCAACCCACAACACCCGACATTCACCACATCGATATCCACCCCGCGCCACCATGGGGCACGCCTGGTTGGACTCCTTGTCGGAGGACTGGGTGTCGCAACCTGGATCTGCCGACGCGTCCTTTGCCGAAGCTGCTCCTTCCCCCGACCCGAAGCTGCCAAAACCTCAAACGCCGAGTAGGATACCGCGTTTGAGTCCCCACACCAGGAAATTCCACAATCCCCCAGGTGGAAGTGGCAACAACGCCAACAGCGGTGGCAGCAACAGCGGTAATAACGCTAGTGGGAATATCCTCGGCGAACGAAGCATTAATGAACGACTGGCCGCCCTGCGTCGCACCCCATCCAAGCTCTCACAGGAGCTGAGTCCCAATGGCCGCGATTGCCATGCTTGCCGCTCCGCCTCAGCCTCGACTACTAATTCCGTCGTCCGCAAGAGCTTTCTGCGTAAGTCGCTGAGCGCCTCACAGTCTAAGGGGCAAGGGGGCGACACACCCGAGTGGAAACGGCGTCTCGTCTATGGGGACTTGTCATATGGGGAACAAAAAGACCTGTTCACGTCTGCAGGCACGGGACTGGAGAATATGTTCAAGCCCCCACTGGCGATGTCAGGAGGCCCTTCACGAGACGGACCAACCGGGTCCTCCTACCACGAACACGACTCACAGTTGGATGTCGCCGTCCCATCCAGTCCTCCCCCATATCACTACCAGCGCGATCCATCGACAGTGGAGATACATGTAGACGAAGCACCACAAAATTCTGGGTCGGCACGAACTCGACACACCGATGCGCCCGCCGATGCAAGGGGGGAATCTGGGTTCGGCACCCACCAGGAGGGTTGTTCGCATCACTCGTCCAACATGAACCAGACGGCACTGTCGGCCGACGGCGAGTCGCGCAAGGTCAGTGGCCGGAGCGACATACGCAACGAAGACTTCAGTCCTATTATTCTGGAGAGGCGCCAAGCTAGCGACGGCGCGACGACTTTCAGTCCCGCCGACCTGCCTCCCGATGAGCTCCGCAAGCGGCTCGAGATGTTGCGACGAAACCAAATGATCGTCACGGGCGATGCCAATGGGGGCTCGACCCAGAACCGAACTGCACCACGTCATCTTGAAATCACACAAGACCACTTTAGGTTAGACGGGTTCGTCAACTTTCAAAGAGGCGGTCGGTCCGGGGAGGGTTCTTTCCGCAACCACGTGCTGAGCTCCGCTCTAAACGACAGCTCCGAGCTGAACCCGGAGGAGTCCCTCCAAGCGAGCACCCCGAAGCAGTTTCCGAGCGTAAGGGTCGAACAATGGGACACGTCCGAGCACGTCCCCGTCGATAGCCCAGACTTCCCACGGGCCCCGGACCCGAGCCCAGAGAAACGGCGGGTACCGGTGCATCTCAGCCCTGACAGCCCCCTGAAACTCTTCCAACCTTACGATACCTTTACCAACCAGACCCTCCTCAGGCGCCTAAGTCAGATGCATGAAGAAGCAGGGGATAATTCCTTCTCGATAGCCGTAGACGAGAGTCGGCTACAGGGTGACAGCCCATCAAGGCTACTCCTCCCAGCGTCCCACGATGGGGTTGAGGATCATTCTTCCGCTTATGCCAACAGGTTTGGCGCTGGAGAACTTGACGGGTACGAATTCAACGATGAGTTTTCCCACATGACCCACGACGCCACTGGTATGGACGGGGATAAGGAGAACCGCGAGCCGGACGAAGACTCTATCCTTCCGTCTCACCCACCCATTTTTGACCTCACCCACGACTCTTCGCCGTTGGAGACACCGGAGCTCGTGGTAGATCGGCGGCGGAAGTCTACGACCTCCCATCCGTCGCGACGTTCAGGCAGGGCTTCGTTTCCCGCTTATTTCGACCTCTCTCCACCCGGGGGACGGAGGGACTTGTCTGGTCCGGAAATCAAGCGGCCCCGCACATCGCCCACAAAAGACCCTACTCCCAAGCGGCGGAGGACCTTGCACAGATCAGACGTCTCATATGGGACCGAAGAGTTTAACTCGGCGGCCGACTCTGCCCAATTGTCCCACCACCAGGGACGATCGGGTCTGGGCCGGTTCAGGGAAGACGCTTACAGCAGCAGCCACCATGGCACCGCGGAATTTGACGGCCGACAATCGGTACGTCCCCGGACGCCGACACCAAACCAGAGGTCTTCAATCCAGCGGGAGCGCCAGTCCCTTGCCCAAATGGAGAGGTCGCCTGGCCGTTCAAGTAGGCACTCGCAGCCTCCGCTCGCCCACCCGGTGGGTGCCACAGTTGAGACACACCGGAAACCATCCATCAAGACCGAGGACTTCATCAATGAAGCAAACAAAATCATGGCCATGATCCGCAGCAAGGCCGGCCTAGCGAGCGGTCTTACCAGCGTCGAAGAATCCGACGAAGAAAAGGGCCAACCCTCTCCAGAACTTGACGGATCCTTTGAGGAGTCTACTCAGGAACCCTTCTCCCGACCGCCCAGCCGGGAGGGTCGTCCTCCCCTCACGCGTATGTCCACGAAGCAGGAGGACCCTGTTCTTGCCGAGCAGCTCAAGAAATACGAGGAGGCCAGCGACATGGGTGACCTGATTCCCTCGTCGGTGCGCTCAACTCGGCTTGCCCAAGAAGCGATTTCCGTAACAAGGGAGCAAGCGACGGCGGAGTGGGCTAACAGCCAGAGTCAAACATCCGAGCCCCATTCCGATTTCGTCAGTGACCCTCCAAACATTCGCATCTCGCGGAACCCCGACTGGCAAGAGCAACATTCTGCCCATGGCCCCGACGATGCCGTACCCTCCCAAGACTCGGCGCGCTTCAATACCCATAGTACGGGCGTTTCCATTCCGACTGTGTCATCTGGCGGGTCATCACGGGGATCTGACGCAAGGAAAACAATCATGCCGGAAAGCGTCTGCCACTTGATTCCGGACCAGGTCGGGAACATGATTCTGGACAGGCAGCGCAACATGTGGATCAGGAGGAAGGGATCCGCCGAGTCGAAAGAGAGTTTCATACAGTCCGAGATCAGCGAGGACGACCCGTTTGCCGATATTCCAGATCTATCGGTCGATGTGACGAGGGAGATGCAGAACCTCCTCTTGACTAGAAAGAGAGAGGATGCGCTCCAAAACCGCGATCCAAGCGCCGCACAAATCAGCCCGACGAAGCCGCATAGGGTGGGTTCACTTACAAGGGCGGCCCTTGATGCGGCCGTCGGGTCGCCAATCAACCAATACCCGGATCTGGGCGGCCGTGAAGAGTTCGTCGAGCATGAAATCAGCGTCAACGAAGAAGGAGTAAAGGAAACCAGGCGACTCACCATCAGCTTCTCGTCTCCCGTCGCATCCGTGATCCAAGACGTGGCCGGCATCAATGATATGCTGCCCGGGGACAACATGCTCGACCAGGAGACCGACTCCCGGGACCCACCGGCTAGGGGTCGGAGAATAGTCTCGGTTCACAAAACGACGAGGAGTAGGTCGGCCAGGTCACGCAGCACCTCGCGCGGCCCGGCGCGCCATCTCTCTTTCCGGGGCAAATCTCTGATGGCACGCCCCGTGTCCAGGATCGACGAACGAGATGAAGATTCTGCCGGGGGCCATGACCAGGGCCATGAGCCAGTTTCGGGTATGGAACTAAGCGTCCTAGGGGACTACAGCCTGGCCAACAGGGACGACAGCGGGGGCCACGGCAGCCTCAGTTTCGTGGTCGGGACTCCAGTGAGGGCTCCGACTTGTCCAGTCCCCGGTGCCGACGCCGCCCCCATCATTAGCCAATACGTTGGCACGTTCTCTCTCAGCCCGCTTCCGGATTTCACGATGCACCGTGCGGAAGAAACACTGGCCCTTGAAGCCAGCTATGTGGTTGATGACCATCGTCTTGTTACGGGCGATAAGTCGAGACGGGTCATGTCAATGAGCATGCGCGAGCTGGTTGAGAAGCTCGCCGAGGTGGAACCCTTCGAGCCGTACTGGGAAGACATGCGGGAGCTTGAGCTGCGCGGGAAGGGACTCAGCGCGCTGCAAGCGCTTGATGCGTATTGTGGGCAGCTCGAGAGTCTCGACGTTTCCAAGAACATGATTAGGAACCTTGGTGGCATCCCCTCGTCGATCCTGCACCTGCGGATAACGGACAACCAACTCTCCAGTCTCACGGCCTGGAACCATCTGATGAACCTACAATACGTCGACGTCTCAAACAACGGGCTTACTACCCTGGCGGCTTTCAAGAGCCTCATCCACTTGCGCAGTCTCCGAGCGGACAACAACCAGATTACCAGTCTGGACGGCATCAAGTTCCACAAGGGGCTGCAAACTCTCCGTGCGCGAGGGAACCTCATCGAGCAAGTCGATTTTGACGGCAGCACGCTGCACCAGCTCACCGATCTCGATCTGAAAAACAACCAGATCAGCCACATTACCAATATCGATCAGCTTCCCTCCCTCAGCTCCCTCAACCTCGATTCCAACCAGCTCACCTCCTTCTCGGTCGACGCCGTCCAGCCAGTGACCGCCCTTCGGTATCTCCGTCTCGACGACAACAACATCACCACGCTCAACGTGCGCGCCCTCCCGCACCTGCGCCTACTTCACGCAGATCGCAACGCGCTTGTCCACATATCCGGCTTCTCCCGCGCGCGCCGCATCGACTCCCTCTCCCTGCGCGAACAGCACGGTACCGCACCACTGGACCTCCCCCACCTACTCTCGCGCGCGTACGAGGTCCGCAAGCTGTACCTCTCCGGCAACCTCCTCGAGTCCTTCTCCCCGCGAACCGACCTGCTCAACCTCCAGCTCCTCGAGCTCGCCAACTGCGGCCTGTCGGCCCTGCCCGACGAGGTCGGCCTCGCGATGCCCAACCTGCGCGTGCTCAACCTCAACATGAACGCCCTCGCCGACCTCGCCCCGCTGCGCGCCGTCCCCCGCCTCAAGCGCCTCTTTGCCGCCGGCAACCGCCTCGCCGACCCCGCCCGCGTCGTCGGCACCCTCGGCGGCATGGCCTGTCTGAGCGTTGTTGATTTGCGCGATAACCCGCTCACGCAGGGGTTCTACGCGCCCGTGCAGGTGGTCGTGCGCCAGCGCAAGGGGGGCGATCGTGATCAGGACAAGGATGACGGTGTGGATGGTGAGGAGGGGGCCGAGCAGTTCGCGCTGGGCGACCAGGACGCCGAGAGGGATGCGCGCTACTGTGCGCGGCTGGACATGGACACGCGGGTCAGGCGGCGGTTGTACGAGACGATGGTGCGCAAGAAGTGTGGGCGAGTGAAGCGGCTGGATGGCCTGGTTTTGGGGAAGGGTCAGGGTGTTGGTGGTGGTGAGGAGGCTGGTGCCGATATGGTGTGGGCGGCGATGGCGGAGAAGGGGCTTGTTAAGAGGCGGGCGCCTGGTCAGTCGGAGAGTGGGAAAGGGGAGGGGGGTGAGAAGAAAGTGGTGGCGGCAGCGGCGGATAGGAGTGGTCGGTGGCCGGCGGAGGACAGCTTTGCTTGATTTGTTTTGGTTGCCGGGCTGCTACCTTTTTTCTTGTTTTGATTGAGGGTGTGTGTTGTTATGGTGTGTCGGTAGGGGGTTTGGTGTTTTTCGTTTTTCTCTAGTCTTCGGACTATCGGTTTTGCTGGTGTTTTATTTGGGGTTAGGAGGGGAGAGGGGGGGTAGACAAACGCAGGGGGTCTGGAACAAACAGAGCAACAGGTGTTACGGAGCAGAGGCTTTGCGATTATTTGTAGGGTTTTAAGGGGCGCGACGCGATCCCACGAGGTTGTACACTACAGTACAGGTCTGGTGTATGGTTTTTAGCATTGTATGGGTGGCGGTTCAGAAAGGGGAAGGGGATAGGATATGAGTTTATGATACCATTCGATTCATTCAGACAGTTCGTTTGTTGTTTACGGGGGTGATACGAGTGCTGTTGGTGGTGGTTTATGATTACGCGTGAGTTTAGGTTGTGGGTGTGGGCGAGGGTGTTTAGAATGCGGCGTTTATCAATCAGCATTCGGCACGTCTATGGTAATGGAGGAACTGAGGGCATACCCGACTGGGCTCTTCCTATCAACGAACCATTGGTCACACTGGAAAATATTGCGTTTGCCCCAACGGGCCGGAATGGATGCATGACTTTTCTGGTATTGATGGGTATCAATCTAACCGCCCCCCTTGAGCCGTGACTGTTGAGAGCCTCCGTCTAGAATAACGCGAAAGAAGGAGAACGGGATGAAAATGGAAAACAAAATCGACCGGTATCAAGCCGCCGTTGCGCCCAACACCCCCTGCAACCGAACGCCCTCCGCAACCGGACCAAAAACCAAATCCCCCATCGACCCCCAATCAAGATGTAGCAGGCTCAAGCTCAAGGCGCCAGGTGACGGGCACTCCGCCTCGACTCGCCGCTCAGCCTCCTCCGATCCAACCGCTTGACCACCGCACCCAGCACAACCTTGAGAATGGCATCCGCCGACAGCGAATGTCCCGACCCAGCCCAAGTGACGGTATCAACCATATCACGGACGCCGCCACCCTGCTCAGCGAGGCCATCGTCCAACTCCTTGAGGGCCTTGGTCGCCTCGGCGTCGTTGCCGACCTGGAAGAACTGGATGCCGAGCTGGTGGGGCGGGGCGTCGAGGTTGTCGAGCTTCCTGGCCAGGTTGATGATGACGGCCTCCGGGTCGTCGGTGGGGACGCCGTCGGTGATGACGATCATGTTGACCGGTTTCACGCCGCAGTCGTCCGGGTTGCCCGTGCGCGCGGCGGCGCGCTCGTACTCGCGCAGGTAGGGCTTGAGGATCGCGTTGATGCGCGTGCCCGTCGGCGTGGCCCCCTGCGGCCGCACCCGCTTGAACAGGTCCTCGACCTGCTTGGGCGTGGTGATGTTGCGGAAGCCCTGCGCCGGGTTGTCGCCGCCGCGGCTGCTGCCGTACGAGGTGTCGCGCGCGTTGAGGAAGTAGACGTCGATGCCGTTAGCATCGTGCGACGTGCACACGGGCGCGATGCCCGAGATGACTTCCTTGACTTCGCGCCACGAGCGCCCGGCCATGGAGCCGCTGTCGTCGATCAGAAAGATGGTGTCGAAGGAGGAGAGGAAGGCGTAGGGGTCCTCGCGGGAGGTGATGCTGGGGTCGGAGCGGGCCGAGGCGAAGGAGGGCGCGGGGGACGCCTGCCGCGGGGGGGCTGGGGCGTTGAGGGTGATGATGGGGGTTGACGGCCCGGCGACGTTGGCCGGGGCGACTGCCGAGTAGGGCGGCGGAGGTGCATCATTGACTCCCGGTTTGGTGCTGCTCGGCGGCGGGGCCGGAGTGTAATTCCCGGTTTCTGTCGCGAACGGGTTCGGGCTGGGCGACCGAGAGCGGCTCTTCTTGGATGACAATTTGTCCCTCAGCGACCCGAAAAGGGACCGGGTGGGTGATGTCGGCGACATGGTCGATGGTTTGAGAGTTCGGGTGGTGTTCAATCGACGGTTGACCGTTGACGGTTGTCAAGGAGATAGATTCCGATTGCGGGAGGGGTAAGCAATCAAAGGGAGGGGTCGGTGCGTTGGACGGGTTTGGACTGTTAACGAAGTACGGAGTACGAATATAAGTTATTTAGTTATAGCAATCGTGGGTGCCCTTTTAGGTAGTCGGTATGGCCACCCAGCACAGGCAACAACAAAGAGTGCCTGATTGTTTTGTGAATTCAACAAGGTCTAGTGAAGTGGCACAGGAATTCCTGGTTCCTTTAACCATCATTCATCTCTTATTCTTTCATCGCCATCGCATTCCTCCCCGAGAACGGCCAAGATGTAACCGCCGCCTCTTGCCGAGCCCGAGAGAGCCCCAGCGTTTGCCTTGGAGCTTGGGGAGCACAGATCGGGGAAGGCGATGATTGGCGACTGGCGCAGCTCAGTGAAGTCACGCAGCGGGAAGCACAGCCACGTGGGTCCACGGGATGTTGGCCCCGCTCTGTGAGAATGATTGGTTAAGTGTGTGGCGGTGCCTCGCACTGCCAAATCAATGACTTTCATGCCACGAGAGCACGGGCACGCACGGGAACCAAAAGTTTGGACCAACCTCGGATCCAGACCTCTGGGATATGGCTGAGCATGGGGATCTAATCGGGAATGCATGCTGTGTATGGTGATGTGCCCACGGGCTAACAGGGGAGGCCACGAGGTGCGAGCATTGCCCCTTTTCGAAGCCCTCGAGAAGGCCTTGACAGACGACAGATGCTCATGTCGCATGGACAGTAGACCGAATAGACGCCCCTTTTCGACCTGCAGTTGACCCTCCTAACACATAGTCGGCGTTACCAACGGCCTTTGAAGGCACACGGTAAGGCGCTCTGGCGCGAGTGATGCCTGGTGCCTGCTGTTGTGTGGCCTTTGTCGGGAGTCACCCAGGTTAGTCGCCGCTTTGTGCTGTTCAGTATCAGGGTCCGGAGCTATAAAGGGCACCTAACAAGAATCCAGGGCCTAAGGAATGGGGGATCTTTAATAGAAAAGTCTCGTGTAACTGCAGCCCTACGAGTTGACAGATTCGGGTCCAAGGCTGGACTTGGGGTCCAAGAAAAAGGAAAATCGAGGGCCCGATGACATGACCTGCAGCTTCCGCTTCTTGGCAGGGGAGCAACGGGAGCCGGGTGCCGTTGCCGGCCGGGGGGTTTCTCGACTGCCTAGCCCCACCTGCCTCGCCCCGGTGCCCCGCTATCTGGAGCCCAACGGCGGGGTTGCTGAGCGATAGGATGGCATTGCTTGAACGCAGCTTCCTGGCTTCCTTCCTTCCATTGAACAAAACTCAACCCAAACTGCCAAGTTTATGGACCGCCCAGACTCAGCATCACTCGGATACTGCCGAGTGATGCTGTTTGCATTCGGGAACCTGACGTTGCCTGAGCACCGAAAACTAGAAACCTGCCTAATTCCCGCTGACCGTTACATGTCTCAAAAGTGAGCTTACCCAAGGTTGCACACCGAATCTGGCGATTCCACACATTTGCAAGCTCGTGTCCCAACGAGGGTGCAGCGCCGCGGTCATCCCAGATCCTAGTTGGCGCTGGCCACTCGCCTTGACATATACCCCCCGAGCTGCATGAACTGCGACGAGGAAGCCATTGCGGTGAGACGCGAGCGCGCGGGGCACTCCGGAGGGGCGAAGAGAACTCGCCGATGGCATTGGGCAGGATCGCGAAAGAGCTTCCTTTTTTGTTGGGTCGATTTGCAGTTGCGGTGAGGCGCCTACACAGTGTACACAAACAGAGACACCCAATGAATAGAATCTGCGCGTATTTCTGTGCCGCCACTGCCTCCCTCAGCTGGCCCGAGTTGGTGACGCCGTTTGCAATCCAAGTCAAGTCGTTGGGTGTTCCCCTCATTGGCTTTCTGGCTTTCCGACTTTCTTTTATTTAACCATCTTTTATCGTTTCCCCTCATTTGACTTTGGTTCAACAACAACAACAACAAAAACAACATTCACCACCCCTGCATCACACCCGGCCTCTCCTGCCACCCACTGCCCATCATGGCCGAGGGCTTTGCGAATCGCAAGTTCAGCATCAACCGCAACACGGGTGTCCCTAGACCCGCACGCCGTTTCTCTATCGGAGAGCCGGGCCTGAGTGGTATGAATATGAACCGCCTTTCAAGCAACGTCTTGCTCTACGCAGTACACAGTACTAACCGTGGATTTTAATTTTTAAGAGGCGAGCAGTAAGATTCATCGCCAGTTCAGAGCTGCCCATGAAGGGTATGACAACGTCTCCTATCTCTCTCACTTTTCACTCTCGATCAAATCTGACCGACATTTCCCAACAGCCATCTCCCCCATGCCGGCCTAGACGCTAGCAGGGCGTCGACTGGTGTAGTATGGTGCACTGAGCGTGCTGCCGAGTTTGGCTTTCTCGAAGAACCCGAAAAGTGGGCCAACTTGGGCCGTAAGTACATGCTAAACTCACTCTCACTTCCCCCCTTGACCCTCCTACCAGAGCTAACATATTCACAGAGGGTGCCCCCGAGGTACGTAAAACACACACACACACACGCATACACCAGCCGGTGTGACATGACCTATTTTCTGACAAAACCCAGGTCGAAGATGACATCGAAGGCTGCTTCGCCCGGCCTACCCACATCGACATTAGCGCCGCCAGCCGCGAGTATGGCCCAACTGCGGGCATCAAGCCCTTGAGGGAGGCCGTTGCTCATCTTTACAACGAGATGCACCGCAAGGGCAAGCCGAGCCAGTACACCTGGGAGAACGTCGCCATCGTGCCTGGTGGCCGTGCTGGTCTCATCCGTATCGCTGCCGTCCTAAACAACGCCTATGTCGGCTTCTTCATTCCCGACTACACGGGTACGCATCCCTCATCTTGGTGCTGAACGAAGGTCGACTAATCATGAGAGACAGCGTACAATGAGATGCTCTCGCTGTTCAAGAACGTATGGTGCCTCAACACCCCTGAGCCGGAAGCCCACACTAACAGTGACTAGTTCGCCGCCATCCCCGTCCCCCTGTCCGAGGAAGACGGTTACCACATCCACCCCGAAAAGATCGCCGAGGAAATCTCCCGTGGCACCGGCGTCATCCTCACGTCGAATCCGAGGAACCCAACCGGCCGCGTCGTCCAGAACCCGGAGCTGGCCGAGATCCAGGACCTCTGCCGCGAGCGCGCCACCTTCGTCAGCGACGAGTTCTACTCGGGTTACAACTACACCAGCGACTGCGATGGCTCCACCATCAGCGCTGCTGTAAGTCTTGATGTGTTGGCCTCTCGTTGATATTAAAACTGACAAAGGGTTAAAAGGAAAACGTCATCGATGTCGACGAGGACGATGTGCTGATCATCGACGGCCTGACCAAGCGCTTTCGCCTGCCCGGCTGGCGTGTCGCCTGGATCATTGGCCCCAAGGAGTTCATCAAGGCGTTAGTCCCCCTTTTCCCTTCCAACCCCAACTCCCATCAACGGTGTGGTTGGTGTATATACTAACAAACGACATCCCAGCATCGGCTCGTGCGGCTCCTACCTCGACGGCGGCACCAACGTGCCCTTCCAGGAGGCGGCCGTCCCCATGCTGGAGCCGTCGCTGGTGCAGAAGGAGATGGTGGCGCTGCAGCAGCACTTCCGGCACAAGCGCGACTACGTGGTGGGCCGGCTGCGCAGCATGGGCTTCGTCATCCGCCACGTGCCCGACTCGACCTTCTACCTCTGGCTCAACCTCGAGGGCCTACCCGGCCCCATCTCGGACGGCCTCAACTTCTTCCAGGCCTGCCTCGACGAGAAGGTCATCGTCGTCCCCGGCATCTTCTTCGATCTCAACCCCGCCCGCCGCCGCGACCTCTTCGACAGCCCCTGCCACCACTTTGTCCGCTTCTCCTACGGCCCCCGCATGGATGTGCTCGAGATGGGCTGCGATGGTATTGAGAGGGTCATCAACAAGTGAGTTCTTTCTTCAGTTCTATGAGGTTGTGTACACGTGTGTGCTGACTTGGTGGTGATAGGTTCAAGAATTTGGTGAGCCACTAGGTATAGCGGCGCCAGCTTGCTGATATGGGGCGCGTCGGGGATATGGCCTGTCGTCTTGTTTTGCATACACAGGCAGGACTGACGAACTGCCCCTTTTTGTTGTTTCTTTATGTTAGGGGGGACTGGATAAACAAACGCCCCTGAGTTGCTTGGCTTGGCATCTTCCACCCAGGCACGTCCGTTGCTTAGAGAGATGGGAAACAGCTCAGTTCAGGAGTTACCAGTACCTTGCGAGATAGACAACACCACTCCCAGCACCGGCTATATCGTCGCTTAACAATCTCAGACTCTCTTCTTCTCATCCTAACTTCCTCTACGCTTGCTTTACTGATAGATATGATCCCTGGAGAGAGACAATTATGATGGATTTGGATAGCCGGGGCGTGATGTCAAAAACAGCAGTTTACAGTCACCAGTTCAACCCGGTCCGAAGCGGGTGCCAATCTGCTTGCCCTCTCGTCCATCCTCGCCCGTACAGCCCTCCCCTTCCCTCTCCCTCTGTCATGGTCTGGGCTCGCGCTGCCTGACCATGCAATACGAGGACCCCCAAGTCAAAAAGGAGAGGCAGGGTGGGTCAGCAAAAAGTCAAAAACATACAACACCAAGGATTCGCTGGTCGTCACCGACCCAACTACTAGTTTGGCCCTCACGAGTCTAACGAGGGGAGAGCGGACGGGATCCCGTGCTTTCTCGTGGATATGGTCGTATGTGGTGGTGTCAGCCGTAGGTCGGGTTTATGTTGTGTCGGCTTGGGAGAACGAGGGGGGGGAGGCGAGCGAAGACGAAGCAGCCCGATAGCCTAATACCTGATGGCTCCAGCCTCTACGTCCCGAGAATCTGCGGAGAACGGCGGCAGCTACTTCCAACACCGGGAGGGTGGGTTCTGTTGTCCTGGGATCGCCTTTTTGAGGCCCCGGCCGCGCCTTGAGCTGCCAACCGTGTTGGAGCATGGATGGACCATCTCCCTCGAAGTGCAGCCCGGGAATGGACACAAGCAGCGCTCTTTGACGACGTGAAGCGAGGATGTACCGGGCGGTGTTGGCACTGAAACTACTCCGTCCCTCAACCACGGCGTGCTGGCACTTCCAACCAGACAGTGCAGCGGGTTGACACCCCTCTCCTTGTGTATTGTCCCAGATTTGAGGTCGTTGTCTCATCCGACTGCATGGCAACTAACAGTTGATTCAACATGGTGGGTTATTCTCCAGCCCGAGGAGAGCGAGTCGCGCTCTGTGGTCCCATCGGCTCGTACGGGATCGGATAAGCTGGTATAAGTCTCGCGAGTGGTGGTATCATGCGAAGCACATAAATTGGCGGGGGGTGGCGGACTGAACTTCTCCACGGCATAGGTCCTGGGTCCGTCGGGGCCGGTGTTAGACTTGCACAACCTAGATGGATCGATACCGCTTGGAGAGGGCGCAATGGCTTTGCTCAGAAGGCGAGCATCATACAAAAATAAGTTCGGGGCCGTTCTTTGGACCGGGCTGTCTTGGAGAGGAAAGCCCGTCATGGGAGAGGAAGAGGAATTGTCCTCGGGGTCGGACACAATCGGAAGCCGAGCCCAAAACTGGGGATGGCCGAGGAAGACGAAAACACGGATAACAGGTAAAAGAGAGACAAGAAGTCGATGAAGTTGACAGCTGCCTTGACTTGGCAACGGTCCTCTCGTGAATGCTCAGGCACTTGTCAGAGTCAAACCAGGCAGGGAGAGGAGACCGGGAGGCACCCCACTCCCACCCCGGTAGCTGAAAGGTGAATTGGGGTAAACGGGCACGTGGAACGTGGGAAGCTTACCCCCACGGGCCGCGGTGCGACTTCAGTGACATATCGGAAAGCCGCGGACAGAACCGCGGGAGGCATGGTTGCAAGACACGGGAGCTGAAGACAGTCGGGTGCTTGTCCCGGGTTTCTTTTACCCCATATTATTCCCGGCCCCTGATTTTAAGTTCCAATTCCGGACAGACTGGGATGGAAATCCGTGGGGGAGGGCGGGAAACTGGTGTTCTGGCCGCGAGCCGTGGACGGGCTGGGAGCAAGACCTGCCGAATCGGGGGTGGGTAGACAAGGCAGATTATGGAACACCATGTCGTACTCCCGGTCCGGCCCTCAAAGGGAACCTGGAACCTCGTCAATGGAACGGCGGGAAGTGGACAATGCCAACCATCAAGTGGGAGGAAGGAACTGGTGCCGGGGTTCGAGCTATGGCAGTGGGTTGTGGGAGGAAAATTCTTTGGCTGGAGTTTTAGGAAGCTGCCATCGGAAGCGGGACAAGGATCAAAGGCCTGATGGTGACGCCTCCCGACAGATGAATTGCGTGATCAGGGCTTCGGTTGTCGTCGGCGCCAAACAAAGAGGGACACAACAGCAGTCGCAACGGAGGATGGCAATTGTCCACTGCAATCGCAGGTTTTCTGCACGAGTAATTTACGATTATACGGAGAGAAGGGTTCGGATATTCTGCCGATGTGCAGCTGCAGGCAGTTCGTGCGCTGCGTACAGGTTGACCGCTCTTGCCATTGAAGAGGAAGTCCGGTTTAGCGCCAAGAAATCAGGGGCTGCTGGTGTTGACATTCGTTGCTGGAACACTGCTTGGAAGTTCTTGGCGTCGAGCTTGGGCCAGCAGGTGAAGGTCTCACCGTGGCAGACCGAGGGAAGCAAGGAGAAGTTCTAGATCTTTCTAGCCAAGCTTTTATGCCATCTCTCACGTACGGACATATTCACATACAAACTGAAGAGGCTCTCAGCCACAAATATCGGTGGCATATTTAGTAGACCGAGTGAGCTTCACAGGGTTCAACGGCAATAAGAAGGAGTTGCCAATTGGAGTGTCTCTGTCCTGCAAGATCGATCGTTCATCAAGCAACACACCCACAATTTCACTTCGCACACCGAAAAAGGCATCCCAACAACGAACTTTGAACAAATCATAGCCGCATCCGCCTTTTACCCCAGAAACACCAAAACCCCTCCACGGAAAGTCGGCAGCTCACCGACTGCACACGCGTGCCGTGCCGGTTCACCAATCCCAATGCCCACCCGCATCCCAGCAACACGACTCCAGGCGGCCTGCTGCAGACCTTCGGCCATCCTCAGCCGAGCCCTCCTCGGCACCGTACCCCCACGAACGACCAGGATACGCACACCACAGGTTCAGCTCTCGGCTCAATCGCTCCTCCTCCGCAAGATGAGCAGCAGCAGCAGCAAGGCCGGTTTCAGCCCAGCCACGACCACCACCACCACCACCAGTACCACGGCGGCAACCAGCGGCACCAGCAGCGGCAGCCCCGCATTGGAGTCGAGCACGCCACCGCGCCCCGGCAACTCACCATCCACCGCCTCGGCGAGGGCAGCTCCAGCAGCAGACGCAAACGCAAACGCAGACGCAGGCTCGGACTCGGGCGCAGACTCAGGGGGCGCCGCACCCGCGCCCGCCCCTCCATCCCAGCACAGCGAGGCAGAGACAGAGCCAGAGCAGCAGCAGCAGCAGCAGCAGCAGCAGCAGCAGCAGCAGCAGCAGGAGCAGGAGCAGCCCCAACCCGAACCCACCGTTGATGCCACCACCGCCCGCAACAATGACACCACCACCACCCCAAACCCAACCGCAACCGCAATCCCAGCCCTCCCCGAACCAGACGGATCCCCAGCAACAACAACAGTGCACGTCAACGGGCAGTCTGTCGCCCTAGACGCGCTGGGGCCGATGGTGGTGAACCGCGACGGGACGGTGTCGCGGATCGGCAACTGGCACGAGATGAGCGGGATCGAGCGGCAGAACACGCTGCGGATCCTCGGGAAGCGGAACCAGCTGCGGCTGGGGAATTTGAGGGCTGGGAGGGCTGCTGATTTGGCGCCCGGGGATGGGGAGGGGGGTGGTAAGTGGTAGGAGTAGGTGTTGGGTAGTTGGGTAGGGGATTGTAGGTTTGATATCGAAAGGGGAATCGAGAGCACGTTAGTTACGAGTAGATATGCGTGATGACGATCAGACGATCAGAATAGAGCAAGACCACACATCTCATCATCATATCAAACGCCATCAAGCCAGCTTGAGATGGAATATTCGTCAAGTATATTCAGGCCAACACGCAATCACTCGCGCAAGCAAGCAAGCAAGCAAAGAACGCCGTCAAAAAGAAGCCAGAAGCCCCAAGCCAAAGCCAAAGCTAGCCACCAGCCCGCTGCCATTCAAAACGCAAATCGGTCCTCCCATCGGGCTTGCTTCGTACCCTCCCCCCCAAGACCCTCCGCGGCACCAGCCACGCAAACGCCGCTCCGATGACGAGATCAATCATGTTGCTTCATATCCCTGAACCTCATTTTCGTTTATTCAATCTTTCTTCTTGGACTTGTCGCCAGCCACCTTGATGCTGTCCTTCCCATCGTCCTGCGACGACGACAAGGACGACGACGACGCGACCTCCTTAAGCAGCTTGTCGAGTATGTCGTCGCGGCCGCCGTGCTTCTCGGTGACGAGGCTCTTGAGCCACTTGTTCTCCGTCTCGAGGGCCGAGATGCGGCCCTCGAGACTGGTGACCTTGTCCGTCATCTCCTTGGCGCTCTTCTCGAGGGCCTGCTCGCGCTGCTTCTTCTTGATGCGGAACCGCGCACTCGCCGCCGTATTGCGCTTGCGCTTGTCCTCCTCGGCCGCCAGCCGCGACGCGTCCTCGAAGCTCAGCACCCGGCCGTTCGGCGCGTGGCCATGTCCGCTAATCGTCGACTCAGCCTCGCGTTCCTTGACCACAACACTACCCGGGCCGGCTCCCCCCGCGACGGCCCCGTCTCCTGGTACGTACCCTGTTGGTTGGTGGTGCTGCTGGTGCGGGACCTGCGCGGAATACGCCGCCTGTGGGCTGGGCTGGATCGGCTGCAGGTTCCCTAGCGCGTCGGGGAAGGCCGGGCCCGTGGGCGAGGTGAAGTTGCTGCTGTAGTCCCCGAAACTGAAATCGCCTGGAGACATTGTGCCATGGTCAGCGCACGGAAACGATAGACAACGAGGGTCGAGCCAATTTCGTGATAAGCCAAGACAATTTCAAGTCAACGGCGGCGCCGCCGGCGGGAAGAGGCGGAGACCGGGGATATTGAGGGCCATGGTCGGGCGGTCCATTGTTGATGCCCCATGGTCGATGGTGCAATCCCCCCCAGGTCACGAGAAATGGCACCATCGTCGGCAGCGACGATCATTTGTCAGACGCCATTTAGGCGGGCCCAGAGACTTGTGCTCCCCAGGCGCATGCATTCGACCGCCAGCCTTCCAATCATGACCTGGCCCGGAACTTTGGGGGTCATCATCGGGGGTGGGGTGGAACGCTCTGTTTCCCGATGCGTGATAAGAGAACAGACGCTCCTTGGTCCGTCTGCCTGCGCCCTCCCATGGGACTGACGCTGAAGGGTGTTGATCTCATGTGCTGCCGTGCCGCCACGACGCACTTGCTCGCTACGCGTGCGTTGCAATGGCTTATGCAGGTAGAGAGAGAGTCCGTTGAAACCGGCTCATAGTGGTAGGAAATAAAGCAAAGCAGTAATATGAGAAACGCCAACAACTCCAACACACCAGGAAGAAACTTGCAACTGAAAATCATGAAAATAAATCAGAACTAACCTGGGATTGGAAACTCGTAGCCCGCTGGGAAATCGCCCATGATGGAATCCGTCGACGTCGCATCTTCGGTGGGTGATGTTATCGCATCCGGCTTGACGGGAGGCGCTTGATAGTCGGTGTGCTGGCCCGTCTCAAAGTCGAAGAACTGTGTGTTGGTGAAGAGGGCGAGATCCTTCTCGAGGTCTTCGTCGGTCAACGGCTCCTCCACCGAGGGTCCCTGCACATTGAGGTTGCGCAGGTACTGGGAGACGTTGACCCTGCCCGTGCCGTAAGACGACATGGTTCGTCCGGTGTGCGCTCCGTCGAGTCGCCGGCCTTGAACAAACTGGATGTTTTGGTTCGAAACTGGCTGTGTCCCCGAGGCTGGGTTTCGAAGTGGTCGAGTTTCGGGGGGAGGCGGGTGATGTGGGAATCCGTCTCGCGATGTCGGTGCGGTGATTAGAAAGCAGGTGCAAGGACAAAGGGTGCTAAGCGGGGTCCTCCGGAGGTTGACTCGGCTTTAACTTCGGCAGGTCGGGTCAGAGGGCGAAGAGATGAAACAAAGAAAGCGAACCACCGTGTTGTGAGATGATTTGCAGAGCGGGTGTTGGCGGTGATGGCGTCGGGAGTTTCAGTGCACGAGGCGAGGCGCGAGGAAAGTGAGGAATATGGACAGTTCAAATCAAGATCTGTCTGAAGCGAGGGCAGTCGGAAGGACCGAGAGCGTGGTGCGTGGAGCGTGGTGTGTGGTGCAGGTGTGCAGGTGCAGTTCCCGCAGACCACCACCGCCCGCGGACCGATGCCCCCAATTAGTCAGATCAAACTTGATCCCACGTTTTCGGTAAATCTCGAAATTGCCCCTCCATGACCCACCCAGCGCGAGGAAGAGCCAATCGAAAGAGGAAAGCAGCCCGCTGGCCTTTTTCCATCACCAAGTCGCGTTACTCAATTGACTGCTGTTCCCGTCAACTTCCAGCCGAAGCTTTGTTCTCCACGATGCGCATGTCTTGCGCGACTGCGCAGTGTCCCGATTGGATCGTAACGAGACTTCGCTGTTCGTTCGTCTTGTGGTTCCGACCTTGATACTTGATCTTTGATCCTCTCGACTCTGATGCAACGGTTCCGCCTTGTGGGGACAGCTCGCCACGCCCTTTGGCCGTTCTGTCTCGGATCTGCAGAGTGGTGATGAATTGACGAGTGGGACAGCGCTCCTTCTCGGGGCGAAGCTTTTGCTATGCGGCTGGGCGGGACTTCCAGGAAAGGGAAAACGAGAAGCGGGTGGCCCAACGCCGAACTCGGCAGGGCCCGCCCTGCCAGCGCCGGACACGCTCGGCAAAACAGTTCGCCCGTTGGACTCGTCCGCCCTTTTGTCTCCGGCACGTGCTTTGCCCAGCGCGAGCAGGCGTCAATTAGAAAGCTCTGCTGTCGATTCCAACCACGGCGGGCCATCACGGCTGTGCAACAGGACGAAGCTAGGTAGCCTTTGGAATCAGGTTCGCTCACATGGGAATGAGTGGGGGTAGTTAATATGACGGAAAGCGGGCGTGGGGTTGGGGAGTTCGTGTGCATGAAGTGTGCATGAACTTCCGGCTAACTGCATGTATTGCGCATTCTTCCGGGAATCTTCGTGTTCGTGACAGACAGGATCTTGACTTGACAAGACGAAGAACTGAGCACCCTCTGGCTAAAAAAAGGCGAACCCCAAGGGAAATAAGTCTACCTAAGCAAAAAGCATCAGATGAAAAAAATCGGGGAAAACAAATCAAATGAAATCGAGTGATAAAACGCAAAGTAAATTGAGCTGATGTACGGATAGCTTCTTTGGCCCTGCGGTCGACGTTTGGTCGACGACTACACTGGGAGCCCAGCTTTTTTTCTCCCCGAGATGCTAAGCTATCACATATTATCGAGTATCTTGTTGCGTATGTTTCATGGGTTATCTTTTTCTTCAATTATGTATATATATTTATCCCCTTTTACCCCTATTCATTGTGACGTGCAGCTACATTCGTGTGCATTTTCCGGTCTCATCCTAGTTTGAGGTATTATTTTGTAACGCACTGAAGCCATCTGAAGGAAATAATACCATACTGATCTAGTTATGGAAATCCCCAGCCATCCATCCAAGGACCCTTTGTAGAACCGCGGTAGTCATATACATGCCAGCCATAATCCTAATGTCGTCTGTGAGCATGTCGGTAATGATCCTCCCTCCTCCCTCCTTCACCCAATCCCAGAATCCCCTTCCTCTCCCCCATCATTCTTCCTACTCCTCCATGGTGAGCAGAGGGTTCCTCGGGGAAGATAGAAATACCTGGAGGCCAGCTTGACGATGTTTGCAGACCCCTTGGCTTCGCTGAATACACCGCACCAATTACCAGATTTGAGGCCTCTGCTGAAACCTCTCAGAGAGCGGTTCCGTGATTAGTCACATAAATACCGTGACATCAACTCACAGAAATAGAGAGTTCTGCAAGTGTTCAACTGAAGTCGTGCAATTTTCTCATTATCTGTCCTGGTTCGCCAAATCAAATGGATGCCATTGTCCCGACATAACTACAGGATAAAAAACCGCGCCCCGACCTACCTGCCTTTGTACCTACCTGCCTACCTACCTACCTACCTTCCGCGGCCTCTTCAATCATCGTGGATAATACCGGGGACTGGAGACGGCGGTGTGCTTCGGCGGCCGAGATGCGTCGGTTCGGTTCCCAGGTCACCATGTCACGGAGCACGCGCATAAGCTCGTCCCGCTGTGCTGCCGAGAGGCAAGGGGCTTGTCTGGCGACGTGCTGTTCGACCGACTTTGTCGGCTGCTTGTCGTCATACCACCAGTCCGGCTCGGGATGTACCACGGGTAGTTGTCCCGGTTCTGCGACGCCATACTTACTCCAGACAAAGTTTCCCCTCCAATGACTGGGTACCGGGCTATAGTGCTGGACGATAAAGGCGACCAGCAGGGTGAAGACCTGGAAACCGGGTTGGAACATGTAGGAGCTGGTGTAGGTGAAGTAAACAAGGGCTGCGAGCTGCCAGACATCGGATTGGGTCGAAGCTGGGGAGCCAAAGAGGAGTTCTGGCGGGAAGAACTCGACGGGGCATCCCAGGGTCGGTGGCGGGCTGGTACTGAGAAAAGCGCAGCCAAAGTCGATAATTCGGATACTTGTCAACGATGAAATATCAAATCCGGAAAAGGAGGCGGCTGCAACTACCCTTTTTGGGCCGTGTTTAGAGTGACGTACAGGGCCTTCACGGAGTCGAAGTCGTCCGTCGTGAATCGGGCCAAGAAGTTCTAGAAGATAGCTTTCGGTCATGGACTGTATACCTGGAATTACAAATGCGATGTTTGAAGGGGTTAGGTCTGGGATAAATATGGGTTAGTTAGCGAGAATTTCTTATTGTAAGAAGTATACACTGGACGCAAAAAGTCTTACCACCGTGACAGATATGATGGGAGTGGAGAAAGGCGACGGCGCTTGTAAGCTGCTGGCATATATGATGTCGTTGGGAAGGAGTCAAGCGCTCGACACTGATCGAATGAAGGCTCAGCCCGAGGAGAGGCGAGACGAGGCAGTGATGCTGGCCGTTAGGGCCCGAGATAGTAAATGAATCCTCGACCACGGCGATGTTTGGGTGACTAGACTCGGAATTACCCACCTGGCCGAGGCGTTGGAGAAAATTCAGCTCATGATCAGCGCGGGTATCGCCGAGGTCGGCTCGAAGGATCTTGAGGGCGTGGAACGAGACTGGAGGATAGTCTTCTTCTTGCTGTCCAGCAGGGTGCTTGCGTTGTCGCTTGAGCAGCCACACGGTGGAGTAACCCCCGTGTCCAAGTTTATGGATGACAGTGTAGCTATCCTGGCCGTTCGTGATAGTGTCGCCAATATCACTTGGATGATAGCCACCTGGCGTGTAGCACTCGACATTTTCGATGTGTTCGCGCATCACGAACCCGGTGTATCGATACCGCCAGGCGCGCGGCCCGACCGGTTCTGGCTCGGACATGGCGGCGACCTTTTCCTTGTCTTGAACGGGCGAGGACCGATGAGCGTTTGAGTACCTAGGAGGCTAGAGCAACTTGGCGGGCAAATTTCACACGATGGATGAAAAACAAGAAAATATAATCCAAGAAACGATGGATGGATTGGGGGGAAGATGAAAGGTTCCTTTTATGGAAGCTGGGAGGGAGTCACACAGAGCTCTTCCGTCATTGGTCCCTGAAGCGACTGGCTTTGGGCGACCTACGTTCCGTGTTGGTTGTTGGTCCTTTGGGACAAAGATCCTATCATCAGTCGTCCGGAGGCACGACCTCTAATGTCTGGATGGTCTCCTACAACAACGGCACCTTCTGGTCTTCATCCATGATCGTTGTTCAACGGTGGCGGCTTCTTATCCCTATAGCTACACGTACTGGTTCTTGACCCTCAGTTTTCCAGGCAAACACAGAACTACCTACTAATACTCCAAAGGAACATGAGAAATCAAGCAAGAAGTAAATTAAATGAAAACGAGCGCAACAAACTTGACCGAATAAAAGATATCGGGTAAAATAAAAGTAAATTGAGTCAATACAGCTGCCCTGGGCCCCGGATGGCTTTTGTTTTTCCGGCCCAGAAATCAAGTTGAGCTTTTGCTTTGGTTGGCACGTCTTGAAAACCAAATAGTCGGAAAAGGGCTCGTAGAATCTCACCAAACGGTACACTGATGACGCAACGTTCTTTGGCGGGGGCGTGTAACAGGCATACAGCTTGCACTGCAGCTTGAGAACCATATGCCATTGTCGCGGAACTCGTGGTCGTTTCGCGGGGACCTGCAGTGTGGGTATCGGCTGTTGCGGTCGTTTAAGGGTCACTCAAATGACAACTCCAATCTGTAGGTTACAAAGACTGACGTGGCTACTTGGGGGTATGTACACTCGCAAAGAGAAGACAGTCAGATATCGAGATATCCGCTTTCCAAGATCTCCACGGTCGTGAACCTGCCCCCCGGGAGCGGGTTCAAGGTATTGGCCAGAAACTGGATGTCCTCTTGTGAGATCCCCTTGTTCATCATTGCCTCTGCCCATTTGTACGCCATCTCCGGCCGTGCGGGCGGGAGCATCGTTTGGGACGTGGGGTCGTCGGCGTACAGGGGCAGGGAGTGCAGGTCAAAGTCGATGGCCATGGCGTCGCGCACTGCCTTTGTTTTCTCGTCTAGTGACCCGACTGCGATCGAGTCGTACATTCCGGGTGAACTGAAATCGACCTGGGCGAAGAGGAGTTGCGCAAGCTGTAGGTATATGTGAGAAGAGGGAGCACTAGAGGGGGGGTTGGGTGCCACATACAATAGTGCCCCACGACCAGATGTCGGTGCTCTGATCCCATGCCTTTCCAAAGTGCACTTCTGGGCTTCGGTATGTCAGGGCCGAGATCTCTCGGGTGCCTGGGTTGCTGACTGCGTCAAGGTTAGCCGTATTTTGCAATGTACAGGAGACAAGATGCGGCCTTACCCGCGCCGAGATCCGCGAGCCTCACTCTAATCTCGCGTGGGTTCTCATTAGGCTTCTCGTTATCAAATCCACTAATGCCGACATTTTCCATCTTGAGATCTGTCTCGGGAGTCAGCTTAGAGAAAACTGGAAGGGAGTGACGACTAGCCCGTAAAGACCAGGCCCTTTTGATGAATATTCAGCAAGGCTATCAAAACTCCATGCATGATCCACTTGATCTCGTGTGTACTAAAAGGGCGCGTCGTTCTAGCATCCCACAGCGTCTTTCCGAAAGGCTCCAAGATCATCATGGGCCTCATTGTATCGGTCCCAGGGAAGAAATCAAGCATACGCCGGATCAAGGGATCCTTGGAGAAGAGACGCTGCATCTTGGTTTCATGTTGAAAGGCCGGCCAATTCGAGGCTTCGTCGTCGTCCTTCGAAGGCCCTTTAGCCACGACCTCGGAGTGGTCGTCTGACTCGTGAACGGCCTTCCACACGTTTGCTGTTGGTCTTCCCAAGGGGTGGACGAGGCGATATCCGGCACCGCTCTCGCCGCGAATCGTCAGTCCTTTTGAAAACATTCTTCGTGGTACTCGGGAGGGCGCCAATTCGGAGGGGAGTATCGGGCATCGTGTCGCCCGCCGTGACAGTCGTTGCCTCAGCGTGCCCGCAACGAAAAGGGAGGGTGGCCGCAGGGAACACCAAAGAACCATAACGCAAACTATGTCGAGCGAACCGGCTCGATTTACGAATACTGCCAATGGACATAAAATGCATGGGATAAAACACGTCTGGTACAGTTCCGGGATTATATACGGTGAAAGTTACTCTTCTGGGTCGGTTACCCCGGGTCTTTCTCCCTTGCCATGAATAACCCCCGTCTCACTGCGGCGGATCAGCGACACGGAATCATCAAGTCAATAAACAACAGCTTTAGGCGGCTGACCAGTCGATGTTGATTTGAGAGAGTTGTGTCGTGGCTTCCGTCAGGAGGAAGTGGTTGGGATTGGTGTATTCCGTACAGATCTGTAAATACTAAATACTTCCATCGTACCTGACCTCCTTCGGTTGCTTGGCATGAACCCGTCGCGCTTGTGGAACCGAACCACACAGTACGGATATCAATTATCAACAACTCAAGCAACACCGACAATCTCTTAATAAACACATGGTGAGTTTGAGACTCATTCAAGGCCATCAAAATAGCCTGATGACGGTCTGAGACCCAAGGAGATCAATTCCCATCTGAGCCTTGACCCTTGGATAATGGCCCGTATCTCAGTACCCACAACGGCGCGTCTACCGTCGACATTGCGCGTCGACCCGACCAACCCAGCAGCCATCAAGATCCTCAGCCGCCTCTCGCGTTCATCTCTCCTCTTAGTTGCCCTTGACTGGCTAGATCAAAACAATTTACCTCTGGCCTTGCCCTATCTACGCGAGAACGAATATGAGGACGAGGACGAGGATGATGAAGCTGGCGACTTCTACCCCCCAGCCCGTTCCCCGGAAGCCCTCCGGGAACACTACATCTCCCTGCAAGCCCGCAAGGGGTCAAAACGAGAGGTTCTCGACCGCATCACCGAGGGTGATTGGCGTCACGGCCTAACCCTATACCAGCTGGCCATGGCCGACCTGCAATACCTCTACGACCACCCAACCTCACAAAAATGGTCCGCCTACCGCATCACCCCGCTAAAACCGCCCCACGACCCAGATGGCGAGGAGCCGCCCGAGTTCGACGACAAGTCCCTCACCATCCCGCGCTTCCACCCCTCCACCTTCCTCCGCACCCTCCAATCCCAGGTCCTGCCCGACGTAAAAGCCCACTACAACTTCGACACGCACAAGACCCTCCCCTTACTCATCCTGCGCATCTTCATCCTCGACTCCCCCTACAACACCGAGCACGCCCTGCAAACCACAAAAACAACCACCTTCGACACCTCCCGCACCGTCTACATCGCCTTCCCCAACGCCTCCCCCCACCTCTTCCTCACCCAACCCACCACTACCACCCTCACTACCCCCCTCCCCAACAACCCACCCTCCCTCGCCCACAACAACACAGCAAGCGAATCCAAATCCCTCCGCCACCTCCTCATAGACGGCCTCCCCAAAGCCCTCTCGCAGCCCCTGCAGCGCCGCCGCGTCGCCCTGCGCCCGACCAGCCTAGTCACGCGCAACCTGGCTGAGCTGGTCGCGCGGCGGGGCGGCGGGAGGACGAATGCCGCGGGGGGCGGGTGGAGTGTTTACGCCGGGGAGGGCAGGGGGGCGAGGGAGTCGCCGCTGGATTTGGGGCTGCCTGGTCCGGTTTTGGGGGTGGATGATGGGGGGGAGGGAGAGGGAGGGGTGGTGGGGGATAAGGGGGTGGAGGGTGGGAAGAGGGTTGCTGCTGGTGGTGGGGATGAGGAGGGGAGGGCGTTGAAGCGGGCGAGGTTGGTTGCTAAAGCGCGGTTTGGGGGGACGGGGTTGGTGGGGGATGGGAAGGGCGTGGAGAGGGTGGATGTTGTGGTGGAGGATGCGTTTCCGGGGGGTGAGGGGGTTGAGGACGGCCCCCAGGAGGAGGATGACGAGGAGAATGATGAGAAATGGCGGCCGCGGGTTAAATTGACATTCCATGGGTCGCATGTGTTTGCGGGCATTAGGCAGCTGGTGGAGAGCGGGATCATCGACGGCGAGCGGATGCCCGGGTGGATGACGGGGGAGGAGGGTGTGACGGTAGGGGCTGTCAGGCATGGGAGGATACGCGGGCACAAGGGGTCGGGGTTGTAGTGCTGGTTTTGGGAGGTATGGTATGAGTCCATTTGTATCAGGCTGCGTATGTATGAAAAGTCATCTCTATATACCCCGAACTTGTTCGCTGGACAAAGCCTGGAAAAGAAACCAGTCTATCAGCAAGAAACAATACCCCCCGGGAACCAACGAGTCTATGAGTCTGAGTCTACTCCAAACACCTTGACCGTATTCGCCCACGCTGCCTCGCACACCTCCTCAACAGAGACCCCCTTGATGCCCGCCACGATCTTGGCGATCCGCTCAATCGTACACGGCTCATTCCGCCCCTTGACCATGGCACCCTCCTCCCACTTCTCCTTCTTGACCACCTTGTACCGGTCGGGAACCTCGGACTCTTTCTTCTGATTCTTTTTCCCCTGCTGCTGCTGTGGCTGCTTTTTGGGCCTCTGCCTCCGCCCCGGCTGTCCTGTCCCTCCTTCAACTTCAGAGGCAACCGGAGTGTCTGCATCCGCAGGGGCCGCAGCTGCAGCCGCAGCCGCAGCTTCCGCCTCAGCAGCAGCAGCATCCGCCTTCGCCTTCTCCGCCGCCTTCGCCTTCACCTCCCACTCCACCAGATACTTCCACCCCTCATGCGTCGGCCTAACCTCACACCACGGCCCATCCGTCTCAATCATCAGCCGATCCAGCCGCACCTCGCGCACAACCTCACAATTCTCCGCCGTCTTGAAACTGCACCCATTAATCCCAATATACAGCCCCAAACCCATCAGCTCCCTCATCTCCTCCGCCGTGCCCGTGAAGCTGTGCACCACGCCGCCCTTCTCCAGCCGCTCCAGCCGCGGGCCGAACGCCTCCTGCAGCAGGCGCACAAAGTCGCCGTGCGCGGCCCGCGAGTGCAGGAAGAGCGGCAGCTGCGGGGCGAGCGACGCGGCGAGGGCGAGCTGCGCGGCGAAGGAGTGCAGCTGTACCTCTTTGGAGCAGTAGTGCAGGCGGTCGTAGTCGAGGCCGAACTCGCCGAAGGCGACGAGCTCGGGGGTGTTGTTGTTGCTGCTGTTGCTGCTGCTGCTGCTGCGGGCTTGGGTGATGAGGTCGGCGAGGTCGGTCATGATCTTGGCGCTGCGGGCGTGGTCGACGCCGTCGCCGTCGAGGATCGGCTTGGTTGGGTCCGGGCCGCAGGCCGGGGTGTGCTCGGCCTCTTCTCCCTCGCCCTCGCCCTCGCTCTGGCTCTCGTCGTGGTGTTTGTGGTGGGAGGGGCTGAAGATGGAGCTGCTGCAGGGGTGGATACCTGCGGTTGCGAAGACGGTGCCGGCTGGGCCAGGGGAACAGTGTCAGTCAGTCACTCAGGTTGTGATGCCCGGGGGTACGGAGGGACGAACGGAATTCCTTGGCGAGTTTGAGTGCGTCCCTTGAGCTCTTGAATGACGAGCCCGTAACGATAAGTTTTGAGCACCCAACCTCAACGGCCCTCCCTATGACCCCCTTGAGGTCATCCGGATGGCGTGACTTGCCATGGTAGCGGCCCCGAAAGATGGGATCTGCCAAGTTGATGCCGATCTGGGAGACGGAGTTGAGAATTAGGGTGTATTTTGTGAGATGTGATATGGATTTTAAAGTCTTACATCGATGTATCGAGGCATGTAAGTGCTTGTGGGGAGAGGAGTAGTCGGATTTGTCGAGGCGCCGTTTGGCTGGTTGGTATTCGTATTGGGTTCAGCCATTTTGGAGTTGGTGATTGCAAAACGGGACAAGTTGCCCAGAGTCGATGGAGTCGATGGACTGGCGAGTGAAATCCGTGATATCCGTGATACCGAAGTGAAAGGTCTCAGTCTCATACTCAGTCAGGTCTAGTATTTATAACCCCTTTCCTAGCCCTAAAATGCCCTGATGTTGAGAGTTTGACTCACAAATGTCCTCACTTGAACTTCTCAAACTCCGTCCTCAAAGGCGCCGTTGGGGGCATGGAGGCTTGGCATCTGGGCGTTTAAACGCATTTAAATATCGACAGGGGCAGCAGCCACCATGCCACCCCACAAGCAGACAACTGAACCAACCCAACCAGGAACCCCACACTCAAGAGGACGGTTACATAAGCTGATTTTGCGATTTGTAACCTCATGAACCTGAGACCAAAACAGCGGAGAAGAACAGATGGAGTTAGAGACAAGAACCCAAATCTTGCCCAATGGCTCAGAGCACTTGCCGTGCATGCTCGCTGCTGCCTGAGACCCCAGGTCCAAATACAGGGATTGGTAGGAGTTGATATGGTGGGGCATTGGGGCATCAACGGCACAGTGACATGGCCCGAGCTGTTTGTTTAATAGGCGGGGCTGTGGTGACGCGCCAAAAAACTGATGGCACGCGTCGGACGCGGTCCACAACCCAGCACCTTTAAAAGAGTGCAGAGCAGGAACGTGTTTTCTCCTCCCTCCCACATCACATCCTCCACACAACATCACCAAACCCCCTCACGAAAAGGCCTGACTCAAAGCAGCCTTCTTTAATTCTTGGCCTCACCCAGAGCCTAGACCAACAGGAGACAGACAAGTCACTCCAGTTGCTGTTTGACGATCCTTCCCCGCACTCCCATTTCCATCACCGCCTTTCTTCCGTACCTTGCTCCGACACATCCGACACCATGTATGTCAGAAAGCGCGGTATGTATTCACCTGATCGTGATAGAAGGCTTGGTAAATACTGACTTCACTCTTCAGACGGGCGTCAGGAACGTGTTCAGTTCGACAAAATCACAGCACGTGTCTCACGTCTCTGCTATGGCCTTGATGTGGACCATGTCGACCCCGTTGCCATCACCCAGAAGGTCATCTCTGGTGTGTATGGTGGTGTGACAACCGCCCAGCTCGATGATCTGGTATGCTCACCCCGGAAAACCAAAACCCCCTTTCTAAGTCCGACTGCTCACACCTTCTTTCCAGGCTGCCGAGACTGCCGCATACATGACAGTCACCCACCCCGACTACGCCATTCTCGCTGCCCGTATTGCCGTCTCCAACCTCCACAAACAAACAAAAAAGCAATGGTCCTCCGTCGTGAGCGACCTCTACCACTATGTGAACCCCAAGAATGAACGGCCGTCTCCCATGATTGCCAAGGAGACGTACGAGTGTGTCATGCGCCACAAGGAGGAGCTCGACTCGGCCATTGTGTATGACCGGGACTTCAACTACCAGTACTTCGGCTTCAAGACCTTGGAGCGCTCATACCTGCTGAAGCTCAACGGCAAGATCGTCGAGCGGCCACAGCACATGATCATGCGTGTTGCCGTCGGCATCTGGGGAGACAATGTGGAGCGCGTCATCGAGACATACAACCTCATGTCCTCCAAGTTCTTCACACACGCTTCTCCCACCCTCTTCAATGCTGGTACCCCTCAGGCCCAGCTCTCGTCATGCTTCCTGGTTGACATGAAGGACGACAGCATTGAAGGCATCTACGACAGCCTCAAGACTTGCGCTATGATCTCCAAGATGGCAGGCGGTATCGGCCTCAACATTCATCGCATCCGTGCCACCGGATCATACATTGCCGGTACCAATGGTACCTCCAACGGCATCATCCCCATGCTCCGTGTTTTCAACAACACCGCGCGCTATGTTGACCAGGGTGGCAACAAGCGCCCCGGCGCCTTTGCCATCTACCTTGAGCCTTGGCATGCCGACGTCTTCGAGTTCCTTGACCTCCGCAAGAACCACGGCAAGGAGGAAATCCGTGCCCGCGATCTCTTCCTGGCCCTCTGGATTCCCGACCTCTTCATGAAGCGTGTCGAGAAGAACGGCGAGTGGACGCTGATGTGCCCCAACGAATGCCCTGGCCTTGCCGATTGCTATGGCGACGAGTTCGAGGCCCTGTATGAGAAGTACGAGAAGGCTGGCCGTGGCCGTAAGACGATCAAGGCCCAGAAGCTCTGGTATGCCATCCTCGAGGCCCAGACCGAAACCGGTAACCCCTTTATGCTCTACAAGGACCACTGCAACCGCAAGAGCAACCAGAAGAACCTCGGCACCATTCGCAGCTCCAACCTGTGCACGGAGATCATTGAGTACTCGGCGCCCGATGAGGTCGCTGTCTGCAACCTGGCGTCGTTGGCCCTTCCTCAGTTCGTCGACTACAACCAGGGTGTGTACGACTTCCAGAAGCTGCACGAAGTCGCCCAAGTCGTCGTTCGCAACCTGAACAAGATCATCGACGTCAACCACTACCCGGTCCAGGAGGCTCACAACAGCAATATGCGTCACCGCCCCATCGGCGTCGGTGTCCAGGGTCTGGCGGATGCTTTCCTGGCGCTCCGCATGCCTTTCGAGTCTCCCGAGGCCCGTGAGCTGAACAAGCAGATCTTCGAGACCATCTACCACGCGGCTCTGACTGCCTCGTGCGATCTGGCAAAGGAGCAAGGCACATACTCCACCTATGAAGGTTCGCCGGTATCCCAGGGCATCCTCCAGTACGACATGTGGAACGTCAAGCCGACCGGCCTCTGGGACTGGGACGCTCTCAAGGCCAAGATTAAGGAGCATGGTGTCCGGAACAGCTTGCTCCTCGCGCCCATGCCGACCGCCTCAACCTCGCAAATCCTGGGTAACAATGAGTGCTTCGAGCCCTACACGTCCAACATCTACCAGCGTCGTGTGCTGGCTGGCGAGTTCCAGGTTGTCAACCCCTGGCTCTTGAAGGACCTTGTTGACATGGGTCTCTGGTCTGACAACATGAAGAACCGCATCATCGCCGATGGTGGTTCAATCCAAAACATCCCCAACATCCCGGCCGATACCAAGGCCCTCTACAAGACGGTTTGGGAAATCTCCCAGCGCACCGTCGTTCAGATGGCTGCCGATCGTGGTGCCTTCATCGATCAATCCCAGTCGCTCAACATTCACATGCGTGAGCCGAGCATGGGCAAGATCACCAGCATGCACTTTACCGGCTGGAAGCTTGGTCTCAAGACGGGCATGTACTACCTCCGCACCCAGGCTGCCGCCCAGCCCATCCAGTTCACTGTGGATCAGGAGGCGCTCCGCGTCCAGGACACCAACGTCGGCAAGACGTCGTCGGGCCTGAAGAAGCGCGGCCCTCCGGCCGGCAGCTACATGTCGTCACCATCGGCGGTGCCACGTCCCATGGCGTTTGTCAATAAGGAGAGCACGCCCAAGAGCAATGGCGCCAACGGTGTTGCTACTCCCAGCACGCCCCCTCCCCTGTCCCCTACCGTCAGTGACGTCAAGGCTCGCATCCTCGCCTCGCCGTCAAAGCCGCCTGCCTTCAAGGCTGACATTGACGAGGGCGAAAGCCCCAAGACTCTGCCCACCGAGCCGACTGACAAGCCCAAGCCGGAGGACATTGGGTCGCCCGTCCTCACTTCCAAGAAGGACACTGAGGACAAGGAGGACGAGAGCAAGGAGCGGGAGTTGGATATCTACTCCGAGGCCGTCATTGCCTGTGAGTTCTCCAACACCGACCCCCGTTTTTCATCCGAGAACCATGCTAACCAAGACGTTACAGGCAGCATTGAGAACCCTGAGGAGTGTGTGATGTGCAGCGGTTAAGTGTGGTAACCCGAATGTGGATGAGGCATGGCGCAATGTAGTGTGACGATGGGATTAATACCTGGCATGATTTGGTTTTACGGTTTATGTTTTCCTTTTTATGGATCATTATTGGCATATGCGGACACCCTCACGCCGCGGGCCGTTCATTGCATGGACGGGCGTACACGGCGGAGAGGAGGGGCGTCAATAGTTATGCCCGAGGCTTTTTCTCGGGGCGGGTGTTGGATCATGGGTTTCTCGGTCTGTCTTCGACATGTTTGTCCGAGCATGTTTCTCTAGATGTACCACCACAGCAACGGGCAGCGCATGCGCGCACCGTTGCTTAGCCATGCTGCGAGGTTGTCTATTCAATACCCCTTACATAACAATGTTCCACCGGCGGCAGCGGATTTGATGAAGATGACGGTCTCGCACGCAAGAGGGGAGATGGCAAATCGAAGCAAACGATAACTCCGTCCCAGCGCGCGAGGCGTGGGATTAGTAAGACGGCGCCGCTCGTTGCAGGTCGGGCGTGGTAGAACCCCAAAAAAACCGCACGGCATTTACGAAGCATAACTGTATGCATGCATGCAAACTGCATACCAGAACCAACGGAGTGGTTTCTTCTCTCCGCAATGGGAACCGCAGAGTGATTGCGAGGGACTCAATAAAACGAATGCGTCTCACCACCTGTCCGTCACTCATGTCACGCCAGGGGCGTTGGTGATCGCTGTGCGATGCTTCCAGGCGAGGTTGGCGTTTCATTCTGCATGTCACCCCGTCGCCGTGATTGACGCAACGGCAGTCAAACTGTGCAGAGAGTCAAACAAACCGTGCTGTGCTGGTTGTCTGGCCAGGCCTTGCCATTCTCCACAATCAGTCTCTCCAGCTGGAGCAGGTCTCGCTACCGAGGGTGACGCAGCACACAACACACACAACAACAGAGACACATCAAGGGAGATTTTGTGAGACAGTCGTCCCAGAGGAAATTGGGAGGCCAATTCGTCACAGCTTCGCTAGCTTGCCCGCAGCGCATCGCATCGCATTGGATCGCGTCGCATTGGATCGCGTCGCATCTCCTAACCGGAAGGGGAGCGGCAAAGCCACTTGTGGCCGCGCAAAGGGTACAAGTATGTCTCACCTAAAAAGGACGTACGGACGGGAGGGTGATTGGGGCAAAAAGATGGCTGGTGCTAGCGACGCTAATGCAGGTAGTTCGAAGAGAGGTGCGAGCGGCGAGAGGCACGGAGGCTGTTGGTGGGTGCGATTGGGGGGATTGTTGAAATGGCAGGAGATGGGCTGAGATGGGAACGTTGCTTATTGGTTAGGCGCGGTTTCCGGGCCCTGGGTCGCTGTGATCCGGCGATTGGGGCGGGTGGTTGGGTAGTTATTCAGCTTCTTGTTTTTGTTGATGTTGTATTGAGAGATTGATCGATGTGCGCTGACGTCGATGATAGCCGTACGTCTGCCAAGGGCATTTTTACCATACCACACAATAACCATGTATTGCGTATGGCCATACACCGTCTGTCAAGCCCAGAGCCGAATGTGGGCCAGATCGGGAACGTCCCCGATCGTTTCCTGTTGACCGCTGATAAATAACTCGTAGCTATCATCGCCTGCTGATTCGGAGTTCATCGGACAAGGATGATGAGGCCCGGCGAGGTGTTTTTCCAAATGAACCGCCGGATTAGTGAACCGTTTGTACCGGTCTCGCCCCTGAATGTCGGTAAGAAAAAGTCGACATCGTCGATTTGGGTTCCCGGTTTTGCAGCGCCAAGTCCCATCCTCCCATCGTTTCCCAGCGAGGCCAGCTGCCCCGGGGTTCAGTCAGACAGGGGGTTCCTTGCCGCAGCCAGGGAGCATGCAGAATCAATCCCGTCAGCCAATGGGATACTGCCACCATCGGGCCCGACCAAGATCTCGACGACGTCCTGCGATTTCAATGCGTCAGTATGGCCCGAGGATGAGAAAAACAGCGGGCTCAGTGCTGGCTACCGAAGCACGTGCAAAGCTAAATTTCCTTGCTTCAGCCGTAGTGGAGAAAGGTTATTTGAGCTGCATGGATTTTGCCTGTCTTGGCCGTCTCCTCTCCGTGGCAACGATTTTACCATGCTAGTGTACAGAGAAAGCTGGCGGGCAGTGGGGACGCCATCCATATCCGCGGACGAACACCACCTGCGCAACGTCAGACCAGTTACACCCAGGAACCAGGCCCCAAGCCGGCGAGCCGAGATCATCAAGATCAAGAGGCAGCCGGCGAGCAAGCCGTCGAGGAACCATCCAATGCATTACGCATGGCCCGCCACAATCCCCACATCGTCACTCGATAGCGGCGGCCAGCAGTGAACAGCTGGTTTCCAGGGCACTGCATGGATGGCCTTTCTCAGTGGTGCCCGCCCAGAACTCACAGCATGGTCCCCCATGTGGCTGCATATCGGGCCGTGATGTGGCAGACGGGATCCCCAGTCCCGTCATGGCAACCTGCCGGACTCGCCAGCGCGGTGTTGCCGAGCTCGATTGCTCTTCCAAACAAGGCATCGGACGGAAACGTACCTACCAGGGGCGCAATGAGGCGAGTTTGGGTGACGCCAGATGCCTTCAGGTACCTTCCAAGATGGGCTGTAATGCGAGAGGTTGGTTTGGTTCCATGCCCGCCTATCTGAGCCGAGAATGGCTCGAATGGCCAGGCGTTCCGTCGCACTTTCCCGATATTGTGGAGAAACGAGCTACAACAGCTTGGGGAAGGTTCGGTGAGATCATGGTCCACTCTTCCTTAGTGAATTCTACCCGGGAAGGAGCGATCGTCCTCCCTCCCACGAGAAACCTCGTTGCTGTGACGCGACTTCCTTCGCAATATAAGCCCTGACAATTTCCCTGTGTGCCCTTCCACCCGTTTCCCTCTCCCACTTTCCACCAATTTCTTCACGCACCGACTTTAGAACAGGGTCCTTAATTTCTCCCAACCTCACTCTCACCTTCTCGCGTTTACAACCCTTCAACCTGCATCGCCGATTCAGTTGAACTCGTTCTCGCGACTCAGATAAAACAAACCCGACTCTCGAAACTAACAAGTCTTTTCGTACCGACTTTCACAATGAAGACCACCATCACCGCCATCCTCGCCCTCGCTGGCGCTGCCACCGTGGCCGCCGCCGATTTCCCTTCCAACATGCCTGCCTGTGGCGTAAGTAGTAATCCTTCCTCGCGCGTGTTTCCCCCGCCGCGTGCGCTTCCTCGCCCGGTACAACCTCACATACTGACACTCGCAATAATAGAGAACTTGCGGCACGGCCATGCTTGGAAAGGCTTCCGAGTTCAAGTGCAAGGCCGAGGACATTGCTTGCCTGTGCAAGGACAGCAACTTCGTCTGGGGTATCCGCGACTGCTCAATGGAGTCCTGCGGCAGTGTTGATGACGCCAACGTGGCCATCAACTGGGGCAACAAGATCTGCGCAGACGCTGGTTCCCCTGCCGGTGTTCCCCCCGCTGATGGCGTTGCCGTGAGTATTGCCCTTTCGGCGATTGATTAAAGTTTAGCCCACTAATGCTCCGAATTAGAGCTCCACGGGCGGTTCGGGCGGCTCTCCCACCAAGACGGGCGATGGTGCTGCCACCACTACCGGCTCCGGTTCCGACGACGGCGACAACGGCGACGCCACCACTACCGGCTCCGGCTCCGGCGACGACGCCAACGAGACTGGTGATGCCACTGCCATTACCACCAGCACCTGGACCTCGACCTTCACCAGCGACGACGCCACCAGCACCGCCACTGGCACGACCACCATTTCGGGCGTCAACGGCGGGCCGGATGATTCCAGTGACGCCCCGGAGAGCACCGTCACTTCTCCCATCGTCTCGACCCACACTGGAGAGTCGACGACCTTCACAACCACTATCGGCTCGACCACTATTGCTGGCGGCGATGATGCTGAGGGCACCCAGCCCTCTGACAACAACGGCGCGACGAGCACCAGCACCGCTCTGGTAAGTTATGAAAACCGGTCTTGATTTTCTTGGCCCAATGCTAACTCGATTTGTAGGGTGCCCATATGACTGCGGCCCCGGCTTTCGGCTTCATCGCCGCCGCCGGTATCGCGGCTGCCTTCCTCTAAGCCTGCCCCGACTGTGGGGTTTGGCCAGATATTCCGACGATTTCTTGATCGACACTTGACGATTGCACGAGGCTGGGGCGGACGGACGGACGGTACCGATCTTAATGACTATTGGGACATGGTTACGTATGGAAGCCCCGAGTTTATGGCTGTTCTTTGCTTTGATATCCCGCCGATATGTCCACCGTTTTGTGCTGGGCATTGTTTCATTGTACATAGTATGTAGAGCCGGGCGTTCCGAGATACCGAGAGATACCCACGACGGGTACCGTATGGTGGTGGTTTCTGCTCTGAATGACGGACCCGGGGGTTAATGGTGAAGTTAGGTGCCGGGTACCCGAATTACAAAGGCATTTTCATCAATCTTGGCGATTTTCAGGCTGCGCAGTGATGTGTTCTGGACTGGCTTGGCTTAACAAGCTTTTTGGCTAAGACCTCAACGAGGAAGCCGACACCATGAAATAAATGCACGAGGGACTGGTACCCTTCACTTGGCGGTGGCAGAACCTGGTTGTTTTCTCATGGCTGTCTTTCTACACTTGGGAATTTATGGATGGGACGGCTTGAAACATGCCTATTTATCACGTATCAACCGGTTCATTATGGCATCTCAGAACTTTGGGTGGTTGTATCGGTCTGTCTTTTCTTTTGCTTGACATATGATTGCTGTGTTTACCTCGCTATCCCCCCAACCAAGACCAGCGGAATCACAAGCCCAACAACCGCCACCAGCCCGGCCATCAAAACCGACACCCCAGACACCCCCGGCGCCCTCTTCATCCCTTCAAAGATCCCTTCCAACCTCTCCGCCATCTGGCTCTCAGCAAAATTCTCCTTCACCCTCTCCACCCCGGCCCTCCCCATCGCCTCCAACTCCTCCGCCGGCATATCATTCAGCACCCGATCCATCACGGCGCTCCACGCCTTGGGTTTCTCGGGATCCCTCAACCAGCCGGTCACGCCCTCGACGACGGTCTCGCGCGGGCCCCCGCTGTCGGCCGCCAGCACGGGTACCCCGTCCAGCATGGCCTCGAGCGGCACGATGCCAAAGTGCTCGCCGCTCGGCGTGTACACCAGCAGCCGCGCCGTGCGCAGCAGCATCGCCTTGAGCGTCTGCGGCACGCTCAGCAGGAACACCACCTCGGCCTCGGCCGCGCCCGCCGCGGGGCCGACGGCCGAGACGACTGTCTTGGCGGTCGCGTGTCGCAGCCCCAGGGAGGAGGCTAGGGTGGTCAGTTCGGAGTGGTAGCCTACGTTCTCGGCTACGCGGGGGTCGTAGCCGCCTGCGAGGACGAGTTTGGCGGCGCCCCGGCGGGTGGGCGGGAGTTGGGCGAAGGCGTGCAGGGCGAGGGCGATGTTCTTTTTGCGCTCGAACCGGTTGATCGAGAGGATTACTCCGTCTTGTTTCCAGGGGAGTGGTTCGACGGCGGGGCGCTTGTCACCCGTGGGGGAGGAGGTGGAGGTGTCGATGCAGGGGTATACGACGTGCAGCTGCCTTTTATCCTTCTCCTGCACCAGCCCCGGCCAAGTCTGCCTCACAATGCCCCGGGTGAACTCGGAATTCACGGCGATGGCGTCGGCAAAGCCCATGCTCCAGCGCTCGAGCGCGTCGAACGGCACGCGGTAGAGGCGCTTCACGAGGCGGGCGCGGCCGCGCGCGAGCAGCAGGTCGGGGAAGTGGCAGTAGAAGAAGATGGGCGCGGCGGTTAGGGTCTTGAGGAAGGGGAGCCCTGCGCTGAGCTGGTCGACGAAGAAGGCCGAGGGGCCGAGATCGGCGAGTTCGCGGGTGAGGAGGGTGATCTGCAGGATTAGGTGCAGTTGGCGCAGGATGGCGCAGAGGATTGCGAAGCGGCCGAGGAGGGTGGGGGGGATGAGGGTGTTGCCGCGTACGCGCACGTCGAGGGTGCCTATATGGGAAGGGGAAGGAGATGGTTAGTTGTTACTCATGTGGTGCGGTGTGTTGTGTTGGATAGATGGGGAGTGGGTGGGTGGCATAGCATAGGTAAGGTAGCATACCATCGCGGGCCTCGTCGAAGCAGTGGGCGGGATCGCAGTGGCTCGTGAAGATGACGACTTTGTGCCCGCGCTTCTGCAGGCCTACCGCCGCGTCGACGACTAACCGCTCTGCGCCCCCGATCCCTAGATCCGGGTGCAAAAAGACGATTGTCTTGCCGGGTTTCTTGTCGGGTTTCTTGTCGCCGGCCATGGTGATGAACATCCACGGACAATGACGTGGGTTGCTGCGGCAGGAGGGCAGATGTGGTCAGAAGAAAGCTCCAATTCAATTATTGGCATTAATTGGCATGCGGGTCCCGGCAGGCAAAGCGTAATGTAATGACAGGGGGCCAAGAAGCATCCGGCAGATGGTAAGATACCAACAGAGACGTATTACAATACACACATATTCCCATATTCCCAAATTATCAACAACCACCCTTGGCAATGCTTGTTCTCCCTGCCTGACGACTCAGACACGTCCCTCCCATTCCCCCGGATGATGCCCGGGCCCAGATCCGATCCGGGAACGGAACCGCCCCCCCACAGTCCTCCGACCCGGACCGGCATCAGACCAGGCCACCCGGCATACCCAACTCGGAAATCCCCCCGGGTCACACAATTCTGATTCGCTCCATTGCATTTGCATGTCCTTCTTCCTCTGTACATCGGGACGTCCCCAACCGTGATTGATCCGAACTGTGCCAGCCAGCCAGTCAATTCAATGTAAGTACCAAGAACCCAGACCCAATCTGTGTAAATGCAGCAAAAGACCCCAAGCCCAATGTATGTATCAACACCGAAGGGGTAAGCCGCGCCGACAATCACAAATGCCTAACTATCTGCTGTGCAACGGCGGGAACAAACAGCACTGGAGCAGACACCGGCATACACCAAGCAAAAACTCAAAGACCAACATGACCCAAAGCAAACCAGACGATGATCCCAAAAAGCCCACCACCCAAAACATGGGGAAGTGCAGTTTAGTTGAGTAGTGTGTGTGTATGTCTGTGTGTGGTGTGTGGGGTGTAGTAGTGTAGCGTAAGTGCAGGATAATCAACAACCTAACCAACAAACCATATCATAGTTAAGGTATCAGACTCAGACATAGCCAACGCCCTAACCCGCGCCATTCCGACTCCCGCAAACCCCCCCACCGAGAATGTAAATGTGGTAAGTAAATGATCAGACCAGGAACATTGAAACTCCTCCCCCGCCATCCGCCCTCCCACCAACCAGCCACCCTTCGCCAGCTAACCCCGTTCCATGCATGCTCCCAAACCGAACCAACCAAGTAGAACCATAACCCCAACTCCCACCTGCGCCGTTATGATATGATGATACACGCATGCATGCCGGCGTCAAGCATGCTTAAGCCAGTGGTAGACAGTCTACCCGAAGATGACCGAGCGACCGGGCGTGGTTCATCGATGATAAGGTGTAATGTTTTTCTTTTTTTTTTGCTCAGACGCAGTTTAAAGGCGAGTGGGCCGGCTAGTCGCTATCCACAAACATCTTCTTCGCTGTTTCGGTGCTGCCCACGCTCGCGTTCGTGTTCCGCCGCCGCGCATTCCCAATCAGTCTTTCCACCCCATGCGTATGTGCTTGCGTTTCCTTGGGAGGCGTGGTAGCGGCCGAACTCGAAGGCCCGGTAGACTTCTTCTTCGGCCTGGCCATGGTCAAACCCTCATCGCTATCGCTGTTGTTGTCGTTGTCATCATCGTCGTGATGGCACCGCGAGCCCCTCCGACTAGCAGGGAGTCTGCCGCCCACTGGAGTGCGGACACTGGAGCCGTCAAACCTCGTGGATACGGCACCCTCGTCCCGCGCTTCTAGCGGGAATCCCGACATGGGCTCCTTGGAAAAGGCCGGTGGTGTGAGCGAGTCAGTGGTGTCAATTACCGACGGCCGGCCCACGACTCCTGGGTTCCCGAGGAACTCGCCCTCCGGGTCCGCCGAGACGGAACTCGTGCTGCTGAGCAAGGCAGGCAGCGACGGGTCCGACTGGAACGCAACCATCCGGTCGGCTACCTCCTTAGTCATCTGGTTATTGAGCCCGTAGATGGGGCTCGCTGACTCGCTCGGGCTGGTCAACGGGGTTGTAAGCGCGCCCATCGACGTCGAGCTAGACGATTTGCCCGTCGCGATAGTCTCACCCCTGGACAGGGGCATCGGCGGGAATGTGTCGTCATCCGGGGATGACGGGCAGCGGGTGAATGCAGGCTCAGGTGTCGATGGTTTTCGCACCGCTTCGGCACGATGGGCCGTCACCGGCCTCTCCTCCAACACCACGAGGCTACGCTGCTTGTTGTGCATATTGGGATCCGATTTAAACTGGCCGCGGGGGTATCCAGAGAGGGAGCCCGCCGCTGGAGGCACCGTGGCCGAGGAAGCGTGCTCAGGACCTTCCGTGAGCTCCGTCGACCGTACAGAGCGAGTCTGCGGGTCGAAGTGCACATTTCCCGGGGCAATGGCGGTGCTCAGCGCCACCCTAGCTTCGGCACGTTTATCGTTGCTGACAAACAGGCCACGGTCAACCGATCGGGCTCGGCCGAGATCGTCTGCGTTTGACTTGATATCCCGGGCTTTTCTGAGCGCGCTACTCGGATCGTCCACAGGGCTATCGAAGAGAGGTGTTGGCGGAAGCGTCTGCGTTTCGATCGGAGTAGGCGTGAGAGCTAAAAAAGCGTTCGTGATGGACCTGGATTGCCCGTGTCGAGTTGGTGCTCGGTGCGGGGAGGCGGATGCCTGTCGATTCCAGTGGTCGTCCCTCCCGGTGAGTGTTGTGAGCAGCTCGAGCGGCCTGCGAGATCCGCGGCTGCCGATTGATGACGATTGGTGCAGTGGAGAAGAGACGGGAGGTGACCCAGATACAGGGCTAGCTAGTACGCTGTGCGTGAGGGGATGCCCGCTTGTTTGTTGTTGCGAGGGGTTGGAAAAGTAATCATCGGGGCGTAGGCTTCTTCGTCGGGTATCTCGTAAATGGGGCGTGATCAGATTGGTTATGTCGCCTGCCGAGCTGGCGGCGCTGCTGGCAGCGCGCCGCCGAGACGAGACGCTCTCTGTACGGTCCCCGCGAGGGTGCATCACCTTGCCCACCGCTTTCTTGACCACGGATCTTGCGCGCTCAATCAAGCTCAGCGGGACAACAGCACGAGCCATGTCCTTCTCATCAACTTGGATCTTCTTGCCCGACGCCTTCCTCGAGGGGTCCGTGTCGTCAATCCACGACATGATATCCACGCCCCGCATAACCCAAGGGTGCCGTTTCACGTCGCGCAGGCGGATCCTCTTTTCCGGGTTCTTGGTGAGCATCTTCTTGAGGAGGTCCTGAAGTTCGAGGTCGATGTCTTCGTATGTGAGCTCGTCGTCGTCTCGGTACGGTGGCTTGTTCACTCGTGTGTATAAAGACTTCTCGCTAGGCTTGGTGGCAGGGTCGACAGGTCGAAGTCGCCGATGCGGTATGTATACCTCCTCGTTTGCGATCTTTTTGAACATCTGCCACTCGTCCTCGGCCAAGAAGGGTAGCCGAGCATAGATCAGGCAATAAAGCGTGACACCCAACGACCAGACATCGATTTGCTCGGTAATCTTCGGCTGCTGCCCAGGAGGGGCATCGAAAAGGTCGGTAGCGCAGAGTTCGGGAGCAAAAAAGGCGGGTGTGCCGACCGTCTTGGCAAGCTCGAGGTCGTTATCGAAGTCCCGCGCTTCGGACTCGGAAATGGTATCGTCGGGTTCTCCTTCGCGGACGGGCCGGCCAAAGTAGGACACGCCGAAGTCGGCGATCTTGGACCTCTTGTCCTTGGTCCAGAGCAAGTTTGCTGGTTTGATATCTCGATGAACCACACCTTCGTAATGCAAGTACTCGAGGCCTAGGACAGTATCGCGGAATGTATTTCTTGCTTGCTCCATGGTAAAGCAAGGCACGTACGAAAAGTCGTCGACGTACGGGTCGTGGACCTTGTTAAAGTCGAAGGAGGACAAGTGGGACATGAGCGAGTCTGCCATGCTGGGAGACCTCCCCCGCAGGGCGGGATCCTCGACATAAGGGCCGTACATGGTTCCGTCCAATACGGTCGACGAGTTGGGCTTGGATTTGATGGGCAAGGCGCCGGGCGTCTCTGCGTCATCGTTGTCGGCGGCTGGCGCGGGATTCGGCTCGGCAGGGTTCGTGAGGGATTTGGTCGACTGCGAGCGGGACGGAGCCCGGGAAGTCGCTCTTGATCCAGCAAGAGAGCTCGTGTTCGATAGAGTCGGACGGATAGCCGACAGACCCCCATCGTCCCTCCCGAGCGAACCGACGTGCGAGTCGAGCTCCTCATCGTCGGCGGCGCCGTACTCGAGACTCCAGTAGTCGGTTGAAGGCCTCTGAGCGCGGGCTCGCAACCTCTCCCGTTGTGCATCCTTGGCGGCCTGACGCTGCAAGAGAAGGCGTTCGAATCGGTCCTCTTCGGGGGTCGATTTGGCGCCTCGTGTCTCACGTTCGATGCGGCGACGTTCGTATTCACAAATATGAGGAAGACCCTTCTTTCTCCACACGACCTCGCCCAATTCGACATGTTCCAACACCATGTAGATCTTTTTCAGCTCGGGGTCATCGATGACCTCGAGCAGGGCGACGACATTTGGGTGGCGGATCTTCTTGAGGATGGCGATCTCCTTCTTGCTCTTGTCCTGAGTCGACATGGCCGTGACCTTGCCAAGCCGCCGTTTCTTGGAGAAGCGCGGGATGATCTTGATGGCGACGAATTCGCCATTCTCCACATTCCTGGCAAGCTTCACCTTGCCATGCACGCCGCGGCCAAGCTCCTCAATGATTTCGTAATTATTGATGTGCTTCCTGCCGGTTGTGTAGTCATGTTCGACGTTTGCTTTGTGTGTCCTGGGCGAGCTGTTAGCGGCAGGCATGGGAATTGGGACGACCTGCCCCGCTTGTCTCTTCTGTGCTAGAACCGGTGGGACACGAAAGTCGGGACGACAAAAAAAAAAAAAAACTTACTCTCGGACCTTGTGGCCCTGCAGCGGATGCAAATAGGGGCTGTGACCATTGGAACCGCCGGGCGTCGCCGTCTCGGAGCCGGGCTGTGACGACGAGAGTATGCTGGGGCGGGGCAGGACCGGGCTGAAGAGCCCCGGCGAGGACACCGGGGTGCTACTGGCAGTTCGGGACGGGATATGCGAGGGCGGAGGAGGGAGGATGTTGTGAAGACGAGGGTGCGAAGGCCGATGGAACGGCTGTCGTGGTGGTTGAGGCTCCATCGTGGTGGCAATTTGGACGAACACGGCGTGGGAAGACCCTCATGCTGGAGAGCGTTGCCGTTGTGCAATCTGCGGGGACTGCGTTGCAGACGTCGATCGACGATTCAAACTGTATTCAAACGGGCATCTTCGTAGTTCAGAAAGGCGGTGCCTATAGAAGCAAGAGAAAAAGAAAACTGGAAAACTCTTGAAACGAAGTGGTGGTGACGGCGATGTGAAAAGTGGCTGATGTCGAGAGGGAATGAATGCAGTTCAGGAAAGACCCGCAGGCGCTTGACGTCCTCTTGAGCGGCGATGCACAGTTTTTGGTCGGCTCCGGTCGTCCATTGCGGCTGCCCGCCAATGCTGTGGGCAACCACCTGCAGCGCTGCGGCGTTGGCTGGTCGGGCAGCCTCCAAGTACTGTGTACTGTGCCAGTACGAAGAAGCAGCGTTTCCGGAGCGGACAAGGCACACACAGTAAGTACATAGTGTGCACACGTTAACATCCTTTTGGCCAATGACTCCCACCCACATGATGCAACCATGAGAAAGCATCAGCCGTTGAAGGGGTCCGGGGCAAAAATTGGTACATATGATAGTTACGCAAAAGAAGTCACTATCGTGGGTTTTGTCTTGCTTTGCCGATCAGGCCTCATTAGAAGTAACGAGCTAACTATTGGTGCCCATGGATCCCTTTTGCCATGGTCAATCATGGCGCAATTGTAACTTTTGAAGCAGAGGCGACAGAAAAGCTCGAAGCCAACACGAAGCCAGTGCTTTGGAGTTTTGAAAACCATGCATCATCAGAGCTGCGAGACCGGCACGCCACGGTGATACCATTCAATTCGAAGAGACATTGGCCAAGGGAACTGGCATTGCATCGAAATCGCCAAGACATACCTCGAGTGGAGACCTGGAAGGGAGCAAAAAGGAGGGCCGAGCTTATCGCGACTAGCCGATATAGGCAATGATTGGCGGCACACTTCTTGGCTTGCCCCTCCTGCAGATCCATCCTGTGAGAGCGCGGTGGCCTGTTCCGTCTGTCATGATGGGCGAAGGAAGAAAAAAGACGGGAGCTGTGAGATGAGATATGGATCCCGATGGCAGAGCAGACGGGTTTGCCCGCTCGGGGTCCAACGCCGGCTTTGGTTCAGGTGGGTAACTGGCCGAAGAGGGTCATCTAAAATAACTTCGTTTGCGAGAAGCGGCCAAGTGCCAACTCACGACACAGTTCAAGCGCCCGGGATGTGGCGTGCCAGTCCAGTCCATGCTCAACAACGCAGCGGCATATCCTTGTGCGACGGAGATAGTTCATATTAACTATTATGCGTGGCGGGTACCCGATGTCGATAGCCGGCATCCATTTAACAAAACTTGAAGGCATCCGTGAAGCTGGAGATTCTGTAGTCCGAGCGGCTGCTGTGGTCGTGGTGTCGTTAACCATTGATGGAAACCTCCGTTCCCCGTGGGTCGGAAAAGCGGCAAGGGCTCTGGGCCGTTGCATCCAGCGGCACAACTCCAGCGCAGAGATGCAGCTGCAGCGTTTTGTTGTCGCGTTGGAGAGGCCAGATCTTCACGGTGGGTGGAACTCGATAAAGGTTCTGTTTAGGCATCGTTCGCCTGCCCACGTCAATGTGGACTGGAGGCGAGTACTGTGTACTTCGTACTTTTGCAACTCGCGAAGAATCGTCGCCGACGATTTCCATGGGTGGTGCGGGACCCAATGGGGTTCCGTCTTGTGAGACGGATCTCGGCTTACCAAAAGTGGGCTGCCCCTCGTCTTTTTGGAGTGACCCGCGACGAAGCGTTCCATCCTGACCGGCTCGAGCAGAAGGCCCTTCGTCCAGCCGAAACGGTGCGTTTGGATATTGCATGCAGCTATACTGGGTTGTGAGAGGGAAGATCCTCACAACTTCAAGGTGGGAATAACTCACGACGCGGGGCATTGATGCTCCACGATCGTGACTCCTGCCGCCCCTCCTGCTTAGCATTCGGGTTGTTGAGCTCGTTATCCTCGGTAAAAACACCGAGCAAAAGGGCCGCGACCATCTCTGCTGAGCCGACCCGGAAGCCAGTCTTCGGATGACCGAGTTAGGGATGGAGCCGGGAGCGATGGAGCCGGGAGCGATGGCATCGTGGAATTGGTTGGACGGTCCAGACCGTTCTCTGCTCCTTTCCAGACTGCTGCAGTTCTGAGTGGTTTAAAACCTCCGTTGCTGCCCAAGGCATCCCCGCGTTAACAAGAGTAACCCTTGGCATTTGGAGAAGAGAGATACAATCGAAGAGAAGCCGGCCAATTTGGTGACCGGTCATTATATCGGCGACTCTACCTGAGGAGCTGAGACAAGAGCATGGTGGCGTTGTCCCCAGTCCTTGGGGGCGGAATTGTCTGATGTCGTTTGTAGTGCGAGTGTGAATGCCGCGAAAACCCGAAGACAGACGGTGAGTCCCAGAACGCCTCCAAGAGGGGCAAAATCTCGTAGATGGATTACCCAAGGAGTTGCGACGGATTAGTGCGCAGGACATCATCGCGCATCCGACGTGAGAAGTGACCACGAGCTCACCACGCGAGGGCGACAGTGAAGGCAGCATCCGTCTCGCCGGCAACCCCTCCAGAATCCCCAAACGGGAATCGCCTCAACCGCCCCAGCCCGCCCAAGCCAATCATCAGGCTTGGTGTCATGCAGGTCTCACGCACCAATTCGTGCACTCTCTCTCAAGGCAGTCAGAGATTCGGAGCGCAATGGAGACGTCAATTGCGATTGCATGGGAAACGGACGACGTCCCGCCGCCGTTCACGGTCGCTCCTGCTGCACCGGAGCGCTTCCACTTGCCTCGATGGATAATGCCATTTTCTTCAAGAACAGCGACAACGACCGAGTGCTCTTTCTCGTTTGTTCGTGACTCGGGGTCCTTCCAACCCTCGTCACATCAGGTCCTTCTTTCCCTCATCTTGGCCCGCGTTTTGCCTTGGGATGGCTCGGCGAACACAAAAGCGGCTTCGTGCTTAGCCGTTGCTCGAACCGCATGTGCTTTCCCGGTTGAATCAAGCAGGGCTTCGAGTTCCCTTCTCCTCTTTATTCGCCGTCTGCAGGGGAAAAGGAGACGGTTTCTGCAGGGCGAAAACGGCTGCACAAGTGGCTTGAATTGCACCGATCTGGTTACAGCCCAGCGCGACACAGCACCGCTTTGGAGCAAGCGATGCAACCCTCCTCCAACCCCTCCTCGCCGTGGCAGCGTGGGCAGCAAGCGGTTTCTCGTTCCTCAGGCTGGTTGAACTGCTCCCTTCCCGTCGTCCCAGCAATATCGACGACCCTGCTATCGCCAGTCCCGTTGCCATGCACGTCATGCCCGTAATCGTTCGGGGAGTGGGGAACGGAGGATGGAGGACGATCACTCTTGGTGCACTCACTGTGCCGCAAGCTCGCATTCGAGGAACCTCATGTGCATCAGACGGTGATGCTGTTGCTGAGGTTCGGCCGTTGGGCTGGCTCGCTCGCCCGTTGGTTGACACTCCGCCGGAAAGTTACAAGGTACCTCGGTAAGAAGCTTCACACCTTTCCATTTTTAGGCCGTCATTCAGACTGTCACCTGCCTGGACATGTGACGAGAGCTGTCGCCAGGCTAGCGTGGATGGATGGCGGGATGCCAGCCGTTTCCTCTCCTGGCACGAAGGAGTCCTCAATGTCTCAAACAGCCTTGCTCGCGCCCGGGGCTCAGGCCAACCGTTTCGCTGAACGAGGCACCTTTTGCCCCGATCGACCATGTCAAGAACTGAGCCAACACGCAAGCCCCCGTGGTCCCTCTTCCAATGAATGGGAGGCATCACAGGCCGGGCGATTCCACCGTTTTCTTCTCCGGCCCCAAGGAGCTGGGAAGCACACGGCCTTCCGCTCGTGATCCTGGACTCTGGTTCGTCACACCGGTAGCGTGGTTCGGCCTTGACCACAACCATGGAACTTGTCCTGATGCCACAGAACAGTTTCATGGACCCCGGGGGATCACAATAAGCAAGAGCCCGAGAGCTGACACCAAGGAACCAACCCCCAAAACTCCTTTACGGAGACGATGGGAATTCGGTCAACGCAGGATGGTATTGTCCAGTTCGCCAGATACCCGTCGTTACGAATACAGATCTGTCTCCACGACTGCTTCTCTGCTTCTCCGGTGTCTCCGGCGTCTCCGCGCAAGCTGGAATCGACAAGAACGCCATTGGCTACCCGAAAAGCAGCGCCACGGCGCCCACGCCCCCAGTCATCCCGACGATACGGTTCTTTCACCCCGGATTTCACGCAGCGCGGCGTCGCGCCATCAGCCGCCATCGCCTTGTCCTTCCCAGCTCCTCACCACCAGGGCGGAGCCCTCTCGCGCCCGGACACTGTCACCTCGTACAGATGTACAAAGTGATAGTCAGTGCTTTGTTCGCCTCCCCATCGTGCTTCGCCTCGATGGATGCCCCATTGTCAGCCACCACACCTCCTACTGTGTTCGTCGATGACAGTTACTTGGGCAAGTCACAATCGCCGTAATATCCCACAATCACACTGTGCAATCGTGCATTATCTCTCCCCCCCATCTCTTTCTCTTTTCTTTGGTGCGATTCCCTGCCGCTTCAGCCTGGATCTTGCAGAAACCCGCCGTCGATAGCGTCGCATCAGCAGCATGGCTCAAGAAAGCAAGCAGACCGCACGGCACGCACGGGTAACCGAGCGCGCCTTCGCTTCGGGCAGCACAGGCGCCGGAGACAGCGGAAACATTGAATAACATTGAATAAGGACAAGAACAAGAAAAAATGACGGAGACAGTCTGGGCTTGGCTTCTTGGCTATACCCCCGGTTGACCCGCTCGACCCGCTTCCCACCATCGCCAAGACATTACACAAGGAGTGGATGGCAGCTCTTGGCAAATGCGGAGACTGCTGGAAAGAGGGTTTTGTGAGGAGGTGGGGAGGGGGGGATCCACGCATCGAACCATGCTGAGGGTTCTGGAGGTTACGAACCGGCGCACGCACTGTGTGTCCTGCAAACCCTCCTCCACCATCCACCTCCACCCTTTCCTTCAACAATCCAACCAACAACTTACGGGCCAAAAGGTCCTGCCCGTCCTGCGCGCCGCTATCTGATCAGTGGCGATCGGCCGGTAAGTGTGCAGGTGGACATGGATGCGGAGAGAAGATGAGCACCGGGATTAACAAGGTTGGTTGTTGTTGTTGTTGTGTGCGTGTGGGGGAGAGGGGCACTTCCCATGGAGGGTTACTTTTGACGCTTGCTTGTGTGACGGTTCATGGATGGCGGGGGTGTTTTAGACTCTCTCTAGTGCAGTTTGTTGTTGTTGTTGTTGCGACATGTTCTGTCCGTCGAGCCGTCGAGCCGTTTCGTGTCTGTGTGTCTGATGTCCGTCATATCTCATGGGGATACGAATATTGTGGTGGTAGTGGTGGTGGTGGTGTTCGGCGTGCGCTAACTATCAACTGCCATCCACCACAAGAGTCGGCTTTGCTTGTTTTCGATATTCGATCAGAGCCCCCCTCCGTCCAATCCCGAGCTGAGCATGGCCGGCTGCCTGTCTGGCTGTGAGACATGCAAGGGGAGCACTGCTCGTTTTGAGCTGCGCCGTGGTGTGCTCAGGGGGGGAACCTCGGGGTTTTTCCCAACGCCAATAACTAGCTCTGTTCTATCTGTTCTCGGCGGGCCTGGTGTGGTTTTGGTGTGGTTTTGGTGTGGCAGACCCGGCGGAGATCACGGGGTGGAATCGGGCCAGATCGGGCATTGAAGGGGGGGTTTGGTCGGGTGGTGAGGGTTGTGCGGGGGAGTGGTCTCCTGATTCTGAACGGCGGGGGAGTGACGGAAGGGAGTTATTGTCTCCCTGATTCTTGCCGTCTTCGTGTTGAATGTCTTGTCTTGCCGTCGGCTTGTCGTCGGCTTGTCTTGCGACTACACCACCACCACCACCACCACCACCACCACCACCACCACCACCACCACGGTGATGTGGTTCACGGCGGCGATTATGCAGGCGCAGAGAGACAAGGAGCGGGCATTGCGCGGCCGGGAAACTTGGCAGCGGCTCGGCCTTCTGCCCCCCAACGCGACACCCTCCGGCCTGCACGGCGCAGATCACCCGGCTCAGTAAGTGGTATCCTTACAACCCCATCCGCGTCGACTGCCGCTGATCTCGGGCATATCGGGGGACTGCTCCGCCATCGGGGTCGTCGTCATCGTCCCCTATCCTCTGTACTGCTTTGGCTTGTTTTGGCTCGAGATGTGTACCGGTTACCTCGACCTCGTCGTGATCCGCTGGCCAGCCTCGTATCCCCGCAGTTGGAGGACCTGGGCAACTGGGTCTCCCCTTTCCCATCATGCACGCGCCGCTCCCGCCGGTGCGACGTGAGGGTTACAACTCCCTAGTTTCAACGTCAGACGTCATGTTGTGGCATCACGCAGTTGCAGTCAGCCAGGTCAGGAGAGCAGAAACGAGGATTAATAATGTATTAACTGGGCCATATGGGCTGATCCCTGGCAAGTGGTTGTTGTGTATTCTACATGTGCAAGTCGCAAGAAGAAAGAAGTCAGTTCCGTCTAGCAAAGGAAGCAAGGTCCACCAGCAACTCCTAAACCCTAGTCGCTTTCCCTATACCCGAGAGCAAAGAGAGGGCCTGCTTGTTGAGAGACTTCCTCCCGCCGGTGGATGCCAGTAGCAAGTAATAGCCCCCGGGTTTCGTACTGGCTTCCTGTGACATGCTGCCCCTCTGCCCCAAGAACCGTGGCCTGATCTGAGGCCCCAAATGCAACTCCCTAGCCTGGAAACAAAGAGGGTTCCAAGAACAGTGACCCAAGAGGGGTGTGATCCTGAATCCCGAGCCTTCCAAGCTAACCGCCGTCCGGGAGCCGGGTTCCAAGAAGGTCGAAGCCAACCAAGTTGGACGGGCTCTCTCTCTTTCTCTCTCTCAGTCCCGTCCCTCCATCACCATTTTTTGTTTGTGTCGTGTCGCATTAAGCCGTCGGCCGAGGTTGATCTCTCCCAGCCCGGAAACGGTGTCGAAATAGTTGAATCAATCTGAAGATCGCGCATAAAGTTGTAAAGTTGCGTTGCGTTGCAAGTTGCCCCCGTCCCAACATCTCCGTTTTCTCTCTTCCCCCCTGGCGGGCATCCCTCTAGCCACCTGCCCACACTCACTCACTCACCCTTCCCCACCCCCTCAATACCGCATCACCAACACCCCCGCCTTGAGAATATTCCTCGTCCGAATCGTCATCGCCTGATCATTCCTCACCGTAACCGCCGGCGTAGCACAGAACCGCACCCGCGCATGATCCTGCTGCAGCGCCAGCAACCTCTCCGCAGCCGCAACCCCCCCAGTAACACCACCACCAGAACCACCCCCAGAACCACCCCCAGAACCACCCCCAGCACCCCCACCCCCAGAACCAGAACCAGAACCAGGTAGAGATGGCAAATCCAACGGCTCGTGCGTGTCCGCCGCGAAGCGCACGCCCGCGTCGTTCCACACGTACTGGAAGGTCAGGCGCGACCGGAACAGCTTGGCCGACAGCTCCCAGGCGCTGGTGGTGATGCCGAAGAGGTCGTAGAGGGCCTCGTTGGTGGTGTTGGCGTTTGTGGAGGCCGCGGGAGGATGGGTAGGGGGGTGAGTGCCTGTGGTGGTGTTGTGGGTAGTGAGGGAAGTGGAGGTGTTGGTGTTGTTGTTGTTGTTGTTGTGGGTGGTGGGCCGGCTGCGGCGGGTGAGGAAGGGGGCGACCATGGTTTTGAGGTATTGGTGGTGTTGGGTCAGTTTGAAGTTCTTGAAGGCTGCCGCGTTGCTGCCGGAGACCATCTCGCTTACGAGCTGGGCGCGGCGGTCAATGAGGGCCTGGCGGTCGTAGGCTTTGGAGGCTGCGAGGGAGGGGGTTTGTTAGTGGGTGTTAATAAATAGACAGAGGGGGCACTCACGATCCATCTTCTTCAACCGCATGTCCAGCTTCTCCATCTCCTCGTCCACATCCTCCGAGTAGTCCTTCCAGCCCTCGTAGCTGCAGATAAAGACCATGATGTGCTGCAGGATGAGGCGCTGCATGAGGTACGGCCGGGAGTCGCGGTTGCTCAGCAGGCGCATGGCGTGCTCACCGTGGGTCTGCTCCTGGTTGGTCTGGCAGATCTTGCAGATGTAGTCCCAGAGCTGGCCGTTGGCCTCCGACTGGATCTGCCGTTTCCAGTTCTCGTCGATCGGAGGCAGGTCGTGGAAGTACGAGGCGCAGAAGCCGTAGATCAGCGCGAACAGCGACTGGAACTCATCTGCCCAGCTCAGGCAGTCCGAGCCCTCGAGGTCGGCCCTCACGAGAGAGCCCGGCGTAGCGCGCTTCCGCTCCTTGGGGCTGCCGGTCTCGGTGCTCATCGTAGTAACCCTGGGGTTCCGTCTGGGGCCGGATGAAGGGCGGCTGACCGCGAAGCTGGCATTAGAGCGGCCGCTGGTGGCCGTGGTGTTGGACGGACGGCGCTGGTGGTGGGAGTGACCCTGGTAGACCACGGGCCCAGAGAGTGACGAGGGGATAGACTGGAAGGGAGAATATCCACCGGCGAAGGGGCCACCAGGTCCTTGGGGAGCACCGCCATAGTAGAAACCGCTGGGGTTGACGTTGCCTGGGGTGCCGTTGCCCGAGCGGTCGATGCCTGTGTGAACATTGGCAGTGAGAGAGCTGCTCGAGCGGAGAGTGGGAGGGGGAGCCCTGACACTCGGGGCATAGCCTTGCTCCGCGGGGGGCAACGCAAAGGTTTGACTGCTGAGAGGAGTCGAAGAACGAGCGAGGGTATCCAGAACGGCAGCCCGGTCCTGAGGGTCATTGTGGACGTTTAGCCACAGGTTTCGCTTGCCGTTGACCTGGTCCTGGAGGATCTTATGTCGACTATTAGCAACCGTGTTTTACTGAAAAGACGAAAGAAACCTAAGTGAGAGAAAATACTTACCGTGCGAGCCATATCATTCTGGCGAAGTTGCTCATTGAGAAACTGTGATTCGCTATTAGCTACTCTTCCGCCCCAAAGAACATGAGATGAGTGGACATACCTGAATCGTCTTCATGTCCTCATCGCTGCGCCCTGCGAGGCTCGCTAGGGTTTTCTCGGCGTTTTGACAGCGCTCCTTCCACTCTTTGAGATCGCTCTCAAGAGTGCGAATGGTAGTCTCGAGGATACGAACGCGTTCCTGGTCAGCGAACGCCTTCTTGAGCTCGGCCGTCAGCCGGTCAACCGCCTGGTTCATCTTGACGGTATTGTTCATGAGCTCCTGCACGTCGTAGTCGAATGACATGAGGAATTCCTGTGGAATGGCACTCTGGCCATACATGCCCTGGCGGAGGCCCCAGACGCGCGCCTGTAGTTTGCAAGTCTGGTCGCGATGCGTCTGATGTTTGGATGGTTAGCATGGATGGAAGTGTAGAAGGATTCGGCAATTGAGATGATCTTGGGACAATTTACCTTTTGAAGGGGATGAAGATTATCCTCTGCCGCGTTAATGTTCATGGCTTGCATGGCGTTGATGAAAGAATGAGTGGTCGAGCCGGGGATGAGGGAGCGACTCTGCGTCTGAGAAGCAGAAGACGAAAGAGTAAGAAGCATTGGGAGACTGGGCTGGCGCTGAGCAGTGACCCCGGGGCCTGGATAGGCAGTCAGGCTCAAAGATGGGGAGACACCACCGACTGAGGTGCCCGTCGGGTGAGCAAATGCCTTAGCCGCAGCTCGGAGAGTCGACTTGGAGAACGACCGGCGCGGCTTAATCGGCTCAGGTGTTTGGATTTCCTGGTCCGACGGGGTTCTGGGGTCTCGCTTACTGTCGAGAGCAGACTCGATCGCGAGGTGCTTGCCAGTGGAACTGTCCGACTGGGCGGCCGTGGTGTTGGTTTGGGAAGGAAAACGCTTGTTTTCCTCGACGCGCGAGGCGCGATTCTCCGGAGACCACGCGTAGAGAGGCGCGCCGCCGGAGCCGGCAACACTCTCGTCGTCGCTGCTGGAAGGGCTGTCGCCGTCCAAGCGAGCGCCGGCCATGGTGTTGTCGGTATGATGAGGTTATTCGAGAGGATGGAGAAGAGAAGAGAAGCAAGGCAAGGAATACCGCGGATGGCGGGGTCGGGTTGCGGAGGTTGAAGAAAGAAAATGAGAATGAGAAATTTGGAAATGGGGAATATGAAGGAGAAGGGAGAGAGGGAGGAGAGAGCGCGGGAATTGGGAAGCGCAAGAGGGAAAGGGAAGAGAAAAAGAAGGGAATGGGAAGAAGACTTGTTATTGGCTGCCTGGCTCCTTCTGGATGTCCCCAGAATCGGCGAACTGGAAAAGGATGCTGTTATTAGTATGCTGTGGTAGGGGGGTTGGTATAAGACTAGGAGCTTGATGATAGCGCAACGAACCTGTTCTAGGGTAGCAGGAGGCGAGCCCCGGGATTCTAGATGCTGCCTTCGAATCAGCGCCGATCCTTGACGTCTAGACAAAGAAAAGAGGCGCTGGCCCCTGCTACAACTTCTCGGGAGAAAAGCTAGGGGCTGTGGAAAGTTGAGAGTCCGAGTAGAGGGCGAGCAAGGGAGTGGAGAGAGCGGCAAGGGATGACGAGATGACGATGCCGAAAGGGGAAGTAGGCGGATGGACAGTGGAATAAAATTTTCAAAGGGAAGAGTTTTTTCTATGGGTAAAACCAGGCTGGTATACCTTTAGTGATGAGTTATTGGGCAGGGAGGTGAGGCAGAAGGCCGAAACTTCAAGACATTTGTGGGTGTGACTGGCATTGAACCTATGGCAGGGCCCAGCCCCCTTCACGTTAGCTTACATGTCCTCAAGTGAATGGCACTAGGCCGTGTGTGATGTGAACAGGCGGACTGTATTGTGTTCCCTTATCTTCAGATGTCGGACGGAACATAGTGACTAGAACTTATTAACTGATCGTTATTAGAAGAGCAAGTGTCTAACCCGGTGTCTCTTTGCAAAACATTGAGAGCGCCCTTTGACCATAGCATTTCAAAGCCTCCCTCAAGCTAGCTGCTAGCCATTGAAGGTCGGGTGACGGAAGCATGCGAGTATTGCCCCTGGCGAAGAGTAAACAATGGGGTTGCTGACGATGGATGTTGGTAGCTCGTCTTCCCGAAACATCTTTGGAGTTTCTAGGAAGAGTGGGCGATCACTAAAAGGGGTTTTCTCATTCTCGAGCACCGAGGCCGCAGCGCTCTCCCAAAGAAGCAGACGCCGCTAACGATGGAAAGGAGAAGAGTGGGAGAGGAAGCATAAAAAGAACGAACATATATGCCGAAAGGGGAGGAGGGTCAGTCTGTCCCAGATGGCAAGTGTGCGGCTCACATATGGAGTCTGCAGTGAGGACTCAGTTCTGCCCAGTGAGCGGCGAGCTCTGGAATAGGGGCTCAGATTGGACCTAGGTCTAGAGACCATGAAGATATGGACAGCAACAATGAAAGGGGCAATGTCAACAAAGTGGGGAACAACAACAACGGCAACGGGTGTGGCCGGACGATGAGAGAGAAGGGGGGAGTGCCGGATTTAAAGCTAGGACAACCATGCTTACTCGGCAATGGAACGGACAAGCGGGGGCCGGTTGGTAAAACAACACCAAATAGACAAAGGTCAGAGAAAACCTAGATATTGACAGCGTCAGGGCAAGCGGAACACGAGCTCACGACACTAGTCGACAAGTGAGCATCCTCTGAATGAGGAACGGCAAGGTAGCCCGACACAACGTCAATGACAACAGCAACTACACTGCAGCAAGTTGAAGGAGACGGCATTTGGGAGGACTCCCAAAACAAAGCATAGCCATTAATAGCCAGTATATAGAGTCAACAACAACGCCCCAGCAAGAAAGAATTAGGAGGGAAGAGGAGCCGAAGAGAGAAGACAAGGAAAGCGGAACCATTTCCCTGCCTGTACCTGGCTGCTAGGTAACCAAAAGCAACCATCTCGACCAAGCTCGACCGAGACTTCACAATTAGGATCAAGGAAGGGCGTAGCACACTCGGGGCGGTGGCTACCATTAACCGAGTGGCAGCGGGCCTGGTGAGTATGGTTAACACAATAAGGTATGTGTTATACGATCACTTGATTTAAAGGAGGAACACCCGTGTCAGGAGACAACGGGTAAAAGAACGAAAAAGGTAAAGTATGGAAATATGGTGTATATATGCTACTTGACAGCAATGACATCTCACACTTCACCCACTGGATGGGAACGTAGATGGGAAGGAGAGGATATGCACCTAGGCAGCCTAGGTTAGCTCTTCTCGTTCATAAAGGCATCGCAATCACGATAATAGCAAGGGTATAGCAAGGCTCAAGGTCAAACTCTATTTCGAAAACTACCTAGAAGAATTAAGCAACTGGTCAAACACACAGAGGGACCGCTTCACCTCTGGCGGCGGAACCGCCATCCTCTGTTGATGCGAGTCTGTTCTGCCTAGGTACAAAATCAGCAACGCCAACGCCAGACGGGAGGCTTCGTGATCGCGCTCTTGCCGAATTCGGAAAGGTGTAGAGTTGATCGAAAATGAAGCGGAAGGCTAGAGCGGTTCTACGGGCGTAAATCAGTGGATATCGACGGTGCCTACCCGGGCCGCTAGGGTGGTCAAGCCGGGGATGATGCTGGCGAGAACGACGTCGGCTCCTAAACTTTTGGGAAATAATCCAACAAATAATCGACATGGAAGTGGTGGTGGGTGATGATGAAGCCTTTCTATGGCATGGCGGAACGGGAGTCTGATGACATGTCAAAATCTATTGCAAGAAGACGCCGAGGGGAGGGCAGCTAACCATGTGGAATTCCTATGCAGACAGCAGGGGCCCGTGATTAGTGTCTTAGATCGCCTTGGTGCGAGAGAACAAACTGCTGTAGACCGCGTCCACAACCGGAGCAGCAGTGATCATCCGTCCATCAAAGTAGCGACCGTTGAGGCCCTTGATGGCGTTCTCTCCGCCGGAAACCTTGTCGAATTTAAGGTAGATGTCGCCTTGGGAGTTGGGGTCGAGCGAGATGTGGACGACGTGACCGTATTTCTCCTCGGCTTCTTGCCGGACTTCCTCTTCCAGCTCCTTAGCCCAGTCCTCACCCACTTGCCTGGCGGATGTTAGCGACTCTGCTTCTGTTAATGGAGAGCGGAGAACGTACTCAGCGGGGTCAAACATGTTGTGGAGAACCACGCAGCGGCTCGCCATGCTAACGTTGACGGGGAGGGGTTTCGTCTCGGTCTTGGGCTTTAAAATCTGTCGCTCGGGTTGGCCGTTGGTTGGCTCGTCAGTTCTCGCCAGCTTCCGCATGAGGGCGTCTCGGCTGTAGTTGTTAAAGTTGACACCGGCGACGTCGGTATCGTCCAGGGCACTAGCGCCGGTACCCTTCTCGTTGTCTCGGCCGCCGGCACGGTCAAAGTTGGACGCCTGGGGGCCTCTGCCCCCGGCACCGGAGAATGAGGATCCCTGGAACTGTTGATTCTGATTCTGGCCTTGGAATCCCCGTAAGAGGTTGGCAGTTGACTCTGGGGTAAACTTATCGTTTCCAAGCCCGACACGAATTGGACGACCGGCCAGGTCGAACCCGTTCATCTTCTCAAGAGCCTCACGGGCTTGGCCAGCATCACGGAACCTATTATACGAATGTTAGAAATGACCTAGCGACGAGGGGCAGGGCGGATACGTACTGGACAAAACCGTAGCCTCGGCTGCGACCGCTGTCGTCCTTCTGCAGCTGCACGAATTCGAGTTCGCCAAAGGGCTCAAAGACGTTCTGGAGGTCTGTCTCGGTGATGCTAAAATGGATGTTGCCGACGTAGAGCCTGTGGAAGGGGACCGAGTTGGGATGGCCGGACGATTCCGAGTTACGGACTTGGCGGTTCTTCTCGGCCTCGGTGGGTTGAACGATGACGGGAATACCTAGGAGTTTTTGACCAGTGAGCTGGAGGGCGGCCGCAACGGATTCTTCACCCTTGAACTCGACGTAGCCGACACTAGAGACGGTTAGCTTCGAGATGACTAGCAACGAGGAACAGAAAAGACGTACCCTTTAGACCTGTTGCTAACACGGTCCTTTACGATTTGCGCCTCGGCAACGGGGCCAACCTTTTCAAAGAATTCCTTCAACTCGCGGGTACGGAGGCGAGCGGCCAGCTGCTGGACGAAGACGGTGCGGCGATCGCGCTCGTCTCCCGTCGGCGAAGTATCGCGGGGTGTGCTGTTTCCGGCGGCACGAGGTTCTTCATCGCGGCGGCGATAGCCGCGATCCTCGCGGTCGCGACGCTCTTCTCCAGGCGGGCGGTAGTAACGGTTCGGTGAGCGGGAGCGGGAGCGGCCACCACGACCGCGGTTGCCACGGTAGTAGTCTCCGTCGGTTCTATGACGACGTGAGTGTCGGCCAGAATCACGGCTCCGGCTCCGGCGCCTACTCTTGTGGCTCCCGGCCTCACTCCTCGGGGTATTCCGACCGCTGGAAGAGTTTCGGTGGCGACCGGTGCTACGATCACGGCGGCGATGGCCTCGGTCTCGGTCGCGGTCACCTTCTCGGCTGCGATCGCGGCTGCGGCGGTCTCTATCGCGCTCGCGCTCGCGCTCGCGGTCGTATTCGCTACGGCTTCCGGCCTGAGGTGAGTCGCCATTAGCGATAACCTTGCCGGTTTGCTCCTTGGAGGAAGCAGTCGAGTCAAGGAGGGCTTCCACGTCCAAGCCTGACATTTTGACAACTGGTTCGATGGCTTAATCACTATTTCTTTTTTCTTTTTTTATTGCACTGGAATCTCTCTGGGGCGCAATTAGGAGAGCCGGGACTTGTCGCGATATTTGCAACTCAGCGAGCGAAGTTGGTCGACGGCGGGTGCCTGAAAGAGGAGGGAGGCAGGCGAAAGCGGAAATGGCAGTGGGCACAATTGAATCGAAAATGATGGATCACGTGAGGGGCTCGGGCTAATTGCAAGTGGCGGAGAGTTCCTCTCTACTGTGTAATTACAGTGTGGGCACGGAGTCTCGTATGATTCAGGGCCGAGAGCGCCTTTGTGACAGTGAAGGCGGTCATGTGGCCGTTAACAGGTTGAGCAATGGCACGGGTGACGCGGCGAATATGGAATCAAAAACAGTCACAATATTAACATTATGTATTTCAAGGCCAATGGCCTCAACAGTCCACGCGAGAGGAGAATTAAATCCCTGAAGACGGAAAGATCCCTCATCCCTCACCCCAAAACAGTGAGCTCAGACACTCGGTGACCACCTACAGGGGAGAGAAAAGACCGGAGCCCATCGAGAGCTTCAGCGAGAATACCTGCTCGAAGATGTCGTGATGTGTGCGTGCCCGCCTCATTACAAGATATATGTCCCCATCTCCCGTCATTAGCTCATATTCCGTCCATCTAAAACTTCTTGGGCTTCATCTCAAGCTCGGTGCCAAAGACCTTGTCCCAGAGGGGGCTTGTGACGCCAAAGCCATTCTCGTAGTCGAGGAAGTGGTGTTCAAGGTGATACTTCTTGAGCTGCTTCCACCACAGCGGAAGGTTTTGGTGGTGCAGGAAGTAGTGTGTCATGTCGTAGCAGATGTAGCCGAAGACGCCGCCGCAGTAGGCGGCCGTCCCCATGTACCAGTCCCAGAAAAAGATGCCGTGCGCCAGCTTCCAGAAGGGGAGGGCCAACGCAATAAACAGAGTTGGGGGCATGACCAGGCGGTACTTGTCCATGGGGAGGTAGTGGTGGATGCCGTGGAGGGTGAAGTGGAGGGTGATGCCAACCCGGTTGTCGGGGAGGTAGCTGAGAAGTGTTAGCAGGTGGAAGGCCAGGTAGTATGTGGGCAAGACGGGACTCACTAATCAAGATGGAACAAGAACCGATGCATAAAGTACTCGATGAGTGTCCAGGCGAAGACGCCAAATGCGAAGCAGCCCGCTTCCCCCAGGGGGCTAGTGAACCCTGGGCTCGCAATGTAGAGGCCGTAGGTGACACACGGCAGCCAGATCGTCGGGACCACCCACCACGCCGTCTTGGTGAGAGGCTCGAGGAAGTTGCCAAACAGAGGGGCCGACTCTCCGCCCTTGTAGTGGCGCGGCCGGTGGACCTGGTCGAGGTAGAAGTCTTTGGAGAAGCCGCCAAACCAGACTTGCGGGAATAGCGGTCGGCCCAGGTCGAGGAACTTGTGCGTCTTGTAGTCGGAGGAGATGTCGGTATCTTTGCTCAGATCCTCCTCGCAGGACATGCCCGTCCTGGGATGCACGTAAGTACCGTTCACACCATTCGCTGCCCCATTGGCCGTGCCATTGCCATTTGTCTTTCCGTTGGCAGATCCGTTGGCGGAAGCGAGGAAACCGACGTGGGAATCTTCGAGAACCTCGTACGCCGCTTGGGAATGCTCATGCGACGCTTGGTCTTCGAGGATCTCCTTGATGTCCTTGCCGGCGTACTCGAGCACCAGGTCGCCGCCGCCGGGGTGCGCATCGACGAAATCGGTCACGTCGTAGACATTTCTCCCCAACGTGACAAAACAAGACTTTGCCGAGTTATGCGCCTCAACCTCGGCGAGGGTGAAAGTCGGGAGCGTTCGGCCGGGCATGCTTGCGTTTCCCGTTTCGGGGCAGTCGAGCTCGATCAAGTTGGAGGTCCTGGCATGCGCTACGCCCGACAAGTGTAGCGAGACGGAGCACGTTGACGAGGGACAGCGACAAGTGTTGTGCTGGGAAAGAACAATAATAATTCAAGGGAGAACAAGACTCGGACGAAAAGAAATCTCCAGGCCGCTCCCAGTCAGGGGAGGAACGAACGAGTCCTGACACTTGCGGAAAAGGCGGATCAGATTTGAGCCAGGGTCCCAAGAAAAGCGCGAATCAGAGACGCGAAATCTTTCGGATCCGCGTGAAACCGCATCGAATGACAATGGCGTTACTGCCGGTACGTAAGCTCGCCAAGCTTTGCGGGCTGAATCACCCTAGCGGGCAGTTTTGGAAATTTGGAAATCGTCCGACTTGGGCATCATCCCGTATCGGGTTGGTTCCGCAGCCGGGATCCGACGACTCGGAGCTGGAAAGAGAAAACGACGGGGCCCGCGGAGCGATGGCTGCTTTCTTAAAAATAGAAAAGTGGAATTAGGTTCTCAGTCACAGGCGTGAGAGGAAAAGCATATGTACAAAGCACAAAGTAGGAGAATGCCTTGGAAATTGCTCGTTTCAAGTTGGTATTGTATTACATTGCGTCGGCTGAGCGTTTCGTCCTGACTGAAATATGCAAGTATGAAATATCATGGTGCATTGACCTCCTCTTAACTGAATGTTGATAACAAGAATCGTTCTAACTAGAAAATAGGACGGAACAGCGAGCCGAGACTTGGCGCCTAGGGCTGCCGAGCATGGCGGGGTTCAGCTCTGCCCCTCCTGGAACCCTCTCGGGCTTCGGATTTTAGTTGAAGAGGACGAGTCTATCAAAGGATTAAATTCTCAAAATGAAAGGCGGTTTTCGCATGTTACTACAAGCTTGGAAATATACTCCTAGTAGGTAGTCCTAAGGTGTTACCGCCGTGGTGTGTTAAAACTTCCATCGGACAAGGCAGCCCTTGCAAGCAACAATCATAGATAGAAAAAAGACAGAAGGTTGGATCTGACATCTGACGTAAAAGGATCTCGGCTCTTGGCGCCATGAGACCAAGCTCACTCACCTCCAACCTCCCTCGAGCGTTTCCAGGTTGACCCATACCTGGCTGAGCCTGAGCAGGTGCTTCAAAAGAGGCCGCCGTCTGTGGGTTATTTTGATCAGCTGTTCGACTTAGTTATCTGCCACTCGGGCACTGGATACTCGCAACTCAAATTTCATTCCTGCAGCCTACGACCGACTTCCGGGGGAAGGAACCGTCGAATCGCATTCTGCACCGCAACCAGGATTCTCGGATTTTTATTTTCTTATTCATTTTTGATACAAACAGTCAACATCATGGCGGGCTTCAGACCAGGTTGGGGCAATGCGCTCCTGGTCCTCGCCTTGCTGCTTGTGGTCCTTCCTGGAAAAGCTGCAGCGTTTGGCGCCGGCAACATCCCGTCTATCGCCCAAGTCGAAGGTCACAATTGGAGGCATGGAGGTCAGTCATGATAGGCTCGTCTTAAGCCACGGCGCATAGCTGATGCCATATTTCAGATATCGAGGATATGCTCAAGACGGTCGCCTTTCTGCACGGCAAGAAATGGACGACCATGATGATCGGGCGCGTCTACTTTGGCAACTGGCTGAGGGACTACTCCCAGGCAGTCGATGTCGGCAGCTTGAAGGGTATCAACGCGGCCACTATCCGAATCATTGTGAGTCGCTCACGGCAAGCCTATGCGCCATGAATCAACCTGTTGACATCCCAGGTCTGGGTGCTCTCCTTCATGGCCAACGGCTATGCGACGGAGGAGTTCGAGGTCACCGAGGAGCGATTGGGCGTCTACCGGCCCGAGGAGCACATCGACAACCCCCGCGGCTATGCCGACGACACAGACGCCCGTGAATATGATCCCCGTCTGCGAGGGCCCATTAACCCCAGAGAGCTCGAGATCGACCCCCGCACTGGCATGAAGAACTACATCGCCAACGAGAGCGGCGGGTGGGCCACGAGCGCTGGCTATCTGCGCTGGAGCTTCGCTCGCAGCATCCACTTCGCCCGCGTTTACACCAGCGGCGCGAGCGGCACGTCTGGGAAGGAGGCCGATTTGTGCGAAGCTCTGCGGTGCCTGGGTCAGGCCCTGCACTGCATGGAGGTAGGCTTTACCGGAGCGGGCGTAAACACAGATGGACTGACTGTGGCTAGGACTGGGGCGCCCACACCAACTATTGCGAGCTCGCCCTCATCGAGCTGGGTCACCGCGACGTCTTCACCCACTGCGGCAGCGCGACCCAAATTCACCTGAACGGGAAGACGGTCTATCCTCTCGTCACTGGTACGTGAATAGGGGCAGGCGGGGCGGTACACATGTCGTGTGAGCCGGAACTGATGGAAATTGCAGGCACTTTCGGAGCTGTTGACTTTTTGCACTCGGTTCTTGGGTATGCATGCCTGATCCCCATCCTCCCATTTTACACTAACACAGACCAGCGAGGCCACCGACCACTTCACCCAGTCCGAAGTCGATGAGATTGACATCGCGCTCAAGAACGCCGAGCAGGCCAACAGCTCTAGCGGCGGCCAGCGCGGCTTCTTAGGGTCCGGCTCAGGCGGCGGCGGCGATTTCATTTCGATGCTGGGCCAGCTCCCTGGTGTCGGTGACGGTTTCGCTTCTCAGGCTAGAGACCTCAAGGCTGCGTCGGCCGCCCAGGAGAGGGAAAACGCGCGCGACGCTAGCAACGTCAACATCATGCCCGGCATGAGCCCCAACTTCGACCCGGTCAAAGTCTCGGGGAAGATCTACCCGATCATGCAGTTCCGCGATAAGATCGTTCGGTCCATCAACAACATGATCTCCAAGATCCCCGGGCTGGAGAGCCTGCTCGAGCACATCAGCGAGACTCTAACGGCCTTCATCCTCGGCCTTCTGTCGCCCTTTGTGCGGCCCATTATTAACCAAGTCAGCAAGGCGCTCAAGGAGGGCTCGTCGGGCCTGATCGCCACGAGTGCCCAGCAGCAGTTCGAGCCGTGGACCAACCCGCGCTGCTCTGACCCAACCCACTCGATGTTGTCCAAGGACCACTTTACCAACATCCTCAACTCGTGCGGTGGCCGCGTCTCCGTGACCATCCTGCAATACGTTGTCCCGTACGTTTCTCCTCTCTTTGTCCTTCTCGTAGTCAACCCTACCTTCTAACACCCCTTGATACACAGACGTATCATGTACGCGTGGGAGAACCCTGGCGTACCCGTGGATGAGGTGGTCGACGACGTGCTGCGCGCGTTCCACCACCCGGCGGCGCGCAACGAGCAGATCGAGATCCAGCGCGAGATGTTCGAGACGGTGCGCAAGTGGGCCCAGGAGACGCCCTACCGCAGCCGCCTCGATCACATGCTGTCGTCAGAGTCGGTCAAGAACCACGACAACCACATTCTCAGCGGTGAATCCGGTTCGCGCTCTGTTTCTGGTGGTCATGCCGGCGGTTGTGGCCACGGCTCAGACGGCGGACACGGCAAACCGGCGGGGGTCGTTGTGGTCGCACATCCAGAACGTGAACCGCGACGCGAGGGAGCTCGGCGCGAGCCCGGCGGGCGGTGGGCATCACCCGCCGCCGCAGCTTCACGGCCAGGCGGCGGCCTACTACACGGGGAGCTCGCCCCACACGCCGCAGTCGTATGCGGGCACGCCCGGGTCGACGGGGTACGCAGCGAGCTATGGGCAACCGACGCCGCCTCCTGCGCAGCCCCCGTACGGCGGCCATCAGGGGTATCCTGGGCAGGGGGCCTACGGACAGCACCAGCACCCTCAGCACCAGGCGCCGCCGCCGCAACCTTCGTACGGTGGTCACCCCCAGGGGTACGGCCAGCCGCAGCAGCATCCGGGGGCCTACCCGCCGCACGGCCAGCAGCCGCCTTCGTGGGGGGGCCATTACCCGCGGTATTGAGACAGGAAGGGGTGAGTAAACAAGTGTCATGTAGGGAAGGGAAGGGGATTGTGGGGTATTCTGTCGTCCATAGTTCAGATTTCAGACCGGTTTTACAGACGGACGCCCGTCGTGATTTGCAAAAATCTAGGTAGTCTAGCCGCCCATCCACCCAAACGCCGCCCGCCCCCCTTCTCCATGTTATGAGCGTCTCTTTTTGTTTGCCCAAAATGCCTCTCACCACCGTGCTATGCAGAACCCGCCATACCCAACGCAATGCCGTCGCCAACCGACCAACCAAACAAAATAAGCGAGGTACCTAGCTAGGTACACCGGAAAAGAAGAGCGCCCATATTACGAACGGTACGTTTTCAACAACAAAAGGAACAAGAACCAACCAACCAAATTAGCAGAAAGAAAAAAAAAAACACAGGCGACAAGAAGAAAAAAAAAAAGGGCGAAAGAGAAAAAAGAAGGACATCACCGCCGCCCCCTCCTCCTCGGATCCGCCGCCTCAGCCCTCCTCATCTCCCTAACCTCCCTCGTCCCCAAACTCCCCACCCCGCCCTCACTCCTCCTCTCCCACCCGCCCAGCCTCACCACAAGACACGTCGCATTATCCCCATCCGCCGACACCTCCGTGGCATACTCCACCACGCGCCTCGCCCCCTCCTCCGGCGTCGCCGCCTCCTTGACCACATCCACGATCTCCTGATCCCCCAGCGACCCACTAACCCCATCGCTCATCAACACGAGGAACGAAAACTCGGCGGGGCGCAGCGCCAGCCGCGCAACGTCGGGCTCGGCGGAGACACCGATGCGCTTGCTCTGCATGTCGCCGAAGGCGCGGCTGTTGGCGAGGCCCTGGATGCGCTCCTCGCCGAAGGAGTCGGTCACGACCGAGTCGGTGACGTAGCGGCGCAGGCGGCGGGATTCGGCGGGCGAGGAGGGGTGGTGGTCCGAGGTGAGCGGGTAGGGGCGGCCGGTGGCCGTCTCGCAGAGCAGGATTCGGGTGTCGCCGACGTGCGCGACGACCAGGGTGGAGTGCGCGGCCGGGTGCCAGAAGGGGGAGGGGGTGGGCGTGGAGATGAGCGCGACGGAGGCGGTCGAGCCGCCTTTGAAGCGGGCTGGGCCGCCGATGCCGTGGCCGGAGGGGGGGAGGTGTGGGGAGCCGAGGATTTCGTCCTCGTTGAGGGGGATGTCGGAGACGTAGGGGTCGTCGGGGTCGGGCTTGCGGGCTTGGGCGGTGACGAAGTCGAGGTCGGCGCGGAGGAAGGCGTAGGTGAGGACTGATTCGAGGGATGCTGCTAGAGAGGATTGGGGGGGTTGTCGAGAGGAATGCGAGGGCTCGGATAGGGAGGAGGAGGAGGGATCGGATAGCGAAAAGGACGGGTCGCGCGGCGCCATTGGGGCGGTAAAGTAGTTGGGGCGGAAGCGGCGGAAGTAACCGCCGATTGTGCGCTTGTATTCGGCGAGGAGGTCGGATTGTAGCCGGGACGCTTCCGAGTTGGTGTCGGCCGCGGCCTCTTGGTTTTGGTTCTCGCCCGCGAATTGTGGCGCGGGATCCCGCTGGCCGAACACGGTCTCAGGATCTCTCATTGAATCGGGCGCCCCGGGCTCCCTCTTGAGACTGCTCTCTAACCCAAACTCGGCAGCGGCCTCCTCGATATACCCGTGCAGCTCCTCCCGTAGGAATTGGCTGCACTCGCTACCGCCGTGGCCATCGAAGACGCCGAAGTAGAAGATCTGCGGATCCCCCAGGGCGCTGTCGGCGCTGGTGCCCTCCCCGGCGGTTCTTGCGGCCTGGTGGCGCACCAAACTGACGGGCACCCTCTTCGCGAAGGCGGGGATCCGAATTGTCCCGGCCTGGTTTGTGTCCTCGTTGTAGCAGCGCTGTCCGCGGGATTCGGAGACGCCGAAGTGGTGCTTGGCGCTCCGGAGAGGTATTCGGACGACGGTCAGGTCGCGGCTGGGCATGTTCGGAGGGGCCACGGCCGGAGCGGACCCCGGCGCCGGGGTGTGGGGTGTTGAGGCGGACCTGGGTAGTTTGTGGCCCGGACCGGCTGACGACCGGGAGTCCGGGTGTAGTGATGACGAAGGGAGGTGGGTCACGAAGTAGTTGTGGAAGCTCCGCTTGAAGAATTGGCTCCCTACTAATGACTGTCTGTGCCCGCCGCGAAGGTCCGTCACAATCCGGAGAGCCGTTGCCGATGTTCGCGCCGGGGCCGGGGCCGGGGCTCGGAGGGGCCGTCGCAATCCGGCGGCTTGTAATGCGCATACCGACATGCTAGCGCTTCTTGTGTGTATTTTCCGGTGGACTTGAAAAAAGGTCGCGACATAGCCCATGAAGGCATCAAGCAGGGCTTCTGGTTGTGTTTCTAGCTGCGTCCAGCTCGCTCGTATTGTGGCTCGGGGAAGTCTGGAGGTCCGACGACGGAAGGAGGGCATTCCTCAGGCGACCAATTCATGCAAGTTCCCGACCAGTAGTACGGAGCAGCTGAGCAGTCGTAAATCTACGGCCATGGCACGGCAGGCGAGCAGTTCGGTGGTACGTGTACCACTAGCTTATTAGGGGTTTCGTTGTTGTTGGTGTTGGTCGGGGTATTTATTGGTCGGGGCATTGGTTGGGGTTGTTGTGTTGAGGAGGCAGTCTCACAGTGTGTGTGTTGTCCCACCGTCGCTGCCAACACTGGCACTCGCCGCTTGGCCAGGCGTGAATTCAAGAAATGCGGTCTAGGTCGCAACGATTGGTGGAAGCCGTCAGGGTGCTTGGCAGTCAGGGGCCAACATTGCTTGCCCCCGAGCCCCTTATCGAGTGGCACGGTGGGGCAGGGACGTCATTTCAACATTCATTTCAGTATTTACATATAATTCTAAAAAACATACAGATTACGGATACCGGGGGGCTCTTGGCAGGAGCCTGACTTGAACATCACAACCCAGCAACATCACTTAACTATCGATTATGTTCGGATTCACTTTAATTCCATAGTTGACTCGCGGATTAGGCTACTTTTGCCAACACCTCTCACTACCTGCCTACATGACCACCACGGCACAAAATGGACGACACGGTCGATGGCCAGGATGGTGAATCGACCGATTTGACCAACAAGCTTGGGTTCCCGATCGTTGACATCGTGCCCGATGGAGATATCGTGCTGGATGTAACCTTGGACACATCCAAGGAAACACTGAAAGCGGCGAGGAAGGCGGCAAAACCGAGACCCGGACAGAATGTTACTCCGCCGGTCTTCAAGGCCCGGAGTCGAGTTGGGTACAGAGTACAACTTGCTGTTCTAAAGCAGAACTCAAAGTACTTTGACAACCTGCTTAGCGACACGAGGTTCACCGAGGCCAGATCGATAGAGGAAACCTTCCAGAAGCTGTCGCTCAAAAATGTAAAACCGTCAGAGGCAGATGCTGCCGATCTCCCCATGGTGAAAATCCACGAGGATGACGAGGCGACCCGGTCGGCGGGCCATGGCTCGGTCTTTGAGTACCTGTTGCGGATTCTGCATAGAAAGCAATCCATCGCGAAAGCCGTGTCGATGCAACATTTGGCCGTGTTAGCCCTGCTTGCTGACCGGTTTGACTGCATCGCCATCGTATCCCGGTATCTGAACGCCTTGAAGTACAAATGGCCCGCCACGCAAACCAGAGTGTCCCGAGACGACGGCCCTACCCTTTCCAGAGCGGCCGAGGAGAACCTCCGTCAAAAGATTCTCGTTGCCTGGCTGCTCGACCAACCCCCTAAGCTGCAGATCGCCACCCGCGAGCTTATTATGTACGGGTCACGAAGGTGGAGTGACTACTTCGACGAGGATCAAGATGAAAGCTACGCCGCCGCATGGTGGGATCTCCCCGATGATCTTGAGCGTGAGTCTCGCGCCAGCCACCCCAATACCTTAACCCTCACCCACGAGACACACACTAACCCCCCAAAAAGAAGAACTTCATCACCGCCGCGAATGCGTCCTCACAACCATCGCCTCCATCCAAACGCACTTCCTCGGCCTCTACACCTCACGCACGCGCCAATGCAAGCTCGGCTACGACTCCTCCGCCAGCTGCGACTCCTACCAGCTCGGGGAGATGGTCAAATTCCTCTGCTCGCGCAACCTGCTCTTCCTAACCTCCTTCGCCCCCTCCCCATTCCCCCCACCCCCTTCAACTTCCTCTCCCACCCCAGGCACCACCCCTTCCACCACCAACACCACCTCCGAGATCCCAGACATCAGCACGATCGACATCGGGAGCATCCTCGCCACCCTCAAGCAATGCCCAGCCTACCAAATCGACAAGAACCACACCCACTGCGGCCTACGCGCGCGCGCCCTGCCGGCCGTCGAGTATGTACAAGCGATGCTAGCGTCGGGGGCCGTGTCGATTGCCCGGCAGGCGTGGATGCGCGATCGGGATGGGGCTGCGTGGCTTCGCTCAGGGGGGTTGGATGGCGGGGGTGTTGGACATAAGGGGGAAGGGGAGAGGAAGGTGTTTCGGTTTACGAGGGGGTTGGCGACGGATCAGAGGTTGAGGATGGAGGGCGCCATGGCTGTGGATCGGTCGGCGAGGGCGCTGTTTACGGCGGATGAGTGGGATTGGTCGACTGAGGATAGAGATGAGAGTCGGGGGGTCGAGTTTGGGAGGTGGCCGGCCGCGAGGTGATGTTGGGAGGGGATATAGGGCGGGATTTGGGAGGCGAGTGTGACGAGTGAATTGGAAGCTTGGTGTGAGAGACGGCCGTGTTCAGGCGTGGTCTATTCGATACTGAAGACAGACAGGGTGAGAAGCGGTTAAACGTCGCTCGGTACTCAACCTCAATGCGGTCAGCGGGCCTTATGATTGACCATTCCCAGACGGCCTCGTGAGGAATTCTCATGTTTTGAACCATAATCTACCTAAGCAGGCAATGGTCAGGCTTCTTTTCACGGTATTTTCTTTACACCACAACTCGGGTCGCCGCCCCCCTCGCTTCCCTCTTGTCTTCAGAAGACTCGCCCGCTTGGCTTGCGGTTTGACTTCTTTCCTCTACTTCCGAGTCTGCCGCCGGCAACTGTGAGCCCTTGCTCTTCCTCAGCGGCCAGTGGCCTTTGACTTCGCGGTACCTCATGATGAGAAATGAGAGGATCACACAGAGCCAGTACAGGTTGTACGAGACGACGGAGCCATAGGTGGCCGAATTGGTCCACCCAAAGATGGCGTTGAAGAAACCCCAACCACTACCACCGTCGAATGTCGGGCTGCAGCACTACACACGGTCAGCTCAACTTGTGGAAGGAAGCCTGGAGGAAACCTACGTTGACATGCCACACGGACTGGTCAATATCATACGACCCCGGGCCCATGCCGAGCTCTGCAGCATCAGCTCCTATCAGTTCTTGCCAAGTGTGTTGCTCAAAGGCCCATACCGCCCGCGAGAAGAGGCCGGCAGCGACAAGGTAGAGCAGACATGTCGAGATGACCAGAAACAGTTGCAGCTTGGCCGTAGACCCGCCCCTAGACGACAGTCAGCACCACCAACCACCCCCTTCCGGTAAGGAGATACTCACTTATACAACCCAAACCCGACCACCGCCCCCGCGGCGAGTCCCACAACGACGGCCAACGGCACTGCGCTCACGGGCGCCGAAAAGGTCACACCCGCAATAAACACCACCGCCTCGATCCCCTCCCTCAAAACAGTCACAAACGGCAGCGCAAACATAGCATACCTCTCCATCCACCTCTTCACCCGCCTTCCCACACCACCATTTCCGTCACCACCACCCCCAGATCCCCCCTTCTCCATAACCCCCTCCAACTTCACGCGCCACTTATCCCGCATCTTACCAATACGCAGCAGGGCGGCGCCCACCAGGCTGATGATGACACATGCGACCAAGGAGAAGGCGCCCTCGAAGCGCAGCTCTGAGGCTTCCCATGTGTTGGCGCCGGCCGTGTAGAAGACGGCGATGAAGGCGGCGGCAACGATCAGGGTGAGGAGCATGCCTAGGGTAGTGCCGAGCCAGACCTAAATGGGGAGTTCGTCGGGGTGTGAGGGTTGGCTTTTGGTTAGGCTGGGGTTGGGGGTTTACCTGGCGGGCTAGTCTCTTGTGTAGGGGTTTGTCATTGTCAAGGGTTTGTTTGAGGAAGGCGAGGAGGACCGAGACGATGATGACCGTTTCGAGGGCCTCGCGGAAGGTGACGAGGAAGATGGGGACGGAAAAGACGTTGGGCATTTTGGTGCCTCTTTTTTCCTTTTTTTTCTGTGCTCACGCGGGGTGTCTGATGAGGGAGGTTGATGGTGAGGAGAGAGGGAAGCGTGGTTATCTGATCGACGATAAATCTACGGATCTGATAAGGATTTGAGAAGCCACCGAATGGTGCGGTGTGTGTTTTTTACTATCACACCAACATGTCGGTTGATCTCCGGGGTGCAGGGCAAGAACCTTTTTCTGGCTCTTTCCCGCGGTTCTGATCCTGCTCGATAAGGGCACAGTGCCGAGCTTTGGAGGTATCCATAAGGTACCGCCTACCAACGGTCCTACGACCAACTGAAGATGTCATAAAGCTGTGAGGCGGTTAGAAAGTGAGACAAGTCTGAGCTCGCAACAACAACATGATGAACATCAAGATGGACCACCACCTAGGCCATAACCGCTCCGGATGTCACTATGGAGATGCTCTTGTGGGTTATTTGCGGCTCACTTTGTTGGGATGCCTCCTCTGGCACGCCCTCCCAGCGAATGCTGCCACCGTGACCTACGACTTCAACATCACCTGGGTCACAGCAAACCCCGATGGCATGGCAGACCGCCCAACCATTGGCATCAACGGGCAGTGGCCGGTTCCCACCATCCGAGTCAACAAGGGAGACCGCCTCATCGTCAATGTGCTCAACTCTCTCGGAAACCAGTCCACGTCGCTGCACTTCCACGGCCTCTTCATGAGCGGTGCTACCCATATGGATGGGCCTGTTTCCGTGACGCAATGCCCCATCGTCACATCTGACCTGCCCTTCACATACAACTTCACGGTGAGCTTTTTTCCCCTTTTTTTCCTTTCCTTTCCTTTTTTCCTAACGGCTCGGCCAGGTCGATCAACCCGGAACCTACTGGTACCACTCACACATCCACGGCCAGTACCCTGACGGCTTGCGTGGCCCGCTCATTGTCCATGACCCGGAATCACCCTTCAAAGACATGTACGACGAGGAGGTCGTCATGACCGTGTCGGACTGGTACCACGACCAGATGCCCGGCTTGCTCGGACGATTCATGAGCAAGGCCAACCCAACCGGCGCCGAGCCTGTGCCGAACTCGGCCTTGCTCAACGACACGCAGAATGTGTTAGTCCCGTTGCAGCCGGGCAAGACATACCTCTTCCGCATGGTCAACATTGGCGCTTTTTCCGGTCAGTACATTTGGTTCGAGGGCCACAACATGACCATCCTGGAGGTCGATGGCGTGTACACACAACCCGCTGAGGCAGCCATGATCTACCTCGCTGCTGCTCAAAGGTGCAGTTTTCTCATCACAGCCAAGAACAATACCTCTAGAAACTTCCCTATCGTTGCGAGCATGGACACGGTAAGTTGGACCGGGTCGGCCTCGGAGCCTACTAGCTGATGATATGATAGGATCTGTTCGACACCCTCCCAGACGGCCTGAACTGGAATGTAACTGGGTGGTTATTTTACGACACCGCCGGACCTCTCCCGCAACCCGCCGTTGTATGTGACCCTTTTGAGCCCTTCGACGATATGGGCCTCGTCCCGTGGGACAACCAAACCATCCTCGGCGAGCCAGATCAGACCATTGCTCTAGACGTCATTATGGACAACCTCAGTGACGGCGCGAACTAGTGAGTCTGCTACGCGCTTCCTACCTGCTCATGGATCCATACTCAAGTCAACGCAGTGCCTTCTTCAACAACATCACCTACGTCGCACCCAAAATTCCAACCCTCTACACAGTTCTCACCGCCGGCGAACACGCCACCAACCCCACCGTCTACGGCACCTACACACACCCGTTCATCCTCGAAAAAGACCAGGTCGTCGATATTGTGCTCAACAACCTTGACCCGGGCAAGCACCCCTTCCATCTGCACGGCCACAACTTCCAGGTTATTTGGCGCTCCCCCGCCAAGGCTGGCACATCTGCCGGCTCCAATGTCACGGCAGCTGACTTCCCGTCCATCCCAATGAGGAGGGACACGGTGGTCCTGAATCCAAACGGAAATATGGTGTTGCGTTTCAAGAGTGACAATCCAGGTAACTCCCTCCGACCCCGTATTCTCAGTTCCCTCTCATGTCCCTCTCTCACCCCCCCCTTCCCCTGGCTCCCCATCACAACAACCCCCCCAAAAGCTAACCCAACCCCCAAAAAACACCCAGGCGTCTGGCTCTTCCACTGCCACATCGAATGGCACGTCCAGTCCGGGCTCATGGCCACCTTCATCGAGGCCCCGCTCGCCGTGCAGGACCAGACCCTGGACACCCTCGATACCCATGTAAGCTACTGTGCCAGAACGAGCGGGCTAACGGTGGGGAATGCCGCGGGGCATGGGGACCGCTATGGGAAGGGGGAGTGGCTGGATTTGACGGGTGAGAGGGTGCCGCCGGGGAGGTTGCCTGAGGGGTACGTATTTTCTTCTGCTTCTATTTCCTGCTGTTGTGTCTGTTTCCTAGGGGTGACGGTCGGTTTGTATGGGGTGGGCTGCTAAATCGAGGCATACGGTGCTAACCAAGGCGGGGAGTGTAGTTTTACGGCAAAAGGGGTTGCGGCGTTGGTGTTCAGCTGTGTGGGTGGGATTCTGGGCGTGGCGGTTGTTGCGTGGTATGGGTTTGCTGGTGCCATTGGGGAGGAGAGCCAGGAGGGGCCACAGCAAAGGGAGGCACAGGAGATTGATGGGGCCGGGGGGGAGGGGGAGAGAAGGGAAAGGGAGGGTGTAGCTACGGGTGGAAGTGTGGAGGTTAGTGTAGATGGGATGGGGAATGAGGCGAGGGGGTGATATGTCAGATATGCGCTGCGAAGCAACTTGGGTTAAGGAACGACTATGTGGATAGACCCTGGTTTGACTGAATAGGCGGTTGCTTGGATTCCTCAGCCGGCACCACCATCATGGCATAAACTCGTAATGTCTGGCATCTATTTCCTTTGTCTCCAGTCTCCAGTCTCTTCACCCGCAGCCTAATGTTCAGTGTCGATGATAAGAATAACAGGGAAGCTACACCGCGGGCATTTTCAGACCCAAACATGCACCAACCTCTACCACTCCTCGTCCTTGACCTTATTCGACCCTCCAGAAGACCGTAAGGTCGCAGTCCGCCCCATCCACTCCTCCAACCTCTCATCCACCCTCCCCAACACCAAATCCGGCACCATCATCCCCAACTTCTCAACACCACCACCAAAACCAACCCCCCTCAAAACCTCCCCCACCTCCCTCCTCCTCTCCCCCCATAACACCCCCTCCGCCTCCCCCCTCCTTAACCGCACCACCTCCCCCGCCTCAGCACAATACCGCCCCAGCGCCTCCACCACCACCCGAAACCCCTGCGCCGCCGGATCCCCAAAGCGCACCATCCCGCGATGGTCCGCCGCAATCCCCGCCCTCTCCGCCTCGTCGTCCCCCGGGGGCACGGCGCTCGCCATCGGCACGACGTAGTCGCGTAGTAATGGGGTGGGGTGCATTTCCCAGAGGTAGAGGATGCGGAGTTGCGAGGTGAGGGGGGTGAAGGCGTCGGTTATGTTTTGGAGGGTTTCGGAGTTGAGTTGGAGGTTGGGGATTAGGTTGGAGGTGGGGCGGTGGAAGGGGGTGAGTTTGTGGAGGGTGGCGACTGCGAGGGCTTTGGTGAGGTGGTGCAGCCAGGTGGCTTTGGGGGTGCCGTGGTGGGGGGTGCCGAAGAAGAGGATGGCGGTGGTGTGGGTGTAGATGGCGTGGTCGTGGGTTATGTTGGGGGCGGTGCGGGTTTGGGCGTAGGTGAGGGCCTGGTTTGAGGGGGGTTGGTTAGTTAGGGGTGGGTGTTGCTGTTAAGGGGAGTTGTCTTACCCGTTTCACGACGATGCCGCCGAGGGAGTGACAGAGGAAGATTATGGGCTTGTCTGCGGTGCCGGAGAGCTAGGCAGTTTATTTGTTTTATTAGCAACGCGCCAACGCCTGAAGATAGGACAGAGGTTGGCGGCAGTAACACTCACCCGCCTGTCAGCGGCCAGGTTGGCGACAAGAGTGTGGGCGTGGTGGTGGATTCGGTCATTGGATGGAACGTGGCCGGTCAGAGACGAGAAGCTGGCGTTGTATCCCCAGACCATGACTCGGGCGTTCTTGACGTATTTGGGTAGAAACTGAGGGTCGTTTAGCCAACAGACCCCTGAGTCGAGTGTTGTCCATGTCCCGAGAGCGCTTCCGTTGAGGCCGTGGACTGCAACGATGCTGAGTAAGAGTCAGCCAGCCTGAAACTGGCCGGAGATTGGTAGATGCTGTTGTTGGCAACTCACTCGACTTCCGGCTGGATGGGGGGTGGTGGACAGTATATCTCTCGTATACCGAAGATCTTTTCCTGCTTCTGCTTCTGCTTTCGTCTCATAGTTCGTGGCTACTACAAAGGTTGGGGAAACAGGCTCGATGGTCTTTGAAGGGGAGGAAACCCGTATATGAGATGGGAAACAAACGGGCCGAGGCTTCGAGGGTAACTCCCGCTAAAAGTGGCCGCGGTTCGGGTTGTCATGCAGCCAGCTCAGCTCCAGCCAAGGCAGGCCTCCGAGTTTCCCGTCTCATATGCAGGTCGCCCTGGGTAGGTACTGGGCAGTGCGAGTACCCGCGGTCCCTCTCAGACGAAACAGCTAGAAGGCGACGACCTGTGGGCTGAAGGACGCGGCCAACGGAGGTAACGGCGCCTACACCAAACAAGTACAGCATTACTAATGATATATATCTAAATGGTGCCCAATATCGAACCCTAGTCTGTTCTCATCAGGCAACCGAGCAGCCAGCCTGGCCGTTCCCGCCAACGGTGACTCTACACCCGTCGGCGCTTGAGAGCACAAGCGTCAGCTTCTGTCTCTCGGTCCCGACTGGCTCTATAACCTCCCCTTTAGGCAACTTGATGATGGGAAATGTCTGGAGTAGCCGCACAACCGTGTACGAGACCTCCATCAGGGCAAAGTCCTCCCCGAGGCACTGCCGGGGACCGCCGATGAAGGGGAAGAACCCCCACCCGATCTTGTCCAGCTCCCCCGTCTCCCACCGCTCTGGGCGGAAGTCGTCTGCGTCGGGACCAAATATGTTCTTTCTCCGCGAGTTCACGTACTGCGAGAACACGACCACTTCCCCTTTTCTCACCATAATCGGGCTAGTCCCGTCCGGACCGCCGCCCGTAGGGAGCAGGGTCGTCTTCACAGCCTCGCGGTTGTTAAGCGGAACCGGGGGGTAGAGCCGAAGGCTCTCCTTTACGACGCAGGCCAGGAAGGGCATCTTCCTAATCTGTTCTCTTACGGGGTTTGTCAAGTCTCCCATGACGTCCTTGACTTCGCGACGTAGTCGCTCCATTACTGCTGGGTAGCGCACTAAGAGACGGCTGGAGCATGTGAGCTGGGTTTGCTTGTGTGTATCAGGGGCTGAATGTGCGCCAACACTTACAAAGTCCACGACAGGCAGCAGGCACTAGTATCCCGGCCAGCAAGCAGGACATTAAGGAGCTGGTCGCGGAGTTCAGTCTCGCTGGCGGATTCTTCGGCCACCTGTTGGATAAACCAGGAAGCCGAGTCCTCGCCTTTCTCGGCATCCGCTGCCCGCTTTTCCATGAGCTTCTGTTCCCGGATGTACCTCTCAACAAAGCGGTGGACGTTGCGGCAAGCCTCGCGGAAAGAAGCGGGGTTGTAGACGGCATGGAACGGGGCCAGTCGGAAACGTTTGGCAAGGCCCTCCTGTGCGACATTGAAGCTCTCAGCGAATTCCCTGTTCTCGGCCGCCTGGTCGACGCCGGCGCGGAGGCTGTAGACGGACCGGCCGAAGAGCAACTCCGTAGCCACATCCATGGTCAAGTCGAAGAACAACGGCTGAAGGTCGACGTCCCCGTCGGCAGGCATACGGTCGATCAGGTTGCCGACGTGTTCGTGGAAGTACCGGAGGTCTTGGTACTGTGCGCGAACAAACTGCTTCCTAAGCAGCTCTCGCGAATGTTTCCAGGCAGCGCCCTCCTGAGTGAAGATTCCATTGCCTAAGAGTGGCGCAAAAACGGACGGACGGCAGCCAAACCCGTAGTCCTTGAAGTTGGTCGAGAGGAGGGTCTCGACGTTGGCCGGGTGCAGGATGTGGTACGCCCGAGGCCCAATGAGCAGATACTGGCACAAGTTGTTTCCGGGCTCATAGTCCTTGGCGATGAAGCACAGGAAGGCGAGGAGTCGACCGTCTGCGTTGGACTCCCAGAGCTCCTTGATGCGGTCGATCCCCAGCGGCCACCGCTTGGTCAGCTCGGGTGGAAGTTGGCACCCATGTTGACGGCCAAAGATAGTATCGTTCTAGTAGTACCATTAGCGTCACGGCGGTGGTGTTTGGTTGCTAGAACTGGACTGGAGACGAGAAAATAGTTGACAGCATTTCTCACCCTATATTCTTTTACACTTCTGTAAACTATTCGAACCAAACGAGCAACAGCAAGGCCCACGACGCCGAGGAGGAATGCTTGCAGGGCCCAGCCCCTGGTCGACAGGGGGCCCTCGGGGGATTGGAACAATGCATTGTCCATTTTTTGGTACTTATAAGACTAAGACAATGGGATAGCAAAGACAGGATAAAAAAAAGGAAAAAGAGAAAAGTAAAGATATAAACAAGACAGACAGCACACATTCGGGTTTTATTTCACCTGCCCCCTCATTTCCAAGATGTTAGAGCTCCCAACAGTACATCTGTGACACCCGCTCGTAACCTGGTTCCCCAATATCCCCGTGCGAGCACCCATTTCTGCCCTGGTTGGCGGCTTAACGTCGATGCTCATTGGGCTGTGCCTCGTTGATATGCGCTCCGGGCCGGTCCCCCAAAGCCCCCCGCGAACGCCAAGACGGGTTCCCATCTGGACAGGAGTGGACTACAGACTGTACTCTCCTTTTCGTCCGTCTTGCACTGTCGACAGCATGTTGAGCAGCCCGACTCCCGCCTTGACAACGGCCGTACTATGGTTTGCTCAAACTTGGGCCGCAGTACGGGCGTATGTAGTTGGTACTACTACCGTAAATAGTTCTTTTCTCTAGGAATATTGGGTTCCTCCCAAGACATGAGCCATTCATGATTCGCCCATCCCCTGTATTGTCGTTATCGTCCCATCGGTAATGATGCGCCCTCGACGCCATCTCGATCTAAGAGCATGCCGGTTGGCCTTGAATGCCTCCACGACGCTAGTCATGGCGAAATGCGTGATGGACAACTAGTTGAGTGAGTCTGCTTCCACTGCCTGTCCCCGCATTGCTTATTGCTTATTGCCCTGCCTGACTTCTCTCCTGCCCCTATTGTATGGTCTCAGGGGCTTTCGAGTCCTTAACACCATGTAAGGACATGAACTAATAAACCCCTGAACAGCATCGTTGCTGTTCACGATGTCCACCAAGACTCCCCCGAGACATGGACTCATCAAACATCCGGCATAAATTGGCTACGCGACCTCCTCCCACAGGATGTCCGTGTCGGCAGGGTATTATCCTATGGCTACGATTCGTCAGCCTCGGCCTTGCTTTCCGACGACGGCCCCGAAACCATGCAGCGGATGGCTGAGTCGTTCGTCCAGGAGCTTCGCGCAGACAGGCAGTTTGCGGGTGCGCTGAGGCGCCCCATCATCTTCGTATGTCACGGTATTGGCGGCGTGCTCGTGAAGAAGAGCCTGGTCTACGCCTCGACGCGGACTGCTCCCAAAGTCGCCCATCTCTGGGACCACTATGTCTCGACATTCGCCATTCTGTTCTTTGGGACCCCTCACCGGGATGTGGACAAGTCAAGTTGGCTAGAGTATGAAGCCATGATGTCCAAGTCGACACGGCGTCAGGTCGGGGCCTTCTTCCGGGCCACCGCGGGCAAAGGTGACTCTCAGATGCCTCGATTAGTCGACAACGATTTTGCACCGCTTGTCAAGCAGTTTCACTTGTTCTTCTTCTGGGAGCAGCTCCCAACTCGGTTGGGGAGCCGATCAGCAATGCTCGTGGACCACAACTCGGCGGCCCCAAAACTCGACAATACCGAGGCAGCGGGGATCCATGCGGCGCACCCGGATATGTGCAAATTCAGTTCTAGAGCATCGTCAGACTATCGCACCGTCATTGCCGCTTTGATCACGTACTGCGAGAAGGCCCCCGGTATCATCTCTCGGCGATGGAGACAGGCAGAGGGGGCCCTCAGGCAACTCAGGCTAGGGGAGGTCGAGGAGATCGGAGGCTTCGGTTTCGACGTACATCTAGAACAACCATACCGAAGCCAGGATATCCGCTCAAATGGTAATATGATCCATTTCCATATACCTGAAGAGACTTCACCTACATTCGTAGGCCGCGAAGACTTGCTGAAGAGGATACGCTTTGCCTTCTTCCCTGGTAACGGCCCAACAACTACCCCCTCCCGGAAATCGTTCGTCATCTTTGGCATGGGAGGTTCTGGAAAGACGGAACTGTGCTGCAAGTTTGCTACCGACAATAGATTTGAGTAAGTACCCACGTCAGTTCCGTCAACCGGCCACACCCTGGCAATTGTTGTTAACGAACTACAGATACACGGCCGTTTTTACCATACGCGCTGCCTCCCCTGAAACGGTTAAAGACTCGTACTGCAGCATTGGGCAACTCGCGGGCCTAGAACCGACAGAAAGTGCTGGACGACACGTCCTGTCGCAGCTAAAGGAGCCATGGCTCCTCATCATCGACAACGCAGACGATCGCTCCATGAAATTAACGCGCTTATTCCCCACCGGTGGCTCTGCGCATATAATCATTACAACAAGAGTCCGGGACTTTAGCCAAGAAGGGACACTTGGGTCTCTCGAACTCAAGGGGCTCAAAGAGTCAGAAGCCCTCCAGTTGTTGCTCACAAAAGCCAATATCCGGCAACCTTGGGACTCTTCAGTTACTAAAACGGCGAGGCTCATTGCTAAGGCACTCGGCTATCTAGCACTGGCCCTGATCCAGGCCGGGACTTGTGTGTATAGGGGAGTATGCGAGCTCGGCGGTTACCTCGAGATGCATTCCGTGGCGAAACGGAGACAGCGGGAAAAGTCGCGCCGGTCACAAAACGACGCTATCAGCGGCGATGTAATCGAGGTTGTCTACTCTACCTTTGACGTTTCTCTCAGTCTCTTCGAGAAGCCCAAGAGTGTGGTGAGCCAAGACGCAACCGAACTGTTGAAGATGATGGCCTTTTTCCACTTCGAGTACATCCCCCAGGAGCTATTCACTCGGGCGGCCACAAACCGGGACAACGCACCCAGTTCCACGAACTCGGCGTCGTGGGCATCAAACCTAGCAAATAGCTTCATGCGCCGCCTGGAGCCCCCGACCCCTTTGCCCGGCTTCCTCAAAGTGAAGGACCGAGAAGTGGGAAAGCAGCGGGTCAAACTCGCGCTCGCCGAGCTTGGGACGCTTTCCCTCGTTCGCCAGGATGGGAAGTACGTCTCGCTACACCCGTTGATCCATTCGTGGGCGAGGGACAGCCTCACGACCACCGAGGGTCCTCTTTGGGCCTCGATTGCGCTGCACACCATCATACGATCCATATCACTACCACCCATTAGCAATACAAAAGATGATGGCGAGTTTCACAGGGACATTCTCCCACATCTCGAGGCCTGTCTAGCTGTCACCGGCTACCCGATATCACCGGATAGACGTGCGGTAGGGACGTACCGTCTGCGGGTTTCCATGTTCCTCCAGCCGACTCTGCTCATCATACTTCGCGACCAAGTCCGCATGCATGCCAAATTCGGTTGGGTGTTCGCCGAACGAGGTCACTTCGACAAGGCCGCTGACCATCTCCGGATCGTGAGGGAGATGCTGGTCAAGCTCGCTGGGGAGGAAGACGAGAAGACAATGAACGCAACCCTCGGCTTGGCAGGGGTATTATGGGGCTTGGGCCGTCTGGAGGAGGGCATCAACCTGGGGCGCTCCGTCGTCGAAACAAGAACACGCATTTACGGACCGAGGGACGAACGGACCCTCGGCGCGATGAACAAACTGGGACAGTCCTACTGGCTCAACGGCCAGTATCGCGAGGCGCTCGAGCTGCAAGGAACGACCTCGGGACTAATGAAGGAAGTACTCGGAGAGAGCCACCCAGCCACGCTCGAAGCGCTCGACAGCCTCGGCGTGACCCTCGGGGCGTGGCACCGGTTCCAAGAAAGCCACGACGTACACCAATTCGTCCTCGCCGCCCGCCTCCGCGCCCTCGGACCAACCCACCTCGACACGCTCACCACCAAATGCAACCTCGCCATGGCGCTGCTCGACCTCAACCTGCCCGACGCCGCCGAAACCGCCATGACCGAGGTCTACACGCAACGCCAAACCCAGCTCGGCAAAGAACACCCCTGGACGCTCTGGGCGCTCAGCTACCTCTGCAAGATCCACATCCACCGCGGCCACCTCACCACCGCCGAAGCCCTCCTCAACTGGGGCCTCGCCGCCGCCACCCGCAGCCTCGGGCCCAACCACCTCGGCGTGCTCATGGGCCGGGGCCAACTCGCCCTCATCTACGCGCGAACCAACCGCCTCTCGCAGGCCGAGCACCTGAGCATCGACACGGTGGCGCGGGTCGAACAGTCGCGCGGCGCCGCCCACCCGGACTGCGTGTACGCGCTGTGGCGGCTGGCCCGCCTGTATGTGCTGCGCGAGCCCGACTGCGACGCCGGCGCCGGCTCGGGCTCGGATCATTACTCGGATCATTACTCGGATGACTCGGATGACTCGGATGATGTCTACCGGGCCCGGCGCGCGCGCGCCGCAGAGACCTGTGACTTGGGCCTCCGCCGTGCGGAGATGCGTCTCTCGCTGCGGCACCCGCTTGCGCGCCAGCTGAGGCGGCTGCGGGAGGGGTTGGGGGATCCGGAGGCTAGTGCTGAGGTGTTGTTGGCGGTGAGTGAGAGGGAGGGGGAGGGGGAGGGGGGAGGGGTTGGTGTTGGTGTGTCGTTGGTTGGGAGTGGGGGGTGTAATGATGAAGATGATAATGGTGATGATGGGAAGATAGGTGAGGGTTGGGAGTCCCCGGTTTCAGGGAAAGGTTGGGACAGGGAGTCGGGGCAGGCTGGGGGGTTGTTTGATGGCGGTTCGTTGAAGTTGAGTAGGGAGATGGCGAGTTGGTGATGGGGGTGTGGTATTGTCTATACGTGTGTTTGAGTTCAGATACCCTGCGATGTTTAGGTACACCTCGACGGTGGACTGCGATGAATTGGTTTGGAGGGGTTATATTCTGGATCGTAGGAGAGAGTGTTGGTGAGACTACCTTAACACCGCTTGCTCTTACGTCCACGGTATTGAGGGTTGATGGAATGCATTTCACTCTCTAGCCAAAAAAGGCGGGCTCTAGTTAAAGAGAGAGAGGGAGAGAGGGAGAGAGAGAGGGAGAGAGGGAGAGAGAGAGAGAGAGAGAGAAATGAAAGAAATCGAGAAAAGCAAAACAAATAACTAATAGATATCGAGTAAAAAAGAAAAAAAGAAAAAGAAAAGAAAAAGAAAGTAGTTAAATACAGCTTCTTTTGACTCGGAAAAATAAAATAAAAATCAAGGAAAAAGAATGAAATGAGAGAAATTGAGAAAAACAAAACAGATAATGAATGTCGAGTGAAAGAGTAAAAGAAAAAAGAAAATATATAATAAATATCGAGTAAAAGTAAAAATAAAAATAAAAAGAAAACAGATAATAATATCGAGTAAAAGAAAAAAGAGAAAAAATAAATAATTGAATACAGCTACTTTCGGCCTTTGGATGGCTTTTGTTCGTTCCTGCAGTCGAGGTTTGATGGGTCAAGTTAGTTGTCGCTCCCACGGTTGCATGAGTGACACAACCCCGCCCTCTTGCAGCAACACCAACTGCATCCCGAACCGCTGTCGCTGCACCCTAATTCCGCCCCCAACTATGCCCGCCGACCTCAGCCTGCCCGTCCTCGGCGGCGGCAGGCGGCATTCGTTGTCTGTCCTCCATCATGATCCTCCGCCGGTTCATTGGCGCCGTCGATCCTGCCCAAGCCCTGCGCGGACTTCAACATCATGGGCGGCACCAACACCAGCGGCTATCTTGGTGACGACTTGCGACACGGTGTATACGGATTGGGCAGCCTTGCTCGACCTGAGAGCCCGATGCTACACGTGGCGCCACCGATCTGCTCGGCTGCCTCCCTCGAGATGGTCGGCGGTATGGCTGCGCTATCAAGTCTGATGTTCTTCTTCTGCCCCGACTTCTGTCACTCCCGACTACTTACAGCCGACTTCCTCGATTGGTGTTGATGCAAACCCCCTGCCATGAATCCGAAACGGACGTATCGAGGCGAAGAGCGGCAGCAGCCCGCGAGCTCTCCGAAGCGGCCAAGAACCTTCAATGCGGCGTCCAATGGGGGCACCTACCTCAACCACGACACGTACTCTCCGCTTGCGCATGGAGAATACACAATTGCCTGGATCTGTGCGCTTCACTTAGAATTGAACGTGTCGCGTGCCATGCTGGACGAGGAACACCCGCTGCCACCCAACCAACCCGGCGACGACAACATCTATGTGCTCGGACGCATCGACCAGCACAACGTTGTCATGACATCCTTACCGGGGAAGTACGGAACAACCAACGCTGCAATCGTCGCGACAAACCTGAAACGAAGTTTTCCCAACATCCGCGCTACTTTGATGGTCGGCATAGGCGGAGGATCCCCCACCCAGGCCAACCTGTACCTAGGCGATGTTGTCGTTGGCACGAGGGTCATGCAGTATGACATGGGCAAAATGGTTGCGGGCGGCGTGTTCCAAGAAACTGCCGACGCAAAGACTCCTGCCCGGCTGCTGGACTCGGCCGTGTCCGCTTTGCGGTCGAAGCATGGGTCGAACCGCTCCAGTAGTCGAATGACGAGCCTCCTGCGAACCCGACTCCCGAACGTCTTGCGCCCGGATCACCCCGATCGCCTGTTCCAAGCGTCTTATGAGCACCCTCTCGGAGCGGCAACATGCACTAACTGCGACCTAGAGAAGCTACAGCCGCGAGCCGCACGCCTCTCTGACCAACCTAGCATCCATTACGGAGTCATCGCTTCGGGTAACAGGGTTATGAAGGATGGGAAAGCGCGGGACGGCATCGCTCAGCGACTTTCGGCGCTGTGCTTTGAGATGGAGGCAGCCGGCATGATGGATAATCTCCAGTGCTTACCGATTCGCGGAATTTGCGACTACTCGGATTCCCACAAAAACAAGGAGTGGCAGGGCTATTCTGCGGCAACTGCAGCTGCATACGCGAGGGAACTGCTGGAAGGGCTTCCGCCTTCGTCCAGGACACTGGATCGGGCTCCCACATACGTCACCGGCGTTTGCCAGCCCGATGCCGCCGGTAATACCCACCCGTTTCCCCCTCCCTCCTTTCTCCTCCGGTATCATGCTAACTGGGGACGTTAGCAGTCGACAATGCTTTGGAACGGCGGAAACTCTTGCTAAAATGCCTGGAATTTCCGCAGATCGATGCCCGCAGAACCAATATTCGGGCCGCACATACCAGAACCTGCCGCTGGCTTCTAGGCCACTCCGCATACCAAGATTGGCTTGACCCCGAGAAGCAGTCGCAAAATCATGGCTTCTTATGGATGCGAGGCAAAGCAGGTGCCGGAAAGTCAACCATGATGAAGTTCATGTACCTGGAGACAAAAAAGGTCAAGAAGCACAGCATGGCCGTGCTGTCCTTCTTTTTCAACGCGCGAGGCGACTACTTGGAAAGGTCCATCTCCGGCATGTATCGGTCACTGTTGCTGCAACTCTTGCAGGAATTCTCGGATTTGCAATCCGCCCTGGACAACACCGACATCGTTCCGCGCAACCAAGAAAACTGCCCTGGTCTGAACGTTCTGAAGGAGCTTCTCAGCAACGCCGTCATGGCCCTTGGCCAGCGCTGCCTTACCTGCTTCGTCGACGCCCTCGACGAGTGTGACGAGCTGGAGGTCCGGGACATGGTCCACTTTTTCGAGGAATTGGCAGAGAATGCCACCGACGACGGCATCCAGTTTCGAATCTGTTTTTCGAGTCGGCCATACCCATACATTGATATTCACCGGGGGATCTTGCTCACCCTCGAGAAGGAATCAGGACACGGAGAAGACTTGGCGCAGTATGTCAAGAGCCGCCTCAGGATCGAGCACCCTCCGCATCTCGAAGAATTACAGTCCCACATCCTGAAAAAGGCTGCTGGCGTTTTCATGTGGGTCGTGTTAGTAGTCGAGATCCTGAACAATGAAAGCAGTCGCGGCGCTCTCGCTCTTCGGAAGAAGCTTTCAGAAATCCCGGCCGAACTGAGCAAGCTCTTCAGGAGCATGCTGGCACGGGATCAACACAGAACTGAATCGCTACAGCTCTGCATCCTCTGGATCCTCTTCGCAAAACGGCCTTTGAGTCCGGCGGAGTTCCGCCATGCGCTGTGGGCAGGCTTGCTGGAGCAGCGTCTGGTCGATCCCGAGCTCCCAGATCACACACACATGGATGCCGTCAAACTGGTCGCGAGTTCCTCGAAGGGACTTGCTGAGATTACTAAATCTGACCAGCCAGTCGTGCAGTTCATCCATGAATCAGTACGGGACTTTTTGGTGAAAGAAAAGGGCGTCCGTGACTTGTGGCCTGAACTTGGATTCGACTGGGAGGGTCACAGCCACGAGATCCTCAAGCGTTGCTGCACCACATACCTGAATCATCCAAGTGTACAGGCCATCATCGTCGCGCGTAAGGGCGGAGACGCCAAAAGGAACGCCACGGACGGAAAAGGCCCGTTCCTCAAGTACGCCGGCCAGCAGGTTCTCTACCACGCCGATGCTGCGGCGCCTGTCGCTCCCCAAGAAGGTTTCTTGATCCGGTTCTTTGCTTCCGGTGGCATCGAAGTGATCTGCCACGTCGAAGGTTGGCGGTATGGCTCTAGTGCAACTCCGCTCTATGTTCTGGCGGACAAAGGGCTCGGAAACCTCATTCGCTCACAGATGGAGAGAGATCCGGCTACCGACGCTCCCGGGGAGAGATACCGGTATCCGATTTTCGCTGCAATAGCAAACGGCCATAAAAGTGCCACAGCCGCACTTTTGGGCTTGTCATCAACCGTCTGCGATGGCGTCGATATCACTGAAGGTTTGAGCTACAGGGGGGGCCAAGGCCGGACCCCATTATCATGGGCTGCCCAAGAGGGCAGACTGAGGATTGTGGAGTTGTTGATACAAGGAGGGGCAGATCTTGATGAAGTTGATAGGCGAGGATATACGCCACTCTGCCGAGCTCTAGAACATGGTCACGGGGCGGTTGCGCGGCTTCTCATTGATGAAGGGGCGGATATCGAAGTTCGAAATGGTTCTGGATTCAGAGCACTACTTTTAGCCTTGAGGTATGGCCATGCAGCGATCGCACACCTTCTCATCTACAAAGGGGCAGATGTTGAGGCTCGGGACAACACGGGAGCGACGGCATTAATATGGGCTTTGAGGTATGGCCATGAAGCGATCGCGCGGCTTCTCATCGATGGAGGGGCAGATATTGAGGCTCGGGATAGCGCGAGGTCGACGGCACTAATATGGGCCTTAGAGGCAGGCTATGAGGCAGTTGTGCAGCTTCTCGTTAATCGGGGGGTGGATATCGAGGCTCGAAACTACGGTGAATTAACAGCACTGCATTTGGCCTCAAGGAATGGCCACGAGGCGATTGTGCAGCTTCTCATTGATGTAGGGGCGGATATCGAGGCTCGAGCTCGTTATGATCTAACAGCACTGCATTTAGCCGCGAGGAATGGCCACAAGGCGACTGTGCAGCTTCTCGTCGATAAAGGGGCAGACATCGAGGCTCGGGACAATACGGGATCGACAGCACTAATATGGGCGTCAGAGGCGGGTTACGGCGCAGTTGTACAGCTTCTCATTGATAAAGGGGCGAATATCGAGGCTTGGGACAACAGTGGATCAGCACTAATTCGGGCCTCACAGAAAGGCCACGAGGTGGTCGCGCAGCTTCTCATCGATAATGGGGCGGATATTGAGGCTCAGCACAATACCGGATCCCCGGCACTGATATGGGCCTCATGGAAAGGGCACGAGGCGGTTGTACAGCTTCTCATTAATAACGGGGCGGACATCGAAACTCGGGACGAATCTGGAATGACGGCACTGGGTTGGGCTTCACGGCAAGGCCACGAGGCGATTGTGCAGTTTCTTATTGCCAACGGTGCGACTGGCGACGCTTAGAAGAGTTTCATCGACGGCACTAGCCGTTCTTCCAGCTTACCTCCAGCGATTTGTGAAGCGCCTAATGTGTACTGTGATGGCGCCATTCGTGCTACCAGTTAGGAGTCATTGGCGGCTTACAACCAGAGACCCTTGGGTTGTCTAGCTTTCATTGCTGAAACACTCTCTCACTAAATACCCAGTTGTAACTTGTATCTTTGAGAACGAGGGCTATCCAAAACCGATCTTTCCTCTCTCAGCATGTTTCATTTGACCGACCAACTCCGCGCCCCGCTCCCTCCCCCCGTCCCTCCCCTGATATCGATGGTAGGGACGCCAACAGATGCACCATCCCTCTCCTGTCCAAACCCCCTAGGTATTCATGCCCAACAATGCTCAACGCTCCCTTTCCCATTGCCCCCTTTCCCCCTTTGCCCCTTGGCCCCTCGACCCCCTACCCCCTATCCCGCTAAATCGACCCTAAATAGGCGCATACTGATTCAGCAAATTCCACAAACTATCATCCCCAAAATCCCCCCCAAACTGACTATACGAGGGAATTATCGCCCCTCCCTCGACGGCCGGCACATTCGATGCCCCTTCCACAGCACCCAACCCCACCTCACCCCCTCCTCCCCCCGCCGCCAAACCTACCCCATTCCCATTCCCATCAGCAACACCCCCACTCCCCCCATAACCACCCTGCTGCTGCTGCTGCTGCTGAGTTTGCTGCTGATGCCCCTGATACCCCCAACCACCAACCACCCCACCCGCACCCGCACCATCCACCCCAGGGGCAGCCTTGCTCAGGTTGTGGTAGACAAGGTCGCTGGTGGCATAGATGGGCTGCAGGCTGGACCAGTCAAAGTCGCTGGGGGGGTTCCAGTCGAAGGGGCTGTCGGCTACGGCCGTCGTCGGGGGCGGGAGGGGGAAGAGGTCCGGGTCGAGGGTGAAGCCGAAGTCGTGGGTGGGGTTGCACAAAGCGGTCAGAGGGAGTGGTGTGGTGGTGGTGGTGGTGGTGTTGTTGTTGCCGTTCTGGTGGGAGTGGCCGTTTAGCGGGGCGTGCTGAGGTGGTGAGAAGCTGTCGCCGCCCGCGCTGGGGGTGGAGGTGGCGGCTGTGCTGAGGCTGGTTCTTGACCCCGTGGAGGGGGACGGGTGGTAGCTTGTGCTGGTGCTGGGGCTGACGGATATGGAGGAGCCGACGCTGCTGTTGTTGGCGGTTCCGTTCGGGTAGGCCGGTGAGGGTTCTGAGATTAGCATCTTTTGCACCGCTCGGCATGTCAGTCCCAGCGACCTCGTCATGCGCTGGCAGATGGCGTGGAGCACACCGAGTGCGGCTTTGGCGAGCGGGTTGCGGGTCGACATGGCCTCGAAGCGCCTGACGGCCCAGTGGAAGTGCTGGAGCGCTTTCTGCATCAGGTCGGGATGCTCTTTTGGGAAGAGGATGTAGATGGAGGCCATCATGACGATGGCGTCAAAGGTGCCGAAGAATAGGGAGAACCTGGGGTTGTTAGTCTCGTGGAAAAAAAGGACGCCTAAGAAAGAAGACGAGAAGGGAAAGAAAGAAGAAAAGAGAAAAGAACAGAAGACAGAACTCAAAAGAAGACAGAGCTTACGTCTTATACATCTGCGGCCTCAAAGCCAGAAAATGCAGCCTCTGCGCATGCAACATATCCAAGCTCGCCTTCAGCGCCTCGGTCCTGCTCTTCGGCCGCGTAAAGATATACGGCCGATGCAGCGCCATCAGTTCAAAGGTCAACAACTGCGGCAAGATCACCCTCGCCAATGGGAGCCAGTGACACTCAGGCAGGGCATCGAACCGGGTGTCCGGGTTCTCGAGGCGGAAGAAGGCAGGCGTCCTGGCGTCAATGTCCAGCAGCTCGTTGTGCAGGCGATCGACGCGGGCAAAGTCCTTGGGGCAGGGCCCGTCCTTCTCCATCTCGATGATCTCCTTGAGCGGACGCAAGGTGTGGTAGGACCAGAGCGCCCTCGTCAAGGGGGTGGGCGGGTCGTTTTCCCCCCTCGGCAGGATGGGGGTCTTGGAGCGGTTGCTGGGCGTGGGCGCGTCGACGGGCAGCGAGGGGCTCGCCATGGTGAGGTCGGTCGAGGTCGGGCGGCCGAGCACGCTGGCCATGTGCAGGTCCCACATCACCAGCACCATCCACATTACCCTCCGGCGCTGCACCTGCCACTGGTTTTCCAAGACGGCCTCGGCGTCGCCGCCCACAGGCTTGGGGTCGAGGTTGTCGCGGTGCAGACCAATCTCCTGAGCATCGCGGATCGCCGCGCCGACGGCATGCCACTGTTTCCATCATCAGCCACACACACACGGACACAGAAAAAGAAGAGAAAGAGATAACCCACCGACTCGGTAACCAACCCCACATATTTCAACCAGCTCGCCCTAATCCAGCCCGCCGCCACCGTATTCAACCCCATCCCCCTCTTCCCCAACACGGCCAACACCTCCATGGCACAATCACTATACTCCCTCGCCAGATCCTCAAACGTCATCCCGCCCGCATACTTCAACCCCCCAAACCAATTCTCCCCCTCCTCCACCCCATGCCCACCACCACCACTACCCACACCACCACTCACCCTCCAAAAATGCTCATCCCCCCCCGTCTCATCATCCAACACCAACAGCCCGACCGCACAGACCTGGAACACCACCGCGGGGAAAGCGCGCATCTCACAATCCAGCGCCGCGGGGCCGGCGCCCGTCGAGAGCGTGCTGAAGGGCAGGCGGTACCAGGTGGCCAGCTGCTCGTCGAAGACGTCGCGGTCCAGCACGGCGTAGTGCGGGTTGAACTCGGCGAAGTAGAGCGCCGCGAGCTTCTCGACGGCGCAGCGGGCGGGCAGCTGGCGGACGAGGGTCTTGTAGCGGTCGCGGGTGGTGGTGTCGGTTGGGGGGTCGGTGGGGGTGGTGGTGCTGCTGGCGGTGATGGTGGTGATGGTGGTGGTGGAAGGGGGTGCGGAGGTGGTGAGTGGGCTAGTGAGGGGGTAGGGGTTGGTGGTGGTGTTGGTGTTATTGTTGTTGTTGGTGTTGTCACTGCCGTTGGGAGGGTCGCCTGGGTGGGATTCGATGCGGTGCAGGAAGCCGAGGGTGCTGGCACTCGCGTGGGTGTAGCCAAAGGCTGCGGCTGTCTTGGCGGGGAAGGGGAGGGTGGTGGGGCTGGGGGTGGGCGCTGTGGTTGCTACTGTGGTTGCTGCTGTGGTGGCCGCTACATCATGGGGATGGTTTCTGGCGGTGGTTGCTAGCCTTCCATTCTGTTTGGGGGCTGGTGCACCTGTCTCATAACGGCATGCGCTCTCCTTGCTACGGGAGACGCAGTTTGTGCAGGGGAGTTTGCGGTCACACTAGAATATGTGTTAGTTTAGAAGCTGGCCAACTAGAGAAGATAAAAGAGATGTGTCTGGAACAATCACCTTTTGCTTCCGGCGGTGGCACTCGGTGCATGAGATGACTATCCGCCTCCGCTTCCGAGGTGGTGGTCGGGCTTGTTCCCTCGGAGCCGGGGCACCCGTCCAGTCGTCACCGGTACCGGGTGCCCCATCTTCGGGGCTTTCCGTGGTTGACATGAATAGGTGCAGTGAGTGTGGTTGTTGTGTATGTGCGTGTGTATGCCCGTGTATGTGAGGCCGTGTTCCGCGTATTGCGGAGCAGACTGCCTAGCCAGGCACGCTATCCACTTGTTTCACTGTTCCCTTGATGGTAGCAACCGTTGGAAGAGACTCAACAACAAAATAGTTAATCTGCAACGGGATAATCCGAAACAACACTTCATGCGCAAGCTGATCGCAAGCCGTCAAACACGGATCGCGTTTTCGGCACGCTGGACCCTGACAAACTGCCTGCCTACCACTGCTGCTGACTTGGGGTGATGTTGCGGTTAAAGAAAGATTGGTCAGCTCTCTCTCGATCCGCAAGAGGCACAGAATGGAAAGGTGGGGGTAAGAGACAACGGTCCCATGTCGCCAAGCCTTCCTGTCGCAAGCATGGAACTTCATGCCGTTCTCCCCCGCGCTATGGCCGTGCACGTATGTACCATTGCACCATTATGGGAATGATGGGATACCTGACATTGGGCCGCTCAGGGCCGTTAACTCCAGGGCCACCCACCCGCCTTCGCCCCCCCTCACCAACCCTTTTCCGGTTATCGCCGGACCCCAAAATGCGACTCGGGCCGCATTGGTCCCGGTGAATGAGTCTGACGGGAGCCGGCTTCGGGTACGCGACGCGGGATATGTAAGACAGAAAGGTAACTACCTACCTACCTAACTATGCAACGTGCCGCAAAGGCTTTGGTCCGTGTCAGGTCTCGCGGCAGATTGCACAATGGAGACATCCATCTCTTCAAGTCTATTGACTCGGAAACGCCCTCGATAACTGAAATTGATTACGCTTCATCCCCTTGTAGAAAAATACAAAACCCAAGCTCGCCGGAACATTTACGGCTCACGGCGCTTTTAGACAGCCTATATTCCCCCGGAATGGACCGACCGCCTTTTAGCGTCCTCTCTGCTGTTCCGGTGAATTCACGTTAGGATTCGCTCAACCGAAAAAGAGAGGCTCCTCCTCACCCTTCACCCTTCACCCTTCACCCATCACGCCAGACGCGCCAGGTAGGCCTTCCAGGCTTTCCTCCTGTACCGCTCGGCCTCGGAGGGCGGGTCGTCGGCCGAGATGATGCCGCGGCCGACGATGACGATGTCGGTGCCGCAGACGCCGATCAACTTGGCGGGGGTGTTGTACTGCTGGCCGAGGCCATCGCCCTCGACCTGGCCGTTCTCCTCGCCGCCGGGCGGCGGCAGCTTGCAGCCGGGGGTCATGTGGACGAAGGTGTCGGCGGGGTCCGCGTTGAGGGCCTCCTGCGAGACGAAGCCCATGACGAAAGCCTTGTGGTCGCGCGCCGCCTCGACGCAGGCCTGCGTGTAGTCGCGCGTCATGAGGCAGCCCTTGGACGACATCTGCGCGAGCAGCAGCAGGCCGCGGTCGACGGGGGCCTCCTCGATGCCCGGGAAGACGGCGTCGTCGCCGTGCTCGTTGGTCTTGGGCAGCCGCGGCGAGTCGGCGGGCTCGAACGACTGCGTCACCGTCGTGATGGAGACGATACTGCCTTTTCGGCCGTCAACGTCTCTGCTGTCCTTCTTCTGGTGCTGCTCCATGGCCTCGAGCCTGCGGGGCTCACCTTTGTCATCTCGCTGCTCCTGCTCCTGCTGCCCTTGCGCTCGCTGCTGCTGCTGCTGCTGCTGCTGCTGTTGCTGCTGCTGTTCCTGCTCCTCCGCATCGTCGAACTGGTCCGAGAGGGGGGTGCCCACCGTGACCGACGTCTTGACCTCGTAGTGGATGCGCTCCTTCCACTTGGCCGCCGCCTCCGCCATGGCGCGCACCATGTCCTTGCCCGCGTCGATGTTGGCGTTGGTGATGTGCGCCCACTCGACTATGCGCGCCGTGCCCGCCGTGTACTGCATCTGGACCGTCTTGCCGATGTCGACGAACTTGCGGTCCTCGAAGATGAGGAAGCCGTGCTTCCTCGCGAGCGCCGCCAGCTTGGCCCCGGTGCCCGTCTGCGGGTTGTAGTCCCATCCCGAGATCAGGTCGTAGTGCGTCTTGAGCACCACGATCGACGGGCCGACCTTGTCGGCGAGCGTCAGGAGCTCGCGGGCCGTAGTCACGTCGGCGCTAAGGCACAGGTTCGAGGCCTTGAGGTCCATCAGCCGGAAGAGGTAGCGCGTGAGCGGGTGGCTGGCCGTCTTCGCCCGCTCGGCGAAGGGCTGGCCTAGAGTGGCATGACGGGTCGCCATATTTTGTCCTTGTCCTTGTCCTTGCTCGTTGGTGAAAGTCGGAAGAGGTGCGAGGAAACGCCAGCACGAGGCGGTCGCGGCGGCGGCGGCGGGGGGGACGGGGGAGGGCCTGGCTAGTCGGTTTTGTCGCGTATCGCACTAGGACGAGTGTGGCGACCGGTATTTACCGGCAGCTTGGATGCGACCCACGGGGATGATGCAGGCGTGCCCAAGCGACTGATGAGCTGGCGACTAGCGGCGCCACGAGGGTAACGTCAAGCGTCGTTGCTCGGGTTTTGTGCTGGGACCGACTTTCTGTCCCTCTCCCTCTCTCTTTTCTCCCGGGATGTACTGTATGTACGGTCGAGGTGTTTCACACGAATCGGATCGGGGAGACGCCAATGCGCGCGGTCGCTGATGCGTAAATGTCTACGAGTGTCGCTGTCAGCGCAACGGCAAAAAAAAAAACGTCGTCAAAGGACGCAAGAGTAGGCTTTTACCTCTCCGAATCCGCGTGGGTGCAGCGCGGCGGGTCCGGTGACTCCAGGAGAATAGGATGTGTGGGTGCGAAGTTTTGAAAAGAACCCCGCAGGCGGAGGAAGGTACATGTACTACTACTATACTTGCGACTTTCGGAGAAGGGGGGTCGGCGCGACGAGCCTCAAAAATGAAGTAACAACCTGGAAACCTACAAAGTATGTCCCTCGTACCTGGGTGGTCTTCCGCCGTAAGGTTGAGAGAAGAGAGAGAGAGAGATACGGAGCTACAAAAGGAGGGATTGCAGGTCAGGGGCATCCCTCTTATTTATATGAAAGGGATCACTATGAATTACACCTGTGTAGAAATAGAAGAGGCAGCTCCAGATTGTCCAGACCGATGGGTCGAGGCCCATGGAGACCCGACTTCCATGTTCAGACCAGCAACCAAAGCGAGCAGCAACAGCACAAGAGCGCCCGCAACGGCAGACGGATCTCATCCCGGCCAGTCGATGCAGCCTTGGCGTAACCCGAATTGGGCAATGGGACGATGCAATGCAGTCGGGGCTGAGACGAGCGGCAAAGCAGCAGATAGGTACATAGGAAGGAGACGAGAAAAAAGAAAAAGGACAGGGTGCTTGTGTTTTCCGATACGGCAGAGCATGTGCTTGTCCCATCAACAAGAGGGACGGTACCAGACTGGACTGCGCGTGCTGTGGTACCCTCCAATTGCAGATTTCGAATTGCAGCAGGCTGTGCCGTCCTCCAGTCGGCGCACAACCGCCCGGCCGAACCCCTGCAAGTGCAGGGTCCTTTTTTTGAGCCCTGGTCTTCGTGGGGTCAACGCACAGACCGATGATACTCAACGCGCTCTTGCCCTGCAATCTCAGAGCTTCATCCGAGCTTCGGAGCAGAGTCGCTCGATGAGTGCGACCCCGGGACAGCTGGATCCCCGCGCCGAAGCGATGCAATGCTGTCTCAGAGGGGCTCGGTAGCCAGAACTCGGTAGTTTGTACAACAGGAGATGGAAGTATCCGATCCGTCAAGAAAAAAAAAGAAAAGAAAAAAAGGGGAGCGCACTGTTCCATTTGCAGCGGCTGATCGCCTTTTCCGGGTCCACGATGCGGCTGCTGCAACGTCGTCTGTCTGTTGTGTTGGCAGTCCGAGCAGCCTCCCACAGGCAGTCAAGGGGGTGATGGGGGAAGGGGGGTTACATGGCGGCATGAGGCGCCCGCGGAGAGCTCGCTTCAAGCCCAGCCTGGGGTTCGTCTGCTGTCGCCAGGATGTATGGATGTACATATGTACATAACTAGTGTACTTCGTCCAGAAAGGTGTGAGCTCGATGTGATGCACAAGGACTGCACTCGCGCCTCATCGCCGATCGAGAGCTTGTCGAGTGCTGCGCTCTGATTTGTTTCGAAGCGCCCGGAGCGCAATCCGGGCGGGGCACTCACAATGCCCCTCGGGCATACTTTCCTAGATGGAGACAATGCAGGATGCTGCACCCGTCGCCTTTCCCAGCAACGAGAGTCTTCAATGAGGTTTGGCCCCCGATGCCATGCAATCACGGACTGCACCAGACCATCGCAGACACACAAACATGAACCAACGGTCGGCCGGCATGGAGCGGTGGGCGTGATCGCCGCCTGGCAAATTCCTCCTTTTCCGAAGCGAGGGAGCTCAAACCGAGGTGCGATCCGCGGTCGACCGCCAACATGACCATCGGGTGCCGTGGTTCCATTGAATGATGTGGCCATCATCCCGCAGCATCTCAGTACCAACAAGTATGAACAAATATGGATATAGCACGGCGACCCACTACCTGTACCTACCTGGGTACACAGCAGTTATGTTATCTTGACATAGCAAGTGTATTCGTAGTTGGTGACAAGGGGAGAGCTCCGACGCGGTCCGAAATTCGAACACAAGCCAACGGCCCGGAAGTGGATGACCTGGCTGTCGAAGGGTCCCGATCCAAGAAAACAATTCAAGAACGCGGCAATAGTAATCCGACAGCACCTGGGGAGATCGGCACATACATAATTACTCTGTACCCACCTCCCAGTATGGACATTCCAGTTCCAGTTTCTCTCCCATAGCAAAGAAGGTTCTCACCGCGAGGCGAGGAGCTGAGCGCGAAATTACATTGTAATGACGAGATTCCGCCTCAGGGGTTCTTATCAACACCCCTGTGGCCTGCTTATCTCTCGCCCTGGCTTTGAGTGGAACGCCAAAAATTCGGGCCAAAGCAGAGCACCGTCATCGCCATGTCGCGTTTGTCCAACCAGAACCAGACCCAGTCGTACTGCCTCACAGGCCTCCGTACTGCCCGAGACTCCGAATAATCCATCTCTTCGTCCCCGGCCCGGCTTCAACGACGCTGCTCTATCGCGCTCATTCATCATTCATCACAAAAGCCACTCCGCAATTACGAACGAGATTTGCAAAGTGCAATAACTAAACCTTCCCTACGACGACCCACACGGCCAATTCGCATTTCCGCACCATCCGGATCGCTCGGATTTTCCGACTCGCATTGCCACTAGACAGACTCGACCGGTGCCGAGAATAATCGATATCGAAGGAACCCATACCTCTTTGCATCTTTGGATGATTGCATAGTTGCCAAAGTAAACAACAATGGCCGGAGCAAAGAACCGACGCCAGGGCACAGCAGCCTCCCCCGAACCCAAGGGGCAAGATAAGGAGGTTGCGCCAAGCGTAAATGGCAACGGGACGGCCGCTCATGGCGCTGCCGCGAGGGACACCGTCGAGGAGGGGCCACAGGAAAATATCTTCTTGCTATGGCCAAACATCATCGGTACGACTTGCGAAGTTCCCTATCCAAGCCTAACCGAATGCGCTCCATACTGACAGCGTCACCCCGCAGGCTACTCGCGCATCGTCCTCGCCATCGCCTCGCTTTACTACATGCCCCTACACCCGCGCACCTGCTCGCTGCTCTACAGCGTATCCTGCCTTCTCGACGCCCTCGACGGCTATGCGGCGCGCCTCTTTGAGCAGTCGACGCGCTTCGGCGCCGTGCTCGACATGGTGACGGACCGGTGCACCACCTCCTGCCTGCTCGTCTTTTTGTCGTCGGCCTTCCCCCGCTGGGCCATCCTGTTCCAGGGCCTGATCTCGCTCGACTTTGCCAGCCACTACATGCACATGTACGCGACCCTGGCCATGGGCGGCGCCGAGAACAGCCACAAGAACGTCGACAAGTCGCGCAGCTGGATCCTGTCGCTGTACTACACCAACAAGGTAGATCCCTCCTTATCCACTCCCCGCCGTCCTCCCTCCCTCCCTATCCCATAGTGCACCCCGACTGACCCAGAATCTCCCCTCTCCCAGACGGTCCTCTTCATCGCCTGCGCCCTCAACGAAGCCTTCTTCATCGCGCTCTACCTACTCTCCTTCTCCTCCCCGCTGCTCTCCCCCTCCCTCCTCGAGCGCGTGCCCGACCACGCCGCACAGGCCATCATGAGCCAGGGGGCGCAGGTCAACTCGTCGCTGCTGCGGCACCTGTTCGCCAACCCGCACAGCGCGGGCGCGCTCGAGCTGGCGCGCGCCAACAAGATGGACAGCTTCTGGCCCTGGGTCTTTGCGGGCGTCAGCTTCCCCGTCATGGCCCTCAAGCAGATCATCAACGTCGTCCAGCTCGTCAAGGCCAGCCGCTGGCTCGCCGAGGGCGACGTCCGCGCCCGCCGCGCCCAGGGCCTGCCCCGCAAGCGCAAGGCCGCCTGATCGGGGCCCGGATCTGTGTATGGGGCTGCCGCCCCTGTTGTGTGTGGCTGGCGGCTGGTCTTGGTTATGTTGTTGGGGGAGGCTTGGGGTGGGGTTCGTTGGTCTGGTCTTTTGCTTCTTACTTTTCGGGATGGTGTGTGTGTGTGTGTGTGTGTTGGGGGTATTGTGTAAGGATAGGGAATCGGTGGTTTCTCTTAATGACACCAGGCACGGGGGAGAGGCCGGAGTGGCTGCTGGACGGGTCTGAGGAGGATTGGTCCTGTGGGAGCGGGCATGGTTGGTTTGCTGGGGCGGCGGGGCGGTTTTTGCATGGGCCTGTGCTGCGCGAGGTCTCTTCAGGCGTTTATCGGACGGGTTGCTACTACTTTTACCGCCTTAGGCGGGCGGGCAGGCGGGCGGGCGGCTGGGAAAGGTGGGCAAGGCGGACAGCATCAAAGGACGGACAGGGACATTGTCCGGGATACATATTTGAGGGGGACGCGCGAGGTTTGTCGGCTCGCCTGCTGGGGGTCTACTGGACTATCTAATCCTGTCTTTTCGACTTTCTTTTCCTTCGGTCATTTGTATTCGTATCTAGAATTCGGGTTAAATCTTTATTGGCCTGGTCGTACGCTCAGCCCTTGCCGTCGTTAATAACCGTCCGTTTTTGCTTGCAGAATCACATTCGCCTCTTATCGGACATTATGGCACCGGCATGGCAATGGTGATTTGGTCTTTTCTTGGGTCGTGGTCAGAATGTTCAGTGTAAGTACGGCTTCCATGTTAACCAGCCGCAAGACGACCGCTATGTCTAAAAACGAGACAATCTATCTAATCGCCAATGTTTATCTCCCTCCAATTCCCGACATCTTCATCCTCTCGTCGCCTCTGGATAGGAGTGAGACAAGTGGCCCCAGCGGTCTCTCCACCTAGTACTGGCCTCTCGATCACCATCCTGCTCTTGATCGTCGTCGACCGGGCCTTCGCCTGGTTATCTAAACTGGTCCAGTACGGGCGGGATCCAGATGTCCATGTTGACTGCACAGCACTCACCGTCAGTCGCGCCGACTGGTAGGTTTGGCCTGTTCCCCTACGCCCCAGGTTACATAACCGTAGCCCATACCGAGACCGATGCCGATGGTCAGAGCCAATCCCGCATGGATTGCGTTACGGAAATTATAATAGGACTCCATTTCGCATAACGTGTCCCACATACGCCCCCATTCTTCTTTGAGTCTCTTTTCGGCGGCCTTGGAATATGCCTCCGGGCGGTCGAGAGTCGCCTTGTGTTCTCTAGCTGAGCCCTTGGGGAAGTTGGCGTGGTGGCGCATTGTACGGGAAAACGTACGAGGGGCGAGGTTGAGTCGATTATCCGCCATCTTGAATATATCTCTGCGGAGCGCCTGACGACAAAAGTGACGATAAGCCATTTTGATGAGATAGTGATGGGAGTAGTGTCGGTGACTGAGGTTATTCTGGGACCGGAAATTGAACGGTGGGTTGATTGAACTTTTATAGACATCTGGGAGAAGAAACACTATGCCACTCACCCCTTGTCTTCACATACTACCCACCTAAAGATAGTGTTACGTTGAAGTTCGTTCATCACACTCTGGCCTGCACAGCATTGATCTTAGTTTAAACCACACTTTGTTTGTGGAACGACCCATTTAGTGTAAGGAAAGGGCCAGAAGAAGGAGCTTTGAATGGTTATTAACTCCCATGTTGCACATATCGGTGTTATATAATTCATCACCAGTGCCTTCCAAACCCCTTCTCACATATCGGGGACCAGAAAGTCGACTACTATAAAGGTAGGCGACTCCCCTTAGCCGCGCATACCGGAGGTCCACGAGCCGGGATACCTATATTCGCTCACGGCCCTGGACCTTTATCTTCTGGCTTACGATCAGGGAGCGGCTCATTGAGTAAAGCTGTTCCATCCTTCCCTAAGCCGTAGAATGAGGGTTCAAAGGGGTAGGAGCGGTCCGAGTCAGCTTCCCGCGATTTAAGCTGCTTGTAGGCCCTAAGCCGGAGATCAACCGTCAACCAAGAGCTCAACGGCCTTAAACATTTGAATTGAACAAGCGGGGATATATTCGCTCAAAGGGTGAGCTGTTGTACGTTTTTCAGTCCGGTGTGGACGGGAATCGGATTCCTTGGTGTGAAGTCCCGCGCACGTCCCACATTACCACTTACGGCCATCAATCACCGCCACCAACCATTACCACAAAGAACAAGCATTCTAGAAGGATCAACAACATTAAACAACACAACAAGCAACTTGTTCAGTGGCCCGCCTACTGACTCGACCCGCCGAGTGACTGGTCCAGTGACCCGCTGGCGTATTCACTGGACCGACCTTATTAATTCGCACACCTATTTCAAGATGGCTCTTCTCCCCTCCTTCCAGTTCTCTCGCCAACCACCTTCCAAAACCGCATTGTCAGCGTCAAATCAATACGACAAAATTATAATGAGCTTCGTGAAAAATCTCTGGGTGAATGTTGCTCCGAAGGTTGCTCCGAAGCGTACAGTTGCCCCCTTCTTCCTCTGGTCCTTTGCTGCACCCATCCTTTGTTCGAGGCTGACAACAGAATTCCCAGGCCCTCCGTACAATAGCGACAGGCACTTTAAATGGGTTTTCAAGTCCCCTGCTTTGACATTAAAATGCGACGATATCAGCGACACCAACCTGGAGATGCTCCACAATGGCGCTGTTGCGCATCAGGCAGCAAAAACCGAGGCCGTCAAGTCTGTCGCGTCTCTCGCTGTCGTGACAGCCGGTGTCTGCGTATCGTTCGCCGTCTAGGTGGCGGCGAACGATAACAAGGACCACACGGCGGCGACGGTGAAGGCGAAGGAGAGCGAAGGCGCCACAGTGACGGCGGCCCGGGGCCTGCTCACGGCGGCGAAGAGTCGGGATGGCACAGATGAGACGGACTAGGGTTCCACGGAGCTGGCGACCCGGGACATGGCCACGACAGCGGAAACCAACGGTACGTTTTTGAATCAAATCATCCCGTGCCTGCACTTGTGCATCATCAACACCAGACGCTAACGCTGCTCTTCCCAACGAAGTCGAGGGCAAGTAATCGCGCAAGAGCCCGACGGGTCGGCCTAAGTCATTCATGTTCTCAAGGGTCAGCGCAATTGATAGGTTGCATTCGTCCCCCCGTCCCGAGAAGTGGTCGGAATTTTGGTTCTGGGAGTTGAGAAGGAGAAAATTGATGGAGTGTGGCGGGAATGTGAGCGGCTACGGGCATACCTTGAGGTACGGCCTTGAGTCAGCCAAAGACCAATGAATATACCATACTTCTATCCCCATTTCGACTTTCATAGCATAAGCAATATATTAAGCATTGCGATCTTGTTAAATTAAGCATTGCGATCTTGTTAAATAACTTCGAACAAAATATACCCCTGCGGCGAGCCTGACGACCAAAGTCTAATGGGTGTAGTGTTGGCGGCTGAGTTACAGTTTAATCTGAGGTTCAGAACTGAACGGCTGGTTGATTTCAAAGCTTCGTTGCTGTCAGTGTTTCGGATGGCTGTTACTCTGTCCATCCAAAGTCGTGCTGTCGGTCCCAAGGATCAATGTCCATCCTAAACCCTAGCGTCCGTCCCAAGACCTGGTATCTGTCCGAAGGGCGTCCTATCCGTCCTAAGAGTTGTAGTCTTCCCTTTCATTTAGACATATGGGGGAAGAAACGATAAGATGCTACTGGCAGTTCTAAAGACAGTGCCACCTTCAAGGTTCTTAACTGTGAATACCTGAGTTGTCGCACCTGTCGGTTCTATGTATTTCCTCACCGATGCCGTCCGAGCCCTTCTTATTCACAACAAGTGGCCAGAAAGGCGACTATTATAAAGGAGCCTGCCGTTTGGGACGATGTGGTTTGACGTGCGGGACTCTGACACGTGACCTTTCCCATACATAACCCCAACCCTGGAGTGCACGCCTCCCGAGCCCAGCTTACCAATTCGATGCGCGCATGCAAATATACCTATATACGCGCATTCGAATTTGCTCAATTCTTTGAGAAACGTGGTTGGATTTAGCTTATTCAACTTCTCCAGCTTGTTTCATACGGCTATCGTCAAATCCGCTACTATAGTTCCAGTTATAGCCGTCGCGCAACTTTCTTCCAGATCCAGTGGCACCAACAGCTATTGGGCGTATGAAGGAGGACTAGAGCTACAAAACTAGAAAGAAATAGATTAGTCAAGGTCTAAATTTTATTACATTTTCAGGTGATTTAGCCGGTACCAAATTGATAAATTTGACTGTATTGTTGATTGAACTTGGTTGAACTCATGAATCTGATTGAGAAAAGGCGCGCGCGCAAGGGTTGGGGTTATGTATGGGAAAGGTCACGTGTCGTAGTCCCGTACGTCATAACCAGCGAGTCCCAAACGGTCGGCTCTTGTAAAGGGAGGCGATCCCTGGAACCCTGTGCATTCCAACTGTTCACCACCACGACCACCACCATCACCATCACCAGCCATCGCCGGCCACCACTTCCAAAAACCAAGACCTCGGAGGGGTCAGAGACATCAGACAAGTTACAACAGAACTAGCACATGTGCCTAGGGACGCGCTTAGTGACCAGTCCTAATTAGATCTGTTCTGCTGTTCGAGCACGCATTTTCCAAAATGGCTCGCTTTTCCTCCTCCTTCCGCCAATCACTTTTCAAAACCACATTGACAGCCTTGAAGAGACAGCGAGACAAGACACTTAGAGGCTTATTTATAACGGCGGTCACGTCGGCCGCTAGGAGTATGTTGAATCTTATTTCCTCCTGCGTTTCCCTGTATCCCTTCTTGGGGATTCTAACGATGAAACCCACAGGCGAGCAGCACTACAAGATCACCCACAAGTCCGCGGTCCAGACCATCAAGTGCGCGGATATCCCGGCTCCTGATCTAGAAAAACTAGACAAAAGCGCCAACCAAACTGCTCGGTTCCGGGCTGCCATATTTGGCGGCTCTGTCGCTGTCGTGACACTGGGTGCTTGCTTCGGGATCGCCACTTAGGCAGCGGCGTCCACAGGCAATGGTACCACGATGGAGTCGACAAAGAAAGAAGCTGCTGCGACGACGGAAATCAGCGGTGCGCGTTCTTTCCCTGTTTCCTCATGATTAATCCCCGACGCTAATTCTTTCTGCCCGCCGCAGTCGAGCGCAAGTAATCACGGAAGAGTCCGTCGAGGCGGCCCAGGTCATTCGCCACGAAAACCACAACAGGTTCTCTCGGGTCAGCGCAACCAAGAGGTGGCATCCGCCCACTTGTCCTAAGAAGTGGTCGAAACCGGGATTTGAGGCTTATGGCTGGGAGGAAGGAGAGTGATGGGGACCGGTGGGAATATAGGCAGCTGCCGACATGTCTAGAGGGCCTTTAGCCACCCAAGGGCCAGTGAATACACCATACTCCTCTCCTCATTCCGGCCTACCGGCCTCCACGACGTGCGGCAATCTCTTGACCATTGCGATTTTGCTGAGAGACTCTGAACGAAAGGTCGTGGGCAGTAATTAACAACAACAGATCATGGGCTATACCTCAGTCTTGTCGTGCTCCTCGAGTCATGGTGATTCGAGCCATCAAAAAGTGACGAGAAGGCTTTAGCGCTGAGCGACTGGCCGTCGTCGGCCGGAGAGCCTCCTCAACCCGTAACGCCGAAACGAGCACAGTCCCGCGGATGGTTCTCCGCTGGTACAAGGTGGAACAGGCATTCTACATTGATCGCTAGGTACCGATTAGGCTATTCTCACGCTGTCCCATTCACGGTACAATTTACATTTTCCAATTTGCCAGGCGACCATGCCCCGCCTCGTCCGCTCAGTCAATCACCAAAGCAACAGCTTGGTACCTATCTCTATACGCCGTCGAGCCTTCTCCGCCCTGCTCTCAGGCGTCTCCAACAATTACCGATTTCATGAGCTCTGGATCGCCTTCCTCCCACAGTCATACCCATCACAACACCCAACCGACCCAACCAAACCCAGTCTAGCCGACAGAGACCGCCCAATCGATCAACCCCACGACTTGTGCGCCTTGACCTTGGTGCCGGGAGGATGCTCCTCCTTAACAAACTTGCAGAGCGAATACGGTGCACACCCCATTCTCCATACTCGGGAACGAAGACGTGGCCAGTAGCAACAATCGCCGCTCGGCCCATCTCAACATCTCACCGCCCCCTGTTCACCGTCCTTGCTGGCCCGAAGGGAGGAGTGCGGGAGGGCCAAGAGAGTGGGTACCTCGTCGCCGGTGGCTTGAGTTAGCGATGATATATTCAGAAAGTCGTTATTCCGCACATCAGCCCGGCGGGAGACTTCAGGTTGTTGAGTGGCGCCCTCGAGGTCAAGTTCGGTGTCTGGAATCTGGCGAGTCAACTTAGCCCGACTAGCCGCCAAGGGGCCTAGGTAACTACGAAGGAGTTGGGTGAAAGTACAAGTACTAATCTGTAGTCGTACCCGACTCCCCCTTGCCGGCTGGCCGGATCGCCGCTTTTACAACGGCGAAGGCTGGAAAGGGGAACAAAAAAAGAAGACTATTCGGGCCTATGATAGTCCCTGCCATATACGCGCACCGTGCATACGTATTTTGGTGTACTATCTGACCCTGTAGAATCTCAATCCTTATGTGATGAAGGATGTGGGTACAGTAATTTAGTGTTGCTGTGCAGCCATTATACGCTAAAACTGCTGCTTTGCTACTATCAATTCGCAACAATATCGACCCCGTGCCACGCACGGACCGTACCTTATTTTGGCCCCAGGACCCCACTATTGACCTCCAGTCCTTGCTCCAAGCTCTCAGTTATCAACTTTCCCCACGCTCCTCCCACAAACCACAAGTTCCCACATCCACCACGACCACCACACTACCTACCTACCGACCGCCCACACTACTGCCCACCATGTCCCACCCGCGGGTAGAAGAAGTCTCCGAGAGCGACAGCGACGCCGGCATGTCAGACCCTTCCGAGGGGGACATCGACGACTTTGTCGAATCCGACATCATGCGACGAGTCGACACCCAACCCACCCAGCAGCAGCAGCAGCAACAACCACCCCAACGACAACAACAACAACCACCCCAACGACAACAACAACCAGCACACCAACACCCCAACCCCCTCTACCCCCCGCCGCCGCCCCAGATGCAGACCACGACGGACGAGAAGGCCTACAAGGCCTACCAGTGCCTGTACCCGGTCTACTTCGACGCGACGCGCACGCGGGCCGAGGGGCGGCGGGTGTCGCGGGCGCTGGCCGTGGCCAACCCGCTGGCCATCGACATCGTGCAGGCGTGCGCGGGCTTGCGGCTGCAGACGGTGCTGGAGGCGGGCAAGATCCACCCCAAGGACTGGGCGAACCCGGGGCGGGTGAAGGTGAACCTGCGGCAGCCCGTGGCCGGTGCGACGGCCGTGGCAAATAAGCACCACCTGTACGTTCTGGTGGCGCAGCACCTGCGTTCGAACCCGACGACGGACGCGTCGCTGTCGCTGCGCATGGAGGTGCGCGGGGCGCCGATGCCGCCGCAGGTGCAGGAACCGGGGGCGGCGTGGCCGCGGCCGGCGGTGCCGCGCGGGTGGAAGATGGGGGAGCTGCTGCCGTACTACAGCCCGGCCATGACGGGCGGCGGCGTGAGCGAGAACTTCCTCAAGGACATGATGAAGGAGATGCAGCAGGGCGGCGGCGGCGGGCCCGGCGGCATGCCGGATATGGCCAGTCTGTTGGCCGCTGCGGGCGGGGGCGGTGCTGCCGGTGGGAGCGGGAGCGGGAGTGGCGGAGGAGGCGGCAAGAGGGATAAGAAGGGCAAGGGGAAATAAATGTGCGTAGAGGCGGGGTAATAAAAATTCGTTTATTTTGAGAGTCTTGTCTGTGCGTTTGCACGCTGGTCTGTTCCGTTCGGCGAGACGTCATCTTAGACAGGGTTCGGAAGTTGTATGGTTTGTATCCGGCTGAAGACCTTGGGCTGAAAGTTTGCCACGGCCAGAACATTCACACTGCATGTAATCAACCAACCATACTGATTTGGCGTCACTCCCATAAAATATTGGACCGCAAAAGCCCCAGACAATCCATTTCTCATCGCTCACTCTAAATCTATCCCCAACCTGCAACATACCCACGGTTGTTGGTGAATATAGGATACCATTACGAGAATCACGTCACGATATGAACCAGGCAAGATAAAGCGCGCTCAACCACCATCTTCTCCACCCTCTAAACCTGTCGGGGGTATCTCGAAAACAAAACGCCTCGCTATGCCACAAAAACACTGTGGTTGATCCAAATCCCAAAAGCCAACCGCTGATCTCTCCTGAGAACAATAATACTCGTCTCTCCACCACCCAGACACAAACCAACGCTCGTCTCCCTTTGGCAATAACAATGCTCGTCCCCGACATGAAAAGCAACGCTAGTCTCCCCAGAAACCAATACAATGCCCATCTCCCGCTGAGTAAAAGGACAAAAACAACCAACGCTCCTCTCCGTCAGACAAAACAACGCTTGATTTCCTCATCACCGAAACAACCACTGCCGAGTTCCCTCCAGCGCGTCCCATACCTGGGATTTGGCAATCTCCAAATCTCTCTCCGTCGCCTTCATATCCCCATCCATCGACAACTGCAGCTTCCCCAGGGAATTCATGCTCCTAGCCAATGCGCTGTCTCCCATCTTCACAGCGAGTTTCCCTGTGACTGCTTTTCCATTCTTCATGGCTTCCGTTCGCCATGCTTTCCATGCCACGAAATCTTCGAGTTGCTTGGCTGCGTGGTACTGTGGAGTGTCTCTGGCAGGCTTCCACGCCACCTTGTCGGCGGGCAAGCTTGCCATGTCGTAGACGGTAGCACCGCTCGCCAGGTTGACCAATTCACCGAGCACAGCCCTACTCTCGCTGGCAACGTTGGCTTTGCGCTGCTCGGCGGGCGGGACACTCTTGATGAGTGGCTCGGCAAGCCAGTCGTAACTCGGCTGTTCGCTCGTACGTGCGCGGCGGTTATCATCGCGTAGGTAGCGCACGCTGGATCGAAGACCGTCGATTTCGGTCTTGAGGTTCTCGATCTCGCGTGCTGTGGCCACCGCACGCTCTTGGTTGGCTTTGACGCCAGCTTCGCCCTCTTCGGCGCCGCCACCGGTGACGACGCGACTGCTGCTCGCGACCTGCTTCCACTTGTCGCACTCAAGCTCGAGCGCTTTGAGTTCGCGATCTTGTTTTTCGATGCTCTCGGAGAGGGTGGCGGCGTGCTCCTTGGCGGTTTCGATTTGTGATTCCAGCTCGGAAATGCGCGACGTCTTGGCTTTGGCGTCGCGCATGCGGGATTCGAGGGTTTCGATTTTGAGATGGGCCGTGCTGAGATCTTCTTCGCGAATGGCGAGGTTGCGTCGAGCACTGGTGAGGTCGTCTTTGAGACGACGGGCCTCAGCCTCGACTTCGATTGGTATTGTCTTGAGCACCTTGAGCTCTTGGCTCCGCAGAATCCATGGAGCCGGGTTGCGTTCAAATTCTTGGGTGTGTGATAGATCGGTGCTGAGGGCGGCGAGATCCGAGATTTGTGAGGTGACGGATCGCAGTTTGTTCAGGTAGGTGGAGAAGAGCTCCGAATCATCTGAGCTGAAAGCAGTCATAGCCGTCTTCTGTGTGCATGACTGGACATCCGAGTAGGTGTATGGGTCGGTCCTGCCCTCTTCGTGCAAGAAATCGTGTAGGTCGAGGCCGATTCTCCGTGCCATGTCGGCAAGCTCCGCAGTTGCAGTCTCGCATTGCTCAAACGCGTCCAGGGTCTCGGGGAGCAGAGACAGTGATCTCGACTTCAGATCCTCCAGCGCGCGGACCGTCTTGTTAGCAATAACCTTGGCGCTGCGCGTATGGGTGATAACACCCTCGGTCTTCTTGGAGAAGTGCTGGCCAAGTTCTTCTTCGTCTTGAGTGACAACCCGCTGGACCATGGTTGCCGTGGCCGTAAAGGAGACGGCTGCCGACTCCAAGTAGCTTTGCATCAGGGATGCTTTCATGTGAATGTCGTCTGCAAAGCTTTCGAGGTCGGATGAAATGTGAACCTCGCCGAGGTGGGTCATGAGCGCAATGGTGCGCTGCAGTTCGGCAGAGCACTTCTGCTCTTTCAAGTCGTCTTGTTTCAGGCCTTCAATCCAGCCGTTCAGGGCACGTTCAACGGGCTCCAGCTCGTACAAAGCCCCCTCGTACTTTGCGAACTGCTCGAGCGAACAATGGCTGATGGAGTTGATGAAGCGGTCGCACATGCACGAGACCCAAGCAAGCTTGTCCATGGCGCCGCAGCCCTCGAACAGCTCGTTCTCGTGACCCGGATGGGGTTGACCATTGACTCGCTCCTTGATGAAGCCGTTGAGGATGCCGGCCTTGGACGCCAGTCTCTTGAATCTCAGCAAGGCCAGGACAGAGTCCCTGTCGGTTTGGTAGGTGTCGGGGAGGAACATGGTAACGATCTCGAGGTGCTGCTCGGCCTCCTGCGCCTCCATACGGCGGAGCTCGAGGTCGATGGTCTTGACTTGCGCCTTGGCGGCTGAGATCTGCAGCTTCATGTTCAAGTCCAGCATGGCCCTGGACCGGGTGTTGAGTTGTTCGGATTCGTTCTCAGTGACGGCCCGAGAAGCGTGCATGTCTGCCAGGTCGCCTTGCAAGCTTGTAACAAGCTCCCGGAAGCGGGACAGCGTGTACTCGTTGTCTTCGGTGGCCTTCTGCTGAACGGCTGCCAGGCGTGCCTGCTCGGCGATGACGGCATCACGCTTGTCGATTTCGTCTTGCATCTCTTTCTGGTTGTTGACGTGGTTAATTTCGAGTTCGTCGCTGACCTCCTTGAGCTCCTCGAGGTCGAGAATGGTAGCCTTGAGTTCCTTGATCTCCTCTGACTGGTTCATGGTCTGCTCCGTTAGGGTTTCGATGATGTCCTCGGCGCCGAGGGCATTGTCAAGCTGCTCCCGTAGATCCTCGACGGCACTCTCTTTCTGGGCCAGCTCCGCTTCACAAGCATGGAGCTTGTCCTTGAAGACGTCGCTCTCGGCGAGGGTGTCCTGCATCTCCTTGATCTGGTGCTTGAATTCCTCTTCTTGTTCCCGAGAGATGTCTCGGAGTCGGATCAAGGCTCCCCGGAGACGCTCGTTATCCTTCTCCATCTGGAGCCAGCCGGTGCTAGCGATGTCATCGGATGACATGCCTTTGGTGAATTCGGAGTTTTCCTCGCGGAGGATGTCAACTTCAAGCTTGAGCTCCTCGGTCTTGTGCTTGAGGGCATCGAGCTCTGTCTTATAAACATCGGCCATCTCTTCTGCCATCTCGCGGTCGAGGGTGGCAAGTTCCATGGCCGACTCATGCTCCTGCTGAATATCCTCGACATTGTAGAGGCGAGACTCGGCTTCTTTGAGCTGCCGCTTGAGGTCGGCAATCTCCTGCTGCTGAGGCTGATACTTAATTTGCAGCGTCTGGATGATCCTCTCAAATCTGTCGCGCTCGCTCTTGGTCTTCTCGAGTGCGTTGAGCTTCTCGCGGTCCTCGATTCTCTTCTTCTCGATAACGCGAAGCTTCGCCTTGAGCTCCTCAATCTCTTTCGTGGCAGCTGCGTTGCTAGGCGCGGGTCGTGGCGATGCCACAGCGGTACTTGATGGTTTAGTGGTAGTTTGCGATTTGGTGGTAGTGGCCGGTTTGGTGGCCGTTGAGCCGGTAAGCTTTTCGAGTGCCATGGTCCTCGATTGGACAGGGCTGGTGAGCGGGGGCGATATAATTTCCTCATCGCTGCTCTTTGGGCCGGACGCAGCGCTGCTAGAGCTGGAGCGCTGACCAGCGGTGTGAAACTTGGTAGAACCCGGTCGAGCGGCCGAGGAGGTTCTGGTGGCGGATGGGCGAGCAACACCTGGTTTAGTGCCAACGGTGAGTCGGCCACTCAGAGTGCGTGCAGGGGCACCGGTGGTCTTGGGTGGGCCAACGGCTGCCTTGGGAACAGTGGCCGATGAAGCCTGCCGAGCCTGTCTAGTCGGCATCGGAGGTGGTGCCATGGAGGGTCGGGGCGCGCTAATGGACGGGCGGGAGCGAGCCCCAGGAGTTGCTTTTGCATTGGAAGGGGTGGTGGTTCGGGACGGAGCTCCGCTCGAAGGCGCAGTGCCCAGCTGCTTGGTGGGTGATCTGGTGGGAGACTAAGGCGAAAATGTCAGTTTGGTGCTCTTGGTCATATATGAAAAAGAAGAAGAAAAAAAGAAGAAAAAAACGACTCACCCTGATCCCACTGGGTGTGCGGGACGGCTTCTGGCCCGGCGTCGGGCTTGGGGCGTTCAAGCTGATCCGTTTGTTCATGGCAGGATCGGCCGGCGTAGAACCCCGAGAAGAGGCGGATGAGAACATGCTGCTCGGGCGGCCCTTCTTCTTGGGCTGAGGCATGAACGGCGCGGGCGGCTCGGCAAGCAGCTTTAGCGCGGTGGGACGGACGAACATTCCATAACCCATGGTGCAGTCAAAATAGCGCTCGTCATTGACGCTTCCGTCATTCTTGCCCGAATCCTCCTCGAGCTCAACACCGACCCACATGCCGGGTGCAAAGCCGGTGTGGCCAAGAAAGCGTATGGTTCCTGCCCGTCAATGTTAGCTGCATTCTAGCACAAGAGATTTCTTGGGGCGCCCGGGAGTCACGGGGAGGCTTCAAAAGCCCAAGGCGCGCAAATACCACATACCATAGCGCTGGTCAGCCAGCTGGACTCTGCGTCCTTCGGCCAACTCCAACACAGACATATTGTCAGAGACAGATACCTAATGCTGAGACATTCTGTGGTGTTGTTCGTTTAATTAAGTGTGTGGTTGCTATGCGCAAGACAAAGCAGACTGATTCGGTGGCTGAAGTGGCTTGTGGCTGAAAGGAGTGGTAATGACGTTTGAGGTGTGGGGTGTCCGGTGGTGTTGGGCTTCGGACTTGCGGGGCGGACAGGACGCGCTGGTGCTGGACGCGTTTGGTGAGCAAGTCGTGTCGGGTGCGGTTTCTGAGCAGAGTGGTGGACGATGCGGTGTCTGCGGTTGCGGAAGCGGTGTCGAGTGGTAACTGGTTTGATGAAATGGCAATGTCGTTCGAGTTCGAGAAGCTGCTGTGCAATGCAGAGCTAGCTGGTGGTTAGCGGTCGCGGTTGCTCTAGACTGGTGGTCGAGGCTGCCGGTCGAGGACTGTCGTCGGGCAGAGCAAGTGGTTCCGGGCGATCGCGGTTGCTGGGAGCGAAGAATGGATGTCTGGGTGCTTTCTTTGTGTGTTCTGGTTGCTTTTGTTTGCTTTTTGATTGCTTTCTGAATGCTTTCTGATTGCTTTGAATGCGTTGATGCTTCAATCGATCAAAATGCTCTTTCTTCTGAAGAAGATGGAAGTGGGAGGAAGGAGCCGCGACTGGGGACGCGTTGAAATAGTCAAAATGCCCCACTTTTCAAGCCTCCTAAACAACACCTCCCTCCCCGCTAAAGGGACACACCAAACATGCCATTTGGTGAAGGCCGATCACTCAAAAATGGAAGGAACGGCAGCACGGAGGGAAGGAGCAAAGCTCAGAGGGGAGGCACGACCCCTCCAGAGGGAAGGCACGACCCCCCATGGGGAAGGCACGACCCACGACCCCCAGAGGGGGAGGGGGAGGGCTCTGGGAACGAGGACGGCCGTGTCGTGACTTCCAGGTTCTTCGGTACAAAGGAGGCACCTAATTCTTTGGATGCCCCCCAATCTCTCTTCCTTTAACCCCAAACCCGGGCCGGTTTCTCGAGTTGCGTTTGCAAGCCGCTGCCGCCGCCAACAAATCTCCGGCATCTCAAGGCCGTTACACCAAATTTCTCGAACCATTAGGCCAATCCAGACACTCCCCGGATCTAATGCAGCTTCCCGAGACACGCCCATGCCGTGACGGCTGTCTTAGATTACGGATCGGGTGGCTTGACGGGATGTCGTGACCGGTTGTTTCGTGTTCCGTTTACCAACTTCCTTGCCAAGGTCAGTGTACTCGGGTTGCTGCGTAGACCCGGGATGCCAATCCATCTGATGGCAAGGCGGTAATCAAGGTCGACTGAGTAGCAGGAGATACCACATCCAGTCGGGCAGGGACATTGGAAGATGTAGATACTGTGCAAGCCTTTTTACTTTCCATCTTACCACCGCATACCATCACCGACCATAGCAAACCATCTACACAAACAAATTACCATCCCAACTGCCTGACATGCTGTAGAACCTGATACCTCCTAGATGTTATCCAATCTAATACTCCATCCCCATCCCGCCATCCACCCCGCGTCCAGCATTCAGCCAACCCCCAGCACGCACCCACTCCACGACCTCAAACCCCAACCGCCGCTCCATCTTCTCATCCACCACCAGCTCACCCTCCCTCTCCCCATACACACCCCCCATCCCCACCCCAGAACCAGAACCAGACCCAGCACCAACACCAGAAACCACCCCCGGCACCTTAACCACAATCAACCCCGCACTCTTCACCTCCACCGTCCCCGGCCCCATCACCACCCCATCACCCCCACCCCCACCAAAACCCGTAGCAGAAGAAGAAGAACCAGCAGAACCCGAAGAAAACGACGAAGAAGAAGAAGGAGACACATAAACCACCAGATCGGACCCGACGACGCCGCGCCACAGCGTCGCCATCCACTGCCAGTGGTCGACGGGCGCGTAGGCGTCCGAGATGGGCACGGCGCAGGCGAAGCGGTCGGCGAGGGTGAGGGAGAAGCCCGAGGGGAGGAGGGCAATGGGGAGGTGGGGGAGGGGTTGGGCGGTTGCAGAGTGAGTGGTGGTAGTAGTAGTATTGGTGGTGGGGGTGATGTTGGTGGTGTTGCGGGGGCTGGAACTGGTGGGGAGTGGGTGGCGTTGTTGGGTTGTTGTTGTTGTTGACGTGGGCTTGGACGGGCGCGGGGTGGAGTCGGAATCGGCTTCGGTCTTATTGGGGTCTGTGGTGGTTGAGGAGTTGGCGGCCGAGGAGGATGAGCTTGAGGTGGAAAGGCGGGTTTGGCTAGGGGGGACGGCGGAAGCCGAGGAGGACGCCGGCGACATGTTGGTGACGAAGTCGACGATCTCGGCCGACTTCGCGTGCCAGTCGCTGATGGTGCGCAGGTAGGCCGTAAAGGGGCTGGCATCAGCCACCGAAGCAGCGATGCTGCCATGCCGCGAGCCACTCCCCTCCCCAGCGCCAGACTCACCCATCACCACATCCTCCTCACCACCACCAACCGACCCCCGCTGCTGCTGCTGCTCCCGCTGCCGGCGCGGAACCGCCACACCAGCATCCTCCCAGCACCGCACATCCCACCCACCACACCCGTCCCCCACAGGAGGCGACACAGCCTTCAACGCGCGCTCCACAACCGCCGCCACCGCCCTCACCAACCGCGCATCCGGCCCCTCCACCGCAATCACCGGCCCCCTCCCACCAACACCACCACTAACACCACCACCACCACCACCATGACGCTGTGCCACCGTCTCAGCAGCGCCAACCATCGGCCCCAACGGCGGACTAATCCGCTCCAGCACGCGCAGCTTATTAATAAAGGGGATGCTCATGACCATCGCCTCGACAGAGCGGGCATGCGCACGCTCGGCTGCGTCTCGCTCGCGTCTGGCTGCTGCTGCTGCCGCCGAAGCCGAAGATGCTGCTCCTGGGCCGGTGTAGTATGATGATGATGATGATGACGAGGCCATTGTTGGGGTGGGGTGGTTCATGATTCCTAGGCCTGTTGGGCCGGTCGTGCCGGTGGTGGGGTCGGTGTTGTGGTGATGGTTGGTGGTGGTGGTGTCGGTGGGGAGGTGGGTTTGGAGGGGGGGTAGGCGGAGGGATTCGTCGATGTCGGAGGGGGCGTGGTGGCGGGGGTGTGATGATGGGGGAGGGTATTGCTGTTGTTGATGTTGTTGATGATGTTGTTGCTGATGGGGGACGGACGGGGCCGGGCCGCTGGGGGTGAGGGGCACTGAGTGGGTGGGCCGCGGCGGAGGCGGCATCATCGGGCCGGGGCTGCTGCGCGGGATCAAGACCGACTGGCCGGAGTGCGGCGGCGGCGGGTAGTTGGAGGTTGGGGTTGGGTTGCTGAGGGGGGACTGGCGGGGGTAGGAGTGGGAGGATGAGGTGTGGTGCTGCTGCTGCGTGAAGGGGATCGGGGGCGACGGGAGGGCGTGGAAGTTGTGGTAGCTCCCCTGGGCGTTGTACCGGCGCCGCTTGGTTTCGTTGGGGGACAGGGCTCTCTCGTAATCCTCGTTGGTGTCGTACAGGCTGGCAGTGCTCTGCGGGCCGGCCCAATGAGAGTATGCTTGGGTGCGGCTTTGTCGGCTCATGTCACTTCTTGATGAAGGGAGGCCGTGATACGGGGTGCTGGCCGGCTTGGAAACCGTGGGTGTCACAAAGGGTGTCGAGGGCGTTCTCGGGGTGACAATGTACCGTCCGCCGCACTTGGGGCAGCGGTTCGGGTCCTCACCCGGGCCGACTGCAGGCCGGGACGACTGTGAGCTTCCGGACTTGTTCCCGCGCCGCGGCTGGTATCGGTAGTCTGGATACTGACGCTGGTGGCGTTGCTTCTCCTCCTCGGCGAGGAGCTTCCACTGGTTCTTGCGGTCTTCGGGCTCGTCGCGCCACTGTTCACCGATGATCTTGGAGATGTCAGGATTGGCGAGCCCCGGGTTCTGCTGCACCACCTCGGCTTGGTAATGCTGGCGGTAAAGAATAAAAGCTAGGTAAGCAATCATGTCAGTAACTATCTGGCAGTGAGGTGTCGCTCCCCCTTGCCATTTTTCTCTCGCCCGCCCCTCCCCCTGCATCAAACGGCAAAGGAAGGGGCGTGTGTCGGAAATGACAAAACAGAGCGAGAAGAGACAGGTAAGAAACATGACAGTGGCTCATCCCCGAAACAATCACAGTGAAAGCGAAAAAGAAAACAAAAACATACCGTTTCGAGGCCGAGGTACCTTTGGGGTTGGGGTACAGAGACAGATAGCGTCAATAGGCCGCGGGCTCGCGGTGCTGGCTGTGGGTGTGGTAAGGCTCAAGTTCTCGATCTTGGACCGGTTGGCCTCCTCGATGTTGATGGAGGCAGCACGCTTCCTAGTTATAGGCCGCCGAGGTGGTTCCTTAGCGGGCTCCGGGGGTGGAGCTGTGCCAGCAGATGAGGAGGATAAGGGGGCTGCCGGGGTGGTGGTCTCGGAGGATCCGTGTTGTCTCGCAGCTGCTGTCGGTGTTAGTCCGCCCGGCTTTGCAGCCACGGCTGAGCGAGTAATGGGGCCAGTCGACGCCGGGTGGTGCCGCTGCTGCGAAGAGGCGACTACCACGTCTGTCATTTTTTTTGTTTTTGTTTTTGTTTTGTTTTGACCCTGGGAAAGCAGTGTTGGGGTCCTGGACAAACGGAGGAGTGAGAAGAGAGGAGCAGGAATCCACGCAGCAATAACCGAGAGGGGGCTTGTTTCCCAGTGGTTGACGAGAGACGTGGTGATCTGTGTGTCTCTGCTCACATAGAGGGTGAAGAGAAAGGAAAGGGCGGACTTGGAAGAGGAAGGGGGGGGGCAAAAAGTGGTCTGTTTCAACAGTCCCCCCAATGAATAATAATAAATCAGAGCGTGGCTGTTCGGGGCGGATTGTCTCCTTTGTGACCTATCTCCCCATCACACTCACTCAGCGGCCGCACAATGACCCCGGCCAACAGAAGCCGAATGTATGTACTTATCCCATTGGCAACCAAGGCCGCCATCGCTATTATGACGGGCACGCGGCAGACGGGTCCCAGCTTTCCATGGGGCTAACAGAGTGGATGGCCCTTCAGATGTCTCGGGAATGCGCCGCAGGGTGGTGGAGTGCCCGTCCCATGGTTCTTTGTCCCCAGCGTTTGCAGAATTCCGTTCGCAGTTTTGCACCTTGCGGAGGCACTCAATCGCCAGGCCAGCCACCCCTGCTCTAGCCAACGGGACAATGTCAAAGGAATTCCCCCCAGAATGCCGCCCTCCCTTCTGTCTGGAATGCGTCTGGAATGCGCAGCACTGAACAAAGACCATGTCAGCCAAATCGGGCCAAGCCACCGCCCATTTGCTTGCTTCCACTTGTTCGTTTCCATTCAGGTGCCCTGCACCGGCCGTCGGAGGGGTGACTGATGCGGGAGAACAAGCTGTTGGGCGCTGTGTGTGGTGTGTGGTGTGTGGTTATGGGAAATATCAACGGTCTTTAAAAGGGCGACAACTCACGCAGCCAACCGCCCGCCAGCCAGATCCCGCGGGAGAAAAAAAAGGTTGCCAACATGAAACCAAAAACCAGCATTCCGCGCCAACTCCGATCCGCAACGCAGTTTTCCCAAACCTGCCTGCCCGTGTCCTCTCTCATTCTATCATACATGAGAAAATCAGAAAATGTGACAAGTTGCGCCCTTAACCCCTGTCAACCCCCCATGTCTAACCGACGACCAATGCAATTATGAGATAAAGCCGGCGCCAGATTCGCTAGCCAGCACGTTGGCGCTGCGTCGGGCGTCCAGAAAGAGGTCCTCGCACTCCGCAACATCCGGCACATCGATCTGGGCGCGGCCATTGACGCGTGCGAGGATGCTGCCAGCAAGTTAGCACACTTATCCCCTCGCATGCTCTCCACACACACACGGCGGGCACCCGAGACAACATACCTCGCAGGGGTCAGCAGTTGGAGGCAGTAACGAAGGCTGATTCGCACGCCGTGCTCCGCAATCTTATCGATGGCGGCATCCGTGATCTGGACACCTTCGGTAGAAGCCCGGATGCGCACAATACGCTTAATCTCCTCGGGTTCATACGGGTGGGTGGGGATAATCAGGAGACGGGTCAGGAAATCGGGGGGCACGCCGTGGGCCGCTACGAGATCATCAGCGCCACGGATGGCGCACATGCCCCGGTTGGAAGCGAGGACGACGATAGGCGAAATAGGTGACTCTAGGGCCTTGTTCAAATAGGTAAAGCACTCGACGTCCAGCATGTGTGCCTAACGAGGCGAGGGGTAGTCAAGTCAGCTCCACAGTTCCCGCCGCATATCACATTTTTTTTGAGTGATACATACCTCGTCAATAAAGAGCACGCCGGGCACAAGCTCAGCTACACCCTGGTTGATGTATTTGCTGACCACCTTGTTGATCTCACCCCGCAGCTTGTCGGTGATCTCGGTCATTTTGGGCTTCATCAGCTGGCCCATCATGGACATGATATCCTGGCCACCCTGGGGGCGGGCGTTTGCCACGTCGAGGTCGTGCAGCGACACGTCCTGGACAATTTCCTTCTTCTTGTGGACCTCGCCCTTAGGAATCGGCACATACTCCTCAGCCTCGAGGTCAAACTCGGTGGCGTAGGCGTCCGACCGGCCGACGCGTTTGCAGGCGCCCGTGTTTGTCTCGATGTAAATGACGTCGCCGACCTGGACGCGCTCCTTCTGGATGGCCTCGTATATGCTGGGATCGAGGCGCAGCTTCTTTTGGCCGCGAGCGCTCTTGAGCCCGATCAGCAGCGTGCTGATGGTCTTGCCGTAGCCGCCGAGCGGGTTCTCGGCCTCCTCCGGGGTCAACTCGGTGACCTCGCCCTCGTAGACGTCCTTGGTCTCGCGGACCTTGAGCCCGATGGCGCGGCGGAAGTTCTCCATGAGCATCTCGGTCTTCTTGACTTCGGTCGAGTAGACTTCGCTACCGGTGATGGGACAGAATGGGATTTTCGTGCCAAGCTCCTGGCTGATGGCGAGAGCCAACGCCGTCTTGCCGGTGCCGGGGCCGCCCGCTAGCAACACACCGCGGCCGGCCATCTTGTGTGCTTTGATGAGGTCGACGACAACACCGCAGGCCTACAAAGACCAAGAACAAACACAGGTTAGCCATGATTCATCTACCACATCATCCAAACAGCAGCAGTGCATACCTCACGGGCACTCGACTGGCCGACAAACCCGGCAGCCTGCTTCTCAGCAATGCCATGGGAATTGAGACCGAGTCCCTTGATATGCGTGTGTGCCGCAGTGCGGTTGTCGCGACTGTTGCCGCGCACCTCGCTAATCTGGACCATCGTGGCTTGTTACAGTGTATATGGTGGTTCGATTGGGTTCGTTTTGGGAGTGGGTTGATGCGAGATGGTGGGATTCGGGTCGGTGCTGGTGTTGCAAAAGAGAACGAACGACAGCGCTGGATGGAGCAAGTGCTGCTTGGTCGTACAGTGGGACGCGAGCTCTGGCAGCAGCTTCCAGGTTGCCCGCCCCAACTAAATTTCCAAGTCGCGAAACCCATGTGCAGTGGGTCTGTGCACTTCGGTGGGCACGGCTCACCTTGCACCTTGGATGTTCACCGAGGTGTGGGATGAAGCAAGGGGTAATTGAATAAGGGAATTGTGATTTTTATTATTTTAGGCGTTGGGTAGGATACGCTGAGACCGGAGAATACTCTTGAGGCCCTGCTCGGTACTACTAGTCGGGAACTTGCAAGTTCATTCACATCGGGGTGCCCCTGTGTTATTTCGCTAGGTACTGACTTCAACAGCATGTATATACCTCCTTACTTCGTAGGTGCCAGTGCTCGGTCCTGTTTATAGGTTCATAGGTCTACGGGGTGCTCTGTATCACCAAGAAGAGCCAGGTTCACACACTCCCATCACCTCCCAGTTCCAGCCCCCCTCTCTCCCAACCTCTCCTCCTCTCCATCCTCCTCATCCCCATCCAACATCGGCACCCCTTCCACATCCCCCTCCTTCCTCACCTCCCCACCACCCCCCTTCTTCCCCAGCGCCGCCCACAGCGCACTCCCCACAATCAACCCACACCCCAGCAAACTCACCACGCCCATCTCATGCCCAAAAACCCACTTATCAAACCCGGCCGCAAACAGCATATGCGTATACACCATCGCCGTCGCGCGGTTCGACTTCTCCCCGCCGATCCCCGCCGTCAGCATGAACTGCATCACGAACCCGCACGCGCCCAGCGACAGCAGCAGGAACCACTCGTACGCCGTGGGCGGCAGCAGGCCGGCGAAGCTGACGATGGGGGGCGCGGCCTGGCCGATGCCCAAAAGGGGGCAGAGCACGAGGGCGGCGGTGCTGACCAGCGTGCTCCACACGGAGAAGTAGGTGACCGTGATGAGCGCGTGGGCGCGCGTGCCGATGTACCGGATCGTGGTGTAGGCGCCTGCGGCGCCGAGGACGCCGAGGAGGGCGACGAGGATGGCGACGAGGCGTTGGGCGGGTGTTGCGTCCTCGCCCGCGCCGGGGTGTGGGGTGGTTGTTGTTGTTGGATTGGTTTGGGTTGTGGGATCGGTTTCGGGGTTGATGGGGGCGGTGGCGGTGCCGTCGAAGAGGGAGGTCGGCCTCGCAATGAGGACTACGCCGGCTAGGGCGATGAGCGAGGCTAGTTGCTCTTTGCGGGTGAAGGGGTCTTTCATGAGGATGTGGCATATGTACCCCGCCAGCATCGGTGCGAGGAAGGTGATGACGGTTGCTTCGGCCAGCGGGAGGTACATCATGGAGAACCACATTCCGTAGATACCAAACTGGGTAAAGTTAGCGCATTTGTTGGTATACTTACAGATGCTGTGTAGGTTCTTCTACGGCAATGCGGTTTCCAAGACGCTTGGGTGCCAACAGGAAGAATGATTGTAGTACTTACGAATCCGGAGACGCCTCGTATAACCAACACGGTTCTGATTCCTTTCGCGCCGAAGGGGAAATCAGGTACCTGCCTCCACCACATGTACAAACAAGATATGACGGTTGTCATGCTCATACGAGCAAAGAGGATTTGCAACGGGTGCATTTCTGATTCCAGCTCCAAAAGCCTCGCTGACAGATTCATCAAAGCCCCAAAGAGCTGCGCAACAGCCACCAAAACCACACCTCGGTTTCTACCCCAGAAGTTGCCCAACGCCTCTAACAATGTTGCTCTCCGTTCTAGGCCATTAGAATTAGGGGCTGGGGAAAGCCCTCTCGACTGGCTTGGCGAGCGTAGACCATACTCGGACACGGGGCTGGCGGAGAGTGATCGAGAGGCACTCGGGTTGAGGAGGGGTGATGATGGTTTGCTGTTCCATTCCGCCGTGGGAAGATGGCTAGTAGAGTCCCCATCTTGATGATCTTCAAGCCTCGTCTTCCCTTGAGAGGCTCCCCGTGGGTCCAAGAAACCAGCCATGGCTGCCAATGACTCCAACAAAGTGAGGCTGCGTGAAAGGGAGGGAGGCTGCTGCTGCGAGATGAGCAACCAACTGCTATTTACACAGAGATCCGTTGGTTTGGCTAGTTGTAGATGTTTCCGAGAAGAACGAGTGTGATGCGATGACGGCTCCAGAACGCCCCAAAAGTGGAGAGAAGGGGACACTGGGGAGAGAAAGGCGTGCGTGCTATTCCCGAGAGCGTGCCTCGAGGATGCCGCATTAACACGGACGACGAGAACCAAAGGGTCGTTTTGGGGCCAGTAGAAATCGTTCTTGATGCATCCTTTCCGTCACCGGGCCTTGGCCCCGGGGATCGGGGCTAGAACGTCGGATAGAGCCCTAGTCGGAGGGCAGACGGCCGGTCTCGCTGCAACCTCGCGCACACCTCCCGCATTCGCCCCTCGGAAAACCCGGTTCCATTCATAGCGAATTTGTGGGTAATGGTTGGCAACGGGGGTAATGGCGGGCGAGATGGCGTAGGGGGTCTTCTCCATGTGCCGGCGTAGGTAGTAACGACGTAGATGGCCGAGATGGTGGGGTGAGACGGCGGGGTAAGGCTACGAGGGAGTGGAGGATGGTGTAAATGTCCCAAGTATGTATGCAATGAAGAGCGTGTGGTTCGTGTGATCCGCTGTTCCTTCGGGAAACTCGAAGGTACAATATAGATAATTTGTAAATGTGCTTGCTCTATTTGTTACTTTGTTCTTTGGCTAAGGCGTTTGTGATGTGACAAGGATGCCCGGCTAGGTGGGCTGCTTGGGAGGAAGTGCCGCTGCAGGCTGACCGGGGAAGGCGGGGAGTGGATGCAGCAGTCGGGGCTTCCACGAGCAAAGTGAACCTACAAAAGACAATGACCATCAAATCTTGACGTGTCGATAAAAACATTACCGTTGTAATCTGGAAGGCACATCTGAGACTCTGTGAAGTCCTGCGGCTGAAGACTTCAAGTTGCTTGGCAACGGTTTTCCTCTCTCTCGTTGGTCTCTCACTCACAGCACTGTTTCCCAGCTCACCTGCGTCACTCGCCCAACATCGATCGACTCCTACCTCTAAAAAGTATTCGGACTCGGTGGGATCAAGATTTGCAAACAACAGCAAACAAATTACCAAACCGGACGTACCCGCCATCCTAAACATCAGACACAGCGTTGCTCCTGCTTGCGGTACCATGTCTGGCAAACGTCTAGCGACCACCGGCGATGAAACAGATGGGCCACGCCAGTTTAAGCAGACCAAGTTGAACTTCTTCACTTCTGCTCCAAAGAAGCAGCCACGAAAACCAAACGTCGCATCAGAGGAGGATAGGGCAAATACGGAGGAAGAGAAACCATCCGAGGAACACAGGCCATCCAAGACCACAGACCAAACCCCCAACACCAACACCACGCCAGACTCACCCCGCGAATCCGACCCAGAACCACCAACGTCATCACCATCGTCACCACCCACAGCGACCAACCCAACCGCACGCACCAACCCAACAACAACGGCAACAGCAACAGCAACAACACCAACAACAACAACAACAACAACAATGACCCCCACCCGACTCCGCATCACCGACCGCACCGGCGACCTGTTTGCCGCCCCCGCCAACACACTACTCATCCACGCGTGCAACACAGTCGGCTCGTGGGGCGGCGGCATCGCCCTGGCCTTCCGCAAGCTGTACCCGGCCGAGTTCCGCGTGTACCGCGCCCACTGCGCGCGCTCGTCGCCCAACCAGCTTGCCGGCACCGCGCTGCTGATTCCGCCGCAGGGTAGTGATGGTGATGGTGGTGATGGTGGTGGTGATGATGGCGGTGGTGGTGATGATGGCGGTGGTGGTGGTGGTGGTGGTAGCAGGCATTATATAGGTTGTTTGTTTACGAGTCGGCGGTATGGTGCGGCGAGGGACCCGCCGGAGAGGATTCTGAGGGCGACGGCGCCTGCGATGCGCCATCTTATGAGGTTGGTGGCGGAGGAGGAGGCGAGGGCGGGGGTGCGGATCGCGGAGGTGAGGATGTGTAGGATTAATTCGGGGTTGTTTGCTGTTCCGTGGGAGAGGAGTAAACGGGCGCTGGAGGAGATGGAGTTGGGGGATGGGGAGGTGCCGGCGTGCGCGGAGGGGGACGTTGTGGATGTTGTCGCTTGGGAGAGGGAGTAGAGTGCGAGATGGTGGCATGGTTGATACCCCGGCAGGCCTCGTGGATTTACGTACGGCAACGTAATGCGATATGAGAGCCATGTGTTGGCTGCTATGAGTAATAGTATTGTGTCTGCCTCATGTAAAAGGGGCCGCCATAAACGCCGTCCATGTGTTCATCTGTGATTAACCTAGCCCGATAACCCAACTTGACGCCATTGCTATGCACCCAAAGTCCCCTCTAAAACACCAAAGGAAAGAAAGCCCCAACAACAAAACCATCAACGAGACGACCTCATCGCGCTCCACCCTCCAGCTCCAACTCCAACTCGTCATCCCCCTCCTCCAAGTCCTCCTCCCCAATCTGCATCTGCGACATGGCCTTGCGGCCCCTCTTCGACGGCCCGCCCCTGTCGCGGTCCTTCTCGGCGGCCTTCTCCTCCTTGTCCGTATCCTTCATCAGTTGGTCTTCGATGTTGAACCCCTTGCGCGCGGCCTCGATCTCCTTCTTCTTCTCGAACATCTCCTGGATCTTGCCCATGTAGTCCGGGTTGCGCCGCATAGCAAACTCAAAGTCCTCGAACTTGACCTTCTGCCGCCCCGCGTGTTGTGCCGCCCGTGTCGCCTCGAAGCTCACTCCCTGGATGAACTCGGTCAGGATCTCGTCCAGCACGCGCACCGTCTCGTTGAGCGGCGCCCGCACGTCGCCGTGGCCGTAGAGCAGCTGCGCTACTGTGGGGATGTTAGATCACACACATGCACCCACTAGGAATGAGGGAAGAGGGGAGTGAACGTACGCTCGTTGTGGCCAAAGTTCATCTTGCCGACATTCTTGCCGGCGCGCGCACGGGGCTCCATCTTGGTGGATGTGGCAAATATCGGTGTAAGTCGTGGTTGTTTTATTGATGATGAGAATAGGTCGGGTCGAAGTTGAGTTGGAGAGACTTCGATGCCGTGTAAACTTGGCCGAGAAGGCTGAAGAGGTGAGGCTGCGAGATGGAAGAGAGCTGGACTTCCTTCCCCACAAAAATAGCAGGGTCCGCGTTGAGCCGCCCCACCGATCGTTCTTGGCAGGCCATCGCGACCAGGAAATGGAAGGTGTCAGGAACAACAGCTCTAATTTACGGTTCTTGATGAATTCAACACCGACGCCGAAAACACTAACGAATTCCAACACCATCGTCAACCGGTGATGACCAACAACCCACACATTGGATACACACCATGGTCCGTCCTCCAATCCTCTGAAAATAAACTACCACCACCAGCAGCAAACCGCGTTCCAAGCTAACACCGCCTCGCCCTCCTTTTAGACGGCCCTCTTCAATTTCACGAGCCTCCTGCTCGTCATCCTCCTCCTCGTCTGGTACGATCCCCCGCGCACATTACCGCATCCCCCGACCGTCGGCGCACAACCAACACCGCTAACCACCCCCTTTACAGCACGTGCACCTACCTCCACCAGCTCTTCCCCGCGATCCTCGACCGGAACAAGACAGGGTTAGTCCTCCATCCCACCCGCCGCCCAGGAAGATATTGGGTGGAGGGGGGTATATATCTCGATGCTGACACCACCGACAGCATCATAGGCATCTTCTGGAAGTGCGCGCGCATAGGCGAGCGGTTGAGCCCCTATATGAGTCTTTGTTGCGGCGTCATGGCGGTGAGTTACACAAGCGCTGGCTGGCACGGTGCTTCCCGGGTCAAGGGGTATGAAACGAAGGGGTGGTGTGGAGTTTGCTGACGAGGGGGACAGATCTCGATGTTCTTGGGCATGTAAGGTGGCCCCGACTAGGCGCGGACTTTGATATTACGGTGCTGTGACGATACGGGGGGACTGCTACTACAAACGAGCAAGCGGCTGGCGCGGAGTTTGGGAGTCAATTCACGGGCTTTTTTTCGGTGGGGTTGGGGGGTTGGGGAGGCGTTGGCACGGTTTGTTGTTGCCCGAGCACGACGGGAGCATGCAAGAGGGGGTTGGTTGTTTGCTCGGACGGCAACGACGGAAATGGGGGTCTGGACCTTTGATTGCGAACTCGGTTTGCCCGCATGGGCCATGGTGCTCCGCCCTCGACGGACCCGACGGATAAAGACTGCGGCTCCGGAATCAGCGCAAACACCGAACCGAACCAAACTGCCTCTATCTCAAGCCGTCGACGCCCAACTGCACCGCGCCGCCTTTCCTGACTAGAGCTCGGCTTGTTGCCTGTCCGCTTGCCTATCAATGTTACACGACTTCATTCTTCGCAACCGCCAAGCAGCCCCGCGGGGTAGGTGAAAAATCCGAGTCGGGTTTGGAGTTACGGCCATTGGGACATTTGGCCGAGTCCGTATGCCATCGGGTCGAGATATGACATGACATTGATGTGGGCGAGGTTCGGCTCATGCGCGAGGATGGCCGGGTAGGACAGGCCAGGTCAAATTCGCAGGCAGGCTGACTTGAGGGAATATGTACATATGCCGCGGGCCGCGGCCGGTTACACAGAGGACTGAGCGCGGGGCATATATTCTGCCCCCGCCATTTGCAAAGATGCGCCGGGCCGTTGAAGGAGGGGAACGTGGAAGACTTAATATCTCAGCGCTGGTCTGCCTCCCGCTCGGTTGCCTTGTTTCGGTGCTGCTGTGTTTGTCTCGATTTCATGAAGGGGACATGATGATGGGGACTTGGCCGGGACGGCAGTCTGCAATTCCGCCACCTCAACTATTTTACGGCCCAGATTCCGATGACATATTGTTTCGAGTGTCCAACCTCCGACGCGAGACGCGGACCAGACTCCCTACCCCGGACCGCCCAGGACTCTCCCAATACAGCCCAGCAAGGCGTCAAAGCGGGAACCGTGCTCATGCGATGCCGCCTCCCGGCCGGCCGGTCAGCCAGCACCATCGGCCGGGGCAGCGCAGTATAACTCGCTGCATCTACATAAATACCGTGCATTCCTGCATGTGCATATCTTTCACCGTCCGAGACCTCCCATCACATAATCATGACAGAGCATAGTTTTAGTTAGTTATACAGACGGCCCGCCGCAGGGTCGGAAGCAAAACCGCCACCACCACCGCCCACCAACACACCGGGCCGAGAGTGGCATTGTCCGACAGCCACTTCACTTCACCAGAGTCAGACACGGTCCTTCTGGAAAAGGGCCGGCGGGCGGGCGAGCGAGTAGCGCGCCAACCACGAACGCCCTTCGTTCCGTCGTCGTTGGTTAACTCCAAGCGGTTAACGTTGTGACTAACTATCCCACATCCGCGCCCACGTGCATCCAGGACAAGGGCGTTGGGTTTTGGGTCTCGGCGGCGTGGCCTCGCCAGGGAGGCAGCAGCAGCTCCTCATCTCACGCAATTCAACTTCATGGGACTAACTCGTGAACTAACGATGTCACTCACTAGTTACCGTGTGTGGTGGTGTGGTGGGTGGTGGGTGCGCGTGCACGCGCAAAATAACCAAGGGAGCAATGCAACGCCGGCGGTGGACAATGGGCGCGCGAATCTCCCCTCCCCCCTCCTCTCCTCTCCTCCAGGGCGGCGGCGGCTCTCTCCGCGTCGAGTGGACCGGGTCCGGTTGGCCGGCTTGTCGATCCCGAGACTTGGGGAGATTGGGAATTTGGGTGGTGGTGATCGACTTGACCCGCCTCCCTCGCCTCGCTTGGGGGGGGTGCAGTTCCGTTTTGCGGGCTGGTTCCGTCTGAGTTTACGGTGGCTGGGCGAGAGTGACAGCGAGAGGTGTGTGAATGTCTGGTGTGGATTTGGGCAGCACGGCAGGAGGCAGGTGGAGTCTCTTGGTTGAGTCTATTGGGTTGGCGACAATGTAAACAATTGATGTGTCGCTATCCTGGTTTTGCTGTCAGAGTTGCATGCAGCAGCAGAGCGGCGGTTGGCAGGGGCTCTGCCTGGAAACAGAGCTGCGGCTGCGACTGCGGCCGCAGTAATCTGTCTGTATACACAGTAACTACAGTGGTGTAAGGAAGAGCCTTGGGTGCTTGTGGTATCCAGCCTCAACTAGCGAGTCGTGACTGGCTGAAACGGGTCTCGCAGGATTGCTGGCTTGCTTCAGGTAGCGAAAGTCATGTGCGTATGCGGCGCTCAGGAGTTGCTGCTCGCAAGCTGTGAGAAGGTAAGCGAGAGGTGAGGCGAAAGCTTTCTTGCTTGGCTGTTGCCTCACCGCTTAGCTGAGTCCTCGGCTCGGCCCTGACTCGTTAACAGGCAGCTGAGAATGCTCCTGACAAGTGCTGACACAACGATTGGTCTGTGGACTTGTTCGAGAATATTCCGAGCGCTGTGTCTGGTTGGACAGGTCTGGTCGGAATTGGGACGATATAAACAACAAACACGGGGTTTACATGAAACAAGCACTGAGCGGGCTGCCCGTGGTGGGCGCCGAGAAACAACCGCACGACTGGCAGCGACGGGGTTGAGGCTCTCGGAGACGCCAGCCGCGATGTTACGTTGATACCTGGATTCATGCAGAGAGGATTTGTTCTGGCGAGTTTCATCCAAACACCGTGCCTCTGCCAGCCACTCTCCCATTACCCGTCGAGCCCCACAGCGAGGCGAAGAGCCTTTGTTTGAGAAGACTGGATGAAGAACATGACAACTCACCAAACTCGGACCAAATTCAGATCTGACGTTGAGATCAGCAGTTTGTAGAGGCGGGGGTGGCGAGGGGGAAATCGGCCTGGGGAGTTCCGGGTCTGTTGGTGCTAGGTTGGCATTGTTTGGCCAACGGTGAGGGAACGACTTGACTCAGGGGCAATAGCTAGTTAACAGATGTCAATGCAGAAGCGTATCGTACGGTGGGAGGTCCGCGGACTTGCTTGACAAGATGGCGATACCACCGCATCCATGTCTGTCTCTCGCGCTCTGAAGCTGCCCGGGCGTCGAACCTTTTTCAAGGGGCAGCTTTCGAGATCTCGGCATGTTGGTTAGAAGAGTGCTCAGGTGGCAAGCAGGCAAACCCAATGACCGCTGCATTCTGTTCTTTCATCACGATGATGACTCGTGAGGTCGAATGTACAAGTACATTGAGGGTGCATTGATCCAGGATGTGTATTGTATGGTGTGTACATATACATACATACCACAGTACGAAGTACATGGTCAACCGAAGCTTTGACACGCTTCTTCCCAAGCGCAAGCCGTCGACCAGTGCTGCCAGCAAAAACAGCCTCGGCCCGATTTTGTTTGCTCCGAGACGGCGCCTCTGGCGTGGTGGCACCATAACGTATGAGACGCTCATGATAATATGCCAGTGCTGCCGAACGCGGCGATGGCAAACGCAAGAGCGCTTGTGTCAGCTTTGAGTGGTCAACAGGTCGGCAGAGAGGTGGATAGAAGCCCCGGTGAAGACTGTGTATGCAAGGTAAATGCAATGCAGGCCGGTGTTGCTAACCGCCACCACCGTCGCCCCGATGCCCGAGTCCGCTGCCCTTTGGGGCCGTGGCAAGCTGCACCGTGACGGAGCGGCGACGTGGGCGAGTTAGCGATGGCGGGTTTCACATGATTGATGTGGGAGGGGATTCAGAGGACCTCGTGCCGTCTTGCTGCTGCAGGCCCTTCACCGCCCTACTGCGAGGCGAGGGGTCATGCGGCGACTCTTTAACTACTGCGTATACATATTAATTAGTTGGATGGAGTGAACACAGATGGGTGGTGTTGGTTAACAAACTCGCACAAGAGGAGACATGCTTCGAGCATGCCTCTTGTGGTGTCGACTTATCACACACGAAGATCACTCATCTCCCAGGTCATCGCGTGCCCCTTCTCCGGGGCCGTCCCGAGCCCCTGGCAGCCCCGACCACGACCCCCGGCAGCCTCGGGATGGTGAATGGTTGGATGGTGAGATGGTGGGATGGTGCAATCGCTAAAATGGCCGCCAATCTCGCCAACCTTGGCGACCCGCGGGCCACATGGCCGCGCTGGGATCTGGATCCGCCCGTCTGGAAATCATCCGGGTTTTGAAGAAATCGCTAACGGCTTTTGCTCCTTCTGCTCGTCTGCCCGGGCTCGGTGCGAGGTTGCGATGGGGTTTGCATTCGTTTGTTTCAGGTCGATTGTTATGTTTCGATAGGTAAGGTACTGGTATTCGTAGATAGATTGCAGTTGTTTGGGAAAGTCACGGCAGAGGCGGGGCACTGGGAATTGTTCCCTGTTTGGGGCTTCAAGCGTGCGGCTGAGGCACTGGTGCTGGTGAGTTGGAGTCTGAGTGCAGGGCGAACAGATTGGGGACGGCAAGTACCATCCATGGGGCACCAACCTCTCCCTCAGCACAACCTTAACCGTGCACCAAGTCACCGAGCTCGCCGATACCAACCTGCGAGCCAAGCCAGAGCTGCACCATATTACCGGGAATCGTGCCGAGTAACGCACGACAACTGGCGACGGGGACCGCTTAAACCTCCTAGCGTCGTGGACCGCCCGACTTTCCTCGCGTCGCTCATGCCGTCGCGTCACTGATCTGCAACTAACTCGCCGACAGGAGCAACAAGAAACACACCCACGCCCGAGTCTGGCTCGAACCTCGTGTAACTATGTACAGAGTTATTGTTCCTGGCGGCCGAGACACGGCCTCGGAGTACAGGATCGTGGGGCGAGGCTTGCAGTGGCTGGAGTCAGCGTGCGGGATGATTCCAGTGGGCCGGAACCCCTAAAAGCTGGTACCTACCTAGGCAGTTATTAGTTAGTTAACTAGCTCAACTTGTCTCTCTCTCTCTCTCGCCTCGACCCGTGCGATCCGTAATGGGAATTCCGCATTGATGAGACCCCCATTCCCTGACGGCCTGGTAATTGCGATGTTGCTTCTCGCTCGAGCAGTCGAGGGGGCTCGAATGGCGCGGCAGAGCACTGAGGTGCATGATTAGCCGCTCGCCCTCTGCAGCTCTTCATTCAGCGTGCATTGGATGTCCAAGGCGTCGAGGGCAGTCATCGGAGAGCCCTTCTCCACCAGGGTCTCGTCATGCTTCTTGCCATCCGCGGCCATCCCGACGGCAACGTGGATACGAGCCCGCGAGAGTCCCTCCACCCCACCGCCAAAATCCGGAGGGCCAAGGGAGAACGAGCCAGCCATGCCGAGTTGGGATGTTGGCACGATTTGATGTTCAAAAAATCGTCGATCGCATCCACGATGATCAGGCGAGCGATACTCCACCCCCTTGGCCAAGAGACAGCTGCCGGCGCGAGAACCGGCTCGTGCTTTTGATAGTGAGGCAATGGACGGCGATACTTCGTACTTTGTCGCCCGCTTTCGTGACTTTGTTGCCGCGAACTCCGTCCTCCCTCCTCCCTCCCCACTGCTCCCCCATCAAGGCTCCAAAGGGAGCCCGCAGAGGATCGGATCGACATGGACCGACTCCAAGGTTGATCAACAAAGCTCGAGCCGCGCGCGGCGCTTTGGCGCACACCCGTCCTGGACGATGGATGACATGACATGAGCAGCAGCCCGAGCGTGGCACTCGAACTCGCCGTGACTCGCCGTGACTCGCCGTCCAACTACAGCAACAGGCTAATCCCGACCGTCGCCGCGACTCTCCGCCGAGTACAGAATAGAAACGTTTCAAAACGCTGACCAAAAGCTGCGTGTTGCCGCAGCGCAACCTGCCGTATGCAACCCTGCCCGCCCATCAGGCGTTTCCACCCAAGGGGCGAGGACGAGGGCAAGGCAATGAATCATGCCCCGACAGCGCATAGACAAGGAGACGAAGCACGGCCAACTCGACGAGTCCAGCAGCAAGCTGCCCGTTTCATGGATGCCCAGCCTGCGGGCCAGCAATTAGCGATGGTGAGGTGTGTGGACTGTCCGCGACTGTTGTATGGTGAACAAAGCGTGTGCTGCTTTTTCTTTGGTGTTGCGTGTTTGCTCCCTCCACCGTGCTGACCGCCAGCCAAACCCAAACTTGGCCACGGTGAGCGAGTCGCATCCCGAGTAACCCGCTGCGAGGTGACATGCAAGAGATAATTACGACGTCGCCACCCCCCACGTCTCGCTGCCTGACTGCGAGATGATGATGATGATGGTAGGTAATCTGCAACTCGCTTTGCTTTCCTCCTCCCGCTATCGGCTCGCCCGTCTTTTGGAAATCGCAGCTGGAAAGCGAAAAAACGAAAAAGAGAGCGGCCATGCTGCCGGTCGTGGTGGCATTTGAGCGGGCTCGGGAGGCATCACAATTTACCACCCAATTCCCCGTACCGGTACAAAGGTAAGGTACCTTTTTCTTTCGGTGTGCCCAGAACAGCAACCTGCATCTCGAGGCGAAGGCAGTGCCTGGCGTGAATTCCGTCCGAATGTGGGGTCTTGTCCTGGTACCACTTTTTTTATTTTGTTTTTTTTTCGTCCGTGGGTGGAGGGGGTGACTGTATCAATCCTGGCCTCTTTTCTTGGCTTCCGATCCATGACTGTGCGGTGCGCTGGCACAAAACTCTTCCTGCCCAAAAAGCAGTGCTGCAGTGCTGCCGCTTGAAGGGGACGCTGGGGCATTGGGGCACGCACACACCCTGCGCCGGCAACGGCTTGTTGCTCCCAAACAGCGCCCCCTCCCAGCGCGACCCAGCGACCCACAACCATGTTCCAGAGGGCAGCTGATGGCGGTGGCATGGCATGGCACGCCCCTGCTTCCTTTCTCTGGGTCCCTTTCATCCACATCCCATCCAGGCATCCTGGTCCCTCCTTTTGCCATCCCTTTGCCGTGTATTGAATAATAACTGACGCCGCACCCACTGGGCACGCCACTCATTTTCTGGTTTTTCTTTCTCGTTCCTTCTCCTGCTCCTTCTTATTCATCATAATCATTCATGATTGTGGTCTCTGCCACACCCGCTGCTTGTTCATCACCCCTCGCCAGTGCCCGACCTCGCATCCATCCCAATCGACCCTGTCTGCATCGGGCCTGCCTCACCGCCGATACACCCTACGGTCTCCATCGTAACCCTTGAACTTGATCTTCGGGACTTCACCGCAAACCACTATCGACCTAGAGCTCCTTCCTGTTGTGTCTTGAGCTCGTTCCTTTTTCAACTCGGAAACACAACACCCTCACCTTCGGAACACCCTTCTCGCAACATCGACGCTCCTTCAGCTCGGTACTTTTGTTGTTCGACGCATAGTGCTGCGAGTTCCCGTCAGTACTCCAAGAGATACCTCTTTTGAGACAGGCCGCCGGAAATATTGCAGGTAAGTCAACCACTCGCTGGCTTGCCGCCTTGCACCAACGCCCATTCATACACCACACACCACACACACCACACACCACACACCACATGAATCCCCGTCCACTACTGCCCCTCGAGAATATCCCCCCCCCCCCCCCCCCCCCCCCCCCCCCTCTCAACCACAGCCCGGCTGCGGCTACAGTGCTTCATGCGGCCAGCCGCTCTCACGAGACCTTGTCTCCGGATTGTGTTGCCCACCGCTTTGTTTGCCCCTGCACCTTTCCCGTCTCATTCCCCGTTCAAGGTCTTTGCATTGGTGCTGACCAGGGGCCTTTCAGCTCCCATTCGTCTCTTTATATACGCCAGGGAGCCAACCTACTTTCCCGCTCGTGCCGACCTTCCTGCTCCCGGATCATCCTTCGAGCACCAACGTTCGATCGACGCAATCCGATTCCCAGCCACGGACCGACACAACTAACTTCACCTTGAAAATGAGTGATCAAGGTGCCGGCGGGGGGAATGTCGACTCACAGGAGACAGGATTCTGGGGAGGAGCCGATACCCACCGAAACCGCCCCGGAAACACGGGCGCCGCCTGCCGAATCAGAGAAGGTTGAGCTGTCTCGGCCGCCACAAGACCTGCCCAGGGGATCTCGGAAGCTCAGTCAGAGTGCATCAGAGCGGGGCACGCGGGTAGTCACCCCTACGCAGGGGCTTTCGAGGAATCCGTCCACATGCTCAAACAACAGCGCGAGCGCGAGGCCGCAAGCGGAATACCTCCCCGCACGCACACCAGGACTGGAACAGCGCCCGCCACCGCCCACATCTCAGCCCAGCCTACCTGAGAGCTTCCAGCTTGAGCCCCCAGTCACCAAGGCGACCCTCAGCGAACTGGACGTACAGAAGATTGTACACAACCCCAAGCTTCGTCACGATATCAACTTTGATCCCGAATTGCACTTCAGGCCGAATCTGGATGGCGACAAGGGGAGGAGGAAGCAAGAAAAGGCCAATCAGTTCTGGAACGCCCTGTATGACCAGCTGGTCCTGTTTGTCATGGACAGGGAGACGTTCCACGCGAGGTACGGCCACGGGGATTGGTGCCTTCCGGTGCTGCTCAGGGCAGTTAGGGAAATCATCGAGACGTTGGTGCCGCAGCGGGATCGGAATCTCCTCAACGAGGGGTTGAACGTGGACCTGCTGATGCAACAGTTTAACCGGGGCGTCGCTGATCTCGAGAAGCTGGCGTCTTGGTTGGCAAGCGTTCTCAAGCTCCACTGCGCCCCAATGCGCGACGAGTGGGTCGACGAGATGTACCAGGAGCTGAGCAACGGGAACCGCAACAACGACATGACGGAGCTGGTCAAGGGGATGCGCAGCCTGCTCAGCGTGCTGGAGGCCATGAAGCTCGACGTTGCGAACCACCAGATCCGGTGCCTGCGCCCGGTGCTCATTGAGGATACCGTCCACTTTGAGCAGCGCTTCTTCGTGAGGAAGATGGAGTCACGGAAGCTGAGCATCGCGCCGTCCAGGTTGTGGTACCGGGCAGCCCTCGAGTTCACCGAGCGGCTGTACGAGGGCGCCCCCATGCCTTACCTGGCCGCGTTTGGCGAGATGTCTGTCTTCTTCGAGGCTCTCTCGAGGCTCGTTCTCCCGTCGACCTGCCACAAGGCGGTCCCGCCCACGTTCGTCTTCGACGACGACCGGATCCTCAAGCTTCGCTCCGATTTGCACGACAGCATCTGCCTGGAGGTCTGCATGCGAAAGTTCGAGGAGCTGGAGCGCCTGTCGAGGGCGACACAGATGTGCCTCCGGGTTCCGTCGTACGTCAACGAGGACTTGACCAACAACCGGTCCTCGGGCGACTTCAACTTCATGGCCGCCGGCACATCCCGCCCCACTAGCCTGGCCTTCAGCGACGGCAGCTCCAACTTCTCGTCGCCCCGGAATTCGGGCGGTCTCTTCGCACAGCCCGCCTCGGACTCGGCCGACTCTCGTTCCCGGGGGTCGGAGCTCTACAGCTCGCTCCTCGCTCTCCTTCACACCGCGCCCAGCGCCTGCAGCCCCGCCGAGCGGTGGCAGGGCCTCGTGGGGCCGATGGCCCTGCAGATCCTGCGTTACGCCAACGCGCCTCCCTCGTTGCCCGGATTCGAGAATCAGCTAGCGGCGTGCCTGGGCGATATGAACTCGGACCTATTCCGCGAGGTCGAGTCGCACTTCCAGCAGCGGCTGATTTCCGAGACGGCGCGCCGTGTCGTCGAGCTCAAGGGCTTGTCGGGCGTTGCCCTGTTCTCGCACGCGACCGCGGGACGCGGCCACACCTGCCGCCACATGGACTCTCGGAGGAGTGACAACGGCCAGCGCGCCAGCGGCCTGCTCGGTGGTGACGCCCCGCGCGAGCCCCGCGATGATGCCTGCGTCGACGATATGGCGCTCCGGCTCGCGCACATGGGGGTGCTGCACTGGCGCGTGTGGGCGCCGATTGCGTACGAGGGCGATATCGAGAGCGAGTTGAGCGCCATGCAAAACTCGATGATCTAAAACCGCGACGGGCTCCGACAACCTCCACCCACAACCACCACTTATGATTCTTCGACAACTGGCCAGTGTTTCATCCTCGCGGGCATGAAACGGTCTTTTGCAACCACTACTACCTACCTATTTAATCATGGCCCTCGGGCACGCGGAGAAACTGGGTTACCGCATCTGCTCAGGAGCTCAGCTCTGCACGCTCACTCGCTTCCATACATACCCCTTTCGCCTTGTCTCTCATTACTACTATCTCTCTCTCTCTCTCTCTTATCAATCATCATCGGAATACCCGTACCATACCCATACTTCACTCATCTACGAAGTTTAATCTGCATTTTCTTTCTCGAGGTCCGCATACCCACCCATTCTGGTGTTGTCTTTGTTTTCTTTTGCATTTTCTTTAGCGCCAGATGGGAGGCTCGAGATAAGAACACGGCGTCTTACCTGGTTTTGGAATTGGGTTTAGTTTTGCGAGCACACGGCATGGCGTTCTCTTTGCATTTCTCTTCCCTTTTGTCTTTGGGGCGGTCTCAAAGACAGGGAGGATGACGGGCGGGTGGAGAGGCAACAGTGGGTTTATTGACTTCAGGTGGCTGCTTCGTTGGTTGGTTGGTTGAGTCTTTATTCCCGAGTCCTTGTTTGAGTTGGCTGTCTGTCTGCCCTGATATACCAACATTGGTATTGGCATGGCGAGACTGGGGAGGAGGAAAGGCAAAGGAAGGGAACCGGGAGGGAAGGAGTGCAATAGAACGATGGCTTTCGCTGAAATTAGACGGTTTGGTTTGGGGTTTGACTTTGGGATTGGCTTAGCTTTCACTTTGAGTCTATTTGATATACTAGACAGAAAAGAGAAAGAATGGGAAATATACCCATGCCCCGGTGGTCGGGCCACCGGGCAGACTGAACTACAATATCAAAGTCTTTGGGCAATAACTCTCGTGCAAAATGTGCTGCGTGTGTGACCAAGACTTATTTATTCGCTAACTTCACTTTGACTCTACAAACCTATCAATACTAAGCTAGTTGATACGTCCTGAGTTACCGTATGCTTCCGCTTCAACTAAACTACCTCATACCTGTATCTTCCCTCCCCCCTTCATGAAAGCGGCTGTGGTTGTTTCACCATAGCCGGGTAAACAAAGTAGCAACCAACAACCACGACAAACTAACTTAACTAGACTGCGCATGACAAATGTTCCTCGAATGAGGCTTCTCAAAACTCACAACGCCTTATTCGTACAGGGCACCTTAATTGGCTGCGGCATCAACCCCGGAGCTACCCGTTTGTTTCGTTTGCTGAACTCCGTCCTCCCCGCCTTGTTGTTTCATCCCAAGCAAGAAACACGGCGCAAGAAGAGGCTCGTACGTGAGTTGTATTATGAATGCTGCTGCAGTGAGGCGTGAAGAATCCCTCCGGCCTACTAAACCGCGGTCGTATCGTATGTATCATATTGTACATACAGTTCTCACCCGCTTCCGATACAACAGCCATTGGGTTTATAGCGAGCGGGGGGGCAATGTGAAATGGAATCATTCTCGTTCGTACTCGCCTGTAGTGTGTACGCTGAGACGGACTTGGTAATACGGAGACCTAAATTGTTTCATGGTGGGGACTTTGTAAGCTATTGGCGTGAGGCACGGAAGCGTACCGGGGGGAGGGCGTGGTGTTGTGTTGTGTTGTGTTTGACGTGAGCTTGTTGCCGCTGACTGACTGACTGGCTGACTGTTTGGTATTACACACATGACCGTTCGGAAGCAGTAACCACCTACTAATCTTTGTCGGGCTTAAGGTCGGGGAGGTGTTGCAAGACTGTTCTGACATGCATGGCTGTGTTGTTTCGCTCTGCCGTCTCAGTGCAGAGGGATTCGGCTTCTGCGTCCGGGGAGCGCAATCGCTTACTGGGGCCTGGGACGTGGGCACTTCTTATTTGTGCCTTTGCGAGTGATGCGGAACTTTGTTCCTGGGATGCCGGTCGTGGATCCAGACTCCAGAATGTTGAAACGCGGCTATGGCGTCTAGGTGCTGCGAGTGTGCGGCGTGGGAGGGGGGGGTTGGGGCAGATCTGGTTCCATTCTTGGGGGCTATTTTAGGTTTTCCTGGGTCCCGGGCGAGTGGCTGAGTGGGGAATAGGATCGTGGGGATATGAGTTGGCTAGGCATTAACAACAAAAAGGTGTATTGTGTTTTGGCCCCATTGAGATCGTCGACGCGCATAGGGAGGTTGGTGGTGGTTGGTGATGCTTGCTCTCCTGGGAATAGAAACCATCCGGCCGGCGGCGGAAATAGAAACGGCTCCTATCGTGGCCCCCAAACACTCGATCGGCGTCGGCACGGAAAGGAAGGAAAGGAAGAAAGTCCCAAGGTCAAAGGGGTTCGGATGAGGCGAAGCTGGTGGTGGTGGTGGTGTTTTTACCCCTGAATCCCGACGGTCGGTGTTCGCCGGGCATCCACCCTAAGCCCGCCCGGATTTTAAATCTCGGGTTACACGACATGCAAGCGCCGGACCGGCCGAGGAACGGAGGTGTAAGTGCCGAGATCTGGTAGAGGGTGAGCGTAACGGGGTGGCCGTATCAAGCCCGACTCCGCCGTCCACGCCTGGCGGAGTATTTTCCTCAGCGCACCGGCTTTCAGCTGGGGCGATGATGCCCCCGTCTTCATCACATCATCGAGCATCCGTTTTGTACTGGTACTCTATCCGATGATGGCCGTTGTAACTCTCGCCGTAGATCCCAGACAGGAAAGTCCATCAGGAGAGGCACGCGAGGTGTGGTAACACCAGATCGAGAACCCACTCTCCCACGTTGCCGAGTCAAGATAGGTAGCGAGGGCGTGATAGCTGACGATAACTGGCCCGTTTCTGTGCGAGAAGTGCACCTTTAATCCCTCCCCCACCACACCAAGGACCTATCAGACAGCCACAACCTGTTACCCGGGTTGCCCGGGTTGGGCGTCAGGCTCTTGGATACACCCAAACGGAACCTCTGCTGTGTACATACATAGCACACTCAACCCTATGTAGGTACTGTACCTACCAATAGTTTCCCTTGTAACTCCTAAAATACAGTTCCCAGAACAAGACCGGGAGGAGACCTGGAGCCCACGCAGCCAACCCCACGAAACAACCCCACGAAATATCATTTCCCAGAAGAAGGCATCCCGTCCGGAGATAACCGAATGCGGCATTTTAACCCCCCACGCCCAGGACAACAACACCCTTCCTCACCGAAGCAAGTCAGCTGTTGTCTGTGTACATATGTACTTGCGGGACATGTACCCCAAGCGAAACGCCACCGCCGTTACCCACCTACAAGTATTTCAGCTTTGGAAGGACGAACTAACATGAGGGAAATGAGATGACGCCTCCGAGCCCGCGACGGGCAGGGGTTTCCGTTTCCCTGACCGGTCACCGGTGTACCAAACAACCGACCGTGTACACACATATACCGCTGGGGAACGCCCGCTGTCGTAGTGAGCAAGTCTGGCTGTTTGAATACCTCGTTAGTGGGGCAGGGGAGGCGGTGACCTTCGAACTCACCGTGCCGACTAGTATCACGCAGTACACCTTTACTTAAACCTTCCATCAGACATCAAAACACAACAAAACAAACAAACAAACCAGAATCCGCCATTGATCTATGCATGCATGCTATACTATACAACACACCCCCGTAAAAGGGGGTAGTCTCCAAACGGCAACCCTATCATCCCATATATTCCTTCAACTCCTCCGACTCCTCCAGCAGCTGTTTGAACGAGAAGGGCGCAAACGGCCACCCGCCAAACTCGGCAAACTTGGAGAAGGACTCGACCCACGCCAGACGCAACGAGTGAAGCTGTGACCCATTATTGTCAGCAACAAGAATACACCGACCCGGCGGGATAAACAAATAAAAAAGCAAAAAGGGGACTCACCATAGCAGAAACACCCTCCATAATGATCAGAATGATACAGCTCAGACAAAAGAAAGCGGCAAAGACGATGACCAAGAAGATGGCGCCGCCGATGCCCGACCCGGCGAGGGCGGGGGCCCATGGTCATGGACCACAGCACGGCCGAGAGCTGCTGGTGGGCGAGGGAGAGGGCCCAGAGGCGGAGGTACGACGCCGTGTGCGAGACACAGTTGAGGCAGAACTCTGTTTGTTGCGCGTAAAAGCGGGGGTTAGCAAAAAACAGTCCATCGATTACGATTGGGTGTAGGAAGTAGATAGGGGAAAAGGGAGGTGCAACGTACCGATGGTGTGAATGACCTGGTGGATCATGACCTCGCTAAACTCAAACTCCTCGCCATGGCCACCATGGCCGTCGTCATCATCCCCATCCAGGTCCTGCGCGATCATGGCGGCGCCCTCGCCGGCGCTGTCCACGCTGTGCCTCCCGTTGGCAGCACCGGCATCGTCGTCCTCGTCCAGGGCGCTGACGCGCGAGCGCTCGCCGATGCCGCGGTAGCCCTTGGCGCGGGCGCGGTTGTGCTCCCAGCGCAGATAGAAGGGCTTGAGGAACAGGAGGATGGGCACCTGGGCGAGGGCGATGAGCAGCAGGCCGATCTGGACGTACTTCTGGCCGGGGTACAGCGGCGTGTCGATGAAGCCGGGCTGGAGGAACATGTAGATGAGCATGTTGAGCAGGCCGGGGGGCTGCTGGCCGATGGCGAACCAGTCGACGGTCCACTTGTAGATGATGCAGATGACGAGGTAACCAAAGATGGCCTGGAAGAAGATCATGCCGGGGAGGAAGTTGCCCCAGATGTCGACGGGCCGCTTGAAGTGGCGGGCGTTGATGTAGGCGAAGCACAGCGAGTAGGTCATGTGGGCCCAGCCGAGGATGATGCTCATCTTCATCTTGTAGCTGTTGCTGAACAGCAGGTCGTTCTCGGTGCCGTGCCAGCGCCAGTCCAGGCCGAAGGGGGTAGCGGTAGTTGGGGTCCCGGAGCTGCGCCGTGACCGTCTGGCCGGTGTGGAAGTCGGGGGGAACATCCCACTCCCAGGAGCTCTTGAACAGCGTCATGGACTTGGAGAAGATATCGTTGTAGATGAGACCGGTATAGATGGAGAAGACAGCCATGACCAGGGCGATGTAACGGCCGTAGTAGACCATGGCGAAGAGCTCAAACGTGACCTTCTTCAGCGGCTTCTCCCAGTAGATCATGGCCAGAGAGGCGCAGAGCATGATGATGGCGTGGCCGAGATCGCCAAACATGACGGCGAACAGGAAGGGGAAGGTGACGATGACGGGGATGGCCGGGTTGACTTCCTGGTACGTGGCCGTGCCGTAGGCATTGACGATGGTCTGGAAGGCCTCGGTGAACTTGTTGGTCTTGAGGTACGTCGGCGGCTTCTTGTTGGTGCGGATCTCGTTGATGATGGACGGCACCGACAAGCCGGCTCGGTTGGTGACGTCTTGCAGAGTCGACCGGATGAGCGGCAGATCATGGGTCGGGCACCAGCCCTCGGCGATCAGCGTGCGACGGGCGCGGTCGTAGGAAAAGTTGTTGAGCGAGTTGTAGACAGCCTTCTCCTTGCCGACGAGGATCATCCAGGCCGACAGAGAGCGCGAGATCTGGGTGAGCTCGGCCTCGAGGGTCTGTTGGGTGTTGCGGAGGACGCTCTGGACGTCGTTGAGGCGGGCGTTGACCTCGTGCACCTGGTCCCTCCGCAGATCGCTGTTCTCATCGACGTTGTACACCTCGGCGCCCATGGACTCGGAGATCTTCCGGATCTTGGCCAGGATCTCCTTGCCGTGGGCGAAGATGACGAACACGTTCTTCTGCACGGGCTCGTTGTTGGCAGGGTCGACAAGCGGATCGGGGATCTCGGCCTGGTTCATGTACAAGTTGCCGCGCAGGGTGCGCCACAAGATGCGCTCGAAGGCAGCCACGCGGTCGCGGGCAATCACACCGGCGACGAAGCCGATGTTCATGCCAGAGAACGACCGCTCGACCTCCGGGGCCGAGATGTGGTGCTCCACGTCCTGCAGCAGCGGCGCGTCATCGTTGTCGGTGGACGCGCGGATCTCCTCGACGTTGCCGTGGGCGCGGTCGAAGAAGCCGCCGGCCTCCCGCAGGACCCAGCGCCACTCTGTCAGCTCGACCTCGCGCTTCTTCAGGGTCTCGTAGCTCTCGTTCAGCGAGGACACGCGCTGCTCCAGGCTCTGGCTGCGCTCGGCGAGCTCGTCGATCTCGGTGGTGGTAGGGGGCGCGAGGGTGTCGACGTCCAAATCGAGCTTGCGGAGAGCGATGCCAGCCTTGTCCATCTGGGCGTGGAAGTAGCCTACACGCATGCATGCCGGCGGTTAGCGAAGGGATTGAGGGGTCCAATTCAATGTTTGTGCAGCGACGTACGCAGCTGACGCTCGACATTGTCAAGACGGCGGATGTCCTGGGTGAATGCACGCTGGAAAGCACTCAGATCGCCATTGAGGTCTCGGAACTGGACCAAACCGAGTTCGCCGAGGGCATTGACGACTTCGCGACCGATTTCGTTGGAAATGTAGAGCTGCACCATGCTCATGTCCGCCGAGCGGAACGGCGTGTCTCGTGCCGGAGCCATCGCGACGGTTGGGCGGGGGCGATGACCGCAGCGATGGTGGTGGTGATGATGGGTGTCGTTGTGGTGGACGGGTTGTGTTGATGGAGGATGGGGGATGATGGTGTTGTGTCGAATGGATCCAACAACCAACCAACTCGGGGCGGCGTAAGAGGTCGGAGCTGGCCTGAGGCTGGCTTGGCTTGGCCCTGTGGGATTGGCCTCCAACTGTTGGCTTGCGCTCGCTGCCTTGTTTGAGCCGCGCGTCGGCAAAGCCTCGGCGGCATTCGACCCCTATAGTGCAAACACTGTAACTTACACGGAGTAACGAAAGATACGCACCTCCCGTGTAAGTGCCCCTGAGAGCCCGTCGCAACTACACCATGGTCTCAATCTCTGCTGTCTAAATAAGTGTCTGGACGGTGAATATTATATTCCTCGTTATGATATCATCCTTAATGGCCCTTGTATTGAACCCCCTTCCTCGGCACGTTCTTTACCAGCCGTTGCCGTGATAGTGATCTCTCTCCCAGAATATTTGCTGCTCAACTTCTGGACATAGAATTTGCACCCAAGTCTTAGCAGTTAATCTTTACGAGAAAGCCGCTCAGTTTCTGCCCGCCTGATGTAAAATATCTCGAGAAACAAGGGAGAAGTGGATTTCCCTCTTCCCCGTATCTTCAGTTTGCGCATCTAACTACCTGCAATGCTCAAATAAAGCAATAAAGTTTTGGTTTTGGTTATGTTAGTCCGTGCCGTACCCTAGCAGTTGAAAGCTACAGCAGAAAATCACTTGAACTTCTGATTTCTAGCTTACCGGGGCCGTCCACCGACGAGAGGATCGACTCTACATTAAAGATGCCAAAGGAGCACTCCCCAAGAGCCTCAAGGGAAGTCAGCCTTCTCGAAGTGCTCGGCAAGCCGGCATCAAGATAAGCTGCACAGCCCATTCCCCACCAGCGGATGGATGTTTTCGTATCGACTGATGGAATTCGGGCTTGTAGAAAGGGAGCAACGCGCCGTAGTAAAGGAAAGAAGTGTCGGATTGGGGCCGCACCGAAGTCGAAGCGCCGAAATCGACCGACACGGGCGCTTGACGAGTCGATAGAGATCTCGCGCGTTACCACAGTACATTTTTGTTATGGGGAGCTTTGCTACCATGGTAATCATTCTGGGGCCCAGGTGGTCATGCGTTTGCAGAGGTAGGCAATTGCAGTTCCTGTGGCTGTGGCTGAGGCCTCCCCGAGTCCATTGGTATCCAAGGACTATGACCGTCAGCTCAACACTCAGGTTCACCAACACACCAAACGTTAGCTAGTGAGTTTTGGCCGGTGCAGCGAGGGAGGATGTGCAGAAGTTGAAATATACGTAAAATTAACATCGGGTTGGGTGAGCGAGAAAGGACAAGGAAAACGTGACAAGGGGGGCCGGGGGGTTGTGAGACTGGGAACCGAGAGATTTGAGAATGTCTCTTCGTTCCCATATACCAAAGAGATCGGATAAGAAACCCGGACTTAGAAACGGAATTGTGTAAGTCGTTTTCGCCTCGACCACACTTGCAAGCATGTGATGCTGCTTCGCCATGCAACTTCCCCGTCTTATCCGGGTTTGAACAACTGCCAAGTGCAACGGATTCAACGTGGCTGTTTTGACCCAATCCCAGTAGACTTCCAATCCTCCGCGTGACCTTTTTCCCACTTCAAAACCGGACTTCCGCGCGGGTTGGTTGTGAACGGCGAGCTTTCCAAAGGCCCTAGCAGGATGCAGTGCCCACTCGGCGAGACGTTGCCCTTTTGTTAGCATCATCAACCTGCCCATTCCGTTGCCAGGTTTGTAACACGCTGGATTGGTAACTCAAAGAAAGAACCAAAGTCGCTGTCGAACGAGAAGCAGTGGCCGGTTGTTGGTGGGGTGATACACGAACTGTCACACCGCCTCCATGTCAGCCAGCCTCTGCCGTTGAAGCTCAAAAACAGTGGACATCCCCCTACAAATCCGACCACCAGGAAGGAAAAGACGAGGAGGGATCCATGCAGCAAAACCAAATTTGCAAACGACCGTCAGTGCCGTCCCACACGGGAGGGAGCGAGTCGTCAATCGTTCCTTCCGAACCCGTCGTCACCCCGCTCTCACCTGCATGCCGAGCTTCCCCAATCCGGGAGGCTCACCCGGGCCCTGCGTCGGCCGTGGGGGTGATTCCGTAATCCTGACCGCTAAAACCTCCCATCTTATCTGTTTCAAGGTCTCAGCTGCGCGATATAAAACTGCCCCGGTTCCCTTGGAGCTTTTCACGATTTTGAGATTCACAACCATGGATGCGTGGCTATGGCAACTACTTTACTGATTCAATTTCAATCTCGATCAAACAATACAGTGTCGCAAACAAAGACAAAACTCGAGACATCAATCCACAGCACCCATCATCAGTCCCTAGCGGGATTCGTTCTCAACCAGAGCGCAGCAATTGCAATAATCAAACAATTATCATCAACTTTCGCGTTCCCGTTCCTCGCTCGTCCATGCACGCACACAAACGCGATATTTGCCTTTGCCCTCCATCCTTGCGCCATGTGCTTCTCATTTTTTTTTCCCCCAACGTTTTGTGCTCCATGATATAATTCCCGGTTTCCCGACTTCGCTCCCAGAACTCCATGCAGATGCAACCGAAAGACATCCAGAGTTGAGTAGGGAAGAAGCACAACAACAGCCCCGTTCCCTAAACCCCGTTACCGTTCGTCCAGTCTCGGTGTGATAAAAAAGAACGCCAAAGAAGAAACGCCGCCCGGTTCGCTTGCCATGGTATCGAAAAACCCCGGGCCGATGCCGAACAATGCTCCAGCGACTACGCCGAAAAGAAATGTGCAGAAAAAGCAAGCTCGGATTAGAGCTTCCGCGAAAACATGAAGTTGCCGTACATGCCCCCTACCTCGGCATGAGCAACGGGTATCTTCCTCATCCCCCATGACTCGGCCCCCATCTTCCAGCCGCGGCGCCCGTCGTCACGGGGCCCCGTGGCGTTCTTGTTGGGCTGCCGCACCATCCAGCCCCGGCTTCCGCACTCGGAAAGCTGCCAGCCAATGCGCTGCAGGGCGGTAGTGGACTTGCTGACACGGCGACAGACATCCTCGGCTAGCTCCACAACCTCCAGCGGCTCCGAGAACGATTTGAGGATGGCGCAACCGCTTCCGAAGAGATACACCAGGTCGAGCTCCTGTCCCCAGAAGTCCGACAGATCGATGTACCGGAGGCTGTGCGGCTCCCAGTCGACCTCCATCGCCGCGTCGGCGTTCTCGTCCGGAACAAACAGCCGGTTGACATCCCGTAGGGTTAGAGACCGGCCGACCGCGAGCTCCTCAAGATGCTTCGTCAGCGGCCGTAGAAGGTCGATGTGAGACGACGCCATCTTGCTGCCCTTGAGGTTGAGCGACTTCAACGTCTTGGGCAGGATGGGAAGCAGTTCCGTGATGTGCTCGGCATCAAAAGATTGGTGGCTTCTGGCATCCGTTGCCAGGCTCAGGAACTGCAGCTCCTTCACGGCCGGATGGTTCGCCAAGAAGTCGATCACGTTCCTCGCCGACAGCAAGGTGCATTTGGCAAGGTTCAAGTGCGTGATCGTGGCGGTCAACGGGATCGAGGACAGAGCCGTGTCTGTGATGCGCGTGCCGGCCACATCAAGGTGCGTGAGCCGGGTCAGTCGTGGGAGAATCACCTCAAAGACCGACGACGGCAGCGTCAGGCACTTGTGCAGCGACAGCCGTTGCACCATCAATTCCCGAGGCCAGTTGGGCGAGACGATGGACGTGAACGAGTCCTTGAAAGCGTTCGAGGTGCACCCGCAAAAGTCGATGGCCTTCAGCAGGGGTAGCCCCAGGAACAGCTTCTGCAGCACTGCTCCATCGAGATCATCGTCGATGTACTCCTGGCCGAGGAACTCTTGGAGGTGGGGCGTCAGCTCCAGGCACTGAAGGAGCGTCTCGGACGTCAGGTTGCGCGCCTTGGAGCGCTCGGCAGCCGTCAAAAAGAGCTGCGAGGGATTGAAGTGGCAAAAGTCAAGCCGGCGCACGATGGTACCCAGGTTGGGGTGGGCTGAGATGTGGGCGAGGAATTTTTGAAAAATTCTCGAGTGGGGTATGGTGATCCTGCTGTACAGCGTGCTCAGGGTCGCAACGTGCAACGTCCTGGACGTCAGCAGCAACGACATCAAATCGATATTACGTCTAGTGATGCCATTGGGAGGCACATCAAGAGCGAGGAGGTTTATGATGGCGCCTGGTGAGACGTGTTAGCCAACGACACACACAACGCACAACGCACAACCAACCCACGAGGCGGAGGTGGGGGGAACACGGGACGCAAGGGAAGGGCTTACTCAGTATCTCGGTGGGCAACCGCTCGATGGGGGCATCGCCGGATCTGTTCTGACCGCGCTTAGCCGGGCGAGGCGGGGGATTGCTAAAGACCTGGTGCAAGACCTGAAGATCACCAAAGCTCTTGCTAGCGAGCTTGCCCCTGACCTGGATGCCCTTCCAGCCCTGAAAGCTGTCGGCCGGCGTCCAGTAGCCGAGGAGTTTGCTGTTAGGGTTGGTGACGGGAGGCTGGAACTGGGTCTGGATCATGTTGAGGGCCCGGGCCGACGAGGTGCTGGAGGCGCTGGGTGTGACGGGCGGGCTGTTGGTCGTCGTGGGGGTTTCGTCGACGATGGCCTCGTCACTATCGGCGTTGAAGTAGGACGAGACTTTGGACTGTGAGAAGGACTGAGGGATTGGGTTGTCGTGTTCGCGGATGGATGAGAAAGAAGAGCGAGAGACCCGGTCCGGGGTCCCAGGCCGGGAATTCTCCTCGGCCAGCATGGCTTTGTAGTCCGGCGAGGACCGAAGGGGTTGCAGGCGGGCTGGCTGCTGCGGTCTTGGCTTGGAGACCGCCATCGGGGGAGAGTGAGCCAGGGGTGGTGCTGGCGGATGGGACGGGGCTTGGCGTGGCCCCCGGGCAGAAATTACAAGCGGTTGCAGGGCAAGGCGGTCAGGTGCGCGATGCAGCAGTGGGATGGCGACAAGCTGGCCTGATGAAGGGAAGGAGCACACGGACGACGATGGATCCGTGATTCGATGCGGAGCTCGAGCCTGGGGGGGTTTGGGCCAGTCGGCAGGTGCGCTGGCGAACGAGGCCCAGGCAATGGTCTGGTCTCACAAGAACCCCGGAAGGAAGGCGGATGGCGCCGGTGTCTTTCTATTAGTCAAGGAACCGGCGTTTTAGGTAACAGGAAGGTTCGCGACGCCGCCGTGCGGGGAAGATGCGAGCGATGGAATTTGGATCCGCAAATTGAATCGAGAACCTCCCGTTTGGCGATGCGCCGACCCTCGATTGCTGGCGTGGATTCGAGGCAACGGTCCCAGTGAATAAAAAAAAGCGCGGTCTTGCAGGGGTCGTGGAGTGGAAGTTGTGCTGCTGTCCGAATTCCTCGCGTTGCGGTTGGCTTGCGGGGTGCTGGCGAGCGGGCGAGACCGGGTGGGTGAGTGGGCGGCGAGCACCCCTCGGTGGGTGTGACACGGTGGTTCGGGGGTTGAGTGAGTCAAGCGACAAAGACCCCGCGGAGAACAACGGACGGGAATGTTCGGATTATTTGGCGATGTTGTCAGACGAAAGCAACAATATTACGAAGTAAAGAGATGCGTGCTGGACAATGTACTATTCCGGAGGTAGGAGTCATCGGCTTAAGCGGGCGTTTGGAGCTAAATACCAAGTACGTCAGGTGCGGGCAACTCCGATACAGGCCGCCCGAAAAATAACCTGGAAGCTGGCGAATTGACCACAGCTGCTGCCCGAGCCAGACCTCAAGAGCAGGCATAGCACAGATCAGCCCAATACACAAGCTGGCAAATCTTTGTCAACACACGAGCTCCGACTGGGCGGCTGACCGCAGACGTGTTTGTCGCCTCCGCGGGGTTACTGCACCACGACAACCTTTTGAATGCTGAAATGTGGGAATATCCTGGCGTGGCAGATGGAGCGCGAAGAGCGGAGGCCAGTCACAGGGTCGGCCCGTTGAAAATTTTCGCCTCGTGCACCTCCTCGTGTTTGCTGTCAGTTTCTCGGCAGCGCAGCCCATAAAAAGCCCGTCGTTGCCCAACTGCCTCGCTCACGCCCGCTGCGCTGCGGTTGATCACAAGCGGCGGTGCAGAGCAGGAACGCGCGAAACGGCGCGGAGTTGACGAATTCGATGCCAAGTTCGATTGGTCCGGACCGGCCATTCGAGATTACCACCCTTGCCACCCTTCTTTTCAAAAAATGAACCGAGCTTCAATGACACGCCACAAACATCATGTTGCATGGTGGGAGCTGAGAGCGCAGCAGCTTCGAGATACGTAATGGGTTGCACCTCTCCTCCACCCATCACGATTGGACGTCACATCGGCAAACTGCAAAATGCAGTTAATCGCCCACTTCCGAGAGGATTATGATGATCCCATTGACGAAGCATGCACGACATGCGAAGGCTCGCCGCTCCTTTCCGCAAACAATCGTAGTTGGAGGCAAGCAGAGCTGTGGGAGGTTTCGAAGCATTGCTCTTACCTAATCACTGAAACCGCAACCCATTGTTCGGTATCCGTTTCAATCTTCTCGATGACATCAAAAGACAAGAGCTCTCGTCTGATGAGGGCTTGTTCTAGCCTCTCCATCAATGATGCTGGAAGGACCACTCCGCCACTGCCGCCGGCCACGTGCTTTGCGATGCTGATGTTGAATGCTGAGACATGGAATGAAGGCAACGCCTCAACGCTGACAAGCTGACATCCCCCTTTTCGATCGGTTTCCGAGACAGCCCTTCTTACACAAATATTTCTCCTCTCCAGCCAAGGCGAACATCAGGCGGCGTTGGCCCATCCCGTTCTCACCAAACCGTTCACGTGGTGTCTGATCACCTGGGCCATTGGAGCCCGGCCTGGCCCCGCCCATGCGGCAAGGGTGAGCGAAGTCCGGGGGAGCCGCTTGCAGCCGCGCCGCACTAGCGAGCCTTTTCCCCTGCTGCTTGTTTTCGTGTCCCTTGGACCCCCTGCAATGACTTTTTCCTTTTTGGCACTTTCTGCTGGGCTGACCCTGGCATCTTTGGACCCCCAAGATTCGGTCGACCAATCTGGGTTCGGGGTCGCATCGGGGCTGGGTCGGGACCCGGCAGGTCACTAAACCGATCTCCGACTCCGGCCCGTGGATTGGCCTGGCCCATTAAAACATTTAACTTATCTGATCGGCTTTGAACAAGGCGGTTGCATGTATTTCAAAGCTTGTGGTTTGAGCTCCAACAAAGGTCGACTATGATCCGGCGAGAGGGGATCACCCCCCAGACCATCCTCCCCTCCCCTCAGAGCTAGCCCAAAGTTTTCGCCGGGGATGCTGAAACTGCAACGTGGTATTCCAAAGCTCACATGACCGCTTTCTGCATGCCACCTCAGCAAAACCGTTCGTCCCGCCCTTGCTGATCGCGTCTCGGCAGCATGCAGCAGCGAAATGCCCAACAAACCGACGGATTCTCGTCTCGGGGGGGTCGCCAAGCGAACCGCCAGGCCCAGGCGGAGCCGAAATCGATGATCTCCATCTGAAAAGCACAAGCTTCAGAACAAGGGCACCCACAAGGTTCACAAGCTCGGGGAGCATGAGCACAGCTCAAACGGGAGCACAGAAACCCGCCGCCAAGCGCCTCCCGTGCCATCGAAACACAATTCGTGCACCACCAGCACATGGAAGAGGATGGAAGCTGCAGCATCTGCAAGCTGCAGGCAGCTGCAAGGTGCAAAGCAACCCAACCCCAACGGAAACGAGGAGGGAGAAGCAGCGCAAAAACAGGGTTCTGTCCACACCACAGCCGCGGTCCCGATGTGCCGTGCATCTTGTGTCACCACACCCTTCACCCAGATAGGTAACCAACCACGGATCAGTGTCAGATAAAATGCATTCAGACCCCTCTACGGATGACATCCATCCATCCATCCACCCAGCCTGCGTGACCAGCCACGACGCGGCGTCCAAGCGCCCTTCTTCAACCGATCCTAAACTCCGGAAAAGAACGAAAACAATAACTCCACGTCAAGCGACTGCTACGTCCCCCCCCAAAAGTTCCAACCCACAACACCCGCGGTTGCTAAAGCCAGCCTTTCCCCGGAAGTATACGGATAACTACCGAACAATGTGATGACAGAGACAACGCAACAAACCCAAGGGAGCGGAGCGGCGAGGAAACCCGACGAAGAGGAGAGAAGGCGGTGAATAAGCCAAAAAAAGGATGCCCAGATGCCCAGCCCGTTCACCTCCGGTCGGGGATCTTCAGCCGCTTCTTGCAATCCTCGCAGTACCATTTCGCTGCAAGACACCAATCGTTAGTGCTGACCGTTCGTGACAAGCCAAGAGAGGGAGGGGAGGGGATCAAAGAGATGTGGAGGGGATGGTTCGGGGGCGGACGGGGGGCGGGTGTTGCTCGGGACGGGACGGGATGAACCATCACCAACCAGCCTGGCAACCCACAAGCCGAGTCGAGTCGAGGCGAGGCGAGTCGAGCTCGATCGGGAATACGGCGGCTCAGTTCCTGTAACCACCACCACCACCACCACCACCACCACCACCACATAGAAAACACAAACAAACAAACGCAAGAAAGGAAAAAAAAGAAACAGAAATAAACAAACATACCATTCCCCTTCGGCGCGACCTTGAGCCCCACACACTCGAGGTGGAACCACTCGCGCGGGCACCCGTCGCCGTCGCACGCCACCATCTCCCCGTAGCTGACCTGGTTGCAGTAGCAATAGAGGTCCTCGTCCGCCACCTCCTGCTCTTCCTCGTCGTCGTCGTCGTTAACGGCAGCAGCGGCGCCGCCGGCAGTGGTGGTGGTGGTGGTGGCACTCTTGGCGTTAGCCGCTGCTGTTGGTGCCTTGCCGCCGTCCCTTTTGTGGGTGCCTCCGCCTCCGCTGCCACCGCTGCCGCCGCCGCCGGCGACGCTGACGCTGTTGCCGGCTGGCGCCGAGTCCTTGTCTTTGTCCTTGTCCTTTTCTTTCTCCTTGGTGGAGGTGGCTGGGCCGGTGGTGGTTGAGGCGGCGGCGGCGGCGGCTTGTTGGGCGTGCGCTGCGGCCGTGGCGGAGATGGAAGCGCCCTTCTTGTGGCTCCGCTTCGTTGCTGGGGCGGCGGCGGCGGTTGCGTTGCTCGAGGGGCCGGTCCCGGCGGTGCCGGTAGTGCTTTCGGCGTTGCTGTTGTTGTTGTTATTATTATTGTTGTTGTTGCGCGAGGGCCTGGAGCGGGCCGTCGTGGGGCCGGCTGTCGACGAGGCGGCCTCGGCAAAAGTTGCGGTGGCCGGCGTGGACGGCTTGCTTGCTCGGCCGCTTTTGGTCTTGACCATCGCTACCGACGCGGGTTGGATGGCGAGGGGCGCCGTTTCCTTAGTAGGTGGGGCGGACTCGTCGCTTGGTTTTACCACGGTCTCCTTCTTACTACTGTTTTGTGCCGGCTCTGGCGCTAGCCGGGGCTCTTCGGTTTCTGGCTTTAGCGGATTTGGTTTGTTCATAATGGGAACAGTGGCCTCCTTTTGGGTCTTTGCATCTGTGTTTGCCCTCACCCCGTTGCTCGCCTGACCTGGATCAGGCGTACCTTGCGGGATCACGCTCGGCTTGTTCGATGCCGCTGACGGGAGATGATGCCGCGCGCTCTCGGCGTTCAACTGTGTAGAATTCTGGCGCGCCCGAGAGGAGGCAGGCCTGGGTGCGGTAATCGACGGCGCGGGTGAGCCGCGCCCAGGCCGGACGGGATCCGGGAGTGATCCGATTACGGGGGAAGATGTGACGGACGGCGACATGGCGGCTGTCGTCCTGCTGTTGAGTTGGTCAGCCATGCCGATGAACGAGAAATTAGCTAGAGCAAACCTACCTCTTCTTTGCCTGGCCGCTTGACGAAGGAAGTGCCTTGCGTTTCTTGTTGCCGCTCTCCGGAGCAGGCGTCTCCCTCGGGCTCGTGGTCCTTTGCTTCGTGGCGTTCGTCCCGAATACGGACCCCATTGCGCGCTCCGCAGGGGCTCCTCCGTTAGGTTTTGCTTCCACCTTGCGTCTCTTGGTGGTGGGTGCGGTTCCCGGAGGCCCAGGGGTAATGCCGAGGCCAACTGGTCCAGAGTCCGGAAGAGGTTTTCGCGACTTGCCCCCTGACGTTTTCTTCCCGACGTCCTGTGCCTTCTCGCCGTCCCCCTCGGCAGCCTGGTTCTTCGCGCTCTTTTTGGCAGCCATGGCCTGCTTCCTGTCGCTACTACGAACAGCGGCGTCGTCGGCTAGGGCCTGGGCGGCCGCGGAGAGGGTAGCAGCACCTTCGCGACGCGACCGCTCTGCCTGCTTATCGTTGGCCTTAGCCTGCCTGTTTTCCACGTATGCCCAGTGTGTAGCACTGCCCCATTTTGCTTCCTCGCTGAACTCGGCCTCGAGGTGCGGCCAAACGTCCTCGATGCGAGACAGTTGTTTCTGTAGGGCGTCATTGGCAGTGGCAATGACGTGGTTCTTTTCTTCTAGAGATACTAGCATTTCTTGTATCTTTAGCGCGGTGTCGCGGAAGACGGTGCGACGGGGGATGTTGGCGGGATCGAATACGCTGCTGGCCGCGCCATCGGAGGACGGTGCCGAGGGGTTGGCGGGCTCGGTGGTGCTGTTGTGGGCGCTAATGGGCGCAGATACCGAGGCAACGCTGCTCGACGCATCATTGAGCGGCCTGGCAAGGTCTAGGGCAGGAGTGTTGACAGCGCTGTGGAGGAGTTGTAGGAGTGCGGCTTCGGGCGCGAAAATCTTAGCGTCAACTTCTTTGAGCAGTGTAAAGTGTCGAACCAGTTCTTTCGGAAGGGCGGTGATGGCATCGGTGAAGTGGGTAACCCCCGGTAGAATATCGATGGGCTGTTCCGCTGCAGGGGCGTTTGCCAGCGAGTTGGCGCGATTGAGAGAGGATGTGCGTGGTGGGTTGACTCGCGTCTGGCGCACCGGCTGTCTGCGACTCGAACCGGTCGCGCCCTCTGACGCTGGTGGCTTTGCCGTTTTCATAATGGGCGAAACCGAGTGAATTGCGCTCGTGGTAAAGGTGAAGGTGTCGTGAATTAGAGGAAAGCTAACAACGGTCTGTTCGAAAAGACGAGGAGGATGGAGGGAGGAGGGCTAGGTCTAGCGTGATCGCCCGCCGTCTCTGTCGGGCGCCCTGGGAGCAAGGAATTAGAAATTCAAATTAAAGTTATGTCAAAAGATGGGAATGGTTGCGAGGGCATCTCTCAAAGCTGGCGGCATGCCGAAAACCACAGACGATACGGTGTGTTTTGCTTTTCCATGTGTTCTGTGTAAGTAGAGAAAAAAGGGTGCTCTCGAAGCGCGGGATCTTTCCCACCAGCAACCGGGCCGGGAGCACCAGCACCGCCCACCAACGAGCAGCGGCTTTCTCGCGGCTGTGGGGAGCAATTTTATGGGGCTGCCCTGAACAGAGCGCTTTGATACGTCACCGCTCCCTGTTAGAGATAAGATAAGAATGAGGGCAAGCGACGGACCTGGATGCTTGAATGCTCGGGGGAGCATCTGACCACATTGGCTTGGCCGTATGCATCATTACATTTGATGACTTCTTGAACTCTTAGGATTTTGGATGCGGCCCAACATGAGGGTCTCGAATATGTAAATAGAGAAGAATATCCGACTTGCCGCTGTCCCAAACGCCTCGCCCCGTGTAACTAATGTCTATGGTGGCACTTCTATTACATTAAACAATCAATCAGAGCTTCATGCCTCCTTCACTCTGCGCCGTGGGCGCTCGTCCCTCGCCTTCTGCTTCTGTCGCCATTGCCATTCCACCAGCACCGGGAGGAAGCTCCACAGGTCAAACTCGGGCCAGAAACACTTGAGAAAGAAGATATCGGTGTTCTGGTGGCATTGCCACAGCATGAAATCGCTCAGCCGCTCAACGCCGCTGGTCCTCACGAAAATGTCAAGCGGCGGGCAACCAGCCGTATACATGTGGCTGTCGATGGTCTCCGGGGTGATGGTCTCCGCGTTAGGGTATATGGCCACCGTCTCCTCGTCACCGCCGCTCTTGACGGCCGTCGAGTCGGAGTGCAGGGTCGTCGCGGTCGACACGGCGTCATCCTGGTCGTCGGACTGTGTCGAGGAGGGGGTTGGGGACGGCGATTCCCTGATGGGCTCGAGCGGGTCCGGCTTGCCGGCTTGCTTGGACAGAATCTTCTGCGTTATCCTGCTCTGAGAAAACGGGGTGCTGTGCGGGCGTGGGGTGGTCGAATACTCCCGAACGGTGGTTCGGATCGCAGTCGTCATCTCCTCCCTTGACGTGTAAGGGAAGCAGATGTTGAGGACGCAACTAGGAAGGTTTATTAGTATGTCCGTGTGACGTCTGCGACGCGTGGTGGGCTCTTACTCCGTGTTGTTTTTGGTCGTAGCGGCGGCCCTCTCCACAACTTCCAGGACATCCGGGGGGATCAAATCGAGGCGCCCCAGCACCTTCACACGCGCGCCATATCGGTCAAGCAGCTCTCCGTGCTGTATGAGCTGTTCTAGTTTGAGTTTTGCAAGCTGCATAAGCCCGTCGACCTCGTACTTGGGGCGATGGAAGTTCTCGAGACTGAAGGCGTAAACCGTCACGACCTTGACGCCACACTTGTAACAGACCTCGAGCACCTGCCGATCCGAGTCAGTTAGCGCGTCAAGCGGGGGCGGGTGCAGAAAGAGACGGGCGCACACACCCTAGCAAGAGCTTCAAAGCCCAAATGATGACCCTCGATTGTTTCTATCTTGTGGCTCCGCGCGTACCGGCGGTTGCCGTCCATCTCAAAGGCGACATGCTGAGGGATGGGCCCCTGCGAGAGGGCACCGATGAGGGTCGAGCGGAGGCGGTTGAGGGCCCATTCAGCGGGGGGCGAGCTCATAAACCAGCTACGTATCCGGGAAAGATACAAGTCGGACATGGTGAAGCTGTAGTCCGGGGTTGATCTGACTGGGAAGATGCTGTGGTACGGCGTGGTCTGACCGGGAAGGAAGAGGCAAGATGGGCGCAATTAAATTACAAGATTTCTGGGAAAGCGTGTCGTGTTTAAAGAACAGTCGCCATGATACGAAGTCGAAACCAGATCACTGCAAACGAAAAACGAGAGTGCGCAGGCTCAGCCAGGATTACGGGACGGGGTTGATGATGAAAGAGTGGTAAGCCAAGGGAGAAATTGTGGCTCTGCGAATGACGAACCTGGCACTTGAAAGTCAATTGCGTGTCGTGAAGGCCGTGCGCCTCCTTCGAGGTGGGTCCTGTTTTCCTCTCTGATCTCACTGATCGACGGATGCCACAGGGTTAGGGTTGCTATGACCGACCCATCCGGCCAAAAAAGCTGAACTCTAGAGGAAGATAGGAAATCAAGCAACGAGATTAAAGGACAAGAATTGAGCAAAGCAAGTCAAATAAAATGGATCAAGTAAAATAAAGCTAGATTCAGTAACACCGGTTTTCTTAGGCTCTCAGATGACCTCCCTTTCGTCCCCGGAGCCGAGGATTGGTCTTAATCTGCACTTGTCGTTCGGTTTTTCTGTCCATGGAGTCGGAGTGGGTCCTTGGCCAGAGACCAGTGCATTGAGGACACAAGGCAGGTGTCAACAACTTGAGCGAGGCTGACTTGTCCGCAACTTCATCCGCCATCCGCAGAGTCGGGCAACCCGCCAACTTCATTTTCTTCTGCTAGTTCCCACACCGTTTTGAGCGATCGAATTGCTTATTGGCTCTTTTTCCCGGTGGATGTTTAACTGAAACACATGCGGTTGGGATTCAGTCACTCGCGAACGAGCGTATTCAAGTTGCTCTAGACATCTATCATGTCAACGTAGCAGTATTCAAAGTTCGGACCCAAAAGAGGAGAGTCGAAGAGAGATTGGCAACCATGTCGTTTGCGAGTACGCCCGTGACTCGGGTCCTGGTGATGGGGTTAATCGGGGCTTCGATCGGGGCCACCCTCTTCGATATCAAGCACTACTTTTACATCTCGGTCGGGACGCACATACTACAATATCGCCAGACATGGCGCGCGTTGACATGGCAACTATGCTATACCAACTCATCCGAGGTGTTATTTGGCGCCATGGCTCTGTACAACCTCCGCGTCGTTGAGATGCAGTGGGGCTCAAGGAAATACGCTGTAGGTTACGCACTCGGGCAGTGCAGTGAGTGTGAGGGGTCAAGAGGACAGCTTGTTAACAACACAACAGTCATTTGTCTTGGTATCTGGACTCCTCACGTCCATCATCCCGCCGATCATCTTGACGGGAATTCTTCGACCCTTGAGCTGGGGGATCTTTGACTTCCTGCCGGCAGGGCCCACGCCGCTCATCTTTGCCATCCTCGCGCAGTACTACGCCATGGTTCCGCACATTTATCAGTACAAGATTGCGCTCTCCACGGGTGCCCCGACTAACAACGACGAGGTCAGCGGGGTGACGTTCTCGGACAAGTCGATTAAGTACTTTATGGCATTCCAGCTGGCGCTGTTCCAGTGGCCAGGCTCGCTCCTCGGAGCGGGTGTTGGCTGGCTCGTGGGCCAAGCTTGGCGCAGCGAACTTATCCCGGGAGCCTTGACCCGCTGGCGTGTGCCCGCGTGGGTTGTGGGGATGAGGGATCAAAAAGGGAGCGACAGGTTCGAGGGGATGCGCAGGAGACTCGAGAGTGAAGGGGCGGCTACGGGGGCTACGTCGGGAGCCCAGCACCAGGCTGGGGGTGATGGGAATAGACGGAGGACCATGGGGCAGCAGCTTTTCGACGAGGTACGCGGCGCCTTCTGATGTTGACGGCAGCGTATTGGGTACTATGGTAATTCACCCTTTGTGGTCATCAACCGAGCCTCTATCTAAGAATGCACTTTCTGGTTGTCGAGAGGGCCCGATGACAAACATCTTCACCGCCGCCGTTTCAAGGTAGGTACCTACCTATCATAGGATATAGGATTGATTCAGCTCGGGCCTCGAACCATGCGGCCACACAGCTAAGTTGGCCAAGCGGCTTCTTTTTATAAACCGGCACCGCATGTGTTTATTCTGCGTAGTATGCAAATGCAAGTCAGTCAACCAACTACGAATTTCTACAGGACGACGTGGAAGTCTGGAACCCAACTCCTGCTCAAATAATTCCTCACAGATGGATGCCCTGCAGGTGAACTCAGGTCGTTCCCTTTATCCACTAATATGTGACCTGAGAATCTGCGCCACGATCCCGACAAACAAACAGACGAATTACAGATGGCAGGAGCATTCAAACCTGGACCCGATTCGGTGGTGAATAGACGCATGGTGGCATTCATGTTGGTTGAAGCTGGCCACCACCGCATCATCCATGAGCTGGCAGGAAGGAAGGCCGCATAAACAGCCCGGACCCGACCTAAAAATACAGGCCGACCATCAACGGCACAGCCCAGCACACCGAGAGCACAGGCAGTTTCCCCAGGATGCCAAGAATTTTATCGCGTGCCATTGGCTCTCCGGACCGTCAGGCTGCCGGCTCTCCCAACGCCCCGGATCGGCTGAGCCCGAGCATAACCACAACGCCTCCCAACGCAATTTTGGGGCGAGGTCGGCAACCAACTCATCCATCCTTGCGTCTGGGCGTCCTCATTTTTGCGACAATCATCCAAGTCCCGGTCATCCAAACACAGTAATTGCGGATTACATACACAGTAATCAGGTACCCCGGCCTCAGCCTTTAACTATACTTGTACATCAGATCGGCCGTCTTTCGCGCCCCGTTTGTCTTTTTTTTTTTTCTACACGAGACGAGATCCCATCTCATCGACCGAGAGTTCGACCCGCTTTCCCTCCATCCTGCAGGGCCTAATTTCCACGTGCGCGACGTCGGGTGCGAGTCCAACACATCCCTACCCCGTTTGACAGGACAAAGCACTTTCGAGTGTGACCTGGTTTCAGGGACCGAGAACTTCGTACCCACTTTCGCGCTGCATCCCCTTCTTTTGCCCCAGACATCGCGCTTGCTCCCGAAATTGAACTCGGTCCGCCCGTCATTTTGCCCATCATCCACGCTCCGGTCCCTCCGAGTCGCAGACACGAACACCCAAGCTCCGACGACGCGCAGAGCCAGGCCTTTCCGTGACGCATGGATTCATAGTTAGGCTGGAAGCGCTCGGGTCCAACTGCACAAAGCGAGTCGGACTTCGAATTTCCTTTGCGCCTGGGTTGTTTCTTGCATAATGCTTTCCTGGAAAATCCATTCTTAATCTTCAACTTAATCTTCAACTTACGGTTTGCACACACACACGCACGATGAACGGCGCGACTATGAGGTTAGGCAGCCCGGCGGGAGGGGGACTGAGACAGAGGGGAAGTGGGAATTCCTTTGGTTCTCCAGGGAGGGTGCCCCCTCCTGGAATGCCGCCCGTCGTGACGCCCACGGGGAAAGCACTGGTGGAGGGTTATAGGAAAGATATTCTCAATGGCTTCGGGGGGGAGAGGCCAAGATACAATCCCGTACGAGACTCCAAGCTCCAACCCCGGGGTCAAATCTGTGTTGGTGTCGCTGTCTAACCGATACTTATTTACTGTGCAGTCGAACGAGAGCCGGCCGCAGAGTTCCGCCCTCGTCGATCTAAAGGACCCGATCCAGGTTCACTTGCTGACTGAGACGGCCCTCTCCGACAGCAGAACCTACGAGATTTTGTCGCAGGAAGAGGTGGATCATATCAAGAAGCAGATGCAGTCGCTGTCAATGCGTATCGAGCAGGCCCGTACGAACCTCGCTATCCAGTCCAAGTACCGCGATGCTGCAATATCCATGGCCCGCCTTTATTCGCCATCCAAGACCGAAGGCAAGAGGAGGAGTCTGCTGGGCAACCGCATGAGCGATTCCGCCAAGGAAGCCGAGATGGAGAAGCTGGCGAGCGAGCGTCGCTGTGAGGAACTTGCGACGGAGCTGTTCTCGCTAGAGAAACGCCTCATGGAGCCCCAGAGGCGCCTTCTTCAGCACACAGCCGGGATACTCCAAATGACGCATCGCGCCTCGTCCAAGAAGTCGGGGCAGGTGCCAGCTGGGCCCATGATGAACGGCATTCCCGGGAGCCCAGAGAGTCTCTATACCTACACCAACACTCGCAATAGCATGGAGATTCCCAGCGGCGACCTCGACTTCGACAAAAATCTCTATTTGCATCTAGACCAGGCAGACGGACCGGCCGCTCCCCGCAAGAACGCCATCGAGATCCCATTGAAGTCACCCATCCGGGAGCAGAACGCTCAGCTGAGGGAGCTGCGTGAGGAAATTGAGAAAGTGAAGGAGGAGAACGAGCGCATCCTGGAAGAGAACATACAGCTGAAGACGGCGGAACAGCAGTTGAAGAAGGAATTCTCCCAGATTCAAGATCAACACGCGCAACTGGCGGCTGCGGAAGAGCAACTCAGGCAGGACCACACGCGCGCTAGGGAGGAGATCGCACAGTTCGAGACAAGGGAGCAGCAGCTCAGAGACGAGCACGCCAAGGCCACGGAAGAGAACGACCGCATCCGAGGCGAGACGTCGCGAATGATGGACGAGACCAACCGGTACAAGGACGCCGACTCACGACTCAAAGCCATCGAAGAGCAGATGAGTGCCGAGACCGAGGCCCTCCGGGCTCAGAGCGCAGGGCATGTTCAGGCCATCTCGGACACCGAGGCGAGACTGGAGGCTCTAAATCGCAAGCTTCGGGATCTGGTCGTGGGCTCCAATCCAGAAAAGAACGATGGATTCAGCGGCCCCGAAGCAGCCAGTGGCTCCGGCGAGACACTTACGGCACAGTTGGAGTACATGGAACGGGGTCTTGCTACGGCTGCGGAAGAGCAGCAGCAGCTCGCAGCTGAAGCATCAACAACATCGGTCGAAAACGCGACAATCGCATCCTCGCTTAGCCAGGTGGAGGCATCCCTCGACCAGGTTGGTGTGCGCGTCCAAGCACTCGCCCAGCAAGTGCAAGACGTGCTGCAACAGTCGGATTCCAGCCTCCCGCCGGCTCCTGAGGGCGACGTGGACGAACAGCTCGGCTATCTCGAGAACGCTTTCAAGACAGTCGGTTCGGAGCTCTCGCGTGCACTCGAGGCGTCGTCATCCGTTTCAGCCAAGAGGCAGGACATCGACCAAGTCGACGCGGTGCTCATGGGCCTGTGGGAAATCATCCAGTCGGGCTACGCCGAGATCGAGCAGCAGAAAGCAGCCCGCCGGCAAAACCGCGCCCTGGGCCAAGGCGGCGCAGACGACGACGACGAGCTGTCGAGCAACGAGTTCGACGGCGACACCAACGAGCCGTACTCCCTGCAGGCCTTCTCGACCAAGGTTCAATGGCTATACGCGCAGGCGACCGGCCTCCGGGAGCAGAAATACATCCTCCAGCGGCAGATCAAGCAGCAGCGCGAGCTCAACAACCGCAGCGAGTCGGAAAAGGACCGCGAACTCCAAGCCAAATCCGACGAGCTCGAGCAGACCCACCACATCCTCGACGAGGCCGAGCGCACCGCCGCCGACGCCCAAGACCAGCTCCAGAAGGTCCTCTCCGACATGGACACGCTCCAAAAGACGACAGCCGCCAACGAAGCCGCCTCGGCCTCCTCCACCAAATCCACCCAAGACCAGCTCCAGGCCCGCGCCGCCCGCATCGCCGCGCTCGAAGCCGAAGTCCGCGAAGCCGAGTCCCGCGTCGCCGCCGCCGAGGCCGCCATCGCCGCAACCCAGTCCCAGCTCGCCGACTCCAACACGGCACGCGCCGCCGCCGAAGCCGAACTCACCGCGCTCCAGACCCAACTCAGCACCGCCTCGGACGCGTCCGCGTCCGCATCGGCCGACGCCTCGGAGCTGCAGCGCGCGCTGCAGGCCAAGGACGACGAGCTGGACCGCATGAACATGATGGTGGTGGAGCTCAAGACGGAGGTGGCCTTCGCCAAGGCGGAGCTCGACGGCGCCTACGGCTCGCGCAAGCAGCGCGCCGCCGAGGCCGCCGCCCTCTCCAACTCGTCCCAGTCCGAGGAGCTCAACAACACCATCGTGCGCCTGCGCGCCGAGCTCGAGAACGCCCTGCGCGACCTCGAGGACATCACGCGCGAGTCGATTGCGGCCGAGCGGGAGAGGCTTGAGATTGAGGGGCGGTTGGATGAGGTTATGGGGGTGAAGGGGGAGTTGGAGGCTGAGGTGGGCAGGTTGGGCGAGAGGTTGGGCCGCGTGCAGGAGGAGTTGGATGTGGAGAGGTTGAAGGTGCCGAGTCCGGGCGGTGCTGCTGGTGGGGGTGCGAGCAGGGCGGGCGCGGGGGCGAGTGAGTTGAGTAAGCAGTTTAGGGGGGTCATGAAGGAGGAGCGGAAGAAATTCCAGGAGGAGATGAGGGTGAGTCCTGACTTTCTTTTTTTGCTTTTTTTGTCTTTTTCCCCTTGTTCCTCGTGCCTTAGGGCCATCTATCCCTGAAGCGACCACGATCGGAAAACTAACGATGCTGCAGGAGGAACAAGCGAAACGGAGAAAGCTGGAGGAGGAGCTGCGGACGCTGAGGAGGGGCCAGAGCAGTACCGCGTCGACGGCCAGGGGGGGCGCGCTGAGCCCGAGGTGACAGGGCTGACATCGCCTGGCTCACGAGATTGGGGTCGAATGGCTGCGGATGGGTTGGATGATTTTATGAAGCGAGCCTCTACTTCTGGAACACCGGTTTTCTTTTCTTCCCTGCGGGGGATTCGAAGTTTTAAGGGGGACTTGGAACGTTTTGCGGCGTGCTCCCGGGGTGGGATGGTCGGTCGTTACCGGTTCTATCGGGTCATATCGAGGTTTGTTTTCTTGCGGGGGGGTTGGATTCAAGTTTCTACGGCGATTCATTTTCTGAGGCAAAGGTTTGCTCATGCCGAGTATTTGGGGCTATTCCCGGTTTATAATTCGCTTGGTTTACGGGCCCTGCATTTTGGAGGCGGATGTCAGATATAGATAGATACCTTGTCGAATTCACGGATGGTTTGGTTTGAAGGCCTACTATTTATCTGTTGATCGAAATCAAGCCCTCAAGTTGGGGAGAAAAGTAACCAACAAGAGAGTAATATCAAGGCTGCCCTGCATAATATCTGTTGCCGAGATTCCCGATGACAAGCATGCATTCACTTCGGACTAACTAACTAGCTACCACGACCAAGATACGTAGGAATAATAAAGATACAACATATGGTGTAGCGAGATACCTCCAAACAAACAGAAAAACGCCCGCCCATCCACCCTCACCATCATCCCCCATCATCTCCCACGGCCCATCAATCATCTCACCCACACCACCATCCAACCACCACCACCCCTCACCCCAACCCAACCCCCTCCCTCCAAACACAACACAAAACAACAACACAAACACCCTCACCTCACCCCCAAAGCGGCGCAGTAACCTCCACCGCCCTCTCCACCACGGCCCGCACCCGGTCCGCAAACACGCGGTTCCCGCACTCCACCTCCAGCGCCTCCAGCCACACGCTCGCCTCCATCTTGTCGACCTTGACGCGCACCCCCGGCACGGGAATGCCCAGCTTGTGCAGGCGCGCCAGCTCGGCCCGCTGCCGCTTCTGCTGGTCATCTTCGCTGTCGTTGTCGTTGTCGTTGTCTGAAGAGGAGGAGGGGGGGGAGACGTCCATGGCGCTTTCGCCGTTGGGGTTGGGGTTGGCGTTGTTGTTGGCGTTGTTGTCTTCGGTGGTGGGGGTGGGTTTTTTGGTGGTGGGTGAGAGGGGTGGGAGTTTGGGCTCGGCGATGGGCGAGACGTTGTCGGCGCCGAATTGGGCTTCGAGGAACATCATCAGGCGCTCGAGGCGTTCTTCGGGGGAGAGGGTGGCGTGGAGGTTGCGGTGGGGCAGGGTGAGGATGTTGGTGTCGGCGTCGGCGTCGGCGTCTTGGCCGTGGGAGTGGGAGTGGGAGTGGGGGTGTTTGGTTGCGGAACCTGGATGAGGGTGGTGATGGTTAGATGGGAGTGTCTTGGAATTAATGGGTGGGGAGGGAGGTGGGCTTACGCTTCACTGCTGCAGGGCTGCTTTCGATGCCGAGGAGGACGGCCATGACTGCGTCGGCGATGCCGTCGTTGAGCATGTTGCCCTCCCACTCGAGCTCCACCTCGCCGCTGCTGCGGTAGCGGACCGCCACACAGCCCATGACTAGGTAGGCGGCGACGACCTGGTCGATGGGGAATTCTTCGTCAGCATCCTCCATCTTCGTGTCGCCATTATCTGCGCCGTCGCCATTCGTGCCGTTCTTGCTGAGTTGTTTTGCCTCCGGCAGCTCCTCGATGCTGCCAAAAGTGCCCTCGAGACCCCATTTGATCAGGTCAACCCCCGCCGCGCTCAGCTTGAGTCGCTGCTTGCAAGCGATGGTGGTGGTTGTGAGACCAGCGTATTCTCGGAGATCCTCGGGTGCCATCAGTGACATCTTGAAGTCGTTCTGGACCAGCACGCCGGTGATGAGCTGTGGCTCTTCCGAGTCGTCGGCGGGTAGCTTCATGGGCTGCGGGATTGACGCCAGTTTGCCGACCACCTTGGCCGTCTTGTCTGTCTTGAAAGGGATGCGGAGCTCTTCGCAGTTGCGCGGGCTGAAAACCTTTACCTTGTCCGTCTTGCTTGCGTTGAGGGACAGCAGCTTCGATTTCAGGCGCATCATATTGTGCACCTCGCCGTGGACAAGAATCTGCGTTGTGTCAGACGTCTTCGGATGGTTTCACGAATACAAAGCATGCTTACCACGACCGGAGCGGAGACCTCCTCAATAAACTCTCTGTTCTCCGTGCCATCGACATGGGCGGCAAACGAGTACTCTTGAACGGTGCAGCGACGAGGGATCATGACCTTCTCAGCGTCACCCCCAGGGGCCCGCCTCCCTCCGGCGGAGCTTCCTTGTCATGACCGCCTGGATCTGTTCGGGCTCCTGCATGATCTGCTTGGCCATAGTGCCCTCGACGCTATAACCTGTGATGATGACGCCGTTCTTCTCGCTGGGCGCCCACCTCTCGAGCAGCTCTCGGCTCACACCATTCTGCAGCATACCAGGACTGGCCAGCATGACGCAGCCGCCGACATCTTCGAAACGGTCGATGCTCTTGAGCGAGCGGATGAACTTGAAGTCCCAGGGCCCGCCCTTGCCGGCGCCGTCGCCGGATGCCTCGGCCTCGGCCATGCGCTCCCGGAATAGCCGTTTGATATTATCGTTCATGGCACCGACGTATGTCTGGTAAACCAACATGCACTTCCGGGCGAGGTTGCTAGCGTAGTAAATGGGGTATCTCTGGTAGTCCCTGTGTTTGCCCCAGTACTCGTCGAGAATGAGCAGCAGCTCTTGGGCACGGCCCAGGGCAAACACAGGCATGAGCACCCGGCCGCCGCGGTTGAGAACACCGGTGATCGATTTCATCAACGCCTGCTCTCTCTCCAGCCGGGGGACGTGCGACGCGATGCCGTAGGTCGACTCGGTGATGAGCACGTCGACCCTGACGCCCTTGGGCACTTCGGCCGACACCAGATGCCGATCCTGCTCCCGAGAATAATCACCCGTGAAGAGTATGTTGAGGCCGGCGATCTCGATTAAAAACATGGCGGCGCCGAGAACATGGCCGGCTGGGTAGGGGGTGATGCGGATAGATGAGATGGTGTGGGTGGTGTGATAATCAATGGCCTCGATCATTGGAAAGGTGTTTAGGTGATCCTGCTCGGTGTAGACGAGCTGGGTTGTCGGATTTGACGAGGTGTTACCGACTCGCACGCTGTCCTGGATCAGCCACTTGTAAATGGCCTTGGTAGGGTGCGTCATGAAGACTCGGCCACGGAAGTTGGTCTTGGCCAGGACGTAGGGTAGTGAGGCCGCATGATCGATATGGAAACTGGCCCCGTCAGTCAGGATAATGTCAAGGAGGAGCGGAGAAGGTATATGGGCTTGACGAGTGCTTCACATAGGGGCATGCAGGGGTGCATGGCGGGCAGGCGGAGAGCAACGGTGGGCAAGGCGACAAGATATTGTATTTTGATATCTCTGAATACACACATGACAGCATGGATGATACATGCTGCGGAGCGGCAAAGAAGCCTCGGGGCCTCTGCGGCAGCCGTGGTGACTCGACAGTCCAACCTCTGGGTGAACCCGCCTCTACCCGTAGCCGTTGCCCAAAGCCAGATGCCGCGAGACTCGTGCTAAACATGGGAGGTCACACAAAATACTTACTGGCTGATGAGGAGCACGTCTACAGTGCTGAGGTCAAAGTCGTCAAAGAAGGGGAGGGCCGCCAGTCCATCGTAGGCGGGATGTTGACCCGCATCAAGCTATGGAGGACGTGTTCATGTTAGCGGAACAGAACCAGTTGTTGTTTTCGAAACACCTGGAAGTGACAAGGGGACCACGCACCATGACTGTCTTCCCCTTGTACTGAATGATGTGACAGGACCGGCCGACCTCGTTGCCGCCACCCAGACAGAGGAACATGAGCTCATCAGCCGGATCGACGGGCTCTTCCGGCGCGGCTGCTGCCATGGCCGACGCCTTCCGCTTAGAAGCCATGGCGTGCGATGCAATTCTGGGGTGTGCGTGCTAGTCTGATGGTTATCTGATGATGATCCGAGTTGGCCCAGTACGCGGGCTCAACAAATCCGGTCAATCAGTTAGTCGATCAATCGGTCAATCGGTCAAACAAGCGGTCGCGTTTCTTTGTATGCGACTTAGTGCCAGCGAAGCGACGTTGGATTCTGCAACTTTCAGTCAGGCAGTTAATTATTTTTCGGATGAATAGTCGATATCGCAGTCCGGAACACCGAAATTTAGAAATCCACAATGGCGGCACTAGCAGTTGTTTCTGCCATTCACTGAACCCATTCAAAGTGGAAATCGACGGGAACAACAGGAAGGGAGAGCGATGCGGCAGGTTTGCATCGAGGTCAAAAAGACTGGCCGTTGCAACCCTGCGGCTCTTTCCTTTCACAAACACGGTTGAAAGCCAAGACCATGAAAAACCCCACCCGCAACCGACCAGGCCCCACTGGCAGCTCGCCCAGCACAGCAACAGAGCAGCCGAGCCTTTCACGTAGCCTTTCACGTGACCAATCCGAACGCGACAGACTCGGCGGCGAGGCACCTGTTTCTGATTTTGAACCCGACCGCAGCAAGAGCGACAGGCCCCATTTCCGCCGCGCCTGCCCTCGCAACCCCATCGATTCCACCGAGTCAACCAGCGCGCGCTCAGCGATTCTACGAAAATACCGTCGATTCGATTAGCGCCGATTAGCGAAAGGAAGCCACCGGATGGGCTGCGCGAAGAGGGAGCTTTGGCCGGCAACGCAGGGTGCGCCTGCTCGGGTCTAACAACTTTCTCTAGAGGCGGGTGGTCGTTTGGCCTCTTTGGGGTTCAGAATCAAAAGGTCGATTGCTTTTACTGAATTCACTTCAGTTCGGCTTTCAGAAACAGTCGATTATTCTTTTTCCAACTCAAAAGTATCGGCGTTTGCCTAGGTTGTTCCCAACTTCTCGACCGGCCGACCGACCGACCAACTTCGCCTTTAGTTCTTTACAACCATTAATCACCCTCCAAACTTTGCTCCTCCATTAAATCACCGCCCGAGAAAACGACGAGATCCGATCGCGCATTGCCCACCATGGCGCAACCACAGTCACAAGCGCCCCAGGCGCCACCGCATCAAGTTCCTCACATGCAGCAAATGCAACAAATGCAGCAGATGCAGCAACAGATGCAGATGCCCCAGATGCAACAGCGACCCTCCTACTCGCCGCCGCAGCACTCGCCGTCGCCCGCCACCGTGCCCCAACCCCAGCCTGGCTACGCGATGCCTCCAAATAAGCGACCGCGCACTTCTCCAACCTCCCCTCCGCCCGCGCTCCAATCGCCATACGGCGGTACACCCTACGCGGCCAGTCCACAGATGCCCGCCGCATCTCCGACTCCCGTTGCCTCGCCTGGTTACTCGAATCTCGCCGCGCCTGCAGCAGGTCCGCAGTATACCACCCCATACGCGAATGGCAATGGCGCGCAGGCACCCGTGCAGACACCGGTCCTCTCCCTCCCCGAGACTCGGCCTTCGTATCCTACGTCCCCCGCGCCCCCGGGACCGCCGGCCGCGCCGACTCCTCCTGGTTCTCAGCAGTACACGACCGCGACCATGGCGCCCATTGCACCGCCGCATCTTCCCACCCCCGGCACGATGGGACCTCCGTCGAAACCTCCGGCGAAGGAAATTGAGTACGACGTGGCGGACTCGCTGGCCGGCACCGGCATCGACCTCCGCGCCGAAGAGCAATACCTAGCCGAGTTTTACGCCGGCACATTCACCCAGGAGGCGAGAACCGGCGCGCCCGCCAATGCACCAGGGAACAAGGGCTCTTTCTATGGGGCCGGTTTGGCAAATCAGCCTGGCGAAACCGTCGCTTCTCTCAGCCAGGAGGCTTACGAGGCCGAGGTGGCCCAGAAGGTTTGGGACGATGCAGCTCATAGGCTTGCGGCCCTGCGCAGCGCTGAGATCATGAACCCCTTCCTCATGATCGCTAACCTGCACCACCGCGTCGAGAGGGTTGCTAAAGAGCATGGACTGGGTGTGAATCTCGATCTGAAGAACGCAAACCCTGCCGGCAAACTCAGGCCCCCTCAGGAGTTCCCCCCTCCCAAGGTCACCGTGGGCACCAAGCCTGGCCCTGAAGGCACCGCGATGGTGACAACCACGGGCTCGTTCATCCCTCATGATGCCTACCTCGTTGATCAGTTGGCGCTCATGTCGGTTGCCACCAAGCATCGGGTGAGAGAGTTGATCGAGGATGCCAACACCGTTGCCATCCATCGGCAGACTACATCCCATGGTGAGATACCGGCCGAATGGGCCGATGTCGCAGTGCCCCTCCGGACCGGTCTGGACTCTCTTCCGGACGACCCCGAAGGCGCTGCGGCTTTGAATCCACGAAAACGTACGGTACCAACGGCCTTGTTTTGTCTGTGCTCTTGTTAACATGCTGTTACAGGTTCCTTTGACGCATATGCGGCTCAGGGCTCATCGTCGCTCAAGGGCGTCAAGCACGGTCCGAGGAACCTCATGGAAGCCGTTCGTGACGGCGCAAAGACCGACCGCGATGTGGAGGAGGCAAGGCTCCAGAAGCGCCAAAAGCGGACTAATCCCGAGCCCGCGCCCGCCGGATCTCGCGCCGGCTCTACGGCTCCCGGCACGCCCGGCGCTGGAGCGGCGCCCGAAGCCGAAAGTGCAGCCAAGGCACCGTCCAAAAAGGAGCTCAAGAAGGGTGCCGCTGCCGCAAGACTGGCCGAAGCCTCCAGCACCGCCAGCACCAACCAGACCCTGAGTACTCTCATGGGCGGTTTTGGTCGGAAGAAGAAGGAGTACTCATGGATGAAGAAGTCGGGCAGCGGCGCCAACACGCCGAGAGCCAATGCGGGAGAGGCCAGCTCGACTTCGGCAGGCGACGCCGCAAAGGTACCCGAGAAGACGACGCTTACATCCGATCCGAGATACCCCCGGCTCGGCACCTGGCGCGAGGACAAAGAGAAGGGGAGGAACATCCAGCTGAGGGATTGGGTTACAGCACTTGAGCTCGACGGCATCGAGGCAAAGGCAGTGCAAGACGCGTACCTGAAGCTAGACTCGTCAGGCCCGAAGGACAGGAGCTAGAAGGCCTCCTAGCACGCAACTTCGCCCAACTCCGGGGCGCATTATCAGGGCGGAGGGGCTTTTGAGGACCATTCCCGGCACTGGACCCCCATCTTGACTTGGCAATCTCCAGAATGCGATTTCCCCACTCGCGCGTGACATACGGGATGACGGCAGCTTTCTGTTGGGATCTCGTCCTCTTCGGCCACGCAGCAGGAAAGGGACGACCGAGTCCTCCCTCCATGGGATGAGACACGATATGACGAAAAACGAGATTGCCTTCTACCATGGGACACGGGCAACGAATGCGATTGGCGCCCTTCCATGTGCGGGATGCGACGCGTGGGACGCCCACGGGCAGAAAATGCCGCTTTTTAAAGAAGGCTTGACCGGAAGGCTTGAGGACTGGACATGAATGGGCCCCCGCTTTTCGTTTCCATTTATCATCTGTTTTAATTCGTGTATTTACTCCTTTTTGAGCTTCATCAGCCAGGCGTTCTGACACTTGGGTTTGGGGGGTTCGGCATCCGGAAACGAAGGGCAAGGGACAAAGACGGTTTTTTACACTACCTGGGAGGTTTCAGTTGACATTGCCTCGATTCCCCCGATTCCCTCAATGAGATAGCACTGCGCCAGTCCCATATGCCCCGTCCTGTCATCTATTTATGATGAACAAAGCGTTACATTTTAGTTGCGCGTCTTTTGGGATCGTGGGGAGGGAGAACGAAAATGAATATTTGTGAGAGGCACGTTTTACAACCTGACTCGTGCAATGTGAGGTCTAAAAGAGTGCGTTCAAGCTGATGATGGTGTTCTTAATTCTCTCGGTCTGCCTTGGCCCCACGTCCATTGTGAATATCAACTCAAGGAATGCAGCTGTAGGGTGACAGTAGGTGTGATGATAACCGCCTACTTTCCACGAGACAACCATCTCGTCAACTTCTTCTCTTTGACGCTTCTAGGGTATCCCGCTCTACTCTCACCTTATTATAGCCGAGAAAGCATACAACCTCATACCTAGTTGCTCGTATAACACAAGTCTTCTATATCTGTTCTCCAACAATTTAACGACCGTGAAATAGGTTCCATCACTTAACTGAACACCAGCAGCCTGAATCACCCACCCTCCTCACCACAACACTAAATGAAGATATATACAAGTCTTCTATTCTCCGTCAAACACCACACAGCCCGGTGCCATTCAAGATCGTTACAGCCCTATCTCTCCATTTACATCGGCTCTTCGGAGATAGTTTTACACCCTCGCTACAGAAACAACGATATCCACCTGGAACAACTGCTCACAGCCAACACCAGAGTGCGTTGTGCATCCCATGGACATGAACCGTAACGCCGCGAGGTCGCTACTGTTGCTGCTGCTACGTTAATGGACGAGAAACCGAATGTGACTTCCCAATCAGGAAACATCTCCTCCACAGCGTCAGTGGTTTAGTGGTAAAATCCATCGTTGCCATCGATGGGCCCCGCGTTCGATTCGCGGCTGACGCATTCCTTTTGCTTCCTTACCTTCTACTCAGGTGTGCTTGAGTGTATTTTTGGCCGTGAAGAGGTGTTAGTGTTCGTGTTACATGGGCACGAAAGGGATGGAGGTTGGGTGGTTGAGGATGGTCTGTTCAGGCTGCATGCACGGTTGATATGGTTGTTTGGACTTGGACTCTGGAGGTAGGGCGATGGTTCGCAGCGGGCGTTCTTGAGATGTCACAGTCTCGAGGAGCGTCAAGATGATACAACAATTTGTCGGGAGGAATGTCTGTTTCATTGCCAAGGCCAGTCGAGATGTCAACTCCGGCTCTCTTGTGATAACAAAAATCCTCCGCGCGGCTCAGCCTCTCGGGAACCCGTTCTTGCATGAAGACCGAATCCAGGAACTTTGCTCTTTGGCTCACGCCCGTCTTAACTCTAGGTCTGGCACCCGAAGCTTCCGAGACGGGCATGGAAGGAAGGGCCATTCTCAAGCCGCCCCAACACAGCCGTCAGCTCATCCTCCTCGCAACCGGCAAGTTCTTTACTGTGTACACACTGACCTCCCTGCTGCCGGTACCGCGAACGCCACAGTCCACAAACCAACAAACACGATCCTCTCGGAAATGCTCCCGATTGCTCGGGCCGTGAAATCGATCGGTCTTCACACCGGTCCAGAAATTTTCACTCATCACCCACCACCAAAGCCACCCACCGTGCCACGGATCTCGTACCCAGGCCAGGGTTCCGGAGGGTTCAGCTGACCCGACCGGACCGCCTGGACGAGATGGGAAAACCCGCCGGGCGGTGATCCCGTCTTTGGGATGTCCGAGCGCGCGGCATCTCCAGAGCAAATTTTTTTCTTCTCTCAGCAGGCCAGCCAGCCTATTAGTGCGGTCGACGTTATGGCTGGCGGGATTTCCCACTGTGTCTTGTCCGAGGAGGGATTTTGGATTGACGGCCAGGGTTATGACTCGTTCTGCCTACCGAGCGTACCGGGACAGGGCTTCGGCAATCGGTCGTGGGTTGTTGTTTGTTGGGCCAACGGCGGCCAGATGGTCGTTCGTCCCCGCCGCCGTCTTGGGGGCTAATTATGTAGTTACGGGGTTCATGCAATCGATAGCAATGACGATCCCCATGTTCCCGGAGCTATAGTCAAGCACCGGTACACAGTAGTTATACATAGTTATAATGCGAGCGTCTGCGCTTCGACCCTCTGAGGGTTTTTGCGACAAGCCCGGGTAGGCCGGGAGGGCTATCCTACCGTTCAAACGACAAGGTCGTGTTGGCCAACGAGTTAGTTAGTTAATGACCGAGGAGAAAAAAAGAGAGAAAAACAAAGAAGATCGTTGAAGCGAAACACAGGGGTCGTGATGAGATCTGCCAATTCTCATTGTTTTCCTTGTTTTCGCTCGCCTTCCCGCCGATGGCAACGGCGACGGCAACAATAAACGGGGCAAATCGGCACGCTAGAATATGGATGGAACCAAACGACCGGCAAGGCTGTAGCCTACCTAGGAAATAGTAAAAGGGATAATAAAACGTGGCCGGTGACCATCACCCTTGGCACGGCGGCTTCTTTGGGCCTGAATCAGCCGAACCCCAGGTTTTCCGGGCATTCGGGCCTTTGGATGATCAGGAGCGCAACTCACTAACGAACGGACGGCGAGCACTGCTGGACCGCTTTGGGATGAAACGCGTCATGGGTGTCAATTTTTGTTGGGCTGGGATGGACGAATAACTGGTGGTTCGTCTCGAATTAGTGTAACCCGCCGAGCCGGGTGCTCGTTCCTCGCCTGGCCGACCGGGGCGTGCCATCGCCCAGCCCAGCAGGGAAAACAACATCCTTGGTGAAGACGGAAAAAAAAGCAGAAAAGTTTAATTAACGAGCGACGAACGCAATGCTCGGCAGAATGTTCATGTGGGTTGACATGGTTGACGACGAAAGCGGAATCCTTCCCCGGTTCCACGCGGCGCCGTTTGACGGTTGGGAACGCTCAGAATGCGACGTTAGGGGGTTGGTGGATTCGGTGAAGCAAGGTGAGGTCACAGTGCTTTGTTTGGGCCGGGTCTGGAAACTGTGACCAAATCAAGTCGGGACCTGACCGGTGAGGTGAGTGGGCACTGATGGGTGAGCCGTGTGTGGCACAACCCCTGGGCCATCCTTCCAAACACAAGGCTTCCAGAAATGTTCTCTGCGACGCGCCGCACGGAGTACCTGCAGCTCTTGGTACCCGCGGCCGGCCCCTGTCAGTTCATCTCGCCCGGGCCGTGCGTGCCTGCGTTAGCGTGAACGGTGCGCAATGCGTCCGTCCAGCCGGAAGCCTCCCGTCACATCACTTTGGGCTTTTTGCAAAACGCGCAACCAGCTGCTGGGTGCTCCGTCGTGGATTGGGAGCGCTGCAGCGCTCAGGCCAGTTTCATCGATCCATGCAGCACCTCCCAGGGACTCTCCCACGTCTCCTAAGGCCGAAGCCACGTTGCAGACATGCCCGGGATCGCGCCCCTAGTGGAGCCTTGGTCGCCGAGGGCCTGGGAGCGAGCTCCAATGAGCCTAGTCGCATCGCCGCGTGATGTTCCGTTGGGTCTTCTGGAAATTTGGATCTGAGCTTACCGAAGCGACACGGTGGGGTCCTGCTCATTACCCGGGCCTCCGTTTCCGTAAAGTCCAAGTGCGTCTTGTGTAATAAACGTTGTAACTAACGGCCGTTAGCCCCGATGCATGGCCGTGTCCTGAAGCGGTATTCGTATTGCTGATGGGTATGCGTGAGAACATTTGGGCAACGGCCGTCGTCTTTGTTCGTCCATCTTTACCTGAATCGGTAACAAAACTGATTGCCGACATGCACGATCTGAGACGACAAGTTGGGGCCGCGATCGATCCATCGTTTTTTTCGTCTCTGTTATATCTGACGGCGGCGATATCAGAGACATGGCTTGCCAAGGTCGGAAGCACCTTGCCGTTTTCGAGCCGGTTGTGCTGTTTGCTGAGTCCGAAGCGCCTCCTGTGTGTGGCATGTTTCGGCCGCAAAGCCCAACATGCGAAGAAGGTCCTTGTGAGTGGCCGTTGGGCGAGAGACATCGAGAGGTCGGGCGGCCGATTATTCGCAGACGCAAGAGCAAACCCATATCGTCACATGATGTGATTTGAATGCGCCATGGAAGCCTCGCTGCACCCTGCATGGTGACGACGGCCGTTTGTCAGTGGTTGGCCGTGGATCAATAAGAAGATCTCCTCAAGCGCCCGCCTCGTCCGGCCTCGCCTTGAGAACCTTGGCGGTTGGATCCGCACAGGGTGCCGGGCTGTCCTTGGGTTTCAGGGGAGCTGTTTGGGTTTTGCAATGTTCATACATGGGTGCAGAGACTGTCCCGGCCCCGAAACTTAACAAACTGCAGGCAGCCCAAGCCCCCATTGGAGCTTGTCGCTTTTGGAAAAGGAGAAGCAAACTCTTCGTCCACAGGAAAAGAAACTACCTGGCCGAGGTGTGGAACATGAGAAGGGTTCGGATCGGAATCGGGATTGTTGAGCTTCTTTCTGAGGTTGATGGGGCTTGGGATCCGAGGTTCAGGATGCACTAATGCAGGTACGACTTCTTCTCTCTTCCATCGGCAATGTCGCGGCTCCGCCTGCATGGTACGGCGTGCGGTGCTCCGTCAGGCGACGGCCGAAACCGTTTCCGCCGAACAGGGGGGTTGAGATCCTGATGAGCCTGTGATTCGATGTTAGCTGTGCCCCCTCGTCAACTCTTTGCACGCCTGCCTGGGCTCACCTTTTTTTCTGATTTCTTTGACGGCGCACGAACGCTTCGGAGTGGCACGATGGCACGTGGGGCATTACCAGAGCCGGATGGTTGACCCGTGGGGCTGAGGACGAAGCACGTTTTCATGTGCCATCGCCCTTAATTTGCCATGCCGGCCGGGTCCATCAGGCGGCGTGCCAGACTCGTTCGGTGGCTTGTGAGGGAGGCAATTCACTCATCAGAATTATTAGCCAGAGGCCTCGCGTCGATAACGAGCACGCGTGCCAGAACGCGATGCCATTGGGTTTCTCGGCCGCCGCGTCATCTTCTGCCGTGCGCCGGGTGACAGCGAGAGGCTGTTGAGTTGAGGAACCGGGTCTCAAAGGCGATGCTGGTCTGTGTGCGTTGAATGAGTGCCTGTTGCATGACATGAGTGTCAGCATCGGAAAGGATGCGGATGGCCCGACCGAGGGAACCGAGTCCAACGTTTCTGAGCAACATTACACAGCAGCAGCTATTTCGAGACGCCCGAGCAGAGTTGTTTGATTGTAGCAAATACGGCGCCTGGCGACACCAATGTTCCCTTCTGCCGAGTAAACAACGCGAGAGGCCAAAGATTGCCATCTCTTGTCTCAGTGCCGAGTTCTGGGTCTCGGACCCGTCTTTCTGGACGCGAGCAACCCGAAGATCACGGCCCTTTCTCGTCGCGTGTTGTCCTCGCTGATTGCATGCGGGGATAATTAGTGAGGTGGTCCACTTCGCCTTTCCGATCGCCTTGGTTTTCCTGAACAAGCCAGGTTAGCAGGCTTCGAGAAGTTTTCTCCCGCTGCGGAGCTGGGGACGGGGACCCTCTGGACGGAACAGGCTCCGTCGACGCCGCCCTCTGTCAGATTTGTTAGTGAGTCCCCACCAAGCTATGTATTCTGCGAAATGCAGCATGATCCGGCTTGTGTGGTGCGAGGCGGGGCTGCTCCTCCTTTTTTGTTATTTTTTTCTTTCCTTTTTTTTTCCCTTCCTTTTGCAAGAGAGCGACTGTTGCTCCGTGCACAACCTGGTATCGATCGCTTCGGCCATCGCGGATACCGACAGGTTGGGAAAGACGGGAAAGGTAAGGGAACTACTGACACTGACGTCGAGGAGGAGCGCGTTTGTCGCAAAGTCCTGCGGTCTGCAGTCGCTGTCTCGGGCACGTGTTCCCTTTATAATATTGATAAATTCGGATCCGTTCAAAAGCACGCCCGTTGTACAGCCTTAGGTCGGCCTAATGGCGGTGTTGGTGTCGTGAGACTTGGCGGTTCCGATTAACTCGGCCGGGGTGACCCAAAAGCCTAGAGCGCTCGCAAACCTCGCAGATACCCGTCCGAGAACTGGTCGGACAAGATTTCAGCTCGCCTCGTTTTCGTCGTGTGGATGGTGCGTACGGCCTCAACGCTCAAGCCCCAGCGAGAGGGGGTTTGCATGGGCTGAGAAAGGGCTCGAGGGGAGCTGTCGTGTCCGGACGCGACCCAGACGACTGCGTGCGTAGAGCCCGTGACACTGTCGCCTGAAACACTACGCGGGGACCCCAATCGAAATGCGATTTTCGTGTGTCAATGTTCCTTCAATGGCCCGCTCGTTCGGGTTCTCTTCTGTCGGCCTGGGCCCTCAGCCGAGTTGCGGTGGGATTCTGAGACGCGCGGATATGCATCCCAATCGTTGTTTCCACTGCCCTACATGCAAACGTGGGATATTGGGCATCATCGCATCGGTCTTGTCATGTAGTGTGCCTCTTTCGCATGCCTCCGCGGCCTCTTCACCTTGGTTGGACGGCGCCAGCAAATCGGTTGCATGCGGGGGCTTAATCTGAATTGGCTCACCGCCGGCTTGCCGACGACGATGTTGCCATCCGACCTGGGCATCGGATGACAGCCCCCACACCTCGGCCGCTGCCGCAAAGCAGGTTTTCACTGTACCCGGCACATGGTTGTGTGTGTGTACTTGGTATTTGCATGAGAGCCTGATCCCGGGTCGAGTCCCGCTGCCGCCGCCCGATACCTTGCTCGGTTTGCTTAACGTTCTGGAAACGGACCATTAACTGCGAGTTGGCAGATACTTGGTATTTAGACAAGCTGGCCGGCGACGCATGCGACGTCTCGCCCGGAAACCAACCATTGTTTTCTTGTTTGGATGTTTGGGTACTCGTTGAGACACCGCAGAATCCAGCTGTGCCAGACTTTCCGTTCGGTCCGCCCCGCACCGGCCATGGCCGGTGTTACTCGGGGCCCCAGGCAGCCAATGAGTGTTTTTGCTCCCAGAAGTCTGCGGCTTTGGCCTGGCGCTGCAGATCACAGCCTCGGTTGAGTCATCGACGTTTGGTTTTCCGGACGGGCGCGTGTTGGGTTGAACTCCACGGATTCGGTCGAGACTATCAAGGTGGGCGTGTTCAACATGTCGCGGGCGAGGGCTTCCTCATATCCGCCAACAAGACGGCAGACGCATTGGGCAGGGTGCCTATTAGAGTTGCCATCGCGCAGACATAGTTTTGTACGATGCTATAGGGCAGAGTTGCCCCAGGAACGGACTAGTGGTCAGATCGGAGCGAGCGCTGCATGCAGCATGGTGTCCAACGTCAGGAGGTTCGCGGCTGCAGGGCATGCAGACTGAGATTGACGATGTTTGGGTGAAACTTGCTTGTCAGTACGCCAACGATGCTAGGTGGTGCATGCGAGTCTCGACTCTGATCTTCTGGCCCGAATGGAGGAGGCCGCTGAGTTAATAGATAACTCGGTGTCTCCTAACTTGTGGGCGAACACCGAAGAGGCATCGACGAGCCGGATCCATGTGGCTGACTGCCTTCCATCGTTGTTGCGTACATGTACCCGGAGCCACTGATCCGGGGGCCCTCTTTAGTGAGCCCCAGCGTGCGCGGCGGACGACACGAGACGTGGACTCTAGTTAGCCAACACTGAGGTCGACGGGCGCCCTTGCTATCAGGTGGAGCCCTAAGAATAGGAATGCATTTGATGCAGTGCCACGACAGTCCTTAGAGGGGTCCGTCTCATGTCGCACACAGATGCATGGATGGATCTTCCGGGCGATGCGCTCAGTGCGAGAGTGTGTGTGGCCGGGGCGTGTCTCGAGTAGTTACGTCTCGCACTTCCCGGTGTTTCGATGTCCGGAGCTGGCAGCGCACCCGGCTTGGCCTTCCGAGACCATGGCTCGTCGATCCGGCCGTGCAGCAGTGCAGTGGTGTCGTGATGTCTGGCGGATGCAGGACCAAAGGTTGCCGTGCCAGTTGGGCACCCAAATCACGGAGGGAGTTAGGAAAACGGACAAACGGGCGCTTTTTAGATACTGCATACCTACCTGCCTACAGTGGGATTCGGAACTGGGGTGGAGTCGGATGCGGATTTCTGTGACGTGACGTATGGGACGGAAGCGAAGCCGTAAATGTGCGCCGGAACCTTATGTGTGTTTGCCCAAGCCAAATGCGGAACTTAGGTCGGGACGGTTGCCGGTTCAAAATTCGGATCACACAGAGCCTGAAATGCACAGACAAACAACCCGCTTGTTTTCGTCATGGTGCTTTCATTGCTTTAGTCCTACAATAAGTTTGCGCTGGAGACCGAAGTGGCGTGCGTGGCTTGGTGGGCGATGACGACTTTGTGTTTTCGGTGCTTTTTTAATTTGATAATTTTTTTTAGTTTTCTTTTTAGGGTTACCAGTCCCCAACGATCTGACCGATTGGGAGGACTGCGGCTCGTGTGTGTCCAATCTCAGCCTGGGCGTTGGTGATGCTTTCCGTTTTTATCGAGCGTGCCCTGCAGCTGCTTCCATTTTGGAGGGTTTTGGGGGCTGCCTGCCCTCCACGTGTTTTGTGAGTGGTGCCTGGTGTTTGGATCCCTCCTTTCCTTCCAGGCATGGAGGTTCCTTCCGTGGTCCCCAAGCAGGCAGTCTAGGATGAGTTTGTGATTTACGACTCGGGCTGTTTTTCCCGCCTGTTCCCCGTCCCGGCCGGCCGGCGGTCTCCTTCATTAATCGCGCTGATCTGCTGCGAAAAAATTTCTGTCCACCGCACGGGCGACATTGCGTCCATGGTCGGCTGTTCCGAAAAGAGAATTCAGGTCCCGGCGGCTTGGTTTTCACATTGACAGATGGACCCACTCCTGGGCACATTCTCAACTGGAACTCATTTTGGGACACCGGCACCATCCATAACGAAGGGATGCAGAGCGACGATAGGGTTGGCCGAGCACCGAGCAGCATGAGCAACCAATGACTACCGTACATACGTGTTGTCTGTCGGGTCCCGAGTTGTGGCCGTCGCATCACAGAGTAGGCCGAGGTTATCACAGAGCGTGGCTTTGACTCTCTGCCTGGCAGGTATTACCGTCTCATCGACACAGTGTGCATGCTCACATCATCCGGCCTTCACGAAGCTCTGTGTAAAGCTGAAGCTGAAGCGCACGCAGGTACCCAGGAACTCCGTACAAGCATGCTCATCAGAGCTCCGTTGTGGGACAAGCAGGCGCACCCATGCCCCGGTCAATCCGCCGAAGCCGTCCGCCCGGCCCTGAAATGGAATTGTCCTGGTGGAACACAGCCTGGGCTGCGAGAAGAGAGGAGCTGAGGAGGGCAGTTTGCTGCCCGTCTGGGCTTGGGCAAACGGTACCACCCCATGCCGCCAAGACACGTAACGGAGAGGACCCCAGGGGTAAAGTACATTGCGGCTAGGTACCGTACCTGAGGACTCGACGCCAACACCAGGGTCCGGGGTGCAGGAGCAGGGGCAGGGTAAGAAAAAAGATCTCTCCCATTTCGTTTCCCTGGTCTCCAGCAATCCCATCCCTTTATTATAAGCCCGACGGCTCCCCTTCCCCATCTTGTCCTTTTCCTTGGTTTCCCATCACAGCTCCTTCACCCTCTTCACCGGGTTCTTCCTTACGGGTTCTTCTCCTGGCAGCCTTTGGCACAGCAGCCTCCTCGATCTTGTCTCTTGTGACGTTATTCTCGACTCCTGACGCTGTACCTGAAACTACACGCAGGACCAACACCCAGGCCACAATTTCCGACCTTGAGAAGAAAAGGCCCGAAGGTACATCAGACGCCTACACCCAGCACCAGACTCTTTTACCTTCCGTCACATCGGCTGCGCCTCATTCCGCGGACCCCCAACTGTTGCAAAAATAATTCGTGCGAGTGGTCATCACGGGATCCATAACTCGCCCTCGGTATCGCCTTCAGCTCGATCCACAGCACCGCCAGGACCGCGCTTATCGGGCCCTGCATACGATTCGGCAGCGCTCCCTTGCATCGTCGCCTCCGGGTTTCACCACTCCCACACTTGTTCCGTCCTTGCTTGTCGCCGGACGAGGTTTCTCAAATGTGAGTCACGGTGACGACCTGCTGAGCTGAGAAGCAATTTCGGCTTGATTGACGGTGCCTTTGGCTCCGGGAGATCAGCCACCTTGCGCTTGTGGCACTGCATCCACATATCTATATATTAGCGCTACGGACTCGGCCGCTAACATGTATCCCTTTTCCGTTCCAGCTCCACCACGCGCACCTGCATCACATCCGTCACCATGATGGTCACATCGTCAGAGCAATTCTTCAACTTTGGGAGGGGAGCGTACGACACAACCGGGGTCCCCAAGCCGCCGCCGCCCAAGCCTCGGTAAAGATGTTGTCGAGTCCCCCATCGGAGCGCAGCACCGCGCCTCCCATTGTTTGCGCCGATGCGGATCATCGGCGCATATCGGCCGATCTCGGTGCGGATAACACCAATACGAGATTGCGTCGGTTGGGCAACGACACAGCTGCAGACTGATCGTCGACAAGCGTCTCTTTTCAACATCTTACGATACTCGATTTTAATCACGGCTACAACACTGCGCCATCGACCTTTGTCCACGATGGCGCTCCCTATTCGCATTCCGATACAACATTTTAATCACCATTCCTCACACGATAAACATTTTGGCTCGCGGCCACTTGCTTCCCAGTAGCAAGGAAGGGAGGCTTCATTCCGGCGGTTTTATTTTCCTTTTGATTCGATTGCACGGCGTTCAGAGATATAGACGGGGCGGATTTGGAGGGGCTTTCGGCGGGGTGACTTGAGTCACTTGTCACTTTGCATCCCGTTTCCGCGCACCGCATCAACATTGCGGTGCCAGCGCAACTTCCAGCTGGCACGACACCTGGATCCGAGCCATCGACACCCTGCTACAACGATCCTGACCTCCTAATTTGCCTGGCTCGGTGCCACAGTTCCCGGGGTTCCGTGGGCTCCGACGTCTCGCCGCCATAATCGGTCTCGATCGATGATTGCCTTAAGGGCATGGGTCGTCTTTGGGCTAGGATTGAAGCCAGCACGCGTTTTCCTTTTTGCGGTTCAAGGGTTGTGGGATTTCGGCTCTACGGGAAAGACTTGGGCGGGCAAAAAAGAACTGATTTGATTTGGCATATAGACTCTTTCCTTGTTTTCTTTTCTCTTACACCTGTAACACTCTTCTTTTTCCCAGGTGGCGCGTTCTCCTCGCGGAGACGAGTCACCGACACCACGGCAATGACCCCTTTCCTTTTTCACACCATGTTTTCAATACTGTACACAAAGACGGTTGGAGCGGAGGAGTTTTTTACCATTCAGGCCACGAAGGGTGCTGGGCTGGAACCAGGTACAACGAAGATACCCCCTGGTGTTTAGACAAGATGTACACTATAAGACGCGCGGTGGCCGCACAGCTCAGAGCTTAGCTTGAAGTGATGGATATTCGAGATTCGATTTCATTTGCTCAAACATGTGCGCAACGTGGCGAGTCCCCGCTCATCTCCAGGCTAGTGCCATTCGCCCCAGCCAAAAACAACAAGAAACAAACAGCTGAGTGGTGAAGGAGTCGATCAGGTGGCAGACCATGGCAGCACGTGTCACGGGGAAAACAGCCAGGCTTGTTGGTTTTCGTGGCGACGACCGACTGCGAATGGGGAACCCGGGTCCATCCGGGTGGTGACTCCTCAGGCTCGAGGTATCACATCAAGTGCTCGCACCGAGCCAATACCCGTAGAATAAGCAAGCACCAAGTTGGCCCAACTAAGAAACTGGACTAGACGAGGGAGTCATGCCGACTTCACGCTCACCAAAGGTCCCGGCCTCATCGCGGTTGTACTACACTATATCACGGACGTATGTGTCATCAGGGGCTGCGCTTCTGCGGTAAGGTAAGCACGACGGACGACCCGCGCCGTCTTGGGCCATCATGATTCATGGGACGGACGGGACGGGAAGCGCCAGCTTTGAAACGAGGGGAACAACCGTCTACATACATTAGCGAGTCGTCTCCCGGATATCCCCGGCAGGATTATGAGTGCCGGCACTATGTGCGCTACATAGGTGGGGGGAGGGGGGGGGGGAGAGAATCGCTTAGCCCTTCTTCTGGAAGGCCCGGGAAGGCCGGAGCTCGCTCCGGGTTGTCTAAGCCGGGTCATGTTGCCGATTTTGGCAATCTCAGCGGCGAGCGAGCACACCAAGTGCGAATAAGGTGAGACGAGTGGGTTAAAGAAGGAAAGTGTGTGTTACACAGCGAGGCAGGCTCGGCGGGTTACCGAGGCAGATAACGTGATAGCGTGACAATCGGCGAAACTTGAGGGTTGCGAGGCAACGCACAAGACGGTGATGAAAGAAAGAAATCCCACATCCCTTCCCGCAGGACCGCAGCAACTGGGCTTTTGCCCTTTTGCCCTTGGCCATGCATGTAGCTCTCCAGTAAGTAGGTAAGGATCTTTTGTCGAAATCTGATCAACCTCTTCGACGGCCAAGCCTCAAGTTTCAGGGGCGCGGAAACACCACAGGCAGGAGAAAGCACTAATGCACGCTTAATAAAGGGGAGCAAAAATCGGACAGGTCTCCCAGGGCTGCGGTCCCGGGTCGTCTCTGCTGCACCGGGAACGGCCGCCGGGCGGGCCCCCCAGAAAATAGATGTTGCCTGGCAGCCTGAGTGCCTGGGTGCCTGGGTCGCCGACTGGGCCCACCATCCCAGGTCCTCCAAATTAAATTCGCTCTCAACAACGTGCTCGCACCCACGAGACATGGACACCACCACACTTGACACAATTCAACACTCTCGGGCAATTTACCCCACTCGCACCACGCTTTGGGATACCGGGATCCTCCCCTCTTCCCCCCGAATGGGCCAGAACCAACCACCCAACCGAGCCAACCTCCCCAACGCAACACGCGCCGGGATGCTATCATCACGATCCGCGGGTCCGTCGACGTTCATTATCAGCTTCATTATCAGTTCTGCAGTCATGCTGCACTGCCACTGCGGCGGGAGGGCAATAACGCGCCGTTGCGTCGTATCTGTGCCGCCATGTGCAGCCTGCCGCGTGGGCTGGGCAGGGCAGGAAGGAGGTGAGATGATGACCTGGTGCAGCAGTGGACTTCCTCCGTCGTAACTGTATGGACGGGCTTGGTACCTCGGTACGCCATACCCCGAAATTCAGGCAGGTACCTATGGAGGCTGGTAGGTTAGTGACAGCGATGCTGCCATTTCCTTCACCGAGCGTCTCGGCATCATCCATGGTGGACGGCGTTTCCGTTCATCCCATCATTCATCCCTCCATCGATCCGTGCATCCATCTCCCCCCGTTTCGCATTTGGCTGCGTGGGGGTGTGGAGTGCGAGAGAACGTGGACCGAACTCTCCCTTTCCGTTTTAAAATGACATTGACCACGGACCAGGCTCTCACTCCATGACGCGGAAATACCAAATTTCAGAACTCATCACGGACGCACTGGGCAACAGGGCAATTGTCTCGAAATGACGAGTGGTCTTTCCACGCTTGCCGCCATCTCTTGCCACCACGCGCTAACGCACTGATCTTCCCCTGAGCGATCGCTCGCGTCCCTGGCGCCCCATGCGACCGCCGGCTTTAGCACGATCGACGACGCCGCGGGGTCCACTTTAATCCCGAGCGCCATCCATCCCATCCATGACCATGGCCGGACCCCCCAGCCGCGGAGCGATCCGGTGGGATGGGTCAGTCGCAAGTCGCAAGTCAGCGCCCCCAGTTAGGGGTCCCGTGTTTGATTCAGAGGACGTGCCCGCCCGCTCAACAATTGCCAATCCCGTCTAACTAGCCCACCCGGGGATCTCACAAAGACGGCGCGTTCGTTGGTGTGCGGTGATCTGTCACAATCCATCCATCCGTACGACCGTGCGACCCATTGCGTTTGTTGTTGGCGTCGGGCTTCTGTCTTTGTCTTTGCCCACAAAAGCATCCATCTGCACTCCAGATGCATCCCCGGCAGGCAGATCCTGCACGTTTCATCAAAACCGAGAACCCCTTGGGGCTAGTGGCTCTCAGGGGTGTTCCTCTGAAGCAGCTCAGCTGCTTTTGTTCTAGAAAACCCCACTTCCTTCCATCCCTTTTCCTAATCGGTATCGAAATTCCCCGACTTTCGGCCTCGCACGGTGCTCGGCAGGAGGCACCCTCCACCGCACGCCTTCTCCGAACGCAGGAGCCGTCTTCCGTTTTTCGATTTCCTGAACGAGACGGGCACAGATGCTTTTCGTCCCAGGGATCTGGCTCAGACCTTTCCGCTTTTGCTTCTGCCGAGAGGTCAAGTTGACGGGCAACACATCATTTTTTTTGCCCACAACAGGCCGTCCTGCCTTTTCTTATTTGCCCCTTGGCAACGGAGCAAACACCAATCAACCCAGCAAAAAAGAAACACGAGAAAAACAACAGAAAAACAGTCCAAACCAGATAGTTAATTTGTAATTTACTTCTTTTGTTCCCGACGCAGGGAGGTACATGTACAACCAGCCCAAGTCACCCCATCCCCCCCACCACAAAACGGAGGGGCCCCCGCCTCCCCTCCCCTACCCGATGGAGTGTAGTTATGAAGTTATCTCACATCGGAAACCAAACCAAACCAAAGCAGCAAAGGTAACATCCACCACCGCTCACGTGGGAGCAAAGCATGGTCGGCTGCCCTCCCCGAAAGTGCGATCCCCCCCAACCCGCCCTGCAAACCCCATTCTCCCTGTCTGTCCCTCCCCCCAACCGCGAACCAACGTTGAACTTACCGCTCCCCCGGGTACGAGCCCCCCATCCATCCATCCCGGCTCCCACGCCCGCCCGCACCCGCCCGCCCCGTTCGGGAAGGTCACTCTCCCTTTCCATGACCCCCCATCCGGGTTTGGTGGTGGTGGGGGGGGGGGATAGGCGCAAACTATCTCCTATGAATGTACACATGCAGTTTAGCTCCCAGCACCGATCCGAGTCTCGTGCAGTGCGGGTGGCCCACCACGTGCCGCCTCGCCTTGTCCTTGGCCTGGCGGCCAATCATGCCCGCGGTGAGACATGGCCCGCCTCGACTGCTGGACTGGGTGGTGTGGTGTGGTGTGGTTGTCTGGGATTGGGATTCGCGGCCGGGTTGCGTTGGCTAGGCTGGTTGTGGATGTACATACATACATACATACATGGTGAGTGGGTATTGTACATAGTTTATCGGTTGGGGTGGGGTTGGGGTTGGGTTTGGGGGGAAGGGATTTCCGCTTCTTCTTGATCGGTTGGGGATGATGCCACGAGGGGCGGAACGGCGGGTTCGTTCCGTCGGTGTTCTCGCTTGCCACTGTGGATGGGATGTACATACACACATAGGGGTCGGCATGGGTTGGGATGGCGCGGGCTTTTCCGCGGTGTTTCTTTTGGAAGGGGCTTGTTGCGGGTGTGATGTGACGGACGGTTTATGTGCCGAGTTGGCCGGTGGCTGTTGGGTTGTGCTTGAATAACGAACTACGTATGGAGGGAAACACTGACATGAGGAATTGCTGACAGCGCCACCGACGATGGGGGTCGGTCGACGGAGCGGGGCGACGGTGAACCCGGAGAGCTGGGTCACGCTAGTGCAGGATTTACCGTGCATAAAAGAACGGGGCTGGGCTGATGGCGAGCGCCGTGGCGATGGCTTCGGACAGGGACTGGGTCGCGATCAGAGCAAGGGGCAGAGTTTTCGCTCGCAGGCATGGGGCTCGGGCACGGTACCAGAAGGGAGCCAGCCGGCTGATCGGTCTCCCCGGGTTGGGGTTCGCTGTCGAGTGGCTTGTGCGGACGGAGTCCCTAGCTGAATAGGTAGGTCAAAGCGGCCGAGAGGACGCGAGACGGAGAGGACGCCGGGGCAAGCACTCGGTGCTGAAGCTCTACCGTTGAGTTGTCAGGTGCTGTTCAACATGAGAAGAAAAAAAACGGAGAGAGGTATGAGATACGGAGATAGTAGAGGGGAGAAGGCAAGCAGCAATGAGTAACTAGAAGAGAACACTAATCGGGCTCAAGTCCGTTCTCTTCTTTGTTCTGGTCATAAACAATATTGGGCAGGGTTATAGTAACAACCCGTGATAAATGGTAGTGTGACGTTGTTGAGTGTTTGTGACTTGATAGCGTACCTTCTGAGTCTGGTGATGCAGGGTCCCGCGGGAAACAATGTAGGAAGCTGTGGCTGATATGGTCACCGCATCTGTGTCATTGCGCTCATGCAATTGGCTGGGCCTGTCGACTGGAGACATCTGAAGGGAAAACAGTAAACACAGAAACTGAAAACACTTTAGAACTTTTGGTGGTTCGGTAAACTGGATGTTCAAGTTTGGGATAACATGATCGGGGTGGTGACACCCGCCATCTCAATAATGTTACGGCAATGATCACAACGAGGTATACTTGAGAGCCTGAGACGTAACCCGGTCGAGATTTCTAAGACGGACTATAAGACGGTGTAATGACATGAAGCTGTTGCTCGTGAAAGGGACGAGCAACGGAGTAGAGTGGTAACGATATGTGGAGGATAATATTCCACACATGATGTAACAAACTTGGAAGCAGGACCGAATATGACTTATTTTATCTAACAAAGCTCATGAGCTAAAATGCTCCCTTAGTTTGTTAATTGGCGCCTCAACCCTTGATTCTCGACTCTTACAGCTGGGCGTATACTTGTATGGACACAGGGTCCGCATGTAGCTCTGAGAACCTCATCCGTAGGCACCAGAAACAAGTAACGTAACTCATAGCCATTCAAGCCGCATTTTCTCCTTCAACCTCAAACCGGCTCTCGGCTCCGTGTCTAGCTCCGACTCCGGCGCCGGCACCTGCCCCTAGCTGCAGTGCGGTCCGGGTCCGTATCCGAGGTGGGGCCGGTCAAACCCCACACACAGCTGCAGTGCGGGGCTGAGCAGCTGCTTGCAACGTCAACCAGCAATTGCGGACTTGTCACGGCTGGAACCCAACCACCAGCGGCAGCACACATCGACGAGGAGCAATCGCAACAGCGCAGCTTAAGGTCCAACACCCGGAATCAGCAAAGCGTCAAGCAGCAACACAACCCTTCCTCCCCGAATAGAACGCGAGCTTCCACCCGATCGCGCACACCCCACCACCCAAAACCTCGATTCTCCCCCTCCAACGAAGTCCACACACACGCACCCAAAAGCAGAGCACCCACCCCCACACCACACCATGTCCATCATCCGCGAGCACACGCAAGCGACGCTAAGCGACGCCTGGCGCACGATCAACATCGACGCGCTGGAGGAGGACTCGTCGGTGAACTTCGACACGGCGACGCTGCACCCGAGCACGGCGGACGAGAGCTCGGCGCTCACCGAGGCCGACGTCCGCCAGCTGACGGGCCAGGTGCGGCAGCTGCTGCGCGGGGGCGACGCCGAGGGCGCCCTGCGCGGCTGCCTCGAGTCGCCCGCGTACGGCGCCGCCGAGCCCGCGCGCGAGGCCGCCCTGCAGACGGTGATTGAGGTGCTGCAGAGTATTAAGGCGAGCGAGATGACGCCGATGCTGCAGCGGGTTTATGCGAGTCCCGGGGGGAGTGAGTGTTTGGATGTGTTGATGAAGTATTTGTGCGTGCTCCTTTTTTTTTCTCCGCTTTATTCTTGTTTTGTTTTGTTTTCGCTTTTCCCATTACACTCGTCTTGTCCTCCCGACCTGTGAGACTGGAAGCTGACAGAGAGGAAACAGATACAAGGGCATGGCGGCCACGTCGTCCGCCTCTTCCGGCAGCGCGCCACGCACACCGACTCGCATGACGCCCCAGCAGACTGGATTCAGCCAGATTGGCCCGCGGCCCGGCGCCCCGACCGAGTCGACCGGCGCCGCCATGAGCGTGCTGCTCAGCTGGCACGAGAAGGTGGTCGAGGTGGCGGGGCTGGGATGCATAGGCCGGGTCATGAGCGACTGGCGGAGGGTGTAAGGGGAGGAGGGGTTATATGGCGTTGGGGAACCTGTCTTAAGGTGACGTTTAGAGCATCAAAGCAAGTCGGGGTTTATAGACATGGCGGCGTTTTTCTGTGAACTCGGGCGCCTGCCAGCCATTGAACGGATGGTTCGGTGATATGGCTTGGGAAGTCTTCCTGCCTGTGGTATTTCGTTGTTGAGGAGGCTCCCGCCGGACTTCTGAATCTTCCCTGTCTGGCAGACCACGACCTGTTTAAAACGGTAATATGGGATAACCAACATGTTTTTCACACTACTCCTACAGCCAGCCCGACTCTTGGGCCCCCTCTATTTCGCCTCCAAGATATCCTTCAGATTCACCTCCCCGCTACCCCTCTTCAACGGCTTCGGTTGATTCCCCCCTTCCTTCCACCCGATCATGTGAATAATTCTAAACGTCGCCGGCAGGCTCCCATCCTGATTCCCATGCAACGCCCGATATATTCCCTCATTCGCCAGCAGCACATCCCGCCCGATCGCGCCCATCTCCCGCCCCAGCACGGCGTTCCCCTCCCCCATAGCCTGCAGGTCCTGCATCAGCGCAAAGGTATCCGGATAGTCAACGACAATATCCTCGACATCCACCGTCAGCATCTGGAACCCGGCGCGGCCCAGCAGGCCGCCAACATCGCGCACATCGGCCAGGGGCGAGACGTGGGGCGAGATGCCGCCACGGCGCTCCTGCTCGGCCAGCTGCAGCGACGTGCGCAGCTCGAACAGCGTGTCGCCGCCCAGCATCGCCCCGATGAAGGGGCTGTCCGGCTTGAGCACGCTGTTGATCTGCGCCAGCACCCCGGGGAGGTCGTTGATCCAGTGCAGCGACAGGCTGCTCAGCACCATGTCGAAGGAGGCCGGCTCGAAGGGGAGCGTCTCGTCGTCGGCGAGGACTTGCCGGGTTAGGTCGAGCTCGCGGTTGAAGGGCAGCTCGTCGTCGCGGTGCAGGAGCGTGGCGGAGGAGTCGGCGGCGATTAGTGAGGTTATTTTGTTGGCTAGCGGCGGGGAGGTTGGCGTGGCTGGGTCCGGGTCGGGGTTCTCGCGGGTCAGGGCGCGGGCGATGTTGCACGAGTTGGCGCCGAGGTCGAGGACGCGGGGAAATTGCCGTTTGATGTCCTGTCGTTTTTGGTTGAGGTTAGATCTAACTCCGTCGCATTGTTCTCGAGTGCTGGCTTACCAGTAACCTCTCACACACTCGCATGGCCACCTCATCTTTGAGGTAGTCGGCCTGGCGGCTGAGCTCGGGATTGGCGGCTGCCCGCTCCTTTTGGTGCCATTTTGAGCGGCTGTTGAAGACCTTGAAGACGGCGCCGCCCGGGGCCTGGAACGCGTATGACCGTCGCGTGCTGGGGGTTGCAGTCTGTAACCGTATGTGTTGCGGCCGACAGGCTCGGGGCAAGTTCAGCCGCATTCTCGGGGTGTTGGCAGGCAATGGCCTGGCATTTTTGAAGCCGGAAAGTTCGTGATGTCAGGACTGGTTTTGGAGATGGATGGATGGATCCCACCTCGGTACCCTTGTCAATCGATTAATTGGGATATTTAGGCCGAAGGCGGATTAGCGCCCGGGCGCAACTGCCACTGAGACAGAACACAAGCACGGCCCATGCGGGGACTCGGGGGCACTGGGCGCCATTGAAGATCAAGGGGATGCAGCAACAAATGCGACAGTGCTGTCTTTTGCTCCATCTTTTTGTGGACAAGGCGACAAACACGTCCCACAGCAACCCCTGAACCAACATCATTGTCGCCGACCATCTCGACGACTTGCCGCGCGCATTTTCCGGACCCGATTCTTTTCGAACCTCGAACCCACGACGCGTATCGATTTCCTCGGACGCCGAAAGGGAGATGCAGGAGGTTAGGGCGACTTTTGCTCGGTGACCTTGCACGCGCAACTCGACAAGGAACAGGTCTTCCGTTGCTCCGCCATCCTCGATTCTTCTTCTGCTCGACGTGTTGATATTCCCCGACGATGACGATGATGTGCTGAGAGATCCGGTACATCTACACCACGTCGTCCAGCTGTATTTTACACGCCCGACTCGACAGGTTCCGAGGGGGGAAAAGGGCGGATATCGAGAGGGGAGACATTCCTTCACCCTGGGGTCAGCACAAATTCGGAGATACCTCTGAGCTATCAGGCGGGCAGGCTTTAGCCATCCATACAACATGTCGTCCTCAGGCCCTACTGGCTTCCTGGGCCGGTCCAGCAGCAGCAATGCGAACATGCGCGGACTGGTCCAGTTTATTGCCGACCTCAGGAATGCCCGTGCCCGCGAACTGGAGGAGAAGCGGATCAACAAGGAGTTGGCCAATATTCGGTACGTCTCTCACACCCTTGGAGCGTTGTCGAAGTGATACTGAACCGCCGCGTGTTTAGTCAAAAATTCAAAGGTTCGCGACCTCCCGTAACTGTCCGCGCTGGGCAGGATGCTAACGCAATGTAGATGGTAACTTGAGCGGATATCACAAGAAGAAATACGTGTGCAAAGTGGGTGGCCCGATGCCGTAGGATAGGGACGTTGGCTGATGCGGAACAGCTTCTCTACATCTACATCCTCGGCTGGAACGTCGATTTCGGACACCTGGAGGCCGTCAACCTCATCTCGGCAACCAAGTACTCGGAGAAGCAGATTGGCTACCTTGCCATGACCCTATTTCTACACGAGAAGCACGAACTTTTACATTTGGTGGTCAACAGCATCAGGAAGGACCTGCTCGACCACAATGAGCTGTTCAACTGTCTTGCGCTGCATGCCATCGCAAACGTCGGTGGGCGGGAGATGGGAGAGGCGCTGAGCCCCGAGGTTCACAGGCTATTAATTTCACCGTACGTTCTGGGACTCGGATTATGTCGAGCAGACCATGGCTGACCCGGGGTAGGACTTCAAAGGCGTTTGTGAAGAAGAAGGCGGCACTCACCATGCTGCGCCTTTACAGAAAACACCCGGGCATTGTTCAACCGCAGTGGGCAGAACGAATAATATCCCTACTGGACGATGTCGATCTCGGTGTTGGTGTATCTGTGGCCTCTTTGGTCATGGCCTTGGCCCAGGACAACCCGGACCAGTACAAGGGCGCATATGCCAAGGCTGCCGGGCGACTGAAGCGCATCGTCATTGACGGGGAATACGCGCCAGATTATTTATACTACAAAGTGCCATGCCCATGGATCCAGGTCAAGCTTCTCCGGCTGATGCAATACTTCCCCCCTTCAGGTACGCCGAGCCATGCCCACACCCAACGCAGGTCATCTGACACCACGCAGAGGATAGCCATGTCCGCGGCATGATCCGGGAGTCTCTGCAAAAGACCTTGGATCTCGCTTTGGAGACGAATAAGAACGTGCAGCAAAACAATGCTCAAAACGCGGTGCTGTTTGAGGCTATTAACCTCATCATTCACCTCGACACAGAGCATGCGCTGATGAAACAGATCTCGTCACGCCTCGGCCGGTTCATCCAGTCGAGGGAGACCAACGTCCGGTATCTAGGGCTGGAAGCTATGACTCACCTGGCTGCGCGGGCGGACACGCTCGACCCGATCAAGCAGCACCAGGAGGTCATCATCGGGGCACTTAAGGACAGAGATATCAGTGTCCGGCGGAAGGGCCTCGACCTGCTGTACAGCATGTGCGACTCGTCAAATGCCCGGGTTGTCGTCGGTGAGCTTCTCCATTATCTGCAAAATGCCGATTTTGCGATCCGGGAAGAGATGGTGCTCAAGATCGCCATCCTGACGGAGAAGTACGCCACCGATGTGCAGTGGTATGTCGACATATCCCTCCGCCTCATTGCCATGGCGGGCGACCACGTCAGCGACGAGGTGTGGCAGAGAGTGATCCAGATCGTCTCCAACAACGAGGAGTTGCAGGTTTACGCGGCCCAAAACATCCTCCAGTACTGCAAGCAGGACCACGGCCACGAGACGCTGATCAAGATTGGCGCCTATATTCTCGGCGAGTTCGGGCATCTCATTGCGGAGGAAAAAGGGTGCAGCCCGATCGAGCAGTTCCTGGCACTCCAGAACAAGCTGCCCGCATGCGGCTCGAGCACTCGGGGCATGATCCTGTCGTGCTTGGTCAAATATGTTAACCTCTTCCCCGAGATCAAGCCGCAGCTCATCAACGTGTTCAGCGTTTACAGTCACACCCTCGACCCGGAACTCCAGCAGAGAGCTTGCGAGTACCTCAGCCTCGCGACTCTGCCGACAGACGACCTCCTCAGGACCGTCTGCGACGAGATGCCGCCATTCCCAGAGCGCGAGTCGGCTCTGCTCTCCAGACTTCACCAGAAGCACGGTCGGACGAGCGACAAGAGAACATGGGTGGTCGGCGGAAAGGACGCCAATGCGGACGCGGCCGAGCTAACCATGGCCAAGCAGGGAGGTCTTAAGAGGACCTTCACCGTGAACGGCCAGGTCGACGGCCGCACACCCGCAGCCAACGGGCACTCGGCCGCCAACGACCTCGCGGGCCTCGACATGAGCAACCTCGGGCCGGCCGAGGCCAAGGCGCTCAAGGCGCCCAACCTGGCCAGCGCGGCACACCTGTCACCCAACTGGGAGCGCGGCTTCAACCGGCTCCTGATCAAGGCCGACGGCGTGCTCTACGAGGACGGGCAGATCCAGGTCGGGGTGCGGTCCGAGTACCGCGGGCAGATGGCGTGCCTGATCCTCTACTTCACCAACAAGACGCCCGCACTCATCTCGTCCTTCACCACCACGCTGGACCTCGACGAGTCGGAAAAAGCCAACCTCACCTGGGACGTCAAGGGCCTGCCCGACACGACCATCGCGCAGGGCGCGCAGGCGCAGCAGGTCATCATGTTCGAGGCCAAGCGCGTCTTCGACAAGAGCCCCACCATCCGCATCAGCTACCTCGCCGGCGCCCTGCAGGCCCTCACCCTCAAGCTCCCCGTCGCCGTCCACAAGTTCATGGACCCGGCCGACCTGTCCGCCGAGGACTTCTTCAAGCGCTGGAAGCAGATCGGCGGCGCTCCCCGCGAGGCCCAGCACATCTTTGGCCTGGCTGGCACCGGCGCTGGTTCGCGCGCTGGCGAGCGCGAGATCACCGAGGGCTTTGTGCGTGCTGTTGTCGAGGGCTTCCGCTGGGGTTTGCTGAATGGTGTTGATCCCAACGGCAAGAACCTGGTTGGTGCGAGCGTTGTGCATACCTCGGAGGGCGGCAAGTATGGGTGTTTGTTGAGGCTGGAGCCGAATTATCAGACCCAGGTACGTGTTTTGTTTTCGGCTTTTTGGTTCTTGGTTTCATCCCTTTGGGAGGAGGCAATATGGTGTGTTGACTTGTGTGTGTTTTGCAGATGGTGCGTTTGACGATCAGGGCGACCGAGGATGCCTTGCCGCCGCTGCTGCTCAAGATGATGCAGGAGCGGCTTTCCAGGGGCGTGTCGACGGCGCCCGAGAGGTTTACGCCGCCTACGGTGAGCGAGATCTCGGACGCGTTCAGGGGTATCATGGTTACCACGAGCAATAGGTGAGGAGCCTGGCTTGGCTAGGTGGAGTGGGGTGGGGAGGGGTGAACGGGGGAGAAGAGAAAATACATACCCTGTTCCTCTGTCTTGCTCGGGGGCGCTTGTTCTGGGATCGCCGTGTTGGGTCAGTCAGTTGGTCACTCACTTGCTCACTCGGGGGAAGAAGAGGTGGCTTGGGATGGATGGAGATTGATGCGACAAAGTGTCTGCTATCATTCGCTGGTATATCTTGGCTGGTTGTTATAGCAACTGTAATGGATTACTCATTGAAGTCGATGATGACGCTACCATATGAGGGATTCACGTATCTATGATTCAGACGAGAAGCTTCAGCACTGAGCTCGCACGTAGGTTGAGAAGGACGTCCTCGGGCTTCATCTGGTAGTTACGGGTTAGGGTCAACTAACGGGCTGCCATGCATGAGAGCGTCAATGGGATCGATCCAGCATGTGCCAAGACGGCTCAGTGCCCCGCAGCGATGATCAGGCGGCCCAAGCTCCTGACCAGGACTCGGCAGGGGTGCCAGGGAGCTTCCATGTCGGAATGTCTCCCGCACCCGGAAGGCAGCAGAGAGCTCCGCCTTTCATTCGACAGCATTCATCCATCTCGAGTAAACTTGAACTTGGAACATTCACGACTTTCAAAGAACAGGCCAGGCTGCCACAAGCCCCGGTTGCCTCTATCAATTGTTGTTTCTAATTATTTATCCTCTCTCTATCGCAACGCGAACTCGCAAGGGCAGACGCATCTCCCTCACGGCAGACCTCCGACGCCATCGTCCCCGGTTCCCCATTCATCCTCCTCCTCTTCCGCACCACCAGACGCAGGCAGCCCCGCAATCGAGAACACCCTTCTATCATACTCGGCGCACACACCCGTAGATCGAGCAGCCACCATGTCGGGCAACAAACTCAACTTCGTTACCTTCAACCAGGACCACAGCTGCCTGGCTGTCGCTACCAACAAAGGCTTCCGAATCTATCACACCGACCCCTTCAACAAGATATTCAATAGCGATGAAGGGAACGTCACCATTATCGAGATGCTCTTCTCGACCTCGCTCGTCGCCATGGTCCGCTCGCCGCGCCATTTGGTAATACAAAACACCAAGGTAAGTCAGACACGGCTTCTCCTTCTACCACAAACTGGTTCACGCTGACCGACTCGTAGCGCGGTTCCGTCATCTGCGACCTCACCTTCCCGACCGCCGTGCTGGCCGTCCGCCTAAACCGGAAAACGCTGGCTGTAGTGCTGGAAGAAGAGATCTACGTTTACGATATAGGCAACATGGCCCTGAAGCACACTATTGCGACGTCGCCGAACCCGAACGCTATCTTCGCTCTCTCGCCCTCGTCGGAAAGGGGCTACATTGCATATCCCATGCCGAAGCCGCGCGAGGACCAAGGCGAGAGGCGGCCCGCCCACGCGCCGCCCCTCTCGGAATACGTGCCGCCCACCTCCGGTGCTCTCATGGTCTACGACACGGCGTCCGGGAAGGCGGTCAACGTTATCGAGGCCCACAAAATGCCCCTATGCTGCATCGCCCTGAACAACGAGGGCACCAAGGTGGCCACGGCTTCCGAGCGCGGCACCATCGTGCGAGTCTATTCCGTCCCGGAGGGCAATAAGCTCTTTGAGTTTCGCCGCGGGACGATCCCCTCCACCATCTACAGCATGTCGTTCAACCTCAGCTCCACTCTTCTGTGCGTCTCGTCTAGCACCGAAACAGTCCACATCTTCCGTCTGGCCAGCGCGCAAAACACTACTGTGGGGGGCGCTGCCCCACCCCCGCTCGAGACACCAGGAAGCCCTCGTGCCAACCGCTGGTCGCGATCGAGGAGCATCGACGGTAGCGAGTACTCACCTAGCGGCGATTCCGACTCGTCGCCTCGAGGCGAGACGCCCGAGGCCGGGCCCAGCGGTTCCTCGGCGGCCAGGAGGCAGAGCGGAACCTTTGGCAGCATGCTCCGGCGGTCGTCGCAACTCGTTAGCCGCAGTGTTGCCGGCGCCGTCGCGCCCTATCTCCCACAATCCATGACCGAGATGTGGGAGCCGCAGCGCGACTTTGCGAGCGTCAAGATCCCCAAGCCGACCAACCCGAGCGGGGGCACCGTTCTAGGCCCCGTGTCTCTACCCAGCGTGGTGGCCATGTCCAGCAATTCGCCGCAAGTCATGGTCGCCACTAGCGACGGCGGCTTCTACGTCTATACCATCGATTTGCAAAACGGCGGGGAGGGCTGTCTCCTGCGGCAATATAGGTTTGTTTTAATTCTCCTCCCGCACTCTGCTACCCATGCTAATCTGTGCCCTCTAGTGTGTGTGACTTTGGGATGAACGCCTCTGGATACGGTTCATAGGCATCGACCGACTCGTCCGACTTTTCAGAGTCCCATGCTGCGCCTTGTCATTTCGGACAGCCGGCACAGGGTCCCCCCACCGATTATGTCCTCGTAGAGGTCCCGAGTTCCGAGGATAGGTCCCTCGTTGCCGATTTGTGCGATTCCTTGGAGAGCTCGATTGACACAATGGATCAGGCGTGCGTGTTTGCACCGTCATCCGCCGGGTTCCCTGTTGCAGTGGAGAGCTCGGAAACCGCCGAGGAAGAGAAACTGGGACATGACGACACGGCCCCTGCGGTTCCAGATGCGAATGGCTAGCCGAGGTGATGTGGGCTAACGGGGAGTTGTTGCCTTTTTCCCGCCCACGTTAAGCGGCGTGTGAGTTGGTTATATAGGTCTTGATTTTACGGAGTATGGGTGGATGGGCGAGCGTCATGGGTACCTCGGGAGTCAGGGCTATGGGCAACTGGAACTGGAACGGGGACTCTCCCAGTGCATAGCGTTTGGCGTTTGGTTTCTGCCTTGGCCGATATTTGTATTTTCGTCAAGGGTCCGAGTTGAGAGCGGAATATTAATACTAGTCACTTTTCGAAGAGCAGTCGTTGCCATTGCTAGAGTGATCAACAACTCGAGTGACAAGGTAACCAGGGCCACGGGGGTCTTGTGGCGGTAAAATCGATGTTCATGGTAGGGTTGCCTCGGGATTGCAATCATTTTGTTGTCTCGTCACTTTTCGATCTCATACATGGCAGAAATCACGTAGGGGACGCCAGGGCGACATTTCGAAGGCAGCTGGGATGGATGAATTCATTTGAATGCTTCACCGTCGCCCCGCTTTGATACCTAGAAAACAATGAGGATAAGAATCAACACCCATTCGTTATACCGAACACATCAACGAGACACAAGAACAAGGCGTGCTTCAATTTCACAAAATAACCTCGTTTTCCGTGGTTGGCCCACAATCCCATCCAGAGCCTCCCCAGCCCGCCCATATCCAAGAGAAGACCGAGAAGTAAACAGAAAGCAAACAAACGCATAGCGCACTGAGAAACAAGCCTTGGACGCCAGGTCATCAACCGAATCAAACCCTTCAAATCGTAACAACCGCCCATCCGCATATCCAATGCCATATCATACCTATAAGAACATTCCGCCAAAGGATAAAGGCTAATAATTCGAAGATCGAGCCCCAACAGAAACAAAGAAATAAGGAAGCCGGAGATTGCTTGCGTAACTAAAACAGTATATGGAATGTCGTAGGGAAAGGAAAGAAAGGGGAGTGTGTCGTCTTGACAAACAGGCAAGGTGAGTGAGCCAGAGGCTAGATAAAGTAGGAGTGGAAGAAGGAAAGCACTCCCACCGGGGGAGGTGCCCACCCCCTTTTTGCTCATCCAGACAGCCAGCCAGCCAGCTCATCGAGCATAAGGCTTATTCATGAGGGCGATCTCGCGGGCGATCTCGCCCCACTCCAGCTCGCGCTTGAAGCCGCCATCGGCGTAGTCGGCGGCGTCGAATCCCCCTTCTCCGTCACCATCACTACCACCACCATCACCGTCACTACTACCACCGCTACCACCACCACCACCACCACCACCACCACCGCCGCCGCCGCTGCGCAAAAGCTCCTCCCACTTGAGCAGCTCGTAGGCGAAGCGCAGGTGGGGCTGGATGATGACGTTGAGGCGGCGGGCGCGCACGAAGCAGTAGGCGCGCGGGAACGACATGCGCCGGCTGCGCATCACCTCGGCGATGCAGATGGTGGCGCTGCGGGAGACGCCGACGCGGCAGTGCACGAGCGTTGCGGTGCCGTTGCGGCGGCCGCGGTCTGTTTTGGGGTGTTAGTGTTGTTGTTTATGTTTTGTGTCTCGCTTGGAAAGGGGGTTAAGGGGTGGGGAGGGGGACGGAGGTGTGTAATAAACACAAGAAAAGGAGAAAGGGGGATATCAACAGAGAAGCAAAACAAAACTCACCAATAAACTCCAAACACCTCCCAAACTCCTCCGTCAACGGATCGATCCCATTATCCTGCACCCCTTTAACCAGACACACATTCCCCTCCCCCCACGCCTCCAGCTCCCCATCCCGCCACATGGCTGTCTCGCCCACGCTCAGAATCTGCCCCACCCCCAGCGCCCGCAACAGATCGGGGTTATTCGCATGCCCCAAGTTCCCCAGATACATGTACCCCAGCACGCGGCTCGGAAACGACCCGTCAAACCCCGCCCACCACCGCGGCTCCTCCACCTGCCCCATCACCCCCCCTTCCCCCACAACTCCTTCCAAGGACGACGCTCCTATCACAGGAGAAGCAGCCAGCAGCCGCGGCGCGATGGCGCCCAACAGGCCGACGTCCGAGGGGTAGGCGAACAGGTTGCGCTGGCGGGCGGTGTGCAGGTCCAGCCAGGCCTGCGGGACGGGCTGGCCGGTGGCGAGGGAGTGGTAGGCGACGGCGAGGAGGGTGGATTCGGTGTAGCCGTCGTTGCAGTGGAGGAGGATTTTGCGGGGGCGTGGGGTGGGTGTTGGTGTGGGTGTGCTCATAAGGTCGGAGGGGGAGGGGGAGGGGGATGAGGGCGGTTGTGGCGTGGTGGTGGTGGTTGTTGTGGTTGTTGGGGGCCGGGTGCCGTGGGCGAGGTGGTAGAGCCAGGTGCAGGTGTCGAGGATGCCGTCGGCCTCGGCGTGCGACCAGGTCGGTGCGAGGATGCTGCCGGAGGAGGGGAAGTCCAGGTGGTACTGCTTGGTCTCGTCGTCCGGGCCCTCGGCGATGGTTTGCAGCGCGGTCGGGTTCAGCCGGCCCAGGTCGTTGCACTCGATTAGGACGTCGTAGAACTGTTCCTCCTCTGACCCGGCGTCGGGCGTTGGCCCCAGCCACACGTTGTGCGAGATCTCGGACGCCCGCGTCATCTCGTACATCTCGCGCCGCTCCTGGTGGAAGAAGTCGAGCACGGTCCCCGTGAGCAGCCCCTCCGAGTTGACCGACACGATCTCGGGGTGTTTCTCCTCGAACTCGGCGAAGGGGCTGACGCAGATGAAAGTGTTGTACCGCGGCAGGTGGTGCCGCATGGCGTCGTGCCGGTCCCGCCACCTCTGCTGGGCGGCAGCGACGTCCCAACCCAGCTTCCGCACCGCCACGTTGTCGTTCCCGTAGACGATGATGTCCGAGGTCATGGCCGACTTGGCCGCCTGGATCTGAAAGTTGCGCACCGAGAAGCCCTCCCTGGGATCGGCGTCGATGAACTCGGAGATGGGTCCCCCTAATTGCAGGAACTCGTCCGGCGAGATGGCGCCCTTTAGCCGGGAGACGTTGAGATCTCCGTCGGCCTTGACCACGGTGATGCCGCGGAGGCACGGGGGTGTCCTCCGCAGGGCGCGCTTCCGGGCCATGAAGAAGGCTTGCTGGATGGCGTTGGACGGGTGGAGGCCGTGTAGCCAAGGGAAGACCTGGGAGGGTTCCGGGAGCGGCTGGCGGGCGACATGGTCCAGAGCGGCAGCTACGCCGTCGGCGTCGACCTTGTAGAGAGATAGACGGCCCATGTCCACTCGCGGGTACTTGTCCGGGGGGTACAATAGTGAGCGGGCCAGCTGGTCCTCCTCTTTAATCGGGGACGGCGGCGGCGTGGTGGGCTCCTCCTGGGGAATGGGTCCTGGAGGGCACACGGGGATGTGCTTGTTGGGCACGGGAACGGGGCATTGCGAAGGGTGGGTGTCGAGGGTGATGGTCGAGGTTAAAGAGGAGGGGCGATGTGGTGCAACGGGTCGAGATAAAGCAATGGTCGCCATGATGGTGGTTCACGGGCGTTGTGGTCGTTTTTCTTTTTTACGGAGGGGGATGGGCCAGCATCGACACGAAGGTAAGACGCGACTGGATTGGGGACCGGGGACTCGAGGGGATTCCGAGGTTCGATCAAAGGACGGGTAGAGATGGGAGAGGAGGATCTCGGGATCGACACAATAATATGGGTACGGCTTAAGATGAAATAAGGTGGGAATCAATATTTCGGGATGGGAGAGTAGATAATCTGGGCCCTGTCTGTTGAAGAAGTCCCAAAGAGGGGATGGGGGTCTTTGTCAATTCCCAGTGTTGATCGGGATCGAGAGGAGGGAGGAAATGTATTGGTCCCCAGAGTCGAGGAGGAGTGAGGGGGAGCAGCAAAGCAACACAGCACTGCAGTCTGCAGCCCGCAGCACAAGCAGCACAGCAGCCTTATCGCTGATCCCTGTTTTATGTGAAGCGAGCTGGATCGAATTGGCTGTCTGCTCTTAATAAAACCACACAGTGCAACTGCTGGGCGGCTGATAAGACAGCTGTGGAACGGTAATGGCGTCAGTCGGCTGCCCTTTTGCACGCGCGATGCAAGGGAGAGTGGGAGAGGGACCGTGGTGCAGGTGCCGAATTGCCCACGTGGACCTGGGCCTGAGCGTGCTTGCTGAGCTAGAACAAAGAAGATGATGGCGGGCAAGGTGGGCGTTGACGATGAAGAAAATGGAAATAAACAGAAAAGGGAAAAAAAGGCACCGAGGGAGGGGCACCCGGGCGCTGAACCGACTTCCCCAATTGCCAATGGCGGGGCTAGGTAGGTCCCCGTCTGAGCCCATCGAGGTGGCCACCACCAGGGCGATGATGATCTCTTAGCGACGATCGCATTGATCAAACACGCCCGATGCATGGCCTCCTCCTTTGCGAGCAAGGTTCGAGTCAGAGATATTCGTAGGACACGCGTACGAATGGAGAGTGAACAGCATGGAATCCACCTCCGTTTATATGCGAAGCATGAACAACTCCCGCTAGTGAGTTCCTCAGGTTGTTGAATCACAGAGCTAAAGTAGGAAGTCAACGGTCCAGATCCGCGGGGTCCTTCTTGATTAGGTGGAACCGTTGAGATGCTCCACTCGAGAAAGATTGTATGTAAGAGCCTCAAACAAACCATTGAGCATTGACGCCGTGGAATATGAGACTCTCGAACACTAGTTTATCCAGCGCACTATCCCCCAGCCCGTTGTCAACGACCACCTGCAAACATCATGTTGAATTGGTGGGATTCATCAATGAAGAACGTGGAGTGTGGATGGTTTTGATGAGCTCACGTTCACAGTGTTTGTCGATTTCGAAGAGGAAAGCACACTGGGCCCGCGCCTGCCACTCGCGGCACATGGGGTGCACGGCCATGTATTGCTATTGGCCAACACGTTTGTTTCGGCCTGGGCAGTCCCACATCCCGCTTTAGCCCCGCGTCTCCTCAGTGCTCCTCCAGCATGGGGCGAACCAATCTCGAGCAAAGAACTCCACACTGAACTTTTTTTGCATGCCTGCCTGCACATTGCACACCACAAACTCCTCCCACTTGTTGGTGCAAGTCTCCGACGCCGACGCGGGCCATGGCCGTTTTCTCTCCGAGTCTTGGGTAATGGGCCACCAAGAGTCCAGTGACATTCCGAAACTTTGCGCCGTGACGCACGCTCCATCCCATTCCTCCGGAACTGCCGCGATCCCACCCAATTGCTTATTATTATCGAGCCGGTGACAAAGACCTTTGTTCAACTGCTCTTGTTCCATCTTCACTCTCGAGAACGGCGGCGGCAACAAGCCTCCCAAGCTCGAGCCTACTCAGTACACGAATGAGCTTGATGTTCATGGTTTGGAACTCGGCCTCGTTACAGGCCCGGTGGTCTCCCTGCCCCGAGCAACAGGTCGATCTCGGACCGCTTGGGTGTGTCAGCTGCCTGCTCCAAACCTAGGTACTTATCGAGACGCTGTGGTTGATGTGCGGTCGGGTACGCATGCTGCCTCCCGAACCACGGCTCCGACGGCACGCCAGAACATTCCTTTGCAGCGGAAGGGGATAACGTTATCTTGGGTTCGCGAGATTCCCTGGTACAACCATCACCTGCGACATGGCCCACAGTTTCTTGCTCTCGGGATGCAGACAGACAGTGTGTATGGAATACCCGGACAGGTTCCGGACCAGCAGCGCTGCTGGAATCCGACGCCATGACACCTGACCATGGCTAATACCAAACCATGCTTCTCCAAGCGGTTTAGTATAGTTACGCCCTGAACGGGAGCCTCGGGGTGGCGGGGGAATGCATCACGGGATTTCGTCCCTTTTCGGGGTCACCGGTTCCCGGATGGGTGAAGCCGTTCGAGGTCAACATATGCATCAATTGCGTCAATTTTGATGGGTTGAGGCGCTTTTTGGCTCCCTTGGCCCCTGTCCATTGACGGGATGGACTGACACAAGCCTGAGTGGAAAACAGGGCCCTGTTCATTCCCCCGCAGTCTGGTTGGCGCCGTGTCAGTGCGGGGCAAAACTCGAGCAGCTTTTTGCGGCCCCGCTCGCCGATGCTCGGCACCGCTTTCCGTTCAGCCTCTGACTCCCCCTTCTTCCTTCTTCGGCCGTCTTTTTCGTTTTCTGTTTGTTGTTGTCCACCCATCACCGAGCAGTTGGGTCCAACCACAACCCGCAACCACCGGCCGCCCTATCACCATCCTCGATACACCATATTCGCGCCACCATGTCCAACGGCGCTGTTCCCAACGGGTCCCCCGCCCCGACGCACACCCAGTCGCAGCGCTATCTGAGCACACGGGGCGATGACAGCGGTGTAGGTCTTCCCCCTTCTCTCCTGACCCGGCACGTTGCGCCGCGCCGCGCCGCGCCGTTTATCGCCCGAGAGGATGTCGTCGCTGACGGTCTAAACCACACACCAGCTCTCTTTTGAGGATGTCGTCCTGAAGGGTCTCGCCTCCGATGGCGGCCTCTACATCCCCGAACAGGTCCCCACCGCGTCGCAATGGGAGTCCTGGAAGGACCTCTCCTTCGTTGACCTCGCCTATGAGGTCCTGTCCCTCTACGTCTCTCCCTCCGAGATCCCCGCCGAGGATCTCAAGGACATCATCCGCCGCAGTTACTCAACCTTCCGCGCCGACGACGTCACCCCCCTACTCCCACTCCAGGACAACATCCACCTGTTGGAACTCTTCCACGGGCCGACCTTTGCCTTCAAGGACGTGGCCCTTCAGTTCCTCGGGAATCTGTTCGAGTACTTCTTGGTGCGCCGGAACGAGGGGAAGACGGGGCGGGACAGGTATCACCTCACGGTGGTGGGCGCAACAAGCGGTGACACGGGCTCGGCCGCCATTTACGGCCTGAGGGGAAAGAAGGATGTTTCAGTTTTCATGCTCCACCCCAAGGGCCGTGTGAGCCCGATTCAGGAGCTTCAAATGACCACCGTGCTGGACGCCAACGTCCACAACCTGGCCGTGACGGGCAACTTTGACAACTGCCAGGTCGGTACCCTACCTCCCTCCGTCTTGAGGATATAGTAATGCTTACGCCCCGTCAAGGATATTGTCAAAGCCCTCTTTGCCGATCCCGACATCAACTCGACGCACAAGCTCGGCGCCGTCAACTCGATCAACTGGGCCCGCATCCTGGCCCAGATTGTCTACTACTTCTACTCGTACTTCTCCCTGGCCCGCCAACGGCCGGATTCCTTCAAGATCGGCGACAAGGTCCGCTACTCGGTCCCCTCGGGCAACTTTGGCGACATCCTGGCCGGCTACTTTGCCCACCGCATGGGGCTGCCCGTCGACAAGTTCGTCATCGCGACCAACGAGAACGACATCCTCGACCGCTTCTGGAAGACGGGCCGCTACGAGAAGCAGGCCAGTTACGGCTCGGCGGCCGAGGGCGGCCTGGAATCCGACGGTGTCAAGGCCCACGAGGACGGCGTCAAGGAAACCCTCTCGCCTGCCATGGACATCCTGGTGTCGTCCAACTTTGAGCGCCTGCTGTGGTTCCTCGCCTACGAGTTCGCGTCGAGCGCGGGCATGGACGACGAGTGGAACAAGAAGCAGGCCGGCCAGGAGGTGTCGTCGTGGCTGGCCGACCTCAAGAACAAGGGCGGCTTCGGGCCCGTCTACAAGGACGTGCTCGAGACGGCCCGCCGCACCTTTGAGAGCGAGCGCGTCAGCGACCAGGAGACCCTCGACACCATCCGCGCCCTGTACAAGGACGTCGCCTACGTGCTCGACCCCCACACCGCCGTCGGCGTCGAGGCCGCCAAGCGCTCCGCCGCCCGCGCCGCCCCCGGCGCCCCCCTCATCTCCCTCTCCACCGCCCACCCGGCCAAGTTCGCCGGCGCCGTCACCCTCGCCCTCAAGGACGAGGTCGGCTTCGAGTTCGACTCCAAGGTCCTGCCCCCCGAGTTTGTCGGCCTCGACAAGAAGGAGAAGAGGGTCAGGGACGTCGAGAACGACTGGAAGGCCGTGCGGGAGCTGGTGAAGGAGGAGGTCGAGGAGGAGCTGAAGGGGAAGAGGTAATGGGGCCTTTTGGCGGGGAAGGGTAATGTGTGTATGATGGGGGTTGGTTGGTGGAGGTAGCAAGGGGGCGGGGAGGATGGATGGACGGATCATGATACCTATCTCTCTGGGTCGATCCGTGGTGCAGGGGCTTTTGCATAAACACTCTAGAGGTGCTCCAAGAATGGGCTGATGAGTTGATACATAGACGGCGCGCGACATATACAGGTAAAAAAATTCAAAATTTCGATGCTTAGCTCAATTTGTTTGGTGTATCGAGCTGCGTCGCGAGCGATTTCATTTATTGATGATACCTTGTTGCCATCAAACAGCCCTCAGCGAGATAACAACCGTGTCGAAGGACGATGTAAGGGGGTATCAGAATGCCTGCCGCTCATTCCTCATTCGAAGCCATGCATAATATACAACAACAACCCATCGGAACAACGACAAAACAACCGCGCGAGGTCTACCCATCCGACCAGCCGTCTCTTTCTTTCCCCTCCCCCGCCATCAACCCCTATACCACCAACCGAACCATCCATGCCCGCAGTAACAAAAAAAAACAAAAGACAGCCCCCCCCCCGCCACAGAAGTAAGTACGCAGCCCCCCCCCTCCCAAACTACAAAAAGTAGTCGCCCGCCCCGCGCCGCCCGCCGGGGATGTGGCGCTGGTCGTCGGGCACGGCCGAGAATATGGAGAAGCGCGTGCCGGCGTCGAGCGGGCTGTTGCTGTCGGCCGTCGACGGGACTGTCATGATGGAGGCCACGTTGCCGCAGCGGTAGCAGTAGTTGGGGGCGGACCAGACGGTCACGACCGACTTTTCGGGGAAGTGGAACTGTGATGGCGTTAGTCTTTTTGGTTTTATTGTTGGGAGGGGTGGAGGGTGTTTTGGGGAGGGGGAGGGGGGGGGGGGTGGGTGCTTGCAAGGGCTGGGTCGGGAATGTAAAAGGGGGGAAAAGCCTCACCTTGTACCCCTCGTTCACGAGCTGGTGGGCGCGGGCGATGGTCTGCAGCCCGTTGACGTGGTTGAACTCGGTGGCGACCTTGTGGCCGAACAGCCAGCCGGCGCCGCGCGGGCTGATGGCCCACGTCTCGATGTCCTCCGGGTCGCTCCAGACCAGGTCGCAGAAGGCGCCCTCGTGCGGGATCTCCTGGGCGCGCGCCACCACGCGGATCTGGTCGATGGTGCGGATCTCGGGGCTCAGGCCCCCGTGCACGCACAGCACCGTCCCGTCCACGATGGCCGCCAGCACCAAAAAGTCGAATACCTGGCAGCACGCCTTCCACACCGACGCGTTCCCGTACTTTTGCTGGCATTCCTCGTAAAAGCCGTACACCTGTGTTATTTGGCGCGACTCGTGGTTGCCGCGGACGAGAACTATCCTGTCCGGGTATCTAGGCAGGTGTTAGTAGGGGGGAAACCCATCGACGAAGCCACTGCCAAGCAGGAGCCGTGGATATGAAGTCCCTCACTTTGCTTTCAGACACATGAGGAGTGTAAACGTCTCCAAGCTGAAGTAGCCCCGGTCGACAAAGTCGCCGAGGAAGACGAAGCGGGTGTCGGCCGATTGCACGCCGGCATCGGCGGGCGGCGCTGTGTGTGTAGTTTCCTCTTGTGGCTCTGCAATGGTGTCGTCGCCGTCGCCGTCGCCGCCGCCGCCGCCGCCGCCATCCTTGCCAGCATCGTCCTCCCCTGCCGCCCCCGCGTTTTTGACTTTGCCTTTCAGCTTCGGGTCCGTGATTTCCGTCGGCGGCTCGATGTCGTCGGATGTGATCACGGTTGTGCTCGTCATGGGCGCCTGCACGTTCGACTCGCCGGGCATGCCGCCGGCCACGCGGAACAGTTCCAGCAGGTCGTAGAACTGGCCGTGGATGTCGCCGCATATTGTGACGGGGGTGACGACGGGCTGGATGTTGGACTCCTCCATCAGAACCTCCTTGACCATCTCGCAAAGCTGCTTCATGACGTGCTCGGGCAGGTAGTGGCATTGCTTGGCCTCCTCGAGCCACTCGTCCAGCCCGGCGCCCGGCCGGAGGTTTGCCGGACCTGGCTTTGGTACGGTGGCCATGGCGCTGGTGTGGTGGAGGGAGGCGGTATTGTTGGTGCGCCTGCGGTCGTGGTTCGAGGGAAGGGGGGGGGTGGGAGTTCGGTAGGTACTGTGGAGGTGGGGGGAGGGTAGGTGGTGCGTGCGGGTCTTTCGAGATTCAAGGACAACGACGACGAGACGAGGGGTTGGTGGAGTGCAAGCGGGACTTGACGGATTGATCGCTCGATTAATATTTTGGAGGAAAATATATAGAAGAGAAATGCCGCTCGTTTCTGGTATTTTCCGTCTTTTGAATCTCTAATATTTTACACAGCGATAAACAATTCGGAAATCATCAGCAGCAGATCTAAGGTAGTCTTGGGTAGGGAGGGTGCAGCAGTGCATTCGTATGTTTGAGCCGAGATTTATGCGCCTTAACAGCGGTTCGAGACCCCTCTCCATCGCCTCGTGCTTTGGGTCATGCCAAGCATTGCGGGCGGCTCGTGGGTTCGATAAGACCGCCCCACAGCCTTATCGCATTCTTCGCGTCGAGTCCTCTCTCGGAGCTTGGATGACTTGACGTGCTGCATGCTCTTGCACTCATCATTTCCCCCGGCCCGTTCACTCTAGTACTCTACCATTACCAAACTCTCGCTATCCCACCCGCAAACGGAGATTTCATTCCTACACGGTAATAAAAGAGCAATCATTCGAAAGCGGAACAAAGGCAGCATTGTCGAAACCGCTTCACCCAGTTTCCGACCCCGCCAATTTCCAGGACGACGACTCGATTGAGAGAGGGTCGGCAACTTCACGCCACACAACCCAAAACTCCGGCGTAGCCGTCGGCGTTTCCGACCGACGATATACAGAACCAACCAAATCAAACACACAGAGCTGCAGAGCGGGACTCGACACCGACATGACGACCCCCCAGCTGCTCTCCAGGAAGACGAATGGCGTAGTAGGTGGTCAATCCTCCGCCGATACGCCGAAAGCTGCAAGGACGAAGGCGCCAGCACAGGGCGAGAAGGTCGTCATCAGGCGTTTGCCACCGGCAATGACCGAGGAGGAATTCATCACCATCTTGGGAGACGAATGGAGAGCCGGGCGAGGCAAGGTCGACTGGTTCTCGTACTGGCCCGGGAAAGTATCGCAACAGTTAGTCGGACCCATATTGTCTCTCGTCTTCTTTCCACTACTAACTCACATTCCCCATAGTCCGTCAAAACCATCACAGCCCTCGCGCGCATATCTGCACGTGACTCGGAGAGACGAGTTGCCAGCGCTCGTGCAGCACGTGCAGTCGGCAACATGGGAGGACGCCAAGGAGACCTACAATGACGTCGCCCTGGTGGCGCCACCTACCATCGAATTTGCCGCGTACAAGAAGACGCCCGGCGAGAAGAAGCGCGTCGACGGGCGACAAGGCACCATAGACCAAGATCCAGAGTTTATGGGATTCCTCGAGGCCTTGGCGAACCCCGATGCGCAGAAGGAGGCTCTGGAGGGTGATCAAGCCGCGGAAGAACTCGGCAAGACGGAGAAGACCACAACAACACCATTGGTCGAGTATCTCAAAGAGAAGAAGGCGGCTAGGGCCAAGGAGGTGGCGGCTGCGAAAAGCGCAAAACATGCGCGCCAGGACTCGCAAGGAACGAAGGGCAAGGCCACCGCTGCGCCATCCGAAGAGCCCAAAAAGAGATCTCGGGATGGCAGGGCTGAGAAGGAGAAGGGGGCGGAAAAGGGGGCGGAGAGACCAAGAGAATCTGTTAAGATCCTCACCAAGAAAGCCGCCGCCGCTGCGGAAGCCGCTGCCGAGGCTGCAAAAGCCGTCGCTGCTCAGATGAAACCGACGCCTTCATCCGGCTCGCAGCCCGGTGGCCAGGAACCGCCGCCCAAGAGCCGTCGAGCGGGAATAGCAGCTGCGGCGCGGATTTTGCAACGTGATCTAGGCCTTAGTCCGGGTAACGCACATCGCAAAGCCCGGCAAGAAGCCGCCAAGGCAGATTCGGAGGCAAAGACCGCGACTACGAAAGAGAATACAAAACCAGGCCCGCAGGCCGCTCCCGAGCCCGCACCACCTCCTACTCCGACCGAGCCTTTGGCATCGCCTGCTTCGTCAAAGACGCAACCGTCCACTTCAAACAGGTCTCGGAATAGAAAGCGTGGTGCTGGTGAGGACGGCACAAAGGGTAAAGGGGAATGCGGTGGCGGGAAAGCTGCGGAAACTCCGGCCCCAACACCAGCAAAGACGCCTATCGCGGTGTTGAAAAGGAAGGATTCCCAGCAAGCTTCGTCTCCACAACCCGCCGCAGCGCCTCCCCCCGCGGGACCTTCCAAGACAACACCATCTTCTCAGGCGGCGACAGTAAATCCTCCTTCGGGGCCCAAGTCTGCATCCCAAAAACAAACCGGGGCTTCCAAAAAAGCCAATGCCCCGGCTACACCAACCTCAGGCGCCACTCGCGCCTTCATCAAGCACGCCAACCATTCCCAGGGCGTCACCGACGCCCTGCTCAGGGAGAGCCTACAGGTATTCGGCACCGTAACAAACGTAGAGATGGACCGCAAGAAGGGGTTCGCCTACGTCGATTTCGCCGAGCCCAGCGGCCTCGTCAAGGCCATGGCTGCCAGTCCCGTGTCGGTTGCACAGGCCACAGTGCAGGTCCTGGAGCGGAAGGAGATGGGCAAGAAGGGGCCGGGACCGGGTGCGGGATCCGGCCCCGCCCAGGGGAAGAACAACCCCCCTTCATCTGCCCCTGCGCCGCCTCCTGCCCCGGCTGCGACCAAGACCCAGGCCGCTCCGCCCGCAGAGCAGACTTCGGCGCCCGCGACCCCGGTTTCCACCGGACCCGCAACGGAGAAGGCGGGCGGGGAGCATGGCAAGCGGGGAGGGAGGAGGCGCGGTGGGAGGGGGAGGGGGGACAAGGACGCCAAGGAGGGCGGCGCGAAAAAGGGTGATGGAGGAGGGGGTGTGTCTACCGCGCCGCCGGCGACTGGTTGAGGGGAGGGGGGTGGTCGTGTCCCCCCCCGTTGGGATCTACACTACGCACGGTGTGGGTTGGGACTTGTCATGAACCGTGGGTTAGAACTTGTCATGGTTTGACGCGTGATTTTGCGTTTGCGGCAATTATTCGTCCATCTGGATGTATGGAGAACGAGCGATTTGATTTGCGTGCGAGGGCACTCTCTCACTAGGTAGCTCACCAAGCTGAGCTAATAATACACCCTTCACTGAGTTGCCCGCCTCCCTTCATCTTACATAACAAGTGTGTTTCCACGCATGGCCTGGGGTGTGAGGAAGTACCCGAGGAGACACCAGCTCCAACCTGAGGAGAGCACCTCCCTGTCACATCATGCCCATGCCTGGTAGTCAGTTGGCTGCTTCTCTGCCGCAAAATAGCTCTGGTATCAGCCACTAACTAGCACCAAGACGAGACGAGACGAGACGGGACGAGGGGGAAATATTGGGCGCTTGCACGCACGGCGAGGCTGAACTCCGAAATCCTTGTGCCCGGATGGAGGAATTTCCCTCGTGTGTGGCGCCCGACGAGTAACTCGGGTCTCCACATATATGTCGGTTCTTTTTTTTTTTTCTCCTTCGCGACTGAGATGAGGAACCCTGCTTGCTCCCTGACGCCGTGCGGTGATGCCGGGCTTGGGGAGCGATGGCTGGGTTGGGAGGTGGAGGAGGGGCGTTCGGGGTGTTGTGCTGTGTTTTGGGGGGGAGTGGTTGGATCCGATGGGTTAGTTTATTTTCAGTCGCTCTTTCTCCGTGCAATACATGTGCTAGTAGTTAGCTCCCTGGCAGGGGAGTGTTTGTCTACATGGATGATTGGTGTTGATACTCCGTTCGGGGTTTCCGCTTACGTCGAGTTCATTCCATCTCGGCGAGGCCGATCCGGGGGCATGAATTCGGGAGGAACACGGAGACTTATCAGGGACATCCTTGGTTTAGTTATGATCAAGATGAGTGGGATATAGCCCCGGAAAATGCGGGGGGTGTGAGGATGCAAACTCTGGCGTGTGAAGAGGAGGTTGTGCTTTAAAACGCCCGCAATAGCATTGATTAACCCAGGGGCACAGCTCGACATGATCATCCATCCACATGGCAATGTCAGCGGCGAGGAGGGCAAGGACGCCACGCCCCATCTTTCGGGAACACGGCATCAACACGGATGGCATCGAATTGGATCTGGTTGCTTTCAAAAGTGCATTTCAACTCCTGCGAGTCGTGGTCGCATCTATGATCCCAGTCCCATGTTCCAACCCGCCCAATGCCAGCGGCATGATACATAACAGAACAATGTTGATTGTCGTACAAAACGCAAGCCGTTGCCGTGGGGACAAGACAAGACAAGACAAGATAAGGAAAAGTCTATCTAAGGTCTATTCGATGCAACCCAAAAAAAATGATACCGTTTCCCCCGCCCCTGCGTGTGATCCATCCATCAATGCCTTGCCCAGACCCGATGATGTTGAACCGATTCCATCCCTTTCGTCCCGTCTTCTCCACCGTACATGCCAAAACGTAATTGTGGTTGATACAACACAATAAACAACAACAACAAAGGGGGTATATGCAGGAAGAAACATCCAAGAAGAGAAAAACAAAGAGTAACCAAGAGCAAGAAAACGACATGTGACAAAAGAGAACAATGCCGATGATGAAACCTGCAGCGAGGTGGACTCGGAACCCACGTTGTGGAAACTGCGGGGTGCGGCCACACCCGCCGGATGGAGTCGGTGGGGCTCTCCCGAGCCGCGCCGACGCCAAAAACATGGACGTTCCCGCCCCGAAAGTGGAGCAGGGAACGGTGTCCGCTTAGCTCAGCCCAGCGAGGCGCGATCTGCCGATTTTGGCTCAGAAGGGTTGTGGCTGACGGCCAGCTGAATGCGGCGCAGAACTAAGCGCCATCCCCAGTCGGGTTGGTTGAATTTGTCCCGAAAAAAAAAAGGGGGAGGCCGCTCGGGGGGTTTCCATTTTTTGTGTGGTGTGGTGTGGGTGTGTGGTAATGTGTGATGTGACGTTGGGGTTCCGGATGAATGTGGGGCTCCGTTGGGCAGCGACGAAACAAGAAAAAAAGCGCGGCCCGATGGGAAGCAAACCGGAATTGGCGGGAATTGGTCAAATCTGCCACGCTTCGCAGCAGCCCATCGCAGGGCTGCAGGAGGGAGCTGTGTCTGGTGCAGGTACCGCCAATCGGCGCCTCATTGAGAGGAATGCAAGGCCGGGACCAACCGAAGGTGAGGTTTGCCGCCGCTTTTGTCGCGTGCTGGGTCGTCGGTTGCGAGTGCTTTACCTCGCGTGGCGCGTAGACCGGGGGTGCGGGTGGGCGTAGGCGGCGTCCTCGTCGTCTGCCGCGAAAGAGGTGTAATCATCCGCGACGTAGACGGCGGGGTGGAGCGACCGCGGTGTGGTCCCGGTGTAGGACTCGCGGATGCTGGAGTATGCAGGAGTGGCCGAGTAGGTGGTTGGCGCGGTGGAAGCCGGGTACGCTGCGTAAGGGCGTGACGGCGAAGCGGGGACCGGGGCCTGTGGCCTCGGGGCGCCGAGGCCGAGGGGCTCAATGTAGCTGCTCTCGTGGCGGCCGCGCTGGCTCTTGGTGGCCGTGGTACTGCTCTTGGCGTCGCTCTCGTCGCCGCGCGTGTCAAAGCGCTTGCGCAGGCGATCCGTCTCCTCCTGGTGGGCGCGCTGGCTTTCCTTGCGCCGCTCGCGGTCGCGCTCCTTGTCCCGTTCCTTATCGCGCTCTCGGTCGCGCTCCTTCTCCTTGTCGGCTCTCGAGGACGGGTCCTTGCGGCGCTTGCTGGAACTGCGGCGCACCTTCTTCTCGTCGGAGGATTCGGAGGCGGTGGCGCTGGAGGCCGAGGGCGAAGAGGTGCCGCTGCTCTTGCGGTTGGCCTTCTTCAGGTCCTTGACCGTCTCCTGGAGCTGTGCGTTCTGCTCGACGAGCTCCTTGTTGGTCTTGGTGAGGGCATCCTTGGCCTGGTTGGCGATTTCAATCTCGTTGGTCAATGCGCGCATGTGCGCCTTGGTCTGCTCGAAGTCGTTGCGGACCTCTTTGAGCTTCTCCTCGGCCTCCTCGGCGCGGGCGCGCCATTTCTCGCTCTCCTGGCGGGCCGTGTCGAGGGCCTGGCGGATGCTGTAGAGGCCGTGGTCCTCGAAGCCGGGGGTCAGGTAGTCGTGCTCGGGGTTCGAGGCGCGGCTCTCGCAGTCGCTGAACCCGGAGTCACTCCGTTGGTGGTCGTAACCGTTGGGCGAGGCCCGCCGGAATTTGACGCTCCTGCTGCTCATGTCGGCAGAGCGCTGTCGATGCGCGAGGCTGGGACTGGATGTAGGCTAAAGCAGCTGGAAAGATGTGTTGTGTGCTGATTTGACAGTGGGTGTGAGGAGCGCGCTGCACAGGTGCCCGACTGGCAGGGAGGGTATATAAGTGAGAAAAAAACTTGTGCGGGCTGGGCCAAGGGGTAAAATTGGGCTGCAGCCGGGAGCGACAGGGGGCGGAAGGACGGGGAAGCAAGGCTGGGCGAGGAATGCTAAGTGGTTTCGGGTTGGGCGTCAATCGTATGGGTAGAAAGAGAAACAAGGTTGGTATCACCCTTGGGCGGGGAACGAATTTCGCTTGTTTGGGAGAGTGCAGCTGGAATGGAATGCCCGGTGCGAAATCCGGAAGTCGGGGGGAATGAAGAATATAAAGGAGCAGAAAGGCAGACCGACTGTCGGATCGTTGGACAACCACCAGCTTTATTACAAGTACGTATTTGATCCAAGGACTGCTCGGGGGCTTGGAGGATGCGGCTGCTGCCTTCGCAACAATGCGAGGAGGGCAATGCAAAAAAAAAAGCGGCCGCCAGAGAGAATGTGAGAACGCCGGAGAGGGAAGGGGGGAGGGGACAGGGCCCAGAAGGGGGGGGGGTGTCAAGATATCAAGCCTTCCGGGATGGAAACATGAACGGGCGAGCGAGATGCGTCCACAGGCACGCGGAGAGCAATTGGAGTCATACTCTAGGCACCCCGGCCGCCGCAAGGCTCACCGAGGACCTGAGGCCTGGAACTCCCGTCAATTCTGGCAGCTGCCATACGCGTCCCCTCGAGCAGAGAGAAAGAGCGGACGACTGCGGCAGTGCTGCACACACTGGCACCCCCCTCAACACCTGGCGCCTCTGGCTTTCACAAGGCGTCCTCGGGGATTCTGGGCGGGAGCCCCACACACAATGCCAAGATTCCATCCGGATGCCTCCTTCCACCGAAAAATTTGTGTTTTGCCGTAAAAACTGGGTTGTGTGGAAATTGCACCCTTGCGGTCTCGGCAGCACCTCGCTGTCTTGGGAAGAATGGCCCAGGGTTGTACGACAGTTCTTTCTGTTTCCCGACGTTCCCGCCCGTCGCCATCCGCAACAAGTTGACAAAGTGGCAGACAACCTGGAAGGTTGCTGCCAGCAATGCTCGATGGTACACAGTAATTGAATCTAGACAACCACATCAGATTCTAGACGACCACATCAAAGCGTGGTTTGCAAATCCCGAAACGGGGTCCCACAGTCGAACGAATAAACGTGTCCTGAACTGCTCACCTGGCGCTTGTTGGCGGTCGCGGGCCGGTGAGTCACTCCCTGCTCTGCTCTGCGTCTGTCCAAATTGAGGTACCCAAGGGGGCTTACCCGATGCCGACCGTCTTCGAAGTCCTGGCTCTTCAGGCAAGGACCGAAGCGCGTCTCTGGTGTGGGTTCCCGACCATTCATCGGATCTCGTCCACCACACCACCACCACAAAGACGGCGGTTGCAGTCTTGTCGTCCACCCCATCCTTCCCGCATTTTTAGTGGTCTTGCCGGTGAGGCCCTCCATAGCCAAAACACACCCTGTTTTGATATCGACACTCCCAAGCCGCCACACCTGAAACTAGTTGGAGAGATGGTGCAAGCCGTCCGTCATGTTCTCGCAGCTTCGTGAGACTTCGACAGCAGTGGTGCCGGTGATCTGGTAAACCGATCTGGCTGCTGCTGCCTTGATGCGCGGTCCACCTGATGCGAGAAATCACGCCATCTGGATCCGGGCAAGCTTCTTGAATGCCCTGCTGCTGCAAATCATGGCGGTTATTCAAAGCGCGTGTCAGTGGACGAGGTGAGGCCCGGTACCTATTCATCCAAACAGGCAACATCGAGAATGGAATGGGACGAACCTACGATTGCGGGTCCAGCCCTACCACACAAGCATCCCCAACTTCTCCACTGTGGACAAGACAAACTGGAGTCGGGGCCACTCAAACCCACCACCTTCGCCGAGAAACTCGAAGCATGGCGGCATTCTGCACCACGGGCCGGTGGGGTTGCCCGCCATGGGATCCACCATGCTCGGCCGCGATGCGCAGACAGTCTCGTCCATCGGTCCACTCACGAGGGGAGCGCCGACCGGTTGAGTCACGAAACCGGCCAACCCACAGCAAAATCGAGGGAGCCAAGTTCGGGGAGCTGCCGGCTTTGCTTGTTCGCCGCCGTCGCAGACGATCATTGTGGGTTAGCGCTACCTGCGGGGGGGGATACGGGCAGTCACCCCGTCGCGGTCGCCCAGTCAGGCATCAACCTCGAGACTGCGGGGCAGCTGCAGGCACTTTACCTCCCCGAGGTTGTGCTCAGATGAGCATTTGAGTTTGGTGTGGAGGGGCAGATCAGTCCCGCGACGGCAGCACGGCAGGCAGCCGGGAGACTTGCCCGCCGTCCGCTCTTGCGCACTCATGGAGGGGCGACGGCACCGCACCGACAGGATGCAGAGCCTTGGGAGCATCTTCCTTTACCCGGCTGGCATTATTGGACAATGGCAATGTCTCGATAACGGAGGTGGGAGGCCGAGGACGGGGCGGCAGGCGGCCCGGTTGCTCGGTTGATGAAGGCGAGAATTTCCCGTGATGAAGCAACACCCTCCGACACCACCCACCACCCCTCAACACCATAACCCGTGACTGCGGGGGAGACCGGAGGGGAGTGGGAGGGGCAATTCCGAGAGGGCGTGTGTCTTGGCATACGGAAACGGGCATCCCTCCGCCAAGCTTCGTCGCCAAGGGCCTGTCCAGAGACTGCGCAGCGGCGCATTCAGTGCGCAAAGTGCGCGCACCACTGCCGGTTCGGTGCCGTCGCCATTGGGGGGGATCCTTAAACCCGGCGCCGGAGAGCGCCAAAGCAACGGTTTGACACGCGCCGGGGTGAAGGCAACCCCTGCGCCCCTGCTTCGCTCATCGCCAAGACCCGCGGCCATCTGTCGTCATACCGTCCAGGGTCGAGAACGCCAGGGGCCGATGCTGCGGCGGAGCATATCTCATCGAGTGGACGAGAAAGCCATGCCGTGGAGCAAGGTGAACCAAGACAGTGCCGTGGGCCACGGTGAACCCAAGACAAAAACCCAGACAACCGGGGCTCGGAACGGCTACTCGGTTAGGTCACGAGACACTGCCGACAAGTGTGCACAACACACATACACACACACACACACACACACACACACAGTTAGGCAAGATAAGGCGGGGCTGGAGAGCTGGCAAGGCAACAGGAGGCAGTGGGTTTCTCAAACCAACCAACCTAGCACAAGAACTCTGCATCCAACTCGTCGGCGATCCAAGGCCACACAACTCGGGCCAACAACCAGGAAAGGAAGGGAGAATCGCCAAACCGATCAATTTCGCTTCCGCTCACCTGAGCCAGGCCGCCAAGCTGATTCCACACCGCGGGAGAAGGCAGGAAAGAGAACAGGCAGAGCCGGACCGCACGCCTGGCCCCGCTTTAACTAGGTACCTCGTTACCCGCCAAGGAGAGAAACAGCTGTGGGCGGGATTCAAGTTGCCCAAACAGGACGAAGCCCGACTTACACGGCGGCACACGCACACACCACCCAAACAGACCTACTTCGTACTTGCCACCGAAACATGAAACGGGGACGTAGACCGATGCCAGATGCGTCGTCATCGCTCGGCGAAGGAACAAAGGCCACCACCTATGGCATTGCATTGCATTGCGCGCGCCTTTTTTTTCACCCCCTCATCACTTACGACAGCCACGGCGGATCAGGCTCTGACCAAGCAACCAAGTAACCAAGCAAAGTAGGCAAGCCAACCAGCCTGCAAACGCACACGTGTATCATATGTCATATGTCAACAGGGGCGATGCACTGGAGTAAAGGAAGGATCCGATACCCGCCGCATTCCGTAATCACCTTATTTTTATTTATTTATTTACTTAATTTGTATTTGCCACCAGCCGCCGCTCTTCTCGCCAACAAAAACCAACCCCGGAGATTGGGGACCTCGGCAAGTGGTGTAAGCAGCAGGTAGTGGCAAGGCTGCTGCTGAGTTGCCCTTCCCCGGCGTTGCACCGCTGTACATACTCCCTACCCAAGGTACATATGTACTATGCCATGTAATGTATAGACCGGGGCCCTGCAGCAGCAGCACCGCCCGCATATGTGTCTGTGTTGTGCGTATGTATGTATGTATGTATGTATGTATGTGCGCACCACATACCCCCTGGTCCCTGGCCCCTAGTCCGACCGGAAAAAGCAGCAGCAGCAGCAGCAGCAGGTTGGATGACTTGCATGCACGTGGTGAGGGATACCTGTCCTGCGGCGGCCTGCCCTGTTCTGCCCTTTGAGATCCTGGCGAGAGGATTGGTGTTGGGCGGGTCGTCGGTTTCGGACGTGTGCATATTCCATTCTGTGCGGACAGACGGAAATGCCGCAAAGGGGCGGCAACGTCGTCGTGTTGGGTGGGGATTGTGAGGGAGCATGGCGGGCTTGGTGATGGAAATGGAAATGGAATGGAATGGAATGGAATGGGGGTTGGCGGCGGGTATTTGTTTTTTGGGTTCTGCTTTGTTGGGTTTGTGTCGGTTTCTTTTATGTCTCAGCGGATGGGTGTGTTTCCAAGTGTCTGGGAGCCCCTGGTCACAGTCCCGGTTGTCTTAGTGAATGTTGTTTGATGGAAATGCTTTGTTGCTGATATGAATGGTGGCGTGCGCCGGTAACGTAAAGTAAAGTAAAGAAAATACACCTAAGGATTCCAAGCCAAAGCAGAGTACCGCCCATATCCCAGTATTCTATCCCAAGAACTCCCAGTGGTATCGCTGAACCCCCCAAGCATTCGCCGATGCTGTTTGCTTCCCAAGATCGAATCCGGAACCCCCTCCCCTTGGGAATCCCCCCAACCGTGCCCATGCCGTGAAGTGAAAGTTGAAGTGATATACAGATGGTCCCGAGTCTGGTGTCTAATCGTTTGCGGACACCAGGGCGAGACAAAGGAAATGATGATAGAATCTCGATTAGAAAGGGGCTTTTTTTGGTGATGGTGATGTGATGATGGTGATGTGATGGTGATGGTGTCCAAACGCCGTATCCGTATGCTGGTATTTTGTGCGTAACTCGTACAAGCCGTGAAGAGGAAAGAAATGTTTTTTTTTCTTTTTTCTTTTTGTTGTTGCTACTGCCGTCGTGCTGCTCGTTCTCAACCCCAGAGTGGGAGCTTGGGTTGCTCCAGGGTCAGACGGGACCAGGCGAGGGTCGCGATGTTGTTCTGGTCCAAAGAGAGAGGCTGACCATGATGAACGGCATTGGTGTGCGTGTGTAGTACTCAGTAGTGCCGGCGGCGGAGGCGCTCCTCGAGCTCGCGGCCTCGCCGGAGCGTGGCGTTCTCCTGCTCGAGACGGTCCCTGGCGGCCTCGACGAGGGTGATGTTCTGGCGCATGATCTGCACGCGGCGCTGGACGTCCTCCTCGCGCCGCTTGGTCTCCTCGTAGACGCTCTTGACGTCCTCGTAGAGCTTGCGCCAGTTGGTCGCCTTGCTCTTCCACTCGGCCAGCTTCGTCTTGAGCTCGCTGACCTCGACCTCGAGCTTGGCGTACTTCTTGCGCAGCTTGGAGTCCTTGCGGGCCTCGTTGTCCGATGTGTAGTCGCTGGACCGGCGCAGCTCGCGGTTCTCCCGCTGGAGCTCCGCGTTCTCGCGCCGGAGCTGGTCGGCCCACACCCGCGTGGACTCGAGATCGCGGAGCTCGATGGTGAGGTACTGGTTCTCCCTCAGCAGCTGCTCGTAGGCCTCACGCCCGACTACACGCTCGCGGCCCTGCATGTCGGCGTCGTCGTAGATGCTGTGGACCCTGTCCGCGCTGAGGCTTCGCCGGCGGCTCTGGCTGTGGCCTCTGGTGCGCCGCGTCTGCGTTTCCGTTTCCCGGATCTCGTCTTCGAAGTAGACTCGGCGGGAGCGGCCAGTCATGTGAAGGCGTACCAGGTGCTCGTCAGTGCCGGGGTCAGTGGTTGCTTAGGGTACTGGCGATGGCTTCGGTGGTGTCTCGGCGGCTGTTGGTGTTTGCGTGTGTGGTGTGTGTGGTGTGTGTGCTCGTGTGTGTATGTGGGCGTATGTGTGTGTGTGTATGTTGCAAGTTGTATAATGAGAGGAGAGATATGGAGAGACAAGGGGAATGCCTGGGGTATTAAGTAGACAGAAGAGCAGTCGCAGGAGGCCTGGTAAGGCTGAGTGGAGAGGTTGAAGTGTGGGGGGGGATCCCAGTGTGCCTGCAGCAGCTTTGCATATGATGTAGGGAGGTGACCATTAACACATTGGAAGTAGACCGGGGTTTGGTTCAAGCGGCCGGGAGAGGCTTGATCCAAGCAAGGTACCCAGGCACGAGTTATGACGAGACTTCTCATCGACGGGAGCGTGGGTACAGAAACCCGCGGGGGACAGCCAGCGTGTGCGTGTAACGACGGCGCAGAATACTTCAACCACGTGGGGTGCACTAGCACGGCCACGCCAGGTTGAATTCGAGATTTCTCAACCTGAGGAAGCCGGAAGGACAGAGTTAGTCATGAGAGGGACACAACCTCAGTCCTAGACGCAGCCCGAGCGGCCGCTACTAGACAGACACCACCCACCCCCTGGCTGCCCCAGTTTTCGGAAGGAAAGGACGACAACGTCCGCTATGTCGGTGCCTGCTGCGAAAACCGGGCTGGTAGAGTAAGCCCAAGTTATGAGGGTTAACTCGGGCATCCTAGTGACGGAGGTGAAGTTCTCCCTCCATGGCATCCCAACCATCGCCCCGTGGTGCGCGGGCCTTACGAGTGTTTCCGGGGTGAGGTCGCATGGGAGGCCGCGGGTACGGCACAGTCAAGCGAGGAGAGAGAGAGAGAGAATGGGTGTGTGTGTGTGTCTCAAGCATCTTAGGGTGCCATCGAGTGAGCTTAGCCCGATATTGTAGCGTACTGTGTCTGTAGTGTATGGGCAACGGAGTGGCAGAGCCCTAACTGACTACAGAGAGCAGCCGGTTGTCCTCCGGAGACGGTCTCACGGTGTAACGGCGCTGATAGGGTAGGTGTAACGAGGAAGAGGGAGGGAGGGAGATGGCGGCTGTGCGCTTGACGGAGTGGGGAGGGCGCGGCAAACCAGTCCACCATCCCTTGAAAGGGAAATGCTTAACACAGTAACCCCAATCACGCCCTGGACCCCCCTTGACAAAGCTCCACAAGCCTGAGTGCGGTCCATTCGCCAGCCAGACGCCGACAACGGTTCAAACTCGGCAGTCTGAGTTCGGATTGGATGGGGAGGCCTGCTCTGTGCACCGCCAAGGGGGATCAAGGAGTCAGGGGTCATGGGCTCTGGGGTCAAGCAAAAAGACAGGGGGGTCAGGGGTCAGGGGTCAGTGTCCAGACTCTTTTTTCTTGAGCAATGTGCCCCACTGTTGCTTCCTTTCCTCTGCTTTCTCGGACTTCTGCTCTGAAGGAATCCTGCCTTGCGGCTTTCCTTGTCGGCCGCTGGTGTGTCAGCGCCCCCCGATCCGGCAATACGCCATTTCTTGAGCGCGGCTTTCTTTGTCTTCTTCCATCCCGCCGGGGTCACAGTCCGAAAAAGAAGAGAGATCATGCAGTAGGCATTCCTACTCAACAGATTTGCTTTACTGCGTCCGGACGGCATGGATGCAGACATTGATTGTGCCGCCGGGAGGATTTGGGGTTGGGGGGTTGGGTGAAGGGGGGCATGGACTCGGCGCGAGGCTTTGGTTCAGAGCTTGACATGCTCAGCCTCAGCCGCGGCTGGACGTTAACGTATTGGGCCTATTTCCTTTGTTCACGCTCCTTTTCCTTGGTTCATCCGACAAGGCTGCGTATGCCCACAACGTCCGGCAGACCTCTAGAGTCCTGCCGTGCCGCTGCCACACATATCCTCAGCCCAGCAGGGAATCAGAGAAAAAAGAAGAGGCCGCCTCATCGGTTTCCGCACGTGCTCCCGCCGTCTCCGTCTCCGTCTCCTTCCTCCCTGCCACGGGTGACGTCGTTTCTCCATGGGCAGGAATTGTTTCAGGACCCCGACAATTCGGTCGTTGTTTACGACCCGAAGACGCTCACTGGTCTCTGATCCCGTTGACCGATCTCACCGTGCACAGCCCCTCTCTTCTCTTCTCTTCTCTTCTGTTCTCTTAGACTCCCCGGTATTCTTTCCATACCAGTGCCTGGGCCTTGTGACTCCTGAAGTGGACCTCACGACGTTGAGTTGCCAAAACGACGAGCCCTGATCGACAGCTGCCCGGTTTCTGTCCCGTTGCTCCCCGACCGTTTGTCGTCTGGCATGTCGTGCCGGACCGGACAGGCGTGGAATCGCACCCAGCCTTGCTCCTTGACGTCAGGCGACTTTTTCGGTTTTCAGTTTCTTGCTTGCCGTTCCGTCTTCCCCCGCAAGGCGGAACGTCGGAGTAGGGGCCAGGAGGAGGGGGGCGGGAGTGGATGGATCAATGGCACCAGCTAGCTCGGCTGCGTGGAAACCGTCGCCCAGAGTTATGCCAGGCTCGGGAAACTAGACACTCCAACTGATCACCAGCGGCTTCGGCCCCGTCGATGAATCCTGCCGTACACAGGGCCTGCCGCACCAGACTAGCCACGCCGATGGTCCCTCCTCAAGCTCCTCTTAGCACATACCGCCCGAGTCCCAGACCATCCCATTGCCTCCGTCACCCTAGAGCATGACAACTGTGACCCGCACCCGCCACGCACCCGGTGCACCTCCTCGTTGCCTGGTCTGGCCGGCCCTTTTCCACACCCCGTCCGCAACGGCCAGGAACGCTAAGGGGGGTACGGAAACAAACGACATCCGGTCCATTAACCACTCTGGAGGGGAGTGTGGAATCCCCGAGGGCATACCACACCCCCATTCCATCCCCATCCCCATCCCCATCCCCCGCCTCCACTCCTCTGCGCGAGCAGATGGTCAACGCGCAAGGCAACCGCCCACCCGTCATGCCTAGCTACCTAGTTTGCCGGGGCGTGGCGTGGGCCCAGCAGCAGCAGCCTGAGCGGGAGCGAGCAGTCCCCACCCCATCGTGCTACCCTTCCCCTTGCCCACCGTCTTGTTCTTCTTGACGGCGTGGTGTGCATTGGGACGCGGGTGGTAAGGGAGCCAACTCCCAACTCACTCCTCGCTCGCTGGCTGGTGGTATCCCTCTCTCGGCCAACCCTGGCGCTGCGTCGGTAGGCATGCTCGCCAGGCCAGGCTCTTCGCGGCCGGCAACGGACCTCGTTCCGTTGCAGACCCCTTCACCTCGATGGGAGGTTTCTGTTTCTGTTCGGGTGAGGGGGGAGTTGCCGACGGTCGCCCGCCAGTTCTTTTGTTAAGCACCTGTCAGATGTGTGTGTAGGCAGCACGGCTAGGCGGCTCGACGCGGTACCCGAACGAGCCTCGGCGGGTCGGTCCACGCCAGGCAGGTATGTAGCATGTCTGAGCTGGACAGATTGCAAGCCCCCCCCCCCCCCCCCCCCCCCCCCCCCGCCTCCAACCCTTGACTCGCGGGTTGGGGAGCCAGAGGTTGGCCCATTGAGTCACCCGCTACTCCGTGCTTTGGAGGACGCCGCAAGTCCCTCCTCACGGTTGTTGTTACATGTGAGCTGAACGGAGTCAAGACCCTGGAAAGCGGAACAGCATGTTGCCACGGCTTGTATTCACCGTTGCCCGAGCTTTGGCGGTGTCGTCTTATCGTCTATGAGAACAGTCTAGATAACCCCTTCCCCACCTAACTTACGCGATATGTGTGTCGCTGGCACAAGAATCGTCCTACTGGACATCGGAAATGACCGTATCCCCCTCCCCTCCCCTCCCCGCCCCGGAGCCTGACTCTAACATGGCCCTGAGCCTTTCCGACCTCCCTCCCGGCATCGAACCCCAGTTGCCAGCCTCGACGCGTAACCACCATGAACAACACACCCCGCCTCCCTTTTTCCAACGCCTTGGTTGACAGATGGTGGTCTCCCTGACACGATGGCATGTGCGTCCGACTATCGTCGGACTTTAATCACGGTGAAATCCCTGCTCCGACAGGGCTGCTGCCCGATGGAGACCCCAAACTCAACGGAAGTACCATGGATGTGCGCAGCAATTTCCCACTCCATGTTATTGTCGAGGAGCGCCGGATCACTGCACTTGATCACACGGATCGGAGAGACGTTGTCGTCGTCCGCTGGATAGTTCAGCGGCCCGCCCATCTTGTAAATAGTTTTGTAGATGGTCATGGCGAGGGGAAACTGCGCCGGTCCGCGTGTGCGTCTAAAGGCAGCCTGAGGGGGGAACGCGAGGTAGGTCGGAGACATTTTGGATTTGGAGATCATGTCGTCCTGGTGTGATCCATTGAGTTTGGTAAGCTTACGGCCTTCCGGGAAAGGGAGCATGCGGAAGATGAAGAGGGGAAGTGGGGAACAGGGGAGTTGAAAGAGCAGCTGGGGACGGTAGTAAATTGTAGGACATGTTAGCAGAGACGAACCTTGCGAATAAACCAGTGGATCTCCGAGGATCTCGCGTCAGGACGGTAACCGTAGCTCGCCCGGGCCTTTTTCCTCATATCCATGGGAACGCCATCCTGCTGAACTAGATGATCCTGATCGTCGGCACCCTGATCAAGATCGTGATCGTCGGCACCCTGATCAAGATCGTGATCGTCGGCACCCTGATCAAGATCGTGACCGTAGGCACCCTGATCAAGATCGTGATCGTCGGCACCCTGATCAAGATCGTGACCGTAGGCACCCTGATCAAGATCGTGATCGTCGGCACCCTGATCAAGATCGTGACCGTAGGCACCCTGATCAAGATCGTGATCGTCGGCACCCTGATCAAGATCGTGACCGTAGGCACCCTGATCAAGATCGTGATCGTCGGCACCCTGATCTTGATCTTGATCGTCGAGGTTGTCGTGGACATCGTTTTGGATCCTCGCCATCCCCTCCAAGCAGGCGCCATTCTTGACGGACGTTTTCCTACGAAGGGCGCGGTCAGTATAGAGCACCCTAGCCAACCTCTCCCCCAAGAAGTGCTCACCCGGCATCTTCGGTGAAGAAAAGAAGCTCGTGTCCAAACCGGCGCTTCAGCTCATCTTGGACCACCGCATTGCGCCCGAATCCGCCCACGACGATGATCAGCTAGGTGGTAGACCTGCGTTAGCTGCTGCACGCGCATAATAACCACAATGGCCAGGCCACTGGGTTGATGTCAATTCGAGACGTACCGTTACTTGATCATCGGCGGCCAGCACTTGCTTTTCAGCAAAATCCACAATCCTCCCGGCAAAGGTTTGAAGCGCCTTATGAGTATCATGCCTGGGGCACGGTGGTGTTAGAAAACTTGTAAGCAGATGGGGTTTTGTAGGAGTGGAATGGACCATTGACGCGGGAAGAGGGGGGCTCACTTTTGTAGCGTCACAGACTGGGCGTAGGTCCCGTCTGTACGCTGAACGCTTAGGATGCCGAATACGCCCTCTTCCGTCAAGTCCTCGATGGTGCCTTCCTCGACGGCTGTCCACGCGACTTCAATCTCGGAATCCAGTGCAGTCTGATTGACGGATTGATAGTCACCACCCATCTGATTCTCGACTTTGCCCCGGACGAAAGAGGAGAAGGCGCTTTTCATGAAGATGGCCCCAAGGAACCTCCCTTCCGGGGACACCCACTCATTGACGGCCACCGGCTTGAGCGAGGAGATCTCGTACACAACAGTATCCTGGGGACCACAGACAGAATTGTTAGCGAATCATCCAACCCAGAATATCAGAGGATGGCCGCGGAGGGCGGGGAGGGAGGCAAGGAAATAGACCTACAACGGTACCGCCGCCGCAGTCTAGAATGAGGATTGTGTTTCCGACCTGGGAGGCGCGTCAGCATTTCCCCGACAAAGCCGCTAAGTACATCACCTTCTACCGGTGATGAATCAAGGGGAGAAGGGAACACGTACGTCGAGCCCACGGCCCTGGGCCACACCGGGGATTACGGCCATGGCGGCAGCCTCTGGTTCCTGGACGAAGTCAAGAGCGGCGGGCTGACGACGTCCGAACGCAAGGATGCCAGATTTCCCGATGGCTTTGCGCATTTCGCGGATAGTTTGCTGCTTCCAGATAGCTGGGACACCGAAGACGAATCGTGCCTCCACGCCACTAGGCTGGAGGTCATTGAAGGTACTCAAGTACTTCCTCACACCCTGGGACCCATCGACCCACAGGCGATTTATGTACTCGGTTATCGCATCGGTCTCGGGGTAGAGAGTCATGATCCTGTTAAGCTCCCGTTGTATCATGCCACGGTCATGCGACTCTAGGTCCTTGAGGACCCAGGGACAATCCTTAGGATCCGTCATTGAGAGTTTCAGTAGTGTGAGCCTGGTTTCGTTGGCGCCGATGTCACTGCCGTAGGTTTGGCTCTTCACGCCCAACTCGGTCGGCTCCAACTCGTGTGTATTTCCGTGTAGCCTTATTGATGTCGGCTGGCAGGGGTTGGTAGCACCGGGTTGCAACAAGCAACAGGAGATGCCGCTGGTTCTGTGTAGGAACGAGAAGTCAGCTGCAGGGCTCGGGGTGATGACCGGCACCACAGGCGGTTAGGTTCGAGATGGAAAGGGGGTGCAGCTTACGACATGCCAATGTCGACACCGACGATGAGAATAGGGACCGGTTCCATCTCGCCGTGGGGAGGGCCGCGTGTGACGGGACGAAGGCGGTCGTCGAGTTTGCGTGGATACCGAGCGAGGTGCGGAGGTTAAGGGGGAGCCCTGAGAGTGGTATGTGTCGAAGGGTGAGTAATGCTGAGAGTCAAGATGGCCGTACTAGGAATGAAGGATGTTTGTGGAAAGCCCTGACGAAGAGGCGAGCACTGAACGATAACTCGGATGGCGGAGGAGCTTTGAGATCAGAATAAGGGGGCGCTGAGGGAAGCTTGTGCCAAAAGCGTAAGCAATGACTGTCAGTGGGACTTTGAAGAGAGAGAGAACAAGAGCGTCTCTAGCAGAATTCTTGATGAAGGGGGGGCGGGGGTTGAGACGGAGGATGTAGGAGGGGAGAAAACAGAAAGGACTGTATGCGTCCAATGGCAGCCCACCGCCCGTTTGCACTTCCGTTTGTATAAGCGAAAGGATAAACAGTAGAGCAGGGCACGACGGCGGTGGTCATCGCAATAACGATAAGGAAGTAAACAGGCCTCCCAAGGAAGTAACTAGGCCTCCGCGCAACAATTACAGGCACATTTCGATTTCTCGTGGACCTCAGATTAATTCCACCCCAAACCCAAGCAGAGGCAAATTGAGGTTGACTCCGCCAAATGAAAACTGACCGACTGGCACAATCACAGCACCTGTGGTCTGCGGAAGCAGGCGTCCGTTGGAATATTTCCGCCCGACCCCTGAGCGACGAGACCGGAGTTGCTGACCAACCCGCCGTTCTACGGCGAATGGTTGGCACCGTCTGTTTTCTCTGGAACGGCTGTCGCCCTGCAGCCTCCCGTGATCTCCGATGTGGCGCCAGTGGCGTCGCCGGAACCGGTGACCGGGACGTCTCGTTTTTGTTTTGTGATTGCAAGCCGCGCTGCTCTGCTCGCGGTCGAAGTGCTGGGCCGACGCAACAAAGGCGAGAAGGAGCGAGCCATCGCACAAAGTCTACCGAGGTCGCAACTCTGAAACTCTCAAGCGCCTCCCCAGTTTCCATCACCCCCAAAGGCCCAGCCTCAGTACCAAACACTGGGTCCCGTCGCGGTTTCATCGTTTTCCCGTTTTGCTATACCCTTCCGTACAAGGACGTCATGCCTCGCGGCGAGCACCAAGAGCCCGCGTCCGGGCCGCCGGGTGATACGATCGACGACGAAAGGACTGGGGCCACCCTTCCAACCATCAGCTCGAGCTCCCGCTCTGCACCTAGTGAGAAATGCGATGCGGCGTGTTGCAGGAATGGCAGTGGCTGGCTTCGCTACCAGCACGCGTTGACAGATTACGCGAATGGGCCGGGCGTCGACACTCTGGTGGGCGCATGGTCTACCCTGAAGGTAAGAATCGATATCGCAGCCGAGCGGCTCGAACGCTTTTGTCTCGCGCGTTGGCGTGATCTGAGCCCCAGCGTTCGCGAAAAGCTGGAGTCGTGGTCGCCAGCGGCCAGGGAACTTTGGGAGTCGGACTTTGCCAAGCACCAAGAAGCTCTTGTCCAAGTTTGGATATGGCGCTATGTTGAGGAAACCCTTTTCTTCTTCTCGAATAGCACTGCATCGCCTGACGGCGACGCCGCGTGCTGCTCCCCAGTGTGGGAACACGTACGAACTCTCACACGGGACCTGCAGCGTAAGTCACCAGTCACACATGTACATCCCGACCGTACCAACAGACCCTAACACCCTGCCCGCTAGCTGTGCGTACTCTGAAGCATGACGAATACCTCGAAAACGTCTGCCGCATCCAGTTCAACGGATGGCGTCGTATAACCGAACATCTTGTCCGGATGGGCCTGGGACTGAAAGAGTTTGCCACGCCGGCGGTCCTAATGGCGCACTGCAAGAAATCGCTCCGTCAGCTCCTTGTCGACGGCGAAACTCAACTCCCAGATTTGGCCCACGATGCGGACTGGAGAGCTAGGGGCGATGGACATGACGCCATAGACAAGATGAGCTTCGCCCTCAAGAGGGTGTTCGAGTCTGCGCTCAAGGTTCAGTACTGCATTCATGGCTTGGAAGGAACTTACAGTCTCCGATTTACCCCTATCGACTCGGACTCGGACCAGCCTTGGGGGTTCCCGTTCGAAGATGGACCAATGCGGTTGTTTAACCCCCCCGAGCTCAACCCCTTGAAGGACGACGGTGGGCTGCCATCCGTGCAGCTTGTCTGTGTACCAATGTTGACGGTTAACAAACGCTACGACGAGGGTTTCGGCAAGGTCTTCACTCAAAAGGCTCCGATGTCTGTCGTAACACCCCGGGTTTTCGCTGGGGAAGAGGCATGGTCCAATTGCAAGGAGTACGTGGAAAAACGCCGTGCTAAGAGGCGTCGGATAGAAGCCGATACTAGGAGGGCGGCGGGGCAGCCGGCCGAAGGGCAGCTCAAGGGGGTCCGGAGATCAGGGAGGAGCGGCAGGATCAAGGTAAACCGGGAACGAGCGGTGGAAGCGCAGCAGTCGGCGCAGCAGAAGGCAATGGAAAGGCTACAGGCCGAGCAGCAAGCCGAGGCGGACGAACTCTTGGCCAAGCAGAAGACGGAGGTGGAGGCGCTGCAGGTCAAGCAGGCGGCAGCGGGAGCACGTCTGGCCAAGAAGCAGGCGAGGGCGAAAGCTCTTTTGGCCAAGGAGCAGCAGGCGGCAGCAAAAGCGTTGCTGGCGAGGTAGGGAGACACTTGGATAGGGAGCAGGCCAGAGCAGACGAGGAAATTTCAAGAGGGAGCGGATGCGGGTAAGGTTGCGGAAAGAGCGAAAAATACAACCAAGGGGAAGGGGAAGGGGAAGAGGAAGGGACGGTGTGGACAACAGGAGGTTGTGGGGGTTTTGAAATTTTAAAGGGTTGGTGAAAGGGGTGCCGTGGAGGTAGGCAGAGGAAGGTGCGAACCGTGTTGTCTTCTTCGTAGTATGCCATATGGACTACTGTGTAAAGAAACTCTCGACGATGGCCGGGTTCACCGATTGGAGTAATTCTCCGAATGAACGTATTGTAACATACTGTAACTAGGTACCTACCTCAAGCTTCCACGTAATCTGTACTCAATACACAATTTGGTATGTATGTTACAGATCCTCCCGTGCCCACCCTCCAGATCTGCGGCGGGCGCTGCTTGGCACTGGGCGGATAAGATAACGTTTTCTGGACATTTTCTTGGTGTGATGCATCCAACCCGTCTGCATCGAGGGGAGCAAGTTGCAGCACCGACGATGCCGCCAGAACAGGCCCGCGCGAGGAAGACGCCACGGTCGTGGGGTGCCCTCACCCCGAGCCTTGCGCCATGGATCCTCGATTACCTTTCGTCAATGGGCTTTGAGCAGCCCACGCCGGTGCAAAAATCATGTCTCGACATCTTTCGCGGGAACAAGGACGTGGTCGTCGAGGCGGTCACGGGGAGCGGGAAAACACTCGCTTTCCTGATCCCGGTGGTCGAGGTGGGTTCATCCGCAATTGCCGGAACGTTTGGTGATTGATTGCCTTGCTGACCGGATTTGCGACAGAGACTTCTACGATCCGAAGACCCGCCAAAGAGACACCACGTCCAGGCCATCATCATCTCCCCCACCCGAGAGCTTGCGTCCCAGATTTACAACGTCCTCGTGTCCTTCATCAAGTTCCACGCGCCGTCTGCCGATCTCCTGCCGCACACCAAGGGCGACGAGAAGCGACCTGCGACGACGGACCCCGTGGTTGTGCCGCAGCTCCTGGTGGGAGGCACGACGAAGGCTGCCGAAGACCTGAGCACGTTCCTCCGTCTGTCGCCCAACATCCTCATCGGGACCCCTGGCCGGCTCGCAGAGCTGCTGTCCAGCCCCTATGTCAAAGCGCCCTCGTCTTCGTTCGAGGTCCTGGTCATGGACGAGGCCGACCGCTTGCTCGACCTCGGCTTCTCCCAGGAGCTCACACGGATCTTGGGCTACCTCCCGAAGCAGCGCCGCACCGGGCTGTTCAGCGCCTCGCTAAGTGAAGCGGTAGAGAGGCTCATTACCGTGGGCTTGCTGTACCCACACAAGATCACCGTGCGGGTGAAGAGTCTGAGAGACGGCGGCATTGTGCAGGAGAGGAAGACGCCCATGTCGTTACAGATGTCCTACCTCGTAACACCCACAAGCCAAAAGATCCCAGCATTGTGCCAGCTCCTAGAAAGGCTCGAGCCCCGACCCTCCCGCTCCATCGTTTTCTTCTCAACGTGCTTCGCCGTCAAGTACTTTGCCCGCGTCCTGCATGGTGTCCTCCCGCCGGGGTTCTCGACAGTGTCCCTCCACGGCAAGCTCGAACCCCAGGTCCGCGAGAAGAACTTTGAGCGCTTCGTCAACGCCACCTCCCCGACCGTCCTCCTCACCACCGACATCGCCGCCCGCGGCCTCGACATCCCCCAAGTCGACCTCGTCGTCCAACACGACCCGCCGACGGACACCAAGGTCTTCATCCACCGCTGCGGGCGCGCGGGCCGCGCGGGCCGCCGCGGCCTCGCCGTCGTCATGCTCCAGCCCGGCCGCGAGGAGGGCTACGTGCAGCTGCTCGAGGTGCGGCAGACGCCCATCACGCCGCTCGCCAAGCCGGCCGTCTCGGTCACGCCCGCCGACGCCGAGCTGGCCTCGGCCCGGATCCGCGCCCAGGCCCGCGCCGACCGCGAGGTCTACCAGCTCGCGCAGCGCGCCTTCGTCAGCTGGGCCCGCAGCTACCTCGAGCACCAGGCGACCTCCATCTTCCGCGTCGCCGACCTCGACTGGGCCGACCTCGCCCGGGGCTACGGCCTGCTCGAGCTGCCCAAGATGCCCGAGGTCCGCGGCCTCGACCGCTCCCTCGGCCTGGCCGTCGACACCGACGCCATCCCCTTCCGCGACCCCGCCCGCGAGAAGAAGCGGCTGGCCGAGCTCGAGCACTGGAAGAAGGAGAAGGCGGCGCGGGAGGCGCTGCGCGCGGGTAGTAACGGTGGTGGTAGCGGTGGTGGTGACGCGCCGGACGCGCTGCTGAAGCGCAAGAAGAACGACGCGTGGAGCGGCAAGCTCGAGCACGAGGACGCTAGGGCCGCGAGGCGCGACAAGAAGCGCAGGAAGAGGGAGGCCCGCCGCCTGGGGGACATGTCGGAGAGGGAGAGGGAAGACCAGCGGAAGCTGGACGAGATGATCGCGGAGGTGCGGAGGCGGAATAAGGATGCGGAGGAGGGGGCGGTTCGGGCGGGTGGGGGTGGTGGTGGTGGAGGAGGGGATGAGTTTGAGGGGTTTGATGATTAAGGGGGTTTGTTGGTTGGGGGGAGTACACGGCGGGGGGCAAAAGTTTCCCACTCGATGATGGATACCCATGTTTCGTGGTTGATAAGGAGGGAGAGACGGGAGAGAGGCCTGAGAATAGATACCCTACCATGCCATCATTGCCTAGGTCTACCCGCCTAACTGCCTGCCTGCGTATCCCATTCAACTCCGTCCCATTTCACCCGTCAGCCATTCCGCTAGGCCATATCTTCGCTGACCGGTGTTGAGGGAGAGGAGGTTTGGTGTTGGTGTTGGTGTTGGTTGTTGGGTTTGCCGAGCGAGATGCATGACTGTGGGGCCGCTGAGTGCTCTTGTTTGGTTCAACCACCCATGGAACACAAGATTGATGGCTCAACACTCACTCATGAGCAAACATGAGTACACGGAAAAAGGGCCAGCTTTGGAAACACAAAAAACGAAGGTGGTATCATCAGGCACTGGGTACTTTCTCATAGGCTAAGCCAAGAACGAGCAGCAACAACAGCAACAACAACAACAGAAATCCTCCAGCAGCCTGCGAGTCCGCCCCCTTTCCCGCTTCCCCATTCGTGTCCGACAAAACCAGTAAAGAAACAGGGTATCCCTCATGCCGCCTTCATCCTCTCATCACTCCACCCCGTCGTGTTCGCGATCGCCGAATATCTCATTACTGTGCCAGACCTGGCGGTATTTGGAGGGGTATAGTTGTTGTGTGTGGTATCAAAAAAAAGGGTTGGAAACAAATCCGCTCGCTTGGTCCCGGGTAAGAGGGCGCGCGCGCTGGGTGGGAATCGCAAATCAAGGAGACGGCGGTGAAAGATTATGTCCGTCGAGAAAATTAAAACCGGCAGTGGTGCATGGGTGTGTGTGTGTGTTGTGTGTGTGTGGTGCAACGAGCGGTCAAGTGTCGGGGTTGCTTGCTGCCCCCCCTCCACTAACAAAAATCCCCTCAGATGTTCTCAATCACCCGGGCGTTCATGGCCTGCTGGAAGCCCTGGTCGCCGCCGTACTCGGCGCCACCGGAGCGCTCGGCGGAGCTGCTGCCCTCGGCAAAGGGGTCGCTGTTGTTGGCCATGGCGGCGCTCATGGCGGCCGAGTTGGGCATGGTCTGGCTGGCGCCCGGCAGGAAGATGACCTTGCTGTTGGCGCTCTTGGCCATGGCCTGCATCGCCTCGAGGTAGCGGATCTGCATGGCCGGCGCCGACGACAGGATGTCGGCGGCCTGGCGCATCAGCTTGGCGGCTTCGACCTGGTCGGGGGTGTTAGTCATCGGCTTCAATATCTCATGGTGGTGTGATGAAGGAGCGTACCTCTGCCCTGGCGGCAATGATCTTGCTCTCTCCGATCCGCTTGCTCTGGGCGGCCATGGAGAGCGACTCCTGGAGCTCCTGGCTGAAGATGATGTCCTTGATGAGCATGCTCTCGACCTGGACGCCCCAGCCGGTGGCGACATCCTCGATGATCTCGCCGATGCTCTGGGCAACCTCCTCCCGGCGCTCAATCACGTCCTGGAGCACGCGAGCGCCCACGACGTGGCGGAGGGTCGTCTGGGTCCGCTCAATCAGGGCCTGGCGGATGTTGGAAATGCCGAAAGCGGCCTTGTGGGGTGAGACGATGTGGTAGTAGATGACGCTTGTCAGGTGCAGAGTCACATTGTCCTTGGTCATGCAGGTCTGCTGGCCGACTGTTGGATGGGAGTTAGCTCCGTCTCAGCCCTGGATGGCAGGTGGAACTGGGGCAGGGGACATACCTTCGACGATTTGGATCTTCACGTCAACAGACGTCAGATGCTCGCTCAGCGGGTTGATCTTGACGAGGCCGGGGTCGACAGCCTTGTAGAAGCGGCCGAACTTGGTGACAAGGCCGACGTTGCCCTGGTTGACCTTCTTGAAGGGGTTGGGGCAGCAGATGCAGCAGGGAATGGCTCCCAGGGTGCCGACAATCTCGCCCAAGCAGTTGATCATGGCGCCATACCAGCCCGGATAGTGAACCTCCTCGACGACGCTGGCGTAGCTGCGCTGCAGGTCCTCGGGCTTGGGGGGTTCGACCTTCATGTTTGCCTGGGCCCGGAAGCCGCCATTGCCGGAGCCGGGGGCCTTGCCCTTGGAAGCGCCCGGGCCTTGGTCTTCGGATCCGTTCATTGTGGTTGATGATTTTTTGACGTGGCAGTCGCTCTGATTCGAGTCCCTGATGGTTGGAAAACAATCCACAGTAAGGTGATGGAGCGGGATGTGAGGTGGGCCGTCGTCTTGTTTTATGTTGTTTCGTGAGCGCGAAACATGGATGGGGGAGCTCCAAGTCAGGCGGGTGCCGGGTGGATCCATGCCGGGGCAGAAACTCGTGCATTGCAGGGCTGCAAGGGTTCTGTGAGAATCCGCCAAGGTGCCCCCGCAACGGCAAGTGGAGAATTGATTGGTCAAGCCCAGGACCAAGCCCACCAAGCCAGTGCCGAGACAATACGGTGGATAACTACGACCGGTCACTGTGCACTGCTGGCCGTGCTGGCTTCCAATGTGAAATGTTCCAAGCCCCAATGGACGCAAAAACCATCACTCTTTTTTGGGGGTTCCATTGCTAGAAGTGAACTTTACCGCTTCCCCGATAAAAGTGGCATTTCCCTCAATCATGCGACAGAATGCTGCTGCGACGAAACTACCTCGAGAAACTGCCTCGATCAAATTATCTCAACTCATTCCACGGGTTCCTCAACAAAGAAATAATCAGGTGACTGTAGCCCGACTGTGTGAGTGAGACTGTGTCGGAAGGCTTGGGGGGCACGGGAGTGCCACTCGATCGGCCCGCTGTCACCTCTCGGGGGCTGTGTCTTGTCTGGCGAGCCTTGGTGCCTTTGATGGCCATTGACGGTTCCCGTCCGTCTGTACCAATGCCCGGGAATACCGGCTTCTGTCTCGTGGCAGTTCCCCGCTGAATTTCCTGGTTAGGAAAGTATTGACATGATGAGAGTTACACGGCATCGCCCGTTCGGTTCCTGGGCTTCCCAGCTTGGTTCTTGTGTGTATCATTGTATGTATTATCCAATACAACAAGACAACACAACAGAACAACTGGATACTTGCAACCGCAAGGATGAAACGGCACGGCTGTTTGGACTCGAAAGGCTTTGGACTGAAAGTTTCAAGAACCAACATTCCTGAAAAGCCTGACGTCGATCGCCCAAGATGGATCGACAAACAATCAGACACCAAGGCATGTCAGTCATGCCTCTCCACAGAAGCAATCCAGAATCCTTCTTCATAAGAAATGGGGGCTGTGTCTCACGGGACAATGTGAATGAGTGAATGGGCCAAGTGATATGCGAGGCATTTCGGTACTGCAAGGCTAACCCCGAGGCAGTCTTGAAATCATTTTTGGCTCTCAGCGGGCCCAGACCGCACCTGCAGCAACCGAAACATTTTCCGTCGACTTACCACAGTAGCTCCGGCAGAGAGTCGAGTGTTCTGGAAATCGACGTAGCGAGCGCCTCCGATTCGGCAACGCTCACGACGTCACCAGGGTTATCCTTTCGGCCCCCAAATGCTCACCATGCTGGGCAGCAACCTGGAATTCTGCCCAACACGCCTTCTGCAAATGGCCTGGGAAGCCGGGCGACAGAAGATGCGCGCCGTCATGCCGGGCAAAGCTGATGAGGAGTCGCGAGTTTCTCGGTTTGTTGTATGGTGATTCTCATGACACCCTCTTGCACTACATCTGTAAAGTCACGACTTGCGTCTGTTGCGTCCTAACCCCGGCCTGTCGAACGGAAACACCGCCGTTGGTGAGGTGGGCGGAGAGACGCGGCTGATGTTCCAAATCACCGCCATCAGTGCAGGGGATGCACTATACTGTGTAGGCAGGCACGGCAGGGTTCATCCATCTCGCGCCGTCGTCCGATCGCTTTCCCCGCCGCCAACCCAGGACATGCGCGCGCACCCGCCAAGCCTGTCCGGGACATTTTATCCAATTAAAGTTCCCGGGCGAAGAACTGGTGAGGCAACGGTTAGGTGGTGCGCCTCGATCGGCAGGTTTGACTGTGCAGTGTTCGGGAAGGGACTCGAACCCTGTGGGCAAAAGAACAGGTAATCTGTACATACACCAAAGCCACCTGCACACAGAGCTATCTTGATGCACTATTTATCAGCCAAATCAAACCCAAATTTGATAAAACAAAGTGCAATACAATCCCTGGTTGTTGCTCTTTCTATTTTCAAAGCATCACTGATTCATATCACTTGGTGGCTGGTATACAGCTTGTTCGAGAACAACTTCCCCAAAACCGATTTCGGTGGGCCCACCTGCAAGTTCCGTTCACAAACGCAGCACTGCCAGATTGTCGTCGGGAGTGCCGTGCCACGCCTGCCAAGGAAATGACATGGGATATTTATGGCGCGCGATGACGCGCAGCCGGACGTTGGCTTCCGGGGGTTGTCTGTCAAAGCCGGAGGAGAGATACTTTGGAACAGGGGTCTGAATGTAGTGCAGGGCAAGTCACTGTACAAAGGGCTTGAAGTTCGTGGTCGAATTGTCTCACGTCGGGTTTGGCGATGGTTTCTTCAACTTGACGAAAAAGGAAACCAGCTGCCCCACCCCGCAATTACAAAGTTCAACCCAATACCCCCAGCCCATCACCCCCCCCTCGGATCCAAAGATCCAGACAAACACGTTTATTGTTCGTCCTTAAAACCATCTAAAGCCCCCCGAGAGCCAGTATTTTTGCTCTTTACTCTTCACTTTCCACATATTCTCTGGGCCTTTCTTTACCACGTCCATACACAGTACTACTTGGTACCTCTTTCGCTGACTGAGAGTTTGCGTCGCCCGCTTCCCTGCGGATCCCTTCCTCGTTGCTCGCCGAGATGCCGACTGCACTGTTACCCCCGGGAGACGGCCGCACTCGGATGGAACCCGTCCTTCGCCGAAAACGACACAAATCGTCCAGGAGGAAGCGCTACCCTCAGACAAGTAATGCGACGCCGCCGCCTATTCGCGCCGAGCACCCTCAAGTAACCGGCACCACGACCACAAATCTACAAGTCGTCCCTCGCTCCAGAGAATACATCAAGCTTTCTGAGAGACCGTACAACAAATTGCTACGCCTACGCGGCTTTCCCGATGAGAGCACCACCACGCGGAGGCTCCGCGTCAGGGCCTTGAATCCGAAGGCCCTCTGGGACATGGGCCGCACCGATCGCCTCTTGCTCCTGAAGAAGCTTGAGGAGATGCCCGCCGTCATCCGCTTCGACGTCGGCGGCGAGATGCTCACCGATAAAAACGGCGACACGGCCAACCTGGCCACCGTCTTGATCCTTTCGGTCGCCCGGCGAGGCGGAGAGCACAGCGAGCTGGTGGGCGAGCTAATCGGCCTGTCGGGCCCGGGCACCGTCCAGAAGATCAAGAAGTACATGCGGCCGTCGCTGGCGCGCCTAGGCATGATTGTCCCCCTGGCGCACGCAACGGCCCGCCACATCACCCAGCCGCGCAAGCACAACGGCGGCCTGATCGGCTCGGAGAGGGTCTTTCGGGACGTGCCCCACATCATCGCCACCTGTCTCGACCGTCTGGACAAGAAAAAGGTCAAATGGCTGCAAAGCAGCATCCTGCGCCTCGTGACTGAGTGGGGAGAGGACGACCACGACAGGGGAATCCGGGTCGGCTTGGTGCTAGTTGGAATCAAGGTCTGGCTCCACAGGGCTATCGAGGGCGGCCACTTCGGACGTGCCGTCCTGCTCGCCAAGGTCGTGTTCGGCGGGCTCTCGGGCGTCCCGGGCTTCGGATGGGTCTTCTCGACCACGCTGCCGTTTGTGGAGACGACGATCATGCATCGACAGAAGACGAGAAGGCAGAAGTTTGAGGCCGTGTGGGACCAGATATTGGGTACGGTGCGGGTGGCGATCGACGACCTTCCCGGGCGCCGGACTGCTGAGGGCGAAGGACGTTACAGGGAGTACGAGACTTATCTGCGGAGGGTGCTGGATTACCAACTGCCCTTATAAGGAACCCAGGGTGTCAAGTGACACATAGACACGTAAAGGATAGAAATAGAGGATAGAAATAGAGGATGGAAATAGAGGATAGAAATAAAGGATAGAAATGGAGGATAGAATATAGTGGGCCTATGTATTTTGCCGCCTTTACCGTTCATGCAGATGTCTTCCTTCCACGTGGAAATTCGGTGTATTTCGTAGTTGAGAAGGGAACCCCGGTTGAGGAGCCGCTTCGCGTCGTCTGACGTAGTAGGTAGGTAGTTATTGACTGTGACCCGGAGGCAGCTAGTCTCAGGGTTCCTTTTTTTTAGACTGGAAGCCGCTGGCCTAGGTGATAATTAGTGATATTGGCGATGTTAACTATTGGCTCCTTGTGGAGCTCGGGAAGGTTACGCGTGAGGACCTTAGCGTTAATATTCCGGATTAATTACCACCTTCAAGAAGCTCATGGGGCTCTCTATTGCTAGCTTACCATCATAAACACCAGTCTTTACGCAGGATATGCCCTCAACAGAATTCCTTATCTTCGCCCTCAATCAATGTCCTCTATTGCGTCCCACACTGCAAGTAGGTCCAGCCTGCTCGCGGCCGACGAAGCTCCACGCTTCCTCATTTGAATCGAAAGTCTACAAGACAAAGCCTTCTCGGCAATCGAGAAACCACCTTCCCCAAGCTCGCGGAATCACCTTGTCGGGGTGTCCCCTGGGGCCGACCCGAGCTTGCCGCCGAAATGACGGGGTGGAAATCATTCCACTGGTATTTCCCAAAGTCCTCGACATGATTAGATGGCTCGTGTTGGATAAGTAGTGTGTAGTTGGGTCGAGCGGCCATGATAGAATGGGAGCTGTCGTGGATCCCAGAACGAGAACCGGCTCCCGTTGGGGGAACCTTGAAAGTAGGGAAGTCTAGGGTATTGTATACCCCGAAACAGCAGCTGAACGAGATGAATTGGCCATCATATGTTTGGCGTCGGACTAATGAGACACGCCGCCCGGGTAGACGACACACGCGAGCCAACCTTTCTCCAATCTGTTCTCGACTCCGCCTTAGCAACCCACCCCCCTAATCCGCAGGTATTAACCACGGCCTTAAGCCGTCGCATTTGTCGGCAGCTCATAGCACCCTTCTGTGGGGAACCTTTCTCCTTGGTCCCACTAGTAACAGTCAGTACCCAGACACGTCGCACTCTCCTTTCCCTAGCCGGCTGGTATCACTTACATGCTCGTGAACACACCCGTCAACCCAGCGCCACCTGTCGATAGTCGAGTACCGCGCGTACGACATGTTCGTAGCCGCATCAAAACACCAGTCCGTGCCCTGCTCATTCCCAATCTTGCGGCCGCTGCAAAACAGGGGCCAGATGGCCTGCGGGCCGCTCGCATAGCCCGGGTTGTGTTGCTAATACCACCATAAGTCTCAGCCCTCGATCCACAACAACACCATCACCACCACCACCACCAACAAACCAGACAAAACCACAAGACAAACAAGGACACAAAAGACTCACCTGATACACATCATCAATAAGCGAGAACATGGTCCGCGGATCGCCATCAACAACGAAGGCGCGATAGAACTGGTACGCGCGCCGCGCCGTCTCCTCGACCGAGACCGACGGGTCCGGCGTGCACAGCTGCGGCGGCGTCTGCAGGTGGCAGAGGTTCTCGCGCGCCTGGAGGGACTGGAACAACTGCGGCACCGAGGAGGCGTCGCCGGCCGGGGCGGCCAGGCTGCCGAGGGGCGCCGCTAGGAGGGCGGCGGCGGTTAGGGCGGGGAGGAGATGCATTTTTGATTCTTCTTTCTTTTGGAAGGGGGGGGGTTGGTGGTGTGGTGTTGAGGTTTGGGTAGTGTGGTGGCCGGGGTGAAGGGGTGATGTGGGAAGGGGATATACATGTATTCTGTATATGGTGCTGGGTGCACCATGCGCTGGTGTTCAGGGGGCACCGTTCCATCCGGAGCTTGTCGGGTAAATACTCAGGACCAAGAAACCTTGATCGCCAGACAATTTGGGTTTAAATCTCCGAGTAATCTATATGGTTATGTGAGTGCCAGGCCTAGCTGCCGTTTCGTGCGGGGTTCATGGGTCGTTGATACGGGTGAACCTGGTGAGGAGGATAAGCAGGCGATCGTCAACTGCCAGTGCCACGGTGCCAAGTTCTCTCGGCGTGTATTTATATAAGGTACGGAACCTTATGGCTCTACCTTCGCCCTCCCTTTGGGATAGTTGCGGGGTCGCCTAGCTGGCAAGCTTCTGTCTGCTACCATGGCTCATCCGTTTCGATCGGACGGATGTCTGGACTTGGCCGTATCAGCGAACTGCGTTGCAGTCGGCAGTTATACGCGACACCTGCAGTACGTTCCCGGAGCGCGCGCTTCTATTTCCACCTCTCACGCTCTTGGAGTCAAGGAAGAGGGCATGATCTTCCGGGTGGTCTCCGAGGATGAGCCTGTCCTACGAAGTGCTCGGTAGTCCAACGCGGTTCGGCTAGATGGCCGGGATAATGTGCAGACGTATAGACCATCACGGAACCCAGGACCCATTAACCGGGGACGGTCACTTCAAGCAACAAATTTCTCCCAAAGATCTATTCCCCTACCGACCCCCAACATCCCCCACCTCCAATCACCCCCTCAACCCACCTCCCTCCCCTCCCCACGAAACGACTCTGAAGACCACCTCCTCCCCAATCTCGACCCCAACCGGTCCTCCAGCTCAATGGTGTCGTTGCTGCCGCCCTTGAGCGACCCTCCCACAATGTGATGCTCATCGCTCCTACGCGGCCCCGCCCCGCCAGACACGGCCCGCTCGTGCTTTGACGGGGAGTGCTTCGACAGGGAATGGCGCCAGAAGCGTGGGTTTGGGGAAGGCCGGTGGGTTGGGGCGGTGGTGGGCCAGTAGTCACCGATGCTGCTGTTAGGGTGGCGATCGGGGTTGGTGTTCGGCGCCGTAGTGGCGTTGGCGGTGGTGTTTGTGTTGGTGTCGGTGTTCGTGGTGCCGAAGAGGCGAGGGAAGAGGCGGGTGAGCGGGTGCTTGAGGATGGGCAGGCAGGCGCTGATGATGCCGAGGTTGGCTTCGAGGAGGGTCCAGACGCCGCGGTTAACGAAATAGTAGGTTGGGTCTTCTCGGTTCTCCGGGGAGTTTGGCACTGAGGTGGTGCGGAGGATGGCGGCGATCGTGACGCTGGTAGGGAAGGGTAAGATTAGCCTTTTCTCTTATTTTCGTTTCTTTATTTTTGCATCCGAGGATGGCGTCTTTCAAAAGACTAGACTGGGAGATAGGGGCACTCACAAGGCGGCCACGACGAAGACTCCGCAGAGCAGCAGACGATCCCGCAGACCCAGTTGCAGGTTCAGGATGGGCCAAACTGGTAACACCAAAACCATGACATCGGTTGTTATGTTTAAAACAGCATACGCAACCCAGAACTTGTCCGGGTCGATGCAAGTTGCGCCCGAGTCCGGGAGCCATGCTCCTTGGATCGGTGTACACTGGAAGACGGTGGCGGCGATGCTGCCGATGCTGTACCCGACAATGATGAATAAAAGGGTGAAGGCGGTAGTGCGGAATGACTTGGATACAAAGATCCGCAGGCACAGTAGTATGACCGAGACCTTGTTGAGGCATACCGTCACCTTGTAGGGCGTGAGAGCGATGAAATACCACTTCAGAGCCGCCTCTAGCTCCGCCTGAGTAAGGTCGGCCTTGTGCATGCCATAGCCATGGCTTACAGCCAACTGGATTGCTATGGATAGAACAATTGAGAAAGACTCGAGAGACGGTGTTAGCATCCTTGATACCGCATCATAGACTCATGTGGCATCTCGGCCTGAAAGGAGCTTACCAGAGAGACGACTATGGAGACATCATCCCATCCAGGGTTTCGCCTCACCAGCCTTGTGACTAACCTTGCAATCACAAACAGGCCGGCGACTAGGATGGTGACTAGCGAGGTGATGTACAGCTTCCAGCCTTGATCCTCAGACCCGTCTTTGGAAAAGCCGACCGCTCGGTCGGGCATCCTAGGTTTCGGGAATGCTGACTAGGTACCCCGTTGTGTTTGGGGCTCGAACCGGCACAGGACTGGCGGAATTGGACGAGATCATGCATCCGTGGAGCCATGGGGGTTCGATACTGTCCTTTAAAAGGAGGCAGCGGCAGTGGTGCGGCGGGAGAGCTGAAGAGAGTGGCGTCCGGAAAGAAGAGGGATTTATTAATTTATTTACCGGGTATCCTTCCTTCGTCCCTCCTGTACCGCAGTCCATAATAGTACAGGGTGTGAACTGATCTCGGCAGGATGTCCGCTCGCGGCACGGCAAAAGCGGGCTGGTCTTAATGCAAATCCCTGCTTTTTTGATTTCCTCCGTACCTAGGTACCTACCTACATACATGCATACAGTTCTACAGCTTGAAATCTCGCTCTGTTCTAACAATTTCAACCTCAACCATATCACACCCCTTCTAAATGCAGCCCTTCCCGAGCATCGAAGCGGAGTAGCCACTCCAAAAAATATAACTCTCAACAATGGAATGCCTTCAGGAGCCCAAAGTTAAGCCAGAGAGTTACATGTTGGGCCCCCTCATGGAAATGCTGTAGCATTTCAAGACATTTCGCGAGTTGCGCAATAGGCTCCCAGCTATGGTGCCCGTGCCCGTGCTCTTTTCACCAGGTACTCCGTCCCTTCTTCGTCGTGTGAACCCAGGGCAGGATCTCCTCAACCTGAAATACTCGCCTTTTTCAAGGCGACTCTTCAAGGACTGTTTGGACGGCGGCAACCCCCTCTTTGGCAAGAGCTGAAGGGGTTGGCCTGAGGAAGCGAAGCAGGATGATGTGCTGAGCTGGTTTTGCCAGCTTCACCGCGAAAGCTGGCGAAATTTCCAGAGAGAGGCCCCACTGGCGGGTGTGTGTGCAAGGAGTCGTCGGGTGGTTCCCTGCACATACATCCAGCCCCAACCAACCCAACCCGAATCATATCCCAAACTTGTCGCTCAGAAACTGCCTCACCTGCGCATTCCCGCCCTTCCCAACCGCCAAGCCCTGCGGATTCCCCACCACCTGCAGCCCCTGCAACGACGTGACTCTCGACAGCGCCACATACACCTGCCCCTCCTCAAACGCCCGCGACAGGTCCACCACCGCCCGGTCCAGCGTCATGCCCTGGGATTTGTGTATGCTCAGCGCCCAGGCCGCCGCCAGCGGGATCTGCGTTCGGCACAGCAGCGAGTACGGCTTCCGGTCGCCCAGCTCGTGGACTGTGGATTCGGGATAGACGGTGCACGTGATGCCGTTGAGGAAACGTACGATGGGCCAGACGACTTGGGTGCGGTCCCGAAGCTGGTGCTTGGCGAACCGCATTCTTTGCGCCTCCTTGAGTATGGTGTACTCCCTGCTGCGGGTCGGAGCCAGGGGTCTTTCCGGGTCGTACCGCTCGAAGCCGATGATGGTGCCCTGGCTGCCGTTGCAGAGGCCTTGAGACAGGTCGAGGTTGTGGAGCAGGACGACGAGCATGCCGATTTTGAGGTCGACGTGACGTTCAAATTGGTGGTCGTTGAGGGCGTGAAGGGAGTTATCTGGGTTTCTTCGGCATTTGGGCTTGAGGTGCGGGTGGAGGTCCTCCTTCCAGACGAACTTGTCTCGGCAGGTGTAAGCGTGCGGTGGACTCTTGAGGCGCGCGAAGGCTTCTTTGTTGGTGCGGCGGACTTCGTCGCGGGTGGGAAAGAGCTTGATAGCATCGGCGGTTACGGAGCGGCGAGTCATAAGGGTGTCAATTTCGTCCTGGGTAAAGGGGATACCAAGACGGCACTTATTCAGCATAGAAATGAAGCCGGGGTCGCTCTGGCGGTGGACGGTCTTGAGATAGACGTGCATAAATTTGGCCTCGGCCCAAGCTTTGCTGCGAAATGCCCACTTGTCGCTGTCGTTGTACTGGCTCTTGCAGCTGGGACAGCGGTGAACGGTGTCTTCCTCTTCATCTGTCGATATGAGATCACTGCCGCAGGTTATGCAGTGCTGAAAGGCTTTTACGGGAGGAAGCTGGCAAAAGTCTCCGGTGACAATGACCTGGACGCCGCCGAAGGGAGAGTCGTTATCGCGGCCGCTCTTCATGACGGCATTAAGCCGCTCTAGGTGCAAGTTCTCGATCATGCTGATCTCATCGATAATGAGGGTGTCAGTTCCCTTAAAACGCTTGCGTGTAATCCGGCCGAGCGCTGCCTCTTCCAAGGATTCGAGTTCCTGCTTGTGGTGGTTAGGCGTCCACCCGGCATAAGTCCAGGTGGTGGTACCGTTAATAGCCAGGGCAGCTTTGCCCGTTGGTGCCACGACGCATACATTCTTTCCCATATTCCGTAGGCGTGCTCTGATGGCATGTAGAACGGTGGACTTGCCACAACCTGCGGATCCAGTGTAGAAGATATTGCGGCCGCTGGCGGCGAGCTCGACCACCTCCAGCTGCTCGGGACAGAGGACGGGCTCACTAGCTGGCTTCAGTTGCGCCGGCAATGTTGGTGCTGCGGCAGCTACGTCAGCTGCGGCCAGCGGCCCGACGTACGGAGGTTCGTAGGTGCGAGCGCCAGACTTGAGTTCTGCAAGGCCAAGTACGTGGCGCGTGTATGTTGTCCGGATCTGGAACAGCTGTCGCATGAGGTCGATTGGCAGATCAGACTCATCAGAGTGTTGGTGGGAGTCGAGCTGTCGCCGGCAATCCCAGTACTCCCACGCCGTAGCAAGCGCAGCCTCGGAGAGCGGACGTCCCAGGTGGTCGACGGCGGCGGCGTCAGTCGTTAGCCATTTTGGTGCACCAACGTTCTTTGGGGCTCCCCGGTGTCGCCTGGTCAGCGCGCTTGTCGTTCCAGGTGCCAAAATTGCCGCTTTTCGCCGCCCGAGAAGTGGTGCCAGTCTGTGGAATGGTCCCATCTCGCCGATCCCATAGAACTGGGATGTGATGGGTGTGTACTGGTATTTAATTAGGCAGCAAGATGCGAGGGAATGACCCTTCCGTTTGGGCGCAAAGTCAAAAGTCGGTGGTGCGTTGGGAAAATAAAAGGCTGGTAGCTGTATTTAAGGCTCGGAGCAAATCAAATATTTTGGATTGATTTACTCAAATTCAATCAAAACAAGCCAAATCGGCCCAGTCAAACAAATAAGACCGTCGATTTGATCAAATCCACCTACAAGTATTCGTATTTGACTTACTTGGAGCCAGCCACAACTAGCCACAAAAGGTGGCTGGGCACTTTGAAATGGCCCCAGCGCCCCAACAGCCACCATAACCTGTGCCCTGTGAAACCCTCAACCCTGTGGCGCCACAACAGGGTTTGTTTTACAGAGATTCGTATTACATACCACTTTCGCCGAATATTTTATGTACCGAGTTTTATGAATTTGATGGCTGTTGAATGAGAAAGAGCACGGCGAGCGTGTGTAGAGGGTTAGGGTTATATATGGCCGTGAGATTTATTGGACACAAGGGAATCAAAACAAATCCAATTAAATAATACAATCAAATATTGGCTCGACCAAGGTAAGTACGCCTACAAATGGTTTGTTTGAGCTGCAGAGTTCCCAGCGCTAATATATTTCTTTCCCAACGACATCATTCCGAACAATATAAGGTACGCTGCAGGGCGTTAAATAACTTAATAAGTGTATGACCTCAGGACCTGAAACTTTCACCATTTTTATGACCCTGTCACAACCGAAAGGTTCACGCTCGGCACGGTCAGGTCGACCCCTCCTGAGCTCATAACCGATTCCAAGCACTGTCGGCAAGATATCTGCCAGCTTGACCTGGCTCCGCTACTGGCTAGGGCCCCTTCGTTGAACACATTCGACGGTGGCAGCTCCAGCTTGTGACTCTGAAGATTGCCATCCATGCGGTAGTCAAAACAGAGATGCGTAGAGTTTTGGAGAATCAAAAAGATTGCTCCGAGAAGGGGCGGAGGGGGGTTGCGAGTATGGAATAGAGAGAATGCATCAGCGATGACATCAACCGTCGCTCGGGTTATGACTGGATGCGGCACAAAGAGAGATGCTGCCATTTCAAGCAGAGATGGTCTCTCGAACCTCATATATCCCCCGCGCGCAAACATCATGAGGGCCGACGAGCAGCCGGAAAGTATCTTGGCTTCGAGGGTGAGTACCTGGGAAAAGATCCAGAGCAAGCACCTCGCCCTGAGGATGGAAGGGTGGAATGGATACCTGGACTCGCCAGCCCATTGGCCATAGATATAGAGGGCGACGATAATGCGCTCGAAAAGTCGAGTTGGGCCTATCCTGGACCTGTATTGCGACAGGAGCGACTCCAGGACTTCTTCAACGTGTTCGATCCAGGTCCGACCTCCGAGCCGAGAGCCGATAGCTCTCCCAATAATCTCGTCGGGAGCAAGCCCTGCCTCCACTCGCAAACGGGCTAGTAAGAGTTCAATGCCTTTCATGGCCATTCCAAGTTTTCGCTCTGCAGCCTTGTTTGTCAAATGCATCTCAATGCTGGGCCAGGGAGGCGTGCACAGAGCGATCCGGTGGAAGTGCGCGATTGCCTCCCACCGTGCAGGGGGGAGCTGCTAGAACATGTCTGGGGGCTCTTCGACATCTAGTATTTTTGGGTGTATTATACCGTCCAACCTTTGGTCTGTCTTGCCTGGAGTGAATGGCGAACCCCCGTCGAGGTCTTTGAAAACTTCCGAGACGAACTTCCGGAGTCCGGTTTCATGGAGATCATCCAGAGCGAGCTGGGTCAACGGATCGGGTTGGCCGTCAAAGGAATCATAGAAGCGGACCGGGAGGCCGCATTGAAGACTAAGTAAAAGAGTCGTCACGGTAAGCAAGACGGTTATGGCAGCATTCCCCTCAAGTTCACATACCAGGACACCTCAAGAGAAGAAGACCCGTCTGCCCCTCGTTCTGTCCCGCACCGCGGACACAAATCGGTGTCCTCGTCGTCGTAGGGAACGATGACATTCATCTCCATTCGGTCGTCCGGGTTTATCACGCCGCGAAGAAGCTTGACGCCCGGGCTGCCGGGCAAGATGTTCTGAGAGGTACTGATATTACGGAGGACGTACGACTTGGAGTTGATGAAACTATGACCACGGTCTTGTTTGGGGAATATCTGTTCTCCGAGGAGTCGATGGAAGTGCTGCCATGCCGAGAGCCGGGTCAGAGCCGTACATGTAATGGACGCTTCACCATCCCTTGATGACTCACATTCCAATCCGGGGCGTCCGAGAAATAGACTGCCCAGCGTATACGGCGAGCATCCTCGAGAACGAAGTGATTGCCACGGGGCACATTTCCGGGCACAGTCGGCGTGCCGTGAAGGATGCGGATGGTACAGTTAGGGCTTGACATCCTGATTCAGCTTCCAGTGTTGTTGTTTCTGGGAGGTCACCACCCACCTAAACATTGCCACGAAAGGGCTGACCATAGCAAAACGGAACTCCAGCTCCTCCCGAAGTTCTTCAAGCATGTCGGAATGGCGAACCCATCGCAGCTTGGCGATCGCGCGGAGCAGCCCCTCGTCAACGCGTCCGCGACCGAGATACCGCTCGAACTTCCGAATCCCCTTGAAATAGTTGCGGAGCATCCGATCAATACCCCTTCGTGCATTGTTGAAGAACTCGTTTCTCTGGAGGCTTTCGTTGTTGTCGATGAGCTCATTCAGCGAGCTGGACAGGAGGGCAAACCGCTTGTATGTCTTTGCGCATCGTCGAAAACTTTCCTCAGCCCCGCCCTGTAGGATTTCGGCTAGCTTCCACAGGCCCTTCACGAGCATGACCAAGTCGCCGGGCCCGACGGGAATAGACATGATGGTTGGATGTGCTGTCGACTGCCCTAACGACTGGTGTTTCGATTCAAGGACTCAGGACTTTCACGCAGCGCGGGAAAGTGACATGCTTCAGGACCGGACCATGTCCCAAACATGAACTCTTAGAGAGCAAGAGGACTTGGGCTTCTCTGCAAGGAAAGGCAAGACTTAAGTTCCAGCCTATTTCAGTCTCCACAGAGCCTGCCCGGCCTCGATGTCGCCCATACAGATTAGAAGGCTGTGTCTCCCTCTCTGCTGATAGGCTCGTCCGTCACCTGATGTCACACAGCAGAAAAGCCATGGTAGGGACCAGTCCGTTCTGCAGCTCTTGCATTTCCAAGGGGGGGGCGGCATGCAAAGCAACTGGTCGTTATTAGTACCAATCTGCCCACAGACTGGAATTCAAACCCGCTAGGCTGTTTGTTAGGCATTATTTGTCTGCTGCATCTCGAGCGCCGACGTCCAACCATCTCAGCGCATGACTCACAACGCTTGGGGAAAGCCTTGCCATTATGGGCTGCTGTAGTATGCGCTGCGCCATTGGTAGTACAAAGTACAATCATCTCCCGTTGCTAATACACGGAGGAGGTCCTCCTCACCAAGTGTCTGGGCTACCTTAGCGAGGAGGAAATGGCGGGAATCATGGACCGGGAGGGTTTGCGTGTCCTCCGGATGACAGTCAGACAGTGAACGATCCATGATGTTGATCATTGAATATCGCCTCGTGCCCAAAATGTAATTCAAGTCTTCGATGGGGAGAACGTTGTCGGCATGCAGGTTTGTCATCTCGTTGGACGGTTGATATTCAAAGAAGGATTCGAATGCAGCGGTCATCCTTAACACAACCATTTAATCACCATTGATTACCACCTTATTCGATCGCAGAACATTCAAGGTTGAATATTCTAGACCATATAGTAGCAAGTTAGCTCCTAAGCAACAAAAAAAAAAGCAGTAGTAGTTCAGTTCCTCTCCCGCTACACAGGAGACTTTTCTCCCTCCCGAGTAACCGAGTACTTTCGCAACACGCCCAAGATAAAACCCCCAAAAAGATAAAGACACGAAGCCACAACCGCAATGGGAAGAGAGATGGCCCAGAATACATAAAACTTTCGCTCGCCGGCAGCATAGTCTCCCCCCATGGAGAACACAGCGGCAATGAAGGAGACAGGAATGAAGAGAGTCGCGAGCGATGTCAGGTATCCCACCTGGCGGGCCTGCGCGTTGGCGACAATACTCTCCCGCACAGACACGGCCAAGGTGTATGCCTCGGACATGATATCGACTCTCGTCTTGAGAGTCAGCAGGGCGTTTTGCAAGCTTTTCCACGCCGCTGTCTCCCATTCCTCGCCCATCTGCCTCTCTCCGCCGACTCCGAGGGCGTCCAGGTTGTAGAAGAGGGTCGTTTTCGTGCCTTCGAGGACTGACTTTGCCCGCACGAGCCGGCCGAACTCTTCGTCGGTCCATGGATGCGTCCAGGCTGGAGGGGGCCGGGTGCGAGGGTTGAAGGTGGGCGTTCTCGGGCCGATGCTCATCTCGTACTGCTTCCGGATCACCTCGGCTTCCAGAACGCGGAGTCGAGCTGTCCATGCCGAGAGGACTAGCTGTTTGCAGATATCGGTGCAGGTGATGGGATCTGCGGTTGATTGATACTGCTGAGATGGGTATAGACGGACCAGGTCATCAAACACGGACTTCATCCCAGGTGCCTCGCCGGCGCCGCCAACGGGAAAGGGAGGATACCAAGATCCGTCTTGACTCCACCCATCTTTGGAGATACCCGGGACGTTTCCATTCTCCGGACTCTCATGAACGACGAGCCGAGGCCGAGGATCGTCTGTCCACATGACGGAGTTTCCGAGGGGTGGGTCAACCAGTAGCAGGGCTAAGCAGGTAAATGGTCGGCGTGAGTGAATGTTCCCGACATGTATTATTAAAGGAGGGATCTGACTTGCCATCCCAGGACCCCCGATCACACGCGCTCCAGAACGATACAATTTCATAACTCCAGAGGGGGCCTTCGAATTCCCCAAACAAAGAATCGCGGCCTAGCTGGCGGGTAATGCTTGACTGCATGAAATACACTGGGTCGGCATCATCGCCCGGTTCTCCCTGGATCTTTGCACGATGCAGTTTTGGGGATGCCAGCGTGAAGCGGGTCTGGTTGTCGTAGGATCGCAGCGTCTGGTTCAACAGGCTGGCGACAAACTTCCCTGGCTGCACCCAATGCGCGGCAAAGAACGAAGGGGGAACTCGGAGCCTGGATCCCAGAAGCTGTATAAACTTCTTCGGGAGCCCCTCTAGGACAAACATTCGTCTGCATTCGGGTACGTTTGGCGACGATGGCGGAGGAGAGTTACTGTCCAGGTAGCGACGCAAATCCTTTGACTTGGTGAAAACCCGGACGTGTGGCTTAACTCCATCTTGAAATGTGATGACGGCCACTTGCCCTTCATCTTGCTCGGCCCCGAGTTGGCTAGATACCTGTTTAACAAACCCAGGGTACCACTGCCGTTGAGTGGACTCGAGACGTGACCAGTACTCTGCCTCGTCGTCGTGCATCTTGGTGATTCGAAGTCGGTATAAAGTTCGGTGGATGGTCTTTCTGTCCAGCTTTTGAGTTCGCTCGCGTCAGTGCTTACTTTGCAGATGAACAAGCATGAAGTCAGAGTCGCACACATCGGCACGTGCTGCTTGATGATTCGTCGCCCTGACTGGGTGACTGTCGTGCCACCCAAGACATCCCATCAAGAGGGAGGGGACGGGACAACTACTACCCATGTTCTGGACCATGCACTCAGTCCCATAAAGTAACCAGGCTCAGAGCCCGTGTCTTCCAAGGCTCTTCCACTATGTCTTTACTTTCTCTTCCGGCTTTTGCTTACCGTTGCCCTCTCAGCTTTCCACAATAATACATTGTATTTGCTCAGCCATGCATCATCCATTCGGGCTCGATTTCAAGGACGCAAGTCTTGCGACAATCTTCGCCACGTGCGTCTCATGCTTCGAATACGCCTTAGCCGGACAACCTGCCGGTCAAGCGGCCCTAAAGCTCAGCATCGCTAGGCTTCGCCTTACCCGTTGGGGCGAGGCGGTCGGCATCTACCACGATGGAAACCTTGGAGAACCTGAAGCTGACCCTGACGACCTCAAGGCAGTTGAAGCTGCCTTGGTTCAACTCATCGGCCGGTTCGAAGTCTTGGCTACGACCAATTCCAACGACAAGTCGATATTAGGCTCCGTCTTCAACCAAGCCAGGCGTTCGGGGCAGCCTCTAGGCCCTCTGCTCAAGAAGCTTGACGAGATCGCATGCAGCCGGGGCGATCGGCAGCAGAACCCTGGCCTTCTCGAGAACACCCGCGTGCTGAAACTCGGCGAGCGGACCGACTTGCTGGTTCAAGATAGTTCAGAGTGCGCTGACACGCTTGAGGAGGCTTTCCCGCCCAACGGCCTGCGGCAGCTTAGCCGGGAGGAAATGGCGGGAATCACGGACCCGAGGAGCTTGCATGTTCTACGGGTGGCAGCGAGCGGTATTGACCATTGGATATCGCCTCGTGCCGGGAATGCGATTCGTATATATGGTGAGCAGAACCTCGGTTTGCAGGTTGGTCAGCTCGTTGGAGGGATCAGTGGTTCGATGAGGTTCACTCTTGGTGATTGATGGGTGCTCAAAGATTGAGAGACGGTTGTAGTCTTGTAGAGGTGTGCGGGCTGGGCAGGGCAGTGTATAGTAGGCGAGTTCAGGAGAGTGGTATCATAGAACGAAGAAGGATGTATTTTGATTGGCAGGTATCCTCCCTGTATCGATACTATCTATAGTGAACTAATCTTGGTAGAATATAATTAGCTACCTCTTCGTAGCACGGTCAAGGCAGGCTACCTAAGTACGTACGTTTCCTAAAGTCTCAATGCCAACCGCTGGTTCTTTTGAGTACCTATGTTGGTAGGTAAGCAATGAGTCTCTCTTCAGGGCATTTGCCAACAAGTTCTAATAGATATCGCAGTCAACGCCCGTCACAAACCAAGACCAAGGCCACGGGCACGTCCTCCTCCGGAGTCGTCCCTCTACGGCATCCACTCCGTATACGCCCGATCCACCACCATCTCCTTCACCGTCGGCAGCGGCCCCTCCCCCTCCCACCCATCCCCAAAAGCAACGCACATCCGCACGAGCTCCCGCCACCTCCGACCCGGCGCAATCTTACCCACAATACCGTTAGGCGCTAGCGAGTCGCTGTTGACGGGGACGAGGGCGGCACGGCCGAGCACGGCCTCGACGGCCTGCTGCGCGAAGCTGACGGCCTCCTTGGCGTCGGCGGGCACGCCCGTCTCGTCGAGGGAGCGGATGCGCGCGCGCGGCAGCTCGCGCGCCAGGTAGGCCACGATGTGCGGGTTGCGCGCCCCGCCGCCGCATAGGAAGATGTCGTCGATGGCCGTGTCCGGGTTGATGTTGTAGCTGGGTAAGAAGGCCCGGTACTGCCGTACGATGTTCTGCGCCGTGATGCGTGTTATGGTTGCGACAGTGTCGTATTTGTTGCAGCCGGCGGCCTCGCATGCGGTGATGATCTGGTGGCACTCGTTGTCGCCGAAGACTTCGCGGCCGGTGGTCTTGGGGGGTGGGTGGTTGATGTACTCGTTGGAGGAGAGGAAGGCGTCGACGATGGCCTGGTTGACGGTGCCTTGTGCCGCCCACTGGCCGTCCTTATCGTACTCTTGCTCGCCGTTGGTGTAGTGTCTCATGGCCGCGTCGATGAACATGTTGCCCGGCCCGCAGTCCCAGTCGACCATGGCGTCGACGCCGCCGTCCCGGTCGGCCGGGATCAGGCAGAGGTTGGCGATGCCGCCGATGTTCTGGCACAGCCGCGTCCTGGTGGGGTGGTGCAGCAGCAAGCCGTCGATCAGGGCAACCAGCGGCGCGCCCTGGCGGCCGACGGACTGCTCGGCCTGTCGGAAGTCGGTGACGGTTGTGATGCCCGTCTGGGCGCTGATGATGGTGCCTTCGCCGAGACAAAATGCCGAGCGTGTCTCGCCCTCCTTGGGCATGCTAAGCAACCAGATGGTCTGGCCGTGGGAGCCGATGAGGTCAATGCTGCCCATGTCGACGTGGTGCTTGTCGCAAAACTCGCGCACGGCATCTCCGAACATCTGACCAAGCTGGACGTTCATCTGCGACATGGCGCTGGGTGTTGTTCTGGTCTCGCGGAGCATCTTCAGGATAGGCTTCTTCATCCGCTGTGGCACGGGTATCTCGTCGTACTATTTCGTTTATGGAGTACATTAGCGGACTGTCCAACCCGCCGGTGCTGCGAGAGGTCTGTAACTGTTTACCTTGAGAACCTCCATGTGAAGGGGAGCGGTTGGGGACTCTTGCCGGTACCGGACGAGTGCGCAGTCGATGCCGTCCATGGCGGTACCGCTGTTCATTCCAAGCACCTTTAGGTCTAGAGACCCGTCGGGGCGCATGTGGACGCCATCACTTGCATCCCCTGAGCACCCGTTGCCGTTTGTGTGAGCCGCATTCGTCGTATGGCCGTTGAGGCCAGAGTGGTCTGGTACGGAGCCCATTGCTATTGTTTGTTTGCACGGATGGAAGACGTCAAAGGATTGCTTGATCACTCTCTGGGTGTCTCTCACAACACTCCCTTGCCGATTGTCATATTATTGTTATTATATACCCATCCCTGGGGAACCAACTCCTTAATATCTCGGGCCTCTCGGTCCCTGGTTGCGTCGAGGTGGACGGTGGACCTGATCCCCCGCATTCCACATCGTTTGATGATGTTGAAACCCAGACCAACAACAGATGTCGTGCCGAGGCGGCTCGAATCCAGAGTGGCAATATGGTCGAGACGAGTTGAGAAATAGTGCCAAGGGTCCCACAACAGCAGGTTGCTCGTCTCGATGGGCTTCGACACGAGTTTCCTAATCGGGATATGGAGTATTATACCGTGTAAGTGATCCACACCACCGAAGCACCGGGGTACGGGCCGGCGGTTTCCTGACGACCTGGCTTCATCTGCATGCCTTACATACAAGTTAAAAGTGATGCTGCACTTCTCTCACGGTCCTACTTGGAGGAGAACGATAACCGACCTCTCTCGTTCTCCTAGCTTGCAGTTGGTCCGCACACTTCACCCTTCACAGACGACATATTGGGAAATTCCGATTGTCCGATCGCAAAGATGCCCTCTGCCACCTGTCCTGAGACTTTAAGAGAGGTCTGGACCTCGGAAAGGGGCTCCATGGCTCACGAAACAGCGACAACCAGGTGGCCGAAAATAGTGCAAAACATGGTGGACGACTTGGAACAGTCTCTCGGCCAGTTGAACTCGGACAAGACAGAGCATATTGAGGAGGGACGGCGTATACAAGCCAGCCTGAGAATCATTAACGGCGAGATCATGCAGGACAAACAGTTGCAGTAGGTAGCATCACACCTGACAACACCTTGCTACAGAATCTAAGGGATGTTGACCCGATATGTTGTCAGTCCATTGAGTTCGGATGGCTGCCCTGATATCGACAGTTACAACGCACAGCTCGAGTCCTTCGGCAGCATGACCTGGCACAATTGTCCCTGGCTCTTTTCCGAGTGCTATCTCTACAGGTATGCCAAATCCCCCCAAGCCCTCCCTGCTCGTTCTCACCGTTCCCCACCACAAACAGGTGTGTCCAAACCCTCTTCGCGCGGTCCCAATTCTGGCGCGACCACGACATCTTCGCGCGGCAGAAGCTCAACGCCTTCGTTGCATCCCACGCAGCCGTTCAAGAGCTGTGCGAGCGGTACGCATCCCTCACCGAAGCGGGCGCCCTCACGAAAGCCGCCGCCGCCGATGACGACGACGACGACGCCGCGCGGCGACTGCTCTTCTCCGAGATGACCGAGATGGCGCTATGGGGCAACGCGACCGACCTGAGCCTGCTAAGCACCCTCGGCAGCAGCAGCAGCAGCAGCAGCAGCAGCAGCCACAACCACAACCCCGACGACATGCGCGCCCTGCAGGGCAACGCGGCCATCTGCGCGGGCCGGGCCCGCATCGTCGGCAACGACGCGCGCGCGGCGTGGGCATACCTCAGGTCCGAGACCCACCGGGGACGACGAACAGAGCGCCGCGTCGACGTGGTCCTGGACAACGCCGGCTTCGAGCTGCTGACCGACCTGGTCTACGCGCTGTACCTGCTCGACTGCGGGCTGGCGTCTGCCGTCCGGCTGCACGTCAAGTCCATGCCCTGGTTCGTGTCCGACGTCACGCCGCGCGACATCGACGTCCTGCTCGCCGCCCTGGCCGACCCCGCCGTGTTCCCGGCCGCGGCGAATCCGAGCGTGCGCGCGCTGGCCGGGAGGCTGCGGGGGTGCTACGAGAGCGGCCTCGTTGCCGTTGCCGAGCATCCGTTCTGGACTACGGGGTTTGATTTCCAGGCGCTGCCTGCCGTCGCGCCGGAGCTGTACCGGGATCTGTTGGACTCGGCGCTGGTCGTTTTCAAGGGCGATCTCAACTACAGGAAGCTGGTGCGAGACGCGAATTGGCCGCATACACTCCCGTTCAAGGACGCCATTGGTCCGCTGCGTGGGGGTATGAAGATCCTGGCGTTGAGGACGAACAAGGCGGATGTGTGCGTTGGTCTGAGCGAGGAGACGCTGGAGAGGGTTGAGAATGAGGCGCCGGGAAAGGCGTGGGTGAGGAACGGGAGATATGCGGTCATTAGCTTTTCTGACGGTGCTTGACGGGATCTCATTCTCGGTCGGGCTATACTGAGAGCAGACTCGGACATGATGAACTGATATATTTCCGCCCTCACGGCTGCGGCTCAGAGATTCCCCATTCCTTCTCGAGCAATGATATGATCCATGCTGTTGGCCAGGCGTGGTCGTGCTCGACCTCTTGAAGCAGCTCCAGCAAGCATGCCCTCTCGCGCGGATCGTCCAACAGACCGCCCCAGAGGAAGAGACTGTGACACAAGGTTATTCTCGCCGGCACGTTGCCGGGATCGCTCTTGCAGGAACCGCACATGGCGCGGGCATGCACCAAGATCTGCGCCTGGGGGGTAGAACGCTTCAGCTCAGCTCTATCTGCATCGCGGGGGTACCTGAATAGTGGACTCACATCTTCTTTTCGCAGCCCCCGCGCCTGGGCACTGCGGATGGCGAAACGCGGGTTAGGTTTGTATATTATCAGCAGAATGCAGGCGAGGTTGTAGAAGCCGAAGGCAACGGCGTGCCAGTCGGCGGCGAAGTAGTATTCGGGAAAGGGGTTGCCGTCGCAGGACCCGTCGCCCTGCCAGATCGGGTCGAAGCTGGGCGGCCGAGACCTGGCCCAGTCCTCCACCGCCTCGTTCAGTTCTTGCCACCTCGGCATCTTGGTGCTGTGGTCTTGGGTGTGCGGGCCGAAGCAGAACTGGACAATGGTGGCGCAGATCCACGTCATGGTGTTGGCCCATGCCGTTTCGCATCGGAGGTTGTCGTCGGGGCTTAGGGGGCTAGGAATGGGGAGCAGGGTCAGGGAGAAGTCCACGTTAGGCGCCTGCTGGTTGATGCAGGCGTTGTACAGACACTGGCGCATGTAGACCCAGAAGGCCGCGTCGCGCAGCCCGGGAGCGGATGGGTCAACGCGGGGCCCCTGGCAGGCCCGGAGGAGGGCGCTGCAGCCGGCCAGGTGCCTCTCCCGGTCGCTCCCGTTGCCGAGAGCCGTCAGCTGCTCGAACACGCGGAGGATGACGATGGCGCAGAGCAGCACGTCGTCATCCACCACCCGCTCTGAGCCCAAGAGGACGATGAGCATGGTGATGCAGCGCTCGTGCGCCAGGTTCGCCGCCTCGGCGTCGCCCATGTGCCTGGCCGCGAACGACATGACGGCCTCCAACAAGACCGGGCACGTCTTGGCGAGCGCGGGGATCTTGAGCGTAAACTGCCGAGACGCGTCGGTGCAGTCCAGCCACCGGCCGAGGTGTGCCGAGTAGTGGTGCAGTAGGGCGGCCTCATGGCGAGCCAGCGCCTTCGGAGGAGAGCTTGCCGGGATTGCCGGAGCCGGATCCACTACTGACGGCCATGGACTCGAGACGAAGAAGTCTGGAGAAGCGGGTTGCGGGTGGACCAGCTGGGCGATGGAAATCATGGGAGCGGCGGTAAACGGGGGCGAGGCCACCACCTGTCCAGGGGTCGACCTGCCGCCCACGGAATCGGCCCGTCGCCCACGGAGCCTATGGTCATGTCCGTTCTCACGCTGGATTGGAGATGGAGGGCTCCTCCCGCTGCTGTTGCTGCTGCTCTCCGGCGTCTTGGACCCGGACCGCGACGCGCGGGCATACCTCCTCATGTCATGGAAGCGAATTGGTGCCTCCTGATGCTCTACCTGCCGACAGTCACGATTGGACTTTTGACAGTTGCCGCAGATCGGCCGTGCTTCATCGCCTAAGACTTGTCAGCAGCTAGACAAAGGCCTGGAAAGGTCACAGCAGACGAACATTTGACATGTCGTGACCGGCAGGTGAGACTAGACTCGAGGCGAGGGTTAGTAATTCCGGCTGCAGGTTTGCAATCCGGGGTAGGATACCGACCAGCCGTTTCTCGAGCGGAGGTTCCCCATGGGGAAGCAAGTAAGCGTTGTGACGGAAACTCGTCTCGAGACTCGAGTCGAGCGGGAGGCCCCTATCTCCCTATTCCGTAGAAAATACGGGGACAGACAGAGTCGTTATACTCCGTGGATCCACAGCACTACCTGTCCGCTCGGCAATAACACTTCGTGCGTGTGATCGACATGTCCTCTCAAGGCTATGAATGGTCTTGTGGCGAAAAGGTGGAGGCAAAATCTCCGAGTTGCCGGCGACTAAAAGATCGACTAGACTGGGACGGGAAAGTCGAGACGAGACGTCGACACGAGACCCCACAAAGCCTTCCAAGTCCCTTGGCCCCCCTTTCCCCGGAACTCGGCCTGCCCGGCTCAGTGATCCATTCCACCGGTACTAGAGTGGCCCCTGGAGTGGCCCAGGTCTGCGGGCGTGGAGCTTCCCCGCGTGGACGTTCCCCGGACTTTCACCACTCTCCCGGGTTGTAAACACCCACGGGAATCAAGACATGCATATAAGATATGCAACTCTCCACTATCTCCAGCCACATGCATCCTTCACTTGAGAAGTCTTGTGACACCTTTCTCCTCGCTGTGGGAACCCGATTCCAGTCACATCCCCAAAATGCTCCAGCTCAACCACAAGTACTGGAAGACCCTCCCCGGGCCGAGGCTGCTCAACCTGATCATAGCCGTCTCTGCCTTGGCTATCTCATATGAAGGTATGAGTCAAGGCGTAATGGGCGCCGTTAATGTGGCGCCCGAATACGGTGTAAGTCTTTGCGTACTCCGTACTACCGACCCGGAAACCAGTCGATCCACGTGGCCTAACCCACAGCTCTTCTCAGCGACGCATGGGCTTTGCCGACGAGCATGGCAAGGTCATCAAGCCTTCACTTCAGGGCGGCATTGTCGCTATATACTATGCCGGCTCCCTTCTGGGGGCCTTCTGGGCTGGTCATTTCTCCGACAAACACGGACGTATGTGTTCCATGGTTTCCTCCACCCCCCCCGTTCCATCACGGCGGGCAACCCGTTCCATCACGGCGGGCAACCTTGAACTAACAGACGCGTACAGGAATCAAGGGTCTCTGGCTAGCCATCTTCTGGTGCATGCTCGGCGTCGTCCTCCAGGCTTCGGCAGTCAACCTTGCCCACATGCTCGTCGCTCGACTCTGTGCGGGTTGCGGCGTTGCCTTCATCATCGTCATTGCCCCGGCATGGACAGCCGAACTGTCACCTGCAGCGCACCGCGGCAAGAATATCGCCCTGACCTTTCTCGCAAACTTCGGCGGCATCAGCTTGTCCGCGTGGGTGGGCTTCGGAACATCATTCACGGAGCTGGGGGGCGGCGCCTTCCGGTGGAGGTTCTGCTTCGCTTCCCAGGCCATCCCTCTCTTCTTGCTCTTTATCGGATCCCTCTTAATCCCCGAGTCGCCCCGGTGGCTCATCAAGGTCGGCCGCCGCGAGGAAGCCCGGGATATCATTACCAAACTTCGCGGCAACGACAACCCGGACCACCCCGACGCGCAGCGTGAATTTCGGGAGATGGTCACCGTCATTGAGATGGAGAAGGAGGCCGAGAGCATGAACTACGTCCAGATGTTCCTCGGCATCGGTTCGGGCGACATCCACATTGGCCGTCGCATTCAGCTGGCCTTCTGGCTGCAGGTACTTATGCAGTACGGGACCGGCATCGCCGCCGTCGTCATCTACTCGGGTACCATATTCCGCACGGCCGGCTTCGACGACCTCAAGTCCAACTGGCTCTCGGCCCTGATGAATATGGTTGGCATCCTTGGCACTGCCATTGCCGCCTTCACCCTGGACCGCGTCGGCCGGAGGCGCACGCTCTACTGGGGTGCCGTCGCGCTCGGCATCATCCTCTTCACCATCGGAGCCCTCAACCGCGGGGCCCTCGACCACCCGGGCCGGAAGGAACAGTTCGGCACCGCAGCGGCCGCCATGGTGTTCGTGTACGTGCTCGTATTCAGCTCGTCCTGGCTCATGATCCCCTTCATCTACCCGACCGAGATCTTCCCCACCTGGCTCCGTGCGAAGGGCAACGCCTTCGGCGTCGCCGGCTGGGCTGTCGGGTTCGGCGGCGGCTCGCTGCTCGTGCCTATCATGTTCGCCGGCATCGGCGAGAACACCTTCCACGTCTTCGGCGCCGCCATGTTCGCCTACATCCCTATCATCTACTGTTTCTTCCCCGAAACCGCCGGGCGCACGCTGGAGGCCATGGACTTTCTGTTTGCGAGCAAAAGTCCCTTCACCTGGCATGAGGAAGCCGAGTTCAGGAAGCGTATCGACGAGCTGGAGAACCGCGTGCAGGGACACGGCAAGGAGACGGATTCGTCTGAAGAGAAGTGCAGCGCTGTGAATGTAGACGTAGTATAAGTCTTTGTGGTTCAGGGTCAAGCACACTAAAGTCGTACCCATAATACCGTCCATCCATCTTTTGCGGATTGCATCCCAGGTGTTATTCTATCCCGTCAGAGAACGAGTCAGTTGCTTTGCATCACGTACCTCAGGAGCACAGCTGTAAACAGGTATCTCCCTACCTATGCCAGACCCGTACGCAGTGGCGCAGCAATCGTTAGGTAGTTCGTTGGCGAACGAGTGTTGAGGCGCCACCAACAGCCCGCCCCTTTCCCCGAATCAAACATCAGAAGCCTAAATCCCAACCAACTTCGGCAATCCAGGCGTCCAACACACAGCCACTGAGCTAGCTGCACGTCGCATACTAATCATCTTTTCACCGAGCCTACACCACCCCTCTTCCTTTTCGCCAACATGCCCTTTTTTGCTCGTCACCAACCAACCGCCCCAGCACCGACATCCCCAGCGCGTGCCGTCCGGCACCACACCAACGTGACCAACCTTCAAGCACCACCATGTCGTCGAACCCCTCGCAAGTCCCCGAGACCCCCGCCGCCGACGACGACGACGACGAAACAATGCGCACCGTCCTCGACGAACTCAGCAACATGACCCCCGGCGACGCCATCCACGGCCACGTCCTCTACAGCTACCACTCCACGCCGCGCGTGTTCGAGCACACCACCTCCCACGGCAACGTGCTCGCCATCAAGCGCATCAGCCCCCGCGGACCCACCTCACCGAAGCCGACATGATGCACTACGCGGCCACGCACGGCGTGCTCGCCCCGCGCGTGCGCGGCGTCTACGAAGTCATCGTGGGCGAGTACTCCCTGGCGCGCATCATGGTCAGCGACCGGGTCCCCGGCGTGCCGCTGGTCGACGTCTGGCGGGATATGACGACTGCTGACCAGGCCGCCGTTAAGGCGCAGCTGCGCGTGCAGCTGGCGTGCATGCGCGCCTGCGCGGAGCCGGCCATCGGCCGCGCGGGGGGGATGCCCACGCGCAACGTGTACGACGGGCCGCGCGGTACGGCCTTTGGGCCGTTCGCCGACGAGGAGGCGTTTGATGACTGGTGTCTGGCGCGCGTGTGGAGGATCCCGCTCGTGCGGAGTGTATGGAGGCGGCTGCTGCGCGGCGAGCGGGAGAAGCGATGTGGTGGTGGTGGTGGTGGTGGTGGTGACGCGGGGGCTGGCCGTTTTGTGCTCACGCACGGAGACCTGACGCCGAGGAATATCATGGTCCTGGGCAACGTGGTCACGGGCATCGTCGACTGGGAGCTGAGCGGCTTCTTCCCCGAGTATGCCGAGTGTGCGTTCGCCAGGATGTGCTACGCGCACGAGGAGTGGTGGATCCCCGTGCTGGAGGAGCTGTTGCCGGCGTGCTCGAAGCGGAGGCTTGCGTTTACGGCTTTGGTGGAGGACGGGATGGCATTAGCTGTGCTATAGTTGCTACCGGGAAGGATTCGCAAATAGGAGGGTCTGAACAGGGGAAGGAGGCGACAGCAGAGAAGGTCTGACTTTGGCACAGAGAACCGAAATTATGCCTGAGGGGTTTCTTAGACTCAGCTACCCGATATCGTACACATTAACTATTCCAGAACGCCGTTCAAGGTGGTAGGTAGGTAGTTGATAACAACGCATCTTAAACGTGCTCGCCGTGGACAAGTTCCTTAGCCTTCTCCGCTTCACTCTCATTATCGATGGCAGAAGAATCCGACTGTCTCGTCTCACGGAGGACGTCCCCATGTTCGCGGTACGCCCGTTCCATATCCCAATTGAATGGTCTTTTGGTTGAGAAGAGGGCGTCAATCGACTCGAGGGATCGATGGGCCGTCTCGGGGTAAACTGTCCGGATGGAGATGATTAGTATCCACCTTTGCTATCATTCACCTTTGTCAAGGGCAGCCAGCTTACAGAGATAAATAATAGGTATCCACAACAGATTCAGGCCGGCGAAGAGGAAGTAGGTCCTGTTCTCCAGCCTGTCGAACATGATGGGGTTGACCAGCACCGTGCCGCCGACGCCGATGGCCCACCCGGTGATGCCGAAGCCGTTGCCCTGCGCCCGCATATCCGACGACCAGATCTCGGTCGGCACCAAGAAGGCGACGGTCCCCCACGTGGCGGCGTAGCAGAGGTTGAAGAGGAAGAGCATGGCGACGGCGGCGGGCGCGAAGGACGAGGCGCGGTCCGGGTGCGCTCTGGACGCCTCGTAGACGGCCGCCGCGACCAGATTCACCACGAACAAGCCAAGAGAGCCGCCCATGAGGCAGGCGCGGCGGCCGAGCCGGTCGACGATCTGCGCGCTGATGACGGTGCCGACGATGCCGACCGTGTTGAGCCCGCCCGCCAGGCCGTTCTGCGTCAGCTCGCTGTATCCGGCGGCCGAGAGCAGGACGGGCGAGTACGCCGTCACGGCCGTGATGCCGGTCCAGGAGGCCATGATCTGCAGCCACATGCAGAGCCATGCCCTGCGGCCCAGGTGATGGCCGGGCTTGCCGCCCTGGCCCGCGAGGATCTTGGCGAACTGGATGGGGGAGCTCCTCTGGCTGTCTTTAGCAACGGCCGCGATTTCGCGGAACTCCTGTTCCACTGCGGGGCCGTAGCCGCCGCGGACGTGTTCGAGGACCTCTCGTGCGTCGTCGAGCCGGCCGGCCGACGCCAGGTAGCGAGGGCTGTCGGGCAGGAGTTTGATGCCGGCGAGCAGGAGGAGGGCAGGGAAGCACTGAAACGCAAGGAGAAAGCGCCATCGCACTTCCGAGTAGCCGTTGTCGACGAAGGCTAGCCCGAACGAGATCCAATAAGCGACCGCGATGCCCAGGTAGTTGGCGATGAAGACGTATCCCAGGTATCCGCCTCGGTGCGCTGCTGTCGACGTCTCGGAGACGAGAACGGGGGTGATGCCGGTTAGGGCGCCGGTGCCTATGCCTGTGATGACGCGCGCTACGAGGATGAAGTCGCTCGACTGGGTTGCTGCCTGAAGGGCGCCGCCTATGAGGGCAAAGATGGATGCGAAAAAGAGACTGGTTTGATTGTAAGCTACGACTCTACGAAGGACCGACGGTTGCCCCGATGGCCCCAAGAATCAAGATCAGATGCTCACCCGTTGATCCGCCCTATCCTGTCGGCGGCCCAGCCGCCGGCAAAGCAACCGAAGATGCAGCCGAGGTAGTACACCGACACGATACCCCCCTGATGAACGGTGTCTGTGACGGTACCATCCGGCTGGCCGATGCCAACCTCGGTGACGTAGCGAGGGGAGGCGTTCACTCCTCCCATAACGCCCTGGTCGTATCCTTCGAAAAAGATGCTGATCAGGGAGAAGGTCTGGATGGCGACATTGAGCTGGGAAGGGGATAGCCTCTTCCAGAGGCTGGTGAAGCCCATGGTGACGGTGGTTGGAGTTGTCGACCGAGTTCAAGCAAGTTCGCTGGCACTGAGCAGTACGACTGTCTGGTAGGACAGAGCGAATATGTCCGTCTACGTGTGCAGAGCAGGGCGACCAAAACGACTTATATCTCCCGCCCTCACAGCATCGCGGCGTCCTTCAGCCAAGAAGTCGAGGTGCGTCGCCCTCCGAGTAAAGTTCCGGTAGCATGGCACGCTAGCACAAAACCAGGTCGGCACGAGTCAACATGGAACCTTCCTAACCAACTACGTGCCCCAGACTGAGACCCCGGACCCCGCAACCCCCAGATATCTGGGTGTCTGGGAGATGAGCCTTTGTGGAGCGTGTCGAAGTGGCGATGGGCCAACGGTAAAGACTGATGTTTTGATTCGTCCATGCCTGAGACAGGCCGCTTAACCGTGGAGCCGTGTAAGCGTGTAGGCGTGTATCCGTGTTGCCTTGACCGCTTAGCCGCTTAGCCGTCCTCGGTACTGCCGAAAAGACGTCTTATCCCGAGAGAAGGCAATCCCATGATTGCAAAGCGGTCAATGCTTGACCACGTCTGGCTCGGAGTAACGATGCCGAAAGTGGCGCCTTTCTTTCTCGAATGACTCGGGCATTATCTGAAGCTTCCTGTCCTAGAGTGCTGAAATAGCAGCCCGGTCCGCACTCGCAGCTACCATGGCTTCAACACCACCAGTCACCTTCGTCTTCGATTTAGAGCATTGAAAGAATGGCTCGCGCTATTCAAACAAACGGCCATGCTGCGGAAGATGGAGGGCCAGCAGCCGGTATTCCACTGGAGCTCACCGTGCTGGGCATGAACAGCGGGACATCAATGGTGAGCGCCTCGCAGCAGGTTGGGAGAACGGTAGCTAACCGAAGATACATGTAGGATGGCATCGATTGTGCATTATGCAGCTTCCGGCAGGAAACACCAGACTCACAAATGCACTTCTCCCTCCTGAAGTACGGAGAGGTGCCAATGGACCTCGCACTAAAAAAGCGTGTGCTGTCCATCATCAAGTACGACAAGACATCGGCGTCCGAGCTGTCCGAAGTCAACGTGCACCTGGGAGAGACATTCGCCGCGGCAGCCATCAAGTTCTGCGAGGCCAACGGCGTCGACATCAAGAGCATCGACGCCATCGGCTCCCACGGCCAAACAATCTGGCTGGCGAGCATGCCCGACGCGGGCATCCCCAAGTCGGCCCTGACAATGGCCGAGGGCACCATCATCGCGTCGCGGACGGGGCTGACCACCGTGACCGACTTCCGCATCTCGGACCAGGCGGCAGGGAGGCAGGGAGCACCGCTAATCGCCTTCTTTGACGCCCTCCTCCTGCACCACCCCGGCAAGCTCCGCGCGTGCCAGAACATCGGCGGCATCGCCAACGTGTGCTTCATCCCGCCCGAGGGCCTGGACCGGGCCTACGACTTCGACACGGGCCCCGGGAACGCGCTCATCGACGCCGTGGTGCGCCACTACACCGACGGGCGTCTCGAATACGACCGCGACGGCGTGATGGGGAAGCGCGGCCGGGTCAACCAGCCCATGGTGGACCGGTTCCTGGCCCGGATCGCCTACTTCAGCTGGGACCCGCCCAAGACGACGGGGCGGGAGGTATTCCGCGACACGCTGGCGGACGAGCTGGTGCGGGAGGGCGCCGAGCTGGGCCTCTCGGCGGACGACGTCGTGGCCACGGTCACGCGGATCACGGCGCAGGCCATCGTCGAGCACTGGCGGCGGTACGCGCCCCGGGACCGCCCCGTCGACGAGGTGTTCATGTGCGGGGGCGGCGCGTACAACCCCAACATCACGGGCTACATGAAGGAGCAGCTGCCCGGGGTAAAGATGTTCATGCTCGACGACGCGGGCATCCCGGGCGGCGCCAAGGAGGCCGTCACCTTCGCCTGGCAGGGGATGGAGGCCATCGTCGGGCGGAGCGTACGGGTTCCGGACCGGGTCGAAACGCGCAGGCCGTACGTGCTTGGCAAGGTCAGCCCCGGGGAGAACTACCGGACGGTTATGAGGAAGGGCATGCTATTCGGTGAGGGGAGGGCGAAGCTGGAGCCTGTCAAGGAGATGGTGAACTATGTGAACGGCACCGTGTTTGATAACAAGTGGTAATACTCGAAGGCTGGAGTGTCAAATAGATTGTTTAAATGAATGTGTGCGACCACGTCAGAATGACAGATAAGTGTTCGATGTAGCAAATGGCCAGGTCCAATCCCGCAGGAACTCATCAGGCAGCTGAAACTGGGGTGACAAGTCCGGCATCGCGGTCTCACCCCACCCGTTTGAGGGAGGAGGGGCATCTTCGAAAGAGGGGCCAGCGGATTCGGTGCCAACTTGGCTCTGGACGAGCCGCTGGTCCTCCCTGTCCTCCATGTACTCCTCCAAGCGGACAACCAGGTCTCGGAGCTTCTGTCCTGCCCCGGCACTCCGGTAGAGAAACGATTCGAGGCTTTCGAGCAGCTCGGCCATGGAGAGCAAAAGGTCTCTTACTCGTCGGCACGAGCTCTCAGACAGGGGACCCTCCATCACGGAGCCCAAAATGATGCCGATGCCGCCGATGTGGTAGATAAGGGGCGTGCTGATGGCCCTCAAGTACGGCTTGGGGACCTGGTGGAATGTGTCGAGCACGTCGCTCACCACGGAGCACTTGGTTTCTAGATCGACTGATTCGACTCCACCGCCTTCAAGGGAGAGGTAGACCATCCGCAAGAGGGCCATTGTGGCCTGTATGTTCGCGGCTTGGAAGCCGTAGATGTCCCTTGCTGGATCCCCGGTAGCGGGTTGAAGCTGCTTGAAAGCGGGCGGAAGTGCCGAGTAGAGCTCGGCGACGCGGTGTTGGCTTGTCAGGGGTAGCGAGACGCTGCTCGCCACGTCGCCTAGGAGGTTGAACTTGGAAGACCGAGACCGTAGCCTGGTAAGATTATGTTCCAGTATTCGATAGAGGTCGGTGGTGAAGTTCCAACCCGTAATCCAGTGAGTTGCATCGTTCGAGTCCTGGGTATCCGTGTCGCTTCTTCCCGAAGGATACTCGACCCTCGCTTGGCTCTCTTGGTAGTGTATGCAACCGTCCCAAACGATAGACGAGTAGACGTCAAGCGTATACATGGACCAATACTAGGTAGGTACGTGTTAATATGTCTCAGCACAGGGTACTTCTGAACCTGGAGCTGCATATCATGACCACTCACTAGTCTTCGCCATTCCTCCTTCTCTGACGCCTGTATGCCTTCTGGCCAGTTCCATTCGTCGTGCCACCGATTGATGGCCAGCATGGTGAAATAGTGAGAAATATACATCTGCATCGCCCGGATCTTGGCGTCTTGCAGACTTGCTAGAGCCAAAAGCGCGTAGCCGCGGAGGCAGTCGAAGTCGCGACAGGGAAGAATGTTGGTCGGAAGAGCTTTTTCGGCCGCAGCAAAGAACATCTCTGGGGACATGGCGGGGGGATACTCTGAACCTGACTGGGATGATGCTAGCGCGCCATCCCGTATCCTCGCGGAAGCAAGAGCGCAGGCTGCCATGACGGAGCAAAAGAAGGCACGATTCCGGGTGTGTTCGAGCGTCTCGAGTCTGCGCTCAAGCCTGATGGGGTCGAAGAACGGGAAGCTGTGGGAGTGTTCCAGTTTGTCAGCTATTGTGACCGTCATACCGAAGCGCGACCCCATCCGGAGAGAGGCTCAAACTCAATCGCTCACATCGGGTAGACGGTTTCGTGATACACAGAGAGCAGGCTCCGTACGACGGGGGTGGCGGTCCGCGCAAAGCTCTGCCAGGCTGGTCGAAGAGACTCGGTCCACCCTCCCTCGGCTGTGGACTCAGAGCCGGTCTCTTCGGCATGATTGAATTTTCCACGGTCAACCCCGGGCCCCGGCTCATGCGGGATAAGCGGAGCCGTAGTGCCCCGGGCTAAATTCAGTGGATTGCCAGGTGTTGATGGATCCGTAACCGCTTGCTGCCGCTGCTGCTCCTGCCGCTGCTGCTCCTGCCCCTGCTGCCGCGAAGCTGCGGCGGCGGCGTGCAAGGAGCCTGCCACGGTCCCTCTCTTGGATGGCCGCAAGTAGGTGCATCGCACATCAAAATCGGCACAGTTCTGGCAGCGGCTCGAATTCAATGGGCTGCTTTCAGTGCTCTCAGTGCTCTCACTGCTCTGGCATTTGATGCGACGCTTGTGGCAAAAGTCACCTGAACGAAGACTATCATTAGCCGCGGCCGAGAACCATGAATCGTGACACCGTACATGCTTTAGAGTTGCGGAGCAGACGACGTGGGCGAGCGTTTGGCATTTGTCGGTCGCGGAATACCACCTGGTTAGTCGGGACCTAGGCGAACTGCAATGGTACCTATCTTGCAGTGAAGTTTGAGAGATGGGGCGCGTGGGGGCGCACGGCTGCAGCGCTTGGTGTTCGGTTCCTCACCGTGATGGTTTACTCGATTCTGGATCGCAATTATGTCCCCAGCATGTGTACCTCTTTGGATTTCTAGCCCGCGTACATGTCCTTCTCTCGCGGAGGGGAGTGGAATGAGGGAGGAGGAAGGAGGAAGGACGAAGTGGAGTCTGCCTCGTCCCTTCGTCGACTTGGCCGATGTTGACTTCCTTTACTCGGATAGCCTTTCTAATTCAATAACTAGACTTGGGCAGCCACGAAGTACACGTGCCGGGTATGAATGTTTGCCAGCTTGAGGGAGTCGGTAGATTTGGATACACGGAGCAATCCCCTAGGCCAAAGAGTCTCTAACTGGGGCTTCCATGGCAGCTACTGTGTAGCTTGCGGGACACGGGTGCGTGCACTCACAACCTAAGGCCCGCATAGGTGCATACCTGTACTTGGTATGTACATACATAACCACGTAGCCTGCAGTTTCCACAGAAGGCGAGACTACGAGGTGCGTCATGACGACAATGGTCTCTCAGGCACCCAAATGCGTCGGGTGCATTCCGCATCGACCTCAGTTCTTCGCCGCCTCCGTTCCGAATTTACTCCCCAATTCTGCCTTCTCCCATTCTAAGAATAGCTGACTTGTGCTTCCCGGCGACATCCATTGCATTCGCATTGACAAGCTGGCAACGACAAACGCATTAAGTCATTAACTACACGTAACCTGCGGCACCTCCATCGCTGCTCACCAAGTGCTGCGGGCAACCTACTGTGTTCGCGAATTGCCACACCCAGCATTTGCCCCGCGCCCACAAGTGTGGCCACAACGCATGCTCTTAGCCTCTTTTCCTTCTGCAACCAGCCAGCAATATTCCCGACAGACTTACATCACCATTATCATCACCCCCATCATCATCATCATAACCATCACCATCATCATCAATTTTCGTGGCCCGTTGCGCTGCAACATAAACTGACAGTCTATTATGGCTGGGACGTTCGGCAAAACATCCCCCCCGACAACCCTATACCAACATTCTGCAAGTGCATCATATCAGCTCGAACAAATCAGCCTCGCGGCACGGGAATCCCACATAACGAACCTGCTATGGTGTCGCGCGCTGGTTCCTTAACTGCTAGGGGCAAGCTCTCCCGGCCGATGACGAACAGAAACTCCCGTGATACCGAGTTTGTCCGCCCCTCCAGCGAGGAGGCAAATCACTGAGGCCGCGTGTGGGATCTGGGGGATAAACGGGAGGTGTCAGCCGAATGGCTGACATTGTGGGCAATCTCCCCTCATACAGTTGTTCTTCAACATTGCCGTACGGCTCCGATGACAACGGATAAAATCACTGGGGGTCCTCACCTTTCTGTGGCACCTCCTGTTCGAGGCCTGTGATGAAACAGCTCTTCGTATCCGGTTAAGCCCCCTGGGTTGCTGGTGTTGATGGCTGCTGACGCTGTCTCTCGAACCTGGGAGATAGACAGGAGGTGCCAGCCGAATGGCTGACATTATGGGCAATCTCCCCTTATACAAGAGTCTTTCTCATCATCACTACGTGGGCTCCGACTGAACAAATGATAAAATCACTGGGGGTCCTTACCTTCTGCGATACCTCCTGCCTAAAGCCTGTGATGAAATAGCTCTTTGTATCCGGTTAAGCCCCGGAGGCTGCCGGAGGTTGTTGCTGAGGCCGTCTCTCGAACCTGGGGATAAATAGGAGGTGTTAGCCGAATGGCTGACATTGTGGGCCGCTCCCCTCATACAAGAGACTTTCATTATTACTACGTGGGCTCCGACTGAACAAATGATAAAATCACTGGGGGTCCTCACCTTTCTGCGACACCTCCTGTCCAAAGCCTGTGATGAAACAGCTCTTCGTATCCGGTTAAGCCCCCTGGGTTGCTGGTGTTTATGGCTGCTGAGGCTGTATCTTGAACCTGGGGGATAAACGGAGGTGTTAACCGAATGGCTGACATTGTGGGCAGCGCCCCTCATACATACAAGAGTTCCTCATCATCGCTTCGCGGGCTCTGACTGAACAATTGATAAAATCACTGGGGGTCCTCACCTTTCTGTGGCACCTCCTATTTATGGCCTATGATGATAACCAGCTCTTCACGTCCGGTTAAGCCCATGGGGCTGCTGGTATCGATAGCTTCTGAGGCCGCGTCCGAGGCATGGGGGAGGGAGTTTCTCGTGCTTGTTGCGGATCGGAGCGGAAGTGCACTTCGGGATGACTATGATACACATGGAGAGAAACGAGGGTCCGCGCTTGTTGGCTTTGGAGAAAGTGCTGGATTAAGCTATGTTAGCCGGCGTGGTGGGTGGTGATAGAAGCAGGGGACTCACTGTCTTCGCAGACATATCTGAGACTGCTGTCATCGAAAGGAGTTTGCACCGCAGCTAAGCTGGCTGAGGAACCGAGGTCACATGCGGAATGCGCAGGTTGGCATCACACAAGCGTGTAAACCAAGGTGTCTCTGACGCTACGCGGGCGGCAACCGGGAACGTGACGGCAACCGGATGGACATCAACAGCGAGGGTTGGTGGTGAGATTTGATGGCCGGCGTTGGTGGCGATGAAGGGGAGTCCAAATGGTGTGTGGGCAATGCACGAGAAAAGGAGAGATGTGAGAGTTAGAAGAGTTGGGGAGATGGAGAGAAGAGAGCGTCAAGATCCGGTTTAAATTCACATTCGACAGAGATGCGTCTTTACAAGGCATGAACGGTGCAGTCTGTCTTGATATGGAAGGCTCGGCATGTTTGAGGGTTCAGTGACGGATAGGGGGCAGCTACGGGTGGCGTGAGCAGTCTACTAAGGATGCAAAAGCCGTGCCTGACAATACTGTCTAGTTTGAACGCCAGGACCGGTACCTAATGCCGCATTTCGGTCGCTGACAGGGAGGAAGGCACTTGAGAGGACCCAAAGTTTTGGAAAGCCCGCCCGCCCTGAGCTTAGATGTCGTAGGCGAGGGGCAAGTGCGAATATCACGGCCGATTCAGACCCAAATAGTAACACGAACAGGGCGTGTGGTTACTGCTTCTGTACTTCGGACTGTGGGCTGGAGACCATCTGCAAACACTGCCTTCCAAGGTTGTCGTGTTGCAAACCGGTCAGACCCTGAAGTGGTCAAAGGCACCTACCTACCCTTAATAATACTAATATACACAACTCCTCTGTCGAGGGGAAGGGATGCCAGACGGTTTACTGAGCTACACGGTCCGACACCGATACCGCAGCCCGCAGTATAAGGAAACTTAATTACCGGTGTGATGGTAGTCTGTCTTGTCGTCTCGATATTGGCTTTTTGACGCCGTGCTGACCAGGCCCAGACCCGGTCGAGATCACCTTACCAGCCGCAGGCGGCCAGAACATCAACGTGGCACCCATATCCGCCGACTTGCACGAGGCAGACCTACACCCAGCGTACAAGAGTTCGTTCCTCGTGTCCAACGCCTCGGCGACCTCGCGCCACATCATCACCGGCTCCGGCATGCTCTCCAAATTGCTGCAGAACCAGGCCGACAACTTCACCAAGAATGTCCAGCCGAGCGCCAAGCCCATGCCCTTCAAGCCCGCCACGGTGGTAGGTAAAGCTGGTGGTTATGTGACGACCAGCTCCGAGTCACGGTCAAGTTCGAGTGCTCGTTAAACCCCGTGGGTATCAGGGTTGAAGCCAAGGTTAATCTCCACGCTCTAACCAAGACGGTTGGCCCCAATATCCAAGTTGCCCAACGCGGCCGTATCCGTGACCTAGGGTCGGTAGTACCATTCCGGTCAAGCGTATCCATTTCCATGCCTCCGGCTTCTAAATCCGAGCTTTTTGGCTGAGTTGTGGTGGTTGCAATGAGGGCGGAGCCAGCGAAGGCCGCTTCTTAGCTCGGCATGCTAAATATTAGCTGGGCCATCAAGGTTCTCGAGGTGATGCATATGTGTTGAAAACTGCGAGGATCCCGTCATCGTGTCGTCCCTTCCATGCCCTTCTGGTCAAAGTTGGTTCGTAATTCGTGGTTCAGAGTCACTCGACAGGACAAACCGGTCATGATTGAAGCGCTAATTAGTTGCTTACAGTACCAATAGTCTAAGCCAGGAAGACTTGAAGATGCTGACATGTTCAAGAATCCAAGACTGCCTCAGTTTGGCGAGGGAATTTCAGAACTTTGCTAGCAACGGCAACATGCAGATGATCCATGCGAATGCCTTCTGACTGGAGAAGCACAGGCTGCACAACCAATGGAAGGGGCCATATTCCAAAGCAGACTCGGCCGACCTTAGATTGACCAGGGGTTGCTGATGGGCCCTTATGCAAGACATCCCACCCCCTCGAGTACCTTGACGGCTAGGCCCTGACGGGGTCGGGACCCCTGGGAAATGTGAGCTTGACTATAAAGATCCTAAGAACTTAAAGAGCCCTACTTGACCCCTTCACTCCCGGCCATCCGACCCGCCAGCGGACCTCGAGAATCCTGCGAATAGTGAGATAGTACTTACACACAGGATATCATGGCAGTTGGAACGTCCAAGAGGAACGGCGGCCAGCCGAAAGTGAAGGCTCAAACACCGTCCAAGGCCCTTCCAGTCACTCTTCTTTCTGGCTTCCTTGTACGTCACGTCATTCTCGCTGTCCGCACTGGAAAGCTCTAACGTGGGACGTCAACTCCGTAGGGAAGCGGTAAAACAACACTTCTCCAGCACATCTTGAAGACCGAACATGGCCTCCGGATCGCCGTCGTTGTCAACGACATCGGAGCGTACGCACCCCGTCGCCTGGCAGGCTACCTAGCAGATACAAAAGATCCCAAGTCTCTAACGCACACCGTCATAGCATCAACGTCGACGCATCCCTCATCAAACAAACGCACCGCCTCACCAGGACGGAAGAAAAGGTAATCGCCCTCCAGAACGGCTGCATCTGCTGCACCCTCCGGGGCGACCTTCTCGAGGAGCTGTTGCGCCTCGCCGAGCTCGAGCAGTTCGACTACATCATCATCGAGAGCAGCGGCATCAGCGAGCCCGAGCAGGTTGCCGAGACCTTCGACAAGCGTCTGGCCGAGCAGATGTCGGCCGTGGCGGGTGGGCCGGAGGGGCTGGATGAGGATATGGTCAAGGTTCTTAAGCGGCTGTGAGTGGGCTGTCGTGGCGGAGGCTTCCCCGTTTTCTTGTTCTCTTGGACAGACAGGTGCTGACTGGATTAAAGTAAGGCCGCCGGTGGACTCGAGAAGTTTGCCCGCTTGGACACCACCGTGACGGTGATCGACGCCTTCACGATATACAACGACTTCGAGACGGACGACATGCTCTCCTCGCGTCGCGAGGATGTCCAGCCGGAAGACGAGCGCACCGTCTCCGATCTCATGGTGGACCAGATCGAGTTTGCCGATGTCATCGTCCTCAACAAGATGGAGATGGTAGGTACCCACGTCCTTTGCAAGTTGTGGCAATTACCATGTTGCTTACCGTTACCCCCGGCGCGGCAGGTCGACACCAAGATGCGGGCTCGTATCAGAGACTTGCTTAGCAAGTTAAACCATCGAGCCAAGATTCTCGAAACCAGCTACGGAAAGATCGAGGTCAGAGAGATCATAAACACGGGCATCTTCAGCCTGGAGAGGGCACAGACTGGGTACGGATGGCTCCAGGATCTTCACGCCATGACCCTGAGACAGGTACGAGGATGCGTTGCGGTACCGCTGACGTCTAACTGGCCGGTGTATACTTACCCACTCAACAGGTCAACGGCAAGAAGGTCATCACCCCCAAGCCCGAAACCGAGGAATACAATATCCGTAACTTCGTCTACACACGCACCCGACCGTTCCACCCCCGCCGCCTCTTCAAGCTGCTCCACGACAAATTCATCATGCAACTCGAAGTCCCCGACGACGACGACGACGACGACGACGAAGACGACGACTCAGACTCCGCAATGGACTCAGACGCCTCCTCCTCCTCCTCCGACTCCCCATCCGACACCGACATGGCCGACGACGACGACGACCCGCTCGACATGCCGCCCAACGCCACCATCCTGCGCAACAAGCGCGCCAGCCCCATCTTCAGCCGGCTCTTCCGCTCCAAGGGCGAGTTCCTGCTCGCCACGCGGCCCCACCGCGCCGGCGAGTGGTCGCAGGCCGGCGCCATGATCACGCTGGCGGGCGGCCGGCCCTGGTTCTGCACGCTCCCCGCGGAGCAGTACATGACGGGGGACGCGGAGGTGGATCGGCTGGTGCGGTTTGATATGGAGAATGGCGGGGAGTGGGGGGATCGGAGGCAGGAGCTGGTGTTTATTGGGGAGGGGTTGGATGTGCGGGGGTTGGAGGCGGTGTTGGATGGGTGTTTGTTGACGGATGAGGAGTTTGGGGCGTGGGAGGGGGTGATGAGGGATGGGGGGTTGGATGATGGGAAGAGGGTGGAGAAGATGCAGGAGTTGTTTGATGATGGGTTCCCGGACTGGGTGGAGGATGGGGAGCTTGAGGATGGGGACGGTCATGATGGACATGACCATGGCAGTCATGCCCATCACCATCGCCATTGAAAATAACTCTTCCAGTGTGTAGTCAGCTTATGCTTTTTATTAGCTGCGGGCCATTGATACACCTTGCTCTGCCGAGATTTGCTGCATCCCCTTTGGCGGTGGTGGGTGCTCAAGTCGAGAGATATGTTAGCTTCGGATGACTATAACTCGGCCGTCACGAAGGTGATCGTTTTGTTAATCATGAGGATCCTGCTCCGATATTTGTATGATCGAAGCCAACATGAACAGCCACAGGCACGGGCTGGAACCGGGATTGGTTGAGCTGTGTGTATTTCAACCTTTTATGAGCAACTGTAGAACTGCGTAATGCTTAATCCTTTGCCACCAAACATTTGAAGCGGCGTGTTGAACCCGCTTCACTATCGACTAGCATTCCCATTCCTTCAAGGCATCCGAGGTGTGAGGACCGCAAGATCAAAGCTGTGAGTTGTCAGCGTCACCATACCTACATTGTCTAAAGGAGGTCAGAGGTACTGACACAAAACGGTTGTAAACTAGGCAGTATGACCGTCGCAGTGGTAAGGGTCACTGCCGGCAGGGCACGTGAACTCGCCCGAGGCTCCGTGGCAAGCCTGCGGGTCGCTATAGGCCGCCGCAAGGTTGAACCAGGATTCGCAGCAGAACTGGCACGAGCCAGCCGTCACCTCGACACAGGGCCATCCGTTGGCAGCAATGGCGTCCCGGACGCCCTGGCAGCCATCCTGGCGGGCGTAGAGGCGAAGCGCTGGCGAAGCGGCTGCCACGGTGGCAAGGGTCGCCGTGAGGAGAGTGGTGAACGAGACCATTTTGGCGGGATTGATGGTAGATAAAGTTGATATCGAGATAGGAATTGAGGTAGCTGGATTGCTGATATCAGGGGAATGTAATGCTGAGAAGTGTGAGCTTTTGGTACAGAGACTCGATACAATTCCGACGGAGACTGTCTCTCTCTTTATACTCGATCATCAGGCTGTGCTCCCAAATCACCCCGTTCTCCTCCCACAACCATTCCGTCATTATCCCGCTATCACCCCGTGGCCATCCCCTCCTCATCCCGCTCTTCATCTCTTTTCGTCATCACTTGCAAGCCACCCGCAGTTGTGGACCGCCAGGGATAGGCAAGGCTTGTTTCGACTACTGCGGAGCGAAGAGGATAGAGCGAGTGTGCTACAGAGCGAATAATGCAGACTTACAGCGCCATGTCTTATTTCTCTCTAGTCGAGTACCTCCTGTGGTAACCCGCGGGCCCGTGGCTTATACCAAGGAATGAGAACCTTGACGACTCTCTGGGGCCGTCTGGCCAAACGCCACAAATACAACCCCCGCAGACTCAGTGAAAGAGTCTCATTAGCAAATAATTCCTTCCACTAGTTTCTCCGTTCACAGGCTTGGGGGAACTCCCCCACGGCGACCAAGCCATAGACACTTTCGAGGACTGGTCGACTTGGTCATGGTCAGCCACATGTGGGCCGAACCAGTCCTCAACCACTCCCCCGGGCAAGCTTGAACCGGCGAGGTAATTTAACAGACGAGTCCCCCCGTGCCAAGTAACTTGAGGACCTTGACGGCTCTCTAGTTCTTAGTATTAACCGTGCCCCCAACCTTCAGCAGTCAACATGTTCTAATACCATGTCGACAATCAATAGTTTGCGCCTCATCCCCAGGACCTCCGCTGTCATCATGGCGTCCCAGCCCGGTAACCCGGCCAAGTCGGAGGCCGGAGCCCAGAGACAAAGCTGGAGAGGCGCTCGGCGATGCGGGGAGTCTAACTGTGACTTATGAGGACTGCGGCCATCCGCGAGCGAGTCACCCCTGGTCCTACAGGCTACGGATGCGGTCCACGCAGCTCCCTCCCTGGCCACCCAGCCCCAACCTGATTCGAAACGAGGGCCACCATCGGTCACCCAATCCCTCTCCTCCTCCTCATGCCCCAGACACGGTGGCGCGTCGTTGAATTGCCCCGGGCGGCGACGACGCTTAGTTGATGCTTGTAGGAAGCCTGGCTGAGATGTATCCTGGCTCCCAGAAGATGCCATTCGGTTACCCCTTACCAGCTGGCGTGCAGATGCATATGGTAAAGTCCTCAGACGGTGGTTTGACTTTGACATCCGTCAAGCATGCCAACCGCTGAGTTTGGCGCGCTGGGTTCGGGGCTGTGGTTGGACCTGGGTAAAGTTCACGACATGTCGGAGCGTCTTTTAGAAAGTAAGGCTACCTATTGTTGAAACCGTGGTCTAAACCGTGAAATGAATCGGTAATAGAATATACGGCCGCTTTTCCGGAATTAACTAAGTTAGACAACTCAATTCTTGTCCACCACATCCTAGACCTCAGATGACTTTCTCCCCGATTGTTTGGTTGGATTAAATGTCTAGAAGAGATGGCTAACGCGTAACTAGTAGTACGCGATCCACACGCTGTCGGCAAGCTCCGAGTCTACGACTTTGTCCAACGCGCGTCGGCGCTCCGTACGTGGATTTAAAGATATGGATTTAGTCGGACGTGAAAGGAACAACACCACGACCACGCATAGTTGGATTAAATAAGGATACCTACGTCCACGAGACTGAGTGCACGACGGGGATTATCGCAGCACTTATAAGGGTGATAAGTGTCACAAATCAAACCTCACAGGGCTGCCCCTGGCAACATAGCACCTATGTAATTACGAAACAGATGTCATGGCACCAGGGGTAACGGAAGGATGGAAGGTTTAGAAAAAAGGAATAGACTGGTAGGGACTTTGGGGTAGGAATTACTTAGGTAGGTAGTTTCTCAAAGTGCCAGGCCCTTTTTGTTATTTGGCACCAGAAGAGACATCCGGTAATATTGAGCGCTTCCTTATTTTCGAGTCGCTACCTGGTAGGTACCTAGGTAACAACCCAGGCCCGCTTACATGTTGACCCGTTTGGGCCTCTCCCTTGAGACCGTAACTCGTTCCGAATGTCTCCACACGACGACACCTTGGACTTTTAGTAGAGCAAAGTTGGCCCGGCATAATAACTTCAAATGAGCAATACTGGTTCAACGAGTTTTGGAGGTTGGAGACCTTTGCACGCTGTTACAAGGAAGGGAGATGGCTTTGTCGTCCGGTTTCCCTTTGAGAGCTCTGATACGGTGGAAAGCTATTGAGTCTACTAAGATAACAAGAACACGGCCGATGACGAGGTTGGGCCATCAAGGTGTCGAAAGAGGGGAATGGTCAGCTTCTAAAACACCGGAATCAAGGACCGGTGGGCCGAGTGGATGTGAGACGTTAAAATCCCCACACTCTAATCCTTGTCAGGTAAAGAGGTCATCTTCTAAAACTACCGTCAAATGGGGACATGGCGTTGCTTAGTATCTGTTGCTATTGGCGAGTCAAGATATAGGTACTGGTATACGGTATCTGGGATTTGCTAGCGATGACATGACAAAGAACATAGACGATACACCAAAATTGGAAGTATGATGGCGTGATCAGGGATGGATGTATGTACCTGTATAAAAATGTATTACACCTTGTGCACCTTGTTGGACAATGGACATCAAGGTACGCACACACATAAGCGCCCTTCTTAACAACCTTTTAGTTGCCTCTCCTTCCCAGTCATTGAGTTATTTTTTGCCCTTACAATCCCCTCGATTTCCAGAATTCCTACTCTCACGAGCTTCTTGTTTTATGCTAGCTACTTGCTCTCGGAGTTTCAGTGGTTATGTTATGTTAGCGACCGAATATCGACAGTTTCGTCTATCCCAGCCCCCATTCTTCAATACACCATCTCCACCCGCCCGCGAGCAAAGAACCCCGAGCCACGACGACCGAGAACATGGCTCTCATCAGCTACGACCTTGCCGTGCTGGTCGCTGAGCATGTCGACATGGATTCTATGGCCTCTTTCATGCTCAGCTCCAAAACCAACTATCAGCTCATCAGGGGCCACGAACGGTCCATTGTCAAGGCCAAGGTTGGAAGAATGGTTCAAGATCCCATGCTCCAGCCCCCTCTCGGCGCCCTTCTGTCATCATTACCCGCTGCTCCGGGGCGGCCCGGTCCGGATCGTAAAGTTTTGGAACCAGCCAGCTTTGCCGTCGCTAACGAGTTGGAATCGCGAGAGCGCCGGATCAACAGGCTTTTCAACTCTAGATCGACAAGTGGTCGCAGCCCAGCACTTACGGAGATCATCAACAAGCTTGCCCTTTTCCAGAACCTCCCGCCCACCCAGATGGAGCACTTGATCGACGGCTTTAAAGACGCCTGCAGAGTGGCCGACCGCATCGCCGACTGCGCCGCGTCCGTCCATCTCGAGCAGAAACCCAATACTGGCCATCTGAGGGACACGAAATGGGCCATCGACTATGACATCCATCTCGCTCGCCAGAGATATATTCGCTCGCTCCCGCCCATCCGCCTATCCTTCCTCACTCTCCTGGCGAGTTTGATGGGCATGGAATATGCAAAACAACTCCAGTCTCCCCACTCGGACCCATTCCAATGGGAGCGGGTCACCGCATTCAAAGAGACCTTCCTCCGCCACGGCACCGTCGTCCTATGCGCCCTGCTATGCCCGCCCGAGACGGAAGCCACGGATGCGCCCTCGCCCTCGCCTTCGCCGTGTGCTCGGAGCGAGTTGGCTGGGTACTACTCGTCACAGGTCGCTGCCGTGCTGATGGAGCTGCTGGCGTACGAAGGGGGGCACTGGGGCTTTCCGCGGCCCGCTGAGCATGACGGTGAGGCGAGGCCGATTCCGGATGGCCTGCACATGACCATGCTGCAAGCCTTTCAGGGTCTGGAGGAAGAGGAGGCCGAGGAAGAAGAGGAAGAGGATGTCGATGGGGATTGGCTGTTCAACATCAACGTGCTGGATGGTGACATGGAGGACGTTGAGGATGATCCATCATCATCGCTGCCGGAAATCAAACTGGACCCGAGAGAGGCTCTGATTCTCAAGTGGATTAAACAGTGCTAGCCCGACCTAGAATACTTGTCGTTTTTAGTCTTTGGTCTTAGAATAGATCCCTGAGCTAAATATATAGATCTGTACATGAATTAGTCTTTCAATCCTGATCTCAACAGCTACTTGGTCAAGGGCAGCCGAGCCTTGTGTGAAACCACTTACATCCCCGGTCCCCTCAGATTCGGCTTGTCCTTTCAAATCATCACCCCCCCCCGCCCCCTGAACTCTTCAGGGGTAGAAACCTCATAAACTCATTTGATGGCTACCAGACTACCTAGGTACAACAAGAGATACTACTCCCACCCATCGCTGGAACAACTGACTCACCCCCCAGCCGGTTCTCACACCATTGCTCTCTCCACAATGCCCTTGCATATCTGGCCCACAGTCTCAATCTGAACACAGCAGGCAGGTTAGCGGGCACCATACACAATAAGAGACGGAGACAGAAAAAAGAAACTCACCATCGAAAAGTCCAAAAACATCCCCTCTTCCACCTCCGCCTCACACACCTCCAACCCCGGAACAAGCCGTGCCCAACCGCCACCATCACCACCATCACCACCACCAGCAGCTCCATCCTCCCCACCACTGGCGAGCACCTGCACCGCAACCTTCACCCCACCCTCCACCGGCAACGGCACCAACCCATCCCCATCCCCCGGTGGTGCACCACAATCCAGCAGCACCAACAACCCCACCTGCTCCCCCACCCCCACCAGCCCCCTCGCCACCTCATACGCCAACCTTGCCCCCACCACCCCCGTGCCCGCCAGCATGTACGGCCCCGCGGGCTGCTCGGCGCGTATTGCTGCGGTTGCTGCTGCTGCCGCCTCTGTTTCCAAATCGGCCTGGGTGTGGTGGGTGTGGATGTGAGTGTCGGTGTCGCTGTGGGTGTGAGTATCGGCGTCGGTGTGGGTGCCGAGATGGGGCAGGTCGACGCCGTACACGCCCAGGTCGGTGCCCATCGGTGGGAGGGTGATGTAGGCGAAGGAGGAGCCGGTGTCGTCGGGGAGGAAGAACAGGTTGTGGGTGGTGGTGGGGGTGCGCGGGCCTTGGTAGTGTGTTATTTGCGCGGTGATGGTCGTGGAAGGGTCTTGTGGCGGGTTGTCCCCGTCGGTGGTGGAGGGGAGGAGGAGGTTTGCTTTGGTGAGGTCGGGGGTGGGTGGTGTGTTTGCTCCGTCGCAGGAGGCTAGTTCGGGTGGGGTGGATGGGGTGGAGTGGCTGGTGGTGGTGGTGTGGGAGTGGGAGGGTTCCGACCATATGATGGAGGAGGGTGGGAGGGGAGGGGTGGGTTCTGGGCCGTTGTCGTCGGCTTCTTCTGAGGTGCTGCCGAGGTGTGCTAGTAGGGACCTCTTGGAGTCGCCGATGGTTTCGTTCTCGAGGAAGAAGGCTGCGGGTAAGTGGAGGTCGAGATCTTTGCTGAGCTGGGCCAGGATGTTGATGGCCATGACCGAGTCGACACCGAGGTCGGAGTAGTGGCTCTCGTCGCTGACTTCCTCGGCGCTGCAACCGCTCTCGCTGATGATGATGGCGAGTAGGGCTTTGATCATGTTGTCAGGGGTGTTGCCCGACTCGGCGGCTTTCGTCGGCAACATTCTTTCAGTGGTGATGTCCATGTCCGAAGTGGAAGACTTGGTCTGTAGTGCCTCGCTGCGGCCTGTCACGCTCGCTCGGCCACCGCCTAGAATCATATTCAAGGCGACCTTCTTCAGACGCAAGAACTTGATGCCAAGAGTGGCCTGCACCAGGTCGGCACCAGCGAAGACATAACAGTCACCACGCACTACGTGGCCCCCGTCGGCAACGTCTTGGAGGCAGGTATAGACCGTGTATGTCTCCCCGGCTCGGGGTTCTCTGAGCGAATGCCAGTCGTCAAATCCAACAGCGAGGCAAGCAATATCTTCTGGATACCGAAGGCCGCAGTTGAGGACAAAACCAGCGAGATGGGTGACGGCGTCGAGCCAGTAGGGGCTGAAATGAAAGGTACCCTTCGTGGACACATCAGCGAGGCGGACGGTACCGACAGCGTCGGCGTAATCAGCTCCCAGGATGACATCCTGGATAGCTTGGTACGGAGCTGCGTATGATACCACGCCAGAGAAGAGTTCGTAGACCTCCTGCTTGAGAAGATGACGCGCGTTGCCAAATTCGGCTTGCTTCCGGAGTAATTCGATCCTCGACTTGACGAGGTAGAGCGTCTGTGGTAGGCTTGGCTGCCAGGAGGCGGTTGTATCAAAGGCGACTTGGCACTTTCCGTGCTGCTTGAGCTGGCCAGGGCGCTTGGAGGTGAATTCGATGCCGACGGCGGCATCGGCCACCTTATAAGACCCTGTAACGGACAGTATGGTGCTTGCAACGGTTTCAGGGTCGGTTATCAGGCCTTGGTCGAGTTCAACCTGTCTGATGGACATGGTTGGAAGTGTGGAAGCGTTGCCATGGGTGCTGTGGTAGAGATATTTTCCCGTGGTGAGAGCAATATCCTGGTAGACGGCCAGGGGGCAGACCTCGAATCCGCCCACCACATGGCCCCTGATGGCCTCGAGCAGACGTTCATCAGAGAGAGTCGAAGTGAAAGTCACGATCTTGGCAGTTCCCTCAGTCCTCTCGCTCTCGACACGTTGGAGGCTAGTTGTTGGGAAGCCAGGAGTGCTGTTGGCCATTGCTGGTGCTGCAGAAGGGCTTTCTGTCATATAGGGTGTCCAGAAGTCCCTCGAGTCGAATGCGTAAGTTGGTAAGTCAATGAACGTCAGTGAGCTTGTGAAGGGTTTGTGAAACTCAGGCCAGTCGACGTCGATGCCAGCCTCGTACGCCCGTTTCAGGAGGTCAGCAACCGTGGCCCAGTTATCTTTGCCTTGCTTCAAGGACGGCATCAAGCTGGTTGGCTTTTCGAGACAGCGGCGGACAAGCCCAAGGCAAACAGGGTCAGGTCCCATCTCCAACCACAGCGACTGCTCACCGAAGAGATCGGCCTCAGCGCCAGCTTCAATGGCTCCGGTAAAGTTAACCTTGTCTCGTGCTTGTCGGACCAGATACTCAGGAGAGAAAGAGGTAGCATCACGTTCAACTCGGCCGGTCAGCGTCGATACGACGGGAATGCTGGGTTTGGCGAAAGGCACCCCTCGAGCAACCCGCAGATATTCGTCCAGAACAGGCTCAACCTGACTCGAATGAAAACCGTAAGGCACTCGTAGCAGGGTGGCTCGCTGGCCATCCGTCTCGAGGGCAATCTTCAGCGCGTCTATGTCCGCTACGGGGCCACTAGCCACCGTCAAAGACGGCGCATTGGCACAGGCAACCGAGCAGGAACTCAGCCCGAGTTTGTCGATCATGTGAGCAAGTGCCTCCTCGGTAGTGCTAACGGCGAGCATGGCGTACGCTTCCGCGACCAGGTGTTTCTCCATTAGACCCGCACGCTCGCCGACGAGCAATAGGGCATCACTGATCGACAGAACGCCCGCAATGCAAAGCGCTGCGTACTCCCCCAGGCTGTGCCCGATGACGACGTCGGGTGTGATGCCCCAGGATTCCATCAGGCTTGCCATGGCAATTTCCAAGGCCACGATGGCTAGTTGGATCTTGACCGTCGACTGCCCGGCCACGTCTTCTTCGCCCGAGATCAAATCGACAAAGCGTGGCAGCCCCACGGAACTGGCCATGTCTTGATACGACAGGAGAGTAGCTCGGAACTGTCGTGAAGTGCGGAATAGAACAGCACCCATGCCGGCGTATTGGGAGCCCTGGCCGGTGAAGACGAAGACACGGCTAGGCACCCGGGGCTTCTTCGTTTGCGACGCATCGGCCGGCTTGTTCACATCGCTGCGCAGTTGACGGATGATGGAAGAGACGGTGTCCCCAACATAAGCACGCCGGAGCTGCTCGTGCATCCGCCTAGCCGTCGTCGTGTAGGCGAGGTCTGCGAGCTTGGTCTCCGGGTGCCGCTCGAGGAAATCGAGCAGCCTTTCACAGTTCTGACGCAGCGAGATCGGCGTGCGGGCAGACACTGCCACGACGTGCCAGGCCCGGCCGTCGGTTGTTTTGGCGCTTGGCTTGGGCGCTTCTTCGAGAGCAATCGAGACATTACCGCCCTGGTTGATGCCATATGGTAAGTCTCACAACGAGGAGAGATGGTGCCCGGGGCCAACAACTTACCGAGGCATCAAAACTGTTCACAATAAGTTTGACCTTCCCGCCACTCTTCGGGCTCGGGACAAGCGCGGTGGGTTTGGTAGGGATACTGATGTTAGACTTGGCCAGGTCGGGGAATTTGTGGTTCAGCTTGAACGGCCACCCGGGCTGCGGAGGGATCTGGTGGTCGCGTAGCATCATGATCACTTTGATGAGGGAAGTGATGCCGGCAGCCTAAAACCACCAAGGTCAGCATCTCATCCCCAACTCAAACTCATGGCAGTTACTCACCCCCTCACCATGCCCAACCGCCGCCTTGACAGCACCAACAGTCAACGGGTTATCCCTCCCCCTCTTACCCACCAGGCCCCCGATCACCGAGCTCATCTCCTCCACATCCCCAGCCTGCGTCCCGGTACCATGCATCTCCACATACGCCAGCTCCTCGGGCTCAACCCCCGCCTGCCTCAGCACCCGACCATACGCCACCTCCTGGGCCGGGGCAAACGGCCTAGTCATCGACGACGCCCCGACGCCATACGCACGCACCGCACCCCTCACAACGGCCAACACGCGATCATTATCCGCCACCGCATCCTCCAGCCTCTTCAGCACCACCACCCCGGCCCCCTCCCCCCTCGCATACCCATCCGCATCATCATGAAACGCCCTACACCCCCCCGTCGTCGATAACATCCCCGCCCTGCTCAACCCAGCATACGTCGTCGGCGATAGCAGCACACTCACCCCGCCCGCCAGCGCCATATCACACTCCCTACTCACCAACCCCGCAGCCGCCATGGCGACCGCCGCCGCGCTGGTCGCGCACGCCGCATCGAGCGCGTACGACCCGCCGCCGAAGCCGAAGTGGTGGTTGATGCGGGAGGGGGCGAAGGCCCGGCTGAAACCGGGCACGTAGTAGATGTCGGCGCCGCGCTGGTTGAGCACCTCGCGCCACTCGTCGGCGGCCTGGCCGAAGTAGGTGGCGACGCGGGCGTTGCTGGTGGGTGGGCCTGCGGCGGTGGGGTGGTAATAGCCGGCGGACTGGAGGGCTTCGTAGGAGGTGGTGAGTAAGAGGCGGTGGCCCGGGTCGGCTTGGGCGGCTTCGCGCGGGGAGAGGTTGAAGAGGCGGTGGTCGAAATGGCCGGGGGTGGCGAGGAAGGCGCCGTGGCGCGCGGTGGTGGAGTTGGGTTTGGTGGCGGTTGGGTCGAAGTGGGCGGAGATGGCGAAGCGGGTGGGGGGTATCTGGTGGGTGGGAGTGGTTAGGTACTAGCTAGGAGAGCGGAAGATGGGGTTGTGGGTTGTCGGACACACCTCTTTGATGTGGCATTTCCCGTCCAGGAGGTCTTCCCAGAATCCTTCGATGGTGTCGCTGCCGGGAAATCGGCCGGCCATACCTACGATGGCGACGAGACCTGACCCGCCGCGGTTTGTGTTACTGGCCGCGGACGTCTCTCTGCCGGTCTGCTTAACCTTGTACTTGATTCCCGAAGATTTCAGTGCCTGTGTAGCAGCAGCCTGGTGATTTGTTGGGCCCATGACGGAGAGCGTAACATGCTCGCTACCGCGCAAGCCAACCACGGTCTCCTTTATTGTGTCGGTAATGTGAAGCGGCTTGTGGGCAACGTCGTCGACGATCTCTTCGAGGAGCGAAGCAAGGGTCGAGTGGTCGTACCTCGCACAGGAGCCGGCAGGTGATAGCATCCGGGCCTTGGCCGGATTCAGGGGCTGTTGGAGGAGTGTCGAGTTCCCTACAATCCCAGCCGCATCCACCTTGGGTGACCAGCAGCTGTGCATCGGGCCATCCACATCTGTCTTGATACCCGCAGCAGCCTGGATTACCGGGGACCAGGATGTCAACTGGTCCATCGACGACGGCGGCCCAATCAACGTCAACCAACCCTGTGCAATGACCCCGATGGTGATCCTACGGAATCTCGGGATGTTCTACGTTGCATGTTAGCTACGGCCTTCTGTGATTGCGCTACGTATGGTAGAATGTAAAGCGTTGTGCCGACGGACCTGACTCTCGTGAAACTTGTCGAGGATGTCTTGGACTTGGTCCTTCGGGAGGCCGACGTATGTCTTTCCCCAGCTTGTTGGCGTATCATCAATCAGCCTCTTTCTCTGGGCGACCTCACAAGCCAGCCTGAAGCTTATCGAGACGATTTCGCGGCCCAGTGCAAAAAGCTGGCTTGTGTCTTGGGCCGCCAGGGCCACGGCAGCAGGGAGAAGGCCGCCACAGAAACCGATGATGTCGACGGGGCTGGTAGGCGAACCGAGAATGGTTGGGTCTGCATCCGCGTGTCTTTGAACCAATACAACATTAGTAACCATAACACACAGAGAGGATAACGGGCTATGCATTACACTACTAGCTGACCCAGCCTTCCAGCACATAGCAGCACGGTAGAAACGGCGAGGTTGTTGCCGCCTGGGTTGTCCACGGCCTCTGCCATCTCCAGCAGAGACCCGAGTCCCTTGTCCCAGCCATGAACGGCTCTGTCGGCTCTGCTAAACTCCAGTTGGATCACATCGGTGATCTCGCGAAGAAATCTCTCGGCGGCGGGTACTGTCCTGGCATGTTGGGCCAGAGCCTTGATGGCGGGGAGTTTCTCCACTGAATAGTCGCCAAACAGGAGAACATGTCTAGTGGAGGATGATGATTCGTCCATGATTAGGGAGCTCAATGGGGAGGTAAAGAGTGAGGGCTATGGCTGCTAATCCCAGAACATTAACAGTGCCCTCTCCATTTTCAAGATTGAGTTTTCGGGCGTCTTAGTCTTTTTCATGGTCACCCCCCTTCCATCGCAGCGATGGCACAGTCAGATTCGTGTCTTCGTATTCTGAACAGTCAGCCCACGTTGCAATACGCACGCATTGGATCGTTCTGTCTTGAACCTCGGGCAGTTCACGATCGGCGCCCTGCATGAAAACGTGCCGCCACTGCCGATGCTTCGGCTGATCCAAGCCGGAAATCGGACCCTTTCCACTGCCGGACAATTCGAGGGACCACCGCCGGGCAATTCCCTTGGGGGCCACAAATTGATCCCGGGATCGGTTGCTTAGGTAGAAATGAGATTTAGTCGGAGTATTCAATGTGGCTGCGTACCAGGTATGGAGGTAAAGGGTTCAAGTTAATGACCAAGGTACTCCTCGTCTTAAACGCCATTTTGAGAATTGCACCTAGGCCCCCCAATCTCTCTTCCACTCTTGACCTCGTTGCGTTGCCGCGCTGAACATATTCTTCATGTAGCACCAGGTTTCCGCTGTGTTTGCGCGCATTTGCCAGAGCATAGGTAAATAAGTTTTGCGGGATGGTGATTTAGGGTGGCACTCACAGCTTGACGGAATGCCAAGTGCTTGCTCGTAGAATGGGGCTGTTGAGGGTCGAGTGTCCGGGTAGGTAGTTAGCGGAGGGTAGATTCAATCGGCAAAAGGAACAGAAATGCCCCTTAGTTAGGTAATTACCTGCGCAAGCGGTATGTTGAGAAATCTCAACACAGGAATGGATAGCTCATCGCGTGAATCAAAGTTTCCCGCTGCCTGGGGATGCGGCTTGTCAAAGGAAGTCGCGTGTTAGGTATTAATGCTTAGTTCCTTCCCTTATTAAGTCAAACCTTCCCAACTTGTTTTTTCATGAGTCCCCAACCCTTCAGCTCCGACACCCCCTCGGTGCCTGGTAAGCATATTTGCTCTTCACTGTGTCGGAAGACCAACAGCCACAATGCCGCTGTGATACGCTTACTGTGAGCTTGCAACACGGGGCTTTTTGTTGCTCTCGATCGACCCGGACTCGTGTATTGAAAGTACCACCACCACCATGTAGGCCATAACCGCTCCATCCCCTCCTCTCTGTTCATGTCCGTAGCGTGTAGGCATCGCCCCGATACTGTAGAAAAGGCCATTGCACACACTTCGAACCACCTTACCTCACATTGCGCAGCGTGATTCCCGCGTCACGCAGCCATGCCCGCGTGACGGCCGACCACCTCAGACTCGTCTCAACTTAGGTAGGTAGATAGATATTGTGTAACGGGAGGGCACACTACACGCATCACACGCGAGTTGCCGAGCTTCAAGCGCCACGACTTGCAACACGACACCAATACAGCAATGAAGAGAAGCCTCCACGGAGGACACTAGTACTCAAATTTCTCGATCCTCCCAGTTTTTCAAATAGCCCTACCTTCAATTCCACAGCTGCGAAGCCTCACTTGCAACGCCCAGTTCGAGCCCTCCAAGGCTCCAACAGAAGAACCTTTGCAAAGCTGGGTTTCACCAGGATTCGTCACAACTCCCAACCCCCGAACCAAGGTTTCGTCGAAGAAGGGGTTGGAGGAGGGGAAGCATTCTCTATTTCTCGCACACGACAGTACGCGTGCCAGCATCATATCATCTAGGAACGCTACCCGTGGCCATGACTTCCTCCGTAAGTGTCCTGGATTGACTAGAAAGGTTACCGTTGGAAATTTGCTTGCTAATGAGGTCTTAGAGTAGCCCCTTGGAGCGCATCCTAAGTCAATGGCCCATCGTCGACAAAATACGAGAAAAGTGCGGTGTCGGGTCGATCAGCGTTGGGGTTCTTCACCAAGGCGAGGTGCTCTTCACGGGCAGCACGGGCTATCGAGACGTCGACGAGGAGGAAAAGCCGGACATGCACACGCTCTACACACTCTGTTCCATCTCCAAGACCTTTGTTGCCGCGGCGATGGGCATCTTGGTCGACCGAGGCAAGTGCGCATGGACGGATCCCGTTGGGCCATATCTCCCCGAGTTTAAAGCGAAGGATGACCCTAGAGTGGCGACCGAGGCGACCTTTTACGAGTTCCTGCGGTATTCGGGCGGTCTCGCCAACCCAGTCGTCACCATCCTCGGCCCCGAGGGCAAGGTTCTCGTGCCGGAGAGGGATTTTATCAACCTTCTCAACGATACGCCGACTGGGAGAGCAAGTTTCGGCCCTTACTATAATGCGACCTGGGAATACAGCAACGTTGCATATGGGTTGATGGCACTCGTGATAGAACGCCTCAGCGGCAAGCGATTTGCCGACTTTGTATCCGAGGAGATCCTAAAGCCGCTCGGAATGAATGACACTGCGGTGTACAAGTCTCAAGTCGCCTCCCATAGCAACATGGCACGTTCCTTCGTCCGGCTCTCGGACGGGTTATGGTGCAAGCAGCCGGAGCATGAATGGACGGATGACCGCAACACGCCTGTCCTCGCCATGGTTGGCATTCGAAGCTCGGTCAACGACCTGCTCATCTGGTGCGCAGCTGCGATGGATGCACAGCGGGGCGATGGCGACGCCTCCCATCCGCTGGCCGCTCTCTCGGGGGTCGGCACCAACCCGCTGAGGGAGATGCGTTCCATCCTTGACGACGAGTACATGTACTGGACCCGACCGCACAACGACGACCTGCAAAATCCATGCAACTACCACTTGTCGTGGCTGGAGTGCGTCATGCCGTCATCCATGATCCACTGGGGCTCCTGGAACAAAACGCTAGCCGACAAGGGCCATGCGCCGCAGGAACAGATCAACAGCCAGATTCTGGGAAGGGATTCACCAAAGCAGACTCTGTACAAGTGTGCTGGGGTAGGATTCTGTGGGCTCGGATCCATCAACCTCTTTCCCGATTCCATGAGCGCCATCGTGGTCATGAGCAGTGGGTTGAACGCTGCAGACCCGAGCGACTTCACCGCGGCCTTGTTGATGCAAGAGCTTTTCGACCTCAAGGGCCGCGTCGAGATCATGCCGATGGTTTGCCGCGAAGTAGATGTCCGTCTTGCCGATTGGGAACGGATCATGGTGGACTGGAGGGCGGACCGCGATGTTTCACGGCCGGAACATCCCCCGGAAGTCTATACCGGCAAGTATGAAGGACTTGGGATCATCCTCGAAGTGCGGCAGCGGCAGCGGCAGGGCGGAGGCTTGGAAGTCGTCTTCAACGGGAGAGAGGATATCACGCAGGCGCTGGAACGGTACAACGAGGATACGTACACCTACCAGCCCACAAGTCGGGACGATTGGCTCCGCGGTGGCTGGCTGGACTGGGACTATTACATGGTCAGTGTCCTTCGCTTTCATCGAGACGACGCGAACGGGCCAGTCACTAGTGTCACCTGGACTTGGGAAAGAGGGTGTGACCCCGCCATTTTCAAGAAAATAGAGGCTTAGCACGCCTCTGCTGGTTGGGCTCCTTTCTCTCCCGTACATTGTACTACTCGACAGTATGCTGGCTGCCGTCCACCATTGGCCTGCATGGAACTTCTCCGTCGATCATTTTGCTGGCTCGCGCAGAATCCAGGTCCAGCCATTGGGTATATATGTGAGAGTACTCTCCCTTCGGGTTGACCAGTCGTACTCCTTCTTCTTGACACTCATCCCCGGGTCCCTAGATCTTCCAATCTATGAGAAATTTCCATCCCAGGAGCGGACTCTCCATTGAGATTGGAACTAACGGCCAACGCACGCATTCACAATTTCGCATGCGCTTATAACTTCCATCAGTCCATAACTGGTTAACCGGTAAGTCGCCCGACTATACTTCGTGATGATTCGGCTCTGGCTGCTTTGCACCAGACCCGGGTCCGTACCCGTCAATCGTCGTTATGGGATGCTAAGTAAAATAGAGCAGATCTCGGGCGCTGAAGATAACATGTTGAGCGTCCCGGCTAAGAATTGGACGGGGCAGGGTGGTGGCACTTGGCCTCCCATGGAAGACCTCCGGCTACGAAACAAGCAAAGCCATCGCGAGTAGTTGCTTGTGTGGCTCCCAACAAGGCGGAGAAACCACCCAAGAGAGGGAAATATGGGCGGTTATAAGGGGAACGGCGGAAACTCAAAGGCGAGCGGGACCGTATGCGCGACTGACATGTGTATTCGTTTGCAACTTGTTGAAATAAACTATTGGTCACATGTGGGACGCTCTGTCTGAAACTTTATTTTTCTGTCGCATAGCCGCCCTAACACCCAGACCGGTCGATAGCGGGCTCGTTATTGACACTCTGAGTGTAGCGACGCACGAGATACTGATTTTACACCGAGACAGTGGCGAACAGCAGGCGATAACCAAGCATGGACGCGCCCTGGGAGGATGGTGAGCACAGCAATTGAAGCCGGCCGTTCAACACCGTGGACTTTGCCTTGTTTCCTACAAAATTCATCTATTACAGTGGCAATGACAAGTTGCCCATCCAAGAGGTATCCTCCATACCAAAGAAGAGTGCTTCAGTTTCAAAGGCCATATCCTGAAAAAATACATCCTGAAGGGGAGGTACAGAAACATTATTCACATTAGAAACCCCTTCGTCCATCACAGGATGACCATAGGGTGGTTGTTGATGGGCGCTCATTCCCGACGACAACGTCTCAAAGGTGGCCACGCACTGCGACACAAACGGACTCAGATGCTCGTGGGCGCGCAGGGCGGCCATGGCGCGGCTCCAGGATTCGGAGACGTCGGGCGTGCAGAGGTTGGGTTGCAGGGTGGCTGCCATGAGCACGGTGCCGGCGACGTGCAGGTAGAAGACACGGTACCACCAAGGGATGATGCCGCTACCGCTGCCGCTGTTTAATCCGGCGTCGGCCCCGGCCGCTGCTCCCCCGCCCGAGCCATCGGATTGTGGTGACGTGTTGCATTCATCTACTATGAGTGCTATCACCTTTTGTGCATTCTCCACGCAAAGCGCGGCGCAGTCCTGGACGATGCGGTGGCTTAAGCTTCCGCTTCTGTCGGTTGTGTTGTCACTCTGACTGGTTGGTATACGCGAGAGGCAATGGCGCGCCAGCATGGGTCGAAAGAGGGTGACGCGGCCGTGGTGAAATCTGGCGAGCCTTTATTAGCCCCGGATGAGGAGAGGGAAGGATAGAAATGGCCTCTCACCGCAACTGAAGGAGCAACGCCTGTTTGTAGGAAATAGGATGAACACGACCGTCGATATGGTTGTATCGGAGAGACCGCGGTAGGCTCTCGGCCCACCTGTCTAGGCAGGCATCATACCTCGACACATTGCTAAAGTGGTCTTCAAATCGGTATAGTGGTGGGAGACCCAACTTCTCTGGAAGGCTACTGCGGAGAGGAAGGTGTGAAAGGGAGATGTGGTTGGAGATCTCGTACAGCTCCATAGTCTTGGTCAAGTACCCGGCTGTCTGATCGCCGCTTTGGGGGTTGCCTTCCCCCGCGGCGGCATCATGTGACAGGCCGTGCAGAAGTATCATTGGCGTCCGCCCCATCATCCAGGAGACCATCCTGGGATGACACTGTCAGTCGTGTCACCAGCGCAAACCAGTCCAGGTTTCTTTCCTTACCTGTCTATGTAAACACAACACTGCCACAGTTGCTCCCTAAAATGGCGGGGAACGAGAGCCAAAGAATCACCCGATGAGGAGTTGGGTCTGTCCAGGCCGATGCTCTGAGCGGTGCGGACGGCGATCCCTACGGCCATCCACGTCTGGTGCAGATGGCTGGAGCACTGGAGGTAGCGGGCCATGAGGAGCAGACACTGGACCACCTCCACCGAGCCGGGCTCCCACAAGACAGCCTCAACACGAAGCAGGGCCCATGCGCGGCGAAAGTAGGTGTTACCGACTTGGTTCCTCTCGTCGGCCGGTAGGCTCTCATGGAGCTGAGTGGACAAGGCAAAGACAGCGTTGAGGATGCTGAGAAAGATGCGCTCATCGGCGCCGTTAGGCAGCGGGCGGCCAGCGAATAGAGCGTCGTAGGTTCGGTTGAAGAGTGCCGGCTCGAGGATGGGTTCTACGGGTTGGATGTGCTTCCAGAACAGGTCCACCAGGCGGTCCGCATGTCGGCGATGGGGGAGCACGCTACTGCTTTCGATGTTGTCGCCCGGCTGGGCGCCGAGCCGCAGGTCGAACAACGGGGCGTCCTTCATAGGAGTCAAATTGATGGCCTTTCTTCCGGCAGATGGGATGCCCAGTTTTGCGTCCAGGGCTGCCTTGACTTCGCGCGCAAAGACCCCGTGAACAACCCCGGAGGGTGGCTCGGCGGGCTGGGCCCCGTCTGGTTCCGGCGGCTCGGCATCGGGGGACAAAGCTCGGCCCGGTCGGGTGACTTGTCTTTCCGGCGGCGCATGGCGAAAGCTGGAGCTGGCGGTCACGGTGGCATTGGCCCCATCAGTCCCGACCGAGTCGTTCCGGTAGGAGCAAGGGGTACGTTTTCTCTGGCACTGGTTGCAAGCTGACACACCAGGGTTAGCTTGTCAGTTTCGGGGTGCTAGAACGAGGCAGAATACAATCAATAGAAATTGAATTGACCGGATCCGACAATGGATGTATCATTAATTGCTTTAGGGCGTGTGTCCTGCCTGCCTACCTACCCGGGCGTGCGCCGTCGCACTTTTTCTTGCTTGTCCGGCAGCAATCGCAAGCAATGGCGATCTTCAGTCTCTTGGGGCCCAACCGATCCGGTAACCTCGCGTTGGACATGGCGGGGTTGCGCTGATGGTTCGAGTTGTTTCTTCGGGTGGAAGATGGAGCGAGAACAGCGGAGACCGGAAGCGGGAAGAGCGGGAGCAGTGGGCGGGATGGAGAAATGGGCGGATGATGAACCTAAGGAAATTGCGGAACGGCGGGGTCACCGTCGGAGCGGAAGCCGGGCGGGAAGGAGCGGAGAGTCGTGGAGGGAGCGGAGATTGGCGGAAAGCGCAGCGGTTGGCCATTGCAAAGCAGCCAAAAGCAGCAGAGATCGTGGGCGAAGATCGCTCTTGGCGGCATGGACTCCACTCCTTCGCTGCCCGAGAAGGAAATGCATCGCTTTGGGAAGCGGGATGAGTGGTCATTGGCCGGAGCTCTGCATTCCCCTTTTCAGGTATCGATGCGTGTAAGTGACACCCGGTCGGAACCGCCAAGCAAAGCCTGCACACACATTTCGCAGCGGAAAAACAACAAAAATCGCATCGACATCTCAGCCTCGCCTCCCTTTTTTTTTTCTCTTGTTTTGCGTCCATGTTCAGTCAGCATCCCGAATTACTCCCATCGAAATGCCGTCGGCAGAAATCAACCAAGACCAAGAAAATGAACATGAGCACGATCGGGAGCTCAAAACCAATTCTGGTGTCGACGACGGCGACGGCGAGTCTAACGAGAAAGTGCCAAATGGAGAGATGGAGGTGAAGACGCCAGTAACTCCACCAGTCAGTCTGGGGAGTCTGCAACAGCAACAACAGGAACAACAACTACCGAATCCCATCATTGTCGAGTTTAGCCCTGGAGACCCGACCAACCCCATGAACTTCTCGCCCGCCAGGAAGTGGTTCATCACCTCCATTGTCACTATTTCCATCCTTGCCATCACTCTTACCTCGTCAGCCTACTCTTCGTCGGCTGCTCAGGTCATGGCCGAGTTTAACTCCAGCTCCGAGGTGTTCGCTTTGGGTGTCTCGCTCTTCGTCTTGGGCTTCGCCGTTGGGCCCGCGTTTTGGGCACCTCTCTCGGAGTTGTACGGCCGACAAATTCTGTTCATCGCCACTCACGCCCTCGTTGTTACTTTTGTTGCCGCCTCGGCCGGATGTACTTCGATGGCTCAGCTGTTGGTCTTTCGTTTTCTGGCCGGTACTTTCGGCGCCTCGCCCATGACGAATTCCGGCGGTGTCATCGCCGACTTATTCCCGCCCGCACAGCGTGGCCTGGCAATGACCATCTTTGCGGCCGCGCCCTTCATGGGTCCTGTGTTGGGTCCTGTCATCGGGGGCTTCGTCACCATGAACGTCGGTTGGCGCTGGGTCCACGGCGTCTGTAGCATCTTCATCGGCGTAATATGGATTGCTGGCTCCTTCTTGCTGCCCGAGACATACGGCCCAGTGCTGCTGCGGAGACGAGCCGAAACTCTGTCACGCGAGACGGGCATCCCACACATCAGCGTCCTGGCCGCTCAGAACAGCAGCGCAACGCCCGCTGAGATCTTCGGCCGTGCCCTGAAGCGGCCCTGGGTGTTGCTCTTCCTCGAGCCCATCGTGCTCATCTCCTCCATCTACCTCGCCATCCTCTACGGAATTATTTACATGTTCCTGGGCGCTTTCCCCATCGTGTACCAGGATATGCGCGGGTGGAACGAGGGAATCGGCGGCCTCGCATTCCTTGGCCTCGCCGTCGGCATGATCATCGGCCTGATGTTCACCATCTTCGACAACCGCCGCTACCAAAAGCTGGGCAAAGACGCCACTCCCGAATCACGCCTACCGCCGTCTTTGATCGGTGCCCTGGTGCTGCCAGCGTCCATGTTTGCCTTTGCGTGGACCAACGCGCCAAGGATACACTGGTCGGCCAGCCTCATCCTTTCGGCCCCCTTCGGGTTCGGTTGTGTGCTGGTCTTCCTTTCGTGTCTCAACTACCTGCTCGATGCCTACACTATTTACGCCGCATCGGTCTTGGCCGCTGGCGCCATACTGCGCTCCCTGTTCGCTACTGCGTTCCCGCTGTTTGTGGGGAGGATGTACGCAAACCTCGGCATTCACTGGGCCAGTTCCGTCCCGGCCTTCTTAACCGTCGCCTGCATGCCCTTCCCGTTCCTGGCGTACAGGTATGGCGCGGCAATCAGAATGAAGTGCAAATATGCCCATGAGGCCGCCCTTCTCCTGGCTAAGATGCGCGGGGCCGATACCTCCACGGATGGCGCCGGGGAGGGGAGGGAGTCGTCGCCGGCTTGAGGCAAGGGACAGGAAGGTGGATGCACAGGTTAGCGGAAGTGGACAGACCCCCCGTAGCTCCAATCACTTTAATAACTGCGCGGCAGAGAGACAGAGACCTTAGACTTCTAGTATACTCCTATAGTAATGCCCCCGTCGCCGGACATGTCCAGTCTTTATGCGTCCGATGTATTCCCCCTTTTCCAGCACTCGTACACAATCTTACGTACCTGTGACCCCACCACCATTCCAGAACAGGACATAACAAAACAAAACAAAACAACCCAAGCAAACAAAACCCCCAACACCCCACCCCCGCTTCCCTTCTCCCAACCCCCATCCCGAACCCCCCACATCCTCAGTACAACCCACCCCCACCCCGCTGCTGCCCCTCCCTCAACGCCACCGCCAGCTCCTCCCACGCCGCCACCAGGCCCTGCCGGAGGCGGGCCACGAGCCGGTCGCGAACCGCCTCGGGCAGCCGCCTGTCCAATCCCGGCCCCGGCCCCGGCCCCGTCCGCATTGATACCTGCGCCGCCGCCGTACCTTCTTTCCCCCTATCCTCCTCGCCCATGCGCAGCGCGAGCTGCTCTGCCACACCTTTGAGCTCGCGCAGCCGCTGCAGTACCACTTGGGCGACGATGGCGGCTTGGATTGCTTCGTCGACTACGGCGTGCGTGCCGATTGCGATGGGGGGGAGGGTGTGTTGGTGTTGGTTTTGGTGTTGGTGGTAGGTGTGGGGAGCTGCTTTTGGCTTTCTTGTTGTTGCCGTTGTTGTTGATGTTGATGATGATGATGTTGTTGTTCCGTTTCCTGTTTCTGTTGATGACGAGGAGGAGGGTGGCGACGACGACAAGGAAGATGATGACGAACAGGAAAAAGAGCGAGAAGACGAGGAGGATGTGGAAGACGTCGGCCCCGACCCCGATCCCCTGCGCACCCCCTCCACTACGGCGCGGTACCAGCCTATTAGCTTCTCCAGCGCCGTCGCCGCGAGCAAGTGCAGCTGCGGCTGCGAAGAGCAGGTGCTACACTCTAGGGTGGCTGAGATGGTGTACGTGGCGTCGCGGCTCGAGGTCAGCATGGCATCGAGGGTGCGCGGACCCCCGGCGTGGTTGGCGTTTGTGGTGGTTCCGGCGGTGTTGCTGGTGGCGGTGGTGGTGTTTCCGCCATTGCCATTGTTGCTAGTGTTAGTGGAGGACGACCTAGCACCCGGCGGTGAAGACGACAGACACATGTCGGCGCACGTGTGCAGCGCGCTGATGGCGTTGGCAGCAGCGGCGAGGCAGGGGTTGGCTGGATTGGAACATCTCCGCCGTCTGGGCGCATCAGCCGCGTTGCTTGGATGGGTCCTGATATTATTGCCGATGGGAGGAATGCCGCCGCCGTGCGCCTGTCCCGCATCTGGACCGGAAGGTGGTGTTATTGCGGCGGTGGCATCAGCCCCAAAACCCCCAGCATCCCACGGCTCCCAGGCCAGCATGTCGGAAAGGGAAGGGGGGCCCGAATCGGTCAAGAACTCGGACAATGACGAGGCCGTGACCCCGAGCCCAAACTCAGACTCGTCGTTGCCGCCGGGGGATGTACCCGCGTTGCCGGACGGGTTGAGATGAAAGAGAGGGAGCCCCTGGCTGCGTGTCCCGAGGGTCTGGACCAACTCGGGATACAAACTCCACTCCATCGTAGGGTGGCACAACGCTCGGCGTTGAAAGGCACTAACTAGGGAGAGAGGAGGTCTGGACGGGAGACCCTGTGAGGCGTCAGGATGGAGGAGTTAGTAGTCTTGGCGATGTCCTCGTACTAATACCCGTCGGCGGATGGCTACCCCATCTTGGAAGGCCGCATCGCCAGCTCGAACGGCGGCGGATCGGAACGGGGGGCTGGCCTCCAAAGGACCAGAACAGGCAAGAAACACACATGATGTCAGCGTTCGTTTGCGGAGACGCTGCTGATCGCTTAAGGGGGACGTTGACCACCCCGCCCTCCCCCTCCTCTCCGAGGCTAAACGCAGGGTAACCGTGACTGTGTGTCTGTCGTCTCGTCCGTCCGCTTACAGCAAACTCTTCGCCAATGCGCCGCCCCCACGCGGGCCGCGCCAGGCGGCTGCATGTCAGCGTTGCAACCAGAGGGAACTGGGTTGCACTGGAGTGAGTGTCCCCCAGTCGTTTAACTTATCTGCTTGATCCTCCGAAACGGTCCTTCGAGAGCAGTGAGCTTGAAATACGCGACCACTTCGCGCATTCGGCTAAATATCAAGCTACCTACCTATATCTCCATCCGCCTTCCTTGTCGACATTTGGAATCGAGGAATCCTTGGCCCCCAAAGTTCCACCACCTCTTCGTCCCCGCCGTGTGCTCAATGGCAACAGGCGGACATCATCCCCAAAACCCCTCCCCTCGAACCACCAACTTTATTCCCATACGGCCTTCCTTCAACACATACCACAAAGATGGACGGAACACGCGAATATCGTTACCACCAACCAGCCTGGTCCCTCGAAAGACCACCACGGAGACTCAAGGACTCGTGCGATATGTGCTCAGCATCCAAGGTCCGCTGCGACAGACAGAAGCCCATCTGCGGTCGATGTGATAAGCTGGCCTATCCGTGTTTCTACAGCCCCGCTCGGCGAGTTGGCCGGCCACAGGGACGCAGCAGCAGACAGCCCAAGGTGAGACGCGATTCGGCGATCAGCGGAGTCGACTTGGAGAACGAGAGCATATCACTCGAGAACTCGGCGTATTCCGTGAGCCCAATCGCCCCAATCTCACCCATAACACGCCGAGATTCGGGGGCCGTGGACCGAAGGAATTCGGCATCATTCCCCTCCCCGCTAGACACGCCGCCATCTTTGGGGTCTGTTACACCGCCGGTCCGCTCATGTCAGCAGCGCCAACAGCAGCAACAACGGCAGCATCAACCGCGGCAGCCGCGGCCTCAGCGGCAGCAAGAATCCGAACGGTCTTTTGATCCCGCCTGTGTTGGTTATTCCGCCTCGTTATCCGCCGCCTCCTCCTGCTCCTCGGCACCCTCGGCTCAGAATGATTGTGAGTCTGACTGTGTCGACCTCGCCATGGCCACCCAATGTCAGCTTGAGATGGCAAGCAGCAGACTGAGCGCAACGCTTGCACCAGTCGGACCATGGACGCCAGAAATTATCCAAACCGCAGAAGCCGCCATGCAGACAGCCGGGCAGGCCATGCGACGCATGTCGACAACTTTGATTTGCCCGTGCTCTAAAAGGCTCGAGACGGGAATGGTTGTGAGCGCGGCGTGCCTGTCCATCCTGGACTTGTACGGTGCCATTGTCAACCGGTTCACTGCCCAGCCGCTATGCAACCGTAGCCATCACTCGCCGCTGATGGCCATCATGTCGGACACGGCGGGTACGGAGGGCGGCAGTGGCGCCTTGGGGCTATCCTGGGACGACGTGCTGTCTTCTTTTTCCCCGCCCGACGACGCGCTCCTCCAGGGTGGGAAAAAGAAGGATCTGATGTTGGTGCAGGTGCTCGGGGAGCTGTCCAAGCTGGCGACGGTGGTGTACCAATTCACCAACCGGTACTGGACTAGAGCCGGACAGGCCCAGCCAGGGTCCTCCGAGATGGAAATTCTCCAAGGTCTGGCCGCACTCCTCAAGTCTAGACTCAAGGCGGCTGCCGACGAGACGGCGGCAAAGCTTCAGACGGCGCCGTCGCATCGTGTAACCCGACAGGCAGGGACCGCATAGTGCGGACGTTGGCATGCATGAACGGCTTCGTTTAGTTATCCATATTCACTCTTTCACATCACACAACATGCAGCCGACCAGCTACCTAGGTTGCACACAACGAATCACAGTCCTTGGATAACCCTCCCAGTTACGCTCTTACTCGTGATTGCATACCGTACCTTCTGGGCTTCCTAGAACTTGAGTGGACGGAGGTACTTTTCCAACCCCTTATCACAGCCCCCCCCCCCCCCCCCCCCCCCTCCCCCGGGCCCCCTGTCGACATCCAGATATGCTTATATGTATGTACATATGTACACTAAGATAGTCTCAGCCTATCCTGTGACAATCAATGTAACCTCAAGCCGCCTTCCTCGCTTATTAAGTTAACCTTAAGCTTAGTGCTTATTTTACTTTGGTCTCCCCGACTGGTCCGGTCTTCCACAGCTCATGTGACTGACCAGATAGCACCGCACACTGCAACTGCGTATAACCATTCCCGTGCTAATTCCATCCCTAGCCGAAGCGCAGACACACACCATGTCCTCGGAACGTCCCGTCGCGGGAGCCCGGCACATGGGCCTGTGCCGCACCGGTCCGTCGATGCGCGTGCCTCCTAGTCAGCAATCCTACATAGCATCGGACAGTTCTGGCCGGCCAATTGTGAATCCCCCGGTTGGCATCCGCAACGGTCTTCCCTCCCTCCGCTGTCGGTAGCGGAAAGCTTCGGAACCGCAAGGAAGTCCGGTCGTTGGGGGCCAACCGCAGATCATGACGTCGGTAGACGTGAGTAGACGAAAGCCGAGTACGCGATTCAACCCACTCTGTTGCCGTGATGGTCAAGATGTTGCTCATTATTAATTTGTGAATATTACGCAAAGGGGGCTACAAAGGAAAGGACAAGACGGGTATGGGAACGCCAACGGCCGAGTAATAATAACAAGAGAACCAGTGCACCAACCTTCGAGTCTCGTGTCATATATCTTATATAAACCTTCTTGCTGTATTCAACAGGGACGGCTTCACGACCGACATCCCACGGTTGAATAATTAGTCCACCACCCTCCCGAGTTTCACGCGCACCATGTCCGTACCCCAAAGCTGTACCGTGCTTGTCGTTGGCGGTGGTCCCGCAGGATCCTTCGCCTCGGCTGCCTTGGCACGCGAGGGTATCGATGTCGTGATGCTGGAGGCGGACAAGCATCCGAGGTATTACAATGGATCCGAAAAGTCTGACCCGGTGCTCGGAGTGTGCACGTGTCTAACGGGGCTGCAGATACCATATTGGGGAGAGCATGCTCCCCTCGATGCGCCACTTCCTCGACTTTATCGACTGTTACGACAAATTCAACTCACATGGCTTTATCAAGAAGGTAAGTCCTAATAGGCGGCCGGACTTGTTAGAAGAAGCATACAGAGTGTAAGTACATGTAGCTAACCCCAAATAGAAAGGCGCAGCCTTCCGTCTGAACCCATCTCAACCCGAAGCTTGCAAGTACCCCTTGTTTACCAAAGAGCCAATGGCCCAAGGGAAGCTAACTCTCTGTCCCCAGACACCGACTTCATTGCGGCTGGTGGGCCGAATGGCCACGCCTGGAACGTGGTACGGTCCGAAGCCGACGAGCTGCTCTTCAACCACGCGGCGTCCTGCGGCGCCCGCACCTTTGACGCCACGAAAGTGGATGCCGTCCAATTTGAAGAGGGGGATGGAAAGAAATCAAACCCCGGAAAACCTGTTTCCGCATCATGGAAGCGCAAAGACGGGACCTCGGGCACCATCGCCTTCAAGCACATCGTGGACGCTAGCGGCAGATACGGTCTCCTGAGCACCAAATACCTGAAGAACCGGAAGTTCAACCAGAACCTCAAGAACATTGCGAACTGGGCCTACTGGAAGGGAGGCGGCACCTACGGCACCGGGACACACAAAGCGGGCTCACCCTTCTTTGAGGCGCTCCAGGACGCCAGCGGCTGGTGCTGGTTTATCCCTCTACACGACGGCACCCACTCGATCGGAATCGTGCAGAACCAGCAAATGGCCACGGATAAGAAGCGGGCGGCAGGCTCCCCATCAACCAAGGAGTTCTACATGCAGTCCCTTCAGCACGTACCAGGTATTAGAGAGTTACTTTCCAAGGCCGAACTGGTCTCGGACGTCAAGTCGGCCTCGGACTGGTCCTACAGTGCCGACAGCTATGCCTTTCCGTACGCGCGCATCGTGGGCGATGCCGGCTGCTTCATCGATCCCTACTTCTCCTCGGGAGTCCACCTTGCCGTCATGGGTGGCATCTCGGCGGCTGTTACCATCGCGGCCTCCCTCAGAGGGGATTGTGATGAGAAGGCGGCGGCGTCGTGGCACTCCAAGAAGACGGCCGAGAGCTATACTCGCTTCTATTTGGTTGTGAGCAGCGCTCTGAAGCAGATCCGCATGCAGGACGATCCCGTCATCCAGGACATTGACGAGGAGGGATTCCAGAGGGCGTTTGATTTGTTCCGACCAGGTAAGCAAACGGTTCCCCCTTGATAACGGTCGGCCCATCACTATGTGGATTCTGACTTTTATGATTGCCGGAACAGTCATCCAAGGTACCGTCGATGCCGACCCCACTGGCAAGCTTTCTCAGAACGAAGTGGCCACGACAGTCGAGTTTTGTTTCAAGGCCTTCTCACACGTCACCCCGGAGCAAAAGGAGGCGGTTGTCAACAAATTAAAGAGCCTCGGCGTGACGGGTCAGGAAGCTGACAACGACGATGCAATCGTGAAAGTTCTCGGCGAGATCGAGAAGAACCTCACGCTCGAGGAGGCGCAGGTGCTGGACATCCTACGCAGCAGGCGCATGATCCGGGAAGACGGCTTCAACATGGACAGCTTCACCCTCGACGCCATTGACGGGCTGGCACCCAGAATGGAGCGCGGCAATCTCGGCCTCGCCAAAGCCGAGATGGCGAAGCTCAACGGATCTCATATGTATTCGGTGGATTTTCTCGAGGGCAAGCGCCCCGGCTTCAGGGCCCAGGAACCCACCAACGGGATGAACGGTCACACTAACGGGCATACCAACGGGCATGAGCAGCATGAAGAGCCTAGTACCATGAACGGAACGACCAAAGCCACCTCGAGCGCATCGAATGGATCCATAAACGGTATGAATGGAAATAGCTCCAGTCATGACATTCTCAAGGGCGATTCGGAGCGAGTTGCGGGTGGTATCTTTGCGCCACCCATCAACGGACACGCCTCCCTGCTGGACGACGTTGGAAGACACGCGGTGATGAGCACCCTCCACGAAGCCGCCGAGAACCTCGAAACCCCCTTCGACCTGGTGATGCGTCTGGGCAACACGGTCCGTACCCTACCCTCCCTCCCCCCTCCATCCCCCGAGAACAGTCCACTAACAACCCCCACCCCTCACCTCCAGGCCCGCCTCCTCACCTTCATACGCGTGGGCATCGAGCTCAACATCTTCACCACCCTAACCACCGCCGCCGCCCCCGGCATCCTCACCGTCCACGACCTCGCCGCAGCCTCACCCACCAGCACAAACACCGACCCCACCCTCGTCCGCCGCGTCCTCCGCTACCTCGCCGCCAACCGCATGGTAACCGAGTCCGGCCCCGACCGCTACAGCGCGAGCAAATCGACGCGCTTCCTCGCCGACCCCGGCATCGCAGGCGGCGCGACCTTCTTCCAGGGCGTGGTCGCGCCCGCAACACACCACCTGCCGGACTCGCCGCTCGCACAGAACGGGTTTGCTGCTGCTGCCGCCGATGCTGCGGGGGGCGACGACGCGCCGCCGCTGGTGTTCCACTCGTGGGCGGCGACCGACCTCGACCTCTACCCCTGGCTCAAGACACAGCCGCGGCTGCTGTCGGCGTTCCAGAACCTCATGACGGTTGATCGAGGGGGGGACTGGATCGGGTGCGTGGACTTTTCGTCATCCGCGTCGGGAGATGATGGTGATGGTGATGGCGAGCGCACCGTGTTCGTGGACGTGGGCGGCAACGTGGGCCACCAGACGCGGCGGCTGGTGGCGGCGCACCCGGCGCTGGCCGGGCGCGTGGTGGTGCAGGACCTGCCCGAGACGGTGGCGGCGGCGCCGGCGGTGGAAGGGGTGGAGTTTGTGGCGCACGACTTCTTCAAGCCGCAGCCGGTGCGGGGGGCGCGGTTTTATTACCTGCGGTCGATCCTGCATAACTGGGGGGATGAGCGGGCGGTGGAGATCTTGCGGGGTTTGGTCCCCGCGCTGGCGGCGGACTCGCGCGTGCTGATTGATGAGCTGGTGGTGCCGGATCAGGGGGCGGATGCGTGGGTGGCCGGGCAGGATCTGAATATGATGTTGTTGTTTGGCGGGATGGAGAGGCGGCGGGATGACTGGACGGCGTTGTTGGACCGGGCGGGCTTGAAGATGGTTGATATCAAGACGTATGCGCCGGTGAGGAGGAGCTCGATTATTGTGGCTATGCTGAAGTAGGTGCTGGTAGTGGTGGTTTGGAAACTAGGTACTGGGTGGGAGGCAGGCAATGTCGAGGTATATATTGCAACAAGGGGTATGGTTCAGAGAATGCATTTTCACGTCTGGTTTCACCATCACGTTTCATCAAGCCATCATCACATCACGCAGGAGCAAAAACAGTGACGCAGCGGCAATGATTTAACTACGACGTGTTGAACCTCGTATTCCGAATCCACCCCCCCCCCCCCCCCCCCTGAAACCGTGATTTATTCCATCCTCAACTCAACACCGAGTTTCCAGCGCGTGCTCATCCAACTTCCATCTCCGATTTCTTGTTGCGCAACGATCCAAATGACCAAGACGTGGTTCGATCCTCATGGCCCATCCCCGGCCTAAGCTGGGCAGAGATCGGTTGGCGGGACGGCGTCGATAGGATACACGCGTCCGTACAAGACGAGAGTATGGCCATTGCCCAGGGTGATATCCGCCCGGGCTGCGTTCTCGTCGCCAGCGTTGGCCGCGTCGAGTATACCCTCAACGAAGGCATTGACCTGGGTGTTGTCTGAGCACCTGGCTAGCTCGTCGTTGTCCTGGGCAGTAGCGCCTCCGCCGGACCCGATCTGACCAAACGCGTAGCCGACGGCCCCTCCTGCGCCCAGTGTGACAAGGTAGCAAGTTGCCGGGTACTGTCTAACATAGTCATAAAGGGTCGATTGCACCGCCTTTATTCGGTCGGCGCACTCGACGGTCTGACGCCAGCCATGGCCGAGCTTCACCAACCCCCCACCGACCGTGTCTCGCACGCATGTCAAGAGCGAGCGGCAGCGAGCGTAGTCCCATCTTTTCTCGTGCTCCTCCCTCTCGGCTAGAGCCCAGTGAGAATGACATGTTTCCAATTCGTCGGGAGAAGCGCCACAATCTCCACGCGCTTCAAGCCCGCGAGATGAGACGTCGCCATCGCCATACGGGACAAAAGCGTCGCTCTTGACATGGATGGCATCGTCCCACTCGTCGATGGGCACACCCACGGAGATGCCAAGAGCCACCTGCTGCCAACGCACCCTCTTGCCGAAGACTTCGGACTCGTTGCCGTGGCCAAATCCGCCCTCGGCCATCCTGTCCGGGTCGAAGTACGGCGAGAGGGAGCCGAGAGCGGTGGCCTCTGACAGGTTGAGACGCTGACGATGCAGTGCCTGCTCGGCAGCCCACGGGGTGTTGGCCAGAGCACGGGACTTCTTGGCCGGTGGAGGGGGACTAATGGCGCCCCTAGCCCCCATCAGAGGGATGGGCTCGCCACTGGCTTCCGTGCGGGCTTCGATGGCGGCCTCGGGAGGGGCAGGTGAGGAGACACCGCGCTTTCCAGGGACGGTCCAGTCTTCACGGATTGAGAACCTTGTCGCTCCATAGAAGGTGACGCAGTTATTATCGCCGCTGGCGACGAGGTTCTGGCCGCATGTTCGCCAGAAAGCAACGTCTGAAACGGTATGGGACCCAAACGTCAGCCACGTCCACTCGTTGTATACCTAGGCACGGCGCTTGCGGCACCAGACCAGGCCGGATGATGTAGGTAAGGTCCGTAAGGGCAATACTCACTGTGCGACTCTCCATCCAATTCTCCCGGCTCGATCGTTGCTGAGACGGCATTGACGGGCACGTTGTGGCAGGCACCGGGGTACCCAGGGTAACTGTAAGAACCCGTGCCCCACCTGGCGCCCCGGCACTGGGAACCTAGGTAGGTAGAAAGTGACGCGGAAGGCCTGGGCTTGAGTGACCAGCAAAAGGGATGAAATGATGGAATGAGGCTTGAAACGCATGATGAATTGTGAAGGCTGACTGCCAAATACTGTAGAAAATGATGCTCGGTTATCGTTTGAGTGCGATGGTGCTCCAGCCGGGGATCATCGTCAACGGAACGCCTCGAGGGCTCCTCGTCTTATAGAAATTGGCTCTTCCAGCCGCTGACTGCCCCTCACCCGAGACCTTTGGTGCTGCGTTCAAGAGACTTCTGGCTGCTGTCTCCTCGCATGCTGTTCCGTCTCACATCTTGAACTGCAGCTCGGTTGGTTCAAGGTCCTGTTGGTCCAGGGTTGCAGCATCCCAACTTCGAGGAGACGAGTCAGCCCCGCGCCGAGTTCGACGAGCTGACGACCGGGAGGAACGGCCCCGGGGCACGCAATGGACGCTTGTCGGCTAGTAACTAGATACCGTACCTAGTGGATAATAGTACCTAAGGTGCTTCTGCTACAATTGTCTCTCCTCGACGACGCTGTCGCCGCGTTCATTTACATTTGGAGTCGAACTTCTCGAGCCCCGTGGTATGGATGTCTTGAATGAATGGTGTCATTCAGGATTCCGGTCTTGAGTAACCGCACAGGTGCTTCCACAGAGTGACCCCGGCCGATGTTGGTTGAGGTGAGCAACCCAGGCCGCAATACATTGTCCAATGATGATTCCAGCCAGAATAAGGGCTGGTGACCACCATCTCCAAACAGAAGTCACCCAACAGTGGCTGCGGAACTCGTACTGATATGACCCCGAAAGGTACATGTACAAGTTCCCCATTTAGAATCATAGCCTCCCTTCTTCTGGATCAGGTACTTGGAACTTACCGGGAACGTTGCTGAGCCTCGATGGTCATGGAATGGCAAACACAGCTTCGCCCTTCTCAGTCTCGGTTACCCACTCTGCACCTCATGACCCGCTGACACCGTGACATGCACCATGGCTTCCATATTAGTGAGTGCATGGCCAAGTCCCAGTTTAGGCAGCTAGAAGCCCTGGACATAACGAGCAGGACTACGTTGGTCAGCATCGCCATGGTTCCCATCACTGCATCAGGAATGTACAAAGGATGGATATTTCCTTTGGGACGGCGATGCAAACCTTTAGCCGCTTGGTGCAGCCTAGCACTCGGTAACTCGGCAGCAATGATAGTGACCATTTCACCCATGTGCCCCGTCGACGCCGTGCCGATACACTTCGGTCGGCGGCGCATTCGGCGACTTGGCGACGTTGTTGGTCGTTGTTAGTCGTTGCGGCTCGGTTCTGACGGCAAATAAGGCGGCGGTCAAGGGACAGACAGTCACAGACTGCCCAACAAGCCACAACCAATAACCGGGCAGTATCCGAGTCACATTTTCCCTCCCCCGCCGTTGCACTGGGCGCACTCAGTAACTACCACCTCTCTCTCATCTTTGGGGGTCCTTTCTCCTCCCCTCATCATCTCGGCCGGTTTTTCTTTCGGACTCACCCAAAGCCACCTCGAACACACAACACATGGACCACCCAAAAAGCAACGACGTCCCGGCGGGGCCCCCTGTTCCCCCGACAGCCAGCCGGGGCTGCACCCCTCTCGAGCGCCGACTCGCGTCCTGGTGCTTCTTCCTTTCCATCCTAGTGCTCAACGCCTTGCTCCGAATCTTCATCTGGCCGCACGTCTCGGGCAGCCCGTACCTGATCTTTGTCGTCGTCGGCACACGCATGGTCGTCGGACTCTCGTGGTTGCGCCTTTACGAGTTTCTGACGGGCGAGAAACATCCGGATCCCTTGCTGCTGACGGCTATGGGGTTTCTGCCTACTATCCTGGTCGATCTCGGGCTCGGAAGCTGCTACCGAAGTTGCAGTGTCAGGGATGTAGTGGCTCGGGGGTACTGCAAGTATGGATGAGGGCGAGAGTCTGTAGGATGGAGTGGAGTATGAGTATCGAGGTAAAGGGATTCTGTTTGGGTCCCTGGTGGCTCAGTCGTGGGAGGCTTTTATTTTAACAGAAGGGTAGCTCTAGTTTCTGCTCCTTGGGCATCACCTTTACGGATCACACAACTAGATACCCAGGTACCTACCTAGGTAGGCAATCATGTATCACTCCGAATTCAAACCCTTACCGTTCAGTTACTCGTAGTGTTGCTTACCTATATAAATTCTACTTGTTGTATGATTGTTGTTTAACCCTAACGACACCCCGTCAAATAACATGACCCCCAACCCTTCATCATGTTCAACTCTCAGCCATACCACCAGTAACCTTTTGCCACCGATTTACCCATGCAGCTTCACCACCGGGGTGGACCACGTCTCCCAGCAGACTCCCAAGCATATCGGCCTATTGCAAAAAGTACGACAAACGTCAGCCCAGACTCGGGTAATCACAGCACAGCGAGTACTCACATTCGGAGGATGGACGATATTAAAGTGGTTGCAAGGGATCGTGCCTATCACCAACTTCGTCCCAGACGGAAACAGCGTATCCCATCCACCAGGCCCAAAGTCAGTCCGCGGCTGCAACAACATCTTGGTCACCTTAACATCCGGATCCAAACCCGCCGCCTCCGCCTGCGCCGCATCCACAACCGGCTCCGAAGCCCATATGATATACACCGTCGGCACCTCCACCCCCCACCCCCAACCCATCCACAAACCTCTCCGGCACATACCCCTCCACCGCCCTCAACGTCGCCCCAAAATGCTCCACCAACCACCCCGGCACCACCCCCCCCTTCATCTTCTTTTTCCCACCCCCCCAATCCCCCCCCATCAACCCCCTCCCCGCCAAAAACCGCACCACCCCCACCGGCAACGCCTCAAACACAACCCTACACGGCGAATCCACCAGCACCAACCCCTCCACCACCTCCCCACGCTTCACCAACCCCCTCGCCACCTCGTACGCATAATACCCGCCCGCCGACCAGCCGCCCAACCAATACGGCCCGCGCGGCTGGACCGCCGTGATGGCGTCTGCCCAGGCCAAGGCGAGTTGGGGGAGGGTGCAGGTGTAGGCGGAGCTGTTTTGCAGGAAGGGGCTGTTGAGCGCGTAGATGTGGGTGTGCGGGAGCGCGGGGAGGCGCGCGTAGGCTGTGGCGGCGCCGCTGCCGTCGGGGAGGAGGAAGAGGTTGCGTGGTGGGGGGGTTTTGGAGGTGGCTTTGCGGATGAGGATGGGGGGGGCGCAGGTTGGTGGTGCTGTTGTTGTTGTTGTTGTTGTTGTTAGTGGTGGTGGTTTGGAGGTTGGGTTTTGTCGTGGTGGTGGAGGTGGTGCGAGGGTGGTGAGGTGCTGTCGGAGAGCGGCGACGGTTTCGGCGGTCTCGAATATGTCGTCGGGGAGGTGTATTGTGGTGGCTTGGGCTATTTTGGCGATGATGGAGGGTGCTACTAGAGCATCGACGCCTAGCTCGGAGAACTCGGTCTCGCCATGCTCGAACTCGTCGACTGGTACATGTAGTTCGCTGGCAATGGTTTGGAAAACCTGTCTTGCGATGTCCTCGTTTGGTGAAGAACGCATTGTGTTTGAATGTGAAGAAGGGTACGCGCGGCGGTCTAACAGTAAGAAAGTGAGAGACTACAGAGTTGAAGAGTTTGATTCAGTGTTAAGTGGTTCACATTTGAGACCTGGATAATACTAGGCTACTAGACATAGGGACAACCCGGTAAGCAATAACAAGCAAGCACATACGTACCTTCGCCCGGAAGGAAAGGGAGTCGGATGCTCCTGGACCCCTGAGCGGAAGAGTTCGGCTGACGTTAAACGCTATCCTGCCCAGGCATGCAAGATGATACGCCCATGCATACACAGGAGCGGGCATGGCACAACGGGTTTGGCTCTTCCCGCAAATCCTTCCCATTACGGCCATGTTGGCCGGCTTATTCAGATTTCAGTCTCATATTCTCATCGGAATATTTCCGCATGCGTGTCTCAAAATAACCAGCCGAAGGATGGCTTCCGCGGCCGAAATGGTAAAATTACCCGACAAGACGAAATGCCCGTCACGGAGCGGCTCTTTGCCATCATGGCTCGGGCCGGTTCACGAGCAGTTCCGGGCTTTCGGTAAAGGACTGGCCTCATAGTGGCCGCTCCCGATCAAGCCCGCGAGAGCAACACCGGTGCTTATGCAGGCGTTAGTGTTACTGTCAGCCGCCAGGGGGAGGACTCACGGATAGCAGTCTTGGCCATTGCCACTGCTCCTGCTACTGCTAGTGACACATACCATAGACATATGCCCTGCAAAAACATCCACGATGTAAAGCTGTCATGTGCTTGAATTAATGCCACTCTACTTGGAGTCTTGTCCCATTCTCAGTTGCCTGGTCCCCCCTTAAATCACCCCTACCTGTGTGCTAATTCGATCAAGACGTCAACACTTTAAGGCCAACAGAATGGTTCAGGCCAAGAGCGAAATGGCTTCAGTAGCCATCACGGGACTTGCGTGCCGAATGCCCGGTGCTGGCCGCAACCTAGAGAGCTTCTGGGATTCCATCTGCAATGGCGAATGTGAGTAGGATTTCGCAGATCTGTTCGTGACAGCACATACCTATTGACCATGTCTGGCCCTTTCCAGCCGCCTGGTCTCCAATCCCTCCCGACCGGTTCCGCGCCGACGCCTTTGCCGGTAACATGGCAAAAGGGGGTCACTTTCTCCAGGAAGACATCTCACTCTTTGACGCAAAATTCTTCAATGTCTCCCGCGATGAGGCCAGCGCAATGGACCCCCAACAGAGGCTCATGCTGGAAGTCGTGTACGAGGCGCTCGAAGCGGCGGGTCATCCCCTGAGTGAGATTGCTGGCACCAAAACAGGCGTCTTCATGGGTCAGTTTACCGACGACTACCGGGAACTGGTCAACCGCGACCCAGAAACGTCGCTCCCATATTCCATGACGGGCTTGCAACGCACGTCTCTTTCCAACAGGATCTCATGGCTGTTCGACCTTAAAGGGCCGAGTTTCACGGTAGCCACCGCGTGTTCCTCCAGTTTGGTCGCGCTACACCTCGCCTGTGAGAGTCTGCGGAGCGGGGAGACGGATATGGCGATTGTGGGCGGCTGCAACCTGATGATCAGCCCGAGCATGTTCATATTCCAGAGCGGCCAGGGGTTCCTGTCGCCTGACGGAAAGTGCAAGACGTTCGACGCATCGGCGGACGGTTACGGACGAGGCGAAGGATTCGCCGTCGTTGTGCTTAAGCGTGTCGACGACGCCATCCACAACGGAGACCCGATTCGGGCGGTCGTCCGCGGGTCTGGTTCGAACCAAGACGGCCACACCAAGGGGTTCACGCTTCCGAGTGCTGACGCCCAGGCGTCGTTGATACAAGACGTCTATGACCGTGCCGGTCTTGATTACAGCCAGACCAGCTACGTCGAAGCACATGTATGGCTCGTCCCCATTTTAGAATTTGGATGACACCACCTCTAACTCTTGATGTGGATAGGGAACGGGAACCAAAGCTGGTGACTTGGAGGAAACAACAGCCCTGTCCAGGACCATTGCCTCTGGTCGCACCAACGGTAAAAAGCTTGTCGTCGGCTCGGTCAAATCCAATGTAAGTGATAAACTCGACAGTATCAAAAGTATTGCGCATACTGACAGGCCCCCGACAAGATCGGCCATCTTGAGGCTGGCGCTGGCCTTGCCGCTGTGGTGAAGAGCGTCTTGATGCTAGAAAAGGGGGTCATCCCGCCGAACATCAACCTCACAACCCCGAATCCGGCCCTGAAGCTGGACGAGTGGAACCTACAGGTTCCCCGTGCGGTTATGCCGTGGCCTACGAACGGCCCTCGCCGTATTAGTGTCAATTCTTTTGGATACGGCGGCACCAACGCGCATGCCATTTTAGATGACGCCCGGAGCTACCTCGCCGAGAGGGGTGGTAAAACTCTCTCCCAAGTTGGGCACACGAATGGTGTCAACGGTCACGGCATGAATGGTCACGGTATCATCGGCCATGGTATAAACGGCCACGGCACAAATGGTGTCAACGGCGTCAAGGGAACCAACGGCAAAGCAGACACGCCCATCGACTTCGTACCACAGCCCCTCCGCCCCCTCCTCTTCACTATCAGCGCCCAAGACAAAGCGGGCATCGCCCGCGTCATCGACGCTCTCAAGACGTACCTCACCAAGCAACCTAACCCAACCACCGAATCCGACCAAGCCCACCTCCACGCCCTCGCCACCACCCTCAACACGCGCCGCACCCACCACCAATGGAAAACCTACACCCTCGCCACCACCCTCCCCTCCCTCCTCACCACCCTCTCCCCATCCACCCCCTCATCCACACCCACCCCCACCCCTACCCTAATCCCACAACCAACCCTCTCCTCCCGCCCCCCAACTCTCACATTCATCTTCACCGGCCAAGGCGCGCAGTACGCCGCCATGGGCCAGGCCCTCTTCCTCAGCAACACCGCCTTCCGCGCCAGCATCTGCGCTGCCGACGCATACCTGCGCGACACACTGGGGTGTGGCACGTGGTCGGTGGTGGAGGAGCTGGCGCGTCCGAAATCGACGTCCCGGCTGCGCACGGCAAGGTTGGCGCAGCCGTTGTGTACGGTGCTGCAGGTGGGGTTGGTGGATATGTTGTGTGGGAGGAGGGGTGGGGGTGTTGAAGGGGGTGTAGGGGGTGTTGAAGGGGGTGTTGAAGGGGGTGTTGAAGGGGGTGGTGGTGGTGGTGGTGATGGTGTGAAGGGAGGGTGGGGGTTGAAGCCCGCGGCGGTGGTGGGCCATTCGAGTGGGGAGATGGCGGCGGCGTATTGTGCGGGCGCGTTGACGCGAGAAGAGGCCTGGCGCGTGGCGTATTATAGGGGGGTGGCGGCCGCGAGGTTGGGGGAGATGGAGGGGGTGGTGGAGGGGGCGATGATGGCTGTTGGGGCTGGGCCGGCGGAGGTTGGTGGGTGGATTCGGGAGGGCGGGTTCGCTGGGAAGGTGTGGGTGGCGTGTGAGAATGCGCCGGCGAGTGTGACGGTGTCGGGGGATGCGGATGCCGTGGAGAGGTTGGAGGAGGTGTTGAAAAAGAGGGGAGTGTTCGCTAGGCGGCTGAGGGTCGATGTCGCGTACCACTCGCCGCATATGCAGGCCGTCGCGAGGGAGTATCTCGAGGCAATTGCCGATGTGGGCAAGGGGGGTGGTAAAGGGAAAGCCAAGCGCGGGTTCGAGTCCGGGTGCGTCATGTACTCCAGCGTCACGGGTCAGAAAGTCGGCGATCCGAGCGAGCTAGGCCCGGCGTACTGGGTCAGGAACCTCATCTCGCCCGTCAAGTTCTCGACTGCGGTGCAGCGGATGGCGGCCAGGAAGGGTGCTGCCGGTGGCGACGCCCCCGATGTCTTCGTCGAGATTGGTCCGCATCCCGCGCTGCAGGGCCCGACGTCCCAGAACCTGCAAGCCGTGGGCATCACGGATGTTCAGTACTACTCGGCACTCAAGCGCGACAGAGACGGGCAAGAAACTGCCCTGGAGCTGGCAGGGAGCTTGTTCGCGAGGGGATACCCCCTGAACTTCCGTGCGGTCAACCAGACCCCGGAACGGACCCGAACATTGGTCGACCTTCCCGCATACCCGTGGGACCATTCCCGCGGCCACTGGGCCGAGTCTCGAGTGGCGAAGGAGTACAGGCTCCGCGAGCCCCTGCCCGGCAGCCTACTTGGGGCTACCTCCCCGGCCCTCGTCGCCGGCGAGCATGTGTGGAGGGGACATCTCAACCTGGCGAAGGAGCCCTGGATAGCAGACCACAAGATCCACGACACCGTTCTGTTTCCGGCGGCGGGCTTCATCGCCATGGCCGCCGAAGCTGCCCTGTTCACTGCTGATACTGGCCGGGAGATATCCAAATTCCGCCTCCGAGACATCCACATGACCACACCGTTGGTCCTGGGAGAGGCTTCGTCGGTTGAATACTCCGTATGCCTCCGGCCTCACCTCACTGCCAATAAGGCGACGTCGTCCGAGTGGACCGAGTTCTCGATTTCGAGCTCGCCAGACGGCAAGGCTCTCGAGAGGAACTGTATCGGCTTGATCTCGCTAGAGTACCGCTCCGAAAAGCAACAAGGCTCCCAGACGGACAGCACAGAGACGGCCGACGCCCATCAAAAGGCGTGGGAGAGCCGCTTACAGAAGGCTTCCGAACTGTGCAAATCCCCCGTAAAGGTCGACCACTTCTATCAACGCATGGCTTCCGCTGGGCTGCAATACGGTCCGGCGTTCAAGAACCTGACCGCTGCCCGAACAACACCTACGCAGAGCTACGGCTCTGTCAGCGTCCCTGAGATTGGGCTGGGTACTGGGTCCCAAAAGCCGCTAGTCGTTCACCCAGCAACTCTCGACGCCGTCCTTCACCTGGCGTTCACTGCTTTCGGGCATGGCTCCAACCAGGCCATCAAGGCGATGGTGCCAAAGTCTATCGACGAAGTTGTCATATCCACGGATTTCCCCAACGAGCCCAAGGCCCAGATCAGCGGTTACTCGACTGTCTCGAGGCATGGGCACAGTGAGATCCTCGCCGACATGACTATGCAGGAGGACGTGAGAGGGCAACCCGTCCTCAAAATAACTGGCTTGTGCTGCGCTGAGCTGGCGGGTGCTCGTACGGACGAGAGCGCAGCTCAAGCGGCGAGAAGCATCTGCAGCAAGCTGGTTTGGCGGCCAGCTCTGGATTTGTTGACGATGGAGGAGCTGAAGAATTACCTCAAGTCGGCCGTGGCTACTAACGCTGAGACTTCAACTACTACTGCTGCGGTCTTGTCCGAGGTTAGTTACTGCTCTTCCGCCCAACTGAGAGGACCAGGAATGCTTACAATTTGCCAGGTAATTAAACTCATCCATCACAACAAGCCCGAAGCGTCCATTACCGAGCTCGTCAATTCGGGCAGCTCGGAGCCTCTTCTCTCAACTCTTGACGTTTCCGATGCTTTGCAAACCGCAAGCTATACCGTCTACGTTCCCGACGAAGCCACAAAACAGGCCGTGGAAGAACACGCCCAACCGCCGTCCGACGTGGACATCGTGGTATGGGACCCAGCTCAGGCACTCTCCGAAGTGGGCGGATCCGGTACATTCGACCTGGCCATCATCCCTACAGTCCCCAGCCAAACCCAGGATGAGTCTCAAGCTGTGTCCGCCGTCGAAGACGCTGCTAAGCTGCTAGGGAGCAACGGCCGGCTGTGTGTTATCGCGCTTGCTGAGCAGGCCAACGAGATTGAAGCACGCGGTCGGGCAGCTGGCGTTCAAGACTGGCTCAGGTTGGATGGTGTGGACCCGGACAATCGGTTTGTCGCGTTACTTGGCCATCGCAGGCCCGAGACAACCCCAAACGGTGTCGGTGGCCACCCTGAGGTGGTAATTCTCCAGTCCCCGGACCCGTCGGCCGCGGCAGCGGACCTCGCCAGTTCTCTGGTGGCTGAGTTGACATCCACCGGCTATCCTGCTTCTTTGCACACCTGGGGCGCCTGTGATACTGCTGCTATTGAGGGCAAGGCGTGTATCTCGCTTGTGGAAGTTGACCGTCCGGTCCTGCGGCAGCTCACCGAAGACCACTTCACCTTCATCAAGGGCCTGATCCTGGGGGCGCAGAAGGTGCTCTGGGTCGGGGCTTTCCCAGAGACAGACCCCAACAGCGCGATAGTGACGGGTCTAGCGCGCGTCGTGCGCAGTGAGGAGCCGGGAATCGTATTCCACACGCTGCAGCTCAGTCTTCCCAGCAAGGGAGCGGGTGCGGATACATTACCTGGCTTGGTTCTCCGCGCTTTCCAAACCCCTGGCGGAGAGAACGAATTCAGAGTCAACAACGGCACCATCGAAATTAGCAGGGTCGTCGAGGACGGTGAGCTGAATGCGGACCTGCTCGAGAGCCTCGGTGTGGCCAGGGCAGAGACGGCGACGGTGAAGCAAGTCCCGCTGGAGGAGGCCGGCACGCCCCTCAAACTCAGCGTCCGCAACGCGGGGCTTCTAGACACGCTCTGCTTTGAACCCGACACACTCCCAGACACGCCACTAGGCGACGACGAAGTCGAAATCGAAGTCAAGGCCACCTCGCTCAAGTAAGCCCCTTTTCCTAACCCCCCCCCCCCCTTTGAGCCCCTGAATCCCCCCGCCCCCCCGCCCCCTTAACCAACCCCCCCCACTAACCCCCTTCTCCCCCCCCAGCTTCCGCGACGTCATGACCGCCATGGGCCAGCTCCCGACCACCGAACTCGGCTTCGACGCCGCCGGCACTATCCTCCGCACCGGCCGCTCCGCATCCCGCCTCTTCCACCGCGGCGACCGCGTCGCCATGTGCATGCCGGGCGCGCACCGCACCCTCCACCGCGCCCACGCCTCCCTCGTCCACCCCATCCCACCCACCCTCTCCTTCGCCGACGCCGCCACCCTGCCCCTCGCGCACGGCACGGCGTGGTATGCGCTGGTGTACCTGGCGCGCGCGCGCGCAGGGCAGAGCGTGCTGATCCATGGGGCCGCGGGCGGGGTCGGGCAGGCGGCGCTGCAGGTGGCGCGGCAGCTGGGGCTGGAGTGTTATGTGACGGTGGGGTCGGAGGTGAAGAGGAGGTTGGTGAGGGAGGGGTATGGGGTGGGGGAGGAGAGGATCTTTAGTTCGAGGGATAGTGGGGAGTTTGGGAGGGGGGTGATGAGGGCTACGGGGGGGAGGGGTGTGGATGTGGTGTTGAATTCGTTGCCGGGGGAGGCGTTGCGGCAGTCGTGGTATTGTGTGGCGCCGGGGGGGACGTTTGTGGAGATTGGGGTGAGGGATATTATGGATAATGGGAGGCTGGAGATGAAGCCGTTTTTGAGGGAGGCGACGTTTACTTTTTTTGATTTGAGGAAGGTGATGTTGGAGAGGCCGGCGCTGATGGGGGAGATTCTGAAGGGGGTGTTTGGGTTGCTGCGGGAGGGGGCTGTTACGCCGGTCAGTCCCATGGAGGTGTTCCCGGCGGGGGAGGTCGAGGGCGCGTTCCGTCTGATGCAGTCCGGTCAGCATGTGGGCAAGATCGTGTTGTCGTTCGAGGACGGCAAGCAGACGGTGCCGGTGTGGCGGTCGTTGTCGCCTCCCAAGACGGTGGTGCAGCTCGACCCCGACGCGGCGTACCTCCTTGCTGGTGGGCTGGGCGGGCTGGGTCGCAGCCTGTCGGGGATGCTCGTTGATCGCGGAGCTCGCAAGCTATGCTTCCTTTCCCGTTCTTCCAGTGCCGCCGAACGCCCGACAGCCCGCGAGCTAGTCCGGCAATTGGAGGACCGCGGAGTACGGGTGGTCGTACTGCCCTGCGACGTCGCCGACGCAGACGCAGTCCGACAGGCTGTTGAGCAGTGTTCCGCGCAGCTCGGAAGGGTCGCGGGCGTCATCCAGTGCGCCATGGTCCTGCGGGACGGGCTCTTCCGCAACATGACATACACCGACTGGACCGAGTCGACGCGGCCCAAGATCCACGGCACGTGGAACCTGCACGCCGCGCTGCCAGACGTCGACTTCTTCATCAGCCTGGCCTCATTCACCGCCATCTTCGGCAGCAGGGGCGTAGCCAACTACGCGGCCGGCAGCACGTACCAGGACGCCGTGGCGCACTTCCGCCGCGGGCAGGGCAAGCACGCCGCCACGGTCGACGTCAGCATCGTCAAGGACGCGGGCGTCCTGGCCGAGACGGGCATGACGCAGGGGCTGAAGGACCTCGCGGGCCCCTACGGCCTCGACCAGCACGAGGTGGCCGAGCTGGTGTGGCTCGCCATCTCGGGAGACGTGGCGGGCCAGGGCTCGCCCCAGATCGTCACCGGCATCGCGACGGGCGGCAGCGTGGTCGCGGGTGGCTTCGAGGCCCCCTGGTACCTGGACGACCCCAAGTTCGCCATCATGGCCCGGACGGGGCTCAAGGGCCACAGCAAGACTTCGACGGCCAGCAACGTGGACGACGTGCAAGGCCAGCTGTCCCGGGCGAAGACGCTGGAGGAAGCGAGCCGGGTGGTGATGGAAGCGCTAGTCGATCGCGTGGCCAAGATGCTGCAGACGACAGCGGGCGAGATCGACACGGACAGGTATCTGCATTCGTACGGCATCGACTCGCTCGTGGCCATCGAGACGGTGAACTGGGCGCTCAAGGTGTGTGCTGCCCAGGTGACCGTCTTCGATATCATGGCTGCCGTCCCCATCGCGGCCACAGCGAGGAAGATTGCGATCAACTCGTCGGCCACGCCCAAGGAGGTTCTCGAGGCGGCTGACTAGGTGGGGTGATGTAGCACAGGGTGAGGTATTAGTACTAGGTAGGCGTGTTGGTAGAATGTATTCTGATTTCTCGTGCCACGCACCGCTCGGTTTGCTAGAGTGCCAAGGTTAGAGTTTGGGAAGAACTTCGCGTAGCGGCAGTTGTAGGATCTCGACGTAGTCAACAGTTTGTGTCTTTTCAACCTTTTCCGCGGACCACAATCCTGGTCATCCCCATTCTTAACCTCAGGCACCTCAGACGCACACCAACCTCGCTCACTCGCCAACACTTGTGAAACAGGAAGCCATGTCTTCGTTGACTCTCGTATCAGGACCAGCGCCCATCCCATGGTATCATCTAAAAGTGAAATAACTAAAACCCCCAGTGCTACTCTCCGAGAGCGCGAGCTGGCCGCGGCAGAAGCAAGACGAAGATGCCACAGTTTGCCGTGATATGCCGCGCTGCGCCGTGCTGATCTATATACAAAATCCCAAAGTAAAGGAATAAAGAAACGAACGCCGGGGTCTTCTTCATGATCAGTACAAACCTCTGTACCAGCGATATCTTTCCCAAAGTCCCTTCGTTTCGATACCGTGCGTCTCTCAAGATTATGTACCTGTTACTAGTCGTTGCGTTACGCAGCTCGATACCTGGAGTCGAAAGAACAATCGTCGTCCATCCATAAACGTGTTACCGGACGGCACTGACACACAATATAACACCGCCTCTAGTTCAAAGTAGTCGAGCCTTCTGATACCGCCGTGGCGAGTGGGGGGTGGGTTTCGTTGGCCGCCGACGCAGCAATGGCAGCCTGCAGTGTCTCAAACAGCTTGGCGTCTTGTGCGTGGTCGGGCGTCGAGTGGTGGTTAGGCGGGATGGGCGGCGTCGGTAGGGGTTGAGTTTGGGTGGTGGGGGGAGAAACACGAGGCTGCTGCTGTGTCTGCGGCAAGGGGTGTTGTGATAGTGTTGGTTGCGGCGCTGAGGGTGGTCGGGGCATCGCTTGGGGTTGAGCCCTGGCCTGGGTGGGTGGAAGCGGCTGTCCTTGCGAGTGCTGCTGTGATTGAGCTTGCGGCTGGGGCTGATGTTGCGCCTGCTGTTGGTGTTGTGGCACTGGTTGGCGCTGCTGCTGCTGCTGCTGCTGCTGTTGTTGTTGTTGCTGTTGCGTCGGCATCGACGTCCTTTGCAGTTCCTGCTGGCGTGGTTGTTGGGGTTGCTGACCCTGTTGACCCTGCTGGGGCTGTTGATACTGTTGCTGGGCCTGTGGCCTTGACTGCTGCTGCAGGCCCGGCTGCGGTTGTAGAGGAAGTAAAGGAGCCCTGGTTTGCTGCATAGCCGAGCCTGGGGCTGGAGCCGGTTGAATGGGAGGAAATGCCGTGACCTTGTGTAGTGAGTGTTGATCTGGCAGCTCCGTCTTGATCCGGGGCGGGCCTTGCATCGCTGGCATGGCGGCACCATTCCCAGTTGCCATGTGGGTGGTCGAGGTTGAACCAGCGGCCAAACCTACAAACCCAGGGGTGCCAGGGCTAGCCCGTTTCGGCGGGGAGGCGGCGTGGTGGTTGTTCTGCAAACCACCTGCTAGCGTTATGATGCCCTGGACTCTTGCCCTTTCCTCTTCCACATTCATGCGCGCCTTCTCCTCCGCCTCTTTACGAGCTGCTTGGCCCGGTGCCCGCGTCTTGAGCTCTCCTGTTACGCTCTGTAGGTAGTAAGGCATTTCGGAGTTGGTCTTGAGGAAAAAGAGCTTGAGGTTCCTCGCCTTGTCCTTCAGTTGGACCTGCGTCCGGTCCTTCAAGATATCGGATATCGTCCCCTGGGGTCCGAAGAGCGAGAGGATCTGGCTCCAATGAGGTCCCTTAACCATGTCGAGCCCGGCCATGAGAGCTTTCTCCTCTTCAGGAGTCCACGGCCGCCTCGTGGAGTGCAAACCTTCGCGCCGTGTAGTGTTTGACGACTTGGCAACAGCTGCTTGGCGGGCCTTTTCATACAGGGCAGCCGTGGGCATCGATTGGTTGGGCGGCAAACCGTCACCGTTCGCTCCAGTTGGCGGTGCAGGGTTTGAGCCTTGGTTATATTGGTAGGAAGCGTGGTTCTGGTTTATTTGGGCCATGTATTGAGAATGCACAGCTGATACATTGTGTTAGCCTTTTCACGTTACATCTGGCGCGGAAAGGGCTCTCACCATTGTTAGGCGCCTGCGCCTGCGCCGACATATTCGAAAGCCCCTGCGCCGGGATCTCGAGTTCATTCTTCAGCTTCTCCGATATGAAAGAAGCCAAGTTCTTAGAATCAAAGTCTGGGAGCGCAGCCGAGGCATGTGGATCAGCCGGCGTCTCCTTTAACTCGGGGATATGGCTAGAAAGCGATTCTTCAATCAGCTTCCTGAGTGCGAGGCCGTCATCGTCGGCCGAACTGAGTTGGTCTTGGATAGTTCCGTTGGAAAGAAGAGCCTTCCCCGGAGCGGGGTCGCCGTCCGTTTGTTCAAAGTGAGATTGGAGAAGAGCGGCTAAGGTATCGTCCTCTTCTTCCTGGGTGCCGCCCGAATCCTGAGCAGGCGCAGTCTCCTCCTCGTTCAGGGGTATATTCACGCCGTATTTCTCTGCATAGTCCACAATGACACCGAGGTGGCTCTGCAAGAAGGTGCTTAGGATCCCGGTAAACTTGAACGCGGACGACTGGTCCTCGAGGGATCCTACCAAAGTCAGTCAACGGAATCGAGACGTTAGCTCATAGCAGGGACGTACTTTTAATAGATTCGTCCGCCGCACTCTTTACGAGCTGTTCCCTCCTCTCCCGAATCCGGAGGACGAGTCCTTCCTCATCGGCGTTCAGAAGCAGATCCCCGCTGCGCTGTTTCAATGATTCCTCGAAGTTGATGGGGAAAAGCGCATCGAGGAGCTGTGAGACAGGTTGGGACTGCTCGGTCTTGTTGAGCGCGTCCAGCAACATGCGGGTTTTGAGGGAAACGAGCAGGTCGGTCAAGGGTGATTTGTATTCCCCATCCTCGGGAATGAAGATGGCGAAGAAAGCATCGTGCACATCATGGACAGCCACATCGTGAGCACCGAACACGCTCGCGGCGGTGGCGGCCAAATTCGACATGCGTATTGTCTCGCGATCTTCGGAGTCGGTGATATCGAGCTCGTCCGGCGACAGCAAGGGTGAATCAGAGAATGCCTTTCTCGTCGGCCGGAAGATATCCCTCAGCATATCGTAAGCCCTGCGAAATTCGGAGGTAGAGTCGGCCAAGAGGGACTCCGTCTCAGTGCGCGGTTGCTGCGACAACCTGAGCAAGATCTGAACCGCAATGTTTCCCAATACCGGCAGGCTCATGGAGCGCATGACGTAGAAGGGGTTGCTGGACGCTTTCATGATCTTATTCTCCGCCTTTTCAACGTCGGAGATCGTGCTCGCGGGAGCAGCTGGTTGCTCGGTATTGGCATCTTGCATGACGATATCGCCGTCTTCAGGGAGCGCGTGCTGGTCGAAATTGGCAAGCGCATCGTTCAGCATAGCCGCAAAGTCGATATTCGCGTTCGGGGGGGCGGTTGTAAACTCTTGTTTCGGCATTATTTGGTCCGCCATCCTTTGCCGCTTAACACTGCTCTCGTCAACGTTGTCCGGACTCCTAGGGCGTTTCGGGGAGCGCATCCCGGGTGTTTCTTGCGGGGGCGGGGCCGGCGTGGATATCGCAGGTTTCTGGGGCGCTGCATCGGTTCGAGAAGGCGCAGATGTTTGCGAGAGCGACTGGACAGGCTGGACCACTTGAGGGCTCGAGATTTTGGAGGTCGGCCCGGGAGCAGGGTGCGCTTCGAGAGCAGAGGAAAGGAGAGTGTCCAACGGCGTATCCGCAGTCGCAGCAGGAACGGGAGCAGTAGTCGCAGTAGTAACAGTAGTAGTTGGCGCGACATCAGTTGGGGTTGAGATAGAAGGAGCAGGCGCTTCCAAAGGTGTCGGAGGAGGAGCAGGGGAGGCCGGAAGGTTGTGATTAGGAAGGGGTTCGGCGGTCGTTTTCTGCGCAGGCTGTTGCTCATGTGGTTGAGGCTGGCTGGTAGCCCCTTCGGTCGGTGGATGATCGTTGGGCGCGGGCCCTGTCGCTGGTTCTATCGTTGGCTCGGTCGATAACCCTGGTACTCCCAAGGCAGCGAGCAGCTCTGCTTCTAGTTCCGATGTGTCGGCCATGGTGGGCAAGATGGAGGCGTGACGGTCATTGAATTGATCTCGATTGACCGAGGTTCTCGTCGCGGGTGGTTCTCGAGTTGCGGGGCAATTGGGCGACCCGAATCTGAACAAGGCTCGTGCAATCAATTGAGTTTTACGAGGTCCACTGTGCAGCGGTTTTCATCATGGCGATGCTCATATACGTTGACTTGTTACTCTGGCTTAGAGCGGCAGCAGGTCGGTCCCTCGTACAGGACCTTGCGAGGTTGTCGGAGAAATTTTTGGGACCTCCGAAGCCCTCTTTCCCAGCCCCAAACGCTTATCTCTTATCAGCCTTGTGCGATACACATCCCATACATTCGGCGAACAACACCAAAAAACTACACTCGGAGCGCAACTAGGTAGGTAGTGACAGAGTCATGCGATCTGATTGATTTGATGAACTGAGAAATTCCACATGCTTAACTTTACAGCACTCTCCAGGGAAGGAATCGCAGATCCGGCAATTCTTCCGATGCCTCCGCGGCCCCAACCCTTGAACGGAGGAAGCCGTCAAAGCGTTGTAATATGTGAGAGTACCTCTCATCCAGATGCGCAGCTCAGAGAGAAGGAAAATTGGACTCGAGGTAAAAGCTGAGACTCGAACACGGGTTGCTGCAGAAAAGGGAGGTCTGGGTTATACTTGGAGCGCCGTTGTCGGCCGGTCCCGATACGGACGTTTGCTGGGACAGCGCGGCTGAAACCATTCTCTTCCTTATGGTCACGCCCCGGTTCCTGTATTTTCACGCCCGAATCGTCTCGCTTCAAATTACCCCGAATTCCCGCTGTCCTTGTGAACTCGTGCTACGAATTTTGATCACTAATAACTAATACCAGGCTTTGGACGCGCTTGTCTCTGCGCGGTTGAGCGGGTGCCTTGCCGAGTTCTGTGGATGCACTGTGTTTTAATTCCGCTCGTTCGAAACTTCGTTCCACATTGGGCAAACGAAGTGCCCTCCTTCGTACCGAACATCCAGTTGATTTCACATCCATCAACAGGCGTTCTCGTGCGGGGTCTTCGGGCATGCAGAACATGACGCAACCCCGCATCACACGCATCATCGGAAGACATCCGAATCGAGACTCTTCGACGATGAGGCAGCATTCATTGATCGGAGATCATCACGCGCCAGCAAGCCAGGCGCCAGGCAAACGGAAAGCGGTGGGCGAGCTGCGAGCACGGCCGGGTCCAGAACAGTGACAGTTCATCAGTCTACAAGTATCAAGGCCAGGGTCGCTTCCACACGGCTTAGTATAGCCTTTGATGCATGGTGGGGTCGAAGAGGTGCCGGCGGTATTGCGGGGAAGCAGGGGAGGAATGATCGGGATTCGCGAATGGGGAGCACTGAAAATGGTCATGGGTATGGAGGCGTTGTCCTTCATCCAGGATCCCCTCGACTACAAATTTCGGAGATATGGAGCCGTTGGAGCAGACCGACCCACGGCGACATCATAATCGAGAAACGGTAAGCGAGAGGCAGGTAACCCTTCCCACCGAGTCACCCTCAAGCATAGGTACTGTGTAACAACCCCAGCCATCGAGAGGGGATCACTGCGGAAAAACTCGCTGCTTCTGCCCGTGTATGTACACAGTAGGCAATGAGAAACATGCAGATGCGCTGCGGGAAGGACGGAAGACCCTCGGCCAGTTCCGTGACACCCCATTGACCCGTTTGACGCACCAACCCCGCTCCTCCCCTACTTTTGACCATCGTGGTGTTCCACTCGGCCGTTGGAAGAGGGGAAATCAGAGGAGCATTTGTGGATTGCCGTCGGCGTTTAGCTTGAAGCCCCTGGATTTCAGGTTTCCTTGCCACACGCTCTTTGTTTCCGTAGGAGGTTGGGATTTCCCACTTGTATATAAAGTTCCCGCGGGGGTCTCCCGTCGTCCCATCTCGAACTCCCCCTCCATTCTTCCAACTTTACTCTAGCTTGAGCCTCGGATAGCTTCAGTAAAAACAAACGTCATTCGCCACCATGTCTAACGTATTCGCCGATCTCAAGACGCCGACTACCGGCGCCTATAAACAGCCCACCGGACTGTAGGTACCTACATGCCTCGCATTGGCCCAAACTGGGACAAGGTGACAACCTGAAACTGACTGGGGTTCAGCTTCATCAACAACGAGTTCATCGAGGGTGTAGAAAAGAAGACGTTCGAGGTCATCAACCCGTCTACCGAAGAGGTCATCTGCTCCGTGCACGAGGCCACCGAGAAGGATGTCGATGTCGCCGTTGCCGCCGCGCGGAAGGCCTTTGACGGCGAATGGCGCCGGGTCACGCCCCAGCAGCGCGGCATCTACCTGTTGAAGCTGGCCGATCTCTGCGAGAAGAACATCGACCTCCTGGCTTCAGTGGAGTCGCTCGATAATGGCAAATCCATCACCATGGCTCGTGGCGACGTCGGCGCTGTGGTCGGCACCATCCGGTACTATGGCGGCTGGGCCGACAAGATCGAGGGCAAGACAATTGATATCAACCCGGACATGTTCCACTACACGAGGCGGGAGCCGGTACGTTCTCGGCTGGTACCTATGTGGTGGGGGTAGCAGTACGTCGTGGGCTAACCAAATGGTGTAGATTGGTGTTTGCGGTCAGATTATCCCCTGGAACTTCCCGCTGCTCATGCTGGCGTGGAAGATCGGCCCTGCGCTGGCCACCGGCAACACAGTCGTCCTGAAGACGGCTGAGCAGACACCCCTTTCCGGCCTGGTTTTCGCCCAGCTGGTAAAGGAGGCTGGTTTCCCCCCTGGCGTCCTCAACATCATCTCAGGTTTCGGCAAGACCGCCGGTGCCGCCCTCTCGGCGCACATGGACGTCGACAAGATCGCCTTCACCGGTTCGACCCTGATCGGGCGCACCATCATGAAGGCCGCGGCCTCGTCGAACTTGAAGAAGGTTACTCTCGAGCTCGGCGGCAAGTCGCCCAACATTGTCTTCAACGACGCCGACATCGAGGAGGCCATCAGCTGGGTCAACTTTGGCATCTACTTCAACCACGGCCAATGCTGCTGCGCGGGGTCCCGTATCTACGTGCAGGAGGGCATCTACGACAAGTTCATCGCGGCCTTCAAGGCGCGCGCCCTGCAGAACAAGGTCGGCGACCCGTTCCACCCGGAGACCTTCCAGGGCCCGCAGGTCAGTCAGCTGCAATACGACCGCATCATGGGCTATATCCAGTCCGGCAAGGAGCAGGGTGCCACCGTCGTTACGGGCGGCGAGCGCCACGGCGACAAGGGCTACTTCATCCAGCCGACCATCTTTTCCGATGTCTCGCAAGACATGAAGATCATGCAAGAGGAGATCTTCGGCCCCGTGTGCGCCATCGCCAAGTTCTCGACCGAGGAAGATGCCATCCGGCTCGGAAACGACACCTCGTACGGCCTGGCCGCGTCTGTCCACACCAAGGACCTCAACACGGCCATCCGCGTGAGCAACGGGCTCAAGGCTGGTACCGTCTGGGTCAACTGTAAGTTCCCGCTCAATACACGCACATGTCCCCAGCAACCACCACATTGTTTTATTCACCTGCTAACCAAACCGTCACCACGCCAGGCCACAACATGCTCAACCACGCGCTGCCGTTCGGCGGCTTCAAGTCGTCCGGCATCGGCCGCGAGCTCGGCGAGTTGGCGCTGCACAACTACACCGAGTCCAAGAGTGTGGCCATCAACATGGCCGGCAAGATGTTTTAAGCGGGGAGCTGTCGTGGACAAGAATGTGACGAATAATGACTGTATGTTTGTTAAAATAGCTTTAGCAATTAGTTAGGATGCCAAGAGTTGAGATTGCGGGTTTGTGCCGAGCGTTTGGATGGCATGTCTATAGGCCGAGACGGATCTCTCAATCGTGGGTTGTGGGTTGATTCAACATTCTCTTTACCAAAACCCCCGGTGAGAACAACTGAATACCAAGATCGCTTTATGATGTAGTTACTGTCTTGGGATAAATTGGTGCACTAAAATTTCTCGATAAAAACAAAGGCCCTACCTCCGCTCTGCTCTGGATAATTTGGATTGTCCGATTAAAACGAAGTCGAAACTCCATCCCGAACCTTGGAGGGGAGACGGCGTCGGGGTGGTTTTACTCCGAGTTTCCGACCCCGGGATGGTCGGCACGGAAGAACCTTGGTCCCATACGAAATACGAATACTCGATGAAACGGCGGGAGCCCAGGCCTCCGGACACCTGTTGAATATCCGGGGTTCGGGGTGACCTCGAGAACCGAGAACCCGTTCTTTGTCGTCTGTCATCTGTCAATTAACTCTCTGGGCCTGAGGCAAATGGCTGAGGAAGGGCCTGAATGATTTCGATCACATTCTCTGATGAGGGAACGATCGTCGTAGGACAGAGGGACGGGGGCAGGTCATGGGGAGGGATGGTCGCGTGCCATCCCGCTGGGATTTGCGTCATTGTACTTTCAGATTTCAGCGGGCTCAAACAAACACATCGATCTCAGCAACAACTCATTGCGCTTTCAGTCCCTCATTCTTAAGGCTTTCTCCTTGGCGACTTGAAACATCGTATTGTAAGCGGAAGATTGTTTTTCTTTTTCGCAGGCAGCCACAAACTGGCACCCTCAGACATTTTGTGTCACATGCGACTTACAAGGGCTTGAGCTGAGACCAGACGGAAAAGTGTTGTTGGCCGCCCGCCGCAGCCGAAATTTCTGCCACAGCCCATCCCACCACAGCCCGGCCGATCCGCGCGCGAAGCCCAATCCCTCCCCCCGCCCTCACTCGCCATAAGATAAGCCCCGTCTGCCTACGGCGTAGCCGAGACCTCCGCTGTTCCCAAGTACCCGGGCTTCGAGCATTTCGATCCAGCCATGCGGTGGAGTCTCCAAACTCCCCCGCAGCCTCTTCAACACACTGGATCCTACCACCCAAAAGATCTCAAACTTCTTCCATTACCACCAGTGCGTGTTTAGCGCTCTGAGCTGCCCCTCGCCGGGGACGCGCCTCTCAAGACGTGATAAACACAACACCGACTCGGCCGCTCTCTTACCACTCCGCTTCTACGACATCCGCCGCATCCTCACGGGCACCATCTCGCTGCCCGCACTACCGCCGTTCACCTGCAACTTCAACATGTCTACACGAAGGACGAGAAACGTCCCGGCCACGCCACGAGTCATTTCTCCGAGCCCGACACGATCCGAACTAGATGCGAGCGGCGAGGGATCATCGTTGTACAATGGTCCGACAACCCGGTCGGCAGCACGGAGGCGGTTAGCATCGGCACCTCAACCTGCGCCAGAGGAGCTGGACGAGGATGACAGCCCCGACCTGCAAAGAGCCCGGAGCCGGAGTCGCAGCCCTATCGACTCGCGAACACTGCGCAGGCTCACGACAAGGAAACCCTCCGTCGCCAGCAACGGCGTCCAGCCCACCGCCGCGTTGACGAACGGCCACGCCAAACCCGCCGGCGCAAACGGCCACCTCTCCCCTCCGACTTCTACGACCACCTACTACGGCTGGAGCTGGCGCGACTTCAGCCGCAGCCCGAGCCCGCTGGGGCTAATCCCCATCCACCGGCGGTGGCGGGCGTTCGTGCACAAGCACGAGGTGCCGCGCAAGGCGCTGCACGTGTCGATCGGCTTCTTCGTAGTGTGGCTATACCTCTCGGGCACGCAGACACGGGCCGTGTGCCCCTACCTGATGGGGGCGCTGGTGCCGATCGCGGCGGTGGACGTGCTGCGGCACCACTACGCGCCCTTCAACCGGGTGTACGTGCGGGTGCTGGGCGCGCTGATGCGCGAGAGCGAGTTCGCGGGCTACAACGGCGTCATCTTCTACCTGCTGGGCGCGTGGGCCGCGCTCTACTGCTTCCCCAAGGACGTCGCCGTCATGGGCACCCTGCTGCTGAGCTGGTGCGACACCGCCGCCAGCACCTTCGGCCGCCTCTACGGCCGCTACACCCCGCGCATCCGCCGCGGCAAGTCGCTGGCGGGCTCCCTCGCCGCCTTCGTCGTCGGCGTCGGCACCTCGGTCTTCTTCTGGGGCTGGCTCGCCCCGTCCAAGGGGCCCTTCCCCGGCGACGAGCTGTTCATGTTCACCGGCGCCCTGAGCCTGCCCCGCGCGCTGGCCGACGCTGTTGGGCTGGAGCCGGCTGCTGCGACCATCACGGGCGGGCTGGCGTTGGGCGTCATGAGCGTGTGGTCGGGCCTGGTGGCGGCGACGAGCGAGGCGATGGATGTCTTTGGCTGGGACGATAACCTGACGATACCCGTTCTTAGCGGTCTGGGCATTTGGGGGTTCTTGAAGGTTTTTGGTTGAGAGTAATGCATGCTAGGGGCGAGGGGAGTTGGCGGTGGTGGTGGTTGTCATAGGACTAACGTGGGTGGATGGCTGGCGTGGGTGGATGTGTGTATATCTATCTATCGGGTGCATGGGCGGCGTTTTGGATCCCGGAACGTGAAGAATGGGTTTGGGACACATTGTAGCAGTGCAGTCTATACGGATCTTAGAGGCCATAACGAACCACTTTTCTCTCCCGTCCGTCGCCTTCCATCGCTATTATCGCCTCCACGTCTACCATGCCTACGGTAACGACGGGACCTGACTTACCCCGCGTCGAAAGAGCGGCATGCGGGGCACGAGTACCTTCATTACCTCAGGAAGTGGCCCTTTCTCAACTTGTCGTCCGGTTGTGGTGCTCTGATATATGGCCCATATTGAAGGAGCCCGATGACAAGGGCCCGAAATAATTGCCCGAACGTCCGTTGGCTCTGCAGCTGCCACGCAAGTGCGAATGTCTTGCATCTCTCTGCGTCCGGGCTTGGGACGCGGGGATCGTCAGGAAAGGGAAGGGAACCTGGAAGCCATTCGACAGGGGTCTTGAGACCGAAAAGTAAAGAGTGGGGCCCAACTTCCGCAACACGGCGGCGCCCATCTTCGCTCCTTCCCGTCGTTTGTGTTGCGGTGCTCAACAGCGGGAAAATTTGCTGCGAAGGAAACGTGCCTCTTTCCCATTCCGACGCGACACTTCTAGGTTCTCTCGTCCTACGAACCGTTCCTTTCACCGCATCCAGCATGTCTTGATTCGCAGAGCAACGTGCCACCAAAACACCAGCCGCATCCTCCCCGCGAACATCTGCCCCTTGCACACAAACGGGTCGCCGACCACGAAATGCCCGAAATGTCCGACATCGCCCGCGATTGCGTTTGATGGCTTGTGGGAGTGTCTCGGCTGTCTTTTCTGGATTGCACCACCAGCAGTTCAAAGCATCGCGCCTCTTAACGACACCTATGTCATTACCTTGCGTAGGCGAGGCAGTGAGATATTCCCGTTCTGCCTCGCCTCACCTACCCTAACGGTCCACCGGGCATCGAATATGTATGTATGTTCATGTACGTCTTCCGCCTGGGCCTCTCAGAGGGCACCTTCGAGACCCGGCTGTGGCGTCTCTGTCCTATGAAATCGTGCCCAGTCATCAATCGGCAGCACAAGTCTGGTTTAACTGCATCTCCCGTTTCCACTCGAGCCCTTATGTTACATTTCACGGTAACCCACACGCCCGTCGCCTCTCTCCATTTCTTCTCGAAGCCCGTGATCCCAGCGATCGTGGCTGATGGTGGATGCGGCAACTGCAACGTCCCCCAGCCCGCAGGTGGGCTTGATGCGTTGTCCCGTTCCTCACCCGGTCTTGCATCTCACCCGTTTGCGAATCCGCACACCCTTGCGCTCCGTTTGGACGGCGAGTTGTTAACCACTTCAGTTCCGCCCGCAGCCCGGTCCTGAGGAAATACCTTCACGCCGGAGGGTTGTCGTGGGGTCCCTCCATCGACTTCTCTGACGCAATGTCCACTCCTGCAGGTTGGGGGTCCTTAGCGCGAGAACGAGGGGACCCAAAGCCGGCCGCTCCCTGTCAGCCATGCAGAGGTCTCGACGAGCCAACGTGAAGCTTCCATCCCGGCGGGCCCCAGTACTCCGGCTCTATTGCTCAATGGCCCAATGACGGCCGTCCGATCCATCGAGGATCTTGTTGGACCGGCGAAAACACCCAGCTCCTTTACTTCGCATGGCCCGCAAGTCATGCCCTTCCCCGCCTATCGGCTCGCCGTTGCCACACGGCCATCCCAGTCCGTGGGAGTCAGCCTATCGAGGCAGCCTGACATGCAGAATGTGTTTCCACGGCTGCCGTTGAATGGGATGCCTGTCCGAAGTCATCTATCCCGCTAAGCAGGCATGCTCTCCACGCAAGTCGACGATGGGACAAGGGAGGGAGGCTAGCATCAACGGCTCCATGCCAACGGGCCGGCTTCATTCCCAAGCCGGATCACCGGGACGGTTGTGTACGGTTCACTCAGCCGGATTGTCTTAAACTCTGCACCCGGCTTGGGTGGATCTCCACGTTTTCCGCCGCCCCTTTGACGTACATAACTTGACACTGCTACGCAGCTACCTAACACAGCTCGCATTACCGAGACCATCAAGGAGCCTCTGTCCTCCGTTCAGCAGCTGGCCAGGGGCAGACGGGTGTAACGCTCGGAACATCCACGGCGTGTTTAGCAGCTGCCGTCGCTTTAAACCCCGGAACCTCTCTGCACTCTATCTCGGCAGGGCGGAACAAGAGCACAGAGTCTCAAGCATGCATATCCCGGGTGGGCCGCAGGCAGCCGGCGCCGAGGCATACCCTGCAAGACGTGTAACGAGCTCCCAAGTCACTCTACATCTGGGCCGGTGGGCTTATCAAAACGCACCTCGCTCATGGGTCCGGGCCGTGGATATTCTTTGCCAATGCCAGGCTGTTGCGGCCGGTGAGCAGCCAGTACTGCCACCACTTGCTCAATTTACCGATTTTCGCCGAGTGGGTGCTCAAAGGCCTTTAGATCCCTCATTTCCGGCCAATCGAATATTTCCTTTTGCGTATTAGGGCACAGCAGCCATCGTCCTTTTCTCGCAGTCAAGGGGTTCGGTCGGCTGCAGTCCAGGAAAAACGCACAGGCCAGGGTACTGAGTGCTTGACAGCGCTGCCCTTGTCTGTGTAAGACCCCTCCAAAATAATTCCACCTGCAGCATTTGGACAACACATTGCCCGACCTAACGCATCTCTGCCTAACCCGACTTTACAACCATCTGTTTGACGTCGCCATTTCACCTTGCCGAGCCAACGAGGTGGCCGCTCTGGGAATCCGGATCCCACGCCGCTTTTTACAATTCCGCTTAGCGTCATCACGGTTCGCCAACTCTGTTCGTTGTGCCCCGTCTGCTGCACCCTCGTTGGATGGTCGATCCCATCAATTGTCCGTCGTCTTGGTGCTCCTTCGCCGATTCGTTCGTTCGTCGTCTCCGTCCTCCAACTCGCCATTCCTGCCATGCTGCCTACCGTTTCTCCTTGCCTCTGCTCCCGGGCACTCCATCGACGCACACCTCATGACCTCCAGAACTTTTCCATGAGCCGAACGGTCGTCCCCAAACCTCCACCCGCGGGTTCAGCCTGTCATATGCCGTCCCCGTCCCCCATCTCGCCGTTCGGCCTGGCCTCCGGCAAGGCCAACCCCTGTTCGTGGTCCGATATCTTCGCCTTCCATCCCTCGCTCGGTTAGCAGTTGTTACGTTCACGCCTCCCTGGTCCCTCCCTTTCGGATCTTGGCCGTTGAGCCTCCTGTTCTCAGTCCCACCTCGCTCTCTCTCGCCCCATGGCATCTCCGTCTTTTCCAAGGCCCCGGCGCCTAGAACTGAGGAACACACACCGGAGTTGCTCGTCAGAGATGAGGTCCTCTGTCCCGTTCCCCCCTTGAGGCCGGCTCCACCAATACAAACGGTGATAGTCGCCCCCCGGCATATGCATCCTGCTTTGCTCTCTCCTTTCTCTGATCAATCGAAACTTGTCCCCAAGCCAATCCGGCGCTACCGGCTCGGCCAACTGCTCACGATCACCCCATCGACCATGTCATCCCTCCTTCTGGTTGGTTTGCCCCCCGTGAAGGGCACACGGACGAGAGGTGTGGCCCGATGAAGACCGGCCCGTCGTCGTCACCTTCACCTTTCTGGCATCGTGCCTCTCCCTGGTTTCAAGCGGGGCCAGGGAGGTCCTTGACGAATCGAGTCACCGGCCCTTATCCTCTTCAGACTCGCGATGGCAGCATGCCGTGGCCGGGGGGGTCTTCAGAAAGGTATAAAATGGGTCGTCGTTGACGGGTTCGAGCTGAATTCTTCTTTCTCCTTTCTCTTCACTTTCTCTCCTCAAGAAGCACGCACAAGAGCACAAGACACAACTCCGCGCCTTTGAACATAGTTGGACTGTCCCAAGTGACACCATCTTCACAAACAAACACTTCCACTTCAGCCCACACCGGCCACAAGCCTCGTCACACCCCTCAACCTACTTGAACATTATCCGTTTGCCCACTCGTCACCATGACTTCCTCATACGCCCCCCAATACTATGGCAGCGGTGCCCTGCCCATTCCCCCCAGCAAGCCCCAGTACCAGAGCCCCGCCAGCGGCTACTACCCCAGCGGGGAGAGCACCTACTCGGTGTCGCCGCCTGAGGACCTGGACCCTTCCGTCGTCAGCTCGGAATCGGGCTACGGCAACAGCTACTCGGTGACCACCAGCTACGCCGGCAGCAGCCAGGGCGAGTACGAGAGCAGCGCGGGCTCCGCCGCCGGCGTTGACCTCAACGAGTACATGCAGGAGCGCTTTGCCGCCACCTTTGACCCGCTCGCTCTTGACAAGTGCACCGCCAAGCAGGCACAGACGTGAGTTTCCCCTATCTTTTTATTCCGTACTCGCTCGCTCTCCTTGAGCGCGCAGCTAGAGTCAGCGGGCAATCGAGCAGCGGGCGAGCGAGCAGAACAGCTTACGAGCACTTCCGTGTTTGTTACATTCTGCTCGCAGCGAGCTGCCGCGAACCTGCAAACGGAAGCGCCCAGAAACGAAACCCGATGCTAACTGGCAACCAGATCTGGCCACCTGAACGCCAAACACCGCGAGCTGCTCGAGCTGCAGGCAAAGGCGCAGGCGCGCCTGGCCAAATCGCGGGCGCGGTTCGCGCAGGGGCTCGAGGACGCGCGCGAGGTGCGCGAGGATCTCGAGTGGACGCAGAAGAAGGTCGCGTAAGTGAAAGATATCCGCTCGTTGATGGCCGATTCAGCGAATCAGGAGCTGACAAACGGGATTGTAACCAGATCCCTCAAGACCAAGGCGTCAAAAAAGCACACCAAGGAGTACGCAAAGGCGCGGGCGCGGTACCCGTCGCCGGATCTGTACTAATCTCTTCAGCCTTGTTGCTGTAGTCTGGTTTCATTTCCCGGCGTTGCGGTTGATTTAGCGTTTCTTTTTTGAGCCTCATTCCAAAAACGGCAGAAACAGGGTCGCGCCCATCTGTTTGTTCCTGATCGAACGAGCAGATGAGGGTGCGTCTGACCGCAAGATCGGGGGAGTGGGGAGAGGGGGCGTGTGAGAAAGAGCCTTGCGCGAGAAGCGACGTTGGCTCCGAAACGCGAGGCTGCACAAAGCAAAGCTCAGCCGCGCGCAACGCACTTACACAATTTCCTGCCTTTTGCCGTTTCCCAGAAAACGGCGGGGGCGTGGAAATATGGGTGGTGTGTTGTGGTGGTTGCGGCATCTGCTGCAGGGCTGCAGCGCCGTTTCTCAAGATCTCACACCCCCCTCCCCCCCCTTGTCCACCCCTTTTCCTGGACGTCGCGGGCCTCGCAACGGCGCGGCCCGCGCTCTCCACACCTCCCTCGTGCGCAATCTGCACATCTGAGCGGCAGGCTGTTTCCCACACATGATGTTACGACGGTATGATTGGGCGGGGCGGACGGCAGGGGGGGGGTTGAACAGGTTCGGTTTCCGGGATACTGGGTTTTTCCTTTTTACTGGGCGGCGGGGGAGGAGGAGGTTGGGGCCAAAAAGTACCGGTACCTCCTGCTGCTGCAGACGGACGGACGGACAGCTGGCCACGCGTTCCCCACGCACCCCCCTTCTTGACGCACACCCCCCCGGGCGGGACGGGGCGGGAACGGTTCAGGGCTGCAGGTGTGGCTGGCAGGTTCTTCGCTAGCGTACCCAGCTGTGTGGGAAGGAGGAGGGGCGGGAGGGCGGATGTGTGGACTCCCTCTGGCGCGTGGGCTGCTCCCCCCCGCCCCGGCCTGTGCCCTGCCTTGCTTGGGAGCACAGAACCAAGCTTGGAGCGCGGGCGGTCGGTCGGCTGCCGGCGAGCCGGGGCACGTGAGGGCGAGGGTGGGTTGGCTGGCTGGCTGTCGCGGCTGGAGAGGAGATGGGGGGGTGGGCTTTTCCTTTTCGGGTTTCCGGGGGGGATGACTAGTTATGCTCTGACATGAGCAGGCTGGGCGGCTGTATGACATGGGGTTGGTGGATCATTCTCTACGGGGCTGGTCAGGTGGATTTCACGTGTTCATTCATGCTTAGCATCTTGTATTGGTGTTCATGTTTACTACGTAGGGGGCGAAAACGCGGTAGATCCTGGTGTTGCTTGCTCCTCCTGCGTGACAGTGCCCGTGATCTGATTCCAGCCGGCCACGTACAGTGTCTTCCCGGCCCTCTCGGCGCCGTAGCGGTGGCTTCAGCCATGTCCCGACACTGTGCTTACGCCCTCCATCCCAGTCTGTGGCTGTCCAGGCCGTCAGGTGACGTGGTTGAGCCCAACAGGGCCACCTGAAGGCTGCGAGGGTCGTCATGTGTAGTAACCCCTGAGCCGTCACGTGACGCCTTCTTTTCTCTTCGGGCCCTTTCTCTTTTTAATATGACAATAATATACCCATACAAGATTTTCTGTCATCAAGATAACCTCCCTAGGTACCTATTCAACCAACGGTAGCCTAAGCAGCAACGCCCTAGACATCCTCAAAATCCACCAGAGCCTCCAGCTCCTCCACCTCGAAACCCTCACTCTCAACTACCTCCAACTCCCCCCCTTCCACACCCTCACTCTCCACCACCTCCACCAACTCTGCCCCTTTCACACCCTCTACTTCCACACCCTCCACTTCCACACCCTCCACCACTTCCTCAGCACCCACCACTTCCTCGCCACCACCCTTAACCTCCCCCTCCGCACTCCCCCGCTCCCAAAACCGCGTCAACCACGTCCCCACCGGCTCCAAGCCCTTATGCTTCTCCATGCCCTCCCACGGGTTCTCATTACTGCCCGTCTCGTAGTAGTCGACATACCACAGCGGGTTGTGCTGGGCAGCAGCGCCGCCCCCTTTGCCGCCGCCCCTGTTGCCGCCTCGTCCTCCTTTTCCGCCGCCCCTTCCTCCTCCGCCGCCGCCGCCGCCGTTGTTGTTACGCGGGTTGTGGAGGCTGCGCGGGTTGTGCGGGTTGGGGCTGCGCGGGTGGGGGCTGCTGCCCCGGCGCGGGCTGGCGCTGCCTCCTCTGCTGCTACCCCTGCGGGCGGTGGTGGTGGATGGGCGCCTGGTGGTGGTGTCGAGGGTGAAGTCGTCGTTGTAGTTGGCGTTGTTGTTGTTGTAGTTGGGGGTGGAGGTGTTGGGGGTGGCGTTGCCGTCCGAGTCGGAGTAGGTGATTTCGTCCCGGGGTGGGGCGGCCGAGTTGGATTTGGACCCGGCCTGGGCGCGGTATGCGGTGAACGGGGGCTCGGTGGCGGCGATGATGGCGTCGTCGAGGCGCGGGTTGAAACGGCGTTTCTTAGACGCGCGTGTGGAGTCCTCTTCGTCGTCGTCGTCGGGGCGGGGCCTGGTGACGCCGCCGAATCTGGTGAAGCCTAGGGTTTCGGCCATGGCGGCGTCTTCGGCGACCTCGAACTCATTGTTGGACGAGGAGCGGTTGGACGGGTTGGACCGGGGGTCGAAGTCGTCCTCGAAGAGGTCAATTTCATCTGGATTTTGGCGAGCCATGTTGGATTATGTGTAGAACAATGCGGGTGGGTGAAAGTGGATGAGATGGTGCTGTGTGTTGTGAATGAGGGGGAAGCTGTTGATATAAGCGGCAGGAATGAATGAAGGACCAAGTGAGCGAGCGAACGAATGAATGAACTTGGTTTGGGAAAGGGCGTCCCTTTGTTTGTCGGAGCTGTCCGCTTGCGGCAAAGGCTGCTAAGGTAACTTCCGTCTCTGTGGCGAGTGGGGGGACAAAAAGACCAATTGCTTTTAGGAATGCCCCAGCATCCGTTAGACTTGCAAACAAAAACTCTACTTCGTAAAGGGACAGGCAAATGCAATGAGCTGCACTTTGGTTTGGTGCCGTTCTCAGCCTTGTGGGACTCGCCAAATTGGCAGTCGCGCTGGTCAGAGCCGCAACTCGATGAGCAGGGGCTTGGAGCACAGTATGCGACAAAAAGTCGATTCAAGGCCGTCTTGAAGACACGGTAAGTGGTTGTTGTAATGGCTGTCACTGATAGAAAAGGAGTTGATTATCGCTACAAAATACTAGCTTAATTAGGTACTCATGTAACATTAAGTTCGGTCCAATCAATCAGGCGGGTAGGATTCAAGGGAATCGGTTTAAATGGGAACTGGTGAAGAATGGAAAGAACCCTCTTCCGTGCACTGTGTTGAACTTGTCTCGCCCGCGCACGGGCTTAATCAACCTCCCGATCTTCAACCCCCTGTTCCCTTGTTCCCATCACTAGCCCTTGTAATCTCCCAACCTCACCTCACTCACCTCACATACCTCAATCCCTTCCTCCCATCTAGTTAGGTATCTCATCACACACAACAGCCCAACCAAACCATCAACCCCTCAACAACCACCCACAATGACGAACCCCCAACCCTCACCCATAACAATCCGCCTCCCCTCCAAATACACCACCCCCACCGACCCCCCAAAAACAACCCCAACAACAACACCCTTCCCCCCACCACCCCTCCCCTTCCTCCAACGCACCTGGACAGTAACCCACTCCACCCTCAAGATGTGGCGCACCGCCCAAAACGTCCGCATCACCTACGGCGCCCTCCCAGCACCACCACCACCCACCAAGAATAGCAACACCCAACGCGCGCGCGTCTCAGACACGGTCGAGTACGAGGCGCTCTCGGGCCGCGGCGGCGTCAAGCGCATCGCCGGCGTCGACACGGCTTCCGTCGCGGGCGACACGGCCGTGTGGGACTGGCGCGGGAGTGGTTGGCTGTTTTTTGTGAGTAGTCATTGGGAGGTGTTGGGGTGGGGGGAGCGGGTGGTACCCAGGGAAACGGGTGTTGAAGGGGAGGAGGGGGAGGGGGAGGTGGAGACGGAGACGGAGAGGTGGGTTGTGACGTGGTTCGCGCCGACGGTGTTTACGGCCGAGGGTGTGGATGTGTACAGCGACCGGCGCGGCGGTGCCAGTCAGGGGTTGGTGGCCGAGGTGTTGGCTGAGTTGGGGAGGGTGTGTGAAGGGAAGGGGAAGCTGGGGGAGATTGTGGGGCGGGAGATGAAGGAGGTGGCTATTAAGTTGCCTTGGAAGGAGACGTAAGGGGTGATGGGGTGGTGCTAATCGTGTTGTATTATTGTGTTGGTTTGGTTCAACGGTGCTCGCTTCTGTGGCTGTCTTTATCTCTGTCGTTATCTGGTTTATGCGACCGGCGGCGTTTGTCATCATCATCCCTATGACGGGTATCCTTATGCCGAACCTCACGCCGTCTATCCGACTCTCTACTGCGATCTTGGGTCCTATCCTCATGGCGTCGACGAGAATGGTTACGTCTGTGCGGCGAACCCTTCTCATCCCGACCATGCCTCTCCTGTTCCTCCCCTCGATGGTTACCCCTTTCCCTAGACTCATCATCGCGATGACGGGACCGCCGCTCCCCTCTCCCAGAGCCGCCATCCCCACCCAAACTCGCATGCCTCTCCCTTCTACTCCCATGCCAGTCCCCCTCCCTCCTCCTCTTCCTCTCCCGCCTCCTCTCCTCCCTCCTCTCCTCCTTCTCCAACGCCCTCAAATCCCTTTCCCTCTCCCCCACCTCCTTCCGCCTCTCCCTCTCCAACTCCCTCACCATCTTCGCCCCGCGCCGCATCACCGCCAGCGGGTCACTCGCATCCAACCTCGCCGCCGCGCGCGCCCCGCGCCCGGGGTCCTCCCGCCCAAACACGTTCTTGCTCGGCACCAACGGCGCGCCAGATGTCGCCCCTGCGCCATCCTCGCCCTCGCCCTCGCCCGCCGCCGAGGCATACCACGGCCCGCCGTCCGTCAGCCCTTGCCCGTCGCGCCCCGCCGCGTTCACCAGCCGCATCTGGTACTGGTCCTTGAGCTCGCGCTCTCGCCGCGCCGCTTCCCGCTCGGCTTCGGCATTCCCCTCGCGCGGCCGTGCGGTGTCGATATCGGGCTCGGGGAAGAGGGTCAGATGGCCCTTGCTGTCGACTAACGGGGCGGTGGAGGTGGTGGTTGTGGCGTTGGTGGTGAGGGCCAGCTCGCGCGCGGCTCGGTCGCCCGCGGCGGCCCGTTCGCGCGCCACGCGCATCTCGAAATCCGTGTCGTCTTCGCCGTGCCGCTTGCGCTTGCGCCCGGAGCTGGTGCTGCCGTGTGTGTCGTGATCCCGGCCTCGTGGCGGTGGTGCGACGGCTTCGAGGGCTTCGGGTTGTGGTTCTTCGAGCGGAGGGGGCACCTCGCCGCGGAGAATGGCTAGCCGGCGCGCTGCATCTTCTTCTTGCATGCGCTGCTCCTCAGCCTCTTCCCGGGCCTGGGCGGCTGCCTCGTCGCGCCGCACGCGGGCGATGTTGGCGGGGTTGTAGACGTTCCATGATTTTTTGCCGAGGAGATGACTTGGTTGGTGTTGGTTAGTAGGGGCTGTGGTTGCGATGTTCGGATCAATGGTGTGGCTTACAGAGGCATGATGGCGGTGATGGCGGGTTTGAGCAAGTCGGAGAGAGAATCGGATGCACCTTGATGGTCAGTCGCCTGAAGCTTCGCATGCCAAGACGATGCAGCGGGAACCAACTCCCCCACAAAACCACCCCACCAAATGATGAGATGCCAAGAGTTGAGCTGAACTGCCGCTACACTAAAAGGAAGATTATCCGCCGCAAGCAAGCCAAACCCCGCAGCATTCTTTGTTCCATCCTACCCCCGGGGCTGCTGGCTTGTGGCGGAACTGAAACGGCGTCTGTCCCAACAATAGCGGGAGCATCACCAACGACAAACCCTTTTTATAGACTCTCTTCGTTTGTTGGTCCTGAATTATCTGCCGCTGTGTGGCATAGGCCAACAATCGAGAGGGGCGAAAAACCATAAAGCCTCGAGATCGCCTCACAAAGGCCACATCTCCCGAAGCTCCCAAGGCAGCACCCCGCGACACAGCCCACCTGACTACGTACCTAACTACCGATCGAACCCGTCTGAATTACAATCCCCGCGAACTCATTTTACGAAACCGCCGGTTCCTTCCTTCGTGCTCCACGAGCAACCATAATGGACCGCAACAACCTCTTCAGCAGACCGGCACCCCGCGGGGGAGGTCCGGGTCTTCCTGGACGTCAGGTGCAGCGACCACCAGGAGGAGATGGTGGGGGATACGCACCCGCACCCGGTGGCCACGACTCATACGGCGGCCGCCAACCCGCGTCCGGAAGGCCGCAGCACCCTCCCGGCGGAGGTGCCGGATACGGGGGAGGAGGATACGATACACCACCTCCCCGCCAGTCCCAACCGAGGGGAGGCCGACAGGTCCGCCTAAGGCTCGCAAAGGTCGAGGACAAGACGTTGCAGGCGCAGTACATTTTTGGGAATGTGTGAGTTGGCTGGCCCGACCCTCGCTTGTTGTGAACCATTGCTGATCTTCACTAGCTCTGCCGTGTCCCCCAACGACTTCCCTCCGAGTCGCGACGGCTCCGATCTATACGTCCGCCTGAGCGGCCCTGAGCTACGCGGCGACTACGTCGTGACCGCACGCCCCACCCCGGGCTTCCCCGACGGCTGCATCAGTCTGTCCGACCCCCAACGAACATGGGCCAGCATCGGCATGATGGACGAGGTGATCGGCGAGCTGTTCGACCCGTTCGGCCACGGAGGGCCCGCGTACATTGGCTCCCTAGACGTCGAGGTTGGCTTCGCGTCGCAGAGGAAGATTGTGGACGCCCCGTACGACCAAGATGAGCTGGCCGCCATGTTTGTCAAGAGCTTTCAGAACCAGGTCTTCTCGCCGGGGCAGAGGCTGCTGCTCGATGTCCAGAACGTCCCCTTGTCCATCATGGTCAAGACGGTGACTCTGATCGATCTCACCATGCAACAGAGACAGAACGACGAACCCCCTACTCGCAGCGACCCTGGGGCACGGGGCATCCTCACCAACCAAACCAGCATCGGCTTTTACAAGGACGCCAGGTCGCCCATCAAACTCAAGGGCTCTAACAAGCGGCCCGCCGCCAACGCTATCATCAGCCCCGACTTCAAGTTCGAAGACATGGGCATCGGAGGTCTAGACACCGAGTTCTCCACCATCTTCCGCCGTGCCTTCGCCTCGCGTATCTTCCCGCCAGGCCTCATCGACAAGCTCGGCATCATGCACGTCAAGGGCATGTTGTTGTACGGTCCTCCGGGGACGGGAAAGACACTCATTGCCCGGCAGATTGGCAAGATGTTGAACGCCAGGGAGCCCAAGATCATCAACGGTCCGGAAGTGCTGAACAAGTACGTCGGTCAGAGTGAAGAGAACATCCGTAAGCTCTTCGCCGATGCCGAGAAGGAGTACAAGGAGAAAGGTGACGAGTCGGGTCTCCACATCATCATCTTCGACGAACTGGACGCTGTCTGCAAGCAGAGAGGTTCGGGCGCCGGCGGCGGCACGGGTGTGGGCGACAGTGTGGTCAACCAGCTGCTATCCAAGCTAGATGGTGTTGACCAGCTCAACAATATCCTCCTCATCGGAATGACCAACCGGAAGGACATGATCGACGATGCCCTGCTGCGCCCAGGCCGTCTCGAGGTCCAGATCGAGATCTCACTGCCTGACGAGTTCGGCCGGTCGCAGATTCTCAAGATCCATACCGCCAAGATGAAGGAGAACCAGGTCATGGGCAACGATGTCGACCTCCCCGAGCTGGCGTCGTTGACCAAGAACTTCTCGGGTGCCGAGCTGAGCGGTCTCGTAAAGTCGGCCACGTCGTTCGCCTTTGCGCGCAACATCAAGGTCGGCACCATGGCCAGCGTCAGCGAGGAGGTGGTCAACATGAAGGTGGTCCGGCAAGACTTCCTCAACGCGCTGGCCGAAGTCAAGCCCGCTTTTGGCGCCGATGACGCAGAGCTCGAGGACGCCATCCCCTACGGCGTCATACACTTCTCGCCGAGCATCTCGTCTATTCTCAACGACGGCATGCTGTACGTCGAGAACGTGCGGCAGCAGGAGCGGCTGCGGCATACTGCAGTCTTGCTGCACGGCCCGCCGGCCAGCGGCAAGACGGCGCTGGCGGCCCACATCGCCATGAAGTCGGACTACCCCTTTATTAAAATCATTACTCCCGCCTCCATGGTCGGTTTCAGGGACGAGCTGGCCAAGAAGGATCACCTACACAAGATCTTCACCGACGCCTATAAGTCACCTCTGAGCATGCTAATCATCGGTATGTCTTTTTTTCTCACCCAGCACCTCCCCTTGTTTCATAATGCTAACAATCCGGCTCCCCAGACAACATCGAGCGCCTGATCGAATGGAACCCGGTCGGCCTGCGCCTGTCCAACAGCATCCTGCAAGCCCTCGTGACCCTCCTCCAGACGCCGCCGCCCAAGGGCCACCGGCTGCTGATCCTCGCAACGGCCTCGCAGCTGTCCGTGCTGGAGCAGCTCGACATCACGACGGCGTTCGACCGGCAGATCCGGGTGCCGGCGGTGCAGGACGCGCGCGAGCTGTCGGCCGTGCTGGCCGAGTCGGGCGCCTTCCCCGACCCGGCCGACGTCGGCCTCGTCCTCGACCGCGTCCGCGACTACACCGGCGGCTCCGACCGCGTCGGCGTCGGCATCAAGACCATCCTGACCACCGCCGAGACGGCCCGCCTGAGTCAGGAGCCGGCGGTCTGGTTCGCCGAGCAGATTGCGGGGCAGATTGCCAGGTATAATCCGTATCCGGGTGGGGAGCAGCAGTAAAGGGGGGTGGGGTGTTGGGGGCGGCAGTGATATAGAGGGAATATATTGCTTGTTTGCTTTATTGTGTGTGTGTGTGTGTGTGTGTGTGTGTGTGTGTGTGGTGAGGTCAAGATGTGATGCTTGGGCTATTTACTTCGTACCAGGTTTGGTCTGGAGAGGCGATGCCCATGTTTTGATGTTCAAAGGATGTGAAAGTACCTCGGTACCTTACCTGCCTTACGTGTAACCCGAGCTTCTGCGGGAAGGTACTGCCTTGGCGGTATACAAAGCACCTTTTTGTACCACCAACACAACCCCCGCACAATGGCCATGGCCGAGCGGGGGGAATGCAGATACAACTGCATTGACCTCAAAGAGGTCACGGTTCGACTCCAATCGGAGTCGAAAAAATATTCCTGGACAAATCTCTGGGAATTGATGACAACCTCATAGAGGTTGATCCACTTGAAAAGTGGATGAATGTAAAACCCCCAAAAGGGTTTTCGTAACCAGCAGACGTGCTGGTGAGCTTTTTGTCTTTTACTTGACATTGCTTTTCTTAGCAAGTGTTTTTCTCGACAGCTCTTGGTTCGAAGTTGGGAAAACTAAACGGCAAGTCTTTAGAGTGGGAGGAGGGTCTTCGGAGTTCTCAGCGTGCAGCTCGAGCACCATCACGTCCGATCTGCAAATGACAACTCCCTAATAGTTATAGTTAAGGGAATCACTTATGCGCAGCTTGGTAAGCCCTCCATCATGTTGATCATAGAGGAAACCTACCTAGCCTTGCACTGCAATCCCCGGATTCCGTGCAACTAACGATCAAAACATTTCACTTGCTCATGACGACATGTTATACCCACCAACCAATCTCACAGCAAAGTCACGGAACTACCCATAGTACACCGTAACAAGACGACCAAAACGAGCGAGGAACCACCACACCGCAAACCCAAACAAGTAGTGAGGCCACGAGGTCACGTCTCCTCGGCCCTCACCCACCCACCTCCCTAATCCCAACCCCTCATCTTAATCTAGCTAAAGCGAGCCCGACGATCTGGATCCCGCCATCCCAACCCGGTCGGGCTCATCACCACCCTCCAGCACTAACCCCTTAGCTCGAGAACTCACCTCCCGAGCGAGCCAAACGCGAGCGAGAAAGACCCTCCACCAGCCCTCCACCAGCCCGCGCCGCGCCCTGCCGATCACCGCACATCCAGACCCTCCACGTGCGTGAGCGTGTGTGAAAACTGCGCTAGCAAACTGGGAATGGCAGGCGGATCTGGGATGCGTGGGAAGATACTGGTAACTAGTTATCGCTAATCTGTCCTTCGTGCGTTGGCTCGCTTTTTGGGTGTGTGGTGGCCGCGAGATGCGCGCGTGGGAGGGATGATTGATCTGCCGCTAACGTAAACTCGCACGCACGCGAACTGCAGCGCGCATCCCCACGCCCCACCCCCCACGGGTTTGCGCATGCATGCGGGCGGGTTCCTGGCAGACGGCGGGCTGCCCGCATGACGCAATCTGGGGTGGGCTGCTCGTTGTGTGCCTGTTTCGGAGTTGAGATGGACTGATGGAGGGCGGTTTGCGAGCTCGGAGGGTGGTTTTGGGGGCGGAGGTTGTCACGTTGTCACTGTGTCACTGTGGTACCGGTGGATTGGCGGTTTATGCTGTGGATAGGAGTTGTGTGGTGGGATTGGGATGGAGGAACCAGGGTGTTGGAGGATGGTGAGTTATGCATCATGCTCCCCGAGAGCCCGATGAGCCCGAGTACCCCCCACCATTGTTCATTCGTCGGTTTGCGAAGTTGATGGTGGGACGGTGTTTAATCTGTACTTTTACTTTTTGGCGGACGGAATAGGGGTCCAAGACGGCAAACCCCTCGATGGATTCGAGACATGGCACAGGGAAAGACATCGAGCCGCCGCGCTGCTGCCGCCGGCACCGGCGGTCCAGCATCAGGTTGGTGAGCTGCTCGCCTGGATTCGGCAGTTGCTAAGCCAACTCGTCGATCCCCATTCGGCGAAATCTCGTGCCGGAAGACGGCCGTTTGGACGATCGACAGCCTCGTTTGGCGGCATGACGGGCAGAGGCGAGGCGCAGGGAACGAGAGCGTTAAAATTGGGGAAGATTAGGGACGGGGAGCTCCTCTTGGGGAGCAACGGTCTCGGAACTCGCCGGGTGAGAGGAAGGCCAGGCATGGAAGCAATTTGGAATACCTAAAAAGGGTGTGCTGGAGGTCGTGCATCTCCCCGAGAACGTAACTCGCCGAGTACGCTTGCTAACCTGCCTCCATACGACTGTCTGTCTTTTCTCGCATTGCCCGCCTCGCTTGGCCGCCCACCGTCTGTCGTGCAACGCCGAAGAGGTTTGGAGAAGCCGTCCGACAGGAGTCCACTGGCCGTGGGATGCGAACGACGTCACTTGACCGGTTTGGCACATTTGGGTCATTGGGGTTCCTGCGGCCAGAGGCGCCACACCCGGAGGAATGGGTGACGTGGGGGTTGGTCAATGCTTGTCAAGCAGGTTCTGGTCTGGAGCTGTTCCTGCGTCCCTGAAATGAAGATTGCTCCACCTTGGGTTTCCAACACGACGGGTCTGCCACTCTGCGAAAGGGGCAGATTGGGTAGCATGACCGATCTCTCCATCGGCGCTGCCGTCCAATGCAACCTGTTGACCTTGGTGGTCTTGAGGGAGGGAGCAGAGCACGAGCCACGAGTTACTCGCCATTACATAGACGGTGCGGCTGCGTCTAACGTTAACTACCGTGTACGCAGCACGGTTCGTTCAGCCTCGCAGGCGTATCCCCGCCAGCTGAAGGCTTCAGAACGAAAGTGTTGCGGAATCTGCCTTGTGGCTGGTATCCTCAACCCTGCACCGCCATCGTCAAGTGAAGGTTTTCGCCGCCAACACCCCTCAATTCCATCAAAATCCGGCTGTCTGGGAAATGAAGGCCAAGCAAGCGAGACCGGAAGCTGTTCCGTAACGCCACGACTGGGGCCCGGGGTTCTTCAACTGGAAACCGCGCGAGCCAGGTGCCAGGAACTCCACCCGTCGAGGTCGACCCACGTGTGGCCAAGCTCCCAGGCCAAAGTTTGGTGCGGCTGGGTTCCGGGCAACGGCCAGGAAACTGCAAATTGTGTGGTTTGCATCGCTGGTAGCGCATATTAAGAGACAATATTGCCAGGGCAAACAGAGATCCTGTGACACGGACGAAGTGAGAGAGAGATACACGAAGTCAGATCGAGTCTCCACGGTGGACCTCCAGCATGCAGTCAGTGGGCAAACTCTCTCTCCACCACACCTCATGCATGCACGCTAAGCTTGCAGGTGGTCGAACCGTGCGCACGGGACTTTTCGCGCAGAGATGCAGATTCCATTGTGTGCTGCCGACTCCTCGCTTGCGCTGGGCCACAGGGCAGCTTCCGGTTACCAAGTACAGAGGTCGCTGTTTTTGGATCTTATCCTTTCCATGGGACGAACGGCGACTAGGCTGACCCGCATCGGGGAACGACTTTGGTCGGGCCATCACAAGTTTCTCCCTCTGTTTCTGCGAACTCCCGTCGTCAGGGCTTCGAAGTTCGGATGACTTCCCGCCTTGCAAGTTGGACGGTTGGACCCTGGCGTGCCTCGCGAGCTTGTGCGCGTCCCGTCCCAACTGGCAGTGAAAACCCCACCCTTCAATTTCCCACCCAGGCCTTATCACGCGGTGGCCGGCGACCCTGCCAAGTGCCTTCCTTCCCACCCCTGCTTTGCTCGAACCGGGGTAGGAGCAACCAGCAGCCCTTTGATTCCCTGCTTCCCCACCCCGCCGATCGAATGGGTTGCTCTCCCGTTCGACGACCTGCACTCGACCTCTCTGTTCTCAGATTCAAAGCTGCACTAGCAGAGCCCGGTGTCTCGGTTGTCCTCGCGCTCTGATTGACCAGCAAACAAACTCCCAACGATATCATTTTTTCTTCCCTCTTTTTGCTTCTTCCGTGTTTGCAACCACTTCATGGCGCCAAACCGTATGTGTGACCCTCTCCAGCCACGCTATCCCTTTTTCCCTCGTTTGCTCGGCCGTTTCCCCCTCTCTGCTCTCCCGTGTTGGTCTGGGTAAACACAGCCAACCCGGTTCGGAAAGTCTGCCGCTGCACGCTGCAGACTGCAGTGCGCCCGCTGGTTCCTCCTCAACCTCTTTCACAACATCTCCAACGAGACAAGGCCAATTCAATGAGCCCGTGTTGACCTTCAATGCCTTCGATTTCAGACACGTCGTCCGCCATTGGCAGTAGGAGCAGCAGGACCGGGCCATAGTAGGTAGCTCTACCACACCGGGCTTGCCGTTGCGCGCCATGGGCCCCGAATTAGTACCGTCGTCTGTAGCGACTGGGCCGTCGACGCGGCCACTTCACCAACAACAACAACCACAACAACAACAACCAAAGGAGCTCCCATTTCGGGTTACAGCATCCTCTGAGAGGCTCCTTAATCAGCACCCGCCGAGGATAGGGAATGAAAGCAAGCGGGCAAAGCCGGGTAGCAGGGCAGCAGGTCTCGGGTTGGCCAAGACAAAACTCTGGGTTTCTGCCGGTTCGCAATCCAAACCACTATTGCCCGTGACCGAGCGCGCGTCACACGAAGAGAACCTTGCGGGGCGCCGGGCGAAGAAGGGTAGCCGGGATGAGGACAGGTGGGACATCACCCCCGACGGGGGCTCGGCCGGTCGCGAGGGGAGGCAGTTCGCCGTGGCCAATGTTGGGAACAATGGCCGCATTTATTTGAGGTAGGGAACGACATGCGCTCGGAACAGCAGCCTAGCACCCTCTCCGCTGCGTGATGTTGGCCAAACCGGGCATCTCTGACAATTTATGTAGGCCGACCGTTCGCCCCGCAAACCAGCGGTACCCTCAGCCACCTTTTGTTTTTCCTATGACGCCGCCGGGCACCGCGGGATTGGAGGCCATAGCCCCGGAACAACGCCTGGGCCTCGACGCGCACCCCCAGCTTCCCCTCCGTAACTGGACACCGTCGCACCCTCCGTCGTCTTCGCCTAGTCCCGCCCTTGGGAAGAGCGGCGAGAAACAGCTGAAAACACGCCAGAGGCACCGCCGTGCCCTGTCGGATTCGACATTGCCGGATGCGAGCATCGCACGAGAATCTGAGCCGGGGGGTTTCAAGGTGGTGATTACACAACCGGGTGAGGACGAGAGGCCGAGGACTGTGGACGAGATGGACTTGCACCAACCGCCATCACTAGAAGTCGCTATCCCGTCGTGGAGGATAGGCACGCCCAGGTTTAGCATTCGGGGGACGCCATTCATTCGAGGCTCTTCATATGCCCCGACCGAGGAGATGCGCTCCAGTAGCACATCGTTTCTCCGCCTCACGCCCCTAGACGGAACCTCGAGCAATTCCAGGAACGCGAGTTTCTTCCGCATGTCAGGAATGCTATCCCCCTGGGCCGATCCTACCGACATCCCCAGCCATACATCAGCTCGTCCTCCCGCCCGCCCGCGAGCCACCTACATGTCGACCCACCTCGTAATTGAGCCGCCCATGTTTGACGTCTTGACCTTCAAACCCGCCTGTGACGACCGCGCCATTGTTCGGTACTCGAATGCCGGCTCCGTTACCGCCGCCACCCCGCCCCGCTTGGTCGCCGAGATCACATCTCCCACCTTCGTCGATTACGAACTTTTGTCCGACTTTTTTCTCACCTACCGGTCTTTTCTTGAGCCATCCGATCTCCTGCGCATGCTTTTTGCCCGACTTCGCTGGGCACTGACCAGGGCCGATGAGGTTGGCCAGGTGGTAAGGGTCCGTACCTTCGTTGCCCTGCGCCATTGGATCCTCAACTACTTTATGGACGACTTCCTGGTAGACCACAGCCTACGTGTCACGTTTTGTAGTCTGTTGAACGACCTCGTCGCCGAATTCTTGCGGGACCCCAAAACGCCCAAAGTACCGCTCAAAATTCTAGCTGAATTGAAAAAGTGCTGGCGGAGGGTCTGCGCACAATTTTGGGACGGACCCGCGTTCGACACCACACTCGGGCCTGATATTCTGGTTTCTCCCGGGGGGATCGCAGGCCACCGCGACTCACAGCTTGACCCAACATTCTGGTTAGAAAATGGAGCCGAACCGCCCCAGCTGGACGACCTGATATTCCCCACCAGCCCCCGCGGTCACTCGAGCTTCTACGGTGGTCTGGCGAGAGCCGGTCATATCGACGCCGTTGTAGCGGGTGACCGTCCAGCGACACCCGAGGTTGCCGTAGACAGCGAGCGCGCGGAAAGGAACGGCGCCATCTCACCAACCAGCATCACCAGCGTGGACGTGGTCTCTTGTTCGTTTCCGACCAAAAACACACGGCCCATGCGCCCGGGCGCTGGCTACCCAGCTGCGCACCCAGCTGACCCCAGCTCTTTAACCAACTCCGGTCCGGTTGCTACCACGCCTCGCGCACTAGTTGGCAAGCGGGCCCGCCCGCAACCTTCTCACAAGCGAAATGTCAGCCTTAGCGATTCCCTGCGCGAGCAGCCGACGACAGAGAAGGGTCTTTATAAGAATGCCGAATTCCTGCTAGCACTTCCCTATGCAGGCAGCCTAGTTCGCGGCGATTTCCTACCGCCCTCCCAGGCCCTCGTCGAGGTCCCCCCACCGATGGTGAACGGGAGACAAACTACAATCTTTCAACCAGCACAGGTTGATCTATTGAAAGAAAGCACAGTGGCATCCGCCATGTCTGGTCAAGGGATGAAGAGGCTTCTGGGGAGCGTGCGGCGGGCTTTGAGCACCAAGGGGCAAAACCTATCACCAACCCAGGGCACCTTCATCAACATCTCTCCGATTGGACCAAGGGGTGCGACCACCAACAGGCTCCCGGGCACTCCAATAGTACCACAGGCCCGAAGCCGCCAGAACCGCGGCCGTCCTTCCGTACGGATCGATTTGCTCGGCGCCGAGGTTGCCGAGGACTTTAAAAAGGCTGTGCGAGAAGACACCCAAGCTCAATCCGAGAGATCAGACGAACCTCCCCGTCCCGCCGATCCTCAGACGGGTGATGGTACGGGGGATTTCTCGACCTCTCACTTACACACCTCTCCCGCGGCGTTCTCGCATGACTTCGTGGTCACACGACCGACGAGCGATATGGGCATCACTACTGGCAGCAAATCCATCGTTATTGTAGACGACACATCAGTTCAAGACGACTATCCTTTCATGACAGGTGCGTTGCCAGTTGCCAACTCGTCGGTGGACGCATTTTCCGAAGCCTTCGCGCCGAACGGTGCGGATCCAACGCCACCGAACACACCGCCGGGCCGTGCTATGGGCACTCCCAGAATGTCCTCATACATACTTGGTCAGGACCTTGCGCATAATTCACTGTTAGCCGGCCCGCTACCTCCCTTCGTTCCGGATATGAATACCCTAGGGCAAAGTGGACGTCCCTCCGAGGACCAAACCAGACCCTCGCTTGATTATTTAGACGAGGACTCGAGTCCACCTTTCGCTGACGACGAGAGAGGACATGTGAGGCAATCTTCGAGTCGGTCGTATGCATCCAATCACTCGGGAGGCCACGTTCGCCGCTCGTCCTTCAATAGCGAGAGCTTCCACCATCTCACCGTCCGCAGCTTCGATGCCACGACCGTTTCGGGCCAGTCGATCGGCGACTCGTCTCCGGTTATGGCTCCCGAGCCGCTTCGGGTTCTGAGGCGAAGACCAGGCGGCGATCTCCGCGCCGTCACTACCGTCGGCGATCTGGACCCAGCTACGCTTAGGAGGTCGCGGTCGGTCGGGTCCCTGACAACATATAGCGAATCTATCCGCAGCTCGTATCTTCGCAGCGCCGTTGCAGACTCTAGCGGCTTTGTGGATGTTGTCGCCAGTGATTACTCCCCCGGCCACGCCAAGACATTCTCTCTGGGCGCCATCGCCGAGAAGAAACCGAAGCAGAACTTGTCCCTATTCAGCACCCACTCGTCCAAGCCGATCATGCGACCGTCGTTTGAAGCCGAGGCGCAGAAACTCGCGCAGATTCCTGACGACATGGACGATGATGGGGGCGTTGAGTCTGCACTGTTGAAGCTGGAGGGCAAATTCCCGACAAGAAAGGCTGGACTCAAACTGTCAATGGACCTGAGGCCGGCACAGGACATCGATGCTACTCCGGACTGGGAGGGAGGATACGAGGAGAATGAGGCCATCGAAAGAGAGGAGGAAGAACACCACGAGGCAGAAGTCGAGCCTCAGCCTTACCCGCCGAGCTCCTCGACCGCGCCTTCCACCATCACACCCCAGGCCGGCCTATTGAACGTGGCTGATAGCCAGGGACACCACAGCGTTGTGCAGTCCTTCTTGTCGGACGATTCAAGGGCGTCTTATTCGTCGATACCATTGCTGGAACGTGGTTTGACTGATGATGGGCGGACGGCAACTCGGGAATGGACAGACCGGTCCATCCTCCAGGGACCCGACGACGATGCGTCAACGCCGGACAACCGCAGCATCCACGACTCGCAGCATCCTTCGTACGAGTTCATCTCGAAAACAGACAGCATCGGCCTAATTCGACAAGGAGCCACCATGCCCGAAGACGAGTCGGCACGGGACAGCCTCGAGCAGTCGTTCCTGGATGTCGACAGCGATAACGAGAGTGTTATCTCCTCGGAGTTATCTGCAGAGGCTCTTATTCAAGAGGCCGAGGATCGTGAATTCTCGCCAAATGACATTGGAGTTGCCATATCCACCTTGCCGGCCCATCCTCTGGCTGAAAACCCGCGCACCCCAAGGCCGCCGTCCCCAACCATCACACTCATGCAGGCTCTCCAAATGTCTCCCGAGGCCGTCTACGTCCCGACGCTCCAACACCATCAAGTGTGCGAGAAGCCACTGCCACCCACCCCCGACACCACACCAACAACAACAGCGCCGCCGTTTCTCCGCTCGCCGCTTTGTTCGCCCGCAGATCCAACCGGGACCAAGGAGGCACTACGCAACGCTCCAACCCTCGAGATCCCCGATCCTGTCAGCAGGCCTCTCAACACGCCACTTAGCAAATACTCGGTTCACCTGCCCTTCATTCTCGCCTTTGACAGCGACATCCTAGCGCAACAATTCACTCTCGTCGAGAAGGACGCGCTCAACGAGATCGACTGGAAAGAGCTGATTGAGATGCGCTGGAAGAATGCTGAGCAAAATGGCATCCACGTGCGCAGCTGGGTGTCCTTCCTGCGCGACACGGACGCTCGTGGCGTTGAGGTGGTCATCGCACGCTTCAACATCATGGTCAAGTGGGCCGTCTCGGAGATCGTGTTGACACAAGACATCGAGGAGCGCGCGCGCTGCATAATCAAGTTCATCCACATCGCCGCCCATTGCCGCCGCTACCGCAACTTCGCTACCATGAGCCAGGTCACCATTGCGCTCACCAGCAACGAGGTCAGCCGGCTCAGCAAGACGTGGGCTATGGTCCCCGCGAGCGACAAGCGCACGCTAATGGAGCTGGAGGCGCTCCTGTCACCGACGAGGAACTTCTACAACATGCGCGCCGAGATGGAGGGCGGCGGCGCGTCCGTCTCCGGGATGGGGTGCATCCCCTTTGTGGGGATATACACGCATGACTTGCTGTTCAACGCGCAAAAGCCGAGCGAGATTGCGAGCTCGCCCACCGCCGCGCCGCTCGTTAACTTTGAGCGCTGCCGGACCGCGGCCGGTGTGGTCAAGACGTTGCTGCGGCTGCTCGAGGCGAGCATGCTGTACAATTTCCAGCCGATCGAGGGCATTACCGAGCGCTGCTTGTGGATGGGCGCGTTGGGGGATGAGGAGATCAGGCGGTTGAGCGAGGGTTTGGAGTAAGCCCACTTGGGCTTGAAGCTATCACAGAAGAATGATGGCGGGTGAGAGGAGACACAGCGGCAGCAACCTCGCATAACGGCCAACGCCAACGCCCTCACTCGACACGGCAACCACTGCTCACACCACCGTTGTCGTTTCAACACCCACGATGCGATACCTCACAGCGAACATCGCCATCATCATCGCCATGCTCCAAATAGACGACCGGTCTGCTCACGCACCAGCTGTATCACTACATCGTTTTACGTTTCAAAAACCGCGCCATCTCGTTTCTACATTTGCAATTCTACGCCGATATGATACCACCTACAAGCGATACCGATCTCTTCCTACCTACCTACCTATAACCTATTTTCTAATACTCGACCACCTACTCCTTGCTTATTTCCACCATTACCTCCTCTGTTTTATGTTCATGTTCCCCTATTCTTACTTTTACTATACGCTTGTTTTCTCTGTCTAGTTATCCGCCAGCGGAAAAAGATACATTTGCTTGTTTGTTTGTCTGATATCCGGGTTGGGCGTTGTGGGGGTTTTATTTATCTATTCACCCTTCGGGGTAGCGGGGCGCAAAAAGGAGTTGTATTTTCATGTTTGATGGGATGGGTTGAATGGGATGAATACTTCGGGCATCCCGACTTCTGGGCTGGCCATTACATTGATTCGGATGGAGCTGTTGGCCGTGTTTATCTAGAGGGTGGAGCTCGTGCTTTTTTTTGCGGGAGTGGTGTTTGAGTGTAGATGGGCACCTCCTTAGATTGGAGGGTGGCGTGTTGTGTGTTGTGTGTATGTGGTGTTTGTGGATTGATACCTTGTTGGAGGAAGCGGATGAGTTGGGGTGGAAGGCACTGGAGAGGTTGACCGGGACTGAGCCCGGGCTAGGGAGCAGGAGTGGTAGTAGATAGCAATTGCAGATGGTAACATCGCTATTCATCAGTGTCTGGTGTCCTTTCTCTGATGTGCTTGCTTTACTGGTGTCTGCAATTGGTGTGTCTGGTAGTTTGATATCGAGTCTGTCTGTCTTTGGCTATGGTAGCCAATGACCTTAGTGTCGAGACAGCATTCTAATTGCTTTGTTTACTTCCCCTGAATTTTCACGTCATTCAACCAACAGCGCCTGCTACCGTGTAAGAATGGCCACGGTGGGTGTTATATCTAGCTCTTTTCAACTTCCAAGATAAAACAGAACAGTCGGTTAAGGGTCATAATTCCGCAATCATTTTCGGTCTCCTCCCTTCATATTTCCAAATCTTCATTCACCCTAGTAGGTTCTGTGCTGTGGCGCCCTGTCCCCATCAACATACTTATTCTAGTCCTCCCTACACGTCTTCTTTTCCCTTACCCGTTTCCCTCGCCTCATTCGCGCCATAGCCCTCTTCCAAAAAAGAAAAAGAAAAGAAAAAAGAAAGCTAGGCAAGAATAACATCCACTAACACTTCGCTCTTCTCAAAGCAGCATTGCCTATAAGGGACTCTAAATCCCTCCGTTGCTTCTTCCTCTACCAGTGACTAAGTTACGATACGGCATATATCCATTGTTGCCGTCTATCAGGTGGGTAAGAGACTACAGAACGTGAAATTCTGCAGCAAGCTCTGCGAATCGTATCAGGGTAAATGTACTTTTTACTTTACCCACAACCATACCGACATTTTTACCATCTCTTGCGTCGCTATGTCTATCACTAACCCGAATACCTATTTAAAAAGTGGCAACAAATAGGTCGCATCCATTCTCAGCACAACAGCAAAAGACAACAAGATCCTCACCACACACACCTCACACGCCACACGCCCTCTCATTCTTACATATAAACTATGGCCTTGAACATATATCCCTCCCCTTCCGAGGACCCGACCACAAAAAAAGGGACAGCAACTCCCAACTCGGCCATTCCCAACGGAGACTCGCACGTCTACGAAAACACCCCTAACCCAAACCCATATTACGGTCTAGTTATCAGTTAGTCAACCCGCTCTACCCTGAACATGATCTGGTCACCAGGCTAGCTAGCCCTCTCTCCTTATCTAGTGACGAAGTCAACTTAATCGCACACCAATCCAATATCTCGCCGAGTACCATTATCATAGCGGCGGAGCTGCTTGCCACACACCTCTAAATCCGGATGTATATCAAATTGACAATATTAAAGTCTATAGCGCAAAGACACAGCACTGTTGTCCACCACAGGGTGTGCTGGTGACGCCGGCCTTGGGTACGACGGCTAGTTAGTTCGCAGCTGAGTTGAGGCCGGTTTCAGTCTTCCCTTGTAAGGATGCCTGGGGAAGCAAGCACATTGGAAGGAAGGCAGCACAACATGCGACGCTCAACTCTCCAACATATTACTGGCACTTTGTTCAAACCGTGATATGGTAGAGTACAGTGGTCATCTTGGAGGGATTGACATCACATTTACTTTGCAGTCATGGACATTAATCGGAGTCAGATTCGTCAGTCCTCAGCCGCTATAGAAGATTCGGACAAATCCTCATAAGCTCGAAACATGACAAAAGTAGACATTCCTATGGCAAGGCGAGATAACGGTTAAGTCCACCCCTCATGACCCTACAGGGCATTCCCCCTCCCCGGCAAAGCCAGGGAGGATATCTTTCCCTCATTAGTAGGTTCATGTGTAACCTAAGCCAAAAGAGACGCTACTCTGCAGCCAGTATCGGAGCCAAGACGAGAAAGCCATTGCGAGTGGGAAAGGGCGGGAAGTGGGACAAGGCCCGTTTGTGTCTGCGCCGTTACGCCTGGCCCCGAAAAATGCCTTTTTATTTTGTTGTCTACCAGCCGGCAGTCTCCTTGGGAGCGGCATCGGCCCACTCGGTCGCGGGGGCGGTGGCAGCGGCGGCGCCAGACTCCCAAGTGGCGGGCTGAGCCTCGCTCCACTCGCCGGTAGCGGCGGCAGGGAAGCCGGCGGGAGCAGCCTCCCAGTCAGTACCAGCAGCGGGGAAGCCGGACTCGATGGCGACCGGGCCCTCCTCCTCAACGCCGGGGACCTTCTCCTCCTCGACCTTCTCCTCGGCCTCAGCCTCGGGGTCGCGGTCTACGGTATTCGTTAGCTTGTGGGCTCAACTATGTCAAGCGCGGGGAGGGACATACAGAAGTACAGATCGGGCATGACATCCCAGGGGGTCTCGCGGTTGTAGATGGTGCCGCGGAGGCGGAGGACCTCACGGGCCAGCATCCACCAAACCAGACCGATAGAGTGGCGACCCTTGTTGTTAGTCGGGATGGCCACATCGACGTACTCGGTGGGGGAGTCGGTGTCGCACAGGGCGATGACGGGGATGTTGACGTAACTGGCCTCCTTGATGGCCTGCGAGTCGGTGCGGGGGTCGGTGACGATGATCAGGCGGGGCTCCTTGAACGAACGGGTGATGTAGTTGGTGAAGGAACCGGGGGTGAAGCGACCGGCGATGGCCTGGGCGCCAGTGTGGGCGGCGAACTTGAGGACGGCACGCTGGCCGTAGGGACGGGCAGAGATAACACAGACATCGCTCGGGTTGTCAATGGCGGCGATGATGCGGGCCGCGAGGGTGATCTTCTCCCTGTAGACACACACATGTTAGCAATCCGGTTGTCGCATTCCTGTCAAAAGTCGCGGAGCCGCGAGAGCCCACATACCAGGTCTTGCCGATGTTGATGACGTTCACACCGTCGGCACGGGTCTTCCAAAGGTAGGCTACACGCAGAAACCTGTCAGATGTCTCGTCTTCGGCGACTCTTGCGATCGGGAGTATTTACGCTGCATGTTAACGCCCAGGCTATCGCAAATTGTCAGTATGCGCGCAACAACAAAAACCACCAAGTCTCGGGAAAACGCACTTCTTAGAGCCGACATGGCACTGAGCAGCGAGAAGCTGCTCAATGTCGGTGCTCGTGGCATTGAAGATGGAGGGGAGGTTAGCAGGCGCCATCTTGACTGTAATTTCTCTCGTGGACGTGACGACGAAAGAAAGTTGTCAAGACTCGGGGCGTCGAGAGTGGGATATATTTTTCTGGGCCGCGAGCTGCTGCAGGCGGAGCTCTGCGATTTTGGCACACAAATTCAATTTTGTGGAGTGCCCCGCCAGGGTTTGCAATTGGCATGGGACACAACCGGCCGTCACCAGCTGCTGCTGCCAAGCCCGATTTCTCCCCTGGCAGAGAACAAAGGTTTAACCGCCATTTTACCGTGAAAGGTCTCCAAAGAGATCCAGATACGAGCTAGTCCCCAATAGGCCTAGCGTTAATGGCCCCAAAATCTGGGTCCATCCCGCAGCGAGAAAGTTGAGAGCGGCGAGACAGACCTAAGAAGACGGCGTGACGTTCGACCCAGACGAAGATATTCGCGATGCCTCCCCGGATACCCGCCCCGCAGGGGCTACGGAGCCTTACGCGTGAGATTGACCATTTTTGGTGCTCCCCGGCGAAGCAAAGTAGCTGACAGATGCGCCGTAGTATGCATGCGTCCGGCTCCGACCCCGACCCCCAGCCTGCTTCCTCTGGTCCAGACGGCCAACATCTCGATGAGGGACAAGAAGAAGCGTATGAAGCGGGACCCCTACGGCTGGGCCCAGGCTCAGCAGCGCAAGAACGCCCATCTCGAGCGGCGCGCCGTGATCGATAGCGAGCGCAAGGTCAGCCAGGGTGACGCCGTGCACGGCATCACGACGCCCTTCGTCGAGTCGTTCGACACCGCCGGGCAGGAAGCCGTTTCACCGGAGGACCCAGAGACCGGGGAGACCCGGCCGCTCCCGACCTCGCCGCACATCATCAACAACCTGCTCACCAAAGAGGAGCTGGAGAAGGCGATCGAGCACGCGCGGCGGGTGACGACGCCGCTGTCGGGCGCTGAGAGCCCCGCACCAGACCCGACGACGGAGGCGATAGAGCTGGAGGAGCACGCGGCGAAGCACGCCAAGGCGATGGAGGCGCTGAAGCGCATCACAGACCTCAAGAACGCCAACGCCAAGGACCGGCGGCACGCCAACATCCAGCGCTGCATCGAGAAGTTCGGCCGGCACGTCACGGACGAGTCCCTCGACAACCCCGCGCCGCCGCCGGGACGCAACCACGAGCCGCAGCCGAAGCCCGTCCGTGCCGGGCCCGACACCGGGAGCAGCGAGGTGCAGATCGCCATCCTGACCGCTAAGATCAGGGCTCTCGCTCTGGCGTTGGAGGGTCCCAAGGGGCACAGGGACAAGAACAACAAGAGGAGTTTGCGGCTGCTCTGCCACAAGCGGCAGAGGCTGTTGCGGTATCTGGAGAGGAAGGAGCGGGGTAGCGGGAGGTGGCAACATCTGGTCGAGACGCTGGGTCTCACCGAGGCGACATACAAGGACCAGATCTCACTTTAATATCCTGCCCGATGGGCAGAGGGAGGGAGAGCTTGTAAAATCCAAGATGTGTAACTTCTCTATGTACATTACCGACACAATAGACAGGAGCGCGTAAGGAATCCCGCGTCTTGCCAGCCCACGTCACCGCTTGACCTTCGCCATACGCCATTGAAATCATGCTCAGGGTTCCCGCGAAATACATCTCTAAACAGTCAGCCACAAGTCGCATCATCAGAAGACACTGATGTAGTTGCCGATGCGCTCCTTCTGGTTTTGCGCTATGCACTCGGCAATCCAAGTGATGTTGCGGATTTCCTGGTTCACGTTAGCGGATCCGACCCGTGAGTTAGCAAGAATAGGCACTCACCTGCTCCCTTAGCTTGACCCACGCATAGACAATCGCAAACGTGAATTGCCGCGTGAACGCGCCCTTGGCAATCTCCATCTCCTTCTGGTAGAACATGTCCTCCAAGCTCCTGCCCTCAGACCCGGTGCCGCCAGCCATGTTGCCCGGCCCGCCAGGACCGCCACCAAGACCGGCCGCCTCGAAGAAGGCCTTGTAGTCGGACACGCCCTCGACGGCCAAGCGCACGCCCTCAAAGTCATCCGCCCGCGACAGCATCAGCGTGCCCTCGGGGTACAGGTTCCCGAAGCTGGGGTACAGCTTCTTGCGGTCAGCCTTGGACAGCTCGGTGCCGAACGAGTTGAGCGTGATGTTGATGGCGCGGCGGTCGGCCTCGAACTCGAGCAGCTCCGACATGACCTCGGCGGTCGGGGTGCCGGCCATGTCCGGGTGGGAGTTGACAAACTCGTAGAAGTCCTCGAGGTAGTTCTTGTAGAGCGTGTTGCGCACGATCTCGATGTTGAGCTCGTCCAGGTCCTGGTGGCTGAGGCTGCCCTTGAAGTAGGGGGCCAGCGGCGTCTCGATCAGCACGCTGTTGTACAGCTCCTCGATGTTGGTCGCCACGCAGAGGACGGGCATCGTCTCGAACCAGCCGAGCGGGTGGCACCGGTCGAGCAGCTCGCGCGTGTCGCGCTCGTGGAGTGTGCCCGTGATGAGCAGCGCCACGTTGTCGATCATGTAGCCGTAGGTGACGTAGTCCATGAACTTGGCGAGCGACCCGACGGCGTTGGCCCGGACATAGCGGAACTCGGAGACGAGCTTGTCGGTGGTCTTGGTCGCGAGGCTCGAAGTGGAGGGGTTGGGCGGGAGGGTCGAGAGGAAGTCGCCGTAAGCGGGGCCGAGTTGGAGCTTGAGGTCTGCAAACACCTGTCAGAGTCGGGTAATGGAATCTAGATCAAATGCTGGTTACCATCAATGGTCTCGCATTGTGTCATGTTGGTGTAGTTGGTACCGGTGAGCAGTCCGTTGCGATAGCCGCGGACGATGCCCTCGATGTAACTATGGAGAGAGAGAAGGGGTTAGTATGACGAGCGCACATTTGAAATTACAACATACCCATTGTTCACGTTGAATAGAAGGCCCTCCATCTTGGCTCTGCAGGATAAGTGGTAATTGAGAAGTTGTAGTTAGATGACAGCTCCTTTGGCTGTTGGAGCTCGAAGATGCGGCTCAGGGCGGCGTTGGATTCCTGGTTGGCCGCCGACTTGGACCGTGCATACGCAACCGCCTGGAGCGCCAAGAAACTTGGAGACAAATGGAATGGATGTGTGGGGCGTCCCTCTGCCTGCCCCGGTGCACACGATCAGATCCGAGCTTGGACCAACCAGCCCCACCTACAACTCCAAACTGGTGGTAAAAAAATTGTTCTTCGCTCCTAACTTTTTTTCTGCTTGAAGCCCTCTATAAAAGTGCAAGCACGGCCGCAGTTGAGCTGTCTTACCACGCTTCCACCAACAATAGAAAGCGCGGCTGGGCACCCATCAACAAGCCTCCATCATGCCTCTCTTTATCCTCACCGAGACCAGCGCAGGGTAAGTGCACCTCGTTCAATTGCAGGAACATTCCCGCGAGTCGCGCCCGCATCCGCTCGGGACGTTCTTGCGCTGAATTGATTGGACTGGTCGTTCTAACTCGCGCCTGTAGCTACGGCCTTTTCAAGGCGGCTGATAAGAAGCTGCTGGATTCCGACAACATCAGTGATCGTCTATCCACCGTTGACAAGATCGTCAAGGAGTAAGTGCATCCCGCCACCGTGCGGACAACTCTCTTGTCGGTGTTCGTGTGCCAATACCCTGCAGGATCAAGTACAAGGAGTTTGCAAAGTTCGACAGCGCCGCGACCGCGCTCGAAGAAATCGCTGGTGTGATTGAGGGCAAGGTGACGCCCAAGCTGGCCGACCTCCTCAATGAGTTCAAAGATGAGAAGAAGGTCACTCTGGCCGTGGCCGAGAGCAAGCTCGGCAGCTCGATCGTCAAGCTTCCCGAGTTGAACATCAAGCCCATCTCCGACTCCACGACAAACGACCTCTTCCGTGCCATCCGCCAACATCTGCCGGAGCTCATCCCCGGCATGCTCCCAGAGAACTTCCAGGAGATGTCGCTGGGTTTGTCGCACTCGCTCTCGCGGCACAGACTCAAGTTCTCTCCCGACAAGGTCGATGTCATGATCGTGCACGCCGTTTCCCTGCTTGACGATCTGGACAAGGAGCTTAACACATATGCCATGCGCGTGAAGGAATGGTATGGCTGGCATTTCCCCGAGTTGGGCAAAATCTTGCCCGACAACCTGTCCTACGCCAAGGTCATCGTCACCCTGGGCTTGCGTTCCAACGCGACCGAGGCTGATTTGTCCGAAATCCTCCCCCATGAGATCGAGACGGCCGTTAAGGCCGCTGCCGATATCAGCATGGGCACTGAGATCACCGATGAGGACCTCGAAAACATCAAGCTTCTCGCCGAGCAAGTTATCAGCTACTCCGAGTACAGGAGACAGCTTGCTGAGTACCTCGAGAACCGCATGAAGGCCATCTCCCCTAACATGACGGAGCTTGTCGGCGCTCTTGTTGGTGCTCGGCTCATCGCCCACGCCGGCTCCCTCATCAGCCTCGCCAAGAACCCCGGTTCCACTATTCAGATCCTCGGTGCTGAGAAGGCGCTCTTCCGTGCGCTCAAGACCAAGCATGCGACGCCCAAGTACGGTCTCATCTACCATGCCTCTCTGGTCGGCCAGGCTTCTGGTGCGAACAAGGGCAAAGTGGCTCGTCAGCTCGCTGCCAAGGTTGCCCTTGGTGTCCGCACTGATGCCCTCGCTGAATTCGAGGATGACGCGGACGATGAGACACGCGCCAGCCTGGGTATCCGGGCCAGGGCCAAGCTAGAGAACAACCTGCGGGTGCTAGAGGGCAAGCCGCTCTCCAAGGGCGTTTCCGTGGGCCCCAACGGCATCCCGCTCGGTGCCCCCTCCAAGTGGGACATCAAGGAGGCCCGCAAGTACAACATTGACGCCGATGGCCTTTCAGCCGAGGCGGAAGCGCCTAAGAAGCCCCTCATCGAGGAAGTTGACGAGGAGATGGCTGGGCTCGACGTTTCGGCGGAATCTGATGAAGAGATGCAAGAAGCTCCTAGTAAAAAGGAGAAGAAGGACAAGAAGGAAAAGAAGGAGAAGAAGGACAAGTCGAAGAAGTCCAAGGACACAGAGGCTGCTGCGCCTGTCGAGATTACCGAGAAGGACTACGAGCGTCTCGCTAAGGAGGTGGGCATCTCAGTCTCCAAGTTCGCCCGCCGGTTCGAGAAGGGACAAATCAAGGTGAACGCCGACGGCACGGTAGAGGTCCTCGACAAGAAGGAGTCCAAGGCTCGGGAGGTCGAGGAGGCGGAGGTTGAGACACCCGTCAAGGCCAAGAGCTCGAAGCGCAAGCATGACGCCGAGGAGGCGACGCCAGTCAAGGAGGAGAAGCCAAAGAAGAAGAAGAAGAAGTCCAGCAAGGAGTAGGCAGCAACCTCTCCTGCTAGATTTACGTCTTTTACTTCCTTCTCTGTATGATACACCTGGCGTCCCGGCTGGTGGTTTTGGCGTTTGGATGGGCACGAGTACGGCGTTCGGGCGGATTGGTTGTGTGATTCATGCCGCACTCCAGTTTCGGGTGGTGAAAAGGCGGAAACGGAGGCTAGTTGCTGATGCGCTCTCACAGGGGCACGTATTGTTAGCACAGCGAGGACAGACTCTACCGAGTATTAGTATTGAAGGTTATACAATTTGGTTTCAAGACGTGTTTCTTTTGTGACTGTCATGGGGGGAACAAGTCCACCTTATCGCGCTGGCTTATCGCCTGGTTCTGGGGTGACGCGCCCAGGTTGCCCCACTAAAATTCCATCACCAGCTGCATTCCAGCGACCGCCATCTTGAGTTTCCTTGTCGAGATATCGATTGATAACTCGAATTTCCAAAACCCACCACAACATGCCTGACTCCCCACGTAGGCGGTCGCGGTCGCGATCGCCACCAAGGCGACCGAAAGCCGGCGGTGGCTTCAAATGGAAAAACAGGCGCACCGATTCAGACGACCGGCGCGACGACCGGGGCCTACAGCGTGGATACCGTGATCGTTCGCCCAGGAGAGACAGGGAACGCGACCGCGACCGCGAGTCCGGAAGGGACAGGGATAGAGACAGAGGTGGGAACCGAGACCGATCACCCAGGCGAGACAGGAGTCGAGACCGCGATCGAGAGAGAGACGGAGACAGGCCCCGCCGCAGCGACAGAGACAACAGAGACCGCTCCCCACGAAACAACAGCAACAACAACCGCTCAACCGACCGCGACCGCGATTCCCAACCCAAACCCAAACGCTCCAAACCGCCACCGCCCACAACCAGCGCAGCACCAGCACCTGCGGCATCAACAGCAGCCCCAGGCGAACAAATGATCCTGGTCACGGTCAACGACCGGCTCGGCACCAAGGCCCAGATCCCGGCCTTCCCCAGCGACACGGTCGGCCAGTTCAAGATCATGGTCGCCATGAAGGTCGGCCGCGAGCCCCACGAGATCTTGCTCAAGCGGCAGGGTGAGCGGCCGTTTAAGGATATGATTACGCTGGGGGACTATGGGGTGTCGAATGGAGTGCAGTTGGATTTGGAGGTTGATACGGGGGATTAAAAGCATGGTGTGGTGTGATGTGGTGGGTTATGGGATGGGTGTTGTTGTCTCACGGGAGGGAGTGGCTCTGTACGAACTTGTTGAGTAAACTAAGGCTCGTGAGAGTATTTTGGACTGATAAAGCAGCTAGCTAGGTAGTGATGATAATAGAATACCCGAACACCTAACTCCAGTCGTAACCGTCACCCCCATCCACAACCCTCCCATCCCAACCACCCATCACCCACCCATCACCCACCCATCACCCACCCATCACCCACCCATCACCCACCCATCACCCACCCATCACTCATCCCCTCCCCACCCCTCACTCTCCCCATCCCCATCCTCCACCTGCACCCGCCGTGCCCGAAACGCCCTCCCCCGACCACCACCACCCCCAACACTATTACCACCACCACCCTGCGGCACCTTGATAAACAGCCCCGGCCTCTCCTCCCCACCACTCCCATCACTCCCACCCCCAACCCCACCACTACCAGGCCGGCCGGGCAGATCCTCACCCTGCACCGCTAGCTCCGTCCCAGTAAAGCTAGGCGGTTTCTTCCTCGGCGGCGGCAGCGTCTGGCTCAGCGCGGCCGGGCTCCAGCGCGGCTGGCTCTTGTTGTTGCTGATGGAGTTGGTGTCGAGGATGGGGTTGGGGTCGGCGTCGGGGTCGTGCACGGTGGACTCGCTTGCTAGGTCGCGTTGGTGGTGGTTGTGGTTGCTGAGGCGTTCTTCTTTGGTGAGGTCGGACCCGGTTTGGACATGGCCCGGGTCGTGCTCGGGGTGGTGGTGCAGGTGGCGGAGCTCGGAGAGGGTTGGGGGGCGGTTGGCTGGTTGTCTGGGGAAGGGGGTTTGGTGTTTAACTGGGGGTGGGGATTGCTTCGAGAGGTCTGGGGGAGGGTTTGTTAGTTGGGGGGTGGGAAGGGGAAGTGGGAGGGGGGTTGCGGCTTACGGTCGGTGCGGAGCTGTTTGCCTTGGGTTATGTAGTGCTCTTTGAAGTCTGGGGGGCAGAGTTAGTGGGGGAGTTGATGGGAAGATTATAGGATGGGGGGATTTACGATCGATGCAAAGCTGCTCGGCGATGGTCTCTTGGTGGCATTTGGGTTTGGAGCAGCCATCTAGCTTGCGTGTCAGTCTTTTTTAATAGGGATGGGGAGAAAATGAATGCTCACGAGTGCCGCAGAAAATAGCTAACTCATCAACGTGTGCCTGGCATTCTTCGACACGGCAAGTGTCTATCGTCTCCATCATTAGTGATACATCAACAAGATATTGCCGGCAACTGAAAATGGTATCACTCACGCATGGGGCAAAAAGTCCCGACATCTTCAGGTTCGGAGGCCCAACCTCGAGGGTTGTAGCAGTTCGGTTCAGCACACCGATCTGATGGTGGTCAGTACGATTAGCGTTAGTAGTATTAGTACCTACGACTCACGGTCCTCGCAATATGGCTCGAATTTGGCCGGTTTAGAGCATTCTCGCACTCGGCAGGTGTGATTCGAGCAGTAGCGCGAGCGGTCCGTCTTGAGGGCGGTACACTGGCGTATGGGGCATGACGCGTCTGTGGATGTTAAGAAGCAGGTTTACGATGGAGCAGCGTGGTACTTACGGTCGATACAGAACGTAAGGTACTCGTTCGTCTTGGGTGACAAGTGTCTTGCCTCATTGCAGTTGCTCATCTGGCATTTGATGTCTGTGATGGTTGGTCATTGGTCTCGAAAACATAAAGACCCCTACTGGAGGATTGACTTACGGATTACACAGTAGGGAAATTGGCCTTCGACGATAGTCTTGCAGGCTTTGTTCTTGCATTGGTCTTGCTGGTATCAGTAGCTGGTTTGTCCCGGGCATAAACGGTAGGACTTACGCTCCAAGCAGCAGTTCCGTTGCTCTTGACGTAGGTTGGAGCATTCCTCTGCCTGACAAGCATCTGCTAGACGTCAACATGGCATTACACTAGTAGGGCAGTATAGGTACTTACGGGACTGGCAGTAGGTGGTTTCTGAAGACGCCCGTCTCCCACCGCATCGTTGCAATGCGCATTTGTCTACTCCCAGTCAGTACCGCCTAGTTAAATAACACACCTCCCTCATATAAGACGCACGGTCAGAGCAGACATCGAAACGGGCATATTTCGGGACGGCATTGGACAAGGAGTCAAAGTCGGGTTCGAGGAACTGGGCGCGGGCCTGGGTGCAGTTTAAAATGGGGCATCTCGCATCTGTCAAATCCTCAGTCAGCTGAGTTGAAAGAAACGATAGGCTTTCGAAGTAGCTTACGGATGGCGCAGACGCTGTCATGGGACGGCTTCTTGTAGACACAGCGCTCGTCGCCGTGGAAGTGGACGCAGGTGTCTACGGACAGGTAAGTAAACGAGGGGTATGTATATAGGACATAAGACAGAGCGTACGATGTTTGCAATAAGGGGAAACTTGGATGGGGTTGGAGTGTCGATGAAGTAGACCTGTGGGTGAGCCTCGACCACCAGGCACCAAAGGGATCCGGCCATTTCTGCCTCTCTGTTCGTCGAATGCTCCTTCAGCAGGCTTGAACAGAACCTCGTGGTTACACCCCTCACTGCGGCACTCAATTCTTCGGTTCATTCTCATGGACGTTTTCGAAAGAAGTGGTAGGGTATTCGACGACGACGACGACAACAGCAAAAGCGCATGATGGGAAGAAGAAAAGAATAAATTAGGCTAGAAGGTCACCTCACTGATCTACACTACAAAACTAACAAACCTGAGCGGGCTGAGCATCACCACAGGAGCCGGGCGTCACGCTTTGCAGGCCAAGTTCAGCGCATTTGCGCCACGAGACGCGGTACACGACCTGGTCTTCCATGTAAGCCATGACTCTGGTCCCTGATTGGTGCCGCCATGGCAGCCCGACAACAGGATGGTTGGAGGCTGAGACACGTAAAACCAAGCTTAATGGACGCGGGGTCGAAGGGACGTTGGACCCGGGATGCCGAACAGCCAGGCTCAGCCAGTCCAGTCGCGTGGCTCCCATGCCCGGCTTGAGAGGGAAGGGAGGCATGACTATCATTCCATGGATGTGTTTCAAGGTCAGTGTTTCCGCAGATTGGCTAGTACCTTTGCACATACAAAGATTGAGTAGAAGTCAACCCAGGTAGAAGTAGCATGTGAAGAATAAATAATTATCTTGCAATAGGTCTCGTTCGATAATCTTTTATTGCGTCTGCTGTGTCAGTACCCCCACGAGGTTCTCTGAAGGAAACATGGATAGAGGCACCCCATGACCAAAAAACCCCGGACTCCAAGTGAAGTGAGCTCGTGAGGTTCGGCTCTTTTTGGCCAGAGGGGGTGGAGGGGATGTTGTTTCGTGGTGGGGTTGGATGGTCTCTTGGCGCGTGGGCTGAGCCGACCCACTGTTCCCCAGCAGGAAATCACCCTATTGGCTAAAAGCACGAGCCAGAAAAGTTGCGATAAGCCTTATCGGCGGTCGCATTCCAAGAAATATCACCGAGCGCCTCGAGATTCAATCAACAGGAACAATTGCACATAAACCATCGACTCGGAATACACTGAACGCGAAACAAGTTCACCATGTCTGGGGCGGTCCTCAGCTCTCTGTGCAGCATTTGCCACACCGAACCGCCAAAGTACAAGTGTCCCCGATGCAACGCCCGCACTTGCTCCCTGCCGTGCATCCAAAAACACAAGACCCGAGCCGACTGTGATGGTCTACGAAACCCCAGGGCATTTATGCCATTGAATCAGCTCAAGACCGCCGCCGGAATTGACCACGACTACAACTTCCTCTCAGCCATTGAGCGCGCCCGCGAGCGAACCGAAAAAACCGTTGTCGAAGCCCGCCAGTTACTGAGTGAGAAGGAGCTGCGACCCCAGAACCAGGAAAAGGGTTTCCAGAAGGTTTGGTACGGCGATGAGTTGCACCACGTCCCGGTCCAATCCCAACCCTACAAGAAACATGGCCGACCACAAGAAGCACCGGCATTGATCGAAGGTTTCGACAAACACATTCGGCGGCGACTGCGGTACCTCGACATCGAAGCCACCACGATGCCCAAGGGCATGGCCCGCCAGAAGGACAACAAGACCTCTTGGAACAGGCGGACGCAGTCCATCAACTGGCAGGTAGAGTGGCTCGTCTACCGCGGGTCCGATCTAGGTTTCCCCGGCCAAAAAGACGACCAGCAGCCCCTCCGCATCCTCCACAAAACCCTCGAAGGCATTCCCGTCCACGCGGGCCTAGCATCCGCCCTCGACTGGCACCGCGGCCAACTCGACCGCCAAAGCCACGGCCAGCCCGACCCGACCGAAACCGACAACGAAACCGACCCCGACGAGCCCTCCTCCCCCCCACCCCCCAAGAAACGCAAAGCCCTCCACCCCAACAACAACAACACCACCAACAAAAAACAACAACATCCCCAACCCCAACCCCTCACGCAAGACCCCTCAACCTCCACCTGGCCCGCCGCCCCGCACACCTCCCAATACCCCCTCACCAGCGCCTGGTCACAGACAACCACCCGGCCCCACATCGACCGAACCCTCGAAGAAGAGCTCCTGACCTGGGATTTCTACCTCGTCAGCGCCGCAGGCGTCACGACAACCAAGACGCTCGTGCCGCTCGGCGCGGGTGATACTCTCGCGGGTGTGCTTGCGGGCCGGACGGTGTTGGAGTTCCCTACGGTGGTGGCGCTGCCGAGGGGGTGGGGTGTGCCGGAGGGGTGGGTGGTGGGGGTGGGGGAGCGGAGGGTGCGGAGGGTGCGGGGGGATGGTGCCGATTTGGGGAGGGGGGGGAGGGGTGGTGGTGGTGGTGGTGGTGGTAATGGTGAGAGGTTTGCTGGTGGGAATAATAATAATAACAAGAAGAGGGTGTTTGAGGGCGGCGGCTACAGAGCGCGGGAGTGGGGTCAGAGGGGGGGTGCGTCCGGCGGCGGGTATGGGAGGGGCGGGAAGAGGGCGAGGTATGATTCGAGAGGCCCTATGCGCGCGGCTGTTGAGCAGCAGCCCAAGCATGAGGATGAGGCTGAGGAGGGAGAGGTTAACAGTGACGGTGGAGAGGTTATCGCCACCACTGAGACGGCTGTCCCCCTCGGTAGCGGACCGCGGATGGATCTTGACTGGGAGGCGAGCAGTGTCACTGTTGGCCGGGAGGTTAGTATCACACTCGGTCGTGAGGTCGGTCGTAGTAGTGTTACGGTCGGCCGGGACGAGGAGGATGGAGAGATTCAAGAGGGACCTGCAGAGGGGAGGCTTCGAGCTGGGCTTGTTGATTACGGGTCGTCGGATGAGTCTGACTGACTGAGGCTGTTGCCCGTTGGGATTTAATGGTGTTTTGTATGCTATCTGGGGGATGACACCTTGATGTAGATTTGGGATAACAGTTCCAGGACATCGTACCCTAATCTGACGGGGACACACACCAGGGACATACACAGTAGTCTAGATGTCGTCTTGACTGTTTAATCTTAAAATTGTGGATAGCGTGATATCTACGCCTCTGGAATGATGTCTTATGGAGGGGTTTATTCCCATTAATACTGACTGATTCCCATGCTGTATTGTGTTTGTTGCTTATGCCGACCAAGAAAATTCAGCATTCCAACTGGAATGCTGAGGCCCATTTGACAACTCCACACAGAGCTAATAACAACAAAAATACTACCGGCTTTTCCATGCGTTTGCCGGCTACTCGATAGCATAGCTAGCCGTAAGGATTCGGTGGCAATATAAACCAACAGCCGGGCATGCCGCCGAGGTTTAGCTATCGGCACTCGGCGCGTTCACATTGTGGCAAATACTCCTCCCTAACAATGCATCGGTTGGTTTATATTAGGTATCATCTGGATGTGTTGGTTTCTTGACCACTATCCGAAAAGGATCCCAACCTCGTCTGTCCGATGCTGGCCGAGGAAAGCTGATTATGGGAGCAGACTCATCGTCGTGGGGGTGCCACGGCCCCGCTTTATAATGGATATCTACTTTTTCGGGCCGAACAAGGTCTGAAAGAAAGAAATGTTTTCGTCCCGATCAGTGAGCTATCCCCTCACGAGTACACAGTAGCACACAGTAAGAATCTCAAGGGCCGTTAACGATACCGTCCTGCTGTTCCGAGCAAGCATGAATCCCTCGGCGTGGCGGTTACACCAAGGCTTTTGATGGTGTGATGGTGCAGACGGCCAGCCGTTCTGTCGCATCCGGGTCTAGAAGTTTTCAATTTTCGCCCTCATCTCAACCAACGCCTGATCTCGGATGGGTCGTGGGCGAATCAACCTGTCTGCTTCTGACATGTGAAAGCCGCCAAGTCCCCGTGTCGCACGTTTGAGGGTGACATCGAGTCCATGCGGGTCCAACGGAAACGGTATCCGTGCCTGCCCACTCTGCCATCGGTTTGTTGGTGGGGTTCTTGACTTGACATCCCAGCCTGGACCTTTGGGCATTGAAGCGCGAGTCATTCGAAGGGAGCGAGCTGCGTCTGAGGGCGGAAATGGTTACTCAATCAATTGCCAGCCATTGATGGGTGGTTAATCATGCAAGGTTTCAACGGAATGCTGTGCGACAGATTGGTGATGACATCTCTCGAGATGATTGCGCCAGCAATCGCGGCAGTGGTGATGTTACCACATCTTGGCAAACCAAAAGAAGAGCCTGGCCGTGTGCGATTGCCGGGCCTTGCTCAGGTATGCCAGATACGGTGAAGGTCGGCAGTAACTTTGCTGCACAGGTTGGCGTTCCGGAAACAGCCAGCGTGTGGTCAATCATCACCAATGGATGGCGTGAAAGGCAACGACATGGACATCCCTGGGATCGAGACAATTAATCCACCTTCTCCGAGCTTCCCATCAAAGACGACAAAACACTTGAGGGAACCAGCTCTGGAGCTTGGGCCAGCTTTCACATGCCAACGGTGGGTTGGCTTATCTCTGGCAAGCCAGGGCGCAAAATTGGGCGGTTGAGGTTTTGACTGGCTAGGAAGGGAGGGGCACCCCACCATCGAACGTTGCAGACGACATGGCGATAAAAAAGTGCCATCACGACTGGCTGTTTTCCTTGGGAAAGCACATGGGACTGGATCGGGAAGGGGGTGCCCGAGGAGAGGGTGGCGTCGTACCTGCTTGGTCGGCATGTCTGCCTGCCCTTTTTATAGCATTCCACGCCTGCCTTCTCCCTATCTCATGTTCCCTCCCTCATCTCACTTTCACTGACCCTCAGCCTTGCCCGCAATCTTTGGACGTCTTTGCTCTCTTTACTCACAATTGCATCGAACTGGGATAACTCACTCAGCTCACCAATCTCTAATCTCTACGGTTCCCCAGCTCGGTCAGGTATGTGCAGCGCCCTAATTTGCCTGCTCTCCGCTTCCCCTTTGCTTCTCACCAGTGCGCAGTCAACTGACACATCCTACACCTAGAGTCAACAATACAATGGCGGAGACCAAGACAGCCCCTGTGCCCAACGGCGTGTCGCCGCGTTCAACCACACTTCGCGTACGCCAGCATTACTCGCCTTGGATCCGAATATACAGAACACCAGCTGACGAAGACACATAGCACCTCCTGACTCTTCCCGCCGTCCAGGATGGCGTCCGCGCATTTAGTGCCAATCCAATTGGCAAGATGTCGATCCGGCTCACCAACTCGGTGTATGAGTTGGTCGGCGCCCCGATGCTCAGCCTCTTCAACAAGCCGCTGGCCTACGTGATCCCCTACGCCCAGCGGGCCGACGAGTTCGGTGTCGAAACGCTGTACAAGGTGGAGGAAAAGTACCCGCTGGTGAAGAAGCCCTCTTCTGAGCTCCTGAGCGACGCCAAGGAGGCCGCCTCCCAACCGGCCAGGCATGTGGCCGAGGTGTACAACGGTGCATACAAGAAGGCGGGTACCAACCACACCATTGCCAGCGCCAAGGCGGCCGTCGAGACGGCGGCCATTGTGACATTCGAAGGCTCTGTCTTTGCCATCCGCGAGACCCTCAAGCTTGGTCAGTCGTTCCAGATCACCGAGTCGCTCAACCGCGCGGTGGATCGGCTAGAGGAGATTATCAAGCGCCAACACAGCGCCAGCACGGCCAGCGCGGTTAACCACGACCAAGCTGAGCCGCAAAACGCACCCGAGCCCAAGACCTCGATCGTTTGATCGTGGCAATGGTCGTACGGGTGGCAGACGGTGTGCTCCAATACGTGGACTGGGACGTTGCCGGCATGGTTTTGGTCTTTCGAGAAGTCCACAGTTGTGAATCGGTGCAGCGTGGTTTCTTTGGTTCGGTTCGGCCGCGGATGGAGGAAGGAAGAATCAAGCAGGCTTTTCTGGTCTGGTCAGCGAAGAGGGATGGAATAGACACGGTACCATGGGGCATGTAATTAACAAGCTTAACAAAACGGAGAATGGAGTTGGACTTGAACTTGAACTTCACAAGTCGGAACTGCCCTGTGAAAGGTGCGAAACGAGGGAGAATCACCGCCCTGCCTCCGCAGACTTCAGTTAGAGGTGACTGAGAATTCGTAGTGACTGACCGACGCCAACCTGGGAATGTCTTGAAGCAGCCATTATGGAGGTTTGAGGTTCGAACTGGCTTGCACACACCCAAAGGTAATTGAAGTTTAACCAGTCACACTGAGTGCAATCCCAAGCTTGCGGGTACTGACCACGGCACTACTTAAACTGAAACAACTATCGCACCTAGCTAGTCGTTCAAACGCAGTTAGTTTAATGCAGTCAGTGATACACATCGACGAGTTAATGATCGATAGGGGTTGGGTGGGGGTTAGGGGTAGGGATAGGGTTCGGTATAGGGTTACTTTGACAACCCTACACCTATCCCTTACCCTATCCCTCACCCAAACCCTAACCCAGTCCCTATTTCCAATTATTAATCCATCTATATAAACTGACTTGAACTGGTGCATCGTATTAGACAAGTTGAACGGGGTGGCGAGGATTAGATGAGGTCTCTCCCAAAGTTACGGCAATGTGATGTGTGCGCATTCAAGATGCGAGTCTTTTCCAGTTTGCACCTCAAGCCTCCGTCAGCCATGGATCGGCGCTTTAAAATCTCCCCACCTCGATTACCCGTGGATAATGTCAGCAACCCCCCTAACCAAACTGGGCCACGAGCTCCAAACTTGCCCCACCGAATTTGCCGCCGCTTGTATTCTTACCTTAGCCTTAGTCAGGAGGGGCACGCCGAGGGAAGAGAAGGTTCGTGATAATTTATAAAATGAAGCGTGTTCTTTGTCTTGGTTTGGAAATACAAACCGTTAGTCTAGTGTCCATTAGTTTTGTATATAAGGAGTCATCCGCTCAGCCAACTCGATGAAGACTTTTTCCAAAATCACCATCGCCATCTCCATCATCGTGGGCCTCTGTTCTATCTTGGCTCTTTTGAAGAACACTAAAGGAAACGACATTCTCGAGTTTGCAACAACTAACTCTATCATTTCCAACCTCGTACCAGCAAACATCATCACGGCCATAACCACGGCCCCAACCTCGGAAGAAAACAACAACAAAAACAACTTAAACACCCCATCCTCACCCACAATGTCCGCCGCCGCCGCCGCCAACACCACCACCAAACTCCTCCCGCGCCTCATCCGGCAGACCTTCCTCGCCGCCGAGCAGGCCGAGGGCGCCGGCGCCCGCGTGCGCCGCTCCATCGGCACGCCCAAACTGCGCAACTTCTCGCCCTTCCTCATGCTCGACCACTTCTCGGTCGCGCCCGGCGCCGGCTTTCCCGACCACCCCCACCGCGGCCAGGAGACCATCACCTACCTGATGGACGGCGCCATGGACCACGAGGACTTTGCCGGCAACCGTGGTCGGCTGGGCCCGGGGGACCTGCAGTTCATGACCGCGGGCAGGGGGATTGTGCACGCGGAGATGCCGGTTGCGAGGGAGGATGGGAAGCCGAATGTGGGGCTGCAGTTGTGGGTGGACTTGCCGGAGAGGTTGAAGGCGTGTGAGCCGAGGTATCGGGATTTGAAGGCGGAGGAGGTGCCCGTTGTGGAGGTGGATGGCGGGAGGGTGAGGGTGAAGGTGATTAGTGGGCAGAGCCATGGGGTGGATTCGGTCAAGGATCTGGCGTACACGCCCGTGTGGCTGCTGGATGTGGAGGTCAAGCCGGGTGGTAGCATTGTGCAGCCGCTGCCGGAGGGGTGGAATGCCTTTGCGTATACGTTGGAAGGGGAGGTGTTGATTGGGGAGGCCGGCAACCAGCGCACGGTGGGCGCGTATCACAACGTGGTGTTTGAGGGGGAGGGCCAGGCGGTGTACGCGGCTGTTGACGAGGGCGCCGAGAAGAGCGCGCGGTTCGTCATCATCGCCGGCACACCGCTCGACCAGAAGGTTGTGCAGTACGGGCCGTTTGTGTTGACCAGCCAGGAAGAGGTGTACAAGGCGTTTATGGACTACCAGACGCACTCGAATGGGTTTGAGAGGGCGGACGGGTGGGAGAGTGAGATTGGGAAGAGGGGGCATTAGGATGGAGAAGAGGATGTTTTGTCGATTGGATTGTACATGTAACATAGAGGATACCAATTCAGAGAATGCTCGTTTAGGCAACTAAGGACGTACCCCGAGGCTCGCTAATTCCCGTTTCCGAAGTGTAAGTACTTGCCTCACTCTACTTGGAGTATGGGGGCACATCTTGGGGTTTGTGTGTAGTGTCATTATATTATTAGATATTAAAAATTAAAATTATTTACAGTAAAAGCCGCTCCCCGGCGCCACCGACCTCCCCCTTTTGCCCCCTCTCGGCCACCTTCGCGGATGCCTCCCCCCCAAGCCCGCTGTCATCCTCCGAAGCCGAGTCCCCCTCCCAATCGCTGCCGTTCAAACGACAGCCCCTCCCCGAACTCCCCCACCCCCAACCGAATCCGAGCCCCCCCCCCTTAGTCGGTGCCGGCGTCGCTGTCCACGTCCCCCGCATACCCGGCCTCCGACCCGCGCTCCTCCTCCGCCTCCCGCCTCAAACGCACCTCGCACAGCACCACCAACCTCCCCTGCAACTCCTCACCCGCAACATCAACACCCCACTCCCCCTTCTCGCCATACCCCCGGGGCTGCTCGTCACACGCCGAGTTCATCGGCGTGGGACAAGGGCAGGGGGGTTCGCGAACGGCGGCGGGCAGCAGCAGGTCCGGGGTCGGGTAGCCGAAGCGCACCCAGGCGGCGACGCGGCGGCGGGCGTAGCGGGCCGTGGCGGCCTCGCAGGCTTCCCGGTCGGCTTTGGCGAGGCGGGCGCGGGCGCGGCGGTGGAGCGCGGCGGCGAGGGCCCGCTCCGCGCGGTTGGTGGTGGTGATGGGCGCTGGTGGGGGTGGTGGTCGCGGTGGTCTTGGTGGTGGTCTTGGTGGTGGTCTTGGTGGCAGGCCGGCTTGGTGGCGCTTGAGCGCCTGCAGGCGTGCGTGGGTGAGGCGGCGATGGCGTTGTTGAGGGGGCTGGAAAGGGCTGCTGCCGCCACTATCGTTGGTGTTGTTGTTGCGGGAAATGGTCCAGAACATCTTGGCAAGTTGGGACTTGTATGGATGTAGATGTCGGAACGATCGGTGTGGGAACAGCAGTTGTGAGTAGGCCGGTATGGGCGGACGGGAATGTACATCCTCATCCAGGCCGCACATACCCTTTCTGTGACTCAGAGATTTCGTCAAAGCGTACAGAATGCATCGATACCCCGGGTTCTGATAAGTGATGCTGATTCCATCAGAGGTGGCGTGGCGGGTACATAGACGGCCGACGATAACATATCCGTGCGGCCGAGGTCGTGCGTGCCCATCACAGGTTGACGATAGCAAGGGGGATGTCGAGCCGTCGTCGGTGTGATGTCAGGCCTCCTATTATAGGTTGACGAGAGCAAAGCTAAGAATGCCGGGCCGTCCTGAATCCTTAGCACCTTCGATGAGTAGAATGTCAATGCACGAAGAGCGTCATCGTTAAAGTAGGGAGAGAAAAGCACGGACAGATAGCAAGGCGGTCGTGAAGGGAATGAAGCAGCGGGACGCAAAGATAGACTATGCAATGATAAGAAACTCAATGTGGCTAAGGAGAACTATGGCGAATTGTCTGCGGGTTTGTTGTAGACGGGAGGATTCCTGTCCCCATCAAACACTCTCCCGCCGCCATCGTACGGCGTCTGCCCTGTTTGGGCGCCCGACCAGGCTGCCTTAATTGACGGCAAGATCCCAAGCCCGCCTGCGCCGACAAGCTTCATGTTTGGTACCGGGATGGGCAGGCGCACCGAGGAGTCATTGTGCAGCATGCCAGGGTAGGACACCGAGTTGTTGACAGTGGGCAGATTCTCTGGGTCCTTGTTTGCCGTGTACCCGACCTTGTCGGCGACGAACTTGAAGACATTTGCGCCGACATCGTACCGACCCAGATTATGTAGGCCCCAGTTCGCCTGCAGGGTCGACAACATGCTGTAGTGGGTGTAGAAGGTATCGTCCTGGGTGCCCTTGAGGGCCGGCGGGATGGCGCTGCCCAAGAGCAGGGTAACGATGTGGTTTGGCTCGCTGTACGTCTCCGACTCGTCGTAGGTAAGGGCGATCAGTGTCTTTTCGTCAAAGGCCTTGTCGGCGAGCAACGGCTGGAGGAACTTGTGCGACCACTTGGTAGCAAAATCCAGTGTCGTGTTGTGGCCGTCGTTCATCATGTTGGGCGTCATGAAGACGAATTGCGGCACCTGCTTAGCAGCAAATGTCCGTTGGAAGGTGTCGAAGGACTCGAGCTTCAGCAGCCGTTCTCCGTCGTTGGTGACGCTGTCATAGGTCACAAACGGACTGGGTGAGGGTTAGTTAGTAAGACGGACTTTGAGTGAACGACACTGGGTCTAAGATGAAGATGAAAGCCTTACTTGTGTTTTCTGACATAGTCCCACCCATCGGTGCCAGTCGACCCGTCGCTGGCATTGCCCATGTAACCGGGCCCCGGCATGTCCTCGAAATAGCCACCCCATGTTACGTCCTTGTCCTCGAGCAGGTCGACAATAGTTGCGACATTCTCGGGAAGGCGCACCCAGTCGTCGTGGTTGTTGCCGAAGTACTCGCCAGCGAGGGCAGCGAGGTAATTGGGTTGGCTGGGGTGGGTATGGGCGTAGTATCTGGTCAACAGAATGCCCTGGCGCTTCAGATCGACGATGCTACTGTCGACAACGACCTTGGCGTAGTCCTATCATGCACAGTGTGTGGTTAGCTTTGGTGTTGGCAGCGTGGGGAATGCAAGCGAAAACGGAAATTGCGGGAGTTGGTTGACGCACCTGGTTCTCGAGCCAAATGGTGATGAACCGGTCAAACACCTTGCCCCGAGTCACATCTGCCGCGGCCAACCCAATCCCACTATATGCCCACACAAGAAGGCTGAGAAAAAAGCGTTGCATCATATCTTCGATTCATCACATCTCGAGATGTTGAGGAAAGGTGTTTGGATGCCGTCGTTGGGATGCCAAGCCCGCGGCCAACAGGGAGAATGCTTCCTTGTCTGTGCCACAAGGCCCTGCCAAGCATATTTCACGTTGAAGTGAGAATCAAAAATAGAAATAGGCACGAGCGAAGATTGAGCTCTTTTATGATTTTGCTCGACAAGTTACAGGAGGTTGATAGTCGGCTTTTGACTCCCTTCTTCGATTGTCACCCAATTACGAAGTATCAAGCAAAGAGTTCCTGGTCTGAACTCCGTCTCATGGAATGCGGCCGCCAACAAGTTCCATACCCGGGACAGTGGGACATTGATTCAGGGTTAGGGACTTGGCCGGGCACCTCGCTGGCCATAAAAATGCGAACTCCGGAGCAGAAGAAGAAATCAGAGCAGAAAAGAAACGAGATAGAAGGAATAGGACAAGACAAATGAAATAAAGAGTCGAGTAAGATAAAAGTAAATTGAGTAAATACGGTTTCTTTGGGCTTCCGGATTCCTTTATTTCCGTTCCTCCAGTCAAGGTTTGTTCAACGTCTGCAGTTCGAGTTCGGCATTTTTTGTCCATAGGGTGCCACCCTTCGAGCCTTCCTCCTTCCTTTCTTTTTCTTCTCCAGGCAGACGCCAAAATGCAACTAAGGTACCTCCTCAAACGCACAGCAACAATATCAATTCAATTGTAAGAACCGAGGCCAGCCTTGTTCCAAAACGAGCCTTGGTCACTCCAATTCGGCGAAGACATGAAAGTAGAAACGTCCTTCCAGTTAAATCCCCTCTCGGCGATGTCGGATTTAATTCCCCACTGAAGGATGCACCAAACAGTGCGCTCGGCGGTTGCTCGGCGCTCCGAAACAGGCCATGACACAGAAAAACCTGCCAAAACAGAACTGGCGGCCAGAGACGACTCGTAATCCCCTGGTTCTGAGGCAATTCGAGAACCGGCGGGCGATCGTTTTTTTTGTTAATTTGTCATCGCTGTGTGACGTTCAATGGTAAGCAGGCCGTTGTTGTCGGATGAGTCAATGGTCGTCGATGGCGCCGAGGGATGGTTGCATTTTGGCTCGACTTTTTATCAGATCGATTGATAAACGCTCGGCTCCCGACTCGACCGTCGCTGGAATCGCTGGAGCCACTTGAACCGAGACTCGTCCGTCACAGAAGCCTGTTTCCTTGCCACCCACTCTCGGTGGCGTGCTTGTTAGTACCGAAGCCCGGCCCGATAGCTCCGCTGGGACAATGTCGGAGCCGAGCGAGCGCAGTGAGAGCCCTGGGGGCACTGAGTCGCACCTGGACACCCTCGACGGCCATCATGACGACCAGGACGGCCGACCGCCCCCGCGCAAGCGTCAGCGCGTGAGGCTGTCGTGCCTCGAGTGCCGCCGCCGGAAGCTGTCGTGTGACCGCGAGTTCCCCTGCTCACGTTGCCTGCAGTCCGGCACCCCGGAGCGGTGCGAGTACGAGACCCGGCCCGGCTTGGCACCGCCGAACAAGCTCGGCCTACCGCCGACTGCTCTGACGGGTCTGGATGCCCGCCTGTCGTTGCCGAGCACCGGTGGGGAATCCCCTTACTTCCGCAAGGATGGCCGCGAATCAGACCGTATCCGCCGCCTGGAGCTCGAAGTGGCCCAGCTCAAGAACCTGTTGGTAAAGCAGGTCTCCCTCGACGGGAGCACCCTCCAGGACCGCTCGCCCCTGGACCATCCCAAGTCCGACGCCGAGCCTGAGCCCGAGGTCGAGGTGCCGCCGTTCCTGCAGACCCAAGAAACGGTCGCCGACAGGGAAGAACTCCGCTTTTTCAGGGGCAAGGAGTTCAAGACTCGCTACTTCGGCCCACATAGTGCATTCCTAGCCTTCCAAGAAGTATGACACTCGTGCTGCCTCCCTATGTAACAGTCGACTGACCATGTGTATAGCTCACCGGGCTATGTCCCTTCATGAAGGAGACCTCGGAGGAGTGGCTGCGGCCGCTACACATCCACCGGACCAAGGACCGCCGCAAGGGCGCCGAGGAGAGGGAGCGCAAGTTCCGCGAACCAGACCTTTCCCTGGAGTCGTTGCTCCCTCCCAAGGAGGAAACAGATAGTCTGGTAAACATCTACCTGGACCAATTCGAGCAGGTCCACCGCATTGTCCACATCCCCGCCTTCCGTAGAGACTATGCGAAGTTCTGGCTCCCGTCCGAAAACCGCAATGCCGCCTTTACCGCCCTTGTCCTGGCCATCATGGGCATCTCGAGCTGTCTCGCGGCCCAGATGCCACACAAGTTCGAGAAGATGGTGTCGCACTCGCACGCGAACGCCATCCGGTGGGTCGAGGCCGTCGACGAGTGGCAGGAGCGGCAGAGCCAGAAACACCGCCGCCTGATCCACTACCAGATCGCCTGCCTCATCTACCTGGCCAAGAGGGTCAACACCATGAAGAAGAAGCGCTTCTGGAGGAACGCGGGCTCCATGACCCAGGACGCCGTCTCGGTTGGCCTCCACCGCGAACCAAGCCACATGTGCGACAAGATCTCGCCCTTCAACCAGGAGATGAGACGGCGCATCTGGGCAACAATCCAGAGCTACGACCTTCAGGCGTCGTTCGACCACGGCCTGCCCTCCATCCTCTGCTCCCTCCACTACGACGTCAACCCGCCACGCAACATCGACGACGACGAGTTCGACGAAGACACCAAGGAGCTACCCCCCTCCCACCCCCCAACGGACTACACCTTCTCCTCCTACCAGCATATCAGCCGCCACAGCCTACCCCTCCGCCTCGAACTCAGCCGCGTACTTACCGGGCCGCCCGAGGAGCTCGACTACGACCGCGTGATCCGCTACACCAACGAAATCAACCAGGAAATCGACTCCCTCCCGTCCTGGGACGTAGGCGACGCCTCGTCCTCCTCGCAAGACCCCGTCCTCAAGAAGCCCCTCCTCGCCTACACCCTCCTCCACATCCAACTCCGCCAGTACATCATCCCGCTCCACCAGCCCTTCCTGCGCCTGCGCAAGGCCAACTCCAAATACCAATACTCGGAAATCATCTACTACAACGCGGCGCGCGACATGGTGCTGCTCAACGACCGGCTCGCGCAGCAGGGGATCCGCACGCTCAACTTCCTGCGCGAGGACAGCCTGACCCTCGCCATCAACCTCAGCAGCGTGACCATGCTGCAGCCGCGCGGGAGCACCAACATGATCATGATCAACTCCCAGCACACCCTGCAGCTGCTCGAGCGCTGCCTGGCCATGAAGGAGGACCGCATCCTGCGCTGCGGCAACAACGAGCCGTGGGGGTACAGCATCATGTGCGCCGCCTTCGGCTTGCTCGAGGCCCACCTCGGCACCAAGACCCCCGAGGCTGCCAAGGCGGCCAGCGCCGAGCGGTTTGTTCACTTGCATTGGAAGCTGCTGGCGGGGCAGGATCCGCCGCCGCCCGGGAGTCAGCAGAGCGCGGCGGGGGGTGGGAATCCGAGTAGTAGTAATAGTAATGTTGGTGGGTGTTGTGGGGGTGGGGGCGCAGGAGCGGGTGCCGGTGCCGGTGGGCAGACCGGCAGCGGGGCGAGTGAGCACGGGAGGGCGGTGGTCGGCACGCCGTTCGCTGGGGTTGGTGCTGGGTCTTATGCTGCTGCGGTGCCGGGACCGTCACCGGCGGATGTGTTTGTCAGGTCCAAGGTTCGTGTCACTTTCCACCAAAGCCGGGTTTGTGGGGTTGTACGGGGATGCATGCTAACGGTGATGTAGTCTGTCACGCCCTTCCCGCCGTCGTCGTCCCAGCAGGGCGCTGGGCAGCAGATCGAGGTCCCGGGCACGCCGTGGTGGCTGCCCAACGCGGCGGACCCGTCCACCATCCCGCAGGTTGGTCTATACAGCGGTGACTCGGTCGCGGCGGCCCAAGCTGATGTTCCCCAGATGCCGGCCCTGAACCCGGAATTTAGCCTCGAGGCCCTGGGACTCAACCTCAACGAGCTCTGGGGCAGCGGCACGTTTGACTGGGACGCTATGATGCCGTGAGGGGTTGGGAATGGTTGCGCCTTGTGCTCTAATTGGGGGTTGTTTCGTTAATATTGGCGACGGCGCTCTTGGGAATGGTCAAAAGCTGTATAGTGTATACCCGCATCATCCTCACTCGACTTAGTTACTTGTAGTTACGGGCAGGAATAAACTCAAATACCTTCATGGCTCGGGTCCCTTCGGCCGTGGCATATCCCTGCTTATGTCGGCGGGTTTTTGTCGAGATACAACATTATTGCACAACCAAATCCAACCCATAACCATTCGTCCATCACAGTGTACAACATGTTGAGGTCCCGTGCAATGTTGGTGATCCCCTTTCCGTCCCGACCCGTAACTGGGGTGTCAGCGGACTTACACACACCCAAGGCAAAGTTTAGCCAACCACATCAATTGCAACCCCCCGAGCTTGCGGACCTCACAGCAATCCTCAAACCGCAACAACCATTGTATGTAGTCGACTGCACGCACTTAATTTGATGCAGCCAGTTCGACACATCGGGATGGGCATAGGGGTAGGGTTCGGGGGAGGGCTGGGGCTGGGTATAGGGTTAGGGTCTAATACCAAAGCGCCCTACCCCTAGCCCAAGCCCAAACCCAAGGTGTGCTGTTGATTAACCTAGCTATGTGCGTCAAACAAACTGTGATTAACTCTATCAAATTGACTGCGCTGAATTGGTTTATAATTGGAGATTAAACGAGCTCGCTCCAAAAGTTACGGTGCATTCACGGCGGGTTTTTTTTATCGAGTCGCACCGTCGGGTCCTTGCCGTCTTGGCAACCTTGAACACAAGCCAATTTCAACCTCGGCTTTTCTCACTATCCTCCCACCGCTTCACTCACTCTCACCTCCCCTCCTCCCTTCAAAGCATCAACTCCCTCATTCCTTCCACACAGCCAACAAAAAACAAAACAATACACCAACCCAACCACCACCATGACAACCCCCACCCAAACCCACCCCAAAACCGCGGAGGACGACCCCATCCCCCCCGCCCAAAAAGCCCGAACCATCGCGCACATGAACGCCGACCACCGCGCCGACATGCGCCACATCCTGCTGAACTACGGCGCCGTCCCGCCCGTGCCGGCTTCTTATTACGGCCTTATCAAGGATGGCGGCGATGGCAGTGTGAATGATGCCAAGAACCCGCTCATGACCGACATCGACCTCACGTCGGTCACGCTCCAGCTGCCCGGGAGCGCGCTGCTGCATCGCGTGGTGTTTGAGCCGCCGTTGGCGGGGTGGGCGGAACGGAGGGGGAGGCTGGTGGAGATGACGCGGGTTGCGAGGGAGGCTTTGGGGGTGGTTGCTGAGGATGGTGATGCTGGTGGGGATCATGGTGCTGGTGCTGGTGGGGAGAAGGCGGTGGTGGTGGTGAACGAGTACATGGCCCCGCGCGTGCCGTTGGATCTGGCTATCTTTGTGGGGATTCTTGCTTATTACCTGTCCTTTGGGCTCGTGTGGATGGGGTATGTCACGCCTGGCAGCCTGACGGCGCAGGTTGTGGAGGCGGTGCGGTTTCCGGGCGGGGTGGAGGGGTTTGTGTGGCTGGTTGAGACTATCTTTGTGCCGGTGGTGGTGCTGCACGTCTTTGAGACGTGGCTGCTGGAGAGGACGAAGCTGCAGAAGTTTGGGGTGAAGAGGGGGAGTGCGGTGTGGTGGATGTGGGTGGTGAGTGTGTTCATCGAGGGGGCCATGGCGTTTAAGCGGTTTGATATCGTTGTCGAGAAGCTGAAGGGGAAGGGAAAGAAAGGGCAGTAGGGGGTTGTAGAGTTGGTACTCTCAGAAATGCAGGTCCCGCGATACGAATGTTGACACTCATGATCCATACCCAAAAAAAGCAGGGCAAAAACAATGGGGGGAGTGAGGCAAAAGTATCACGATGCCCAATAACAGGATTGAACTGTTGACCTTCGCATACCATATACAGGTGGAACCGGTATTAGTACGACGCTCTAACCAGCTGAGCTAATCGGGCTTGAGAATGACTAATATTTCGAGTTTAGATCTTATGAAGGAGGTACAGAGGACGCCGCCCCCAACCTTCCAGCTTCAACTCCTCCGCTGCTGAGAACTGGCTGAAGTATTTCAGAATGATCCCACACGAAACAGTGGGGGGCTCGATGTTGTGTGTACAAATCTGTAAATCGACGTTGGTATCAAACGCAAGATTCACTGCTGTTTGTGGGGATTTGCCCAGCAGTTAGCCGATTTGCGGAGCAAAATCGATCTTGTTCTGGATCTGAGTATTGCTCGTCATTCTTTCCATTTTGTGACCTCACGATCGAGATGATGGCACGACCTCCAAAACAAAAGAAAAACCCCATCCAATCCGCCATTAATTCGTGGCTGGACTCCCTCTCTCCCTCACTCATCGAATCCATCGCAACTTCACACGATGGGCAGATCAGCAGCAATGACACCAAAAATGTGCTCTTATCCGGCGCCCCTAAGCGCTGGGTCGTCTATGAGCCCATGGTCTTGTTACCGAGCGGCAGTTTCACCACCCAACCATGGCCAGCCCTCCTGTCCTCATCGAGCCCCTCCCAAAAGGAAGCCCTCTGGACCGCCATCCTCCACCACATATCACCCGCCAACAAAACCCCATTAACTCACCTGGCGGTTAACGAAGGCATCCCATTACACCTCGCCCCCGGCCTCTCAACCACGGACGGTGAGAGCCCCGAGGAACATGGAAAGGAGAACCGCCAAAACAACAACGATGACGAGAACGTCCTCCGCTCCCCCACCCACCTGCACCCCCTCCACGGCGACTTCGGCCCAGCCCCCTCATCCACACCCACCTCCCCCTCCCAAGCCGACTTTGACGCCGCCCTCTGGGTAACCACCAAGCAAAACGGCCTCGTCCAGGCCTGGGCACCAGCCCACACCATGTTCAGCCGGGGCAACATCAAGGAAAAAGCACGCCTCCTCTCCTTCCACGACCCAACCGTCAACCCACCAACCACCAACCCACCAACCGCCAACCCACCAACCCCCAACCCAACTACTACTACTACTACAACCCCAACCCCAACCCCAACCTCAACCGCCCCCCAAAGGACGAGCACCACCACCACCCTCCACGGCAAACACGCCATAGACCTCTACGCCGGCATCGGCTACTTCGCCTTCCCGCTCGCCCGCCTCGGCCTGCGCGTCCTCTGCTGGGAGCTCAACCCCTGGAGCGTCGAGGGCCTGCGGCGCGGGGCGGCCGCCAACGGGTTCTCGGTGCGGGTCATAACACCCCCAGCATCCCCAGCACCCCCAGCGGGAGAGGGGGAGGGGGAGGGGGAGGGGGAGGGGGAGGGGGTGGTTGATGATGATGACGATGATGATGTGCTAGCGGAGGCAATGGCGGGCGGGGAGCAGATCGTGGTGTTTCTGGAGGATAACCGGCGGGCGGCGGGGCGGGTGGGCGGGTTTCGGGAGCGGAGTGGTGGGGGGGTGTTGGAGGTGGTGCATGTGAACTGTGGGTTTTTGCCGACGAGCGAGCCGGTGTGGAGGGATGCGTGGGGGATGGTGGTGGCGGGCGGGGAGGCGGGGTGGTTGCATCTGCATGAGAATGTTGGGGTCGCGGATATCGAGGCGCGGAGGGGGCAGGTTCAGCGGTTGTTTGATCGGTGGGCGGCGGAGGATGGGGAGAGGGACGGGGAGGATGGGGGGAAGAGGGCTGTGGTGGAACATGTCGAGCTGGTCAAGACGTACGCGCCGGGGGTGTGGCACTGCGTGTTTGATGTGTTTATTACTACTAGGTCTGGTGCTGGGGAATAGCTAGATTTCGTCGGTGCCGTAGCTGGACATGCCGGCTGGGGTCATTACCATTACGTATATGTCAGTTATGTTCATGTGTCTGTTCCCATTACGCCGTCGCGGACGGCTTCCTTTATCCCCCCCGTCGAAACTTGGACGGTATGTTGGACTCGATGATGCTCTGCTTGCTGAGCTTCTCCAGCCGCTCTTCTTCGGCCTCCATCTGCTCGTGCTTTTTGAAGTGCTCAATGTCCTCGGGGTGGGTGAGGTCTTCGAGCTTGGTGTTCTCGTCGTGGTATCTTTGCCCCCGTCAGCATCTCCCACTTCATCCAGAACGGGCGGGACGGCGGGCGGGGGTCCGGTATGAACTAAACTCACTTCTCCCAGTGGTGGATCTCGTACTCGTACTCGTCGTCGCCGTGGTGGCCGGGCCCCGTGCCCATGTCGGGCAGGGTCTTGCCGTCGGTCTCGATGAAGCGCACGAACTCGTCGCGGCTGATGCGCCCGTCGCGGTTGGCGTCGATCAGCCCCATGATCTCCTGCACGATCTGCGCCCGGCGGTCCTCCGACACGCCCTTATTCGACTCGTCCATCAGCCCGTATGTCCGCAGGATCTCCTCGCCCTGCCAGCTGCCGTCGGCGTCGAAGTCGTGTAGCGCGAAGAAGGACCCCGCGTCGAACCCGTCGACGTGGTGCTCCTCTGCGGAGGGGATAAAGGGGGTGTCAGCGAGCAGATTGTGCCGCGGGCTGGGCGAAGGGGGGCCGCGGGCTATGTAGCAAGCATACCGGCCATGTGTTTCTGCATCCAGCTTGCGTTCTCGTCGACGTGCGGCTGGTGTGACCCGCTGCCGCCGTGGTCCCCGTGCGCAAGCGCGTGCCCTACTAGCGCCGCCAGGAGAGCACCTGAGAAGCGCATGGTGTTTTTTCTCGTTAATTGCCGGACCACGGTAAGTGTTGGTGCTGGGTGTTGAAAAGGTGCTCGGTTATCGGACCGCTGGACATTCTTGCCCGGTCCGGCAAGTCGTGACGGAGCTTGTTGTTTGTCCGTGCCAAGACCCCGACAGAATTCTGGGCCACTCGGGCCCTTCCAGGCCCTGACGACGGAGGCTTGAAGGTGCAAACTGGGAAAACCCACAGAGTGACACTCACCCCAAGGCAAAGTTTAGCCAACGACATATTTATTACATTAATTACATTGCAGCCCCGAGCTTGTGAACCACACTACTCCCCAAGAACCCAATCGATTGCACGCAGTTAATTTGATGCAGCCAATTCCAACCATTGTGGCAGGAGGCATAGGGATAGGGATAGGGATAGGGATAGGGGCAGGGTTAGGCATAGGGTCTGAACCTAACCCTAAGCCTATCCCTACGCCTAACCCTATCCCTATCCCTATTCCAAGCCCAAAGCTTATTGTTAATGACCAAGTAATCCACCTATGTATCGAATCGACTGCGTTGAACTGAATGCGTTGGACTGCTGCATCGAAATGGGATTCAACGGGGTGACGGGCATCAAACGAAGTCACTCCAAAAGTTATGGTGGTGTGCGCACGTTCAGTTCAGGGTGCTCAAGCCTCCAGACCTGACTCGGTGGGTCGGGGTACTTGACCCCTGGGCAATCAGGGACGGACTCGGTCCGATGACAGCAAACTTTTGGCACGGACATGCGGGAAGTTCATCGGATCCGGCGATCTGGGAAACGTGAATTGACGACAGCCTTGATTGGGACGCAAAATTGGGAGTAAATAGTCACACGCAAAACACAGAATTATCAGAGAGATTTGTGATTTGTGGTGTTACTTGGTGGTCAGGTGATTTCCCACAGTCAACTCAACTGGAGCCCCGGGCATTGGAACCTGGAATTTCCCAGGCGGGCCTTGGTGGCTCTGCGGCTGTAGCGGGGCACCGCGCACAAATTCATCAGCTCCCACACTGCCCAGAGCAACCCATCCCGTGTTTGCCCCCGCTGCTCCCCGCTGTCTCGGTTGCCGCCGTCGAGATCATCAGCGCTTCTGGCATGGTCGTACAACCCCTCCAATCAGAGACGGCGAGTGACAACGGCAGTCGACGCTAATGACATGTGGGAGGCCCGTTCGGTAGCTCCTTCGTCTCCCAAGTCGGCTTCTTTCTCGGTGTCAGCAGGGAGGACGGTAGTTATGAGAGGGTGAAGAGTGGATTTAGTTATTATTATATGTTGGGTTGGGGTGGCTCAGTTGTTGAAGAACTTGACCTCACCCTTTTCTCTCTCATTCCAACTCGGTTCCAACCGACAACTCCATTTTCTCCCCAAACGCCACAGCCTTCCATCACACCATTGCCCGAACGAAATTGGTTCCGTCTCGTATGAAGCGCGCGCCAGAGTTCTTCCAGAACAAAAAGAATCTCGGAACCAAGCAAACCAAGCAAACCAAGCAACCCAAGCACGGCAAGAGACGCCCGTCCCAAGCGAACTACATAATCCACCGTTACATCCGCGTCTGTGTACGCGGCTTGCCCATTGAGCCGGAGTGCTAGATGCGGTACGAAGTACGGCAGCTCGTGCTGAGCGCCTATACACTCAGCGATTGGCCCGTCTAGGCTCCAGCCGCCGTTGCAAGATATGACGATTCGTGCCGACAGGCAGCGTCATGGATGGCGATTACGGGGTAACCGAGGCACAGTCGAGGCAAAACAAAGCAAATCACTTTATCTACATGTCCCCGAGCCTCCCTCGGTTGATCAAGAGCCCTCTCCGTTTATCTTGGACCCGCTCTCTCTCACCTCCGTGTCCCACAATCTCATACTTACATCTCATGTCCCACATGTCCCACATGTTCCACTCATGTATATCTCACCTCTCACCACCAGGTCACTAACTACACAGTACACGACCATCATTTGCAACCACGCAACAACCACTAACCATCTGACTCGGTCCAGTCGGCTAAAAATGCAGTGCTACGAGTGCAACTCCCAAGTGCACTTACACCCTCCGACCACGACCCTGCACATGCATCCGACACGATGGAGTGGGTGATGGGCGGAAATGCGATGGGATGGTCAGACAAAGTTTGATGCGGTTTGCAACGCCAGCGGGCAGGTGAAGGGAACATGATCGACCCGAGCTCCCCTCACATTCCTCGACTCTCTCCCAGCCGGACTCCCCGCCCTCCCCTCCCCTCCCTCACGCCGTCCTTCTCTCCCTCCTTGGGCACCCTACCGAGCCGAGCAACTCCTCCGTCCTCACACCACGCTTCGAGATCAACCGACCGAACCCAACGACCGGCAACCTCACTTGCACCGCGAGATGCTCTTCGACGACAAAGGGCTCCGAGGCCCCTCCCGTCCGGGCAGCAGGAAGCCGTTCGCACTCGCTCCCACAACCCGTCGAAGAACCGGCCCTTTCTCGCGTCCTCGCGCACTCCCGAGCCACGCCCGTCAACGCAAACTCGAACGTCGAGGCAGACTCGAACTTCAGTGCGAACTCGAACTTCATCAAACAACCACCACCAAACGACGACACCCAGCTCTGGCGTCCCCCTCGCCCTCCCCCTCGCCCTCCTGTCCGTCCGTCCGTCACACACGCACACACACACACACATCTCACAGTTCACCGGCAGCCGAACCGAAAAGTTTCGTTAACGCTATTCATTAATAAATTCGCTGAATTAACTTCAACTTCGCTAGAGCCCACCCAACATCTCATCGCGGAGACTGGGGTTTACGGCGAAAACGCTACAAATACAGAATATTCCAAAACGCAGTCCGGGCGGACCCGGCTGCGAGGCCACCTGTTCGATGGCTTTTTTCTTGTTTTTCTGTCCCTTTAGCACCTCCAATTGTTTGCCTTTTTCTTTTCTCAATTTTTTTTTTTATTCCTTTCCGTCTTAACCTCGGCCATTCATTCACATGTCGTTGATCCTGGCACTAGGCATCTGCATGGAGATGTCCTCCTCAAAGTCGGCCTTGGTCAGCGGCCACGGCGCCCACCTGAACTCGTCCAACCTCCAGGTCGCGACGTCCGGGTGGATGGTCTCCCCCCTCAGCTGGTCCGACGGGATCACCGTGTACAGGCCCTGCCCGTTCGGCGGGCCCGACACCACCGTGTAGGCGCCCGGGCTGTCGAGTGTTGTCATGGTCGCCACCCCCGGGTTGTTTTGCTCGGGCACGTAGTAGCTGACGGGCATCCGTGGTGTTTGTTGTTGCATCATCTGCATGCTGTCGTACGGCGGCGGATGCTGTGGTTGTTGTTGTTGTTGTTGTTGTGGGTGACCCGGGGCCTCGAGGGGTGGTGGTTGCGACATGATCGGGGCGGCGTGGTAGTTGGCCATGCCGCTGTTCGGGACGCCTTGGGGAGGGCCCTGTTGGGGCATGCCGTAGTTGGGCATGTGCTGGCCGAAGCCGGGAAATGGAGGTGGTTGTTGGATTTGGCCCGGGTGATTCAGCTGGGGAGGGTGGCCCGGGAGAGCGTGAGGGGCAGCCGCCCACGGCATCGCGGCGTGGCTGTCGGGCGTCGGTGGTGGGCTGCCGCCCTCGGAAGCTGACTCGTCCATGCCGGCGGATTGGCGCGTACGCTGGTGGGTTCGCTTCCAGTGTTTTACCATTGTCGTCTTTCTACAGAAGCTGCGCCTCGGTCAGTGCCAGGCTCCAAACCAGCCCGAATAGGAGGGAGCAAAGCTTACCTCTTTGTGCACCCTTGGTGGTCACATGTGTACGGCCGCTTACCCGTGTGGATCCGACGATGCCTTGCCAGGCTCGAAGACTGTACTGAAGTCAGTATGAAGAGGGGCTTGGGGGGAGGCCAAGGGCGCGGCGTACATCTGAGAATGGCTTGCCGCATCCTACGTGCTCGCAGACGTGAGGCTTCTCGCCGGTATGGGTACGAATGTGGACTGTCAGAGCGCTCCTCTGGATGAACGCCTTTCTGCACTCCCCGTAATCGCATATGAACGGCCGTTCATTTGTGTGTATCCGGTAATGCCTTTGAAGATCTGACTTGCGGTTGAATCCCTGCAGAGGATGGGTCAGTTACCCGGCCGAGTTATCCCCAGCAGAGGACTGCCGGCCACAGGCACGAGTACACACCTTAACACAATCCTCCCAGTCGCACTTGAAGGCGCGAACTACAGGCTCGTTCTCCACGAGCTCGACGAGCTCCATTTTTATCAACGTCTGAAGTCGTGATTCCTTGGGGGAAAAAAAGGGTGGCGGCCGAAGATGATTGAGCAGCAAGTGGACTGCAGTCGGTTGCGCGCGCTTGTGAATTTCGAACCAGAATGGCACGGCGGGCGGATGGGTCGGCCTTTATATACTCTTGGGTGGCGTTAGTCCAAGCGTCAACGAAGAGCACCGACAATCTGGATGACGACAGATTCAAACGCAAGACGGCCGTGATAATTCGTCAAATGGTAATGATAGGTGCGGCCAATCCTCGACTTAAAGATGCGACCAATCCCCAACTTAAAGATGCGGCGAGGTGACGCCGAGGGGAGTTGATAAGAAAACGGGCCATGGATAGACCCAGGGCCGAGCCGGGGGGACGGGGGGAGGGGAGGGAGGAAGGGGGGGGGGGGGGGGGGGGGGGGGTGGTGAGGCGGGTTGGTGTGAGACGAGGATGACGGCAATGGAAGAACTCATGTATTTTCGTACCTGGCTCTGGCTTTCTTAAGCGGTTTAGTGGTGGAGCTCGTCCGGCGGGCTGGAAGTCCACGAAGGCACCCTGCCCTGTCCTGTCTGTGCTTGCCCGCCTGCAAGGTTCAGGTTTTTGACCCGTCTCGGTGTGTCGCGCCAGTGCCGAAACGAGGCGGCCAGGGAGGAGTTCAAGGTTGGAGAAGTGCTCTGATCAACCCGAACCCAAATATCTTCTCGCCTCCGGAGCTTTCGTCCGCCAGACCCTCTTGTCACCGGGGGGTGCGGTTGAAAGATGCGGTCGCCCGTCCAATGTCTTCGCACTTGGCAAGTGGAAGTGCACAAACAAAAAAGCAAATCGATCGGGTCCCTGCCGGCAAGGAGGAACAGGTTCTCTTGCTCCCGTCGGAGCTGACGTTATCGTTATCGTTGCTTCTTGCGGGAACGCAAGAACGGATATTGACCGGAAGAGCTGGCAACCCGATGCCAAAGTTGCTGTTGTCTTGGTGCCGCAGCCACGGATTTCGTTTCCCAATGACTCTGAAAGCCCAGCTCTACCCGGGGGACAGGTCTTGGAGCTGCGAGAAGCGGTTTGGGGGGAAGGACGGGGGTGGGGTGGGCGCGGTTTTGTACACACTCAGAAACGATCTGGGGATGAGGAGCCGGGTGCGGGCGGAACCAAGCGAGATATTCAGTCGGCGACGAGTTGGCTGCTGATTATCTCGTGGGCGCAGGGATTCGAAAACCCGATGACGCCGTGAAGCTTTATGGACGGGGTTGCTATACCTCGGGGGCGTGTTCCAGGCTCGGCTAGTCGCCCGGTGTACGGTGTGGGGAAGAGGGGTGAGGACGATAGGGGCGGTACGACGGCGGGTGGTGATGGATCGCAGAGGAGACGGGACGATGGTCTGGGCTCTCGATGCGGCACGCACTGGTGTGGTGTTCTCCAGACTCTAGCACTGCAACCCCGATCAACGTCGTTGCCCCTTCCTCGTTGCAGGCGTGTTGGCGGTTCGGATATCTGCAGGTGGAACGGGTGCCCCGAGCACCAGCTGTCTGATAGATGATGGATGTATGTCGTTGAACGGAGACGACGCCGAGGGTTGAAGCTCGAGAGCAGGGCCTGAACAAGCTGCGATGCGGTCTTGACGGTCTTGTGGACTCAGCCCCCGCCTATCTCCGTGTCGGGAAGAGTGTGCCCGCGAGGGGACTAATGTGAAAGGAGAATTAGAATTAAGAAGGGATGGGCTGCTCAATGGCCCCCCTGTGTGTGTCGGAAGAAGAGCAGGGAGGCGGCTGATGCAGCAAGAGCCCCACGATCACCACGACCCGGCGTGCAGCTCGTCCTGTCCTAAGCTAAGATAAGTATGTATGTATGTACTGTACAGTGCCGGCGAAAGCCAGGCGTCCACGGGCGTGGCAAGTCGAGCTCGAGACCCAAGATGGTGACGGTAGCATTAGCAGCAACAGCAGTGCCGTTCAAGTCGGTATGTACAAAGTGTAGATGCCGGCGCCGGGGCGAGAAACTCCAGGAAGAGGCTGCAAGTACCTGCCCGTAACGTATTTCGTACCTTGGAGAATTCTTAAACGAAGGACGCAGAGGACGAGCCAAGAACAGGGGTCGTCGTTGGGGGAAAGCACCCCGGCCGGCTCATGGAAGCTGGCGTGTTCTCCAGGCCCCTGGCTGCAGTCTTTAAGTGTATGGAGTTATTTTATTTTACTTTTCGGTTTGTTAATTTTAACCGAGCTTTCCTTGAAGAGGCAACAACCAGGTGCCACGATCGACGGGAACAGGGCCCGGGAGGTGTGGAAGAGGGAAAGTCTTGCTAATTCTCCCTTGACTTTTCCTCCGGTACAGGAGGTGGGAAAAGAGACTTTCGGTCATCTCCAGCAAACTTTCGCTTCACTCACGCCGTTGGGTCCCCGCTTCAATTCCACCAGAGGGGCACCCCCCGGCCGTGGATGGTGACAATTAACGTTAAGTTGTTTCGGTACTGGTCATAGTATCAGACAAATATGACCACCCTCCTTCCCTTCCCGCTCGAGGGACGGGCTCAGAAACGTGACGTTGTGGCTCCTAATGTAGATGAACTACACTAAGGTAGGGCACGGGGAACGGGACGGCTGGCGGGCGGGCGTGGTGGCTTGCTTTGCTGTGCAGTTCAAATTTACAAAACGAGGCAGCGGGCAGCGGGCAGCTCTGGGCAGCTCTGGAACCCGCAGGCGACGTGACAAGCCAGGACCGCCAAAAAGGGACGGGAGGGAGACGGGTTTGGCCCTCCAAGTGGTGCGCTGCCTGCAGCAGCCACAACCACAACGCACTGCAATGGCAGCAGCAGTCCTGGAAGCGGGCAAGTGCGAGACGGCATGCGGGAAGGAGTGAGAAGCACACACGGCTCATCCTCCGCGGGCTGCTGCCCCATTGGTGAATGGGACGACCGCTTCTTGCGTGGGGCCTTTCCCCGCCTCCACCACCCAGTCGGGTGGGGCCCATCGAGATCTGGTTGCGCATCCAATTCGCTGGCAGGGATGCTCGCACGGTCTTTGAGATGGCACTTGCACGCAGGCCCCTGTCTGCTGTACCCCAGGTACCGACCGGGGTCTGGGAGAGGAGCTCCCCTTCAAGTCAGGCAGACCTTGTCAGCCCCGCTCCATGTCGAGGACCCCGGGAGACATGGGGATCCCAGCAACATGTTCGGGGGCCAGCTGCAAGGGTGAAGAGCTCCCTGCAAGCACCGGCAGGGGAACTGTGGAAGCGAGGCGCAAGGGGTGAGACCGCGACAGCTTGCCCGCCCCCCCCCCCCCCCCCCCCCCCGGTCCTGCCAAGTCAAATAGAACGGAAAGATCGGAGACGGCGCGAGAGATGGCCGTGAGAAAAGGAGGAGACGACAAAACGAAAATAACAAGAACTCGTGTAAGAATTTACCTTGTTCGTAGGTTGGGAGCGGTACACGCATTGTTGAGGAGGGGTCGCGCATTTCCCATCTTTCCGACTTCAAAAAATTTCAAGACGGCGGCCAGCTTTTGGTTCGAAGGGCGGAAACTGATCCATCGCGCGAGGGCCGGCATCTCTCCGATCCTGCCGGCAAACCCATTCCGGAGTATCAGGTCCTCGAGGACGTTACACCAGTTTCCTCCTTCTGGCCTGGTGGATGACTTCCCGTTCCACTTCCCACTGCTCAGTATTATTGGTGTTGTCGCAGGCGGGGGATCGCGGAGGTGCGTGGAGTGATAGCACGCGCAGCAGCAGATCGAACGGACCCGCCGAGAATGAGGAAGACGACGGCAAGATGCGACCGTGGTGTGCTGCGGTCATGAGGGCGCCATATCTCTCGCCTGCTGCGTCAGTCCACATCCACTAGCGATGCGAGCAGAGCAAGAGGCAAGGGATGATGTGACGGTGCGACACCGTCGTGACCAACCCGAACCCGCCATCAGAGTACGATGTATGAAGTTTCTTTCTTCTCAGGTACTGTACCCCCAACAGCGTCCAATTGCCGGCGCGGGTCGGGATGAAAGAGAGCCAGAAGGAAAAGAGCTTGCGAATGCCATGTTCAGCCGCGGGCGACCTCCGCTCTGTGTCTCTAATTCCAGGCGTCACAATGTCTCATGAATTGCTCCTCCGCCGTGGTTGCTGGCGGTCCATCGGAGGTCGTTGCTGGCGGCCGTAAGACAACCTAAAAGGTCATGTTGCGGCTTTGTCTATCCGGGCCACTCCGAACGACCAAAAAGTCGGATCTTCTCGTGCTACCAAACCGCCGGCGCCTCCTCCTCAAACCGAGCCGCGGGTAGTGGTTGCGCCCATAGCTGCGCCATGTTGGGCAACCGATGACTTTGACGATGACTCGTGAGATTTTTTGTTTCACTGCATCGGAGGATGATGCTTGCTGGTGGGGTTCCCTCCCGCCGCCGCAAAAACCAACAACCCGCCGCCAATTTGGCAGGCGAGAGAAAAAAACACGAAAGTACCAACTTCGGGAAAAGTGAAAATATTTCTCAATAATGGGACGGAAGACAGGCGGGAAAGAGCAGGTGTGGCGCTCGGTTACGATCCGAAAGGTTTTGCGGCATCACGAATGAGGTCCTTCACTTTGCATCCCGCTCTTCCCAGCTTGGTTTCTCTCTTCCAGGTTCAAGTTGCTTTCCGTGTTTTATTGACTTCATACCGATCGTCATATTTTCCCACTGTTTCAACCGGGACACCTCGAGACGGGTTGTGGATATTAACCCCCCGACTACCGATGCATATGTGTGCCGCCACGGCCGAGCGATAGCGCCACGGATGTTTCTAATAACGTTACCCAAAGAGCCTAAGATGTCTCGTGGGGTTTCTGTCTCATTCATAGTACAGCGCTTGAAGCTGTTGTGGATTGTAGGTCCCGCCCCACTCGTATGAAGACAAGACGGACAGAATGTGACAACGGTGATAACGAGGGAGGTAGCTGCCAACTCTCGGTGGTGTCTTGCAGTCTGGTGAGGTCAGGCGGTGAGGTCCTTTGGAAGGCCGACATTAATATCATGCAGCGCGGCAAGGAAAGCATATTCACAGATGGATCGGACAGCTGCACGTCTTGCTTGCAGCAAACTGGCAGCTCAAAAAAAAGCCTCGATATCTCCCTTTCCGACCCCCTTGCTCTGTGGGCTGACTGACAGTCGACCGACCGCCAATGGCCATCGTGTGTCACGACAAGCTTCGCCAGGCAATTGGATGGCATGAACCAGCGGGAGAGTTGCCTGCCGGCCAAGCTGCAGTCAAACTCGCTATTCTTATTCCACGTACCAAACCAACATTTGAAGGGACCGGATTCCGTAATCAAGGTTACAGTTCTCCGCGAGGATCATCAGGGTCTTTCCGAGCGCCCATCCACCGACAAACACCACGGGTGGTGCAAATCGTCATGTAAACGGAGACGGCACCCGGAGAAGAGTCATGCCAGTTTGAAACAAAAAGAACTTGCAAAAGGTGCCAGGAAAATTCCTCAGCAAAAAGCAAAGCCCCAGCAAGGCCATAGTAAAGCCTTCGGTAGCAAAACCCCAAAGCGCCGTTTTTACGGATTGTCAATTCTGGGATACATGTATCGGATCGGGGCCGACTAAATTCAGCACGATGAGACGACGAGGTCCATTCCATGCCCAGCCCGCTGGTCCGGCGACAAGGATTCCCCAGATTCGAGCCCTTGGGAATCAGACGGCGTCCTCGAGCGTTCACATGGCAAATACCTCCATACTCGCCAGAACTCCAGAACAAAAACGGGCAAATAGCGTTCCAATCTCTTGCATCACCTTGCGGATGTCCAGCTGTACCGTGGAGATCGAGCAACGTTCCCGTCCCTGGTTCGATCGTGATTTGACAGATGCCAGGAGTACGTTGCGTTACCGGGCTGCTGCGGCGAGCGGTTCACCCAATGTCAGTGTGGCGCCGTTGCGACCGCGGGTGGCTGAATGAGGATTTGCATCAAAGTCTGGGGTAATTTTACCCCATTGGAACGAAAAGCAGCCGGGAGCTGCGGGACGGCTCGGCTTCGGACCTGATGGTACGAAGGAGCGGAAACAGGAAAGAGACGGCTCCCAGTTTGTCTCGAGATGAACTTGGTCCGAGTGTCGAGCGGGAGGGCATGCATCAATGCTCACCGCGGTCTCGACCGGAGTTTTCTTAGCCGGACCACTTGCACAACAGCTACGAGGCCGTCGTGACATCGCCTTGTTCAGTTTTGAACCTTTTCTACGGTCGAGTATGTTGTTCGATGGCCGGTGGATTGGCTGGCAGAAGGCCACATGATGATAACGCGGCAGGGAATGGCAAGCGTTGCGAACGAAGGCAACACCCCGCCGCGGACCAAGCGGTTTTTGTCTGTGCGGTTTCCACGGGGCCCGGCCGTTGACGGTTGCAAAATCTGGGGTACTTCCGGCGGCCGGCAGCGAACCCACGTCAAGAGGCCCGTCGCCGCCTTGTTTCCCGACGATGGCATCGAGAGGCGTGGCAGCTTCGTGTGGGGAAAACCTAAAGGAGATACGGCTCGTGCGGAACCCGCCAGGAGGGGCTTCGTTGTGAACTCTTGCCAACCGCACGAAGTACCTAGGTACAGAGTAGGTTAGATTTCGGATGACATGTGCGGGACACGAAACATCTGAAAGTGTTCCCAGCTTTCGAAGTTCGGGAAAGAGGAATAAAAGACAGAAAAAGAAAGAAAAACATATATGTTGGTTGGTTGAAAGATCCTCGGCAATTCAATGCTTCTACATACATTCTTCGATACCATCGAGTGAGGCAAGGTATCCCAAAGCTGTCGGGAAAAAGTCCACTGCAGGGTTTGCCCGATCGGCCAAGAGAGAATCCCCACTTAAAAGCGACTCCTCAACCACGAAGGGAAAGCCGGAGACTGCCCGGTGCCAGAGTTGAACAGACCGGCCGCAGGCGGTCGCCTATGGAGCGTGCAGGTTTTGGCCTCATCTTTGCTCAATTAGGCGGGCTAGGTCTCCTTTTGGTACGCTCAGCAGTGGAAGGGATTCCGCGCGCTTGCCATGGTCGCACGACGGACCCCCTCCTGCGCGGCATACTGCAGTATGGAGACAGCGGGACGGGAAGGGTGCCGGGCGGGGTCGACCGGTTGGCTGGATCAAACACATCAGGATCATCAATCTCGTCGTTCGTTGGAGGCCACACCAGATTGCTAATGTCTGACACACCGAGCAAGACGCCCACCACCAGTTCTTCACGCTGAGCTCCGTTGGGGGATATCCCGCCGTGACAGTTACATTTTCGAAGCTTCCCTTCAACCCGCCCCCATCCTACTGGGCCCGAGGTGGTAAAGTGCAAAGTGCCAGGGGCTGGAAGTCGAACGCTCCGATGCACTGCTCCGTCTCTTGCGGTTGGCATGGAGAGAAGTTTGAGGTGCGAACTGAAAAAACCCCGCCTTGAATGTGCACAAACCACCGTAACTTTTGGAGCGACCTCGTTTGATCCTCGCCACCCCGCTTAAGCCCAATTCGGTGTACCAGTTCAACGCAGTCAGTCAGTTGCACCCAGTTCAGTGCACTGGCAGTCAATTTGACGCAGTCAGTTCGATACAGGTAGATGGGTTAACTTGCAATGATAGCCTTTGGGTTTGGGGTAGGGTTTGGGGTAGGGTTTGGGTTAGGGATAGGGCACGGGATAGGGTTATGGGTAGGGTTATGGGTAGGGTTAGGGTTTAATACACGACGCTGAATTGACTGCAATTAACCGTACCAAATTGGCCGCATTGAAGACCGCAGCCAACTGGGCGCAATGGTTGTTGCGGTCGTCCACGGAATCCCGTCGGGTGGTCAGTGTCCGCAAGCCCGAGGATTATGGCGGGGTTGCTTTGGGGTGTGTCAGCCCGTCACCTACCCCTCCCCCCACATTTTAAGCCCCGACTCGGCTCCACCTCAAAAAGGCATCCAGCCATGTTGTGCAGACGATCTGAACTCTCGGACCTCCTTACTCTTCCCATTCCAGTTTGGTTTTCGACACATCTCGACACAAATCTTGTTGCTCGTTTCCAACACCGCCCGGCTGCGGGCCGCATTACTGCAGGGATGGGCCATGACAACCTGCTGATGCCAGTGGGCCACAGAAACTGCTCCAAACCGAGCGATCTCGATAATACATAGTGAGACTCGATGGAGCTGAGCTGGCTCGTGGTTGGACACGTCGAAATATGCACGATGGTGCCCTTGACGCCCATCAGGATCACCTGGACGTCTTCTGCATGCCGATTATCTTGCGGCCGGCGTTTCTATCGTTCCAGTTCGTCTCCCATTCATGAGCTGATCGTTGAGCGTCGCGGTCAGGTGATGACCCGGCTTTCTCGCTGCTTTACTTTATCCAGCTCGGTCTTTCTGGGTTGGCATGACCAAACCATGCCACCTCGGTCCCTGTAACCGGTGTCAGATATAAACACGCTTCGGCGAGCAACCTGAAAATGAACGAGCAGCCTTGCCAACCGTTGCAGGGGTACAACGTGGTCCACGTGGGAGAGCTATTCTTTCACAAATCGGATTCCGAGACCATGGCCCGGAAACTCATGGGAGACTGTGTGGTCTGCATCACTTGATCTGAAACGGAGCCAAAACAGAAACATTTACCCCACCTCTGCGTGATCCCGCCCCTCACTTCAAACGACGCCGCCCTGCCTGAGCGCTGTCCGTCATGCCTAAGCGACGTGGACACGATGCAGCTAATTGGGTCCATGTATGGAAACGACACTGAAATACTGCCCATTTTTCTTCTCATGACGGACTTGTCCCTTCCGGGCACCTCAGGGGTGCGCAAGAGGTTCTCCTGACAAGTACGACTTGTACTAGGTGTGTACGGAGTACCTACGATGGATGTGTAAATGCTCTGGGGCTGTCCGGGCAGGAGGACACGGACCAGCCGTTCACAGCCCCGTGCATCGGGCCAATAGGCGCAGTCGCCGTGGAAAGCAAACCCAAGGCACAGATTCAATGTCCCCGACATCATAGTTAGCACCAAAGATGACTGCAAATGCTACCTTTTTGCTCTAGTAACTTCTTTGTGAACACTTCAAGTCGTCGATGTTGAACTATCAGTAGGAAGAGAAGCATTCTTGTGTGCATTGTGCTTCGTGCCACAGCACTAATGTTCCTAATCTGGACATCAAGTGCATTGGATCCACCACGAAGTCCAAGCAACTTCCAAGATGCAGGTACCAGGGCGCCGCCGACTTCGCCCCCACTTGCTGCGATTGAAGCCCTCCATGTTCTGAGCAGTTCGCGACAACGCTCGCTTGTCAGTTACCCAACAACCCACAGCTCGGTCAAGGCAACCTGGGACGATTGAGAACAGACAGGGAAACAGGTGGCAGCGATGCATGTAATCTGTAACTACGTAAATCCCGCAGGTTACGAAGATATGGGTCATCGTCGTGCTCTCGCCGGAATCCGGAATCGACGTGGGCCAGGCTGAACGCACGGACGGCCAGACCCTTCCCACTCCCATCTCGCGCCCCTTGATTCGTGGGATACCTCCCAATTCGGCAATGTTCCCGGATGGTGTCCTGCAACAGCATGCCGCTGATATTGCAACTACATGAAGCATGCTAGTAAAATATGGGATGCGAAGATTGCCCACGTCCCACATCGTCTCGTGCAGGCCGCGGGCGGCCGGAGCACGAAACGAAACGCACAATTAGTGGGCATTATGTACGTGGGTATGTAAGGTATGTACGGAATACAGTGTTTTGTCGTGGGCGTGATGCGGACAGCCCAAAGGCCATTTCGCCACGCGGCACATTTGTCTCTGTTTTTCTTTCTCACTTCTCGACAGAGGTAGAGTGGCCGTCTCAGACAAGCGATAGTTATATGTTTGCGCGATGCTTGAAGGCCGAGAAGAAGCGCATACAAGGTCCGGCTCGTCAACCGGCTCCCGGGAGGTCGATCACGGAGCCTTCGCCGATGACCCCACCAACCCGCACCGGGCCGAGTGGGTGCGAAATGCGAGCACCAACACCTACCTACCTACAATCCATGGAACCCCGCCAGATTCGAGACTGGTCACACCAACCAACAGGGCGCTGCCTCGCTGCCGGTACTCAATGAGCCGACTGTACACAACAGCAACCTGAGGGTCACCACGAAAAGCGGTGTGCTGCTCTCGGTCACAAAACTCCGATTTGGTCGTGTCGCTGAGGTTCCAGAACCCGCCGGTCCCCCTCCCTTCAACACCGCTCCACTTTGAGGGCGGGATGAGATACTAGTGATGATACTCGCTCACTCGCCAATGACGACGTATATTGTCTGCGGAATGGATCCGGTTGCATTAGCAAAAGATATTTCGCTCAAGACGAGATGCATGACCCGGCCGCCACGATCTCCAAGGTCCTTCGTTATCCCAGCCGTCATGAGTCTGAGACGGCGGGGTGGGCGACACCAAACCCCCCGGCTCACAACGAACGACCCCCGCAATGACCAGCTTGCAAGACACTCAGTGTGCAGTTTCACATGCGTCACATGAGTTCACTAACCGGGACAGACACTTCCATCAGCAACCGTAACCCCTCCACAGCTTCAATTCTCCGAATTGCGCCCCGCGCCCAATCTTCAGTACGAGCATCATGATTGCGATGCGATATCCCACTTTCCTGCTCAGGCTGTCACAACTCACAACCGTGACATGGATTGTGGAGAGACGTGGAAGGAAGGAGCCAACATCACAACCCCTTGCGGCCACTGCACTCCAAGGGCCGGCAAGTCAGGATTAGTAAGGCGACCGGTGAGAGACACGGGATGCAGGAACGGCCGAGAAGCCAGTCGCCGCTGCACCTCATGCAGGTGGTGCAAGGTTTTCGAGGGGGTTCCGACTGGGAGCAGGTACAACTGCCCTTTTCAGATTCCATTCCCCCAATTGCTCCAATTGCCCGGCCATCCGGGTTCCGAGTGGTCCCAAGTGGTCCCAAGTCAGCCGAGCCGATCACAACGGTCGCTCACCATCTCGTCCCCGCAACCAACCTGCCGGACTGTCATTTGCTGCCGTTGTGAGACCGCGCTCCACCGACGACGAGAAGTCCATTATTAGGTTGCTTCAGCGAAGAGGGATCGGCTCCGGGGCTGCATAATGCCATTGTTAATGACTTGGTATGCATGAGTCCTCTCGATTGCCGAACAAGCGAATTTGCAGCATCACATTATCACATCATAGTGTAGACACCATCGCCCGTCGCTGCCCGGAGATCCTCCTTTGCCTGGTTCAAGATGCTCATCCCGGCAAATGGTGAGCCCGGTTTCTATCCCCCCCACGGCGCGATTACACTCAAAATGCTCCGGATGCCGGCCACGGCAGACTCTCCCCGCTCTTCACCACGGCGGCAGCGATTCCTTCAGGTGGGAATCAAACGCAGATCCAACCAACCAGGAAGGTGGGGATCGAAACGATTCCCTTTGCAGCAATAGTGCGGCATGCCGTTAAACACCCATCCGTCGAGGGATTGCTTCATGACGCATCTGGTATCTGCTCGGCGGCCCAGAGTGTACCACACTTCCCCCCCGAGAACGGGATCGTAAGCCGGCTTCCTCCATCGAAGGGAACTTAGGGGCCAGTGCGAGCGACCTTCTCGTCTATCTGCATGTGCCTTCCCAATTTCGTCACACCCGTTCCGAAGGTTTCGTCAACATCGTGCAGCTTCATCGACAACGCACCCTTGGGTCAGTCCAATGGATACAGGTGCCCAGAAACCGCCCAGTCCTAACAGAGCATGGCGCAAGCTCAGGATGCACGCAGAGGCACCACCCAAACCTGAAGAGCCGCGTCCCCTGCAGCAGTTCGCTACGATCAAACTCTCGAGGTCCTGAACCAAGGCCGGCAAACTCAACCAACCCATCGTACTGTGGTCAAGCAAGCAGCAGCCGGGTAGCCGCGTGATCTAAGCATTGCAACTTGTTGCTCGAGCCACCCTGTCCCGTGTCGCCAACTTGGACAGTTCAGCGGAGCTCAGCCATGTTGATATCATAATTGCTAGCCAAGTCTCCTTCAATGAGAATGACCGGAACAGTCTGAACCCCTGACCGTTGGTGATGGTCCCGAGCGGGCTCGCTAGCGTTGCGGGTAGGTCGACTGATCTGAACCCCGTCGTTGCCGTCGACGTACTTGTACGAGGTATCACGAACGCTCCCGGGGGTCCGGGGAAAGAAGTCGAAACTCCGTGAAGCCATCGCGAGTCCGGCTATTTGCGTATGGGTGGTTGTCCGATAAAAAGCTCCCTGGGTGGCAATGCACATTCGATCCCCAGAAATCGGGCAGTTAATGCGACCAGCCGGCGTGTTCGGGATCCTGCAGAACAAAAGCCAGATGCTGTGTTTGACTCTCCGCTCGGGAACCCTCCCCTTCAGCTCGACGCCGTGGAACAGATCAATATTAGAGCACCGCTCGACAATCCTCTAGGTAGAGGGGCATCAGTTATCGATTGCTATTTCTTTATTCTCGGCTTCCAGCAGCCGGATCAAGTAAGGTTAACCAGTGTGGAGGCCAAGTGGCGTTCCCCACGGAACCAGTCTTGCCCCTCAAACACTAAGGAACCCTAAATTCCGTTACGAGGGGACACAGCGACGGAATTTGATGCAATCCATGTCAGCCCGTGAGAGCCACTTGGGTGTACGGACGCATGCTCCCAACCCAGATGTGTTCCGGTCTATGGAGGCCAACGGCTAGGCGCAGCATCGAGAAGCACATCAATGGCCGTGAGGACCCGTCGATGCTGCCAGTCTCCCCCCCTTTTTTTTTAAAAAAAGGGGGAACCTTTCGATCCATCACCAGACGATGAGGTGGGTACGAATCAAAGGAGCTGAACAGACTTCATGCTCACCTCGGCTGACAGACGGTCAGGGATCCCGACGCGACCTCGGCGCGCCACTGCCCGAGAAACCAGTCCGAACAGAACAGTTTCTTTTGAGATTTCCAGGGGCAGCGAGGGGGCTCGAGGAAAGGTTCTTGCCTGCTCGGTCCCGACAAAGCGAGCATGACGCCAGTGAACTTCCCCGGAATTTCGATCGATATCCGACATGACGGAACGATCCCCTGGCGGCGTCTGTTCGCTCCCATGCCCTGATACGGACTGGAAATGCAGTATCGACGAGCGAGTGGTTACCCACTTGTGGAGAGCCTTTAGCTTGATCGATCTTGGTGTTTCGGACGAAGAAGTGGAGAGAACACGGCTATTCGGGAGCTGGGATCCCAAGACAGCGCGATCCCCAGGGAAGAAGCCAGCAGCACCCTTCTCCATTGACAACAACAGCATCAAAATCCCCGACGTGGTTAGTTCCCCTTCTGTCATGGAGGCCGCGACCTCAGCAGCGCCTGAAAAATCCATTGCTCGATGAATTTGCCCGGTCAAGCCGAAACATCATGTCAGCCTCGGATTTCACCGCGTTCCCAGGCAGCCCTGTTCGGGTCTCTTTCCATCTCGAGAAGGAATGGCTCGCTCAACTTGGCAATGGAGCAGGAAAACACTAACGTGAGTTAGCAAAAACGTTTGTCTCTCGCAAACCAGAACCGATGAGGGAGCTTAACCGACCTGAGACATACAGCCTAGCTAAGCCGGATTTGTTCAGATTCAGAAACACGGCATCCCTGACTGACAATGGCTTCATCCTCGATCCAAGCCACCAGGAAGACTCTCTGGAAGCCAAAAAACCACCGCGGCATTGAAGATGAACGAGCAGGCCGGTCCCGGTCAGTGCCTGCGCCGCGTCGTCGACGAACGCCGCACGTGTTCGGGGCCCGCTCCGGTCCAATGCCCGGGATTCGCTTCCCAAGACAGGGGTTTCGGCTGCCGGCGGGCCTTGTCCCTGGTTCACCGGTCAGACCAGGATCCCTCCCAACACCGTGGATCATGATGCAAAAAGGAGGGTGTTGTTATTCGGATTTCAGATGTGTTGGCGTTTGGTGAGACAGACAGTGGAATGAATATTCGCGTTCGGGTTCTGCTGACCGCTGGAGGCTTGTCGATCGTTCGGGACTTCTTTTCCTTCAGACGTCATATCCCGGTCAGCCCAAGCTTCCAGAAATTCCGCCATCACGCTTGAGGCCACGCTAGCCGGTTAGCGGGGATGTGAGGGGGAGCGGCCAGGAGAAGTCGCCATGGATCTCACTCCGGATTCCTCCAATCCTCCGAATTCTGACGACCATTACCCCTCGTTCGGGTTCACAAGCCCAAGGGATCGGGCGAAGCTGAACGGGGCCCAGGAAGACCCTGCCCGGAGGGACGGGGAGGATCTCAGAACGGCAAGCAGTACGTAACTTACTCTCCACGTGTGAGGATCCGGAAAGCAAACGGGGGAATCCGCAGCGCCTTTGTCCCGGGCCTTGACCTCCTCACTCCCGGGCGCCGACCCCCTCACTCCCGGCCCGCGCCTCACGAGACTCCAGGTCGGGTCGGAGGGCGGCTCCCGGTTCTCATTTGTCAAAGGCACCACCCTCACTGGGAAAGGGTCGACGTTGTTGGCAGGCAAGCCCTTCGCATTGATCGCACGGCCATGGCTGCAGATGTCAAGCACGAGGAACCAGTCACCATGAACCAACATCTCTTCGTGGCCAAGCCCAACTGCTTGTTTGCTGCTTGTTGCTTTTTACTCGGGCCGACCCCTCGACTGCATGGCGGAGGAAGGGGGGGGTTCAAGCTATTCCTGGTCATCGATCAACTCCAACGGTCGACGGAGATTTTACTGTGTACCGTTGTTTGTGTCAAGTGTGACGCAACGATACCAAGTACGTTCCCCATCGTCCCCAAGTCCCCGATCAACTCTTTGCCTGCCGGAATTCACACGCACACCACCACTCCCACCACCACCACCTGGTAGGCTTGTTCGTAACGGCGCCGTAACGTTGGGATGACACGATACCACCCCCTCCCCTCCCGCGAACACAGTCGGACAGGCGCGAAGGAACGCGGGGCTGCTACGGATAACGACGCTAATTCACTTCTTCTCGCTCGCATCATGATCCTTGGTGACCTGCAGCAAGGATAGGGTAATTCCAAAAAGGGTTAGGGTTTAGCCAGCAATCCCAGCACCGATTCAGGCACCTAGCCAATGGTGGTTAGGAAATATTTTAGGCTGAGTCGCACGCCATGTTCGAGAACCATGGAACGTCGACTCCGGCCCTCGCCTATGGAGTGAGTGTAGGCGCCTTGGCGCTGTCAAGCACGAGGCCAAGACTGTCTGTGCAAAAAAGCGCCCCCCCTGTTACCGGTGGACAGTTGGACGGGCGTGACCGGCACGACTGGGCTGGCACGGCTGGGTGTGAGGGTCCTGGCTGGCTGAGGTGGTGAGCGAAATGCTGGGAGGATCGACGCCCGCCATTGCGGAGCAGAGTGAGATCGTGTGAGGGCGATCCTTTTGCTGCTTTGCTGCTGTCAGCAGGCAAGTTGAGGCTCCACGAGACGGACAGATCAACAACGCCTTGCGAGGGACCGGCGGATTTTCTCACCAGCCTCACCTTGTTCTGATTCGGCCTCGAGGTTCCCATGACCCGAGGGGACATGGTCAGGGACAAGGCGAGACGAGACGATCGAATCTCGAGACGACGCGAGAGCGAATTTACTAATCACGCCTCACTTATTAACCAAACAAGGCCAACTATCTCGCTTCTCGACGCTCATCCAATACCAATACTAGCGAGGGCCATGCATGAAGGTCCAAAGGATGGTTAAGAACTAACTAACTAGTCGCCTAGTGAGCTCCCTCGAAGATTCGGGGGGACGCTAACGTGGGCCTGGACGCCACATGCCCGTTGACCGGTTCTTGTCGGCCCGTGTGGGTGTTCTCGTGGGAGTCGGATTGCATCGCATGAGTTACCCAAGACGCGCTGAAAACAGCATTATGGTCACGCTGCCACATCCATGCAGACGAGGAACCACCCAGTGGGTGGTGGTGTTGTGCGACCGCAGGAGTCGAGGACGAGTTAAGCGATATCTCATCACACACACCAGATATCAGAAAGAAGAAAACAAAAAGTGCGGACCGGCCCGGAGGCGATGGAAGCCGGTGCGGCGCAGTCATGCTGTCGTTGTCTTGTGTATCACAAAGCCAGCCGAATCCGGCCCTCGACTTCACGGCCCCCAAACCGCCAGCCAGCCAAGCGAGAATGAAGTCCAGGGTCCAATCTGTCATGTCGCGAAGATCATCCACAGCCCACCCAGTTTGTGGCGCCCGGAGAGTCGGCGCTGCAAGTCCCGGTTTTCCTTGCCGGTCGGTGGGGAGTCGTGCTGGTGGTCGACTTGTCCCGATTCGGGCAAACCTGACACAGCGGTGTTGGCTCACTCGCATGCCGTGCAGCGTCTCATTTCCTGATCGGTCCCCTCGGCCTGTCCTGTTCTGGTACTGTGATCCGATTCCGGGGGGTTGCTCACTTGACTTGACACCTTGCAGATGGGGGCAGACGCTCGAAAGGGAGGGGTGAAACTCGTGTGATGCCGAGCTGCATCTGATGCTGCTCCCTCTCCTACACGACACTACTGTGATGTACGAAGTACAGACTAACGAGTTACTGCTTGCATGTCCGGCTGCATGGCGGCCTCGGCGGGGAACGTTATGTGTGCCCCTGGCTGGCCGATGGGGTGTGTGTCTGGGTTTCAGGAGGGAGAAAATGGAGTCAGGGATTCATCAACAACGAACAGATTCCACCGATACCAAACCCAACCCCATCCTAGCGCAATGCACCAACGGCAGCTAAACCAAGCAATCCTTTTCCTGTTACCAATCTGCCAGCGCTGCCCTGCTGCAGTATGTCAGTCTGACATGCTGCCAACAGGCCCCTCCATCCCTGGAGATGCATCGTCAACTGGCACTAAACTAAAACTCTTCAACCAGCGGTGTCATTCCGCTTCTGGCCGTCCCCAAGGGGGCCGCGACCGGTGTGATGGTCTCCCAGAAACGGGGCCGCCGTCCCGAAGCCCATGACGTCCTGCCCATGTACACGACACAGCCATAATTCCGCAAAGACCATGTCTGTATGGATATGGATTTGGTATGCGTAATCCATACATATGTACACTCCATACCCAGCAAGTGTAATCCGCATGAAGCTAGCAAAGCTGACGAGCCAGGGGGACGAGCCAGGCAAACCCGACCCTGTCCCCGTTCCTGTGTCTCGCCTTACCCAAACGACCCCGGCCCGGCCGGTGAGAAGGGAAGAAAAAAAAGGGCCCGAGACGGGTCCCGACGGACGCGGAGGAATTGCCCCCCCATCATCGAACGAAACTCACTCGTTGGCTCGTTCGTTCGTTAACTCCCGACCATAGGAGTTAGCTCGCCCAGGGCCGAACGAACGAACCCAGCCACCTCTGTGATCCATCCATCCATCCTGCTTGCTGCCCACTCGCAACTCTCAGTACACTAGCTCGGCTAGCCCGGTGTCTCGCATTCTTCCATTGCTGGGGCTGGAGGACCTTCCAGAAAGCCCGTCGTCGGGCCAGTCAGGCCAGTCAGGCCAGTCAGGCCAGTCAGGCCAGTCAGGCGGGGTGTGCGCGCGCGCCCTGGAGGCCGTGGCGTGGTTGTAGTCTGCTGTGTCCAACCCCCCCCCCCCCCTCCCCCCCCTCTTCTCCTTCTGTTCACCCCCCTCCCCGAGCCTGAGGGTCATGAAGGGAAGGAGGGGGGGGAGGCCCTTGATTTGCGCCGATGTCTCGGAGGCTGCGAGAGACGGAACCTGGGGGAAGTGGAGGGAGGGTGGTGCTGGGCGAGGCAGATCTGATCTGGACTGCTGCAGGATCTGTTGCTTCCTGGGGGGGTTTCGTTGGGTGGTGGTGGTGGTGGTGGTGGTGGTGCGGTGGGTGGTGTGCTGTGGCGTGTGGCACTGCCACGAGATGGGACCCTGAAGAAGGGGCTTGCTGTCTCGGATGGCGCTCCTTGCTGCCGGATGTGTGGGTGTCCGGGATTGAGGCCGTGATGGTTTGCTTGGTGTTGAGGGTGGTGGTGAGGAGGTGAGTGAGGGTGGTGACGTTCCTTCTCTGCCTCCTCTACCTTGGCGACAGTGATGTTCCTCTTTTGCCTCGGTGATGTGACGTACTAGCCACCCCCTGAATAGGATTCACGTCGATGGCGTGCAGTCCTCCGGAAGGGGAACGAGGTTTTGACTGCCCCCTGTTTGAGACTTCAAGTTGAGCCTGTTAGTTACAGCGTCTTTTCGTCAGACTTAGAGTCAGGGTAGGAATCTTACCTCCGTCCGGACTTGAGGCCCACCCCCGAGTCGCATCTTCAGGGACAGATGGCGCTTTTTGCAAAGCCCAGGTCCATCACCGTGGTTGTCGTTTCCACCCCTAATCCACGCGGGGTGTCGGCTTCTCGTTATACCCCAGCTGGCCACTCCCCCGACTTCATACCCTCAACGGCGGAGGCGGCATGCAAAGCACCCGGGCTGGGTGATCCCGGCTCATTCTCCGAGACTACCGAATGTTGGTACCGGAGCCGCGTATGCGGCCCCTCCCGGGATCATCTTCAAAAGCCCCGGGTCGGGACCCCTACGCTGGAGGACCTCGGTCGGTAATTCTCGTTTGCCGAGAGGAGGAACGAAGCCGTTCGATTCCCTGCAGACCGAGGCATGGTGACATGGTGCTTGTCGCGTCGCTACCGAAAGCGACTTTACCGAGTCGATTGCAGTTAGCAAGCTTACATATGCTTAGTAGGGCCGAGTATGGCGTTACCGGTTATAAGATAGGTATTATAGCTTCCCAACACGGCTAACCCATTGGACTTCTGGGTACAGCATCCTCCAGGGACGAATGCACAGCTGTTCTCGGAACGAACGGCGTCGTATCGAGGAGGAGGTCGGAATGTGATGGGGGTTGGGTGCTCAAGAAACACCGAGGCTTACCAGGGTCGTTGTTACTTTTGTTGCGAGGGGAGAGTTTAGCACATGCGGACCTCGGAACTAGTGAACCTTTCGGCGTGACTAACTGGTGTGGTTTCTTCGTCTTCAGACTGTCACTTTGTCTTTGAGCAGGGCGTTCATGATATAGCCCTTTGATCGGTTGTATGTACCAATTGCCGATATTCGGGATAATCCTGCGCAGTTGAAGCGCACCATTCAAGCGTTCCAGAGTACAAAGTGGCTGCGGCTGTCGTGTTGCTCCCTTGATATATCTCGGCATGCAATAGCACGGTGATCCTTATAGGTGTCACCCAACAGATCACACTGCGCCTCTTAAAACCACTCGGCTCAATATCTGGACCAGCTCTGAGGTTTTCGGCAACGGTTTTCTGGTCAAGTCTCCCTAGCAAACGCCGAGAACTCCCAGAACTATCCTGATAGAGGAGTAACATCGGGCGGAGACATCGCTGTCCAGCCCCGGGGTGGGTAAACGTGTAAATATGCAAGGGAACTGAAGAAGGGCCGAGACAACGGAAGTAACTGTTACTTCTCAAGCGTAAATCGTATAGCCCAAAAAGGGTATCCTCTTCATCGGAGCACTTGGGATGCGAGTAGGACTCGGTGAACGAAATGTGCTCACCACCGTTGACGTCGTGTTTAAAGGAAAGATCACGACTCTGGTGACCCATGCCCACCGGTGTAGATGTACCCTCACTCGGGTTGGATGGCCAGGGAGGAGAGTCGGAACTCATCACGCTCTTCATCTTGTCTACTTCAAACTACCACGCCTATGAGTCGAGAACGGTTGTGATCCGGGTTACTTGATAACGATTCAGTCTAAACCGACGGTACAAGGTATCGAACAGATGGTATAAAACGCCATTAAGCAATGCCCTTGAAGCTTGACCCAGTTCATAACTGCCACACCTCCTGGTTAACGGGGTTAAGGGGGGCTCACATTCTTGGCTATAAGCGTGTATGGACCTGGCCGGACTGCGAGACTCTCTTGCAATTTGCGAAAACCAGCAGCGTCGCTCTAAAGCAAGGCGTAATTCCTTGGTTGCTGGCGACGAGGAGACTTGTAGGACGGTGCGTCGGCCTTGCGTATAGACCTAGGTTCTACATATTCACATGTCACATCAGGCTAGTGACCTTGACATCTAGTGTCATCGACGTATCAACGGAAGATAGGCGGCAGGGACTTGCTCTGCTTTGATGCAGTAGAAATATGCTATTGTAAGGTACGAGACGAACCTATGAACTGATCTTTGCATTGCGACATACCTACAGATCTGTTATAGCTTTGCAATGGAGCCCTGGTATCAGCCCAAACGCCCAAGTATCCAAAGGAGAGATGTTTCTGTCAACGTGTAAGGTGGGATATCCTCCCTACGCCTCACCTCGCGTCACTGACCGTCACAGTTGCCCATAGAAAGCCAACAGCTTTCTCGCACCAACCTCCCAGGTCACATCGTTTTGTAGGTGATGCCCGGCTTTCGGGACGACGCAATACCTCACACCATGACCATTGTTGTCCTGACCTCCCTCCCCGGACAGGGGAATGACCTCGACATCCTCACCCTGCAGCTGTTTCTGTTGAATCATGCTGCTCGAGGTCGTACGATACGTGCGCGCGAGGTCTTCCATGATGGGTAGCGTCATTATCTTGTCCAACTTGCCACTCAGAACCAGAACCCTCTGACCGCTGCCCCAGCCGCTGAGCTGTGAGAGCACATTCCGCTGGTTTATGAAGGGCTTGGTCATGCCCAACGCCCAGACCAAGCTTTCGTAAGGGCTAGCCCTGTCCTGGAATGCCTCAACGTAATCATCAGTCTGCTCATTGCTGAAGAATGCTCTCCGTGTCAGTGCCGGGTGGGATAGCGGCGAGTTGGGGTGCCAGAGGTGGAATATCATCCTTGGGATGAACCAAGGATCCAGATTCTTCCAGTTCTGGTAGACGCGATCGCTGTCACCGGACGTTAGAAGTCATCTCACACGGAGGTTTGAGCTAAACTCACGACCCAAAGCCAGGTACCGCCGCCACCAGCACGAGAGCCCTCACCCTCGCCTCCTTTTCCGACAAGATAAACTGCGCCAACCCGCCGCCGCTCGAGTGCCCGACAAGCACAACCTCCCTACCGCCCTCGCGCTCCTGCACCCAGCGCAGCCCGGCCAGCACATCATCGGCGAGCATGCGCTTGGTCGTCGCGTACACCATGCGCAGGTACGACGGGTAGTAACTGCCGCCATGGCCGCGCATGGAGACGGCGTAGCAGGGGATCCCGCGGGCCGCGAAGAACTGCATGTACTCCAGCCAGACCCAGGCGCCGCCCATGCCGCCGTGGACAAAGAAGAGGGGTGGGGCGTCGGGGTCGGGAAGCGGCGATGTTGGGCGGGCATAAAGCACCTCGATGTTGCCACCGGGGGTTTCGACGAACAATCGGTCGACGCCGTCCGGGAGGGACTGGAGGGGCCCGGTTGGGCGGCGCCAGCGGAGCCATTTGAAGGTGAAGTGTTCGAATAGTGACATTTTGGTGGGATCCATCAATATCGATGGTGTTTTTATTAAGTGGTGTGAGTTCAGTCAGCTTGAAGACCAAAGTTCAATCCTCGGTGGGTGGAGGAGGGATTGCCGCCGTAGACATGTCTCTTTGACATACCATGGACAGGAGGAAATCCCTTTCCGGACGGCGGCCATGGTGCTTTTCTTTATACGCGGCGACGCAAACAATAATTAGACAGGTAGCTCTGGGTTTGGTTGTAGGTTCCCGGTTTAAGCCGTGCCCGTGCTGAAGCGGACCCGGAAGATTTAGGGAGACTCTGTAATTGACTGCAAACGGCAGGCGCCTTTTTCGCATGTGGCGCACTTGGCTTGCACATCTGGCATTGATTGCGAGGCAGGTGCAAACTTCGAAACCGGACGCGGAATGCGCCCGATTGGAAAGAGCAAGGGGCTTTGTGGTCGTCGGCGTGAGTCAGAACAAAGGAAACTTGTCGATTGATGGCGGTTGTGTGCTGAAAGGGGGTTGCGGGCGATGGCTGTTCCAATCACAATCACAACATCAAAATTTAAACGACTTGTTTCTTCAACGACCACAATCATCACCACCAACTCCAAACAATTCTTGCTGTCATCACGGTCGCACATCTTCGAGAACGTTTTGGTACCTAAGCGCTACTATTTCCAAAGAAGTCGCCAAAAGGCTCATCCGCGACTCAAGATGTCAAGCGGCGCGCTTGAGACAAACGGCGTCCGCATTGCGGTTGAGGGTTGTGTATGTATGCCCCCTCCCAACGATTCGTGACTATCTGCTAACCATACTTAGGGACACGGTACTCTCAATGCCATCTACGCCGCCGTAGAAAGGTCATGCAAGGAGCGCGAGTGGGATGGAGTCGACCTGCTCATCATCGGCGGAGATTTCCAGGCTGTCCGCAACGCCGCCGACCTCAACGCCATGTCGGTGCCAGCAAAGTACCGCGAACTCGCCGACTTTCACGAGTACTATAGCGGATCTCGCAAGGCCCCCTACCTGACCATTTTTGTGGCCGGCAACCATGAGGCGTCATCCCATCTTTGGGAGCTCTACTACGGTGGTTGGGTAGCCCCCAACATCTACTACATGGGCGCGGCCAACGTGCTCCGCCTGGGCCCGCTGCGCATCGCCGGCATGAGCGGCATCTGGAAGGGCTTTGACTATAAAAAGCAGCATCACGAGCGGCTACCCTTCAACGCCGACGATGTCAAGAGCTTTTACCACGTGCGCGAGATTGACGTGCGCAAGCTGCTGCAGCTCCGCACTCAAGTGGATATCGGCATCAGCCATGACTGGCCCCGGGCGATCGAGAAGCATGGCAACAAGAAGCGCCTGTTCCAGATGAAGCCTGACTTTGAACGCGAGTCGCGCGATGGCTCGCTGGGGAATCCGGCTGCCGAGTATGTCTTGGATAGGCTGCGTCCACCCTTCTGGTTCTCGGCGCATTTGCACTGCAAGTTTGCCGCCATCAAGCAATTCAAGCAGCCAGAGAAAGGACAGGAGACCGAGGAAACCGTCCAAGCAGCCCCTAGGCCGATTATAAATGCCAACCCTGATGAAATCGACCTCGACCTCGACTACGGAGACGACTTCCCGGGGATAACAGCAGCAGCAGCAACAGTCGCCAAACGCCCCACTGAATCACAGCCCGCTGGTGAGGATGCCGCCGATGAGGACGCCGCGCAGCCTTCCATCGAAGATACCATAGACGAGACGGAAGCCCTACGCTCCCAACTCCCGGAGGCCTTCGCCCGACCCGCCCGCGTCTCCTCCACCCGCCCCACCCCAGGCCAACCAGTGCCCGAGGGCATCACCAACACGACGACACGCTTCCTCGCCCTGGACAAGTGCCTCCCCGGCCGCAAGTTCCTCCAGCTCATGGAGATCCCCACCGACACCCCGCGCCCGGCCAAGCTGCACCTCCAGTACGACCCCGAATGGCTCTCCATCCTGCGCGCCTTCCACCCGCTGCTCAAGATCGGCGACCGCACCGCCACCACCCCGCCCGACGAGGGCGAGGCCCACTACCTGGCCCTCATCGAGGAGCAGCGGGAGTGGGTGGAGGAGCACGTCGTCGCGCAGGACCGCCTCGACGTGCCCGACAACTTTGCCGTCACCGCCCCCGCCCACCGGCCCGGCGTCGACGCCGAGGTGGTCGACGAGCAGCCGCTCGAGTGGACCAGCCCGCAGACGGCAGCGTTTTGCGAGATGCTGGATGTGGTCAACTACTGGGATGCTAGCGAGACGGAGAGGAAGGTCAGGCGGGAGATGGGGCCCGCGCCGGTTGAGTATGGCGGCGGACGTGGACGCGGTGGTGGACGCGGTGGGTATGGTAGGGGTGGGAGGGGGAGAGGGGGTAGGGGGGGAAGAGGACGGGGCAGTGGTGGTGGTGGTGGGAGGGGATGGGGCGGTAGGGGCCGCGGGAGGGGTTGATTGCTATCTCATCGTTTCGGTCTCGTCGCTGAAGAGGGTGTAAGGGAGGGCGGCAATCGTTATTTGTTTAGTCCCAGTTGCAAAGTAAAATAGGCGGTTTAGTCAGGCAAGGTATGCTTAACGCAAATTGAATGGATTTGTTTTCTTTCATGTGATATATCCTCTGTAATAAAGCGTGAACTCAACGGATGTCATGAGCCAAGCAGATCGTCGAGGACGGTGTCCATCTTCCATCTATTTTAGACGTCGGGCCCACGGGAGAAACAGAGGCCAGACGCATATGCTAAGATGGGGGAGTGCAAGCATGAAGACGATGCTGCAGCACACGAGGCGCTATGGAACGCCAACATCATTCTGTTCAACGAGGGGACTTTTGCTAGTCTCAGATTAAGCCTCAGATGACCTTTCTATGCCGTGCCACGCCATCCGTGACGGCTGTTTCCCGGAACGCCAAATCCCAACTATACCATACCGTACCCTGCCAACGCTATTGATGCAAACGCTTCGTGGATGCTCAGGCTAGAAATAGAGAGTTGAGCTCAGATGCTGCCCATCTTAGTCTCTCGGCGTGGGCTTCGCGTCGAGGTTGAAATAGTTGGCCGCCATTAGCAGCTCCAGGCACATCTCGACAGGAATCTCCATGTCGGGCACATCCTCCTTGTCTTGGTTGCGGTGCCAGTAGTGGAAGTAGTCGACCACCTTTTCAAGTATAATGGCACTGGGGTCCGGTTAGCAGCTGCTCTCGATGACCTCGAGGAGCGACGGGACAGCGGGAGCGAAGCTGTGCGGTCAGATCAAGTGTAGATGACGCTCATGCAGCCCGGACCTGGCCCTGTCGATGAGTTTGACATCGCCAGGGCTGGCGGTCTATCGGCGGGAACACAGCAGTGTAGTTGTCATCATTGCAGTGACAGGTGACGTGGGGGTGAAGAGGGGTGACCTACTTGAACTCGGGAAAGGTGCAGCGACCTGTTTGCGCCTCGACGAAGGGGCTCCGCAGCATGCCCTTGATAGTCGGGCTGACTAGAGCTGCCTCGCGCAGAACGACAAACTCGAAGCCATCGCCCGAGACGAGCGTGATGTACTTGCTGTCCGACATCACCGGGTCGGTTCGTCTGGGGTCCGCGGGGTGATGGAAGAAACTTCACTTGAAAATTCTGCAAACGGTCCCAGCGGCAAACGAAAAGCCCAATGTAATCCCGATTGCACTGGATTAGGTAGCTGCAGGCTTAAGCTTTCGTCATCTGAGGACAGAGCTCGCCGCAAAATCTTGGATTTGGTGGTGAGAGGACGGAGGTTTTCTTGGACCTCGGAAACGCGCCAAACACGTTGAAAGAAACTTCCAGGTTGGGGGTTGCAAAGGAAGCGGAAATGATGACCCCCCATTTTAACTGAGCAACGCCCGAAAACGCACTAGCCACGGCGAACAAGGCAGCTGAAAAAAACTCCACAGCGGGGTCTGGGCGGTGTGGCAGTGACCTGGCGTAGGGCTGGCGCTTGTCGGTGATTGCCTGCCCCGAGAGAGAGATAAACAAAGCCCAAAAAACCTATGAAGGCCCAACATCGCAGCACAGAAAATAGAAACAGTCTCACATAATGGCCATGGCGCAGGAGTAAAATCTAGAAACCGGGGCATCGGAATCCGGGAAGTGCATGAGGTGTTTACACCTGCCCGTCAGGTCTGCGCGGAGCTGCGGTGGGACCCCTGCCAGTTTTGGCCCCGCGGTTGTGTCATCAAACCGACCGCAGGAAGGCCCAATGGATGGTTGCTTAGCCAACCGTTTACTTCCCGCAGGTCGCAGCTTCCGCTCTCTTGTCGCCCACACAGGCGATCCCTTGTTGACCAACGCATCACCCGCAGAAAAAATACCCTCGAGTCAACAACCTGCATCATCTCTCGCATCATCACACTCCGGATTGATTCCATATCTGAAAAAGCCATCACCTCACCTGGGCGGGGCGGGGCAGACGAGACCAGCATTTTGCATTGCAATTAGGTGCATTTTCTTTTGAGGTTTCTTTTGCTCAACAAAGCAGGCAAGGCAGCGCCGCTAGCATCAGTGGCTTGTCCCAACATTCCACGGCTAAAACAATCCGACACAACCAACTGCCATCCACACCATGGCATCTTACCAATACCGCAACTCGACCTACATACACGAGAGAGCAGACAGCAACGCCTCGCGGAGGCCCGACTCGCAACGGCGAGACACTCGCGGCACCAGGTCCAGTGACGGGACCGTCAGCACAATGATGAGCGCCTCTACCGGCCGGGAATCCTCGGGCACCGCCATGACCGAAGGGCCAGCGTACTCCAAGAAGATTGTTGTGGTCGGCGACGGCGGTTGCGGCAAGACCTGTTTGCTTATCAGCTACAGCCAAGGATACTTCCCAGAGGTGTGTACACGCAATCATCGGTGGCATACACACCGACTCTACTCTTTTTTTGCTTGAACTTTGCAAATTAGGTGTTTCAAAATACTGACCGACCTTGACAGAAATATGTACCTACCGTCTTCGAAAACTACATCACCTACCCAACACACCCTCCCACCGGCAAGACCGTGGAACTTGCGCTCTGGGATACCGCCGGGCAAGAGGAGTACGACCGACTACGCCCGCTCTCCTACCCCGAAACCGACCTCATTTTTGTGTGCTTCGCCATCGACTGCCCGAACTCGCTCGAGAACGTAATGGACAAGGTACGTTTTTATTTCCATTCAGCCTCACGTCCTGCAACAACGAACTAACATTCATATTTCACAGTGGTACCCTGAAGTCCTGCACTTTTGCCCCTATACCCCTCTCATCCTAGTCGGGCTCAAGTCCGATCTCCGCCACAAAAAGACGTGCATCGACATGCTCAAGACGCAGGGTCTTACGCCGGTGACGGCGGAGCAGGGGCTAGCAGTCGCCAAGAAGATGGGCGCTCAGTACATGGAATGCAGCAGCAAGGAGATGAAGGGCGTCGAGGAGATCTTCGAGCGCGCCATCTTGACAGTCGTGGCCAACGACCGCAAGATACTCGAGGCTGAGGCTACTGCCAACGGCGGACCCATGTCTCCGACAGCTAGTGGACTCGGGAGAAAGGGGAGTACCACTATCAACGGGTTCGGCGGTGGGAGTAAGAGCAGTGGCGGTGGGATAACGTTTGGGAGCGACGGCGTGCAAATTCCGGTTGTTAAGAAGAAGAAGAGAAAGTGCGCGCTGGTGTAAGGAGGTGGAGGCGTCCGGGAAGAGGAGGAAGCAGGTAGAGATGGCTCCAGGGGAAGAGGAGTGCTGACGACCTTTACTAACTGCATGCATGATGCCGACACGACATGCGCTGTTGTTGATTTCTTTTCCGAGTCCTCATTTTTCCGGCACCTCGTTTTCCCTTTTTTTGTTTCCCTTTCTGTCACGACCTGACCGATGGCAACGGCAAGGCATGCAAAGCAAGCGACTGACTTTCGGGATTTTTTTGTTATTACTCTCTGTTTACTGCCGTCATATTTTCTTCTTCTCCAGGTGTGGGGTCGGGTGGTGGATGGATGATGGATGATGTCGACGGGTTGGCTATGGATACTGGAAACTGATGTATTACTGGAGTATACCTTCTCTTCGTGAAACTGCTATAGGGTTTTAGAAGGGATCGATACCCATGAGGGATGGACGGATGGATGGGTGAACGGGATGGGAATGAGAGCTTGCTGGGCTCTTTGCAGGGGAGGCTCTTTCGAGTCCGACTGTACTCGCACTCTTGACGATGGAGTACAGGATCGGGATAGGAGAGCATTGTGATGGCGCGGCAAAGGATTTCCCGTCTTGTTGTTTGTTGATTAGGGATAGGGCTATGGAATATAAGAAGCAAACTTCCACATGCAGTCTTTTCATGTGCACTGTGAACTGATCCAATGTCTCTCTTGACTAGCCGAACGTATTGGGTATCACTAAACCGACATGTCTTCTCCCCGTAGCATGATTTTTCTCGCGCCGTTTCTCATAATGCATACCAGTCTACTCCACCTTTCCCATATCACTCGCTTCCCTCCACCTTCACTCGATCGGCTTCTTCCTGGCTATCGCCCCGCTCTTCCTGTTTTCCCCTGTCCTCTTCGGGCTCCTCCTTGGCCATGACATTCTCGAACTGCGACCACAGCGCCTCGACGGACGAGAACTCGTTGCCCACCTATATATACTCTGTCAGACACCACCACCGCACACACGTCTCGCCCCACATCAGTCAAGGGTTATCAACTCACGGCGATAACGGCCTCGAGCGACCGGTTCAGCTTGTTGATGTTGGCGAGCACATGCTCAAAGCTCTGGAAGCCTGTCAGCAACCACTCTTCATTTTCATTTTTTTTTTGGTGGTTTATTGGCTGCGTGCTCACTCACCATGGCAATCTCCCCCACCAACTCCTCCCTCTGCTGCTCAAAGTATGTCTTTTCTCTCGTGCCCGCCACCGAGGCCGAGCGTTGCTGCTGGGAGGCCATCGTGGTTGTTGTCTCACTCTACTGTGGGGAGGAGGGGGGTTGTTTCATCCAGACGCGATACCGTGACGTGACGAGTTCGGTAGCTCAAGGCAGTGAGTGGGTTCGGTTCCAGACATTCATGGTGGTGCTGCGGGATGGTGGGGCGGACTTTGCAGAGGAGGACAGCCCTAACCCTGGACACACCGGCCTTTCATGCTGTTGCTGTGGTAACGGCCCCTTTCACCGTTTTGTTGGCGGTGTCGTTCCGGGGAGATTGGAAGGTGAGGTGGGCTTTGAGAAAAGGGGCAGAGGAAGTCAGATGATGTGGAGAGGGAGGAAGGCTGGTTTCCCCTGAGGATAGGTGATGGTCGGGGACCACTTCTTGTCTAACACGAAGATTGTCAACATGACGGACATGAATTCGAAAGATACACCCAGTCCCGACCTAGATAGTACTTAATTCATGTTATTTTTGCAATTTTATATCATGAGTAAGTTATTACGCAAAGATGAATATACTGCGGTGTCAACTACTGATCATTCGGTGTGCGAGCGGCGTCATTGATATGAGTAAAAAGACATCACCCGGTCCGGTAAAGTGCCTTGCGACTATGGATGGAGGTGGCGAACTCAGACATCAAATCTATCTGAACTGCCATAGCCTTTGCGGTGTGTGGAGGGCTCGAACAATCGGGAGCCAAAAGGGTGGGCTGTCTCGGGTTTGTTCCATTACCTCTTCCACTACTTACCCAACCCGTCACCTCGCGATCCAACACCGTCCTCGCGATTGTCACCACCTTTCACTCAATCACACCACTGGTCACGGTGCCTATTATGGAGCGACCAGAGAGCGACCGCGAGGATAACATCATGTCCGACGCCCTGAGACTTCCCCTTTTGTTGCTCAGCTAACGGTGACGGATTCCACAGGGTGATCAACATCTCTGTACGGAGGAGGTTCAGCGGACTTAGCCAGTGGCCCACAAACGAACTCGCTCCCCTCTTCTGGTTTATTGGCTCCAACCCCCTCACCGACGCCCCCCAGAAGATCAACGACCTTACCGGTATATCTTTCTCACCTCGGCGATGGAGACACGCACGGAAAGGCTAATGGGCAACTAGAGAGGCAGGCGGACCAGATCCTGGATTCCTTGTGGGTTTGGACGACGCAAAGAACCCTGGCCGAGAAGCTGAGGATAATCCGTGTGTGTGCCGGGCTAGGTGTAGACTCTACAAGGGGTGGATCAGCGGGGACTTCGAGAAATGCGAGTCAGAATAGCTTCTATCAGAACTAGATTGGGTTAATAAGGCCGCAGACACGATTCCGACCCCCCAAGTTGCTGTAGGCGGTGCTTGGGTGCACTACTGCTCTTCCGATTATGCCAATGCTGACGGGCCCACCTGCTAGCTGTGTCCGAAATTGAAGGCTCAAAAATGGCCCGTTGCGTTCGGCTGCATGCATTTCCTCCCGTCAATCCTTTGTTGGGGGATACTTGTCTCGGGAGACCGTGCCCTGTAGGCCTGTTGCCGTTTGTGTTCCACCAGATACCACTTCTCACACGGCAGAGGACGGTCGACTGGTGTAATATCATGTTTCGAGGTTGATAGTTTTCCCGAATCTTGCGTATAGGTCCACCTTCAGTTGCGTCATTTGTTCCCGGATGGTGCCCATTTTGTCCTCGAGTTCCCCAATCTCCTCGTCTAGCCTCGTTGTCGATTGTTCGAGCATTTCCTGAGCTTGTGGGAGTGGGAGGTGAAAGAAGGCATCCCCGATTTTGTACCTGTCACCGGTTCAGCCAAAGTTCTGCATCGTAGTCGATGTCGGCGGAACTCACGGTACGGTATCGTCCTCGTCGGCAAGCTCCAGCTCGTTCGTGATGTCATCGAGCTCTTCCTTCTCTTTCTGCGCCGGGAGTTAGCTGTGCTCTGGCCGGGCTGGGGTTTTCCGCCAATGCCCACATTCTTTGTCTTCAACTCCTCTTCTATTGAGAGTTCGTGTTGGTGTAGGCGGCTGAACTTGTTGATTTTGTCCTGGTCTTCGCGGCGAACTTCGACCTCGTCGCCCATGGCATCCTCCTCCTCTTTCGTCAACTGCACAGCACGCTGTTAGCCGGGATTTTGGTCGTTAAAATACAGCTTTGATCCTACCATCCGTCGGCTCATCATCTTGTTTTATTTTGTTGTAGGGACAGGGGAAACCAAGATGTGATTGTCTCGTCAACTCCGGCGCTGAACTTGGGATTTGGGCGTTGGAGGAAGCTCCACCACCTTTGGCGGGGCATTTGCGAAGCTCTCTCCCTGTGGACAAAAAAACCGATACACCAAAACCGACTTTCGGTGGGTCCACCTGCAAGTCCCCTTCACGAACACATCAGTTCCAAACAAGCTGTGGGTAGGCCATTTAAAAGCGTAAACAAACGATACTGCAGAAATGAATAGAGCAACACCCAGAGATTCTATTGCACTTCTTTTTGTTGAATTTGGGTTTGGTTTGGCCGAGAAGGACCGCACCAAGATAGCTCGCTGTACTTTTGGTGTATCGGTTTTTTTGGACAGAGCGAGGCTCTCTCAATCGCGACGGTATCAACCCTAACCCTGTAAAGTGTCTCTCTCTCAACGCACAGACCATAATGAGGCAGTTTCGGCCATTCTCCGATTGGCCGCTGCGCCGAAAGCGTCCCAAGTCAACAAACGAAGCTCAACCATCGGCAAACGACGCGGCCAAACACTCAACCATTCGAGCTGCTGCTCTCGAGTTGTCCAGCGAGCGGACCATCACATTCTAAAATAAGCAGGATGGCTGGTCAGAAACTATACCCCCGCGCGACGGTCAAGAAGATTGTCAAAGCTCACTCGAATTGTAACGTGAGCAAGAACGCTGATGTCATGGTACGTACCATAACCCCAACCCCGAACCGTCACCAGGGAGGTTCTAACGGATCGCGATGGAACCCAGATGTTCCTGGACTACATGCTTTTTATGCAAACGTAAGAGCAATATAGATGCGCCACCGACGTGCTGGCTGACAATGTCCCAGACTCATGAAAGAGGCCGCAATTGAGGCCAAGCAAGGCGGAGAGCGAGGCATCACGGCCCGGAGTGTGAAGAAGGCCACAGTGGTAAGCACAGACTCGCAACGACCACATCTCACGCGCTCATCGTCTAGGACTCGCTTGCCAAGTTTAGGGGATGAGATAGCTGGAATATGGGGATATGACGAAGTTAGCGAAACAATGGCCCCGGCCGTAAACAACAACCCAGCTCGCGAGGCCGGCCGAAGACGCCGGGGCGAGATCTGGATGAACGAAGCTTGTCCTGCGCCGCTGGCGCAGTTCCCTGGCGAATGTGGAGACCGATCGAGTTCAGCTGGGGCACGCGACATCAAACTTTCTACACGCACTATGTGGTGTGGGGAGGTAACCTCAAAAAGATGCTGCCTTACGATGCAAACGGGAAACATCGGATATTCTAACTCGAGCTTTGTGGAAAGAGACAAACAAATGACAGAGACGAGGCTCAGCCCTCCGTTTCCACCTCGGAGGCCTATATCCATAATAAATTGCGTGCACTGCGAATGTTTGTTCCGGCTGGTTCTGTTCCATTCCGGCTGACCTTCACTGCCTGTTACCTAGACTTTGTGGCCAATCGCCGAGGGGCAGCTGGTGTCCCGATGTGGCACCGTCCATCGTTTGGGCCACCAGCGTTGTTGTGGGAGAGGAAGCATCTCTCGGCCCCAAAAATTTCCCAACCAACACTTCCCACCCGACAGAATTCGCATCTTTCCACCATCGACTGATTCAATTCTGCCCTAAACCCTGGTGATTAGGTTTATTACCAGTGTTAGTCGTACTTTTGCTCCCGCAACCCCAACGTCATCTCGAGTGAACCAAAAAACTTGGTCGACTACGTCAACAAAAACACGGTCTCAAACCCGATTCTTGAGCGTAACACGATTTACGTTCAACCTTTTCTACAAACCCAAAAATGGCGGCTTCCGACATCCAGAACCCCCCAGCTCCGGTCGAGTCCAAGTCCGCCAGGAAGAAGAAGGCGAAGGCGGAGCGCACCGAGTCCCCCGCACCTGCTGCCGCAACCCCGGAAGTCGCCGGCTCCGTCGCCGCCAGCGAGGCTCAAAATGAGTCGGACAACGCCTATATTCGCGACCTCCAAAAGTAAGCCTGCCACAGCTCATTGGGGAATTTTCAGGTGACTGACCGATTTCGCAGGAGTATTCGTAATGTTACGAAGAAAATCGTAAGTTGGACGGGGTTGGGTAGCGGCGCCGATCCTCGCTGACAGCATCACCATTCAGACCAACACTGCAAAGGTTGATGCCATCATCGCCGAGCACAGCGACAAATCACTCGACGAGCTCATAGCCTCCAAGATTATCAATGCCGACCAGAAGGCTGCCCACCTTAAGAAGCCGACCCTCCAGGCCCAGCTGTTCCAGTTCGAGGAGCAGCTTGCCCAACACAAGAAGGTGGACCAGGAACACCGGGCCCGTCTCGCGGAACAAGAGAAGGCTCTGACGGAGAAGTTCGAGAAGGCGAAGGCGGACGCTGTCGCTGAGGTCACAAAGAAGGCGGAGGCGGATGCCAACGCGACTCTTCGTAGCAACCTCCTGAACCTCTCTCAGTTTCTGAGCCTTGCTGCGGCCCGTCGTACGGATGATCCCGACAGCACCTCAGACGAGAGCATGGCGCTCGAGGGTGTCCTGCTGCACATCTACTCGGGCGACGAGAATGCCGTTGCCACCATGCTAAAGCTGGTGCAGGGCGCGGACGAGCCCACCCTGAGCACTTCCGAAGAGGCGCTGCAGACGACCTGTAAGTGGATCCAGGCCTGCTCTTTTTCACGGCGCAACCAGTTACTGACCGTTCCCAAGTCGCCCAGGTTAAGAAGGCTGCGATTGCGCACGCCACTCCGTTCACGCAGACCGAGACCGCCCAACAGTCGGCCGACCCCGAGGCTGCCGTCGAGTCCAAGCAGGACCCGGAAACCGACCCGACCGTCGCTAATGCCGGCCTGACCGAGGTCGACGACGGTTCCGCCACCGCACTAGTCAACGGCCACGCGGACGGGTCCTCGAGCAGCGCTCCCCCCAGCAACGCCGAGGTTGCCGACGAGGCTGCGAACGCGGCCGGAGAGAGCCAGTGGGACACGGGCAACGAGCTGTCCACGTCCCAGGAGTGGGTGGACGTCAAGATCCCGCGCGAGGCTAGCGAGACGGAGACCGGTCCCGCCGCCACCTCCGCCGCGCCCTCCCAATCGTGGGCTGACGACCACCCCGAGGCCGAAACCACCCCCGCCGCTCCCGCGGACGACGGTTTCCAGTCCGTGCCGGGCCGCAACCGCGGCCAGCGTGAGGGCGGTGGCTGGCGCGGCCGCGGCGGTTACCGTGGCCGCGGTGGTTTCCGTGGTGAGGGCCGCGGCCGCGGTCGTGGTGGCCAGCGCGGTGGCATGCCCCAGCGCGGCCGCCGTGGCGGTATCGAGGCCCAGTAGTCTTCACATCCAACCGTTTTCGGGGTGATCTGCACGCACGCAGAATCGATTTCTCGCTTGATCTTGTCTCGCATCTTGGGTTTGCCGGGGGGTTTCGTCACTGCACTCATCACTGGCGTTCTAAAAGCGCATATGCTTTTATTTATCACATGAAATTTTCGTTGCTTTTGGGCCACGCGGGTGGTGGAAAGCTAGCACTGTTTGTACATTAGGGGAAATATGGGCTCGGTCTTTGCCTATTTTGAGGGCGGCGGCTGTCCCGGAGCATTAAGGGGAGCATATGACTTGGGCATCAACCGAGACAAAACGAGACGAGATACTTTGGCGTTCGGGATGCAACGGCGGTTTTGCGAGGAGGTCTGGTGCGCGGGTCAACCGGGGGCTACGGGAAGTATCATTGGGGGCCAATTGATAATATCGTGGCCAACTCGGTCCTTTTTTCTGGTGGTGAAATTATGTATCCTGCTGTTCTACTAGAGCTTGGATCACGACGATCACGGCATCCACGACGACTCTCCATGATTGTACCGCCCATTTGTTCTTTACTAACCAAAGCACCAACCAACGTAATGCAACCACGCTCAACCCTCTCAATCAATAAACGTAACGTCCAACCTAACCCAACCAACGCCTATCCCCGCCCCCCCATTGAACCAAGCCTGAGTAAACGAAGAGCGACCCCCAACCCACAACCAACCTTGCGTAGCCACAGCAAAAGAAGAACAAGAACACACAAGGAATCAGACGAACCCCCGAAACGCCGTCCCCAACACCCGCACCTTGTCGGCGTCCCCCTCCAGCTTGACGCCCTCCTTGCGGAGCAGCGCCCGCTTCTCGGCCAGCGTGATGCCCTCCCCGTCGCGCCGCCCAATCTTGCCCTTGAACCCGCCCAGCGTGCCGCCTGTGGCTATTACCCGGTGGCTATGGGCGGTGGTTGGTTAGTTAGCGGTGCGGCTCTCTGGGCGTGTATACGCTTGACGTTGAGGTTGGAGGTGGTGGTGGGTGTAGGGAGGGTGGACGTACCAGGGGATCTCGGGCGCGAAGGGGTTGCGCCGCAGCGCGTTGCCGACGGCCCGCGGGGACGACTTGAGGTGTGCTGCTAGCAGTGCGTATGTGCTGAAGCAGCCTGCGGGGATTTGGTAGGTGAGTTGCCACACGGCCCGCTCGAAGGGGGTGCCACGCGCTGAGGCGAGGAGGGGCGGCGGGAGGGGGGTTTTGGACAGCTTGGAGGGGGTCATGGTTTTGGAGGGGTGGGTGGGCTTGGTGGTTGTGGTGGTGGTGGTTTTGGTTGTGGTAGTTTTGGAGGTTGTGGTGGCCGTCATCATGTCCTCGTCCTAGGTTTGAAGCGCTTTTGAGATTTGCCACTCGATGTCTTCGGCGCTGGAGTTTAGGGTGAGGTCCAAACACAAGACAATCAGTGGAGAGAGACGTGTTTGTCTTGTAGTCTGACGAAGATGAAAGTCTTCGTGAAGTGGGAGAGTTCAATCAGACGCGGTTGATGTCAGAACAAGGGCGCGCCTCAACGACAGGGAGGGGAACGTAATCGGGGCGCGTGGATGGTGCGATGTCACGTGAGTGAACACCCCATTAATGACTTCGCTCGACGACAACGGCGGTGAGGGTCCCGACCCTCTCGTGCGTTGCGGCGTGGAGAACAAATGCCCATCTCCATCTTCTGGTTGGTATCGGAAGCTCCTCGCAAGTATAACATGTATATTCATACATTGTAAATCCATGAAAACACGCTGGAAGTCCCACTTCCCTCGCGAATAGGTCTCGCCCCTGACCCAAAAGAGGCCAAAACCATGTGATGAGTTCCTGTTTTCAACCGAGAGAGGGCTCCACGAGACACGAGGGACTCTTAATCCAGTCACTGCAGTTCCACGACAACCATGTCTCTTGCTAAAGGGTGAAGGATTGATCCACTGGCAACACATCAATGCAAAGAATACATTAGAATTAGGGTTTTGATGCGTCAATGACTTGCATTGCTACTGTCTGCTGATCAGTGTCAGCGGTCCCTTGCTGGCAGCATGTCCGTATAACGTTAGTTATGTCAGGCCCCATTCAACGGATGAGACACAGCTCCCCTTTCGACTTCACGCTTAACGCAAGACGACACCGACGTTCGAGAGGAGCTTGGCCTCGAATCGGTCTCGTTGTGTGACCGGTTCTGCTGCCACAGGCTGCAGGTTACCTGCGTTTTGTGGCCGGTGGTTGAGCGAACGGGAGTTCATCGATCGGTTGCCATTCAAGTGCCATTGCATCTGCACAGCATTCGGAGTCGATGTATTGATGTCGTGTTTTTTGATCGACCGACCGACCAATTGATAAACAGTCCGGAAACAGTCTGTGTGCAGCTGGGGCCGGGTCCCCACAGCGGAGTGCGGTTCCTTCGCAAACAGCGGGAGAGGACCCTTGGTGCCATGCAGCGGAAGGGTCTGCGACGAACGGCAGCGGTCACATCTCCCGCGGTTGCTTGACGCGGCGTGTTTCACCTCAACAAACCTTTTGTTCATGCCGCCGAGCAATTGAAACGCACTATGCGATAACGACCTACCTTACCTAGAGTTATTGTGTACGCCCACATCCGCAGTCCATGGCCTCACGTCCTTCTGCTCTCGGCTTCACAGCTGGGCTGATTGAGGCCCTGGGCCCTGAACCAGGTTCACAATAAGCGGTGGGGGATCCTTGCCTGGTGAAATCTCGCATCCCGAGAATTTTGGCTTCCATGTTTCTTCCCCTTTTCCACGGCGGAGAGAAGAAGGAAACCACTGTTCTGCAGAAAATCCGTTTGACACTGCCGGCTGGGCGAGGGCCTTGCTGCTGGGTGCCGATCGCTCTTCACCATTCCCATTTTGGGACATTGTGGCCGGGCTCGTCAAACGCGACTCCGCACCGCGATGCCTGTGCGCGCCGCTTCCTCGGATTGTTTCCTGAGAGGATGGGAAAGCCGGAAAGCCGCCCGCCTCTCGTCTTCTCTGAGACAAAATAACGGTGAACAAAAACTACAGAGAAGCTCAGACGAAGCCTAAGGCTTTCGCTTGACCCGACAGATCGGCTCAACGGAGCGGGAGAGAGGCAGTTGTTTCTCGAGGGCGTGGCGTTGTGCAAGGGCGGCATCGCGAAGTCGTGCTTTTCAATGAAGCCCCTGAGGTCGGCCAAAATGCAATCCCACCTCGTGAGCTCCCGTCGCATTCGGGAGGTATCCCATTGCAACGCTGTAAAAACCGCAAATTCCGGGTTCCAGCTGCGTGCTGTTTATCCTGTCCTTCCAATCCAATAGCAAGCTTTGAGCAGCCCGAGAAACGCGCATGCAGTGACCCGCGACAACAGATCATCAACCTGTCAAGCACGAACGGACAATCAGCAAATGCTTCATCCAATGCACAAGCGGGATTTGTTTTGGAGTGGTTGTACAGGGAGTGGTCCACTGAAGAAATGTTCCCATGAATTCCGAATGGTTCGTGGTGGAAGGGAGGTGAACCTTGGAAGTTTCCAGGTCGCGCGTTTGAGGAAGGAGTGGGGCCAAGAATCAAGAAGCGATGTACGAAGTACTCGTGACTTCAATTTTTCGGATCGCCTGGGTTCCAGTTTGCGGGCATTCCCACGATTCCTTCTGAGCTTGACGCAGAACCCCCACAGCCGAGATTCCGAGGTTGAGGTACAGAATACCCAGGCATGCCCGTGCAAGTTTAATGTCTTGGCGCGCGGGCTCCTTGTTCGCGCCCTTGCTCCTGCCCCTGACGAGGAAACCCTGCCGGCTCAGCGTGGTTTAGCGCCTCCACCTTATTTCCCAGCTTCGCAGTGGCCGGCCCCAATTGCCCAAAACTGCCCGCTTGGCTGCAGTTGGACCTGCAGCTGCAGCCTGCCTTTTGCTTCTGGACCTTGCAGCGAATTGGCGAATCCGTCCCGCTGAGCGCGGCGCACTTCAAGTGCCCTCATTTGCTCTTGCTTTCTCATCACATCTCAAATTCTGGCCACCAACGCCTGGGCCACCTGCACTCCCGTCGCTCGTTTTGGCCTCCCTATTCTGTCTGTACATGGCGCTCGGTCCCTTAACTCACGCCCGAGTCTTTTCTTCCTCCTCGATCTGCCTTTTGTGAAGACCGCAGGAAGCTCTCCCGCCCAATTCCGTGTTCGTTCCCTTCCTCCTAGGGACAACCCGGCAGCGCGTGGGTACGAGAGCATCAACAGCGAGCCTGTCTGAGCTTGGCCTCTCCCCGGCGCCGTCGTCTTGTCTCAGGTGATCGCGAGGCACGCTTTGTTCGCGCAGGCCCCTCGGAGGTTGCAGCAATCAGTTACATGACTGCAGTCGCCCTGCTTTCACATCTTCTTCGTCTTCCTCGGGTTGAAACAACGAAACACGCCCGGAGCCTGTTTACCTCCCTACCTGACGAAGCGGACGATCACCGCTGCAGCCTGCCGCCGTCCGTGTCTTTTCACGAACGGGACTGGCATCAGACCAGCAGGTCGCCGCTAACTATCGAAACCCCTCCAGCTGCCACCAGCGGTCTTCAACTGTCGTTCACAAAATCATCCGACAAGTCAAGCTCACCGGTTGCCAGGTGGCACCCAGAAAGCCAAAATGCCGCCTTCACTTAGCGCCCACGCTTCCTTCACTCGCCCGCGGACCAGCGACCGAGACGCCCGTCCCGTCACCCGCGAGGCCGACAGCAACCTCATAATTCCCAGCCGGACCTCATCCCTCCATTCCCGCATCACGCAGCCGATTCCGTCGTCGCTAAATATGAAGTCCCAACAAGCAACGCCCAAGACACTCACGCATGCTTACATGGTCTGCGGCGTCGGCCGGGAGCCTTCGCAATGGGTCAAGGCCCCCGCGCCCGCGCAGGGCAAGATCGGGCACATGAAGGGCGCCGTTCCCCAGTTCTGGCTTCCCGAGATTCTAGGGAGCAGTCCCAGGTTGGAGCAGGACAATGATATCGCGAGGGCTCTTCACTCTGCGATGAGGGTATGCTGTCTAGGAACTCCCCTCTCTCACTGAAACCGGTTTGACTGACTGTCCGTAGGCATGCTTCCCTCACGACGTCGAGATCTGCACCGGACGCAGCCAGCCGCACTGCGTTCACCATGCCTTTGTCCTCCAGCAAGACTCGTCTCACACACTCTACGGTATCTGCCTGCGTGTTTGGTCGCGCGCCGATGAGAAGCGAGCCGAGACCATCCGCGAACTTAGGAAGCGGACAGAGCCCGACTTCTACGACAACCAGGAGGAGCAGTATTGGATTCCCTACTGCTTGTCCTTTCTGTCCCGCTACCCGCTCTACAACCTTCTGGGCGATTATCTTCGCGGCATGTGGATTCATTGGAACAAGGCTACTAACCTTTTCCACGCCGAGGAGGTATCCCGCATTCTGAGCTTCCCGGCACCGCGTCTGAACGATCTGGTACGGATCGATATGAAGGACTACGCGCTCTGCTACCAGTTCCCGGCCTTGTCGACCGGCTTCCAGAACTTCGCCATGTGGCCATTGTTCTGCTGCTTGTCCATCCCTAACATCGTCGGCGTCGTCGAGGCGGCCATCTCCCCCACTCGCCGCATCATCTTCGTCAGTCACTACCCCGCCATGCTGACAATGGCCGCCGAGGCGGTCCGGCTTTGCGTCCGTGTCTATGAGTGGAGCGGCCTCTACGTGCCCGTGGTGCATGCGCGCCATGCCAAGGACCTCGTTGAGGAGCCCGGCCCGTACATTCTGGGTATCACGGCCGAGTGCAGGTCGCTGTTCTCGGCGCCCTCCGATGCTCTGGTCATCGACCTTGACCGCAACTTCGTCCTCACCTCGGACCCGCCGGACGCTCTCCAGGAGCGACAGCGTAACAAGTTCGTGGCGAGACTCACCCAGGCATTGAACAGTGATGTCAGGCCCTCCGGTGTGCCCCCGCATCTTCGTTCGGCTTATGGCGGAGGGAAGCTGGTTCCTGCTGGCCAAATCATTGTCATGCGAGGCGAAGTCGAGTCTATCCAGGATCCAGAGTGGTGGAACCAGGATGCTGTCATGGCTGTCATGGACCATGTCTGCGAAAAGATGGTGAGTCGTAATGGCTAGTGCTAGTAGCGTTGGATTTGACGCTAACACTGGTTCTGTAGGGCCGCAACACCGGGCTTAAGGCTGTCTTTAGCGGGTCTGTCAAGAAGCCCCTGATGACCAAGGTCTCGATGAGGCATCTTAACGAGATTGTTCGCGAGCGGAACCAGTACTCCAGAGACGCCCTCGAGGCTTGGCAAGATTTCATCAACCTCAAGGGCCGGCTGGACACCGAGCTCAACAAGGTTACCAAGCGGAACAACTACCTCAACGAAGAGTTGGAGAGCTGGAAGCAGCAGGTGGGTGCAGAAGAACGACAAGATCGGGGGCCAAGTTTGCTGACGGAGATACAGTTCCTCAAATTCCAGGCCTTTGCCGACACCCTTACCAAGGAGACTCAAGACCTCAAAACCAAGATTGAAGGCCACAAGCGCGAGAACCGCCGGCTGGCTAGCCTTCTCGACCAGCAGAAGGACGATTCCGCCAGGCTTTCGGTCCGACTTGCCGGCACTGAGAAGCAGCGCGACGACGCCCTCGAGGCGCTTGTTCTTCAGCAGGAGATTGCCGAAGAGCTCGAGAGGGAGCGCAAGAGGAACAGGAAGGAGCTGAACGCTCTGCAGCATACAAACGTGACCATCGTCCGCCAACGCGACGAAGCCCGCCGCGTCGTGCTCCACCTCCGCAGCTTGATATCGGGCCAGCACCACCACATGGAGCACCTCGTCAAGACACTGACGTCTCCGGACGAGCTTGCCGCAGAGATCGAGGCCGGCTTTGCCGCCCAGGAAGAGGTTGAGGCTGCCGCGATCGCTGAGCGTAGGACATGCTGCCCCGTGGCACCGAATACGGATATCGCTAACAGTAGTGTAGGTGAAGGTGTGGAAGAGAACGACGCCCGCTTCATCAAGAACCTCGCCCTCGCAAGCAGGCGCGTCTCCACACAGACGTTCATCGACGTGGCCGATCGCCACCTTAAGGACAAGACGGACGCGATCGCGCACATCATCCGCAACATTTCGGAACAATGCCAGGCCGCAGTCGAGGGCCTGCAACTCGCACATGACGCCGAGCTCGGGAGGCCGCCATCGTCGGCTTCCAGGGTTCGGGACTTGTCAAAAAGCAGGAGAGCGAGTTCTCTCTCAGTCGCACAAAGCGATGACGGTAACACCACATCCACCTCGACGGCCACGTCCGATGTCGGTGACGATAGCAGCAGCGTCACTCTCCTCCGGCCCAACAGCGGCCGCATCTCTAGCATCCCACCCACACCGGATCTCATTCCCAACCGTAGCAGCACTAGCATGTCTTTCGCGAGCACCACGGCCACGACCCCTGAGCGAACCTCTCAGCAGTACCTCCTCCACCACCTCGGGCACGGACACGGACACCACGACGTCCCCACGAAGATTCTCGAGGACGACGAGGACGTCGATGACCTCACCGCCGACGAGCGCGTCGCCCGCGACGCCGACGAGGGTAACCCCATCCCCGCGCCCCCGGCGGAACAGGGAGTCGTGGGTAAGCATCCGGCGAGCCTGATCCACCGGCCCTCGGGCGCTCGCATCTCGGCACTCGGGAGCTCCCGCTAGAGGGTTGTTTTTTGGGGGGTTCAGCAGGTCAGTTCGGTAGTTACGGGACGAAGTTAGGCCAGCTAAAAAATTAGGAGGCAAGCAAGTCAGTCAGCAAGCGGAGTGGGAGTGGTTTTTACGTTTTTTTTTTTTTTTGTTTTGTGTTAGGATCTTTGTTGTAGTGGTGTATGTGTCTCACTCGCGTGTGTGTGTGAGGATTTTTGTACCTTTCTGTTCGTTTATACCACTTTCGCGGAGGGGCGGATTTATTTTTATCTAACTACTTTATGGATGTCCCTTTTCTTCTTATTCAGAGGGCGATGGGGCACTTTTTCCCACTTGACTAAACTAGTTTCGCTTGCGGGCTTGCTTGCCTGCCTCTAACGTATCGATATCTATCTCTTTTTAGTTAAGTACTTAACGTTGACTCTTGGTTGTCTTTGGTGCTTCTGGAGCCGAGTATTTTATTCCCCCCTAACTAGCCGTAGTTGGTAGTCGAGGAGCTTTTTGTTAGTGTGTGGTTATTGAGTTCGACTCGTGGGTCGTCTCTCGTTCTCTTGATTCGGGAGTCTTGTGCGTTGGTGTGAGGCAGCGTTGGTATTGATGTTAAGAGCCAGGGGGCTGTTTGTTGGGTACTCCGTTCAAAGCAGGCAAAATTGCATAGTTCTTCCCTTCTTCTTTTTCTTCCTATTTCGTTGGCTTTTTTACTACATCTTGTTTCTTCGGATTGAGACACTGGGGATTGGCCATGCCATCAAGGCGTGGAATGATCTTTCTTGTATCTAATTATTCGTGTTAGCCAGTGTGTTGGCTGGGAAAGAACGATAGACCCTCATGTCTTGCATTCACCATCCATCTATTCACCACGGCATGGGTTAATGTGATATTTTCTGTGACAAACAATAAATAAAGGTTAGCTGTTTCTTTCCTCAAGCTGATATTATTGCTTATTGTCATTTTCACTGTCACAGATTGAGTGGTCGATGGAATATATGGAACACTTCGGGAGTAGTATAATACACTAAAAGTAGGAAACGTTACTAAGAGCAAGGAATGTTCGTTTATGTCTTGCTTTCAAGTAGTGAGTGATAGGCGGTCAACACGGTGAGCCTCAAGCACTCATGGGAAGAGAATGCGTAGGTGAGAGGAACTAAGCCAACGCTTCGTAACTCGACACTTCCACCCTGCGCACAAGCCTGAGCATAGAATAAACCAGATGTCCATGGGGAAAATATTTTTTGTATTTATCATGATCATCCCAAGCGAGATGATGCCCAAATGGGTCTCAAGACCATCCTCCCAGCCGGCTGCCGCCCGCAAGGCAGGTTAGCCAGCCCGGACCTCGTGGCCCAGGCCTCGTTCCAATCCATGAATGCCATCTCCTCGTAAACCAGTCCCATTCACCCCGTCCAGGTCAGCAATATATGCATTTCCATGCGCCCCCCGGTTTGCCCATCCGGCACCGCCCCTGTGCCTCCCCAGGTCATGCGAAGCAGTGGAACCCCAGATTCGCCAATCGTCAAAGAAAGCCATGCTGGCATGATTTCCCGGTTCGTAGCGTCGTGCCTCCAACTCCCCACCCAGAAAACAAAACGATACTGGGAGCTTGATGCCGCCGCCGCCACCGATAAAAAGAAAAAAATAAAGCAATCCCAAATCCAGTTGATGACTAGTCATACATAAAACGCCGGCCATGTGTCAGGTCAGGCGGGCTGCGGTGTATATGTTGAGATGTAAATCGAGATCACTGGGGGGGCGCCGGCTGGGCCTGCTGCTGGTGCGGGCGGAAGCCGGAATTACCACCACGCCCGCCCCGGTAGCCTCGACCACGACCGCCGCGGCCACGCCCACGCCCACCGCGGAAACCACGGTAGCCTCCATCGACGCTGCCCTGGCCAAAAGTCTCAATGTTCTTGCGCGTTTCCTCGCCACGCCACTGGGCGCCACCCAGTCTCTGCGTCGCATTCTCTCGGTCCTTCATCTCGCTCGAAATATTGTCGAAGAAAGACCTGGTCTTGTTATATGCCGCCTCAGCCGGAACCGCGGCGTCGGGTGCAGCCTCCGGAACGGTGCCCTCTGTGAAGGGCGCAGTCTCGGTAAGCGGAGACCCTGCAACGGCCTCCTTCACGACGTCTTGCTTGTTGAATTTTGCGTTGGACGAAGCAAAGTCGAAGTCCGAGTCGGGAACCTCAACCTTAGCGGGGCGAGGGCCGCGACCGCGACCACCCCGATTGTTCTGACCCGTGCGGGCGGCATTGATCCTCATCTCGTCCACTCTCTTGGTTAGGTTGTCAATGCCATTTGTCTCCGGCTGCTGCTGCTGCGGTGCAGCGTTTGGCGTATTGAGTTGCGCCATGGCAACTGCTACGGCATCCTTGGCAGCCTGAGTGGCGTCCCTCAAAGCCGCCGCCGCTGCTGCAGCGCTGGTGGGCTCAGCGGCCGGCTTCGGAGCCTGGGACTGAGCAGCTTTGGCAGTGAGAGCAGCTGGCAGAGGAATTGCGGGCAGAATCTGTGTGGGACGGCTGCTCTTCGGCCCGGTGGGAATGGGCGCGGTTTGGTTTGTGGCCGCTGGAGCGTTATTGGAAAGCGACGCAGCCGTCGCCTTCACTTCCTCAACTGTGGGTTTCGACTCCACCGGCGGCGGGGGCGCAGCCGCAGCGGCCGGCTGCTTGGGTGCCTGGCTCGTAGCCTTGGGTTCAGATGTGCCCCCGGCCTGTTGAGACGGGGTCATGGGCTTCCTGTCGGCGGCAGGCCCGATCGGCGCCGGCTTTTGTGTCGGTCCCTGATCGTTGGGGGGCTGGTTCGCCGACTGCCGGCCTTGTCCAGGAGCGCCTGGCGCACCCGGTCCACCTGGAGCACCTGGAGCGCCTTGAGCACCGGGAGCGCCCGGGGGACCGCCAGGACCAGGTTGGAAACCATAGGGGTTCCACGGACCGTGTCCCATGGGAGGGAATTCTTGCCCGGGCGGGAACCAGCCCGGAGGTGGGTACGGCATGCCACCGAACGGGCCAGGGCCTGGTCCGGGACCGGGACCGGGACCACCGGCGCGGCCCCAGCCTGCCATGTGTGGCGGGAAGTAACCGAAGCCTGGCGGGCCTGGCGGACCAGGCGGACCGGGCGGAGGACCTTGCTGGTTCTGAGCACCGGGGTGACCAATCGGGCCCTGGGGGCCCTGGGGACCTTGGGGTCCAGGAGGACCGGCCGGGCCAGGAGCGGCATTGGCGGGCCGAGGTCGAGCCTTGAGCGGGGTTTGTTAGCAACTCCACTCAGGACGAGGATATGGGATTGAGGATTGGTTTTGTGGCCATTGATCAGAAGGAAGGCAACGGAAATCTCAACATTGTTTGTTTGCGCTTTCAGACAAGTAAAATTTTACATCCGAGATAGTTCATCATGAAAAGGCCAGGCTGGAAATGCAATGGGCGGGCAGTTTGTACTTACTCCAAGGATCGCAGGATCGTTTGGAACAGCGGGCGGCTTCTCCTCTTTGGTAGGTGCCGGACCTTCTTCGATCCTCAAGTCCTTGACATCTGTGCCTCGGAAGACAATGTACTCGTAGAGCTGCTCCGAGGCCGGGACAAACTCCTCGGGGTCTGTTTTCCGGTGCTCGGTGCCGAAGGACCTCACATTCTCGAGGGAGACGGTCGAGTCATCCGAGTTGATGCTGTGGAGTGTACCGGAATAGCTAGACGGAGGGCTTGTCAGCTCGACAGCTCGGAGAGGGAGGGGCGCGCAGGATTGGCACCTACCGAATGTCGCTCCGGGATATCAAAGATATTCTGGCGCTGCAGCATGACGAATGGTTAGCGGGCCGGCGGGTTGGAAATGCATGTGTCGGTCGGTTGGCACACGAACCCGATAAATTCGGACATCTTGATTCGAAAATGGCAGTGACGAAATGCAACGTGCTACACCGAACGCCTGATGGTTGAGAGTGGCGCGCGGGGTATCGAGGATGAAAAAAATAAGAAAGAAAACTCGACGATGCCTCCTTGAAGAAAAGGGTTGGTTAGGAGGTGGTTTTGGCCCTTGGGCTGCACATCATGGTTTGTGGTAGTTTTGTGCTCCTTGGAGGTTGAAAAGGGAAGGCGAGAGCGGAAGGGGATGCACAACCCGGAAAATTCAGCAGCTTCACTCAGCCTCCCGCATTCTCGCCTGTCGCGGATGGCCTGTGCGCATCTCTTGGCCAAATCCTGCCCCGCCACATTTAGCACCTTCCATCCTTTTTAACCACCTGGGACGAAGTGCTTGTATTTACCTTCGAGGCGGCAGCCTGACGTGAACAATTTCACAAAAGTACATCTATTTTAGCTGGTACCTGATTTATGTGGTGCACACAATCCAAAGAAATAACGTAAAGTAAACATGGTCCCAAAAGCATCCAACGCCTGTTCATGCGATCCCCCCCTTCTTTCAGGTTCCAAAACTCCAAAACCCCTACTAATGATAATCACCAACCCCTCTGATTGGCAAGAAATGGCTGAGTACTCTGAGCACTGTAGCCCGAATTGTATGAGTACCCTGACATTCCCGAGTAGGCACTGTTCAGGCTGTGGTGGCTCGGACGATTGTGTGCCTGGTGCTGAGCTTGTTGGGCCCACTGGGAGTAAGGGCTGTGTTGCATATACGGCGGGGCGGTAGGAGGGTAGGGCGGAGGCGCGGGAAAACCGGAGGGCTGCACTGGCGGCGTGGCAGCCGGGGGGACGAGGTTATGCAGCTCCGTCGGTACCGCGCTGTTTCGGACCCGTGGCGGCCGATGCTCGTGCTGGCCGCCGTACAACATTCTCTCGTCTGGCTGCTTGAGCCGGTGGGTGCTTGTACCGGTGTACCCGGGGTTGCCAGCCCGTTTCTCGCCCCAGAACATGCAGCCAGAGTCGGCCCACTCGTCGATGACGTCGGCGATGGTTTGGATGTGGCCATATGTGGCAGGAAGGTAACCCGTGGGCCGCCACACAGAGAGCAGTAATCCGAAAATGGCGGCCGCCAGGCAGAAGGCGGAGAAGTAAAATATCTGCGGTGGGTGCATGTTGACGCCGAGCTGGAACTGCAAGTTGATGGCAAGACCAAACATCCAGTGAACGCCGGCCTTGAGGGCGAACAAGAAGAGTGTCTGCCACGAGGTGAAGGCCGCGAGGACCGAGTTGTGATGCCCGTTGGTGCCCCTCGGCCCGATGAGCCCGCGGTATACTTTCTCATCTCGCGATAGATTGACGATCAGCTCTGCACAGTGCAGTGAGAGTGTGACGACGGATTGAAAGGCCATGATCAAAAACACGGCGCCAACAACCCCGGCCGCTCCCTTGGCGGTCCAGCCAACGTTGAGGACCGACGTGCCATCCGTACACTGTTGGGTGTCGCATTCGGAATCAGTGCTGCCCGTGAAGACCGGGAGCAGCGACCAGGACCTTCCAAAGACGCCGTTTCGGTCGCCTCTGAGGAGGTAGCCGTAGACAGCGCCACCCCAGATACCGCTCAGTATCGGAAGCGTCCACAGGAGGATCAGGATCCGTCTGACACGGGAATGGGCGGTGACCATGGGCTTTTGCTTCGGCCTTGGTTTACAACACCTCGCGTCTTCCTTGGCCAGATGAACGCTCATCATGCACCTCCCAATCCGGGGCTCGACCCGATGGCCGTCGTGTTCGTCAACGGTACACGCCCGGGCGACATCGAGAGGGTTGGAGCTCCAAGTCGGTATGTTGGTCTCAACCAGGGCCCAGTTTGTGATGATGGCTTGTAATAGGAACCCGGAGCCTAGAGTGAAGAGCGCAACAGCGTTGATGTGGACACCGTCGATGTCATCCCTATCATATGCCTTCCCTAGCAATCGCGCCAGTGCCGGATTTAAGCTTAGGAAGATAAGGGACGTTGAACCGTACGAGAGGACGATGCCCGTGAGGTAGATAGTATTTGGTATTATGCCGTTGGGCCGGCTGTGTTTCGGCGCGGTGAGGAGACGGAGGTTAGAGTTGAAGTCGAGTTTGCCTTCTCGCTGTAATGACCAGCGGAGGGAGCAGGAATGGACGTAGCCCATACTGTCGTTGAGCAGCGTAACTAAGCAGTTAACCGTTTAGTGGCACTGAGCAGGGAAGAATCGACTGGTTAGAAAGACCATACCGAGGACATTGAGCCCCAGAGGCAGCACCTCCCTCCAAGTATGCGACAGGATGATATGGGGAGCATTTCCGTCCCGCAGCTCCAGGTAGGCACAAATTCCACCAGCGAGGAGGGCGCTGATTCCAATGATCCAGCTCATCACCAGCCCGAACACGCACCATGATCGTGTGAGGACGCTGTCATCGTGCTTCTGAGTCGCCATGACAGGCGAGCCTGCCCCTACTCTCACACTTGAGGAGAATGAAGAGGAGAAAACTTAGGCCATCCCACGGAAACGGGGGAGCCCGTGAGGGTGGAAAGCCTCGCCATTATTTTGAGTGTGTTTGCGGAAATGGACGGATGCAGGGGTTCCTTTCAGCCTCTCGAGGCTTGTTCCCAAGTCGCTATCAATGGGCTAGACCAGCGCTTGACTGCACGATGTTCCGATTGTGAACCGAACTAGTGGCCGCCACGCAGGGTTTTAGGTGACAGCCGCAGCCCAACTATCAATAACACCCAACCTTTGGCTTGGCCGTGTTGTGAAGGACATTTTGGATGAGCAGACAAATAGAACACGAGCTTCAGCTCCTGCTTCTCAGAAGCCACGGCGCGAGGGAAAGCGCGCCAAGGCCGTGTCAACGTGATGATTTTTTGCGTTAACGGTGTGTGTAAAAATCTGGACACCTAGAGAGCACGTCCATGCTTTGATCCGTACTGTATATTTTGGAGACGCAAGGTATTTGGCACTTGGATGTCGCTAGCTTGAGAGTGAGTGGAGGTTATAGAAGACGCGCTGAACATGATCAGGTAGTCCCTGCCGCTCCTGCCTTAAAGAGGCTGTTATCGATTAACCAGTGTGGCCTGATCACGTGCTCGGGTGCCCATGGGCGAGGTCGTTACGAAGAAGAATGACGACGCTCGCCGAATAATACAACGAGGATCATGGGAAGATACTCGGGAGAGAAAGATGCGCACAAGGTAATCTGCATCCGAATACTACGTGCTTCGAAAGGCAAACTCAATATGTGACCCATATTTCTGAATTTCAATATATTTTAAAGGTATAGTTATAAAGATTCTAACGCCCACCGAGCCATCTTCTCCAGCTTTCCCCATTCTCCCGGCAGTTTTCGCACTTTAAAATCCTCTCTGCTCTGCCGTCACCAACGGCGCTGTGACTAATCCGGTCACACACACACAACCCCACTAGCCAAACGACTTCCTTAGGTAGTCTCTCTCCCTCATTACTTCCATACAAACATCATTTTACATCTCAAAATACCAAGACAAATTTATCATGTCTAGCCGGCAATTACGCAAGTTGCAGAAGCAGAAGGAGGAGGAGCTGCTTAACCTTCAACATGTGGCTGCTGATAAAGGTGGCGAGGAGTCATCCGAGGACGAGCCCATTGTCACGAAGCCCCGCGGTAACATGTTTTCGGGCTTTGCCGCCCTACAGGATGACGACGAGAACGAGAATGAGAGCAGCGAAGAAGAACCCGCTCATCAAGCGCCTCAGGAGCAAGCTGTCGAACAGGTAGCACCCGCCAAGACGAGCAAGAAGTCCAAGAAGAAGAAGAAGAAGGGCAAGCAAACCAAGCCGTCAGCCCCAGCCCAAAATGAAGCCAAGTCCATCGACGAAGTCGACCGCGCCCTTGAAGAGCTCAAACTGGAGGCGTACCCATCAGGCGGTTCTGTCGTCGCCGCACCTGCCGACAAAGCGACCAATATTCTTGATAAGCTTCTGCGCATCAACTTGCAGCATCTCAAGGCTATCAACGAGATGCGCATGATCTTTGGGAAGGCGATCGATGTGGCTGAGCTTGAGCAACGCAGCGAGGGGAACCAGCAGCCTGTGCGGCGCGGGGAGGGGGTAAATCTCGAGACCTTCCTCAGCGCAAGCGCGGTCCAGAACCTCGGCGGGGGACCCCATGGCAACAGGCAGCGCGGCAACAGGCGTCAGGGCAACGTAGGCCAGGGAAACAGAGGCGTCTTTGAGGCCACTCTGCGCGCGAATCCCTTCGTAGACGGCAAGAGGACGTGGCCCCCTGGCACACCCCTGGGTCTTAAGATGATCCGCGTCAGCGACGAGTCGCAGGATGAGGTTGAGTTTGCCTTTGCACACGACAGCAACTACGACTCCCTGGAAAGCGGCTTCTTTGGGCTCGTCCAAATGCTCGATCCCATGCAGATTGTCACCTACCTGTACCGGTACCCGTACCACGTCTCCTCGCTTCTCCAAGTGAGCAAGGTCGCCCAGCAGGACCAGAACTCGGCGCTCGCAGCAGACCTTATCGAACGCGCCGTCTTCACATTCGGACGGGTCAGCCTCAACGGGTTTCGCAAGAAGCTGGAGACGGGCCAGGCAAGGTTGAGCTTTGCTCGACCCGAGAACCGCCAGTTCTACCTCGCTGGCTTCAACCTCATCCAAAAACTGGCCCTGAAGGGCACCTACCTGACAGCGCTCGAATGGTCCAAGCTCTTGCTGAGTCTCAACCACGATGACCCCTACGCAGTGGTCAACTGGATTCACGTCCTCGCCATCCGCGCACAGGAGTCCGAGTGGTTCATCGACTTCTGCAACTCGCCCCTTTTCGACGACCCGAAAAACGTCTACGCCAAACAGAGCCTGCCCCTCGCCCATTTACAGCTCGACGATACCCCCACCGCCATATCCACCCTCGTCGAGGGGATGAAGACACTCCCGTGGCTCTACTGCGCCCTCTTCAGCGCGCTGAACCTCGACACGCCCCAGCCCGTCTGGGGCATCCAGCCCCGCGACGACGACGAAGCCCTCCACACCAAGCTCTACATCCACCTGACCAAAGAGCTCTGGAGCACGCCCCAGCGCACCTCCCTCCTCAAGCAAGCGGCAGCCACCATCCCCACGGCCATCTCCACCAGGGACCTCCCCCCACCCACCGCCGTCTCGCTCGCCACGACGCGCTTCGTCTTCCTCGACAACGCGCCCGCGCTCATGGCGGCCGTGCCGCGCGGCATGCTGCACGCGGCGTCGCCCAACTTCGAGTTCGACCCCTTCCCGCCCGCCCGGGAGGCCAACCTCTTCTCGAGCCCGGCCCAGTCGCTGCCGTGGGCGGCGGCCGAGGAGTCGGAGTCGTCGTCGTCGCGGGGCGCGGCGCGCCGCAGCCTGGTCGACGGCCTGGCCGCCGACCCCCGCATGCACGCCGCCATCGCCCGCATGCGCGCCGGCGAACAGGGCGCCGAGATGGCTGCGCTGCTCGCTGCTGCGGATGCGGAACCTGGGGATGTGGATGCGGCGGATGCGGAGGCGGATGGTGGTGCTGGTCCTGGTCCTGGGGGGATTATTGACTACTTGACGTCTCTTCTTGCCCGTCGTTGGGCCGATGAACGGCAGTTGGGAGATGGGCAGGCCGAGGACCGGGATGATGATGAGTTTGAGGATGAAGACCAGTTTGAAGATGCGGATGATTTTGAGGGGGAGGATGACTTTGAGGGCGAGGCCGGAAGACAGTAGGGTTGGTTTTGCGTCCTTTGCCTGTGCTTGATGGCTATCGCTTGCGGTGCTGCGGTGAGCGGTGTTAGATTTGATGAAATTGGGCTTTGACGGTAGGCCATTCGTTTTTTGGTACGTCGATGGGCCGTATTGCGCAGTTAGAGTATAGACATGTTTTAACAAAACCATCCGTTTGTCAAGAGGGTGCCACCATCACCAGTCTTGGCACATGTCAAGACAACCTCTCGAGCCTTCGGCAAAGCGGCAGCTTCCCGTCCTTCCGTGTTTCCATCCCGTCCTATTATTACCGGAGTGTCTCTGTCCGGAAGTGCTCGGCATTCACGGACACGCGGATGAGAGGCCCGAAACTCGGTCACTCGAGAGGCAGAAGGTGTAACCGTGAGTCAGATCCATTTGAGCATGTTTCATGTTCAGGGCGCTAACACAAAGACCCGAATGATGGCTGTGAAACTCGCTCACTGAGCCCCGTCGAGTTCGTACCACAGGACACAGTAAGGTGGAGACAATGCAAGATGGGATGTGCCAAACTCGATGGTACCTGAGACAAGCGCAAGCACGCCTTGGAGAGCCTGTCAAATCCCTTGGTTCCTTCCATCCTCAGTAATCTGTACTGGTGTAAGCGTGCTAACTTAGCTGGGGATTGAAGTCGTGGGAGTGCGATCAACGTCATACAAAATACATTATTAATACAGTGTCATCCATCGCCTTCTACGGCGTAAATATCGCAATTGCCTAGAGGTCACAATCGGTAGGTTGTGGCTGCGTTTTGGCACAATTGTCGCAATCTGGCACCTTCCGGTCTCTAAAAGGAGGGTCCATCCCCGCCCCCTCCTGAATCGCGGGGCAACTCCGTCTCAAACCAACACACCTACTTCCTACCACCACACCTCTCCCTTACCTCGAGATATAAGCCCCCCGGTGACCTTACTACTCCCCTAACTATTCACACACAACATCGTCGCGACCCAAGACCGAATCTCAAGCTCCATTACCTTGCGATCGCACCGTTCGCTTCCTCGACTCGAAACACAGCTTCAACTACAAAGCATCAAAGAAAACAGATACAATGGCCGACCCTGTTGCTGCCACCCCCGATGTCGCCGAGCACCAGTACAAGTTCAACGTGAGCATGTCGTGCGGCGGCTGCTCGGGCGCCGTAGACCGTGTGCTCAAGAAGCTCGATGGTGCGTCCACCCAGACCCCTCACTCTCGCTGCCTTTGTGCTCCCTTGTCCCAAATAAAATACTGGTAGCAAAAAAAGAGAGAAAAAAGCAATTGCTAACCCATGACTGCACGGAACAGGTGTCAAGTCGTACGAGGTCTCGCTCGACACGCAAACGGCCACGGTCGTTGCCGAGCCTGACCTGTCCTACGAGAAGGTGCTGCGGACCATCAAGAAGACGGGGAAGAAGGTCAACAGCGGCGAGGCCGACGGCGCCGAGAAGAGCGTCGAGCTGCCGGCTGAGGAGAACTGAACGAAAGAGCATGGTATGGTGTCGTTAGATGGGGAGGGGGAAGCTGCTGAGACCCGGATGGCGGCTGCTTCGTCTCCCTCGTTTTCTGCGAGTCTTGATATGATACTAGTTAGCATTGGCCGGCGGGTTTCCTTTTCTTGCTTTTATGCCATCAAGTTGTTGGTAGCCAACGCGGTTGTGTCCTGCTGCCCTCGGTTCCATTGTCCAACGCCGCTATAACGCGCATCCGTCCCCGAGCGAAGGTACATACTACCTTCAACGTTGTCTAGTTGCGGGAGCTCCCGGATTTCCTGGGGATCTCTGCATGAGCAGGGGCCCCTGACCCTGCAGCCGTTGCCGTCACTCGAGCTTCCCTGGTCCGGTATACGGCACATGCACCTTGCAGGTTCCCCAGTCACTCTCCATCCATGGATCCTGTCGGGTCTGGACCACACTGTCCATATCCCCCATCTGTACCTGCCGGATCCGGAGTTTGCCGTGCCCGCTCCTGTCCTCCTTCGACCCCCGCGGTATGCTCGCTCACTGCCCCGGTGGACGTCATGACTTCAAAGTCGCGCCAACTCCTCTTCAACTCGCCGGCGGGCCACATGTTTGAACATCCCCTACCCACACCGGGAAAAGGAGGGCCGATACACAGCTTCTAGTCAGCGTTATTCTTCGAGCTCATATTGGTACTTCTCTACTGGTTAGCTCATCTCATTAGTACCTCACTGTCGCTATCATGAACGACGAATCGGAAAATGAAACCCCGGGGTGGTCTTCCACTCCCTCGGCGCCAACACGCTCGGTTGGAAGGTTTTCGACTCGGACATCCTCGGTTTCAACGCCCTTGTCCACACCACTTTCACCTTAGAAGGGCAAACAACCAGTCGGACCCTGTCTCAAATGCCGGCGAATGATCAAGGCGGTCTACGTATAGCGGCAAAATTCTGTACCTTTTGTAGGTGATGGTTTGTTTGGATTGGGTTTGTGATAAGGGCCATTGAGGGGGTGCATACATCAATGCATGGATAGCGATTAGTATGTACATCCAAGAACTGAGGTTCGATCCCGGCCATCTGGCCGACTCTTGTCTATCCTCTTTTATCGTCCCATCACAGTGTTATGGAGGCTGAGGAAGAGCATCGCAACTGCTGCTAGTCTCTGATATTTGCGCAACGCAGCTTGTCAACCAGACAAAGCACCTCCCCCTCCCAACCAACCCCCTAATCCCTCTTCAAAAACTTCTTCAACCCCCTCAACCTTTCCTTCGCGTCCTCCAGCACCTCGTCCGGCTTGCAGACCGCAAAGCGCAGATAGTCCTCCACCAGGTGGCTGTTGGCGTCGGTGCAGAACTCGCTCGGCGGGATGGCGGCCACGCCGAGCTCCTGGATCAGGAACCAGGCGAGGCGGAAATCGCGCGGGCGCTCCGCCACGTGGGCGGGGAAGGGGTAGTCGGCGGGGATTCGTACGCCCGCGAGGTTCACCATGACGAAGTAGCCGCCCTCGGGCTCCGAGTAGGGGATCCCGAGCTCGTGCCAGACGGAGTTGAAGAGGTCGAGCTTGTGCCGGAGGGAGGTGATGGAGGAGGGCCAGAAGTTTTGGCTGTCGGCTTGTTCGAAGCCTGGGTGTGTGGGGTGGGTGTTAGTCGTGGTAGGGGGGAGGGGTGTGTGTGTGTGTGTGTGAAGGGGGGCACATACCGATGGCGCAGGCTTCTTGTAGCGGCGAGACGGAGGAGTAGCAGATGCGGGTGTGTGCGGCAGAGACGTATTGGATGAGGTGTGGTGGGCCCATGAGCCAGCCTGGGGGGTTATCTGATTAGTATTTTGGTCATGGACGAGAGAAAAGGGGGGACGTACCAACGCGCCAACCTGTGGCGTAAAAGTTCTTGCCTGCCGATCCGACCGTGAGGGTGATCTGCTCGACCTCGGGCGACAGGGTGGCGATGCGAGTGAAGGGCACGTAGTACAGCCGGTCATAGACCTCGTCGGACAGGATGATGATTTGGTGCTTGAGGCAGAGGTCGGCGATCTTTTGCAGCTCCTCGCGGGAGAAGACCTTGCCGATGGGGTTGTCTATTCTGTTAGTACCTGGGTTGTAATGTCAAGTTCGAAGAGACATACGCGGCGTGTTGAGAACCATCATCTTGGTCCGCGGGGTGATGGCGCGCTCGAGCTCGTCAAAGTCGATAGTCCATTCTCCGGCCGAGAGGGTTTTGACGGCGCCTTCTTTGGGCGGGTGCATGGGTACGTAGACGATCTTGCCGCCGGGCATCTCGATGTTGCTGATGTATCTACACAGTACAGGGAGTGAGCACATGCGTTGAACGAGTCGCAAGAACAAGAACATACTGGTCAAAGAAGGGCTCAAAGATGATGACCTCATCCCCCGGCTCGATGAAGGCCATGAAGGCGCTCAACATCCCTGTGAGAATCAACAACCTGTCCGACGATAGCCTGTGGATTCGGGGTGCGCATACCCTCATTCGCCCCGGTAGTAATGGTGATCTCGGTCTCCGGATCCAGCTTTCGCCCCCAAAAGGGCGCATACGCCTCCGAGATTGCCTTTCTCAGCCGGGGGCGGCCCTTGGTGGGAGAGTACTGGTTGCATTCGACCCTATTCAGAGCTTCCTTGGCGGCATCAAGGATGAAGTCTGGTGGGTTATAGCCAAAGAAACCCTGGCCCATGTTGACAATGGGCTGCTTGGGGGAAGCAGCAGCGCCCTCGTTGATGATGGTCCTGGTGATTTAATGAGTACTTGGTCTAGTTATGTTTTGTTACTACTAAATGGACAATAAACTCACCATACATCCTGCCGCCGGCCCGAGACACGGGCGGCGGGCTTCATCTTCTCGGACATGACGCGGGTAGTATGCAATCGTCTTGCGATGGAGAGAGGAGTTGAAGGTCGGCGGAACAGGGCGCGGATGGGAAACAGCGAGCTCATGAGTGCGCCTTCAGGTGAGAATGGGGTCCACGGAGGGGGATACAGTCATAAATACCATAGGTATGGAAATTAGCGCTATTCGGATGCCGAACCCCGGATTGCGCTTTGAAACGGCCACCGCCGGGAATCCCGTTCTCTCAAAGTAAGTTAAGTTGCAGCCGAATGCTTGTCCGTCATCGGCACGCGACAAGTTTCCACTGTTCTCCGGACCTGCGATTACAGTGGGTGACTGCCCGGAATGGCGCAATCGGCCGGCGTGGGACCGGAATGGCCCGTGCTTGGCATTTGGGGATGGCGTCTTACATGCATCAAACGAGTAGTTATGCCTCGATAGCCCAATATCAACACCCTTTCTGTGACTGCTTCAGATCTTAGTAGCAGCACTTTAAATTCCTAGCTATGACGGACGAGGTGGTGGAGGTGTTAATGTCAAAGCGTATTACATGCAAGACAGATGGCATTGGATGAGGCAGTATTTCACCCCCGATTTCCATCCCGAGGAGCAACCACATACTCTCCGACTCTCTCCTTATGTACTCGTCTTTCATCCTTTGTTTACTTTACCCCTGAGACTATTTTGTGTGAACTTCTTGGACTTGCCGTGACCGGCTCCCGCTTGCCTTTGGCCTTGTGCTAGCAGTTGCAGTGGCAATAACGAACCCCCAAGTTACCTCCCTGAAGCCAATTAAAACACCGAAGTCTTCACCACTTTGGTCAGACACTGCATCATCACATCCGCCAAAATGGACGCTCGGTCCATGTATTCACTCCTTCCCTCCCTAGAACTGGCTGGTCGATAATTAAATCGCGTCTTTCTATCGAGCTCGACTTTCTCCCTCTCTTTCTCGAGAAGTCGGCCGCCATCTTCTCTTCTTCCTCTCTCGACCAGAACCTCGCCGCCACCAGTTGGCCGCCTTCGCCCTCGCGACGTCTTTTCTTTTTCTTTTTTTCTTTTAAAAAATAAATAAATAAAATTAAGATCTCGATGTCGCCGTCCATTCACCCGCCGATCCCCCTCCAGATGGCGGGAGGGCGGCCCCAGCCGGGCAGCCTCCTGCGTCGGATGGGGACGCCGAGCGCTTTGGAGACCGTCCCCGCCCCCGCCAACGTCGCTGCCGCCGGTGCCAACGGGCACCGCGCTTTCGAATTCACCTTCGAAAGCGCGGTGAGGCCCGGCACCATGGCCCCGCCGCCCACCCCCGTCGGCTCCGACGACGGAGCACCCATGGCCGCCCTCGTCTCTCCCGCTCGCCCGCCCGCCGTTCGCCCTCCCGCCGCCGCCACCACCTACACCACCATCCCCGCTTGCTGGCCCCTAGCCAGACCCGTCCTCGGCGGCGGTGGCCTTTACGGCCAGGCGTACCACGTTGGGCAGGGAAACCTGCGCTTCGAGACGTCGCCGAGGATGGAGGACTGGTAAGTAGTTTTATGTTTTGAGTTGGCGTTCGTTACTCTGCGTTCCTCCATAAGACACTCCTTTGACCTAAATAACCACGCAACTGACAAGACCGTGTAGGCTGGGGAGGCTCGAGGCGTTCTCGTTCGGGCGCCAAGAGGAGGAGGAGGAGGAGGAGGAGAAGGAGACCGTTTCCGCCGCTGCACAAGGCGGCAGTACCGTGGGTGAGGGCACCGCCCTCGATACCGAAGAGAGTGTCCGGGCCGGCGAAAAGCGCAGCGCCGTAAGTTCATGCCCCTAGCCATGCCCTTCTACAACCAAACCCAAATAGAAGGAGTTCTGGCGCAGCAGACAAACAACAGCTGAGGATTGGTGTTTGGCTCTCTTACCAACCCCGAACTCCCCCCACTGCCCCTCATCAACAACACCCCAACCCCCTCTCCAAGACCATACCCAGCTAACAACCCCCCAGCCACCCCCCACCACCAACCCCGACGACGACGACGACGAGACCAACGAGCCCGCCCCCAAGCGGAGCCGCATCAGCACTGCCTTCCAGCGCACCTTCTCGCGCCTGAGCAGCCGGGCCTGGCCCACCACCACCACTACCACCAGCACCACCCCCCTCCCTTCCTCCCCCCTCGTCCCGGCCTCCTCCGCCTACGCCCGCCCCGCCACCGCCGCCACCATCCACCCCGCAGGCCGCACCAACCCCCTTCCCCCGTTTGCGTCTGCTTTCGCCCCCGGTTTTGGTTACGCCCCCGGCTCTGCCTCCCGTTCGCCGCCTCCTCCCAGCCTCCGTCCCGGCCCCGGTCGGGTGTTTAGTCCGTTCTCTCTGCTCTCAAGAGTGGGTTCGGCTGTGCCGAGTGAGGCGGCCCCACGCACGGTTAAGGTTTGTTTGGTGGGAGATGTGGGGGCAGGGAAGACGGCGTTGTTTAAGTAAGTTTGGGTTCTTTCCCTTGTGGTTTTGGTTGGTTGGTTGGTGGGGTTGGGTGGTTGTGGGTGTTGGGTTGGTTGGGTTGGGTGGTTGTGGGTGTTGGGTTGGTTGGGTTGTGTAAGGGGAGGTTGGCCTGTGTAACGGGGGTTGGCGGTTGTGTAAGAGGGGATTGGGGTTTTGGTGGTGCGGTGCGTGGGGGTTGTCAAAGTAGTCCTGCTAACGTCAGGGGTTGTAGTCGGCTGGTGGGAAACGTTTTCGTCTCGGTAAGAACCTCCCCTTTTCTCCATCGCGGGTTGGGATGGCTGGGTGAGCTGACAGCAGACAGAACCCGACCTCTCTCGTCCCGGACTTCAAGTCCGTCATCGTCCAAGCCGAGGACCGTTCCTCCATCAACGTCGAGCTGTGGGACTTCCCGGGCATTGTTGCCAGCGGTGCGCGCCCCGGCCCGCTCCTTTCGACCTTCTTCCACGCCGCGGTCGTTTGTTTCAGCCTCGAGGACAAGGACAACCTGCGGAACATCGCCGACGTGGTATGTTGCTGCCTTGATTTGACCCGTCAAAGTTGAGTGACAGTGACTGACGTTGCCTACAGTGGAAGCCCAAGCTCGATGCCTGCCTCCACGACCAGCACGTCTTCGTGCTTGGTCTCAAGCGCGACCTCCGCCCGGCCTACCCCACGCTGGACCTCTCCTTCCTACCGACCGCGGAGCGGGCCACGGCCGAGATGGTAAGTCATGCATGTTCTGAGGTTAGTGCTTTATTGCCGTACACCTCACCGTGTACTGCCCGCGTTCCTTTCCATCCATCCCCGCGCCGAGTCATAGGCCCAACCGTTTCCCCTTTTGTCTCGTCGGTCCGAGCTGACACTTTCACGTCAGGGCCAGCAAGCAGCGGGGGCGATCAACGCCAGCGGCTACGGCGAGTGCTCCGCCCTAACCAACGACAACATCCAAGGCGTGTGGGAGGGCATGATAAACCACGTCATCACCAACCTCGACGAACGTGAGAAATCCAATAGGACTGGCCGCAAGCGCGGGCGCGCCAAGACAGCCGTCACCGGATTCCTCGACAAGTGCGGCATGAACCGGTTCGGCAAGGACAGGGAGCGCGAGTGAGCCCTTCGTCGACCGCCCTTTTCTCGCCTTTACTATTCTCTCCCGCCTTCTTTTCTCTCAACAATTCCGGCACTTTGGCAAGGTCAAAGGATGCAAGGCACTGACCTCGATTAACCACCACCTTCCTCACTCGATATTTTCGGCGTCTTTGACAAGGTCAAAGCGCATAAGTGAGGCTACTCACTTCTCTCTTTTTGTTTTGACGAATCCAGCACAGGAAGAGCTAAGGAAATGGGTTTCTGGATGTACTCATCTTTTCCGACACCTCTAGTAAGGGTGCAAGATGAATGCCGATTCGTCTTTCGTCTCTCTTTCTTCATGTCTCCTCCTTCAACAACATTCCTCCCGTCAAGTTACAGCGCTTGCTTGATCGATATCCATGAGAAGAACTCGGAGATGGAGGGAATGGTGGTACCGCCGGCGTCAAGTTACCTCGCTTGCTTGAACGATGTGGGAAGGGGACTCAGACATGGAGGAAAGGCTGATTGATACCTGACTCCGGATGGCATAAGAGTACTAATGATGGTTTAGTTTTTTCCGGTTCAGTTTGTTGAAGCAACCGATGATTCATGGTTTCGCAGTTTCAGTTTCGACGGTATACATCATAATTAGCTCGACGTACCAAATAATTGACGATTTTATTTTGAACTTTGCCCATTCCATGTCGTTTGTTTTGCTGCAAGACCCTTGCCCCGTAAAGTGCATGCCAAGATAGATATGCGGGGAAATTTGGAGAAGCTCCAGCGACCCTTGGCTAAGAAGCAGGGGGTTGTGTGACCCTGGGAGGCAATCACTCAACCTCGCCCATCGAGATTTGGCCGCATCCGAATTGCGACAAACAAGCACCTCGAGCCTGGATCTAGGGCTACAGGGTGTCAACTCAACAAATGGTTCCTCCTACGATCAAGAGGTGACCTTTTGGTCTTTCACTCTGCCTTGTCACCGGAACAGCTCAAAATTCGAAATCCAACCGTCACCATGAGTAGTGCCAGAGGCAAAGGCAAAGGTGCCGGGAGGGCGAGCTCGTCCTCCTCCTCTTCCCCGACCAGACCTCCTCGAGAGCCACGGCTAGACACACGACCGGACTCACGGCCTCTCCTCCCGCGCAGCCCGTCCGCCCTGCTCTTCCCGCCCGCGCCGCCGCCCCTCCATATCACCATCCGCTTTAGCATCGCCCTCCCCGACATCCACCTCGACATACCCTCGCCACAGCAGACCACGGTCGTTGCACTCAAACACCTAATACGTGGCCGCCTCGCAGCCGCTGCCAAAGCCGAAGCCAAATCCAAAGCTGAAGCTAGCGCCGGAAGCGAAACCACCGGAGAAACCGACGACTCCTCCCGCGCCAACAGCCCTTCACAACCCACCCCAGCAGCGCAAGCCTCCCTCGCCCGCCTCCGCTTCATCCACAACGGCCGCATCCTCCCCGACACCTCCGCCCTCGGCTCCGTCCTCAAAGCGCCCCCACCGCCACCCATCTCCCACCACCCCGACCCCAAAGGCAAAGCCCCGGCAGGCCTACACCACCAACAACAACGCGTCTTCATAAACTGCAGCATCGGCGACGCCCTCCCCGAAGCCGACCTCACCGCCGAAGCCACCGCGGCCACCCTCCCACCTCTTCTCCCGCCCCTCTCCCCCTCCCTCTCCCCACGCCCGGGAACCCCCCACCTGACCATCACCCCTCCCAACCGCCACCCAAACGAAACCGGACCCGGAACCGGAAATGAAAACCAACCCCAACCCCACCCCCAAAACCAGAACACAACAACAACAACCCCCGCCCCAGCCGGCTTCGACCGCCTCCTCCAAGCAGGCCTGACCGCCCCCGAGATCTCCACCCTCCGCTCCCACTTCCGCGCCATCCACACGGCGCGCTTCGCCCCCGACGCCATGCCCTCGCCCGACACCCTGCGCTCCATGGAGGATGCGTGGCTCGATGGCGGGTCACACCTGCCGACGACGCCCGCTACGGCGGGGGGTGGTGGTGGTAATGTTGCAGGGGGTGGAAGGGGTGGGTATTTTGCGGGGGATGGAGGGGGTGCTGGGGATGCGGAAGGTGGGGAGGGTGCTGGTGGTGGGGGGGTGGATGATGCGTTTGGGTTGAGTGCGGTTGCGGGGCCGTTGATTCATGGGATGCTGATTGGGTTTGTGTTTCCGCTTGGGGTGGTGGCGTGGTTGGGCAAGGAGGAGGGGGTGTGGTCGCGGCGGATGCAGGTGTTTGTGGTGTTTGGGGTGTTGTTGAGTGTGTCGGTTGGGCTGGTGAGGGAGTTGACGGGGGAGGGATAATGGGGGGATTGCATGGCGGTTCGGAGGATAGAGGGGTGAGGTTGGGTAGATCAGCGGGATTGTATGTACAGTACAGCACATGGTAAAATGATGTGGTTTGGTAGCCGGTGGTTTTTGTAGCAGGTTAATTTGATACCCCTCACGATAGCGAACAATCGAGAGAATAACAGCAAATGGGTGATGGCGCGCTGTCCAGCGGCCGTGTTGATTCCAACGAGCCTCGGGAAGATAGGCTTGGGGAAGACTGCATCACCTGCCATCTAGCAAGGAGCCTACTCCCCACGCAACTCAAGACAGAGCTGGCCCTACCTACCTGTCCCAGCTAACAAGACACGGCTACCCGAAACCTACAGCTACCCACAACTCTATCTAAAATAATTAACATGAAGACTGCACCGTCGAAGTCCATGGTATTCATTTTCCCAACCACAACCACACCCCAAACGCCGAACGACCCCACCGTAATGCAATCAATGACAATTACAGATACAAGCTGTTGAACGAGACGATATCCCTCCTGATCTTGGACAGGCTCAGCTCAAACTTGTCCTTGAGCTCCTCGCTGCCCATGACCTTGGCGGCCTCGGCCATCTGCCGGAGCAGCTCCTCCAAACGGCGGAACAACCGGATCAACGAACCCTCATAGGCGTTGGTCATTTTGCTACACCACACCAGTCAGCATCAAACTAACACGATCACAGGAAAAGGGGAGAAAAAAACATACCAGATATCTGCAAACGGCTTCCCCTCAGCCCACGCCAGCACCGTCTCCATCAGCTGCCACTTCAAGCTCTGGACATACTCATCCTCATTAACCTCCATCTTGCTCTCGGCGCTGACCTTGGCAATGACACGGGCCTGGGCCTGGATGGTGCGGAAGGGCTTGGCGAGCTCCTCCTTCAGCTCGGCGGTCTCGACCTTCTCGTCAAAGATGAAGACGCTCAGGACGCAGGCGCACAGCTCCGGGCTGAGCTCGTTGAAGAAGCGGTTGAAGAGCAGCTCGGCGAGCAGCAGCTCGTGGCCCTCGGTCGACGAGATCTCGCACGCCACGCGCGCCTTCATCTCGACCACTTCCGTCTCGTTGATGAACCCCAGCCGCCGCAGCACCCGCTTGCGCGACTTGAGCTCGTCGAGCTGCGAGACGCTGTGCGTCTTCATGAGCGCCCGCTTCTTCTCCTTGATCTTGTCGGCCAGGGCGAGCTTGGTGTCGAGCTTGTCCCAGAGCTGTTCGAGGAGCGGCGAGTTGTGCAGGGGGTTGGCGATGAGGCGGGATTCGAGGACCTCGATCTTGCGGAGGAGTTGCTTGAAGGAGTCGTCGGTGATGCCCATGTTCTCGAGCGGGTCGACGACCGGCATGCCGTCGGGGAAGCGCCGCTTGGCCTCCTCGAGCATCTTGCCCGTTGTGTCGCGCTCTTCCCAGGTCTTGAGCTTCTTTGATACATGCAAGCGAATTTGACCAATGGTCTTCATGCAGTTGAGGAGACAGGGGACGACCTCCCACCTGCCCGTATCGCCGGGCTTCGCCGGATGGACGCCCTCGGGCACGGCGGTGTCTCCCTTGAAGTTTGTTCTTTCTATACTGTCCGTCGAGACTCTCAGTAGCGCGTCGATAATGTAGGATTCCTGCGGCGGATAATCGGGTTGCCCCATCTTGGGTGCCTTGCGGGGCGTGAAATCAACGACCACACCCCAGCCATAGTTGGCGCCGCCCGGTGTCTCAATCTCGACCGGCCGGCCTGGCTTCATGTACTTGATGCAGTAGTTCGGGTGCTGCATCACGGCGATCATATCCTTCTGGTATCCGTCGAGTTGCTGGCGGATGGCGCGGTAGTCTTTGACGGTGGCCTCGTCGGGAATGATCATGCCGTCTCGCTCCTGTTGCAGGCTGGCAAGGTCCCGCTCCAGCTGCGGCACGCTGGAAGTGTTTTGGAACTGGAAGAAGCACCGCTCGAGCATGAACTCGGGGGAGATGGCCTCGATACGCAGCAAGTTCAAAATCATGTTGTACCCCAGGTGGAACGCCGAGTTGAGTCGGTCCTGGTGGCCAACAACGACGCTCCTAGCCACATCGGGCTCGAGCTTGTCGTCGATCATCATGATGACGATACCTCGGTCGTCGAGACCACGGCGACCAGCTCGCCCTGCCATCTGGATGTATTCGGACGAGGTGAGCGGCCGGCGCTGGACGCCGTCCCATTTCGTAACCTGGGTGAAGACGACGGTCCTCGCGGGCATGTTGAGGCCAATGGAGAAGGTCTCGGTCGCAAACAGGACCTTGATCAAGCCTTCCTGGAACAGAATCTCGATGGTCTCCTTGAGGATGGGCAACAAGCCAGAGTGATGGACACCGATGCCCTTTCGTAGCAAGGGGAGAATGTTGGAGATCTGGGGCAAGTTCTTGTCCTCGTCGGATAACGAATTTAGCGCATTTTCGAACACACTGTTGACCATTGCCTCCTCGTCGGCGGCGTTGAACTTCATAACTGAAGTCTTGAGCGCCATCTGCTCGCATTCGCGCTTGGCAAAGTTAAAGACGATTACGGGTTGAAATTTCCTCTTGATGATCATCTTGATGACTTTGGCGATGTCGGACTTCTCGTCAGGTGCGTCACCGCCCTTGTTCGTCTTCTTGTTCTTCCCCTTGCCTTTCTGTTTGGCGCTCCAGTCGGCAGGATCGGAACCCTTCTTGCTCTCGATGGCGGCCATGGCCTCGTTGAAGTTGTGCTCTTTGAAGTTGCCTTTCTCATCGACGATGAGGTAAATGCCGTTGGTGCCGGCCGGGAAGAAGTAGTTCTGCAGCGGTGTCGGTCGGAAATCCGTGTAGACGACGTGGCAGGCTTGCCGGTGAATCTTGGCGATCCACTCGGCGAACTGGAAGGCGTTGGGGATGGTGGCCGACAGGAAGACATATCTAACCTTGTCCGGGAGGAGGATGATGGTTTCCTCCCAGACGACACCGCGGGTCTTGTCGCGCATGTAGTGGATCTCGTCGAAGACGACCCAGGCCACCTCGCGCATGATCTCGGACCCGCGATAGAGCATGGACCGCAGAATCTCGGTCGTCATAACCAGGCAGCTGGCGGTCGGGTTGATGGTAACGTCGCCCGTCATCAGACCAACGTCGCCAAAGTCGGCTTGGAAGTCTCGGTATTTCTGATTGCTGAGCGCCTTGATGGGACTCGTGTAGATGACCCTCTGGTTTCTCTTGAGGCACTGGGCGATGGCGTACTCGGCAACGACCGTTTTACCGGCACTGGTGTGGGCCGAAACGAGCACGCTCTCTCCGCGCTCGATGGAGGCAACGGAGAGGGCTTGGAAGGGGTCGAGCCTGAACGGGTACGTCCTCGCGGGGTCGGCGGGGGCCTTGTGCTCTGAAAGGGGGATGTACTCGTAGTCAAGGTCTGGTGGTAGGGCGACTTGGTGTTGGATGTTGTGAGATAGGACGAGCGCGCCCTCGTCTGTTGAGGGTGCGAAGCCCTGGGCAGCGTTGACCTCTCTGGACTCGGCCGTCTCGAACGTGTCGGTGATGATGGGCTCAGCTTCGTCCTCCATTTTCCGCCTTTTGCTATCGGCTGGCCCTTCTGCATCCACATTTTCCTCCTCGTCCGCGGAGTGCATCTCTTCCTCTTTGATCACGGCCGAGTTGTTGTTCTTGTCGTTGTTTTCGTTGTCGACATCGTCCGTCATTTCGACATCGGCGTCGGCCTTGCGCTTGGGAGCGCGAGGCTGCTCCTCGAACACAGCGAAGAGGTCATCCATGATGACTGCCGACACTCATACGCTGGGGTCGAAATGGGTGCCGGGTGGATAATGCTGCGCCGAAAGTTGCTCTGGGACGCGGCAATCGAACAAAAAAAAGTCGAAGTTCCCAAGTTCCCCACTTTTCTGCCGGCAGCTCGCCCGCCTTGCATTGGCTCAAAGGCGGTGAGAAACACGACTCCACCAACCAACCCAACATGGAAGCAGCAAACTGAACGCTGAATGTTTTCCGTACATGGATATGTTTTCGTCCTTCCTTCCCTCCGTACCCAATGAACGGATCCACATTCCCTGTTTTCTGGCTCGGTCAGCACTAAGTCACGGCCCCAAAACAACTACGTAGATGGCAGCTACGACTTGTGGGCAGCGGTGACCATGGCCATGACCATGACTGACGGCGGCCATCTGGCCCTTTACCCACGCTGTAGCATTTGCGCATACAAGGTATCGAGGCACGAACGGGTAATCGCACGTATGTGAGCTTGACCTTATTTGTTGCCCATCTGCGCTCCCAAGTTTGGGTAGTTATATTCGTCACACTCGGTCTCATGCCGAGTTCTAATCTGCTGTAACTAAACTATCTTACCTCCCTTAGTCTTTGGGAACCATGATTCGACATCTTACCGCGGTCACACTAGACCCTTCCCTTTTCCTCGGGCGGGGGGCATCATCACCAGGGTCAATGGCCGTGAATTGTGCCGCTATCCCGATTGTAAGAGATGTGCCGTTTCACCCGAGTTCACTCTTAGTCACCATGACTGCTTCGAGGTCTTCCGGCAACAATGCTCTGTCAGTGCCTCGGTCGCTTTGGACCGTCTCTGGATCTTGACTACGTGGAAGAAACCCTGGGATGGAGCGCAGCCTCGCCATTTCCCGATCCCGATGGTGGACAGGGACACACTGAGGACGATATCTCGCTTCTGCGGATTGCCGCACCTATACACACTGCCGCTGGAGCTGCTTGAGATGATCCGCCAACACACCAAGGACTCGTTTGTGTGGAGATGCATCCCGGTAGTACAGTTAGCTGACTGTGCGTCGGCTCTAAATCCGGAGCCGCTCTTCACCTTCCCGCTTCGAGATATTCTCTCTTGGGAGCGTGGCGGGAAGCTTGAACGGGTCATGGAAACCTGGTCACCATCACCACCACCGATACTGAGGTTGACCGTCGACCCTCTTGGCATTAGCAAAGTCGAACGCCTCCCTGACCCGCCTAGATATACAGGCGAATGTGCTAGTCACCTCGCCTTTATCGTCGAAGATGGGACCTTCATTCCTGAGGCGGTGGCACAGTTCAAGGTAGGCCTCTGGCATGTATCTTATTTTGGGTATCGTATACTAACAATCCTGTTTACTTTCACAGTACGGACGGCTCCGCCTTGGTTTGCCCGTTTGGCTCCGGACGATTCCCATTTGGAACACTCCCACGCCGCCGTCCTTAGCTCTTTGCAAAGCCTATCCCAACGATCTTACTTCGTGCCATATCTTCCATACGGTAGAGATGGACAAGATAAAAGGCATTACTTTCTTTTTCTCCGGAGGCAAGCTGTTTGGAATCAATGTCCACCACTCAGACAAGTCGTGCGCCATCGACACTTTTGCAACTCTTCCTGGCCGACTTCGCTGGGGCATTGTGTGGATCTATTTGCCGATATCACAGCACGACCCTGTCCTCGTTCTCGGTATCCGGGAAACAGAGAGATTTCAGAATGTCCTCGTCAGGACGGCGCTCATGGGCGACATCATCGTTGCCTCAAAATTCGCAACCCGAAGAGTGGTAAAGGACCGATGTCTAGCCATATCGGCTCCAGTGACAATGGTTTACAGTGAACCGAAGGAAGGACGCCCGATCCGTTTCTTCGGCTCCCGCTGCGCCCCGCCCTTGGATCAGCCTCGTCCCGCGCCATTCTTGTTGGAAGATCCCGGCTTCTGGCCAGTTTTTGGCGATGCGTACTTCTCATGGGCCCCTCTGTCCGGTGTTTCGTCAACCGTGGTCTTTTACGACCAGGACACCGGGTTCTGCCGAGGTATCCTGTTTCACTACCTGAATGGGGGTGTCCGGGCGGTTGGCCAGTGCCGTCTAGGGGTAGACCCGACAGAGAATGTTGCCCGGCCAGTCCAGCTTTGTTACCGACGCGATTCGCCTGCTGTGGGGCCCAGCGGGGTGACGCAGGTGGAGTTTACGCAACACGACATACAGACGCATCGCGAGGGGTGGGAGTTTCGCTCAATGAGGGGGGTTGTCAAGTTCTGGTTTACCACCACATCTTCGTATCTCGTTGTTCAAGATTGTGACGATTGAAAAACTGTTCATCATGACTATTCCTCGACAGACTGAAGGGCATTTTCTCTCGGAAACTCTTCTGTTCCGGTTTGTGAAGAAGACTCGGTAAACCCTCCTCAACTGACAAGACATGCAGCTCATGGGTGCTTATCAGTCATCCTCGGGGGATGACTGTGCCCGGCCGCTCTTATTCTTAGAGGATCGATGTTCGCCAAGCTAATTGAAGTTAAAGGTCGTTGGCCCCGAAAAAGACAACCCGGTTTGTACATTCCTACCGGAGATCGGGCCGTTGAAAACAAACCGCGCAGGCTCTTGTGGGGTGGGTTGGTGCCCAGACGCAACCGGTGCGGCGGCCATCGCGGGATTCTTGCTCGGGGGAGCGAATATCTCGCGCAAGATGGCCTTCGCGTACGCCGCAGCCATCGCCGCGGCGTAGGGCTGCCATTCCTTGTTCTTGCGCTCGTCCCCGTAGTCGCAAACGCCCCGGATGACCCCGACCCGGATGTGGTTCATCGTCCCGGCCGCCTCCATCTCGAGCCCGATGAGGTTGTACATATCTCGGAGCTCGTCCCGCTTCTGGGCGTGCCTCATCAGCTTGTCCCCCGACCCAATGGGCCCGTACCACACCCGGGTCCGCCCGGCATCCGGCCGCCATTCACGCTGTATTGGCTGCTCATCCGCCCCGTATAGAACGTCCCTGTCCTGGCCAGGATCGGTGAAATTGCCGGCTGTATGGCCCTTCTCTTTCATGCTTTGGTAGTATGGGAGGAACCTCCTCGCCTCGTTCGGGTGGTCAGCTTTGATCTTTCCGATCGCCGCCCGAACGATAGTATCCGTAGTCGCCAGCACATGGCCGGCGCGCAGGAGCTGGAGACCGCCTGCCCCGGCCTCCTTGCCCAAGTCATATGCTACTACCGCAGGGCTGCCGCCTTCGGGGAGCGCGACGAGTATATCCCCGAGGCGGATATCACGGGGGGGAGAGCACGATAGGTGGGGAAGGCCGGCGGCGACGCCAACGAGCAAGCCGAACCACAGGTGCGGGAAGCACTTCTTCACTTGGCTGGCGAGCGCGGCGGCCGACCCCGTGCCGTACTCCTGCCCCGCGGGTAGAGTCGCGAGGACGACGTTGTGCCCGCACACGTCGCCGGCGTAGAAGAGGTAGTCGTCGCCTTGGCTCGTCCGGAAGCCCCCGGGGTGTATGTTGTCGAACATGTGCAGCGCGGCTTGGGCTTCGATCTCGAGGGGCGCGATCCACGCGACGGTGTAGAGTGTGGGATCAAGTTCCGACATGTTTTTGAGGTTTATGGTGCGTGTTGATGGTTCATCATGGTTGCGTGCTTTATATGTATGATCTCCATGCTCACATATGCATGATCCTTGGGTTCGAGGCTGGGAGCCTTGTGGGATCCTCGTTGGGCTCCAAGACCGTAACCTGCCGCTTCAGCCCTTTTCATTGGTGCTGCAACGACGACACTCTCAGCTGCGCCCCAACTCCATCTGCTTCTGTTATTTCGACGTTCCTGGTGTCGTTCGGGAGTGAATTTGTCCACATGAGCCAGTGAAGCCCACCTGATGGAATGGATCGACTACCGACTACTTTTGGGTCAGTCGGCGGCAAGAATGTTATCGCCGGAACGAATGTCGCAGGGTCGTTAAACCTCACCATCAATAATTCAGGCAAGTTACTTCCCAACCCTTTTTGAGTCGAAGGTCTCACAGGTCGTAGATCGCGAAACCCCCGGTCCTTGCTACTCAATCCCGTTCCCGCAAAACGAAGGTGTTGTCCGTCGCACCGCCATCTCTAACCGGCTCGCCGCCTTGCTGCCCCCGTCCCGTGAATACCACAGCGCCGCCCTATGGGGCTTGGGCGGATCTGGGTATGGCTTTGCCCGCCAAATGAGCGGCGTACCGTGGTGATGCACGCTAACAACAAACAATAGAAAAACGCAGATCGCCCTCGACTACGCCTACCGCCGTTGCCACGATGACCCGACTTGCTCCGTTTTCTGGGTACACGCCGACAGTGAAACCTCGTTTGCTCAGGATTACAAGTTTATTGCCCGAAAGCTGAGACTCCCGGAAAGCCTCTCGGGCAATGATCTACTAATTGGAGTTCGCGAGGCGATTGAGACGAATGGGCGCTGGCTCTTGGTCATCGATAACGCGGACAACCTCCAGTTGTTCGGTGTACGAGACGCCCTACGGACTAGGGATCAAGATCAGACGGCAGACAAAACGGTCAACTTGGCCGAATTCGTCCCACGAGGTCCCGTAGGTACGGTGCTGTGGACAAGCCGCGACAAGGGGATCGGCAGCCTTGTCGGGGCCCAGCGGGCCATCGAAGTGGCCCGCATGACCGACGACGAGGCTATGGAGCTGCTCAAGTCCGTTGGAGATATCGACAACGGCGACCTGGACGGCGCCGCGGAACTACTTGCCGAGCTCGGTTGTCTCGCGCTCGCTCTGTCTCAGGCAGCCGCATTCATCCGGCGGATGGGGATCACCATAAGGCAGTACTTGTCACGACTGGCGAACCGTAAGAAGAGATGGAGGATGCTGCAGAAGTCTGTGCACGACCCACACCGAAGGGAGGGTTTGACAAACAGTATTCTGAAGACGTGGGATATCTCGATGGAACAGATCCGGCAGGAAAACGAGGTCGCGTTCGATATCCTGCATATACTTGCCTTTCTGGACAACCAGAATATTCCGTTCGATATACTCTACCGGGCTGTAACTCTTCGTACCGAGGGGGTTACGGATGACAACGAGGATGACAACGAAGACGACAACGAAGACGACAACAAGTACGACAACAAGGACGACAACAAGGAGGATGACGAGGACGACAGCGAGGATGACAACGAGGAGGATAACGAGGACGACAACGGGGACGACCACGAGGACGACCACGAGGACGACCATGAGGACGACAGCGAGGACGACCACGAGGACGACCACGAGGACGACAGCGAGGACGACCACGAGGAGGAAGCGCTCCTGGCCGCTGCCCGTCTCCAAGAATTCTCCTTTCTACACCGTCGCGCATCCGAGGGCAAGAGTTGGGCATACGAGATGCACAAGCTGGTGCAGGAGGCCGCCCTATACGCCTTGACCAGCGAGGACAGGCGAGAAGACCAAGTTTGGTATTCGACGTTAGCGCTTCGGGTCGTCGCCGACCTGTTCCCGGAAAGTAAACGGGAGCACTGGGAGGAATGCCAGAGATATGTGGCGCACGCACAGCGAGCGGCAGAATGGTCGGGTTTGTGTGGAGAGGGGATTCAAGCATCGGAGCTTTTGACCGAAGTATCGACCTACCAGCTCGAGTGCGGGACGATCGCCGCGAGGGTGCCGGTCGCAAAGCTGGGCTACGAACTTCGACTGAAGAAACTTGGCAAAAGCCACCATGACACAATCCACAGCTGGTTAATCGTCGCTGTGGCGTACTTTAATCAGGGGAGGTACACGGAGGCAGAAAAGATTGTCACAGAAGCCGTCGCGCTGCTGTGTGTTATTGCTGGTCAGAGGCACATCGCCACCATCTCGAATATGGAGTTCCTCGGCAGTATATACATCGAACAGGGGAGGTACGAGGAGGCAGAAAACATTCAAGTCGAAGCCCTCGCACTACAACGTGATACTTTTGGCGACAGGCACTCCAACACCATCAGGGGTATGGCGAAGCTCGCCAATATATACAATGGACAGGGGAGGGAGAAGGAGGCAGAGAAGATCCAAGTCGAGGCCCTCACATTACAACGTGATATTCTTGGCGAGAGGCACTCTGATACCATCTGGGGTATGGCGGGGCTTGCCCGTATATACTATAGTCAGGGGAGGAGCGAGCAGGCAGAGGAGTTAGGAACCAAAGCCCTCGCACTAGAGCGTGAAATTCTGGGCGAGAGGCACCTCAGAACCATCCAGTGTATGACTATCCTCGGCGCGATATACTACCAGCAGGGGAGGTACGAGAAGGCAGAGAAGCTCAAAGCTGAAGCCCTCGCACTATACCGTGGTATTTTGGGCGAGAGGCACCCCGAGACCATCCGGGTCATGGTACATCTGGCTTTCACCCACTATCGCCAGCAGCGCAGCTCTGAGGCCGTGGCTATGATGAGGGACTGTTCCGCCTTATACCACGAGACATTGGGGGTAGATCACCCTCAAACACGAGTTTGTCGCGAGCATTTGGAGAAGTGGGAGGAAGAGAGCGAGAAATCGGGGCCTTTGGCGGCTCGGGCTCCGTAAAGTACTGTATTCGTTGTTCTCCTTGAAAAATGGGTATATCGGCTTTTTATGTTTTGGTCTCATCCGCTGTCATACTCCCCACGGGAAAAAAAAGCCGGACTCTTGAGTGTTCAGTGTACGAAGGAGATACCGAGACATCGACCAAACTTCGACTGTTGGAACAAAACGAAAGCAATCCAAAACCCAAAAAGAAAAAAAAAAAGAAAAAAAAGAAAAAAGAAAAACCACATTAGCCCAATTTACTTTTCATTTTACTCAACATCTGTTATTTTATCCATTTCCCCCTGTTTCTTTCACTTAATTCTTGTTGCTTAGTTCCTCTTGTCCTTTGGCGTTGGGTTTCCGAGGCTTTTGGCCCAGCGGGTGCTGGGTATGTCACTAGGTACCTAACCCTGGACTCCTTTTCTGGGCCCACCCCCGGGCCCGCGCGGGTGCTCCGAGGTAACGACGGGGACGGACCCACTTCCAAAAATGTTGAGATGCGCTCAAGCAAGCAGTTCCTCAGCAGCTTCCCTTTCTTTTGTGTTTCGACCGGAATTGCTTACCACCCCGATTGAACCCACGGGTACGCACCGAAATGGCGACCAATTTGTCACTTAAGCTCACCAACCGAGCACCCAAGAAGCCGATCCGGAAGCTGCCAGCAACGGTCGAGCTGCCGCACGATGCCACCGTGGAGGACGCCAAGATGGTGATTGCTCGCCAGTCGGGCTTCACAGACTACAACCGCATCGGCTTGTTTGACCCGGTGTCCAAGCAGAATCTCAAAAACCGGAGGGCACTCGTCCGTGAGGAGGCTGGTGTTGCCTCTGCTGGCGAGCTGGTTGTCAAGGACCTCGGTACGCGACCCGCCATTCTTTCCGTATCAACACCGTCACCAGCCTGCTAACTTGGTGCAGGCCCCCAGGTCGCCTGGCGCACCGTCTTCGTCATCGAGTACTTCGGCCCGATCCTCTTCCACGCCCTCGTCCCCCTCGTCCGCCCGTACATCTACCTCATCCCGCCCTTTGCGTACAAGAGCGAGTCCGAGACGCCCATGACGCAGGTGCAATGGCTGCTGTTCGCCCTGTTCCACCTCCACTTCCTCAAGCGCGAGTTCGAGACCGTCTTCGTGCACAAGTTCTCGGCCAACACGATGCCCGCCCGCAACATCGTGCGCAACTCGGCCTTCTACTGGCTCATGGCCGGCCTGCTCTGCGCGCTCGACCTATACGCCCCCGGCAACCTGTCGGCCCGCGACGAGCTGGTGCCGCTCGACTACGTTGGCCTGGCCCTGTTCGCCGTCGGCGAGACGTGCAACTGGATCGTGCACCAACACCTAGCGGGCCTACGCAAGCCCGGCGGCACCGAGAAGGGGATCCCGAACTGCATCGGCAGCAGCCTCGTGACGAGCCCGAACTACATGTTCGAGGTCCTGGCGTGGGTGGGCGTGATCCTGATCAGCCGCAGCTGGGCCGTCGTGCTGTTCATCTGCACGGGCATCATCTACATGCGCAGCTGGTCGCGCGGCAAGGAGAAGGCGCTGCGCAACGAGTTTGGCGACCGCTACAAGAAGAAGCGGTACACCATGCTCCCGGGGTTGATCTGAGCTGGTGTTGGTGCTGCTGGTTGGTGACGGATGGGGTGTGGGGTGTATGATGGAGGATTGTACCGGATATATATAAAAGACCTGGCTGGATGTCCACCGGGGTGGCTATAGACTGGCAACCGGACCAAACTAATCGATTATTTACCGTTAAATATACATGGTTATTACCAAAAGAAGTGCTCATTTCTCATATCTCGTATCTCATAATTCGTGGCAATCTAAGTTATTCTACATCCGGTTCGTTTCTTCGTTCGCCGGGACTCCTCACTCGATCATAGTCCGTTCCCCCGGCGGCGACGCAGGCAACGGTATCATCTCAGGATGATGCCCATTGCTCATAACCACATCGCCCTCCCCATCCCTCTCTACCTCCCCATCTCTCTCGACCTCCCTATTACCGTTCCTGTCCATATCTCCCTCCCCACTCCCCTCCCCATCCTCCTCCCCTTCCCACTCACTCCCATCACTCCCATCACTCCACCCCTCACTCCCACTCCCACCCCCCTCACTCCCTTCATCACCACTCCCACTCCCATCCCCACCCCCCCCACCAGAACCTACCAACCGCAACGTCTCCTCCAAAATCACAAACTCCCTCTCCAACATCTCCGCCCAATTCTGCACATTCCCAATCTCCTTCACCCGCCGCGCGTGGGTCTCCGCCAGCCGGCCCAGCCGCCCATTCTCGCGCGCCAGCCCCGCCGTCGCCCGCGCCACCTCGCGCTCTTGCCGCTCGATCGCCGCGTTGTTGGCGTGCAGCTGGGCGGCGCGGGCGCCGAGCTCGCGGTCTAGTTGGTTGCCGATGGATGCGAGGACTGCGGTGCGGGCTTGGGTGATGGTTAGTTCGGAGGGTTGGGGTTGGGGTTGTGTGTTTAGGATGGGGGGTTGGTTGGGGTTTGGAGGGAGGGTGTTTAGGTTTGGAGGGATAGCGGCGGCGGCGGCGGCGGCGGCGGTTGTTGTTGCTGCTGTTGTGGGGGTTGGGGGGTGGGTTGCTGTTGTGGTGCTGGTGTTGGTGGTGGTGCGGGAAGTTGTGCTCGGGGTGGTGGTGGAGATGGAGGCCGCGGTGGCTGCCGTGCTGGAGGGGGGAGGAGAGTGGTGTTGCGCCGTGGCGGAGGTTGATACAGATACAGAGACGGAGGAGGAGGCGACGGAGGGGGCGCTGGCGGGGTTGAAAGTCTTTGTTTTTGGCTTTGGTTTGGGGCTTGAGGAACCGGAGAGGAGAGATGAAAAGAGACTGGCTGGTCTCGAGGCACCGCTCGTCTGTGAATTGCCAATAAATGTAGGTGAGGATGCCGTCGCTGTCGTGTTGGTGACGGACGGCGCCGAGGGTTGCCCCCGGCTGATGGAAGCCGGTGTGAGCCGAATTGGCGCTGCTGCAGACGGCATCGTGATGGTATTTGTTTGTTTTTCGTCTTTCCTTGGGGGAGTGAGCCTAATCAACTCAATCGGAAACGTGCATAAGCGTGCGTCAGCGCTGAACTATGCATTCATCGAGCGAGTCGTTTCGGTTTCGCAGCATGAAGAATTGAACGTGGGTGAGACGGGTTGATGCGGGGTGATTGTGATGGAGTGGCTGCAGTATTCCGTCACTAACTCATGGCCAGCCAGCCACCATGTGACGAGCGCACTCGATTAAATTCTGGGGAGTCCGATTCGACAATATCAAGAACGGGAGCACACTCTCACGTCACCAACATGCTACTCGAGCAATGATCGACTCCATTGACTACTACACGCTGAACGAACACGGCCGTTACTCAAGACTGCCCACCAAAGACCCGATCCAGTCTCAACCAACCATGCATCCAGCCGACAAGACATTATGGATATCCTATGCCGCCAACCAAACCCGCCATGCCCCGACGCCATGCACCGCACCAAGGACACCAAGGACGCTGATTTCAAGACCACGCAGGAAAAGCCCCAGCCAAACACCAGCCAACATATCCCAAAAATTACATTCCAATCATCCATCCATCCATCTATCCCGGACCCATCCGTATCTATATCATCCCATCCCATCCCATCCCATCCCAATTCAACCCAACCCCCCAACTAAAACCCACCAACCTTCATATTCCCCCCACCATTCAACCTAAACGGCAACGGCCCCAACGGCCCGGACGGACTGAGCGCCGAGCTCGGCGTAACAATCCCATCGTGCGACGACCCCAGACTGCTCATCGAATTCAAGCTCGACGCCGTCAGACTCGCCGTCGAGCTAGAATTCATCGTCCCGCTGCGCGACGACACGCCATTGAACCCGCCGCCCAACCCACTGCCGCCACCACCACTGCTCCCGCCACCCCCGCTGCCGCCCATGGACGAGAGCAGCGTATCGGAGCGGTCGCGCTCAAAGACGCCTGAGAAAGCCAGCGAGAAGGACGCGCTCTGCGGGGTGGAGGGGACGGTGGCCTGGACGGCCGGGCCGAGGGCGGCGCTCTGCGGGGTCATGGGCATCTGGACGGGGGTGGCCACGGCGTGGGAGTGAGCGTGGCCGTGGCCGTGACCGTGGGGGTGGACGGCGGCGATGTAGGGGGAGGCGAGGGGCTCGGAGCCCGGGTGGCGGAGGAAGTAGGACCAGGGGGACGACATCATTAGGTCGCACGTGTCCTTCATGCTCTTCTGGATGGGCCGCAGGCGGGCCTTGGTGTCGAGGGGCAGCTGCACGTCGCTCTGCAGCTGCATGATCTTCTTGATCAGCACGTACCACGAGTCGATGAAGCTGTTGCAGAGCCGCCAGAAGGACGGCTGCGTGCGGATCCCGGGCTCCTTGAGCTTGATGGATGAGAGTCGCGCCTTGAGGACCTCGGTCTGCTGGATCGACGTGTTGCACTTAGCGACGAGCGCCTTCCAGCACTGGATGAGATGGTCCGGCGAGCGCTGTGTGGTGGTGGTCCGCATCGAAGACATGAATTGTGTGTTCATTGTTGGTAAGACCTGCATGACCAGTTCTGTTGTTTTGTGGAGAGAGAGGAATATCCTCTCGAACAGGCGGTCTTCCTCGGTGAAGTCCGCCGACAGATTTCGAGTGCCAGTCGTGCTAGTAGACGCAAATGACTCGCCCGACCGCGGCGTGGCGGCCCCTACCATTGCCGACCGGCCTGAGCCGTTAATGTAGGGTATCGAGACATCCGTGGCAACACGTAGGTTGCTCGGGTTGTAAACAAAGGTGCCGTTTCGAGATCTATTCAAAATTCGATCGGCCGTCGGCGTGACCGAGTTTTCGCGCGAATGGGGCCGGATCGTCTCCCCCAAATCAGGTCGGCTGAAGGACGGAACGGACCGATGGTTGCCTTCCGCCGCAAGCTGCGTGCATGTTACACGCAGCTCCATGATGCTATTATAGAGCTGCGTCAACAGGGTACGGATATATCGCGGGTCGCCGTTATCCAAAAACAGGTCGACGTTGCCCATCAGCAGTGAACACACGTGCGTGTAGGCGTTGATGAGCGTGAGGCAAGCCCGCTGGACGTTCTCGTTTTCCTTCTGGCCGAACCCGTCCTGCGCCTGTTCGTGCTGCTGGATCTCCAGTTCTAGCTGCTCGACATGAGCGTTTGTGTTGTAAAAAACGATTTCGAGGTTCGATCGGCGGGACGTGCCGTCGTTGGTGAGACCGACTAGCAACGCCTGGATCATGGGGTGAATCTGGAAGATGGAGTAAAGAATGCCCTTGGCAGCCTCCAGCACCGGGTCAAAGGCCTTGGAGTCGCGTCGCCTCTCCGGCAAGATGGAGAGCCTGCGGATGTATACGGGCCGCTGCAGTGCGGGTTCGGCCGGGCTGCCCATATTGGGGCTCTTGACCTGCATAGATGCCCCGTTGCCCTGCATGGCCGAACCGTGGCTGAGCCCGCGGTAATGGCTGAACCGGTTGTTGACCTCGATCTCTTCGAGCGTGCTGAGCTCAGACCTCTTGGACACCATGCCCATGCGGCGCGACCTGCTTTCGGATCGCTCCCGGCTCGAAGTCTGGATGATGGTCTCCGAGTTGCTGCGCACCCGCTCGTTGGGGTTGCCGATGGTCAGCGGCATGACCCCTGGCCTGCGCTGCGCCGTGTTCTGTTGCGAGAGCCCACGGTAGTGTGAACGGGTCGGAATCGGTGGGGGTCGGGGAAGGGCGGGGGACCGGACGTCGTTGATGTCACTGCCGTTGACCTTGATCGGAAATCTGCCACTAAAGACCCGCTTGATCGTTGGTCGCGGGGTTTCGGTCCCCTCCGAGGTGCCATCGCTGGGCGAGTCCGCGCGACCGCTGGCTTCCTGCTTTAAAAACTTCTTGATAACCGCCGTGGCAGCGACTTCGGTAAGCTCGGTCTCTCTTCCCGGGCCATCACCTTGTCCTCCTCCCGTTCCTTGCACTTGTAGTATTTCCGGCGGGGGGTATTTCAGCGGATTCCCCTCCAGCTTCACCACTGATAATGACGGCATGTCGGCGAGGCAGAGTGGCAGATGTGTGATTTTGTTTTTCGGTATCGAGAGCACCTTGAGAGATGACAGCTTGACGATCTCGGGCGGCAAAACTTGCAACATATTTCGGCCCAGATCGAGAATTTCGAGCGACTTCAGATCGCAGAGCTGAAATTGCTCGGTCAGCACCTGTGCATCCCTGTCCCGTCACCAATTGATACTCACTGCAAGCGGGAACTCTTTTATCCTGTTTTGCCGAACATTAAGATATCGCAATGAGGTGCATTCGGAGAACCTGGCCGGGAAGGTTTGCAAGTAGTTGTGGGACAGCGCAAGCCTGTTGCGACGCATTAGAGGAGGGCGAGTCAGCCCGAGGCAAGGGGCCCTACCGCTCCAATTCATCTTTGATCACGTCCACGATTTCCTCCGGCAGCATCTGTATCTTCTTCCGGCTCAGGTCGATGGTGAGGCCAGGTTTGAGGGTGTTGCTGACCCCGCTGGCCTCGGCTGCCTTGGCCTCATTCTCGTGGGCCGTCCGCATCGCCTCTCTCGCCACGGCAAGGACCTGGTTCGGGGAGATGGGCTGCCCCGCCGAAAGATTCGAAGACGAGGGCACATCGCGAAGGCTGGGGACAGGAGGCGGCGGCGTCGGGTTCGCGAGTGCTGCGGCAGCGATAGCCCGACGGGCCTGCGCCGGATTATCGGGCAGCCCTCGTGGGAAGTCCATCGAGACGGCCCTTGGGTGAATCGATCGCCGTACGGTTCTCGGCCGAGCAGGATTGCGACGGGGAGAGACGGGGAGTAAGGCGGACTCGATTTCGTCTTTTGAAAGGGCACTTCCGCTGTCGGAGAACCAGGAGATGGAGATTTTAAGCCGGAGGGCGAGGTGGTGACAGCCGGTCGGACGGGTTCATGGCGAGACCAACCTCCTTGCGGTCGGGACAGGGGGGCCCAGGGAGTGACCCAGGCGGTGAACAACAAGTCGACCGCTCAAGGCGCAGCAAACGGCGCGTTTATTTTAGCGTCCGGCGGCGGCGGCGGCGATGTCGAGAAAGGGAGTCGATGGGAGGATTGCAAGCAGTGCGCCGTCGGATCAAAAATTGCTTTGCCTTGTCTGAACTCTGGGTTGCCGTCTCGGGCCCCATGTCAGGTAGCAAAACGCCCAACATAGGGGTTAGTGTAGGGGCACGTTGGGGTGCATGTCACAAATAGACAAGGGTTGTGCAGCCTGCGCGCTCAGCATCAAGGTGGGACGGCTAAAGACCCCGCTTTCTGTGGCCCGTGCCGTGCCATTCCTCCCAACATGGGCGTGTTTCTAGCATCCATCTCGCCAAACGCCTCGCAGCAGGGTTAGCGTGCCTCAAAAATGCAAGGGAACAAATCGCTCCAGACGTCACCACCACAGAAGCACTGGGGACGCACGCGCAATCAACACTGTGAGAGTAACATTGATTGGCTGTGGGGAGAGTCACATCTGAGAGCGGGCAACCACACAACGCCAAAAGTTTCGATGTGAAACGAAACAGACGCGAAGCTGGGTACGGAGGATTCCCGATGGATGGGCGTCGATTGGGTGCTGCATCCTTTTCTCCTTCCGCGCGTGGAGTTGTATTCGTATTCTTCTCTCCATCCGACCACCGATCGGTGTTCTGTGGTAGGAGGACCTTGGCAAGCGCAAGTTCATCTGCTGTGAGCTGCGGACTTGCATCTCGATGCGGACATGGCTCTCGTGTCACCCCATAGCTAATGAATCGACTGACAATCTCGTGCTCTTGAAGATTATCACACCCTCTCGACCGGAGTTTGCCGTTGGTAGTTGAGTTGTGGAAAATGGAACACAAATAGTTGGGCGTTTCTTGGCAGGGGTTCCAGGCCCAGGGGGAGGCGATTCTCTCCGAACAGTTCGGCTTCCGTCTCGAGTTCTCAATGGTGTCACAGGAACAGGAAAGACCCGATCAGAGATCAGACGGGAGTGATGGAGTACGGAGTCGCAACGAGTCGGTCCTTATTCATACCCTAACCCTCAGCCGATTCCTGCTTTGCAATGCCCAAATCGCGGGATGATCATGTCAACAACAACAACAGCCTTCGAGTTGTCTAACATTGGTGGTATTGAGTCGACGCCGGGTGATAAAAATTAGCCGATGATAGCGAGGTGGCAGAACGATCAAACAATTTAGATTTTCGTTTCGCCGGCAGTCTGGACCTCCCACTCTTTCTCACCGGACTACTTCGTACCAAGACCGGGAACCAACTCAGAAATCTACACCTCCCAGAATCGAACTCGCAAAATGCAAGAACGGGTGCGCGGCAACAAAAAGTGAAAAGACCACTATGCTATACATGGCCTCTCGACGAAATCACAAGGATTGGGTACCATGCCTCTCGCCAGGAGCGACTCGCTGCAGGACATCGACTTCACCCTCCGGCGGCAGTTCAATAAAACGACGTTCAGGTATGCGGTCATGGTTGTTTTTCAAGATTGAGAATAAATCATATCTAATGCATGATTAGACCGCACCAGCGTGAGATCATTCTCGCTGCCCTCGATGGGAAAGATGTCTTCGTCCAGGCAGCCACATCGTTTGGCAAGAGTTTATGCTTTCAGCTGCCTGCCGTGATAGACCCGGGGAGTATGGCTCCCTCCCATGGTCTTCACCCGAGAAAAGAAATTTACAAAGTCTAGTCACAATCGTTATCTCTCCGCTTTTGAGTCTCATGGTAGGTTACAACCGGCCACCCTAGTAAACGCTGTTATCTAACCAGCCTCAGATGAACCAAGTCGAGGCTCTCCGTGCGGCCAACGTTGATGCCCGTACACTAAACAGCAATATCGCTCTCTCTGAGCGGGACCGGATCTACCAGGATCTGGCTACGGGCCACCCGCGCACCCGACTCCTTTACGTGACCCCCGAGCTCTGCTCCTTCGACCGCTTCCGCGAGCGGCTCAAATTCGTCTATGAGCAGAAAGAGCTCGCCCGCATCGCCGTCGATGAGGCCCACTGTATTTCAGAATGGGGTCATGACTTTCGCAAGGACTTCAAACGCCTCTCATGGTTCCGCGAGACCTTTCCGGACGTCCCCATTATGTGTCTCACCGCCACCGCCAACGAGCAAGTCCGACGAGACATCCTGTCCACCCTGGGGATGGATAAAGTGCCCGAGAGGTTGCGGAACTTCACCATGACCGCCCACCGGCCGAACCTCCACCTCGAAGTCCGTTTCACAAGCGACGAGGCCAACGACCGCTACGACGACTTCGTCACCTGGCTCAAGGGGGTATACTCGCGACGGGCTGCCGCCGACCGCAAACCCGAGCTAGAAGCCGCGAGCGAGCGGGTCGACAGTGTCCCGGGCATCATCTACACCATCTCGCGCGACGAGTGCGAGTCCCTCGCGGCAGCCCTCCGCTGCGAGGAGATCGGCGCGCGCCCCTTCCACGCGAAGCTGCCCAAGGGGGTCAAGGAGGAGACGCTCGCGCGGTGGATCGCCAACGAGCCCGGGTACGACATCATCGTGGCTACTACGGCGTTCGGCATGGGCATTGATAAGGAGAACGTGCGGTTTGTCGTGCACTGGCGCCTGCCCAAGAGCTTCGAGGGCTACTACCAGGAGGCTGGCCGGGCCGGGCGTGACGGGAACGCGAGTTACTGCTTCTTGTACTATGCCCGCGAGGATAGGGATCGGGTGTGTAATATGGTGATGAAGGACGGGCCGCCGGGAAATGACAAGAACAAGCAGGCGCGGATGCAGAGCCTGAACCGGCTGGTTGCCTACTGCGAGGATACGAGTGGTTGTCGGCATGCCGCGATTTGCAAGTATTTTGGGGAGGAGAAAGTACCAGAGTGCGATTATGCGTGTGACTGGCATAAAGATGCGGCAGGGCTAAAGAAGAGGATGATGCGGGGACTGGCCAGCGAGGAGTGGGTGAGTACGCAGCGGCAGGAGGGGATGTATGATGATTATTATTACAGCGATTAGGGGGCGAACAATGAGCCCTGAACGCCAAACGAGGACGGCTTATAACGCTAGGATATATCGCCCCCTATTTGGTAATAATCACATATGCCCCTGTTTCTGGTGTGCTATACCTTCTCCTCTTCAAGCAACTCCGGCCGCTCCTTGATCAACGCCTCTAAGTTCCTCCGCCACTGGAGCCACACCATGCCCTGCAATACGGCATCCGACAAGTCATCCATCTTGGTCACCACCTCCGCCACCTCGGTCCTCTCAACCGCTTCAGTTTCAGTGGCCTTCTTTTTCCTCCCACCCTTCCCCTTCCCACCCCCCCTCCTTTCCACCCCATCCATAAACAAGCTCACCATCTCCTTCGCCTGCCCCTTTTCCGCAACCACCATCCCCCCTCCCTCCAGAAGCCCACCCATAATATCCACCTTCCCCCTCTTCAACGTCCGATACGCCTTCCCCGCCGTAGCCTTCCCCTTCCCCTTCCCCTTTACCTCCTCCCCATCACCCTTCCCCCCACCAACACCAGCACCAGCACCAGCACCCTCCCCAACCGGGATCAAAAACTCCGCCACCGTCTTCGGCAGCACCGACGTGACATCCCACTCCCACTCCACACCACCACCACCACCACCAGCCGTCCCGCGCAGCGCGGCGAACGCGGCGTGCAGCATGGCCTCGAGCGAGTTGACGCGCAGCGTCCACTCGAAGATGGGCGCCGCGCCCCCCGTGCGGAACCGCTGCCGCTCGATCAGCACGTGGGTCGGCCGCAGCGGGAGCAGCCGCGTCTTGACGAGGTCTGCCGTCAGCGCGGCGAGGGTGGAAGGGGAGAAGGCTTCTGCGTCGGGGTCGGCGTTTGGGTCTAACGGGGCTGGGTTGGGTGGGGGGGGTTCTGAGGGGGTGGTGGTTGGTTTGGTGGTCTTCTTTTTCTTTTTGGTGGTTTGGGGGGTGGTGGTGGTGGTGTTGGTGGGGAGGGTGAGGTCTAGGCGGTGCCAGGCGTGGAGGCGGATTGGGGAGTCTAGCTGGGTGTCGTTCGGGGAGAGGGTTTTTTTCTTCGATGGGGGTGCTGGACTGATGAGGGAGAAGGCGAAGTTCTTGAGGCCCATGTCGATGCTGAGGATGCGAGCTGAAGAGGGGACGGGCTGGAAATGTCTCGCGGCATGGCGGAGACGCTGGACGAGGACGGGCTTGGTGCCGGATTTTGGGAGACCGCACGATGCGCAGAGTGCCTTGAGGGTGAGGCCCGTTTCACCAAGAAGGGGTTTGGTCGTCATGGTGGCATAGGTACTGGTGATGGCGGTACTGTCGCAGAGGGTGAGGTGAAGCTGGAGTGAAGCTAAAGGATACGGTGAGCAATGATAGTAGGAAAAGCAAAAGCAATCGGATATTTATTTATGTATGAGAGCGGGGTGATCTCAGGTGGCAGTACCTTATCTATTGGAAGCAAAATTAGGGTAAAATACAGTAAAAAGCCGATTCCTCGCCAACGCTAAATGCCAATAAAGACTCGCTGATAATATGGATTAGTTGAAAAGTAAACAACAAATTGTTTAATATAGTTGTCTTGAATTGAAAGTTGAAAGAGAAGAGCATCAATGGTGGGGCATTCGTCACAAGCTCGAGACCCCTGCAAAAAGCCATCGTTTCTGCCGGAGAGGTGGGGCTAGTTTTTCCCAAGTCCCGGCATCTCTTTGCGCTGTCGGCTGGTCTTTGATCTCGTCGCTAAGTTACTGAGTAATCCATCTTTTCTAATCTGCACCGTGCTGATTCATCCGATGTGGTAGTCAGATTTGGAATTCTGGATTGCCTACCTCGGATCATAGAAGCCCACCCTGCAGTTGCGCAATCCCGAGGACGGTGTTCCCTGCATGACGGATTTGTCACGTTTGCCCACTTGCCCACTCACTTTGTACATAACCCCTCCACCCCGCGATACCCCTCTGCCTCGCCGCAGAGACACCACTCACTTCCATGCAACCACTTTCACTTTTAGCGAGACGTCCCTTGCTCTCGTCCATACCCGCCGCAAGCCGAATCACCACACTATCCCGCCACTTTTCCCAAACATCCCTCGCCATGGCGCCCATTTCCAAGGAGACCGACTTCCTCGTGATAGGAGGCGGGAGCGGTGGTCTCGGTGCCGCGCGCGCGGCCAGCGCTAAGTTTGGGACCAAGGCGATGGTTATTGAGGGCAAGCGGCTAGGAGGCACATGTGTCAACGTCGGGTCAGTAAAGTTCCTCTCGTATCTAACCGTAGAACAAGCCACTGACAGCCCCTAGTTGCGTCCCGAAGAAAGTAACCTTCAACGCCGCCGCCATCGCCGAGACGATCCACCAATCCAAGTCGTACGGATTCAACATCCAAGAAACCGCCCCGTTCGACTGGAGCACCTTCAAGAAGAAGCGCGACGCCTACATTCTCCGACTGAACGGCATCTACGAGCGCAATCTCGCCAACGACAAGGTCGAGTACGTGCACGGCTGGGCGAAGATCCTTTCCCGCAACCAGGTCGAGGTGACGCTCGACGACGGCACCAAGACGGTGGTCAACGCCAAGAAAATCCTCATTGCGGTCGGCGGCAACCCGACGGTCCCGCCGCAGATCCCCGGGTCCGAGCTCGGCACTAACAGCGACGGCTTCTTCGATATCGAGACGCTCCCGAAGAAGGTAGCGCTCGTCGGAGCCGGTTACATTGCGGTCGAGTTCGCGGGCATGTTCAATGCCCTTGGCGTCGAGACACACCTGTTCATCCGGCACGATACCTTCCTAAGGCACTTCGACCCCATAATTCAGGAGGGCGTTACCAAGGAGTATGAGAGGCTCGGCGTGAAGCTGCACAAGCAGAGCGCGGCCACCAAGGTGGAGAAGGACGAGGCCGGGAAGCTTACGATCCATTACAAGGAGGGGAGCAGCGAAGGGGTTGTTTCGGGAGTGGACCACCTCATCTGGGCTGTCGGGCGCACGCCCGCCACAGCAGACCTTGGATTGGAGTCGGCTGGTGTGCAGCTCAACGAGAAGGGCTACATTGTCGCGGACGACTACCAAAACACCAACGTCGAGGACATCTATGCGCTTGGCGACGTGACGGGCCGGGTCGAGCTCACACCGGTGGCTATTGCCGCGGGCCGCAGGCTTGCTGCGCGGTTGTTTGGGCCGGAGCAGTTCAGCACATTAAGACTCGACTACGGAAACATCCCATCAGTCGTGTTCGCTCACCCCGAGGTTGGGTCCATCGGGTTGACAGAGCCGGAGGCGGTTGAGAAGTACGGGCGAGAGAACCTCAAGATCTACAAGACGAACTTTACCGCCATGTACTACGCCATGATGGAGCCCGATCAGAAGGGTCCTACCGCCTACAAGCTGATTTGCGCGGGCCCCGAGGAGAGGGTTGTCGGTCTACACATTCTGGGGCTTGGCAGCGGGGAGATGCTCCAGGGCTTTGGTGTTGCCGTCAAGATGGGTGCCACCAAGGCCGACTTTGACAGCTGCGTGGCCATCCACCCGACGAGCGCGGAGGAGCTGGTGACTTTGAAATAGATATGGCCTAGAGGGTTGAGCTTGGAAGATACCATGTCTTGCGTCTTGGCTGAATAGACTTGTAATTCACATATTGTTTTCTGATGCTTGTCGGTAACGGAATATTGATTTGCACAAATAACCACAAACCACAAACTCGAAGCATACAAGTTGCTTGGAGAGCATCTCCCTCCAACTAATTCGAACCAGAGACTCTGTTGTGAGCCGTGTGAGCTTGTCGTGCTTGTCGAGTTCAACCCTAACCCGGGAGATGCCATCCCTGCGTCGCTTACATAAAGCCACCCCTGTCAATCCGGCAGCCCAATGCCGCGGAAGCGCAAAAAGTCACACCACCTCGGGCAGCCGAGCTCCAATCCAAACGTCAATGCTCCAGTCGAGCGTCACAGCCGAATTCCAAGCTCGAATTCACCTCACCACCACTCCCCGCCGTCGCCAACCAGCACACAACAATCTCCACTCACTCATTCAAGGTAAACCACCACCACCAAGCACCCCCCAATCTCAAACCACCAACCCCCCCCAATTGAACCCTCCCCACCACCCCGCCAAACCAAACCAACCCAAAACCAACCCACCAACTAACACCCCCCTCCTTCCCATAAAAAAGATGCTCACCCGCGCGACCCTCCGCACCACCACCACCGCGGCCGCCGCGGCCCGCCGCGCCGCCTTCTCGACCACGCGCGCCCGCCTCTCGTCCCCCTACCACTACCCCGAGGGCCCGCTGTCCAACATTCCGTTCAACCCGCGCAAGAAGGGCTTCGGGATCGCGTACTGGACGTTCATGGCTACGGGGTTCGGGATGCCTTTTGGTATTTGCGGTGAGTACTGCTTTTTGTTGTGTGTGTGGTTGGGGTTGGGGGTTTGGGAGGGATTGTTGGGGACGGGTTGGTTTCCCGAGGAGGGGTGTTGGGATGGGGGAGGGTTTGAAGGGGGAGGTGGAGGGAGGATTATTTGAGGTTGGGAGGTGATGTTGAGGGAGAATATATGCTGACGTTGCTTGGAATACAGTCTGGCAGACTTACCACCCGGCCAAGTAAACTCGCCATGCGCGGTGTTCAGGTTGGGAGGTGATGAACGGAGCAGTGCGCTCGGCGTTGGAGAGGTTGATGAACAAGGGGGACGGGATAGCTCTACAGAGGAAGGGATGTGTCTGTACATGATACGGGGCTATAGTAGACATCAAAAAGATTCGTTTCCTTGGGTTGCTATTTGTGTTGGGCTGGATGCTTTCCCTGCGGGCCTGACGGTGACTTGAAATGGCGAGACACTAGGTGACTTACCCAAGTCTAGCTACGAGCTCGAACGATTGCGAGCTTGCTATCTTCTAAACGACCATGGAACTAGTCGAGGAATTTGACTTCGAGGTGACCTTCCCACAGCTTCCTGTTGGGTTTAATGAGAACGCGCAGCATAGTCTGAGCAATCCCTTATAAACCTAAATAACTATCAAGCAGATATCCGGCAATGCCAATAAGCTTGCTCAATCTCATGCTATCTGCCGACCTGCTCCTCTCGTTTGTTCGCTCTTCATGCTTCCTTGCCCAAGACAATGTGGGGCTGGTTTGATGATTGCGCACAGACCACAGCCCACGCCGCATCAGCATCCCAAGACTTCGATCGCAGGGGCATACGCCAGGGGATGCGCTTGCGACACTCAACACCAAACCCCCGCCCGAGCACGACAGCTCTTATCGTTTCCTTCGGAGGACGCGCCACCCCCGCCACGAGATGGTCTGACACATAACGGCAGCAACCCACCATGGACGTGCCGCCGGTCAAGCTGTCGGAGCTGCTCCGGCACCCGGACGACCTCGACAAGATCGCGGGGCTCAAAGCCGAGTTTGCCCGCAAGAAGGCCGCCGTCGACTCCCAGCTGCGCGGCGGCCTGCGTGAGCAGCTCGAGACCACCCAGGCTGGCATGAATGGCCTGACCGACGGCCAGAAGACGGTGCAGCAGATCAAGGATGAGATGATCAAGATCGACAAGATATGCTCCGAGTCGCAGAACATGATTACCGACTTCGCGACCATCAACCTCGTGTCGCAGGCGCACCGCAACTTCGGCGCCGTCGAGACCATGCGCCGAAACCTCGAGACCTTCAATGAGCGCCTCAGCGGCATCCAGGAGATGCTGCGCCAGGACGACGAGGACGCCGAGAACATGCCAAATCTACTGGCGGTGCACTACGAGCTGACCCAGCTGCGGAACATCCGAGACGACGCAATTGAGCAAATACAACGCGCCGACGATCCGGGCCTGCAGTCGACACTGGAAGATTACTTTGAGCGCCTGGACCAAGCGATCGAGTGGTTCGACGAGCACATCAGCCTGATCGCGAGGAGCTTGGTCAACCTCGTGATTGCGGACAACACAAGCCTGGTAGTGCGGTTCGCACTGATAATAGAGGCGGAGGAGAAGAGCGACCAGAGGGTGCTCGCGCTACAAGAAGCACTCAAGGACCACAAGGAGATGGCGACGCGGTTCCAGAGCATCACGGACGGCGCCAAGACGGTACGCGGCTACAAGGACAAGTTCCTCGAATGCATCAGGAAGATTGGCGAGGGGCAATTTGAGCAGAGCAGGGAGGAGTTCATGGATGACCCTGAGGCGTTGGAGAAGAGCCTGCGGTGGTACTTCAACGACCTCAACACGGTCAGGCTAGGCATGGTGCAGTTGATGCCGAAGAAATGGAAGATGTTTAGGGCGTGGACAAACATATACCACGGCATGATGCATGACTTTCTCATCAAGGTTATCGACGACCCGCAAGCCAGCTCGGCGCATGCGCTGGAAATCGTCGGCTGGCCCGAGAAATACTACCGGAAAATGAACAAGCTGGGCTTCAAGCAGGAGGAGCTCACTCCACACGTCATCGACAACCGCGAGACCGAACTTGTGCGCGATTTCCGCGCGCTCATCATCAAGTTCCTGGACGAGTGGATCGGCCGTATCTGGACACAGGAGACCAAGGACTTTGCCGACCGCAACGTCGAAGGCGGCAACCTGGACCAGGACGAGTATGGCTACTTCCGAAACAAGAACCTGGTAGACCTTTGGCGCATGTTGCGTGGGCAGATCGATGCGGCTGCCAACTCGAAACGGGCCGATGTCGCCGAGGGCGTGGTCGACGCCATGTTCCAGCGGTTGCGGCAGCGCCAGCAGTCGTGGCAAAAGATGCTCGAAGAGGAGGCGTCGCGCTACGAGACCGACAAGGCGGGCGACCTGGAAGGGTTTCAGCCGTTGCAGGATTGGCTCGTGGCGACAGCCAACGACCAAATCGCATGCATCGACGACAACGAGGACGAGGGCCGCTTGGCATACCTGTCCGACTTCAAGAAGAAGTTCGGCGCTCTCGTGTCGCCGCAATACATGGACCGCGCCGAAGCCGAAGTGGCAATCCTGCGTGACGGCTACCTCGACCTCAGCACCTGGTGTATCACCCGGTTTGCACAGCTCGTGTTCTCAGTCGACTTCAAGACGGTCATGCCCGACTTTTTCACGTCACGGTGGTACACGAGCACCGCCATGGCGCGCATGGTGGCTACGTTTGAGGAATATGTCGGCGACTACCGCCAGGTGCTACATCACTCGCTCGTCGACATCTTCATCGAGATCTTTGCCGACGAGCTGCTGATCCGGTACCTGATGTCGGTGCGCAACAAGGGCGCCAAGTTCCGCCGGTCGGACCAGTATCAGGACAAGATCTTTGACGACCTCAAGACCGCGTTTGACTTCTTCAACAGCCTGCCGAACCCGGCGGTGGGCAACTCCATCAAGGAGACGTGGCGTGTCACCGAGCCGTTCTTGCAGCTGCTGTCGGTGGAGAAGGAGCGCGTCCCGGATACGTTTGAAGCGTTCAAGGCGGCGTACTGGGACTTGCAGATCAGCTGGGTCGAGGCGGTGCTGCGGTCGAGAGACGACTTTGAGCGGAGTATGCTGAATGCGGTCAAGGCGAGGGCGGCGCAGATGGATGTGGTCAGGGGGCCTGAGACGATAATGAGCAAGGTCAAGTGATCTGTAATGAATGATGGGTTATGAGGCCGTACGTACAGATGTACTCGGTACAGAGTCGGCCGTGATGTGTGTGCGGATATCCCCCTGATTGGCCCGCATGTTCCTGGGGCAACTACCAGATTAGGAAATTAAGCAAACATTGGCTGGTGGAATTCAGCCGCCTCAGCAGTTGGCCGTTTGCATTTTGAGAACGTCCAGGGTTCGGCCAACGTGCTGAGATACGATACCCTTATTTCACTACATCTTTCTTGTCACTCAACTTATCCCTGGTGCCGCCTCGAATGAAAACCATGGCACGCAATTTCAATACACACAACACCAAGTCTCGACTTGTCTCTTCTTGGCTACACGAGATTCCCTCTGATTTGGAAAGTGAGGGTGAAGAGACATTGGTCACTCCATCCGTCTACGAACAGACTTATCCCAGGCGGCAAAAAGATGAAATCCAGCCTACTCAACGACGACCAAAACGACAACCAGCACCGGAAGCAGAATCGGAACCGGAACCAGAACTGGAACCACAACCACAATTATCACCACAACCCCAGACCCCGATTCGATCCGTCCGGGTTCCAAAGCTCACCCCTAAGCAACCGCTCTATCCATCTCTGAAGAGTCCAACCCGCTCTCCCACCCGACCTCAACCACAACCCCGTCAGAACCAAAACCAAGACCAAATCCAGAACCAAACCCCGAAGAACCAACCGCAACCTCAACCCCCCCTTCCCCCCACCAAATCCTCCCCCATTAAACCCTCCCCCACCAAACCCACCACCCCAACCCCCACCCCCCTCCCCCTCCGCGACCAAATCCACCACAACTTCACCCTCCACTGCCCCCTCTGCCACCCCCCCCTCCCATCCACCTCAACCCCCCCCACCCCCACCACAGAAACCTGCCCCCGCTGCGAAACCGCCCGGTCCTACACCACCCGCCCGCACCACAGCCTGTCCTTCCTCTCCTCCCACCTGCTGCCCATCTCCGAGGTGTTCTCCTTCGACGAGACGGTCGCCTATCTCAACCAGGCCGTGGTGAACCGTCTGGCGGGGGTGCTGGCGAGGGGGGGCAGGGGGGATAAAGTGAGGGGGGTGGGAAGGACGTGGCCGACGCTGGATGATTTTGATTTTGTGAGGGGGTTGGCGGAGGGGAGGAGGAGCGTTTTTGAGGGGTTTGGGGGGGAGGGGGGAGGGGGGTTGGGGTTGGATCGGTTTGGGATGGTGAGGGATCGGCGGTGATTTTGGGGTTGTCGTATTCTTTTTCTGTTTTCTTGTTGTTTTTGGGGGTGCGGGCTTGGGTTGGGGGTGGGAACGGTTGGGCCTTGAAAGGTTGGGGCTTGGGGGGATGGGAAGCTTGTGGTTTTGCATTGGTTACATTTCGAGGTCGGGGGCATGGGCAGCAGCTACCCGCCGCCGGTTGGGTATGAAATATCGTCGGGGTTCGAGAGAGGAGGAAGATGAAATTTAAACGGTTGGGTATGGGAATTGGCAATGACGAGATAGGAAGTGGGTGAGGCACAAGAGGAGACGGGAATGCTTATTCACATTTCCTTCGCTATCTATTCAGCCCCGAGGAGTGGGATATATCAGTGGTGATCAGATATCTATGATTATGTATGCGAGTACCTTGACGAACCCAACAATCACCGCCCTATCCATGCAATGCATCCAAACGGCCGGCCCTGCCAAATAAAATCCATACCCATCCAACAAGCCGCCATACCCAACAACCGAACAAACCAAAGCACACCTGCCATGCAGAAAGAAAGAACCCCATCAGCAACCAGCAACCCACAAATCAATCAATCCCGCTTTTGGCCACTCTTCCCATCCTCCCCGTTCCCAATCAACCGTTTCCACCACCCCTCCCTCCGCCTAACCTCCTCCTCGCTCAGCTTAAACCCCTCCCCAAACAACCCCGACAACTCATTCCTCGGATCATTCCGCCTATCCTCATCCTGCCCATTCACAGCAACAGCCCGACCGACCACATCCTCCGCAAAAAAGCTCGGCTCCGCAAACGCCACCTGCCCACGCCCTCCCCCCAACTCCTCCATCCTCTCACCAACCCCATTCTCCATCCCACCACCACCCCCACCTCCATTGCTACCACCGCGCCCCCCCGCAAAAGGCGACATCCCCCCCCACTCCGGCGAGCGCGGCGGCAGCGAGTCGACCGGACTAGCCCGCAAGCGCGGCTGGTTCGGCGGGTTGAACACGCGCTGGGCGGGGGTCGTTGGCGCGGGCGGGACGCGGTACCAGAAGGGCCCTGCGCGGGGCTCGACGGGCGCCTGGCCAAAGCCTTGGGAGGAGCGCTGGCCGCGCGTGTTGAAGGCGCGGTGGCGGGATGAGGCAGAAGTGGAGGAGGACGGGTCGGCTGGTGTGAAGGGGGTGAGGGCGGACGGGGGGGCGGCGGGCGTGAGGGCGGACGGGGGGGCGAAGGGGGTGGTGGGGGTGGGGGACCAGTCCATTTCTTCGGCGGTGGATGGGGGAACTCGTGGTCGTGGTGTGGAGGGTGCTGCGAAGGGGTCGCGGGAGGCGGTGTGTGGGCGGTGGAGGTGGAGGTCGTCGATTTGTTGGAGGTTGGCGGTTAGGGTTTGGGCGGCTTGCGTGTGGGCGTGGCCCATGGGGAGGAAGTTGGCGTGGCGTTTGGGGATGGAGGGGGAGAGGTCGAGGGTTGGGGAGGGTGGTGTGGGCGAGGTCGGGGAGCGGGAGATCTCGTCGAGGAGGTCGGCTATGGATTTTGTTTCCTCGAGGCGCGTGTTTTGGGGGGACGGGGACGACTCCGGATGGTCGTGGAGGGGTTGATTCGGAGAGGCGCCGAAGAGGGGTGCCATATTGATTCGGATTGCGCGGGGGCCGAGGGTGAATAGCTAGAGCTGGTGAGCGAGTGTTTACGAGGGATTCCATGGGTGATGGAGCTTACTAGGAAGGCCAGTGATGCGGCCACGGCGTGCCCAGCTGTTTGTGTGTTTAGCAGCGGCGGGTTGGGCGTTGTCAGGTCTATCCTCTGCAAGCAAATGCGAAGGATGACGGCCATGGCCTGGAAAATGTACCATTGCGAGACTCCACTGATGTGTCTGGTGAAGCCCCTATATATCTGGACAAAGCGCGGATTCCACCACATGCTCAAGATAGTGGTAAGAATGCTCCATCCCAGCAGCCGCCCCGCGGACGGGAGGCTGCCCACCAGCGGCCCGCATGTCTTCAGCAGTCGGAAAGTCGACAGACTATCGTCCACCCCTGCCCAGACGAAATACTGCAAAAGCAAACTGTGTACCACAACCGCGTGCCATACCAGCTGCAGCAAAAGCCCGGAAATCCACAGCCACCTCCCCGCCGCATCGAACTTCTCTAGCCAGCCCTGTGTTGTAACGCTGCCCCTCGCGCTGGCGCTGCGGTCAAGCATGCGGCGCAACAAATCCGTCTTGGCCGTGTAGGCGGACTGCTCGAGGCGCCGGCGCACTCTGGGTTCGCACTCCTCGCATATCTGCGGGTAGAGGCGCTCTTGGTTCTTGCGGAAACGGTAGAGGCCCTTCTCACGCTCGGCGTAGTCGGGATCGTCGGGGTCAGGCAGGTATTGCGCGAGGGATGCGCTTAATAGGTGCTGGTTCTTGAGGCATTTTGGGCAGAATATGGCCTCCCTAGTCGGGCTCGAGGTCGGGGAGAAAGGGCGCGGAACGGCGTACTGCAACGGGGTGGCTTCTTTCTCGGTCGCGACGGGTGGATCGGTGATGTCGCCGTTCTGTTATTAGGTAGTTAGAAAAATGGTACCCAGGTAGGTGGTCATCGCCATGCAAAGCGGAGCTGAAATACCTCATCCAAATAGTTGGTGGCATCACAAAAGGGACATTCGAAGCGGCGCGTCTTGCCGTCGTATCGGGTCGAGTTCTTGCGGCCACAATAGAAGCAACTCAAGTAGCGGTTGCGGCTGCGATAAAGTCGCGACATCTTGATGGTGCTGCCAAGGTAACGAGCATTGCAGGCCAGCCACGAAATGGGACACGCGACAATGATATTTGTAGGCCGCTGCCACGCAACTGTCGAGTCTCGCGGCCTTGCTGCTGTGTTCGGGCGCTTTCTCGGCCAAGATTCTGCCGGGCGGTCGTGTTTTCGAGGTCGCTGCGTCACACCCCTTGCTGCGTCACCGACCATCCATCGCTGTTATTGGTTGCCTTTTCCAAGGGGCTCAACAACCTGGTCGAGGGGGGAACGCACAGGCCACATGGATGCAAGGCACTGTAAGTATGGTATTCGTAGCGTACCAATACAGGAGTACTCGTAGTCTGTAATTACCACCTGGCTTCACCTCTCAACCATACCTAACTCTCCTTGGGACTTCTTCTCCCATCATCCACACACAACACCCAATTAGGGAAAAGTCCAGCTCCGACTTTCGTTACGATCTGCCAAATTGATGTTGACAGGGTTTTGGTTCCTTTGAGAAACTTACATTGGCCACTGAACTTCCTCTTTTAATTTGAGAACCGATGTTAAGCAACGCAAACCGTAATTCGTTCTGTCAAGATTCAACAGAGTGCGCTTCATTGTTGGTTGACACTGGCAGAATCACAAGGTTTTCTGAACCAAATTACAAGGTGAGACATCTCATTATAAGTTCCGTGATATTCTTGTTAACCACAATAGTTAGTTGGCAACAGTTGGCAACATCCATCTCAAAATCAACAAACGTCCCTAACCCCAGAGCTCTGGACTGGTCCTTTTGTTGAACCGCCTGCTGTGACTACCTTCAACACCTTTGAACTACGCTCAGCCTAGTCCCTGATTATCTGGATTTGGCTGCTGCCTGGGGACGGTTTTACTGTGCTGGTGGCCACCCTTAAGCCAACCCCTTAACACAGTGCTCAACCTCGACATTGTGGTGAGCAGCACATCGCGGCCTGAGCAGGTTTCGGTCACTACACAGGCAGCCGACTGCACAGGCCGCCTACAACTCACATGATTCACGCTTAGTCGTCCATATCACACATCAAAGCACAATGGACCCGCCTGCAAGCACAGGTGATAATGCCATGTGCAGGCAGGAAAACAATGCAGATGGCGAGGAACGGAGCCGTTTGCAAACCTTCAATCACAAACCCGACGACAAGACCAGGTCAAGCGGCCATCCAGGGAGCAGGGCGACCGACACTGACATGAAAAAAGAAAGCTCACCTCCACAATACCTAGACTCAGTTCCGAATCCCGAGGCCGAGATGGAGAGAATTGTTCGCGAAATGATCGAGGATTTTGGTCCTGACCGTTTTGCCATTTTCGTTTACCTGGGACTCGTCGCCATCGGCATAATTTCGATTGCCGCTTTCTTCTTTCTCCCCTGGTCCTGGATGATCGCTGTCGTCGTCGTCTTGATCACCTTCGTTGTCGTAAGTTAGGTCGTCTGACACTCTACAATAAATACTAACAACCCTAGTGGCGACACTTCTCCCTCCGACGCCAGCGACCGCGCCCGGAGACGGGCCGGCGCTGGATCAGCCGGCGGGACCCGTCCACCCCCAACACGGCCGGCCTCCCGGCCGTGTACTTCCTCTACATCCTCGGTTCGGGCGGCCACACCTCGGAAATGCTCGAGACCATCAAGCGCAAGTTCGCCCCGCAAGCTAACGCCCACCGGCGCTATCTCGTCACCACGGGCGACCAAGACTCGCTCAACCGCGTGGTCAAGCTAGAGTGCCTGATCAAACGCTGCTTCCCCGACCGGCGGGCCGGCACGCTCGACGCCTTCCAGGTCCCGCGGGCACGGCGCGTGCACCAGCCCTTCTGGACGGCGCCCTTCACCTGCCTCAACACCGCCATCCACGCCATCAACGCGCTCACCCGCGAACCAGACGCGCGCCCCGCCTTGCAGCACGGCAACGCCTTCAAGTACCCGCACGTGGTGCTGACCAACGGGCCTGCGACGGGCTTCATCGTGTGCCTGGTGGCGCACCTGCTCAAGGTCTTCGGCCTCGTGCCGCGCGACCGCCTTAAGATGGTGTACGTGGAGTCGTGGGCCCGCAGCCGCTCGCTCAGCCTCACGGGCCGCCTGTTCCTGTGGTCCCGCGTCGCCGACATGTTCTGCGTCCAGCACGAGGAGCTCGCCCGCGCCACGCCTGGTGCGGTTTATGTGGGCCAGGTCGCCGCCCGCCTCGCGCCCCCGGGCTAGCAGCCCGAGGTGTCTTGGCCGCCGATGGTGTCGGTGCTGGATCGGCTGGGGCTGCGGCCGCCGCCGGGGGAGGAGGAGATTTGGGAGGGTGTGCGGGAGGGAGCGCGAGAGGAGGTATGTGAGGAAGTCCAGGAGGACGTGGGGGAGGCAGCCTAGGAAGAGGTACAAGAGGAAGTACAAGAAGACGTTCATGCCAGGGTGCCGCAGTAGTTTGCTGGGTTGAGTTTGGCTCGGCGGGGTGGCTACCTATGGCGTTCAAGGGCTCGCTCAGGCTGCGTAGTCATGATCTTACAGGGATATCAGGTGAATTTTGAGCCATGGAAAGGCCGCTTACGGTGGAATGGGGTTTGAAGTGCGGAAGAAATAATTAGCTTCCATACCTCGTTAAGGGCGTGGGCTCGGCGGGACAAGCTCTGAATCAAGGGGCATATATACCCCAGTGTTACGATCCGGCAACCAAAAAGATATCTCAAACCGTCGCTTGGGCCCCGCGAAAGTGTGTACAGGCGTCTATTTTACCGTAAATATTTTTATACAAGTGTACACGAGTAGCCTGCCGGCCCAGACGGCTCTCGAACCCAACCCCGGCCTCGGATCCCGCTTTCTTACACAACCTCTGCCTCCTCATCGGCTGCTTCCGTCGCCACATCAACAACGTTGGCATAGGCGGCGGTGCGCTCGGCCTCAAGCTTGCTGATTTCGATGGCGGCCCAACTCTTCCAAACTTCGTATGCAGCGTCCTCGAGATCCATGCCCACCTGCAAGTTGTTCTTGCCAAAGTAGGCGCCGTACATGCGCGCCTCCTCGACTGCTATCCTCCGCTCAATCTCCTCCTGTTGCCGCAGCTTGTAGAACTCCTTGCGCGCGACATCGTATGCCCGCGCCTTGGACACGCCCTGGACCTCCATGAGCCAGAGCTGGCGTTGCACGACGCTGTGATGCCGTCAGTATTTCTCCCTTTCCCGGTTTCGACACACCAAAAAAAAAAAAAAGAAACGGGGGCCGCAGTGTCCTACCTCTCACCACTCAACGCCATCCCCGGCTGCCGCAACCCCCTGGCCCAGTTCCGGTGCCGCGCGTCCTGCCCGTCCAGCTCGAGCACCAGCTTGGGCCGCGCCAGCTCCCACGGGTGGTCGCGGTAGAAGTTCTGCCGCAGCTCGTCCTCCGGGTGCACGATGGCGGTCGGCCGGAACAGGTTGCGTGGCCGCTGCGCCGCCCGCCCGCGGTCTTTCGGCTCCGTGTGCTGGATCGGGTACGGCCGCGTGAGCACCTCGGCCGGCGGGATGTGCCGCACCGCCTTCACCCACATCGGCACCGGGTTGGGCTTGCCCTCGACGACTCGGCTGGCTAGGTTGGCTTGGGCCGTGTCGTGGACCCGCGCCGCGAGGAATTGGCGGCCTCGGGCCATTTTGTGGACTTGGACTTCGACTTCGGGTTCGGTTTCAAGGTGGGTGTTGTCGAAATCGGAGGGGGGGTTTCTCGACGGTTGATGTGCCCCGGCTGAAGTCGATTATGGCTCGTGAATCGTTCCTGATTGCACCATATGCAGGTCGGTTGACCTCTTCTTTCTCCCGTCCGTTGCCTCTTCTCCCAAGAGCTACGCCGTCGTTCGAAGTGACTTTCTCTCGATCGTTGATAGATGTGGAGCTCTACGGCTTCTTCCACTGCGCGGGTCCCAAAATTTCCAAGCAGCTTGAGCCGCGCTTAGTGGGGCACTGGTGTTGAACCCGGTCAAAATTTATCCCGCGAGTTCAATTGGGTGAACTCGACTTCCATTGACTCGAGCCTGAGAATGCCAAGTCGCGGGCACTGGCCCACCGAAACCGGGCCCCCTGTGTTCGGGGCCCTGTAGCAGCGATAAGCTCCCGCGCTTTTGACTTTTTCTCGCCGTATCAAAACGCGGCCCGAACCGACGACATCAACGCCCCCCTCCTCCCCCCCTCCAATTCCTCACTACCCCCGAACGGCGCAACTCGGCTGCAAAACCCGGGGGCGAGAGGCTGGGCTAACGGCAGGCCAACATGTTGGACGACAGCTCATGAGAGTCTCCAGCCGAATAGACGGGTCGATATGCGGCGCGATCCACTTCCTACATCGTCCGTCGCTGTCGTCGAACCGGTCTGCCGCCGCCACATCTCTTCCCGTCTTCACTCATAGCCCCGGTGGAGGGCCTGTGCAGGACTTCCATAGCGGCTATACCCCAAGACGAAGAAGCATCAGTACAGCGACTCCCCGGTCCAGATCTTCCCTACCACGACGTCGCCCGCTGTTGACCCTCCCCGCCCTCCGAGTCTCCCATACCCGCCTTGGTAGCCCTTCCAGGCCCTCCATACCCGTTTCCAGGGTGAACCATACCGCTGCTGCCGCCGAACCCCCTTCCGGCGTGGAATTCGACGACGACGAACCCCCACCGGAATTCCCCATTACCCCGCCACCCTCCCCCCAATCAAGGCCACGACGCAGCTTCTCCAAGAAGGAGTTGCTCGCCCTTGTCGGCCCCTACGATGGCGAAGAGATTGGCGCCGTTGATGACTATATCCAGTACCTACGCGACCCATACATGCGCGGCTATGCCCAGCCAGACACACAAAAGTTCACGTTTGCTCGCACCGCCGAGGACTTCGACTACCCAAGTCTCGAGCAGGTGACCGAGGCCGGCGAAGCGGAGCGAACAACCCTCTGGGAGCTCCGCTTCGCCGTGCTCAGCCGCCTCAGGAGTCCTCACAAGGCCGACCTGGACCACATTTACGAAATCTACCAGCGCCTTCCCGAGCCGCGCATGCTCTACATCCATGCCCGGTTCCGCCACCAGCTCCTGCGCACTCTCGGCCAACCCGACGAGCGGGACACGGGATCAATGCTGCGGTACTTCGAAGTCATTGCCGACGCCAAGAACACGGGTATTCCCCTGACGAGTGCCGAGTGGAACTGCGCCATTGCGTTTGCCAGCAAATACGTAGGCACCGTGACTGAAACCGAGGTCGAGGCGTCCCTCAAGCTTTGGCGCGAGATGGAGGTTGAGGCCGGCATCAAGGCCACCAACGTAACCTTCAATATTCTCTTCGACGTCGCCTGCAAGGCCGGCAATTTCGCCCTGGCCGAGATGATCTACCGCGAAATGGAATCGCGTGGTCACTTCTACAACCGCTACCATTACACCAGTCTGATCCACTTCTTCGGGCTCAAAAACGAGACTAGTGGCATGCGCGCCGCCTATCGAGAGATGGTCAACGCTGGCGAGATGATCGACACGGTCGTGCTCAACGCAATGATCGGGGGCTTTTTGCGGTCAGGCGAGGAAGGCCCTGCAGAACAGCTCTACGAGCACATGAAGGCAGCCACGCTGGGTAACGAGACTGACAGCATTAACAATAACCTCCCCGTGCGGACAACCCCATCCGACCGCGCCATCACCCAGGCCCTCGTCATGTTCGCCAAGATCGGCCGGCGCAAGCCCTCCTCCCGGACCGCCCTCCAGGGCATGACGCTCGTCTCGCCGGACCTGCAGACCTACCGCATCCTGGTCAACCACTACGGCGTCAAGCGCGGCGACCTGGCCAAGACGGCCGCCTTCATCGACGAGATGAAGTTCTTCAAGATCCCGCTGCACCACGCCATCTTCCTGGCCCTGTTCAAGGGCTTCGCCCACCACGGCGGCTACGACCGCTCCGCCTGGAGCGAGCGCCGCCTGACGGGCATCTGGAACGCCCTGCTCGACGCCGTCGACTCGGGCGCCGCGGGGTTCGAGATCAAGACCTGGCTGGCCGTGTGGGCGCTGCGCGCGTTCGCGCGCTGCTCGAGCAGGGAGAGGATGCTGGGGGTGTACGATGCGCTCAAGGCGCGCTGGACCCTGAACGAGACCGATGAGCAGTTCATGATTGATTTTTTGAGTAACCTTGCTAATAAATAGATGGGCGAGAGGCGGGGCATAGCCGGGTGGGTTGACACGACCGGCAGGGTTATATATATGGTGGCCTGGCTGACACGCATTGGGAATGACATCCGGGGTGGGGCAATTTGTATAATACTGCGAAAGTATCCTCGTATATGATGTACTATAGATGACAGCGAGGTAGATGGGCGCTGTCCCAATCGATCTGATGACATAAACCGTTGCTTGGACTGCACCTTTTCGGTTGGTTCATGGCAATCGCTTTGCCCACTCTACTCACACAACACATACGTTTGGCCCTGGAAACGACAAAACATGCCCTTCATAGCAGCAGGGTCAAGTCAACATAAAAGACAAAGGACATAATCGTACACTGGTATAGTCTATCTTAGCCCCTGGGGTGGCGATAGCGACCGAGCCTTCCAAACAACTGATAAACAGCCCCTTTTCCACCAGCCAGGGTTATCCTATCTTCAAGTACGCCGAAATCGTGAGAGACCTTCTGCCAACGCCTCGCTGAACGACCAAATAACCAAGCAGCCAACCCGTCTAAAAGAATGACCGACCCCAGAGAGGGAACAAGCGCCAACTCCCTTACACCAACGCGCCAAAACAACAAAAGAAAAAGAAAACAGAGAGCATAAAAAGAAAAGCTACCTGGGCGGCCCAGCTCTCAGCATGGTCTCCCAGTCCTGTTCAATCACGCTCCCACCGCTCACCCGATCCGCAGACTCCCCTCCCACTCCCACACCCCCTCTGGGCTGTCTCACGCCCACCACACCAGGCATGACCATCACGCTGTTCCTCCCCACCCCCTTGCCGCTGCTCCCTACCACCGCCTTATCCCCCCCAGCATTAGCATTACCCTCTCCCCTCAGAGCCGCCGCCGTCGCCGCCGCCGCAGCAGCCGCAGCAGCAGCCACATACTCCTCATTGACCTCCTCCACCACCTCGACACTAACCGTCTTGATAATCCCCCTTGGCCACGCCTCCAGGTCGATATCACTGCCCCCATCATCACTCCCATACCCCCCCATATCACCCCCTTCCCCCTCACTACTGCTATAATACCCCCCACCGCCACCCCTCCCCTCACCCAAATCATACTCCTCCACCACCACCCCGCGCCCATCACCCCGCAACCCAGGCCCCTCAATAATAAGATGCGTGCTCCTCTTCCTCTCAATATTCTCACCCGCTCCCCCTCCCAGCGGGCCCCCTTCCCGCCGAGCCGAACTCCCCCTCGAACTCCCCCTCGAACTCGCCCTTCCCGACTCCGCCGTATCAGGGCGCGTGATACTCCGCAGACTGCTCACACTCCCCCCACCCCCAGCACCACCGACACCACCACCACCACCCCTGCCTCTAGTCGAGTAGTTGGTGCCAGCGCTAGTCAAAACACGCTTGCCCGCCGATTTAGCGCTGTGGCGGGTGCCGGCTGACGATGCAGAGCCGTAGGGGTCGCGACGGCGTCGTTTGCGGGTGCTGCGACGGGTGGTGGTTGTGGAGGTTGTTGAGGTGGTGGTTAAGGCGGTGGTGGTGGGGGAGAAGAGGGCGCCGAGGGTGAGGAGGTTGGAGGAGGTTAGGGCGAGGTTTTGTTCGAGGCTAAGAAACAGGGGGGTGGGGGGTTAGTGGGTGTGGATTAGGAAGGGGGAACGGGGAGGGGGTGGTTACTTGGCCATGAGGGAGGCGTAGAAGAAGTGGATGGTGTAGAGGGTGGCGCCGGTGGTTTGGGAGGTTTGGGCGGTTCGGACGATGACGAAGATTCCGGAGCTGGGTGTGTTAGTTGAGGGGTTAGAGGGGGGTGGCTACCAAGGGCCACTTACACAAAACTCAGGGCCGCGGTGGTGTATAACGGCCAGGCAGGTTCACCGCCGCGGGCGATGTCGCGTATGATTAGCATCGGGAAGAGGGCGAGGAAGACCCATGAGAACACCGAGAAAGCTGGGACCATCAGCTATGTTTACAATGGTGGCCAGAAGTTGAAACCTACCGCCTTGCGCATAACCAAAATTAACCTGTATTTTCGGATCCGAGCAGCTGCCCGCCACGGACGGATTCCACGCTTTCTCCAACGGCTGGCACTGGAGGTAGACGACCAGCGCAAAGGCTAGGTTGATAGCGGCCATTAACACGATCAGGCCAGCCAGCAGAACCCGCCACTGTCGCGCCCTCCTTAGGAGATCCATAAAGAAGAAGCATATCGAGATCTTGCTGAGGGTGACGCTGACGAGATACCACGGTTGTCCGATCACATTAAACTGCAAGGCCCGTGACCCCTCCGGGGCAGTGCCCTCGAGAATGCCAAAGATGGTCGCGATTAGTGCTATTACCTGATGTGTGTTAGAGCCGTGGGTTCTTCCCTCTTACACTCATCCCGACTCACAGTTGCCACGCCGCTCGTATAATCGTCAACACCAAAACCGCCATGGATACCCCGCCGGACGTAGAAGCGAACAACGGTCGTGGCTAGGGCAAAGCTCGCCGTGGCGAGGGAGAAGGAGAGAAGGACCGGCCCTTGGGAGAGATCGGCTGCTGGTTCAGCCATGTTGGCAGAGGAGGACTAGAACATCTAGACTCGACAACCTCTCATCGTACCGGGTCACCTCGAAGAATGGAAGATGAATAAACTAGACAGGGGACAAGGAAGGGGTGCTTGTGGTGGGGCGGTCCCTCAGATCTTAAGGCTGGCCCGGCAAGGCGGGCGGCGGCTGGAGCGACGGCCTCGCCGACATTTACGGCTAAAGGGTGTGTTGGGCAGCCAGCATGGCTGATGAGAACGGGGTCCGAAACAACGGAGGAGTTCCTACCAAAGGTAAGGGAGTGTGGTTCCGGGGAAGCATGTGGCTTGCCTGGGCTTGTCCCGGATCCAGTCTGGGCTAGTCAGGGGGGTGTTACGGCAGACGCCGTGGGGGCACATCCAAGAATGCTTTGAACCATAGACCCGGACTACAGGAACCACCATCATGGAATTCACTTCATATTGATCAGCGCAGCGGGCACAACTAAACGGGCGACGGAGGAAATCCGGAATAGGCTAATGAGAAAACAAAGAAAGATGAAGGGCGATCATGATACGGATGTAGAAAAGTGGCCGTCTATGAGTGGTTCGCAAACCACCAACAACACACGCGAGAGAAGAGCCGTCGGCTCCGTGTAAATGCGGGTTTGATTATGCGGTTCGGCAACAGGGAAACAGCTGAAGGTTGTTGGTTGGTCAGAACTGCGGCGGTTTGTCATTGGAGACGGGCCGGCCGTGAAACGTGGTGCGATGGGCCGATCGCCCGAGTTAAAGCAAACAGAAGTCAAGGCGAGTGAAGGTGGGTTTCGAGGTGGGATTGGAGGAAGTCCCAGATGAGATGGCGGCCCAAAAAAAACCATGAACGAGAAAGCAGGGCCTGGTTGGTGCACGAGGAAGTGGCCAGCTGGAAGGCAGCCGAGGCCACAACGAATCACAGCAGGAAAGAGCCACAACCCGACCAGGCCTTTCGGAGTTGTCGCCGAGCAATGCATGAATTGCCCGGGCTGGTTCCTGCCATCTTGATGTTTGGAACTGTGTGATCGTCCCGATCGAAGCTACCTACATAAATCTCTGGCGTTGCACGGCTGCGGCTGCTGACTCGGCAGGCCCGACCCAACGCTCGCCCGATGTTTTGCCGGACGAGATCCCGTTCGCGTTCCCGGACCGGGGCGGCAAAGCCGCCGATGCTCACCATGCCTAGGGTAGGAGCAGAGCCGGGAACCTTTTATCAACTTTAGTTCAGGGAACTCTCAGAAGAGCGGATACGCCGAGCGATGCGGCCTGGGCCGTGTGTTGTTTGCGAAACTCGGGACGGGAAAGAACGGACGTTTCTCGGCGAGGCCACCGCGACACTCAGCAATACGGCGTACATACCAGTCTGAGGCCCCTGGATGAGACTTGCCTCATTTGCGTTGTAGTGTCCCTGTTTTGGATGTTATGTGCACTTGCTGCTTGCTGTAGGTACCTAAAGCGCTGACTCCTCGCCTTCTTTTTAGGACCCGGGCTCCCTACCTAATTTGGTCGGCCTGAGCCCGAGTCTGATGCTCTTGCGTTCTCAGGCTCTACACTACGATTTTGGGGAAGCCTCCCTCGAGTTCCGGGGTTTCCATCACTGGAAGGTACCTGCCCAATGCTTGCATTCTGACAACCCACCTGAACATTTTCAAGGTGAAATGGACTGTCCGCACCTTCTTGAGACCTCAAGTTCCGTTGGGTGCGTGGGACCCGACCACCCTTCCTGCCAGATTGGACTTCTGGGACAGAACGAGAAAAGAAGTGGCAAGCAAAGCCCGCGCGGTCGTCACGGTGTCCTAATCACGGCATCTGGTAGCTCTTGCACATTGTAGAGAATTTCTAGACGCTGCACGGACTGCTGGCATCGAACATAAAATGCCCCAAGTCCCTCCATTCCATTCTCTTCCTTTTCTTCTTCTTCAGAGGTAGCGCTCCGTGAGTGGCTCAAGCTGGCGATCAATGAGGAGAATTCCGAGGTCGTCGCTCTTGGTTGGGCCGAATACCCTTCCAAGAGACGTGTTGTATCTCGGGAGCCGCTTTGCGGACTCGGGAGACCGGGCTGATCCAGACTCAGTATTGTTTCCCAATTTTTGGAACTCCTCGATCTCGAATCGATTTTGCCTTTTTTTTCCATTGAGATTATGGGTTTACTCGTAACTCGAAGGAGAATATCCTAGCTCGCTCTGGCTTCTGCTTCTGCCTCTAGGCCTGATTGTCATATCCGGGGTTGGATTCTTGCTCGACTGTCGGGACGATTCCAATCGAGACCCGGCTCCCGCGACCGCACTATCCGCGTCTGGGACGTGCACACTGGACCTTCGCCTGCAAGCGCATTATCGGCCCGCCGGACGTCGTCAACGACAGCTCGATCTCCCTCCTCTACGACGAACACAACAACGCTGTCCACCACGACACGCTCCCCGGCATCGGCCCCACCCCCAAGCACCGGCGGCCTGCCGCGCACCCTAGGTGGGCGTTGAAAGCAGAAGTGTGTTACGCAGACGAGCGCTTGGAATCAGCGGATGGGAGCTCAGGAGTCAGGACCGGGCGGGGTTTCATTTGTGTAATTATCATGTATTCCTGGTAGCCACTCGCTGTCGTTTGACGGAGAAACGAACTTTTGCCTCGCTTTCATGCCCATGAACTGGGTTCTCAGCTCTCTCTAGTACAATAAAATGCAATCGCCGTCGGGGACTGATGTGGGGCGTGGGGGGTTCCGTTTTTATCGGAAATTTTGGAGATTTCGACGGGGGGGAAACCATCGATTTCCCTCTGCAACTCGATGATGATGATATCATGCAAGCAGTGGGTGCCCGATGTGAGGTGCCGCCAGGCTCGGCATGAAGGGGTGGGGCCAGCGAAGAGCACAGACACAGTCTGTCAAATATAAGCCGATACTCGGGGATGGCATGTTGTCCTCGGACAGAGCCGACAATTGGCCGTTTGGTCAAGTGGAAACATACGAGCACGGAGCGCCCTTGCTTTTTTGCTAGTTCTCGGGTTCGAACCACACCAAAGTCAACATTTTGTAAACCAAACAGCTCCCCAAACAATAATGATATGGATGGGAAGAGATAAAATAATCAACAAGGGGCTCTCTCTCTCTTTTTTTAAACGCTTTATGCTAGTATCGTCTTCACCCTATCCATGGCGTCGGGGCTGCACCCGTCTACTTTCCGTTAAGCACATGGAGTGCAAGACGGTCAATTCACTGCTTCGCTGGGCGTCCGTAGTAATACCCCAGTTCCTATAACCGCTGCAACCATGGCTTTACAGCTCTTGATTTTCCAAGAATTAATTGCTGTTTTGAGCAAAAGTTGCGTGGGCAGCACCAAGCCACCAACAACCTTGCACCCGACGAGTCTTGAGTGATTGTTACACAAGACGCATAATTATTTAAACGGCAGTCCTTATCTTGAAGATGCGCTGGTCCCTCGTAGACCGCATTATCCCATGTAAGGCTGGTTAGGGTTCGGACCGCTCAAGGTGTGGTTGGAGGGAACGAACCACACCTATGGTTAGCCGGAGGCCTTGAGCAGACACGGAACTTTTGTGGGCTACTCGTAAATGAAACGATCTCAGACGGCGCACGGCCCGAGCACAGAGAACGTCTGTACCAGCCAAGCCGGGACCCGCGCCTCCGTCGCTTATGTCTCCCTCACCACAACTTCCAGATCGAGCTTGACTGAGTTTTTAAGGTTCAGTTCAATGTTTTAGCGACAGGGCCCGCCAGATGTTGACAATAATAGTATTCTTGATCGGCAAACCCGCGTTGCATACAGGAACGGGTATTTGGGTAGCTTGTGTGCACCTGGCGATCACCACGTTCTCAAGTCTCAACTCTGGTATTTTATTTTTGGGAAGAAATCAGATCGCTAATGCAACCGTGATATACGTTTGACGGCTGAGTAGAATATCGATACATCCGAAAATAGATACCACTGGGAGGCCTGGCGGATGGCATGATCGTCACTTCAAGCAAGCTAGGTACGGTCGAGGAGCAAAAGAAACAAACCACTCCCAAGACGCTGTGAAGGACTTGATCATCACAACACACAGTCAGGTGGCTCCGATGATTTGGAGGTTAAGAAACACTCAATGCTCAGAGAGCGTTTGATCCATACATCGTAATGCTACACGACAGCCACCGAATTACACGACGAACCCCCGAAACCCCGGAAAACCGCCTACACCTTCGCCTGCGCCGCCTTCATCATGGGCAGCGTTGCCGTCATGGCAAAATCATGCGTCTTGTCCTTACTCCTCACCCTCTTCGCCTGCTCGGCCGTGAACCCCCGCGCCTCCACCGCCGGGTTATACCCCAGCTTGTTCACCTTCCCAACGACAGCCGAGTCCACGACCTTCGCCTCCTGCCCATCCGCCCGCCTGTACACCGTCACCACGGCCGCACCGCCCAGCCCCAGGTTGTGCTGCAGCGCGTACTTGGTGTGCGGCACGGCCCTGTTGTTGGCCCAGCCCCGGAGGTGCCACACCAGCTCGGCGCACTGCGCGATGCCCGTCGCGCCGAGCGGGTGGCCCTTGGAGATGAGCCCGCCACTCGGGTTAACCACAACCTTCCCACCATACGTGATCCCCCCAGCACGAACAAGCTCGTGCGCGCGGCCGGGCTCCGACAGGCCCAGCGCGTCGAGCAGGCACATCTCGTTGGCGCTGAAGCAGTCGTGCAGCTCGCAGACGGCAAAGTCGTCCGGCCGCACGCCGGCCTCGGCCATGGCGACCCCCGCGGCGCGCTGCGTCATCTCGCGGCCGACCAGGTCGATGGCGCTCTCGGAGAAGAGCGAGGGCGCGTCCGTGGCCATGCACTGGCCGGCGATGAGGACGGCCTGGTCGCGCAGGTGGGGGCGCGCGTCGAGGAAGGCCTGTGATACGAGCACGGCCGCCGCGCCGCCGTCCGACGTCGGGCAGCACTGCAGCTTGGTGAGCGGGTCGTGGATCTTGGTTGACGACATGACCTGCTCCAGCGTGTACACGTCTTGGAACTGCGAGTACGGGTTGTTGACGCTGTGCGCGTGGTTGATGCGCGCGATCTCGCCGAAGTCTTCGGGCTTGGCGCCGTATCTGGGGTTGGGTTAGTATGGGTGGCGTGGGTTGAGGTGGGGGTTAGGAAGGAGAGGTCTTGAAGAGGTAAGAAGAAGGGAGGCGACTGACTTCTCCATGTACTCGCGCCCGGCATTGCCAAACATCTGCGCGGCCCCGGGCGCCTTGGACAGGCCCCTCGTTGTCGCCATCATGGCGTAGGTTGTTCCCAGGGGCGACTCCCGGTCGTTGAAGAAGCTCTGCAGACTGCCGGGCATCATCTTCTCGAAGCCGACGACCAGCACGCAGTCGGCGGCGCCGGCGGAGATCATGTTGCGGCCCATGGCCAGACCCGTGGAGCCTGTGGAGCAGTTGTTGTTGACGTTGTAGATGGGGATCTGGGTCATGCCGAACTGGTAGAAGACGCGCTGTCCGCAGGTGGAGTCGCCGTAGCAGTAGCACGCGACGCCCTGCTCGACATCGTCGTATGAGATTTGGGCGTCTAACATGGCCTTGATGCCTGCCTCATAGCCGAGCTCCGTGTAGTCGACCTTGCCGCGAGGCTTGATGAACTTGGTCATGCCCACGCCGAGCACGTAGCACGGCTCTTTTTGTTTGGGTGCCATGGTGGTGGCTATGGTATCTCTAAGTTGATATGAGGAACTTTGAGTTATGATACAATGTAAATCGTATAAAGTTCAGATAATGGAGGTGAAGTGATGGAAGGAGTCTCGTCTTAAATCTCGGAGTCCGTCCCATGTGCTTTGTTAACCCCTGTCCCGGCGGGTTGCTCCCGAGCTCCCCCACAATGTACCCCAAGCTGCCCAGATGCGGGGATGCAGCGGATGTGCCGAGGCACGACAATCGCTTGCCACTGACCAAGACAACCCGAAAGACGATCCAAATCGTCATTTGCCCAGCCAACCCCGTCTTGATCGCATCCGAGGGGCAACTCGATTTGGGGTTAGATAAACATCGTTCACATGGAATTGGACCACAAAAATCTTGGAATTACCTAGACTTCTCGTTCTGAAGCGCCGGGACTGTGTTAGCCTCAAAATTGGAGCATGGCCATACGTGTATCGATCCAGGGAAGGTTTTTCGAGGAGATAAATTGCTAGCAGACTAATGATTGATGACCTGTAACTAGAACTGAAACAGTGAGATGCTTTTCGTGATGGAACTCGGCCGGCTGCCGGATCACCTCGGGGCTTGGCAGGTGTGGCCGGCCGCTGAGAGCTCCGCAAATCCGGGGTTTAGTGGAGTAACCGGCGCCCGGAAAGCCCGCACAGTACGGCCATCTCAGAGCTAGATGTCCATTGCACTTTCCATCTGATCCCCCGGGATGGATTTCACAAAATAATTTAGCGATAATCATGGCCAAACTCCACTAATTGCCATCCGCACATTCAACATGGAACTCAAGTAGGCCGGTATTAATTACGCAGTAGGGCATGTACATAATACAATAGGTACGAACACCATAGCAGCTCTCGCCTACTCCTGAATACCCCCCGGCGCTTCCGAGTTCACAGGGCCCTTCGCCTCGACCAACTCCAAATCCGCATCCTCGATATCCCACGTACCCAGAGTCTCAGCGTTGGCCTCCGAGCGCTTCACATACCACGGGACCCCTAGAGAACGTTAGTCGGACCATTCATATGTGGTAACCCTTGCCGGAAGGCTCGGAACGCAAAGGAAAGGAAGCAGAAAAGCAGTCTCAGCACTCCTCCTCTCTCCCCCAAGACCATCAACCCCTCCCCCGGAGCACGGAATAAACCCAACACCCCCAGCACAAACAAACACCCAAACAAACAAGCAAACAACCCCCCCAAAAAAGAAAGAAAAAAACTCACACTTCTCCACATCCCCCGGCGCGCTCGTCTCCCGCCTCGCGATCCACGCCCACTCCCCCCCGTCCCCACCACCCGCATAGCGCAGCAGCACGCGCCCCGCCTCGCCCGTGCGCGCCAGCTGCCACTCGGTGTACTTGAAGCCGGCGCCGGCGTCGTCCAGCCGGTACGTGTAGACCAGCCGGTACGCGTCGGGGACGCCCTCCAGGTCGCTCAGCCCGTAGTAGCCTGGTACGGGCGGCGGGTGGGGTTTGGTGGGGACGACGGTGAGGATGGCGGAGGGGGTGCAGGCGGTGGCGTTGGTGCTGAGGCGCATGAAGTCTGTTGTATGGGGTTAATACCAAGAGGTATGTATTCATTGGGGGAGAGGAAAGTCTGATTGACCTACGGTCTTGCGGGTTGTAGGGCGGCTGGGTCACGCCGGGCGAGTAAAAGTCGATCGAGTTGTTGGAGCGCAGGCGCTGGCCGTCGATGATGTCGTTGCCGCCGGCAAAGCGGAAGAAGTAGTCTGTCCGCTGCGCGGCCTGGGCCTGCACCGCGCCGAGGCAGAGGGTGGCGAACGATGTGAGCTTCATTTTGAAAGGTTTGCTTGGAATTACTGTCACTGAAAGTGCGTGTTGTATGTACAGAATGAGATGCTGACGTGAACGTGGGCGGGCTGTCAGATATTTATTTATATTATTTATATCTTTAATGTAGCGGTAGGAAGATCCTCCAGCTTATACCTTGCGGCGTCACTGTGCCCTTGGCAGTTGATGTCACACGAAGCCAAGAACCCTGAAGCTGGTTGTGGCTTGCAGTTGCTCGATGCTGATAGGAGCTGGTTCTCAGCCGACTGCCCGATGACCTCGTATTCAACCTGGCCTATAAAACCCTGTTGGGCCTGCCAACGCGCCATTTCACTTCAATGTGCCGTTGCTTTGTCTTCCGTCCGAGCCTTTCTGCATTTGTGTGGGATCAGCGATATCAGTGGTATCCAATCGTATTTCCAGAGCCTCTCGTCACCGCCACGACTGCTGTCTGGATATTCGGCACACAGAATCGTCAGTCCTTTGTTCATGGGCCTGATACGATATCCATCCCACACACAACAAATGACACCTTATCAACGCCACATCACGTTCCCAAGCCCATCACCCACCCCCCAACAACTTCACTTCGGGAAATGCAAACACTTGGTGTAGGCATACGAGAGCAAGCCCTGCTTGCCCATCTCGCCACCGAACCCGCTGTCCTTGATGCCCGAGAAGTAGGCCCCAAAGTTGGGCCTCTCAAACTGGTTGATCCAGACGCCACCCGCCTCAAGCCGGCGCGCGATGCGCTCAGCCCGCGCCAAATCCGATGAGTAGACTGATGCGCCGAGACCGGCGTTGGCGAGGTTAGACCGCTTGATGACATCGTCTTCATCGGACCAGGAGAGGATGGGTAGGACGGGCCCTAACTCGTGTGAGCACGGGAAGGACCGGGATATGAGAGAGGGGAAACTCACCGAATTGCTCCTCCTGCACCAGCAACGACTCCTCTGGCGGCCTGGACACGATTGTCGGTGACAACCAGAACCCCTTCTTGTCCTTAACCTCCTCCGTCTTGCCACCCGTAACAATTTTATACCCCTTGCTCCTACAGTCCTCGATAATGCCCTTCACCACCTCGTACTGCACGCGGTTATCCACCGGCCCAAACACACTGGGCGCAAACCCGTCCTCCTGAATCCCAAACCGCGCCTCCACTTCTTGTACCAACCTGTCCAGAAACTTGTCATAGATACTCTCATGCACATAGATCCGCTTGCTCGCAACACACACCTGGCCGGCGTTGAAGAAGCCGCCACTAGCCACAGCCGGCACGGCGACATCCAGGTCCGCATCGTCGCACACGACGCAGGCATCATTGCCCGCCAGCTCGAGAGTAACCTTCTTCAAGGTCTTGGCGCAAGCGGCCATGACCTTCTTGCCGACGGCAATAGTCCCAGTAAAGCTAATCTTGGCGATGCCCGGGTGGGCGGTCATGGCGGCGCCGAGGTCGGCGCCGCCGTTGAGGACCTGGAAGACGCCGGGGGGGAGCACGCCGCGGCTGAGCTCGGCCCAGCGCATGACGGCGTAGGGCGTGCTAGGCGACGGCTTGACGATGACGCAGTTGCCCGTCACCAGCGACGACACCACCTTGATGTTGGACAGGATCAGCGGGAAGTTCCACGGGCAGATGGCCGCCACCGTGCCGAGCGGGATGTGCGTCGCCACGACGCGCGAGTGCGCGTCCTCGTGCTGGACTTCGTCTGAGAGTGCGTTTTCGGAGTAGTATAGGCACTGCGCCACGCTGGCCTGCACGTCGATGTCGGCGAGGATCTTGGATTTGCCGGTTTCCTTCATGAGGATGCCGGCGAGATCGTCGGCGTTGTCGCGGAGTACGTCGGCTAGCTTGACGAGGAGCGCCTGCCGCTCGGGGACCGTCGTCTGAGACCAGCTCGTGAAGGCTCGCTGGGCCGCCGCGACGGCATCTTCAAAGTCCTCGGCCGTCGCGACTGGGCATTCCCACAGCTCCTCTTCCGTCCGCGGGTCGACTACCCGGTGCGTCTCCTTGCTGCCTCGCAGCTCGTCGTTGACGATGTTATGGAACTGGGGTTGCATTCTAAGGCGTGCTAGGGTTTTGGTTTTGGTGTTCAAAGATATAGATTTTACTCCCGTCACAGTAAGAAGGGAGAAAGGGGGATTGGCGGCTGTTAAAAGATCATAGACGTTTCATGCCAATTTATATACTGGCCTTCTTCAAGCGGCACCCGGATGAGAACATTCCCGGCGGCCGGGCGTTTATTAAACATCCGGAGTACATTTTCCCAGGGGTTGCAACACCAAGAGCCGTTGGGTGCGGAGAAGGAGGGGCCATTTCTCGGTTGATATGCCGCTTGACAGGCTCGGGCAAGGAATAAACCGCCCATCCGTGGGTACGGCACCTGAGACTAGTATGGTCCCATCATGCTGTTTTGGCAGCTAGTCCGGAAAGAAAATAACTAAGGCTTGATGTTGCTGAAGACATCGGACCCAAGCGACTATTATCGTTTATCAGCACTGATCATTACGACTCTGAATCGAGACATCATCTGGCTCGCCTCATCGCTTTCAAGAGAGAAACAATCTAGCCCAAGCCCCTTGATTGCCGCCAGCGCGCGAGGGTTAGAGCGGAGATCGTGGAGTCGTGGTGTGGCAGATTACGGAGTTGTCGAGCACCCTGTCAATGCAACATCTGCGACATCGGGCGAGCCCACCCTTTCATCTCGATGGAATTCAACGGTGTGGTGTATTTCTTTTCTTGAAATTATTTATTTTTATTTTTTGAGCGAGAGAAAGAGAGACAAGGCGAGCAGGTGGAAGCAAGAAGAACCCCAACGAGGAGGGTGTTTGGTAGGGTTAGGGTATGGAGTTCCCCGACAAGGCCTCTTTTCCAACGGCAGCTGGCGCGTGACGGAGCCGGCCGAAGCCAATCAACGCCGGGCCTTGGTCAGCGGGCGCGCCCGCAAACAACCCCACCATGCTGATAAGCTCTCCTCTTGAGCTTGGTGACCAGCAACCCTCATTCGCTCCTGCCTGGTTTCTTTCACGATCGCAATTGGAAAAATTGAGAGAAAAACAGGAGTCTAGCCTGCATCCCGGTGCTACCCCAAAACGTCCTCGTTCCCGGTATGCGCGGAGTGGAGGTGGTGCGGGGATCCTGGTCATCTGGTGGGCAGCTCTTGGGATGAGATCAACTGCATTGTACTCAATATAATAAGGAAGGTGGCGTCCTATTCCCGAGACTTGCCACTCGGCCTTTTCATATCTTTAACTACCTACTTAATTTCACTACACCGTGATTTTGTTCCTCGCCTCGCTAGATAGGGCACGCTGCGAGCAATATCAACACCGGCACAAGCCCCTCCTACCAACCGCTGCCGTTGACATTAGGTGCTTTATTAGGTAGTCCTCCTTGAGCCAGCTACAATACCCCGAGTTCCTTAAACCCTTCAACGAACAACGACATATTCACCCAAAAAACATCATCAACCCACGGGTTGAGTTCATCCTGGGAGCGACGTTGACCATGACTCCTTCCGCTGTCCCCCCGGAGCCCGCCAAGGTGCCGTCCGCGGCACTCACCACTACCTTCGACGACACTCTTCGTTTCTACCTTAATGGCACCCGCGTTGTACTCGATGAGGTCGATCCAGAAGTTACATTGCTTGAGTACCTCCGCGGTATCGGTTTAACAGGGACCAAGCTGTACGTTCATATCTTCCAACTACTTCCTTTATCTTGCCTCATGAAACTGACAATACTCGCCACAGCGGTTGTAGCGAAGGCGGCTGCGGTGCCTGCACAGTCGTCGTTTCTCAGTATAACCCGACAACGAAGCAAATATATCACGCTAGCGTCAACGCCTGCCTTGCGCCCCTCGCCTCGGTCGACGGGAAACATGTCATTACCGTGGAGGGCATCGGGAACGTCAAGCGGCCCCACCCGGCCCAGGAGCGTGTGGCAAAGAGCAACGGCTCACAATGCGGCTTCTGCACCCCGGGCATCGTCATGAGCTTGTATGCTCTCCTGAGGAACAACGAGGCACCGACCGAGCACGATATCGAGGAGGCCTTTGACGGGAACCTGTGTCGCTGCACGGGATATCGGCCCATTTTGGATGCTGCACAGACGTTTAGCGTACGGAGGGAGACAAGTGCGGCTAACGGATGCGGGAATGCGAAGGCGAATGGGGGGAGTGGGTGTTGTATGGAGAACGGCGATGCCGGCGGGTGTTGCAAGGATGGGAAGGTGGACGGCGTCGACGACCAGCCGATCAAGAGGTTCACACCGCCAGGGTTCATCGAATACAAACCGGACACCGAGCTCATCTTTCCACCGGCACTGAAGAAGCACGCGTTCAAGCCGCTGGCTTTCGGCAACAAGCGCAAGAAGTGGCTCCGCCCTGTGACGCTACATCAGCTGCTCGAGATCAAGAAGGAGTATCCGGATGCGAAGATAATAGGCGGGAGCACAGAGACGCAGATCGAGATCAAGTTCAAGGCACTTCAGTACCCGATCTCGGTATTTGTTGGGGACATACCTGAACTAAGGCAGTACTCCCTGAACGAAGACCATCTGGAGATTGGAGGCAACATCACGCTTACCGACCTGGAAGGTGTCTGCCAGGAGGCCTTGAAGCACTATGGGGAGGCCCGGGGCCAAATCTTTACCGCCATCTACAAGCAGCTCAAGTACTTCGCGGGGAGGCAGATCAGGAACGTCGGCACACCGGCTGGAAACCTGGTTACGGCGTCTCCCATCTCGGATTTGAACCCAGTCTTCATGGCCGCAAACGCGACTTTGGCTGCGAAGACTCTGGACAAGGATATCGAAATACCCATGTCGGAATTCTTCCAGGGCTATCGCCGGACAGCGCTACCAGCCGATGCAGTTCTCGCGACGATCCGTGTTCCTCTCACACACGAGAAGAACGAGTTCTTCCGAGCCTACAAGCAAGCGAAGCGGAAGGATGATGACATTGCAATCGTCACCTCTGCCTTGAAGCTTCGGTTGAGTGATGATGGGATCATCGAGGAAGCGAACTTCGTCTACGGTGGCATGGCTCCGACAACAGTGGCAGCGAAACACGCAAATGGGTTTTTGGTAGGGAAGAAATTCGCTGAATTGGAGACCCTTGAAGGGGCTATGAACGCCCTGGGACAGGACTTTGACCTCCAGTTCGGCGTACCCGGCGGCATGGCCTCGTACAGAAAGTCATTGGCGCTGGGCTTCTTCTACCGGTTTTACCACGAGGTTATGCAATCAATCGGCAGAAATGCTGATGCGGAAGCGGTTTCGGAACTCGAAAGGGATATCTCCAGCGGCAAAGAGGACCATACGGCGGCCGAAGCGTACATGCAGGAGACGCTCGGGAAGTCCAACCCGCATGTGGCGGCCTTGAAGCAAGTCACTGGTGAGGCGCAATACACGGATGACATCCCGCCCATGAAGAACGAGCTACACGGCTGCCTGGTGCTATCGACGAAGGCACACGCAAAGCTCAAGTCGGTCGATCACACTCAGGCGCTTGACATTCCTGGTGTGGTAGACTACGTCGACAAGACGGATATGCCGAGCGCCCGGGCGAACCGCTGGGGTGCGCCGCATTTCCAAGAGACCTTCTTTGCCGAGGATGAAGTCTACACGGCCGGGCAACCGATCGGGTTGATTCTGGCGACTTCGGCAGCTCGGGCGGCCGAGGGTGCTCGCGCCGTCAAGGTCGAGTATGAGGAGTTGCCGGCCGTCTTCACCATTGAGGAGGCCATCGAGAAGGAGAGCTTCTTCGAGTTCTTCAGGGAGCTCAAGAAGGGTGACTCGGAGGGAGCGTTCAAGAACTGCGATCATGTCTTCACCGGTACTACCCGAATGGGTGGACAGGAGCATTTCTACTTGGAGACGAATGCCTGTGTTGCGATCCCGAAGCCCGAGGACGGTGAGATGGAGATTTGGTCCAGCAGCCAGAATCCTAACGAAGCGTGAGTGTCAATCTCGAGCCATATTGAACTTTCTGCTAACCCCCTTTAGCCAAGCGTATGCCTCACAGGTCTGCAACGTCCAGAGCAACAAGGTTGTCGTCAAGGTCAAGCGCATGGGTGGTGGTTTCGGCGGCAAAGAGTCTCGCTCAGTCCAACTCAGCTCGATCCTCGCGTTGGCGGCACAGAAAACGCGCAGGCCGGTCCGTTGCATGCTCACTCGCGAGGAGGACATGGTAACCACTGGTCAGCGACACCCCTTCTTAGGACGATGGAAGTTGGGCGTGAACAAGGACGGTAAGATTCAGGCGCTCGACCTTGACATATTCAACAACGCCGGCTGGAGTTGGGATCTCAGCGCCGCCGTGTGCGAGCGCGCCATGACGCACTCGGATGGCTGTTACATGATCCCCAATGTCCACATTCGCGGTCGCATTTGCAAGACGAATACCATGTCGAACACGGCATTCCGCGGATTCGGTGGTCCCCAGGGCATGTTCATCGCCGAGTCCTACATGTCCGAGGCGGCTGACCGCCTGGGTATTCCCGTGGAGAAACTCCGCGAGATCAACATGTACAAGCCGGGGGAGGTCACTCACTTCAACCAACCCATTACCGACTGGCATGTACCCCTGATGTACCAACAGGTTCAGGATGAAGCCGACTATGCGAACCGCCGCGAGGCCATCACCAAGTTTAATGCCGAGCACAAGTGGCGCAAGCGCGGGCTGGATATAATCCCAACCAAATTCGGCATCTCATTCACAGCCCTCTGGTTCAACCAAGCCGGTGCGCTCGTCCACATCTACCACGACGGTTCCGTCCTTGTCGCACACGGCGGCACAGAAATGGGTCAGGGGCTGCACACAAAAATGACCATGATCGCCGCGCAAGCCCTCAACGTCCCGATGGAGGACGTCTACATCTCTGAAACTGCCACCAACACCGTCGCCAACGCGTCGGCCACTGCCGCCTCGGCCTCCTCCGACTTGAACGGCTACGCTATTCACAACGCCTGTGAACAACTCAACGAGCGTTTAGCCCCTTATCGCGCCAAGCTCGGCCCCTCCGCAACCCTCAAAGAGGTCGCCCACGCCGCCTACTTCGACCGCGTCAACCTCTCAGCCCAGGGTTTCTACAAGACACCCGAGATCGGCTACGTATGGGGCGAGAACAAAGGCAAGATGTTCTACTACTTCACGCAGGGCGTGACCGCCGCCGAGGTCGAGATCGACACCCTCACGGGCTCCTGGACCTGCCTGCGGGCCGACATCAAGATGGACGTCGGCCGCTCCATCAACCCGGCCATCGACTACGGCCAGATCCAGGGCGCCTTCGTCCAGGGCATGGGCCTCTTCACCATGGAAGAGTCCCTCTGGCTGCGCAACGGACCCCTGAAAGGGAACCTCTTCACCCGCGGGCCCGGCGCCTACAAGATCCCCTCCTTCCGCGACATCCCCCAGGTCTGGAACGTCAGCCTGCTCAAGGACGTCGAGTGGCAGGAGCTGCGCACCATCCAGCGCAGCCGCGGCGTCGGCGAGCCGCCGCTGTTCATGGGCAGCGCCGTGTTCTTTGCGATACGGGACGCGCTCAAGGCGGCGAGGGCGCAGTACGGGGTGGAGGCGGCGTTGGGGGTGGATTCCAAGGGGGATGACGGGGATGGGCTGCTCCGGCTGGAGAGCCCGGCGACGCCGGAGAGGATCAGGCTGGCGTGTGTCGATCCGATTGTTGAGAGGGCTCGGGTTAAGGCGAAGGAGGGGGAGAGGAGTTTCTTTATTGCTATTTAGGCTTGGGGCGGCGGTGTGGTTTGGTATGCGGTTGGGTAGCAGGGAATTATTTTGGCGAGAATGTCAAGTTTGCTGCTTGGATGGCATGTCATTCGGTGGTTGGGTATCTCATTAGTTTGATCCCGCAATGTCAAACATGATCGTTCCTTTTCAGGGTGAACGCCGAAATGGTCTTTACTTCGGCGTTGACAACGATCACTCTCCCGTCTGAGCTTAAGATTGAAGCTATATATTCTTAATCGCCATTGCCTGCGTGATATGGCCAGAAAGCGACGGCCCATGACCATAATGTGTAGCATCTCCGCTATATGTTCCAACAGCAACTTATCCCGATCCACCATCAAAGCTCAGTCGTAGATACTTGTTCTGCAAGATCTCCTCCAGCTGCTTATCGTCACAATAGTGAGCAAGGTTGATCGCCTTAGTCGCCCACTCTTTGGCGCGGTCAGACTCATGGGCACTGTAGCAGTCGATGGCGTGGTTGAAGGAGGTCGTCGCCATCCACTCGAGTTCTTCCTCGGGCCATTTTGCGTGGCTCTATCGGAACGGTTAGTAAAACACAGTTTACGTCGGAAACAGACCTGCTAACGGGCTGGAGAGAAGCAGATACAACTTACCTCGCGCAACTCTCTCGCCTTGTCGCATGCTTCGTCTAGCAACCGCATCGCTAGGGTATCGTCCAATGGCAGGGTGGCCTGGAATAGGCAACGCGTGTACTTGGCCAACTTGACGGCGTCGAAGTTCTCAAGCTCCCAGATCTCGTTGACTATTTTGCGCATGGTCGAGTACAGAGCTTGGTGTGATTAATTGTTAGAGAGGGGGGGACACGGTAAGTGAAATGGAAAGGGGTCATACCTTGCCCTGGAGCTTGCGCTCTTAGCAAACTGTCTGCCATCGCCTGGAGCGCCGTGATATTCCTACAGGGTACTGTTCTTTGGATAACGCTGCTCAAGTCGTCCCATTGCTTCAGAGCAATGGCTGCCTCGAAGTCAAAGGCTAGTAGTGTTGCATGTTTCCGGAGCATGTCATCCTTTGACTGCTCATCTGACTGAGGTAAGTACTCGGGAAGCTCGGTGTCAAACGCGGTGACGTGTTTCCGTAAAGTGGCATAATCATCCTGTTGTTTGTCGATATTGTCCTGTGTCCGCGCCAGCGAGACCAACGCAGATGAGATAACGAAGTGGGAAAAGAGTGTTTTCAGGGACAACTCGACTTTGGAACTGATATCCGAGGGGAAGTGGTTGATGATGCCGATGCATGCGCTGAGCATTCTCACTACGGAGCGGAGTTCCCAGTACGCAGTGTTCTTTAAGGCGAGGTTGTAGGCGTTTCTGCTGAACCACTCGAGCTCATCGACGGTGAACAACTTTCGTTCCGAGGAACTGTCTTCTTTTTGCCGCTCAAGTGCTAGGGCGACTACCCTTATTAGCAACCGCCAGAGACGGGGCGGAAAAGACTTACTGACCATCATCAAATTCTTGACATAAATCATTCACGATGGCATTCATATCCACTCCCGGTCGCTCTGCTAGCAAGTTCAGTAAACGAATGGTGCACCGGAAGAGAGCCGGAAGGTGTATTGAACTCGGCTCCTTGTACTCGTATTTTTCCTGGAGCTTCTTTAGAGCGGCAATAGCGCACAATATGTCGCCGGCCTTCTGGGATTCCGCTATGCAGGCGCCGAGATAGTCGACATGGTCTGGTGCCTGGCCGATAGTTTCGAGACACTTTTCGGCAAGAGCGCGGTCTTCAGCTCGGATTGCCACTTTGAACGCGAGGTAGGCTGTCATGGGCTCTTTCCAACTTTGCGAGGACATTTTGTGAATGATGGAGGTAGCAGAATCTAATCTGTTTCTTGCCAGGGCGCACATGAGAAGCTTCCTTGCCGCTGTCAGTCTCTCATTCAATAGCCTACCATGGATTAGCGTACCTCTCCAGCTTAGACACGTTACCGGAGCCACAGTGTTGGAAGATAACGTGCAGCGATAGCTGGCACCAGCTCTCCGCCAGGTCATATTGACCCTGGCTGTAACTCGATTCCAGTTTCTTCCAGAGCAACTACACAACGTCAGCTCAGCGTTAGGAGAGTGCCCCGGTCTGCCTACCGCCTGCGCCGCCACGGCCGCTTCTGCACTCAGGGGGTTCGCCAGACACTTCAGTACGCCCTGTACAGCGTTAATTGCCTCGACCGAGTCTCGCTGGTTCGTGATCATCCACATGCGCGTTACTACTGCCTTTTCTACCCACCCATCGTTTTCCGCGCTGCCCAGGGCTACGATGAAGTCGTCGAGCACGGCACATCCAGCGCCAGGACTCTTGTCATGCAGTTTCCGAATATGATGCATGATCAACTTGAACCCTGAATCGGAGAAGGAGAAGTTCCGTATAATATGTCGCAGAACATCGCCGTAGGCGTCACTGTCAAAGACCTCGGTAGGCGTTTTCTGAAGTAGCTCGAGCTTGAGTAGCGAAACAACAAATTTATTGCCGGCTTCCGCCTCGATAAATTCGACGTAGCTTCTCGCTTTATCCAGTCCCTCTGGTGTGCCGGCGCCGAGAAGTGCAGTCACCAGCGCCTGGAGGATTGCCAGTCGTAGCTCGATGCCTTCGCGGGATAATTGTTCCAGTTCCTGGCCGTTGACTATGTCGTTGGCCCGCTCGAACCACTTGACCGCGATCGCAAAGTCGGCGCGGGCGGCGACTGATTTCCCGATCTCGTACAACACGTCCGCGAGTCGCTCGGTATACTCGGGTGTAAGGAATCGGCGAAGGAGTTCGGCCTTTGTGTACATGTGCTCAGCAACATCGAGTCGGTTTTCTACCCAGCACTGAAGCTGTTAGCGTAGTCTCTCAACCCATCTTTGGGCTGCTTACCATTGCCGTTCTCATAATGAAGTACTCCACCTCCAAACATTGGCACTCTCTCACTTCTTCCTCGGGAAGGTCTTTGGACATGTTTTGCAGCCACCCCTTGTAGTCCGTCGTGGTCTGGACCGCCTTGCCGGCCAACTCGACTTCCCCAGCATCTGCTCATGTTAGGAACCTCCTTTTTCAGCGCGGGCTTTCGACTTACCAACACAATCCCTCACAACCTTCAGCCCCAATTTCATCAACCTCACCACCACACCCACCCGCCCATTCTCCCTCGGCCTGGCCACGCCCAGCAGATGAAACGCAAGCACCCTCCCATACAGGTACAGCCTCCCCAACCTCCCAATCTTTGACCCCTTCCCACCACCACTCCCCGACCCATCCCCTTTCTGGTCACTCCCACCCCCTTCTTCTCCCACCCCCCCACCCCCCTTTTCTCTCCCCCCATCCTCACCCCCTTTTTCTCGCTGCCCACCCCTTACGCCGCCACCCTTCTCTAACCCCTCCCTGCACCCCCTCCACAGCCTAGTGCACACATTCCACAGCCCCGTCGCGAGCTCGTCCACCTCGGGGTCGCCGCTCACGCCCGGCACATAGGCCTGCTGCTGCTGCTGCTGCTGCTGCTGCTGGCAGACATGCAGGTGGGCGACATGCTTGGCGATGTCAGCGACGAGCGACTCGGTGAGGGGCGTGTCGGAGGGGTCTGGGCTTGCGAGGAGCTTGCGGAGGCGGGTTGCGCATTCTGGGGTTGGTGAAGGGGGGGTGGTTAGTTTATTCGTGTTTGGTTGGAGGGTGGGGGGGTTGGATATAGCTGGGGCGGGGGGCGGGGGGTTTGGAGGGAGCGATATTGCGAGGTGGTGCAGAGTTGGGTAGGGGCATGGGCTGAGAGGAGGCGGTTGGGGGGCGGTGAAGGACGAAACGGGGCGAGGACCGGAAAGGGGCAAAGACAGGGAGCCCGAGTAGTTGTGATTACCACCGCAGGCTTTGAAAGGAGAAAAGTGGTTGGAGGGATTAACATACCGATTGCTGCTTCGATTCGCCTTTCGGATTTGTTGGTTGATTGAGACGAGGCCTGTCTGGGTGTTCGTGTAGGAGGCATCACGAGTTGGTCGTTGTGTCCCGATAGTGTAGTTAGGTTTTGTGGCATTGGGAATCGAAAACAAGCAGAGAATTTGGGGGTGTTTTGAATGTAGTCCGTATAAATTAGTAGACAAAATGTAGAAGAAAGAAGAAAATTGCAGCAAGTGGTGAATTTCTGCCTGGATATCTTGACAAGCTCCTAAAGGAAGGCGCGATGACAGCACCTCCCTCCACCGGCATATTTCAAATGGCCTCGCAGCCATCTCTCTTGTTTGGATAGGTATATTCTCCGATCCATGAATGCAACCCATCCTTTTCTTTGTGTTCCAGGTATGAAAATCCAGTATCCTCCAATACACCGATGACCCCTAAAGAAATGTACAGATATATGTACCAAACCAGCCCCAAGATTGAGTGGCGGCAACTGTGGTTTTGTGTTGCATTTCAGGACCCGGAAAAACGTCTAGGGCCCTGTCGAATTGTGCAGGTATATAAATTTGTTTGTGAAAGTCGGGTATCGTTATAGATCGGGGTCGGGATCGTGGGGAAGGAAATTCCCGATAATTAGGCTCGGGCTGCGTCGGTTAGCAAATGAGTGATCGATAAGACAGGGAATACCGACATTTTGTGATCATCTCTGCGGATCCTAAATGAGAAACAGCAGTTGATGACGGGTTTCGTTGTATCAGTGGGGCTCTGGAGCGAGCAGGCTGTAAGGAGCGTATCGTGGGCCGCGTCGAATGCGATGGTGCCAAACTCCTCCCAATACCTGACGTTCGACTCTTCCGTTAATATCTGATGAAGGGCAATTTTCCCCTGGCGGTTGGTTAGCTGGGATACGTCACACTCTGCGGCGTGGCTGGACTCACTCCTCGTAGGTCCTCGACTGGTACCCCGACAAGCTCGGCCATCTCCTTGTTACCCCTGAAGATCTCCCCCGTCCGCCTCCAACAACACGCTGGGACGGCCATGCTGGCGAACACACGGTCGTAATCCATGAGCGTCCGCTCGAACCACATTTCAACCAGCACTAAATCCATATCGGTCAAGTCCTTGATCTTCTCCCGGAACTTGGGTCGGAAGCGATCGAGTTGTCTAAGGATCTTTTGCTTCGAAGACGCGGAAACATGGCCCTCGAGGTAGCTCCCAAGGCGAGTATACCCCTTGATGTAGTTGAACGGTTTCAGCAGTCCCGCCTCGTACTTGGCCTGCAGAACCTTGCGCATGCGCTCTTCTGGCGCGTTGCCCGACGGGTCTGCCGCTTGGAGGTAGTATGCGCGGGTCTTGTCCGCCGGGAGGGCGCTGTCGGGCCTGGATATCCCCTTGCCCTTCTCAGCGTTAGGCGCGGGCGCGGAGCTCCCCTGGACGGCACTCGGGGGGAGCATGGCGGTGCTGCTGGGAAACGCCGAGCCCGCATCGGGCTGGCTCTGGTCATCGCCCAAGAGCGCCGTGGCATCGAGCAGGCTGGTCTGCAAAAAGTCATTCAAGAGGTTGAACTCATTGGTCACCTCGGGCGCAATCACAGAGTTGGAGTGGAAGTTGTGCATGTCGTGGTAAGGGTTCTGAGAAGCCATCCAGGCATCAGAAAAGCCGGGAACTGCGAAACAGTAAGCTTCAGCTCCTGCGGGCCTCAGACACGGACGGTGCCCTAAAGGGAGGATCCCAGCCACCTACACTGACTCATGGCGCCCAGGGCGCTGCCTGCTATGCCGCCGGACACGGGCGTGGGTTGCACGAGCTGGAGCGGCGTATTGCTCCGGTTCGCTAGCGTCGTGGCATCAAAGGTGGCCTTCGCGGCCTGTCCCGGCCCGTTGCCCATGGCCGAGTCGAACGAGGGTGGTTTCATGGCGCCGGCATTCTGGTTGATGGAGCTGCTAGGCCCCGGATCGGGTTGTGGTGCAGGGTCCGGTACGGTGGATGGGGCCAGGCTCTTTGACTTTCTAGTCTCTTGATCACGCGGCTCGTCATGACACAGGTGCCCAATGTTGCGCTTGATGCATCTTGTACACGGCCTCTCCTGTTCACAGCACACGATGCGGGTCAATGTCTGCTCTCGAGACCGGACCAATGATGGAGGATACGGAATAGGGGAGGGCAACATACGAGATCACACGTCATGTGCTAAGCAGCAGGACATGGTTAGCCACTAGAACGACTCGACTTGTGCACCTTGTTGCCGTATCCGGCGGGGTGGATGCCCGTGTGCCGCTGCAGGATGCATTCCGCGGTGGCAGCTCCGACCGCGACACCCGCCGAAGGGGGAGGGGGGCCAATCGGTAGACAGGGGTTGTGTGTACGCCTGGCGCATTGGGATCAGTGACTTACAGATCGGCGGCAGTAGAGGCAAGCTGCGAAGAAGGAGCGGGCACAATTAGCGCATGGGACACGCAGGAGGGAGAGAGGCGACACAGCGCGCCACCAACTCACCATGATTCACTTTGCGCCGCTTCTTGGGGGTCCTGTGCGCGCTGTCGGCAGGAGGTGCACGCTGATCGTGGGGCTGGGCTTCGTCCTCGGACCTGGAGGAGGTTCTGACCTCGCTCCCGGTCGCCCTCTCCATGGCTTCGGTTGCCGTCATTGTCTAGTGAACGCAGCTCCCATTGGGTCTCGGGGTTACGCAACGGGCGTCGAGTTCGCAGCTCATTTGAGCAGGGCCGACGGGTCCTCGCAGGTATTGGTGACGGTTCGATGGCTGTTCCGACGTAGCGGCTGCTGTTCTGGTGTTTCCCGGAGATGCCTGGTGCTGCTGCCGGCGCTGTGTGTCCCAGCACCTAACCACTGCTCCTATGCTGTCCCTCGGTCCCTTGCTGCACCTTGCTGTCTCGACTTGCTCGTGACGGTTGAGGGCGGGTGTGGTCGGCTCGAGTTGCCGCGAGAGCTGTGGCGTGTTTCTGCGGTGCCTATTGTATCCGTATGGTTATAAAAAGCATGGCGATGTGGAATTGGTAGCATTCCGTGGGCTGTCAAGGCGCGGGCGTTGCAGTCGGGCGGCAGTTTCCTGGCTCAAGTCGAGAAGCCGGAAATCGCTCTCCACCGGGCTGCTCAGCAATCCGTGGACCTTTGTGGGCGCAGCGGGTCGGGCTACCGGGGTGGCTTTTTGGCTTGCCGGGCGGGGCGAATTCCATCCAAACCGAGGGGCAACTTTTTGGCGCTAACTGCCTCACAGGGTTGGGTGTGTGGGACCCAAGCGGCATGGGAGTTCATGGGCTTGCTCGATTGGCTCAGATTTGTTCTTTCCAATTCTGTCCCTTGATCTCAACTTTGACTCCGTCGGCTTCTGGGTCCATTCTCCTCTTGAATTATAGTCCAGCAGCACTCAAAGAATGCAATCCATCTCTGAGATGGCTTCACGCGTCATTCGGATTCCCGGCGCAACTCAATGTCCTGTCATCGTCAGCACGCAGCGCCCAGTCTGTCATCATGCGAGTTCTTTCCATTTTCGGTTGGCTTCCTTCGACCCGAGCCAGCGAGGCGTGCCAGCCTATCCTTTTCCTCTCAATCGTGGAGGCTGAGTTCGGTTGCTGCAGTTGCCTGTCCGGGAAAGCAACTGTGCGAGCTTCGCATGATCCAATATTTCTGACGTGGAATTATGACCCTTGGGCATTCGCCATTAATGGAATAAATTGGACAATGGTAGGGCTGAATAACAATGGAGCGGGCAAGCCGAAAACGAGGGCATATTCTACATACGAGTAGTATCCAACGCCAAGCGCCTCCACCAACAAGTATCATTCCAACAAATCTTTCCGGGTACAGGTCACTGAGGTCGTCTCTGAGAAGACACTTTTCGAGTTGCTCGACATGTTTCGATACACAGAACAAATTGAAACAGGAATACGACGTGCATGCTTAATTAAAGCTTGTGGTTCCGTTTCACAACAGCCAATTCTGTCTGACTTTCAAAGCGATGCCGTTCGTTTTGCTGTGCGCCACCAACTATCCTTGGCCTCTTGACTGGTTGTCCCTGGGGCTTAAAGGGTACCGAAAGAACGCACTCTGCAGTCAGCTTCACCCGATACTGGAATTAGAATACCAGGGATACTGTCTGCCATCTCTTACTAGAAAATTCAGGACACTGCCTGGGTAGTAATACCATGTCGACCTTCTGCTTTACACCTACCTAAGGTAACCAGCTTCAAGGTTGCCTGTCTCTTGCCGGAATAGATGCTCGGTGCACAGGTCGCCATACAGACGGGAGGTTTGGGCTGAAGGGTGTTTTGGGATAGCGACTAACGGTTAAAACTGTAGGTTTTATCTCTAACAGAATTCGCTTTTCAATGCATGTCCTGGGATTCCCACGTGCCAATGGATCTCGCAGCTGTCTGGTTTATCAGCTTGCTTGGCCTTTTGTCGATGATGGGGTGCAAGTGGTAGCAGGGTAACGGCTTCGTAATCCCGGCATGCACACTTTGCCGCAGCCGCTTGTAAAGATAAGGGGCCAACGTCATATGATCTCGATGCTTGATGATATCATACGTGATAGAAGAGCTATGGCTATTTGTTCATAACCAGAAGCCCCATATTCTCGTTGACATCTTGTTTGCAGCTGTTAGGTTTCCATCTTGTTTGAGTGGCCCGGGGTTTGGAACCCGAAAGGGAACCGGGTATTCGGGTGTGGGGCGGGTTTGTGATCCATGGATTTGGTCACCATCACTGGGCCCATGCGAGACTGGGCCCATGCGCGCCATGCTTCCAGGTTCTTCGGTACCTTACCTCCGACCTGCCTTCCATCACGTTTCCGCCATTGCTGATTCCGAAGCAATCCATACCACTTCGTGACTGCCTTTCCATCATTGCCTCTTTCTCTTGGTCGGCTTGCCTGCTGCTTCCGACTAGGTTACGGATGCCCGTTGATTGATTTAACTGTCGCCCGATTGATCCTGCGCGTTCGCGCTTTCTTCCCGACGTTTCGGACGTGGTCGTGGTGGCCCCGCTCCGATCCGATTATCAGCCATGCCACCTCCAAACACCCCAGAGGAAGGCCTGGCAACAACAGCTTTACGACCCTCAGATGAGGACAACTTTCGAGTATCCTCTCCAAGCAGCGCCATGGCTCATGCGTCACAAACAACCTGTTCTTCAAAACTCGACTACCAGAACATCGAGTACATCGACCCGGTTGACGAAACTCTGCTTTGTCCAGTGTGCAAAACAGCGTTTCACTCGCCGATTACCACCCCATGCGGCCACACGTTTTGTGCAGGGTGCATCAACCGGGCACTAGAGACACAGTCGACGTGCCCAATCGACCGCCTCCCGGTCGACAAGACCCGGGATTACGTACGACTGCCCTTGATCATCAAGGACCAGCTAGATCGCCTTCAAGTCAAATGCCCCAACAGGGGCTGCGACTACCAGTGCTCCCGTGAGCACATAGAGGGCCATTACGAGCGTCGTTGCGAGCACACCCCGGTCCAGTGCCCCGACCCGACCTGCTCTCAGCGCGTCCCACGACGGGACGCGGCCCCGGAGAATGGATGCATGCACCAGGAGGTCACGTGCGAGTTTTGCGAAGAAAGGGTAACCTTCGTGGAGATCATCTCGCACCAGACCTACGACTGCAGAGGTGCCATAGTCAATTGTCCGGACTGCAAGGAACACCTGTCACGCCACTGCCTCGCCAAACACCAGGCACAAGATTGTCCCGAGAGCAATACCCAATGCAAGTGGCACTCTGCAGGTTGCAAGGTGGCAGACAAGCGCCGAGTCGTTCAGGAACATGAACAGAGCGGGTGCCCCTCTGAGGTTGTGGGCCGTTTGATGCAGAAGCAGGACGAAGACCGCAAGATCATTGACGAGCTTGCGGGGCGGTTAACCAAGTTTGAACTTGCCCAGAGCAAGAAACGCGAGCGGCACACCCAGCGGACCCGAGTTGGTGGATCGAACGTGGCAAACACCTCCCGCAGCGCCACAGGTGCCAACGTTCCCGGCATCACGCTCAACAACAATGCGCCACCGCTATTCCCGGACTCGACGGACGACGGCGCAGAGGGGGGCTCGCCCGAGGATTACCTACTCGCGCAATTCGAGCGGCTAGAGGCGCAGGTGGAGCTCCTCCGGAAGCAGTCTCTGGAGATGGACGCGCGCCAGTCACACATCATCTTGCAGCACGCAACCCATTTTAGCGAACACCTCACCGAGATTGGAAACAAGGTTGGAATCGTCAACATGCACATGTCCTGGCTCATGAGCCTGCAACGCCAGAACGTACAACAACGCGCTGGGTCGACTGCCGGGCCCTCTAACACTGGGATGTCTCACGGAAACGTCACGAGTGGGGGGGGTAGGCCGCCACCCCCTCGTGAAACTAGCGGTTGGGTGTATTCGGAGGAGAGTCCGCGGAATAGTGAGGGGAGGTCGGAGCCTCTACACCGACTTTGAAGTCATGGATCATGGTGTGGATGAGCATCGTTGGTTTTTCTCTGTGTCTTGTCTGGGGTATTCGGTTGTTTTGGAGTTGGCCGGAGGACGGTTGTTGAAGTGATGAATACCCTAAGGAGTTCGGCGTCGATCTACTGTCATCGCAAAAGGGCTAACGGCGTTACTTGGAAATGGGGGAAGGGGGGGTGTTCAAGTGGACTGGGCTGGTATGTCCGCGTCACATATTGTGATATTACTACACTAGATGTACCACACGGTGCCTACTATCGATTCGGATTATTCAACAGGACACTCGATATGGATAGTTAGTTTTATTTACTTTTGCAAAACATACAGCTTTGCGTCTTGTTTGTGATGGCGTCGAGCCGAGGTCGTTGTCGTCGTCCACGTCGCCCCAGCCAAGTGCTTATCGATAAGAAAACACCCGCTTAATAATTCCACCAGTCTTCCATTGTTTGCTCTTGCGTCAGCAACAGCCCTGCAGCGAACAGGGGAGGCCAGGCTCCAATCGATAGCGCCCCCCAGCCTGGAGCTCTGTTTAAACCCCGCCATCAACCCAAACTACCCAGTCGTGAGGTCGGAAGCCCGGGTAGCATCTATTACGGTTTTTCAACTTCTCACTATCTGTTTCCGGTCTCTTCGTTCGGTTTCAGATTCTCCCCAACTTTCTCCCGGCTTCAAATACCACGAAGACGCCGTTGACAAACGAGAAAATGGATCCGAACGAGCAGCCGCCCCCGGCGGCGACGCCTGATGCGCCAGACCAAGAGACGATGCAGCAGATCCGTCGACGGAGACTGGCGAAACTTGGAGGTCCCTCGGGCCCAAGCACGCCTGTTGCAGGGTCACCGAGCACTGAGACGCCGCCCGCCCCCGGACAAAGTTCCTCGGGGTCTACGAACGACAAGGCAACACCAAAAGAGGCCGAGAAGCCCATGCCGGTGAACACTCAACCCAAATCTAACATTTCGTCTACCCCGGCAGCCGCAACTCCCCAGAGCGCCAGCAGTCCTAGCAGTAGCAGACCAGGTAGTACCAACAATCAAGGCTCCCGAGCTAAGAGACAAGCATCGGATGTTGACGGGCCTTCAGCGAGCGCGCCGCCCAAGAAGCAGACGACCCCGGCCGCACAGGAAACGATTGAGGACTATGCCGACCGCATCCTCTCGACGATATTCCGCGTCACCGTCGATCCGATCCGTACGACAAGCGCAAACGGCCAGAAGCTAACCTTCTTGCCGAACCTGAGCGCGGACCTCGCGGATGAAGGCGCGCCGCTCAAACTGTCTGTTGAAAGGCTCGAGGAGGCGATAATGGAGGCCGCCACGGCCATCCCACACGACAGACCGCTGTTCGACTACCTTCTGCCGTGCTGGAAGCGGGTGGTGAAGACGATAAAGGTGCTCCGGAATCCGACGCCGGAGAAAGAGGCGCTGCTCAAGGAGGCCAGGCGATTATGCTTCAGCAACTGCATTTTCGCCTTGACTGTGCCGGAGCTGTTTAGGTATGTCTGGTTTCGAAAAGTTGGTTCGTGGCTGTTGCTAACGCCTAGGGACCGTGAAGCCGAGAGCCAAACCCGCTACACGACACTCTAGTGCCGTATCTACTGCGCGAGGTAGAGACCGAAAACGGGTTGTGTATGGACTTCTTTGGAGAGGCCATGGCTCGTCTGGAAGAGGATGAGACCATCGCCGGGCTGTTCACCAAGGCCATGGCGGATATCAGCAACAAATTGGCGACAATGAACATGAATGATGACTACAAGCCATGCGTCAACGTGAGTTTGAAGCTTGACAGGCGGGTTCCCCGTTGCTGACCTTGCCAGGCACTCTTGACCTACTCACGGTTTCCACCCCTCCTAAATGCCCTGGCACAACACCCGTGCTTCCAGATGGCGCTGTCAGCCCCTGGCATCGAGAAAAATACGATCCTTGGACCGTTCTTTAGGATATCGCCGCTCCAACCAGAGGTGACGACAGTCTATTTCGCAGGGCCGAGGACGATGGATAAGGGGCGCATTCAGGCGTCACAGAGCGCCCTACAGATGACGCTTGGGGCGCACCAGACGGATCTGAGGACAATTGTTAACGCCTTCATCCGCGCGAGCCCCCAGGCTAGAAATAAGATACTGGACTGGTTTGCCTACGTCATGAACGCCAACCACAAGAGACGCGCTATGCAAGTCGACCCTAGGGAGGTTTCGTCTGATGGCTTCATGATCAACATTACTGTCATCCTTGACACCCTGTGTGAGCCCTTCATGGACAGCAACTTTTCCAAAGTGGAACGGATCGACGTTGATTACTTCAGGAGGAACCCGAGGGTCGACATCAAGGACGAGACGAAGTTGAACGCGGACCAAGCGCAGTCCGATGCGTTCTACGAAAACAAGCTGGAGGGGGAGTCGAATTTTATCACAGAGATTTTCTTCTTGACTCTAGCGGCACATCACTACGGCAGCGAGGCGGCAAATTCGAAGATGAAGAACCTTGATCGGGATATCAAGCACTACGAGAAGAACATTGCTATGATGGAGGCGGAGCGGCACAAACTCATACATCGGCCGGAGCAGCTTCGAGTACTGGATGAGGCTGTCAAGCGCCACACAACGGTCCTCGAGCGCTCCATGGCGCTGAAGTTCTCGATCGAGGGCATTTTATTGGAACATAAGATGCAAAGTCGGTCGCTGCAGTTCATGCGGTACGTCACCGTATGGCTGCTGAGGGTCGCCAGCCAAACAAAGTACACCCCGGACAAGCCGCTCAAACTTCCTCTGTCTGCGGATCAGCCCGAGGCTTTCAAGTGCCTACCGGAATACGCCCTGCAGGACGTTGTCGACAACTTCAAGTTCGTCTTCCGCTACATCCCGCAGATCATCCTGTCGGCCGTCGGTGACGAGATGATCGCCCTCTGCATCACGTTCCTGGAGTCGTCCGAGTATATCAAAAACCCGTACCTGAAGTCGTCGCTGGTCACACTGCTATCGCACGGGACGTGGCCGACCTACCACATGAAGAAGGGGGTCCTAGGCGATGCGATGACCAGCACCAAGTTCGCAAACGACTACCTGCTGCATGCGGTTATGAAATTCTACATAGAGTGCGAGTCAACCGGTGCTCACACGGCGTTCTACGACAAGTTCAACATCCGGTTCGAGATCTTCCAGGTCATCAAGTGCATCTGGGCCAACGATGTGTACCGGCAACAGCTGGTCCAATCTAGCAGGTGAGTTACCCTTTCGTGCGCTTCCCGTCTTCTAGTACTAACCCTAGCAGATCGAACCGCACCTTCTTCGTCCGCTTCGTCAACCTCTTGATGAACGACGCGACGTACGTCCTAGACGAAGGCCTCAGCAAGTTCCCCAAAATCCACGACTTGCAAGCTCGCCTGCGAGACCCCACCCTCTCGCAAGAAGATCGCGAGAAGACAGAGGAGGAACTTCGCACGGCCGAGGGCCAAGCAACGTCGTACATGCAGCTCGCCAACGAGACGGTCAGCATGATGAAGCTCTTCACCAACTCTCTCGTCGATTCCTTCACCATGCCCGAGGTTGTGCAGCGTCTGGCAGGCATGCTGGACTACAACCTCGAGATCCTGACGGGTCCCAAATCCAAGACCCTGAAGGTCGAGAACGCCGAAAAATACTACTTCAACCCCAAAACCCTCCTCCCGGAGCTCGTCGACATCTACCTCAACCTCGCCGGGTCCTCCTCCTTCATCGACGCCGTCGCCGCCGACGGGCGCTCCTACTCGCCCGCCACCATGACCATGACGGCCTTCATCCTGCGCAACAAGCACCTCAAGGACGAGAAGGACGTCCTGGCATGGGAGGTGCTGGCCGCGCAGATCGAGTCCGCGAAGGAGGCGCTGGACCGCGCCGACCTCGACTACGACGACGCCCCGCCCGAGTTCGAGGACCCCATCATGGGCATTCTCATGAGCGACCCTGTGGTGCTGCCGTCCAAGCATATCGTGGATCGGTCGACTATCACGCAGCATTTGCTGAGCGATCCCAAGGATCCGTACACGAGGCAGCCGATGAGCATTGAGGATGTCGTGCCGGACACGGAGCTGCAGGGACGGATTGAGGCGTGGAAGGCGGAGAGGCGGGCGAAGGCCAGGGGGGAGGGCGAGGCGATGGATACGACGGAGTGAAGTGGCGGTTTGGGTGCGGAGGTGGGGGAGTGTATGGATGGGTGGGGGGACACGAGAATGGGAATGAGTTTGACTTTGTTTTTTCTCGAACCGGGCTTGGCTGGACTGTGACATAGATTCTTGGGGGTCGAAAGCTGTTGGCTTGTTTTCCCGGGGTTGGGAGTTGACATGGCACGGAAGGTGGGTATTGTTTTTCGTGTATTGGTTTGTGTGAAGGTAACCCAAATAACAACAGACATATTTTGACAGAGAGACGGATATGGCTGGAACTGTAAAGTCATTGGCGTTAGTGGTCTTGTTACCTTGTCAACCGGCCTTCCCGCAATTGCGGTTAGGGCATCCCACATCCTGGCGCAAGGGGCAGCCGTCGGAGGTTGACTCGTTCCTTTACATTGCCGCCTTCTTACTGACCCGAGTTCTACCCGGCAGGTTCAACACCGTCCGAATTTGATTCTTTCCTCATAGCATACCATCTTCGTAGTTTACAATCCAGTCTCGCCTCTTTCCACAACCCGCCCACCCCACTCCAAATAAGGAGATGCTTGGGACCTAAACACGGTTCCCGTCTGCCAATACGTCTATTTATCAGTAGCCACCAATCGAGTCAGTCAACAAGGCACCATAAGCCCCAATTTATATCCCCCCACCCAGGCTTGCTCCGGGTCAACGAGTAACTCGAAGTGTTCTCCGTCACCTCTAATTGCTTAGGTAGGCAGACATCGTGTTGGGCCCAACCGGAGATAACACGAAGGGTAACGGATGGCGTTAGCTAATCACAAGAAGCATTAGGGCGACTGATGGCGTGAGGGGAGCTAATGCATGGCGACCTGATCCGATCCGATCCCGATGCCGCTTGAACCCCACCGGGAGCGCCCGAGAAGCGGGGTGAGGGGGAAGCTCTGGGTTTAAAAGGGGCCCCCTATTGCTCATTCATCTCGGGGTATTTGGTCCCGACCCATCAATAGCCTGTAGATACCCAACACACAGACAATCGAGAGACGAACAGCAAACATGACCAAGGTTCTTTTGACAGGTGAGTGAGGGTTGGGTTGTAATATCGTCTCCTAATCACACCACTAACACATGCTACAGGTGGCTCCGGCTTCATTGCCGGTAAGTAAAAGTTGACAACGCTGGAATCGACGTGCTTCTAGAAGCCTCCTGTGACCGCTTGTCCCGCTGGTTGGGCGTTAGACCAATTCCCAGCTCAAGCAAACTACCCATGACTGCCCCAACCTAACACCGACATCCACGCTCACCAGAACCCCTACCGAAACCACACCCCTGACTAACGCAACCCCCCAGCACACATCCTCGAGCAACTGCTCGCCAAAGGCCACAGCGTCGTGACGACGGTCCGCAGCGAGGACAAAGCCGCGAGGATCCGCGAAGCCTACCCCTCACAAGCCGCGTCGGGCGACCTGGTCGTCGCCATCGTCCCGGACATCGCCCAGCTCAACGCCTTCGATGAGGTCGTCAAGACGCCCGGCCTGGAGGTCGTCCTCCACACGGCCTCGCCCTTCCATTTCAAGTGGAGTGCGTCCTACCAACCCCCCTCCCAACCAAGCCCCAGACAGCCCCCCCCCCCCCACGGTAACTAACACCCGCAACAGAGGACCCCAAAGAACTCATCGACCCCGCGGTAAACGGCACAACCGGAATCCTAAAAGCCATCATCCGCTCCGCCCCCACGGTACGCCGCGTCGTGGTGACCTCCTCCTTCGCGGCCATCGTCGACGAGGCGCACATGGCCGACCCGTCCCACACCTTTTCCGAGGCGACGTGGAACCCGGTCACGCTGGCGGACGCGCACCGCAGCCCGCCGACGGCGTACCGCGCCAGCAAGACGCTGGCGGAGCGCGCGGCGTGGGAGCTGGCGAGTGGTGCGGCGTTTGATTTGGTGACTGTTAACCCGCCGACGGTGTTCGGGCCGGTCGTGCATTATCTGGAGAGCTTGGAGGGGGTGAACACGAGTAACGAGCGGCTGGTGGATTGTCTGCAGGGGAAGTGGCGGGAGGCGGTGCCGAGCGCGGGCGGCGGGGTGGCCATCTGGGTGGATGTGCGGGATGTGGCCGAGGCGCACGTCAAGGCGGGCTTGGAGATTGCCGAGGCCGGGGGGAAGCGGCTGTTCACGACGGCGGGGCTGTTTAGTAATGCCGAGATGGCGGCGATCGTGCGGAAGAACTTTCCGGAGGATGCCGAGCGGCTGCCGACGGAGGAGACCAAGGGCGGGGAGCTGCCGGCGGAGGGGGAGCGGTTCGGGTTTGATAACACGGAGACGAACAAGGTGTTGGGGATTAAGTGGCGGTCGTTGGAGGAGTCTGTGGTGGACACGGTGCGGAGCTTGAAGAAGGTGGGCGCGTAAGGGAGGGAGGTTCCTAATAGGTAGTTATAGATGGGTAGACTAGGTAGCGTAGCGGCCAGACACCCGGGACTACCTCGCCTCCAACTCTTTGATCCTCTTGAGCACACCTTCCTTCCACTCCGCATACGCCTTGCGCTTCCTCTCCCCGAGATAGTCATACCTCTCCTGAAACATGGTATCAGCCCTCCGGATCTGCACCACCTCCCCGTTGTTGTCATCACCCTCTCCATCCCTCTCCTCCTCTTCCTCCTCCTCCACCCTCTTCGCCTCCCTATCCACCAAATCCCCCACCCCACTAACCCAGCCCATCTCAAACCACCCATGCCTCCTCCCCCTCACAGCGGCATCATCCAACTCGGCCACGCCAATCTCTCTCCACCCTTCCCACGCCTCATCCTCCCCATCACCATCCCCATCCCCCCCATCTTTAACCCCACCCCCAACCTCCCCCCCAATCTCCCCCCTAACCCCATTCAACCCACCCACAACCTCCCTCCGCATCCCCACATACCTCCCCCTCTCCACCGCCTCTCCACCAGGCCACTCCACGCCGCGCCACACAAACAGGTACAGCGCGCCCAGCACGGCGGGCATGTTGGCGCGCGCCCACGCGTCGGTGGTGGGCCGGCCGCGCGGCGCCAGGATGGATTCGACGGCGGAGGCGACGACGGGGCCGATTCGGGAAGGGCCGAGGGTGGCGAGGAGGTGCCGGAGGGTGGGGCGTATCCAGGGGGGGAGGGGAGGGGTGGTTTTTTGGGGGGTGGGGCGGTTGGGGGTTTGGTGGGAGTTGCGGAGGTCGGCGAGGGATTTCTCTTTTTGTTTGCGGTTGGTTGGGGTGGTGGCTGTAGTTGTGGTGGTGGTAGCTGTGGGGGTTCGGGATTTGTTGGCGAGGGGGGAGGTGTTGTGGTCGTCGCGTTGCTGCTGCTGGGCGCGGAGCTTGGAGCTCGGGGTGCGGATGCGGCCGCTGCCGAGGGCGGTTCCGCCTGGGGTGTGGCGGCTGGGCGTGGAGGCGGTGGCCGGGAGGATCTTGTCGAGGTGGTTGTAGAGGCGCTTGTAGATGCGCGGGGGGATGGGTGGCCGGGGGTCAATCGGGGGGAGGTTGAGGCTGATCTTGAGCCTGTCGCAGGCTAGGTTGGCGCAGGCATAGAGTCGGGCGACTTCCTCCTCGGCCTTGAGAGTGCTGGCGCGGTTTCGGGACTGGGCGAGCAGTGAGCTGGCCAGTTGGGTGAGAGACTCGGGGAGGTCCGAGTTGTGAGTCGGCAGCAGAGAGAGCAGCGTCTGCTCGATTGAGCGGTTCATGGTGTGAGGATATTTCAGAGTCTGAATGGGTAGTAGAGAAAGGTTTACTAATTAATAAGATGGTGTTGTGTTTCCTCGTCTGTTGATAACTTAGAGTTCTTGATTGAGTTCATTCATTCACCCGTGTGTGCATGAAATGAGCAAGCCAAGCCCAGAGACGCGACGTGAATGAGCCAACGCCTGGTCATGTGACTTCGGCCAAGTGGCAGCAACTGCCAAGAGGTATCAGATACGAACCCCGGTCCCCAAGCTCGTCTGCGCGACTTGTACACGTTCTTTCCCGCAAAGATTAGGTAGGTAGGTAGGTACGTCAATCATGGCTTGGGAAGCGCTTCATGGACTTGACTACCATCCTTCATTTCACTTCGGTGATTTTCTTCCACCATCAATTTCCCATGCTCAACCATGCACCCCGACTCTCAACATAACATTCTAAGCCTTAAAGATCTCCCTCAAGAGGCTTTTGCCTCGTCGCTGCGATTCCCAGCCCCCCCAAGGTCTCGTCTTCTTCTAGCAAGTCGCTCACAAGCTCAGCAAGCGCGACATCGCTGCCCTTTGCACCCATCAAACCAAGCGCCGTCGGGAGCCGCTCAGTTCTGCCCGTGAACTTGGACACGTACGGAGTAGTTCCAACTAGAATGTCATGTTAGCAACAAGTAACCACTGTCCTTGGGACTGCCGCGGGAAACGACTTACCAGGGATGATGAGCTCGGGCGCCTCCGCATAGGGACCGACATTGTAGAAGAAGAAACCGGTTCCCGTGAACCTTTGCGGCCCATCGCGGTACTTGTCGCGGTAATCCGGTTTGCCCGTGGTCCAAGGCAGAACCATCACTGTGCTGGATTTCCCGTCGTTGTCGGATGGCGGCATGACGTGCTCGTAGAACCAGTCTTGGTAGACTTTGAGGCGTCTTACGGCTTCGGCCTGTTGCTCGGCGGTGACTGTTGGGAGATATTCTCTGCGGATGATTTGTTAGAGTGGGGAAAACTTATTTCGTTTGTTTCTTGCGGTCGCTTGATATATTCAGATCGGGGCCGTTACATACACTTTGAAGCGTATTTGGGGATTCAGCACAGGTGGCTTCCCAAAACGGGCTTCGTATTCCGGAAGGAAGTCCTGAAACAAGCTAGTCCACTGGTCTGGGTTGGCTGCCCATTCGAAAACATGCTCGAAGTACTCGCTGAGAGACTGGGTCACACCCTCGGGTCGGTGCTGTCGCCATGTTTCCTCGAGGCTTATCTCTGTGCGCTTCACACCCAAGTACGTCTCTAGGCGCACGATGAAGGCTTCAAACAACTGCTGACTCGGGCCGTGCTCACTGGGCCAGTAGTCGGTTGGATACAAGAGTCTGGCGGGCTGTTGAATCAAATTGTTAGTTCACATTGCTTAAACAATACCATCCCAGATTTCACGACCGACTCACCCGAGCCTTGGTTGTATCGGCAGACGGTGGCGAGCCGTAGAGGGCGTGGGCCAGTACTTTGAATTCCTTTGCAGTTCGAGCGAACCCTCCAATGGTATCGAACTTGCTGCAACCGCTTCAGTATGCTGGGCTAGGCAACAACATCTTCACGGAGTAAACCTACGGGCTGTATGGAATAATCCCGCTGAAGCTTGCTGCGCCCAGCGAGGAGCGCATCCCAAAGATACCCTGGGCTGCTGCTGGGGCTCGGATACTCCCGAGAGCTGGCACATGAGGGTTAGGTCGACAGTTAGGATGGGTGGAATTGAAAGGAGGACGTACTATCGGTGCCGAGGGAGAAATCAAGCCAGTCGTAAGCTGCAACTGCGGCGGCACTGCCGGCGCTGCTCCCGCTTGTGGTGAGATAGCCGTCACCACGGGGATTGAAAGGGCCATGGTAATCAACCCAGTCGCTGGTCGGCCACTCACTATCGGCAAACTGGGTTGTCTTCACCTTGCCGACGATTACGAAGCCGAGGTCCACGAGTCTCTGGACGGCCTCAGCGCTTGCTGCGCGGGGAGGGTGAAGCGCGGTGTAGGCGAGCGACGACGCTCCAGTTTTGAGGCCTTTGAGGTCAATGATGTCTTTGACCGCCAACCGTAGGCCAGCGTACGGCTTCTCGTCGGTCTTGGTGAAGTATAGCCGAGAAGGGACGGCCACGGTCAGGGCGGACGGGTATTGTCCGCCGTAGGCTGAAGCGTCGAGGGACCGGAAACTATGCAACTGAGGATCAACAACAACATAACGAGAAAGCAATAGAGTGAACTTACCTACTGTCGTTATCCGCGGGCACTGCCGCAACGACAAACGCACCAGCCGTGTCCGGATACAGACGGTATGCGTAATGCAACCGGCCATTTTGCAGGAAGTAAGGCCCTTGAGGAACCTGGGAAGAGCTGCTGTCAAGCTGGACGACATGAATGTTTTGAACATGGGCAATTCGGGAGAGGACGTGCTTGAGTTCGCCGGTCCAGCTACTGTTCAACTCTGGCAACGTCGTCCGTACAACCAGCGAGGTCAAGAAGTCCTTGGACCACACATCATCAACCAAGTCGAAGCCATGCAATGTATCCCGAACGTCATCGGAAGTTGGAATCGAGTTTCCCACTGTCACAACGGTGCATGGCTCGGCTATCTGGCCAGCCCCGATTGGGCCCAAGCCGACCTGTTGGTGGACTGTGTCAGCGTGAAAGAGCTAGAAGAAGCCAAGGGGAAGAAGCCAGAGCCATCCATGATAGGCAAGACTTACAAGAGGGGTCGAGTGCATGTAGTATGCCACGTTCCCGAGCCGAACGACAGTTGAAATCAACGGCCCGACCATGCTTAATCCCGAGCCGCCGAAGAGAAGGATAAGAAGAATCGTTGCAAGCATGGTAGGCACCGTGAGCTGAGTTGCAGCGAGGGACGGTTGATAAAGTGAGAAATGCAAACGATGTCAATGTTGCGAACAGAAAAGAACTTCCGCACGTGAAAAGTACCTACCTAATTAATAGCAGCGCACTGTGGAAACATGTTCGGTAGCATGATCGGACGGCGAGAACAACTACAGGATTCAATAACAGGCTGTCTCATATCAAGTGCATTAATACCTACCTACCAAGCGGTTGGGTTTAGGGCAGCACAGAAAACTCATGTTTGTTGACGTTGGTATATTTATCATCAACTTTATGGGTTGTATACCTACCTACCTAGACAAGTGTAACAGGAAATGCTTTTGTTTAGCCAGTCCGTGATGTTACCAGGCTTACAGATTCTCTTTCACACCTTCCTCCTATCGGGGGCCTGTCCGCTTCTCACCATGCGAGAATGTGTAAGCGTTGGCGTATACCTAGGTACTTGCCAACCCTGCCACCGTGCTAATCATCTCTCCGTGTTTATGCCGTATTCACGAGAATAGCAAGTCCGATGCTCACTAAAGAGAAAGCCTCGAGAGCCTGGACACGACGAGAAGCATCACCCTCTCTGGTTGTTGTTGTTGTCGTCGGAGTCGTCGTTGTCGTTGCGCCGCTTGCCGCCGTCGGAGTGGGCGCCGTGGCGTCGGTTTGGGTCTGGGGATGTGCACCATGCGCCTCAAGATAGCAGCTGGCATGGGCCGAGACCCTTTTCAGCCACTCATGCTCGATCATGGGAATTTGTCTCTCCCAGGCAACGGGGCAGCTAGTGGACAAGATGGAGATGGTTTCGCTATTGGCCGTCCAAAACGAAACGACCTGGGAGAGGTAGGTTGAAAGGTCGGGGAGGACGCTGGCGGGCGCAGCGGTGGTGAGGCCGCACCATGATTTCGGGTCCGAGTCCAGACATGACACCATGTCACGACCGCGAGTTGCTGTGGCCAAGCACGGTGCGGCCAGCTCCTCGGCATATGATTCGTGAGCCTTAGAAAGGGCCCCGGTTGGCATAGGGACGTCGAAATACTGCGTGATATTCTCCGTAATGCACTGCCAAGGGTCCGGCGTGAGTGAGGGCCGCACCGCAGCTGTCGTAGTTGCTTGTCTTTCGACGAGCAAGGGGTTCAGTGCAGTCGCGGATGGCGAGTCGTGCAAGAATCTAGCAGATACACCTGCTGCAGTTGCAACTAGGGCAGCAAGCCCCCCAACCACGATGTTGGAGCGCATATTCGTGTTTGATGACGATGAAGGAGAAACAAAGGACAGAACGAGGATAATATAGGGGGATACAAAAGAAAAGGGAAGAACTTCGACAGCAGGGATTACATCTCAGTTTCAAGGTTGCTGAAGTCTCGACTCCTCGAGGCAGGCAGCCAACGGAAATGGATACTAATACAATCTTGAAGTTTGATTGCAAAAGGTTATCCGCCCCGGGCCTCTTCCCGACTCGTCAATTCTATATACGGAAGACCCGCTCGGTCACTTGGCATGCAAGCCATGTTCATGGGACGCAGTTACATCAAGGCGACCAACATGTCACATTCCGCAGGGAATGGTAACAGAAGTGACTTGACGACACACTACGGCCTGTTTTGGCATGTGGGCCACTGGACAGCACAAGAACCAACGACCCGTGTGGGAGATGACTGGGAAATCCTCAGTCAGGGGAGATGCAGTCACGCAGACCCTGCTTGCAACCACCGGCTCAACTTTCAATATCATACTTTAGCATCACCCATTCACACTTCACCTCAGCCCAACGTCCAGGGTCCAGAAGTCATACTAACTCATACATGATGGACCTCGAGGACATCACCTACGAGTACTCCCGCGAGGAAACGATTGCCGCCGTGTCCGATTACTACACCTTCCTCACCCAGATGTACATTGAAGATTCCCACGTCGTCTACCCACCGCCCGGGGGCTGGCCCGAAATCGTCAACGCCGACCCCGCCGTGCTCCAGTCCTTCGGCAAGTCGGACGAGGTTCTGGCACTGCTGGCTCACCTGCCATACATCCGATGCTCCTGGGAAAATCCCGCCGAGGTTGCCCCCGGCTGTACCGTCGCCGATTGGCCCGACCTCATCACAAGTCTCTCGAAACCCCTGCGTCCCGGTGAATCCGTCACCCAAGCCAGGTCAGTACGTCTCGCCACCGAGGGTACATTTTGCGATATATCGCCCTCCCATGTCGTCGGTTTGACCACTAGCCTCGACCAAGCGATGGTGCTCGATACAAAGCACGGCATCATCCATTGGGAAGACTGTCCCGGCAGGATCGACTTCGGAGGGCATTGTAAGACCAACGTCGATTGGTCGGAGTTGGACGACGGGGTATCGCAAGAAGAGGCAGACTGGCGCTACGGCGCAACTGCTTGGACCATCCCTGACTTTTTTGAGGTCCTCAAGGATCAGTTCATACGACTAAACTGGCTTCCCATCAGCCACTTCACTGTGCGGGAGGCCCAGGGTGAATACCACGGCGAAGAAGGCATGATGGCCATGCTGAAGGACACCTATCGGCAACATGGCTGGCCCGACTTGACCGTTTACAGCAAGTCCGACTGTGTGAAGGCTGTGAAGAAAGCCATGGCCGAAGGGTACCCCGAATCTGTTTGCTACCGAAGGGACATTTGATTATGCACTGGCTCACTTTCTGTTGGACGTGTGGGAAGTCGTCTTCATGCAATAATACCTATCCCATCATCATGCATACGCTGTGAGCCAACACGTGCAAATCATTAGTGACATGGACATTTTGGTTGACACTGGATCCGATAGTCCCTGTGCCTCATGTGCATGTATGTACGTACTGTCTCCGGTGGACCATCATCCAGTTTCTTGACTTTCAGTTAGGAGCTAAATAAGAACTACTTCGTTCGCATAGACCTTCAAGCGACCCCAGTCCGCCTTAACAGACGATGACTGGAAGCTTCCAATTCGACGATAATGTTGGGCACCTCCTAGGATATGGACATCATCCCCCACGGGGTCTAGGACTAGCCCCTGTACGACACGCTGCAGAAACCCAGTTTCCACATAATGAAGGATCAAAACATAAACGAAGTCAAGACCAATCTCTCCTTCTTGATCCCAGTCCACCTCCAAGTCCAGCAAGAATGGACCATCCTCGAGAGTAGGTTTCCAGCAGCTCTCAAATGTAGCTGCTTTAATCTTATGTTTGGAGAGAGGGCCCCTCAACCTCAGCGACGCGAACCGAATCCGCCCAAACGGTTCCCCCTCCGTGACGGGATCGATAACGACACCCAAAACATCTGCCACCTGCGGACCTCTCCGTTTCCGGAAGAGTTCCCTTACCACAGCACGCTTCCCACGGCTCACCGCGCCATCCCTGACCTCAAACAACCACACCGCAAACCGCAAGATAACCGACTCCTCTCTCAGAGCAACCCGGTACTCATCAAAGCGGGGATCGCGGGGGAACGTCAGCTCACCCTCGGTCGACGCCCAGCTCCAGGACGGAGCACGGTAGGGGCCTTCAAAGCTGCGGCCCCTGGAGGTGCCGGACTGGTCCCACAATGGGGCGCCGGTGGCCCAGCACAGCCCAAGAGGCAGCTGGGAGCGGAAGATGCCGGCGACGTACTCGTCGTTTGCCTTGGTAGCAACGCGCTTCGCAACGCCGGCGATGGCCGCGAGCTTGTCCTCGGGTCGTGTCAGTGTTGTCTTGTTGTAGCCGCGCACAATCTCCTCCCAGCTTTGGAAGATGGTTGAGGTGTTATTCCCCGTTGGTTGGGAGGTAGCCGCTTCCGCCGCCTCGTCGAGGGCGGTGTCTTCGAGTGAATAGGGGGGAGCCTGCGCTTCGTCGTCGGGTTCGTCCCCTAGATAGAAGTGAGGAATGCCGCGGGGGAAGCACTCGCTTGCGGCAGCGACACCGCGGCATTCCCAGAAGATCTGATACCGACTGAAATGCACCGTCCGTGGTGCCAGCAGGCGCTCTTGATAGACCCAAGCCCGTTCGTTGAGAGGGAAGAGGCCGACTCTGCCTTGGATGTCCCGGTTCACGAACTCGAACGTTTCTGTCTCTTCCTTATACTGGGTCTGGATCACGGGCCGTTGTAACGTCTCTGGTGCCCTGCGATAGAAGCAACCACCGTCTGCATCTGGTGCATCCGCCGCGGCAATATTCAGGAAGCAGTTCTCGTAGATGGCACCCATTGAGGGGACGTGTTTCGCCCAGTCGTCCGCATGGCCGTCTCCTGACTGCAGAATGCAGAGCGAGTCCACCCACAAGTACCGGATGTTGAGCCTCCTAGCCACGGCGACGGCATCTTGAAACGTCTTTGGGAGGCTACTGTACTCGATGCCTTCTATGAGCTGCGTCAGGTTGGTGGTAGCGAGAACAAGATGGCTTGGGTTGGCGCCCCAGCGATAGCTGAGCGCAATGTACGGTCCTGTCGGCGCCGTCGTTGTGCTCGTGTCGATTAGGCGGCATAAGTCTTCATCCAGCTTCAGTAACCTTGGAGGGACGAAAGCTGGTTCAGCATCACGTCCTTGTCCACAGTTGTGGCTCTCATCGCACCGCGCAACCCACCAAGCTAGTAGGTTGAGCACCGCTTCGTCGCCCGTATCCATCGCCTCTGTGCTATCCGGAGCTCCGCGCGGGAAGCACTCTTCTGGCGTTTCATGGTTGAAGGTAGCGGACAGCGTGAACGTCGTTACATTACCGCTGCTGTTCAGGTCGTCTGCGTTCTCCCCTGTCGATGGACGTTCAAGTTTGAGCTCTAACCATACGCGAACTGACGGTGAGTCGCTGCCCTTGGATACTGAGAGGCCAGTCAATATCATCGAGACAAAGCGTCAAGTAAACGCACACACCGCGAAAAGCTCTACGTACAGACGAGAGAGCGTCGCTGAGCGTTTATTTTCCCCGACGTCGCGAGACCCTTTGGCTCGCCGCCGTCTCGAAACTCAACCCCATTCCCCATAAGAACACCAGAAATCTGGGTGCATACTGGGCAGCCACGGTCAATGGAAGACAGAAAAGACGCGGTATCGTCGTGAAGATAAAACGCGTCCGAGCTGTGTTGCCGATCCAGGTAGTGCTTCGCCATCTGTTGGCAACGGTGGCAAATCATTTTGATTCCCATCGAGTTCACTAAATGAAACACCCTCGACGACACATTCTCACCATACACCACCAATATTGTGTTCGGGTGCGGTGGTGGAGTGACTGAGAAGAGAAGTTGAAAGTGTGTCTTGCGCGGATCGTGACGAGTCGTTACCAGAAGAGGGTTTTTGCCGTGCCGCAGTGCTTGGCAGCCAATGCAGGTCATCCTCATACCTAGTCTCGATTAGGTATCAGAGACCCAGGGGAGGGAGAATAACATACCGCCGAAGAGCTCCTAACGTCGGCCGACCCAGACCCGTTCGTCTTGCTCCAATCGACCGAGCATGTATTCACAGCAACCACATCCATAACCGCCCGTCAGTAACAGCAACGTGACAGAAACAACAGAGCAGGAACAGTAAACCGCCAATCAATTCCCCCGTGGTATCAAGTATTGCTATCATCACCCTGTCCCAGCACCCACCCCATCCTGCGACCGATCGGGAACACACATCTCGTTTCGCAGAGAAGCGGCCACGAGCCCAGCCGACAACAGACCAACCCCCCATCGTCACGTCATCACACCAATCGGCACAGTTCCGAGGGCGGCGTAGCATAAACAACAACAAAAAGGGGAGCATGTACCGGCTCAGATTAAGCTAGGTACCAGCTAGGCAGGCCAAGGACCTTTCCCATATACACGAACAACAACAAAACCCAGACCCCAGCCACGCATTAACAACAACAAACAACAAAAAGATCTAAACAAACAGCGTATAGAACGTGCGCTTCCACGAGGGCATGGCGGCGACCTTGGCGCGGTCGGCGTGGATGGCGTCCCAGTCGAGGTCGCGGCGGCCCGTGTCGAGGTCGATCTGGTCGGTGCGCAGCCAGCCGGTGCGCTTCCAGAGGAAGCCGCCGATCCAGAAGACGATGACGACGGGCATGGCCAGGTACGACTTGAAGAAGCCCTCGGCGTCGTTGAAGCCGCCCTTGACGGGGCAGATGGAGACGTAGAGCTGTGAGGAGGGGGTTAGGATCGGGTGGGGTTCAAAGAGGAGCGGTTTGTGGGGGGGTTGGGGTGGGGGGGGGGGTTGGTTCTTACCTGAGCGATGAGGCAGAGGATGTTGAGGCCAAGGCCGATGTATGAGCCGTAGACACCGCCGAGGGCGCGGAACGGGATCTCGTCGAGGGTGTGGCCCTGCTGGCGCCAGGCGGTGCGGAAACGAATGTGGGCCAGGCAGATGGAGCCCCAGGTGAAGAGGGCGGCAAGGCCGGACAGGGCGAGCAGCCAGTCAAAGACGACCGGGCCCTCGGTGTCGAGGTTGACGTAGGCCAGCGGGGCGAAGACGCAGATGAAGAGGACCGAGACGAGCGGGCGGCCGGAGCGGTCAATGTAGGAGAAGATCCTGGGGGCGTAACCCTGCTGGGCGAGGGCAGTGAGCGTGCGGGAGCCGCCGTAGACGGCGGATACGCCGATGGACAGGACCGAAACCAAGATGATGACGTTCATGAACGAGTCATAGCCGTTGAGGTTGGCGTACTTGCCGACGAGCACGAAGGGCGAGGCGGCGACGTCAGCGTAGGCGACATCGGGGTTACCCAGGAGGCTCGTGTCGTTGTGCGGGATCAGCAGGCCGACGAAAAACAAACCCAAGATGTAGAAGAGGGTGATGCGCCAGAAAACCTGCTTGATGGCACCGGGGAGAGACTTGAGGGGGTTCTTGGCCTCGGCCGCGGCGAGGCCGACGAGTTCGGTTCCGGAGAAGGAAAAGGCGGCCGTTACGAAGACGCTGCAGAAACCGCGGAAGCCGTTGGCGAAGGCACCAGGATCGTACCAAGTACGCGCGCCCACGTATTCGTCATAGGCACTGCCTTCAGGACCGCCGCCGAGGACCAGGACGAATGCGGTGATCATGAAAATGATGATCGCTGCCAGCTTGAGCACCGACGACCAAAACTCCTCTTCGGCGTAGCCAAGGGCGCCAAAGATGTTGATGAAGAGGATGGCAACCAAAAATACGGTGATCCAGACGGCTAAAAAGTGTCGAGTCAGCGCCAGAACGGCCTGGGGGCCAACTCCTGGGAAGATGTACTTACCGACGCTAATTTCCTTGTTCCAGTACTGTATCGTCATTGCACAAACCGTCAGTTCGAGTGGAAGGACGACGGCCCATTGCATGACATAGTTCCAGCCCATGGCGAAACCCCAAGAGGGGTCGATAAAGCGGGTCGAGTACGTGTAGAAGCCACCAGAGACGGGGTACATGACAGCGAGTTCGCCGAGAGCATAAACCGTGTTGAACATCATGACTCCGATGATGAGGAAGTCAATGAATAGCGAGCCAGGACCGCCGTCAGCGAGCGCCTTGCCGGAACCGACGAAGAAACCGGCGCCGATAGAACCACCGATGGAGATCATGTGCATGTGGCGCGTCGACATGGAGCGGTCGAGCGAGTCGATGGAGCCTCCGCCAATGTCGCGCTTCTGGAACGACCGAAGGTTGAGGCCATTCCGGGTCAGGAAGTCCTCCTCATCGCGCGGCCGAACCTCGCCATGGGCTACGGCCGAGAAGGCCGGAGGCGCCGTCTCCTTTTCGGGAGAGTGGGAGCCCACGTCCACTTTTTCGTCTGATGACATGGTGAAGGATGCTGTTTTGGGGGAAGGACTGACGACGAAAGGGAGAGCAAGACGGGACGTGAGGGGGGAGGGAGGGGGACTTTAATAAAGGGTAACACTGGGTCGCAAACGATGTTGCGGCTCCCTCGTGTCGTCCCCCCCGGGTCTGGTTACATGCACCGCTTCCAGGGTCCGTATCTGCGGGGCCTCTGAACGAGAGACGAGGGGGGGGTTCAAGCGTCCGGGGAAAGTGACGGGGCAGGATCCAGCGGCACGGGAGGGTGAGGTTCCAGCCAAGAGAAGAAGGGCATTGGGCAAACGAGACCTTGACCGTGTTCAGCCGGCAAGCACAGAAAGTGGCTAGAAGCCTCACCGAAGGAGTTAAAGCGCGAGGTATGCAGTCTCGAGGGACGGCGAATCTGACAAGGAAGGCCCTCAATGGAGAAGGAGCTCGAACAGGCGGCCAATAACTCGACAGCCTTTTGCAGCCAAGTCGACCCAGCAGGGCCGGGAGGGGCGAGACTGTGAGCACATGTTCACTCACAGTCGGGTGGCGGATGGGGAGGGGAGGGGGCGCGTCGTCAGTACCAGCAAGCATGCAACATGCGGAGGAGGGGCAATGACGGAACCGGCAGGCGATTGTGAGTGGCTCAGTGGTTGCAACGGACTTGGGTTGTGAGGAAGGGGGTAACGGCCGCGCCCGTGATTTGTGCGTCAGCTCATCCCAACAGGGAGTCCAACCATCCGTCGAGCCGTTCGAACCAGCAATCCAATAACCAGAAAGTCCATATCGAACAGAACGGGCCCATGATCGCCGCTGTGTGTCTCCGTGTCGGTCTCCCAGTTTGGTTGGCGCCGGCAACATGAGGGGCCAATAACAAGAAACACCCTGGACCTTCAGTTCGGAGATTCCATTTGCCAAAACGAACTGGCACGACTGGGCAGGCTAAAATAGTGCCAAGCCGGTGCCCCAGATCTTGGTTTGGCGCCTTCTTCGTGCGGGCGATGCAGGTAACTACCTAGCAACGCCACCCCGATGCTTGGTCCGCACGTCAAGTCGTCAGTTGAACGAACAGTCCGAATGGCGTGTCTGTGATGACGTTGTGACACGAGGAGGATGAGATGACCCGCGAACTGTTGATCTTTCTGTTGATACGGAACGGGCTCGTTTCGTATTCTTTTTTAGCACACTGATTGATGATTGACGCCCATGCTGTGTTGCTGGTATGCGCGGTTTGACGACAACAAGTGACCGCCCTGGTTCCCGTTCCACTGCATCGCAGAGGGCTCCTCGCCCAGGGCAGGCAATGTCGGTAAGCGCACACTGGCGCATCAAATGGAGGGATAGGCCAAGTCGGCGGTATCCCGGTGCCGCTAAGTTAGCGATTGCCTGCGACGCAACGCGTCGACCTCACCGGCAGCCCAGCGGCCACAAGTTGCCATCTGGGGAGAATGGGCCGAAGATGGAGGAGGGAAGAACAACGTTTGACAGAGTCTGGGCCCGCCCTCATTCGCCGGCCGTCCGGCAGCCAAGCCAAACCATCTTGGCAGTGCTTGGAATCTCTTGCCAGCTTCCTGACCTGGAAAAGCTTGGCCATAACCCCCTGTCGGATGCCCCGGCCCAGTCTGGGGAGGCGGGTTTGGCTATCTTGGCGGGTTCCCGGAGGATTTCAAGCTTATCATCAAAGTGGGAGAGTGGCCCAGCAGCCGACTTGTCGCATGTCGGTGGGTTCCGAAGGCCCCTTGCTGGCTGGTTTCCATTTCCACTGTTGATAAGAGTAGTGTAAGAGCCAACAAACAGCCTAGCTAATTCCTACTCGGTAGGCATCTCAGATAGGCAGCAAACTCCCGAGGTAGGTTGCTTTCATGCCATCCTTCAGAACCATGCCTAGGCTCGGCTATAGAGATAGGTCGCTTTGCTTTGCGCCTATCTGATTGCTCTTTCCGAATTGCCGTTGATGGTTCGTTCGTTCGGTTCCGAGCGAGGCAATCGGGGAAGGAGCCAGACCCCTGCGTGGGGGTTGCCCAATGATTGCGGGGAAAGTGCCCGGTCCGGAGTTGTCCGGCTTTTCTGAACATCGGTCTCGCTCCTCCGACCTGAGAAACGCCGGTTATGTAAGATCACCACCACGGACGACATCCCCGGTTGTGAAGGGGAATTCGATCTCCGATCGTCGTGTCAGGTAGTTGCCACTGTTTTCTATACTCGCATGGAATTTGAGAAGTCGGCATAAACAAAGCAATCGTCGAGCACCGAAGCGATATGCCTTAGGTACATACATCCCCAAGATAGTCCTCCCGTCTGCATGCTGGCCCGAAGTATCTCTGCCCTCCGGCGCGGCATCTTCACATGTCATACGCCATGCACCCATCGCCTTCCCGGTTGGTACAACTCTATCAATACCAAGCGCTAAGCTGCTGATTCGCATTCGGGATGAATGTCTAAAAAAGGCAAGCACAAGTCAAGGCGAACCACCAGCCCTTTCTCAGCCGCAGCCCTCTTCCAAGTGGTCCATGGATGTCCCCATCAGCAGATGAGCACGCGACAAATGGCCCACCACAGGTCGCCCAGCGGCCCAGGCTCGATCCATCCATGCCCAACACGTGCGAGTTATTTCAAGTGAAACAAACACCATGGCCTGCCATCTCTGACTGATTATCTTTTCCAGCTTTGTCACAGGCGGAGAAGTTGGCTGATTTTGCCTTGTCCTGTCTCCTTGTGTCTCATCGTCCGCGATGGTCGCAGGTCCGGGCGGTGGTATGAAAATAACACTGCCATTTCCATTTCCCAACCTCGGGTGTCCTTGCTGCTCAGCACGCGGGACGCGTGAGCGCGTCTCCCAACCGCGCACGCCGCGGTACTTTGTCCCAACCATGACAATCAAGGAGGACCTTGCAGTGCCAGTCTATCCAATAATGATGCATCGATGGATGTTGAGCAAGCAGACTTCCCCAACACCTGACACGTTTGCCTGCCGGGAAGGCGGGGATTGTCAGAAGTATCAAAAAAGGAAGGAGTGAAAGGAACCCGGTCGCGCCCAGCCCAGCGGGAGCATGCGTGCATCCCACAAATGCAACAGTGCAGGGAATGTTGGGACTTTCCCATTCGATTCCCAGTGTGCCGCTTCAGAAGCACGTCCACTGCAGCTTGCTTCAGGCCCCTCCTTTCTTTCCCTTCGTCGCTGACGGAGGGTCTCGGTGGACCTGCAGAGTTCCAGCTCGCTGTCCCCCCATGGAAGTCCAGATCGATTCAGCTCTGCAAGGAGAAAACCACGGGGGTTGGTTGTTAAGAGTCGGTTGAAAAGGATCTCACAAACACAAGCAAATCGGGTGCCCTCCAGACAGCAACGTCCTCTTTTCTCCCTTGCAGTTCTCGATGGCTGATCCGAGGCGTTCCATTCCCAGCCTAGCGCAGCCTCCCATCGTCTGCCGCCCAAGCCGCCAATCGGCCCACCCGGCCACCCACAGGCATCACTCCATCCACCCACTCAACCCAAACTTTACTTTTCCCCATGCGCCCCAAAGCGACAGCGGGAGGTCTCCCCGTGCCAAGATTGGCCGTTGAGAGCAACCTCGGCATGGCCCTCTGGACAGATCGGTACCCTAGTCAGTTTGTGGCGGACCCCGCCAGCATAGGCAAGAGTCCGAGGATTGTCGGACAAGGCCTTCCGAGTTCGGCGAAGTTTGCCAAAGCATCAATGTGGCGGAGTGGCCGTTTTCCGATAGCATTTCTTTTTCAATCCGTCTTGTTGTTGGCAGCCTCCGTCCCGTATATGGACCTCTCTGACATGTGGTTGTGGGCTCACTCACGTGAGAAGGGGGAGAGTTCGGGGTTGGACAGCCATGCCCCTCTGTTTGACGTTCGGTTCCTGAACTCGAAATTGAATCTTCCATGCTGTGGACAAAGGAAGACAGTCCCGTCAGTCTGGGTGAATCAAAACCGTTTGATGCAAATTGAATATGCACCACGACGGTGACAGGGCCCATCCACATGGCGCCTTGCCATCGACCTGTCTACGTTACGCTACCCCTGAAGATCTTAGTACCATCCGTTACCGACAAGAAGAATGGCGACACGGCCCGTTCGCCAGTGCTAGCTCGGCGATCTCCTGCAGTCACGGAGAAGCTTACATCAGGGGGTAGCGGTCCCGCCGTCCGTGGTACATCCCTCCAACCTCTCACCGCAGACTCCCGTTGTGAGGTGAGACAATCGTGATAGCCTAGTACGGTTACGGCACTTAGAGGGACGTACCGACACCGTAGTGCCGACCAACCGTTCGGGTGGAGGTTCCTTCACGGGTAGTCCCATGGCCACATACATGCAGCGTTCAGCCTGAATCTGGGTGTCATCGGGTTTTGTCATGTTTCACGCTGGGAAGGCGCCTAGTCTTGCTACTGTAACACATGGTCAAGTCGACAGTATTAGACGGGCAAGTGCTGTTTTCAAACCAACTACACATGGCTTCAAGAGACGCCTTCCGCGGAAAAGATATCGTGCCTTCACCATAGGCTCTCAAAGAGACGCGGATGAATCAATGTAACCCAAGCTCCGGTCCAGGGGAACGTAGACATAAGGTTCTTTGCCCCATGGCGAGGCCATCGATGTCACGGTTACACAGCACAGTGACCCGCATCACGATGTCCAATTGTTTTGTTTCACAGCTCCTGATCTTGTATCTCGGCTTGAAATCATGATATGGCACCATTTATAGCCTAGAGTCACACACAAAGCCGCTGTCCTTGCTTTCCCACCGGATCATTGCCTTCATCAAGTGTTACGGATCACCGGAGACGGGCAAACCCAACGACTGTACCACAAGCTGCTTACTCCTTTTACCTAAGTAACCTTGGGTGGCTCTGTGACAGGTGGCACCAGCTTCGTTGGGGGGTTTTGTAGCTCACCCCTTGACGTATTTGGCGTTGGTAAGAGCGCAAATGTTGACTCAGCCCCCATGGTTCGACGAGCTGGCAGCACACCGACCTCTTAGCATGCATTCTTACGCTTGTTATGAGGCTCTTCTCATAGACGTCGAGACCAACACTCCCAACACACTAAACCCGAGTACGTTAGGCAAGAAAATCACAATCCCGTTTATTTGGTCACAAGGCTCAACAGAACGAGCGACCATTCTTGGCTACCGCGAGTGGTAGGGAACGGGCCATTCAGTTATCTCCATCAACTCCATTATTCACCTGAAGGGAAGTTGTGTCCATTCTTGTTGATAGCAATGACTCTGCTGCTAAGGGGAGGTCTATGGTGACGCCAACAACTTAGTAGTGGGCGATAAGTTTGCGTCTAGGGCCGTGACAAAATCAATAATGAAATTACGATGATATGACTAGTCAGCTAAACTTCCTTGGGAGTATTGAAATCTGTGGAATACGATAGACAGGAGTTCGATTTGCCCCGCGTCAATCACTCGTTGTGTCTGCCATTGTGTATAACTGGCATAAGGGATCATGGGTCCAGGGACTCCCCTGATGCCCCTGAGGAGTTTCTCAACTTTCAACAGCGTATTGGGTAACATACAACGTTTGACACAGAAAAGCCGACATCCTCCACTTCCTCGAGTTCCATACCTAGCATGCCATTATGATGTCCCACTTTCAACTTCCAACACCGCTAAATAGCTGAGTATGCAGGGTAATAGAAGGTTTATTATCAGCCTGATAAAAGTACTGCCAACATGATATAAAGTGAATACCAATACATTGCATTAAAGACGATGGAGGAACTCATAAACCTAAAAGCTGCACCCAAATTAACCAACCAACCATCCAAACCCAGTCAACCACAATTAAACCCGTCTTTCTCAGATCTCCCCGTTACCATGCCGGCCAGATACCTAGATAGCAACCACACCCCACCCCCCGCCTCCCCTTCAACCCCTCTCACCCTAACCAACCCCTTCACTCCTCCTCATCATCCGCATACGCCACATGGAACTGCACCAACAACCAATCCGCCCCGGCCGTCTGCCGCCACGTACTACTCACGCTCGCCACCACCTCCCTCACCCCCCCCTTCCGCCCCTGCCTAAACAAACTAATCTTATACACCAACGCCACCGCCATCAAATCCACCTCCACCACCAACGGCTCGCCCCAAAACCGAAACCCATTAAACCTCCCGCCATCCGCCCCCGCCTGCAACACATCCACCACACTGGGCGTCGTATCCTTAGACAACGGCTCGCACGACCCGCGCGGCGCCAGCAGCGGGTTGATCATGACGCAGTCGTGGGCGAGGTAGTCGCGCAGGGAGGCCGGCTCGTCGCAGAGGGCGCGCCAGAGGAGCGTCTCCATCTCGCGCGCGGCTGCGTGGTTGCGCTTCGAGATGGTGTCGAGCCGCGCGTTGGCGCCCATGGTGGTGGAGGACGAGACGTGCGGGCCGGCGCCGGGGGGTGGTTGGTGGGTGGTGGCGGGTTTGTCGGTTGTTAGGCCGAGCGCGGTGGGCATTGCTTTTTGGTTTTTTGGGGGTGTTCTTGGTATATGGGTGTTATGGGTGTTTATTGGTTTGGTCGTTGTTGGTGAGATTGCGTTTTGGTGTTGTCGGTTTGTCGGTGGCGGTGATAAGTGTTAGTGGTTTGGGCGGAGAGACAGCGTGATCGTTAACAGTTGTTTGTTTTCGACTTTCGTGAGGCTTGACGGAAGTTAACTCGCGACGGTTGCATGCATCGGACGCCCAGGGATGGATATTGCATCCTACAAATACTAAACTCTTGACTCGGATCTAGAATGACGACAGTGAATTATACCGGCCCATCCCTCCCCCCCAAAACCAAGAAATCGCAACATCAAGACAAAAAGCTCGTGTCGGTGGACGTCGGCTGACGTCACATTCCGCAGCCCCTGAACGCGCATAGCCAGCCGGCACCAGTCCCCGCCCTCCATCTTCGGCCGATTTGCCCCACGCGCCGCAGCCGTTGCAGGTCGTCGGGTTCCACATCTGCTTTTAACTTTCCGGCTTGTCCTGGATCTGGGGTCTATTCCTCGACTGATATGTTGGAAGGTTGGCGATGGAACACCCTTGCAAGCTGACCCCGTGGTCGAGGTTGCATGAGAAGGGCATAAAATAGTCTACCAGCCTTCCCTGGTCATGAGTACATATAACCGACGGCCAGAACAATCTTCGGACGATCACAGAGGGCGGTGCATCTTGAGTGTAACTTAACAATATTTGCTATGGTCTCCTCGTGGTGTGCCGCCGAGCCGAAGGCATGCACGAGGTGAAGCTCGTCTACACCACCAGTACTATACACTGCTAGCATGACACCAAAAAATACTCGAGGAATAGGAGTTGGCCTTTGGTGGCCAACCCTTAATTATTCATCCCGTTGCCGCCCCCCAAAAAGGAAAAGGATATATCCCACGCCGGAATCGCCGAAACCAGACATGCCATACCATACCGTAAAATGACGCCGTGTCCACCGCATGAATGTAAACCGTTGGCACAATACATCATTACTCAGAGTAACGAGCTCGGGCTTGCAGCACCGTTCAAGGCTGAGTTTCAGCCTGGCCCTGCCCCTGGCTCGGCTGCTCAGTCAAGCTCTTGCCCTGCTCCACCTTGCCGAAATTTTGGCTCGCCCTCCTGAGATTCATCATCATCTTCTCTACCAGTGCCGAATTGTCTTCGGTGCCGGCTCCTGTCGGGGAGGCAGCGGCCCCTTGTGGCACTGGCTGTGACTGAGATTGTGGTGGCGGCGCCCAACCGGAGCCGTTTTGTGATTGCTGGGTCGTTGGGCTTGGAGTCGGCATTGAACCCTGTGGTATCCATTGAGGGGCTGTTGTTGAGCCCGCTTGGCCACCACCAGGCGGAGTCCATGGACCCTGCTGCGGCGGGTTCTGGTGTGGCTGCATGTTCGGGGCTGACGCTGGGGTTGCCCTGACTCCTGGCTGGGGTCGCGTCGATGCTGGTGGGGCCGTGAACGAGTCCCCAGGTGGAGGGTGTGGGCCCCCTTGCTCAGGGGTTCGGCCCAGAGTCGGCGGCTTGGGACCAGTTGGTGACACTGTAGTCATCTGCCTCACGTATGGCGGCAACGGAATTGGGCTATGGCTTTGTTTTGCGAACTGCGGTTTCCCCTGCGCCGGGGTGTGCGCCGGCTGTGATGATGTCTGAGAAGGGGCTTGTGGTACCGCTTGCCAAACGTGGTGGCTCGGTTGGCCCCCGTGTTGCGGCTGCGGCGCCCCGTATTGCGGTCGATTGGCAGGGTGCAGCGGCCCTGCGTTAGGATGCCTCATATCAAAGGCCTGATTGCCGTTCCTAGGTTGGGCTGGATACCCGTGGTTATGATACTGCGGCACCTGAGGAGCGCTTGGCCCTGGGGTTTGGGACGGAGATCGCGAGGTCTGGGCCGGTGGCCGGGGGAGAATCTGCGCATACGGAGTATCGAGGCGTGGCCGCAACGGTTGAAGCAGCGAATTAGGGACCTGGTTGACCGGACCTTTGCTGCCTCCTCCAGATAGAGCCTTTTGGGTCTTGATCAGGAACTCTCGGAGGTTCCCTTCGTACCCGTTTGTGAAGCCGCCCCACTGGCCGTAGGGGGTTCGGTATTTTGACGGATCCCTATCATCGCGTTAGTATTGTTCTACAATGCGAGAGCATGAAGAGGACCTACCTGTTGTGGTTCACCTGGAAAAAGGCGTACTTCTGGTACGCGCTGACGTACGGCTGTCCTCCTGCTCCTCCAGGCTGCGGGTTGCTAACGCTCGGAGATTTCAGGGCTGACGACGTCATCGGAGCAGCCGCGCCTGCCGGCGAAGGCCAGGCTCTTGACTGAGGCTGAACAGATTGCCCTGATTTCATGTGAGCAGGGGGCCAGGATAAGCCGGGAAGCTTCGGGAATCCATTACTACCTCCGACGGGCGCAAACCGATCCGGCGAATATAATGCCGAGGAACTCTTGCGTTGGGCATCCAATGCTGGTGGCTGGTATTGCTTCACCTGCAAGGAAGGCTGCTGCTGTTGTTGCGGTTGCATGTGTTGCTGGGGATGTTGGGCAAACACATGATGCTGGAAAGTTGGCTGTGGTTGTGGCCGGGGTGCCACCTGAGAATTGTGAAACTGCCGCAACGCTGGGGACTGCGAAGGTGTGTTGACAGAGAAGGTGTGCGAGGTAAACTGAGCAGCATGTTGACCGGGACTTGGCCCGACCGGCTTCCGGGGTTTGTAGACGTAGGGTTTCTCCTGCTTGCCGGTTCCGGTACTTGACGGCGCCCCAGTGGCGGCCGGATAGCCCGGATAACCCGGATACGCTCCGGGTACTAGTTGTCTCACCTGAGGGACTAGTGGCATTCGCACCGGAGGTGGCGGTTTCGGTATGGTGTCCAGGAAATTGCCCTTGGGATTGTGCCACGGTCGTGACGGATCCTCGGTATATTGGGCCTTTGCTTCGGTAGACGTCTTGCCCAGGTAATGCCAGACCTGGTTCTCCTTGGTGAAGTCGATCTTGACCTGCGTCTTATTCTTGATGACGTCGCCCGCGTGAAACTCGGCCCAAGTAAACCCAGGAGCAAACTCGTCGTCCTTCCTAGGCGCTTCGTCGACGGCGCGTTTAGCATTGATCTCTTTTTGCGCCTTCCTACAGGTCGGCATAGGGATAGCATTGGCCGATGCCTTGGGAAGACGGAAGTCTGCGGGGTCGGGCAGAAGCAACCACTTCCATTCGACTTCGACCCGATCACTGCTGATTGTCAGTTCAAGCCCACAGAGCCCATCTCGGGCGACATACCCATTGGGAATGATGTCGAGAAGGAATGTCTCCTCGTCGAGGCGGTTCTCCGCCACCACACCGGCAAATATTTCTCCACGGTAGTACTGTAGTTGGCATATGTCGTTCTTCTTGAGAGCCTTGGCGGCCGCGCGAAGTTGAGCGTTGTTTTCCAGAGCATCTCCATCCGCTTTTCGGTCTCTCTTGGTCCGATGGAAGCGGCAGCTGAATTCGAATGCCTGCTCTTTGTATTCGGTCCCGTCCTCCCCGAATACTGGGACTTCCTCTTCCTCCACGAAGACACCTGCCGCTGCAGCACAGGTGGCGTGGTAAGACCTCGGGCATTTCTTTTGAGAACATTGGAAGCATGCGCCCTTTTTGGAGCGGCAGTAGAGACACTTGAGCTCCAAGCGGGCCTTGTCGATGGCGGCAATGTTTGCGATGATCTCTTGGCCATCCACCGTTTCGATGTACGTCTCGGGTAGGTAGAGTGCACACATGCGATGGGCCTTGCGGCCATCGTCCGTGGGCATGATCTCGGCTCCTGGGATGTCGCTGGGACAAAGACAGCAGGGCGGCTCGACGTGCGACTTGAGACGAAGGCGAATCTTCTTGGTCTTGGTCCGCGGCTCCTTCTCGTTGGCACCCCGCTTGCGTTTCCGACCCGGGGCTTTGACTCTGAGTGTGTGGCTCGAAGGAGGACTCGGAAGACCCGTGTCTTGGTCATCGTCGTCCTCGTCCTCGTCATCTTCGTCGGTCTCTTCGTACTCGGTCTCTTCTCCACGGAGCTTGCGCTCTATTTCGTAGACATCGACCCAAACACTGTCCTGGGCCTGGGCGCACTGGCACTTCTTCGCGATCTTTCCCATCGGCAACCAGCTGTCCAAGGCGAAGTTGACGGCCTCGGCACAGTTGTAGCCGAGATTGTAACCCGAATGGTAGCCGTACGGGTACGTGACAACAAACTCGCCGGGGTACGAGACGCATTTGTTGACTGTGATATTGTAATTCTGCTTCAGGTGTGACGGGGATATGAGGAACCCCTTGTGTCTGAGGAACTGATCGCAGGCCTTTGCATCGGTGGGCCAGATGTTTTTCATGGCGGCTTCAAACCTCCGGGCGTCGGCCTGGGAGATGCTGTACCATTGTTTCGGGGCGCCAAAATGGAGGTAATTAATGCTGTAAAGGTCGACATCCTCCAGATGCCAGGCAAAGGTTGCCTTCCACATACCGAGGTAGAGATACGCGGTGTTGACGCCAGGGACCTTGGTACCGAGAACGTCCAAGAGATTGGGTAAGTTGTTCAAGTTCCAGTTTTGGACCGAATCGCCGAATAGAGTGCCAGGAAGATCTGCTCCGTACAGCGGTGGCGCGTACGTCAACGTTTTCCAGTACGTCTTCTCCAGTTCCTCGCAGCGTTCCGGCGTGAAGTCGGAAACATCCATCTGGTAATCCCAGTCCTTAAACGCAGCCTCATCGATCATGGCGGAGCCTTCGCGCCGCATGTATTTCCGGCGAGCCGACACGGATTGGGTTTTTTGTTTTGACTGCCTCGCAAATCCCATCCTTCGCACCACCGGAGGCCCATCCTCCTCTTCTTCTTCGCAATCCTCGTCCTTGACGCCCGGTTCCTCTTCCACGGACTTTAGCACCTCCTCCTTTTCGGGGGCCGGTGATACAGGCGTCATCGGACGGTCCTCTGGCTCTTCGGTCTCTTCCTTTGCGTTTCTGGCCGATCTTCGCGTGACTCTCCCACCCCTTCGCTTCTTGGGCGGAGTCGACGTTGCAGCAGATCGGGTGCTTGGTTCGGCGGCAGCACGAGTCCTAGTAGCAGCCTTTCTATCCGAGTTTGCGCGGCGCTCGCCTCGTCTCGCAGGTGGCTGATGTTCACTTTGATCGCAGAGCCGTCTCCATTGCGGTAGGTTGTAGGAACGCTGGTGAAGGATATTGACTTGCCGGTACGTTCCGTTAGAGCCCATGATTTCTTGCTTAATCGGCTCTCGAACGCGGATTTGCTTGATCAAGTCGTCCACCGGCGGTAGAGACTGCTTCCACTCATCAGGCGCAATGATCTTGATGATGCCAGATTTCATGCCGTACTTGTTGACCTTCTCCATCTGGATTCGATCTTGTTAGTGTATTCCTGGGATTGGGTTGGGGTCGGGGATGCGCCGACATACGAAGAGCTTGAAGTCCTTGAACTGCTTCATGGTCGGCCTAAACACGGGTACGGTGCCGCCGGACCAGTGGTCGGGGAGAACCTCGCCAATGTCTTCCACCGGCGGGGGTTCTGGTCCAGACTCCGGCTCTACATTGGGCGGTTCCTGGGGCTTGTCCTTGGGTTCATCCTGGAGCTCGTCCTTGGGTTCGTCTTGGGACTCGCCCATGGCGTCGTCTTCATATTCGTTCCTGAGCTCGTCCCCAAGAACACCATCCAGCTTGCCGGCGACTTCATCGAGATCGCTGAGTTCCGAGTCGCTACCGTCGGGGTCAACGGCATTGTTACTGTCTGGCGGGGAGTGCAGGGCGACAGGTTTGGAGTTGACGGCAGGCAGTTCGACGTCCATGGCCACGGTGGGCGCCGCAGCGCCAATCGCTTCGATGGACATTGTGCCGGGCGCTACATGCGTCCTATTTTTTGGTTGGGATGACGACAATGTCGAAGTGCGATGGTGAGATGAGCAAGGGCCGAGTTGTCGTGCGACAGATCGACGGAGCGCCGAGCGTCGCAAATGCCGAGTTGGAGAATGGCAGGCGAAAGACTAACGTTAACTCGAACTTGGATTCGGCAACCCCGAGGTTTCGTCGTCTGGATTGCAGGCGGGGGCTGGAAGAGACGGGCAGCTTGCCGATGGGTCGACTCGGGAGGAATCTGGGCTGATCACTCCCTAGAAGGACCTGCGCAAAGGGGAAATGCGGGCGGACACCAAATGGGAAAGGCGCTGCGACGGCTGGTTTCAGCGGGCGAAGCACTGGGCAGGGAAACCACTGCAAAATCGCTTTGGTCGCGCGGGAAGGTCGGCTCGGGGACCGCGAAGTTCTGCTGCACGATTATCGGGTGCAGACAAAATTATTGTCCAGATTCTGGTCGCGCCCTTGAATGTGAATGGCAGTCGTGATTGTGTGACTCGAGTTTAGATGTGAAGTCACTTTCAAGTCGCTGCGGATGCTGAATGGAAGGGAACGGCAGGTGCAATCACCCCAGGTTCTCGCCACTTGCGTCGTCAAATCCAAGCTGCGCTAAGCCTGATCAGGCAGAACTGCTGCACGGGCCTTGGGGATCACCCACTCACACGACTGCAGTGGAATTGGGGAGAAGCATTTCTGCACTCGACACACCCACTTTGAGCATCATGGCATGGGACCAACATTGACTGCTTTTTCTTACCTCTGCCGCTTTGGTCAAGGTATTTTGGGCTTATTAGGTGTCATTGAGGGCACGTTTCTCCACAATCCAGAGAAAAGAGGTCACCCAAAGGACTTGATGCTGTCAGACAACTTTTCCCAGTCGAGGACATCATCATCAGATACGGACAGAGGCTACTGTGTACTCCCTTGCTTGCTTTCTTGAATGGGCAGAATGCGCATAGGTGAATGAGGGAGTTTGAGCAGTGGATTGCATTCGAAGCATCGAGGCAGGAGGTTGAAGATGGATAGCGAAAGATGGTGATGACCAGGGAGCCCAGTTTCTTCCCAAATTCGAGAAGCCAATGTTGAAATCAACGAACGAGAATGAAATCAGAGCTCAGGGTCCAGCCCGCAGCAGCTGAACGATGGCAGCCGCAAATCGGGTCCCCTCCAGATTAGATAAGATCTCTTAGACCAAACACGAGCCGGCTGCCCCTGAGCCGGGCACCGCCGGGGTACAGATGCCGTGCGGGGGTCGAGGAAGCTTCCCGATGACTTGCAGGAGACTCCGCCCGGGGCCGTCTCGGGAATCGGCGCGAAGCATTCACCTTACCCAGATCTGCCAGATCTTGCTTGCAAAAGCAACCCGAGAACGACGAATCACAAACACCAGCACCCAATCACCCGCAGCGTCATGGAGAAAAGGGCAATTCATTACCGAGGCAGCAAGGTGCAAAACCCAGCACCAAGCCACCACAAGAAGCGAACAAGAAAAGAACCGTAGATACAACGCAGAAGAGAGGCATCCTTTATCATCACGCCCTCAGATGCTACGCGCCTAAGCCAACCGCCTCAAAAGCAAGAAGGCCGCCGTCCACTGCCAACCACGCAATGCCTGTTGTGTGTGTGTGACTGGTCAGTAAGAGTACCCCACGAGGACCGCCAAGGAAAAGGGGGGTGAAACAGAAAAAAAAAAGACGGAACATACCGGCATAAACGACCAACTTGGTCACCACCTCGACATCATACCTCACCCTAGGCTTTATTAGCTTGGAGAAGACCTCCTTCTCGCCCAACTCATCCTGCTGCCCCAGGTACAGATTGACCCCACCAGCCTCACCATCCGCCCTGTCAGGCGACGGACTCGCCGCCGCCACCACCTTCCCCGTCCCCATCATGCGCTCAAACTCAGCCAACCTCCCGCCGCCGCCGCTCTGCACGCCCGACGCCTGCGAGCACTCCCCATCCGCGACCGCCTTCTCCCGCAGGCCGTTGGCGCTCTCCCGCCCCTTCAACACACCACCACCACCACCACCAGCAGCAGCACCACCAGCACCACCAGCGGCAGCGCCGGCATCGCTCCCGAGGCTCTCCCTGCGGCGGCGCTCGCGGTACGCCAGCGTCTCGTACGCGTCGGCGGCGCTCTGGGGCCCGATGCTGACGGAGCGGCCGCGGCCGGGGCCGCGGAAGCTGCGGACGAGTTTCGGCAGGTCGCTGACGCTGGGCAGGACGTTGTCGTCGCGGACGTGCAGCGGCACGTCCTTGTACTCGGAGGCGGGCACGAAGAAGCGGCGCGGCAGCGAGAGGCCGCGCGTCTCGATGACGCGGTAGAGGTGGGGGAGGAAGCGTAACAGGGTGGGTTTCATCACCTCGCGCCAGGCGAAGACCATGCCCACGCCGAAGACCAGGCGGGCTACCGCCCGCTGCCAGCCGAGCGCGGCTAGGTCGAAGGTTGCGTCGGGGCCGTTGTACACGGCTGCGATGCTCGAGTAGCGCGCGAACCGCCACATGCCGAGTTCTAGGCCGATCATGACGCCCGCGAACGCCACGCTGTCGTCGAAGCAGGGGCAGTCGTCCGCCGGTTCTGGGTGTACGCGCACGAGAACGATGATGACCAGGGCGATGATGAGTGGTGCCAGGTATTGGCTGTTGTAGAGCCAGGCCTCGAGGCCCGGGGCGTAGTAGAACTCGACGAGCGAGATGGCGGCGCCCATGAGCGAGCCGATGATGACGTCGGCGAATCCGTGCATGCCGCAGTACAAGCGGCCGATAATGATGGAGAGGGCGTAAAAGTAGGCTAGCCCTTCGAGCGCGAGGGTTATCGAGGGGGAGAAGGGGTTGCTTTCGCGGTGGAGCATCAGGACGGCGTAGACGGCGACCGAGACGGCGTTGGCGGAGTGGGTTGACGGGAAGCCGTATTCGAGGGCGGCCGAGCCGGACATGGTGATTCGTTGGAGGGGTGGAGATAACGGGCGCGGGAGCGAGCACATGTCTTTAATAAAGCCGGTGAAGAAGACACCGCAGGCGAGAATGTGGACCAGTCTGGATGTATGTGTCTTGTGTCAGCGCTGGTATATTCGTAGTCTCGTTGGTTTGGTCCTTTACCCCTTGGCGAACTCCCGGAAGCCGAACCAGAAGAGGATTGGCAGCCCGACCATGAAGAATGTATGTGTGCCGAGGTTGGCCGTGATGGCGAAGTAGCTATCGAGGGCGGGCGTGCGCACCATGCTCTGGAAAGATGCTAGATAGGGTGTCTCCCACCGCACGATGGGCAGGAGAGCCTGGCGCAGGTCGTACCGCCATTTCGGAAGTGCTCGCTTGTCTAGCCGTGGTTGTCAGCGCCATTGCCCGCGTATGTGCGTGTTGAGAGCTTTGCGTTGCTCCGAGTTGCTCGAGTCGAACGGGGGATTCGAGGCGGGGCAGTCAGGGGGTTTTTCGCGAGGGGTGATAAGACTCGGCTGTCTGTCGATGGGTATCTCGGCGCTCAATTGACTGCAACATGGGGACATACAATGGTGTTGGTTCCTCAATCCGGCATCCACCACTCCATTCTTCCCTTTTCCTTCGGCTGCCGCAGTCGTCGAGGTGCCGTTGGGGAGCACTGCGCCGGAGGCAGCGCTACGGTCGGGTGAATTCATGAGATGGGAGCCGGTGCCGAGGCAGCTGGTGCTCACCAATTCTGCCCCGGAGTGAGCGGTTTCCTCGGTGGCAGGCGGGCGATCGATCAGGTTTCGGTGCGATGGCAGCTGTGAGGCATTGATGTAACCCGCGCGACTCCGGGAGGTGAGGGAGGTAAGAAAACAGAATCCGTGGAAACTGGGAGACGCCTGTTCAAATCCTCTCCAAGTAACCTCGAAGGCCACACACACGAAATGCGCCGTGATTGGTCTTTGGTCTTGGCGGCGCTCTGCATCGGTGGTGCAAAGGGTTCGGGCCCACTCGGCCACTCAGCTCCCCCAGAATAACATCCTTATTCTCTCACCCCTGCCTAACGTAGCATTCGGTCGACATTGCGACTCCATACAGAATAAGTACCGTATCAGACAGAAAGAAACTTGCATCTACGCAAACCTGGTGGATATATCTCCAACCATGGCGTCCTACGCGCTGGCGGGCAAAAAAGCCGTCATCACCGGCGCATCCGGCGGAATTGGGTTCGCCATCGCGTCGCGGTTTGCCAAAGAAGGTGCCAGCGTAGTGTTGGCTGGTCGGACAAGGTCTAAACTTCAGCGGTCACTTGCGGAACTCCAAGAGATGATGGGAGAGCCGCGGGGCCTTGAGCTACCCCAATCCCACAGCATACATTGCTTGGACGTGGGTGAGATGAGGGCGTGGGGAAGGTTGATAAAAGATAATGTACGTGTTTGTTTACTTGGTCGATGCACTTACTTGTCTCTCGTCCTCGGCTGTTTCGTTGCGGCTGTCATGCGCATTCCGAGACTGGAGCTGACAGAGAGGGTTGTGGCGAGAGTTATGCTTACTCTATGTCTTGTAGAAGGAAATCGACTACCTAGTAAACTGCGCCGGCGAGCCACAGAACTCTCTGCTCCTCCGGATCGACGAGGAGACCGTTGACGGTCTGCTGGCTAGCAACTTGCGCGGCGTTATCTTTGGGTGCAAGATGGTTGGCAGGCAGATGATGGCCCGGCGCAGGGGCGGTTGCATCATCAACATCTCGAGTTTGCTGGCGCACAAGGGAGTCATTGGGACGTCCGTTTATGCTGCTGCCAAGGCGGGCCAATTAGGTATGCCAACACCGCCCTTTCAACTGGTCGTCCAGGCGTGAGAGGGCGCACACTTACAAGCCGATGGATAGGCCTAACAACTGCGCTCTCCGCCGAGCTCGCCAAGCATGGCATCCGTGTAAATGCGGTGTTGCCCGGGTACATCGAGACGGATATGACCGACGGTATGTTCTCATGCTTCTCATTTCTCCTATCAAATCCCTACCATGTTTCACTACATGAGCCATTGGCTCTGCCCTCCCTCCCTTTTCCAGCTCAGCATCCACCGCCATCTCCAAGCTCGTAAACGAGCAGCGGCATCCCCAGCCGCTACGAGAACGCCCCAGCCAATTTTCCATCCATACATTGCTCCAAGCTAATCCACACATGCCATCGCCATCGCCATGCTAAAGGCCTCGCGAATAAAGAACTCCAAAAAAAGATTCCCTTAGGGCGCTTCGGGACCGCAAGCGAGGTCGCCGATGCCGTCGCCTTTCTCGCCAAAAACGAGTATGCGAATAACTGCATCCTCAACCTGGATGGCGGGTTAAGTGCCGTCTGAAGGGGTCGGCGAGAACGAGAAAGAGGAGCGGGCGAATTGCAGGCCCGACGCACACCAGCCTCCAGCGCTACAAAGAGGTGAGATCGGCAAGCAGTCGCCTGAGCTGCCGCCCTATCATGGCGTCGGCAGCTGCTGGGGAGTTATTGTGCCACCTCAGCATTCTGGGAGGTTTCAGTCATCGTCAATGACGATGGCACCCCCCGCGGCATCGTCGAGGACGACAACGCCATCGTCCTTATCCGTAGCTGACGCCACCGTCTTCGCCTTCTTGACGACCGCGACATCCTCCGGGTCTTCCGGGTGCGGGCGTTTCGCCGGTACTACCTCGGCCACCCCTTCGCTTTGCTGCCTGCTACCGTTTTCGATGCCACGCCCATTCTGGCCATTGGCCTCTGGAGCAGGGGTTTTCTTTGGCTTGGTTGGGATCTTGACCTCTCCAGATGAGACGCCCTTAATAGGCTTGTCATCGAGGGGTTCCTTGCTATGAGAGGATTAGCGAGGGGTGGGTGCGAGGATATACCGCGTTGGAGACATACGCTTCTTGAATGGCGACTACCACGTTGACGTACGGATCCTCGTCGTCTTCGTCTGTGATGGTTAAGAAGGAATCCGGCTTGATGCCTAGATGACAATGTCAGACACGCTCAAACGCTGAAACGTTGCGATCCAGTTCATGCTTACCGAGCTCGCTCAGCTTCTTGCCAAGATTGTCCGTCTCATCGGGGTCGTACAGGATGCCGACCTCGTTGCTGACGGAGATTTCTTTTTCCCCATACCCCAACTGGAGCTTCAGGAAATCCTCGACGAGGTCGTTGAGTGTTGCCCTCGACAGGTCGACATAGGCACGGGTTTGGAAGACGCTGCAGACCGGGCAGTCTGGGTTGGGCACTCGGGATTTGTCTGATGCTAAGAGACGGGCGGGTGCGAATGGCGTTAGGAACACCTCTCTCGCCCTGTCATACTCGCCCTTGAGCACTTTAAACGCCTCGAGTACGCAGAGACCGGCCACAATGGCATTGGTCGTCGCAATCGCGGGTATGATGTTGCCCGCCATCTGTTTAATGTCAAATTTAGACTTGCGGTCGATGCCGAACAGAGTCGACCTGATGTTTGCGCTTGCGGCGACGAAGTCTAGTGTGTCCTCGTCATCCTTGTCGAAGGTGATGATCGCGTCCGCGAGACCACCCTGTGTATTTTTTATGTCGAGGATTCGCTTGCTCAGTCGGTCTAAGCTGTCGTTCAAGACGACCAAGTTCTCTTCCAGCGACCAGACCTTCTGGTCATCCTTCAAGACCGCCTCCTTGGACGCCAACGCTTCCTTGGCTTTTTCCAGCAGGTCCTTGTAGTTGAGCGGCTCCGGGGCCTTCCTCGCCTTCCACATGTCTTCCATTGACCGCAGCCGGACGATATCGGTGTTGAAAACCTTGTCGAAAAGCATCTCGTGGAATTCCGGGCTGCCGACTGATTCGCGGATCCTTCGTAGCGCTTCCGACTCGCGCTTGAGTTCCGCGATCTCTTGGGCGTTCTCGGCATCGGAGGAGTGGTCAAAGGCCGATTCGTCCTCGCTTGTCCCAAATATTTCGTTGAGAAGATAACTCTTGCCCCAGACGATGCAGTGGATCGGTTGGCTCGGGGTGCTGCGGATGGTACAGACGGGGAATGACTTGGGTGTCTCCTTTGGCGAGCAGTCGTAGCACGCGGTGACGCCTTTCTTGATCACCTGGACCTGGCCGTTGAACCCGGTGGTCCCGCTCTCGATCAGAGGCACGTCGGCGGCCAAGCACATCTTGTTGACATGGCGCCGCGCCTCGAGGTTGTCCAGTGCGTTGAACACTATTCTGAAGCTGCTGAACCATTCGATGCTGAACTCGGCGTCTTTGATGTTGGCATGATGGGCGACGATCTTGACTGCCGGATTGAACTTTTCGGCAACTTCCTTCGCGACCTAGTATCGCAATCGTCAATCCAAGCTCGGCCTGATCGACAGCTGTGGGGGTCTATACCAATGCCTTCGACTTCTTGATATGCTCTTGTCGGAAGAGGAATTGCCGGTTGAGGTTGCTGAGGTCGATTGTGTCGAGGTCGACCACGTGAACCTCGCCGAAGCCGGTAAGAACAAGGTTCTTGAGTAGTTCGCAACCGATGCCGCCGGCGCCAACCATCAACACCCGCGACTGTTTCGACTTGGTTAGTGCCGGCACTGGGACGAGCTCCATGTCAGATGACATCTCGGGGCAGGTATGCGATCAGACAACGCGAGGACACAAGCGGATAATAAAGGGAGTAAAGAAGCGAAGGGCATAATGCGAGAAACAACCACTGCTGTGTAGGAAGGAAAATACATGGTTAGGGTTGGTTATGTTGCGGAGGGGGGGTTGCCCTGGCAGCAAACGAAGCTCCCGATGAGTGGAGGGGGTAGGAATAAAACGATTCGACTTTCGGGCACCCACCTGTTTAACATGGGCGTTCAAACCGCGACCCAGCGATTGCGAATTGAAACTATCGCGAGTTAAAGAGGGCGGCGCCATTACTGGCACAACCGGGGCAAGCGGCGCAACCATGGCTGCGTTGCCGTCAATGGACACTGTTGGATCCATGATGCAATGATCCCCCGGAGAGGGAAGAGAATAAAAAAAGAAGGTTTGAAGAGTAGACCAGGGGTTCCACACTAAGGTCAGTACCCTACGGTAAAGCCATGAGGAGAGTGCCGTCAAAGAGGGTGAAGAATTGGCTTGGGCTTGGAGAGCCTTGTCGTGGTGGTTTGTCGCATCAAGAAACAGGCAGCTCGTCGCATTCAAAGAGTGAGTGGGTCAGTCAGTCAACGCGGCAAGCACAGCGCGACGGATTGAGAGGTGGTCCGAGCGCAACCCCCACCAACATTGAACGGAAAGCGTGGAAGGAAGTCAATTGCGTGGGCGACTAAAGTACGACCTTATATCGTGTCTCTGGTGTCACAATAGAACCACATCCTAACGGGAGGATGTCTCGGTATCCCTTTTACCCCGAGCAAGCTACACTTGGCGCCACTAGACATTCTGAAACTGCCTACGAATACCGTTGAACTTCCATCGAATCTCTTCCCAGGCGGTAACTTCCCCATTGGTCGCCCTGCCATGATTGGGTCCACTCCATCTGCAGCCTCAAACTCGAATGAGAGCAAGTTTCGGTGCGAGTCTCAATCTGCCAGGGAGCATGAATAACTATCAGCAGCCAGCGAGCCTTGTGCAGACAAGATGATATTCGATTTATTAAGGGCATCGAGATTGGGTATAGCACACTCACAATACTCTAGATGACAGCAATATGACATGACACCATGTCCTTTCTTCTCCGTTACCAGATTTGTGCAGCCATGATGAAATCTCGGTGCACGTTCCCCTTTTCAACAATTCCAACTCTCACCGTTTGATACCAGCACTCATCCACAACACCCACATCCAACCAATTTTCTCTTCTCAATTTCTCTCCACAGAACCCTTTTCACGTTCAAGCACTTCCAAAATGTCTGACGACGAGCCCGACCTCGAATTGCTCGCCCTGCTCCGGCAGCACCTGCAGGGCAAACTCAACCTCAATGAGGAGCCCGAGACAGGCGTGCTCGAAGGGGCAGAGTATGTCTACGACAACTCTATCGACGTTGCATTAGACATGCGCTCCTGCAAGAACGCGGCCGCGGCCATCTACGCGCAGATGCAGCAGAAGCAGTTCTCGTCCGCCAGTTGGTCGTCCCACGAGCTGCATCCCGACCGGTTCGACATGGGGGACGAGGGCACCGTCGCCTTCATCTTTACCATGGATCTGCTCAATTTCTCTTTCTGGTCCGAGAAGTCCGAGGCGGAGCGGTTTGCGGTCGAGTACCGCGGCAAGCGGTGGACGGGGTACTGGAGCCTCGTGGCTGGGCTGCAACGCGCGTTGGAGGAAGGTAGGTCACCGTTGATGTCCATTGTTTTTGTTGTACAATATCCCTTTCGGAAGTCGAATGAGAACCTAATTAGCATCTTCAATAAAGGCATTCCCATTACGGACTCGCATTTCTGGCAGAATGAAGAGGAATGCACCTTGGACGTCCTGAAGAAGGTCTTCAGGTCGTGCACTGACGAGGAGATGCCGCTGCTGGCTGAGCGGCTGGCCTGTCTACGTGAGGCCGGACAGGTGCTGTACGAGGTATGTGCCTATTCGGACTCCTGCATTTGCAGACCGGAATCTGACACGTTACGCAGAAATACAAATGTGACCCTATAAACCTGCTGGACGCGGCAGACGGGTCCGCTGCCGGTTTGGTCAACCTGCTGGCTCGGGACTTCAAGTGCTTCCGCGATGAGCATACCTTCGAGGGCCGGCGGAAGCCAATCCGCTTCCTCAAACGGGCACAAATCTTGGTCGCCGATCTCTGGGCTTGTTTCGAGGGCGAGGACTACGGAGAGTTCCGAGATATCGACAAGATTACCATGTTTGCAGACTACCGCGTGCCCCAGATCCTATACAACATGGGGTGTATTTACTACAGCCCTCCGTTGGACCAAGCAATACGATCCAAAAAGGACATCCCGCAAGGGGGGAGCTGGGAGATGCAGCTACGAGGTAAGCACGCCGGATGCCTAGATAGAGGCTGTGTACGCTGACTTCTTCCAGCCTGTAGTATCTGGTGCGTAGAGCTGCTGCGCAGGGAGATCCTCAAACAGAACCCCAAAAGCCAAATCAATGCCATCCTCCTGGACTTCTTCCTGTACGATACGATAAAAGAAATGGAAGAGGCAGGAAAGGAGATCACCCCGCATCACCAGACAAGGAGTATCTGGTACTGAATCATGTTGGGTAGATGTTCGAGAAGAACTGGTTGCGAGCCAGAGTAATAGCAAAGGTATCTAGCAGGGATAGAGCTAGCTAGACAAATCCCCCAGGTTAGAGGTCACAAGCAAAAATAGACAAATCGTTCCCTTCCCCCAACTCCCCAACTCCGCCTTCCAAGCAATCATGGCCACTGTACAAACCCTGCAAATTCCGCGCGGCGCTCCCACTCGCCGCCTCATACCCCAACCGACCCAACCGCAGCCGAGTTCAAAAGCTCATCCATATGTGCCTTCTCAATGTCCGTATTCCCCTTCGCCTCCTCCTTCAGCAGCACGGCAAGCACCTCGACCGGCGGGTTCAGGCCCAACCTCTGCGCCCGCTGCCACCGCTTGAGACGCGCAATACCGACGCAGGGCTGCCATAAAAGATTAGCCCATTTCCCTTCCATCAAACAAACACGGACCAGCGTTGTGAAATTCGTTTACGTACCCCATACTGCGAGCTGACATCAAAGTACCGCAGCACCTTCTCGCCCGTCGTCAGGTCCTGCGTGTGCTTCTTGTGCACCGCCTTCGCCTCCCGGCTAGCCTCGATGCCGTTCCAGTACCGCTCAATCTCCCGGTCGCTGATCTTTTCCGCCCTGGCCGCATCTGCATCGGGCTGTGCTTGCACTGCTGCGGCTGGCGCAGCCTGCTGTTGTTGCTCATCGTCGCTGGAGGTTGGGGTCTCGGCGGCCTCTTCTTCCTCCGACTCGTGCTGCTGCTGGAAGAGCTTGGTGGCTACCTTGCTGGAGGCGGGCTCCGGCGACGGCTCGGGGATGTACTCCTTTGCGCGGGAGGGGGATTTGTAGCCTTCTTTGCCGGTCTGGATGGCTTTGGTGACTTTGTGCTTGAAGCTGAGCGTCTGTTGCTTGCCAGCGCCGGTGGAGGACCGGGTCGATCTGCGAGTGGACATTGCGGCGGTGACGTCAGGTGGGTGAGATTTCGAGCGGAAGGTCTTTGATGTGGTGGTGGAGATCAAGTGGGAGAGTACGAAGTGAGGAGTGAAAACTGTTCAATTCGGGGTTGGAGATGGGTGAAACGGGATCTCGGCAGGCAGGCTAGTCAGGGCATGCAATGCGAATTACGGCGAGCCTTGGCCTTGAGACTGCAAACCGCTGGCGGGGCAACGTGCCGTCACGATTGATGCGCCAACTCACGTGACCTTAGCTGCAAAGCTCTCTAATGAATTTGGCAGCGAGACACATACATCTCTGTTAGTGAATCTCCCAAAGCGGACGACAACCACCACAGTCCGATCATGCTGGTCAAACCTCGAGCCAGTTTCAGCTTTTCGGGTTACCAGTCAGTATGGGTAACTGTCAGTATGCCTTTCTTAGACAGTGGTTGATCTTATCCCAATTGCCGTTGATCTTGTGCTTCAGCGCCAACCACAAGCACCAAACACAGAGATTGAAAGAGAAACCATTCATTCCTGGTATTTATGTTTGCATATAATGGGCTACAAAGTAACTCGCCTGACCAGTACCTATCAAGCCACCTGGTCAAGTTTTATTTCGTCTTGAGCTATAAACCATGCACACAAGGATATGGTGCGTGTTTTCCAGCCATGGGTGTAGGGAATCGTTGTCTACCTTTTATATATCGGTAGCTTTGCTGGGCATCACCCCCTCCTACCTCGGGATTCAAGTTCTGAGTAACGATTTCCAAGGCCACAGCTCTTTGGACAAAATAGTCTCCAAACTATTTGCGCTAAGAACAAATCTGGCGCAGCAAAACATGGTTGGGTGATATACGGATTACGCACAAAGATTTCGTAGTCTCCAAGTGCCTCCTTAATGTCCGTCATGATCCGCAATCATCCAAAGGAACGGAAGGTCGAGCCTTCTTTCAGCAGTAATATCAACGCCATAAATGAACCGTGGAGGAATGATAGGTTAAGCTGCAATAAGAAAAGGCGGCGAAAGGTCGTTCAATTCAGCGTCATATCTCGTTTTCTCTATCCCGGCCCAGAGCCACCGTGCCTTGCAAATGCCATGTCAAGATCTTCCAGCCCACCCAAGCAAAGCCAACTTTCCTACGCCATGCTTAAGACCCAGTAGCTTCCCGGTAGAACGCAAGACTCCGGCTCGCACCCGCCGCGCAAAACATCTCGCTCTTGCCCATGCCCGGCCCCAAAGCCCGCTCCGTCTTGGGCAGCCACCTCACGCTCCACAACGCCGTGTCCGTCTCGCTGTGTGTCGCGACGCAAACTCCGCGTGCCACATCCCAGACCTTCACCTTGCCGTCAAGCGACCCACTCAGGAGATACTCGCCCGTGTCGTTCCAGTCTAGTGAAGTGATCCACGCGGGCCTGCTGCTCGGTGTTGTGAGGTTGCCCACGTGCTCACCATGCTCCATATCGTAGATCGCGATGACGCCCGCGTTGCCCGCCGCCGCAAGACGTTTGCACCCAGGCGAGAACGCAACGGTCCGTACCGGTTTCGCCAGACCTACCACTTTGTTAGCCAGCCCAGCTCCACCGAGTCCCAGTACCAACTCACCCGAAAGCGAATACACCATCCGCCCCGCATCATTATTAAACACGTACACCCCGCCACTCTCATGCCCACTCGCCGTCAACCGCCCATCACGACTTAAATCCACCGCCATCGCAAAGCTCCCCCCACCCCGCGCGCCCGTCTCGTACGTCTGAATCTTCTCGCGGCCATTAATATCCCACACGTGGATCCGCCCATCACTGGTCGTACACGCCAGATACCCCTCATCCGCACTGAGCGCCACGGCCCAGACATCCCCCCCATCGGTCTTGGACGGCGGCAGCTCCCACTGCAGCCGCCACTCATTCGCGTCGCAGGCCCAGACCTTGATCTCGCCGCCGAAGCCGACGCTGGCGGCGACGGCGCCCAGCCCGCCGCGCGCCGTGCACACGTGGTGGCAGCCGAGCTTGTGGGCGTCGGGGATGGTTTGTTGGAGCGGGAAGGTCGCGTCCGTGGTGCTGTGCACGCGCAGGGCGGAGGAGCCGCTGGCCGAGAGGAGGGTCGTCGGGGTCGGGGCGAGCGAGAAGATCTCGGCTGGGTGGGCTGTGGTGGTGGTAATGGAATGGGGGGTTAGTGAGGGGAGCTTCCATGGCTGGGGTGGTCAAGTTGAGGGGGGGGGGGGGGGGGGGGGAGGCATGGCGGGGTCGCTGTGCGTGCGTACCTTCGTCCACCGTGTGCGCGGTGAGGTATTGTTTCGACTGCGAGGGCAATGTTAGAAATGGGATTGTTTAGTGGTTATTCGAGGGCGCTCTTGCCATTGTCACCTCTCCATAGACGGATTTTCGGTTTGGTTGTGGTTTGGTGTTGGGGAATTCGAGCTGCTGCTTGCAAAGTCGCAGCGTGCCGTGCCTGGTAGCTGCAGGAACGATGGTGGGGTAATTACTGTGAGAACCGTTGTATTCAGACGTCACAGGAGAGTTCCTAAATTTATTTGCCTGCCGGAATCGCCAACCGTAGCGATAATGTTTCATGGGATATGCTTTTGACTAGGTCGTAAATCACCCTACCGCTCTGCTACACATGGCGTTCCATCTTCCTCCCCTTACAGAGGTGGCCGGGTAGTTGGTAATTGTCGCATGGTGACAGCAAGCGGCCTGTCCAACTGCCGCTCATATTGTTACAATACATGTACACCAGATCTCGTCGACGTCTCCAATACAAAGTCTACTCTGTAGGCAATGGATTGACGGATATACCTCCGGCGCGCCCTCCCGTCGACCAACGAGAACCGCGTTGTCCTTTAAACCCCTTTATATGCATTGCTTCAACTTGTCGTCTCCTGGGCTTTCTTGTTCATCATTTCATTGAGCTCTGCATTCCCGTTAGTCTGGGAAACTTCCCCTCGTAACCGGCTTTTCTTACTCTTCGCGCAGTGCGGGCACAGATAGTGCATGCGCTTGATCTCTCCGCAAGCGGGGCACTTGCATAACGAGTTGACATCTTTCAACGCCTTGCCCGCCATTTGCCTATGCCTCTTCTTCATATGTGATGTCTTCTTCTTGGGTACCGCTTTGAGGATCGACTCCCAGATGTCTCCGAGAATTGAGGGGAGCCCGAGCTGAAAACCGACGGGAACGGCAAGAGTGAGGGACGGGAATAGAGGGAGCGAGAAGTGCCGAACGTGCAGCTGTATCCTTGTTGCCGAGAATAGCGTCGGTGCTACAAGCCTCGGGAGAAAGGAGCTGAAAGAGGCCATCCTCATGGCCGGTGCTGTCAACGTCGCCATGTTGAGCGAGGGGTCGAGTGATAGGGCGCAGGTTCGGCAGGGAGGCCAGGCTCAATTGAACCCCTCAAGTTTTGTAATCTTCTCGCTGAGAGGATGCGACCTCTGCATACCCTTTTGTCGTCGCTTCGCCGGATGTCGTCGTGGATCACGCTGTCGTCCTCGTCACTCGGCCAGAAAAAATGTCGGACGCATCTCAAAGTTTAACATTCCCGCGGGCAGGGCTGGCACGGTCCACCAAGCTCGGGTGTTGCTGCATGCAGCGCTCTAACTTGATCAAGCTCGTGCCTGGGGCAGGGTCCCACAAACCAATCACGGGCAGCCCACTTCCCTCCCCCTTTCCCCAGCCAGCTCAGCGACCCCTTGACGGAAATTATTGCTTGACAGAAGCTGCGGACAGGAAGGTACGAAGAAATTCCCTTTCAACACCACACCCGACCGCATCCACCCGCGCTCAATTCGCTGCCACCGGACCCCGTCGTCCCCGAGTTCCATCTAGACCTCGCCTCTCCACGTCGCGACGAGCGAATCTCGATTACTTTTTGGAATAGGACCCCAAATTATCCCAAAACCAACCGAAAAAATGGCGTCGATGCCCGCTGCGACCATCTACCCCCAAAGCCATGTCGGTTTCGACAGCATTACATCCCAGATTGAGCGCAAGCTGCTCAAGCGCGGATTCCAGTTCAACGTTATCTGCGTTGGTGAGTTCTCGCGTCCCTCTCCTCACGCTGACGGCCAGCTCCACTCCGTGTATACGAGCCGGGATTGACGTGTCTCGCATTGCAGGGCAAACGGGTCTGGGGAAGTCGACACTGATCAACACCATCTTCGCGTCGCACCTCATCGAGTCCAAAGGCCGCCTCAACCCCGATGAGGTGATCCGGTCGACCACGGAGATCCAGTCTGTTTCGCATATCATCGAGGAGAACGGCGTCCGTCTGCGGCTGAACATCGTCGACACCCCCGGCTACGGCGATCTGATCAACAACGACCGCTGCTGGGACCCCATCGTCAAGTACATCAAGGACCAACACTCCGCGTATCTCCGGAAGGAGCTTACGGCGCAGCGTGAGCGGTACATCCAGGACACGCGCATCCACTGCTGCCTGTTCTTCATCCAGCCGTCGGGCCACTCGCTCAAGCCGATTGACATTGTCGTACTGAAGAAGCTGTCCGATGTCGTCAACGTTGTTCCCGTCATCGCCAAGGCCGACACCCTTACCCTGGAGGAACGCCAGGCGTTCAAGGAGCGCATCAAGGAGGAGTTTGCGTTCCACAACCTGAAGATGTACCCCTACGACAACGACGAGTTTGACGACGAGGAGCGCGCCGTCAACAACCAGATCGAGGTGGGTTTCAAAGGTTCGATTGGTGGGGTGGTAGAGCATAGCTAACATATTGAGTAGGGCCTGATCCCCTTCGCCGTCGTCGGCTCCGAGAAGTCCATCATTGTCAATGGCAAGCAGGTCCGGGGCCGCCAGAACCGGTGGGGCGTTATCAACGTCGAGGATGAGAACCACTGCGAATTCGTCTATCTCCGCAACTTCCTCCTCCGCACGCACCTCCAAGACCTCATCGAGACGACTTCTCAGATCCACTACGAGACGTTCCGCGCCAAGCAGCTCCTCGCACTCAAGGAGAGCAGCGCACAGGGCCACGGCAGCAGGCCCATCAGCCCGTCGGCGGAGCGCGAGCTGAGCCGCAGCTCGCAACGGATGACCATGAACGGCTACTAAGGCCCGGACTTTCTTCTTGCCTCTTGCCTCTTGGTCTGAACGATCCCGAAATTTTGATATCCCGGCAGAAGCGGTGCCAAAACCCCCCGCAACCGGAGACGGCGTCCGGGGCAGGGTTGTGGGGAGGAACAGCGCGGCGCAATTCGATGCGGTTTACAGGTCATACCCCTCTGGCCTATGGTGTTTACGTCTTGTTGGCAATCGTATTCGGTGGTTGGACTTCATTATCCCCCTATTTTCTTTTTAGTATCCGAAGCTCCTTCGCATATTTTGCTGCCTCTTTTCTTTTTCACTAATCACCCCGGCCCTCCATGCTTAATAGAGAGCTAGCTAGTTTCGATACCTGACGGAATACCTATTATGTGAGCAGAAGGGGGATCGACTGTGTCAATGCGATGCGGAAGCGGCAGCTATTGGCTAACCATGTGCCCCCGTGCAAACTTGATCCGCTCGTGCAACCCATGGTGCCACGGTGGTTTCTCATTCACTCTTTCGAGTCATGCTCGTATTCGAGAGAATGTCCTTAGCAACACAACCGTAGCTTGAATGCTCACTGTTCTCATGAGTTGGGGTTAGGGTTAAACACTTTTATCCCAGCGCGTCAAGCGCGTCTTCCCTCCAACTCCAACTTATCAGCAGCAGGTCCCGCCCAGTTGCTCACCAACCAGCACCTCCTTCCAATTTTATGCCACCATGTAAACATACACCATCCCCATAGCCATTTCCTTTTTAATATCCACACACACGGGCGCCATGCCAACACCCCAATCCCATCAAAACTAAAATGCCCAACCCTAACCCCGCACCACCACCACCACCACGACCCATCACCAAAAGAAGAACAGAAAAGGAACCCGAACAAAAAGAAGAAGAAAACACAAACCCAATCATCTCCCTCGACCCAACAAACCCCCTCGACCCGAAACCGCTCATCTCCGACATCCTCCGCACCCGCTACTGCGTCCCGGGCTCCGTCTTCCTCGTCGAGTCCGTCGAGGCTAGCATCCCGGTTTCCGTGCCTGATTCTACTTCCGGCTCTGGTCCTGGTTTGCGGAGTGGGCGTCGGTCGCGGCGGGGGAAAGGGGAGCGTGCGGTGAGGTTGCTGCTGGGGGACGGGGAGCTGTGTGTGCAGGCTTTTGTGCGGGGGGAAATTCATTGTTTTGTGGATGGGGGTGGGGTGTATGAGGGATGTTATGTGAGGTTGGATCGGTTTTGGTTGGGGGAGGTGGAGGGAGGGGTCGTGTATTTGGTTGTGGGGGACATGGTTACGGTTGGGTGGAATGAGGAGTATCTTGGGGTTTTGAGGAGGGAGAGGGAGGAGGTGGAGAGGGAGAGGCGGTTGGAGCTTGGGGACAGGGAGGGTGATGCTGGACAGGCAGAAGGGGGGGTGGTTGCGGGAGATGATGTTCGAGAGGATGTGGCGGGAGAGGCGGAGGAGTACGAGGATGACGAGCTCATAGATCAACTGATGGCAGTTGAAGAAGTGGGGGGAACTACAGGCGCCGCAACGGAAGAGACAGCCATCACAAATCCGGACGGAGCCCCGGGAGTCGACCCTACAAAACCCACATCAGAGGATCCTAACGAGCTAGACTACATCTCCGACTCGGACTCGGCCTTTGAAACCCTCACCGTATCCGCCGAACGTGCGTCACAACGCCGCATTGTCACCACCACTTCCGACCCTCGACAGGAACTCCAAGCATCCATCATCAAGCAGAACCAAGAAGACCACCTCCGCCCTCAAAGCCACCAGCATACCCAAGCACAACCACACTTACAACCACAACCACCACAACCCCCACAACAACAACTCCAACTCCAACCCCAACCCATCACCAAACAACGCCCCTGGCTCCCCACCTCGGCCACGCAATTCGTCAAACTCACGCCCCTCTCCCAAATCCCACACCTCCCCTACCGCCAAAACTGGATGGTCAACGTGCTCGCCGTCACCACCTCCCTGTCAGCCGTCGAGCCCTCCCACATCGGGCCCTCCTTCGTGCAGCGCACGGCGCGGCTCGCCGACATGAGCACGCCCAAGCGGGTGCTGCTGACCGTGTACCTGGACCCGGAGGGGTTCACGCCGCGCGAGGGGGCGGTGGTGTTGCTGTTGGGCGTCAAGAACCACCTGTTTGAGGGGGGTGCGCTGCGGAAGTACGTTAGTGATGGGCTGGCGGGCGGGGAGAGTTGGTGGGTTGGCGAGCCGGGTGGGTTGGGGTGGTGCAGGGCGGGCGTGGAGAGGTTGCGGAGTTGGTGGGCGGAGAAGGTTAGGGAGGAGGGGGGTGGATAGGGGGTAGGGGGGGGTGGGTGAAGTGTAGATGTTGGGGGTTGAGAGAAGGGGTATATATTATCTCTTTGCCCTGGCAGACAGGGCTGCGGCACCCGCTCTGTTTTGGTATTGTTTCGGAATGTAGTGTGTGGGAGTCGGATGGAGTGTGGGAGTCGGATGGAGTGTGTGATTGCTATATGGTTACGACGGTTGTCACTCTTGAATTGATGTATCGACATAGAAGATGCTAGTTTCAAGCCTATGGATATAATACCAGCAGACCAACGTATACTTGCTTTCCTCTCTTTATCTCTGCATTAGGTTGATGGGGGATGGGTTGACTTTGACGTTAATTACTTGCAACGGCCAGCACACCACCAGGTCCTAAACTCTAAGGGGGTGTTCCTCGGAAGGAACAAAAGTTGTTGTTCAACACATGTAGATCCAAGCCTCCGCACGATAAAGCACAGACACTCCGTATTCTCCCAGTAACCAGGATATTCTAGAATGGGAGTCTAAAATATACATTGCTCGCTCTCTTGTCAGTCTTTTTCGTCCATGTTCGATCTTCATGGGTTTGGGGGCCCTGTTTACTCACAAGAGCGATTATTCCGTCTGAGGATACTATAAGACGCGCTTGGGCTTGCCATAAACATTTTAATTATTTTAGGATCCCGATCAGATTTGTTGACTTCCCTGGTCATCACCCTCTGCCCCGACTTTGAATTTCCCTCCTCGCTCTCATCCCCTTTTTTTCGCCAACCAGCTCAAAGCCTCAACCCCTCCCACCACTCGGCCACTCTCCCCCCCTTGGTTCTTGAAGTCTGAAACCAAAGCTCAAGCAGAGCGAAAATGGCCGGGAGACCCTTCGAACACGCCGGCGCGGAAGATGTGGTGGGGGTGCCAGAGCTGGGCGCCATCATCCTCGGCTTTCTCGAGGACGTCCAAGACCTCCGGAACGCAGCTTTGACGAGCAAGCGTTTCAACCGCGCTGCGCAATTTCACCTCTGGGCGGCAATCAAGCTGCCATACCTTCAGGCCGATCCAAGTTGGATCGACCAGCGTCCGTTCTGGGACGAATTCTCTTCTCATTTGGAACGCAACACCTTCTCTCTCCATGTTGACCTCCCAGTGGCGGCCCCCGGCCTCGCCGAGATAATCTCGCAGAAACCATGGGAGACCAGGGTGAGCAGTAACCAGCCGGAGTGGTTCGTCACCAAGGACAAAGTCGACGACTTCTTTACCGGTCTCAAGGAGACCCTTACGCGAGCACCACGCCTCCGCAGATTCACTGCTCGGGACGTACCCCGGATCCTTGATCTCGCGGTTCTCCTCCAGCGCCGTAAGTACCCCTGTCAGCCTTTCTCCGACCTTGACTAACAGTTTGCTGTTGTTATAGACCGTCCCGAGCTTGTCTCTCTCAGTATCACCGCTTCAAAGCGTGATACTTTCGGGTTCCTTTGTATCCCAAATTTTAGTATTGATCACTGGAGGTGGAAGATGCAGCAACATCCACGTTCCACGGTTTCCCTGGGCAACACCGTCAACTTCGGCCTCGACACCCATACGCCGATAGTGCCGCCGGTGTTCAATTTCCCCAATCTGCGTGTCCTAGCCCTCAACAACATCCAGCACGACGGCCGGCGCCCTTCTGTGTTCCTCGAAAACGTCGTCAGTATCCTCAAAGGTTCGCAGAACCTTTCTCACCTTGAGCTTTCTCTACGGCACGAGATTGGAGGCATGTCGCCGGACGGGAGTTTCGTGCGGCGCTTGTACGGCACCGTCGAATATCCGGACGGCCCTAATAATGCCATGGAGGTATTGTGTGAATGGTACAAGCTAACTCAAGGCAGGCCCCTCCACCTGAAGACCCTGACGCTCGGTTACGGCTTTGAGATCAGGGACGAAGCTTCATTTATTTTCCCCCAACAAGGTCCGCACCATTTGGCATGGCTTACCGATCTGCAAACCCTCGAAGGGCTCCACTTACAGGGCATTCTCGACAAGGACGGCTCGTATATCAGGCAGCTGAGCGGGAGACACGGCTTCTCGTTGATCACAACTCCTCCACACATACTACGGCCCACTCGTCTGCCACGACTCCGCAAAATCACTTGGCCGTGGGACCAAGGGGACCTTCTGAGGCTGCTGTGGCGCTCGAACAGCGATCGTTTGCAGCAAATCGTCGTCCGCATCGATGTGTCTTCGCCTTCGGAGTGGAGAGCACGACATGGGGACGCATGCACATGCCCTTTATGGGTTGGCACAGAATCACTCGAATACATCACCGCTGAAGACATCTACGTCAAGGGCTTTGTCTTTCCCACAGAGTCCATGCGCCCCCAGGACGCGGATGCCTTCCTGGCCTGGGTTCACGGGATCAACAGACTACAGGCGCTCAAGATCCGGATGCCCCCGTTGACCGCCCCCAGACACGTCAAGGGGAAGAATCACATGCGGACATTCTGGGGGCGCGTCAAGCAGATGACGCACCTGCGCGAGCTGTGGCTGGCCGACGGCCTGGGAACCTGGAGCAAGCCCGAGGGCGAGCCGGGCCGCTACGTCGCGGGGCGGTATCCAAAAGAGTCCGAGTTCCGCCACTACAGCACCACCGCCGCCAATAAGTGCCCCGACCTGGTGTACATCCGTATCCTGGACCGCGCTTGGCACATCACTCGATCGGGCTATAGTCGCTGGGAGCAGCAGATTACCCTGCACGAGGTGCCAAAAGACCGTGTCGAGAAAGACATTCCGGATTCTTTCGACTTCAGCACGCCCGAGTACATCTAAGGGTACATGTTACGATTTATACCTTTATCCCTTTATCTCCTTTGTCGGTTCGGCACGACATTACCTACTTCTTTGTTGTGATCTTTTCATTGTTGGTGGCGTTCACTAGGAAATTTGTTAGTATACCACAGTATGTGTGATAATATGGAGGAACAGCAAGCCGTTTGGTTCCTTTATGGTGTTACTATGGGGTTTTCAATATGCCGGTTTAGCTGTTTATGTACAGAATAATTATGACATCCTGAGGAATGATACTCCCCGATATTGGGCTACAGACAGCTCACAAGAACCATAGGGCTAAGTATTTTCTGATCAACCAACCTATGAGGCACAAAGATCGGTGCCGTTTAGCAGCATCAGTTTCGACAAACAAATATCCGCATCTTCGGTACCGAGTCGGTGACCACAGGTAATACATCGTTGATAAACCTCATAAATGATCGTATTTCTAATATTCCCACCTCCTCCTAGGAAACCGTCGGGTATCGTAGACTATAAGAGGCCCAATCTAAAAGGAGAAATAGTCCTGCACTAAATCCGCCATAGGGCTCCGCCATAGGGCTCCGCCATGCAATGAGTGAATGCAGATCAAGCAAGCCCGAGCTGCCGCAGTCGGTGTGTAAACAAAGGGAAGTCCGTCTCTGTAAGTGGATGGTCCCCTCCGAACCCAATTCCGGGGTGGATACTCTCATCACACTCATGAACTCGCCTCCACCCCTCCGCCCGGAGCCAGGAAACCGCCGCCAGCATTGCTAGCACCAGCACCAACACCGCCCTCAACACCCTCACGCTCCCCAACCGGGCTAGGCGCGCGACTAACACTCCTACTCAGCCCGCCCATAACCACCTCCTGGCTCACCACAGCGGGAACCACCCCCGCCTTCTGTCCCGCGCTGCCTGCCTCGCTCACACTCTCCCCAGCCGCCCTCTCCCCAGCCGCACTATCCCCAGCAGCCCTCTCCTCCTCCACCGTCACGCTCACCTCCAACCCCATCCCCTTCCCCACCCCCATCTCCCCCTCCACCGCCCCCTTCCTCCTCACCTCCACCTCATCCCTCCTGACCAACCGCCTCAGCGCCTCACTGGCCTGCACCAGCCCATCAATACTAATCGCATGATTGGTCATCTCATGATTGATATACGTATACACCTCAGCAGGGCTCTCACAGCGCAGCAGGTTCCCCTCATTCAGCTTCAGCAGCGCCAACGCCACCTGGAACAGGAACGCGGCCGCGTCCTGCGGCGAGCACAGCACGACATCCCAGACGCGGAACAGCGCCTCGGCCGACAGGCAGTCGGTGAAGAGGGAGAGGAACCACTGGAAGGTCATGGTCTCGAGGTCGATGGCGAGGGCGTCGAAGTGGGCGGAGAGTTTGGGGAGGACCTCGCTCACGTACTGGCGCAGGACGACCTGGTCGGCGCGGGAGGCGAGCAGGGAGTGGTCGAAGTAGTGCGGGGGCAGGATGGTCTCGACCATGGAGCAGAGGATCCAGAAGGCGTCCTCGGCCGAGGGGGGTGACGAGCAGCAGGTTGGCCACGACCAGGTTCATGCCCTGGCAGTAGCCGACGTCCGGGTTGCGGCGCGAGTAGGCGAGCAGGACGTCGTGGAGCTTTTGGACGCCGGGCCCCTTGCGGAAGAAGATGTTGTCGGTCAGGGTGCGGGTGATGTCGGCTTTGATCTGGGCGACGACTTGGGCGTCGTCGGATGACTCCGGGCGGGCCATGAGGGAGGCGTAGTAGCCTGGGATGCGTAGCGCGTTGGCGCCGCAGCATTCGGACCAGATCTTGGAGCGGGAGGCGACCGGGATGCCGCCGAGGACGAGGGAGCGGAACTCGTTGGCTTTGGCGCGGCCGACCTTGCCTTGGATGCCGAGGCTGGCGACGCCGATCAGTTCGCCGTCGCCGAGGCGGGTTTCGGGCATGACGGCCGTGGCGCGTTCGAAGCGGGCTTCGGCGGCTGCGGCGGCGGCAGCAGCCGCGGCTTCACCGTCTCGTTTTCGCTCCGCTCTGACTTTCCGGAGGAAGTCGTTCCATCGGACCGTCTTTTCCCGCTGTAGGGTGTCGTGTAGGTTGTTGAGGTTTTGGAGGAGCAGCCTAACTGGTTCTGCGTCTTCTTTCGCAAGTGTCGCTGCAGGCGGCTGCTCCCCTTCGGACCGGGGCTGGATCTCAGTGTCGCTTGGTGTTATCGCCGCTGTGGTTGTCGCGGACGGCAGAAAGCCCCGGTCTTCCGACATCATGCTGGGTGAATGGCCCGGTGACTTGGGGGTCTCGGCGGCTTCCATCACCTCAAAGCCCTGAGCGCTAATCAGGGGCGTGTGCGAGAGCAGCTCCGTGGGGAAGGTCGCGATCTTGAGATAGTCCTGCCACCTCTTGGGCTTGGCGTCCTCGCGAGGTTCTTCAGACGAACAGGGCGTGCCGGGCCGCCCGTCGCTCCCGAGGCTCATCTTCCCGCTGGAGCTGTCCTCCAATAGCACCGGAGACAGCCCGTGCCGGCCATGAATCATTTCCGCACGGCTATTCTTTTTGGCATGGCCGGCCATTTGGGCGGCCTCCCGCTGCCGCTTTTTTCCGTCGCTGGTCGTAGATAAAGCCAAAGCGGTCCGTGAGAAAGTCGGCGCCGATATGATTGTTGTAGATATGCGTCAGGGTTGGTGGCTGGGCTTCGGGTGGCAGAATGGTGTCCATCTCGACAGGACCATAGTTCTGCTGCCGTGCAACCGGATCTCCTCCAGGGGTCGAAACCATAGTGTCCCAGCGCTCTGGAGGTTGAGTTCGTGATGGGACATCGATGGGTCGGATGGGGCCGGGGGGTCGACGCATCGCCATCAGAGCCTTGGGGCCGCCCTGCGATGATACGGCGCGGGCTGAACCACCCGTGTTGATACTTGAGCTCGATTGGGTCCTCATCAAGTCTCTTTCCTGAGGGTTGCTTGTGCGACCACGGATCTCGGGATCGCGCCCCCCTGGCGTGCCGCCTGCCACAAGCCGCAAGGCCATGCTTGCTAGCGACGGTTTCCGGGAGGCGTTGCTAGAGTTCACGCTGGATGCCCTACTAGAGCCACGCATCGAGTCCTCCTCGGGCGGGTTGAACAGGTCTTCCTGAAGCGCTGGCCGTCGCTCGGTCGGTGTTGCTTTCACAACAGCGGGTGGTTGCTTGCTCGCCTCTCTGATTGTGTTATTGGCCCTCCCGGACCTTTTGACCGTGCCGCCGCCCCAAAGGTAATCCTTCCACCCCCGTGTCGAGCCTCTGGCAGACTCATTTCCTGGACCAGCAGGCAAGGGTACCGAGCTAGGCCGAATCGTGGCGTCGTCAAAGATGTGACTTGGGAGGGGATGCCGAAGGTCTTGGGTCATCGCATCGGTCACAAGATCCGAAAGCCCTTCTCCCGACCCTTGTCTCGACACCCCATTTGATCTCGCTTCCTGCTCCATGGCGCGCAGGCGTGTCTCCATATCCAGGCTGGACAGACCGCATTCCAGGACGATCTTGCGCAGGGTCCGTTCCCGTTCCTCTGCCCGACGGCGCATCTGTACGATCTGGACATCCCGCTGGGCCAGGTCTTCGGCAATCTGGCGTACGAGGTTGACCGCGCCGTGGCGGGCAATCAGTCGCTCGATATGTTCGTCATCGGCGAGGTGCAGAGCGCCAGGGATTTTGCGCGAAGCTAGCGGGGCATCCTCAAACAGAGCACCGCGCGCAGGCGATACTGCTGTGGTTGTGAGATGATCGACGGTCGTAGAGGGCTGTAAGTGGTCCTGTTTATTGTTGTTTTGCTCCTGCTGCTCCTGCCGCTCCTGCTGCTCCTGCCCTTGTTCTTCTCTCGGTCCCTGTTCCTCTTCCTGGTTCGAGGTGGCCAGGCTCAGCCCAGATGTTTTTCGCGATGAGATCACCGGCGTCATGTCATTGTCGCTGCGGAAGAAGCTTGTTCGCTCTTCGCGGGGCGAGTCGGGAGAGAAGGAGGGGAACGAGGTCAGTGACTTGTCGGAGGGGGCAATGGAGGATGCCGAGCTCGACGGTTGTGATGTCAGCTTCTTTCGGCCGCGGGTGGTTGATCGATGGCTCCTTATTGAAGTGGCAGATTGTTGTGATACAGAGCGCTCAAGGGGCGCCGAAAAAGTAGCTGTCGTCGCCTCCATTTCGCTGTGTCAAATTGTCGCATCGTTGTGAATCGCGTCTTGGGATGGTGGTGGGTGCGGGCAGCAGCTGCAGCGGGGCAATTCGGCACTGCAGCATGCGCTCAGGCTGTTGTTAACAGTGTTGGTTCGGTCACCTGCTCATCCCACCTCTTTTCTCTTTTTTACACGGGCATACCTACTAAGGTAGTTAAGGTAGTTAGGGCTCTGCTCTGCCGGAGAGCATGGGTGGAAATATAAAGAAGGTGGGAATTCCAGATGGAACCTGGAATGGAATCTCAACAGTCATCCGTTGCCGTCGTCATTGGAGGCTCCAGGCCGTTTTCTCCGTCGCACGAGCGTGTCATGCAGGACTGCGCTTCATGCCGCTCCCTGCCTGGAAGAAGGTCCAGTTGGGCCGAGCCCGCGGTGACCTCAGCGGGAGATGCTCGGATTTCACGACACATGATTGGGCGGTAGTGCCAAGGATGACCTCCACACGGTTCCAGTCTGTTGGAAGCTCCAGCGCCTTTCTGCGAGGTTCCAGCTTCCAGGTTCCTGCATCTGCATCAAGGATTCCTTCCATCTTGTTTTACTTCCGAAGTCATGCTTGTTTCTGCACTGATGTCATTTGCATTCATCTAATGTGTAGTGTATCTAAGAAGGTGAATTCAAGGATTTCATTTTCATTGAGTATACTACATTAATAAGGTAGGTCAGGTAGCTACTGTGTATAAAAAACGTTATTTTATTCATTACCAACCTCCTCATTCATCGTCATCAATGTACTTCGTAAAGGGTCTGACACTCCAGGTCTCGACCTCCAAAACCGTCAGGATACGAATATTATTTAATACCTTCGTTAACTGTTTTTGCCGTGAAGAGAACTCCTTGTAGCCACGACCTCCTTTTACCTCCCCTCCCCGTTCTGGCCCCGACTTCAACGTGAGATCCTCTCACCAAACTACCTTATTTGTCATCTCTCGCACTAGACATCCTTGAAACCGCAGTCACCATCGTATCCGCGGTGGCCGTCACATCACTGCTCACGCTCGTCCTAGGACTAACGTGCTGCCCTCGAGTACCACTGCTGATTCCTTCTCTCTCCCCCGCCGGCGTTGCACTCTCCGCCGTGACATTGACGTTGTTCACACTGCTGGCATGGTAGCTACCACTCCCAACCACCGTCCCAGCCCCGCTCCAGCTTCCCCAGCTCTCCCTCGGGTCCTGCTGCCGCCGGGGTCCTCCTCTAGCCCCATCAGAAGTCTGTTCTGCCGGAGAATACCCCACCAACCTCCCATGCTCATGACGATACGGCGACCCCGTCTCAGGTCCCGCAGGCGGAGCCAGGTGGTCACGACCTCGCGGCCCCAACAACCCCGGCTGTGAACCCTTCCCATCACCCCCCGAGTACCCCGGCGGCGGTGAAACCGAGCCCGGCGCAGGCGATCCCCTCGCCGGCCCCCTCGCCGGCAACACCAGCGGCGGCGTCGGCGTCGACATACTAGCCGGCGGGGTCTTGGGCAACGCCCTCGTGGGCGGGGGACTCAGCGGCGGCGGCGGCGGCGGCGGCGTGTCCACACTGCCAGCCCTCCCCCCCTCAGCGGCCCCCTTACCACTACTACCCACCGCGTACCCGTACCCATACCCCTGACCGTAGCTGTAATTCTCGTACCCCCGCTCCCAGTTCTGACCCCCCACACATCCACCCTCCCCACCACCACCACCACCCCGATCCCCAACCGCAGCAGGCGTCACCAGCCCCGGGACCTCCAACATCCCCTCATGCGGCCTCGGCGGCCGATTCGGCAGCAGCAGCGGCGGCGTGCCCCTCTCCCCTCCCTCCCCCTCCCGCCCCCGCCCACCCACAGCCGCCCCCATGTAGAAAGGTATCGCGATCGGGATCTCGTGGTGCCGCAGCGAGGAGTGCGCCGTCGTCGACGAGGCGGCGGTGCCCGCCGTGTAGCAGCTGCTTGCGCTGCCGCTGCCTCGGTCGATACATGCAGTCTTGCTGTCGCTGGTGCCGCCGGTGCCGCCGAAGGGGGCGTGCGGGGGGGAGTAGGGCGGCGGCCAGGGGTTGGTGGAGGCCGGGGAGCCGCGGAGGGGGATGGGGATGGGCGTGGGGAGGGTGAAGAAGGGCGGTTCGGGGAGGTGGGTTGCGTTGGGGGGGTTTCTGGGTGTGGTTGCTGTGGTGAAGGAGAGGGGTGGGGGGTAGCTGGTGAAGGTGCGCGGTGCTGAGGATGTTGTTGCTGTGTGGCCGGCGCGGCGCTCGTGGCGTGGGACCAGTTTGCTGGTGGTTGGGGAGCAGATCGGGGAGGGGGGGAAGATGCCGCCCGCACCGGCGCCGGGCTGCGGGCTGTAGGCCGGGGTGAGCGGCGTTAAGGGAGGTGATTGGGAGCGGCTGCCTGGTCGGAGGATGGAGGGGAGGAATTTGCGGTCGCGGAGGCGGAGAGGAGGGGTGAGGACGGCGCGGGTGCCGCTGGCTGAGCTGGTGGGGGAGATTAAGGGGGTGGGTGAGCCGGCCGGGGCACCGTCGGGGAGGAGCCCGCGCCGCGACCGCAGGGCGCGGTGGAAGGAGGCTTTGCGGCGTTTCCGGCGCCGGAGGCAAACCAGGGCAAACGCTATCAGTAAGATGAGGGCGAGGACAGAACAGATTGCAATTGCAGCCTTGCCCTGCCCTGTGAGGCTGCTCCCAGATGTTGTCGACGCTTCGGGTGGCGGTGCTGAACCATGAGTTGCAGCAGGGGTTGCGGGTGCGGGTTGTGAGGCTCCTACGTCCGGCGTGGCCACCGCTTGCGTGTTCATGACCGTTCGAGAGGCCGTGTTCGTTGGGATTGGCGGTTCTGCATCCGGTTGCCGCCCCTGTGTCACCTTGGGCGGCGTCTCAGCCGTGGTGGCCGAACAAAGGTTTGGCGCGTCTGCTTCCGTACTGCATCTGAAGTTTGGAGGTGGCGGCCCGGGGTCGATAATGTGGTAGAAGCCGATGCTAGCAAGACTAGTCAGCCTTGAACAGCCCTCCAAAGGCAATATCAAGAGCCTCACTTTTGGCAAGTGTTGATGATGAGGTCGACAGTCGCTATACATTACTTAGCGCGAGATACCACAGACCCATTATGCCGTACTCACGATCTTGGCCGAGTCCTCCCTCCTGGTTTATGCCCACGCCACAGAAGGTGGAATCGCACCAATACAGCGACCAGAACGCTTGCACCGGAACGCCTTGTTCGAGACTCCCGCACCCCTCAACCCATCCCTCGTTCTCCTGCCATCCATTCGCCATGGTCCGTAGAAACTGCACCTTGCAGTTACGCAAACATTCGCTGGGATCCTCCTGCCATCTCCCTTGCATTATTTCGGCCGTGTTAACGTAGCACTCGCAGGCGCTGCTGGCGGTCTCGGCATTTTTGATAAGGTTCTTCATGTTTGTCGTATATCGACGGTATCTGAGCTGAATGCTATCCGCTAGATAGGCGAGCAAAGAGTGTGAAGGCGGCAGATATAACGAGGGGCAGGTTGTGACATAGTCTCCCAGTTTTGCCTAAACCGCGAGGGGTCGATACCGACAACCGCGCTGCGCAGACAACCGGAAAGCGAGCAACAAACGGACGCAGCGGACAACTAGAAACAACCACAAAGTCCAAAGAAGAGGAATCAACTGGTACCGGGGGCCTGATGGCCAACCTAGGACCGGACGGGACAAAGTCGTCAAGATGCAGCAGATCTCACAGGGAACGAGAGACGAGATCTGAGATCCGAGAGGTCGGGAGCGCACCCCATCAGGGGAACACGGGCGCGAGAGCGAACTGCGAGATTATATACCCCAGCGCAACACCGGGTCAGCACGCTGGCGAGATGTCTCTCCAACAGGGTTACCGCGTCACAGCCCTCGAGCCGAAGACAAGCAGAAAAGTCCCCCCTCCAAGCAACACGGCAGCACCAGGGCAACATGTACGAACAAGGCACAGCGTCACTGCCCGGGTGGGAGGGGACGGAACACGGGAAACAGAAAGGCCGCGGCCAGAACCAACACACCACGGCAAGGGGTGATACGCGGTACCGTACAGTGTACCTCTCTCTGTGTGTGTGTGGATTGGGCGAAACGAGTCGGCCATGGCTGACGGACGAGTGTACATGTGCAGACGTCAGCAGCGTACGGTACAACTGGCACACAACACGGATGGATGGATGCATGGATGGATGGATTGGGGGGTGGGCTGCCTCTCACCAAATCCATCCTTGCTTGCAAGAGCAAGATACGCACGTTACACCTCCCGCTGCACCTCCCCGCGGCGCAACGAGAATAGCGTGATCCCCGTACGAGGGCGGCCGCGGGCGGGATGGGGGCCGGTAAGTGATACAGAGCTGTGTACACCCACATCACCCCTCTATCTCACTGCCGTTTGTGTGGTAGGAAAGGAAAGGAGAGGTGGGGGCTGCCAGTCGACAGTGGAAGTGGGTAGGGCAGCAGAACGCCATGCGTGCGTCGCCGTCGGTCAGCCAAGGCTGAAGATCTCGGGGAGGCAAGCGCGGCTGCGTTTCGTGCATCTGCTAAGCATCTCATACGGGGGGTTGATCCACCTGCATGCTGATCGGATTCGTCAGCTGTGCTGCAGCAGCAGTTGATCTCGGGATGAAGCATTTCCCGTAGCTACGGCCCGCGGGCAGAACGGGTTGACCCAATACGCTGCGATTTGTTGGGTAGCCCGTTCGGTTCAATTTCAAGAGTGCCAGATAACGGAAAGAGGGCGATGATTGGACCTAAGGCAGGGGAACTCCGACTTCCCCACGGAGTAGCCCGCCTCGTTCACAACGGACGGCAACTATTGATGGGGGGAACAGCCTTTGTTGACGCCAGAGAAGCACCGTACATGTATTGCACCAACGCTGGCGACGATGCTGACCAAGGCCCGAGGTGTAACGTGCTAGTGAGATTGTGCGTGGGCTTGTACTATCGGGTGTTGCATCTCAAGCGCGATCTCCATCTCATCGAGGGGAGATTGGTGGTCATTGTTGTGCGAAGGACAGGTTCGAGAGGACTCCCGGGGCCAAACACTGCAAGTCTCGAGACTCGGACTCCATGCGGAAGACAGATCCTTTCCAACATTATTGCCGCCGACCTGGCAAGTCCTCGCTCTAGAGTCTAGACGGCCTCCAGGGAAGGTATTGGACGCGGTGGCCTGCCTCTAACAGCCGCTTGCGTCCGCCAACGAAAAGCTGAGCTGGGCGTTTGTTCCCATGCTTGCCCTGTGAAGCGCCGGGGAGCCAGTCACATCAGTTCCACCGGACTTTGGATCTATTCACTCGTCGCATTGCATTGCATTGCATCGCATGTCCCGGCTTGGTAGCGTACAGTCGAAAATACGCACATGGAGTGATGTGCTCTCAGCCTTGGTGAATGTGCTCTAGGGTATCAAGCAAAGGCCTTGTTTGTTGCGTGATGTGCCATGTGGGAGCTGAGATCGGGATTCTCGAAGCTCAGCCGTCAGCCTGGCGGGGTTTTCAACGGCCTGATACATATTTCGTGTTTCTACCCGCGTGTGGCGCTCGAGTGACGGGAGGCGGTAAAGCTGGGGCTGGAGAAGCGGAGGAAAGGTGTTCCGTTGTGAGGTACGTGGGGATGGTTATGTATGGAGGCGTTTAGTATGTGTTAGCCGGCCCGACGCTTGTGAGTGAAGCCCCCAGGACTGTTTCTTTACGGCCCAAGGTGCAACTTGAAGACGACTTGACCGCCTATGCGATGAGCACCACTGGACGCAAATGGAGGCATTGTTTTCGAAGCGTAATCAGCCAGGATGTGAGCCGGTACGTTTCTAGCCTTGAAACCAGCCACTTTTGTTCACACATGGCGCGACACGAGGCGGCTTGCTTTGACGTTCCGCGGGAAACGCCCGAACGAGGCCGGTTGCCAAGCCAATAGCCACGGTGTGTGACAGGTTCTGTGGTCCTCAGCCGTCATGGAGCGCGAGAATATTTACAAGATTCCTCGAGTGAGTCTCGGAATCTTAATGGTGGGGTCGGATCGGAATCGAAGAGGTTCACGCAATGCAGACGGATGAACATGACGCGGGCAGGGACACAGGCCATACTTTTACGAGGAGATGGTTCATACCAAGACTCCAACGGGCTGTCGCAAGGAACTTTGCCATCAAGGGTTAAATACTGCGGCCGATCGGTGACTGATAAAGAGAACGCTCGTGAAGACCGGGAGTGCTTCCCGGCGATCTCCATGGAGACGGTTTCCGAAGGTGTCGATAACCCTTCATCATCAGCAGATAAGCGAGCAAGAGACTGGGTTCGGTCTCCGGGGTATGTTACATGTCGTAGCTCCAGTGAGGTGATTGCAAACCCGTCCCAGCCTGCTCTTGATATCAGTAGACGATGTCGGAGACAGCCAGAGGTCCGGCGTGCGGGTTATTTCGGGGTGAGGAGACGTGGATGTTCGGTCTCGTGCTCGAATGTGCGGGTTGGGGTTTGGCGCTCTTTCCAGGACGTTTGTGCTCCAGGTTCCAAATACGGTTCGAGGAAAAGCAGGTCTCCGAGTATTCGGGCTTTGGCTCCAGCTGCGGTGCTCAGTTCAACCTGCCAACCCCCACCCCTAACATTCCGAGACAACCCATGGTTAGAACTGTCGAACTCATGAAGATCAACCCCATTTCCAGAAGTTGATGGAACTGCTCATCGAAGACGACCGGAATGTTGACCGCCACTTGACCCCCAAAAACGTGTCGGTGACATTCGCCGAGCCCCGAACGGCACCGGTGAACTGGACGGTGAGATGGATCTGGATCGTTCCGAGACAGCGTTTAAGGCACAGGAAGCGGCTTGGGATTGTCCAACTGGACCCTGCGTCAGACACTCAAGAGCCAACCAGTCTTGTCGAGTCCCGGCAATTGAAGCCGGCGATGCAGCCGCCATGGCGACATCCCGCACGGATGGCGGTGTACTGTCTCGTCGCCCTCGCGCGTTCCAACAGCTGTCTCATCCCATCGATGATCTATGTTCCAGATTCCTGTACCTGAAGAGATCTCGACGGTCTGGGACCGTTGCCTGGTACGGGTTGTCGGTGGTTTCAGAGTAGCGGAGATCTCCGTCCTCGGCGGTCTTGCCGTGGTCACAAGACCAATTTCCTAAGTGGGAGCGGTCGGCTTTGAAGGGTAAAAAATGACATGCTCAATTTCAATTCGGGAACTCTAAATTTGAGATTGATATGTTGTTCGCCTGTGAAAAATACCAGAAGAGGGGCGGTGGTTGGCAGCGGCAGGAACGACGGGAGATGCACCCAGGATGCACTCGCACCCAATTCCGGCCGAGGTGCCCGAGGCGGTCGACCTCGGCCCACCTAATTTCCCCGCGCCGGCTGCCTATCCTGTCCCCGGTCCGGATTGTTTAAGGAGGAAGGTGCATGGAGCTCGACTTGTACCACTTTCTAGAACTGAAATTTCTTACATTGTATTGTGCATGAGGTGACCCGAGAATAATGTCTGACGCAGCGAAGCGGCGTGTTCAAGCCATTGGCGACCAGCTCACCGGGAGCTCCATCCCGGCCGTCTTCAAGGTCGCACCAGCCGGGCCGCGGGTTGCCGACAAGGTGGTCATCATCACTGGTATGTATCGCCGCCTGAGATATTCACCGGATTGCATCTGGGAATCTGGAAACTCACCAGGGCTCAGGCGCGAACTCCATCCTGGGCATCGGCCGGGCCTCCGCCCATCAATTCGCCGAGCACGGCGCCAAGGCGGTGTACATTTGCGACTACGATGACAGCAACCTCGAGGCGCACAAGCGCGAGATGAACGGCCTGTGGCCCCAGGTTGAAGTGCACACCCGTCAGTTCGACGCCGCCGACGAGAAGGCGGTGAAGGGTGTGATCGACGACGCCATCGAGCGGTACGGCCGGCTCGACGTCTTCTTCGCCAACGCCGGCACCGTCGGACCCCACGCGCTGTTCAGCGACATCGACGCCGACGATTTCATGGACGTCATGCGTGTGAACTCCCTCAGGTTCGTGCCCCCCACTCCCGCCCGGACCCGCCCGCCTTACTAACCGTATGTCTCAGCGTCTTCCTCGCCGCGAAACACGCCGCGCCCGCCATGCAGCAGACCTCAACCGCCAAGCCCGCCGCGTCCGGCAGCATCATCGCGACGGCGTCGGTGGCGGGGCTGCGGTCCAACGCGGGCAGCACGCCGTACTCGGCATCCAAGGCGGCGGTCGTCTCGATGGCGCAGACGGTGTCGTACCAGCTCGCCGGCACGGGGGTGCGGATCAACGCGCTGTGCCCGGGGCTCATCGAGACGGGCATGACGGCGGTCGTGTTCGACGCGGCGCGGGCGCGCGGCACCGAGGGCAAGATCGGCCAGCTCAACCCGCTCAAGCGCGGCGGCCACGCCGACGAGATCGCCCGCGTGGCGCTGTTCCTGGGCAGCGACGAGAGCAGCTATGTCAATGGCCAGGCCTGGGCCGTGGATGGTGGGTTGAGCGCCGGGCATCCGTATGTCCAGGGGAGGCTGGGCTGAGGGTTGTGGGGAGCTTGAAGATGGGGGTGGTGGGGCATCTGGATTGAGGTACATAGGTATGGTGCTTGTGTGTGTCTGTCTTGATATTTTTTTGGAAGTATTGACTGATATTGCATTGCATATATGATGATAGTGCCGTTTTCTCAATGGAATTCTTGGTTCAAACCCCGAAATCCCTCAGTTGTTCATCTTGTGGCGAGGAACCGCCTCGGTTGACAAGGATGGCTCGGGCGAGCATGGCTGGGCCGGGCATACCAACCTCGGTGCTTCGGTACCTATATAGTAATAAAAAAAGGCGAAAGGCGAGTTGGGCAAGTCGGTGTTGGAAAAAGAAACATTGAAGCAAGAAGCTGGCACCCGAAGCGCAGCTCGCGTGCCTCGGTAGCCTCTTTCGGCCCTGGCACAACTCTCTCGGTTTTGTGTCGCGTGGGAGCGCGGGATGGAGCTGGCCCGTGCACCAATCGCCAAGATCCTATTTTGGCCGGACGCGGGATGAGTTGCCATCCATTGTGGGGTCTCAGTCTGGGGTGCATGGGTCCAATGCGACCAGAATCGGATTGCGTTGTGGAGAAATTGACGAGCATTGCTGATGCACTTGGGTTCTGACGCTGGGGGCCGCAAATCACTTCGATCAGGAGTGCCCTCGGATAATGGCGAACGGGTCTCGTTCGCCCCGTCAGTGCAGTGGTTAGTTATTTTCTTTTTCGATGGAGCAGGCCCGTAACCTGTCGGGGATTGCAAATCTAAATGTCGGGGATGACGTCGTTCCGTGCATTGTGCTGACACAACAAACAACTTCGTCCAAGCCCTTCCATCCATTGTTGGGAGAACTCGGGGTCGGATTAAAGGAAACCAGCGATGTCCGACATTTAAACTACGAATTATGTGCTGCACAAAGCGCCTTGGCTGCAGCTCAGTGGTCTCGACGTGTTCATTGTTGCACTGACACTTGAAACAGACCGTCCATCAGGCAGGTTCGGCGAATGAAAGATCGAGGGTTGCATTATTCTCTGCTGTGAACATTCCCGGACAGCTTGTTGCCCCCGTCAACGACATGAGATCTGCATTTTGTGGCACTCCTCTTGAAGCCCCCTGATGACTGTATCGTGTAAGAAGGCTTGCTGGCCACGTTGAGCCTTCCGTTGCCAGTCGACCCAAGTGAAGCAATGTTTGTGGGGAATGGCCCCCAGCACATGCTAGCGGAATTTGATGCCAAGAGATTTGCACGGCACACGATGCGGGGGATCAAATGGAAGCAAGGTGAGATTCAACGGTGCAGCCACTGCAGTGTCTCGAATGGAAGCGAGACGACTCAAAGACGAGGACGCCCACGGCTAATGCAATGTCAACAGCCCATGTTTGGTCTCATGGCGGCTTTGACCCAGCATTGAGTCAGACCAACATGAACTCGACCGATATGACTGGGCACGAGGAACAGAGCGCTTTATTTGTCCAAAGGTGTGAGGCAGTCAGCATCCCAGCAACACACCTGCAGGATCCTTTCGCCGCAACTCTGGAACCGCCTCATCTAAATTAGGATTAGCGTGGCTGATTTCCAGTTGTTGGGTTTTTGAGCGTGCCCGGCTGCAGGTCCTCAATTCCGTAAAGTGCAGGTGGAATTTGTGCGACCGAAAGACGCATCAGCGTCGTTGAATGGATGCCAGTGGCAAAAACTGTCACTCATCCCACGTAACTACCTACCATAGCGCGCCGGGGGGGGGTTGCAAAATGATCACCACCAACGTTTTTTGGTGCCAAAATGATTTTTTCGTCTGAAAATGAACATGAAAATGAAAAACGAATACCACGACTCGCCTGTAATAAAAATAATAAAAACTCGAAAAATAATTTTAGATAAGAAATAATTTTCAGTCTTTAAAATAATTTTGAAAATAGAAAATAATTACTATTATTAAAATATAATAAAAGTTACTTTTATATAAACTTATTTTTAAAAATTAATATAATTTTAAAGTTTTAAAACTATCCTATATTAAAAAAATAAACTTTTAGTAAAGTTTCTTTTATTATATTATAGTTTTAAAGTAATAAAACTATAATAAATAAATAATAACTTTTAATATATAGATATTTTAATATTCTAAGATTACTTTCTATTATAAGATATAAAAAGAACTAAAGTGTGACGAACCTGTCTCTGGACCCGTCCTGTTAGGGTTCAGTATCGGTCGAAGGTATTCTCTCAAGGGTGCTTAGGTTCGGTGCAGCCAAAGGGTGCACAACAAAGACTTGTCTCAACAGTAGGCTCTCGAGCTTGTAGCGAACTGTAGTTGTGATTGCTAACTGGAGAACTCCCAGAGCTCTCCAGAACGAGTGACTATATACTGCTATCTAACGTGTTGATCCCTCTGCTCCCTATGCTCCCGAGGAGCGATGGGAGCGTCGTGAGCAGTGAGTGCGGCGAGTGCTCCCCGTGCTCCCTTCCTCGAGAGGGAGCGTCGGGAGCGCTTTCACTTGTCGCAACGATTGGCCGTTGGACCCTTAAATGATTGGCCGGGACGTCCCGCATCCCGCAGGCCAAGACCGCGTTGGGCCTAATCCGTGACATAAAGTTAAAAAAGTTTTTTTTTAACTAAGATTATTTAAAGAAAACTAAGCTATAAATTAAATAATTAAAAATAGAGAGAGGGTGGCAAATATAGGTGGCAAATATTGCTATTTTTATCTTAAGAAGTATTGAGTGTAGCTGTTTAATCTGGAGTTCACTTTCAAAAGGCTCTGTATTCGAGTCCTCGAAGGTGCTCTATTTTTTCGTAAGTCTCACAATCATAAATTCGTAAACTGTAAATTTGTAAAGTGAAAATTCGTAGAGTGTAAATTCGTAAAGTGTAAATTCGTAAAGTGTAAATTCGTAAAGTGTAAATTTGTAAAGTGTAAATTCGTAAAGTGTAAATTGTAAAATTCGTAAAATTCAATAAGTAAATAAGTTAAATAAATAAATAAATACTAGAAAATTAATATTTGAATTTTTTGATTGAAAAAAAGGTTTGTAAAATGGATTTAGCTGCGAGTTGGTTTTCTAGTGTCGAAATTGTCTTGGAAGAAAATCGTCTCTGGGCTCTCTGGCCATTTTCGGCCGGAAACCATTTTCAAATGACGTCCGTCAGAGATCAGTCATAGGTCCGGATCATTTTGGAGCCCCAGGACAGTCACAGTGATCATTTTGCAACCCCCCCCCGGCGCGCTATGGTAGGTGCTGTGTAGGCATTTAGGTACTGCCCGATTGCCTGGTTTGCGGCCGATCTGCAGGAGGTGTCTCGGAAAGGAATGGTAGCAAAGGAAAGGTCGCGTGAAGGCTGCGGGCACGGTCGCCCGTTTCTCCCACGCCGTGGCTTGCCCCGTTAGTTTTAGCGCGTCGAACCCCCGTGCTCAGCGATCAAAGCCCTGGACTGGCCCAGAACCCCCACCGAAGAACCCATGCATGGACGGCTCTCGTCTGCCAACAAAAAGCAGCTCCTCTTCAACTTCCGACCTTTCCACCTTTCACCCGGAACGGTCAACGTCCATCCTTTTCTCTCTTCGCTCACTTCAATTAGCACAACCAACTCGTCCTTCTCTCCGTAACTCAGCGTCCGAGAAACCCCCTTTGCTTTGCTTCGACAACGTCGGAGACATCCGACACACACAGTTTCCAAACACCCACCGTGCGCACACCTATCTAAAACCAGCACACTTGATTCGACTTGCGCCATGGCGGTATAATCAAGGGCGGTCCTCACCTAGGATCCGTGACGGATCCTAACATCACCTTCTCGCGCTCAACCCCCCACGGCGACTCACCATCGAGGCACCTTTTGGTCGCGGGTTCAGTTTAAGTCGCTTGCTTCACGGCCATCAACCCGGCCGATCCGAAAATCTCATTGAGCAGGCTGCCTCTGAACCAGCGCTCAACCGACCATCCACTTTCACCACCGACCGCCGTTCAACCCCTTCTTCAATTAGGATGTCTACGGGCGATAAGTTGGTGTCGAAACGAACCGGAAGACAAGCGGGGGAGCCTCAAGAGAACCGCATGGCCCGCCACGAGGAGACAGCATCCGAGGCACGGGACAGGCAAGGTTCGAGCTCGACCGTGGCAACATGCTGCAGCAGCCTGGAGCCATCTCCAATGGTTCGTCCCACATATGTACAACAGGAGGTCGACGATTTAGAGCTGGAATCCACAGGGCGAAGTGGTTCCGAGCTCCGGGATGCGTTCCATCCGCCAACTGCAGCTCACAAACCCGACTACTCGGTGCGCGAACTTGAAAGGAACCTCCCCGCCGAGAGCCGCCCGGCCAACTTTGGCATTGTGGTGCCCGGCGTCTATCGGAGCAGCTTCCCGCAATCCGAGGATTATGCCTTTATCGAAGGACTCAAGCTCAGGACCATTGTGTAAGTTGCACATCATCCGACTTTCGATCCGTGCTGACAGTTCTCGCTCGCAGTACACTGGTGAAGAAGGACTTCCCCCAAGGTTACGATGCCTTCCTTCATAGAAATGGCATCAAGCATGTCATATTCGACATGAAGGGCACGAAGAAGGAGGCGATTCCTACCGCCACCATGCAGTCGATTCTCCGCGTGGTGTTGGACCGCCGGAATCACCCGTTGCTGATCCATTGTAACCATGGGAAGGTAAGCGTCAGGATTCCTGTCACGGCTCGGCCAGGCCACTGACTTGGTCTAGCACCGCACCGGTTGCGTGATTGGCGTTGTCCGGAAGCTCTCCGGCTGGAATCTAAGCAACATCATCACCGAGTACAAGGCGTACGCCGAGCCGAAAGCGCGAGAGGTTGATATCGATTATATCACGGGCTTCGAGCTGATCGACGGCTCGAATCTTTTTCGAGACCCGAAGCCTTCTTTCCGCGTTTCCCGCTTTACCCGGGCTGTCATCTTTGCCTTCTTCATTCTCATGATCTGGTTCGTCTCACACACGGACCTGGCAGGGGACACCATCACGCGTGGGACTGAAGTGCGGCCACGCAAGTGAAGTCTGAGCGGGCCACGAACCTTGCGGGCAATTCGCTTCGCACTCGTGCGTTTTGCTTTCCCGGCCAAAAAAAACAGACGACTATTTTTCATTTTGTTGCTCATTCACTACTTGGCCTTGGGGGAAGCGCAAATAATTCCTCAACATAGAGTAGACCGGCGCCGAGAAACTGGAAGCATTGGGTCTTTGGCAGCATTTTTGGTTTGGGTTTGGCCGTTTGGAACATTCAGCATCATACTTGGAAGATGGGACATAACTATGGGGTTGGAGCGGAGACTATCAAGTGCTGAGCCGTCTCCTGGCGTTCAATGGCTGGCTTTTGTTTTTTATTGTTTTCTTTTGTCAAACTGGGTAGGATTAAATAACCCCCTATCCCACAATAGCGTTATAATACACTCTGTCAGTGTACTTGTTTATCGCTTTCTATGAGATTTGCAAGGTCATAGTAATGTCGAGGACCGGCTCCTCTTGACGAATACACTGTTAATACGCAAGCCACATATGTGATATGATGTCTTTGGTTGTAGGCAGTTGGCCCCCACAAACCTGCATCTTTCAACACCTCCTTTTACTTTTCCATCCAAAACTCGATCCCCCCCATGCACGCCTTGCCCCATACCCATCCACACCACCAACCCCCCCCCCCTCCTTTTTCCCCAAAACCTTCAATCAATCCCTATACACCCCCCACCGATTAACCTCCCTCCTCTCCTCCTCCTCCCTCTTCCGATCCCCCATCGCATACGTATAAAACCCCGCCCCGGCATTCACCGCCCCCAACCCCATCGCAACCCCGCGCACCACCCCGCGCGTCGAGAACCGGGTGCGCAGCGACGCGGGCCGCCGTCGCGCCGCCAGCAGCGTGTACACCCCCGACCACGCCGCCGTCATCCCGGCCCCGTCGGTCTTGAAACCGGCGAGCGTGAGGTAGCTGCTGAAGATGAGGAGGGGCGGGAAGAGCATGGGGAGGGGCTGGAAGGGGCGGGCGTGAAGGGCGATGATTAGGGTGGTGAGCGTCATGGGGGGGATGGCGGATGCTGTGTGGAGGTTAGTTGGGGGGTGGTTAGCTGGGGGGGTGGTTTGGTGGTTGGGTGGTGGTTGGTTTGGAAGGGGGAGGCGGGGGTTGTGGTGTGGTGGGTTTGGGCCGGGAGGGATGACTTACTCCCCCATGCTTTGAGCTGGTACCCTATTCCTAGGGCCGAGTCGGTGTCGTCTGGCGTGGGCGACATGTTGGGCGATGCTGCGGTGGTTGGGGCGGGCTCAATGGCTTGGTGTTCTGGTTGCGTGATCGCCGCTTTGACGAGCGATGTTTTGCTGGTGTTCACTTTTTGAAAGAGTGACGTCGTTGGGCGTCTGGGCTTATCGTTATCGGGTGTTGCCATGACTAAGCAGACATCCTTGCTGCGCCCCACGCTCTTTTGTTGCCATTCTCCCATTGAATGGTGCACGGACGTGGTTCTTCTGGAAAGTGTCCAGACGCAACAAAGGCAACAAACGCGGCAGCATCCGTCCGGAGACGCCATCGCCAAACTATTTTTGTGACTTTGGCCGGCGCAGGGAAGCCCGAGGCCGAATACCAACCCCGGCTTTGATTAATTCTTTCTTTTCTTGTACTTGGATGACTTTCACCACGCACTTGGACGAGTAATTGGGAGCGCTACTTCGTTACCTCCGTCTGCAACAATACTAATCGAACTCGGGACTTCCTATCTCTGCTCGAGCATCCGATCCTCTCCTCCAGAGCAAGCTCCCTCTCCGACCTAATACCCCCTAAATACCCGACCACGGCACCATGCCCGACGCCTCCGCTTCCGGAGCCTCGGCGTCCCAGAACGACTCGGCGCGCAACCGGCGCGAGCACAACCAGGGCAACCAGGAGCGCAAGTACACAGTCGAGCAGAAGGCGGCGGTGCTGCGCATCCGGCGATGCCAGCCGACGGCTTTCTACGAGATCCTGGAACTGCAGAAGTCATGCACCGACGGCGAGATCAAGAAGGCGTACCGCAAGCTGTCGCTGTTGACGCACCCGGACAAGAATGGGCACGAGAACGCGGACGAGGCCTTCAAGATGGTGGCGCGCGCGTTCAGCGTGCTGGGCGACAAGGAGAAGAGGGACAAGTTTGACCGGTTCGGCACCGATCCCGACAGCCGCTTTGCCAACGCCCAGGCGCAGGCCCAGCAGAATCCATTTGCTGGGTTCGCGCGGAGAGGAGGCGGCGGCGGCGGTGGGGGATGGGGGGAGGAAGAGATTAGTCCTGAGGAGATGTTTGCGCGGTTCTTCGGGGGCGGGGGGTTCGGGGGGCCTTTCGGAGGTGAGTAAATATCCAATGCCCCGTTTGTGAGGGACGAAGTTGACAATTTTTAGGCTTTGACGGCGGGCCACAGTTCGTCTTCAATTTCGGGAACGGGCCAGGTGTTAGGGTGCATCAATTCGGCGGCGCGCGGCCGCGGGCAAGACCTCGCAACCCAGGGCAAGAAGAACCGGCGAGCGCGTGGAGTACGATTATCGGGCTGCTGCCCATCATCATCCTCGTCGTCTGGCCGATCCTCTCGGGTATCTTCTCGGGTTTCTCACCCTCGACACCGGCAACGCCTAGTATGGTCTTCGACGAGCCGCACCCGCCGCTGTACACGATGGAGCGCACCATGCCGCATTTCGGGGTCAGATACTACCTCAACCCGGCCGACGTCCTTTCATACAGCCCATCCAAGCTTTCGTCGCTCGACAAGAGGGCCGAGGTAGTACTTGTGCAGCAATTACGGATCAAGTGTGAGAACGAGGTGTCGCACAAGCAGCAGCTACGCAACGCGGCGCAAGGCTGGTTCTTCCAGGATCCCGACAAGATGGAGGTGGCGAAGGCGTTTGACATGCCTGCGTGTAACAGGTTGAACTCATTGGGGGTATAGCACGAAGGGGGCGTAGAGGGGCTAATGTATCTAGAAGGAGCGTTGTGTATGCGGCATAGATTCTTGTGTTATGAATATCTTGTGTTTCATACGGGGGCCTGCGAGCGTTGGGGGGTTATTTTGCATCTACAGCACGTGAGGCCTTGTTGGGATCCTTATGCATTTTCAGTCACCTGCGAGACCAAAAATCATGACATACCACCATGGAGATATGTACATGTGCATTGGCCAGGTTGAAAGGTAACGAGGGCAATGCTCCGTACCCAATGATGAATGGAAATAGGTACCGAAAAGGCCCGGGATGGAGGTTGATATTCCACGTGTGCTGCAGCTGTGCCAGCCCCTGCCCGTCTCGGTCAGATCTGAGACGCGCAATCGCGACGAATTCGTCGAAGCTGGCCGCAGTGGCCTGGTGGCAACATCAACAGCCTGAGAAAGAGATGACGAGGCCCCCGGAAAGCCGGCTGGGCCAGAGAACAGTCCGATTGGGCTGGACCCTGCTGCCCCCACAAGCCAATTGCCTTTCCAGGCCATGGCCCCACTGCCACTCTCGGGCCGCTCAATCAGTGACCCTCCATGACGAGCGCAGGGTCGAGCGCCCACCTATGCAAACAACCTTCAACCACCAACCTACACCCTCATCGGCGGGGCTGGTACAATTGTTTAGGTGCATTTTAAGAAACTCCTGATAACTTAGGAATTTCACGTACCGAGGTGCCTACGCACTGCACCTAGGTCTCCCAAAACAAACCTTTTACCAACCATAAACGTCATCCTAGGTAAGGTAGCTGGCAAGCTGCCCCTCCAAACCGGGATTCCGAGGCCCTTCATCCCAAGTCGCAACGACGAACGTACCTGGAACTGGAAGCAACGCCGCCACTGGGGAGTCGCCTTCGCGAGGGAGACAGCTGTATATAACGAGCCGCCCCGATCACGATAGCGGCCTTGACCTTATTTATTCTTTGCAGACAAGACAATCCAGCCAATTCCTCGCCACTCCCAGTTAACGATCCATCTTTGCGCAGCACCCAGGCTGCCTCCCACGAGACCCTGGTCCAACCACCAGCAGTGGCAGTGTCAACATACTTAACCCCCCAGCCCCCGGGCCTTCTTCGTTTTATGACACCAGACCGACATAGTTCCATTTACGCTCCCGCAATGGTAATTCGAAAACCGCTCCCGGAGTCGGCGACTCCCGACCCGGCTGTGCCGCGCAATGCGCTGTCCCCGCACCAGGCCCAAGACGAGGCGATATGGGAGGATGGGATGCAACAGCAAGAGGCGCGACGCCAAACCAACCCAAATCTGGCGCCAGATGATGTACCGAACACTCTACGGCCCGGCTACGCCGACAAACTTTCCGACTTTGGGGGGGATGACAATATCTGGGCCGAGGGCCTGCCTGCGCTAAATACGGGTGACATGAGCCAAGTACCGGTGGTACAAAGGCTAGGTGGCAGTCATGGTGCGGAAGCAGCTCCGGTGCCCAGTGGAGATTCCAAACCCGAGACGAATCCGTTCAAGAGGAAGATGTCGTTCAGCGCGTCTGGGGCCGGGCAGGGCAGGCCGGGAGCATCGTCCAATATCCCGCCCGTCCCGTCTGTCCCGGTCGCGGACTTTTCCCAGCTAGGCGGGGACAATGTATGGGCATCAGCTCGCCCATCGCGCCAACCCACCCCCGGACTGGAATCCGATTCGCCAGCGCTCGTGTCTCTGCCTTCTGAGGGGGGTTCAGGCGTATGGGGAGAGGAACCTAACAAACTGCCCCCCTCCGCACCGCCTGTACCCACAATCGGCGACGGCCTTGGAAATTCATCCGCATGGGGCGATGTCAAGGCACCCGATAATGAAAAGGGCGCGCAGCCACCAGCAGTGCCGAATAAAAGCGCCGCAGGGGCGGATGATTGGAACTTGATCGATATGGAACCCAATCCGGAACCCCTCTCGAGGCAGAGCACTTGGGAAAACTTCAGGGATGAAGATACCGCCGCTCAAACGGCTCCTGCGGCGGCTCCTGCGACGACTCCCGCGACGACTCCCGCGGCGGCCCCTGCGGCGGAACCAAATACCGAAGTAGCGCAACAGGTGCCACCGGAACCATCAGCAGATCTCCCGCCCCCTCAACCCCCACGGCCTGTCGACAAATCAGAGACGTATCAAATCAAGAACATCTCCTGGCACGATGCGACGGCCACCAACAACCCCAGGGTGTCACCAATCGTCGTTCAGAACGCCAATGGGCCGTGCCCGCTGGTTGCCCTTGTGAACGCCCTTACGCTGACTACCCCGGCGGAGAGGACGAACACGGCACTCGTTGAAACGCTGAGATCACGGGAGCAGGTCAGCCTTGGTCTGCTTCTGGATGCCGTCTTTGACGAGCTCATGTCGGAAAGGCGCGCACAGCTTGACGTCCCTCTCCCGGACGTGACGGAGTTGTACGATTTCCTCAAGGGGCTCCACACAGGCATGAACGTCAATCCGCGTTTTGTACCGGCTCCCGAGGTGGTTACGGCATTCAAACGGACATCACTTACACACCTGCACCCGACCGAGCGCACCGATATGATCCCTGGCACCTTTGAACGTACCAGAGAGATGAATCTCTACTCGACCTTCTCTATCCCGCTTATCCATGGCTGGCTTCCTCCCAAGGAGGACGCTGTATGTGCGGCATTCTCACGGCAGGCGGTGTCATATGAAGACACACAAAATCTATTATTTCGGGAAGAGGAGCTCGACGAGAAGCTGTGTAGCCCCCAGGGCCTCACGCCCGAGGAGCAGCAGATTTATCAAGATATTCTGACCATCAAGTCGTTCCTAAACACATCGGCAACGCAACTCACCACCTCCGGGCTTAATGTAATCAAAACGGCGATGAAACCCGGGTCCGTGGCCATCTTGTTCCGCAACGATCACTTCTCGACTTTGTATCGACACCCACAAACCATGGGGCTTTTCACCCTCGTCACGGATGCTGGGTACGCTGGCCACGCCGAGGTGGTGTGGGAGTCCCTGGTCGACGTCAATGGCGAGAGCGCCGAGTTCTTCTCGGGCGACTTCCGTCTCGTTGGTGGTATCGCCGACCAGCCAACTCATTCGGGGGATACCGTGCCCGATAATTGGATGGATGCCGTGCCCGATGATAATAACAACTGGACCACAGTCCAGCCCCGACGCGGCCGCACACAAACCGCGCGGCAAAGCGGCGCCGGCGAACCGCCCCGTTCGCCAAACAACGAGCAGGAGGACCGCGACCTTGCCCTCGCTCTCCAGCTCCAAGAAGAAGAAGACGAGCGCGCCCGCACCGACCAAGAGCGCCGACGCCGCGACCATCTCCTCTCGGAACAATTCATCCAGCAAGAAGGCGGGCGCTCCAACGCCTCGCTCGCACAGTCCCAACCCCCATCCGGACCCGGCGGCCGGCGCCCCATCCCCGCCAACGCGCGCCCCGCATCAGCCTCAACCACCTCACACTCAGTAAGCGGCCAAATGGGCGGCAGCCCCAACAACAACAACCGGCCCAGGGCTACAACACAAACAGTGCGCTCCCTCCTCCCACCGCGGAACGGGCCCACCCAACCCGCCACAACAACAACCACAACCACCGGCCCGGCCAGAATGACGAACCGCCCCGCCGAAGACGGCCTCGACGACGCCCCGCCCAGCTACGAGCAGGCCGCCAAACAGCTGCCCTACGTCCCGCCCCAGGGCCACCCTAGCCACCCGGGCAGCCATCCGGGCAGTACGGGGACGAGTCCGGCGCTCAGGCAGGGGCAGGGGCAGGCGGGCGGTTCGGCGCGGCCGCAGCAGCAGCAGCAGCAATACCAAGGGAGTCCTGCTATGGGCGGCGGGCGGAGTCCGGGTATGGGTATGGGTGGTGGTGGTGGTGGGGGGATGATGGGCTCTGGGAGGGGGAATGGGTATCCCGGTGGGAATGGGTACCCGGGTGGGGATGGACGGGGTGCGGTGCCGGTTGGGGGGTATCGGAGGGGTGTGCCGCCGGAGGAGAAGAGTTGCGTGGTTATGTAGAGGGGGAGTGGGGTTGGGTTATGAGATATGGGCTTTTTCTCTTTTTTCTTTTGTGTTTATACGGTCGGCGATGCACGGGCGGTGGAGTTTGGGGTCTGGGTTTAGGGTGGCTATTGGCTCCCTACCTATGGGGATATTATTGGCGCTGGATGGGTTGTGGTTACTGATTATGTGTGACGTGTGACGGGATGGGATGATGATATAACTAGCTGATCCGTGTGTTGGGGTTGGGATGAGGTTGCACGCATAAAGAGGACAACTTCTTTTGTAAACTCCAGTGAGCATTTAGAGATGGTTTGCGAGTGGGTTCGGGTATTTGTTTGCTTTGGCATGTGATAGGGCCTGGGGTACAGATTACAGATGCACACTCTGTACACTCTTGGTACCCTCGTGTGGTGTATTCTGGCGCCTGGCTGGGAGGTTTGTCAAACTCATGTTGCTTATTTTGGATGGTGCTGCCACGACCCAAAGTGTCAAAGTTCCAATGCAACACCATCGTGGTCGGTCTGAAAGTTTAATTGACACTAGCCGGCATTCCGATTGGCTATCCACCTTAGCGAGTGGATATTCCGTCTCTCATAATGGAACGGCGTGATGACCGCACCTTCCCTGACATCATTCGTTGTTGCTCCGATCGCAGCGTGCCATTTTGTACATTTGTAACTGCAAGGTGACAGTTACGGCCGGAGCGTCGGATTTCTGTCTCGGCGTGTTCCACTTTTGGGTCTTTCTTCCTTCCTTCCTCTTTGACTCAACTGCCGGTCCGGTCCACAGGCGTGAGTGAGGTCTATTTCCTGGGAGCTTCCGCCCTTTCCACCGCTCCCACGAGAACCCCGACCTTCACCGACATCGACTGTGATCCCACTCCATCGGCACAGTTCGACAGCACCAAACAAGTCTAATTCCCCTACTACCAAACCACCAACCATCACCAAACCCCATCCCCCGACATCCCATCCCATCCCATCCCACCGCCATCATGGCCACCGCCACCGCAGGGCTCATCCCCAACTGGTTCCCGCCCACCCGCGAAAACCACGCCCTGATCGTCTCCATCTGGCAATGGTTCCCGCTGGCCGCCTCCCTCCAGTGGCTGATCCCCTGGTACGGCATGGGCAAGACATCCGTCACATCCCGGTTCAACCTGCCCGGCCGCATCGGCTGGCTGACCATGGAAGCGCCGGGCTTCCTGACGCTGCTCTACCACATGCGCACCCTCACCCCCACCCTTTCTCAAAACGGTGGGGGGGAAGGGCTCCCCTGGCAAAACAAATTCCTCGCGACGCTCTTCGTGACGCACTACGCCTACCGCGCGCTGCTCTTCCCCTTCCTGCAGCCGTCCATGTCGCCGCTGCACGTGGTGATCTGGCTGTCGGGCGCCGCGTTCCAGGTGACCAACGGGCTGGCGATCGGGGCGTGGCTGGCGGCGTACGGGCCGACGACGCAGGCCGAGTGGGCGGACCAGATATCGACGGGGCAGTTTGGGATTGGGGGTGGCGGTGTTCTTTGCGGGGCTGGCGGCGAATTATTGGCATGATGATGAGTTGAGGGAGATTAGGCGGCGGGCGGGGAGGAGGGCGGGGAGTGGGAAGAAGGATGGGAAGGAGGGGAAAAATGGGAAGGATGGGAAGGGTGGTGCTACTACTGGGGTGGATAAGCATTATGAGATTCCGCAGGCGGGGCTGTTCAAGGTGATGCTGTACCCGCATTACTTTGTTGAGTGGGTGGAGTGGTTTGGGTTCTGGATGGCGGCCGGCTGGGGATGCGTGCCGGCGAGGTGCTTCCTGCTCAACGAGATTGCGGCCATGCTGCCGCGGGCGGTGAGCGGGCGCAAGTGGTACGTGGAGAAGTTTGGAGAGGAGAAGATTCGCGGGCGGTGGGCCGTTATCCCGGGGGTATGGTAGGAAGGGATGGCTGATATGCTGGGCACGACTCTCAAGGGGGGGAGGCCGGGTTGAAGATGGTATCTTTTGTGTTGGCGTGGTCTGCATGTTAGGTTGGTAGTATCTATCAAGCACAAGGCATTTCTCGCATATAATATACACTTGCTCGTTCGCCGCCCGGAATGATCACTTCCCAATGCACGCTGACTCCAAGGCTAGTTAGTAGAGATGCCGTAGGTTGCTAACGTGGTAAACAAAAGGAATCTGCATCGTTGCGGAGGTGTACAGTTACAGTACACTCCCCGGAGCGATGGTAAAACACACAAACGCCACCCATGCCATCCGACCAGTCCCATCGTCTCAATCTCGGCAGGTACTCTCGACTCCAATCGGGCCCAATTCCCCTGCCATAAACTAAAACGCGCTATTCCCCTTTCCCATTTGTCTTCTCCTCGCTGCTTCCTGGCCCCGGCATTTGAGTTGCGGGGGCTGGTGGCGGGGCCGGCGGGGGCGGACTCCCAGGCCCGGCGCCCTCGCCATCGCCGCCGCCAGACAACGGCGGGATCGGTAGGCCAGAGTCTATGGGCTTCTTCGGCTTGGGCACGGCCATGGGCCCGGGCGGTATTGAGATGCGTCCCACGAGCTTCTCGCCGCGCAGCACCTTCTCGACCTCGTTACGGTCCAGCGTCTCGTACTCGACAAGGGCCTGCGCAAGCAGGTCGAGCTCCTTGCGCCTGGAAATGAGCAGGGTGCGGGCACGGGCATACGACTCGTCGAGCACCTTCTTCACCTCAGACTCGACCATGGCGCGTGTCGCTGAGCTCAGTTGCTCATACTTGCGGAGGTACTCGACGGGGCCGAGACGCTCAGACATGCCGAGCTGGGCCACCATTTGCCACGCCGTGCGGGTTGCCGAATCGAGATCCTAAACCTCAGTTAGCATGCACCGATATTGATGGGCGGAGTTGGGGGGAGAAGGGGGATCGCATACCGCGCTGACGCCGCTCGTTACATAATCGTTGCCGTAGACGATCTCTTCGGCAACCTTGCCACCCATGGCGCGGTCAATCATGCCCAGGTAGTCTCTAACCGAGAACGAGTACTTGTCCATCAGGGGGAGGAAAGCGGTGTGGCCGAGGCTCTGGCCGCGCGGGAGAACAGTGACCTTGTAGAGCTCGCCTGCAGTGTCCTTTGAGTAGTAAGCAACCAGCGCGTGGCCGGCTTCGTGGTAGGCCGTCATTTCTTTCTCCTTGGGCGTAATGACCATGCTTCGCTTCTCAGCACCCATAATCACCTTGTCCTTGGCCCACTCGAAATGCGCCTGCATGACAGCCTTGGCCTTCTCCTTGCTCGCATGGACGGCCGCCTGGTTGACAATGTTCTCGAGCTCGGCGCCAGACAAACCGGAAGTGCGGGAAGCGATGGCCTCCATATTGACATCGGGACCCATCTTGATCTTCTTGGAGTGATGCTTCAGAATGGCGATACGGCCGCGCACATCGGGTAGTGAGACGGCGACGTGGCGGTCGAAACGGCCGGGCCGGGTGAGCGCCTTGTCCAGAGATTCGGGGAAGTTAGTGGCACCGAGGATAATAACACCGCTGTTCTGGGCGAAACCGTCCATCTCCGTGAGAAGCTGGTTCAGAGTCTGGCGAACGTAGGTTGCGTCGCGCGAGTTGCGTTTGCCACCGATAGCGTCCAACTCGTCGATGAAGATGATGGAGGGAGACTTGGCCTTGGCGGTAGTGAAGAGTTCGCGAACACGCTTGGCGCCGACGCCGACGTAGATCTCGTCAAACTCGCTACCAGACATGTAGAAGAAGGGCACGCCAGCCTCACCGGCGACGGCACGAGCCAGAAGAGTCTTGCCTGTACCCGGGGGGCCGACGAGCAGAACTCCTTTGGGCAGCTTGCCACCGAGGTTGCTGAACTTCTCGGGATTGCGCAGAAAGTCGACCAGTTCCTGGAGTTCGTCCTTGGCCTCGTCACAGCCGTGGACATCGGCGAAACGGGCTTTTTGGCTCTCGGCTTTGGGATCGATGCTGTCAACCTTGCTCGGGCGCTTGAGACTGGTCATACCCTCTACAACCATGGTGACGAGCACCAAGCTGAGATAAGCACAGAGACCGAACCAGAGAAGAAACTTGATCCACCGAAGAGCAGCAGTCCCGAAGGTCTCGTCCACGATAACGTGCAGAGGACCGCCGTTCTTGCCGCCGTTGGAACCTGCAGAGAAAGCCATGTTGCCGCCGGTACGATGAGCTGCCACGGCCTGGCCGACAGCCTGAAGCCGGCTCGAGTTGAGGCCGGAAGCATTGAAAGCCGGGTCACCGCTGACAGCCCCGCCGGTCGTGCCGTTGATCATACCCAGCGCTGTTTGGTAGGCCTCGTCGGCCGCCTCGTTGGTCGCAAACCGTCCTGACTAATGTTAGCAATCCGTGCGCCAAGTTGACAACCCAAACAGTCCAAGTATTCAACCTACCAGACTGGTACCGTTCAATAACAATAGCAGGCATGTTAGCCTTGAGAAGGAGCTGGTAGAAAGAGTTCTGAGCCGTGGCGCTGTTCGGGTTCCGGTTGGCAGCACCCTCGCGGTTCGCAAGGAGATCGCGGGAGACGCCGCCGGTGCCGAAGCCACGGTACTGAAGGTTATGAGAGGGACGCTGAATCTTGGGCCAGGTAAGCTGCTGGATACAGCTCGGACGGTGGGTGCTCATGGAGCGGAAGCCGGGGAGAGTGGTCAGAGGGCGAGCCATCAGGGCCGCGTAAGAGCGGCGCATGAGGGGATTCGCCATGTTGAGCGAGCGGGAGGGCATGGCAGATATTTCCGAGAAGATATTCGTAGGGGAGGCATTGGCGAGGCGACGGTCGAGGAAGCGCGGGGACAAAACGGTGTCCCGCATGAAGTCGGGGACCTCGGTCTTGGGCCGTGCCGCGGCGTGGATTTGGGCAGAAGACGAGATCTCGCCCTTGGTATCCGCAGCACTCGTCGGCGACGTAGGTTGATGCGCAGCCGGGGTACGAGAAGGTCGGGAGTTCGAAGTTGGGAGGTTATGGGTGCCTCTCCAGGGGATCAGCAGTGTGTTCGCAATCGACGGCCACAAATCTGTGGTCGCGGCTGCGATACTCTGCGGGGTGTCAATAAGTCACTTCGGTGAATACAGGGTCGACGGTATGGAGGCATAGACTTACCGGCAGCCCACTTGCGTGGAAAGCCATGGTGAATACGGCTCTTGCCCGCGAAAATGTTCGGATGGCGGGATGCAAGACGCAGAAGCCAGAATGATGCAAGGTCCAAGACTGTTGGGGGAACCGAGTGGATTGGCCACCGGGTTTGCCCCACACACCAGCGAGGGCAGGTGGGGCCGTCGTGTCTTGGCACGGTTGTGGCAAAGAGGAGGAAAACGACTCGAAGCTTCTCAAACTTGAACACCATACACAGGACTTGTACACGTCTTAAGTTTTTAAAGAATTTAACATAACCTATATACTCCAGTCCCTGCTTTCATACGTTTATCTTGTGCTGCTTTGTTTTCTTCAAACTGCTCATTATTTCTTGGACAAACCCTCGAAATCTCGGGAGTCGGGTTTCACCTTGCTTCAATCAATCTATCAATATCTCTACGCGTATTATTCGCGCCATTTATTACGTGACAAACTTGGATCGTATGTGGTTCGAAATATTTATTCAATAACACGCATGGCATGCGTCGTCTCTAGTGCCCTGTGTTGGATACACTTGCCGTACCCCTATAACCGAAACATTCATTCATTCATCCATCCATTCACTGCTCCTTCCCACCCCTCTATCATAAGTATAGCACTTGTGGCATAATGATACGCGGCCCCGGGCTTTTCCGTTACTCACTCATAGTACGGGTGTACCCGGGAAACCCAAGGCTTCCAAACTCGCTGCTGCTGATATGTTTGGCCCTCTCGTTTAATCAATGGCCGGGCCTGGGCCCCGTACGTACGTACACGTTCGTGGGCGAGCCGCACGCCAAGTCCCCGTTCCTCTGGTTTCTTGAGCCGAATCCTTCGGATATAACACACCTTAGGTAGGTACCTAACAATTACCGCAACCGGTCCTCTCTGTCTGTAAACTACGTTCAAACATCATTCAGAATGGCAGCCCAGACGGCCGCAGACTTCCTCGACGACCCACGCTTCAACCGGGTCTTTGAGTACACCCCTCCCGGTACCACGTCCCCGCCCTTCAAGATAAAATACGCCGACTATGGCTACCGCAACGAAGCCCACTCAGAGCAAGAGCGCATCATGTTTTTCTCGGGGCCCCTGATGGCGTCTCGCCTGGTGCTGGCGACCAAGGACGAGCTGGCCATCAAGCACAAAATCCGGATCATCAGCGCCGACAGGCCTGGGATGGGGGGCACCGACCCCGTCGCTCCAAAAGACAGGCTGACCCTCTGGCGTGGTACGTCCTCCCCTTTAGAGCCAGACGACCGGCCACCCCCTATTAACACCCATCCCAGACGCCATCCCAGCCCTCCTCCAGCACCTGCACATCCCCCACTTGCACGCAATCATCACCCACTCCGGCGGCACCGTCTACGCCCTAGACCTGGTCCTGCACCACCCCACCCTCCTACTCCCGAACCCTCCTATCCCGCCCCCATCTTCAACCCCCTCACCCCCATCATCATCACCATCACCCCCACCCCAAACCCAACAACCCACCACCACCCTCCTCGCCCTCGGCGCCCCCTGGATCCTCCCCACCCACACCGCCTCCCTCCCCCTCTCCCTCCTACAATCCCTTCCCCCCAGCCTGATCAGCCACACCGACAAGCTGATACGCCTCGTCGGCGGGCACATCGCCCCTGCACTAGGCACGTCCGCCGGCGTGCTGAACCGCCTGGGGGGCGCGTCCGCGCTGTGGAGCGGCGCGACTTCTTCCCCAGCGGATGGGGAGGAGGGTGCTGCTTCTGGGGAGGTGCGGGAGGAGGAGAGGGTGTGGCCGGGGGTGATGAGGCGGGTTTACGAGGAGGGGGTGGCGGGGGTGTCGGATGAGGCGTTGCTGTTGCTGCAGAGGGGCGCGGGGGCGGAGGGTGGGTGGGGGGATTGGGGGGATTATGACGGGCTGGTGCCGCGGTTGGGGGAGGGGTTGAGGGCGGCGGGGCGGCGGGTGAGGATGGAGGTGTTTTATGCGGAGAGCGATACGCTGACGGGGGATGGCGGGGTGGTGTCGAAGGGGGGGAAGTGGTTTGATGGGCTGTGGGAAGGGGGCGAGGGGGGTGTGGTGGAGTATGGTAGCCGGACGGTTAAGGGGGCGGATCATGATGGTATTTGGTGGTTGAGGTGGGGGGCGGTGCAGCAGGTGTTTGAGGCGGTTGGAGAGACTGGGGGGAGGAACGAATCTGGAGATGTGTCACGGTAAGCTTACACGGGTTGGATGGGACTGATGGTGGCACGACTGAATATAGAGCAAGATAAAACATGGAAGGTGATCATTTATTAGGACTACACTGCCTGGTAATTTACCATCCTCTTTTCTCCTTAACCCGCGTTAACTTCTCCCAATACCGGGGTACATGTACCTAGGTAAGTACGTCAGGGCTGGGTCAAATGCAGTGCCGAGCTTCTCAAGAGCCTATACTGTGCAGGGGGTTGCGCTGGTGTCGCTTTTGACGTAAAATGTAGCGATCGGCATCCGTCAGTCTATCCTCGATCATATAGTCAATGCCAAATATCCTTGACAGGTCTGTCCTGTAGTTATGCTCTGCGCCTCGGGAATGTATGATAATCTTTTTCTGATCATGATACTTCTTTTTCCGAAGCTCATCAAGAACCTGACTCCAGGTCCCGCTGTTCAAGTACACATTGGTTAGTCGGATGTGCGTCATCGACTCTGGCAATGCGTCGAGGAAGACTATTAGCTTGGACAGGTAGACCGAGGGTCCGTTAAGGGAGACGCGAGTGAGCTTATCTCTAGCCCTCGACCCCATGACTTTGCCCACCTCTATTGCACTCGACGATTTATCGCCGGCCTGTATAGTGAGCTTGACATGCTGTAGGCTAGAAGTGTCCAAACAGGTAAATAGGAACTCGTTGAGATCGCTCGCCTCTTCGCGCTCCAAGGGGTCCCAGGAATGGAACAGAAACTTGAAAACCTTCACCTGCTGCATACTCAACGAGAGCTCTGTCCGGATCTCTGGGGCGAGCACCAGACTTCCAGGGATTCCCGTGGCGCGTAGGTCAATGCAAATGCCACTAAGCACAATGCCCCTGTGTCGGAGAGTATTCACCAGATGGGCAAGGCATTGGCAGCTAGAAAGCCCGAGACGGCTTTGCTCCGTATGCCAAGCAAATAGTGGGTGAAGCATGAAGTGATACAATGCATCCCAGACCTCGGCGGTGGGATGCTCCAGTGTATGCCCGGTAAAGTTGCAGTATTCATCACTGAATTGCAAGTTCCGCGCACCTGGCATCCTTGCCATGGCAGAGGCAACAATCCGGGGGAGTTCTCCGCTCGCCAGCATCAACTCCTGGTTTTTGAGGCGGACCATATATTCTTCATGAACTTTCTTTAGCCGTACTCGAGCCTCTTCTTCTTTCTCGCTGAGTTCGCCAGTGTCTTGGTCTGGCGATCCGAGCCGTTCCAGTACTGAGACCATGAACTTTCCGTTTGCGATCCTCTCAGGTTTGTCTGGGTTTTCTGGCTTACAGTTTGGATTACCAAACTCCATTGATCTGACACTTTGACGAAGTAGGGTGGCGTGGTGCGAGAGGAACCGACTGAAATCGGCGAAGGCGGAGTTATAGACAATGGGAAGGATTCGAACGGTGCGAACCCCCTTCGCCAACGTGGGATGATGAGATACTCTCTCCAAATGTTTAATCGATGGATTGCTGAAGCTAATGCGCACGGTCCGGATAAACTGCTGCGAGACTAGGTCACAAAATCGATGACAGACCAGACGTGTGTTCCTCATATCTCTAATAGGTATTGCCTCAGCCGGAGGGGGCCACTTCCAATAGGATCGAAAGTCATGTATGAGGCGATATTCCAGGTACTTGAATATTTCAAGGAGAAGCTCGTTGGGTAAATCCATAATGGTCAAGTCTCGCAGAAAAGGACGTGACAGCTCGTTTATGCGGTTTCGAATATTGCTCTGCATCTCTTCAAAGTCCGACTTCGAGCCTTCCAAGTATTTTACCTCTTCGTCCAACGTCGGGCTCAGGTATCGGCCATGACCCGAATCATGGGTCAAACGATCATGATGGGTTTTCCACCACTCCGACTCGGCTGGTATCTGGTCTCCGAACCCTTCCCGACTGTACCAGGCGAGCAGTGGTGAGTCATCTTCCTCATCTTCCTCGCGACACCTGACCGTCCACCCAAGGGTCCTCAAGCGGCAGTACTCGGACCAATCCTCCCGGAGCCGTTCGTTTGCAACTCGGAGACGGCGATAAGCAGCGTCGAGGACTTTGTAACTTTTAGGGATTGACATATTTGTCGTTGGGCGATGCAGCCCATTGTGAGTGTGGACGAATCGATACTGGAGAGTTGGAGTTGGTTACCTAGGTAGCTACCTATTTATGTTGATGAGAAAGAGGTCATGGTTTTGTGTGGCATGGGCTGTGTTGTAGCTGTGATCTCGTTCCCCCATAATCCATTGTATGTACATTTAAGGTACGTACTATATATTCACAAATTCACTGCGTTGTTCAACTGTTTTGGGCTGGGGCAGCCAGCACCCTCTCATTAACCCCAAAGGAGAGTTTGGGGGGATTGCGCAGCCCAAGGACAATGCTAGGATGCGCATAATCAAGACCTTAATTTGTTCTCCACCACCGGGTTATTCCGTTGTTCATATTTTAACAATGATAATTAATAACAGTGATGCCACCACCAAGGTTCAAGTTGGCCCCATTTGGCCTCCATTCCTCCATTCCGAGGTTGTCATCATGACAACCTAGAAGCTTTTGCAAACACCCGGCGACGAAATAATACGTTCCACCTATTGGTAGGAGAGTAAGCCACCAACGCCTCCCACTGACACGTCTCACGGTCCCAGCAGCGCATCCCTTCCCCAACCCCCCCTACGGCAGCAGAACACCCACTCGGCGCCCCTTTTACGCGTACAGACAGATAAACAGAGGGCCGGGGTCGAGGCCGGGGCTCTGGCACAGATAACCTCGGGGATCGAGGCAGACGGCGCGGCGAACCGGCGGGCCCCCGCTCGGTGTGCTTGCTCCGCGTAGCCCCCGGGGGAACGACTCGGGCGGGCTGCGTGGGGGTTGATAGTCTCTTTGAGCACTCGGTCTCTAGGTACTTCTCACATCCCTTTTGAAGGCGTTGGGGTAGGGATTGGGTGGGTTGCGAGGCGCGGTGAAAGTGGACTGCTCTCCAAGTAGGGGGCGTGGGGGTGCTTTAGCATGTGCCCTTGGCCTGAAATCGGTCTCACTACCTACGGTAGGTATCCTATTGTTTGTACTAGCTCCTAGGCCGCGCTAAGTAGCTACCTACCTACCTAGATACCTAGGTACCTAACCAAGGTATGTACCTAGGCTATTATCAGCCCTTGATACCTATCGTAATTCCGCACCCTACAATACCACCCCCCGCCAAACCCCCATTTGGCGAAACGAGGGGTGTGCTCTTGTTCCGCCAGGGTGGCTCGTGGTCCACTTCACTTGGAAGGGTGCGGGTTCGAAACCACGAAGCAAAACTCTCGAGCTTTCGTAGACGACTAAGGTATGTACATCCCTTTCCGTCGCTTTGATCTAAGGAAGGCTTGTCGGTGAGCTTCTTAACCTAATTTCCCTCGAACAACTCGCAATTCGGTAACCCACTGTCGACCCTCGTCGCGCAAGAACTGTCCGTTATTATTTTCTAGTGCTGACCAGCAGCCAAAAGGTCAGTACCGCCAGGGCGCCTCGAGTCCATGTCTGCCTATAAAGTCCCGCTTTATTCCGTCATCTCGCACATGCCCCATTTCCACGGGCACCGTTCGCACCGATACATTCGGCATTCAGTGCATTGTGTCGTCTCCTCGTCACCTCCGTCCGGTCCTCCGCACAGGCAGCAGAACCACCGCTTGACGCAGTCGGCCTCGACACACGTATAATCTTGTGCGTGGGGCAGTTCTACTGGAGCTGGATTGGCCCGAGTTCCCCTTACTCTCCAGCAGCCATTCGGGTTCTGATCGGCCTCGTTGTTGGCGCACGGTATGAGCATGGTCGGGGAGTAAAAGTGCGAGCAGATTGGGTGTGTGAACCGAACCCAGTGACACATGGTCGAGGAATGACGAGATGTCTTGCTGCTGATGATGGGGATGGTCGGATTAGCTCTGTGACGGCTCTTGATAGTCGAATCGGTGCAGCTGTGATGGGAATGTGTTTCGTTGCGGTGGACACTCCGGTGGCGGCTCTTGTTAACCCGGTTATTAGAACGGATGAATAAAGTGTAGATGATGTACCAACGGCAGCTGTGGAGTATGGAGTAGTGGTTTTGTTGCAAGGTGAACGGGTTGACAATGGAATTGCTTGGTGCGAGACCACCCAAGGGGTTATTAACTGCTCCAGTAGCTGAAGAGGCATAGTTTTGGGGGAATAGGGAGGCAGCTGCCCTAGAATCATCATCAGGTGGGTAAGTAGACATGTGAAAGGGGCCATTGCACGTGGATTACAGCACCGTATGGGACTAGAATGCTTCAATGGGCTCAATGAATCTTGTGTAAGAGTCAGATGCTGAAGTGGCGATACACCTCAAAACCACACACACCACCAAACACTTGCAGTGGGTCACGTGCCACGCGCGTGTTGTGATGTCAATGTTGCATGAGGGAGGAATTGGCTCCGAGAACAATCTTCAACACTACGGATCCTACGACCGTAGAATCAATATACCTACGTACGTAACCTTCTGGTCAGAAGGCCGCGGTCACAACTACCGTAAAAAGAGGTTACTTTAACAAGTATAGAAAAAGAAATAGAATTATATACCTTATAAACTCTAAGAGGGCTCGAGCCTCTAACTAAATATAAGGATACCCTAGATAAACGAATATAATAAAGAAATGGAAAAACGAAATTCCTAACCTAATATCCCTCTAGTTAGAGGGAGTTCGTTACCCTAATTTATACTTCCCTTTCGAACTTATAATAGCTTCTACCTATAAGTTTAAATCTATTTTTCCTAACTATTATACTATATATACTCTATATATAATACTAGGTCCTATAGGTAGTAATTATACTATATAGATATACCTATTACTTCCCTTTATATAAGAACCTAACCTTACTACTATACTGGGTATTTAGGCTCTAAATAATAGGTAGGTAAGCTATAGTAATTATAGATAGAGGGCTGTTTAAAACCTAGTTCCGAATCCTCTAAACTAATAGTATATATTAAATTATATATCTCTATAGTCTCGTTATTCCTCTACTAACTAGAGGGTACTACTACCGATCAAGTATTAATTCGAGAAGATTATTAAATAATAGAGCCAGAAGTTCGAGATAGTTAGGGTATAGGCAGCTATAGTATTAGTAGTATTAGTAGAAGCACCTACTAGACTATAGCCTACCTTACTATCTCGGCTTTATAGTACTATATATAGACCGTTTTCTAGAGTTCTCTATTCTAGGTTATAGCTTTATATTAGATCTATTAAAAGTAGATTAGAATATTAGAGCCTACTTTAAGGTTTACTACCTAAAGTATTTCGGCTAGGTTAATAACTAGCTTATACTCCTTACTTGGAGCTCTACTAAGAACTAGGGTATTATTAAGAGATATAAGAGCTAAGTTCTCCTAGTTAGAGCTATCTAATAGTATATCTTTATTACTAAGTTTATTTAGTACTTTAGTAATTAGTTTAGATAGGTTATTAAACTAGTTCTTCTTTAGGAATTTTAACGATTTAGCTAAATTCTACCTTAGAGTAGCTAATATTACTTTAGCTCTAACCTTTAGAGTTACCTACCTAGATAGTCTAACTAATATATCTGGAAATATAGGGGTTAGTTATATAATAACTACTTTATTATTATCTAGGCTACCTTTATTTTCTTCCTATTATCTTTAAGTTAGAGATATAAACTATCCCTTAGTATTTAGAGGTAAGTTATTTCTCTACTATAGAGTAACCTAACTAAGAGGTATCTAAACTCTAGTATTATAGAGGTTACTATTTTTATAGTTATTGTCACGAGAGGTGGTTGCCTGTGATGGCACTGTGGCTCAATCGGGGTTAGCGCGCATAGCGCCTCGCCCTACTTCCCCACGAAACGATCGCTAGCGATCCCACCACCTCTCTTTTTCTCTTTGTCTCAGTTTCGATATTATAGTTGTATTGACTGGTGGCCTGACCCCATGGAATATCTGCTTCTCGTCACAAACTGAGACCAATCTCTCTTACCTGGGAAGGTATAATTAATATCCCACCGAAGAACCGAAGATCAAAGATTGAAAGCGTTGTTTCAATCGACCCGACAAACCAAATCCATCCACCTGCGTTTAGCCGAACCAACCGGGTTGGATACCGAAGACCGCCAAGATGGCACGCGAGTCAGCCGCTGACGATCGCGCCCGGAAGGAAGTACGGTTCGTGATCGAAGAGATCAATCGTCACGATCTCAAGAAAGATACCCCGTTGCGCCGCCGCTCGTCGGCAATCCACGACGTGCCGCTGAACCAGGCAGAGCCCCTCGTGGCCGAAGATGACGAAGACGCCGAGCCGGCTACGATTGAGAAGTTCACCCGCGATGTCACTACACAACTCCCAGACGTGCGTTACACTGAGACGCGCGAGAGCCTTGTGGAAGACCTGCGTGCGAAGCTTGTTGCATTTGCCGACCACTTCGCTGGCAAGTACAAGGACAAGGCTCCTGCGATGCCGTTTACCCGGATGGTCGACGACGACCCCAAGAAACCGGATGCCATGTTCGCGGGCGTGATCAATGGCACAGTCAATGCCACCGAATTCGCGGATCTCGCTGCCCGTTTCCCCGACGAAGTATTCAAGGAAGTCAAGATGCGCGGACTGTTGACCGCAGCATACGCGGAGCAAGTCGAAGAGCTCCATACTATCGCCAAAGACCTGGACCGTAACTTGAAGTACATCCACGATTGGGTCCCGATCATCGCCGACAATCTGAAGACGACCCATGACGCAGACTTGAACAGCCGAACCGAAGAGGTCGTGGGCCTTAACCAGATCATCGCCGATCTCATGATGCAAGCGCGCGAGGGAACGGTCGCTACCCACCATTCTATTCGCAGCACTGAAACCGCATCTGGCGGGAGCAAGGGGCGCAGCGCAAAGCAACCCGACCCGCCTATCTTCCTCAACGACGGGGCTAAAGATACTACGACCTTTGAGACCTGGTACCGCAACCTCCAGAATAAGCTCGCCGCCAATGGCGACCACTTCTCGAACGATGCTGCTAGACAAGGGTACATCGAGGGGAGGGTAGGTGGGAAGGCAGCTCGCGAGCTCGCTCCCTATCTCCGCGAAACCCACCCTGACGTAATCAACACGTCCGAGAAGCTGATGGCTCACCTCTGGTCGGAATACAACGACCCGCTCCAATCCGAGAAGTCCCTGACAGACTTCATCGAGCTAGAGATGAAGCCGGGTGACAGCTTCACTGCTTTTAAAAACGACTTTGTACGACTTGCTGGTGAATGTGGCAAGAGCAAGGTTGAGTGGAAGGCTGAGTTCAAGCGCCGACTTCCCGGCACCCTCCAGAGAGCGTTGGCACCGTCGTACCTCGATCCCGCTGTTACGTTCGATCAGTATGTCCGACTTGGCGCAGAGATCTCGCATTCCTACCGCCAGACAGGCAATGGCCATGCCCCGCGCCGCGATGGCGCGCCACGCGCCGCGAAGACCCCGAAGATCTCGGATCCCAGACCTGCAGCTCCCAAAGCCAAGAGCCCGGCTCCCCAGCTCTCACCCGAGGAGGTGCGCAAGCTCTATGATGAAGGCCGCTGCTTCGTCTGCCGCGAGAAGGGACATACGTCCCGGGAATGCCCGCAGAAGACAGGCGGCGGAGCCGCAGCTGGAGACTGGAAAGCGCAGCGCGAGTCCCGCATTGCGAACCTGCAAAGCCGTTGGGCGGCGAAGGAGCCTGCTGAGGAGCCTGCCACTCCCCGAGCACCCGCCTCCAACAAGAAGAAGCTTGCGAAGGTGGTTGAGCTGCCTGACAGCGCCTCCGACTCGGAAAACTAGATACCCTGGGTAGTCTCGACTCCCTCTCAGGGTTGGTATCAACAGTCGGTGTGACAGAAGCTCGACCGGATTTCGTTAGCAAGTTGCTGGGAGGAAGACCCTTTCTCACCTCTTGTTCCATAGCGAATAATGGAGTTTCGTTAACCACCACCGACGTTTTGGTTGATACGGGAGCCAATGGCTACCTCTTTGTGAGTGTTGCCTATGCAGAACGACTGTTGAAGCAGTTGAAATTGAAGACTCGAACCGACTTCACGCCCCGACCCGTGGGCGGGTTTGACAACAAAGGCGCGTGCCAATTGGTCGACGTGGTGCTCGTCGGGCATTTTACCATCCAGAACCGCACTCTCCGCGACGAACCGCTGCTGGTAATTGATTCCAAGCACGATGTGATCGTTGGTGACAAGTGGCTTGACTATCACGACATCCTTACCGACAGCCGACGCCGGAGACTGATCTTCCCTACTGAATGGCTCCCTGATCCAGGATGGTGGAAGAAGGCTGATATCGAGCTCGGCGCACCCCCGACCGGACGCCCCGATCCTGCTATAATGGAAGACATTCAGCGCCGCGAAGCATTGATGGAAAAGGAAGACCAACGAAGGCGCGATGGGCGAGCTGTCGCGCAGCGAATCGCACAGCTGGAAGCGCAGGCGAGCCGCCAGCCTGTTCCGCGGCCGCCGACGTCATCTGCGTCCCCGATTACCCACCTCCTATCGCGATCCGACCCGATACCCAAGACCGTTCGGTTCGATCCCCCTGAACAGCAGAAGATGCAGCGCGCGCTGCAAGGCCTTCCTCCCCCGCCAAAGGAGCAGCCTCCTAAACCACGCGTTCGGCGAAAGGAACCCGCGATCGACTACAAGCGTGGCACAGATAAATACGGACCGTACACTCTACGTAGGGATAGCATCGGCTGGTACAAGGATCGCCCACCCGATATGGCCGTTATCGGTGCCATTGCATTCAGGCAGATTGCGCGCAACCTGCCCACCGGCTGCGTCACTCTTCACGAGATCGACAGGATGATTGAGGACAAGCTCGCAGAGTCGATGCCCCGAGATGATCACGACCTGCGTCAGAAAGCAGTCAACGCGATCCCGAGCGAGTACCATGACTTCCTCGACGTGTTCAGCAAGGCGGAATCCGACGATATGCCCCCATACCGCCCGCAAGTCGACCATAAGATCGATGTCACTGGCAGGCCGGAGGATCTGGGATATTCGCCGCTGTACAAGCTCTCTTTGGAGGAATTGGAAGCCGCTCGGAAATATATCACCGAGAACCTGCGGAAAGGCTTCATTGAACCAAGCGATTCCCCGTGGGCCGCGCCCATCCTGTTCGCGATCAAGGCTAACGGTGGACTACGCTTCTGCGTCGACTACCGAAAGCTCAACGCGATCACAAGGAAGGACCGGTACCCATTACCGCTGATCGACGAGACTCTGGCGCGGGTCTCCCAAGCCAAAATCTTTTCTAAGATCGATATTCGCCAAGCCTTCCA